ACTTCGGTCATTTCACAACCGCGACAACAACCAAACCCTCTACTACACATCTTCAAACCTACGACAAAATGCCTGAGTCCGGATCTGACGTTCCCACCAACGACACTGGCTCCAACGGCAATGACAGTGGCTCGGAGAGTGGCTCTAGCCGTGGAAGAAGCCGCAGTGGGTACAACTAAGCTACCAGCTTTTATCGAAATTCGGTATGAGGCATGATGGGATGGAGTTTATGCGCTTGATGGACTTTGCTTCTACTTCTTCCATCTTCCATTTCAAACACGTTCTTCGCGCTGGACGGTTGGTCAGGCAGGGATACCCGGTTCACCCCTATTTTCTTGGACGGCGGAATACTGTATTCTTTTCTTTCGATTTATATTCTCTTTTTTAACCGTTTCATTCTGTACTTTCACCGGGATGAATCTTTGTATCTGGGCGGAATACTATATTTTGGGATATACACATTTTAGATATAGACGATGATTTCGGATCAACCCCGAAGTCTATCTGCGCAAGCAGCGGCACACAGAGGACTTTCACGCGGTCTTGAATAAAAGTTATCATTTCCTTCCTCACGTAAACTAGAATCTCTCAGATACCCTCCAGTGATATTGGCGTTTATCCGACCGCATATACCTAGATACTTTGTAATCGTGTCCCGCGATGAGAACCCCTGTTCTAGCTAGGCACCTACGCAATGCCAAGCAACCGTACAGCAATCCTACAATATGCTCATCTGCAAAATTTTCTTTCCTTGTTAACCAAGAACAATATGACAAATATGTATCAAGCGTCTAGCCACGGCGTAGAGAGCACCGCCAGCGCTGTGCCGCTGACTAATATGGACATAGTGGGTATACCGAATATACCGAAGGATTACGCTCTAGACTGAAGATTTCTCATTTCTGCCGCACGGGATGGGCCGCCCCCATGATTACGCATTTTCATGACTAGTTTACGGGGGCGCCGTTCTTAGATAGGTAGGTAAGATGCTACGGTGTCTAGGGAGGTCTAGTTTCATGAAAACCCCCTATTTCTTATCTTATGTAATCGAATGCTGTTGTAATAGTTTCGTAGTTTCTTATACCATTTCTAAACCTTATGGAGAAGGTCAACTCGAATCGCGCTTATTGACCTATGGCGGAGATCGGCATACAGTACCGACGGGTTTATTTTCCGAGAAAAGGGGAGCCGGCCGTCGTCCCTATCCTCGTAATTTCTTCACATTGAACTGCCCTTTCTAGTTGGTAAATATTCGTAGTTAATCCAATCGAACCCGAAGTTAAGCATATGACTCACTTCTTCTTAAAACCTTCTTAAGAGGACTAACATACGAGACCGAACGTAGTTTCGGTTGACCGTGCGAATTATCTGATTTCAATGTCCAAATCGTATATCGTAGTGAATCTATAAGCTTAGAGAAAATTTGGTGGACATAGTGAGATTTTAAAATAGTGAGGGATCTCCCATATGGGTGGCTATATGCCGTTTTGTGGTAGCATTTTTCATGCTGACAACCTACATTAAGCATGGTATTAAGACTCTTGAGTTTTTATGATTGGATATGCGTATCTCGTTTGATTTCAATGACAACTTAATATGTCGCTGGCTGTTGAAAAATTGTTGCTGACGAACTCTGGAACAATGGGCTGGATGTTCAAAAATTTCCAAAATAGTTAGGGGCCCCTTGTCTAGGTGTCAGTGGCTTACCGTGTACTTCCAGGGTTATTAGGTATCAGGGACAATCGCTAAGTCCCTAAAACGGGGTGTAACTTGGTGGGATCGCGTGAAAATTTTAGAGTGGACCACGGCTCTGATATCATTGATCCATGTCCGATAGTAACCTGGAAAATAGGTACCTAGTAGATGGTTTCTGATCCTAGGTAAATGTTCTGTTCGACGGTGAACCGACTGATGGGTAATTAAGCAGCTAATGAAGAGTTCACCTACCTACCTAGGTACATAGCGGGGGCTTGACTGGTTCACGCTAGACCACAGTGTTTCGACTTATCTAGGTACCCTAGGTAAGTAGTCGGGGAAGTTGTAGTGTCGATGGGCTATCGCAATCAGCTATACAGCCTGTAATCGTGCCGTGGGGGAACTCAGGTGTCTGTAACCTGCTGTGCATTCAAGCCCCTAATTTCAGGTTCGTATGACATGGTGTGAACATGTCATAAATGAAACCTATATTCATTTAATTGATGGGAATAAGTAGTTCACGGAACTGGGCATAACTATTTCCTGATGATCACTCAAGCATTTTTGATGATATAACTGAATCAGCTAAGCAGAGACCTTGCGCCGCCTTGAATCTGATCCCGGGTATCTTGTTCCAGTCTGGTGGGATACGTAGGATGCTAGATTTACATGTAGGTACATAACATCATAGTGATCTCATTACATCATATCAGTCACGATCGAAAAAAAGTTCTTCTTCAATGTTACGTAACATGGCGCAGAATTAAGTGCCATCATCTATTGCTACCTTTCAAATAGAGGGACAAGACTTCCTATTTCTATCTCCATCATAGAACGGAATTTGATTATGTCAAGAATACTTTACATGTGACGGACGATCTACGTGCATGCACTGATTACGTACCTGCAGGTATCATACTTTAGCGCTATAAATAGACCCTGAAACCGCTAGAAAAGTGGACGTTCTAGCGCGGGTCCAGTACGTTGGTAACGAACCCGACTGGGCGGAAACTTTAACCTACCTAGGTAGACAGGTATTCTGCAAACTCTAACTTTAACAAACATGCCCCTTTCCTATCTTGAGGTTAGGAATGAATACGCGCCTGTCGTCGTAGCAGGATACTTAATGCTATCAACTATTATTCTACTCTAAAGCTGTGATCGTCAACATGATGTTCAATCAATGGATCAAGGCGCACCGCCCTTCAGAAAGATAACAAGTAGAATTGAATATTATGTCGTATACTGTGGAATAATATTATTTATTCAATCTGTTGAGTGTTACGGAGACCCCCACCCTCAAGTTTTTCCCTGATGTTACTAGAACCGTTCTCGACGATTTCGCGCCGCTTGCCTACCTGTATGCCTACCTACCTAGGTACGTTCTCGTTTTCGGTACGAAGGATGCGAGGTCGCGTTGCGAGCTTGTGCCGTTTGCTTACATACTCCATCCGAAAATCCATCCTCCACACGAGCTAACGATCGCGATGTTTCGGCTCGCGAAGCCTCGCGTTACCCGTACCTATCTTACCGCTGGTAATAATTGCCAAACAGGGTAAATTAATCCGTATTCGACCCTATCGTCGACCAAGCCGCAAACCAACTGTTTTTTATTCTCAACATGTTGGTGAGCATCACCTTTCACGATGAAAGCGAGCCGAAACGATGGACGAAATTACTTGTACGACGCGGAAACTGCTACTACCGAAGCGATAGATTAGGTTCTTAGATGCCTAGATACAGTGGCTTTTGTGCCATTAGCTAGACAGGTAGAGCATCTGTTAGGAATATACTGTTGCGTTAAGTTGGTTCTCTGTTAATTTAACTTGGCCTCCAACATACATATAGTATCGGTATATGCGAGACTTCGCGCTACAGCCAATTGGTTTCCTAGTCTGATCATCAGCTTTGTGGAGGCCGGGGTAGGACGTGATTGCGCATATCCCAAACATCACACCTGGTCGTCAAATTATGCCTAAACATGTCTCAGGGCTGAGTCGACGGCGCAAACAGGTTTTGTGTACCCTCCCCCTTATTTTAGAATGTTGACGGGGTGGCAATTTATGATGAAAACTCCTGTTCCACTATCGGCCTATGCCATGTTTCATTTTCCAGCCATGCCTACCGACTGAAGTTTTGCAGGGTGCCCGTTTGATTGGGGTTGACCTTGACGTGATTGACTGCCAACCTTCGGTGACTGAATTTGAGATAAGATGAACTTTCTATGAATAGAAACTAAGAACTTGACAGGCACTTCGTCATCGGAACAGCTCCGACGTGTTAGGCACCTCACAGAATATGCCGCAAGTTGTCTTTGGGGCACCCGGTGGCAGTACCCGGACGGCTATGACGGTGATACCCCAAATTTTCGAAGATAAGAGCGCTATACGTTGAATTATATCGTCGTGTTCTAAATCGCTCGAGACGCACTTCCGCAAGTAGACCGAGGAATCTTCATCACCCCCACACTGTTACACGAAGGCGGATGTTGTCCGACCAAACGGTGATCTTTTTCGGATCTAGCCGGTTTAGCAAAAATAACTGGCAACGCTATCTCTAGTTGGCCAGGCTCGGATCATGAATACAATATTAGGAGGCGCTTGATCTTCCATAGTTGAGCCGGCATACCTTTTCTACGTATTAGTGATGCAGAAGAGATCCCAGTGAAAAGACGCCGGGAAAACTCCGTCTATTGTAGAACTAACCTCGAGTTTACCTACAGGATGGTCCCGACTGCTAAGAGGATTTGCTTAGACACTACGGGAATGATACAACGAATGTCTGACTACACAGGCGCGATTTACAGCACTCCTATTTCTCAGTGTCATCAACGCTCCCATAGTCTAGCGAGACCGCCTCTCCGAATATTAAGCGACCGCGCGTCGGTAAGTGACGCCGGTCACGAAATAGGTAGCCACGTCAAGCCCGCGTAACGCATACCTAGCCCTGCGGACTTCCTTGGCGATATCTCGTTGTTCCTCGGCGATAATCCGATCGCCTGGATTACATCCTGGACATGTTTAATATCTCCGCTGAGGATGTTCGGGCCTCGGTCTATTTGTCACAATGTTAGATCCGGCCCGGGGAGCCGCTCCTTATACTCCGCCACATCTCAGTTGCAATCGTAGGTTGTTGGTAGAATATTTCCGGGTATTCGTCGCATCCTCACCGCCAAGCCCGATATGGGCTACGCCTTTCTCGGCGACTAGGATACAAACGCAGTAACACGTAGCGAGCAGGATTCTCTTAAGCTCTACTTCGACTCATTTCACGTAAGAGACACAAAAGCTGAACGATGAGTGAAATTAATGTCAGACCTGTTTCCATTCTTAGGTGATAGTATTTGAATAAGCTAAACACCGTGTGATAGGCTTCGGCCCTCCTGTTGCCATAGAATACTTGCCGCCGTCTATTATTCAGATAATTGTGAATCAAAATTCCTTCCATCGCGTTTTCACCCGCTAAAACTCTAATAGATAAGGAACAAACAGCATGTTCAAAGGCAGAGATGCCCTTGATCATGACCACATCCAAAGACGACCCGTCCCGTATAGGTCCGGATGCGTTCTCCCGTGCAGGTAATACTCCAAGGAACTTGAGTGAATGAGCATATTTAGTCATGCCGTTAGCCCCATATCATACTCCTCATTTTCAGCGCCGACGCATTAAACCCTCGCGGCGAGAGCGGGCAGAGCGTCCTACAGTTCTTGCACCCCGCCGTTTTATCATCCAACACATTCAAGCAATCGCATATCCAGTACCGCCCCCCATTTCGCGTAACTAGCTTGTCTCCGGGGTTATGGCAGCCCGATTGGATACCGCAGGGTATACAAAATCGCCGTAGATTCACGATTACCTGCTCGTCGGACAGCGACGTCCGTAGCAGAGCCTGTACGGGCTGGTCACTGTCGAAAACATCGCCTGATAGTACCCGGAAGCACATATAGCAACCCAATCTCGGTGAATTCGGGTTCACCTTAGTCTTAGTGAAGTGCTGTGGGAAGTCACGCTCGGCCCGTAGAACGAAGGATAGTTTGGTTTCGTGGGGTGCTAGCTGCGGGTCGATAACCTGGTTCATTGTTCGTGATAGTCGGTAGAGGCTTATTAAATCCTCGTACGGTACATACCGGCAGATTCGGTCGATTATGTCTTGGGGGAGGAGCTCAAGATGACAGTTGCCCCTCAGAAGAGGTAGTTGCACTGGCATAACGTTCAAGTATTGATGTATAAACCTCTTTGATAGACGACATGCGAACCACTGTACCCGATCCTCATGGCTTGGAATAGTAATTAGATTCGATACCGGAACTAGTAGCGGCTGGTTCGGGATTGGCGCTGTTTCCAGGGGTTGGTTGGATATTAGTTGAAGCCAGTGCCGCTGGTAGTTCTGCTCGTTCTTGGTTTGGTAGTTCGTTGTCATGGAAGAAGACTGATGTCGTTCTATTTCGCTTTGAATAGCCATGTTGAGAGTTAGGGTGCAGTTGAGAACCTGTGACTAGAAGGACCACTGAAAGTAGAGGCAGCTATGAAAACAACCTTACTGTATAGCTGAGAATTACCATCCAGTGGATTCAAGAAGGCGATTTATAACCTAGTTTATACTTGAGTCCTGAACATAGAACTGCCCAGGTAAGCAGTTTCTAGAATCAGTCAGCCACGCAAAGCCCCATGCAGGCTTCTTTAGGGGAGAGTGACCCGCACGATATCTTGAATGGCTACTTACATGGTTGGAAATAAAGGATGGAGCATTGTACTCGCATTCAGCTTGGCTGAGACACTGTAAGGCTTTAGCTGTGCCTACATTGCCATTTCTGCAGCCCAGCGTCATAACATCGAGATAGGCCAGTAGGTTCTCTGGTGCGACATTGCTCTCTTAATTTTACCAGGGTATTGAAGCTGCAACCATAGGATGACTGGCCCATAATGAACAAAGCGTCAACAAATTCTCAGCGCCATCACATCATATTACATATGTTTGTACCCAAGTCGTTGGGTCACCAGATATGTTCGAGAGGCAAATGGAAGTCTCACCGATACTAGTTGGCGCGAACACACACCGGGATCCTCATGATTGGCGTTAATTCGTTTAACTGCAAAACACCTTATTATGGTTCGTGTGAATCTGTACATTCAAACTACGGAGGTGACCCCATTGGATGCAAACATCCTTGGGATGCTGCGGACGTTGGTGCTGTCTTTCTTGACCCAACATATCGGGTTAGTAATGGTTCCATTCTACGATTCATATCTGTTCAACTTTGAAGATGAGCTAGTATGTAATGATGGTAAGTCATAAAGTGGATTAAAGAAAATACCTACCTAGGTAGGTTGATTACGCTAACCCTCGTGTACGGTATTCCGGATGCTTTCCGATTATGAGACATCAACATCTTCCACGCTCCCATCGCATGTTCAGAAGAAATATCAGAGACATCAACCTCTATCGGCGATAATTGATATTTTCTTCTTTTTGTGATAGTTGCCAATCATTTCCTAGCCACGTCATTCACATCTCGATGCAAGATTTGGAGGCTGACGCAAGGTTGACTTAGCGTTAAGCTCAACAATAACCACCTAAAGTAGACTGGAGGCGCTGAAGCCATAGTACCGAATCACTTGTTGTTAGGGGCGGGAGACTAGCCTCTCTCATCGTAGGATAAGTCGATAAAACAGGGGCTGGTACTTATAAAAGCTATGAGTTCATTCACGAGGCGGTAGGATACGATAAGAGCTCCAGTTCTTGAAATTACAGTCAGAAATAATCGAAACATGTTTTCTCCATGTGTAATAAAACCAGGGTTTGCAATGTGATATATCACATACGTCCTGCCCTCCTTATGTCCGAGGAGTTTGACTAGTTAGTACTTGGGGGTCATTTGACTCTAGTTGCATATGTACTACACTACAACGTGGACCGGAGGTTAAGAAACACTCTCTTTTCCGGGGCCTTGGGACCTATCGGCTTAGAAAAGTTAGCTATCCGGTTCACACACGACTCAAAGTCGGGATTGTTTTTCGATCGTCCCGAAGTCTCGGGACAGTTTAGCAATCTAATTAACTAGGAGTATTAGAGGGAACATCATGTTCAATCTACCGAATATATCAATAATATGGCCCATCTGGGGCGGCGGGTTGGGTTTCATCGTGCTTATGAAAAGAGGAAAGGCTCCAGGATTATTTATGGATGAAGATACCGTCGTCTAAACCGGTGTGCTTGTCGGTGTGAGATGACATAAGTGAACGGGCCAACAGCTGGAGCTGCCAGTTGGACCAGTATCTGAACGGACAGCCGTTGCTTCTGAAGACGGTATGCCGAATTTCCATAAAGTCTTCGATCTCCCGACCCGACAAACCCGCACCGATTAAATTTCCAATCAATAGATTGCGTGGCTCGGAACCGATTTCAGCTCTTTGCCTGAGTCAAGAATCAAGATGTGCGGGTATCTCCGTTGACAAGATGGGGGTTCAAACGGTCAAGATTAGATCTGCGAGTTTACATGCATAGACTAGGTACTTAGATATCCAATGGAGGACAACTGTCGGCCCTGTCGCATGTACCGAGAATGTGATAACCGAGCGTAGTTTGAGAATCGACAGCCCTGGAGGATCTGATCGTAAGATTTGGCATGGGGATGGCATCTTAATCCAATCTGCACGGCCCATCCCGTCTCAGTTAGTGCTGACATTAGATGCTGTTTCGGGGAACCATTGCGAATCATTACGATAGCAATCATAGTTGGGTGAATGTATTGGCGGAGGAGCAAGGGTTTCCTTGCATAACTGTCTCCCCCTTTCCTGCGGTTAAATCCTGTCCTTTGTCCTCCCAGCCGTGTTGATAGGCAGTAATTTAAAGAGGACCCTCTACCTGGACTGTACTGTCCCCGAATTATCAAGCCCTATCCTGGTATTCATCCATGTTAAAGGCATCTCACTACATAAAATATCGTCAGCTATTGCGCAGCCATGTGGTAAGCCTCGAAGATCCAGAGGCGCGGATATCAGTTACCCGGATTGTCGGATTATTATCATCATCCATATCATTATCCCGTTTGTTCAACTTGGGATTATTGATGATAAAGCTCCAATTATTCATTGGGACTCTTTGATGGTCTACGTATTCAAAGATGCTTGACCCCCTCGGAAAGGCACCTATGCCTGAGTACCCGGATCTCTGTCGGGTAGGTACCTAATATATCATTTCTCACTTAGACACCTACTGAGGTATGAATCCGAAGACCCTCAAAGGGTAAGCGAACACACGACCCAGCCATATACCAAATCTGGTTCAGTACTGGTTCCCCGTGATCTTGACGGTCATGCGTATCCCAACATGAACATCGAATTCCTTCGATACTACTCTATTACCTTAACTTCTGCTTAAACGAAGCAATCTTTTGCAAGCTTCTCCATAAACACTAAGAATAGCCATTCGGCGGTATTACCCTTGAAATATGGAGACTATGCGGGTCTTGAGCCCTATGACTAGGTACCTAGAACGAGAAAATATCTGCGGGATGCCGAAGTTGAAAGTCCTAGAGATGTTCACAGCTTTGCTATGTCGTTAAGATCTATATGGTGGGGCAAAGGCCCGTAGACGTAGTCTCTTGCTCTTGCCCGGGGCCACCGTAACATCACACATTAACGATAATAAGTGTCTGGCAGTGAGATCTGGTATGATCCCTCTTGGAACTTGAAGGGATTAAGTCTAGTGAATCAAGGCTTGGTGTCTAGACTCCTCAATTGCTCCACATTTTTGTTCATCGCAATTGCAAGGAGCCCTATATCGAGGTGGCCCAAGACGTATCGTGCACCTAAATCCCTTACCGCATGTCTGCATATATCGGGTCGAGAATACAGCCCGGCGATACCAAAGACCTTGCCCGACTTTCTTGCCGCCGCAGCCACTAACTTAAGGGCATCCCGAAACCGCGGGTGCTCCCACTCTCCTAAGATGCTTAGCTCCAATGATAGGTCATTGGCGCCGAGCAGCAAGACTTCGACACCTTCGACTGCTGCTATTGCGTCGATATTCTCTAAGCACATCTTGGTTTCGACTTGGACGAACACCGTGGACCCTACGGCATTGACTTGAGGAATCATCTCCTTCGCAGCAATTCTCCGAAAGTCAAACTGAGGCAGTGCCGCTGTCAGGGACCGTTGACCATTTGGGGGATACTTGGTCATGGAAACGGCGCGACGCGCCTCTTCTACTATTACTCAGACTCTAGGTACCAATTACAGACGTACTAGAGGAGATCCATACCGGGGGTACTAATGTGCGGAAACACGATGCCCATTGCCCCACCGTCAAGAACCCTTTGCACAAACCCACTTCCACATTCGTACGGCACTCGAACGAACGGCGTGATTCCGGATAGGAGCGACGTGGAGCATAGTCTACTTGCATCCTCAATGCTCATCACTGAGTGCTCGAGATCGATAAAGACGGAATCATATCCGGCGGCTCTAGCAAGAAGTATGATCTCATTAGAGGTTACAACCTTGACACCAATAGCCTAAGAAACGTCATAGTTAGTAATCTGGTAGTGAAGAGGTGCATAATATCCTGCCTTACCGTGCACATCTGGTCTTGGCTAACCTTCTGTAGGAGGTTGTTTTGCAGCATCTTTAATCGATTGGCGAAATAGGGGGTCATTCACATTATGGATGGCACGTGAGTTAAATGCTTGACAAGGAATTCAAATCCCGAGAACAAGGCATCCGAATGAACGTTGAAGACATAATTGACTGTATGGTGTGGACGTCCAAAAGAATATCAAGCATGGGTCAGCATCGCGGGAGCCACCTCAATGCTACCTTCGGGGACCCATAGCCGCTCGGAGACCCACTGCCGCTCCTACATCATCTCTACCCCTCGAACCCATGCCGAAGGGAATGTACGAGCACAGTGCGTTTACTACGCACTCTTCAATACGATGACTGCATGATGCGTGGTGACTAGGTGCAATTCACGGCTCTGTTCCTAGTAGGACATCGCTGGTATATTTCCTTTAGTGAACAACGCACGCCAAGCTACTGCACGTACTCTAGCCATTCTAGATTGAGCATATCGAAGCTGTACGCGTCTTCTGCTTCACCTAAAGCAATAGAAGGAGATTCTTCGGCATGTACCATGTTAGCAGCCGTTTGTTGCGGCGCGGATCTCCCTGTACTGCTTTGCGTTGTGACCCGTGTACCTTGGCCCCGGCCCATGAATTGAACATCGGGGTCTTTCGCCATGGTCTCCAGTCTGCCTTGAAGAGTTTCTGGTCGGCCGGCGGGCTTTTCTGGTGGATTTGGGGTTTCTATTAGGTTGAGAAATCTGACATTGAAAGAATCTCCATCTTGACTTGTCGTGACTTCAGTCCCCCTTTCATTCCGAGGGTAGCCAGATAGAGCCGCGACGGCTTCGTGGATACGTTTCAGGTCAGCCCCTAGAGCAATCGCAGTTGCACTTCCATATCGACCCATATCATGAAGGACGCCGATTGCCTTTCCAACACGATCCGATCCTGTCGGGGCTGGGAGAACGACGTCAATGAGTATCAGTGCTAGCGCGGCTAAGAATGTAATCTCAACGTTACTAAAGAAGAATATCTCTATGTCATTGTTAGATTTAGTCAATTATCAAGCGACCAAGAACGTCATAACTCACCAAGAAGATTCTGGTCGTGAAGCATAGCGATTATATCCAATGCAAAGTTTGCGGCGTTAGCACAGCTTCTTAGCACGGCGAATGAGGTTTCAAGCAGTGAACTAGCTAAAGCGGGAGGCTCGCCGCTACTCAAGCGCCGCCGTAAGAGGTATAGAAGGATCGGTTGGGCAGCGATAATAACACACTAGTAAATCTTAGCAGTTGGATTCCTTGGGGGGACGAAGACTGACTGACGTGGCAATACAAGAGATGTAATGTCGCTGCAGGCCTCGATATCGCATGGAGGGAATGTCCAAAGCGAAAATGCGGTAGGACACTTATACTCCGCCCCAGTAAATGCAGACATCTAAGCTCAGCCATTATTTCTTCCGTCAATGGAGAAAGCTTGGTATCGATGGTATGATGTTTAGAATGGACTGTTTCCCATTAGAGATGACGACGGACATCGCGCGCCAAAGGCTCTTACGCATAATGATCCTCGATAATCGACAGGCAATGGTAAGATTAAGGGACGACGTATTGTTTATGGCCAAACCCGAACTCTCATCTAGGAAGATGTTATCTACATCTTGCGTTGGGTAGTTCGGAAGCATTCCGATGGCGGCAGAATACCTCCGATCTAATATGCAGACAGTGTGCCATAACCTCCGCGCTGTCTTTGTCTCATCGCTTTCGATTCCAATGGGAGCCTTTCTCTGATCATCCAAATTGCGACAGCGCGCTATCGCTATCGTTTGCGCTATCTTCTTGGTATCAGCCCGTATCTTTTATCCATTAGGTAGACCTACATAGAGGTATGCTACCGCATGCATATCTGCACTATGAGCATATACGGAGAGAAGACAGAGAGCCTCTATTGCCAAAAGTGGATAGAGTAACAGTATAGTGTTGGATGGAACGGCGTCTGAGCCTTGTAGAAACTCTTGGAACCCCGGGGGTCGAGAGCCGGTCGCCCCCTTTTCTAGGAATAGCCTTCCAAGAGCCACAACAGCAGACACTTGCACAACCCAAATTTTTGATTCTGTATGCGGAAGACCAGGCGCCGTATCGTCGCCTCGAGGAATGGATATTGTGTGGCCATCGAAGAGACAGCCTGCGTGAAGATGGAAGTCGACTATATGAGCGAGGTAGACGATGTAATCGTGTTCTGGTAGATTAACCGCTGAAGTACTATCTCTCGACTCTTCTGTATCACCCACAGCATGGCTAGGTCGTCCGCCCGATTCCGTTCCAAGAATCCGACACACATCTTGACTCAACTTCCAAACGGAAGCTGGCGGTTCTTTCAAATCAGCGTTAGCTGTTCTCCCACTACTAGTGAAAGTAAACCCTCCTGGTGTTTGCTTTTCCTGGCCGTGTCCACTTATATTCGAGTCTCTCATCTCGGTATCGAGGCGGTATTGTCCCCTCTGGTCTTCCGCCGAAGCCGAAGCCGAAGCCGAAGCCAACACCGGGTCGGGTTCGCCGGGAGAGTCGCCATGAGAAATTGTTGCCCGACGCTCAAGGGCACGCAAGTGTCTAGCCTTTTGTTAACTTGGATAGCGCTCCACGAGGACACGAACCTTTCGGAGATCACCACTTTCCTGTCCGTCCCATCGAAAATACAGGATTGGTGCCGATTTGCACAGCTTACGCACGGTGTCGTTCCTGAACATTTTACTTTTCGTTGTCGGCACCGTCGGCAACTTATTGGGGTTAGCAGAGGTAAACTTGGTTGTATGTGTGAGACGTGCGCATTGATAGCTCTTCTCTTCGTGAAGTCCTCCTTGGCAGACATCGCATCGGACAAATTCCGTCCTAGTTGTTGTCGAACAATCCGGTCTGGAAGATCGGGGTTGACTCCGAAGAGATTACAGCAAGCTGTGCGGCCTCTATCTTCGTCTATTAAGAAACCTCACTTTGGCCCAGAAGCAGTTCGATGCGTAATAGGCAATACCTAAATACAGTGTACTGAATCGGGATACATACGTTGGAGACAGGGGTCCTTATTATGATGGAGTGGTTTGACAGTCAGGGGTATCGCCCCGCCTCCCGAGTAGGTAATATTCCATTTTCTACTTATTACGCGGTTGTTGAGAAGCGAATCTCTAGGAGACACACATGGACACATCTAAATCAATCGCTTCCGATTCTATTTCGAAGAGAGAGTCAAAAATACGTGAATTGGCATGAATGGTAACTAGTATGGCATCATCCTAATCTTCCCTCCCTTTCCCTTATTTTTCTAGCTAAAATTCAAGATCGTAGACTAGCGTCTCTCCACAAATCTTCTCACGAAGTTCTTGCACCCTAACCGAACACATCAGTAACGAATACCGACCAAATGGGCGCTGAACTGAAAAACAAGCGTGTTACCTACTTCAAATGTGCTGGGTGTGTCGCGTAGCCCTTGAGATCTTCGGCCTTTTCTAGCACAGATACCACACCCAGATTGCACACCCAGATTGAAACCCAGACTGAAACCCAGACTACGATGTGCCGTCAAAGCAAGAGGAGAGTTCACTTCCAATGAGACCAGACCTGGGACCTTACCCAACATGTCCTTGAGGAGTGTTTCCCATTCTCCTTTCTGTTCAACTGTCACACCAGGATTGAGTTTGGTGAGGGAATAGTAGGCTGTTAGATTCTGTTTGAGAGCCGTAAAATCATGATGGGCATGGACGAACCAATGTGATATATCGGCATGACGAAGACGGCGAGCTCGAATTGCAGCAGGATCAAATATAGTAAAAGGTAAGATACTCTAAAGAAATTCAATACTGAAAGGCTATGTAGGTAGGACTAGAAGCTCGTTGCATCTTATTTCGTTCTATCGGAAGCATATCCCGATTTTAACGCCGTGACTCACCGATGCTCCGGGTTTTCCCGGCAGGATTGCAGAGCGATTAATAAGACTATACGTTGTCGGCGAAGTAGTTATTCTCGAGTAGTCTTATAATAATCGCGTGGTGGTTTAAAGACTGGTGTAAGATAGTTGTAGATGCCGTCCAATCTTCAATTAGTTACAACTACAAGGCTTTGGGGGTTGGGGTTTACCCGACGACTTGGAAATAGCGATGAGTCTGCCAAAACGACGTTCTCGCGCCTGGCAGCAACGAAGACGATAACTTCAGCTACATCCGCCGGTGTTAAGGGTTCGTAGCTAGCATACACTTTGACGGCCTCGCCTTGTCTCCTCCGAACCAGGCGATCGAAAATTCCTACATCGGGCTGTCAGCGGTCGTTCACTCCTCGTCTAGCTCCCTCCGGCTTTACCGTTTGGGCCTGGCCCGGACCTACCTCAATCACTCTGATCCTCGTAATAATGGACTCTTCACTCGGGTTTTGCGTAAAAGGCCGAACCGCCGCTTCGGTGGCACAATGGATTAAGTCCTTCCACACAGATAACCTTTCTTACCGGCTATACTTCCGACGTCGGTGATTTCACCGGTGCCACCATTCGGTCTCGTTTGCATGGCTTTTGGGACCTCTTGTGTCATATTGGTCAAATCAATTATCCTGATATCCTCGGTGGCGATTTTGCGACGCCTTTGACTTAGCCAACAAATAGACTCCAGTGTTACATAATTCGGTCCCTAAACCCCCTTCGGCATCCTCGGACCGCATTCTGATGGTTTCTCTTGAATATGGTTTCGGTGCCTGTCTCAACATGACGGAAGTGATTCCGAAAATGAAGCTGTGGGAATTTGCTCGGGGTTCCACATCCGCAATGCGTTTTAGCAACTAATGGGGCAATTCTGTGTACGATGTCACAGCGTGACCAGCTTTCAACCTATAATCTTTGGTATAATCCCCTTGATTAATTAAGTGTCTCGGTCTCATCGCAGTAATTCGATACTGTATTTCCGCCTGAATAGAAACCGCCATGTCAGGGGTCGTCGCCCTCGATACTTTCGACCCAGAAGGCACGCAATATATGCGCCAGACTTTTCCGGATGTTATTGAGCCCGGTCATTCCTCGCATTCCTCCTGGCCCGAACATGCTGTCGGGCTCTTCGTCGCGAAAAGCAAGGTTACCGCGGACCTGATCCGGCAGACTAAGGAATTGAAGTTCATCGTACGCCATGGCGCCGGTTACGACAACATAGACGCCGAGGCATGTAGAGAGAAAGGTGTCATACTATGCAATCTCCCGGGCATAAGCGTTAGTACTCATCTATCTAGAGAAGATGACTCGTAGTCTTACGAGACCGATAGGCTCTAAACGTCGCCGAAGTCGCCCTGGCTCTCGTGGGCGCTTGCTCCAAGAACCTCGTGGAGGTATCGAGGCAAATGAGAGCTGGTGAAAGGCTTAATAAGAAGTTTAAAAGCCTTTACTCGGCGACTTTGCTAACGGAAAAGACTTTCGGCATCATCGGAGGTGGCCGAATCGGTCAACTCACAGCAAAGAAGTAGTATGTCCGCAACGAACGTCAACTTCTACTTCAACTTCTACCACGAATGTCATGCTGATAATTCTAGTATCGGCGCCTTCGACGGTAAGATCCTAATGTGCGTATTTTGATCCGTTTTGCATAGCCTGCTGCTGATCGCTATAGGTACGATCCCTACATTCCGACAGATGGAACGACCCCTTGGAGTCTGATCCCACATGAACGGGTTAACTCAATCGAGGAGCTGGCGCCTCGCGTCGACGTGCTGTCTCTTCATGTACCTCTTCTCCCTACCACGAAGGATCTCATCACGCTTCCGATAATGAAGAGTATGAAACCGACCGCAATACTTATCAACGTGGCACGTGGCGGGGTCGTCAACGAAGAAGACTTATGGTCGGCTTTGAGAGGAGGCGTGATTGCGTCTGCGGGTGTCGACGCATGGGTCAGCGAGCCGCCGATTAAAGGGGTTTACGGGGATGTTTTGGAACTGGAGAACTTGGTCATGAGCCCTCATATCGGCGGGTCTCCAGCGGAGATTCAAAGAGCTACCTGCATCAGCATGGTCGACCATATGAAGGGGATGATTGATGGGAAGCCTCCTAGAGATCGAGTCACATAGAACCAACTACTTTGGCTATATTGGTTACTTAGATACCGAGGTAGTTATGTACGAAAATGTCTATTGTGTTTATGAGGTTGCGATAACGCCCATTTAGTAGCGAAATGAGTTAAATGAAATTAGTGGGCGCGGTAGGCTTAAGACTTGACGCCGATTTCTTCCATTCATGTTGCGAAAATAATGAATATGGGATCGGGTTGGTACTTAGTTTCTCCTAGGCCCTTGGAGATATTTTCGGATCGCTTCCGTCTCGTGTTACACAAAGTTTTCCAGATGCAAAATATTTTCGGATACATCCGAAATCTGGGAGCTGTGATTTTTACAACTTTGGTTATCTTCTGCCTGAGACAGCCACCATATTGATCAAGACCTAGCAATCTTCAATTCTTTTTCATACCAGGCCATCATTGCCTTCGCATCTCCATTGACAACCACAAGGTCAAAGCGCCCCTTCGCCTTTTTCGCCGCTTCACCGTCCGCTGTTAATATACCTACTTTCTTCCCATGCTTCTTCGCGCTCGCGACTACTTTATCAATGGCTTCGAGAAATGCGATCTCGGTAAACTTGGCCGGGGTGTATCCCAAGATGGACAACGCAAGATCATTAGGGCCGATGAATAGGAGGTCTAAAATCTATCAGTCATAACTTAAACACAAACATGGGAAATCGGTAACTCACCGACGCCATCTACCTGGGCAATCCCATTGACATTTTCCACCGCCATCGCGGTTTCAATCTGAACCATTGTGATTACGTTTTCATTCGCCGTAGCGATGTACTCGGAGGGTGTTTTGAACCCATACTCTATACGTGCAAAGGGAGATCCTTGTCCTCTTACGCCAGCAGGAGGAAATTTGCCCAATCTCACGACTGATTCCGCTTCCTGGGCCGTGTTGACCATGGGTACCAATATCGCGCTCGTCGGATGTTAGGCTTTGTTGTACTCATAACAGCAGTGTGGGAACTTACTGGGCTCCCGTATCCAGGGCTCGCTTAATGACCGTTCCATCCTGACCTGGTATGCGGACGACTGGGGAGACGCCCAACCCGGATACCGCGGCGACCATATCATGCATATCGGCGTCGCTTATGTTACCTATCCACAAATTAATACAGACACCTGCTAGGTATCGATGTAGACGGACCATGTTCACAATCGATTATCACAGCCTGCGACTACGCGTTAGCCCAGATTTACCGCGTTACAGCCATTCCACTTACGTCAACGCCAGTCTGAGCAACTATCTGTGCCGTTCTCACCCCCTTAAGAGTCATGAAAGTCGCAATGATCACTTTCTTCTCGTCAAGCAGGTTCTTGAGACGAAGCCTGGGATTAGTTACCATGGTAATTCAATTCGTCCAATTGCAATATTCAATCGAACGAACAAAAATGTACTTCTAGTATAACTGAGAAAATACGCTGTTCATTTACCAGAAGGTTTGAACATATCAGACAATAGCCCTGGTGGGAAATACGCTCGGAATCCCATTAGACGTCGGCCTATTCGTGGCATAGCTGAATTAGGAGGGACAATATGGTATCATCGTCTCAGATATCGAATAAAGCGTATAGGATCGATGAATGATTACCGATGTTGACAATGATACCGGGAAGAAATCTTGGTGGGGTTCGGGAACCCACCACCGAGCGTAAGGGTGCGAACTCGACATCTCATCCCCTCGGAAAACCAGGCCCGACTGTTATTGTCAGTAGTTGAGCTGTATGAAGCGATACATCTTGGGAAGTACCGGTGGAGCCCTTATCGCCGATACAAGGACAAAGGAGCTCATGGAACAAAGAGGCTACTTGTGTATGTATACGATAGTTCCCGTAGCAGATACCTGCGATCTCTTCGCGCAACAACAGAGTTGTTAGCCCCCCATATGGTCGGTCTCATGACGGTTATGCTGGTGCCACTGATGCTTAATGGCAAGCTAGATAGATTCTGTTCCTGCGTGTATCATTAAATCCAGTACAAAGTATAATCCTCTGGGTTGGGCTAGCACGACGTTTAACCGAAGCATAGAGAAGAAGGCCGTAGCGTTCTCAATTATAAACATCATCGGTAATGTTCCGCACCTTTGTACGCCGTACCTGTATCACAGCGGCGATGAGCCGAAGTATCTCATCAGTGAGCGGTGGGGCGTTTGCGTTAATGACATCGCTAGTACTTGGACATCGCGATTCTAGTTAAAGAGAGACAATCAGGAGATTTGAAGCAAAATGCCTGCTGATAATCGATTTCCTCGTATATGACTACCTAATGAAATGACGGCATAGGTACCGCTACGATTTTTCAGGGGTTGGGGTTGAAGTTGGGGTTAGGGTTAGGGTCTTTGAAGCCATTCAGCTCACCGCAGATACCTACCGTTTACGGTAGACTTCGCTTCATCATTGAGGCATCGCGTTGGGGGCTATTTATGCCTCACAATTGAACGATCTTCATGATGCTGAAGTGTATATACCCATCTCACTGCATCTATAACTCAGCCTCTGTTGAACTATAGCATACTCTCGACTTCAGCTCAATCTTGGTAGGCCCTTATTAATGGCGCAAGAACGTACGTAAGGTGTTGTGCGAGTCATTCAAGACGACCCTATCTAAAATTGGCACCTAAGTATCAAATATCCGTCTTCTGATTCGTCAGTTCTTAAGATTATGGGGCTTGTCAGCACTACATTCAGCGGAGTTAGGGATTCGGGATACTTCCGATTGAAGTAAGTCTCCATATACGATGGCATAGTAGACCATTCGAAACGAGTTAGGCTTCGCATCATGGGCCTATTTTACCTGGAGTCCTCTTCTTATCTTACTTACCCTGGTAGTTAGCGTGCTCCGTTAAATAGACGACTATTCCGACTTCCAAGATTGAAAAAATGTCTATAGGATCATGGAATCAATTCCTTCCTGACAACACATAATAACGATGGTCGGCTATACGCGAGCGCGTCGCAACTCAAATGAGATTAGCGAGGCGTCGACTTTACTAGAGGGAGAAGAACGCTCTGATCGGCCTCAGCGCCCGTCGCATCGCCCCCATATATCTTTGGGCTCAATTCCGAGCGTGCACGTTCCCAAGATCCACAATGGGCGCACTATCATCAATTTGTTGACCCTCATCGCATTTGTTGCCTCTTGCTCGAGCGGGTTCATTGGAACCCCTGTGACGCGAGTCTTAGAAGACATCGTTTGCAGGAAATACTATGGACTTCAACAAGATGGCCCAATTGACGAGAAAGAATGCAAGGGGACCGAGGTTCAGGAACGGGTAGCGTTTATCATGGCCATTGCGGGCAGTCTCGATGCCGCAGTCGGTTTTCTCGCGGCTTTACCTTGGGGTTTTGCAGCTGACAGGTAAAGTGTCATCATGCCATAGGCATTAATGGGGATAAATCGACTTACTAAGCATAGGATCGGGCGAAAGCCGGTTTTCATTATCTGTCTCTTCGGAACGGTTCTGAACATTCTGTGGGGAGTGACGGTTTTGTACTTCAATAACGTATTGCCTGTAGAATTGATCTGGCTTGGCTCCGCCGGCTATTTGATCGGGGGTGGTAACGCTATTCTCATAGGGATTATACTGAGTATAATCACCGACTCTACTACCGAAGAAAAAAGGTTACTCGCCTTCCCCAATGGTAACAGTGGAGGCTAACTTGATTATAGGGGTGTTGCATTCGTACGTCTTCACGTCGCTAGTATGTGTGGTGTTCTGCTTTCGCCATCGATTTCGTCCTTCGTGATGGAAAAGCTAGGGCCGTGGCCACCAATTTGGGCCGCTATGGCCGCCCTAGTGACGAGCGCTATCCTGTTCCTTTTCGTCCCAGAGACGCTAAAGCACCAACCGGAAGGAGAAGCTGCGCGGGCGCCGGAGGTTCAAACAGAGCCCCAAGCCAAAAATCTCAAGTCACAAATATCGCAATCGTTTACCCGGTTCAAGGAGTCCCTGTCCATGCTCAAATCCCCATCCCTTATCCTCCTTCTTTTGACATGCTTGGGATCCATGCCAGTTTTGATCGCAACGCTTGGATTCATGGCCCAATTCATCTCAAAGAGATATGATATCAGACTCGCGCAGACAGGTTACATCCAGACGGGATATGGAGCGGTTACAGTCGTTCAAGCAATAGCTCTTCTACCGTGGGTTTCACGGTATATCATGAAGGGCACGGCGCCCAAGTTATTGCGAGTAAAAGATGAACACCATCGCGATCTCTACCTTGCGCGTTGGTCGTACGGGTTCCTAGCCGTGGGAATACTCATTCTTGCTATCTCGCCGAGCCTCCCTGGTTTTATCGTTGGGTTGGTTGTCATGGCTCTTGGTTCTAGCTTTAGCAGCTTGACTAAGAGTCTTATGAGTTTATACGTCGACCCAGAGCATCGTTCTCGGCTTTTCAGTATTGTGGGCATGGCAGACGTCATCGGTAGCTTGTATGCCCAGCCGGGTCTTGCCGGACTCTTTACATTGGGCATGCAACTTGGCGGTGGCTGGATTGGATTGCCCTACTATGGGTTAGCGATAGTCGTCGCTCTCGCTGGTTCCCTATTATTATTCGTTAAAGTACCTAAGCAGGTTAAGGATTCATCGTCGACACGCGAGGATGGGGATGATTCGGATTAAAGATTAGATGTGGCTGGGCTGGGTGAAGTGGGACGTCAAAATAGATGACATCGGTTAGACTGGAATGGGCCATCCCCATCTTTTCTCATTTTTACCTACCTCTTAGATGTAGAAATTATTACGATAGAATGACCTGAGCCTGGTGCTCGATAGAATACATATCAGCATAATGATTAACTTTATGGTTTACGACGACGAATACGAAACAGTATATAAGACGCTTCAAGGGAATGTCAACACTACCTGCCTTAAGCGCTCTTAAGCGTCGTTGACAGCCGCGTCACTGAGGGTTAACTGCGAAGCGGGGCGCATATCGCGGGGCAATCTTTTGATACTGTAGATACATAGGTAGGTACCTTGGAACGTGTCTCTTATCTCGAATATGTCCGGGGTAGAACGATGTTACTGTCGGGACTTCTAGCCTTTTGCCGGCATATGTCTCATTCGGTTACATATAAGAGGCTGAATAATTCGATAGAGCCTCATTATGCTTAAATGGTGGTGCCATGCCGAGAAAGGACCCCTTGAAGACATGGTGTTTTTTTGATATATAGTCGAACCATGTGTTATCTTCGTTATGGTATCCAGCTGTTAACTGGTTCCACGCAATCCATTACGAAGCCTTAGAATGATATGAAAATGTAACCTGGCAAACATTCATTCGTATGCTGTTATACTCGTTGGACGTATTTGGCTGGTGTATTCGTTGACTAGAGTTAGTAGTTGTATTGTATTGTTGAGGTTTGTCAGTTCAGGGGCCTTTTGATCAAATAGATCTAGACCCGATAGGAATATAGCGCTATATAAGGTAGGTAGTATTACATTTGGAGACGCAGGGAACCGGGGAGTAATAGTCGATTTGGAGAAATACCGGTCAAGATTACAAAGCAAAGCCAGAACGCCTCCTTACTCGTATCTACGTCATGAATTTTTCGTTGCTTTGTATATTCCTTATCAGTGGATAATTTCTTACTTTATTCTCTATCTTTCTGTAGTACAGGGAATTATGAATTTGTAGTCTACATAAAGACTTTTATGGAAGTATATGTTGTTATGATGAGAGCATCTTGCGTTAAGTCTTGTAAGTGACAGGGGTATTAATGATGGGTCTTTTTTAACCGAGTTTTTTACCGATTTATATGCTTTTTGCCGCGGCAAAAAGATACATCTTTAATAGCCATCACACCCTACTCAAAATAAGTACCCTTCTGGCCAGAACCTCCTTTCAGCTTGAAAAAAGGGATAGACTCAACTTTGGCAATGCTAGGAGGCAAATACGGAACAATTAGTCCTCGACTAACATCATTATTAATCCAATTCGGGGTAGCGGATTTTCTTCTGATTCGACAGTTTTGCGATCTTCTACATCTGTAGCGTGCTTCTTGATCCCTCTTTTGTACACTCCTCCACAACTTCTGAACCCCCTGGCTCTTTATCATGGGGCACGAGGACCGGTTGGGACACTTACCACGTGCTGTCATTGGTTCTTCTAGTTGACGGCTGCTCCATTCAAGGAAACCACATGGATGTTTCCATTTGTTCCAATGACTATACATTTGGTATTATCTCCGATGCAGCCATTCTTGCGCCAGTCCCTGCATTATGTATCTTAGCTGCTTGAACTACTTGTCTACATGTAGATACCCCATACCTCAGCGAATTCTTGATTCGTAAGCCTCCTGGTACTTTTCTAGTTTGCTTCGTCTGAACGGAAGGCGGGCTGACCGGAGCTACCACCATACCACCGCCATACTACCTTAACTACCATACCACCATGAAGATCGCCAAGGGCACCTAGACGGTCCTTTGTTAGAGGGCGTTTACTGGCGTATGGGGTATACCCCACAAACCCCACGACGAACTTCTCCAATTCCTGGGGGCTAATTTGTTTCCTTCTTCCTATTCCCATCTCAAACTTCCCTGTCCTCGTCCTACGTCGAAGCATTCGTTGACAGCGAGAGCAACCATGGATTATGTACCTGTCACAATGTCTTCGACGACAGTTGAGACTGTGGAACCCAAACCCAAGTCCTCAGCAAAGATGCGCAAGAGGGCGCCAAAGGCTTGCCTGTCATGCCGAAGTCGCAAAGTGAGATGCGATGTCTCTCAGCGCGGTAGGCCATGCATGAATTGTTATCTCGACAACGAAACATGCGTTGTTACTGGACGAGCATCCAGATTGTGAGTTCCTCCTCATTTATTAGGTACTTAAAATTGCTTTTACTCATCTCAATTACTTAGTAGAAGAGGCCAGCGCGGTGAAAACGATAATTCGCAAGTATCATATCCGCCTTACGCAGGAGACGAATGCGCGCATGGACGGACTTCAGAAGATGTAGTAAACTCACGAACCGGCGGACAAATGCCTTCCGCAAGGGCAGAGGAAGAACATGATCATTCGTCACGCGACGCACCCGATTTAATGAATCAAAATGAAACCCAGACCGTGGAGATTGATGTAGACAGATGGACCGCCACGGGATTAACAGCGACAAGTGTACTCAACGATCAACGCGGCAATAGGATTCCAAGTCCTCCCCCCATAATTCAAGGTGAGCCTCATTTAAGTCCCGATATCACGACAATTAACTGAAGTTAACATAAGAACCAGAAGCCACAACTATACCACTAAATACGTTCAATTCCTTCACGTCCCCAGAAATACCCCTTTGGGTAGGAGATCAGCGCATCGCAATGAATGCCGATGTCACATACTCATACTACCCGTTCATCAAAACCGGCAATCTTCATAACATCATGCCTCAAGATGTCAATTACTTAGAATCGCAAGGCTGCCTCCGAGTCCCAACAAGAGCGATATTAGACGAATTCGTGCAACAATACTTTTTGCACATCCATCCGATCATGCCGATACTGAATGAAGGCGACTTTTGGGACATGTACTGCAATCCATCATCCGGGTCAACCGACAAGATATCTCTAGTTTTCCTTCAGGGGCTCTTATTTTCGTCTTGTAACGTGAGTCACATAACCGTCACATATTATTTCCCATGACGATAAAATTAACCCGTATTCTCAGTTCATCTCGAAAAGTAGTATCAAAGCCTTGGGGTTCCCCAACATACGCACTGCCAGGGCTACATTCTACAGGCGCACGAAGGTACGGTGACACAACTTCTCACCTAACCCGATTAATCACAACCACTTACAAGAAATAGCTCCTCTTCGACTTCGACACCGAGACCTCCCTAGTCGACCTAGCGCAAACCGCTCTCCTCTTATCCTTCTGGGCGACAAATTGGTCTCTCGCCGCAAAAAAGCTAAATAGCACATGGCTCGGCATCGCCATCCAAAACGCAAAAAGTTCCGACGCGCATCTCTATGCAGTGAAACAGAATTACTCAGCGATAACGGACCCGGTACAGCATAAGAAGCAAAACATACTCAAGCGATTATGGTGGTGCTGTCTTATCCGCGATCGCATATTAGCACTCGGCGTACGGCGGAGTTTGCAAATCTCCCGAGCGCATTTCGATCTCGACGCGAACCCCGGTCTCGGATACACGGACTTAGCCGATGAAGTCGACCGGTCAAAGGTGTACAATGCAGAGACTAAGAGGTGTCTCATCGAGATATTCGTCCAATTGGGAGAACTCTGCTCCGTGTTGACGGATCTCGTGACCTTAGTATTCCCTCTCGATGACGTACCTGGCTGGGATAGGGAATTGGGTTCAGAAGGAACCGCGAAGTTGAAAGAATGCAAAGCAGCGTTGAGAAGGTGGTACAAAGCCACGACACTCCGGTTCCCCAGGCTTTGCGGCGGAAATACGCCGAGGATGACGAATGCGCAGAATCAGCTTCAACATGATTCCGTGATCTTGTACACCAATTTGATGTACATGCATTACCAGTAAGACTCCCATTCCCGTAGACCCCCACTATCGCATCAATCGCTAATATCTCAAAACAGTTCTGCCCGAGCAGCGCTCTGTCATCATGAAGTCCTACAACTTGCTGTAGCATGCACTTCACCCAACCTAAGCAGCAATCTCCGCGAATTCTCTAATATCTACGAGAACAGGCACGAGCTCCAAGACGCAGCTTGCAGCGTAACAGAATGTCTCAAAGAACTCCTGCAACTGCGTCTTGTCCGGTGGCTTCCGATCAGCGCGTAAGCTCCCCATTTGTACCTAACCCCCTTTTTGAAGTCCACTAACACAGCAATAATAGCGTCGCATGCACCGCCCTCCCGCTAGTCCTCCACATAATCGACGTAAAACTCTCCTCCCAAAACAAGACCAAACCCGGTAACACAGCAGATTCCGATCCGCACCTAGCCGCCAAACAACACCGCTTGAACATCCTCATCGAAGCGATGAAAACCTACCAACCACAATACGACGGCGTAGATTACATATCCGAAACCATCCGGCACATAATCAACCTTGCACAACTCGATGCACCCGCCAGTGCCGGCGGCGGAATATCCGGTTTACGCAACGATGGTAAACAAGCGAATATCTCGGACTGGACCGATATTCTCGCTTCGCAGCCGGGGTACTACTTACGTTTAGCCATGACTATGGACTTATGTTTCAGCAAAGGGCGATTAGTCGAAGAATCCGATTTCCCGGCGAATTTGCGCGGGCTCTTCGCTGCCGACTTCAGTTCCATTAGAGCACTTGTGGCGGGACGGAAAGCAGCGGCACAGAACCAGGGTTCGTATTTCATGCCGAATCCAACTGCGAATATAATACCGGGTACCGTACGCTCGTTATCGTCGGACGAGGAGTCGAATTCACCGGATTCTCTGCAGGGTGGAACTACGAACAACCCTGTAAATCCGAATTCGAATCCGAATCAAACGTCTGATCCGCGGCATCACCCGCATCTTAACCCACCTTCTACGAATGAAGTCGATATGTCTGGCATGTCAGGAATGTTCAACATCGACAACCTCGCCAGCGAGGTCCTTGCGGCGTGGGGCGCGGATGCAGTGGATCCGGACCAGCCCATGTGTTACGAGGGGCAAGGTGAAGATGATTGGATCGAGAGAGCGTGGAGCGATGAAGAGATCAATGATGGCGGACATGGGCAAATGCACGGACAAATACATAACCAAACCCCGGGACAAGGCCCGGGACAAGCGCAGATGCACGACCAAAGTAGTGGCCCGGATAAAGAGGCCGCCAGAGTATTACTCGATGCGTTAAGAGACGATGGTGTAAGTTGCGGCGTATGATCGTGGGCTTTCTTGGCTGTGAATGATGAGCATAGGCGTCCGGATTGCATTAGGAGGAGTTAAGTTGGATTCACGAGTTAAAAATGGGCAGAGGCGGACTTTCGTTTCAACGTTTTAGGATATGGGAACGAAATTGAGGAGGTTCAAACCTCGGGTGTTCCTAGGAGGATGGAAAGTATATAGGGCATCCCTGCGGATGGATTACGGGGAGCATGGACATACCTAGGTACATACCATCAAATGCATATACGTTTTTTCTAATTCTTGGGACCGGGCCAAAGATGCTTGTTTTAAAACAGTAAAATAGATATTAGTCATTCGAAATAAGCAAGATGAATGGTATAGGAGACGGGAAGAATGCAGTTGATCGGGCGTTTTGGGAGTCGCCTCAGGGATATAGAAAGGTCATGATGTTTCGCGCCGTGCGTTCCACTACCATTCCATGCAGCCGCGCAGCTTGTATTTATAGGAGCAACTACCAAGGCTAATCAAGAAGTAAGCCTCGGCAATATAATGTCGGCAGGAATTGTAGACGTAACATCAGCCGTTGATTGGCTCCCTAAAGAGCCATTGGCCGTCATCCTGCTGCACCAATTCGATCTCTGTACACCCGACGCGTCCGTTCAGCCCCTCTGGAACATCCATACCATTGCCTACCTGTGCATAGATGCTCGGGTGGACATGCGAGAACAACATAGGTAATGAGTCGCCTTTCCATGCGCAAACCCGGTCGCGTGCAGTTCTCTACACTGTCTGTGCGAGATAACAAAAGGCCAAGACCATTAATGTCAACGGATAGATAATCCAAAGCCAGTTAACCCGAACGTGGGAGGCCATGACGTACGGTGTCCCAACGTATTCAAGTGTTTGTTCCTCATCGGAGTCTCCGGTTTGCCGAATATGATTGGTTATACTGAGTGCAAGTCTTGCTACCCAGTCATCTAGGTCCGGCGTCGCGTTCCGTACGGCTTCGATCCAATCGGATGAATACTTCACTACTCCAGCAGTCTCCAATGCGCTACCCGACATCAGCGAGTTCATAAAATTCTTTAATGCGTGGATTGAATCCTCAGGAACGGAGTAGCGAGTCTGATTCCGAACATGAAGCTCTGGCGGGATATCCACAAACGTAAATTCACCAGAATTTGCATCAAATTTTGTGGATAATTCAGTCTTGGACCAATTTGTTAACATATCGCTTTGTTGAATGCCGTTTCCAACTGAAATGTTGAGGTTTTGAAGGCAGAACCATAGGGCGCATTCGTGGGCTTGGGCTTCGATTCCTGAAGAGTTTTGCGATATGGACATAATATCGAATATTGAAAACAATGCTTTTGGATCTGAGTTGAAAATGCCCATGATGCCGTTGGAGGGCGCAACGATAAAATCTAGGTCGGGACTGGCAGAACTTTGCTTGAGTATTGAGGTACCCGATGGCATGGTAAAATTACAGTCATTCTTCGTATCGCAAGATAACTTAATGGCGGATTCGGTGCAATTCCCGCATACACCTAACGTAGGAAAAGGCGGCCATATGCAAGCTGTCCCCGAACAAGACACCGGGGCCGTTGGTATGGCGCTAGATATGATTCCCTCATAAATCGCGGCCTTTGTGGAAAGGCTCAAGGACAAATCTACATCTCGTTAGTTATAAGTGATTTACTGAAGGCGTTATTGCGAACCACTAGCCGCGCTCCTCGAAAAGCCGTGATGCCACGTCTCGGCCCTGGGGGGTGGCGGGGCTAATGAAGCATTGGCATTGCTCCCATTCAACAATGGCGCATTCTCTTCATCGAAACTAATCATCGCCGATGAAAATGTCTCGAATCCCTGGGCGAGGATCATGATGGCGGCTCCAACGCACGCTAAATGCCTATTTTTATCCGAAAATTAATTTCGCAACGGTATTCTGCGCGTGTTATGTCACCTACTTTCCTTTCATTCTCCATATGAGGACTAGACTCCCCTACAGTCCTGTCGCGGCTTCATCGAACATCTTGAAGTCTTCCAGCTTGGCTTCCACCTTTCCTTTGCGGAATCCTGATACCCAGATCCAAGCACCCTGGCTGATACACGACTCAATTACTGCCTTAAGCGCCATACGGTAGCAACTCATGACAGCGATGACGGCGGTACTGAGCTTGAATCTGGTGTTCCATTCGGGTTCTAGCGCGCCATCGAATAAATACATGAGAGTGATAAGCGTCCCCGCAGTTACGAGGCAGACACCACAGTAGAAGTATTCCTGTCGCCACTAACCGAGGGTTGATTGGACTGTGCGTTCTAGCTCTGCCGCTGAAGGAATCGAAATGTTTAGGGAGCTCCTCTCATCATCGACTTCGGTGTAAGGACTTGGGCTCGCTTTGGCTGATGGGAAGATCCGAATGTGTGACTGAACCGCCGAAGTCATAGTGAGAGATTAAAAAATCTTGATTGGATTATAGGTTTACTGAAACGTGGATATGCTACGTCGTCGTATCGGTATTTGAAGTAAAGTAATTGTTGAGTAGGGTATAAAACTTAATTCTAATGAAAATTGAGGAGTGGGAGAGGTATAAGATCAATGCGATTGACGAAGACCAAATATCTAGAAAAGAATAATCATGATGGAGGTTTTAGAATATGATTAGAGATGAAATTAATTGAGTTGGGCGATAGAGTTTCAAATTGAGTAGATTTGATCTCCCATAACTCCTTCCTCGAGGCGACAAGAACTTACGACCGTGGGGAGCCACTCCCACTTTTGATAGCGAACTATGATGTTAAGGATGACGAGGGTTGCGATAAACTCCGGGCTTGCATGATGTTTTAGGAAAGCATATTACCTAGGTAGGTACGAGATACCCCTCTTTCATGATAAGGAAGTGAGACTTGACTTACCCACTTATAAGATGTAGATCTGGAATTGTCGCCCAAAGATTTTACTTTTACTATATGCGACTTAAATTAAAAGGAGCAGAATTCGAACAGTATCAGAGTATGCACTTCCGAAATTTATTCTTTGTGTTTGGTGTAACATATATCGAGGCGGCGTGGCAATTTCCTCAGAAGCCTATATCCATCGGACAAAAGCCGATGTTCGGGATAGATGATGTTGATATTGTTACGGGGAGTCAGTTTAATGGCTTAGTAACATATGCGAATTTGCCGTATCTTAATTGTCTATCGGATAGCGAAGCCGAAGGAAAGAAGTATGATATTGCAATTTTGGGCGCACCTTTCGATACTGTAAGTACCTAGGTAAACATTATTCAGTCGGTTTTGTTCGGTACCTAATGTTGAATAGGGAGTCACGGCTAGACCCGGAGCCCGCTATGGCCCGAGAGCAATTAGAATTGGAAGTGAACGGAAAGAAGCCGATTTCTCATGGAGTGTTTATACTGGTAAAATACACCTAGTAATGCTCGAAATGGCTATATTTAACGAGATACTAGGTAGAAATCCTCTTCGGTCATGGGCAACTGTTGTAGATTGCGGCGATGTGCCGCTGACTTGGTTGGATAATAATGTCGCCCTAGCTCAGTTAGACAAAGCTCATGCAGTCAGTATCAGCTGCCACGAAATAAAAGGAAAAGCTTACCGGAAATTTTCAGGTTGTTTCGGGTAGAAAAGCATCTAATGAAAGCTATTCTACTCACCCGAGAATCATAACATTAGGCGGAGACCATACCACAACGTTGTCAGCGTTGAGGTCGACTTATAAGCGGTGGGGAGAAGTTTCTGTTATTCATTTCGATAGTCATATTGGTTCGTGTTCCCACAGTTCTATACGATCTCCGGCTCACATATTAGCAGATACTTGGGATCCCGCAGTATTAGGTGAGTTACATATATTATGGTCCGCATGGGGGCTAATACACTTAATTATATAGGGGGTGGCCTGTCGGATTATGCGTGAGTAATGAATGTCGTGAATGCTAGCTTTGGGGCTAATGGTACTTTTCAGAGGCTTGAATCATGGAACTTTTCTTCATATCGCTCACGAGGAGGTAAATCCCTTCATATGAGTTGAAATATACTTGACGATACTGATGACTCCCTTAGGGGCTCATTCGTAATACCTCTATCCATGCGGGTATTCGCGCCCCTCTCTCGCGTAGAAAAGGTGATATGAGGAACGATGTTCGTTGTGGGTTTTCTACCGTAAAGGCTCGCGACTTAGATAGGAATGGCGCCGAAGGCATCATTTCGCTGATAAAAGACCGAGTTGGAGATTCGAAAGTCTATATTAGTGTAGATATCGATGTCCTTGATCCCGCGTTTGCACCAGGTAAGTCCTGACATTTATAGCCAAGCGATATTGCAAAATTGGGGTTTCGCTGACGTTGTCCGATACCAATTTAAGCAACCGGAACGCCCGAACCCGGAGGCTGGTCATCAAGAGAGCTTCTCACAATTCTGGACGGGCTGAACGGTCTTGATATCATTGGTGGTGACGTCGTGGAAGTGTCGCCTATTTATGATACTTCGGGACAGACAACAGCACTTGCTGCCGCCGAAGTCGTTTACTCGCTGATCGAGTTGATGGTTGAAAACCCGGTGAATCACTAATCATACATGTTATCATGGCTTTCATAATTGGATGAGATTTTTTTCTTGGGAATCACTGCAGCATATCTACAGAAAAATGCTCCGGGAAACCGAAAGGTATGCTATAGTCTAGTTATGTAGACGAGAAGACCCTAAAGAAACGACTCGAAACAATCCGACCTAATACACCTCATTAAAACAACCCGCTCGGTACACCATATAAATAGAGCACGCAGGAATGTAGGCGACTAGGTCCCAGGCTCTTATGTACAAAGGGGGAGGGCGAGCACTCGCCTTAGACCCGATCCAACTTTCGTCGAATGTTACGTGTCCGCTTCATCAGCTTCTTGTACTTCTTCTTCTTCATCTTCAATTTCTTTTGTCTTCGCACACTAATCGCGAGCATGTCTCGATTCTGACCTTCGCGCCACCGGATCTGGCGTTGGGCCATGCGTTCAAGGAACGTACGCGGCGCCGGCGCTTCCTGAATCAATAGCGGGCTATGTGCCATGATCCGAATCTGGCCGTTCTCGTCTGTCGTCTCCTCGAGCGTTAACATAGCTTTGTAGACGCGATGTTGCGGTACATCTTCTATAACCTCGGCGGCGGCGGCGGCGTCAGATTGGGGTAACGGAGGGGGGCGAAAGGGTAAGAATTGGCCGGACATGGCATTAAGTTGAACATAGACGCTCGAGTTGGTGCCATCGGGATGCTTGAGGTCTATCTTGTGTATCGACTCGCCGTTGGCGTCTGTAATGGCTTCGCCACCTTGCTGAGCATCCAGGCTTAGGTTCTCCATGGGCTGTTCAAGCTCATCGACGGTCCTAGAGATAGTGGACATAACATCACTGTACTTATTGTTTTTCGTGCGGGGGGCGAATATTTGAGCAAACGCATCGTCGGTCACTGTTTTCGGAAAACTGTGGGTTACGGACATCGGTCGATGTAGAGAGAAGAAAGTTGATAAGGCCACGGCTTTTTTTTCGAACGTCAGTACTGGCATTTTATCACTGCATTTGCGAGGTTTGATTTAGCCTATACTAACCCTCTTGTGGTACATGTTGTGTACTAGGAACACTTGGGAGGTTTTGCTGAATGTCGGTCCATTCTTTGGCCTTGCTCCTTCGCTTCTCTCTGCTTTGTTTCGACGATTGGGAGGGCGTAGCCGTTACTTGGCCGTCGGGGATACCTTTCGGGGAGTCGTTTGGGCTCGAAGGTTTCGACGAGGAGTAACGGCGTCTCTGTTGGCCTCTCGGGTTACAACAGAAAGTGAGGGCAGCTGGTGTTCGAGTGCTTGTAGGAGCGAGGTTTGATAAAAGTGATGATTGAGGTGCGGCAGAAACAACCCGCCGCACCGAAGAGGGCAACATTATGCCCAAACTAATAGGCGTAGGGGGTTTGCCGGGAAGTTATGGGGCGGTTGAGTATCCCGTGGCGAGATAATGGTGGATGTTGAGGAAGAAGTTGAAAGAGTTTCGGAGGAAGAGTATGCGATCACAAGGCTTGCACTAGTATCTTGCAAACCTGGTTCCGTTCCGACGCGCTTAGCGTTAATTGGTCTTGGCTTCGGCGCCTATCGGCCCATATGACCTAAGCCTCAGTGGCTAAAAACGGTCTAATTTTTAAATAGGGCTTAGCTACATATTAGTCATTACGTAGACATATTATCTATATACATATTAAGATAACGTATCAAAAGTCCTCCTTAGGTGCATATGCTCTACTAAACTCTCGTCGGGATGCTTCTTACTTCATCAGACATTAACAACACTTCAACTTAATTTCTCAACTTAACTTCCAAATAATCTTCAATAAAAATATTGGGCACCTTCGACGCCATGTATTCTTCCTCATTAATAACCACTTTTTTCATTCCAATAGTTGTAAATTCATTTTAATACCCTAAGTACCTACCTAACTTACCCTTGGTCCTATCCGTAGGCACTCAACTCAGAATGGCTTCGTTGAGAGGTCTCGATGAAAATATTATTCTTGAAATCCTAGCAAATCTCCATCATGTCTCCGACCTTGTTGCAGTATCCCTATTAGATCGTCGTTTCCACAAGATTGTGACCGAGAATCCTCAGCTCTTCCACAGCACAGACCCATTAATCCGCTGCTTCGGACTCATATATTCCGTGGTGGCGGGTGATCGCAAGACTACGAAACTAATCCTCGATTCCGGCATTGATCCAAATGATTATCATTGCGGTCCTACGGCTCAAGATAAGCTCTATCTCAGGCAGCCTGGGAGGGGCTCTTCTATCGTTGATGAGTCCGATGAGCAATTGGATCAAATTGAAGAGGCTGAATTCTGCAATGACGAAATTCGCTGTTGCTGGGAGCATCGCCGTTCCTGGGATGACTGGTATGCAACACCAATCCACTTTGCAGCATACTACGGACACGATGACATCGTATCGCTTTTAGTGGATTATGGGGCGAATCTCAGTCTTCTCTCTGTGGGCATCTGCTGCTGCTGGTTCTCCCCGCAGCTTTACAGCGATATTACCAATGGTGACACGGAACTCGCACCGCATCCCGCCGCCGTTCGGCCTGCGAGCGCATTGCATCTCGCCCTCTGTGGAAGGCATATATCCACGGCAAGGCGAATTATTAAGTCTGGCGCGCCATTGCATTTAGGCTAGGTGCCTCGTTATCCAAAAAAGGTCGATTTTTCCACTACATTCTATCGCCCCGACCTCTTCGAGGGATACGAGCGTGAATTCATCAAAACATATCAAATTACTCAAGGAATTCCCGAGTCATTTTCTGATCCCCGATACTCCCATCGACTGCATTGTTGCGAATGGTTAATTCACAAGGAATATGGAATACAAGATGCAAGTAAAAAGTATACGGGCTCACATTCATGCCCCGCCGATGTGAGTCTCCTCTTTTTGAAGACCGTTATGTCTTGGACCAACGCGGTCTTCATTCTGATTAACATTGATAGGACTGTAGCCTTATCTCGTACGGCATTGACGTGCAAATAGCTTGGCGAGAATATGGTATTTCTAGGCCACTTATCCACGTATGCCTCCAGAGAGGTACAACAATGCCTAACTGGCGGGATCCTAAACTCGAGTTGGAGGTATCTGGCATAGATGTCTCGAAACCGTGTTTCAGTTTACTCGAAGCCCTTGTCAAGAATACATCTTGTATCGAAGCGAGAGACACCCGCGATTTCGATTGTACCCCTCTCATTGCTGCAGCTCGAAGTGGTCTGCAGCAAGTCTTAGACCTACTTCTTTCTCGCGACGCAAACGTCAATGCGGTAGATGAGAGAGGATTCACAGCCCTCCATGGAGCCTGTGTAAGTGTCAAAACAGGGATCTTTCTAAGACTTCTCAAAAAGCGGGCTAAAGTCGACGCAATTACGGACGAAGGCTTGTCACCTCTACACTTTCTATGTTTGAGGATCAACAAGCGTGGGTACTACAACTCCTTTAGGATATTCAACATGCTCCTTGGCTTCGGGGCTAATCCAATGCTCCGTGCTAAACTCCCCGAGAATCGGTCTGCCTTAGAAACGTCAATCCATCGAAGACAGTTAGAAATCGCCAATATATTGTTTTCAAAATGCCCTCCAATAACAAATGAAATCGACATCTGGCGTTTATTCAACGTTTATCTCTCGAACCTCGATCCGATTTATTTAGGGCTTATTCTCGGAGCGGATCAACATGGGATTCTTCTCCAGAACAGCCAATGTCTTTTACGCCTCCTACAATCTGAGCGACCCACAACTGATTCCGCAATGATGCTATTAGATAAAAATATTCCCTGCGATGGTATGTCCGCAGATGATGGAAATACGGTATTTTGGGCTGCTCGGAACCAAAAGGGTCGAGACTTGATTGAAAGACTTCTTGCGGATGGCACAAGCCCCAATATCCCATACAAGACCAATAGTATATGGCAGTGCTCACTCCTTGAAGCATTAAAAGTCAAAGACATTGTGAGCAGGAGAAGATACGTTGAGCTCCTCATCAATAATGGAGCCGATATCGACTTACCCCTCAACGCTACGTCTAGTTTCACTACCTTTTCGTATTTGATACACTCCGAGGTGCTCATAGTTAGTGAAAGCGTTGCAGACATTTTATTTTGCCCTCGTTCGCTTGAGAAAATACCTGAGGCCCGCCAAATTTTCTACCTGAACAGCACGTGCCGCCTGACACACGTGAAGCTTTTCCGAGAGCTATCAAATTCCGTATCTGATACAGTGACACGGAAATTTACAAATCAGTTTGCGCAAGCACTTCCGGTATCTCGCCTTGTAGACGTCACCGAATACGCCGAGAAAGTCAACCTCACAATAGAACACATGGATGCCGCCGTTGATGTCCTAGGCATGCTTGTAGACCGCGGCTCGAGTTGGACATCCGAATGCCCGGACACCAAGATGCGCGCCGTTGATGTTCTCGAAGAACTCACGGATACGAGTCCCGACGACGTTCCGATGAAGATTGCCGCCTCGTGGTTATTAAAGAAGAGAATTAGCATTATCAGCAATGATATGAATCATACTAAGGTGAGATTAAGTACCGAATGGGCCTCGGACGAGTATCTGAAAACAAGAACACTTCAACAATGGGGACTAGCTCTCGAAATTTTGAAATCAGGAGAAGCCGAATCGGACTTTAAATCAGACTCTGGGTCAGACTCCGACTCGGGATCGTTGTTCTAGAAAACATCTGGTTTGGTCAGCGACATAAATTTGTTGTTTCCTTTTTCTTTCTTTCTTATTAGAGGTATTTCTAATCAAGCGTAAATTCATAATACGATTCTCATTTGGGCGTGATTCGGTAGGGATTAAGGCGCTATTATCCTTCACGTCATGACCAAATGATTGCCGAGGAAGTCTCGAAACCATGAATTCCATCCCAGTGGAATCAAGCTCTATTTTACGAGTTCCTATATATGGAATATCCTCAGTTCTTTGAATTCGACATTTGAGAAAGAGTAACGGAAGGATTTAGAGGCGTGTATGGGTAACGACGACTGAGGTCCGCTCAATACGACATTGGAAGCTAAAACGTTTCTTAGGTCTGTATCAAGTGATACAGCCGTTACTTCGTCGAAATCTCTCTGCCGGTGCAGCTAACAGGCGACGGCAACTATCTACCAAGCCGAGTACTACGTAGGAAGCGCGAAGGCAGAAGTCCCGTGCCGATTCGTTGGGTGATTCCCTCATCTCCCCGCTCCCCTCCTCTCCGCATCGACAAATCCCCACGCTACGGGAAGACACCCGAGGTAATAATAGTACTATGCAGAGTACTATATTGTGCGGCTACCCTGTTGCATATTCAACAGGCTTTCAGCTCTGAAAGGTCTTAGGAATTCCCTAGAGTGCAGCTATTTAGATAATATTATAGGAAGAGAACACAATGGTCGCTCGACACATCAAAACAGCGGGCTTAACACCAAATACCACAATCAATCAGAAGATGTCGGATATTGTGAAGGGCGTTATTGATGATATTCGTGCTAATGGGGATAATGCCGTGAGGTCATATTCAGAAAAATTCGATAAATGGTCACCACCGTCGTTTAAGTTGAGCGAGAGCGACATCCAAGAATGCATATCTAAAGTGCCCGCGCAGACGATCGCGGATATCAAGGAGGCGCAGAAAAATGTGCGGACATTTGCCGAAGCGCAAAGAGCAAGTATCAAGGACTTCGAGATTGAGATACAGCCGGGTGTGTTTTTAGGTCAGAGGAATAATCCGATTAGTACGGCCGGCGCTTATATTCCAGGTGGACGGTATCCGCTGTTTGCGTCGGCGCATATGACGATATTAACGGCGAAGGTTGCTGGTGTCAAACATGTTATCGCTTGCACTCCGCCTATTGCGGGACAGATACCTAATGCTACTGTCGCGGCGGCGCATTTCGCCGGCGCGGATGAGATTTTCTTACTTGGAGGGACACAGGCCATTGCCGCTATGGCGCTAGGGACGGAATCTATTAAGAAAATTGATTTTATCGCTGGACCAGGGAATCCTTTTGTGGCGGAGGCGAAGCGACAGCTTTTTGGTGAGATTGGAATTGACTTACTGGCTGGACCGACTGAGATTCTCATTGTCGCTGATGAGCATGCGGATCCTTTTACCCTTGCGACGGATTTATTATCGCAGGCTGAACACGGTCCGGATTCACCTGCTATACTCATCACAACATCAGAGGAAGTTGGGCAAAAGACGATTAAATACGCTGACCAGATTCTGGTAGATATGCCCACGAAGGAATTAGCGGGAACTTCGTGGCGGGATTACGGTGAGGTGGTTGTGGTGGATAACTTGGATGAAGCGTATCAACTCGCGGACGTGTACTCAAGCGAACATGTGCAAATTTTGACCCAAAACCCCAGAGAGGCGCTGGAGAAGATGAAAAACTACGGTGCATTATTCCTTGGCGAGAAGACTTGTGTTTCATATGGTGATAAGGTGAGATTTTCTGCGGACGATCTGATGTCTTTTTTTCGCCCCTCTGGAGGGGAATGGAATTGACATATCAGCAGTGCATCGGAACGAATCACGTTTTACCTACTCGGAAAGCAGGTCGATATACCGGTGGTCTATGGGTGGGAAAGTATTTAAAAACGCAGACATACCAAGAAGTTGTCGACGAGAAAGCGAGTGGTGAGATCGGACGTCTTTGCGCGCGCTGTTCACGAGCCGAGAACTTCGAGGGGCATGCGAGGTCCGGAGATCTCCGAGCGCATAAATATCTTCAAGACGCTTATTCCTGGATTGATGAAGCTAGGGTATAATGTGTACTAATTACTACAGCGAAATGCAAATACGAAGAACTATCTCAAGATAAAAGCGGCCTATTTTATTGATGCCTTAAGAACTAATCACAACATTTTCCTAGGCCCCGGAGCCTTTAACGCTTCTAGATCTAACTATACAGGTAATAACACAAATTACGTCTACAGGCACGCCGTATATGCAGCAAGAATGGTAGCCAACCCCGCGATTAACGACGCCGATGCTAGAGAATGCGACGACAAAAGCGCAGCAGCACCATTGTCATGATCATCTTGGCCATTGCTGAAAGTGCCAAGAGACGCCCTCTCCGGTCCCATGACCTTGACACACGTCAAGGAAGCGTCTGTGTTGCTAACCAAAGTACCATTATCCGAAGGGTAGAAGACGGTGAGAATAGGTGTAATAGCCCATTGGGCTTTCTCCATGTCATCGGCATAGACACTCCCCTATTGATTGTCTGTTAGATGGAACGATGACCTTATCAGCAGTAAAGGAATGAATACTTACCGGAACAGTATATTCGCTAACTAACGTGAGAGAGTCTTGTTTAGGAATAATAGGCCAGCAGTTCGAAGTTGTATTCTCCTGCTTCGTTATGGGTTGCGGCGCGCCATTACCAGTCAGAGCTAAACTCGTGTTAGCGATCCACACAACACCGACAATATTGAAAGGCAGAAACTTACCAGTACCAGTGAAGTTAGTCCACGTGCCATTCGAGATCTTGGAACACACATCGTCATTACTACTTTCCAAGTCTTTACGCAACTTCTCGCAGACATCCGAGATCGCGGACTTATTCCCGCCGCTATTGTATCCGTCTACTAGCGTACGAGCTCGCGAAACCAGCGCATCAACACATGGGCTTCCCATGGCATCCGCGCATGTCCCATCGGCAAGCTGGTAAGGGCCATCGCCCGGAAATGAGATCGCGCCAGATGCGCCGTGCATAAAGATCGCACATGCGCCCGTCGAGTCGTTCAAGGTTAAACTCGGCGGGGCGCCCAGGTAGAACGAGCTGTGAAACGTGCGCCCGCTATTCAAAGCCGTGATATTAAAACCCTTGGTCCATGACAGACCAGAGAGCGCCGGGGCGTCGGCAGTGTTGGTGTTGGTGTTGTTAGGTCCGACGACAGGGATGCGGGTAACTCCGATGGACCCGAAAGAACCAGTATGTGCGATTGTGCAGTCATCAGTTGTTTTGTCTGTAGAGCTGCCCGGGCACTCAACTTCAACGCATCCAACTATTGTGCTGTTGAGGTCTTGGGCCTGGACTTGGGCTTGTGCCGCCGCGAGGGCGAGCGTGAAGAGGGTGGAAGATATGTGCATTTTCACTGCGCCAGAAAAGAAATTAAAGGGTTGATGTGGTGCCTATTGCCAGCTGACGATAGGTTTATGGCAGAGAAATGAGTTATATAAGTGCGCCAAGAAGCATAGGTCTTGGTTTTGGCGAGATTTGCCTTCTGGTCAACTAACTGCGTCCTTCGGTTAACGGACTTCTTTTATAGTCCTGAATCTATGCTGCTGGTCGCATATATCACAGCACATATTGGCGCCCCCAATTGTTCAATCAAGGCCGAGGGCGAAGTTGTATATGATATGGACCAGTCCTTAATGGGGCGGTGGGTTGATTGAAAGCAAATGTATGGTCCGGTTGACGAGATGAGAGGTCCAGTAGAGTGGCCTTAAGGGCATGTTGTGTTACACAACGGCGGTTGTACGACAATATATCCATGAGAACTGCTGACGTCTTACTATATCGCCAGCCAAATAGTGATAGACAATTGGATAGCAATTGATTCGTTGGTACGTAAATAGCTGCCAAGGATGTAACGTCGTCATGATCAATTGTACTCTGGGCCAACTCTTGTGGAACCAAGATTTTCAGCTTCACCTGAGCGAGCTGTGCCGCAAAGGGCCGATCGGGGCAGTGTAAAAGCATATTAGCACATGGATGTTGAGGCTGAAACGGGGGTATAATGCAAGACACTTTAGGTTAGGCAAGATGGATGCATCGCATAAAGGGGATCATGGCTGGCGCTACATTCTTATAGCGATTTGCACATCCTCATTTGCTTACTATCTCGACCTTCCGTAGAGGGTTGTCGGTCGATAACCCCAGATTCTTGAATGGAGTCGATCACCCGTTAAACCCAGTTTCTAGAATGCAGGCTCAAGGATAATTACTCCATCGGACATAGCGAACCGTTTCATCGAGAATCCTTCGCCCCAGAGCCTCAGCGATCGATAACTATTAGGGAGCTCAATTGGCTAGATAGACTACGAGATGCGATATCTGGTGTTCTCGATGTAACAACCATTCTCGGTGAATTTTCTAAAAATTCTTTATTCGAAATGACGTCTCGATCCTTTACCAAGCCATGGGCGGCTATCCTTGTGTGCTAGATAGCAGTGAGAGCATCATGTAGATGATAAGAGTAAATACCTAGGTAGACAGAAGATACATCTTGAGATATAAATGACACTTGGACCCTCTCCGGTAGCAGTATGATATTGGAATAACCTATCCAGAGCCGTCTCGGTCATCGACATCTAACTATCTACATTCTTTACGACCAAAGCATATCACTTTCCTTAGTGTGCAATATACGATACACCACTCATTTTTCATTAGACACAAAATGGCTGAAGGAATTATCCAAGCAATTGGTGTGGTTGCAGGTGTACTTGGAATTATCTCGTTTGGTGAAAACAACTTTCCTCAGCAAAAGTCAGTGGAATCCACCGTCAGGGTCACTGTAGGGCTAGACACCAATGGAGGTCTTAACAACGCCGGTGGTGATCTTCCCGATGTCCGGTTGTTCAACGAGGGCGGAGAGTTCCTCGGGATAGAAACCGACCCCGGCAAAGTCAAGGACGGTGGATACGGAGACATTACCGTAAAACACAATGACGATGTCAACCAACAGGGTACATATGCCCTATTCTCCGCCAACAACGATGCCATCTGCATTGCCTTTGTCTCCATCACCTTCCCGAGTTCAGACAAGTACTCATGGGTCGGAGATTGGGGCCACCAATGCGGAGGATCTTGGTATGTAGTTCTGACTCCTATCAGCCTAACTCGCATGCTAACTATAGTCAACTAGGTATTACTCAAACGTCTATGTCCAAGGTAGTGACGAGAAACCGGACTGCCTATGGATCGACGGCAACAACGACCAACCCCAAAGCGGGTTCCAAGTGCACTGGCCCGACTTCTACGTCAAACAAGGCGACTCACTAAACAATACCGACCAAGCCGACAAGGTGAACAAGCTCTGCGGTGGCGGACCGCCGTTTAAATTATACAACTATGCCGATGTCAAGGACCCTCACTCGATTACCTACTATACAATCAGCAACAAGCGCTCCGAAGAAGAAGTAGAAAGCAGAGACACAGCAACTGCTTTCGGCCCATCGAAGCATGCCAATTCCGCTCGATTCCGAAATTCCCCTCTTTACCCTAGACAGAACGGTAGCTATCCCACCAACGGCACTGACACCGGAAGCAACCCTCACGCCAACCGCTTGGTCATTAGCAACACTGCTAAACACTCAGCACAAAATCTCTGCGACAGCGAGACTTCGCACGGTCCGGACTTTGTTAACGTTAGCGAAGGGACATTCTGCCGTATGTCTGACAAGACGGTATGGCCGGTCTGCAGTGCCGCTAAAGTCGACAACTGCTTTAACACGGACTCGCATCAACTTGTCGTCAATGGTGTCTCGGCGAGAGACACGCCGTACTCTAATGTTTTAGACTGGACCGCTGGTAACTAAATGGTGGGGCGAGGCGCAATTGGTTAGAGATGGGAAAGGGGCTTGTACAACACTAGAAAGGGGGGTATGCTTAGTCAGCATTGACCACCTTTAAGGATAGAGGACAGAATCTGTATTACTAATTAGACTTATTTTCTTGTATAGAGGACAGTTACGATAGCAATGCGTATGATGAGTTGTCAGTTTTAGAGACTAGAGTGAGAGTTGACTGTAGTGCCGAGGTGCTTGAGGTAACTAGTCACGAACTTGAAGTCGAGAGACGACAGCCACGACGTATCTAGGTAAGTTCGTTATGTTCTTAAAGTGAAAGTTTGTGTATAATTATAGTGTAACTATATTAGTTGAGAACGCGGGGTAGGGGGTTCGAATCGTTCTCGAGTCGATATTTTATTTCTACACTTTCCTCGTGCAACTATGGCCGAAAAAAAAAAATAGATAAAATAAAAAATAAAATGAGGCAAAAAGGAAGGTGGTGAAGGGGATAGGGAAAGGGGAACGGATGAGAAGACACAACGTAGCCGAAGCCAGAGGGGGGTCGGAAAAGCATCATCCTAACCGTTACCATCGCGAGGATCGAACTCTCAGCCGGTTTCCCCATCTTTCATCTTGTGAAAGATAGTACTGCCCAGTAAGCCAAGTTAGGGTTACTCCTCTCATTTCTTGAAGACCCATAGAGTTACTAGTACTTATAAGCCGTTGCTTAGGGTGCTAGGAATCTAGTGAATAAGATGTGGCTGGTAGTGGTGCACGGATTTCTCTGGCGTGTTACACAGACTTTGGAAACCTTAGGTACTGACTATGAGTTGGTTGCCCTAGGAAACAACAATGCGCCTTTAACATTCAGTCTATGGTCCCGGTTACACATTGTAAACGATTAGTTTAGCTCCATGGAGGAGTCACATCATGTAAGACCCCCTTACCGCCCTAGGAGGGAGAGCATTGGCCCAAAATATAATAATGAAGAGGGCACTAGGACAGGCAGCCATTGTCACTTGCGTACTACTCGCATGGTAATGAAGTTGCTTCCACCTCTTTACGGCTACCTAATCTTGTGGCGGACCGTGTCCTCTCATAGTTGAAATATACCTTGTGTAACACAAGATACGCACAAAAAGCATTATAAATGAGAAAACTTAGGCATAGCTCACTTGTTCATACCGCCGTGAGACGTAAAATAATTAACACTACTGTATCAAATCTTATTATACACGTAAAGAATCCAACGTTGAGAAATTCCATAAACCAAGACTATCCTTCTGTCTCTTTTAAAGCAACACTATGTCATTTAGTTACCAACTTAGTTAACCAATACTCCTCATATTTAAGCCCAGAGCGAGACACTATGGAACCCAAGAACGCCCATCATTATTCAACAACTTACAACCTTCAACTATTAGAATAACTACAACTACTACAATGATATAGTGGAACTCGACGCGACGCGACTGGATATCCATTTCATCCACCGTTCAATTTCGGGCAAATCCACTTTTTAACCTATTAGTTAGTTTCAAAAGTACAGTGCATGGATCACGGTAGAGCCCGTCAGGAGTACCCAAGTACCCATGCCAGTAGTCATTATTTTTAGCAAACGCAAATGTAAATAATCCAAAAGCTCAGACAATTTTATAAACACCTAGGCACTTTTTGCGGGGACCCACCGCACATACTCCTTAAATTTCTAAACCATACCAAAAATCCAATATTAAAAAAAGCAAGGCAAAAATAAAAAGAATGAAAACAAAGCTGCCCTTCCTGGGGTCGAACCAGGGATCTTCTGATTTTCTTGTGTATGAAGCTTCGAAGCAAACATAACAGTCAGACGCCTTAACCACTGGGCCAAAGGGCACACACTGTGTGGGAAGTGACAATTTGGCCAATACTAAGGTTTATGAGTCCCGTTTGTTGAAGTTCATGGCCCACAGCTGGAAGCTTCTAGTAGCTTCCTTAAATTAGGCGGGAATGCTTGGCTAGTAAAAGTATAAAGGTTGAAACGGTAAATCAAGAACAGATACGCCAAACTCTGAAGTCAAAATGAGAGATTCGAAGGGTAGGTATCGATAGTTGAAAACCTTGTGCCGCACACGTAGGGTCGGCCCGTGTGATAGATGGAAAAAGAAAAGGGGTAATGGGTCATTGACGTACGTGGCTTTATGCTGGCTATCTTTAGCTTCGGAAGATGGCGGTATTGACCTTGGAAAAAAAGGAAAAGAGGATCGATTGGGTACCAGCCCCCAACCGTCGTACGCCTATGTCGGGCGGAGAGATCGCCATGCCTCGAACGGACGGGAATTCGATTGAAAATTTCATTCAGAGTGTTGAGGCGGATAGGAATACACCATAAACGACCTTGCAGAAGGAGAACAGATACTCAAGGAGGCAAGTCCGGGTGCTTTTAGAAATTAATGCTGTGTTTTCTTGATAAGTAAGATGAATCTAAGAAATTGAAACTCTGGTAGTATATGGATTATAAGCGGTCCTAGCTTGTTTTGTTTTGTCTCCCTTTAACCCAGATATGGACAATAGCACGGGCTCTCTTGTCCCAAGGGTCTGGATGGATAATTGGATCGAATATTTTGCGTTGTATAAGGCTTAAGAGAGGGTGGTATACACGTCTTGGGTTGACATTTTGAAGGAAAACTCCAAAAGGGATTATCACGAACATCAATAACCCCTTTCCATCGGATTACTAAGCCGCCGGGCCGTTACCACGTCTTCGGTACGAACAACTCGCGTAACGTTTACCTGGGTAGGAAATTGCCGGTTATAATCATGTGACGACGATCCCATCGTTTACATCCAAACAGAGTGCTATATAATGGCTCAGCTATAGCATATAAGACGTTTGAAATACAGCCCCCCCTGGCAGACACGCAGGGCTAAGACATTACGTAACTTGGAAAATCATCCTATCCAACCCCTTTGCGATACTCCACTACATCTAGCCTATTCCTTTTCTACCCATATAAACGTTTACAATAGCAATATATGGCGTTTTTTTCTAACCGATTAGCATAGGATCCAGTTAACTAACACCAAAAGAGAAAAGAAGCCTGGACCCCAGCAAAATGCAAAACTACTGCCAGTAAGCACCCGTAATGGGTCTTGAATAAAACCCAAGCTAAATCTGTTGGTTACCGTAACAAGACTCAAATCCACTCTTGCTGCTTCGTCCGAAGTAAGAAGCAAGCCAAGCGCTTGCTCGTTCCACGGCACCGCATAGGGATAATCATATGATGTGTGACTGCGAGCCTGATATACATGTTATCCCGGTTTTTCGAAAGACGCGGTACCATCACATCGGTACCATGACATTGTCTTGCAGAAGGGACATCGTATACCGTTTTGGGGGTCGTTAAACCAAGTTTAGGATTTGCAGAACGCAGTAGTCTATGTGTCTGGACGTTCTGGGTGTGTTCAATTCATATTTCCCTATCCATGTGATAGAGGAGATGGGAAGACTCCTAGTTATCACTGGTATAGTACCATAGAAATACTTAACGTGTGTGGCTTAAACTCCCATCCAATGAGAGCGTCGCATGCCAGGTCTAGGGGGTTAGAACGTCGTACAAGACGCAGTAAGAATGACAGAAGTTGGGTACTATCACCAATTAGCCATCTCCGCGAGGCCATTTCAAGTCATCTTACCAACGTGGCTCGACGCAATTGTGATCTATCGTAGCTGCATTATGAAAAGGAGGGTGGACCAGCTCGGGAGTTGTAGTGTCGTACGAATGACCTAATAGTCTTATACGTCTCAATGTGCGCAGAGACTCTCGTATAAAGTCTTACCATAATAGCAGATTCCTGGTGCAACCTGTCATCGTCATTCCAATCTCATACTAAGGCTGTTAATACCAAACGAGAGTTGGAAGAGTACTAAGCACCAACATTTATACAATGGCTTTAATAGCGATCTTAAAGAATGCTTTCCGCAAACCCATTAAGACGACAAAACTGTCAGACGATATTCGCGAGCCTGTGACTGATGTCAACCTTGTGATTAACCCTGGGTCTCTCGTGGTCGTGACGGGCGTCAACGGATATGTTGCGAGTCACATCGCAGACCAACTTTTGCAGCGAGGCTATCTTGTCCGTGGTACCGTGCGTAATGTTCCCAGGGATCAATGGCTCAAGGATTATTTCGATGAAAAGTATGGCAAAGAAAGATTCGAGTTGATCGAAGTACCTGATATGGCGGTGGCTGGTGCGTTTGATAAAGCTGCCAAAGGAGCATCTGGTTTTGTACATACGGCAGCGCCAATCATGTCCAATCCCGACCCACACGCTACGATCTCCACCGTTGTGCAGAGCACAATTGGATGCCTAGAATCAGCAGCAAGAGAGTCGTCAATGAAAAGAGTGGTCCTGACCTCTTCTTCAGGGGCATGTATTACCCCTAGACCGCTGAGCTCGGACGTCATCATAGATGCCAATACCTGGAATGAGGCATCTATCCAAGAAGTTAATGCCATGGTGCCGCCATACGAAGGCAAAGACAGTTGCCAGGCTGCCTATTATGCGAGTAAGACAAAGGGCGAGCAGGCAGCGTGGCAATGGGTCAAAGAACATAACCCGTCTTTCACACTGAATTCGGTCCTGCCTAACGCTAATTTCGGCCGGCCCCTAGATGCGGCCCGTCAAGGCTCCCGCAGTACGATCAATTGGGTCAAGGTTGCGCTAGAGGATAGCGATTCCCTAGAGGAAAAGGTGCCGGGGATGGTGCCGCAGTTTCATGTCGATGTCCGCGATGATGCCGCATTACACATCGTCGCATTGATATTTCCCGACGTTAGAGGGGAACGTCTTCTTGCTTCCGCAAATCGTTTTAATTGGAATGATATTTTGGGAATATTAAGGAAGCTGTACCCGGACCGTTATATTCTCGCGAAGGCACCTCATGATGGAAGAGATGAAAGCAAGGTAGCGAACGAGAGGGCGGAAGAACTTCTCAAGAGATTGACTGGAAACGGGTGGATTAGCCTAGAAGAGAGCCTCAAAGACTCTGTCGAGGGATTAGGTCTTGCTTAGTTCTATATGGTTCAATATAGCGTATCGTGAGCCCATGGAGTATGGATTTTCAATGATGGATTTCGGAGGAAAGGGGAAGAATATTATTGAAGCAATACGAATTTACGAATTTACGAATTGAATTTTTGATTTGAAATTCTATTCGTCAGTTACGCCGAATCTGAATATTACATAATCGGTTCTTTCCCACTCAGCTGGACATCGTAAGAGTGGAAAAGCAAGACGGAATCCAAACAACTGGAGAAATCTGCACGAACTTTCTCGATCGTGTAACCTCAAGAGTGGGGGAAAGTGGGATCAAAATGCCCCCGATGGCGTAACAATAGTGTCCCAATTTGTCATGCGACTTCTTCATCAGATAGCTACGTAATAAGCCCAAAGGTATAATTATTAGGTTCATGTCTGCATATGAAGCTTCATTGTTCTTACCACATCAAACATACCTAGGAAGGAACCATCGTGAATTATCCTTCCTCAAACTTCGTCATAGTTTCGAATCTTCCCTACCTATTCATACCTCTCCCATACTAAATATTTAGGAACCAATTTTACACTTTTGAGAATGGCCCCCAAGATCTTCCTGTAAGCCACTCTAGACCGGTGTAGAAATACAAGGATTTATTAACAACTAACCTTGTCATAACAGCACCGGTGCCACAGGTACGCATCCGAGACACATAAGACGGCAGCATCTCATATTACTGGTTCAAAAACTAAATATTTGAAATTACAGGCTACATTGGCGGCGATGCTCTCTACTCGCTAGTCAAAGCGCACCCGGAATACGAGTATACCTTGCTGGTGCGGAACGAGGAGCGGGGCAAACCCGTAGCAGCGGCCTACCCCAATGCCCGTCTAGTCTATGGGACCCTAGACGATTCCGAAGTCATCGAAAAAGAAGCTGCTGCCGCGGATATTGTAGTTCGTACGTTTCTTTTCCTTCAATTCTTTACTGTGTCACAAATACCCTCAAAGAGGGGAAATGAATGTAAATTACTAACGCCCACCAGACACTGCTGACTCAGCCGACAATGTGCCGTCGGCCCGTGCCATCGCCAAGGGTCTCGCAGCCGGCCACAGCGCTGAGAAACCAGGTTACTGGATTCATCTGTGCGGGACCGGCATTCTAACCTGGTATGACGCGACGCACGAGCGCTATGGGCAACCACCCCTACCCGAGCAGAAGTACCACGACATCGACGACATTGATCGCATTCTCAACTTACCGGATACTGCTATTCACCGCGACGTTGACAAGATTGTGATCGCCGCGAACGACAACCCCGCTGTCAAGACGCTGATTGTAGGACCCCCTACTATTTACGGCGTGGGTCGCGGTCCGACCAACCAACGCAGTATCCAGGTCCCTGGGATCATCGAGTACACGCTCAATCACGGATACGCGCCAATCCAGGCTCCTGGGTTAACCGAGTGGGACAACGTGCACGTACATGATCTGGGTGCATTCTACGTGCTGGCTGTCGAGGCCGCGCTCGACCCCTCCAAGAATAGCAACCCTGAGATCTTCGGACCCAAGGCGTATTTCTTCCTCAACAACGGCGTGCATAAGTGGAGTGAAGTGTCACAGTGGGTTGCTGCAGAGGCCGCAAAACAGGGTCTTATTCCAGAACCGATCACTAAAGAGATTGACATCCCGAAGTTGGGCACCAACTCGAAGAGCGTAGCGGTGAGAGCCAAGAAATATCTCGGCTGGGAGCCTAAGAGCCCGAGCTTGAAGGATGAGATCGCCGGCGGCGTAGCTGCCGAGGCGAAGAAGTTAGGAAAAGCTTAAGCTGGGGTAAAATGCTATATTCGTGAGGATAGCTTAACCTTTTCCCACAATAAGTTGGTGATAATTGTTGATAAGCTAGCAATATCCGAATACAAGCGTTAATGCGATGTATTTAGCATTTCATGTAGCTTCCTAATCTAATATTGGCTAATAAGTCGGAGGAACCAACTAAGCCGTATCCGTGTCGTTTATATCATTCTCGTCATAATCATGCCATACCGTCCAATCCAACCTTTACCCAATAAAATGCCTAAGTCTACAAGTCACAATTAGGGATATTCGATATCGAAGTAGACTTTGACTTCAAGTTCATTGCTCCATCCGGGGTTGATATTCAATTCCCTCCATGCCGTTTCAACATCGATACTCAACACGTGGTTATCGGCCTCATTTACGGCAACTGTATGAGGCGGGATCGGTTGGCCTAAAACGGTAACCATGAAGTCTCGCTCAATCGACATATCGGGTAGACTCGAGATGTATATTCCTACGAGATGAATTAATATTACGAGTGACTTCCCTGCGTGGGAGAAGGTACTTACCGAGAACTCCTAGAGCCTTAAGCCGCGTATCCAAGAACACTCTACCTGTATGGAGCAACTCGGACTGATCTGTGACAATCGCAGCGGCTCCTGTCATTTTACCGATGAGACCCAAATTGGCGACGTGTATGGTATCATTTGTTTCACTCGTGAATTGTGTCACTGGAAAGGCTGTGAGTATATCGTAACCATGAACATCTAACGATACTTCTAGATTGGCTGCGTCAATCCTGGGTTTGATAGTAGGTGTGACAAGGCCGCTACGATGGGAGCGCACAACGTATTCAACCGACGGAAGCACGCCTGGGAGATTTGCGAGCGCGATTAGCTCTGTTATAGGTTGTTTGGAGATATTGAAAACACCTAAAATCGGCGTTCCCGTTCCGGCTCTGCCGTGGTAACTCCCAACTTTGAGGAGAGCGTGCTCATCGTAGCTCGTGTAAGGATCGATGCTCTTTCCAACAACGCTGGGCCTGAAGATGACGGTTTTTCCTCGAAGGGTTGTTCCCGTCATTTGGTCGATAAGGTCTTTGTTGTGCTTTCCCGGGATATCGGTGATGTAAATGGGACCCCCGCTAAGACATCGTGCGGCGGCATGGAAACCCGCGAACTCGTGGTCGGTCTGAAACATATCCCAATCTGGCAACACGTTGAGATGTTGTGTGAGTAGGGCGTTGTGAGCATTTGCGAAGAGATGCCATGGATGGGAATCTGGAACATCGGGGTAGAAGTCGTCGGAGTTTCGCACGACCATGGGCGGTCGATTGCGCGGTAATTGCTGGTGGAATAAGAGTTGAGGTGCTTGAGACATGCATGAAATAGCCTTGATACTGAAATGTCTCAAGGCCGAGATCATCCAGCTATCGAGATACGTCTCCGTAAGCTCTCGGCGGCCTTTGGCGGAAACCCAAGTATCCATCATGTATTGGACGTCTGTCTTGACGGCGTCAATTCCACAACTAGACAAGAACTTATAAAAGTCATCGTAGAATTGGCCAACGTCTTCTTTGGCAATGACCGTCATGGGTCCTTCGAGGTTGGAATCATCTCGACCAATCTGTACTGTTTTATAAGTCTTTGCGAGATCACCACCGCTCGATATCCCTCCCCAATACCCTAGGAGGGCATGCCAAACGGCCACGTGCTGAATACTTGGGTGCTTTGAGCGAATACGAGACACCGTATCTCCAAGTCCATGAGGGAACGCATTGGGTTCTGCCTCAAAGCTTTTCCAGCCACGTTGATATTGGTCTTCGCCTTCGTAATCGATATCTTGCCAGTTGTCATCTATAATGAGACTACTGATATTGATATGATCTTTCGCTAACTCCTCAACGGCGTGTAGTATTTTCTCATCGGTCAACTGTTGACCTAGAGCATTCCAGGTGCCTATCCATTCGTTAGTACGTGTTCGCAGAACGAAGAACTGATATAACACTCACAATATCCTAATCCATCATACCAATTCTCATACCATTCTGGTTTGATATCGCCACTGAGGCTTTTAAGCTGTTGGGTGAACTCATCTCGGTTGTCCCCCGCAGCAAGGACAACGGTTCGGGCGTGATACATCACAGCCGCCATTGCATACTCAAAACTATCACCAACTGCGGCAAGAACTAGCCCAGATGATTCGGCAACATCATCATTACGTATCTATAAGTCATAAGATTTTTATTTCGAAGGGGGCCAAGTCTGAATTCATAATTGTACTTACATGCAATTTCACTGACCCTGAATCTGAGCTACAAAGGAGTGTGGTTATGCCGGCTACCCCACTGACTCCTAATAGAACTAGATTTCTACCATCGTTGCTTAGAAACGAACACATCACAGCGTCTTTATCTAAGCTGAATGGGCTGCTACCATGTCTAGGCCCCAACCACGGAGATCCGTGACGAACTAGGGCAAAATACCTGAGGCATGTCAGCCTCGCAGTCATAATGGACACTAATAAATGAAGTCTAAAATGACTTTGGTATTATGGCTTACCGTAGAGCACCACCCCATGGACTCCCAAGCTCGATATTGGCGTAGGCAGAACGGTCGTCTTCGGCCGGACCGACATCGGCGTTAATAGTCCAAAGTTGAGTACCAGGTGTTTGACTTGAAGCATTTTTAACTTTTAGGTCTGGGTTCAGTTCATGGATGATGTTCGACAAGGGTTCATCATCGATTTTGGAGAGAGTGTTGACCAAGACAATCCCATCGGATGTACCCGATATATCACGAGCCCACGTCCAAGGTTGGCTAGGGGCATTGCGGAACTTGAGCGTAAAATTTATTGGCGACGAAACAGAAAACGTTGCATGGAAGTATAAGGTGGCATCCGAAGGGTTAGAAGCTTGGAGGCATGATGGAAAAGCAACATCGGTGTCAGGATTATCAGATGTAGGAGCTAATAAGTCCTCGATCCAATCCGAATTACTAGAAGAGCGCCAGATAGCGACCTCCCAAAGATCATCCGCAAGATCCTTTTCTACTTCTAATCGAGCAATAAACCGGAAAGTTTTGTCTTTTAACTGAGTGACTTGGCCCAAGGGTGGGTAGCTTGAAACGGTGACTTTCATCCTCACAGCTGAAGCAAAATATCAGAATGGGAGTTTAGAAGCGAAATCACAATGACCTCTGATCTGATTCAGGCGATGTTTTTCATTATAAAAATATAGAATAGCTATATGGGGGTATTAAATGGAGCCATTCAAGTTAAAGAAAAGACCTTGGGAAGAGGTCAAGATATGTACTGAGAATAACCTATGAGCTGTCGATGGTGGTGAATAAATGAAAGTTAAGTGTGAACTTGGCAGAAGTTGAGAAGCACAATTGGATACGTCAAAACCCGAGCTAAGATCCATATAAATACAGCTAACAGCCAATCAGCAGTTGATTATTCCAAGATTAGGCCTGTTAAGCCACAAAAAGATGACGCTAGACGGAATTTAGCGGGTAGATGCTTAAATTTGTGTGGCTTACGTCTGATTATAGTGAGTGGGAAGGTGGGTCGGGGGTTTTCCCACCCGGCGCAATGGTGTGGACGCCTCAGGCCAAATCCAAAATTTGAGCTTTCGAGCCGAAACCGAACCACTCCCAGTCCAAGATTTCCGATTTCCCATCAAACCGCTCACCTTCCGTAATTTCTACTCTCCGCAAAACGCACCACCCCTAATGGCGTCTAGGAGACTTGCTTTTAACCTCGCGCAGGGCATGCGCAGCCGTGCTGCCAATTCTGCCATCCGACCATTTAAGAGAGGTTTTGCTACACCGGTGACGTCTCCAGTTGGCGCGAAGACTCAGACCACAACATTGAAGAATGGTTTAACAGTAAGCTCTACTTGGAGGCCAATTGGGTTGGTCAATTCTTCTTAACGTTACCCCTAACCATATATAAAAAGGTCGCGACCGAATATTCGCCCTGGGCGCAGACTTCGACGGTGGGAGTATGGATCGATGCTGGTTCCCGAGCCGAGACAGACGAGACAAATGGCACAGCACACTTCCTAGAACATCTCGCCTTCAAGGTAGTAACGAGTTAAAATTCCGAAAAAAATAATCAATCTGCTCACGATTTTTCAGGGCACCCAAAAGAGAACTCAACAACAATTAGAACTCGAAATTGAGAATATGGGTGGTCACCTTAACGCCTACACATCGGTGCGTGAAATATGATTATCAACGCCACAATTTTAAACTAATATATAATTAGCGTGAGAACACCGTCTACTTCTCGAGAGCATTCAATTCCGACGTTCCTCAATGTGTCGACATCCTCGCCGATATCCTCCAAAATTCGAAGCTCGAGCCCTCCGCAATTGAACGAGAACGCGATGTCATTCTCCGAGAAGGAGAGGAGGTTGAGAAGCAACTCGACGAAGTTGTTTTTGACCACCTCCACGCCACCGCTTACGCACACCAGCCCCTAGGACGCACAATTCTTGGGCCCCGAGAGAACATCCGTGATATCACACGAAAGGAGCTCACCAACTATATCAGCACCAACTACACAGCTGACCGCATGGTCCTCGTCGGTGCCGGTGGTATCCCTCACGAGAAGCTTGTCGAGTTAGCCGAGAAGAACTTCTCCAGCCTCCCCACGACATCACCTCACAACGAAGCCTACCTTCTATCCAAGAGGAAGCCCAACTTCATCGGATCTGAGGTTCGAATCCGAGACGACACCATTCCCTCCGCCCACATCGCTCTCGCCGTCGAGGGCGTAAGCTGGAACGATGACGACTACTTCACAGCTCTAGTTACCCAGGCCATCGTCGGCAACTACGACAAGTCTATGGGCAGCGCACCTCACCAGGGAAGCAAGCTTAGCACATTCGTCCACCACAACGAATTAGCCAACAGCTTCATGAGCTTCTCTACCAGTTATAGTGACACTGGGTAAGTTAATAGCAATTGTGTCATTATTATTAACTAAAGCTGATTCGATAATAGTCTATGGGGTATCTACCTGGTGAGCGACCAACTCACTCGTCTCGACGACCTAATCCACTTCACCCTCCGAGAATGGTCCCGCCTCTCTAGCAACGTCACGGAATCCGAAGTCGAGCGAGCAAAGGCCCAACTCAAGGCCTCCATCCTCCTTTCCCTCGACAGCACATCAGCCGTCGCCGAAGACATCGGCCGACAACTCGTCACGACCGGCCGCCGAATGAACCCCGGCGAGATCGAGCGCGTCATCGACCACATCACCGAGAAGGACGTAATAGAATTCGCCCAGCGAAAACTGTGGGATCAGGATGTAGCTATTAGCGCCGTCGGCAGCATCGAGGGCATCCTCGACTACCAAAGAATCCGAAACGACATGAGCCGAAACTTCTAGGCCGATAGATAGATTGGTGGCGGCCGGCTTCTTTTCCATTGAAAATAGGAGGACGGAATGAAGATTAGGGAAAGGAGAAGGGAGAAGGGGAGAGAAAACCCGGTCATAGAGTGTATCAGATAATCATCATCGCACGCTTAGTTGTACCATACACCATAAAGATTTCTCATCTGTTAGATTTTCTCGACTCGTCTAGGAGAGGGTATTTTGTGATATTGTGGGTTAACCTCATATTCCAATCAAGAGATGGTAGGTTTACTCTAAATGCCTAAGGGTTAATCGTTGATAGTGAGATATTCTTCACCAAAGTACGGGATTATGTAAGTTTATCCCCCTTCCCATTCCATAAGATTAGTCAGCACTACAAGAAAGGAGTTATTTAGAGTCAGTACGCTGATTTATATATACCTAGGTAGGTATCCAGTCTACCTATTTATCTAAATCTAATATGGGGGTATCTCCTGAACGCGCGATATAACCCAATGCCGTTACTATTAGAGTCGAATATATCCAAATGTCACTCGCTGATTCTCCCTCTTCCCGCCATTCTCCCCATCAGCACACATCAATAACTCCATCGCTTTAGTCGACTTTCCGCCTTCTGAGCATTTTACGCCGCTAGTGAGGGGAAGATCAGGTGTTTCCCCTGGGCGCATTCGCTCATTTCTTTGGTGCAGGCGATCCCTTATATACCCATTACGAAGGCTGTCGCTGCTTCCTTAGGTCCGTAGGTCTATCCGACATCTATTCAATTTCGTAGACCCTCTCCTCCGCAGTATGCCCCACGAATGTGCAGCATGGCGTGAACCACCATTCGAGCGTTCCCTGCAGAGGAATGCAGCCCCAGACAAACCCTGGCCCCCACAAAGTGAGAGGTCTCGTGTTGATAGTTACCACATGCGATGTGGTCGTCGATACGTGCGGGACGTTATAGATCCAACAATTTCTCGGATCAAGAACTTCGCTCTGCTGATTGCAAATCGCGAAATGAAGTCCGATGGCCCCGTCCATGTCGAGTAGTTCGTCCACCATATCGAAGCGGATTTGCCCCACGCACTCCCTATGCCCGTCCGTGTACTCGCAAAGCATACCGATGATAGGCTTATGTGGCTTGTTCTTGTCGGTACATAGAGTGACCTTGGCGAGTCCTACCAGAGAACAGGACGAATAGTACGATTGATGGTCATAGTTCAATGCTGGGTTATCCTGCAGTGGGAGGATATTAGTTGGGATCTCACACAGGACGCGATCCTGCGCATTCTCCACCGCTAGAACCCTGGCTTTCCTGTCGTATTCTACCGCGCCCATTTCGTTAAAATATATCTGGGTTTCTGTTTTGGGCGGGCTGTGAATACGTTCAAACCAGGTGTCTGTCTCCATCAATGTGCGATGGGATCCGAAAACAGTTGTTCGTCCACGATTTGTGGTTAACTAGACATTTCAGTTAGTATGACTCGATGAAATTAGGGATTATCATTTATCTTACCGTAAACCCGTCATCCCATTTATGCGCTGGGTTTTGATACCTGCATACTTCCGTCAAATATTCGCCCTTGTCAATAGGCATGTAAAACCAGTAAAGAGGACCCTTTATTGGGTCCAATCGGCGGTAAGGTTCCGCGTTCCCCTCCCCTTTACGATGGGCGTGTATGTGGAAAAAGCCACAGGGGGTTATTGCCACTGAATAACCCGTGGTATCCGGTGCATTGCAGCTAAAGGATCGCATCCGCAAGTGACTCGCCACATCGTAGTGATACCAGCCTTCAGTGAGGATTGGAGTGACATTCGGGATGTTCCACGTCGGCCACCTGAAAGTGTGGGCAGCAGCTACCCGGGGAATACCGATACATAGTGGAAGTGTACCGGAATTGATATCCCGGAGTTTGTATCCCTAGATAAATGTTAGCTTTTAACTGAAGAGGGAGTAAGTCTGCTGGGTTTAATATACGTACGTCGGTCTCTGCTACAGACTTCTTCCAATTGCCCTCTTCATCCACGGGACGAAAGGACCTCCACCACAACCCCTCTGTATTAGGGATAGATCCGGATAGCACATCACCATCACGGAGGGACTTGATTTTGCGAATTCCGTGATGATCCTCTGCTATAAGAACCTTCCAATCCCGGCACTTCTCTTGGCCTTCGATGAGGAGCTCCCATCCTTGACTTGTCGAAAGGTCTGTGCTGGACAGTTCTTGGAGGTACAACTTCCCCTCGAATACTCTGTATCGTCCGTAGACGTTACAGGAAAAGTCGATAGGCGTGGAGCGCGGCGATGGAGGCGCGAGCACCCGTCTCTTAGCCGCTAAGACAGCGTATTCACGAACCATGTGTCCAGAAACATTTAGGAGTATTTCGTCAGGGAGGTGAACTGGCCAATTCTGTTTCCTCAAATCTGACACCATGAGACTCGCTAAGTTGTCCTTACGCTGTTCCTCTCCTTTTCCTTCCAAAGGGAGTTCGAAGTTCAACCACATGGAATCTAGAAACTGTTCTGAGATGTCGAAGTCTGCGAGCTCATAACAGCGGGCGTGGAAATAGTCCCATGGGTTCCTGAACCACTGCCAAGATCCGGGAGGTCGTCGGTGGGATGTCCTGACTTTAACTTCCCGTGGTTCTGGTGTCTTCTCCCAAATGCTCTGATGAATGCCTCTCACCACCGATTCGCCATGCTCTAAAGGAAATAGACATTGTCTACATCGGCGGTGAAAGACATTCTGACCCGAGTCGAATTGCGCGAAGGGTTCAGAAGCCCTGTCGTAGGTGATTGTCTCTGTATGGAGGTACGAAGACATGTTGTTTTTTATGGTGTGGAAAGCCTGTAGGTTAAGTTAGGATTAGATATATAGGTGAGCCAGGGAAGAAGAGTGTATAAACAAAAACTTATTACTCACTCAATACTGGAGATGTTATAAACGCTCGTCGTGTCCCAAGGTCGTGTTTATTGTGGTGGATAGAGAAAATTTCCAATGTAGAAAGCAAGTTAAGCTATGGGTATAGATTATTAGATCAGTAGTAAATGTTTGCAGTCGTATTTTGGCTTGTTCTAGTACTCCCCGTGATGTTTGTAATTTTGCACTGTAAGCATAGACCAACATCGGAGGTGAGTAATTGGAGCAATGGTCAGGACTATGCGTCGCTTTGACTCCGAGTTTGCGTCTGCGTTTGGCACATGGCTCATATCTTCATCTAGGCACAGTGTTGGTTGTCAAGGGGCAACTGGATACTAAATCGTGTCATCTCGTGTATCTAAGCCTAGAGACTAGCTACCTTACCCCTGAGCTTTGAGCAAACTTAAACTCAACGACAAAATGGGTACGCGCGAATCAATATTTTTTATCTTCTATTTAAATTATATCTCAAACTAAAGGAGTCAAAGGTTAAGCCACAAATTCACGAACAACCATGCGAATAACATTGTCAGTAGTTGAGCTGTATGAAGCGATACATCTTGGGAAGCATCGGAAGGGCCCCTGATGGCCAATATGAGGACAAAGGAACTCTTAGAACCAAAAGGCTACTTGTGTATGTATACGATATTTCCCGTAGCAGTTACTTGCGATCTCTTCGCGCAACAACAGACTCGTTGACCCCTGGTATGGTTGGTCTCATGACAAAGATACTGTGACAAAGTAAAGTTTACCTACATCTACTATTAGTATTCTTTTTTTTTTTTTTTTTTTTTTCATAAAAAATGGTAGCGTTGAAGGGGTTCGGGTTGTCTAGATGCGCGTCAAGATACTTGGATATGAAATTCAAACCCAGACGATATACTTCCAATAGCAACCTCATGAGGCTCACATTAATGCACGACTCCGATGAAGAGACGAAGCTACCCCGTTTCGAAGAGAGAATTCGTAGTGGGCCCGAAACTTGAACTCTAGGTTTTCATAAATCTATCTCGGGCCAATTACCTTCTCGTGTCACGTCTCTGAGCGGCTAAACTTGTATGCTAGAAAGTGGCTACCTAGAGTGGTCACGAGCTATACCTGTATAACATCAATCCGCATTCATCACGATGAGTTAAGCAGGTGGTATATGTATGCCGCGGACCTATCTTCGGAGTCGTCGTGGGGGTTGAGAATCAACGACGTAACCCACCTGTGCCCCCCTTTTTTTCTTACCTACCTTCCAAAAGTGATAGTGACGATCGAACCATTTTATCCCCTTTTCCCGTCTTTGGAGTCAATTCTTACATTCTGTCGCATTCGATCAGTACAACTGTAATTTGACGTAGCATAATCGTGATACTTATCTTTTCACCGACCTCACTCGATGCCAAGTCCGATATCCGAGCCTACGATAACCCCAACGAACTCACCCTTGGCAATGTCCAGCCATCTCTTAGCCTAAATCTATGAATCTAGAAGCCCAAAACTGAGGACGAAGAAAAATGTTTTATTAAGATGAGCACCGCTCAATCCACCAAGAATAACAGAGACATACCACTCTTCGTCGTAGCATCATGTCCAGGTAAACATACAACGGTATAAGTGTAGGTATCTACAAAAATAGGTATCGAGCCGCCACAATATTCCCAACATATAAGATTATAAACCATGCGAACAAACATAGGAGCCCCCATATCCCATATACATATCCCAAATATCTATCGAAAGTCTTTCCTTCTAGGTGGGTCAGGTATCCGTCGGTCCGTCCGTTTTTTTACCCCTCCTTTGCAGTCGTAACCCCATATTCCTGCGCGTTGCCGAAGTAATGGGCCAAGTAATTATACTCAGCATCCATCTCCTCCTGTACGGTTCTCCACAGCCCCGTCCGTAGGGTGCCGGAGAACCAATAGTTCCCCGCGGCGTCCTTTCCGACAATCGGGAACGAGTTGCGCGTGGGTATGCCGCCAAGCAAACCGTGGGGCTGGATATACGACGGCCGGCCGACCTTATTGAGGCGTCGGGCCGGGTCGATGTTGCCCGGTCGGATTACCGCTGCCGAGAAGTCCGTCTCGAAGAACTTGGCTTTGCTCCAGTTCGATATCATAACCGGCACCATCTTCTGGTCGCCGTAGACAGCCGTCTTTCCCCTCTTGCCAGCGGCACGGTCCACAGCAGCACGAGCTTCAACCTGCGCTCGCGTGCCTTGCTCAGCAATTGACCGACGCACAGCGGCAGCCGTATACCCCAGCGGTCTCGCAAAGAGATCGCGCATAGATACAAAAGCATACACACCCGCCACAGCATTCCCCACAAACGCATGAGTCGGCGGGAGTAAATCCTTAGCAAGCACAGATCTCATACCAAACGCATTCATAATCGACACCGTCTGCTCCGTGCCTCTAAAATGCAACAAAGCCAATCTCGTAACCCAGCTCGAGAGTACATCGCCCTCACTAACAAACGGCTTAACCTTCTCATCCTCATCAACCTGCGCAGCTAGGTAATCCAACGCGCCTTTATGCAGACACTTTAAGTGTGATGAGGGCACGCATACCATGCGCGTGTCCTCGCCGCGCGACCAGAATACCGTGGTCCAGATATAGGAAATGGCGAACAGCAGGGCCTGGAGCGGGGACAAGCGACGGTGGGCTAGGACGTACGGTTCCTGGGGCTCGGTGCCGAGGGTTGCGAGGGGGTCCTGGAATACGCCTTGTAAAGGCTTGACGTCGTCGTCTCGGCCTTCGAGAACTGCGATCCATGCATCGAGTAGCTCGCGTCGGCCCATGGCGTCGAGGAGCGTGTGCGGCCACGAAAGGGAAACGATAGTCGCGTCGGTGAAACTGACAATGTGCAGACTGAGCTGCGGGAGGTCGGAGTACAGATAATCGCTGAGACGCCGTGGTGCGCCCCATCGGCGCAGGAGTGGTGCGTAGTCCTCTGGATCACTTAAGACCGTGGGTCGTCCCGTCGGCCGGGGTAGTCGACTGCCGGTTGGGTGTCTAGCGATCTCGAGGTCGTGCGCTACGTGCGAGTAGGTGAACGACGGCCTCTTCTCATCGAAATAGTCCGGGATGTGGTACTCGAGTTTATTGTCGCTCTGCATATCACTCTTAGTTACTCGATCCCTGAACATCTAGGCGAGGAGGAATCTGTATGCATACAGTGAGCCTTATCCTAGCGCCTAGCTTGCGCCAGTCATCGCGGCTGAGCAGCTTCTCGAGTGCGTAGCGAAGCTTATCGGGGTCTAGCACATCGTCGAACCGCATCGTAAACTCGACGATGACTCTCCTGTTGATAGGGGTGTCATCGAAGCGGTGCAACGGGATGACAGTGTCCGACGATATCGTCAGAGGCGCTCGTCTCTGGACCTTGGTGTTAGACAGTAGGTTACCCATCTTGAATATTGCGATTGCGTGATTTCTGCTTAGTTACAGCCTTAGTTACAGCAGCACCAGGGCTGTCAGTCTCTACTACGGCCGAAAGCGCCAGGCGAGGGGGATATGATTTATTTTTCTAAGTGGCGTTGTCCCTATAACCCGGGTCGCCCACGGGGTAATAAAGGACGGGAATGGTCTGGCCACCAGAAGAGTTGCCGCATTTCATGAACTACCTTACACTTCGGGCAAAAGGTCGTGTCAATCACTTATTATCGACACCCAGCTCACTTTTGATACCCGAGATATACAGGCTATTCCCTGGCGATCTTCGTCATTCTTGAATATTCCGGGTCCACAGGAATATATAACATCGTCAATAGCAACGTAACATGTTTGTGAGTTTGTGCTGCACGCGCGGGAAGGACTCGATAGGAGAGTCGTGGAGTTTTCATTGGCCTAACCGCCGACCTTCCCCTTTCTGTCCATCGATATCTTCGAAACAGTCTCCTTATAAATCTTGGCACTCTTGGCGGAGCAAGGATCGTGAAGCGGGCTTGCGTAATCTTGCTGGTTATTTTGGCGAAGACTATCACCTTGATAGCGTGTTACCACGCGGCCGTAATTCATGTCTCAGTTATGTACGTGAGAAGAGATACTTAAAGCAGGTGGCTAATAACACTATACAAGCCAATTTGGATGATCAGCATTTCCTTGAATGCCATCCCGAAGAATTTAACAGCCTCAACTCAAGGACGAGAGGGAATAAGAAAACGTTGGAAAAGAAAGAACACAAGAAAAAATTGCTCGCTAGGTCAGCCAATATCAATTATAAGCCGCAGGGTCCAGTTTGATCGCACATATATGCTTAACCACGGTTTACGGAAACATCCGTACGGATCATTGGTTATCGAATATACAATCGGGAAAGGTGTGGGTCTCGATCGTCGCGCGAGGGTATAAATGCATGCACAATGTATGCGACGAGAAATCCCTTGATCTGGTAGGTGTCTAGGTGAGCAGGGGGGATATGATATATTCAAGGGTATACGAGGCATTCCAGGGTCTTCCAGTTGCACAAATAACGTTATCTCGATGATCTTTTCATTAACTGGGGTGGCATTTGGCGGCGTTTAGTGGCATTTTCGAGCTCATGGCCGCAATTTACCGGGTAAGCAGATAAGCGAAACGATATCAATGTTTTTCGTGCCTAGATCTGTCTCAGCCACTTTATTCAATCAATATTTGGTAAGAGTCTAGTGCCATGTAAGGGCCGTAGCTGAATTTTTAATTTTTATTATATAGCGCCTTTTCCTAGAGTCGTCTTAGTTATGGATTCCTGAAAGCTAACGGATGATATTCTCGCGAGACCGGACGTCTACATCTATAAGGCAATGAATTCCACGGAGCCTACCCCCGAAATCCCCGGGGCTCATTAGCCGGAGCTGTAAAAGCGGGTTTCCGCAACGTTCGACATCGGTTGGCGAGATGGCGTCAAGCCTCGTTAAGCATCTAACAGCGGTTTACTCCGCCGTTGCTATTCACTAACCAGGTATACATGTACGAAAAGCTTGTCTACGGTGCCATTTGATTCAGGTTTGTCCGTGTCGACCTTCATTAAAATAAAACGATATCGTGCTTGCGTGGCCCGACTTCGTCTTATCCGCCTAGCAAAGCCTTGTCGATTCGACTCAACTAGGAGAATCACTAGGCTTTCCGGAGATCAAGTTCCGTGTTAATCATAGCTGACAATAGACGACATATGCTGGTTTCAGCCACATCACGTAGAAGCGCTATGGGAGGCATCCGGTAGAGCGGACCATAGCCGTGACCAACAAGATGCCACGGGTGACCGTGCATGACCTAAATGAATCCAACTGCCGCTATTGTGGCTTGAACATTTCACTATGCCCGACAGCATAGCTGGATCTGGAACCTGTATAACTTCATTAATCCATAGATGTGCATCGTAGGCTGGACGTACAGACAATGTTCCATTAAGTAATACTTCGCCTCACGAATCCCGCATACAAAGATAAAAAAGATATAAGGAAGGAATACTATCCACTCTAGTTAAAGAGCTCATATTGTTCTTCCCCCCTTCTTCATTTATATCTCGACCTAGATCTGATGGATTGTTACTCGGCCTGAAGAGAATTCCACGGCAATGCGTCGAAGACGATAAGGAATTTCAAACTCCCTAGGTGCTAGAACGCATCCGATTACTCATATGATTATCTCATGAGAGCAATATTTCCATGGTAGTATCATGGGGATTCCTCGTATCCCCGAGACATGCTAACGTGGTAGAAATTTCTTTCGGTTGCTTAGATAATCATAATTATTGTCAAAAGTTGCCGCCCATCAAATGATAATTTCTTTTCCACGGAGTTAATCCAGTAAGCCAACCCCATGGATTCTCATATTTTCGTGCGAGGCGTCGTTGGCCAAGCTGAATCTGAACAAGCGTCAAGCACTTCTGCCTTAGGATTTGGGCGCAGCGGTAGGATGGCGTACTGGGATTGGGCTGGCAATGTTGAATGATGATCGTCTAATAAGGGTTGCTTTTTCAGGCAATCGCTGCTCGTGCCGTCCGCTCTATTGTATTCAATTCGCCCTTGAAAGCCATGTCTCACCCCAAATGCATACTAATGCTTACTGGGTTACTTGCGGTTATTGTTTCCAAAAGTCAACCGGGTTCTTCCACACGATATTTAACACACCGCAAATGCCATCTATGCGACGGAAATGAACGAACAAGCGGCTTTTGAACTATGATGGATAACGCGCCATAGCCACACATGTTCCCGGCTCCAATCACATTTCGAGGTTCAGCGGCGGGAGGCCGCGTTAGAAACTCCGGGCCAAGACCCTCGATTGCGGAGAGACACCCGACCGTAGTTGGCTGTCAACCTTGAGGAAGCCAAGACACTCCCACGTCGAATTAACATTGGCATACCTTCTCGGCTAAGCTGCAACGACAACTATGACGTAACAAGTGCGTGAGAGCTTGTGTCCTTCGGTAAACTACATTGGCTAATGAAGGGGAGAACCACGATTGCACATACCTTCCGAATAGCATGCAGAAGTTCGAGATGAAATTCGCCCAGAAAGGCATCGGGAAGGTATGGTAAAGGTATCGGATTATGCATCCGACGTCGTACGATATTTTTGTTGGGAGCTTTCAGCCCATTCTTTCGAATCAGGTCGTCTGACCGGGCTTTCCAACCTGATCGGGTGAGTTTTCTGGGAATACGGTACCCTGGATCGCCGAATTCATTATCGCGTTTGGACAATTCCATCTGCGACCGACTCGGCATGCAGATCAAGACATAAAAATTCGCGTGGGAGAGTGGATCAGGGGTATCAAGTTGCGGAAGCTCACGTGGACATCCCACACGAAATTTCAAATTTTCGAAGCATGTCATCGACGATCGATTCAAAGCTCCGCGTATAGGCCGTGAGTATGTTTAAAAATCAGCCCAGTCACGGACGTGGGTGTCAAATAAGAAGAGGCGGGGTACGTGGTAGGGAGATCGAAAAGGATTGTCATGTTTGGTCCCATGGAACACCTGACAACTCATGCAAGAGTGAGCCTTTGGATTCCTATCCATGGATCCTATTCGTATCGGAACCGAGTTTGCAAAAAAAATTTCAAGGTGCGTTTAACGTCCGAGTATTAATCCTAGTTGTTGACGTCGATTTATTATTATGTGTATTAATGGGTAGATTGAGATTTCCATGTTGGTAAATGTTTTACTTTTCAATCATTTTAACAGTCTAGGCAATAAAGGCCAATTGACGAATTAGCATGCCTGCATATGGGAAACTTGGTGCCACAGGCATACCTCCCGACCTAAGACAATGAAGAATAATCGTATTGACTCCAAATCACTGTTCTGACACGTCGAATCGTAGGTGAAACGAGTATTATCCTCATTCGAGGGGCCAATCGGGTTTACACATGCGCTGAAGAAATTCTGTGCGACAAGAACTCGGAAACGGACCTTCTGCCCTCACCTCGAAACATCGTATCGTTGTGAAAAGCCCCGGAAACAGCCTTTCTTGTTACCGGCAGCTGTACATCGCAGCATCTATCGTAGAGTTTCTGACTAAGTTCCGATGGAACTAGCTCATCCTTAGCAGCTTCTAAGATAAATATTTCCGGCAGATACTTTTCGGATGTGTATTTCTTGGCTATAAATCCCAGATTTTGCCAACTGTCGAGGTGATTTCGAAGAAACGGCCAGAGGTACCGGTAAGGCAGCCACTTTTGCGGGTAGAGGACCTCCAACATAGCTCGGATAGATGTGAAAGGGGTTTCCAGAATCAACGAGTCCAGATGTACGTTCGCGGGCATTGGGGTCTCGGCAGCAAGGTTGGTGGCAACACCCGCTCCAATACTTTGGCCCCAAAGCACGAGCTTTGCCGACGGTCTCGACTTCTGACCTTCCCCGCAATAAGAATTACGGTGCAGCTGAGAAATCCAGCTTAGAGCAGCGGCAGCGTCCAGGTTTAGACCTTTCTCAGTGGGACGGCCTCGTGACGTCCAATAGCCCCTATAGCTTAGGCATACCATAGTGCATCGAATACTCCTACAGTCCCATTGCAGCGAACGCCGCTTCAACATAGACAGAGCCGATGAGAGATCGGGCAAGCGTGGGGGAATCGATGAAGCGTTTCCTGTTATTAATGGTAAGCCCATCGATGAGTTTCTACCCCACAGGACGGAGGTGCATGCAGACCCTGAAAATAGAGAATATAAAATGCAACATCTGGCTGGGTAGAGGTTGCATACGTTGCATTAGGAGCAAGCTCCACGTCCGCGATACACAAGGCCAGGTTTGTGCCGTCAGCAGCGCGGATTCTTTCCTCTCGCCATTCAACACCGGCGCACCGTTTGGCGTAGTCTTCAATCTTCTCCCAACGGGCATTGGGCGGTAGGCCGGGCATGTATATGATCTTGTTCTGAAAGGTAACCATCATAAGGCACTTCCACGTCCACAATGCTACGAATAATCCGCTAAAGACGACCGGGGCGAGCATCAGCCCCTCGACGTGGTACCTTCTCCTGGTGCATAATAGACACAGTAGGCTGTTGGTGATGCGGGGTGTCGTGGGAGGTCGTGATGGGATAATTGATACTAGCTTGGGCAGGCTCCGAATGGGTATTCGGGAGAGACGGCGAGAGTAGAGCATCGTGATTGGGGACTTGATGGCATGGCTGAAGGTTGGTTTGGTCTGTATGGATTATGCGGTGTTATGCGGGGTGAATCGACGCGCGAGATATGCGAGGGGGTTAGATGGGGGGACGGATGGAGGATGAGTGGATGGTTCCAAGGATGAGTGATCGAGTGAGTGGTCGAGTGGATGACTGGATGGGTGATCAAGAATTAGGAAGATGCATTTCCTGCCATGCCATTAAATTAGGTAGTTGGAGAAGCTGCACGAAAGCAAAGTAGGTAAAATTTTCGATAGTAATCTTATTGCGTGTTGGTTTCATCGTACGGGGGGTCGAAATGGAAATTTCTTGGTGTTTGGTCCAAGATGGAAATTGGAGGATTGAGATCGAGATTTGCGATTTTGATGCTATTTCCTAGAAAAACTGTTTAAATTCCCCCTTTTCGTTTGTGATCGTTCCTTCAATGGATTTCGTAGAACTCTGTTTTATTCAATCCGATATCTGATGCGTATTCAAAGTTTATTCAATTTCATAATTTGAATTAGGTACGCGCGCATACACACATACATGATACCTGAAGTAAAATAAAATTACGTTGGACGTGTACTTCCTAAATGTAAAGGTGGTGCAGCATTTAGGTATGTACTTATACTCTACAAACAACCCCAAGGTCACTCCTTCCTGTCAGTGACAAACGGCGTCATCGAGAGACCCTGCAGTACAGTACTTGCACGTGGTACTTCAATGTTGTCAGTCAATTTCTAGGTTGGGCTAACCATTCCCCGCTTTCAAGCAGTGACAATCCATATCAATTCCAGCTGCCTTAGGTACATTACACCAAATTACAGAAGGCTAGAACGTCATTGGAATTAAGCGACAGCGATCCACTGGACTACCTACCTAGGTACCTGTACTAGCAATACAAGCACCTGTAACCAGCACCTCTGCACCTGTACCAAGCTTAATTAGGTACTTCCCGTACATACGACATTACCTACCCACCTTTTAGCGCAGCAACTTTACGCAAGACCAAACCGAAACTCGCGCCGTCATGTCTCCCAACATTCTACAACTTTCTTCCTGTTTAGCGTGCCCGCCTCCGACTCCGCGCTTCTTCATCTTCCGTCCGTCTTCGCAACACATCACCAAATCCTGCATAATGCCCGGTCAAATCAACGGAGAGACGGGTCACGCGGTACCCTCCCACCCCCATCACATTGAAGTGATTGAGGACGAGTCTCGTTCCGAGAAGGGGGATAACCAACCTAGCCCTGGATTGAGGGATAGCAAGGGTTGGGATGGCAAGCTGCGTATTGACCGCAACGCTCTGCTGCAGAACCCCGAAGCGCTTTCCGACCCTGAATATTCGGACGAGGATCATGTAGTTCCTGGCCAAGAGATCGATGCTGACGAAGGTAAATTGACTCATTCACTATGCTTACCTACCCCCTTACCAAATATCGATGAAGTTCACTTATATATATTAGCCCCCCGATGACGTCCGTTGCTGACCCACGTGTTTAGACCTCCTAGATGATGAAGATCCCGACACCGATGATATTAGTCTAGCACATTCACGAATCGCCTCTATTCCCGCTCTTCGACTCGAGCGATTTAAGAAGGTTGCACGACTCTGTCTACGACAAAATCTCGTCCAACACATTGAGGGGCTATCAAGTCTAGGACCCACCTTAGAGGAACTGGACCTATACGATAACCTCATTTCGCATGTCAGGGGCTTGGATGACCTAACTAATCTCAACACACTCGACCTAAGCTTCAATAAGATCAAACACATCAAACATATCGATCATCTAACTGAACTTACCGATCTTTTCTTCGTTTCCAACAAGATTACCACTATCGACGGACTGTCAACATTAACAAAACTCCGACAACTCGAGTTGGGATCCAACAGGATAAGAGAGATAAAGAACCTCGATGCGTTAAAGAACTTAGAGGAGCTATGGCTGGCGAAAAACAAAATCACCGAGCTTAAGGGCCTCGCCGGTTTACCGAAGTTAAGGCTCCTAAGCATTCAATCCAACCGGATCAAGGACCTAACTCCCCTACGCGAAGCCCCTCAATTAGAAGAGCTCTACATATCACACAATGCTCTCGAGAGCATTGCCGGTCTAGACGGAAACCCCAATCTAACGATCATCGATATCTCCAATAATGCGATCAAGAGTCTGAAGGGTCTCAGTAATCTTAAGAACATCGAAGAAGTTTGGGCCAGCTACAACCAACTGTCCGACTTCGCCGATATCGAGCGGGAGTTGGCGGATAAAGAGAATTTGACAACGGTATACTTCGAAGGCAACCCAGTTCAATTGCGGCAGCCCGCTTTGTATCGAAACAAAGTACGACTAGCGCTGCCGCAAGTCCAGCAGATCGATGCTAGTAAGTATTGAGCATCACATCGAACAAAGAATAAATAGCTAACACCAAGAAACAATAGCCTTCGTGAAGACGGTCTAATTATACCTCCACATTAAGACAAGATGTTTTAAATGCGAGGTTTTTGATATTGCATAGCATTGGCGTTTGGGGGGTATTCTACTATTACAAAAAACTAACTTGGGGTCAACAAGCGAGCCCTCGCTGCAGTGTTGGGATAAGCCTCCATGTAGGCAGCTGGCAATGAGTATATGAATTTCAATACTGTAAAGGGAGGGCGAGGAAACCATTTCAAAACAAAAGAGCCAAACAGTGCTCAATGCTGAATTTGTGTCGAAGATATCCATAAGCTCACGCGAATGGGAATTCCCAAGTTTCAGGGTACATTGATCCAGTCGAATTTGATATCACGATACAGGTCAAAAAGCCTAATCTAGACACCGTTCTAGCGAGATGTTTCCTTTAATCACGCCGGACTCTACAGTAATGTCCACAGGTGGTAGAGAGATTAGTTCGGTCCATGTCAGCAAGCAAGATCCTCTTGTAATTGGTATCCAGCTTGTCCTCATCTAATTCAGTCGCGCTATGCACCCTAGTATAGACGGTGATAGAACCCACGATCCCGTTATAGAAACCGTTTAACCAAAGATCCACATCTTGTCTGTGGGGAAGTACTAGACATCATTATAGTCATTAGCACATGTCCTATTTAAAAACCGATCAACCCGATTGGTGAGGAAAAGGGACATCGAAGTCCGAATTACGAAATGAAATAAACAAGGGCCTAAGCGCAACTTACGTTAGAAGGCTGGTTGAAACGAATGCCTGCATCCTTGGCAGTGATGCTGTCAAGGTCAGCCTGCTCAAGATCAAATCCAGTGCAGTCCAAGTTCTGCGCCATAACTTCAGGTCGGACCGTCTTGGGGATAACAGCAAGGCCGCGTTGAGTCGCCCATCGCAACAAGATTTGCGAGGGTTGCTTGCCGTACTTGGCTGCCAGACTTGTAATTAAATCGTCCTTCATCAATGGCACTAGAGCCTCTGCGTGCTTGAAGCCGAACTCGAGGAAGGAAGCAGGGCCGAAAGATGAGTAAGCCGTCACAGCGATACCTTCGGTCTTGGCAAGGTTCAACAATTCTTGCTGAACCAAGTATGGGTGGTGCTCAATCTGCAGAGCAGCGGGAGGAATCTTTGCATATCGCAACAGGTCGTAGATCAACTGTGCTTGGAAGTTGGATACACCGATTGACCTTGCCAGTCCCTTCTCCACCAGCGACTCCAGAGCAGGCCATGTCAGGTGCAACGGTGTGCTAGACCGCTCAATACTAGATTTCCCATCGTAGTGCCATCCCGGGGGATATCGCACAGCCGGATCGACGTACTTCAACGCGCCAGGGAAGTGGATCAAGTACAAGTCGAAGTATTCGAGACCCCAGTCGGAGAGCGATCGCCTGCAGGCGGGCTCTACCTTATCAGCATCCTCGAATACAGGCCACAGCTTAGACGTGATGAAAAGGTCTTCCCGCTTCACAAGGCCGTCTTTGATAGCTCGCGCAACACCATCACCGCATTCTTTCTCATTGCCGTAGTCTAAAATAATCATTAAAAACAAAACGGATTAGCGAAAACCGTTGATTGACTAGGTTATATGTCCCGAGGAGTCCACATCTGGGAGGATTGGCAGCACGTTTCCGATCTGCCCGAGATGCAAGCGAGCGAGTTCTTTCAGGGGTACCCCTGACGATGCTAGGTAGCGGGGTAATATATCCCGAAGAAGGGAGGGGGCTTGTAATTACTCGTTCTGGTAATCGTCTCGCGCCAGCCTCGGAAGAGATGCATGAATGTGAGGTGAGAGAAGATCAGAACTTACCGCAGGCACCATCGAACAACCTGTAACCAGCCTTAATAGCATTGTAGACCGTGTCCGCAGCAGTAGCGTTATCAACCTTCCACAGACCGAAGCCCACCTGGGGCATCTCGTGACCGCTGCTCAGCTTGATAGTTGGACCCATTGTGATCGGCTTGGTATTGATGTAACGGCGATTACTAGCAATAGGGTGGTGATAGTTGAATATCCCGAGGCTCCTCGATGGCACAGCAAGGCGGCGGGAGAGTAGACGAGAATAACGTGAAGGGATGAGAATGGAAGAGGGCATGACCTTTCACGGGATGTGTGCCGGTGGGAGCAAGTTCTAACTTTATACCTCTCACTCCAGCCGCAGAAAGTAAATAAAGCTACCCTGTTGTCTATTTTACATCGACGAGCCCTTGCTACCCGCTGCTACAATCCCCCCCCCTTCTACTATGTATGGTATGTGGAGATAGCCGCTCGTTAGAAACCGTTATTTTTCGCCAAAGGGTTAAAAAAATGGGCTGGTGGTATCTCGCCGAGCAAACCCCATACACCACAGTACTATCATGGAACTCATGACTCAACTGATTGGCATGGATAATAGCTACTCACGACTACACAAGCGCTGTCCGCTATACGAAAAGGATGGGGGGCATTAGGTCTCCCCTCATTTGCCCGTTTAAACGCAAAGGCCTCAGGCCAGAGTCCAGCGGCCGCCGGTGATCCAATATGCCTGCGGAGGGGAAAGTCAGAAGGAGAAAGGGGGGGCAGAGACAAAGGTGGGTGTACGTTAGGTAGATTCGAGGATGGAAAAACTCGCAAAAAACTCGCTAGTAAGAGGGCCGACGAGGTACAAAGTAGCAAGCTTAGACGCTATCTCTTGACGAACCCCCCAACTAGTAACGTTGACCACGATGTCTGATTTGCTTGGGAGAATGATTTCGCCGGGACCCGACCTCGCTAACCCGAATATCTTATAATGCCCTCATCCTATCCATTTAGCCTAAATTCCAACTCGTGGATAACTATGGGGGTCCACTGCGGCTAATTCTTCATTATCTCTGCATGACCGATCTAACCACGTCTCGTATATCGCGTGGTTTCATCCCACGTTCGCTCGTCAAGATCGACGGTACCCGTTAGTTTTCTAAACATCCGATGATTAACCGACCTCGTCGCTGATCTTCGTAGACTCGATTGGGTCAACTATTACTAACCGGGACGTCCCATTCTAGGAGATTCGTGAATATTTTCTTCACGAAAGAACAAGACAAGAAAGTGAAACAACTAACAATTAATAAGTAGATTGTCTTACTCCATATTCTCGGGTAAACTTCGGCTATCACCGGACCAGCGGACTTGTAGGTACATATGTACTTGGTCTCTTAGTAACGTACCTGGGTGGGATCTTGATTATGTAGCTGGCCAATCACAATGTACCAAAAAGCCTTATTCAGTTAGCCTTCGATTTAAGGTGGGGGAAGCTTGAAGTATGATCTCTCTCAATTTAATCATTTCTTAGACTAAACTTACAACAACTTCAATACTATTACATTATATAGGTAGCTTGCCTTTCAAGCCGAATGCTTTCTCTTATCCTCCAAAGACAATACATATCCAGATTTAGGTACATTTATACATTTGCTTATCTGGGTAGGTACTTACAAAGGCAGGCAATTATCTAGGTAACCGTCGATAGACCACACTCGGATGAATACTCACCTAGTAATCTGGGTAGATATTTTTAGGTGGGTTATATAGAATTCATCTCCAAGCAAATCCTAACTAGTTCAAGAGATACAACCAGCAATTATGACTTCGCTATAGTATTTCTCTTTCACGCGATGCATATTACCATCGCCTTGTCAACCGTTTTCGGATACCTACCTAGGTAGTTATTCAAAGATGTTGTCACATAGTCTTTGTCCGGATAGAGTCGCTTTTTCTTCTGCTTCCTTACGACCCCCCCATTTAAGCACGTTCACTTAATGCATCGCGTTGTTTAAACAATTACATAGCTTACAATTATTATGAACCTTTTGCAAGGTTAGCCGGCGGGTAATCAATCAGAAATAGATGTGGACGGATTCCATTCCGTCAAAATACCGCCAAGATGCCTATGGGAGACACCCCCGTAACGAGATGTAAGAGTCAATCCAATACCCTATACAAGATATCTTAGACTCACGCTTCGTGGAAATAGTGATGCGAATTCAAGCCCTGCAAGGACCCCCCTCAGGTGTTGTCATAACCGACTCGTTTAGAAGAGCTCAAGCAGCATGGAAAACAGCCAAAGATTTTTTTGAAACCGAAATAGGGGGAGCTCTCAAATATCAAAAAGTCCTCGGCTTTGGTGGTTATGGAATAGCCTTACTTGTATGAGATCCCATTGGTAACTATACTCTACCGAACCGCGTACGTACAAGTACGTGTAAAAAGGGGGGTGGGAGAGAGAAAAAGACACGGAATATCTGCAATGAACTATGTTAACTGATATATTATGCTACAGTGGACAGTACAGGACCCTATAGGCGGTCCCGTTCGTGATATTGCCGTCAAGTTCCCTATCCCTCGCGGTAAGAATGACGGCACTAACGAAACCCTCACTGAAATTCATTTCTTGACTGTAAGCGCAAATATTCTACCTCATTAGATTTGATATACTAAAATCTAGTAGTTGCTCCGCAACTCGGAACATATAGTTAACCTTGCGAGAATCGGAACCGACACCAAGCTTGAAAAACAGAAAATGTATAACAATGTGGAGGCAGAAGACCCTATAATAGTCATGGAAGTCCTCAACCGGGGTAGTCTGTGGGATCACATCACTAGGATAAACGCGGCGATGGATTGGAACGAAGCCAATCCCGGCCTCCCTCTCCAAGAATATACCCTCGAATATATACCGAATCGGGTCCTATGGAGATACTTCTTATGCCGTAAGTAAACAGGAGCCTATTTTCGCCTATCTATATCTTCTACGAATAGTCACTAAATGAGAGTACCGCTAGTGGTTAGGGGTGTTGTCGCGATGGCCTACCCAGCCCAGGCACCCACGTGGGATCCTGATGCCATAATACGAGAGTCTGTGCCCAACACGGGTGAACCGCCATCTAATTTGGTTCACTACGACTTGGATCCTTCGAATAGTCAGTCAAATCTTTGCCTTTGTACTCCGTATTTATATACCCTGGGTTGCTAATGAGTGGTAGTATTATGCGGAGAGCCTGACTTCACAGGTGATGATCGCGAGCATACTTATGCCCCGATATTAAAGGCTCGTTATCATCCATGCGCATCAAGTCAATGTCCACCGATACTAATTCTTAACATAGATAACTGATTTTGGGTTGGCGGTTCCATTCGACGAGAACTTTTCCGAAGGGGTGTAAGTTTTCTTGCCTCTGTTTCTTTCTTTCTCCTGTTCCCTCGTCCTTTCATTGTCCTTTTATTTGGTGCTTGGCCCTGTTTCAGCTTTATGCTAACACCAGACTACAGAAGAGCAAATCTTGCCTACAGAGGGAAAGAAAACTATTTTGCACCAGTAAGTTGATGGGATTCAATTTCAAAGTCGGTTTGAGGCTTACATATATTAGGAGCAATTCTATCCGGAGAGAATGATCCTGGCCCGGGAACATATTGGACATGAATTGAACTTATGGGGCATAGGATTAGTATGTTTTAATTTTTCTTGACTTGTGAGAAGCTTTTAGTATGAGCTTCTTTGATATTCTTTTCTCTTCTTTCTTATTAAATAACAATAGGTCGCTAACATTCTGATGTGCTCTGTTCTAGATTATGTTTAATCTTATGTCATTAAGCCATCCAAGCCCAAACCCAAAAGACTGGCAGCCTGCTCTCCGCTACGTGAGTATGAGGGGCATGAAGAATTATCCGCTTAGAACCTGGGGAGGAAATCTCCTTCCAGCAAAAGGCCACGGGAATACTGTCGTGCCGTATCTAGAGCCATACGATTACGACATGCGTTTACTGATCGCGCAGTGCTTAGCTGATTCAACCAGAGACCGGCCGGATCTACGGGTGCTACTAGAAGCTTGTGAGGAAGGCATCAGGTTGGCAGACGGAAGAGCAACAGAATTTCAACCACAACCACCTCTTCCTCTGTCGCCCGGTGGACACGGTGGTGGTGGCGGAGGTGGAGGTGGAGAAGGTGGGGGATCGTCAGAAGAAGACGGGACGCCATCAGATCCGAGGATGTCATTTAACTGGACGACATCGGGTGGTAATGATGAAACGGCAGTGGAGGGGTCAACAAAATGGGATACGACAACTGGATCAAATAAAGATAACGAATTCGGCTCAGCGACACAAAGTGGAGTAAGATTAGGAGAAGCGGTGGTAAAAGGAAGAGTATGGGGATTGGGAGGAGGAGATTTTGGATCATTAACGCTACAGGGAATCAAGAGAGGAATGGCGGGTGTAGGAAACAGCGGTGACGGTAGTAGTGATGGTGCCGGTGATGATAGTGATGAAGTTGATAGTATTAGTCCGCCTCGTACACATCGCAGCCATGGTCGACAGCCCCATATCGATCCTGTTGATGCTCCTGCTGCTCCTGTAGCTCTCCGCCCCCCTCCCGGATTCGGATACTCTCAGGGTCGGCCTCTTCCTACTCCTATGGGTCTTCGTCCCCCTCCTGGATTTGGATATTCCCAGGGTCGGCCCCTTCCTGTTCCATTTCCTGAGGGTCGCCCACCTCCCGGATTTTCACAGGAATCCGCGGAGAAAGTCGCGAAGAGAAGGGTTGTGACTGATTTGGGGGAAGTCACTACTGATTATAATCCTATCGTCGCGATTACGCCTTCGGCCGCGGAGGCAGTAGCAAGGGTGATGGCAGAGAAGAACAAGGAAAATAAAGAAAAGCCAGATATACAGATGCAGAGAAACAAGTTTCGCATTTGGAGGCATATTCCCTCTCCTGCTGGACAACATGTAGGCTATAGAAAAAGATATTTTGACAGGATCAAGGGCTTGCGGGGACGCGGGGGTGGTGCTTCCGCGTCGAATCCCTCGGGTCGTGGAGGTAATAACGTGGATGCGAATCCTACAAGGGCAATGAGATACGGGAAAATTGCTACCAGCGCACTTGAAGACGCGATCTCAAGGGCGGGTGGCGGTCCTGCGCCAAATGTTCTCGATCCCTTCCGACTCGGCGTTAGGGCGGCTCAGACGCCGGGACCCGTTACACAAACTGGAGCCTCACCGGGTCTCACAGTAGGACAGCCAGGTGGAGGAGGTCCCGGAACTCAACCACCAGGCTCGGCAGCTGGACCATCGCGCCCGGGAACTGGGCCGCCGTTCGGTCTAGGAGTGAGGTCGCCAGCAATGCCGATGAGCCCGGGATTAGGATTGGGGGGCTTGTTCCTTGGATTAGGCAATCCAAGTATTCAACCACCAGGTTCATCGGCGCCCCCGCCCCCGCCCAAACCCTCCGGTGGTGGCACCATTAACCCCGGCGTTCCACCCAGTGGCCCTAGTCAACCAGCTAGCACTAAGCCCGATGACGTTAAAATGGCCGACGACGATTCCGATGATAGTTTTGATGAGACTGGATCTGGCCCTGGCGACATACCTGATGAGGATGTTGTGATGGATAATGCTAGTGTAGCTAGGCCAGCCAGCGAGAGCAGCAGTAGCTCTCTCATCATTGCTTCACATCCAATCATAACTCGTCAATGGGATGAAGCGGGCCGTAATCAACAAGGCGGTACCGCTGCTGGTGGTAGCGGCGCAGACGACGATGGTCCTCGGCCGACAAGCAGTGTATATAGTACCCCTGATGATCCTGGTCCTCGACCAGCCAGCAGTATGCATAGTGCACTCAGTGTTCGATTTAAAGAACCCAGTGGAGCTATTAATAAACCCGGCAGCTCTACGTCCTCGCTTCTATCCTCTAATCGCCCATCCGGCCCTGGTGCGTCTCACGCTAGTATATCTCGGACCGCTTCCGATCCAAAACCCAATACGAACCTCTCTGTCGGGTTGGATGGCAATATTCGTGTGAAGAGTGGAGGTTTATTCAGTCCCACTAGTACTAATCGAAGGAAGGGCAAGGGTGAGGCGGCTGTTAAGAGCTCCGCCTCAGCTCCATCGATTGAGCATGGTTCGGCAGCGCTTCACGTCCATCGTGATGCTGATGATGATGTCGTTATGGGCGGGGTTAGTGGCACTGGCTCGAGTGGCGGTGGAAACTCTGGCTATAGTGCAGATGGCCTGGGCTCCGTCGAGCTGGGTGAGCCTATGAGTTTAGGAGGTGGCTCTGGAGGAGGCAGCAGTATGAGTATAGGTTCCTCAATGTCCGGGGTCCTTAAAACATTCGGGCCCTCGGGCCAAAAAGGCTCAATAGCTGATCTACGTCCCCTTATTGGCGCGTCGGGAAAGCTCATCCAGAACGTCGGTAAACCCCCAGCGGCACCTCAGCCGGAACCTCAACCACAACCACCACCACAATTGCAACCGCAGCCGCAGCCGCAACTACAACCAAAACCAAAACCTCAACGCCAACCCCGACCCCAATACCTACCCGACCAAACACAACCAGGTGCATCCCTAGCGGAAGAACATTATGTAAATCCACCCAAAATCGAGTCGAACGATTTACTCAGGAAGTACTTCAACGATTACTTCTTGACACCAACGAGAAAGGTGGACAAGTGGGAAGACTATTGGTCGAAGAGTGTCTAGTGTAATGGAAGTAGAATAAACTTATAACTACTTGGATAGATAGGTAGACACAAATATCATGCTTGCACTTATCAGATATGCCATATCTGCGCAAGCCTCTTAGATACTGTAGCATTTAGTATATAAAACAAGTTTTTAGATAACTCCTACGTAATGAGTAGCCATGTATAACATTATTTCCCTTCCCATTTAACTATCCTTTTATTTCATTTCCTACTCTTATGTTTGCCCTTATCCTTGTCATCATGAACATCGTCCACGGCCTTCTCCATGACAACCAGCCATAATGTGTTAGCTCCTATTTCGAGATTAGCTGCCATGCGCACTTTTAGCTCTGCAATATGCGTCCCCAAGAGAGCGAGCTTTCCCGCCGCATCCGCATCTTTGTTGGCCCGCCCTAGCTGGAGTAGTTCATTCAGCGGTAAGCCGAGATTATGGCCTAGCTCGGCCGTATCTAAGAGGTGGGCCTCGAGACCTCGACTGTGCAGCCACTTGACGTTGGCGGCTGCGGCGTACGCGACGGCACGCTCCCGTGGTGTCTTGGGGTCCTTGGTGACGGCGCCGATGGCCGCGAATGGGAGGGAGACGACAGCACCTGCTGCGCGGATGGCAGTGGCTACGGGTAGGGCGATGGCACCACCGACTACGCGTGTAGCCGCGCCGATGTAATTACCCTTCTTGGCGCTGTCGCTAATGTTGTGGCCCGTATGTTTGATATGGGCTAATGTTTCCTTACCGAAGCGCTTCGGCACGTCGCCGATATGTTGCCCGATCTCGGCGGCGTGGCTAATAGCTTTCTCGGACACGGTCGCGGCTAGGAAACCCGATAGCGTGCGTAAGAATGCGACCCATGTGTCTTCTGTGACGCCATGACGAAGTAAAATCTGGGTGTAAGCGTCGAGGAAGGGTGATGTGAAATCTGGCTTAAGCTGAGGAATGGCAATAGGGCGTTGTTGCTCGGTAGTGGTAGGAGACGCTGTATAAGAAGGTAGATTGGAATCAGAAGGGAAGTTGAAAGGAGATGCTAGAGAAGGCCCTTGCATCGGCGCGTCTTCTTGGCCTATATGTGCGAAGGATGAGGGACCAGAGGCATCCTCATAGGAGGGGAGCGCATCGCCTCTTGCTTCTGCTTCTTTTGAACTCATATTGATATTGGTGAGGTGTCGGGTGGCGGTAATGGTAGTGGTTACTTAGATAGACTTGCGTACTTGTTATGTTACGAGAGGTTAATGTGTAACTTATTTCAACAAACCGCACGGGAAAGCTACAGTATTAATACTCAAAAATTTAGCAAAGCCTAGCGGGTTTTCTACACTCTTTCAGGTACGATTCCGAATTGATGATGATGCGATGCTGCTGCGCCGCCGGGCGGGGGCGACGATTTTCAGCTAAAGAGGGGCCTGAAGGACCTGACGAATGCGATTCCGAGACCGGGTTCAATTCTATGCCTACCGTTTGTCGGTGATAACTATCGGTATCGGTAGCTGCCGATGATTACCTTAGTCTCGTCGATGCCGGATTTCGTAATATACGATCCCGAAGAATCTACGGAGTTGGTTTTAAAGGATGTAATAACATCGGATTAAATGACTCAATATTAGGTAGGCAGAGAGAATTGCGCATTGTAAATAGGGCTGAAAAGGTACTAGCCCTTCTATATATAACACTACCCATAATTCATTACGGCACAGTATGCCCCTATAATAAAGCACTCTATATTCCGAACAATTACAGGATAGAAGTCGTACTAGAACACTTCAGCTCCTTCAAAACTTGAATTATATAATACATCTGATTACATGCGAATTCTATACTACTGTAAATGTCGATGTGACAATAGAGACAATACTCCCTACCTAATACTTTAGGTATGGTGTAACATTTCTCGTCTTGTTACAGTGAACGTGGTCCCCCAAAACACCCCGCAATACTACCTAACGTGCCCTAAACGTAACAGTCTTCAGAGAGATCGAGCTATAATCTACTCAAACAGTTGAGGGCCTACGTACCTACCTAGGTACCTAGGTAGGTATTATAAAAGCTACCCAGGTACATTACAACTGCCACCTATGTAGATTTCAAGATACCTAGATATGGCTTTTCATGCTGTAAATAGGCCTCTTCACAAGGAGGTCGCTATAATAAATCGGCGAGAAATACTTTATTAATAAAAATTCGCTTCTTCAAACCCATCACCGCTAATAGCGTCTAGGAACTATTCCTTCACTGCTAGTATTTTGACCGAGAACTATAGAAGGCAAAGTAGACTCTCATTGGATGCACCGGTAGTCAAGTTAAATTAGGGGGAAACAACGTGGAATTAATTGTAGAAGATCTGCAAGTCATCGGGAACCCTAGCTAGAGACAACCCCAACCCCCTAAAATAGGATGATACAACCTATTAATTAGTGGCTTGTGAGCACTACCCGTCATATGAATTATAATAAATAGGAGATAACTACAGCCCTATCAACTAGCCCGTAAGGTGGCACGACTATGTGACCTACAGGTATAAAGTGCTACCGATGATCACTACCAAGTGGTGTGATGCAGTGTGACGAGGGCATCATCCCGCCTTATCCAACAAGGCGGCTCCTATTGATTGATTTCGGCTCTTCTTGTTTCATGTTCCTAGGAGACGCCGTACCTTCTCATTAAGTGGTCAGCTTTATTAGCCCCTATCCCTTGAGAACCTGGGGTAACGTTTATCTCGACTTTCCCTATTAGGCAGTTCACCCAGCCGTGGCCCGCTCCTGATGGGCTGCAGTGCTACCCCCGGACTCCTTAATCACAAGCTACTACCTACGTAGCATAGCTATATTCATTTGACACCTTCGATGAACAAGCCAAGGCTTTTTTCTTCATGGTGTCTATTTGTGACTGCTGTGGCTGTTGGGTGTGTTCTAGACAGATGAGAAAAAGACTCAAGGAAGTTTTACGTAGACGTAATATATAAGGTTTTCCTACGCATGTGATGCAGCTCGAACATGGTGATTGGTTGCCGTGGGGAGAAAATAGCATGTGTTCCTAAGTAAGACATGTTCGAAGGAATGACATGAGGCTCTAGGAAGTTAGTCTAACTACCTAATCTAGAATGTAACTAAAGGATATTATTAGGAGATACCGAGGAGATTAATGCTATTCAAGGTTCTTAACGTTACACCTCATTCCATCGCGGGGGAGGTCTTAAACATAAATACCAGCGACCGCCCTTCGAACCACAGATGATGAACTTGAAGATTGTGGTACCAGCCTTACTTGGTAGTTGAATTCAGGCATTCGGTTTCAATATGCATATTCCCCGCGCCGTAACAGCGGCGTCCGCTGCCGCGGCAGCGCCCCGATTCGCTATGTACTACGATCAATGGCACACTGCTTCTCCTACTAAGGACCAAACAGCAGGTATCACACATGTTATTACCGCCTTCGCTAGCACGACTCTTTTCACAAGCGATCCGCCCGGAACGTACACTCCCTTCACGGATGTGGCTACGCTCCGATCACAATTCGCCGATGGAACCAAGGTTTGCATGGCAATCGGTGGATGGGGTGACACGGCTGGTTTCTCAGTCGGTCAGAAGGATGATGCCTCAAGGAAGCTGTACGCTAAGAACGTCGCATCTACTCTTGACAGCCTAGGATATGACTGTGTCGGTGAGTACACCCCCGCCATTAAGTGTTGAACGTGGACTAGCGACTAACTAAAGTTCAAGATGTTGACTGGGAATACCCTGGAGGAAACGGTGATGACTACAAGACAAACCCCAACTCGGGCAAGACCGACGAGATCGCCAACTACGCCTTACTTCTACAAGAGATCAAGTCCGCAATCGGTGACAAGGAGCTTTCCATTGCCGTTCCCGGTCTCGAGCGGGATATGATTGCGTTCACCTCGGAGCAAGTTCCGAAGATCAACGCCGCCGTCGACGTCGTCAATGTGAGTCCCGACCCCTCTTCAAAACACTTCTCTAAGTATAAACTAACAAGAGATAATTAGGTCATGTCTTACGATCTGATGAACCGTCGGGACAACCAAACCAACCACCACACCTCAGTCAAGGGCTCCCTCAACACCGTCGACAAGTACATCTCACTCGGCATGGACGCAGCGAAGATGAACCTCGGCTTCGCCTTCTACGCGAAGTGGTTCAAGACCCAAGGCGAATGCACGCAGCCGATCGGATGCCCCGTCGTGGCTCTCGAAGACGCAAACGGCGGCGACACAGGTCAATCCAGCGCCGTGACCTTCAAAGAGGGTCCTACTGTGCTATCTAGCGGTAAGGCTGATACCGATGAGGGCGGTCAGTGGTTCTGGGATAGCTCCACTAGCTACTTCTGGACTTGGGATACGCCCGATTTCATTGCCCAGAAATTCGAGCAGATTGTTAAGGCCCGTGGTTTGGGTGGCGTTAGTAAGTTATAACCTCTCTGCTTTTTTGTTGGGGATCGGATGATCTCCGATGAGTGAATGATTAAATGCTAATTTTTGCGCAGTGGCTTGGAGCTTGGGTGAGGACTCTTCCGACTGGACTTATGTCAAGGCACTCCAGACTGGATTGGCTACTCTATAAGTTCTTGGATGATATCCCTTAAGAGAGGGAGATTGCATACCGCTTCATTGTATATACCTTTAGTTGAGACATCAAATGTTGAGTCTCTGTACATAGCAAATTCATCGAGGTGAAGTTCAGAAGGCGTTGCCAAAATGTTGTCGAGAGTAGAAATTATCGGATAGATCCGAATAAAAGTTACGATTCAATAGAAAATGGCGGCCGGACGTCCGAAACTAATGAAGAAAGACTGCTATGAATTTTGGCCATCGGAAAAAAGGCCGAAACAAGTGGCTGCTTATCTACTTCTTTTCGGATCCATCCGTCCTGTATAGGTCGCGGAAAGTATCCGAAATATTTCTTTCGGATTTGTTGCCGAAATTTGACGTGGCACAACAATTCTTGCAAATAATTTATCGGAGACATCCGTATAATTGAAAAAGGTACCCATTCGAGGCTTGCCAAAATAGAGCGAGAGCAATGCTAGGTCGAAGATATCATCGTGTCTGACCATGGACGACGTTATGATTTATTAACCATTTATTCCTATGTGCAAATCCCTTTTCCGAACCTAAAAGATCACTCTTCGTCATCGGAAGAACCCTCGTCCTCATCATCCAGACCATCAAAGTCCTCCATGTCCTCATCTTCATCTTCATCACTTGACTCAGCTGCATTCGCCTCAAGTGCCTCCTGCTCTTCCTCCTTTCGTTTTTGCTCATCTTCTTTCCTAGCCTGTTCTAACATCCTGGCCTTTTCAGCGCCCGCTTTCCTCTGCGCAACAACGTAAGCACCAACAGGCGTCTTCTCCCACTCAAAGTCCTTTAGGAACGCATCGACCTGCGCTCGGTTCTTGGGTGCGAATTCGACCTTGGCACGTTTACCCTCGATGAACTTCGCGTTTGCCTCTAGCTTCTGGACAAGTAAGACGAGACCAGAGCGGACCTTGCCGTTATTGTTACCACCCATCTTCTTCCTCGACTGCTTGAGCCATCGCTTAAGCATGACGATAACAGGCAATGCAAATTCAGGGAATGCTATGTTCGTAGACCAAAGAACGAAATATTCAGAGAATAACTCTACTATTTGTTCTCCTACTCCATCTTGGTAGACTCGGGTTCGTAGATATGATTTAGGCGCTTTATAGGCGATGTGGAAATCGAGAGGCTTAATAGTCGACTGTTTGGGCGACTTCCTCATTTCCGCAGAATTCAATACTTCTAATAGAGCAGATGCTAGCGGTATGTAAGTTCCGGTTGATCGCGAGATTCGGAGAAGAGACCGGACCATATGAAACCGGAGAGGGAAATAAGTGGCGGTTGGTATTAGACGCATGGCTCCAAGGGTGACTTGAACTAGGGGATAGATGAGGAGTTTGAGCTGAGACTCTTTTCCGGCTTCTGCCTCCTTTAGAGGACTGCAGTGTTCCGATAGTACACAGGACCAGAAATCCAGGGAGTGGACATATTGCCAATTGTAGATAGTCCGGTACGAATCGTTTTGGTTGTGAACAATGCTGCTACGTAGGTGAATAGCGAGTTGGCGGATGAAAGCGAATGCCGTCGTATAACCAATGTTCTGATCTAAGCCCCACAATTCGGCGGCTGAATTTTTCATTAAGTTAATTCCCTGTATCGTGTTGATATTTGTTACGCGAGACCCAGCGATCAATCCTTGATAGGTTGCCTTTAAGACAGCTTCTCGGATGCCTTTGTCGCCAACAACAACCAGTCGTCGAAGAACCAAAAACGCAGTGATTCGCGTTGAGTCGCTGCTCATCGTTTGTGACCAGAATCCAACAACAGTTTTGATCAGGTTTTTAAGCAACTTTCGGAAACTTAAGAGATAAGGGATAAGAGGTGTGATGGCCGACAATGTTAACTTGAGAGTAGCATCGTCTGAAAGTGTGCGAAGAAGGTGTAGGATGGCGGATACATAAGATTTCAGAAGTATCGAGAGGGTCTTGAATTTTTTAGAATCTGTAGGGACGTGAACTTTGCCGGACGAAGTCTCTTTGATGGGAACGTGGTGTTGGAGTACTTCGGGGACTTGTTTAAGCGCCACAATGAGAATCTCATGGAATACTTCGGGGCTCGAGATTTTGTATGGCAGTTTTCTCTCCTCGTCTTCGTCTTCCTCGTTGAGGTGCGCAGCAGATCGGAAAGCAAGGACAACTTGTCGAGCAGCTCTTAGTGATTGTCTTTCTGACATTGCTGTTTTCCAACGGGCGACCATAGCGTGTGTCAGCTCGTTGTCTGCGCTCTCCTCTTCGTCGTCCTCTTGCTGTTTCTTGTCTTTCTTGTCCTTCTTGCGTTTCTTCCTGGGTTGTTCTTCCTCTTCTGCTTCACTAGCGCTCAATTCGTCAACCTCGGCTAGGTCAGCATCGTCGAATTCTAATGCCTCCGGATCGTTCTCTTTCAAGAATTTGTAGAATTCGGGATCGTCTTCAGCAAGTGCGTCCATCGCACTCTTACTCATGCCAACATCCTCGGCTTCTTCATCGTCGTCAGAATCTTCGCTAGCGCTCGCTACGGGTAATTCGTCGGCGGAGATATCAATATCACTACCCTCTTCCGATGCGCTTTCGTTCTCATCTCCATCCTCGTTAGGTTCGTCTCTCTTGCGTTTCCCTAACTTCTTGGATGTCTTCTTGCCGGGTTGGGATTTCTTAATGATCTCGAAACCACCACTGAAAAAGTCGTCGACGCTCATATCATTGACATGTTTCGTTTTACTAGAGCCATTGGGCTTGGTGGCCTTCTCGGCATCCTCGCCGCCCTTGTAGAATTCGGCATCCTTTGCCTTTTTAGTTTGTTTCTTGGTCTTGAGTTGCTGTCTCTGCTTTATCTTTGCTGAGGATTTTCGCTGGTCCAAAACACCTTTAAGATGATTTTTCTCAAACTTCTTGGTCGCCTTGAAATTCTTCTTTGCGCCCGCCATTGTGAAGGTTGCTGGCAAAGTTGCGACGAATTAGGTAGAAGTTGAGGCGTGAATGTAGCGGGTAACGATTTTATTTTACTGCTGCGAAACTAGAACAGGAACCAAAATTTTTTGGATAAGCTTATCGCGGGGTGCTTATCTTAGCGTGGAGCTAGCCCGGATACAGTATAGCTGATATAGACGCATAGGCATAGCGCCGTTCGCCGACTGCCTTAGCACTTCATCAAGGTTGGTACTAATCAGTCGTAACTTTCCTCTCAACACCAACCAACTCGACGCTTCTCTCCATCAATATTTTAACATTTGCTCACCAGATATCGTACTTGGCAGGTGCGAATGATCACAGTGGATCTAGGACTGTGCAAAGTATATAAGTACCTTGACCCGCAGAGGTTACTGTGGCCACTTTTCTACTTTTCATCCTCGTACAACATTACAACATCATATCCCACTTCAATAATATCAAACGTGTAAAACAGACAAAATGAATAATCGGCAAGCCTACGCCCCGACCCCTCATAGCTATGTCCCAAATACTGCCCTCTCTGCCACAATAAACCTAGATGAGGTAGGGTCATGGTCATCTATCCCAAATTACCTCGTAAACTCATAATCTTTATAGGAAGTCAAGTTAGCGGACACCCGTGCGGAGAGAGACCTACTAGACTCTCTTGCAGAGATCTTTTCTATTATCGTCACCTTAGATGAATTAGAAAAGGCATTTCTCAAAGATGCCATTCCAGAAACCGAATACACTGAGATCTGCGAGCGATCTTTAAAGCAGTATAAGTCTATCCTGGCAGACGAGGCTGTAGCTAAAGCGTTTGTGGGCTTAGAGGAATTCAAGGCTGAGTGGGATGTAAGAAGGCCCTGCCTATTTTATAGGTGGCAATGCTAATTGTGTTCGCATAGCTCGAAGTACCAAGGGCTACGGAGCGTCTGAGAGTGGGCATGCCGTCTACAGCTGTAACCGCATCAACAGGAACATCTCAACCATCTGCTTCAACTAATAATAAATCCGGTGCTCTCATTCTCGAAGCGACACAAGATTTTATTACTTTCTTAGATGCTTTGCGACTCGGACTCTTAGCGAAAGATCAACTACATCCCCTTTTAACCGATGTTATACAAAGTGTCAACAAAGTGACGGATCGAGACTTTGAAAATCGGGGAAAGATTGTGCAGTGGCTGATTACATTGAACCAGATGAAGGCGACCGAAGAATTGAGCGAACAACAAGCAAGGGAACTCGAACTCGATATCAACTCTGCGTACTTGGGGTTTAAGAATACCCTCAATTAAGATATCTAAACCGGGTATAACACCCAGTCAATTGTCAGTGATGTGTTGAGAAGGATAAAGAAGGTCTGCGAATGAATTCTAGTGAAGGGCGCTGAGAGTGGGTCTTGGATCTCGTCATTGACTGGTCAATTTACCTAGGAACTCATGCGATCTCCACTGCTAGGGCGCGATCCTGTCAAGTTGCAAAATCATTCATTTTTGTCTGTCTGTCTGACTGCTGACTGACGAGAAGATATCGAAATATGCCATATTGGCAGATATTTAATCCCCAATCTCCTCTTTGCCTTCTCTAATACTTAATCCTGCGCAACGGCTCAAACATTATATATTATCAGCGAAATTATCGATATGCAGCGCACTTATCTCGCTTTTCAGCATAACGCTAAGCTCCATGCTCTGCAGACTGTGGTCACCACAATTCGATCGGTAGCAGCGCTTGAAGAGGCTAATAAGGGGCTCTACAAGCAAGGACAAGAAGACGACCATGTGGTAGTCACAGAACAAACTGTTTTTCATCCCCAAGGCGGCGGTCAGCCTTCTGACACCGGCATTATGGAAAGCGCAGATGGGGCGAGCTTTGACGTATCCATGGTACGCATGAGCGCTGTGGTAGATGGCGAAGTATTACATTTCGGCAAATTCAAGAATCCATCCTCGATATTTAAACCTGGGGACTCTATCACTCAAACCATCAATAGCGAGAAGCGACTTTTATACTCCCGTTACCATACAGCTGGGCACGTGTTAGGATCAGCTGTTCGTCATCTTCTCGAAAAAGAGGTGGCTAATTTCGACGAACTGAAAGCTTCACATTTCCCCGATTCGGCTTCATGTGAATTTCAAGGTCTCATTGAGAGGAAATGGAAGGATACCATTCAAGGTCGTGTGGATGAGTATATCGACAAGGACATGCCTGTTGAAATTGACTGGTGGGATGAGAACGACTTCAAAGCTAATGGTCTCGAGCGATTGATCCCTGATCGTAAGGCAATGGGTATGGCGGATGACGAGAAATTTCGAGTCGTGAAAATCGTCGGCGCTGAAGTCTATCCTTGTGGAGGTACACACGTCGATAGTACACAATTGTGCGGTAAAACAAACGTCAAGAAAATCAGTCGAGCGAAAGGTGTTAGTCGGGTCAGTTACATGCTACCGTAATAAGCGTACAGGTGAGGACAGGTTTATAATGCCTGTCTTGTCGGGACGAAATCCTCGAGTTGTCGAAGTAGCCTGCCGCGATTTTACTACGGGATCTATCCGACGTCCGATGCCGCGAATGGGGAACTAAAGACTACCCGATATTCGGCAGCAGTATCGTACAACGTGTTCCGTTTTACAGGCATGAGGGTTCCAATCGTATAAGGCTCTTGGCAATTAGGATTTCGCCGTGAGCAATTTTACCCAATAGACTCAATTCACGATAGTCATGTTTTTGGCGGTTCTCGAGCCAGTATTGCAGATCTTATCAGAATAGCGGTACTCACAAGCCATAGTCCCGTCCTTTTCTCGGTAACAACGTTTGGCCAGCCTCGTCTGGCTGAAGACCCGTAATCCATTCCGAATTCGAGCTCGTAACACGTGGGTGCAAAATTCTGGGGCACGACAGTCAAAGTTCAGTCCATTGGGAAGTTAGAAAAAATCTAGATGCTTCATCTAGTTCCCGATGTATACGATGTTTCAACAATCGCAACGTGCATACTAGTAGCACGACATACTACCTTATGTACTCAGTTACTAAAGTACCTACCTATGCATCGATGGATAGGTACGGTACAGTACAGTATAGCACTTACACATGTAACAACCCGGATGAATGGACAAGTAGGTACCGATTATAATTATTTCTCCGTAATAAAGGACAGGGTATCATTTGACCTGTAGTTCCTGTGGGCCTTCTGCAGGACATGCCGTGGGATGGATCGAGGGAACCTGGATTTTTTTTAGTTGAGCCTATGTCGAAGTGTTTGGGACAACGAGTAGGATTACCCGCCTAACGTGCTAGTTTTCATTAAATGTCCCCCGCAAAAGAATATTACAGCGTATACGATTCGCTAATGTGCACTGTCAACATTTCTCAATAGCCAGCGAAAAAGGCCAACAAAGTCACCCCAACTAAGGAAGTTAGCGCGAATCGTTGTCCTCTAATACAGCCCTGTCAGACACGCCAGTTTGTCCAATTCGAGCAAAAAAGTCAATGAACGACCATGTCTAGCGCAGTCGGGACTTTAAGCGATGCTGCTGTACATAGAACTATACCTGCTTAGGTACATTAAGTACCCTATGTAGGTATCCTCTCTCCCCATTGGATTGGGGCATGTGGTTCAAATGATTGGCTAAGACTACCAGGTATTTAGTTGAACGCAGCCAGCCATGGGCCGTAACCCATGGGTGCAATATACTATGTACAACAATGTACAACAACCCAACCAGCCAACCAGCCGACTTATTCAATCATGGTGGGGTGGACAACTCCAGTGGGGTAAAAGATGCAACAGATGTGAAAGATTCAGGGTCCTTGTACTGAAGAGGCAAAGAATTAGGATAGTATTGCTACCTTCTACATGCAAACAATCGAATAGATTTGCTTAGCTGCTTAGGAGGACATCCCACCCCGACTAGGTACTTACATTACCTACTTTACTTAGCCGTGGGGAGTGTGTGAGAAGATGAGGAGTAAGAGTACTTACCTAACTTGACATAAGAAGAAATGGGAAAAATTCAAGGAAAATACAAGTGGCCGAGAGTCTATTCGTTGGCAAAAAAGGGTGGGTATCTTGGTACGCGGGATTGGTATATATCTTCTCGTACTTCTGCTGTCCATTGTGACCCCCCTTCTCTTCTCCTTTTTCTTGTTTCTTCGTACTATATACATATTGCATAGTCAACGATTTCAACACCGCGTAGGAAACAATTCAACATCCCGCTCTCATTCCCATAGCAATGAGAGAATATCATGGCTTCTCTTGGTGGTAACATTTTACCCCCCGATCCGCATACTAAAATCTATCTTGCTGGAGTAGCTGTCGTCCTATTGGTCGGCATATGCTACTCTACTTTATTACTTGCGAAGAAAGCAAAGGACGATGAGAACCCGACTCTCTTGCAGTCCTTGTGGCTCTTCTTCTACACGTGCTTCCTCAAACCGCACGATGGCGACAGCAACGGCAACCAGCAGGATGCCTTGGAGAGCTTCTACAAGAAGCAGGCTGGAGCTTACGATGCGACGAGGAGGGCCCTTCTGAAGGGCCGCGAAGATATGCTTGCTCTCGCAGCGGCTCAACTCTCTTCCAGAGGAAAAAACGGTGACGAGAAGAAGAGACGTGTTTGGGTTGATGTTAGTAATTCCTCTTATGAATTGATTCTTTTGCATGTGATTGGACCTGGGATGTAAATTAACTAGTTCGATGTAGGTTGGTGGAGGTACTGGTTGGAACATCGAAGCTATGTCCAATTTCGTCGATGTACCCCAGTTCTTCGACAGCGTCTACCTGGTTGACTTCTCTCCCTCCCTCTGTGAAGTCGCGCGCAAGCGTTTCGAAAGGCTCGGATGGGATAATGTGAAGGTCATCTGCCAGGATGCGAGGAAATTTCGCTTAGAGGATCATGAACCGACCTCTCAAGGCAGACGACCCTCCGGGTCCCCGATCCGGAGCTACTTCTCCCAGGAAAGGCCTAAAATTGGCGGAGCTGACTTGATTACCATGTCCTACAGCTTGTCTATGATCGTGAGTACCAATTGGTTCAATTGAATTGTATAATTGCTCACCGACTTATAGCCTGATTATTATTCCGTCATTGACTCGCTACCTTCTCTGTTAGCTCCGAATGGCATTGTCGGTGTGGTTGACTTCTACGTTCAATCTCAGGTCGATGTTAGCTTCCGCAACTACACTGGCGGTCTTGTCAACCGTCATGTCAATTTCTTCGGTAGAACATTCTGGAGAGCTTGGTTCGACATTGACCGAGTTGCTCTAGAGCCTGGCCGACGTGACTATCTGGAATACTCTTTCGGGACAGTTCTAAATGTTAACAAACGGAACTACGTTCTCGGAGCCATTCCCTACTACATTTGGTTGGGAACTCATAAGCGGCCATCGTCATCCAGCCTTCCACACGAAATTGTTGAGAAGGTGGATGCTTTGGCCACTGAGTCGCCCTACTTGCACCCCGCCAATCATTCGGATGCCCTGTCTCGTGCGGTTGAAAGAGCTGCGCCAGAGATCCGATCTAAGGCTTTTGATGCTGCTATTCTCAATCTTTCGTCTAACTTGCCTCTTCCGTCGTTCTTTTATCAGAACCATCACTACCGAATTTACTACGATGACCAACTCAAGAAGCACACTCAATTCAATGACGAGTACATCTATGCTTTCACCTGGGAAGATACTCGCGTCGACGAGCGCATCTTGAAATTGACGTCGGATGATGTGGTTCTTGCCATCACTAGTGCTGGTGATAATATTCTCTCTTACGCACTTCAAAGCCCGGCTCGAGTCCACGCTGTCGATCTAAACCCAACGCAGAATCATCTCCTCGAGCTCAAGGTCGCTGCTTTCTCGTCCCTCCCATACGAAGATTTCTGGAAGATTTTTGGCGAGGGCAAGCACCCTGAATTCCGCTCTTTGCTCGTCTCAAAGATGTCCCCTCACCTATCCAGCCGTGCATTCCAATACTGGCTCAACAACCACCAAATCTTCACCACCTCCAAGGGCGGACTTTACGACACCGGTGGTTCAAAACACGGTATTCGTATCTTCCGCTGGATCACCCGCGTCTTCGGCTGCTACACCGCCGTGCGCCAACTCCTCGCCGCCAAAACCCTCAACGAGCAACGCGAAATCTGGCGCAACAAGCTTCGCCCCGCCCTACTCTCCCGCCTCGTATCCAAGTTCGTCGTAAGCCAAGAATCATTCCTGTGGACCGCTCTCGGTGTGCCTAAGAACCAACTCGCCATCATCGAGGCCGACCACGCGGTCTCAGACGCGGTATGCGGACCTGAAGCCCGCGCTAAGAATACACGTTCGCATGCTATTTGGGAGTACATGGTTAACACCCTGGATCCTATGGTCGAGTCCACGCACATCGCAGCCGATAACCCGTACTATTTGGTCTGTCTCGATGGAAAATTCAGCAAGCAATGCCACCCCGATTACTTATCACCCCAAGCCCACGCCCGCCTCTCGCGCGAAGGCGCATTTGAAGGTCTACGTATCCATACCGATGAAATCGACGAAGTCCTAGCACGTATCAAGCCCGGCACTCTTACCGTCGCCGTCGTTATGGATAGTATGGATTGGTTCGATCCCGGATCCGACGCCGCTGCTAAACAGATCTCAAAACTCAATCGTGCGCTGCGGACTGGTGGTCGGGTTATGCTGAGATCGGCTGGGCTTCGGCCTTGGTACTTGGATGAGTTTGAACGACATGGGTTCACGGCTAGATGTATGGGGGAGCGGTCTGGCGGTAAGTGTATTGATCGTGTTAATATGTACGCGAGTTGCTGGATTTGCACTAAGCGGGAGGATTTGGCTCCGTCGACTCCTGGGTCCGAGGGGAGTGGGAGTCCGGAGATTACGTCTTTGAAGATTTGAGTAGGCTGAAAATTGAAGGTATAAAGATGTGTGAGGAACGGCGAGCTGTTTAGCAGGTGTCGCGCGGTCAGATTGGTATCGATTATAATTCTGTCATTCGTTTATATAAAGCTCGAGATGAGCGGGCGTTGATTATGCTGTGATGCGCATATTCATTGTTGATATGCGACTGACACAGCAATTTCTCGCTGCTTTGAAGCCGTTACGCCAACAATCTAGATTGAATAAAATTTTGTTTGGTGAATCTATATCCTTTTCATAGTTAGATAAAAAAATGATTAATTTACAGACCTTATACAACACGAGATATTAGGACGACCAATGATTCTATCCCCTGGTTACGTGCCTTAAATACAAGGCTGCCAATCTGGGAACTGAATGCTGCCTGACATACATGTACCCATGCCCTCACATTCACTGCGGAGGCACCCAAAGTTTCAATATGCATCCGCCATTCGTGTCTCGATCTATGAATCAATCAGTATTCTCTCAAAAGCGGCATAATTCCTCTTCTATCGTTACCCAGTCCCAAGCCAATTCGTACGTTGGTTATTAGAAATATGAATCTCCTTGATCTTCCAAATGAGGTTTTCTGGGAAATTCTACGCTGTGCAGTGAGCTGCCGTGAATTAAACAGAGCTCTAAGGTTAAAATTGGTCTGCCGTAAGTCTTGCTATATCCTCACAATAAGCTCTTCATTTATTCAAACCTCGCACATTTAGGGCTCTTCTATAATTCCGTTCCTCGAGCCATTTTTGAAGTTGGGCTAGATGACAATGTTAGGGCACGGGATTACACAAACATGATGTTTATGAAGGTGAATTGGCGCACGTATAAATCTTACGGATACAACGACTTCTGGCATGCCTACCTCGTATATCGTGTTCGGACCGAAACCGACCCCACCCAAGGCCAATATGTGAACATCCGACAGGTGGTAGACGCATGGTGCGGGTACACAAACGACGCCTTCGAAGCCACAGTGGATGCCCTATGTTGGCTCGTCTTAGAACAAGGAGAGATGACGCCTGGGCACCGATCGCCCTGGCAGGAGGGTGATGAACCACTGAATTTAGGTCTAAGCCTATTAAGTGTCGCGGCTCACTTTGGTCATATACCATTAGCGAAGAAATTTCTAGCAGAGGTTCGTTATCCCGACAGTCTTTTCCCCTCGCCTACGTTCCTCGCCGCGGTCACTGGCAATTTCGACATGTTAGAACTCCTCCAAGAAGCATTACTAAATTCCGGAGTCCGTGATCCATGGGATGGTCATTGGGAAGCAATCAGAGCCGCTTGCCAATATGGAGATGTGGATATTTTTCGCCTGGCTATAAAGTACGAAATGGAAGAATTTCGGTTATATCCGAGGTCATACGGACTCAGGACCCTTACCAAGACCGTTTCTCTAGAACTATACCGATACATTTGTAGCCTTGTAGGCGAGCCTACCGATGGCGAGAAGGGTACTATTGTAACAGCCCACACGAAATTTGGCAATACGGAAATGGTTCGTTACCTCTTGGATGGGGACGTTCTTGAAATACGTCCAGGGAAATTAAACGAATTGTTAGAAATCGCTGTCAAATTTAATCATGATGAGTTGGTCGATCTACTCCTTAAACGCGGCGCCGATACGGACTATTGGAGACACCGGGCGTTGTCTACAGAGTTGTGCCTAGCGGTGTCGAGGGGTAGTCTACCCATCGTGCGCAAGCTGTTAGATTACGGCGCCAAAATAATGTATTGTTGCCTCGAGTGTGCTGTGATGCTCGAACATACTGGCATATTGACCTTGTTATTAACGAGAGGTTCGGTGAAAAATTACAACAAAGTGTTTAAAGCGGCGAGAAAAAATGAGCTATGGTCCATGGTTGATTTTATGATAGAGTATAACAGGTCTCAGCCGAAAATCAAGGTGCCGAAAAGACGGAAAGACAGAAAGGTGTTCGTAGCAAATTTATAAACAGGTACATAGATTGGGATTTCTCGGGCGTACAGGCTTAAACACAGATAGCGAATATTTGATATGATATTATATGACTGCCTAGTATTAAATGGCGGGATCTAGACTCAATCACGGGTTGAAATTATGCCTTGTTTTGGATTAATTCGGCTGCCTGGACTGCCTGGAGCTGACCTGCATGTTCTATAATTACAAGGCGTTTCCCGTATTCTGCGACTAGGGGATTTTCATATTATTTATGGGAATAATTGGGGAAAATCTCGACACTCTTTCTAACAATTATCACAACTTGTTAAAAAGAAGGAAAATCCCATGAAATTAATGAATCACTTAGGCCGACATCGAATAATACCTAAACAAGGTACTTAGGTAGGAGAGAAGCCGTGATAATGGCACCTCTTACCAACGAGCCTGACGCCATTCGAGTGGTGCTCAATCTCGCCCGGCGCAAGGTCTTTTACAGTCTACTCATTGAGATCGCCGCATACATGCGATCGCAACTCGAACTTGACTATAGCCCAGAAAACTCACCTTCCTCCTCTTCTTCAGCCCGCAACCCGCCTCCATATTCAGAGACGGCAGATGCACCTTTATTCTCCCCCCGCACCGACGATCAGCACAATAGGAATGCGGATACCCCGCCGGCGCAACCGCCGCGACCCAGAAGACCGCCTCCCAGTCCCGCACTGGTGAGATTGAGGAAAGCGGCGCTACTACACTTTGACTCATGGCGCACTCAGACATTAGCCAAGATCAAAGAAGTTGTCGCAAAACCCGACGACCAAAAAGTCTTAGATGCCCGTCGGAAGCGCACCGAAGAACTACGCATTAAGACCAGAGAAGAACCCTCTGATGGCGAGGACCTCCTCAGTTTCGGCGATAACAGCCGGTCAACGCAGACCAGCACCGCTTCTACATCTACATCCACCAACAATGCAGCGCTTCTATCCCCTAATGCCACTGGTCCAACTAGTCTATCTGCTTTCCAAAATTTATACCACCCTATTCCTACACGCCTCACTACAATCCCTATGGAAGACCGGAAGGAAGTCCTCAGCGCAACTCTTATCATTCTCCTATCTATCGGGAATTATTCAGCATACTCGCGCACTATGGTATGCTACTTAACCTCCGCTCTCGAGATGTCACCTGCATTCCTCGATAGCGAGGAGACCGAGATCGCGACGACCATGGTGGAAGCCGCGCAGAAGGCCGAGCAGAGCGGCGAGGGGGCAGGCGGTGGTATGTCGGCAGAAGCCGAGGCGCAGAAGCGACGGGACGAGGGAAAAGTCGGACGATTTTGGAAAGTCGGGCTGGCTTCTGTGGCGGGCGCTGCTATTATCGGAGTTACAGGTGGTCTTGCTGCGCCAGCTGTAGCAGGTGTTATAGGAGGACTTATGGGCTCCGTCGGACTCGGTGGACTCGCTAGTTTTCTCGGGATATTTTGGATGAACGGCGCACTAGTGGGTACTTTATTCGGTGCATTCGGCGCGAAGATGACGGGCGAGATGGTTGATCAATACGCCAAAGAAGTTGAAGACTTCAAGTTCCTACCGTTAAAAGAGGAATGGGGCGAGGGGTGGTCTAATAAAGAGAACGGAGCGCATGCACGCAGACTTCGCGTCACGATTGGTATTAATGGCTGGCTCACCTCGGAAGAAGACGTGACGAAACCGTGGCGAGCCCTAGGCGATGAAACCGAAGTCTTTGCTCTACGCTACGAAATGAAAAGCCTTATGGCGCTTGGAGATAAACTGAAAAGCCTCGTTACGTCAGCGGCGTGGAGTGCCGTCCGAGCTGAGATCTTGCAACGTACGGTTCTTGTCACTTTAGCGGGAGCCCTTTGGCCTATCTTTTTGTTGAACTCGGCGTCCAATATTGATAACCCGTTTAGTCTGGCAAGGAACCGGTCTGAGAAGGCCGGTCGCATATTGGCTGATGCTCTTATCAATCGTGTGCAAGGTGAACGACCAGTCACGCTGGTGGGGTATTCGCTGGGCGCTCGTGTTATTTATGCATGTCTTAGGTCGCTAGCTGACCGCCAGGCTTTCGGACTTGTTGATACGGTTGTTTTGATTGGAGCGCCGGTGCCGTCGAACCCGATTCATTGGCAGATGATGCGCACAGTGGTCTCCGGCAAGCTGTTCAATGTATACAGTGAGAACGATTACATCTTAGGATTCCTATACCGTGCTACTAGCTTGCAGCTAGGTATTGCAGGGCTACAGGCTATTGGCGGTAACGGGATTGAGATAGAAGGAGTCGAGAACCTAAACTTGAGTAATGAGGTTACAGGTCACCTAAGATACCCAGACCTCACTGCAAAGATACTGAACCGCTGTGGGTTCCCTGGTATCAGAGGTGGCGCTGGAGCGATTGAGAAGGATGACGGGCGCATTGAGATCGAAATGCGGGACCGTGATTGGGCTGAGACGGGGAATCTGATCGATGTGGATTGGGGAAATGATGGTCCACCGAAGCCACCCCGGCGAGGCGATTGGCAGAATGAGAAGTTCGACCCGGCGGTGAAGAATGTGTTAGAGTTGAAGAGTGACATGCTAGTGAGGGATGCTAAGATGGGAGGAAAGAAAGATGTTAAAGAATCCAATGATGCGTCGAGGGGGGCAATGGAAGCGCCACCGACAGCGCAGACTTCCCGTGCTACCCCGGATGTAATAGTCCCTGCTGCCGTATCGGCTAGCACTGCAGCCACATCACATAACGAGGCTCCGCCCGTGTATTCAGCGACCAGGACAGTCTCTAGTCACGATGAAGATAATTACGTCTACGACTACGATTCGGACGAAGAAGGCGGTGGGATTAGGATGATGGATAATGATTCCGATGGAGGGGAAATGACTTTCATCGATCCCCTACGTATTGAAGACTAAACAATACTAGATTCAAGTTATAGGAGATATACCCGGGGAATGCGTTAAGCTGTATAGTAGATTTGTAATGTATTTGTTCGAAGATATGAAAGTTTCCAGGTAGTACTAGATGACTTGCTAATATCGCTCTATGTCCTGTCCCGTCCTCTTTTTGATACATCGAAAAATACTCGAGTATTTCTTGGGAGGTACAATACACCTTAACAACGCCATCGGATAGAGGTATCACTAAATCTAGGTATGTAAGCACAGAACATGGAGCGACCAGGTAGAAAGTCTTGGAAATAGATTAGTTGGTGAAATTAATGGCGTAAATGGTGATTGCTAGTTGGCGAGATCGTGGATCACATCGGTCATCCTTATCAATACCCGGAGATACTCAACGATACCCTGGTCACCTAAGAATTCATGCACTTTACTGATAGCTAGGTAGATGTTCTCCTCTGAGGTCTTTAGTGAATGGGCGGCGTCGCCTCGCGGCTACTATGCTTAGGGTTAACAGTACTTTCTGTAGGTCTTTCTTACCGTTCACATTCATCTCGAATTTGAAAGCATTAGCTTATTTTCCTCATTTGCACAAACCAAGCATATTGATCTTGACACTTACTCCAACCCCCAGTTACTTTCAAGATTATAGAAAGAAAATGGTTACCATTAGCCTCGCTTACACGGCGCCCATCAATCCCCCTAACACCTCACTGGTCCTAACCCCAGCACAGGTCTGAGCGGGATTAGAACGCAAAGTCCGGTCCGCACAGGAGTTTGTCCCTATTATTAAAGAGTGCATTGTATTGTCTGAGGAAGCTATCCCAGAGACTGGCAACCTCAAGATAGTCCTCAAGGTGCTGTTTGCCGCCGGCTCTGAGCAGGGAAGTAGCACTAGTAGTGAGGATGGCAATTGGGTTAAGGAGACCTGCATTCACTTCCCTCCTTGCCGCGTTGACTTCGAGCAACCGGACGGCAGCACAATCTCGAATATTGTTAGTGAGGGCCCTGGTGGCGAGTTGCTTATGACGTACGCTTTTGAGTGGAGATACCCTGGTGTGGAAGAGAGAAGCGAAGAGGTAAAGAAGCTTCAAGATAAGGGTTGGAAGGTGAGGTTCCATTTCATTATTTATTTCTTTTGTCTCAGTGAAGGGGCGGCCAGTGGATTTATATTTCGCTCTTCCATCTTGCTAACCAGCTCTTTAGACAGCCAAGATGGCCGTCCACGGAAGTATCGATACCATTCGTCGACTGGTCGAAAATGGCGATATCCAGTGATTTCCCATGTGGGCACCACGAAATATTGCGACGTCGTTACTTTTGATTTATTTATCTTGGTTCTATAAGGGCGATAACGCGGATGTATCTCGTTTGGCCACGTCAAATCATCATACGCATAATTCGGAATTAGAATGAGAGGCTAGGTAACTAACTAGTCTGCTTCATGTAATTGCTCCTGCCCCGATTCCCGCATCGGATGTGTTCGTTTTATTATCAAGCGGGATTGGTCTCAGATCTACCTACCTAGGTAGGTAGGTATGTCTGTACTGCTCGGCAAACCGAAACGTTTTGGATCATCGTGCCATATGATCCTAGAACGACCCTTAAGCCCTTTCCAAGACCAAGCCTTCCCTTGGTCTTTTATGAATTCGCGTCGATCCTGGTCCCCAATGATGGGGAACCAATTATGCAAACCGGGATGCTTCCATGCCTTAGGGTCGTAGTAGCATTCGGCGTCATCCCATCTCAGCTCCTTTGAAGGTAGTTTATTAGAACTGTACGGATCGTCAGGGGTGTCGGAGTACATCCAGTCTGTGTGAGCTGAGAAATCGAGAGGGAGATAACTGGGAGGCGTGTTACCCCAAGCACTATACTTCAGGAGCCATAGCTTCGTCCGAAGTTCGTCGTGTGCGTGCCATGGCCATTGGGCTACCTCACTCTCTCCACGGCCAACAGCTTTGCTCTACGTCGAACCTATATTGCTAATAAGATATGTTGCCATTATAATCCATAGTCGTACATTATGGAGTACTTACAATTCCAATCATACAACCATGGCGCGTTCCATTGCGTATCGAGAATGAAGCGCTGGGCAGCATTCGTTTCGCGCCGTGGAAAAAAGTCCCACCAGAGTTGAACCCATAATTTTTGAATTTCACGGTCCTTTGGAATTCGGTAGAGTGTGGCAAAAGATGCCTCCATCATGTAGAAGACTCGTCTCTGTCGCGTGATTTCGGTGGCCGTGTATGTTTTATCTTTCAATTTTAGAGGCCACAATGCGGCATACGTAGCCATCCAGTTGATGAGGAGGTCGATGCCGGTGCTCATTTTAGATAGGAGTTTGAGAGAATCGAGTCGGCAGAAATCGAGCATCCTTTTATCCTCACTAATACATGTCTCGACGATATTGCGAGCGCTAGCGATAGGTAGGTCGGGAATGAGACGGGCCCGACATGCCATCAACGCCAATCTGACTACCAAGGGATCATCATCATCGAGGATTTCGATAGCAATACCGTAAGCAATGAAGCATTCATGCTCCTTGAGGATTTTCTGGAGCCTGCGTGAGGTTCGACCAAGTGATACGGCTGACTTGACGATTGACACGCTGGAAAATATATGAATGATTGTTTCGACGGGTAGGCGGTCGAAGGGGCCGCAAACTTCTTCTTTGGTCATGATAATGATAACCGTGGAAGACAAAATATTGTTGGCTTGGCGGAAGAACTCGTCGGTCTCGAAAATGTAGTTATTAATGCTGTCGCGACGTTCAGTTTGGTGAATTGAGAAGGGAAACGCCGACCCTTGAGTTTTCCTTTATCTATGTTAAAAGTGGGTTGGTTTGTGAAATTCACGGTGCAATTTGGATTCTACCTCAAGAGTTATCAGAAACAAACAAACTAGACTTAGTATGAAAAAATTTGCAAAGCATTGGCCCTACCTTGAAAGCTTTTCAAGGTGATGTTTGTACATCAAATCCAGTCTCACTGTGAATTTCTCCCCCTTCTTTACCTCTTGCCCTGAATGCCATAGCATTCGTTGTTGGAACACGAGGGCCCTGCCCATCTTGGGTTCGACGTCCAAAAATGCTTCATCCTTCACCTGCTGGTCATCGTTCTCTATATTTCCTGATTTCTTTCTCCCCATACCAACACGACTAGACCAGAACCTCGTCTCACCGCCCGAACTTCCACCGTCGCCCTGTCCTCCCGGCATGTCACTCAGGTAGATCTGACATGTGAGGAAGCTCTTTTCCTTGTCACTAGCAGAAAATAAGGCATCGCAATGAGGCTTGAAGTGGTTCCCAGATCGGTACCGCAAGAAGCTAAGCCTCTCATTGGCCCCGGAGAACCTCCAAACAGTTTTCTTAACGCCTTGACTGGCCTTCAGATTTGATGAGCCTGCGATATCCTCAGATAGTAAATCGCCCTTCTTCAAAGCTTTCGCTTCGTCGGGGAGATGCGGCGCGAGCCTTTCGGATAGGGCATTGGCCCATTCGGGCGAAACGGATAGAATCCGTTGGCACTCACGCCATGAATCACCGATGTTGAGAGCCTTCCAGTCGGAACCGGCAGATGCGATGATAGCAGCGCACTCTTCTGGCGTAAAAAGATTGTCTATGACCATTGCGAAGTACGGGCTGTAGTGATCTGCTAGTGGGGTTTCGGAGAAATCGATACGTGTTACCGTTACCGGAGGACCTTCGGGGCCTTGAGGGTTGAGAAGGGGACCCTCGCCCCGATATGCCTCGGAAGCCATGGTGACAAACGATCCATGAGTAACGGGATTATGATTTGTGACTGAATTTTTCACTAAGATTTAATATCAATATAATCAAATATAGAGATGATAGGGGGCCTGGTCCATGTTTTCGGTGACAAAACTGAACATCTTCAGTTTTTAATGAAGGGTTAGACTGGGAAGTAACGTGGTTGCAAAATCTTTATTTTTGTAATTTGTAGCTCGGGAGCACAATCAACGAATTATCGTTGAGGAAGTGTATGAGCTGAAATTATCCTCTGAGTCTAAGGAAGTTTAAAAGGGTTTATATACATGTTAAAGAAGGAATAGATATTGAATGAGTCACGATGGTGTGGATTGTGAAGGCGCAGTCGGCGCAGTTTAAGGTTGCTTATAGGGGTCGTTACTGCTGTAGATCATGCGTCCTAGGTACCTATCATAGGCATTCTTAGGTACGGGCTACCTTCCTAATTCACCACCCCCACGCAACCCCACTTGAATAACTTATTATTTAAGTTGTGCAAGGTATTTATGCTGAAACTGAGCAGACCATTTCTTAAAGAAGGGCCCCACTCTAACCCACCACTGCGACAACCCAAGAACTTTTGCTTCATTACACCACTCGTAAAAAAAAAAGAGCCTTCTTTTCTTTTGAAACATAACACCAACGCGAAACACCCTGACTTTTGCCTGGCGCAAAGTCCTACTTGAATTCCATCTAACGCACGACTACTAGCGAAAGTCCAAATCACCTTGGCTTCCTTTGTCAATCGTGCATTTGTACATTGATCGTCACGGGCTGCGACAAGCGACCAGCAACTAACAGCCCCTCCATACCTGCCTAGGAGATTGCTGCTTGGGTCTTTCCTAGATAATCTCTTCAACGCGAGCCTTCCGTATTCTTCATCTCCTAAAAGAAGAAGCAGCGTCATACGTACCTAGGGATCGTCGTAATTCCTTCCCTCGGCCAGAAAAAGATCTAGGCGCAAATATCCGCATCCGACTCCTCGTCTCAGAAACATCCTAGTCGCAAACACGCCAACCACCGATATCCCCCTTCGTCATCTAGACTCTTCGTCTACATCGATCGTATCTCCCCTTATTACCAAAATCACAATTCAAGATGTCCGAACAAGTCGACCTCACCACTATCCCCATCTCTCCTAATGGCGATAACTCAACGTCCAACGATTCCGACAGCGGCGGCAAGCTGATCACCGTGTTCCATGACAAGGATAACTTCAATGTCAAACACCCCCTCCAAAACAAATGGACTTTATGGTTCACTAAGCCGTCAAGCGGAAAGGTGGGTTTTCCTATTACCTATACGTTTGTGAGTTTTAGTACTGATATTATCTAGGGCGACAACTGGAATGATCTGTTGAAGGAAGTCATCACATTCAACTCCGTTGAAGAGTTTTGGGGTATTTACGTAAGTATCATTGTCAACATATTATATTGGTTTATATCTAATACACATGCCCTTAGAACAACATCGCTCCCGTCTCTGAACTTGCACTGAAGTCCGACTACCACCTATTCAAGGAAGGCGTACGACCAGAATGGGAGGACCCCCAGAATAAGCATGGTGGCAAGTGGTCCTACCAATTCAAGGACAAGCGCAATGTCGACATTAACGATCTCTGGCTACACACCATGCTCGCCGCGATCGGCGAGACCCTCGAGGAAGAAGACGACGGCGAGGTCATGGGTGTCGTCGTCAACGTCCGCAAAGCTTTCTACCGTATCGGCGTTTGGACCCGCACTATAGGAAAGAGCATTCCTGGCCGAGGAGATGGCGATGTGTCGGGCGGTAAGGGCCGCTCGGTTGAGAAGGGCCAGAAGATTCTGCAAGCTATTGGCAAGCAGTTCAAGGAGATTCTCAAGCTACCCCCTAACGAAGTTGTCGAGTTCTCGGGTCATACCGATTCTGCCCACAGCGGAAGCACAAGAGCTAAGGCTAAATTCACCGTCTAAGTTACAACTGCTCAGTTGTCTCGATGGACGGCTCCGACAAGAGCGGTGTTTAGATGGTCTCCGGCTTTTGACATAGATTAGCAGCTATGCCCCTCGGTAAAATTTGAGATCCCGAAGCAAAAAGCAAAAGGTCTAGCACGTTTGTTGCTAATACCAATGCGGGATGAGCTATGATTTAGGTGGTGAGGTGCAACGAGAGGAGATTCTAGACTATGGGGCGTCATTAGTACTTTTCGTCCTCTATCATGATACACCAAGTACCATTGGCGCCGGAGGGCAAGGATACGAAGGGAAATCCAGCGGAATTCACTCGTCACTTGCGGTGCCTTTTTATCTGCATATGTAGTGCTATGGCATCTCCTTTTCCCAGCAGATAGCAGGCAATATCAATTAATAAGCGAACCTTTCTACTAATCAACTGTAATGCGCATATGATTCGACATACCTTTCCTTAACTGATGGTTTGTCACAAGTATTAATGTCAATTTAGAGTAGAAACTAGGCATTTAACACGGCGGCGATCGAGCCTCTTTCATTCTAACTCTACGAACTGAAGGATAGATAAGGCCACCAGAAATGAAGTAGAGGTGTAAGAACAAGAAACGAGGGAAGTAGAAGATATCCTATATACAGGTCAAGCCATTGGAGGTGGAACGAAATAAAAGTATAGACATAAATTCCCGCAAGTCTTGATCTATCCGATCTCGATCTTCAGCAAGGAGGTATCCCATCCACCTATCATCCATCGTCACATATACATAATTTCTCATCTTTCTCATTTCATCTTTTCATTCCAATTTCTCGTCTGATTTGTCTTGCTTATTCGTCCTTCACATGTTGAAATTAGACAAGCTCGTTGACTTGTTCATTCTCATCTTGATGTAGTAGATACTTCCGCTCGCTCTCCATCCCCACAACTTGTTTGAGGACGTATTCTGACTTTATGTCCGGCTTCGCCTCTCGTTCATATAAACATATCCAAAAATCACAATACCGCCGACGTCCCCGTAGAACAGGGAGATTATAAATACCTATATAGTTTACCCAACCACATCATTACAACCCGACCCTCTATCATTCCCGTCCCCTTTACATTTCATCACCACTGAAGTCATCCAAGAAGACCTTTTGTAGAAGATTCTTCTTGTTCACCTTACCCATGGCGTTTCGCGGGATGTGCTCGACCACTCTCAAGACTTGGGGAATCTTGTAATTAGCCAAGCGGCCCTTGAGCGCGCGTCGCATATCCAACGGTCGCCATGAGGGGTAGCCGGGCGAGTGAATCACCACTGCGCCGACCTTTTGTCCCCATTTGCCTGATGGCACAGCGACAACGGCTGCTTCCGAGATCTCGGGTAGCGAAAGAAGTTCTCGCTCTACTTCTAGAGCAGATACCTTCTCACCTCCAGATTTAATAATGTCCGCGCTCTGGCGACCCAGGATATAGTATAACGGACCTTGTGCCCATTCCCCACTAACGCCTGTTCCAGCCGTTGTAGAGGGCCGGCGCACCGCAACATCACCAGTCTTGAACCAGGGCCCCTTGCCATCATCCGAAGGAATGAATTCCTTGGCCGTGGCAGTGGGGTTGGCCCAATACTCCCTGAACACATTTGCGCCTCGGAGTTGGATCTCGCCCGAGCGCTCCTTCCCGTCTTCCAAAGGAGGGAGATCATCTGTGATGATGGTGCTCGTCTCGTTGTCGACGAGGCGTGCCTCCACACCTGGTAAGGGCCAGCCGACGCTACCATCGACACGGTCACCGAAGTCGAGACCGCATGACAGTGCCATGCCGACTTCGGTCATACCATATCGCTCAAGTAGCACATTCCCGCGGCTGAGGTCCTTCCAGGCCCGCTTGACGGGTGTGGGGAGCGCTGCCGATCCAGAGATGGATACGCGCATGTGTTCAGGGCTGATGGCAATGCGACCGGCTTCAGCAACATTGGCAGGGAGCGTCTTGTGTGTTGAAAGTAATCGTGTGTACACCGTAGGCACCACGGTAAAGAATGTGATCTTAACCCGCGATAAGTTTTTGTACTTTGCTTCGTCGACCGGATCGGATTTGACCGCTGGCTTCGGTGGCTCGGGTTGTTTAACGGGGGCGGTTTCGACAATTGGAGTGCTGAGACCATTCGTAGACGCAATTGGAGTATCGAAACCGTTCGCCGATAAGGCCGGGGAGGGAGCCGCGTTGGTGGTTTGTTGGGAGATGGCCTGGTTGAGGCCGTTCGTCAGCGCGACGGGTTGGCTTGGTTGGCTAATCTTAGCGGCTAGGTTGTTGACTTCGGCTGCGAGGTGGCTGATGACGGCGGCGAGACGGCTGATCTCCGACGAGACAGGTTGACCGAATCCGCTTAGTTCTAGAGAGGGAGTGGTAGTACCATTGGTTTCTGTGACTGGAGTAATGTTTCCGTTAGCCTCGATGATTGGATTGTTGAAACCGTCTGTCTTCACGACTGGTTGGGGGAGTCCGTTCGTAATACCGTTGGGCTTAGCGATGCCATTCGCTTTGATTGGGCGGGCGACGCTATTCGCAAGGCCGTTCGTCTTCACTGGCTCAGGAATCTCGGTCGTCTTGGCCACAGCAGCTGCAACCTGGGGCGAATCCAAGAATGGGCTTGCGAACCGTCGCCATACAGTGTCGGCATTGAACGGGAACAGGAATTCGATGCTGCTACCTGCAAAGAGTGGCGTGAGCACGGCGTTTACGGTGCCGTGGATGTGGTGCAACGGGAGCACATGGAGAAGTCGGTCTGATGGTGCATATTTCCATGCTTCGATCAGGGCGCGAGCCTGGGCTGTAAGGGCGGTTTCCGGCAATAGTACTCCTTTAGGTCGGTTGGTGGTGCCGGACGTGTAGAGCATCATACCGGCGCCCTCCGCATCATCGTCTTCTAAGAGTGTGACCGGCTCAAAGGTTTCCGAAATTGCACCGAGACGCTTCGGTAACTCGACGGGGGTGGGCGAAGGAGTGACGTCGAGTTCCTTACTCGGGGTAGATAGGACTTCGTCGACTTTCGCGGCATACTTTGGCGAGTGCAACAATAGTATGGCTTGGGATTGCGATAGGATGTATTGTAATTCGGGAGCTGGGAAAGGAGGGGATAATGGCAAAGCGATTGCGTGCGCTGCTAAGATAGCGAGGTATGTGACTAAGTTACGAGTCAGTAAACAGTTCCGAAGAGTTGTAAATACAATTAGAAAGATATTCGATGCGCTAGCAACTAGATAATACATACCAACATAATCGTAACTGTTCTCTATAAGAAACGCAACTCGTTCACCCCGGATGTCCGATTTTCCTGCCGCTTCGAGTATGCGGTCACGCGCGCGACTCACATCTGGGAGGAGTTCGCCATACTTGAAGGTTCGACGGGATAGACAATGGACGATGGCTGTTGATTGTGGGTTATGACTGGCGATAGCTTCGAAGATGGGTAATTTGGGGAGCGTCAGAGTGGAAGCCATCCTGACGTGGGTGGTGGTATATTTGCCGAAGTGGTGGAGGGGAGAAGAGAGATTAGGGGGGTTTGGCGAGGGACAAGGACGTGGGACGTGGGCAGCAGCAGAGGTATATGTAGCAACAGGATTAAAAGCAGAGGTAATAAAACAACCGCTTATACGATGCGTGGCTGAAAAAGACCGAAACAGCAGAGATGATGACGACGATGGTGCATTAACAATAAGATGAAGCCCAGTACCACTCAATCGCATCACGGGGTATAAAAAGGGAAGCGGGAAGATCTAGGAAATAAGTAGTTTCACAGCCGCGCGCTCTTCTTTTTTTCGACATCCATATGGATAACCACTCCCCATGCAGGATCCTCTGAATAGGCAGGAGGATGAGCCGGAGTATGGATGGGGGAATATGGGTATTTGAAATACCAAGAACTCGCGAGCAGGGGGTGTATAGAGAGAATAGATGGAGACAGGTACTGTAAATCGGCTCAGTCAGATCCGTGATAGGTCTAAATGGGTGCGTTCTAGGCGTGAAAGATAGTGGCGGTCGAGGGGGGTTCAAGGGTGGGAATTGGGACACATACAGAATTATCGGACAATTGTTTATGAATTATGACCGAGATCATCAAATTGGTTGTTTAAAACAAGGGATGGAGAAAGCATATACACAAGGGTGGTAACATAATAGTAAAGAAAAAAAAGGTATGGATGAAGCTCACCTCACTATGATTCTCACATACCTAAGGCTAGCTGGGCTGGCTGCTAAGGCAGTTAAGGTAAGAGAGTGGATAAGTTCCAAGTGTGGGACCTGAGTTATTGTGATTGTTGAGAATTCTCGGGGTCGCTTTTTTGACCGTAAATTGATATGATTGGTCAATTAGTTTCAGCGACGGTTAGCTCTTCCCGGTCTACCCTTGTCACGCATCGGCCGGCCGAAAATATCCTAGTCCATCACCCCACCGTTTCATACTCTAATTCTCTGTACGTACCCTAGGTACCTACCACTCAGTATTGTACCTACTGAAAGTGACTGAAAGTGGGCTGTCTCACTACCATTTTCATTCTTAGATCTTTTACTATTCGCCGGCGTATCGTCTTCACTGATACCCTACCTACCCTTTTTAGTCCACACCATATCTCATCGGGACTTTAAAAGAATCGATCCTTGGGGCTCTATTCGAGAACTACCCTAAGAAGAAAGACTAAAAGGAAAGAAAAGTAGGAAAAAACAAGGGTAACCCTACATAGTGTACATGCACATGTTGCAGAAACACGTGCGAATCTGGACCAGCAAGGCAACCAGACAACTCGCTACTATGGCATCATCAGCTACGTCCAATACGCCGATGGAAGATGCCATTCGGGCCAAGGTGAGTTTGCACACTCAGCTCTGCCTCCGACTGAGTACAACATAGTAAGCCGTCTCACTAATCCGTTTACTATCTTATCACTCAGATCAACGAGGCACTCCAGCCTTCTCGCTTGGAGATCTTTAATGACTCCCACAAGCACGCACATCATGCCCCAATGGCGAAAACCACATCCAAGGAGACACACTTCAGACTGGTAGTCACCTCCGAGGCTTTCAAGTCCAAAATGCAACCCGCTCGGCATCGCATCATCTACCAACTGCTCAAGGACGAGATGGCGAAGGAGGGAGGTATCCACGCTCTTCAGCTGCGGACTATGACTCCGGAGGAAGAACAGCGGGTACGGGAAAGAGAGCAACAGAGCTCGACTCATGCGGAGACAAGCTGAAGAGGAAATCCGGGGCGCGGGGGATAATCGATATGTACGATACGAGTGTGTTCATGGGGATATCCTTAATTTAATGAAATATTTATTAATCATGGCTCATGGTGTTGGTGAGTATACGATGCTTTATAAATTTGATTATGAAATTTCTTTGAGTAATGAGGGGTGTTCATCGAGAGTTGAGCCCAATGAGCCTCTATCATGCCATAATCTGTAGAATGGTTTGGGATGGAACAGAATGTGGGTAGCCTCGTCTGTATTGCAATCTGTCAAGGGCGTTCCTTTAGAACCTTCCAATAGTAAGACGATTATGTAGGTTGATATGCATGTATTTTCTATTAAGGACCTAGGTACTTAGTTACATAAGTAGTCCTGGCACTCATCGGGCATCAAGCAAAACCTCTTTGATGGGAAATCCCGTTTCCACAAATGATAATAAAACAGGGTATCTTTGGCTCTATGAGCCTACTATGCACGCAATAACTCCTAGTGCCACAAGCAGAAACGCCCTATACCTCTTTCTTACACTACTATTCATTCTCTCTGACCGGAGGTCGGCGTATTGCTTACAGGCGCGGAGCTCGCAATGCCATCCATTTCCCGCTGCCTTCGCTTTATTACGAACTTCTCCCAGTCTCGAGCTCTCTTCAAGGGGTCGTTATCGTATCTCTTCTTCTTTTTCTGGCTGATGGGATACAAAGAGGGAAAGGGGGATCCAGGAGGCTCAATCATGCTGGCGTTACTCCCCGAGTCGGATCCGGCGAGCGAATTGACTGAAAGTCTCTTCGATGCACCATTAGTTAGGTCCTTGCTGGCTTTCCTTTTATGGTAAGTAGCCTCAGAAAGCGATCGTTGGAGCCCTTTGGATGTAACAAGCTTTTGATCAGCTTCACTCATTGACTTATGAAGCTGTATGATTTTTTTGCTTTCTTGGTGTAGCGTGGAAATGGCTGGTTTTGGCATGAGACGCAGGCCATCTCCGACCATTTTGGGGCTCGTAATGGGTGAATCTTCAATTTTCACCTTAACATTCTGCGTACCGTTATCCTGTGAAGTCGATCTATGGCTCCTAGCCAAAAGAGCCGCATCTGGGGTGCTTATCGCTGTCTCGGAGCCTCGTATTTTGGGTGTGCCCAAGGTACTTTGAATCAACTGAACCTCCTCGGGATAATGCTCAAGGGTTGACTCGAGATTTTGCCTCGTAATGACCCGTGAAGTGTATAATGGATCATCATCTATGTTATTGTACCATTCTATTGCATTTAGAGCCTTCACGGGAGGGTCTGAGTGGTCGCAATCTCTCACATACTGTTCATACCCTTCGTTCCAAGCTCGAATGAAGTCATCGTACAACGATGTCCGTATTCGCCACCGTTGTAATTGCAGTTGCTGTTGAATGTATACACACGGCTTCAAGAAGTCGCGGAGACTGCCCTCGTAATTTATATATGTCAAACAGTAGCGGATGAATGGTTCATGCGACGCAGACAGTGGCAGAGTAACGGTTGATGGCGTAGTTTGGGCAATAGGTGGTGCAAGTGGCGAAGATCTAAGTCGCGGTGAAGTTGGTCTGTACTCGGGGGAAGATCGTCGGGTCGGCGGAGATGTTGGGGCACTAGGATCTTCACGATTGATGGGTGACTCCTTGGATGTGGAAATCACTGGATTAGCACGCCAGACAGGCAGGCGACCGTTTCCTGGAGTCCGAATGGGTATCGTCGATGGTATTATAGAGGATGATGGGTTCATTGTTGAAGTGGAGCCTTGGCTGTCGGTTGAAGAGTGGTCTGGCTTTGCGCTGTCTGCTTTACGATGCATTAAAGATGACGATTTCTCTCCTGGGCGATAGAATTTGGGGGTTTTGTAAATCCTTTGTTCTTTTCCCTTTGTCTTCGAGAGTGTAGATGATTGCTCCGACTGTTGAAAGGTACATGGTATAATCTGGGCAGAAGTCGGCGTTGTAGATTTCTGAGCAGCCAATGTATTGAGAGGAGGAATTTTATCACCAATTGCAGTTGGTACTTCGATATCCAGGGTCTCCTCTTGTTCCTGACTGCTTGGTGGGAAGGGTGGTAATGGTTTTCTTTGGATAGGTGTAGGTACTGTAAGTCGAGGAGAAGAAATGGGTTGCTGTAACTGGGTGAGAAATTGCTGTCCATTGTCTTCACTGCTTGCCGTCCGGATTTCCCTGGGAGGACGCTTGTGCGATTCGGGACTCTCTGCCCAAGAACACGTTTCCTCGGCATCACTGTTGTCACCATCGTTACTATTAGCATCAGGCTCAGAATGAGCGACTTGCGACGAAAAAGAGACGGCATCCTGTTCCTTCTCGTTATTATCTGATTCTTCTTTTGGATCGTCCGGGGAGCTCGGCTTATCCGACTGCGTTGGTTGTAATTGTCTAGCATGGCAGTTTTTTAGATTCTCTAGTACTTCGGGGGGCACGTTTAGAAAACGCTTAGGGCCAACATTAAGGAATTGTGCCCATGATTCCTGTCGATCTAGAAGTTTGCGTTGGTCTCGTGGAATTCTGACTAAGTGCCGTCGTATATGTGTTTCCCCAAAGAACTCGGGCGGATCGAGTTGGGGATCCCCGCCCAATTTCAGATTTGTCGCCATATTCAATTGATGGTTTTACTATCCATCAAGATGCACCAAATTTGAGGCTCCAAAGTATTCGACCGAACATCTTCATTTCTTAAGTGCCCGATTATTTTTGTCGACGTTGGGTGACGGGCCCCGTCAATGGAAATAAAGTAAAGTGTCAGAGTGTTGAGCGCGTTTTGGAGCGCGTGGGAACATTAATAGGGTGGGGTCAAAGCTCCACGATCAAATGCGAGATCACGTGCATAGTGCATATAGTTCCGAGTCAGTGGTTCAGCAGCTTGGACCTACTTCCAAGTTGAAGTTCAGCTGACACTGCGGGGCACTAACTCGTTCTTTAAGCCCGGACTATACACCCATTTACAGAAGACTTACAGCTAAATATAAAGTACCGCGCTAGTTATAGCGGACAATGACGGGAATACGTCAGGCAGCTGCCACTTGAATCAAACGGTGAAAAGTGGAGCCGCGGGCTGGATAACGCTTCCTCGTGCCCGCCTCTTGCGTCGGATTTTCTGACTGGTCTTCGACTTAGACTTTATTTCTTTGCAGCTTCCAAAGGACCCTTACCCCATGTAAAAGGAAGGTTTATTCTCGTTTTTTTTCATGGCAACTGCTGCCACGCGTTGCTAATCAAGTTTATGTTTGATTTTGTTTGATTTTGCGCAGTTTAAGTCAAGTCTGTTGTTTCTTGTTTTCAATCATATGCGCGAACACCAACCCACTAGGAACCTCTGCTCTTCGATGACAAGATTGCTTATAGCTATAAGGGTAGACATTGATAGGCAAGCTTTATGCTGTCTACATGGATATGTATAGTTACAATTAATCAACTCACATTCCTCCCTTCTTACTGACGGCTATTGTGTATTGGCTTAGTGTCTTGATAAATCTCATTGCGTCGCTCATGTCTCAAACCGATCATCGTCATGTCTGACAAGAAGCCTCCCCTAACTCCGCTTTCTCCCCCAACGATAGCTTCTGTCCCAAAATCTCGCGATGATTCTGTTGCTTCGGGCTCTTTTATCCCTCCCGAGATCGACAAAGACCAACTCGCTGAAGCGCTCGACAAAATCCATACCTCGGCAAAAGAAAGAAGCGTCCTGACCACCTTCAACGACCTTGCCCCGCCTCCCGATAGTACTGCTGCTGCCGAAAGCAAGGGACTCGCTGGTGATCTGGTGCAAAATGGCTTGAGTGGACTTTATTCTCGAATCAAAGAGGCGGTCAGTGGGAAGGATAAAGTGACTGCATCTACAGTTTCGAAAGAGAATTCCGATCTGAATGATGGCGATGCGGCATCCAAAAAGAGCTCAAGTACTACCGCCACTGGCCCCAAGCCATCCAACACTTTGCTGCGTGTGGATACAGGGGCTACTACATCAACTTTTAATTCGAATATATCCGACCCTATGGCTTCTACCATCGCATCTTCAAGCGCAGCCCCAACGAGTGAAAGCCAATCTCAGCAGCCCCAGTCCACGATAGCTTCATCCGTTACTAATCTAAACACGGCCCCCAGCTCCAAGTCTGCGTCTTCGAGTCGCCAAAGTATACCAAATATGACAAAACCAAGCACCACCGCTCTCCCCGCTATCGCGCCCGTACATGCTAGTGCTTTCAAGGCAGCGCCGCGGATTGTATCGGAGGAAGCCGAAGATGCTCCGAACAAGGGGAACAATAGGAGGAGTATTAGCAAGCCCAAAGACGGACAGCCTGCTGGTCTGGCTTCCAATGCATCATCACTCTATGATTCATCGGGGAACAAACGTGGTCCAACTCTTGACAAAATTACTATCCCCGCCCATTCTAGCCACTCAAGACGGGAGGAAAGATTGAGCGCAGATGGGAATACAGATTCTCCTACTAGCCCTATAAAGAGGTCGAATATCACGCCGTCTGTTTCTACTGGCCCGAACTCAGCTACCTCGGAGCCTCACTTGTTATCGAAATCCGGCCGACTTTCTACCAAGGATGCTCTAAGACGGCCAGCTCTTATTGACCGAATCAGCTATTCTCGAAACTCAGGCGACCTTTCGAGATCTTCATCCCTATCCCGAGGCACTACAGAACATAGTCCCATAAGTACATCTGCCCACAATAGTGTTCACCATGAGTCATTTGTGCAAGTTCCTGAACCTCAAAGGATGAGGTCAGGTGAATACAGAATTCCGGGTACAACTACTGACGAGGGTGCTCCGGAGATGGTCAATGCAAAATTAGCTTCTATGCGAAAGCAAGTCCTAAGTAAAGAGTTCTGGATGGCCGACGAGACTTGTAAGGAGTGTTTCCTGTGTGCCGCTCCATTCACCGCCTTCCGCCGTAAGCACCACTGTAGGACTTGTGGTTGTATTTTCGATAGCGGTTGTACATCTATTATATCAGGTCAACGATTTGGCGTCCAAGGCACCTTGCGTGTATGCAAGTCCTGTCTCAGTATCATTCTCCAGAGACAAGACGGGGCATTGTCTGATGAAGACTCGGCCGATGATTCATATTTACCCGCAATATTTCGCCATAATCAATCCAAACGTGGATACTCTCCATTTCCAAAAGGTGACCGGGACGATGCTAGCTTTTCTGAGAGGACTGAAGACGCCGATGATGATAACAGGTCACTATCCGCGCCAATGATGGCGATTCCTGCGGCTAGGCGTATTGGGAGTTCCTCGAACCGCAACTCATCCGTGCTTGAGATTGATGCCCCTCAGCTCAGCAGACCGAGCTCATCCAGATCCTTGAAGTCGAGTACTTCTAGTAGGCCCCAGTCTTCTGGTCATCGACGCCATCACTCGAAGCACAATTTATGGAATCGCCTCAAGGCTTCTCCCGAGCAAAGGGCACCATTCCGGAATTCTGCAAGAGAAGAAGCAAGTAGGAGGTCTGGTTTACATGCTTTCCACGATGACAATGTCATCGACCCGGACCTAGCCCCTTTCATGTCGGATGAGTCTAGTGGTGATGAACAAATGAGCATTGCTGGAGCGATGGCCGGGCCTGATCTTCGTGCGTCACCTATGACGGATCCTGAAAGGTCGAGTGTTGGGGCGCTCGTAAATGCTGGAAGGAGGATTAGGAATAGAGCACAGACAGAGAAGAGTATTAGTGGAATGAGTTTTACTAGCCGTGGTCTCGACGAATTACATTCAAAATCGTCCCGACGGCGAAACATGAGTATTGCTAGTGGGCCCCACGTCCGCTCTCCTCGGCCTAAATCCTCAGCACTGAGAGGCCCGACCGGATCAGCTGAGACACTCCCACTATTTGACAACCCTGGAGGGCCCGAATTACCACGTCTTACTCGCAGTTCATCAATGAAAGGAGAGAGGGAACCTCGATTAGAACTTAACCCGGCGAGCTTATTGCACGTCCGAAAGCTCTTGCGGCAATTGCTCCAAGACGACGGCGTGCCAAATGTAACAGCGTGGGAGAAAGCATTAGTACCAGTACTTCTGAAGTGTACCTCTTCGGTAGACCCCGATATCGATAGGGGAGATGACATTGACATTCGACACTATGTCAAACTGAAGAAGATTCCTGGTGGTAGACCTAGTGATACCTGTTATGTCTCCGGTGTTATATTCACGAAAAAGCTCGCCTTAAAGAGTATGCCGCGCCGCATGCGGCATCCTCGCGTTGTAATTGTATCTTTTCCCATCGAATATCAACGGCAGCAGCAACAGTTTATGAGCCTACAGCCGGTCATCGAACAGGAGCGGGAATTCTTAAGGCAACTAGCCAATAGGATTATCACTCTTCGTCCTCAGTTATTACTAGCTGAGAAGAGCGTATCGGGCCTCGCATTGCAATTTTTGTCGGAAGCGGGAATCTCCGTTGCTTACAACGTAAAACCCTCAGTGCTCTCTGCCGTTTCGAGATGTCTGGAAACCGAAATCATTTCTTCCGTAGATATGCTGGCACTGCCTACGAATGACTTTCAGCCTGGAAGAAGTACAGGCTACGAAGTAAAAACATTCGTCAACGAGGACATTCCTGGTAAGAAGAAGACATATATCTTCTTATCTAGTAATCAGGAAGAGCTTGGATGCACGATTGCTCTTAGAGGGGCATCCACGCCTATCCTCGCGAAGCTCAAGCGTATAACTGAGTTCATGGTGTATGTGGTATATAACCTCAAGCTCGAATCGTGCTTGATGCGGGATTCGTTCATTCAACTCCCCACCAGCGAAGACATATCGAGGGATTCTACCCAACCTTCAGACGCAAATGTAATTTCTTTCAGCACAAAAACATCCACTGCTAGCGACGACGGGCAGAAGAGTCTACCCACGACTCAAGATGAAACGCCTTCGAGCCAAGAAGATCATTCTAGCAAGATAGCTGAGGCGATGCAAGGCAGCGCAATACCGCAAGATCAGGCTCTCTCACAGTCCATCCAACAAAATGACCAGTTAATTTCGCTTCACGAATCACACTCCCGAACGGCCCACGATAGTATTGTCCCGGAAGATATTCCCATGCCCACGTTTTACAGCGATATGGTAGCCAAGTACGAGACAAAAATCCTTTCCGCATCCCCGTTTGTAAAGTTCGCACAACCATATCTGCTTATGAAAGCTCGGGAACAGGAAAGGAAACTTTCACACTTAAAGCGCTTGCGGGACCAGGATGTCATCGACGAACGTATCGATACCGAGAAACCAAATCTCCAGAAGTTCCAACTAATAAAACCTCGGATGGTACTCGAAACTGCCCACAAAGCCCCACGGCAAGTCATAGAAATTCTCCATGCAGTTCATGATGCCGAATATGATAAGGCTCTTTACAACTATCAGACGCAGACCCGACAGTGGGAGAACTATATCCAAGGCAACATCGGTCTTTTCGAACCCTATGCGCACCAGAATATCGTCGTCTTGCATTCAATTATTTGCACTGAAACCAAGATTCCATGTTTGGAGCCGACCCTAGTCGCGCTTGGCTTTTACGACGAACATGTCGACAGGGCTAGCAGCATGTCTCCCGATTGCACGCTGGGCCAGTTCATAGAAGATCTTTGTTATACTGTGGATTCGACGTGCACGGCTAATGGTTGTGACCGTAAGATGTGCGAGCATCATAGAACTTACGTTCATGGTGAAGCGCGCATTACAATTTTTACCGAGCAGGATGTTAGGGGTAGACTCCGCGGTGACAATATTATGATGTGGAGCTACTGCAAGCTGTGCAAACGGGAAACAAGTGAGATGGAGATGTCTAAAGGAACCTGGAAATACTCTTTCGGTAAGTATCTCGAATTGTCGTTTTGGAGTAGGGGCACACATTTAGTCAAAGACGAGGAAGCCGATGGCTGGAACTGCCCTCACGACCACCATCGCGACCATATTCGCTATTTCGGAATGCACGACAAAATCGTCCGTGTCCATTACGACCCCATTGACCTCTTGGAGATTATTGTTCCCCGAGCTAGGATCACATGGAATGTCGAACACGATCTCAACATGAAGAATGAGATTTTTACTCATGCGCAGGATCGATGGGCCCGATTTACGGCTTCCGTAAAAGTTAGACTGAAGGCTATCAATACGGATAATATCCTTCCTGAGAAAGCAGAACCATGCAAGGCCGAGATGGAACGATTATGGAAAAGGATACAAGATGACCACACCTCGCTCGTTCGAAAACTCCAGGAAAAATATATGAACTCCAAATACTATGAGGTTATTCCATTCAACATTGTTCTCCGAGAGATGCTTGTCAAAGTAAACGAGTGGGACACCGCCTTCGCAAAATTCGAGGTCGATTTTCTACCTTCTGATAAAGATATTCGAAAGTTAACAATGATTCACCTACGTAAAATGTTCACCGATGAATCGAAGGAGTCTCTTTCTAGCAATGATATTTCGAATGAGACAACCGACAACACTGAAGAGAGCACACAGACAAGCGTGCCAGAGAGCGAATCCAAACCGGATTCTCAACAATCAGAAGCTGTGACTGATACATCGCCCCTTGACACCATCCAAGAGAAGACACCTCTAGATGTTCCGCCCCAGGAAGAAACGTTGGAACGAGTCGAGCCGCTAGACCTTGCAACGCCGAAATCTCCCGTGCCCGCCAGCTCTGTCCCAAATCGGCCAGATAGTCATATTGAAATCCCCTATGCGTCCCCTCCGGCAAAAGCAACTTCAACTCCGATTGTATCTCCTAATCTCGCTGCGACGTCGACGACCACCGTGCCGCCGACGATATCGTTGACCGAGCAAGTTGAGCAAATTCGCCGCCGACAGCAATCAGTGCCTGAGAACTCTAGTGGTGTATCTACGGTTGGTAATGAACCAAAGACGCTCGCTAATCATCCAAAGACGACAACAGAACGCGGCTCTTCTCGTAGAATGGGAATGAGCGTGTCCCCACCCATGGTTCGTGCGCTATCGCATCCGGTGAATAGTGTGCCAACCCTACCTCGCATGCATTCTGGGATCGGCGGGAAAAAGATGTTCAGTGCCAACAAAGACAAAGATAAAGTGTCCTCTATCGAGGCGCCGCCAGGAAATGAACTCCGAAAGGTTCCTACCAATGAATCCGCCAAGTCGGAGAAAAAGCTCTTCAGCAGTTTGCGACCTCACCGCAAGGGGAACCAATCCTCTATCCCACGCTTTGTTGGTAAGAAAGATTCAAGAGTTTCCACCATTCGAAAACATTTCGAGCAGCTTAGCCGAGAATTCGAAAAGGAGCGCGAGAAAGATCGCGAAAAACGAAAACAGAGAATGTCGCATTCAAGACCTTTCCTTCAACATACTACAACTAAGGCCATAGTCGAGGTATACGAAGATGTAGACGAGGCCGTGCAGGAACCAAGTCCCGTCGAAGAAGAACAGCCGGTTGCGGTAGAACCAGGTGGCTCTAAATCAAGTGATGGCGTAGAAAACAAGGAGCATCAATTAGCAAGCGAACCCGGCAAAGACTCATCTCATGACGCACAGTCTCTCAAGGACGGCCACCGTCGCGCCGATGGAGCTACAACTGAGGGCGAAGTAGACGATCTAACGCAAAATAATAGCCTAAACGCGACAGATGACGAACAGGGAGAGAGCGATACCGAACACTCGTTGATTGACGGCACCACGCTCGAAGAAATTGCTGAGTCATTCGACTCTAGCACAGAGATTCCAATGGAATTACCGAAACAAGATAAAAACAACTTCATGAAAGTGCTTAATACCTTCTGGAACGAGCGGTCAGCTAGTCAATGGCCTCCGTTAGAATACCCTCTCAACGCAACCGACCACATTTTCATTGATTCCGATATCATCGTCCGAGAAGACGAGCCAAGCTCTCTTATTGCTTTTGCTCTCAGTTCTGAGGATTACAAAGAAAAACTACGGAATTCCTACCAGAAGAAGAATGTCGATAGTGAAGCATCTTCGGAAGTAGGAGATGACATCGTAGTGTCCGACGCGTACTCGGATATCGGTGAGAATATCCTCGGCGATCAATTAGAAACGAAACTCGTCCACACCACGAGCCGTCATTATCAGTACCAATTCACCGAAGGGACGGCGAAAATGTCTGTCAAAATCCTATATGCAGAGCAGTTTGATGCCTTACGAAGGAAATGTGGCGTGGCTGATCGTATCATTGAATCCCTGTCCCGATGTCTAAAATGGGATTCGAAAGGTGGTAAAACAAAGTCAGTCTTTTTGAAGACGCAGGACGATCGACTGGTAATGAAGGTAAGACAAAGTTGAATTCCCTTTTATAAGGGTACACAAGCTAACTATTCATAGTCATTGTCGCCAGTAGAACGGGATGCTTTCCTTAAATTTGCCCCAGCATATTTCAGCTTGATGGCTGAGGCACTTTTCCACGACCTCCCATCGGTGATCGCCAAAATGCTGGGGTTCTTTCAAGTTTACATAAAGAACCCTGTTACGAGTACAGAAATCAAACTTGACTTGCTTTTAATGGAGAACCTATTCTACGATCGGGCTCCAAGCCGAATATTTGACCTGAAGGGTTCGATGAGGAATCGAAAGATACAATCAACAGGAGAACAAAACGAAGTCCTTCTCGACGAGAACATGGTAGAATATATCTATGAATCGCCACTGTTCTCGAGAGAGCACTCAAAGAAACTTTTGCGGGCATCAGTCTGGAACGATACACTCTTCCTCGCTCGTCAGAATGTCATGGATTACTCTCTTATGATCGCTGTCGACGAAACTAAGAAAGAATTAGTCGTAGGCATTATTGACTGCATCCGAACATACACTTGGGACAAGAAATTAGAAAGTTGGATCAAGGATCGCGGTTTTGCAGGTGGCGGTCGCAACAAGCCAACAGTAACAAGTCCAAAGGAGTACAAGTCAAGATTCCGGGAGGCTATGGCAAGGTATGTTGCTTTCCTATTAACAATTCGAGGGAATTATAATACTAATCTTAAGATCAGGTATATTCTCGAAGCACCGAATTGCTGGCACCAATTCCACGTGCCATTGCTCGCATCTTCGAGACCTCCACGGGGAGAAGTTCGTGTTGTACGAGAAGACGAAGCTACCACTGCAGATGCAGGCGCGGCATAAATCTTACATTACTTTTTTTTTTTTTTTTTTTCAAGGAGTACATCAGGCATAGCATTATTGTACGAGTGATGCATATTGGAACTTTCGTTACGGAACGAGTTACGAGGCGTTTGGGGAGTGGTTTTAAAATGGACGAACACAGGGCAACCTACCTTATTAGTATGAAGATCTTTACGAGAGGCATGTCGAACGAAGGAAAGCATCATGCAAGCTAGGAATTTGTAAAGGCATGGTTTGATTTTCCATTTCTCATTCTTTTTAGTTACTAGTCGATACCCCCTTTTAATGATGAACACGATGATTTTGAGCTGTATTTTGGGTGCTTGTGATGACCTATTGCAGTGAAGGTTTAGCTCTTTAGCGTTACAGGTAGCTCTACAATCGCCGCTCAAGACTGATTTTACAGCTCTTAGGTAAGGAAAAGAGCCAATCAATGAACAGATATGTAGCTGTAGGCACCTAAAACAGTTGGAAGCTCCGCGCTAAAGGACATTGGTGGCAGTGGACCCACAGGCACTAAAACAGCATTTACTGCTCTTGGTTCGCTTTTTGATGCTTGATCCAGAAACATCTCATCTCACGAAAATGAATCAAGCTCATCAACATTACAAATAAAATCGTCTCTTCCCATCTCATCTCATCAGCAATATAAGAAATAAAGGCGCGACATAATTATCAATTATAATGAGATCCAGGATAATACATAATCACAGACCGCTACCCTCATCATGTCCATAGACCTGAATTGGGAGACGCTGACAGGCGGACCTGATGGAGCGGCACTCGCCGAACGGATCCGCGATTTCATCCACGTCAAGTTTCAGTCGGTGCCGCTACCACGCTTCATTAAGTCTGTTACAGTCCACGACTTTGCATTCGGCGATATACCGCCGAGTATTGTGTTGAAGGATATATGTGACCCACTACCAGACTTTTACGAGGAAAACTCGGATGTATCCGATGAAGATGACGATGAAGAGGAAGACGAGGCGAATTTCCAGGATGAGATGGGAAAGCATGGACATGTGAGCGCGGAGGATGTGTCTGATGCGATTAAAGCCGCGGAGCGAAGGAGAAGAGCGGATCAGATTCGTAGATTGGAGGGTAGGGGTGGGAGTGGACGCAGGGGTGAGGGCGGAGCTGCGACGGGCGCTTACAATCTGGAAGGTCTTTATCCGCCGCATATTCATGTCGCTGGCTTGCGGAGCGCTCCTGGAACGCCCGACATAGCGAACCCGTTCCTTGGACTTGGTGGGCCGAGTCCTGGTGTGCCTGGTGGTACTGCTAATATGCACTATTTTCAGTCGAAACTGGCTACGAATTGGTCGGGTACACAGACACCGTTAGCGGCCGTCGCAGGAGCACAGCATCTAAACGGCTGGCTGGATGCAGGAGGGCCGCATTCTCCCTCCGAGGCAAGATATGCACCAAGCCAGCGCAGCAGACACGCATCACAGAGTTCTATATCAGTAGCAGATTTCCATCCACCCCTAGCCCCAGTCTCAACATCACTCGCACCCGGACAGCATCCTCTTAGGGAGAAACACAGCGTATCAACACTTGCACCTACCTCAGCTGGAGCTTCACGACCGCCTACTAGGGATACGACGGCCGGACACCCACATGCACATTTTGGGAGCTCATCCCGGTTCAGCGAAACATTGTATAGTCCTAGCTCTGGCGTCAATGATAATGAATCGGCTGTGGAAAGCGAGGGCGAAGAAGAGGGCGAGGAGGAAGAACCAAAGAAGTTCCGCGAGCCTAGAATTGATGACTTACAAGCGGTGTTCCGCATCAAGTATGCGGGGGATGTTAAGTTGATGTTGACGGCTGAGATCTTACTTGATTACCCGATGCCTAGTTTCGTGGGGATACCGGTTAAGCTGAATATCACGGGGCTTACGTTTGATGGGGTTGGTGTTGTGGCCTACATTCGAAAGCGTGTGCATTTCTGCTTCTTGAGCCCTGAGGATGCACTCGCCGCTGTGGGGCAAGATGATGATGAGAATGATGGCGACGTGGACGGAAATGAATATAGTGCCGGCCCCGCCAGTGTACAGAATCAGCATAGGGGAAGGTTAGGAAGTTTGCTACAGGAAATCAGGGTCGAGAGCGAGATTGGTCAGAGGGAGGGCACCAAGCAGAGTCTCAAGAATGTGGGTAAGGTGGAAAAGTTCGTCCTTGAGCAAGTCAGACGGATATTTGAAGAAGAGTTCGTGTATCCTAGTTTCTGGACGTTCTTGGTATGAGTACCCAGGTAGACAGGATATTTGAACAATACTTACTCCTTCGTACACTAGAGGCGTGTCTATTATGCAAGTTCCCTAGCGACGACTCGCTAAATAAGTTGAGAGTTGAGCGGCTTGGCTATCCTAAGTTCAATTCGTAATATAGCTCTTTTCGTCTAAGACTCCGGTAATTATTTCAGCGTCAATATATATTGACCCAAGTAGACACCCAACGCTCAGTCTATTTCGCCGTATATCCGTACCTAAATACGTGTAGGATTTCCCATCCGCCATCACAGTGTTAGAATAATCCTCGAGTTATGATAAGTCAACTATAGTGCTAACCGATCATAAAATGACCATCTCAAAGTGATCTCGTGCATACACCCATCGGCGATGCTTCCGAAACCCGAAACTCTCTAGAAGATATGGTCTCAGTATTACTACTTGGGCTTTAAATCGTGTATCTATATTAACGCCCATACCGCTCTAAATGACTACCTAGCTGCCTAGGTACCTAGATGGGTATGTTTGAATGCCATTTCATAAATCGACTTAAGTATCATAGCTTAGCATCTCTCACCTGGGGGATTTGTTGTTGAGAGCTGGCGCCTAGGTGTTCTACTAACAATCGCGCCACCCCCTCAGCAACCCCCCAACTTAACTCGTAACCACGCCCGCCCAAGCCATAAGCATGGATGATTTGCTTTCCCCCTTCTGCCGTCTCTTTCTCTAATCTCATTCCACCCTTTCGAGTTGGCCGTCGACCGACAATATCCCTAATTACAGTGAATTTACCTTCACGACCCAGAATCTGCGGATAGGTAGCAGCAAACTTCCGTAGAAGCGTCTCGCGGACCTCCAAGGACGGATTTGGATCCCAATTGTTGGGCTCTTTCGTACCACCAATGATCGTACCCCCATCGAAATTTCGCGGTACACAAAATGTCCACGACCCGTCTGCATTCTGTCGTGTCACAGTCACCGGACACGAATTGGCAACAAGGCACGTCTGGCCCCTTGTAATAAACATATTCTCATCGCCAAACCCATTTCCCGAGGCATTAACCAGTACATCCACTGGTCCCGCGTCAAAAGTCCAGGAGAAGATTTCCTTCGGATCTCTCACTTCTTTGCGTAATACTTTACCACCTTGGATCGCAAACTTGCGTAACAGAAAACTACAGTAAACCATCGGGTTGACGCACCAAGTATCATACTCGCACCCCCACTCCACACCCTGCGGTAGCTCCCCTTTCCCTAGCACCCTAAATCCCTGCATTCCTAATGCACGCGCCCGTTCTTCCGAAAGTCCGCGGTACGCTTCGCTGGGCGCTTCGAGGTACTCCACTCCCTTCATAAACGTAATGCCGGCTTCCGGATACCGTGCGTGTACGGCACGCATATGGTCGAAGGTACGCAGACTCATGGCGTGTTCCCTTTCTTCAGCGGGGTTGGTGGGGGGTACTAATCGGTTATGTGCCCCGCCCCATGGCGATGTGTAGTTAATCTGGCTCCCATCAATGGTTTCGGAGCCTGATGGGAAGTCTCGTGCTACGATGGTGACGGCATGCCCTTCAGCTTGGATGCGTAAAGCCGCGCTGAGGCCAGTGATGCCGGCGCTGTGAGGGGTTAGGTCATTGTGTCTAATAAAACAAGGTATAGGTCAAGGTACCCTAGTACGACTATGTGTGGCATATCGGGAGATATCTTTAAGGTGAATGTTCAAATTGGTTTTGGTGTTAATTAAGCAGTTATAAAGTCATGACGGATATCGCATTATTTCCGACTGATGTCGTGTATACCAATTCTCTGAACAATAAATGCTGATAGCAAATCAATTGCCTTCGCTCGCCAAAATGGGATTTTCAATAGAATAACATGAAGAAATCTAGTTTCTAAGATTTGAAGAGAGACCAGCTGAATTCAGCTCTAGGTGTAACTTGCCGAGGATCCGAGAAGTGGGGCCGGATAGATCCGATCGCCCATACGGTTCTCCGTCGGCGAAAGTTCCGAAGGTGGATATTATAACGGAGAATATCGAGGATACTACGACCGAGGACATCAGTAACGACCCTTACTTTTCTCGTACTCATAGGCTGTGATTAGAACGACAAGCATTAGAAACCAATCTAGGTGCCCGGCTAACGGCTACAATAGCCGATACCCCCACGAAGAGGTTGGTCTGCTAGGCGCCAACATGAAGCAAATTTATTGGCTTTGACGAATGCCATTAGAAAGCATCAGACAAATAACCCCCATCCAAACAGGTAATCAGATGGAGTATCTGAAGTTGGTCTGAAACGACACCCATAACCCGCCAAGGCGCCAAGCCGAACCGACTAACTTCAGAAATCGCGAAATCGCTTGGAGATTACGCCAGCACGTGGATCCCTTCGGCTGCAATGGAAATCTTATGATTTGCTTCTGGGTACAGGGTGATCTCCCATGGGATCTTCATTGGGGATGAACCTGGCTTGGCAGGGTATGTACGCATGGGAGACGGGGCACAAGCCAAGCTACCAAGGAGCCTCACGATACGAAAGGGGTAAGGATATCGAACCACGCCTCTACTTCAATTAGGCCAATAGCTATATGATTTGGTGGAGAAGCCTTTCCTGCATTATGGTATATCAAAACAAGATTCGTCACCTCAACCCCTAACTGCCAGGCAATATGCCGCTAGACTTCTATTCCTACTTAGATTCAAGGGGGAAGACGATTTCGTCCCGGAAGGAAAAGTCAGGGAGGGTATCGCTAGCCCGCTTAAAGATAGTTGGAAGGCTATATTGCGCCGAAACTGTCGCGGTTGTCAAAATCGCTCCTACTTCGGTTAGTGTCCTTGAACGAGTTTTCAAGCATGGTCATTATATATGGCCAAGGTGAGCATTCGACTCGAGAACCGAGTCTATCTCCTTACTATCTAGTCTAATCTTTCATTCATTCCCCTTCTTGAGTCTCCTAGTGAGAAGTTAGCCGTTGAACGGTTTATTTACAGTCCTTTCGATTTTGTTAGAGTTTCGATTCCCCTGCCGTTCGTTATCTCGTAGTACTATCGCCAGTTTTCTAGTCGCAAAGATGTTATTCCTTGCTGGTTCTATTCTCTTCGCTGCTGCTGCTAGTGCCCGCCCATCTAGGATAATATCAAGACAAGAGACCGTCGATGTCGGAGGATTTAAGAGCAGGTATCCTCTAATTGCTACTGATGTTTTCGAACTAACAATGGGTAGTAAATGCGGCCAATAGGATAATTCCGGTTGTCGTTGGTGGAACACAAGATACCTTCGTACCCAACACAATAACGGCCGCGGTCGGGGATATCGTCCAGTTCCAGTTCAGCAACGGCAACCATACAGTAACCCAAAGCTCACCGGATGCACCCTGTACTCCGCTCCAAGCAACGGTGGCGACCGCTATCCACAGTGGACACATTCCATTCCAGGATGGACAGACAACAGTCGGAACATTCAACATGCCCATAACCAATACGGACACTATGTTTCTCTACTGCGCGACGGGCCCGCATTGTCAAGAGGGACAAGTCATGGTAGTCAACCCGTATGTACTTGCGCTTTCCTTTCTCTTGCTCTTTTTGGGCTATTGGACTAACAGGTGATAGCACCAACGACCAACAAATCGTCGACTACGCCAAAGCCTCAGCCGGTACGAGTTCCAGCGTCGACGGCAACACGGTCACCGGCGGAACGGTCGCCTCGATCCCTCTTGAGGCGGCCGCTTTTGTTCCTGCCCCGGCGCAACAGCAGCAAGCGCCGCCTGCGGCTACTCAGCCAGCCGCTGGAACCACCATCTCGACGGTTGCGCCGGCGGGGTCAACAATTACCATTTCGTTAGGAGGTGGCGTCGCCGCTGCGGTACCCGGTACGACGACGGTCGTTGTCACTGTGCCGGCAGCGACTGCTTCGGCGGCTTAAACATATTGGCCCGAGGAAAGCTATGGTATATGGGAAGGATGTGAGATGTCATCCTACTTATTGTATGTATTAGATTTGGTATTGTGTAGATGGTATATTTCAGGATAGGTGGTAGCAAGCTGCTTAGCTTTGTAAACTCGGAGCCAAGGATATTGAAGCCATTTACTTAATTTCACATAGGCTCCATTTCCCTAGTTTATCCCATCTCTCGCGATCTGATTTCCCCAAAACGTCGTGGGCTTGGTGGAACACTCCAACTCGGACATAGGAATTGCCTGGGTCGCGCGTTGACTTCAGGATAAGATAGTAGGTAAAATCTAGCGTAACCCCATCACTCGTAAAGCTCTGGCCGATCTCGAGTAAGTATAATCGTCGGACCGCGAACCAATTCCGCTCCGCGGGACCGGAGTCGAGAGTAAAACCCCATCGCCCTTCTTGTGATAAATCGAACTTGAACAGGGCCCTTCGGCTTAGGATCCAGAGAGAATCGGTCCTTCGGCCCAAAGCTGAAATTTTCCATAGACGGCCGTCGAGGACTAGCTTACTCCTCGTCGGTACGCCAAACTGGTTGTCATTCGCGTAGCTACACTCCGCCTCTCGCACTTCTGCAAGGTAGTGAAGTGGTCCTGGTGTCACCACATCCCGCGTATCGGAACTGAAAGCCCATGACCAGCTCGGGACCCCTGCGGTTTGAGTTTTTGCCGCAGACCTTGCAAATACCTCAACAACCTCCCACAGGAGATCGCGCAGGAGATCGCCCGACCAGAGCCCAGCAAGGTAATTCTCGTTCGGTCTGAGCTTCTGGAAGTATTCGGCTATACCCGCTATGGCAGGGAGGCGGTCGCTTTTCATGGTAATGTCCATGCTTATATATATTTGGAGTACAGTCTCCCAGTCATTTAATAGTTTATTGTGAGCCTGACCCTGTTTCCCAGGAACCGGAAACCTCTGTTTCGGGGAGGTCATCATGGAGTTGCATACTACGTTATCTCGTCCGCATTCGCACGACGCTACTTCAAAGCACTGGAAAGCGACTTCGGTAGGAGTATAAAAGAGGATTCTAGGAGATATGAGCCGCTCTTGATAACACCATGCACGTTTTAGGAGTGGCAGTGCCTCTCGCATCTCGAAGTTATCCCAGTCGTAGAAATGAAAGTGCTGTGCTTTCCTCATGTATAATGGCCAAGCTGACCCCGTACCCTCAAGTCGCAGGGTTGCGAGTAACTTAGGCTTCGGCTCGTCTGGATACGCCGAAAAAAGCCCCGTCGTCGGATCCTTGCCGAAGGCAGCCACAATCGTCACATATGAGTTTTGGTAAACTTGGAACATTTTGCCAGATTCCCGAAGCCAATCATCTCGGTCGCCTTGTAAGATACAGACACTATCAATCCAGAGATAATCCACACCAGCTGATCGCGCCCAGTGAATTGCATCTTGGAAGGTTTGGGGTAGGGTTGACCAAGGTATGTTAGATTGACGCTGTGCGAGCGTGGTTTTAGTTGTGAGACAATCTGGCTTGACATCACCCCAGCAATAGCTAAGGGCGCAATATCTTGAGCCACGAGGGACGGAAGCCCCATCCTGCAGGAAGACATCGCCGGCTACGTTCTCAGGGCAAATGTTGATAACCCGGGTTGGCATAAATGAGTCATCTAGAGAACGACAGCATGTGTGGGTATTGACGCAATTGTCTATCTCACGTCGTGTCCACTCCAAGGATTCGGCAGAGGAACTATGCGACGACCATGTCGTATTTCCTCGCGGTAACCATACGGGCGGATCAATACAAGCATCGTCGACGAAAAGGTCGAAATCTTCGTACTCGCCATCTGGGAGCTTCCGTATACCAACGCTGTCTTCAATTATTATGTGTAAAGGCGGTTGATAATCTGGACCTAAATATTCCAACAAAAGTTTGAGAATTCGACATCTTATGCATTTTTCGGTTCGTATTACTTGTTGCGCATCAAAGCCTTTAATATGTTGATTATGAGATGAGGGAAATAGATTCGAGGGTTGTTGATCCTAATGACACCTTTCGCAAACTTCAGCGTTGTTACCGCTGGACGCTGTTATCCCAGCCTCGTTGCTAGGATCCACGTTCCATGTTTCCGGTAAAATAATCTCGATAACATCGTCATCTAACATCTGAGCTATCTAAAACATCCATACATGTATGTTATTACCGTGCGCGCATTTAATTGATAGGAGGTATGTTGTATGTTGAAAGAGTTGTTAGATTATCTTGACGGTGTTGCGCTTGATCGTATTGCGCCGGTCTTGTGGCACTGTTGGATGTTGTATCAGGCAGAAAAGAAATCGATGATCCTAGTTGGTTACGATTCTTTAAAATGTGCTCTGCATGGCCCTAAATCCACTGTGGCGTGGATGTGTCGTCCTTGCCATCCATGATGTTTTTTTCGCCTTGAAATTAAAACTTTCACGAAAATCCTCACTAGTGACCTGCAATCGCTCCTGCCATGTCTTGCATAAGATAAGATACATGAAGATGAAGGACGATCACGTGCACTGAAATCGGACCTTTCCGGCTTCAACTTTTTAGTGATCTGCCTCTTGTTCCTGCAGCTCCGCGTTGGAGCAGTGATCATCATCACATCACACCTCAACGCCAATGTGCCCAATCAATCCACATTTGCAGGTGACGGAGCCTAACGGAATTGAATGGCCTTTTCTAGTAAAATTGAGATAATTGAAAGCTGAGAGCTAACAACACACCGCGCCAAGGTCTACGGCTTATTGTCTATGGCAGCCTACCTGGGCAGTTTGTTTATTATCGCATCGGAGTCGAGCCGAAGAAAAGTACCCCTCGCGCAGCTCTTCGCCTTATGTCCGTTTGGATCCTGTAAAGGCTGCTGGAACTTTTCTTTACCGCCCCGTGGGATCCAACTTGTCCAAATATTCATTAGCACAGGTAGATCCAATCTGCCATGTGCCGGCCGAACTACTCTTTTCTGTTTCTCTAGAGAATCACCTGCGTGGGATTGACAGGTTCGGATCTGATCTCCAATGTCGAGGGTTGGTTATTCGACCCAACCCCGCGCGCGCTTCACGTATCCTGGCTCTGGTTTTAGTTACCGTCATCGCTAAGTCAGCTCCCTGAGCTGGGCGGCTAACATGTAGTGTGATTCTCGCTCTGATTGGTTCGCCTATCTTTTAGAACCTGCAAGCAATCATCCTATTTTAAGAGGCGCAAATTAGATCCGACCGTCTCCCCCTTCTCCGCCAATATTCTTTATGCACCCTGTCTAGGATATAATAGATACAGGTCGCTGCCAGGGGACAAGTCCCGTGGTCGGCAACCTTCTACAGCAACTCTTCCCCAAGTGGCTGGTTGAGATGCCTCACCCCACTTTCGAAGGCGTACAAAGCGCTTAACATAATACCCTTAGGACTTTTGCTGCATCTTATTGTATAATGTGCCCGAGACCTGCACACCATGGACGCTGCGAGCGAAGCTCCAGTGAGCGCTTGCTGCATGCTTAGGTAGCACATACATATTTTCGTATCTCCCCTTGCTTCGCGGACCAAAATAATGAGAACCCTTTTACCATTTTCGTCTTTTTGAATCTATCTTTCAATTGTTGGTACCACTGTTGGATCTGACCCCTAGCTTGTTGATGCCTGTGCGAGGTTGTGACCTGCCTCGTCGAGTTATATCCTGACTGCTTTGATATGGATAACGAGAAGACGGTCCGGTAGCTGGCTAATTCCGCCCTTCGAGACGGTACACGGTACCGATAATAACCCCGGTGTCTATTCTTGTTCACGAATATAGAAATTAATATTGGAAGTGGTGGCAACATATCCGACAGGAATCGAACGATATAATGTCGTCAAGCGGACCCCCAGGAGGGTTATCCCTTTTCCCTAATACAACGAGCTCGCCACCTCGGAAGGCAACTCCGCGACCACGCGCTAGGTCTGGCTCTCGGTCTCGAGGGCAAGGCTCGTCTTTTGAAATGATACCACCGCGAAATGGTCGCAATAAACCAGAAGAACTTTCCGATTTTGTGATTGATGGGACACCGTCGATGCCTAACGAGTTACAAATGGCTTCAAATAACCCATTCTACCAGAATGAAGCTGGGCCGTCTGTTTCAAGGCCAGTGCCAGCATCAGAAGTGCCACCGCGAGCAGACACGGCATTTTCCGGGACAAGCACATTGGTGAGAAGTGAGAGCGGACGGTCACGAAGTTCAATCGCAAAGAGGCCTCTTGGAGAGCCAGAACCCTTACCATTACCGCCCTCATCATCTCCCCCTACAGAGCCAGCCATCCGCTCTATATTTCCACAATATGACCACACACTGCCATTCGATCGCCAAGAATATTATCCCACCCAGACCAGCCCAACCCATATCCCAAGAACCGTCATCAGTAGACAATCCCATGTGCCCGAAAGCCGGAGTCCGCCGGTTCGAAGTCCCGTACGGAGTCCCCTTAGCGCAGGTTCGGCGCAACAACGGTGGCCCAGACGACCTCAAGATCCTCCCGTAATCCCCGCTGTGAGCACAACGGAAGAGTTACGCGACCTGTGGAAAGCAGCAAATGGGTGGAAAGCCTCCGCGGTAGAAGGACGGACATTTTGTTTGAAATTGCTACCAGAGAAGGATACACCTATTTACAACCTCACATCATCGAGCGCTCAACCTTTTTATCACATGAAACTAGACCCGACATCGACAAGTGCATATATGACGCTTAGTCGACATGATCCAAGCAAACCATTCAAAGCAAAAGACCCGGCCGCAAGTCCCCGGTCATCAACTGGACTCTTAGGAGCTCTTCGAGAAGCTGAAGCTAAGTCATGGCAAGAAGCTTTGACTACCATGTTAGAAGAACCTTCACGTCGGCTACCGCCCAATGACGGCCTAGTCGCACTATTATATCCCTCCGTGGCTGCCAAGGTAGCATTGGATAGACCGGGCGATATGCAAGCAGTTATGGCCGCGGAGCGAGAGTGTGCGCGTCTGGTCTGGGATGAGGATAGCACGAATTATTTCTTAGTGCACCCCGCTTTGGCGACACCCTTTTGCATCACAATAGAAAGGAACACGGCGTGGAGCCGCACGGAATACACAATTGAGCATATCGAGTCACCACATCATATTGCGAAGCTCACGCGGGATGGGACAGGCGAGGGCTGGCTAGAACTCGACACGTTGGTCGCGGGTCGCATAGAGAGCTACTACATCCTGGACGTCGCCGTATCCGCATTACTCATCGTAGCCAACATCGACGAAAAAAACATCCTAGTCGAGCAGTTTGAACCACCACCTCCAGCGCACCTCCGGAAATCTAGTTCTAACCCCGACTTCCGGCGAAGTAGCAGTCGACTCAGTAGTAAAATCCTCGGCAAAAAGAGTAGCAAGAAACGCGGCCGTATCGAGGAATTAGAACTCGATCTCGAGAGCCAAGCCAGTAGTCTAGGCGGCAAGTTGAATATTAAAGATAAGGACAAGGAGCAATTACCAGGCTCGGCGCGCACAATTATCAAGCTACTTAGCTTCGGGTTTAAATGCGTTATATGGGCGCTTACACTTACGTTTAAGGCGCTTTTGGCGGTTGTAGTTGGATTGACTAAGTGCTTGACTAGTGAAAAGCTGTAATGAGGTATACGAAAGAACGATGAATTAAGTCTCTAGATTACGGATATTTGGTTTTGGGCGCGGATACCTACTATTTGTATACTTTTATCGCCCAAGATGTGGGTGTGGGCAGAACATATTAATGAAGCAGGCCGGCCATTTCCTCTTCTACACTTGGACTGCTGGACATAATAATAAAAGTTGCGGAGATCGAGCATAATAAACTCTAGAATGGGGATTGCGCTCAAGAATTGATCGTTTAAATGGGGTTAATTTATTCCTTTTGGGGTATCGCATCGATAGCTCTAGACGATTTGAGACCCTATACCTGAACGCCGTCTGTAAAATCAATGGAAGAGAACCCGGCTCCGTGGGCTGGCATCTAATGCGTCATATGCTGTTATGTCTTCTCCAATCTGTGATAACTAACCGCTCGCCTTATCGCTTTCGTTCCCGGACCTTAAATTTCTTGCCCGATTTAGTAACTCCATTCCGTGATGTCGTCGTCTTAGCCATATTCGTTCGCTGCGATTCCAATTCGTGCTCGGTCCGCGTAAGGATCTTAACCTTCTTCCTCGCATTCTGCAACCTCCTTTGCAATTTCGCAAGTAATTTCTGCCGTTGCTCAGCACGTAGTGTTCTCGGGTCTTTCTTCTTGTCATCATCGTCATCGTCCATATCAAGGTCCTCCCCAGCATCCACATCTTTCGGCGTCTGCCGTTGTAACACCTCATCACGCTCCTCCACGCCCTCGGCGAACACAGTCTTCTTCGGCTTAATCGCCTTCCCCTCAAACCCCTCCCACTCATCATCATCCTCCAAATCATCCGCCGCATCCAAACTTCCGCCCAACGCAAGTACTCGTTCTTCAAGCGCCTTCACTTTTTTCAGCGCAGCACTACGGACCGTGCGTATATACCCAATATCTTGGGTCTTCAACAAGCGCACCGTATTCAAGTCCATAACCCTCGACGTTCCCCGATCGCCGTCCACGGTACCCTTCCATCGACGGCCCTGGGATAACGCGTTCCCGGGGCCCCGGCGCGACATCATGCCGAAGTAGAATTCATCTTCGTTGCGATCGGCGGCTTTGCGGCGTAGAGCGCGGAGTTGGGCTTTTTTCTTGTTGAAGTCTTTGGCGCGGAGGGAGTAGTCCTGTTATAATAAAACAAGGTCAGTTCATGAATGGGGGAGGGGGGAGGGAAGAGAAAGGGAATAAGAGACGGACCTTGTGCTTCTCGAGTAAACCGAGGCGTTGTCGCTCTTGTGGTTGCGACCGCTCCTTGTGGACGCGCCGCTGGACGGCGTTTCGGATCGACGACATGGCGTCGGTGTGGGAGATTAGACCGTGACGATATTAGGGAGGTGTCTAGGAAGTAAGAGCGTCGAAGTGTCTCCAAATATGGCGATAATTCGTAGCGATGATGGTGGGGGTGACAAAGTTATTGAGGTTTGCTGAAGGAATTGAATTGAGAAATTTTAGTGGAGTCCGAGAACTGGAAAATACCTGATAAGATAAGACAATTATGGGGCTATAATAGAGGCATCTCCAGGGCTTCAGCATAGAAAGTCTTTCTTCATAACTTCAATGGTAAATTTTATTATTGTTCATAAATCTCTGGTGAATAAGCAGGCAACTGTTCTACAATTTAACTTTTGAAAATAATAATAGATGAAGAGTTTTCACCTACGGTTTTCTACTAAGGGTGTTACTGGGAATTTACCAACAGGACAATACCAGACAGGATACCACCGCCAGTCGGTACTGTGAAATCAGTGGTACGGAAAAAAGTGGCCTATTACATAACTCATCCAACTCAATTAGTCTAGGCGATGCCGAAAGCTAATCGCAGTTGCCCATCGTATTCGATTCGGTTCAGGGTCTCTTGCAGGTAGGCAAAGGCTCTGGAGAGCATGCCGTCTTGTATTGGGGTCGATGATGCTGTGATACGACCGGACGTCCGAGAATTGTAGGGTTTTAGCGATTCAGCCCGGCACAGGTCGCCATATTGTTCCTTCAAGCCTGATGGTACGGTCGCGACGAGAAACGTCGGAGCTTCGGCGAATATCCAAGAATCTATAGACAATTTCCAGAGCCTTCAACATTTTAATACTCCGGGTTCGACTCTACATCTGCAAGCCCCAAGGCCGGACTTGAAAAGGTCAGGGGGGTTAGTAACCGACATGCATTAGGTAAAGAGGACCAGTATAACCGTAGACGTTTTATGACCTACTAGACGTTCACGCAATATAATTGTTAATTCATTCTGGAGGATCCCACTTCGTTCCTCCTTCCCGCGATTCGCCCATTTCGTTTCCTACGTATCCCATATCGTGTCACGTCGTGTTACGTCAACATTTTCCTTATCCTACCCCTCATGCAACTAGAAACCTCTCACTAAAGATCCTAGGGTTTTAACTCTTCGTTGTAATGTTCTCAGTAAATGCTTAGATGAAAATGTCATCCGTGCTTCAATGGGATTCTCAGAGACATCGAGACTGGCACTTTTTGGTACTCTGAGGAATTGTGTCGTTAATTTGTTAGATAGTGCCTATTCGTAGGGATTAGTAAGATGGATTCTGGCCATGCCATTGATTATTTCCATAATCCTGGCCCTGTTGGTAGCTCTGTGGTTGGTACTGGTTCGGCGGAGGATAAGTCTGCTGGGGCGGTTGGTACTGGTCAGGTCGATACTCTTGATGAGGTTGGTTCTGGTACTGATGATAATCCGGTCGATGATTTTGCTGTTGTTCGTATTGCGGAGAAGACGCCGGTTGATTGCTACTTCCGGGCTGCGTGCTAGGCTTCGGAGCTCCTATGTTCACGCCCTCGTTTCCGATATCGTCTGGTACAGTGATCCTCACCTTGGGCAAGTACTTTTGCACCTTCTGTTCGACTGTGGTCTGCACGAAAACCCAGCTCTCGCGTTCGAACTTGCGATGGCCTCCGTTCACGACATCCAAAATGCTCTTGCGCAACATTTCCTGAACCTTTTGCACGAGACCGCGGAGTTTAGTGACCAACTTGGTCTTAATATCATCTCCAAAGCCGCGGTCTGCATTAGGTGCAGCGTCGCGCTCGAGTTGAGAGTCAAAGGGATTGCCACCAAGAATCTTCTCAAGAGGGCCCTGAAATTCGTCGGGGAGCAACTCAAATAGTTGCTTTTCAATGCCACCGAGTATCGTGCGGAATTCCAGCCTCACATCCCTGTGTACTCTGGCTAAGCCCGTGCTTAGCTTTTCACTAATGACTTTGGAGAAGCCGACGCCGCCGCTACTACCACCTTCACCTTCGCCGGCATCGCGATCGTGGTCGCCGAGGCCCCTCGAGGACCCTTCGCTGCGATCCTTCTTGTGTCCGAACAGGCCTCCGATACCTTTAACCAAATCCTTGACGTGATCCTCGATCTCGCCCTTAGCACCATCGCCGATATCACGTGTGCTCGTGTTGCCGCGTAGCCAGCGTTTGATGTGATCTAGGGCAATGCGGGTAAACTGCTCGGCGATTGGTGCATGTTGCTCACGTAGCTTCGCAGCGACTTTTTCTTTAATCTCAGGGCTAATACGGCGCGCTGTGTCTTCTGGACTGCGTGCAACATCTTTGATGTTACTGCTGAGAACTCCAAGAAGGCCGTCAAGCTCGAATCTCTGGCCGCCCGACCCTTGGTTATTGTTATCTAAATGGTCTTGAACAACGTTGACAGCGGCGGAGAGGAAGCCCCGAACTCGCTGAGATGAGTCGGAATGGTCCTCTCCAATGGATCGGGTGTCGCCAGATCCAGTGCGTCCTTCAGTTAGACTGAAAATGTCGCGTAAGTCATCACTCGTCCCATCGGCAATATTGCTGAAGCTGCCTGTAAGACTGGCAATCTCGTTGGCGAAAGGTAGAGATTGGCCACCGTAAGCATTCGGAATTGCATCATCTAGGCCCCTAGACGCTCCCGGAGGAGTTGGCCCGTCGCGATCGAAAAGGGAGCGAAACGCGTCGATAACTTGTGTTTCCAACGCATCGATGGTCTTCTGTTGGAAAACATCCAGCTCTGTGGCAATGCGGGGTTGAATTTGCGGGGTAAGTGAGTCGACGTATTCGTCAACTTTCTTCATTAGCACCTCAGGGATACCGTGAGAAGACATGATTTAGCTGCGATCCTTAAAAATTGGTGGTAAGACGTCGAATGTTGTATTTCGTAGGTTTTAAGTTCGGCTAGAGACTGTTGAGATTGGCATTTATCTTAATAGTAACGCACCTAGGTATCACCTTCCATTCGTCACTTAAGATACAATCATGTGTAACCCGTATTATGCGTGATGACGAACTTAATTAGGTAGAGTGTGAATCACGTGCTGTTAGTTATTTCGTTTCGCTTGGCACGGATGGCGCCAATGCCTTTTCTGAATCTTTAATTTTCATCCAAACGCATACAAGGTCCGTGAGAAACATCAATTTGCTAAGATGTTGTGTTTTCATCCATTGAACTTAAATGCGTGGGGAGGTAAGTCAATCTCATCTGATCACCCATAAATGGCTAGGGTTATAAGACCATTATTGCTGCTCCAGCAATTCCAGCAATAGACTGCAATCTTTATGTGAAGCCATGACGATTCCTCGTTATTTTGAGCAGAGAAGGTCCCCACGCAGTGGAAATCGAAGCAAATCCAATCCGAGATTAATCGCAACCAAATCGAGTCAGAAAATCAACACCAAGAGCAAAGCTCAGATAAAGATGCCCGACCATCAAATTAGGCCCGCCCAAGATAATCGTCTGCAGATAATACTATTGGAGGACGAACTTGCCGACGAATTTGAAGAGCTTGCAGCTATTGTGAGCGAACTAGTCAGTTTTTGGATGCCTCGCCGGAGACAGATCTCCAATTTCAACCCCGGCTATCCTTTCTCTCTCGGGCGTATGGATAATGCCCAACGAATGTTATATCCTGACCGTCGGACTTGGAGTACTTGGTCGAGGTTGCGCACAACATTTCATCATCAGCTGAGGGCTGTTAGACGGCTAATGGCCCTTCATCGTGAAATGGTACCAGTGGGATCGGACTAGATGTCCACAGTCGGATGAGGAGGCTCGAGGACATTCACAACGCGGCGTTTACTGATTGCGATGTTTTTTTTGGATGTAATCCATAAATATTTCAATTAAGCGTTGTCAAAAGGAATCATCCAGTGATAATCCGGAACGTCCCTCGATGTTTTAACACCCAATGATCGCGCTTATCGTACAATGGACCCTTTCTATTTTTTCCCAGCAAGACCTGTATTCAAGACTTAATAAACGTTGGGTCCATGGTCAAACGGCCATCAAAAAAATATAGCCACCATCGAAGACCCAAGCAGAACGTTATAACCGAATGTTTTCCACCAATTCCTTAAACCAGTCCCTAAAATATCCCAAGCCGACCCGATTTTATACGCCATCACTAACCAGACCCTCACGGTGTTGTCGATCCCGATAATAAAGCCCTAATTCCTCTCCATATTACAGCGCGCCCTATTCCCCCACGTGGAACTTCGCACTATCCAAGTCTTTGATGTGTTCCACAGAAAAATCATCCCTGCCCCCTCCAATGGCCGGTGGGCCGTAGATGTGTATTCTGATATGATAGGAACCGGCTTGGGTCACTTTGATTTTGAATTCCATAGTGTCGACGTCCCGACCGTTGCTAGTAGAGCGGCGCAGGTCCCAATTCCCAACGGGTTCTCCCCCGATCAGCTCGGGTGCTAACGTTAAGTCCCCCGAACGTGATGACACGCGATAGAGTGAAAGATATCCCATGTCACCATTATTACCGCCGGAGGGGGCTTGTATGATGACTTTGAACGATTTGTTGACTTTAACGTGTGCGGGGGGTGGTCGGCTGAAGGTGATCTCCGAACGTTTTCTTGATGGAGACATCTCGTCGTTTTGATTTTTCGTGTATGTATTTTTGATGAGAATATTATATTGTGGGTCGCTATCGTTCGTTGCGTTGATTTCTTATGTGCTCGAAAAGTTGATTGTGACTTCGAAAATGATGGTGCTTGCAAGGCGGTAGTTGTTGATCTCAAAACTCTGGACTCTAATTGCAAAAGATCTGGAGATAATTGAGAGCGAGGAACTTCCTGGTATTTATCCTTTTCTCGTCTGCCGTTTGATATCCCTTCTTCGCCCGAAAAATTTGTATACAATCGCATTTGCCATCTCGGGCTCCAACGGAGAAGGTTCTTCCTTGATTTCTATACACCGACCTTGGCTGAATCTTGTTATTACATGGGATGAATGGTACTGACATAAGTTTCGCACCTAGGTAGCCACGTTGTGTCATTCTCTTGGTTTCGTTGGCAAAAGTGGCGATTCGTGCCACGACAAATCACCCACCTTCGTTTCAATGGCTCCAGTAAGCACGGCCGAATGATTTTTTAAATTATACCTTGACTCTCGAGTGTCTGTCTATAACGCGTGGGAGTGGCGTGGTGCGTATATAGTCCCTACTCTACTTGAAGAAGAGTTTCTATTTTTGTGATTTTCAGAATTGAAACGTGATCCTCCTCGCTAATAATACTGAACCCATGAGTATGTAACACGACATCCCACTGCGAACGTCTTTGCACGGGTGGGAAATCTTATAGGATATCGGAAAAACTGCAAACCTGTCGACTCAAGCATTTCGCACTCTATCGAGCAATTTCCATGGGGATTCTGCCGATTACGAACTAAATTCGTATATTGAAATTGCAGCTGAAACTTTTCGTAAAGAGTCATCTAGACAAGCCAATTTCCATCGTCCTCATTAACATTCCCATCGTTCATTCCCCGATACATCACAGATTTCCCTATTTAGATGTGCACCCCTAAGATTATCAGAGATCTCTGTTCAGATCTCCTGGTTCAATGGCTCAACATTGCAATGACTCTTTGATAGACGACAACGCATAATTGCTCGGATGACCATTGTCAAAAATAGGATTGCGATGAATTTGATATTTGCCGATGATGATTCTGTGTCGGTGTTAGGTTCTAGGCTGCTAATAGATTTGAATATCAAACTCACAAATTAACATATCAGTGTATTCGCAGAGCCGCACTGCTAGTGGCGTGGCCTCCTCCTGTTTGTCGGCCTAGGAACTATCAACCTATCGGTACCCACTAGAGGCTCATAACCGACACTCTCTAGAAGAGGCAGGATGATAGGCCAACTTAACGAAGTCAAGAGGTGGCGAAATCGTTATGTTAACGTAGAGGTTAGGTACAGGCACAACGGGATCTGTTATAAATCCCCTATAGGAAGCATACTCCTATTTTATGTGCCTCGAAGCAAGACATACAAAATCGCTGGAATGTTCTAGAAACCAAAGCCGGAGAAAAGGCAATAACGAAATACCTGACTGTCGGAGGTGAACCCTCTCACGTGAAGACATCCAATCAACACCCATTGGAGGCTGCAAACCAACACCAACCAAACAACTCTACCATAGATGGCCTGGCTTCTTAGGCGAGGGTGTACGAACCTCAAAATGTAAGAAATTTATTCTCACCAGTTCGGCCTAGTTTTCAACTTCTGTTTCCCAACCACTAGGCACCCCAGTAGACATGAATGCTCCAGCATGAGATCTTCATATTAGTTGAAAATTATGTAATATCCGTCGACCAAGATACATTCATCTACAAATTTCATCCTAGCTTATATTTCCAAGCCGATTGGCCCTCCTTCGGAACACGATGATTTGTTGACATTTCTCGATATCTCACATGATGAATGGTATATTCATATACCATAAGCGGATCTGTGTAGGTGTGCGGAATCAATTTTGGTGCGAAATGACGCATTTCGATGTCGCTATAAAACTGTTAATAGGAAGAAAAGTAACTTGAGGGACATAATAACCGCATATCACCTCGGCGTTTGTTCTAGTGCTTGGATTCCAATTATAAAATGGATCTCGGGAATCTGGAGAGTTTTGAGATTTGTGGATGATGTGGCGAATATGAAAAGGGGTGTGTCGGTCTTGTTGGACCCCTCGAGATTATAAGATGACGTACACCCTAAATAACGCGTCTATATCTAATATTTTATAAATCTAGCGGTAGATATCTCGGAAAAGCGTTTATCTTTTGGTCAAATACCCGAAATTTTTGACTTGCACTTCTATCCGAAGTCTTCATTGTGGTTTCCTATCCCATTGCCGACAGAGTTGAATCGCGATGAGTTGGTGGAACTTGAATGACTGCATACTTACTATGGGCCGGTCGAGAAGATTTCCATTGTGTGCCTTGTGATCTCTTTGCTGAGAGCATATATGGATGATATAAATAGTGTACGACCTGGAGTAGCGTTCGCACGGCTTTGAAGGGAGCCAGAGAAATTGAATATGAGAGCAGCCAATATGATCGAGGGAGCTTCAAGCAAAAGGAGTCGTTACAGAAACTGCCACGCCTATCTCCTAACTATCTCTGTATTGTGAGCTTTACATGCGCTTGGCAGGAAACGCTGATGCCCAAACCTACTAGCACCTGTCCATTAGTGGAGATACACCGTGCATGGAGGCTTTAGGACACGACTTACAAGCTATGAGGCATTATAACTGGGTTATTAGTCGTAGAACGTACTAGAATGGGGACTTGAAGTAAGCGTCCTTATATCTGTTTGCAATTGGTTTGGCTACTGCTGTTGGTGGCTGAGTGTAGGAATCGCATTGGTTAGTATTTGGCACTGTCGGCTGTCCTCCAAGCACCTAGGCGGATACTGAATCCGATATGACAATGAATACCTTGAGCCTAGCAATAACTAGGTTCTCCAAGTCTCGCTACGAGTTACCAAACTTACCGAAACGCGTCACAAGGTCAACCGTATGGTTTAGGGGGTTGTTGGCAACGATTTCGTCATTCGAAGGGCTCGCAGTCGATTGCTATATAGATGCGGGAAAGAATGGAAATCTCAGGACGAGTGGTAGTTATGTGGATGCGTACCCGTGGGGATGGGTGGTAAGCAGTCAGATTCGCCTATAACGATCGCTCTATCGTCATCGATACCCCAAGGCAGTTATATGACATCCGCTTGAGATACATCGTAGTTGCCCATCTTACGTACGAACACCATTTTGTAATATTTTCCCAAGTGACGGTATATCCGATCCTCAGTCTTGTGTTCTTTCTGGTTTCCAAGTGGTAAACAACAACCTCGTTATCTCGTTTGTTCGATCGAGCACCGTGTTAGGTATCACCTCGAGTCCTTTTCATACATTCTACACTAGAGGGAAGAGTTGACAATACTAGGTACGCTTTCGGGTTTTCGAGATTCGAGGTATCGTGATAGGTTTTCTGTAGTGCAACTTTCGCAGAGGCTTTTAATAGGCTAGAGTTAGCAAGTAGAGTATCTAGGTAGGTATTTAAGAAAAGAGGGCCTACCTTTTCAGCGCGAAGTTGCAATAACTTACCTGATGCTAGCTCGATATTGTGAGGAAACATTCGATAGAAGTAGCCATTTAATCGCATCTAGTTATGTCTGAAGCTTGCTTTGGGATGGAGGGCTATGTTCACATTGGGGACTTAACTCGATAGTGACTCCTATTGGCTGTAATAGGCGACCCTTGAACGAGAATTAGCGAGCCTATCTAGGTACACTTGATAGCTCGTTTTTTTATAAGCCACGTTCATGGCTTCATATCTGCACTCGTGTGCCTAAGTGCCGACGTATCCGAAGAATCTCCAAGATTTTCATTCAAAACGTTAGCAGGTGAAAGCTCGTGGTCCTGATCTTACTATGACAATAAGAAAAAGAATTATTAATTGCAAGTGGTCTCGTTAGAACTCAAGAGTACTAGGTCACCTGTTGCTACGTGCTCTAGCCAAGGGGAACAGACCAGCTGAGACTTAGGTACATGGTCTTTAACTAGATCTAGCGGATTTTATGTAGTGAAACCACGCAGGTATCTTTATTTTTCTTCCCTTTCCCTTCCCTCTTTTCATGTCTAGGTGTGTGGTTAGAAGACTAGGTAATTAGACCGTATGGTAAAAACTAGCGTAAGTTGGAGGTCCGTATGATAGAGTCAGGCTTCTGAAGAACCGGAATTCTCACCATCGACTATATTGCCTAGACTATATGCTATACCAGCTCTCAAGCCACACGTTCTGTTAATTGCTGAATACCTGTCTTCGTCTCCGTATGCTCCGTGCTCATGTGACGATGTTTGATGAAAAGGCTTGGCACTATTGTAACCCCCGCTATGCAGGTGTACATTATGAACATATTCCTAAGGCTTCCTGCGAAAGCATCTTGTATGACTTGGCGCTGCGCGGCATCTTGGATGGATCCGACAATTTCTACGTTAGCTGCAGCTTGATCGCCGGACAAGGCGTTGAGGACGGGTCCACTGAGACCAGCGGCGGCCAGAGACGATTGGCGGGCAGCCATGCTATTCTGAAAAACCACACCGCCAAGCACAATTGATAATGATGTCGCTAGGTTACGAATGAAGCCCAAGCTCGCGGTGGCTGACGCAGTATCGGCTTGACTGACGGAATTTTGGATGGCGAGCATTGGTACTTGGAATAAGAGCGCAATGCCAATACCGCCTACAATTTCGAACCCGGCGATCATCGCGATAGATGTTTCCGTGCGGAAGTTGATATACAGCCCAGTACCCAACGTCATTAATGCTGCCCCAAGCCATGCGATTTCTCTGTAGCGGCCCGTCCTATGAATTAGAATGCCGGTAAATATGTCTACCACTGCTTCTGTAACAATCATTGGTAGGATTAGAATGCCACTGCGAAGAGGCGACGCTTGCTTGACGCTTTGAAAATATAGCGGCAGGTAATATTCTACGCCGATGGAGACCATGCTGTGCGCGAAGCCAACAAGGAAAGCTGCATTGGTGGACCTGTTCTTGAACATGCCAAGCGGAATTAGGGGATATTTGGCCAGGCGCTTTTCGCTGAACAGAAAGAAGCCTATCATAAACGCCCCAAACACAATCAGGCAGATGACTTTCGGGCTGTTCCAAGGAAATATCGCACCTCCGAAGTCAAGTCCGAGAAGGAGGAGTAGAGTAACCGCCAAAATGGAAATAATTCCGTACCAGTCGATAGCTTTGACGCCATCGCGCAGTTTTGTCCGGGGATTGTGCACATCTAGAAAAAGCAACAAGAGCACGAATGAGAGTCCGCAGGAGGGGAGATTGATCCAAAAGCACCAGCGCCAATTCACGAGTTCGGTGAACGCGCCGCCAATTAGGGGACCAGCAGACGCAGCCACGGCCCACATAACGCCTAGTAGGCCGAGATACAGCGGTCGTTTTCGCATGCTAAAAAGATCCGAGATAGTGATGGTCACTAATTGGAACAACCCAGCACCAGCCGTGCCCTGTAGCGCACGTCCAGCAATTAACATTGGCATGTTAATACTTAATGCCGCAATTATACTAGCGACAGCAAAGATGCCGACTGCCCCTAAGAGAGCAGGCTTCCGACCCCAAATGTCACTACATCTAGCCCAAATTGGACCCGCCGCGGCGTTGGCCAGTAAGTAAGCGCCGCCAATCCAGACATAGCCTGAGGCGGATTGTAGAGAGGCAGAGATTATAGGAATGGATGTAGCGATGATAGTTTGATCAAGGGCTGCTATGAACAGGACGAGCTGGGAAGTACATTAGCTAGACGGATCTCGCTTAAAACCAAGACATGTGGCGTACATAAAGTGCGAGCAAGATGGCGTAGATACGTAGCTTGGTTCGGACTTCGGACTCCTCAAGTAGATCGAGTGGCTCAATGACAGGCTCATTGTGGGGGATTTCCACAGGGGGTTCAACACCCGTCGGATCAGACTTAGCAGGCGTGATAGTATCCATCGTCGCTTGTAGTTGATGGGACCTAATCAAAACAATTTAGTTCCTCTTCCGAGAGACGAGAAAATGTCTTTGTTTATAAACCCGCATCAATTTACTTCACTAGCCAATCATAGAGCATTGTAGGCGCTGTGCCCCTCCATCCATGCCATTACGCCTTTTAAAAGCACGTCTCACGCCCTTCGGAGTTATTTACGTTGCCTGGAAATTCAGGGATACGCCGCTTTTAAGCCAACCGAAAAGAAAAGAAAAATAGGGATTTTCTCTTTTAAAATCTACAGAGGCCTTATATTCTTCCATAATCCATGCTTGTTCCAATTTATTCCATTAATACTGTCGTGTCTAGCTTGACACAAGATTAATTCATGTTTCCCGAAATTCCCCTAGCGATATGATCTGCTATGGCCATGATAGTAATCATCGGGTTGTTACCAGTCGTTGAGGGGAATACACTTGAGTCGGCGATATACAAGTTTTCCGTACCAAATGCCTTTCCGGACTCGTCTACAACACCGTGCTCGCTGCTTTTGCTCATACGACATGTGCTCATCTGATGGCCGGAGTTAAGCACAGCCGATGATGGTTTGAGATCCGCTCGCTCGAGTTTGGTAACCCATTTAACAAACTCTGGATCATTCAAACTTCGGTCCTCGGCAGGCTTGGAGGATCGAAACGATTCTATTCCAGGTATACCGGAAAATATTTCGGTCGCGCCTTGAATATAACAAATTTTGGCACTGCCAATAAGGCCAGTGATGATGCTCCGACGATCAAACTTGGAGACTGTGTAACCTATGGCTGGGCTTCCATTTTCTGGGTTCGAAAAGACGTAGCCCGTGTCACGGTCCCGAATTATCGACATATAGGCATTCATTCGTTGGTATTTGAGTGCGTCTATCTTAAATTGTAAGCCACCTTGCCAGGGAAGTTGAGTCAACGTCATTAATGGCTGCGTTTAACGAAGTTAGCTGCGTCTTGCTAGAGATGAGGGTGTGGCTAGAAAACCTCACGTACAAGCATAGAGCAAGGCTCAATCTTAGCACCATGACCATGCCCATCGAGGTCTTCAAACTCCGATACCAGACTGGTTACGATCTCACCTATTAATATGTTAGCGTAGATCTAGGTCCGTTGTACACTCGCCTTACCTTGCCAGCCCTTTATCGGTTCTCTAAATACAGCGGTTAAACTGTTCAGTGGATGTAGATGGAGATGTCTCCCGATGTTGGGGTTCTAAATACACGTTAGCGAGTAACACCAGAGCATACTGGCCTCGAAGAAGCTCGCCTTTAACCCGCTCCTTAATAGTATGAGGGGGCTATTCAGTGCGCCACTGGAAATGACAACTTTCTTGGCTTTGATGTGGATGTCTCGCTTCGTCTTCGGCTTCTCGGTGTTCATCTTTCCATCCTGGTCGCGCGAGGTCCATTTGCCTATAACTCCAGTGGCTTTACCTACCCTAACGTTATCATCATCAAAAGTGACTCGGGAGATATCAAGCCCCTCGATAAAGCGTGCTCGGCCGGTTCTTGCTGCCGTTGGTAACCAGGAGACGGCTGGGCTTTTTTTGTTAGCGGCCCTACAACCAAGGCCACAATGACAGCCACATTCATGGCCAGCCTCGGTGTTTTGAGGAACGGATCTCGCCCCCCAGCCGAGTTTTTCGGCGCCCTCAAGCAGGACTCGGTTGCTATGGTTATGTTTAATGTTGGCATCGGTAACACCCAGAGCATCGCATACCCGATCCAAGCAGTCTTGGAACTCCTGGCTTGTGAAGAAACCAAGACCGCCAGCTGCCCATTCCTCCCGCACAAATTGTTGTGGGTGTAAGCTCGCGCTCCAGTTGATTACACCCCCACCACCCCAGCACTTTCCGGCTGTAACCATGACCGAGCCATCTACAGTTGACAGACCTCCGCCTTCCCATAAATTTAGCAGGTCTTTCGCTTCTACTGGGAGTTGGTTTGGGGGGTAATAGTAGCCCTTGTCAACCACAAGGACACGATGGCCAGCTTCAGCGAGGACTCTCGCGCAGACACCCCCGCCACAGCCTGAACCCACGATGACAACATCAGTTTCAATAACTGCAGGTTCGGGAGAAGCCTCAAATTGGACGAAATCGAAGTCGAGAGTAGGACCCGGCTCTTGAGAGGGTATGCTATAGTTGTTAAGCTGTAGGAATAATGGGTCTGCTCGGCACCAAGCAACCTTGGCCATGAGGGTAAATGTTTTTGCTAACGTAGTCCATAATGATAGCCAAGAATTTTCCCATGAATGAAGGATGGCTTCTCGGATGTTAAGCGGCTGTGCGTTGATAGCCGACCAATAGCCAGTACTTACGAGGCTTCCGAGATGTGTCCTAGCACTTGTGTTGGTATCTTCTCTTCGTCGGAAAAAAAAAGGGGGGGGGGGAGAGAAAGAGGATAACTTACGTCATAAAACCTAGGAGAGCACGCAACTGGCTTCTTATGCTGAGCGGAAGACTCACTACTGTCTTTCGGACTGTGTCTCTAAATATGGGGTTGTCGACTGCTCTGGCTGTCATATACTCGCGAAATTGTTCAATGTTTGGGGAGTTACTTGTCTCATGTTTGAACTCATCGCGGGAAAGCTTAAGATGCATTGGACTCGTCTTCACTCCCAAAGAATCTTCAATCGAGATAGCAGGTACAACGGCATCTAGGAGTGCAAATAAGACCTGCCAATGAGTATCAGTAAACTGAGTATTTGAGTGGGCCATGATTGAACTGGTAGAGTTAGACGCGGTGCTCACGGATATACTCTGAAGGAATTATATTAAAAGCAGTTGGCTATGAGTTACGAGACTGCCTGAGTATTTTTGAAGGTGAAAGAAAGGGATGAAAAAAGCGTAGCCTCCAACAGCTAATACTTGTGCAACCTCAAAACACCAACTTGCATACCTACCTAGGTAGGTATTTTATAGGTTACCAACTCATACGAAGAGAAGCTGGGCCTGATTACCATTTGATTGGAGTTGAACTTCGTTTCGCTCTGCGTTGATGCGTTCCTCCGTTCCTCGATTTGCCTGCCGCATCTTTTCACGGGTATCCCAAAGACGACAGTGTTTTTTCCCTAGCTTTTCGTCGGTCGTGAGCTAGTCGTGGCAAGCCCTAGGGAACCGATGTTCGAATGATGCTGCATCATTCATGAGAAAGCGGCAGGTGGCGAGTGGGAGCAAGGGCAGAACAGTCAAACAATACCCCTGTCCATAGTACTTCCAACACGTCCTTGTATTCGCTATTTTGATTAAACAATTCGAGCGACTCACGGGAAAATTGATGCCAATTGATATACCGAGTTTGCGGTGGTGAACTGATAATGTGGCAAATCAGCACCTATTGTACTACCTCCGGGGGGGCTTGAGGAGGTCTAATGTTCTGGCGGTTCTAGGTACGACAGGGGACACTTAATGAGTGCCTAGGTACAGTACACTGATCACAGACGGAATTGGTGATATACCTTCCTAGGTAGGTACCTAGTAGGTACATGTAGCTTAGAGCTGTAAAACCTCGTGCAAAATTGTATTTTTTTATTTTATTTTTATAAACCCTCCGATGTGGTACAATCTAAATACCTAATCTATCTAAATCTAGTAGAAAAATACCTTGGTAATTATAAAGTATCTATAGAACGATTTAATCAGCACTCTATCCAGCAGATGCAGGCGAACAGTCGACAACTGAACCACCCAGAAAGAAATCAGGAAGCACCCCAACCTTACCTACCTAGGTAGGTAGCCTAGCACCTATGAACCTACAGTGGGTAGCTTTTTTCTACCCACTGTAAGTAGGTTCACCTAGGTACCCATTGCCGCCTAAATAATCTAGTAATCCGCCATAGTTTTATGTCTAGCGCCATTCCACCTAGTATTCCATTCTCATTCTACCAATTTTCAAACATAATTGATGCCAAATCAATCGTCTCAACACCGGCGCCTTCTAAGCTCCAACAGCGACAGCTTTTCCGAAGAGTTTCTCCCGCTTCATGCACACCGCAGCAATTAGCATAACGCCCCCAGCAATAGGTACCAGAAGAAAGGTCATTTGCATTGCCTCAGTGATGGCTTTGGTCGCTTTATCCCGCAATTCACCATTCAGTGTCGCGAATAAAGCGCTTTGCGCCCCTGCCACCGCCCCTCGGATTTCTTCTTCCGAAAAGCCATTACCAGCTAGGGCTGCCGATAAGTTTCTTGTGGCGGTCGATTGATAAATTTGTCCGGCGATGGCAAGTGCAATAACCTGACCACCGATTTGTGCAACGCTCTGTAGGTTGATCCCGGCCCCCGCATCCTCTGGTTTTAGTGTTAGGGTTGCGACCGTGAATGAAGTTACCATTGATATCCCGCTGCCAATAGCAATGAGCACTGTTAGGCCGTATATGGTTCCAGTACTCGTGCTAGGGTCAAGGTAAACCACCAGCGGGCCGCCGCCCGCAATCAAGAAGATGCTAGCTATAACAAAGAGAGCCATATACATCCTGATGAGGTGGAGGAAGGACCCCGAGGTGAGGTTTGCCGTCACAGCAACAGCAACAAACGGGAGCAAGCGCACGGCAGCCATAAGGGCTTGGTCATTATTGACGAATTGGAAATAAATAGGAAGGTAATATACGACGACAAATAACGTTGTGGTGCCGGCTGCTGTTGCTATGTAGAGCAATACCTCTGTACGGTCGCGTAATAAGTGGCCCGGGAAGAGGCGTTGGGCCGGGGTAGTGAAGACGGCGAAGTACTGTTGTAAGGCATAGAGAGTTAAGAGTACACCGAAGACCACGAAGGTAGCGATGGTACGTCCATCTTTCCATGGCCATTGGCCCCCCGCCATGGTAAATGCTAGCAGAAAAGTAACCCAGACGCCAGCTCCGAGAATAAACCCCACGAAATCGATAGTAGCCAATCGGGTCCGAATGCTAACGCCTTGCATAGGATGAATGTTTGGAAGAGCAAAGAGGAAGGCTGGAGCCGAGACGGCTCCTATAACAAGGTTGATATAGAACGCCCAACGCCAGGTTGCAGAGGATACAGCAAAGGCACCACCAATTACTGGCCCTAGCACTGCTCCAACCCCCCAAAATACACTTATAAGGGATATATAGAGCCCGCGTTCCTTCTCGGCGGTCATAACCGCGAAGTATTGCAGTGATCCGAGGTAAATACCACTGCCACCGGCACCGGCAAAGATACGACCGACAATCAGGGCATTCATGGTCGGAGCAGCACCGCAAATAGCCGAGCCGACTTCGAAGAGCGCCACAGTCGCAACGAAGTTCCACTTCATGTTGAAAGTGCGGTAAAGAGCGCCGAGTAGGAGGAGAACACAAATTGAACCTAACGGAAAACCAGCCCCAACCCAAGAAAGTTGTTCAACGTGACCCAAAGTCTCAACTACGGGGCCTTGAACATCGGCCGCGATTGTCGTATCGAGTCCGTATAGAAAACAAGTGGCGTAAATGGATATACATAGTATGAGCCACTGAAAGCCACGTATTGTCCTCCCCTTGTCCTCCGACTCTGTTCCAGATAAATATCCTTCGGGTTGTTCCCGGTCGGTACCTTCTTCTTTCTCGACGTCTCGGTCGCGACCGTCATATTGTTCCCGTCGATCTGGTCGACTTTCGGGTTGGTGAGACGCCATCCTATCCTCCACTGGTGGTGTTTGAGTAGTATTTGGCATCTTTAAAGACGTAATGACAAAACAGGCAAGCCGCGCCGCTCACAGTTCGCCAGCTGTAGCCTAAGGGGTGATTCGATGATTCAATGGGTACTTGAATAGGAAGAAATTAGAGGAAAGCCGTGTGCTAATTTCCTTTATATACTACGCCACGAAGACATATACAAGGGGATTCAATGATAATACACGCCATGCTTACAGAACTCCCAAAAGGACCTTACGTAAGAGATAATTTCCAATATAGCGCTTCCGTTTCATAATTGGCGGTATGCACTTATGATATCACCCCCGCGGAAGCTTCTTATGTTTATCGCACCTTCCTTCGGAACCTCATAAACGGGGCAGGCGTCTAAGTTCATAAGCGTCGCTTCCGCCCCGCTTCCGTTAGTTCGCCGCATTTGTCACCGGAGCCTCCGCGGAACCTTAAAATAGCCCCACCCCCTTTTTTTTCTCAAGCCAACCGCAACTTTTGGAGATAATTATTACAACAACATCACTGCACACTTATATATCATTTAAAATTATCGAATCTAAGCTTATACAAGTGTTATAATGCATCCATCACGCAAGGCCTGCGATCTATGCTACCGCAAGAAAATTAAGTGTGATGGAGAAACACCCCGCTGTTCTCCCTGCGTGATTTACAAGTCCGACTGTACCTACAAGGCTTCTAGTCGGAAGACACCATCCAAGAAGCAAGCCGCGGCTCAGAGACAATTTCGGGAGGACTCCTTACAGTCTCGGATCAAAACTCTTGAAGATCAGCTAAGCACAGTCTTGGAAAAGGTTGATAAGTTAGAAAAACAGTCCGGCTCTGAACAAAATACTCCAAATTCAACGCCGCGCCATGCGAGCGAAGAAGATACCATGGTAGCTAACTGGGCTTCGAGCCTGCCTCCTATCCTAGAGCTACCTCCACTTCAAGAAGTTCTGCCTATAGTTGAACACTACCTCGCCACTTTCAATACCATCATGCCTCTATTTCACTCGGAGACGCTATTACAGAAGATTAAGGACTGGTACGAGAATTCGCATGTAAGGGATACAGTTACTTGGGCAATGATTAATGTCGTCCTTGCACTTTCTCCCCATACCGGTTGGTCCAATAACGTGGCTCAGACTGGCAATGCCGCCGTATATTTGAACAATGCACAGTCAGTCCTGACGGACGTTATTATGGGTAAAATAGATTTGATCAATATCCAAGTACTTCTGGGGATAGTCATATTATTCCGGACAGCGGATGATTTGAGGCCAGCCTTAATTCTGACTTCAACCGCTCTACGTCTAGCTCATCGGCTTGGGCTTCATAACCGGAAGGCTTCCGAGTATCTATGTCCAGTGGTATCCTTACAGCGAAATCGAGTCTTCTGGATAGCTTATATCCTCGACAGGGATATCAGTTTATTATCCAGGTTAGCCCCCATTCAGCTCGACGGCGAAATCGACCTTAGTTTGCCACCATCAGAAGCGACGGATGATTTGACAGGGTTCGTCTTTGCGGCAGATGGTCGTACCAAGTTGAATTTCTTTCGCGCCCGCGTGGAACTAGCAAGGATCCAGGGGAAAGTCTACGAATCTATTTACTCGCCATCCGCGCAGAATGCTAATTCCGAGGAGAGAACTAAAAACGTCTCGCGTACCTTGCGAATGCTCGACGAGTGGAGCTCTGGACTTCCTACTGAATTCAGCCTCGCGAGTTTGTCGCAAGCCAACGTCCCCGAATTATCAAGATACCTCTGCCTTCTCTATGCGACCCCTGTATCGTGCCGGGCTTTACTTTGTTGTGCTAGCGCGTGGGACTCATATCACTATTCCAAATGGGTGGGACGCGTACAAGATTATGGAGAGCAAGTCGTCACAGGACAAGTTGTTTCCCATGCACCAACACTACCGCACGGATGGAAACAGCTTGTAGACGAATCTCGAGAATACCTAAAACTCTTCGCAACTGTTATTCCGAGGGATTCATACTTTATCCGGTACGCGTTCTCCCACTTGGCCAAGAAAAGTTTAGTAACTAACCTGACATACCGCAGGATGACTTTATGCGCATACAATTCGAGTACAATCTGCCTTATGGCCAATAGTATAATTTCCGCCCGCAACAAACGGACCGAACAGAGCAGCGAGTTCGCATGGACAGACACGATCTTTTCGGATGATATGGCAGAACATAGCTATCGTGAGATACGGGATGCTGTCATGCGACTAGGGTTCTACGCGAACAACAGATCCCAAATGGTGCCCCTAAAGTGATGTCGCTAAAGTAGAGCATTGTAATGGATATACCAAGTCTTAGATAGCTTGTCGGGATGTCTAAGTCGCAATACCTAGACGCTTAATAATAATAATCTGGGGGTAACTGACAGGTTTGAAAGGGTAATATATTGTCAGCCGGACCCTCGGCTTCATATTGACGTAGTACTGTTAGCAGCGTCAATCTTTGTTGCACACCATTAGTGGTCTTTTCAAAGGGCAGCGAAATTGATTCATCGAGAGCCGATCCTTCTATTTTCCCCGCCGAAACGGTGGGCGTCACGACATTAATCTCGCACGCCGATAGTTCTAGTCGGATGGCTGGTTACTACATCTAATACGGCTACCTACATTATTTGAGTAGGATCTCACGGAAGACTACGTACATCAAATGTCTTACATAGTCCATGATCATTTACCCCGAACTCCGGAAAACGCGTGGCACACTTTCATATTTGCTTTAGTGGAGATGTCATTCTTGTTTTCTCGATTGATGGATGCCACGGAATAAATCAGCCGCTGTCGTCATAATGTCTGAGATTTTATTGCTTATTAAATCCGACCCCCACACCAAACCCAACATTCACATTTTTTACGTTGAAAACTAACTCTACCACGATATCATCGCCTAGACAGATGCGTAAGCCATGAAGAACCGCGGGTACACGAAGCCCATAGCAAAACATACCTCAATTAACCCCCCCATTAAGTTTCGACTACATTCACGATTGGGTTGATTGGGCTAGGTACGTAGGTGAGGATGAAGACTGTGGATGATATTCCCCTCATCTGCGCCACTTTACTGAGACTTGGTACCTAGGTACTTACCTGGGCGGTTATTCCTTGTTATGAGAGTTGGTAATCCCAGCTTAATAGTGCATAAGACTATTTACATATGTACGTTGTTCATAGTTATGCATACTTTATGTACCTAGGTAAGTACCTACTCTTATGACAGCTCTATAGGTAGGATGTTAGCGTGGACCAATCGGCTTGCTTTGACCTAACTCTTATTCTGGTATGTTAATTAACAATTTTGACAGTATATACTGACTTTCTGCACAAGTACTTGTAGCCTTGCTACTATAATTGGAACAACATGCGCTGGCACCAAAGCAGCCCATTTCGCCCTGCTTGGGTCGGAGCTCTACATACTTGTCCCAGCAGCAGTTCTAACCATACCATGTCTGAACTAAATCTCTCCGTTGATCGCCAAACATCACATGCTCATCCTCGTCGAGAAAGGCAAACTAGGTATCCGCGATGAGACTCAGATGGCCATGCCGATTTCATTTCAAAGGAGATGGCGAGAACCCAAGCCAACAAGCTCTCCAAGGCGGGGTCACTCAAAGTAAAGAGCTATCCATCCCACCCATAACTGTCGTCAAGGTCAGTCTCCTATTACTTAGCGATAGTCCTTATGGCCGACCTAGGTCGTAAGCTGATTGAATCTAACGTCGGAACTAGACCTGTGAGAAACCCGAGAGGTTTGGACTCTTTCCAGTCCATGTTTCCGACCCCTTCGACGTAGAGTAAGCGATCAACAAACTGAGGCGCGACCGTGAAATCATTGTTAACTTGACGACAATAAGTGTGGTGGCTGTTCACGGTCTCGGCGGCGATTGGGAAGAGACCTGGACGGATAGCGACACCGGAAAGATGTGGCTTAGAGACTTCCTACCTCTCCAATTCTCGAACATTAGGATATGGTCGTTTGGATACGACTCGTCGTATACGCTAAGCCAGTCCGTAAATACAATCGACGATGCCGCCCGATCTCTGATTGATGGGCTCGCTGGCGAGCGCCTAAAGCCCTCCGCGAAGAAGAAACCAATCATATTCATCGCCCATAGTTTAGGGGGGATCATTGTGAAAAAGGCACTAATTCTTACGAATGAGCGCTCGGATCACTGGGAAGACCTGCGAGACAGCGCAGCCGGAGCCATCCTCTTTGGTGTTCCGCATCGTGGATCCGACATTGCATGGTGGGCTGATTTCGTAACAAGCATCTTCAATTACGGCACTCTAGGATCCGTTGGAAACCGGGAAGTCGTTAAGGCATTGAAGCGCAACTCTCCCGCTCTCTCACAAATCTCAGATTCATTCATTCAGCTAGCCAACAACTTGAAATTGATCCGCACATTTTATGAGACAATGAGAATCGGAAACCAAATTGTTCGTCAACTCCATTCTAAGGACAATTCCCCAATTATTTTGCTAATACAAGCCGCACAGATTGTTAACAAGGACTCCGCAAATCTTCGACTCCATAACGAAGTTGCCATACCTATCCAAGGAGCAGACCATCGAAATTTGTGCAGATTCGGGAATGAAGAGAGCCAAAAATACAGGCCTGTGAAGAACGCATTGTATGATATGATGAGAAAGGTGACAGAAGACAGCAGCCCATGTACGTGATGAAACCAACAGGGCTTCCACGAACCCCCTGAATCTCAAGTACTCATCAACTAACATCACTCGTCAAGCTATAACAGAGCAGTGTATGTCCTAATCCATATCCATGTGAATGTCTTATGTTGAAAGAACCTACACGTTTTGGCTTTATCACCACGTGAATGAGTTTATGGTAGATTTTCTCTCCGAGTCATGAGACAAGTCTACCAGAGAGGAGAGATGGGAACCCTGAGGCTAAATAGTTTCCTTAGCTTTGCTTATATCCTGCGTGTATAATCCTAGCTACTAGTGATTTCTGAGGTTTACTAATGAATATGTTTTCAAGGTTCCAGCTGTTACCAAATACCGTTCAGTCTGCAAGGTGTATCAGTGACCATGAATTTCGTTCCACGTCCATTTGATACAGCCAAAATCGAACAGACTCTTCTTCCGGGATGTCACTCTCATGGACGGAAAATATTCGTCCTCTATGGTCTTGGCGGCATCGGGAAAACGCAACTGGCGATCGACTTTACTCGACACCATCACGGGAAGTTCAGCGCGGTATTCTGGCTAGATGGAAGTTCAGAAGATAACTTGAAACAAAGCCTTGCGAGCTGCATAGCCCGTGTCCCAGAGGGACAAGTTTCTGAAGAGAGTCGAAAGTATCTCTCACATGGCAAAGGTAATCTAGATGCGGTTGTCATAGAGATGATGGAATGGTTGAGTCGCCCCGACAATACTGATTGGCTTCTCGTGTTTGACAATGTTGACCGGAAATATCCAAATAACAATCCATTTCATGGCGCATACGATATAAACCGCTACCTCCCGAGTGACCACGGATCAATCCTCATTACCACTCGTCTAGCTCGGCTCGCACAACTTGGTGACTCGAAGAAACTCGAAAAAGTTGGGAAAGTCCAAGCACATGCCATATTTCAAAGATGGTACGGGATGAATTTAGGTAAGTTCTAACTACTATTCCTATGCAATTTCTTTTCCATATGTATTGGTACTGACCACCACTGAATAGATTTGGTCGACACCATAGATTTATTAGATCTGCTTGACGGCTTGCCTCTTGCCTTGGCCCAAGCTGCTGCATATCTTAGAGAAACCAAGCTTGAATTTAGTTCGTATATTCGGCACTATAAAGAACAATGGAACTTGTTAATGAAAGATGAGCCCTATCCACCACTCATAGACTACGAGAAGCAACACAGCCTCAGCACAACTTGGTGGATATCGTTCAATGCCATCAAAGACATCAGCGTGGAAGCCACAGAGTTGCTAATGTTGTGGGCATTCCTAGACAACAAAGTTCTTTGGTATGGCCTGCTTCAATCCGTCGCAAACTCTACGATGAACCTGCCCGAGTGGCTCCGGAAGCTAGCAACTGATCAACTTACGTTTACCAGGGCCATAAGAGTTCTACTAAATTATTCAATAATCGAGGAAGGGGAGGGGAAAGAAAGCTACTCTATGCACCCGGTCGTTCACAAGTGGGTGTTAGGAATACAAGTTGGTAAGCGAAGAGTCGAGTTCATGAAGTTGGCCGTCATAGTGGTCGGCATGTGCGTGCGAAGCAGAAATGGCAAGGATTGGAATTTCCATCGAAGATTAGTCCGACACGCGGAAACTTGTCGAGCCTGGATCTCATCCGACAAAGGCGCGATGTATAGGATGGATACGGATGAACAACCATACGAGAAAGGCATCAGCGCGGTGCTCAACGCAGCTCACTACTTGGGAGACCTCTTCCGGAGCCAAGGGAAGTTAACAGAATCAGAGGAGATGTATCGCTATGCATTAAATGGCAAGGAACAAATTCTAGGACCAGATTCCAGATCGACTCTCGACACAGTAAATAACCTTGGCGTTCTTTACCAGAATAAAGGACAGTTGGAGTCGGCGGAAAAAATGTACAGACGGGCACTGAAAGGAAGAGAACAAGAACTAGGGCCCAATCATGTATCAACTCTCGGTACAGTCAACAACCTAGGGCTCCTCTACGTGGATCAGAACGAATTTGATAAAGCAAAGGAAATGTACCAGCGCGCATTAGAGGGCAGAGAAAAGCATCTAGGGCCAGCACATCCATTAACGCTTCGAATCATAAGCAACTTCGCCGTTCTTCATATGAAACAACACGACTTACAGAGAGCCGAAAAGATGTACTGGCGCGCCCTTGACGGATATAAAAACACATTAGGGGCCGACCACATATTGGCCATTAACATAACATACAATATGGGTGCTCTTTACACTAAACAGGGCAAGTTAAGAGAAGCGAAAGGGATGTACCAGCATGCTTTAGAAGGATACAAAAAGGCTCTCGGGCCCGGCGACGCATTAACCTACAGCGCAGCTTACAAATTAATCAACCCTTATGCCAAAGAAACACCCATGGAATGGACTATACCTGAAGAAGAATCACATGTATCTACATCGAGATCTCCCTTAGAGGATCTCGAAAGTAAGTTTTGACTGTCTACTAAGCCCTCCCGATCCCATGTTGTTTACTGCGATTGTTCTGACCTCCGCTCACAATACGTCGTTCCAGACTTTTGTCATGACTCTGGCTGGGGAAGCCCTACCTGCGAGTGTTCGGCGGGCATATTAGGCTACACTTGCAGAATCCTTATTAACAGGAGAAGGGTTCTATCCTATGGACCGTGCGAATCACCCCAAATCGCCAGGGAGCGCGGGGCCCAGAACACCCTGCTACTTGGACGGCTCTTATTCACCAATGAACCGTACGAAAACTACAAGAAATTTATCTCACTACCAAAGGAATACCGCAGGCCTCGGTCCATATTTCAAAGTTCGTACAACTCAGGCTCAACTACAGCTACCGGCAACAAGCCTCGGTCCGACTTTCGAAGTCTGTACGGCTCAGCTTCAACTACGGCTGCGGGCAGATCAGCCTTAACATGCAGGGGCTGGGAAATGCCGCGCTTCTTGCCACCCGAAACCACCGTATCATTGGAAATGTGAGAGCGAGAAAATAATTGTTTTTATACTCAGCGACAACATCACCGCAATAATCATGTTCACAAAGAATATTGTTTTTATAAAGTCTTTGGGGGGGTTTTCTATAATTGTATGTATGCTCTATACCCTACCTAGGTTTTTCTTTTTGAATTTTTTTTTTCTTAGACCATTACTCTTTCTCGACCTCCTCTTCTATCGTATCCATCTCTCTGGTGTAACGAGTTTTCTGTGATAGATACCACTATACAACGTCTTAACCACGGTCCCTGGCAACTCACCGTCACAATCCATAAAATCGACCTTGAATCGATATTCACCCGGCCATTTAATCTTCAGACCCTTGAACATTAGTGAACGGCGCCCGTTCCACCTCTGAGCCGTGCTGCCTCCCAATTGCCCACCCCATGCATCTTGAAACTGATCTGGCCTGGAGTTGAACCTATTAGGGACTGCCCTTTGGAGGGTTAGCCTCACGTAATCGTATGGGCCTGGAGCAGTCCAGCACATAACGGGTAAGGAAAATTCTTCATCTGGCTCAAGCTGAAAGCGTCGGTTGTGTGAAACCCAGTACCAACTTTCAGTGACATCCTGTGTGGATGATAGCGTAGCTGGGGGTGCAGGCGAAGGCTGTTCTGATGAAGTAGTTGACGTAGGTTGTGTACCTGCTGATCGATTAAGAGCTCTAGCTCCACGTCTCCTTGATCGAGAATACCACTTTGGCTCCCAGTATGATTTACGTTCAGCCATATTGTCTTTGCTTCAGATTATACTGACACCTCTAACTAATAATTATTGCGATGCTAAAAGGGGTTATATAGGAATTGATAGGCGCGGGCTACAATTGGATGGTACAGAGACAATTGATTTGTTACGAAAATTCTATTGCTGTTTTTGAACAAGGCGTTATTTTTCATATAACTAGCATGTGCAGCTATGAATCTGCTGTGGGGTACTGAGCACGATGGAGTGGCATCAAATAATCAATACCTACCTAGGTACCTACCCATATACATTCTAGAATAGTCGTGAGTTCATAAGTTGGCAGAAGGATGGCCGATGAATTAATTCCAGTCAAAGTACCTGAGGATGTACCTAGGTAACAAGTGTAAGAAATCTGTCATATTTTATATAGTGTTGCATTTATTGGTTGGTCCCATCTCTGCCTGGCATCTAAGGCAGGAACGTCCACTACCTAGGTACGGCACACCTTCCCTTCCACTCAGTCAGTAATTATGTCCATCCGGCCCAGCGACGGGATAGATCCTTTATATAATTAAATAAATTGCTGCTTTCCAATACGAACTCAGTGCCTATGGAGCAGTAGTTAGCTCGCTCCCCTCCCATTAGCCTAGCTGGTGAGAGACAAGGGAGAGACCCGGGTGCAAATCTCCGGTAGGCGCAAATATTATATTTTAAGGACATCGATTCGAGCCGATGCTGAATGATTCTTTTTTATTTTAACATTTCCATTTATTACAACCCCGTGAGGTAATTGCTTTTATTGTATTCATATAATTACTCTTGCGTTTGATTATTTTGCCCTCCTCCCAGTGTCTCGTCCCAGAAAGGGGTTACGTAGCCAGGTACCTAGGTACCTACCCCCTTTATAAAATATTCATTTTGACACACAGAATGGACTTTTTTTCTCGTTATTTAGGTTCATTATAAATAAAATAAACTTTTACAAAATGGCCTTTAGCTATCTACATTTTGGTGACTTCTTGCTAATACCAAAAATTTCTCCCACTGAATGTGAAGATCAACTATATCTCTGATGAGTATAATGATGGGGCTGGGATAAATATAAATCTATTCGACAAATTTGTGTGCTTTCTATTATGTCAACGTCTATCGAGACAACTTGGCGTTCCTCCTGAAGAGGAAATCAAGGTTCGTAATAATTCTAGTGGTAGGAGTATTGTGCCTTTTTATCCCCAATATGAAGCGATGTGGTGCCCCATGAGAAATATTCAGTGACTATTTCTTGCTGCTATGGTGACCATAGTAGCCACCGGATTTTCCTCCCTTCGCATTGTCGGTGCCGGTAGTGTTGTGGTGACCACCACGATGCCCCGAGGCGTTCGAACCGGTACCTTCCTTCGTTCCTCGAACTGCCTCCTTTGCTGCCCGAGTTGTTTCGGCTGCCGCCGCCGTGGTTGTTACCGGGCATTGTGGGCCGATATGTAGACTCTTGTATGATGCTCGGATATGGGTTGAAGATCTAAGATGGATCTATTTCTTGCTTGTTGTGGTTGATGGGTATGGAGAGTGTGGGTTGGTGGGTTAGGAAGGGTGCTTCGAACGTCGGAGAGCACCTTGTATATGTATATTGTGATGGAAACGTCTCAGGACCATAATGCTACTCCTAATCAATTTGTTTCCACCCCACAGTGCTGCGGAATCTTGGATAGTCACTATCAATCCACTGGCTAGTAAGTGACAGATATGAATCATCGGGGCAAAATCGTAGGTCGAGCTGATAATCTAGTGTTTTTGATAGCGATATCAGTAGAATGCACTCAGGTTAGGTGTATCTTACGAGAATCATCATCGAGAGATCTACCTAGATCCTTACTCAGTACCTTCCATACCTAGGTACGTAGTCGATATTTCGACACCGTTTTGCTGTGACGATTTTCGTGGTAATATCGTAAGAATAGATGCGTTGGTAAGTAAATAAGGGTTAATCTTGGTCAATTCAATATCTCGTAGTGTGATTCTGGTAAAGTTTATCTAGGTAAATTTGTCCCTTTTCTTCCCCTTCCGTCGCGAACCCATCATTTCTGAACTTTCTTACGTCTGTTACATCCTCCTCGAATGGTCTCGACAGCCAGGAAGGCGTCGAGATACCTCCATCGGACACACAGAGCATGATTGATCCGAGCAACGATGCTGCAGCTTCAAACTCAACTTCAGCACGCTATTCACTTGGGATATAAAATCTCTGCAGCTACTGCACACGGGGCTGCTAACTAATATAATGGCACTCTCCAAGGTTTCTTCTGGGGATACTCCCCGTAGGTCTGCAAGCCTTTCCCTATATTCTCGGTCCATCCTTCTTTGTTTCTGTTCTGTTGATTCCCTATGGTGAGTCTTGAAAGCGATAATTCAACCCCCGACTCCGACTCTTCAGGGCCGGCAAGTTCATGCTCTAGGAATAGGTGTTTATGGATGAAGTATGCGGCTAACTGCTTCTCTGCATGGCATGCGTTGTATTGCCCTGGTATGCCCCGGTCATAGTAGTGGGGTTCCAGGTCGAAACCGGGTATCCTACATAGAAATAACACTTCGTCTGTCCAGTCCTTACCAGCAACATGGATGCTCTTGTTTGGTTCGTGTGACCAACCGCTCATAGCGGCGATATCTGGAAGCCCCCCACCCCGGATTAAACGTGCAACCGTCTTCCACTCGTTGGGGATAGTATAGTAAGTAGTTAGGGAGAGCAACTTGCGATCATTGGGCGAGTGTTAAAAGGCAAATATATCTAATTGGGGAATACTTGGCTCGTCCGCCACATCCTCAAGAAGCCCGACGATAATTCTGCGATCATGGTCCTTTACATATGTATTTTCTTTATAGAGGCCAGAACGCCTTTCTTTATTTTCCTCTGACGGTTTTTCAAAATAAGCGGCACATCGAAGATGGTTGCCGTCGATGCACACCTTAGACTTATCAGCTCCGTACTCCATAAGGGCTTCAACATTTCCCAGTCGTCCCCACAGCGCCGCCTCCATGAGAGCGATTCGGCCATAATTGTCAGCAGCGTTCGGATCAGCACCCTTTCAGAGGAGAAGTCGCACCATTCTAGACGATTTTTTGCATGCAGCCAGATGTAGTGCGGTCTTTCCTGATGTCTCGACGCCGTGTAAGAATATGTTGGCATCCGAAGAGGATTCGAGGTACTTGCGGATATATCCGATATCGCCTTTTACCATCTTGTCTCTTGCAATAATTATTTTCTCAACCGGGTCATCGAGGAACATTTCAGTCTCGACTGCCTCTACCCACTTTAGTTTCGCCTCGACACTATCTTAAAACTAACCCTCAAATCTTCTGCCTCGTTATCGGAGATGCCTTCGACAGGCAGACGAGCCCCGCCTGCTACGAACCGAAAATTTTCCTTATCGATTTCGTACCGAAGCGTTGATGCTGTACCAAGTAGGAATCGTATCTCGTACTCAAATACTTGGGTACTGTCGCTGTCCACTGAAGCACAATGACACACATGTATATGGCGTTGGTCATAGTTCCCTTCAAAGCCATGCTGATGGATTCCGTCGCACCATGGGCATAAGATGTGCATGGTTCGGTGATCCCACCACTGAACTCTGGCTTTCTTGTATTTTTTTTTTCTGCGTTAGACATCTTGCTCTAAAACTCGATGATGTATTGCCGGGATGGAATTCGATGTACTCGTGCGATGGAGTTTCCGTCTAAATGTTGCGTGAACATGCCGAGAATACTTAGGCACCCCTCCTCTGTGACACGCTACAACTTCCGCGCTCCTACTCCTATCCGGAGCACTGCAAAATGCGATTCCTCCAATTATCTATCGCTGTGGCGCTCCCATTAAGCTTCCATTGGAGCCCAATGCCGAGTACGTACCCTACCTATGTGTATTTCTACGGTGGTGGCTTTGCAAAAGAGCCAATGGCCTTTGTAGGCGAGATTGGTTATCAATGGGATGGGTTCTCAAGGGTTTCCCACCCGTATTTAGTCAATCAATAGCACGGGGAGTATCATATACTCACTTTGGAGGTAGATGGCTTCTCGGGTAATATTCTTTGCGACGGGTAGCTTAACGGACTTCAGAGACCGTGCCAGGAACGCCTCTATCACGCCTCAGCGCTATTTGATATGCGCTATTAAAATACTGCATCCCGTATCCGAGCATTATCATTCTGGCACTGTTCTCAATCGCGACCAAGCCTTCGCGCCTATCCTACACTGAGTACAAATCCACCCGCAACTCCCCAACTCCCATTACCAGAATTAACCTAATCTTTGTATTCAGAGTCGTAAAGTATCCATAATGCGCATAATATTCGTAGCCTCCATCCCAATCACCCATCAATCAACCGATCATTCTCCCGCGACTTCTGCAATGCCTGCTGCAGCCTCTCATTCTCCTCCACTCGAATCCGACTCCGTGCACTCTCCAACCTCTCGACACCAGCATTAATGGTCTCGATATGCACACTTAACGGAATCTCCGCTGTGCCTGCCACTACCCCGGGAGCCGCAACCCGATCCCTTAAATCGCTCAGCTTTGTCTGAATATCGGTCAAGTCGTTGATCAAAGAACCAAGACTTTCGACAGCCGTGTGTCGCTGAGTTTCGACTTGTTCCAGAAGATTCAGTTGCGACTTCAGGTTATGTAGACGACGGTTATTCGCGCCAACAAGCGTCCAGACGTTCCATAATACCTCGCTATGTTTCTCCTTGACCACATTGCCCGTATGGACGACGTGTTCATTGATAAGCCCAAGACTGTTCTCTGCTTGATTAAACAGACGTAGCACAGCTTGAGCTTCAAGGATGAGGTTTGCGATCTTTTCTGACACTAGCGCCGTGTGTTCGATGTACTTATCAAGAAGTGCGCGCTCGTCGAAGACTGCTACTTGAAAAGGAGCGAAGAGCCAATTAGAGAAGCGGGACACCATGTTGTTGTTCGCTTCGCGGTTTAATGCAATGGAGTCGATAAACCGTGATGTCCATCGGTTGATGCTGATGACGCTGTCGACTGCGCCGCCGACGTGAGTGTTGAACATTTGTAAATCGTTGGCACTAGCGCGGATAAACCCGATGTAATTATCAAATTCATGCACTAGGTCGTTACGAGTTGGTAGCTCGCTGTATTTGACCATCGTACGTAAGTCGCGAACGGAAGTTTCTGATCGCTTCATTTCCATCGGTAATGAAACACCTTGCGCGGAGTCCTCTAGGACCTTCTCAAACTGAGACTGCACACTCATCAACTCATCAAACTCGACCGAAGATGCATCGTCATGTGATTTCGAGGACCCCGTGGCTGGACAAAACGGTAGGTTCATCATAGATGCACCAGGCACCGAGCAAAGTGGCGCTAGCGGCGCCGACACTGAAGTGACGATCATATCCTTAGCGACTATCAACGCTCCAATGATCATGTAAACTGCAAGTAGCATCCCTAGAGGCCACTTCGCGTAGCGCAGGGCTACACGGAGGATATCAAAAGTCCAGGCAGCAGCGTCGAATAGAAATTCGGGGGCAGATGATGTAAATCTTTCCGAAAGAGATTGTCTGCGGGGTGGCTCATCCGATCTGTACTGAGGACTTCGTATGGTTGAGACGCTATCTTCTTGACGGTTACCTCTTCTCCTTAATACCCGCGGACTAGTCATAACTGGTTTAGCACCCCTGGATGAACGCCGAGTGCGCGGCGGGCTGTCAATGTCCACTGTAGGCATAAAGAATTCCGGAACGGGGGTTGCGTCTTTGTCATGTATGGATGTGTGCCTAGTGGAAGGGAGCGAGGGTTGAAAAGGAGCCCGTAGTATAACTTGATCTTCGTCTGCCCTGTTAGCAAAATCGCGAATGCTTTCCTGGGACCCTACACTTGGATCCTGAGACGATGCGGAGGTTTGTTGGGACTGGCTGCTGAAAATGATGGCGTCGCCTTCGAATGGATCTTGGATTATGGCGGTGTCGAAGCTATCGTTATCACCTCCTTCTACCATGCGCCAAGAATCCTCAACGGAGAGGTTCGATTGCTGATTCCGTGTCATGTTTGGGATAGGCAGTTTCGAGGGAATCCAGAACGGATTCTCCTAGCTCCTGGGTGGTGTTGTCTCTTGAAAGTGAGACAAGAACCAGCCTCCTCCGAATGGTCGAGATGTTAAATATTTAGAATCTACCTCGCGGGATGTTTGGTAGTCATAGTTCTTTTGCAAACGCCGGTGATTAGGTAGGCAACCTTGGAAGGCAAACGCGAATATTATATACTAATGCCAAGATGGTCGAGTCTAGTGTTAAACCATACAAACAGGGATCGCTGGTTTCTAGTGACTCATAGAGAAATGCTGGTAGATCGTAAAATTTCGAGATGAATGTGGAAATAGGCAGAGTTCTGGAAAAAGCGGTCGCGTAGAAATTTCATGTCTTGAAGAAGGAGCGCATTGGATGGAGGCATCCATTCGCCTTATGTGAGTTTAAGAGATATCATCAACTGGTCGCGGGTGACATTGATGTCACGGGGCTAGCGTTGCAACTTGTGATTGGGTGCTGTACCATATCCAGTAAAAAATATACTTTCACCAAGATAGTGTTTGTGATGTATGAAGTACTTCTTCTAGGCTCCTGAGACAGACTAAGGTGAGAGTACCCCGTACTTATGACGTTAGTCCGTTAACTTATGTCTTATTCGGACTAGTGTGCCAAGCCTAAGAAGCTCCGAACCCCTGTCACTCTCCAATTAGTCCACGCGAATCAATTTAGTGAATTTCTTTAATTTTTTGTTCGCTATTTCTTCTCGGAGCTTGAAAAAGTCCCCAGTCATGCTTTGAAAATTGACAACTGATTGGCGGCATGTTCGCGCGAAGGGTATTGAGGATACGCCCTCAAATATCGAGATGTGTGCTTCGAACACAAACAACCATCGGGTCACCCTTGCATAAACACCTCTTGATCCGAACCTGTTCGTCCCACGCAACTTCGGGTCTCCCACCAAAACCCCCCGCAGATCACCGACAACTCGGCCTCCAACAAGAGCTATTTACGACCTCGATATATAGCCCCGGATCGCCGATACTGCTGCCTAATGGTGCGCGAATATTCAATCGTCTTGTAGAGTTTCTACGAAAGCAATATGTACGATATGGTTTCGACGAGGTCATCACCCCCACCATATATAAAAAGGCACTATGGAGGAAATCGGGCCATTTAGAAAATTACAGTGATGACATGTATACGGTGACAAGTACATCGCCCTCACGTAGCGATAGTACGAAGGCTGGTGACGAAGAGGACGAATATGGCCTTAAGCCCATGAACTGCCCAGGTCATTGCCTGATCTTTGCATCCCAACGACGAAGCTACCGACAGTTGCCTATCCGATATGCCGACTTCTCCCCCCTCCACCGGAACGAGATATCCGGAGCTCTCAGTGGCTTAACCCGAGTACGACGTTTCCACCAAGATGACGGTCACATATTTTGCCGGCCGATACAAATCGAGGAGGAGATCAAGAAGACACTTGACTTCGTGCGTGTCGTCTACTCTACCTTCAAGCTAGGACCTTACCGATTAGCCCTCTCGACGCGCCCGGCCGATCATTACATTGGAACTGCTGAAGAGTGGGAGAGGGCTGAGAATGCTCTTAAGAGAGCGTTAGATGCATCCGGTCAAGAGTGGACTATAAACGAAGGCGATGGTGCATTCTACGGACCCAAAATCGATATCGTATTAAGAGATTCAGATGGCAAGGAGCACCAAACTGCTACGATACAGTTAGATTTCCAGCTACCGAAACGATTCGACTTAGGCTACCTAGCACCAGCACCTGAATTCGAACGAAGGGGCGAAATTACTACAGATGCCGAAAAGCTAGCTGAGTTTGGGCTTGTAACCCCCGTCCTGATCCACAGAGCTGTGTTGGGTTCGGTGGAAAGACTGATGGCCTTACTTATTGAACATTACGATGGCAAGTGGCCATTTTGGTTGAATCCAAGGCAGGTAATGATAGTTACCGTTAATGATAGTGAACCAGTAGTGAGATTAGCTAGGTTAGCCCAAGATATTCTTATGGGTAGAGATGGGTCAACCGAAGGCCCAGTCGTAAACCCCTCTCAACTTATAGTAGATATTGACGATAGCCAGAGGAGCCTACCGCTCAAAGCAAGAGAGGCTAAATCAAAGGGCTATGGCGTAATCGTCACCGTGGGTCCAAAACAGGTACCAAACGGTACAGTTACGATTGGCATGTCGGGATTGGGGAATGACGGGAGTGGGACCAAGCAAGATATGTTACCGAAAGATCTATTTGCACTCCTGAAAAATAAGGCCGACTCCTACCAATAATGGGGGCATGTTCTCCATAGCCATACCCAATTGAACCTAATCCATAACGAAAACACATTCGCCTCCTGCCTGAGTCCTTTCAATTCCAAACCGAAGAATTAGTCGTAGTTACCTAACTATCGTCATCTAAATCATGAACTCCATGCACTTTCTGCAATTCCTTTTGTCGGGCCTCCAATCTCTCAAGGATCTTGACTGGTCTAGAGAACCAATTAGTATGATGATCGATTTGGGGGCGGGGAAAGAAGAAGAAAAAGGTGGCTTGCTCTTTTAGGTGATCCGGAACGGTGATCCCTTTCGCTTCCGCCTCCTCAACTAATTCGCGGCGTCTACCAAGTTGTTCCCGCATGTACTTTACTGTTTCTTTCAAGACATAACCCTCAGAGCGACCATGACCTGCCAATCCAGGTACCAGAGCGCAGAGGCGATCAAAGCCAGCCCGAATAGCTTCCCTACGCTTTTGTTCTATAGACACCCAGTCAGTTGGTTTCCTTACAAGGCTATGTGCGAGCAATAGATTAGTCACCTGATGCGATATGGTTCTGCTTCTTTTCCTCTTCGGTCAAACGTGGCTTGTCGTCTTGCAACCCCGAAGACTGGCCATTCTCGCCATCCTGAGGTGATTTGGACCGAGGCTCCGACATGTTGTTCGAAAGATCTGAGACAAGTTCGGCCGGAGTAAATTGCGCGCCGATTATTGATTATTATATTATTAACCGTTTTGATTCGTCCTTCTTATACGTTTAACTAGTAGATATCCCAACAAAATCTGCTCGCGAATGTCTAGGCTTGATATCTGGAGACATGAGACACGTGCTGTACAGAATAAGATGCTGCTGGTCTGCGATGATTGAGAGCAGAGATCCCTGGTGCGTACATTTTCCAGGAAGTACAAAGAGAAGGGGTGGTTTCTCCAGAATATCGAAGAATTGTTCGCTATTCGACGATATGAAATCAGGCTTCGATAATTTTTGGTTTATTTTTTTGGTGAAATAATTGAGATTCTAAGTTATTCTAAGTTTAGACTTACGAATGGCATCTCATCTCGGGAAGTGCATGTGACACACGCCCCCACCAGACCCAAGTTGAGTATCCCTGTCCACTCTAATTCATAATCAACTTAAACCTCTTAATTCCAGCCTCAGCTGAGCCACGAGGAGCTTTCTTAGATTGAGATACGCCCCTCCCTTCTATGAATTAGGTTACTAGCTTGTGACGCAAAGCTTCCCCGGACCTGCATTTAGAACCCCCACCGTAGAAGCCGTTTACACCTCCTATTCACCTTCCTCAACTTCTTCATATCAAAGTCGAAATAGCCTCAATCCGACTTACATCTTCTTATCTTCCCCGCTATTAACTATTTAAAGCCAAGCAATCCCCACTTCTGAATATCATAACCCATCTACATCCAATTCACCTATCTACTCCAATTTCATCCCCTCCCCCACTAAAGCTTCACCTCAAACCTCAAATCTCACCACCACAATGGACGAAAAGAAACCTCTGCTCCCCGAACAAACCCCCTCCGACCCACCGCCAGACTACGCAACCTCAGCACAAGAACATGGGCAATCCCTCCCAATCCGGCCACCACCCCCAGTCCCACGCCGGCCTCCACCAGGCGCACTCCTCGACCTCCCAATCCTAAAATACATGCGCACGCACCGCGTAATCCTCGCCTCCGCCTCCCCACGCCGGCGCGCCCTACTCGCACAAATGGGCTTACTAAACCTCGAAGTGCGCCCCAGCGGCTCCCCCGAGAACCTCGACAAAACCTCGTTAGGACCATTCGCATACGTATCCGCAACCGCGCAGCAGAAAGCGCTCGACGTATACGCATCTCTGATCGACGAGGCCGCTACCAAGCAATCCGAGCCCGTACCTCCCCCACCAGTAGATTCCACCCAAGACCCGCGCTTAGCAGCCGAGTTCAGCGCAAATGAAGAACGGTCGCGGAAAGATCCGGATCTGGTTATCGCGGCTGATACCGTGATTGTCACGCGGGACGGTATAATCCTTGAAAAACCAAGTTCCGAAGCCGCGCATTTGAAGATGTTGAAACATCTCCGGGACACGAGGACACATCGCGTGCTCACGGCTTTATGCTGTGTAGCGCCGCGCGCTGATGCGCAGCACCCTGGGTACGTCCTCTCGTCGCATGTCGAGGAGACGAAGGTCGTGTTTGCAAAAGAAGAAGATGGGCTGCCGGATGATGTTATCGAGGCGTATGTGCGAACGCGCGAAGGCGTGGATAAGGCGGGTGGGTATGCGGTGCAGGGTCTTGGGGGCGCGTTGTTGGTGGAGAGGGTTGATGGAGCGGTGGATAATGTTATTGGGTTGCCGGTGCGTAAGTGTCTGCAGCTTTGTGAGAAGGTGGTTTTTAGACAGGATGAGACGAGTGATGATGAAGGGGAGGAGGATGAGGAATAAGGGGGTGTGCTGCCTTGAGGGCATCTAAGAGCCATGATGAGGTAACGGTAAAAAAAAAGGTCACTAGAATATGCCTCCTTTACAGGGAAGGGATATAGAAACTTAGAAATCCGAAGCAGGTTAGGGGTAACAACTATTAGGTGGAAAAAACAGGTTCGGGCAGTCTAATAGGAATTGCATGATGGCAACGACAATAGAGTATAAACGAGCGGCGGCAGGTATTAGAATCTACGATACAATTATTTTTCGTAGACCAGGTCGACGTGCTAATGCCGAGGCGTAGATACACTAGAAGAATGATATGATTTGAAGGCAACATGCCTCGCAATCCAGCTTTCATAATCTAATTCGCCAGTAAGGTGAAGTCTAAAAATCATTGCCGCATAAAAGTGTACTATATACCCTGAACTTATAGGTATCGTACAGGTGCATTGCTCTCCCGCCGTCCCCTCGGTCGTTATAATCCAGTACTGTTGTCCTGTCCTGTATGCTCCGTAATGTAACCTATAACCGTAACCGAAACCCAGTTGATTTAAAAACCCGATGCAATAAAAAAATAGAGAGCCCATTCCTGGTACTCAAGAAAGAATAGAAAACTAAATATACACTATTGTCGGGGGTATCTCGTTAAACTCGTTAAATAGCATGATATAATCCATCATTAAGCATAAATGCGTTGATATGTCGTTGGAAATGATTTCGTTGATGCGGTATTGGTAGTTTGTAAATGTGTGTCGTGAAGAGATGTGTCTAAGGTATCCATCTGATTAAGAGGGATCGATGTGCCAAGGCGCGGTGATAGGGTGAAGTTCCTTTATGTAAGTACTACTTGCCCGAAAGTCAAGGTTGCAAGGATGCCCAGTACTCCCTGCCGTTCTCGGGGAGTACCTGTCCATGAACAGTTTTAACATGCGTTCGAATATTGTCCGTCCGTGTATGGTGAAAGATCTTGTTGCATATGGGACACGACATATCCCTACCCGCTTCTCGGTGGCTTCTTCTGTGTCGGGACAAATGCGAACTGATGTGCTTGCCCCTGAAGGTCTTGCCACATTCTTCGCAATGCGCGGTACTAGTCAGAGAGGGCGTTGTATTAGTGGTTCTAAGACTCGTCAGACATAAAAGCCGCGGCTAAATTGGGGATGTACATACGGCTCGTAGACACTCGATCCCTCCGTGGCAGTATCCAGACCATACCTGGAAGAAACGACGCTAGAAAGCGTGGGTTGATAATTACTGGCTCGAGAGGATTCTTCATGTTGCAACGTCCGCCCACCGCTCGGCCGAGAAGAACGCGGTCGGAGGAGAGGTTCAGGGTTGCATTCGCCATTGAATTCATTTTCGATTTGGTCTAAACGTGACCTAAGCCCTTGCTCTTGTTCTTGAAGTTGTCCCCTAGATCCCACGAGTCCATTATATCCCTCCCTCGTAGAAGTTTTCGAGACAAACCGTAGTACCGTTCGGGCGAAGTTGCGACAAGATGCTTTGGTGGCTAGTACGTTCTAATTATTGTTAATGGGTGGCAGGCGATGACATGAAAGAATCAATGTACTGACTTTACTTAGATGAACCATATAATCGCCCGTTTCTTCAAGCGAGCGTAACCAACCAAGAGCAGCTAATGATCGCGTAGTCGTAATAATAGCTCGCACCAGAGAGTCTTGTGATATTTGTGACGTCTCTATCGGGGTGAAGAGGGAGCGTTCGGCGTCCATGAGGAACTCACTTTGGGTAGCTCGGCCATTGTATGTGACGGGTATGTTAGCTCGGTAGGTAGTACCTATACCGTGAGAGAAGCGACGATGTAGGTCGCCAAGGTTCATGAAGCCTAATTAAGTGCTTATAAGTATGAAGTAGGATCATAAAGTACAGCTAATACGCACCATCCAAGAACTTCATAAATGAGATAAAGGGAATTGATTGGTCTAAATCGGAAACGCCAGGTTGGTTTTCGGGACTAAGGTAATTGAACGATTGGGTCGGTCCGTATAGCTGTTCAGGGCCCTGTTGCGACGAGAATGGGCTTAGATCGGGTTGAAATGAATAGTTCACATTCGGGGAGAATATCGAATTTCCGGGTGCCCATGGAGAGGGCGAGGTAGGTGTGTGAGGAGGGTTGAAGAGAGGGGAGCCGCTGTAATCCTTCGGATCTGATGCGAATATAGAATTAAGCGGCGAATTCAACGAGGGTACATGGACATTATAGTCATGGGATCCATAGTTGCCTGGTATATCGGATAGTTGGGTGTCGGGTATTAGGAGTGGATATGAAGAAGGATCTGGGAATCTAGCCCCGGTCCCCAATACGCGAGTCTCGGAGATGTTATAAGAGGGTGATAGTCGATCATCCGCGTAGGACGGCTTGTTGGACATGGCCAATCGTTGTAATACAAAGTTAAGAGTGTCTCGCTCGGGCTGCGACAGTGAGCTTATGTTACTCCATGTATTAAACGCAGACTCAACATCTTCTTCAAGCACATTTCTCTTCGAAGGAGAATCGAAAATAGCGTGTTGCACAATAACAGCGCAAAGGATTTCGCCAAAGTTAATGACCATATTCTTCTGTTGTATATCTACTAACGCGCGTAAGCCGACTTTCCTAACTTCCTTCGACTGGCGGTGATGCATTAACCACTCTTGCAAGTCGGGTGGGACGTCTTGGGTAGGATACTGTTGAAGAGACTGGTAGTCGGTATCAATCTTTTGTATGAACCATCGCAATAGCTTCCACTGTGAACGTCGTCCTTTATTTTGAGGATTGGATGAAACATCTTCCGAATTCCAGGGTTGTTCTTGGTAGTTTCCTATGAGTTGGTCATGTCGAGATGCGGGCATGGGAAAGGCTAGGTCGGGTGTTGAAATGGCGGCATCTAGATGTCAAGCGGTCAGCCAACCATGTTAAATGACAGTAGCATAATTAATATGTACTTACCGTCTGCGATGCTCACGCTCGTACACACTGAGTCGAGGAACTCGCAAGTGCTTATGAACATATTAATTTTATCCAAGCCAACAGCATTGTAATTGTGGTCGTATGGACTTTGCGACAACGGCGAACTGGAATAGTTCGCCATGTTGATATCCTCCAAGAAAAAATCGCTCTCGAAATTCGGCTTACGGCTGGTTGCGATGAGGAGTTTCGGCAAATAGCACTAGGAACGGCGGGAATTATTCAGCCTTTGGAAATACCAAAGGATCGAGTTCGAGGAATAGTATTGTGACGGAGGCAATGCCATTGTAAGAAAGACTAAGATTCATCGTAGAGAAGCGAGAGTTGATATAAGGAAACTCGGTTGTCCTAAGCTTCGCAATTTAGAATAGTGTCGGTACTAAGTACCCTTGTCCTGTTACCGCATTGTCCTAGAAGTAGGGTAACTGGTTAAGTAGTGAGATGGGACAAGAGGTAATGTAGAAAACTTCTGGAAACTAAGAAAATATTTCAATTCTCAGGAATAACACTTTTCAGAAGTTTGCAACCGAAGTTGCAGAGCGAAATAATGCCGCAATTTCCGTACTTTCTTCGCATTTGCTGTTGTATATGGTTGAATCTATCGTCGACCCGAGCGGGGTAGCTCAATTGCAAAATGCGAGTTACTTAAGTCGTATAGGACAGGTGGAATTGCAGCGCCACACTCTTCGGGTTATTGGAGGACCCTAACTACCCAAGTCGGTAGGTAGGTAGCTACTTCTAAGCCACTTTGATGATTATGGTCTATGGTTACCAATAATCTAAGTGTCATTCTTCACATCACCGATCTAGCATCCTATTACTAACGTACGATTGTTCTATACTGGTTCGTCCAAAGACTCGGGACAAGCATCTAGAAAGTCGGGCGATTAGCCTCAAAAAAGCCACGCCATTACACACCGATAATCATGGTATAGGTGTAAGGTGAGGACCGAACTGGGCGTGGGGCACGAACGGGGGGGCTTATGTTAGGCATTGGTGCAGCACTGGCAGTTCTCTCAACCATTCATCACAGTTAAAAGGCCGAGCCAGCTACAGCCCCGGATCAGAAAGTGTTCTAAGAAAGATGCCGGGGTGAGAAAAAAAAGAATGGAAACGGCGCCCGTCTGTAGTGTTAGGATCGTAGAAAACATCGGGAACGGTTGAATTGTCGGGCACCGGACCCCATGAGGCGGCGCGGTAATGAGGTCATGACAAACAGTTAGGATACTACCTAGGTACCTCGATAGCCCTGGTCGCAATATGGGGTATCGACTAAGCATAATTTGAACATGCCTGTCCAACGGTTTTGGCATCATCAGTGAATCCATTTAGGCCTAAATCAGCATATCCGATGAGATTTTAGCAGCAACGCTGGCCTCAGATGATTTTCATTCGTGCCTTTACACCTGTTTCCCGAATCAGCAATACCATCGGAATTGGGGTAACAAGTGTTATGGATTGTGGCGCGGATGTCCTCCGTCCAAGGAATTATGTAGTGGGCAAGGTAAGTTAGGTAAGAGGACAACAAAACCACCTTATTATTGATAGGATCAGGGGAAATTTGCGAATCTGCGAGGACAAGATAATCACGGGAATTTTGATATTACGCAATTCCGAGAGCAACCAAATCTCTTGCCACCACTAATGTGAAATACACACTACCTGACTAGGTACCTAGATACGCGGAGGCTGTGGTAAGGGATTGGACAGATCAGAAGCTGCCAGCTCATAACCTTAGGAACCAGCAATTCCTGCATGAAGGCTGTGCATATTAAATTCTCGTTAGGTTGCATATATGTCGATCTTTTGAGGCTCAAATGATTTAACGTTTCAGAAACGGAGAGGGGAAACTTGGAAGTTTGAAAGTTTACCAAAGATATAGATCTTGGTAGTTATTCTTTATTTCGAACATGATCTGAAGTTGTTGTAGCTGAGAAGTTGAATTTGAGTTTAGGTAGTTGTTAAGACATAATGTACCTAGACCTAACTAACATATTGAGTTATAGTGGGTTGTGCATTTGTGCTTATACGCTAAGATCTTCAATTCAGGACCTCCCTAAGCTATAGCTTAAGAGCTAGTCCAGGGGGTTCAGCTTCTAAGCTTCGGTTTGCTCGGTGTGACGCCATTCATCCAGTCCATTTTAATACCGATTCCCGAGATATCTAGATAAATATCCAGAAGTTTAGATATGTCTAGTTTGATTTGTCTTAGATTATGCACCCTTAATTTGAGTCATAGGTACCTAGATACATAGTAAAGGTGTTTCCACCTGCTCATTAACACATAGAAACCTACGCAAGGCTAGCAAGAACACGTGGAATTCACTCTATGCAACGTTTCCACTGAGGTGTCACATAATATCAGGTGGCGAATTAGTATACACCCTATCAATTCATTTGTCAATATTATCATTAATTCTAATAGAATTATGTCTATCCTTGTCCGTGGCCCGTCGCCGTCTATATACATAGGTACTCGTAAATACCTTACGCAGGTAAGTAACCTCCGATCATTAATCATATGGCTTCAAGATATCTGATGATCTGTGCGTTCTAGCAAGATCTCATAGATTCATAGGGTGTCCGTAGGACATTCCATAAACTCCGTTCGTAGATATCGCAAAGAACCTGCAGATGAAAGATGCCAAAAGCAACCAATCCGCATCTTAAATGCAACGCGGTGACAACAACTTCGTAAAAACTACCTCTCACCACACCGCTCACCTAGGTCGTTTCAGGGGGTGGGCCTCCGTGTTCAGGACATATTCGTCCAAATTGACTAGATCGGGCGAGGAGAATGTTAAGTAAAGGTACCTAAGGGTCTCGGCCAACCAGAAGCTCTGTAACAGTGTCAGCCAAGGCTCAAAATCGTATACTTGCATGAATTATGTACTGCATTGACTCACCTCCATAGAATCCGTCTTATCAGTAGGGACATCTCTGACGGATTGAATTGAAGAGAACGCTAGGTCTGTCTCAGTCGCGTTACGAATCGCCTGGAACATCCTCCACGCCATTTCTTGATATTCGGGGTTTCCAGTCATGCGATACATGAGGAAAACACTCTCGACGGCTTCTGGCCGGAGGAGATAACGCGAATCACGGGCGTTTCTGAAACCCCTCGGCAGTTGTGTATTGCCTTCATCTTGCCACTGGTCCTCGTCCCATTCGCAAGGCTCTAGGGACTCGCATGTAAATAAATTGAATATTTCGGGCATGATACCCGTGGGCATTGCGTCATAACCCCAGACACAGCCTCGTGTAATCTTTTCGCCTATTTGGACGTGTTCTGGAATATTAAAAAGTTTTCCTCCGAGTCCAAACATTCCTCCCACGAAACACGCAAGATGTTGCCCTTCTGCCGTCAAATGGGGACCCGTGTCTGGTGAAACGTATACATTCCCCGAGAAAAGGATATCGTCCTTATTCGGTGTCATAGGTCGAAACAATAAGTTCTTTGTAACCGTATCCATCGACCCTCGGTAAAGTTTTTCGTATATAGGTTCGAGGCCGCCGAGGATAGCATATGTTTTTGGTAAATATTCGTAAAGACTATCAGCTAATGCGCCGAGCGTAAAGCTACTATCGCCATCCAACTGCATCTGCGCAAAGTCGAAAAAGGTTGGCCACATCCCTGGTAATGTTGTTTTGTTCTGCCATTCGTCTAAGACTAATGTAACTCTGTTAATAGCATCGTAATATTTGTTATTGCCGGTGAGCTGTGATAATCTCGTAAACTCGAGCGAAGACGACGTGACGGAGGCCGACGGGTCATGGTATCCGGCGACCTGTCTACCATGTTTGGCATCGTCGAAATCTAGCCAGAATGGGGGCATATGGGTCGGAGTATCGTATGCCATATAGAGCATATCGCCTAACTCAATGGCTTTCTCGAGTAACGCCGTTTCCAGACTCAAATCGTAGGCACCCAAGAGCCCGCCCAGGTGTCGAATGGTGGTCTCGAAGAAGTTGCAGGAGCTATCCCTTGTTTCGGACCAATCGATGGTGACGGCAGCAGCGGCAGCTTCGTAAAATTCGTCCTTAAGGCCCATAATCCAAAGCGTGGAAAGGGAGTCGACGAGAGTAGCTCCCCATCCACCGAAGCCGGGAGCATCTCTTCCTTTGCCAGATACAGGCATAAGCTCGTCGTAACCGAAGCCAACATTTTTATAGCTCGTCCAACTCTTCATAAAGGCGCTTTTTACCTCGGCCCGTCGACTTGATAGCACCTCCTCCCTTGCAACACCTTTGGGACTCGTATCGGTAGTGAATGCATATTGGACTTTAGGTAGCGAGCGGGGGACACCAGTTGGTAGGGGCGTGTATTCTGATACGGGATACGCAAGTTTCTGCTTGGACCAGTCGTAACCACTTCTTACGTAGGTGAAGCCGAATAGGGTATCGCGATGTTCAGGAATAAGACCGACGAGAAGATATAATATTAATACAAGAATAAGAGAAGCGACAACGCGTGTCTTCCGTCGAAATAGGGCGATCATGGCGTTATGAGGTTGATGTCGAATTTGCCATTCCACATTTTCGACCAACATGGAGAGAGGGTGGATGTCTCTCGCGCTGTTGACCGATGCGGATAGGAATAGGAATAATAACCCTGATACATAACCGATACCGATACTAATACTGTGTGTAGGGGGGCCAAGAAAAAAATAATAATAAACGGCTGTGCTGGCAAACAGATATGGGTCTGACCTGTGATCTGACTGCGCGCCGTGCAATTAGTGAAACAGAATTGGTAACAGGAATTAACAAAAAAAATACCTTAGGTGTAAAGAATTGAAGGTCGCTCCTTGGCGTGGACCGGGGGGGACAGTTACGCTATAATATTAGTACAGCTAGCACAGTCATTAGTGCAAAGGCGCAAACAAGCTCAACCTCCACGGCACGTTTTATTATTAGTTAGTGGATTAAGATGGAGTGGTTTAGGTAGTCCGCCAGCAGGACCATCCGGAATTTTAGTGCCGAGTGACACCTGCCGAACTCCGAGCTAGTGCATTTACATAGGCTACCTTAGGCTGTCTGCATGCACCTGTTGTACCTACCAAACTTTCAGCAAACAGGGAAGACCGCCGTATGAGTCCGTTCCTAACTGTACCTCTAAGTACCACTATTTATCTGATTCACGCACATCTAAATAAACTCCATATTAGATGAAATAGAAGTTATGAGGAAGCACTTGTGATTAGACTATCAAATGTCCCAGAGTAATGTTTTAATCATTATCATGCCCAGCAGAGTCTAATATGTATTCGGATCTAACCAATAACGCCTGTCTATACCATAACAGTCGCTAAACCGTCCACTCTAATACTCTAATGACATCTAAAAAGAAGAAGAAACAAACAAAGAAAAAGCTCGAAGTTGGGGGTATTAGCTAAAAATAAACATGGTTAAAAAATCAAGACCACAGAAACACATCTAAGAAACTCACGGAAGATAGATCGCTGACAGCATTATAAAAAAAATAGACTTTCAATGCGAGAAAGCAGACATACTCCGTATCTCAGCGTCTTCCTCCTCCTCTTCCGCAAGCTTCTTCCCAGGTAATCGCACAGCACGATCTAAAGCGACAGGCAAACCCCTGTGACGCCCTCGCAGCATCACCAGAATCATGAGGATTTTACTTCCGGTGTACATACCCCCGCTGAAACAATAGCTCTGATCGGGCAGGCCAATACTGATGCCAATGTTGGTGTATCCCGAGACGATCTCAAATAGGATGTTGAAGACGCTGTACGTCGCTGGGTCGGTGAGTGAATGCGCTGTCTCGATGAGTGTGATGGTGAACAACATCAGTGCGATAAACCATACGTCGTGGCTGAGTTGACCCCGCACCTGTTGTGATACGAGACTCGGCGGGGCAGTTGTTTGTGGGTGATCGTGGAGAGAATGGAGTGAGACTTGTCCGAAGTCCATGGTTTGTGCTCGTCGAAGGGGCTTGATCGGTGCTTGCGTTGGTGCTGCAGCTGCAACACCAACACCTTGGAAAGCTGCCATACGTCCTTGAATTTGACGGCCCACAAATGCTGTGCCTCGTCGACCGACTGCGTAAAGTCCCTTAATCGATACGGTAGAGGGTGCGCGCGAAACAGCATCCCAGTTCTTCCTGTTATTAGTGGTGGTTCGTGGAAGCCCAGGTTCGGGCTGGATGTCAGCATCAACATCGTAGATACTGCTGCTTGCGGAGTGGAGTTGCTCCTCTTCCGTTTGGTCGCCCTCGTATATGCCTAGGGATCGTTCTTCGTAGACGTTGGAGTTTCGCATGGTGATAATATTGGGGTAAGCCGCTGTGTAGTACACGACTAGCCAAAGTACTTGAACATCGAAGTACACGGATGATGGCGAGACGATGGCATATCCTCCCGAAGGAATCGCTGGTAAGGAAAAATTGATTAGTTCAAATTCCAGTATAAAGCTTTGGTACACTTTTTTGGAGGGGCACTCACAGAAACCTTGGAAAAGGGCGTCAAAAATTCTCTGGCCAAGGGGTATAGCTTCCATGGTTGGATTGCCAATGCTGAGGATTAAAATCAAGAACCAATCCGCTATCACGAAACTCCCAAATGTTGCTGCAAACGTCCAAGTGTCCTTAGCAGGAAACATACTCGTGTATACACGACGAGGAAATTTCAGGATAAAATCAAAACTCTCCTTCCAAGGGCCGTAATCGGGGTCTTTAGAAAAGAGGTTCAGGAGGCATGACATAATCCATATTATAAATCGCATAAAAACAGGGAAAGCGGCTGGACCCGCCAGCGATAGCAGGGTAACGACAGTAAGAAGGAAATAGGAAGACTGGAAGGGTACGAATCCCGCATCTAATAGGGTAAAACCGGCGTTATTATATGCAGAGATGGCGAGGAAGATGCCCGCCCACCATGGATTTTGTGTGTTGACGGCTGCGGTTGCGGTTGCGTGAACGGACATCCAGGCGCCAAGGGCGATGGCGCCGAAAAATTGGCAGAGTACAAAGTAGCTGATGACGAAAATGGAGAGAAATTTGAGGGCGCGATATTCGACACCACCAAGATATTCTCGTTGGTCCTCTGTCAAATTGAAGAACTGTCCATTTCTTCCAATGTTGCGCTTCTGTTCATTCAGGAATGTTTGTACGTTGAATCCTTCACCTGCTGTCCTCGATTCTGTTGATTGACGCCTTCTTCTTGTTTGTCCGGTTTGGTGGGATTGAGTCTGATAGATTGAATGCCCAGTTGTCGCCGATTGAAGTTCAAGGGATTTTCCTTCTCGAACGGGTTCGAGGAAACCAACATGTGGGTGTTGACTCCTCATACCTCCTACCTGGGTCTCCGGAGCGGACGAATCCTCCGTCTTTTCGGTTGATGATGCCAAGGCATTAATATTCTCGGAGAGCCGGGGCTTGCTTGGCGGTTTTCCCTTTCCGAAGGAAGACATCACCTGCAAACCGAACATAGCACCCGTCATGCCAACCACGGCTCCGGTTCCTGACATCTTCTTTTTTCTTTTTTCTCGTTCCATCTTCACGATATCTTCAAAGCGCTTCTCGAAGATGTGTTGCCGAAATGCGATTGTGACATAGGAAATCAGTACTTGACTCCCTATTATCATCAACACGCACAATTCAACTTGCTGGAATGTCGTCAATTGACTGAGATTGACCGTATTGAGACCCGTGGTGGTAATCGCCGACATGACCATGAACATACTATCCCACCAGCCGATGCTATAACGCGGGACCGAAGAGCCCCAGAATATGAGGGTGGCCAAGATCGTAGTGCCGATGAAGTAGGCATAGTGCAGGGTGATGTAGTTGATAGGCGGCAGATACGGCCTAATGGCGCGCGCTACAGCAGCCAATGTGCCATAGATTACAGGGTGCTGCGTGCTGAAATTCTTCCACCACTGAAGCCCCATGATGAAAGCCGGGCGTAAAGGCGACTCAATCTTTCGGTCCAGCCGCGAGAGTTCACAAGCCCCCAGAATAAGTACAGGAAGAATAATTGATGAATCTTGGGAATGTTTTTCTTGGCCGAGACCTTGTTTAAGTTGCATCTCTTTTTTTTCACTGCTCAAGGGAGCACGGCCTATGCCCTGCCCAAACCGCAGATTAACTTGCCAGGGTACGGGTTACGTATCCGTATATGCGTGTGGTCCGTACCCATCCCGTCTGCCCTATCTCTGAACTGGTGTCTTAGGTTCCGTTGTGCCACTAAATACCTGGATTTTCCCAAGGGTTCAATGGGGGTTATTGAGTCGCTAGTTACCCCTGAAATGGATCACAACCCCGGTCAGCCCAAATAGGATATTACAGATAAGAAGACAATTGGATGTTTTAATTGGGTGTTTCGTAAGTCCTCGTTTTTCTTAATGCTAAATAACCATATAAATTCGGTATGTAGACGACTGTTCCTGAATACAGTATCCGACTGGCTACACAACATCGCATTTATATTCGAGAAACGGTATCAAACCCCGCATCATAGATGATACAGTAGAAAGAATAGTATGGCTCGTGAGCTTCAAGTACAAAAGGCTCTTTGATTTCTTAGATCGGATTCGGAATCGGTACCACTCCTGCTTCCACCGCAAAATGCGCCTTTGAATGGATAATCTAGCAGCATCAACCGATCTTAACCCCTTATTTTTCAAAAACTGATATCGAACCAACCAACACCTCACCTTTGAATCATGACTCTTAATTTGGGGGCGGCGTTTAGAATACCTGGGTAATGCCAACATGCGTTGGCTAATGCCCCCATAACTTGCTTTTCATTCAAATTCCTAGAGGTAGGTATTGATGGATCCTCAAAGATTTTCAATTTCAAACTATCCACACTTACATAATATTAGAAACTATCGTGTGTTGTAACCAAGTTTCTACGACATCTTTGTCGGTTAAAACGGCAAAACCGCATAATTCGCCTTCAAATAGGAGGTTATCGGGCGTCGACGCATAGATCGGCAAGTTCACGATTTCTACAGACTGACATCGCGCCTATGGCCAGAAGCCTGCTTCGCCTGAAATGCAGCGTATGCCCTTCCACCCCGAGCAAACATGTCTCGGAGATCACCCACTAAGTCTTCTGGCTTTTCCCAGGCAGCGAAATGACCTCCACGTTCATGTTTACGTTCGAAAACGACATCGCCAAGCTGCTTATTCCACGAGCTCGGAGTACACATGATTTCCTTCGGAAAATACGAAAAGCCCTGTGCGATACTGTCAGCCGGCCGCTAGAATTGGCAAATTGGAGTAAGACTCACTATGAGAGAGTTACGAGGAGGGTAAATGCCAGCGCCCAAATTAAATTCTCCCCGAAAGACTTCATGATAAATCGTAACACTAGCAGCGGGACCGGCTCGACTGAACCAGTAAATGCTAAGCCACTCACAGACCTCATCATCGGTCCACGGATACTCATCAGTCCATGCCACCAGCTTATCATATATCCAAGTCAACAGCCCGACCGGACTATCCGCCAGAGCGATTCCAATAGTATTCGGTCGCTGTCTCTGGATTTTGTAGTAGCCATCTCCAGTCTCCATCCAGTTCTTATGTTGTTCCTGTACCCGGGCTGCATCGGCTGGATCTACGTCGGTCGGTGCCGATGCCATTACAAGATTCAGATGCAATGCGAGAACAGATTCCGGGTACAGAACTCCCATTGTTCGTGAAATAATACTTCCCTATCATGGCAATTCAATTAGCAAAAACTTGCGACGAATACTAGCATCAGCATACCCAGTCTCCTCCTTGCGTAGCGAATTTCTCATAGCCGAGGCCTTGCATCAATTTAAGGCAAGCCTCAGCATACTGCTTTATGCCGAAACCCGGCTTGGGAGTTAAACCTGAGAATCCATAGTTAGGCAGCGAGGGTGCGATGACATGGAATGCCGGATCGCTTTTCGCAAGTAGCGGGAGTATTTTGGTTACTTCTATGAAGCTACCAGGCCCTGTGTTACCAGTGTTTAGCTCTTGTCAATTCAAAGTACCAACCGCTGAGCTAGCATACAGCCATGAATGAACAAGAGCGGAATTGCATCTGCCGCGGCACTTTTGTGATGAATGAAATGAAGCTGAAATGGGTCGAATCCATCTACAGAGACCGTGGCTTCATAGTTATTGAGTTGATTCAATTTCTCTTCGAACTGGGAGAAGTTGAAGGATTCGCGCCAGTGAGTAGCTAGACGCCGGATGTCCCGGATTGGGGGCCCTCGGTCCCAATTGTTTTCCCCAGCGAGCCCCGGGAACCTTGCATTGAGCAATCTCTGCTTCAATTCATTTACTTCTGAAGGTGGAAATGCGATGTTGTAAGGCACGATGTTAGTCGCCATTTTGGATGTGGTAGGTTAGTGATTTAGTTGGGGGAAAGTGTAGAAGTATAACGGACTATATCAATGCTTTATGGAACTACTAGAAAAATCACTTTCAACTTTACCTAAACCTCCTTCCTACGTATCCGCAATCGCTCAGACATGTGGGTGTCGTCATTTAGATCAGTGTAATGCAACTTGTTCCTCTCTAGGTAAATAGCTACTCTGCAATCCAACATTATGTCTTAATGGCCGGCTGAGTGTGGGAGTACCTAGGTAATAATAGTTGGAGTGACTGGCGTTTACGATCAATCAAATAACTCCTCAGTGGAACTTCACCCCAATATGCAGTCTTCAAGCAGGGAAAACCTTGGGAATAACCGGATGTAATTGAATCCGAAAGCAGATGCATAAAGGTGTTTGCACAGGCGGAGGGATAATTGTTATTGAGTAGGTCAACATTATTATAGACTTTTAACTCGTTATTAGAGTGTTTAGACCGAAAATTTACCTAGTAACTGTTCAATTGAGTATAGCAGTCCCCTTCATCCTATAGGGCTATAACGTGCACTGATAGGCCTAATTGGAGTAGACCCTAAGCTTCTATTCAACCACTAATTCCGCGCTACTAATTGCACACAATGATATCACATCTTCAGCCCCAATAACTTCCTCTTAAATCTTCCCCAAACCCCCCATAATCTTTCCTTTTTCTTTCGCCCTATAACGTCTTCTCTATTCCTCTCCGTTACCCCGTCTTCATTATCATCGTCCTCTATATCTTCAATCTTCCCCACATTCTCCAAAACCCACGCAACCTCCTCAGCCACCACATCCGGCCGGTCCCGAACAACATGATGGCCGCAATCCGGAACCTGCACAAACCTCTTCTTCCCCTTCTTTTCCACAAGCCCTAACTGTTTCCTCTTCATCTCCTCATCCGCCTTATCCCAAACCTCCAACATCCCCCTCCTCTGTCTCAACTGCCCTCTTTTCAACTCATCCCCCACCTCCACAGCAGCCTCAGCTTTCCTAAGATCCTCCCACTGCCTTATAAGCGAATTCCCACGAACCACACTCAACGGCTTCGTCCCAAGTATCCTCCGCCCATACTGCCTCTCCTCAACCTCCGCATCAAGCCCACCCTCCTGGCCCGTTTCCACGAGCACTACCCCCACAACCTCTTCATCCCCATCAGTTTCAACAAACCCCCTAGCAAAAGCACCTCCATACGAATGCGCAACCACAACATACGGCCCTCTAATACCCTCCTTTCGTAAGTACTCCCACATCTCCCCCACCGTCCCCACAACCCCAGTATTCTCCTCCCTACGATCATACATAAAAACCCTTAAACTCAACGGCGCCCCCCTCAATAACCCCACCAGCCCATCCCAAGACGGCGAGCACGACTCCCCCGAACCATGGAAGCATATAACAAGCGGACGCCGGTCATCCCCCACTGTCTCGGTTCCGGAATTTGGTAGTAGGAGCCTATGTCTTGAATCCGGCGGGAAATCTATTCCATTAAGAGCTTCAGTTGTGTTCTTGGCGATTGATGACGAGGCGGCGTCGGGATCAGCATCAGCATCAGCATTAACCCCACTGGTACTATATGTTTTCGCGGACATTGTGTCGCGTGCTTATCCGCGCGATAACTCCGATGAGTTGCTTGGTATTATCACCTTGACGCGACTAAGCCAGGATTTGTTTATGCCTTTCAAGCTAATGTTCTACCCGAGTTCAAAATAAGTGCTGCCTGATTACGTGAGTATTCCGGATCTACAGGTCAGATAGAATGAAACAGCAGAACGGGTCGATCTGCACGGACCACTTCGTATCCCATTTTGGATATGATGTGTTTACAAGCATTTGTACAAGTGTGAGCATGATATTATATGACAATGGGAATTTACTTTTGTATTCCTTGAGAAATATTGATCGCGTCGAATCTGGGTATATCCAAGCAGTCTTCATATGCAGTTCCGAGTCCTTAATATACCAACCAAGACCCCGCGTCCAAGATGCCCAAGACACCAAGAAATCCAAGATCCCTTACGAACGCCCCAGTAGACTTTATATCAGCCATAATATGCTTTGCCATTCCCCCAAATCAAACGCCAGACCATGCTAAATGATGCCCCAATCCTTTGGTGTATAAACCTGGCCCCTGAACCTTTATCTAAATCCCGGGAAGACTTTTAAAGCCGTACGTTTCCCTATCGGCCGGTTAGTTTTGCAACAAATACTGAGTTAGGAAAACTCGCATTGAGGTCGCCCGTCGTCGCTATTCGTTTCGTCCACGGGCACAATTAAATCTCGCATACGCTCCCTTGTCATCCCAACAGTACTAGACCTATCAACCCTTGGCTGCTCTTGCAAGTCGACAGCTTCCACTGGATTTGGAGATGACACTCGACAGATATGTTTCTTCATAGAACTACTCCATGATGATAATCTCTGGCGACCTCTTTCAACGTCTATGTGTATCATGCCACCCCGCGACCTCAACCTCCGAGTACCAAATTCCCTTCGTACCATCGAATTGGTAATTTTGGGGCAATAGCCAGGAGGGAGCATTGATGACTTGCAAGAGGGGCATAATGAGCTAAGTTGGCTCAAGAATTCATCGATACATTCGGGGTGGTATATGTGGCCGCATGGTAGTTCTCGGATGATTGTCTTCCTAGACTCAAAATCTTCTCCGCAGATAAGACACGCGGGTTGGTAATTAATAGCTGGTTCGTTTTTCTCATTTGCAGCAGCCTGGCTGACTTCCGATGATCTCCGCCCTTTCCCTTGTGGGATCGTTGGTGACGAAGGTGACGTAGGTGATGTAGGTGACGCCGGTATTGGCGGATCGTAATTATATGTAAACAACGTAAAGGTTTGAACGTGGTCAAGCGGTACTATTAGTCGCTTGATACCTAAAGCTTCCAAGTTCACTTCGCCCCGCATTACTCGACGTCGCAATGCAGCTCGGCGTCGATTCTGGACGAAATGCATAAGTAGTGACGTGCTACCAATGACAACCACAATTACTCCAAGTATGATTAGGATAAAAGCCCAGAGTGGAAGTGTTGTCGATATGGTAACCACTGTTAGTTCCGTCCATACGCGTACGTAATCTGCTGGGTTTGGAGAATATGTCGAAATAATCTGGCTGCTGAAGGGTACCTGGGATAAATCACCAGAATAAAGGCTAAGTTGTCGCATCATTTCAGTCCCGGAAGTACTGGGAATTGCGTAGACAGGATAATGGTTCTGTGTTTTCCAGGCACCTCCGTCCCCGAGATCCCAGGCGCCATCGTCCTCATCTGGTGGTTGGCTGTTATCACCATCTGGCAGATAGACTAACATTCCTCTAAGGGGATCCTGTCTGGCCGAAGCAAGGAACGACTTCGTGCAGTCGGCATTGATCCATGGCGCCAGAGCTATAAGGTTGTAATTTGTAGTCGGTAAATTTACTTGCCGCGTTGCATTTTGCGGTATATATTTTGCGGATAGATTTTGACACGGATCGTTATCGTCGAGGTCTGGTACATATAATAGACCTTGAACGACGCCGTTCTCCGTCGACACTGAGGTAGTTGAGAGAGTAGTAATATTTCCAAGTAGATCTTCGGAATACGCTATCTGACTCTGCAATACACGTGTAAGTAGGTAGTCAAATGTTTTTTTTAGATACTTCTCCTAGACTTCAAGCCTCGAGACATACAGATAACGCGGTGATATTTCTGAGAATGGTACTAGGAACTGAATGGCCACCCGACCAGCTGGGATTGCTGAACAACAGTCTGTTCAACAGTTAGTACATAATGATATTAGTATGTTAGCTAGTCGACATTAATGAGAAACACGACTAGGCAAGGCATGTCGGGCGGACAATGATGATGACGATATTATGGCGCCGAGAGATAGGGCGAGGCTAGCCACGACGAGGATCGGTGTGATGTTACGTAGTACAAAATGCAAGCAATGCAGCGATCGCGAATGCACCGCCGATGCACTTGGCACCGTTGATCCCATCACCATCACCGGTCAATCAATCAGGCAAGCATTTATAACAGTTTTAACGCATCGGACCAACCAAGAAACAGCGTGGGCATTAAGCTTTTGATAATGACCCAGCAATCTGCTTGGCGGTGCCCATCAGGATGGAAAAGAAAAAAGAAGCTTTTTCTTGGCGACGTACACGACATTCCGGACGGTTTGGAGTGCTGTATGGTAAACGTCAGCTGCCGCCTGCCAAGGGATTCTAAAAGGGCTGGGTTGGTGCCAAGAAGATCAATCGCAATAACAAACACTTCTCGGCAGCGGGGAAAAGGGGACCAAAATATGCTAAGAAAATAAAAATATGACGAAACTGTACGAGTTAAGTCGCTAGAGGAATAATTAAAAAAAACAGGGTCCAAGACATACACATGCTCTTGTAATCATTACTATTTAAAGGATTGTTGAGACATTACGGTCGATGAGCAGCAGCGAAAGAGAGACAGATGCTCAGGAACGTGGACGACGCGCGAAGAGGGAAGGGGGGGATAAAAATTGACAACGATTATTATGGATGAGGTAGGTTAAGAAGCGATGAAAATGTTGTTCTTGGCAAGTTTGGGGGTGAGCAATTGGGGGAAAAGAAAGAAGGAATAATAGGGGTGTCAGGGAATATTAGAGCAGGGATTAGGGGGGAAACGGTAAAGGGAACTAGAACTGGAACTGGGGGAAGGATTGAGAACTTGGGAATTTAGGAAGGGGAAGAGAGACGAGAGAGGACCCGTCGTCAGCTGAGGGAAAGGGAAAGGAAGCGAGAGTTTTTTTTTGGGACTTGCCTGTCGCAATCAGTTGTACCTACCTACAGTACATTAAAAACTCGTAGTGCGTTTGTAAGGTGCTGTAGCCCGCATATAAATGTACCTACCCTATTCAAATATACATGGGGGGTGGCCCGTTAGTTGTTTGATTTGATGAGCCGTTATGCTGTTCTACGTTACTCTACTAGGCATCAAATTAAGTGGCTAGGTGATACGACTTGATAGACCAGCAAACCCAATACTTCTCCGTTAGTACTGTTTAAGGTAAAGCGTAACTTAGTACGACATTAGACAATAACCTAATTTAGTTAGATTAGCTAGAGAATTAGTGTTAGTAGGCTCCATAGCGCGACGAGCTAGGGCAATGACTGGAACCGACGTAATAAGTCGTATCAGAGTATCTACCCGGCCATTGTTGATCTCTATGCACACATATCCATGTAATATGTAAGGTATACATTGATACTTCTATTGTTATGTAAGTATCTAATAAGCTACGTATAAAACAAATAATAAAATAGAAAATGTCTCGTTTAGGGATTCCGAAATACTTAAAGATGTGGATCAGGACCGGTCCGCTATGAAGTAAGAATTAATGTCTCATATGTAAAGACGGGAGAGACCAAAAAGGCTTGTTTGTCTGTTGAGTACGGGGAAAGCCTTGATTAGTGTCGCTTCGATATTGAACCCCTGTCAATCCCGTCGGGCTGCCGGATACTCCTTCGCACCGCTTCGAAGATCAAAATTGATAAGTCCAAGTCCGTTCAATGGGAAACTGACCTAATTACGTTAGGGGAAACTCCATTTCCATCTCAGCTATTCCATGCAGTAGCGTATTGTGACAGGGGTGCTTTATGATGTATCTTGCTTATTGCGTTTGAATGTACAGGAGAAAGTACCACTTACAATCTCCTCGTGCATGAGATTGTTCATCGTCATATCACTATCATACAATTAAATGTGTAGTACTTTCCCTGATCAAATACATTGATGTAAGGTGAAATGTATATGGTACGAGTGACGTTCGGGTAGGCGACTTCTTAGCTTGAAGTTAAGACAGACCGGGCCAGACCAAAAAGCTTGTCGCGCTGGACGCCTTAAAAAAGCTTGTCTTTCCTCGTGCATAAACGAGTGGATCCACCTCCACATCCCACCAACCAAACCCGACCATATACATCGGTACGTAGCAGTGCGATGATGACATCGTAACTATCAGTTCAACGTCGAAAGCTTCTAGCAAATTAGAGTGCGCCGTTGCCTTACCGAGACCCCATGAATCCGAAATTACTTCCCTCGAAGCGCGACGCACTTCCATTTAATACTAGTCTCTTTATTTCTTTTTTATTTCCAATTTGGTGGATGACCAACAATATCGACCCAATTCTGCATCCTTCTCGCACTACCTGACCAATCTTTGTGTGAATAATCTGTTAAATTGGCTGAGAAATGCATGTTCAAGATGATAAGGACATTCATTGGTTTACGGATACAACTTGTCTCGGATATTGCTAGAGACATTCCCCCGAGCTTTCCGGTTGTCAGACTGAAATTGACTGATCGAAGGAATCAATTATCCTAAATCAGTGTTCCGGCTTCAAAATATGACAACGGGTTACATGTGAAAATGATTAAATAATTAGCTTCACCTGATTTGAATAACTTCATTCTATCTAATACTGTCACTATGACCTAGCTATGGAGCACAATAAGTCACGCAATCATAGACGCCTCATCGACTACACAGTATATGTGCCCTAGAAAAAAGAAATAATATGCGGGGAAAGGCTTACGAATCTGTTAGCCCTTCGATACAAAATATTGTAACGTAACACGCACAGAAGTGCGGGAGAAAGAAGGAAGGGGAAAAAAATCAGACCAACAAGGTGATGGGATCGGTCACTCCTCCGAATTGTTTCTAATCATTTCCATGGGGTTACACCTCTAACCCATTCGCCGAGGCTCGATCGGGAACACAACGGGGAAGCCAACGGGAAAGCCAAGAAAAATTCTCAACAGCATCTCATCGGTGTGGGCCCCGAATGTCCGTCTGTTGGCCCGATATCTATCGGCCGGTTTTACAAGACTCATTTTACGGTGAGCAAGTCATTGACACTTTCAATGTAGAATGAAGTTCTTCGCGGTGTATTTCCTGCTGCTTCTAATTGTATGTTTCTCCAATTGATCGGGTACTTTTCCCTTAAGCTAAGGTAGTATCAATAGACTGTAGGTTACCGAAGGCTACGCTAGTTGGGTTGCTTCGGGTCAAATACTAATCAGTGGCATATTTCTTGCGTCAATATTGTCCACCTAGGAAACTAATGGTTCGAAGGAGCCCGTTCCAAAGTGTTATTTGGCGAGTTTCATACTCAGAAAGGGGACTTTCGGTATGAGGCGTAGCACGGAAGTATCATCAAGTAATGGCTATGGGTTGTCCGTGCTTCACCTACGCGTAATGTCGTGACACGGCCCAACCGACAAAGTGACCCATAACAAAAAGATGTTCGAATCCCTCGGTTATCAGGACTGGCGGTGTCTAAACAAGGGCTTCACAAGAACTTCCTGCTGATGTATGTATGTTAGTGGGTTCTCATCCAACTCCGGCATAGCGTTCGATTCCTAACTACCCCGAACACGTTCACCTACTCCCCTACTCACTTGAGCTCAGGCTATATTTCGACTGTTATTGACCCAATAGCCCGTTCCTCTCAAGTTGACCTAAACCGTTTCCGATCCGACCCACAATGGTTCACTAGGCTCCTAGTTACCACTGTGTGATTGTATGTCGCTTGATCCCTTTCAACGGCCCGTCCGTTTACTGTTTGAAATTGTATTTAAGCTAATTTTCAAATCCCGGTTTAGATTTAGTTTGTTTTCATTAACTCTACTCCTCGAGTAAAATATAATCCCCGTGTGTAGAAATAGTGAGGAAGGGACGTCGGTAGCATGGAACAAAGTTATCAACCATGGGATCTCGTTAAAACATCCGCTATCCAGTTTTTAAGAATTTTAATCCCAGAACACACGTGGGGTAAGTCTTCGAGTTCCCGATGCTTTGAAGATAGCGTAAACCTCCGTTATCCGTTGGAGGATTAACACACAGGTGTGACCACACCCCACGGGAAGTGCTCAGTCGTACATATAGTATACAAAAGACCCGTGCTTGATAGGCTCGCTAAAAACTACGTCGCGCTCTCGGCAGGTAATAATGAATGCCGAAAGCCTCGACAGATAGTGATACGTCATGCCAGTTCAGGGGTGAGCAAGAACTATGGAATCCTAAAAAGGGGTTGTAGAAGAGGAGTCGTATCGGCTACACTTGCTAGTGATTAGGAATTAAAATCGCTCTCCCTTGCTTTAATACTGACAATATCATTTTTCTAAAATGATATTACAAACTTCGGTTTGGGGTAATTAGTTGGAAATTATAGTAAGAGCACGAACAGATATCCCTTCTGCGAGCAATCTCCTTGCCATTCACAAAAAACGGCGCTAATTCGGCCAATCTTCTAGTTTAGAATACTCTTTCAAATAAACTCACTGGCGGTGATACTGCGTTGGCTGACCTGACGCGATCACGCTCCTGTTCTAAGTATCGATTCGGGTTTTACCATTATCTAGGGAAGAAGTCAGAAAAGAATTCTATTTAGCCCTAGTCAGACTAAAGTGTATCTATATGGCAAACTAATGGATGGTGGGATACATACGACCACACTGGATGCATACGTACATGATAAGGGGGTAAGGGGCTATATCCCGCGCCCACATCCGCGCGTGGGCCGCCACGGTTCCAATCACTCGCTCGGTCATATCAGCTAACTTCTTTTCATTTCAGTATAACAATGATGGCCTTAGGAAATACGAAATACTCCGCATAAACTTCTCCATCTGAAGTTGTCTTCGCTTAAGTTTACCCGCTGAAAGAAGTTTAAGCATAATGACCAATATTAATATTGGCATTTCGGACCAGCGTCCGACGATTGTTTCATTCGCCCTCTGGTGAAAAAATACTTGTATAGTAGACGCCAGACCGTTTTTCTTGCGCTTGGGTAAACACTTCGACTTGTCACTAAGTCTTGGCCCTTGCACGATATATGTTCGTTAATATGCACATGCTAAACTAAGAACACATGGATGACTACGCATATAGACGGTGTTGTGAAACATTTAACGTCTTTTTGAGCTTTCTGTGGTAGAATACTAAAGCATGGGATTATATGTAAAGCATCCCATCTTTACAGCTAAGAATAACCCAACAAATAGTATCAAATTACATTAAGAACGCCTTTAAAAGACGTCTATACATAAGGCTCTAATACATAATCTAATTGCACTTTTGTACTTCCCCTATTTATATTGATCTAAGTACCTATCAAACTATGAGCTCTACATAACTCTTTTTAGTTCCTAATTATCGCACCCCCTTCCCCTTTAAGTATACATTACTAAGGAAACATACATAGGTAGCAAAGCCGACACGGAATCATCCAATTCATCAACCCCTTTCAAGTGTTACATAATTTAAGCCCTAAAACCAATGGAAACTAGTGATTAGTCTACCATAGAATGCTGTAAGTGATATTAATTAAAGAATTTATAATTTATAATTTTGTGATAAGTGCACCGGTGGGCTATCGTAAACTGACGGTAAAGACGGTCTATTTTTGTTTCTCCCGCGATGCGTTCTGCACAATCACGAGAGACTATTTAATAAATACATATACCAATCACGCTTTACACTATCCTATCATCGGTGGGTTCCTCCTCTACACGGTTGGGTTGCTGATGTTTCTCTAGGCAGCTTGGGTGCTGTTTGGAGGGGGAGGGAAGGGACCTCCGGTGGGGAACGGGCCGCCAGGAGGGAAGCCGGGACCGCCCGGGGGACCACCTGGGCCACCGGGTCCAGGGAATCCACCACCGGGAGAGGCAACGCCACCAGTCTCGTAGTAGTGGGCGGCGGCGAAGGCATAGGCGGTCTGGTTGGCCTTGGTGTCGACGAAAACGGTGAGGTAGGCGAGGAGACCGTCCTGGAGGTTGTCTCCGAGGAGGACGTAGTCGGCGAAGGGGTCATACTCAGCGGTCGAAGTCTGAGCGTCGATACCGTCTTGCGAGTTAAGAGTCAGGGGCTGCGTGTTGGTGCTGTAGGGCTCGAGCTTCTCAACTTCGGTGATGAGACTCTGGTCAAAGAAGAGCTGACCGATGTGGTTGGTCTTGCCGTTGGTGAGGTAGGTCTTGTTAGGTAGGACGGTGGCGTTCTCGGTGCTCATGACGTGGATGTGAGGCGTTCGGCCGAAGTAGTGACCCGGGAAGACCGTGTCAAACTGGACGAATCCATCATCGTCGGTGATCTGGATACCACGGCCGTGGGTGCTGTTAAGGCCACCGCCGGAGGCAATTCCGGAGTAGACACCAGTGGCATTGCAGTGCCAAATGTCGATAAGCATGTTAGGGATGGCCCCACATGTGTTTGTATCTATGAATTGTAGGTCAAGGTGAACGGGTACACCGGCCTGTTTCTCAGTGACATCGACCTGTGCCATAAAATGTTAGTAGTGTCCCTCGCAATCCCAAGTAAAGGCGTTTAATATATCCACAACTAAACAAACTTACCCGGATCAACTCTCCCGCAACCCAGTAGGGACCAATAGTAACCTCGGGAACAAGTGACCTTAACAAGAGTTAGCTTTTTTCTCTTTAAGAAAGAAATTTGCAAACCCAAAAGTACGAAGGAAGTCCCTGGTGTTACTTACGCAGTCGAGTTCGAGTCGAATATCACGTCCAAGGGGGTATCCAGACTGTAGCCGGACTCCGATACATCGTGGGAAACGTTTAGGTACTTCTCAAGTTCGGCCTGACCTCGCTTCTTAAGACCCTCTAGGAGAAAATGGTTAGTCGATTCGATAGCTAAGAAGGTTGAAAGATCTTACTCCCAGGTAGACCACGCTTCTCACGAAGGTTCTTAACAGCGGCGGCACGGCGAGCAGCGGCACGTGTCCTGAGAGCAGCAGTCTCAGAAGCTCCATTGCAGCCGGTAATGGCACGACGGGCGGTAGTCTGGGAATGTTTGCGCAAGGCTTTCTCGTATTTGACTACCTCATGGCTGTCGCCAGGGTGGGCGATAGTGGCTCCGAGGAAAGAGGAAAACGCCAGAGAGGCGGCAATCGTGCGAATGTTCACCATCTTAAGTCAGAGTACAGAACCCCTATATCTCCTGAGAATGAAACGACACAGAGGCAAGGCCAAGAATGCTCAATCTCGAGGGACGTCGACATCTTTATATATTCAACCGTATATATAAATGATCTACATAATTAGTTTATACAGCCGTTCACTCAAGCCTTCTACTTGAGTTTCTATCACGCAAAATTGGCTGCGGTTTTGTCTTCCTTTGTCCCTAATGGTACCCTCCCAAATTGGTATCGCCGGGGGTCCCCTCCCGTTGGCCCCCTAGGATCTATACAGATTTACTCCAGGATCTCATATCGAATCATATCAGGGGTGTCAACCCACTTCGGCATATTGGCCAAGATTGGTAGGTATCAGTAGCCAATGAGAAACCGGCGGTTGAAAACACAGCGATGCGAAAGGCTGGTCCGCGCCAAAAACGACGTCAAAGGGTCTTTGGGTAAGTTCATATATGTATTTGGGATGATCCAAGTAGATTTTACGCGACCGCCAAATGTGGAACTAAATATTTATCATATAACCAACATGTGACTTTTCCCATTACCACGAATTCACGTGCTATATAAGTCTCTATGGCAGGTTACTTGTTAGAAGCTATTAATTCTCTTCTAATCGCTGAAACTTAATGGATCATGTATGTCTTCACGCTCTTTACATACCTAAGTCGTCATAAGAGGTTCATACGCGTCCAAATAATTGTCAAATAATAATGGAAGAAACTTCGAGATACACTCATAATCCTAGAACCAGCGTCGTTTCCGTGGCGGAAGTGAATTTCCGTACCATTATAGAAGGAGATTTATTTTCTAACGTCAATTTTTCCTACATTAGGCCCTCGTGGCCATAAGTCGCAAATTTTCCTTTAACAAATCACCAGATTAAGAATTTTTTGCAGTATCGATATAAGTTCCAACCTAACACCGCTAGAACTAATGTAACCTGGACGCGCGGCTCCCCTATATGGCCCAATCTTAAGATAGCGCCAAGAAGTTGTAGTAACATGTAAAGTATTCCCTACGTAATACAGGGCCTGAGGCGCGCTGAAGCGATCTTGCATGCCTTTTACATCTTGTGAGCCCAGTATATGAAGATTTGATAGGTACGGATATCCAAATGCAGGTAATGACAAGATTCATGGGTTTTTAACAACATATAGAACGTAGTCTTTTTCATGCGGAGCGGTAGTTGAGATCCACTTCGCGATCCTGAGCCAAGACCGTCTGTAACCCCTTGCATATAATAACCCTTGTTCAAACTATGCACACGATAGAACGAGACTCAACTCGACTAATGAGAGCCTTCATGATGGTAAGCAGAGATGAGTCCGAAGGGAAGGTGAATTCATGTCGACGGCAGCCAAGATTTATTGCACATCCATGGGCCGAATAGCATCTTAGAGATAGCAGTCACTCCAAAATCACCTTCCTTGAGAATGTCGGTGGAGGATGGGGATCAGTTATCATTGGGACGAACTACGAATGTTGCATCTAGGTCTCTTAGACGTACCAGGAAACCGGTCAATTCCAATTCGACAATTTGCCTGATTCACAGAGTTGATTCTATCAAATCCACTATAGGCTTGGCGGTATACGTACGCACCTTCACGGTACCAAAGAAAGGGTATTGTTTTCACTTTTCAATTCTTCGATACGAGTTCTCAGCTAAGTTGTTGGTATTGACTAATGTACCTTAAGCCCGCAACCCAACCTAAAAAGGGGCAACGAGAGAAGGTTAGACGGGAAACCAGCCGGTTCGGTTTCGATAAACAACAACCAAGCTCATTATTATTCTATATGTCGTGATTTTAAAGGATTTCCCAGAATTAACAGGGTTTTCGTTATGTCTTCGAAATTTTAGTCTTGAACCATGTGTCTATCTCGTAACTCAGCTAACAGCATTAGGAACAATTATCTCGAGAGAAAAGGAAGTCAAATTTCTCGTCACTGATTTCGATATAACCACTTTGTAACCTTGGTAGTATCACTTTCAACAAGAGTGAGTCCTTAGTCTCGAAATTCCGCTCACTACGGTCCGAACCAAGGAGAAGGGGTCAATTTGAGCTTCATGCATGATAAAGTGCTATCGTCTGATTAAGATAAAGTGGCAGAAACTAGGTAGGATCGAGAAAGCGTCGAATGCCGCCTCCAGTCTTCATTTTGTGTTAACTCCAACGGCGGCCTCATTAGTACCTCCATTTATGTAACGCCTCTCGCCCCTGCTGGCGTACGAATTGCAGTCCTCAGTATTCTTCTAAACCGGCGCGTATTTTGTCGATACCTAGGTAAATAGGATAGCCCTGAAGCACTGAAAATGAAATAAAATTTGTGTAACAATTCCCAGATATACATTCAAACTTCGGAAAAGTCTGGTTCGATGTATACCTAGGTTATGGGTAGGTGGGTAGTGAGTGAGTGAGTATCGCGAACGGATTACAGGAGCGTCTCGATCGATCCCCTCTCTCTGGTGGCTGTAGGTAACGTTGTAAACACCAAATGTTGCCATCGCCTACTGACCTGTCGCCCTCGTCTAGAAACTTATTATAGCCATATTATAAGGCATTTAACTGTAGACAATTGTCGTTTAATATTATTACGTAACACCGCAAGACAGATACCACTGCCGTACCGACGTAACGACGTAACGAGCCGCAATAGGGTAGCATCGGGTTTCGCTTAAGACATATACGTCCAAGCCTACATATATCAGTGTAAAGCAAAAAAAGTTACGCTTGCTAAAACGACATACGCGTTCCCTATATATTTATATTAGCCGGTAACTCTACGCGTCACACTCTAATGATCGACGGTGGTACGTTAATTGTGACCCAGTACCCAGGGGCTCCCCCGCAAAAAGACCCGAACCGGAATCAGAGGCTCCAAAGCGAAAATCTCGGCATTAGATAGCGTAAATGAGATTTTGGGGGTCTTTGAGGGTTTAATAGACCCACTATCAGGTCTATGAAAAATTCGGTTGTAGATGTCGTTTTGATGGGTTATTTTGATTGATCACATCATGAGATTTTTCCTGGGCGAGTTACACCAGATAGCCTAACGAAACGACTCCGAATATGATGACTTGAAATGGATGAAAAATCTAGGGGACTTGACAATCTGCCAATATTTCTCTTTTGGTGGGGTATCAAATTGGTTATCGATGTTAAAAGTAATACCTAGCTCTTGCTATCATGCGTTGGGCAGACGTCCATCTATCATTGGCCCGGTTTACTCGTCAAAAATGATTCCCGGGCACTTAGGGAGCTTTCCGATACCCGTATTGAAGCATCGCATTAGATCCGACCGAACTTTGGTTGTCGAGCTTTTGCGCACTCTCAACCCCCGCGACCGGAAGACGATACTCAAAGCGGGTATCGGGCGCCGCCGATTCCTCTCCAGCGACGGGATACGGGAACGGGAGGTAATCAGGTAGCAAACCCAACTGCTTCAATAATGTCGCTTGATCCCAGTTAATATGTTCATGATAGAGCCGGTCGCCACGTATGTTAACCACACTCGTAAAGGGGACGCTGATATGCTTTCCAGTTGCTGGAACACCGGGCGCACTAGTGGTATATCAATACCTGTGTAACAGTTCATGAGGGTAGTACATACAGCCAATCAATCATTCGGTCATGAGTCGCTTTGAAGAGAAACTCATCCACTACACGGTCTATACCCACAGTTCGACTAATAAGCTCGAGTTTCGTGTCGGGTGGATTGCTGAAGATGAAATGGTCCCTGTAGAACTTCGTTAAGGCCTTTCGCCCAACTCCGCCGGTTAGTGTCGGGACATGATTAACGTATGGCTCTTCCACCATAGTCGCCATGGTCTCTTCTACTGAGCGCGCTTCGAACTCCCAATACGTATGCTCATCCCAAATCGCCTCCAGGTCGAAGTACGGGCCATCGAGGAGAGGCTTTAAGAAGGTAAGTGTTCGCGTATGAGCTACAGACGCGTGAGAAGCGTGGTAATGATCATGCGCTGGGATAGCGAAGAAAGGTTCTGCAGATGGGTAGAAATATCGCTTCGCGTTGGGGCTTTCGGGTGCACCCTTTTCTTCGGTGCCGGGTACGTGAGATAAAGACGGCGGTGTGGTAGCACCGATATCTCCCGGCAAAGCACCGTAGAAGACTATAGCGCAAATTTGTTTACAGGCCTCAATCTGGCTTAGTATAGCGGGTGTTACAGTGGCCATGTAAACTTTTCGTGGTGGCATTATTAGCTGGTCTCATGCAGATTATTTTTGTATGCGAATATATAAACTAGCTTCCTTACCAATAATTCCGATTTTCTGAATCTGGTCGCACGAGGGCGAAGCCGACAGATGAATGAGTGTCGTAGTCAATACATCGCATAATCGATCTATTTGGGAATTGAAGACCTTTACCTCCGCGACGGCAAAGCCTTCCTCGGCCCATTTGAGTGAAGGCGGTGGGTCTAAGGTCTTATCGTGCTTGCGAAGATCAAGGTCCCCGTCGATGAGGAGAAGTAGGCCTGGGCCATGACCCCGTCTCGAGGCAGCATCTGTTATCTTAAAAGACGAATTTAGCTCCGATGCCATTATTTTCATATGTAAATGAGGAGAATGATGAGAACCTCAGGGCATTGGAAGGATGTCTAACTAGATATGCACGTAGTATGAAGCGGGGTTAGGGATGAATATATATAGCTTATCATCCCGATATGACACGTTGTTATGCCTAACGCGGCTCGTAAAAGGTATCATCAAACCGAGTTCGCAAGGGTTATCAATTGTGTCTAAGTTATGAGCTTCAATGGTCGTAACTCCTTGGGGTGAGATGGATAAGATAGAACAGGTGGTAGACTCACAACAAATGGTGCATGTGGCCTATTGATTGAAAAAGGCCACATATTATTAGACCATTTCCATCGAGAGACCATCAATGGACTGAAAAATAAATATATATAAACTTTAACCACCAACTCCATTGATTGAGATATTCGATCCAATGCTATATAGGTAGTGATACACCCAGTCTAAGAGTCCATCAATGTGCGTCAGGCGTAATGCGTTACTTCATACCGTCTCAATATATCGCTTCAATTCCCAATCCGTGACAGCCTCATCCCAAAGTCGTATCTCATTTTCCCTGGTCCCACCATAATGTTCTACGAAATCGTCGCCGAATACCTCACGCGCGATGCTATCTTTGCTCATGAATTTGTCGGTGGCTTCTCTTAAATTTCTCGCCAGACGAGCGCCTTGGTCACTATTGCCTCCAACATCTTGGCCCTTACCGAGCGGTGGAATTGAGATCTCAAGTTTCTTTTCCACGCCGCGCCAGCCAAGCGCAAGAATAGCTGACATAACAAAGTAAGGATTTGCGTCCGCACCGGGGACACGGACTTCGAATCGGGTGGCTCCGGGCTTAGAGGTCGGTGGTGCGATCAGGCGGACAGAAGCAGCACGATGTTCTAAGCCCCACGAGACCGTGACTGGTGCCCAGAAATTCTCGACCAGTCGCTTGTAGCTATTTATAGTGGGCGCGAGCATCGGCATTACGTCAGGTAAGCCTTCTAGAATACCGGCTAAGAAATGTCTCCCGAGATCGCTTAGGTGAGCTATGTCGGGGTATTTCGCATTTTCATCCTTCGTTTCTCGGAAAAACACATTTTTGCCATCCTTATCTACGACAGAGACGTGAGTGTGCCCGCTGTTCCCAGGCAAACCATGTTTGGGCTTTGCCATGAAGCAGGGCGTAATGCCGTAACCGCTTGCGACCGATCTGACAACATACTTGAAAAGAGATGCTCGGTCGGCCGTCTCCGATATTTGTCCGAATTCTAGGGCTGCTTCGTAAACTCCGGGGCCGCTTTCCGTATGCCACCCTTCCAAGTCGCATTTGAATTTGCCGCATGAGTCGTAGACCTCATGGTAGTATGATTTGTTCAGCGTCGGTCGCGTGATGCTATATCCAAACATACCCTCTGTTAAGGCTGGTAGCGCATGTGGCGTATTATCGTTCAGGAACGCAGCGACGGACGGAGAGGGGGAATCTGTGGTCGACGAAGACGACGAAGGAATTTTGAATTGGAAGAATTCAATTTCGGCTGTAAAACACTCGCACTATTAATACTGGAAAACGCATGAAAAGGAGGACGAATGAAAGAGCTCAAAGTCGTCCAAAAATGCAACAATAACGAACCTCCTGCCATGGCGTTATATCCTTCCTTTTTCAACTTCTCGACAGTGGTGTTAAGCACACCTCGAGGATCGGCGCATACCGGTTTCGAGTCATCATCGAAAAAGCTAACCAGGAAGAAAGGGATGCTGTCTTCCCAGGGAATGCGCCGGAAGCTATTCAAATCGGGTACGGCGATTATGTCTCGGTAACCATTCTGTTTGTTGCTAATCTTGAGCTCTTGATCATAAGTCTTATCGTGCATATCCCAGCCAAAGATGACACTGCAAAAGCCAAAGCCCTCTTTAGCTATCGAAAGGAACTTCTTTTTGGATACGACTTTTCCTCGTAGCATTCCATCGACGTCAACTCCTGCCAACTTGACTTTCGTGTCATCTTTGAGTATATCTGGCAGAGCCTCGACTGTAATTGGGGGTGTCAGAGCCATACTGAACGAAGGTCTGAGAAAGTAAAGGAACTATAGGAATCGTGCAATCGGTCGACGGACAGTTTCGGGTACAAGAAAATAGGGAAGAGAAGAGGAACTGAGACAAACTACTCTCGTCGCACAAGAGTTGCTATTTAAGAACCAGAAGGGATGGTCTTAATGAGTAGAGGATATCTAGCAGTCCGAAGGGGGATATAAATATTCAACCAAGTCGTCGTACCTAGGTAGAGGTAGGTATATGAGTAACCACCTATAGGTATGTGTATACGTGTAAGATCATGTGGATAAGTATACAAGAGAAGAAAGAATGCACTATAAGGCTGAACGAAGGTAATGGGCGGCGGGATGGTTCGAATGGTCGTTATCGGGTTGGATGGAGCGGAGCATGCACAACGCTTGTAGAGGGGAAGGTAAAAGCAATTACTTAGTGCTGCACTATGAAAGGTTCCAATACATAACTTGAGATCTCCAGGGTTTGCCGGCGGATTTAGATTCACTAATATGATTGGTAGAGATAAGCTGTTGTGGGTCACAAGCTCCATATTAAGTTAGGCTAGGTAACCTAGTTTGCTTTTCGTTAAGCCCTGTCCTGTCAGCATGGGTGGTTGTACCAATAGAACCAATCCGATATACCCAAGGAACTTTACAAGATATGGTCATTTTTGTTTTTTGACCTATTACAACTCTTACGTCTTCTATGCATCCCCCCTCCAAAACTTGCATCGTGACCGTCCCATGGATGCCTATCCTTTACGTTGCATACATATCGTGTATAAAAAGGGTTACATTGGCCTTATAGCGGCTCTAAAAAAAACATGCAGGTTGGGATTCGCACGCATGAAGATTTTGCTTTCTACAGCCCGCCACGATCCGTCTGTGTTCATCGAATTTTCCAAGCTCGAGTCCAATTAGATGAGGCGAACGACACTTTTAATTGCTCAATCACAGGGTTCCACTATCTTACAACCATCGGTGAGGGCAAGCCCTATGGCTGACAAGTGGCTGACTGCTTCCTCGTACACCAGAAGATATTCACAACTTCGACTCTCCCGCTTTTCCACCAAAACCCGCCGATTGAAGTAGCCAGAGTTGTTGAGGCATTAGTCAAGACGTCATCGCGGCACCCCGCGCTAACCCCCCCGGACTAGCGACGCGGGCTTGCTTACATACGTATGTCGACCCTGAGTAGGCAGTCTGACAACTGTAAGTAAGATGATGCTGACCTGTCACCAACGATTTACCCAAGGATGGCGTCGGCTCTGGTATGGTGGACGAGAGAATGGGTGAATACGTCTTGTGAAGTCTATATCAAATGCCATAACTGGTATGGATATCAAACTCCGAGGCTCTCCACCAGCCTTTCCACGGCCCGTGAGCGTCGTATTACGCGGGCTAACGGACTATTTGAGTGTTGGTAGTTATTGTTCATGGAAGGGTTTGGTTAATTTCCAAACTTCTCAATGAGGCTGACTACTTCCCCGCTGTAATCCGTCGTATCGCGCCGCGATTTTCTGGTGCCGAACCACGCATTTCTGCGAAATTTCCCTCCCGAATGAGTGGAACTCCCTATTTTCGGTACGATGACTCAAGATACTGGGCATAGAATCGACCCGATGGAATGGGTCAGTGTTACAGTCATCGACCCTCTTCACCGCTGAAAAAAAGTTACGTTTGCGGGAATTCCGCGCGAATCAGTCTTTAACGAATCCTACTATTGCCTCTTCTTAAAGTAAAGGCGAATCGGTGTATTCTGCTCTCATCAAGTACGCCTTATTAACGACGGCCTACTCTTATGCCCTTGTGGGATCCGACGAAAGTGGTTGTGATCCCCGAGCCGCCCTCCGCCATTCTCACAATGTCGCCAAGCAGATGTTACTTACTAACGTGCCTCGTCGAAAGGCAAATCATTCTAGTAACGTGTCGATTAACGCCAGGAATGGTGTGGATTTCATGATGTGGATTTTCTCGGTTCGGTGTGCCGGGCCTAAGGCGTCATGGTGCAACAATTCATGGATACCGAAACTTCGCCGCGTAAGTCATATTTAATTTATTGATGACGAACCTCAGATAGTCGGCTGCCTGAGTAAAGCCAAAGCATCTCGTATCATCGTAACTTCGGGCCAATTCTAAGACCCGTGGAGTACTCTTACCAATATCCGTTCTACCAAGATGCTCGATTATATCAAAATCTGCTCGTCACGTTGCGGTCTGAATTATTTCCGTTCTTAATCCTTTTACATAGTTCCGGACTCGAACTAGTTCGTGTTTTGACCTTCCGCCACGATCATTTCGAATTCAAATTGAGCAATTGATGAAAAGAAATAAGCAAATTGGCAACACAAAGGTACCCACCTAAACACGGACACCATGAAGACCATAAAGTTACGAACATCTATCGGTTTCTTCGGGCTGCCTCTATCTACCTAGGTAATTTTGCAGTTTCATTTAGGCCATAAGTGTAGTTTTTCTTATTTTTGAAAAATAAAAAGTGCCAAGCCACTTCAACCGATAAAGTCCAGAGACAAATTGATCTCAATCAGCTCCTCTCAACTTCGACAACCCTCGGTTGGCTAAGATTATAAAGTTCAAAGGCCTTCTTGACATGGAAATATTTAGGGGGTTTCCAACAAACGTACCAGACTCAAGCAAATATTTTAACTATAAACTTACACCAGACATTATAAGTGTTGCCTACGAATAGATATAAAGGCACGTTGCAACAATGTGGGTCGGGTCAAGACACACGACACCCTACTAAAGTAAGAGCAGCATACCTAAAGCGGAACATGTTACCGGGTTCGTGATAAGACACGGGATCTCCTCCTTATCATTACTACGGCGCCGTTGTCGGATGTGGAGGGGCTCTGTATGAGAAACTGCCCCTCCAAATCTTGCACAATGCCACATAAGAGGGTCCAGAAATACCTACTATCTAGCGTGGATAGTACATATCTAATAGCTAATAGGGCTATCTCTGGCACTATCATACATCCGAATCACCGATAGACGTAGACTCGTAAATACCTACAACGTTAGACAAATAAGACTCCATCGTCCACTTGACTCTTCTTGACCTCTAAGCTGACCGCATTTCGTACCTGTGCGACTTCTCGAATTCCGACTTAATCTTCGACATAGCCGTTGAAGAACAAAGACCCCTACTTATAATAAGAGTTCTATAGTGCGGGTAAAGATGGCTTCCGAGAGCAAGGGTCGTCTAGCGGGCAAGAATGCCGTCATCACAGGAGGTGCAGGGTAGGTTTCCCGTTATTTACTAGGACAATAAAGGGTGATGATGGAACTTTACGGAAAATAGAGGCTGATGCGGTAATCCTCGATCGCAGTGGAATTGGCCTCGAAACCTCCATTCTTTTCGCTCAAGAGGGTGCCAATGTCTTGCTGGTGGACATATCCGGGCCCGCGCTCGAGAAAGCTAAGGCCAAGGTCCTGCAACTGGTCCCCGGAGCTGGCAAGATAGAAACTAAGGTAAGTCGATACGATCGTATCCCACTCAATTCCAATTGCATCAACTCAACAAAATCCACATTCAGGTAGTCGATGTATCCAAAGAAGACCAAGTAAAAGCCGCAGTCGACTTCCTCGACGCCTGGGGCGGTCTCGACATCATCTTCAACAACGCAGGTATCATGCACGCACAAGACGACGACGCTATCGGCACCCCCGAAGCGATCTGGGATCTTACCATGTCCATCAACGTCAAGGGGGTATGGTACGGATGCAAACACGCCGTTCTATCCCTACGCCGTAACAAGAAAACTAAAGGCAGCATTATAAACACCGCGTCCGTGGTTGCTCTAGTCGGATCCGCGACCCCGCAGCTCGCGTACACGGCTTCGAAAGGTGCGGTCCTGGCACTAACTCGCGAGTTGGCGATTGTGCATGCACGCGAGGGATTTCGTTTCAATAGTCTTTGCCCGTCGCCGTTGAATACTCCGTTGTTGCAGGACTGGCTTGGTGATGATGTGCCGAAGCGTATGCGTCGCGAGATTCATTTCCCGTCTGGTCGTTTCGGTGAGGGTATCGAGCAGGCACGCGCTGTACTTTTCTTGGCTTCGGATGATGCTGGGTATGTTAATGGCCACGAGATGGTGGTTGATGGTGGTATGAGCAAGGCGTATGTTACGCCTGAGGGCCCGCCGCTACCTGCGCCTACGAACAATGCTTTGAAGGATGCGCTATGAGCTATAATATGCTCACCATTTATATCGTGATGGATTTTGGGCGCATGCATGGGTTACGTCAATTTGGCCAGCATTAAGATTGTCGTCAGAAACGATTTCTATCTACTTATCTGGAAGCTGTCTTGCCCAAGCACGCAATTTTGCAGCTGATAAGGTATCTCGAGATCCAAACAGACCAACACTCTAGACATAGCCCTACCATATAAACTACCTTTTTGGGAATGAAAGACTCCCTCAACTCCGCTCCAATGCAGACTATCCACTATGAAGTGAAGTCAAATAAATCTAGAAAAGAGTATTTTCAGTGAAATTGACCCTCTGTGTTTCCTTCACCCATACTCTTGCTTCCGCTGCTACCGCTCTGGATCGCACCCACGATACCATCCATGTAACTGGCGCCACTCCACTTCTGATGCGTTAGAACATCACAACCGAGTTCCTTTTCGCGTCGCTGGACAAGGTTGACATAAGCCAGCATACCATCTTTCTTATACTCTTTGGCCAACTCATTCGTGATAGTAGCGGTACTGTGCAAACCAGCAAGCGAAATCAATTGCAGCACAAAGCCCTCCTTAGCAATGTCCCAGATGAAGGACTTAAGTGTCACATCGGTGAAGCCGTGGGCCATCCAATTGAATGACGGCGATAGGTTGTACACGAGGCCCTTGCCTGGGGAAGCTTCCCTTACTGCGCGACCAAGCTTAGCTGCAACCTCGACTTTTGGATCACCGGTCTCGACCCATAGAAGGTCGGCATAGGGAGCGAAAGCAATGGCTCGCTTTGTAGCGGCTTCCATACCGGCACGGTAGTGGTAATGGCCTTCTCTAGTACGCGGGATATCCCAGCTAAAGGCGATGGGCTTGGTGGCGTACTGGTTCGCGAGCTCACGACGTTTTGTAATACCCATGTTGCGATCGGCCTTAGTAGCTCTGAGGTAAGCATCGATCTTGTCTTGTGATACGCCCTGCGATGTCAATTGCTCGACAGCAGCCTCGTCGAAAGTCATTAATCGGGTCTTCTTCACCCAGTCGGCTTCGAAAATGTCAATTTCTGCACCTGATGCACCTGCAGCCTCCATCTCTTGTAATGTCTCTGCTAAGGGCGCTGTGCCCTCTTCGGCGACACCGAGTATGAATTCGTGATCCCGTACGTCGACCGCACTTGAAATGAGTCTACCACTTTCTGAGTCGGTACGCGCAATTACTAGATTCTCGGTGCCCATGACGTCCCATTGGAAGCGGGCAGTATTCAATCGGTTGATGTGTTCGCCTATAGGTACTAAGACCTTTCCTGCCAGGTGACCACATTTCTTGCCGCCATGTAATTGATCCTCAAAGTGAACAGCGGCGGCGCCATTTTCAGCAAACAATTTCGCGAGTTTCAGCACAGCAGTCAGCCCACCATGGCCAGTATCTCCATCGGCGACAATAGGGCGGAAGTAATCAATATACGGTGTATCCTTCCGGCCTTCCGGTGTTAATTTCCGTCGCAGGTCCCATTGTTTTCGGTCGTGCATCGATTGTGCTTTAGCGAGACGTTGGACTTGGTTCGGTACGGTATTATAAGGGTAGTCGCCAAAGTCGGGGGAAACTTCGTTGGTGGTGGTGAGGACGGCGGAACATGCCCAGCCAGAGATGTAAAGGACTTCTTGATGTGGTGCTTGTTGCGTCATTTGTACGGGATCGATAGCGCCCACTGTTTACGAGCGAAGGTTAATAGTTATTAATATTTGGTATTTTGTTATATGGTATTTTATATATCAACGTACTAGTATGTATCGGTTCCCCTTTCGCTAGTCTCTCTTTGATTAAGTTGAAGAGTTTCCTCGCCATAAGGGAGCTCGGATAATTCTGGAGCTGTGATCCTCGTTTCGATACGACATCGGCAGCACTGTACGGCCTCTTAATACCTTCGAACCTAGGCGACGCCCACCATTCTTTTACATCTTTAATCTGTTGCTCGTATAGAGCATCTTCTGTGGCACCAGACTTTTGAGTTTCTGGTAGGAGTTGGAACGAATCGGATGGGAGTGTCGCAGATACGGGCGGATTTACGGGAGGTAATGACATTCTCGTCGCTGTGCAAGATAGTGTTCTGGAGAAAATCACACGGCTCGAGGGACGAAGAGGAAGTATGGCGCCTCGAGGAGCTCGAGTTACTGCTCGGCGGAGCATCATGATCGTTTTCGGCCGTCAGATTGGAAGCTCGATGTAATGTGACAACAGTGTACCTAAAACGAATGGAGGAACTTCGAGATTCACCAAAACACAATGCCCATCCTGTCGCTACTTTGGTACTCCTTCAGACGGTCGCTATATATGCAAATGCATATACATCAGTAAGCAACAATTCAACGTTGTTAAAAGATCGAGATGCTTCAGTAGAATTATTAGAGTTGACAAATCTCGACATTACGCCGATGGCATCCGACCAGCCGTAACTTAGCGTGGGGCACCCCGCGGTCGAACAAATGCCCGACCAAGCTTCCCTAACTTCCAAGGTTATGCCCCGCGGGGCAAACCGATCAGGGCCGATTCTAGTTATGTACCTCCACCACTATCTGCACTATTTAGCTCGGTACCCCATGTAAACCTTGGTCTGCAACTTTCCTCGTGCTGTTTTCCGTGTCTCCAAATGAGGTCATAATGAAGAATGAAAATACACGATCCCCTCATTCCCATTGGGCAATTCCATCAATTTATTTCACTTTTCTCCGGTCTTAAAATGTACATACGTATATCCGCACAGATCTATGTAGGAACATATGTATCTTCACAGTACCTACATATGTACACACACACATAATGAGGGGATAAGCCAGCCCGCAGCCGAGGTGATCCCGCTTTCAGGGGTTGAAGAGCGACATCCGGGATGGTCGATTGTCGATCTTCTTGTTGATCCGAGGTCGGTTATCTGGTTGTCTGGTTACATGTTTTTTACCTGTTTTGTACCTTATGTAGGTGTTGTACTTATGGGTGCACATGCGGCGCTATCTTAAGTTTATACGTACATATACCTTAGGCGTACCTTATACTGGGAATTGTCAGCCAACGGGCAAACGGGGTAAGGGGGTAGCGCGGGTTCCCTCGGTTATGCGTGGGGATGAGTTACCATCGTTGCAGTCTGGGGAAGTAGCTTCGGTGGATATAGTACTTAAGTTGGTAGGTACCTTGGTGTTCTGTAAGCTCCAACTCTCTCCCCCACATCAGGTCATATTGTCTCGACTTGGGAAGTTGCTAGGCGTCCGACGTGTTTTCCTTGTTACTTTTTTATTCCTGCGCATATTTATCTTTTTACCTTTTTCTTTTTCTTTTTCTCCAGCTTCTTCCCGTTTTGCCCATTGACGACGCAGCTTTCTCAATTGCGACGGCGTTCCGAGGTCTTTGTGCTAGAAATCCACATGATACCTTCGAACTAGAACAAACCCCCCAATTACAGCGCCACTACAGTGGTTGATTCTTCCCGTGTCCACCGAGAATATACTCCCTTGTTACCAGTTCTTCGTGACTTAAGATGGCGATGAATCTAAGAACCACAGCAAGGGCTTTAAAAGCCGTAAGGGTAAGCATACCCTACAGAAAACACAAAACAATACATGCATATTGTCTTGTCGCATTTAATCATAGGAAGAGTTGAAATAACTAATGTTCTGGATAGCCACGTGCCGTTCCGGCCGTGCTTGTGCCCACAGCCAAGTCATACTCTACCGCGCCTGAGCCCGATTTAAAAGAGACCTTAAAGCAAGTCATCCCGGCTAAGAGGGAACTTCTCAAAAGAGTGAAGGCCCATGGCTCAAAAGTCATTGGCGAGGTGAAAGTTGAAAATACTATCGGTGGCATGAGGTAATATTCCGGGTAACACAGCATATCCATTTGCAAGGACTAACCTAGACATAGAGGATTGAAGGCCATGGTTTGGGAAGGATCCGTACTCGACGCAAATGAGGGAATCCGATTCCACGGTCGAACAATAAAGGACTGCCAAAAAGAGCTACCAAAAGGCAGGTCGGGAACAGAAATGCTTCCAGAAGCTATGTTCTGGCTCCTCTTAACCGGCCAAGTGCCGTCTGTTAACCAAGTTCGTGGATTGTCACGCGAGCTCGCCGAGCATGCTCGACTTCCCGACTTTGTGAACAAGATGCTGGATAGTTTTCCTCATGACTTACATCCCATGACTCAATTCGCCATGGCTGTCAGTGCTTTGAATTACACCTCAAAATTCGCAAGGGCTTATGAGCACGGTTTGAACAAGGCCGATTACTGGGAACCCACTTTTGACGATGTTATCAGCTTGCTTGCCAAGCTACCTACCATCGCCGCCAAGATATACCAAAACTCGTACCGCGATGGCGGTGCATTGCCTGGCGACGTCGATCCCGAACAGGATTGGGCCTACAACTTCGCCTCCATGCTAGGCAAGGGCGGCGAGAAGAACGAAGACTTCCAGGACTTGCTAAGGTTATACCTTGCACTTCATGGAGACCACGAAGGCGGTAACGTCTCAGCTCACACCACTCATTTAGTCGGAAGCGCTCTTAGCGACCCATTCCTAAGTTACAGCGCCGGCCTCCAAGGTTTGGCCGGACCTCTTCATGGGTAAGATTCCGCCTTTTGAGTTTCGGCTATCGTTCGCGATATCTCGCGATATCTAATAATTATTCGTAGGCTCGCTGCGCAGGAAGTTTTACGTTGGATTCTCCAAATGAAGGAGAGCATCCCGAAAAACTACTCCGAAAAGGATGTCCATGACTACTTATGGTCGACGCTTAACAGTGGCCGAGTTGTTCCCGGCTACGGACATGCCGTCCTTCGCAAGCCTGATCCCCGCTTCGAAGCCCTAATGGACTATGCAGCTACCCGCCCCGCAATTGCTAACGACCCTGTGTTCCAACTCGTCAAGATCAACAGCGAAGTTGCTCCTGATGTTTTGATAAAACACGGCAAGACCAAGAACCCGTATCCCAATGTTGACTCAAGCAGTGGTGTCTTGTTCCACCATTACGGCTTCCACGAGACTCTTTATTACACGGCAACGTTCGGCGTGAGCAGAGGACTTGGTCCTCTAGCTCAATTGATCTGGGACCGTGCTCTCGGTCTACCAATTGAACGACCCAAGAGCATAAATCTAGAAGGCATATTGAAACAAGTGGAAGCATAAACGAAGTTGGGTGCCTTGTCGAATTTCTTTAGCGCTTCTAGTAAATAGCTCCGAGCATTAGATTTTTTGGTCTCGCTGATGAAAGCATTGCTGTCATTTTTGGATTATAACGGTTCTCTTCTTGGATAGTTCATTAGAGGTGGCGGAATATCATCAATATTGTAGAGGGAATGAAGCTACGATGAGAGATTATGAAGGTTCGATGAGCTTCCCGATTTATCGCCGCTTTGAGGTACCCGGTCGCAATTGTGAAGAATCAAGCGGAATTGGCATTATCGTCAATAAAGTTATCATTGTGAGCCCTCAGCTTTAGCAGATGGACTTTTCGCGCGCCATTAGTGAATGACGACAAGAGTCAACATCGCGCTCTTGATGGCACGATCAAAATTGTATCTACACTTTGTTTTCTTGACGACATAGCTTCCAGCCTGGCCCCTCAGCGGGGTGCCAATGCGACATTGAAAGCTCCGATTGTCGAAATGAGCTAGTTAGGTGATTTGATATTGTCTCGGCATGCCTATAAGTGGGAATATTTATATTAATCGCTAAAAACTTCTTAGTTGCTAGATCGCAGGGAAATATTCTAAATTTGGGTCCTGACTGGGTACGGAGCGTATTGCGATAGTTACTATACGCCTGCGCGTACGACTCTGTTGTGTCGCCCTTTGGTATCGTTACATATGTCAGGTGGTCGAGACAACTTCAGCTGCAAGTCCAGATCATGCAGCTCTTCGTTTGCACAACTATTCAAACGGTACATCGTCCATCGGAACCCACTTCGTCGTCACGAACTAACTCGGTGAATAGGCGATCTGGCCCATGAGCGATATCCCCATTTGGTTCACTATCTAGATGAGAGAGTATTCTCGGGACTGCCTGGAACTATCGAAATAAGAATACGGACGATTCATCGTGATCTATCCTTGAATAACCCTTGAATAACACGTGTGAGCAGCATGCGTCTTGGGCCTAGCGCGCATTTTCCCCTGGCGCTCGTCAAGGCGGCTAAAGAGGTTAAAGAGGTTTGAGGGACCAAACAGGGAGATTTTCCCTCGTGCTTACGATTAGAGTCATACATGATACTGTGTTCTAGCCAGTGTTCGCCAGCGGAGGCACCCGGGTCAGCATGGCGTCCCATTAGTATTGCTTCTGGATTTTCCCATGCCATCGAGATCCTAATTCTAGATCCAGAAATTGTCGCCCATTGCTATGAACCCTCAGTCCGGACACCCAAAGGGAGTCAAGTCTAGTGGTTACCGGTCCGGAACCTTGACACGACACCATCCGACCTATGTTCGAAGCAATCTCACACTACGACCAAGTAGGACGAGAAATATCAAATAGAATGGGCTTTGATTCTCGATCCGAAAAGGCTGTAGTGCGCTTTCCCTCTAATATGCAGTGTGACGAACGATCCGCTGTGTAGGTACAGCTGCTACATTCTAATGTGAATAATCCATGTTAGCATACGGATAGGCGAACGGTATGAACAAATAATTAAGCTTAATCTACGATCACCTCGAATTCATTCAAAATAGCATCAGGTATGATATCCATGTCCGGATATTCGGTAACTTTATGAAACTGCCATACGAACTGGGCGGTAGGTCTAATTAGATCTACCTTGTCCATATTGCTCGTATCCAGCTTGGTGTTTTCAGAGCCTCCGTAACCCACACCTCGCCCGCAGGTTCGAACCGAGTTCCAAATCGTTGGATGATGCGTTGCTTCCCGGCTATGTCATGTGGCCAGGTTCACAGTTGTCACCAAGGTCCCGATGTGCTGATGTTTCTATAAAAAGAATTCCGTACCGAACCAGCGGACTAGCTATATGAGCTAGGCTTCCTGGTCTTAATATGAATTCATCTATTCTTCCTCGACCATCAATTCAACCGCAAATTTATAGATGAGGCTGGATGGTCCATGGCTAGGGTTTAGCTCCCACAGTTCGAGGTCTAGGTTCGCAATCTATTCCCGAAATTAATCAGCTTGCGTTCTTACGACTTCTCACGACTTCTCGTCATGTTGTCTAGAGCGGCTTGGTTCGCTAGGGCCTATCTCCGTGACGACCGGAGGACCAAACTTGATCGTCCGGCTAGGCTTCAGCATTGAACTCGATCGACATGCTTGTGATGACGATGAAAATATTATAAATACGACCTCATCCCGCATGGAGTAGATCCTTTCCACATCAGCACAATCAAACAGTTCCTCACTACCGGGTCTCAATTAATTCGCATACTCACTTCCCTACACCAGCTCTTCCAACTATAACCAATCAAAATGCGATCCTTCGCCGCTCTTCTCGTTCCCGCCCTTGCTGCGGCCAACCCCATCGGAATCATCAGCAACGGTGACACTCCGTCCCCGGACTCAATCACCATCGTCTCCGCTTCCGCTAGTGGAAACGGTTGCCCCCAGGGAACCGTAACCACCGATCTCTCCGTTGACCGAAAGGTAAGAATGAGCCCTCTGACCGGAATTGAACCCATAACTAACCGGCCGACTAGGTCATCACTTTCGGTTTCGATGCCTTCCAGGTCTATACCGGACCTGGCACCAAGCCTGCGGACAAGTCCAAGAACTGCCAGCTCCACTTGAACCTCAAGTACCCCGGTGGCTTCCAGTTCGCCGTCGTCGAGTCCACATACCACGGTTACGCCCAGCTAGAGGAGGGTGTTACTGGTACCTTCTACTCCACCTACTATTTCTCCCAAGATGCCGCTGCTACCGTAAGTCTCCTACTCCCTAACCTTGCGCAGTTTTAGTGACATATCTGTCAGACCACGACACGAACCTCCATCGACGGTGGCGGCCTCTGGGTCGACGGCCAAGTATACACCAAGCAGGACCAAGTCCCAACCGCCTCCGTCATCTGGTCGCCCTGCGGCGCCACCGGAATTCTCAACGTTAACAACCGCATTGCCTTAACGTCGAGCAACACCACCGCCTCCGGCCAGATCTCCGACGACGATGCCACCGTCGCTTTCACCCAGCAGGTCCACGTCAGCTGGCAAGCTTGCAAATAGGGGGCGAGATGAAAGAATTGGTTGCGCATGGTTACCTGGGACAACGGGGAATTTGGGAGAGGGGTGGTTGGTTTAGGGGATCAATTTTTGGGGATAAGGGGATAGGGGACTTTTTGATTACATGAGGAATAACCTATTCGTACACGCTATATAGGATAATCCAACTGTCCAACGTGTTTTATTTTGTCCGTACCTATTTCTTCCCTTCATTGCCTTGCTATTTTTTCCTCGCCCACCAAATAGGCCTTGTAAGGGGGACCTAGGAACTAAATGAAGGCGAGGCATTTGAAGGACGTCGTGATGTCGCCTTATCGAGATAACCGTAGGGCTACTAACCCCCACGACTAGCTCATGCGTCGTTAGGAGGTTAAAATTCAGGTTACATGCAACCCTCTCATCCAGAGATAGCATATCTTTGGGTTGCATGGAGAGGGCGCCAGGACCATTTCTAGTCCTTATCAAAAATTCACGATTTTGGGAATCATGCATTCTAAGGACGAAATGGCTAATCATACTATCACGAACAGCTCCATACTATTCACCTATGTGCTTTCTTAGCGACGATTTGAAAAACATCTAGGATTCAAAGCACCGCGATGCGTCAGATACAATCAATATTGATAATATTCAACAGCACTATATACAAGTAGTAGTAAAATCGCGCTTGGGAAAAACTTGACAGACAAATATCACAATAAATCGCAATATGGGGTATTCAAAAAATTAGATGACCTCATGAACCTATCGTAGCCAGCCGAAAGATGGAATGAGCATCTCTTCCTCACTCTCCCCCTAAAGCACATTCCGAACGTTCTCCTCGGTCAAGCTTCCAACGGCCGCACCTTTCGTAATAATCCAATCGAAAGACCCAAAGAAATCCATCTCATTATTTGCAATTGACATCGTTCAATTGCGACGATCACCGGTATCCTCCGTATTGACCATAGTTAGGTCCTGGGGAAGCGGGGCTACCAGGGCCACGGTTAGGCGCAGGGCTGTTCATTCGCGGACCTCCATAGCCACCATTTTGGGGACCTGGAGATCCCATCCGCATTGGCGCATTAGCAGGCGAGAAACTTCGGTTCATAGGTGATTGCGGGTTAGGAGCCGGGAACTGTGGCGGCAAGCCAGGGCTTTGCGAACGTATCGGGGATGCGAAACTGCCATTTCGTGGTGGACCACCTGGACCCGGTCGCGGACTAGCGATACGAGGACTCATCGCATCATCACGGAGTAGCGGCATGGCAGCGCCTGCACCAGCAGCACCGGAGCTCGTCGGATCCCAAGCCTTCTCAGGCGGGCCGGCGGAGCTTCCGGGTGGTGAGTCGGGCACAGCGTATGTCGTGGTAACAGCTCCTCCGGTCTTAGCATCGTATTCGGCACCGTTGAAAGCGAGCGCATCGGGGTCTCTTCCTTCTTTCTTGAATCTCTCGAGTTCCACGCGTTCTTGCTCTTGGCGCTGTGCTGCGAGGGCGGCCTCTTGCTTGCCACGACGCTTCTGCTTGAAGTAGTAGAAGACCAGAGCGACTAAGAGGATAGCACCGACACCACCCGCGGCGGCATAGACACCGGTCTTGGTGCTGGCGGGAAGAGCATCCCACTTCTGGGACAGGGTCTTCTCTGGCTCCTTGTTTATGTTTTCGATCGCAGTCGAGTTACCACTAAAGTCCGAAATGTTAGCTTCAAGTCAGTGGCACGCGCACAGGATATTCTCTATCCCTAATCTAGTGAGTTGGCTTACCTAGCGATCTTGATGCTTCCCCAGCTGCCGCTGTGGTCGCTGTAGGAGTATTCTTTTCCGGTAGAAAAGTCCTCGACGCGAGCGCTCTGAACGTACATCGTGTAAGGCGAGGAGTAATCAGTTACACCTCCAGCCCATTCAATGACACCCTTCGGTTGGTCCGGATCACCACCAGCCCAAATACCGAGACTGAGCTTCATCGGTGTCTGGGGATAGTTCCTTGTGTTGTTGGCTTCTTTCGGAGTGAGCGTACGAACAAGCTGCCCGTCAATATGCCACTCCAACTTGTCTTCAGTCCACACGCAAGTGTAATTGTGAAAATCGTCTTGCACTCCTCCATTGACTGGGTAGTATATCGCATTATGATAATCTTGTTCTCCCTTTCCAAAGTAATTGGTAGATACGTGTGTTGTGTTTCCTCCGAAAAATTCCCAATCAACTTCATCGAGCACATCGGAAGACCAGACGATGGAGCTGATGATTCCGGTACCAGGCGCTGCTTTCAGAAGTACTTCCGTCTTACCACCGAAAAAGTAGAAGTTCGAGTTTAAGGTCGGCGATTCGCCCTTTTTGGCGACTGTGAAGGCGCCTCCCTTGTCAACACTGTAGTCGACAGTACCGGCGGTCATGTTGAAAGTGCCATCTGGTGGAGTGGCATTGAAGTAGAAGGTATGTGCTGTGCTTAGCGCTGGGTCGGGGGGACAGGTTGCGTTCAATGGGTCGCAATCGGTATGAAGCTGGGCGGCGACGGGAGACACGAGGAAGGACGAGACCAGCGCAGTGGCCAGCACCAAAATCGATTGAGTCGGCATCGTGGTAGATGATCGAGGGCTCGCCCTCGGATTATAGTAAATTAGGAAAGTAATGATCGAATAATCGAGTCGGTCGTTTCGTTACGAAGCGAAGAGAACGTGATAGCCCCGTTATCTTGGCTAAGGGGTTTCGTTATTAAGATGTTTACTAGCTGTTGTGGTATCTTGTCGACTGCATAGTCTATAGATAGTAACTGGTATAATTCTTAGGTATGAACTAAATAGTATTGAATATAGCAAAGCCGGTTCGCTGTTTGACGGGTATGGGGGTTAACCCGTATAGAGAGAGCGACTGTGAGGGCCGTGATAAAGAGCGTCGTCGAAGGAATAGTTCGCTTCGAGGGAGTTAGGTAAGTACTAGAGAATATTGTATATGTCGGCAGCGCCGAGGCCACACGGTTAATTCAATTAAGTGATAAGGATCGTAAGTGTGTCGTTTCAAGTGGTTGCGCACACAGAAGTATCAAGGAGCGTGGGTATGCAGCTCTTAGGCTGTGCTATGATGGTAAAGCAGGTAAAGCATGAATGAGCGACTTAAGTGACTTAAGGTTCAATTGGGTAAGTGGATAAAAGAATGAATCAATTGACCTGGTCAACCCCTTATTCGACCCGTCTGCCCTTGTCTCCTTTGGAGGGCGCCGGTGATTGCGAGGGCCGCAAAAAGGCAAAGCCTGTTTGTATGGTGGCTTTCAGGAGAAAGGGGGGCTTTCTTCCCACCTTCCCGCCAGTCGGCTAGCTCAACATCTGGGGTCCTTGTAAAAAGATGCAGTAAGAATGTTAGATAAGACCGGGATCCTCGTCGATCTTGCAACGGGTACCGTTCGAAGCGATACTTGATACGGTTTAGATGATCGGCAATTAGCAGACCAATTCAGGGCGGTCGACTCCAGAACGCGGAGACGATGATGAAGTAATAATTCAGCCTAGTTAAAAAGTTGATAAAATAATTTCTTTGCCTTAGATATTCATTTTTCAATTCATTAATAAAGCATGTCTAAGTATTATAATTTCCATTGAGGTCTTCATATTGTTGGCCACACTAAGGGGCTACGAATACCTTACTATACGCGGCCTACGATATCTAATATGTGACAAAGATGATGCAAGCCCGAAAATAAAATTACAATACGACGCTATAAACGACTTTAGCGTTGTATATAGCGCCGAGAGCTTCGGCTAAGTCCAAGTATGTTTACCACACCAACAAAGCTCTAGTGAAGCTATCGATTCATATCACCACTTCATACCTAGGTAGTCAGGTAAAGCTTCAAGGAATCTTTCCATGAAATCCGACTTCACGATATCGCGATGGTTGCTATTCACTGGAATTAGCGGATGCTGTGCGGTGAACCGTGTTGATGCGGATATCCGACAGCTCGGTCTTAAAATATGAGACCAAGCGTAACACAAGTTTTTCTTTTTCCTCTCATTAAGGGATTGATCTTCCGCCAACCTCGTAATATATCATGTGTACCTAGGTACCCATCCGAGAAGACGATCATGTTTGTGACGTGCGGGGAGAGAAAAAAATCTCGAGAGCATGTATTTTCACAGGTCATTTGTCAGAAAGGATTCATCGCGCAAGTCATCTCTAACCAAACTGTTAGAGGGCGCGGATGAATTTATTATTCCGATGGTCTATGTAAAAGACATCGGCATGATGAGCTCGGCATTTCGGGTGAAATACCTTAGGTACATAGATCGACCCGAATGCCCCTCCGCCTGGCTGCATTATCGTCATATCCAACTGAATGGTTCATCATTTCTATTCGGGTGTCCCCTCTATGTATCCCTCATAACTCAAAACTCTTTCCTTCATATATACATTTAAACGAAGACTTCACGTCTTGCGTTGATTATATCGCCCTATGCTATATACGGGCGTTCTGTATTATTCCCAAGCCAGCGGCTCAGATATATATTTGTAATGGTTGGTTGATCACCATGAAAATGTCATAAGCGCCGGATTTAATGCGAGTGGCAATAAGAAATGACTGCTTGCGACGGTGGCCATAGGTAAGATAGCGACGAAGTCCGTTATCCGCCAATTGTTGGGAACAAACGGTGCGACGGCAATGATGATCATAGCCACGAGAAATACGAGAGAGAAAATCATGGAGAATTTAAACTTCTTTATCACCTTCGGTACTTCTATAAAGAAGTTAGAGAACTCGGCCTCTTTTGAAGTTGCTCCCCAGCTCATATCGATTTCCAGCATATGACATACGAGCGCTTGGCTGAGGTGAAGGGAGAGACCCCCCAAAAAGATAGCCAAGAGGAACGTCCACTTAAAGTTCTCGTAAAGGGCGTATCCGAGAGTACGTTCTCCGACACGATATCTCATGATGGCCAAAGCGACGTTTCCGAGACCATTGAAGACAATGATGATAGAGAACCAGACTTGCCAAGAATCGATATAGTACTTGTCCAAGTAACCATTGAACCAGCCCATAATAAAATAATTGGCAGATGTCATGATCCATGCGGCGCCGATGGCATAATAGGTACCGATATATGAGAGAATGGTGACTTTAGATGTAAGGCGGATGCTGGAGCCGAGGAATCGGCGGAATAAAGGTGTGAAGGGGCCCTCCCAAGGCCATTTGCGAATTGGATGGAAGAGTAATTCGTTACAGCCGTAAGCATATTTTTCCCACCGGGCCAATTCATCATATACGGTCAAAGAGACGCCTTCTTTGAATTCGTCACCCGCCCACGCAGCCAAACGAACGATATACCCGTCACATTGGAGGCGAAGTGACATATCGAAATCCTCGGACACGTGGGATTCAGACCAATATTTCTCATAGCCGTCCTCGTCCTCGTATGCAACTTGTTGAATCGCACTCCAACGGAGGATAGCGTTGTGGCCAACGAATGGCGCGACATCGCCGTTGGCCACAGTATATCTAATAGCGCTGTAGATAAGGTTGGTGAAAAACGTAATGCCATTCTCGAAGTAGGTATGGACGACTTGCATGACGCCGGACGAAAATTGCAAGATACCGACTTCGGGAGACTGGTCCATTTCAGAGACGGAATCCAAAAGGCAATCAGAGGGGACACGCGTATCAGAGTCGACTGAGAATGTGTCAGTAATATTGAACCTCGGATTTTTAGCTTAAGGGTTGGGACTTACCAATAAGAATGTAGTCACCGACCCGGATGTTGCCATCGGCCCAAGCCCGCCCATCCTCTTCGAGTACGTCTTTCAGTGCCTTTTCATAGGCAATGGCTTCATCGGTTTGCGACCAGTCGGGACCGCGATCGTACACGGATAACTTCTCTTCCACTTTACATGAGATCATAAGTGCAAAATTCATGTTAGAGGCCTTCTTGAATTTGCCGCGACGTTGAAACCCATTCTCGCCGTGTTTAGGTCGAGCAACCCAACCTATACTATTATCGGAATAAAAGTCAATACGAGCTTGCCGTTCTTCCTCTGAGATAAGTTGAAGACCGTCATCGTTAATGAATAGGTTCGCAGAGCCACCTTGTAGTTCATACGTGCTGATGGCTTGTTTTATAGATCGGACGGTTGGCTGTATCACAGCCTGGAGACCTTCCTTGTAAACTGGGCATTGTACCGTCTTACAAGACTCAAATGTCAGCATGTGACACATCGAGGGGTTTAGGTCAAGTCAGACACGATGTCTCAGCCCCAGGCTTAAGGGAACATCCGATGGTATCTCAATATGTGTATAGAAATAGAGATATATTATGTAGGGGATACTTACTACATGTGGCAGCGTCGGGGTTCTTAACCTCGGCGGTGGTATGGCGGAAAAGTATTTGGAGTTGACGGTGAGCTGACGGATTGGCCCAAACATCTGGGCCAAACATCCAACCATGACTTGGGCGAAAAAAAGAGAAAAGAAAACTTGGATTAGAAGAAGGCATACGAGGCCTAATCGCGCGTAGTTTCCATCGACAGTTATCTCAATCGCAAGCTGTCTCCATGCGGCTCCTAACGTGAGTACAACGAGGATAATTACCATGGAGATGAGGCACGCATTTAGCAGATGAACCGGCCTTTTTTCGAGGTTGACCCGGCCACTCTCTTCGTCTACTTCGGATTCCCTGACGACGGTCCCAGGCTTTTTCTCATCGCTCCCCTCTTTGACTCGACCAGTCTTCCAGACCAGTTCCATCAACTCCGACTCGATAGCCGCAGCTCGTTGCACCAGGTGGAGCGCATCATCATCCCAGACAACCAACATGGCTTCTGAAGCAACAAAAGCGGCAAAATGATGTTTTCTTGCTCTCGCTAAGTCATCAATTGTCGGCACGATCTGGATTCGGAGACCGTTCATCAATGGCACGTCCACCGCCTCCGGAGACCATGACAAGAAAGTCCTGATTACTCTAGAGTTTACAGTCATGGCGCACTATAAAGTTAGCAAGAATCATCTTAGGAATTAAGGGAGGGCAAAAGTACCTGGATATTTAGGGCAGTACAAGCCATCGCGAGCGTCGAATGCGACAGGGCGGGCGGGCAGGCCCTATATGCTCCCCGGGTTCTACGAAGTAGGACACCCTCAAGTTCACCGGTTCCCTCGCTCACCCACAAGCGGGAACACTGTTGTTGGTACAAATAATTGACCATTACTTCGTGTTTTATGTCGTCCACAAATAGCGAGCTGCTACGCGACCGCGTGGAATGGCCCGATATTGAATTTCTCGACGAGCCGAAAGTTGACGGCGGGAGATTGAAATCGAAGTCGTCTATATCCAGCGCATGCGCGGCCAAATTCTCTGCCCAGAGTCCTCTTCGCGGTCTGAGCGGGAGAGGTGGTGGTACTTCCCTCTTTTTCTTCGGTGGCCTATCGGCTAAGAAGTAATTATATAATCCCATAGTTATCTTCTCGGAGCGCTCTCAAGATTTGGCGGGATACTATTGGACAACTGGCCTCGGGAGCGGCATACGATCTCCCACGAGATGAAAACTATGTGTTGCGTCAGCGACCATAGATTAGGAAGAGGCGCGGTTTGCCGCGTCGTGAAAAATATGCTGTTGTGGCGGCTATTATAGCCCATCTATGAGAAGAGGTTCAACATTGGACCATCGAGGATGGGGTCCTAAGACCATAGGATGTTTGTTTTGTTTTGTTTTTTTTTAAAAAAAAGGAAATATTAAAGGGAAAAGTGACTAACGGTGGCGTAAATAGGACAGAGTAGGCTTGGGAAGTCCTAAAGTTGAGGTTGTGTGAGTCAAACGAAAAGATCAAACTAGGCCCCGCTATAGCTTCATTGCTCCATGTTAAAGTTAAGAGAAGAATCGATAGTAAGATTTGGAAAGTAAATTAAGGAACGGGGTAGGAAAAAACCAGAAGGACAAAGAAATGGGGATGGGAGCAAGAAGTCTAGTCTAAATCGTCTCCTACTGCTCTTTCTTGGTAGTCTGGAAGTCGGGATGGTAAGGAGAAAAGCTTACACAGGCGAGAATACTCCTTATTTAGGACGAATATGGTATAACATGGACTGAAAACTTTGAAGTCTTATCAAGCAAGTAAGTTAAGTAGTGTATTGCTCTGAGTTTAGCCAACAGCCACAATACGCTCAGATACCATTTAACGAAAGACTAGAACGAGCGCAGTCGCCGAGCTGGACAAACAATATTTCGGTGGCTCATAAAAATGACAGACTCAGCGTTAAGAGATATAAGCCCAGTGATAATAAGGTGTCAATGGGTTGGAGGCTTGAGACCAGAACGGTGGTCCAGCCGCTTGTTGGTATCCACCCCACGCCGAGGCGGTCATCTTTCAGGAGCATGGATAAGTAAGAGAACGGAGGCTGGCCAAATAGTTCGAACAGCTTGAACGACGAAGGACTGACGATGTAACAGGGGTCTAGAGGCAGAATGTCAATATGATGTTCACAATGAAGTATTTCAGAAGTACCTGATAGCTTTGGCAAGGTACCCAGTCGCCCACATGCAGCTAAGATCTCGATATCCCAGTCGGTCTAGGTAGCTCTAGGGGCTCTCATCGAGGTCAGTCGCTAATCATGATTGGGTCTCATCCTCCTTACATGAACGAAGCGACCTTTCAATATTCTTATCAAAAGGTATGCTCTTGGCATGCATGGTCATCCTGACCCGTCAGTAGGGCCCTGGGGGCCGGAAACTATTCGACCAACCTCATCGAGTTTCGGCGTTGTGGCATGAATACCATTATTTTTTGGATATGATGCGGATGGTACATGTTGAGACTAATCCAACAAATCCTATTTGGAGCCTAACTAATTCGGTGGCCTTTAAACTTTGCTTGACATTCGAGAGTACGGGTTGTGGCGTCTAGACTTCACCTAAGTGGCGGCCCAAGCACGCTTAGGTCGCTGTAAGAGGCAATATATTGATGTTTGTGCGCTTTAACTTCTTGACCCTTGCAGGCCACTTGTAATCCGGATAGAAATACCCACCAATGTTGTGCTTGGGTGATGGCATTGATATGTCATCAATTAGGTACTGTACCTAGATACCTAGGTAGATTAGGAACGTGCGTTCAGATAGGTGATAAATTTTCAATGTGATCAGAAAAGAAAGAAGAAAAAAAAACGCCATATTCCCATCTACTACAACATAGAAATCTGTCGTGATACCGCTTGACGAGACCGGGGTGGTGAGATGATAGTGCCTTATTGGTGTGAACTCGAGATCCCGCATATTGTGGCTATCCAATGGTTGGATGACAGGGGTTCTCTGCCCTTTTTCTTTCGCTGCTGTCGTCTTTCTCGTATTCTCAATGCAAACTGCATGCAGACGCCTCTCGGCTCGACTCCGAAAAAGTCCAGATACATTTTGGCCACAGATTCGATGTGTGAACGCACCAGCCATCTTACTTCGGATTAGTGTAGTAAACCAACAATGTACGGTCCGATTCATGCCATACAGGTTACATTGGAGTATTACAACGTTTCGCAGCTTTCAACCTTTAAGATCTGTCGGCACGAAGTATTGCGGCTGGCGGTAAGCGGTTAATTTTTGGAGTCGAGTCGGTTGATACCAATCGTGAAAATCAGGAAGGGTTTATCGTTACGCCATTTTTCAATATCCAAGACACGAAGAGGATATGAATGGGATCGCGACGAGCCGCTCTTTGTTGAGGTTAGCGTTAGGTAGAGGTAGAAGTAGAGGTATCAGCATTGCATCGCTGTGTTGTCCTCGCTATTCTTTGCCGCGACCTGTCGCTTACAAATTCGGTTCATTTAGAAGAAGCAAAAAAAGAAGATTGCTTTATGCCGCCCAATACCCCTTCGTATTACATGCATATGGCTTTGCATGAAGAGCTCAAGAAACTTTCTGTAGCTCCGAAGCAGCTGCTTAGTTTCTTTTGATCCCATTCGGTGCTGAAGTCCACCTTATCGCGAGGAAAGGGAAAAAAAAAAAAGAAGGCATGCACCAGGGCTGTCGGCGTTTGAGCTGACTGCTATCTATTCTGTTAGGGTTAATCGACCGATGTTGTGGTGTAAATACGGCTGCGTACCTACCTAGGTAGGTAGTGTGGTGGAAATTAAACGCCCAGCGGGTTTGATAGGACAGTATACCACTAGCGGTATTATTAGCTACCTATGTAGGTAGCCACATGGTTCTCGCTAAGGCTTAACACTAACCAAGCGTAGAACTTAGGTACTGGTTGTTGGGCTTGACCATCGGTGGGCACTATCTACCTGGTATGAATTAGCGCAGACAAGATTCCTGGAGCTAGTGAAGACGGTATAAGAACATCTATAATATAGTTCTAATCTTGAGTTAGGCATATTGCTACATATGTACCTAGGTAGATATCCTGCTAGGAATGTACTTTTTGGGTTTACCCTCAGGGAACAATCTGTCTATTCATGATCACAGTTAAATTTTGGATACGGGCTTGCGAAATTATATCGTAATGATTCAAAATACAAACTCCTTAAGGCGGAACCCATTGCCGCACACCGCACTACAGAAACTGATGTTTTAGACGTGACCCCCATCTCTGGACTGCGGCTGAATAAATGGATGCTTGCCGCAGGTTGACTCACTATAAATTACCGCTCAGATAGCTGTTAGCCATTTTAAACTAGCGAGACAAGCCGCTAGATAACAACCTAAGACAACGTGGAATTCAGGGATCTCTAGCTCAGCATCCAGGGGTTCTCAACCCCTGGCTCGCTAACAGCTAAAGCTTCAAGAATGTTAATTAGCCGACCTCAGTCTACATTACAAGATGTACACAATAGTAATCTGTATGACATCGTGTAACCATTCTAATACAGACAAAGTGTTGATGATGATTAATTCATCATTACTGTAAAAATGCTTTCTATCGCCGCGTTTGGACCCGAGGTTGTCCAAAGCTCTGCGTACGCCCGTGTAATTAATCCGTGTGCTAAAAATATGCCCTAAGACAACGCCAATAATCCGTTTATGTTTCCCAACACCTCCATCTTAACTAAATGCATCGTTTTTTCTTCTCCCATCCTTTACTACCTAATTACAATTGCTCGTCGCCGTCGCATTGCTGCAACATAACAACCTTACTAACTTCCATGGCTGGGGCAACCCACGTAGGAAACCATGAGTTTTGGGAGTTCCAGAAGTCCTTCTTAGCATTTGGGCTGATATCAATCCAGGGCTTTCCGCTTTTCGCGTCTTCGAACCAACCATTCGTGCCACCGACAGCGACGTTCAAGATTAGATAAAAGTTTTGGTCAAATGGAGTATTAAAACGACCCGTTACCGACCACGTGTCCATCAAGCGTGTACCGTTGGCGGTTGCCTCTGGAAAATTGCCCCTCTGAAAAAGCGGTTGGTCAAAGTTCGTGTAAAGGACTTGCAACAAGCGCGAATTGACATAGGTAAAAATGTACTTCTGCGACCATTCAACACCATAAGTGTTGAAGCCGGCCGAGTATGTCGTGTGCAAGGCTTTTCGCTTCACGTTAGTCTTCCACCAAGCGTCGTTATTAGGGTCCGGTCCCCAATGTAGTGCTGATGATACGATATCATTACCACCTTGGCCATACGTCCAATTGTTACCTCGGCTCTCCATGATATCGATCTCACCGCTAGCGGGCCACGGTCCGTATGTATCATTGACGGGCATCATCCAAATAGCCGGCCAAAGCCAATCTCCCTGTGGAAGTTTAGCAGTCACTTCAACGCGACCGTATTTGATAGTCGCGCCCTTCTTGGTATGAATGCGACCGGATTTAGTTGGAGGTACGATTGTTGCATTCCCAACAGTGGTATTAGTCGCAGCTATGCAGTCGGACGGCTGCGTAGAAGTGCAGGTTCCATCTTCCAGGAGATTGATTAAGGAGTCTTTTTCGACGAGATTAGCGTCCTGAAGTGTGGGCTTGATGAAGAGGTGGCCATTTTTGATAAAGACATTCTCGTCATCCCCAGTCGTCTGTTCAAATTCGCCATTGCTATATATCGCGTCAGCTCCAAGCCGAACATATCATCAAGGCAAGGGAGACTTACCCAAAGCCGCCGACCTGCACTTCCTTCGTCCATACAGCGTCATTGAAAGTCGAGAAATTGTCTTCGAGCACCAAACAGTAATTATGCTTCACAACGCTATGAATCCCATCCCATACGAAAAAGCCAGAAAGAGCCAAGCCGATCAGCAGGCCTGACACCGGAAGGATAACCACCCACTTCTCTCTAGGTTCCTTTTTGGCAAGCCAAGGTTTCTCTACTTCCCCTTTCTTTATCCTTCGCGAGCGGAAATATGGTTTTCTGTCAGGCCGCCTAGGGTTGTCGGAGCTATCGATACTAGATTCTGGCCTCGAGATCGAAGGGGATGTGAATGGATTTATTGGATCGGCTCTCCGCGAAAATTGAGTGTCTGCTCTCTCTTCACCAGGACTCCGATCCGTACTAGGTGTGCCGGGTTGCTGAGGTGTAGGTAAGGCTGTCGAGTGGAAAGAAGAGCTCCCCACTTGATCAGGCTCCATCATGCTAATGCGTTCGTCTGTTCGAATTTTCAACGAAAAACAAATATGAATCAAGCCCAATGCAATAACCAAAAAAGAAAACCCTATTAATGAAGAAGAGAGTACGTGATGATGTAGGAGTACATCAAATACGACGTTAAACGCTGGCCAATGTCAGAATTAGGTGTCTCCTTTCATCCCAGCAGCGAGATAGCTAGATAAAGAGGAGATATCTAAGTAGAAGTTGAAGTATTCAAGAGAGCTGGATTCCAATAGTGCCAACGCTTTCGAGCACCTCGTATCTAGCTTTATTTCCTCACGACTTCTAGACCCAGAGGTGATTGCCCAATACCACGGTACAGACTGATGTAGATGCTTTGTATATCAGATGTACCTTCCAGATGCAGGGGTCAGGTAGTGGAGGCGCCAGGGATTAAGCCATACATATCCCTTATCTGGCCCGAGAAGGGAAGTGAGCTGGACTACATGATGTAGTCATGCTTGCGGAGGCACTCAAGAAGATAGAAAGTGGTACGCCACAAGAGTCTATTCGGAATGAGGCTTCGCGCTAAAAGAAATAGGTAGGTGATTACTTTTATACTATGCATCTGGGTCCAAAGTAAGCCTCTAGTGGCATCGGCCTAAGGAGGTACCTCCTATCTGTACATATTCTGGTCGCTGATAAATTTCTGAGATGAATATTTCTACCTACCTAGGTAGAGACTAAATACGGCCATATTAACAAGCCCGGAGAGATTGACAATTAGTGCTTTTACTGATCTGCCGCCTAAGAATTACGGTCGCTTCGCCCGATTCTAGCGTCGATCATCCATTCAACGTTGAGCCGCAGGAATAACAGAGGACGGGATGTCTACTTCCCGGTCCCCTCTATCGGCGGCCGGCCTGTGGGCGGAACGAAGTCTGGACTAGTAAAATAATAAAAAATTTGTTGGTTTACCGAGCTGCATATGGACGGCTTGGCAATATTGACCGACGTGGCGCATACGAGCAACGCTGGAAACTACAGGAGATAACTTTCAGATTCTAACTCGATATAGTTCATTATTTCGGTGGCTGGATTATTTCTAGCGTATCGTTGCATCTTGGTGTAGCATCAATGCATACCCAACGGTTCGGGGGGGGATTTATCATCATGACTGCTTTTCAGCTTTTCTAAACGAATTGACAGGTCATGGAATCGAATCACTCCGAAGGATTTCCATCGATATCAATAAACAACACCATCATGACGCCTCTGTTCACCACCGACGGCTAGACTCATCACTATTAGTTGAACTTACCCCTTGATTAGAGGGTGAGGCTCTAGTATCCCCCCTTTTTTTATCCACTTAACATCTCGCCCCTCGGCAGGTAATGCCGGGTGACCGGTCCTCAATTCAATTTCCCAAGGTCCTCCTCTAAAACGATAAAAAATGAGAATACGGGCAAAATAACTCTTGCGCGCATCCAAAGGAACTGGAAATTAATGTCACTAGTCTATTGATAATTACCACTGTAAGTCGCCAGTGTTGCTACTTCGATTTATTAATTGCACGTATATGTGCCATAGCGTACCCCCAATATGGGGGGCGTGTTACCCATTTGACAGCAGTACACCCGGGCGCACATACCGAGGTAAATCGAGATGTAACTTTGACACCGCTTTCCAATTCAATGGCAATATCTGGTGAGAACTGGCGGGCTTAATATGATATTAATGAGATATTCACACCGTGTGATTCATCTCCGGCCTCATGTAAGTGCTTGGAATAATTATATCACATAGGTATGGGCGGGCCATCATCTAAGTGCGCGAAGAATCTACTCCAAGGTCGACCATTGGGAGCTACATATCGAAATGGTATTGTTTTTTCCACTAGTATCATGCGTCATGCTGTCACGAGGTATGGCAGGTTTATATCTTATATATACCGTCATATCCTTCATTCGGAGTTACCTATCTAACCCTAGGTTCTATGTCGAGGTGTATAAGGCTTTGGTGAGAGTGTAGATTCGAGCACATAAGTACTTATAACATACCTTCGGACAGTTTGTTACCTAATGAATTGGTGAACCTGACGTCTTCTACTAGAGTGTATAGCCACGATTAGTCGAACATGCAGCCTATACTCTCTCGGTTTTATGCCGCTATACCACTATCAATTTCTAACCTAGAAGTTCTAGTACTAGTCGTCAAATCGGGCCAGGCATACGCCGATCCATGGCTCGATGAAACTAATTAACCTCGATGATCCAAAGCGAGCGGCATATGCCGCTTTATCTTATACTTGAAGGGAAGACTTCAAGACGCATTCCATCTCTGGACGAGGACATGAAGTACTTGTTACGCGCAACTTGTTCAACACACCCCAGCATTTTCGCTCGCCTTGTCTTCCTCTTACTATCTGGGTTGACGCCTTATACATCAACCAAAATAACGATAAGGAAAGATCAAGCCAAGTCGCTATAATAGATCGTATCTATAGAGAGTGTGAGATAGCGTACTTGTGGCTAGGATGTGTCGAACCACCCTTGACGAATCATCATAGTCCCTTCGCACTCGTCGAGCACTTTCGCGACAATAAACACCTTTTTGAATGACCGGGTTACTGATGGGACTACAATGAAGCTTCCTGGAAGTGTAATACAGAGGATCCAGAATTTCGCTCTATGCTAGACTCATTCATGCTAGTTTATAATAGCACTTGGTGCGCTAGGGCCTGGACTGTCCAAGAGGCGATTCTCCCTAAGGTGGCTGTTCTTCGATATGGCGATTGGGCCATGCTGTTAGATGATTTCTGGACCTGTCTATTTAATCGATTCCGCCACGTTGGTGAGTTATGTTGCGCAGTCGCGTATCTAGCTGCCGGTGATGCTCCCGACACACGAGTCGCGATTGACCATATTCTTGCCAAGGTAGATTGCGTCAAATTAATGCAGGATAAAAATGGACCCTACAGAACACTACTCGACACCTATCGGCGGTATGCAGAGCGAGAGTGCTCTGATACACGCGACAAAAATCTATTCCTTGTTAGGATTCCTCAGTCCCAATATGCCTAAGATCGTACCCGACTATACTAAACCCGCTGACGAGATATATCACCAGATGTTCTGCGTAATGACCAAGGAGAGAGAATACAATTTGTCTTCTCTCTTAGGCGAAGGATTTAATAGCGGCAAGTTTAGTCTTCCCTCTTGGGTCCCTGATTTCTCAAGCAGCGGTGGCGCCCCTGGGTACTTTATCACAAGAGCTTCACGGGCTTACCCTCTCTTCAATGCTTCCAGGAGCAAGCCGGGAAAGGTGAATATTTGTGACGACAAAACCCTTCTGGTAAATGGTGTTTGTATCGACAAAGTTGAAGCAAAGTCTAAACTCATGAACTTGGGTTGGGCACCTAACCGTGGCGAGAGCCTACAAGATTGGCGTCTCACACGCTGCCAACAGGGAATTACTGTGAGCCCAACTTCTAGAGTCTTCTCCTAGTAGGTGAAACGATCGAGGATTTGTTAACCACCAACTACCGCCTGCTGCGGACGGATAGTCCAGATTTACCAATCGACTCTCAGTGGGAGAGATACATGCGCCTGGGAAGCGAAGGATCGGCGGTACCTCGCTCGTATCATATTACTGTAGGTCCTATGGTAGATCGTAAGGTCCTTTTCGTAACGTCGGGCGGACGCGTTGGACTCTCTTGGCCTGTAGTAGAAGTGGATGATGAAGTCTGGGTCTTGGATGGAGCCAACACCCCTTTTTTACTCCGGAAACGATAGCCGTGATAACGCTAGATTGTTAGTGGGAGACGTATACTTGTATGGGTTGATGCATGGGGAGGGCGTTGATGAGACCACGACGAGCAAACCTGTTATCTTAATATAGATGTAGGATTTAATATTTACGAGGTTGCGCGCTTGAACCTCTTTTGGAGGGTGACAGGGCTTCAATTACCTCTATTCTCACCGTAGAAGGAGAGGTAACCATAGAAATCGCTAGCAATAATGGACTTGGGACACTACGTAAACCTACGTCGGCCTGTTATTCGTTATATTAACTAGGTAACTAGGGTGCTACAAGGTATGCATGAAATGTTTTATAAAGAAAAGGTAGTTTATTTAAAGCTACCTAGGTAGGTACCTAATTAGGTAGTCATCAAAAGGAATGTATTGAAACCGTATAATGTATTCCACTAGAAGCCACCGCAATTCCCCTTCTATATTTGTCAAGGAAAGTCCTAATAACAAATGGCTTCCACGATATTCTTGCCTAGGTAGTAAGCCGCTCCAGCCCCTAACCTACCCTAACCATGGTAAACCGATTATAGCCCCTACAACCAAGCCAACATGGTACTCGTCGGCGCCCCTTAGGACATAAGTACTATTTTCTATGGGTCTGAAACGTAGTTGACAGTCAACTCTCCCGTGTTGACGTTGTTTCCTGGCTCGGTAGGGTCGCTACCGCATTTGCCGCAGCCGTGTGCGAGCAGATCTCCCACGAAGCCCTTGATTTGAGCACCAGTCTTTGTCCCCTGAACGTTCTGCAGGAAGGCGCAGCAGTGTCCGGAACAGGCAATATGAGCACCATTAGGAAAAGTCTGAGTGTCAGATAGGCCTTGGATACTGGTGTTGATTTCAGAGAGAGTGTGGGCTGGACAGGTACTACATAGAGCACTGCCTTGACAGTTGATCCCTTTGGAAGTCACTTGAGGGACAGTGGAAGCAATAGCGAAGATAGCCATGATGGCTTTCGAAGAGAGGGGGCAATACATGGTACCGGTTCCTATTACAGTGTTAGCAAAGTACTTAGGTAGGCATCATTAAAAGGGCGCTGGGACCAGTACGTAATGATTCAGAGGCTTTTGAAGCGATCTTAAGTCTTGGACCTGGGCCTTTGCGCAGCTTAATTTCTTTGTAGAGAACTCGAGATGGATGGAAACTCACAACCATGGAAAGAATGTGTCCGGGTATTTATATGCTTCTACTTGCAAAATACCCAACTCTTCTGACTGTAGGCACTCGTCTAGGACTACGGCCTGTTTCGTAATATGTGATAGATCTTCTGTATTTTTAGAAAATAGTCTCACAACCCGGGTATACCGCTGTACAGTGATCTCGCATACCGCATATCGCCGTCGTACGACAATCCATGGAGGAGGTTCGTACTACGGGGTTAGACGAAAAGGGGGAAGATGGGAAAGCTATAACCATTTCGGGCATCCTTCAATAGGTGTTCTCCAGCGCGTACCTAAGGGAAATTCATGCTCCTCTTATCGTGTCGCCAACTTCTATTAATACGACACGTCAAGAGTTTATTGGTAAGGAAATTATGAGTTTTTGTGAAATCGTAAGCGGAACTTGTTATCCGGTTTAATGTAGGCGACTTTAAGACCTAGGACCTCAGCGATTCCATCAAGTCAATTCAAGTCATTCATGGACCAGTCAAGTTATTCTCCATTTTTATTCCATATGTCCATGATTTTATGCGGTATAATTAGTCCAATTTTGAGAATAACTTGATGGTCTGTGAATAACTTGACTTAATGGAATCGCTGACCTAGGTGTACGAGAGCTCACCGTCGATAATAGATTCGATTGATTCGTCATAGGTGTTACACAAGGTTGGCTACTGACTTGAATCCTCAATATATCCGGCAAGATTTGAAGCTTGGATTGGACAGGACAGGAGTGATTATCAATAAATTGATTACCACCTACGTAAGGGCTTAGTAGAAGGACAATCCTGTGCCGTGCCACCCATCTTTCCCCACCCTCCACATTCACAGTTCGTACTCCAAAATACATACTGTCATCAAGTCAACAAACTCACAACAATTATCTATTCCATTAATCGCGGCATAACTCATTTCCCTCAATAGACCAACAACAATAAACCACGTAGGTGGTATCATTACCTACCTAGGTACCCTTTAATAAGAAATACCAACTTTTCGCTGACTATACCTAGGTAGACGGAAAAGATAACTCGTCCTTATTTACTTTCATACTCCTAATAGTTGCTATCATCTTGAAGCCATCTAAAGTTACTCCGAAGCTCTTGTGAACATGGCCGCCTCCCCTACAACCGTTCTATTCCGCATCGCACCTCTGCTGTCTTCCACAGCAGCTGTCTCCATGACGCTGTGCGAGGATGTATTTTTTCGACCTCTCGGGACGCCACACTCGACAGTGCGACCGCAGGCGAACCGAATTCTTGCTACCAACTTCAAGTCTTGCGCGCCGTATGCCATGTCCATGACAGCAACGTATTACTTCTCGGCTATTGGTGTTGCAATTGCAAATGTGACTCTCCGAGGCGGTGTACTGGCACTTTCCGGATCATCGGCCGCGGTACCACAGCGTCTTGCTGCTGGCTTCTATATTGCCGGTGCTATCTTCAACGCCTTGCACTTTGCTTTCGCTCCAAGTGACATATCCCTCATGGACATCATCATGGACCAATCTAAGGCCGACTCGGATAAGGGCAAAGACAACTGTACTGCTATGGCTGATTGGGTTAAATTGAACGTGTGGCGCGGATTCTTGGCGGATTTTCCAGGTTTTGTGTGCAACCTCATTGGGTTCACCCTGTCACTGACTTAATTGAAAAGAGGCATTTATGAAGTTGGTACTTAAGGATTTTTCAAAATCAGATCATGGGAGGCTATTTTCGTTAACTGGATCAGTGGTGAGGGGGTTTTCAGGTCGACTCGTTTTTCTACGCCTCTGCAATAATTATAATATTTACGACGCGGCTAGTACCCCGAATTCGGGTTGAATTTTACCAATTATTATATGATATATGTCCGTTACCCAAGTGCAAAGCTTCAGCATTGCTATAAATAGATCACATACTAGGTACCTAGCGGACCCATTAGGAGGTTCTCTCGATCAAAGCCTCACCGCCGCTGCCAGGGGATTCAGTCCCTGTTCCAGCCCCCTTCTCTGCATCCTTACTGTCACTTTCCTCCAAACCGAACTTAGTCTCTAAATTCGTACGTAGGGGGATTTCCTTCACCACAAGTGACATAAGGAAACCTAACAAGGCGAAAGCGATGCCCACTTGCCAACAGCGTGCAAGACTATCGGTGTATATGCCTTTTACGGCGTCCTTAAGAGCGGGGTCATAGTTGAGGGAGGAGATAAACTCCCCAGATGCCAAACTGTATGCACCTCCGTTGGATAGTAAGTCCCGCATGTGAGGATCATCAAGCCGACCCACGAGCGAGTTGACCATGGAATTGAAGATAGCAGCCGGAATAGCTACGCCCCAAACACCACCGAAGCTTCTCACGAATGCCCAGGTTCCCACCGAAACAGCCGCATCCGACTCGGGTAGTGGGGCTTGGACAGCGGGTAATGTTGTTGTTGTGAGCACTCCAATCCCAATGGCACCAATACACTGAGTACCGGCCCAATATGCTTTGCTTGAATTTTCGTCCAGCCGCGAGAATAGCCCAAATCCAATTGCCAGAAAAGCGAAACCGATGAAATGCCAAGGACGGTAGCGGCCGAATTTACCCAATCCAATTCCAGCAATAATGGTGAATGTCATGCAGATAATAACCGTGGGCAGGAGATAGACTCCAGAAGTGATGGGTGATGCTTCGAGAGCTGACTGGAAGTACAGGGGGAGGAAGTAGATCTGCCAGTACATGAGGATCGAGTGAAGGAACGTCAAACCAAAGCAAGCGAGCGAGGTTCTGTTAGAGAATAATCTCAAAGGCATCGTAGGCTCCGGGACGAGATTTAAACCCTCCACTACGAGAAACGCGACGATTCCTGCGAAACCGAGAATTAGAGGCACCAACGTCTGCCAGGCCGACCAAGGATATTCGACACCACCCCAAGTTAATGCAAGTAATATCGCGACGACGGCAGCAATTAGAAGCAAGTTTCCGCTGAAGTCGACCCGCTTTAATGAATTCTTAGTCGTATCTTTCTCGTAACGAACCCTCAGCGAGAATAGCAACATAACAAATGCGATAGCAGCAACGGGAAGATTGATGTAGAAAACCCATCTCCAAGTGACACGTTCGGAAAGAGAGCCGCCGATGATAGGTCCCAGAGCTACGGCAATGGCGTACGCCATAAATATCACACTCATATACTTAGGTCGCTCGCTGAGTGGCAATAAATCACTAATGACGATATCAATCATGATATTAATCCCACCACCACCGATACCTTGAATCGCACGTCCGGCTACGAGAGCGCCAAGATTCGGAGCAGGGCCAGATATCGCAGATCCCACAGCAAAAGACAGAACAGCGAGAAGGGTGAGACTGCGACGGCCAAATATGTTGGCAGTCTGACCATACAGTGGTTGAAAAGCGGTCATGGTTAGAAAATAGGCGTTAGCGATCCAGATGTAGGCGAACGTTGAGCCTAAATCCTTCACCATAGAAGGCATCGCGGTCGAGATAGCCGATGCATCTAGGGCTGACAGTATCGACGAGACGGTTAAGGAAATGAAAATGGCCTAGTGTAGATTCGGGTCAGCTACCGTGATTCATAGGGCTGGGAGGATTGAGATCAAGATCCTACGAACCCAAAAACGCCATCCTTGACCCGGCTTGGGGGCGACAGCCTGCGGGGGATCAGTGGTGGATGACATAGTGAGAAGAAAACCCAGCGTCTAAGCTACCAAGTTGAAGTCAAGACAGCGAAGAGAAAACGACGACACAAGTTTGGATAGATTAGATTTTAGGTGGTCTCAAAACCATGCGACAAAGTAAATAGCCGCCTGGCCTCGACAGAGTTTGTGTCTATGAGTCCGAGCCGCAATTAATTAATTGTTGGAGAGTTAAGGGAAGTGATAGGGGTGGTATTGGCCCAGCGATTACTCCATCCATGTACACCACCCGTCTACATGTAAATACATGAAATGAGTGGTAACACAACATATCATTTCAAATATATAAATACGTACCGTATGAGGACCGGTACATGCATTCCTAAGGTACCTGAATTACCTAGGTGTTGGCTGTATATGTTCGTTATCGTATCCCTCTACCACCGATCAGAATACCCTGATGATTCCTGTGACAAGGGTATATTCGAACAAGGATTTCGGCTACTTTTCACCGTACAAATCACACAATTCCTGGCTATACCTATTGAATTATATCATCTACCGTATCCCCCTCAACTTGTAACCCTGAAGTATTTATGCCCTTATTTGGCGGTTAGGGGCGTGTTTTCCTAGTCTGGATCACCTCTTCGATTCTTGCCATTTATAGAGGCACATATCAGTAACTAACACCCAAGGTATCCATCTCTATTTTATCCCCCACCTATCTCCCTTGGGGTAGCCCGTGTGGGTACCGATGTAGGTATCCGTACAGCGGATCCTTGTGCGCATTTATGGACCCTGGATAGACCCACAGGTACCTCGCAAGACTACTCCACACTTGGAAACCGGCAGTGGAAACACTTCATACTTAGCAGATACAACCCTCTAGGGTAAGGGAGCGTTAGCTTCATATTCACGTTGAGAATTTAATAACTATCAGGCAAAAAGCTCGCTATAGAGTAGTATATGAATACTAAAAGAGTATCAAGCTAAACCTGATCATGGGCCAGCTTTGGAACTATCGAAAATATCCTCGAGGATTGTCCAGTGATTTACTTATTCTTCTTTGAACAACTGTACCTAAGGTAGGTAGGTACCTAGTTAGGTAGGCTGGTAGGTACCCTAGTCGTTTTCTACGTGAACAAACAGCAAATGTAGATCTCCAACTCCAGGATCATTTCTATCCCAAGCGCCCAGGTGAGTCGATCACCCCAGCAAAACGAGCGGTCATATCTGATTTTTTTCATGGTATAATTATGTCATGTGCAACAGCTAAGCATTTTCACAGCCGTGTCCAAGATGTTGCATAGAACAGAGTATGCTTGACAACGTCGGGGATAGAAAATACTAGCTGTGCTCCGACGCTCTTGATTGCCCATCTATCTCTGTAAGACCTGCCCTCGCTAGACCCCAATAAGCTTGCCTAGCGCCATGCCTACAGACTATTCTGATATTCTACTGCCTCTTCGCCAAACCTGTGATCGATGTCGCGAGTTAAAAGTTCGATGTAAGAGAAGCTCGCCATCTAATATCCTTGAAGACGATTCTTTAACGTGCTGTATACGATGCACCCGAGCCGGTGCCAACTGCACGTATAGTCGTAAGAGTCCCGCAATCCCTATCAAGACATCCAGTTAGCATCCAGATAGCTGTCGCAACCCTACTACTCTGAGACCTCCCTAGGTGGAGATATCAAATGTCTTTTAATCAAATATGATTTGAGGAATTCCTATACTAAGATTCAACAACATATAGCACAGCAACGCAGCGGCCGGCCACCTCTTCCGAGAAACGGAAGACCCTTCTCATCCCCATCGGCACGAAGAAAACACCGACAGAGTATTCAAACCAACGTGACCCCGCCGTTAACAGCTTCATCCGACGCTCATAGCGAAGTCTTCCCCCAGTCTAATGAGCCCCTCGGCCTTGAGCAAAGTTTGATCTCACTTCAACCGTTGATCACACCAGAACATAGCGAGGCACCAGCGGTTGGGGTGAACAATGGAATTGAGCTAGATGATGCATTTTCCAGTGCATTCGATACTGGTGATCAAGATGCATTTTTCGACCTGACTCTTGGAGGCGATGACAGCTCGAACTTCAACTACGATGGTGGCAAAAGGTTTAGTACATCGGCTCCAGATCTACTGGTACAACCCCCGGACGAATCCGTGTCAGATCCGACAGAAACCAGCATAAGAGAACTAGCAGATCTCGACCTTCGCATATATCGTGCGGGTCGGGATTTATGCAATCGCTCTACTTCATCATCTGCCCGGTCTCCACCGCCGGAAGAGTTAATCGACTTCACTCGCACCCTACTCAGAATACTTAATAGAGTCGTCGCAAGCACTAAAGATCAAGGGCAACTGCCCTTAGATTTCTCACCATCCGACCTTGGGGACCAATCTCGACGCTCTTCGACCTCATCCTCATTCTACCTTGATGGCCCGTCGACTGTACGTGACACCACGGATACTAGCACTGCATTAACGGTGTTGGCGTGCTACCAACGCCTTCTAGATTTATTCCAAGGCGTGTGTCACGTCATCCACCCCCACTTAGGACCCAGGCCGCCAGAGCCAGGTATAAATATAGACGAAAAAGATGGACGAAGGGGCTCAGCACAAGCACCGAACGCCCAAGTTGTTATGCTAGTGGAGCTCATGACTCATCTGCTGGACAGACTTGATCGTGGCCAGTACCAACTAGCAACAGCTTTAAGGAGGAACTCAGAGTCTATTACCCAGTCTTCATCATTCGTGTCTCCGAACTCCAGCTTCCCTGAAACCCCGGCTTTTACATATGGGGCGCGTATGGGGCCCCATGACGAGTCAACAAATCATCATAATATTGACAGAATGGAGGATGGAACCGGTCGGAATAGGCCGCGCGCCTGTACCCAGGTGGCCAAGTGTGTGGTTGACGTGATGGTGCAGAAGCAACTCGGGCTTCAGGAGCAAATTCAAGGAATAAGGCGTTTAATGTGGAATTTAGATGGTATTTAGGCAACTTCTTGCATTTAATCACTATTCCATGGATGTTATTCTGGGTTTAGGCGTAATCCGTCAGCTCGTAAGCCCTAGTTTGGCTCGGGTCCTTTCCGAGATCTATATAGTCTAAGCTGATTCTCACGTTTGTTACTCAGCGCCCTTAATTATACAAATACTTTCTTCGTTTAAAGTTGGTGTGTTGCTGTGTAGTGACGATAGTTTCTTCAGCAGAGCTCGTTAACCGTACCTGCGCATGGAGCCGCAGAGCTGGTTCTCCCGGGTTTTCTAGTTACGATATCACCTAGCCAGTTCCACTCGACCTGTTTTTCGAGACCGCCACATGGTTTTCCCGAAGGCGAAGCAAGGTCCCGCTGAACAGGGATGACGACTATAACAGAGGGTATACTAATAAACACCAAACTTGCGCCAACCGGCACCCTCGGTCCTGTAAGAAGATAAGCTTCAACATCAATGGAAGGGTTCCAAGGCTAAGAAACAGGGGCGAGACGAGAGAGGTACGTAAAAGGAGCCGAGCCTTAATTCTGTGGGGGTGGGGTTGCAATCGGATGCGGATAACCTAAGATAAGTAGGTTAGTTCTCGAAAACGCTTCCCGAAAAATCATCTCGATCAGTAATAGTCTACACTAACAATGCAGGGCATATTCCCACTAACTCACTAGCCTTCTAAACTAGCACCTATTTCGTACGATAGATTTACAGGATAGGAATACTAGACTTGCTAGGTTTAGTATGACGCAACTCGATTAGGCTTTGGCCCCCACGCTTCTAACTTTCCTTGGTCTTATGATAGGTATCCAGGTACTGCCTATTCATTTCCCATGTACAAATCTTCCTCGCGCATTGATTCTATTTCAGGATATGATGAGACCTATATATAATTGGTACGATTTAACCTTTCATTGACAATTGGAACATTCTCAACATTACGCAGAAAATAGTGAGTGGTTGTATGAATGGTTGTGTTACCCATCTTTTCATTCTCTACAGGTAGATACGTCGCTACGTAGCTTGTATTTATATTACCTTTATAGTTTAGGTGCATACAATTCCACGTTGCTTCGAGATGATTGGACCAGCCCTTTCTTGAGCTAGCCAATCATACACAATTCCTCTCTGCCGAATTCCAGCTTTTTGGGTAGCATTTTTTAACTTCGCGGCCCCTCACATAAGCTTATCCACCACTGCCGGGTCTAACGCGGCAGCATGCATAATGTACGTCTTGTCATTGGTGATTGGCAGCAAACCCATCACATGTGTCGGTGCATTCGTCCAGCTCGGTGAAATCCTAACTCGCTCGTGCAGCCGCCGTACTCTGCTTCCACTACGACTCTACTAACGCGAGACTGGCTTTCTTGGCCGGAGTAGAGTTTCAAAGGTGGCGATCGTATCTCGTATGGGGGCCAGATCTTGGAGGCTCGCAAAGAGGAACAGGTCGTAATCGTCCCTAATGAAACAACATTTCCGATTGATCAATTTGACAGCGCTTCAACTCGAACTCCGGGACGACATAGATCCTTCTAGAGATAACGCGTGGTGTGGGAAGGTAAGGCTACGTTGATCACATGAGATAGTTTCATTAATACCTACCCCCTAGGCACCTTAACGGTGATTTCATCGCGATCGATGATTGAATTTGATTATTATTCACGTTGCAACGTTGACGCCTCAAAATAAAATGCAATCCGAGTCATCTCGGTGTCCAAGCCACGGATAATATATTAAAATAATATTATTCATCATAACAAGTAAGAATTTGTAATTAAAAAGCATTGCCGAGCCAGATATGACCACCAAGTATCTCAAAGTATAGACGTTCAATCCTAGATAATTCCAAGTAATTGAAAAATGGACATATTGTCGTTCCACACCTTGGGGCGCTTTGCGACGCAATCGTTCGGAGATCACGTCGCGGCTCATCATAGCTATCTCATAATTCTGTAGTAAAAGTCGTAACCGCAGCCACCACAAAGCAGACCCACGCGGCAATGTCAGAAGTTAAACTCCGAATGACATGGATGCGCAGCCATGCATGAAGACTCTGTATACTGTTCTCCTTGCCACTATCATTTATGATATTCTGAATGTGAGGCAAGATGAAAGGCGCAAAAACAAGATGGCTTGTCGCGAATCCTGCACCGGCTAGGTACCAAGATCGGGAGCCATACCGCTGTAATTCCTCGCCCGAATGTTGTAGGATAGCCCCTGACGATACAATACTTGCGAGAAGCAGGCCAGCAACGCGAATTACGCCGTATTTGGCAAACTCGGTGAAGTAGGGTGGTAAAATTTGGCTTGCATGCGCGCGCTGCTCTGGCTTGGTGAAGATCTTTAGAAAAAACCATTGATCATGAGCAAACCAAAGAGAGCAGGTCGATGAAAAGGCTGGCACAAGTCGGAGGAGCGTAACGAGACTTGGTGATAATTGCGATGTCATCTTGGCAACTGATTAGTTTCCCGTATAATTTTATATATATTTAATTAGTTGCAGCATGTTAATCGTCTCAGTTCACGAGTTGCGCTCGCGACAGAAATACTCACCAACGGCAAGGTGTATTCCTTAATGAAAAACCTACCTTTCCAGGTATGCACCGATATCAGCTCACAAAATCCAAAGTAACAATAGACACGAACAGTTCCCAGTGTAACCCGCCCAAAACAACATAAAACTCGCTTTACACCGACCAAACCTCGGCTCGGACCAATTAGCTGCCAAATATAGATTAGCTTCTACCGACTTCTGTTCGTGATCTATTCCACGTTGTTGAAAACCTCCGATATAGAATTGTGAAACTTATAAACGTTACGGTCTCATCGGATGCGTTGCAAGCTGGAGTATATTCGGAATGCTTTAAATGCAACCGTGACACGGGAAAACAAGTAGTGAAAAAAGAGTAGTATTAAACGACGGATGTTGGTGGGGAGTGTAGACTTTTTCGAAACTAAAGAGGCGTTGTGGCTACAGTAGGTACCTGGCAGGATGCTACATTCTGGTCGTTATATAGCGTAGGCGCACTATAACTTCGGGTCTAGGCAGCTTATGGTTGATCTTACCCCCCTATATCAGTGATTACTGTGCATAATTCTTAAGGGATGATCGCATCCTAAACTTGTATTTACTGCAACCCACGAGAATGGCAGGAATAGAGAGCCATAGGATGGCCACTGCCACCCCACCATCAGACAACACCCACCCTGGCATAGCCATTCTTACGTGACCCCCGAAGCAGTCGACCTGCCGCATATGTCGCCGCTGTCATAATGGGGAGGTATGACACACGGGGATCTCATTTCTTTCGATGCTTTCCCCCGGAGGAGTCTTGGTTAGTCATTCCCGCGTGGCTTCTCGCTTCTATGATCCTTCTGTCGTACTTGAGAAAATAAAGTGACGATCGAGTTTACAACATCCAAAGCGACTCGAACCTGGCGCTGGCGCTGTCCAGAACTTGTTTGATGCGGTGATAATTGTTCTTTTCTCATCTAGGGCGTCTCTCGTCGACTCTTCTGTGATATCAATCTTGCGCCCCAGGAGTCGTCGCTATGGCGAAAGTACCGACCCCAGAAGAGCTCGCCTACATGCAGGCACACGAGAGCGACACATTCGTCCCAAACATTATCGCAGCCGCTTCAATTTGCGGCGTAATCTCCACCATTTGTGTATCCCTACGATTGATATCGCGACGACTAGCCCATAGGCGCTTCTACTTCCAGTTGAATGATTGGCTTATTGTTGTCGCTTGGGTGTTTTTTATGACCATCAACATATGTTGGGCCCTTTCAACAAAATGGGGAGTCGGGCGGCATATTATCTTCGCGACGAATATACGAATGATACAGATTGTTAGTCCAAAGCCTCAATTATGTTTCCTTGATATCCCTCGGGTTATTTTGCTAGCGACCTTATATCACATATTGCTTTCGAATCATCGTCAACTAACGAGCCGCAGATGAGCGTTATCGGCGAATTTCTATACGTTTTCACCATCGCCTGCATCAAATTCAGTGTTCTTAATCTCTATGCGACTATCTTCCCCCAACGAAATTTTCACTACTGCATTTGGGGCATGGCCGCTTTCATAGGCGCATGGGCTCTCTCCGGTGCTTTTACTGCGTTATTTCAATGCACGCCGTTCTCTCATGCTTACGACCCTGCGTCTTCGCTAGACGGTTTCTGCATTAATTTCGGTCTCCAGAACCTTGTCTCGGGCATCGTGAATGTCATTACCGATTTCATCATCGTTGGGATGGTTATCCCCTTGGTATGGAAACTGCAAATTTCCCGTCAGAAGAAATGGCTCGTTATTGTTACCTTTATCATAGGTAGCAGGTAAGTTTGGTCACCATTGGCGTCGTCAATGACCTCATGCTGATGCTATTTTCCCCTCAGTGCATGCATTGTCAGTTGTGTACGACTTGCTTTCTCACTGCAAGTCGGTACGGCAGATGGAGCGTGTAAGTAACAAATTATTTCCCCATTTAAAAGCCACTGCCCTAATAAGCCTGCCTATAGGGGATGCCGCACCAACCATTATAGTGTCAATGGTTGAGCTTACTGTGGGTATTCTTGCCGTGTCTATCCCGACCTACCGTCCCGTGTACAGGGCTATACTGGGCAAAGGGAAACATGGAAAGTCAAGCGACGGCTACAGTAACAATAACAGCAACGGAAATGATACGAGCATAAACATAAGGGGCTACAGCGCTGCCGTTCAGAATAACGTCAACGTCTCTGCAACTGGAGGCTCTTTCGGGACCGGTCGACCTGGAATCAACATCACTGATTACATAGAGTTGGTTCGACATACGAATAGGGATGGGGCTTGGGTGAAAGTAGTGGATGACGATGATGTGCAACCGATTGGCACTGCAGCTAGTCGAAGCACTACTATTCCGGCTGACGCTCATATGTCACATTCAGATACAGCATTGGTGCAGACGAAGTCTAATGTATAGGTCGGATATGGCTATATTCAGGATCATAGGGATCCTAAAAGGGGTGGCCGTGTCGGTACTAGGACATGTTGGGACATGTCATAAATGGGCCTGAGATGTGGTACACACTCATGATATATAATGTGCATATGAACGAATCTTATGGGAGGAAAGCGTTGAAATTAATTAATCAGATACCCTTCACTACCAATGCCATTGGGCTACCGTCCCGATTATCATCTAGCGCACGCACGTCCATCGACTCATCAATCGTATGCCTACGACGACGAGATTTTCAGCTTGATAGCCACTTTATTTCGGATAATGGTTCTAGGCTCGCCATAATGGGAGCATTCTTGATTGACGACGAGTGGGATGGTCATGGGTCTCACGTTGATCATATCGGTTGTGGATGAACTAAGCTGGCTGACATTATCGGCAGGAAAGACCAAATGATGCGATGTTATGTTGATTCCTCTATCCGTGAGGACCTCGTATACTCCCTGCCTCCTCTATGCTTGGATAGATAAGCACGCAACTTGAACCATTATTTCCTCTTATGGTTGAGGGGAACGAAAGTCGAAATTGTCTCAAAAGTTCAGGACACACCAACCAGCCAAATACGTATTTTTTTGGAGGGGTATGGAATACACCCCTCTTTGGTGGATCCCTTGGCTCGTCTTGCCCGACAGACCTTCTGATTTAGATAACTTCTGTTCTGTGGTAGGATCATATCCTAGAGCGCAAACCTAGCTCGGAGTTATTATACAAGTGATAAAAATTCGTGAATAAAAGTTACTGAGACGAGCGCTAATAGCACCGATATGATATCCAACTACCCAGAAAAGGGAACACAACATTCAAGACGTTCCAATACACACTAAGATATACAAGAAATGCTCAAACTTCAACTCCCTAGAAATTATTTGACCCCGTTAGCCCCATTGACTCCATTGGTTGCCTTGATCCCATTGATACTAGTGAGTTCCTCCCTTTTGATTTCAAAAACTCGGTCAAGAAAGGCGAAGAGCTTGGCTTGGAGGTGCGAAAGCGCTGCCACCTTGGCCTGGAACCCTCCGTTGCCCCAACCCACTGGCTCCCACAGCTCTTTTTCGCGCCCTTCAGCTAGCTGTGTCAGGCCATTGTAGATGCGCAACGTTTCCAGTGGGTAAACTGTGTCTCTTGCTCCGGTAACAAGGGTGGGGCAGGTGATCTTTGAGAGTAGCTTATCGCCGTTTGGCTCAAGTGTGAAGTCTCCGAACTTACGGAACGCCTTGGAAGGTGAAGGGTCTCCGAATGTCAGAGTCCCGTGTCCGAATTCTAGCCGCGACTGGAACTTGAGCTTCCCGACGACGTTTAGTATACGGTCGGCGAAGCTGTCGCTCAGGTACTTCCAGAAAAATGGCGTCCTAGAACGGACTATGTTGCCGAAGTCATAGAAGCTATCGCTGCACACACAGGCCTTAATCCTTGGATCAAGTGCACCCCGTAGCGCGAAATGGCCTCCCATGGATGAACCCGTCAAAGCAATTCTAGAGAGGTCTAAGTTCCATTCTGGGTGCGCTTCTGATTGTTCGAATAGACTGTCTAGTACAGCTGAGATAACAACTTCCCAGTCCGGTCGCATGGGGAGCTTGTCACGGCGAAGTGGCAGACCCTGGCCTGGGCCGTCAAACGAAAGCGCAGCATAACCACGTGTTCGAGCACCGGCTGGGACTAGATAGTATATTTCTTCTTGGATGGAATCGAAACCCCCCGTACAGAGAACTACAGGGAGCTTCCCTTCAATTTTCTGGGCATTATTCGGTAGATACAGGTATGCCGGCAGCTGGTACTTTTCATACGGGATTTCGAGGAATTCTACTGGGCTGTCGAAAAGTGCACATGCTTTCCTGAAATTATCGGTCGACTGGGAGATAATCTTAAGGAGACGGGAGTCCGTGGGGGTGGCGTGCAACATGCTTTTTCACCATGTCAGCAAGTAGGTATCGCAAAAAGAAATACTAGTACAGTGGGACTAATCATACAATTCGCTAGCCCTCCGATAATTACTGGCTCGTAGAAACGCCCATCTGGCCGCCTCCTTGTCGCCCTTTACAAGCGATTCTTTCGCTAAAGCTTCAGCGCCCTCAGCGGCTGCTGTCCAGGCCCGGTACCAGCTTTCTGGATCATTATGTTTGATCTTGGATTCAGCTTCTAGACACTCGGCTACGTCCGCACCGTGCATCGGCGTCATGCCGAGGACGCGGACATATTCAAAGTGGAAGAAGTCTGTAGCGGCTGTTCCCTTCATGTTGGATCATAGGCTTGTGATGAAAATAGCTTATTTGGTGGCCCGAGAATACGGGCTAGAAGCTCGATTTCTTGCATGGCGGGCTTATGGAGTATCTAATTACGTGACTATAGGTGGTGAGTAGCTGATCGGCGCGGATGCCTCTCGTTCGGTGGGTTATCAAGAGCAGACAAAGTTAGAGTCGGTGGATTGGAACGACGAATTCTTCATGCGTATCCCCAAGGAAAGACGATTATGACCTAATCTACCGATTTTGTTCTTGTCGTATGTAACTTCAACGTCGGCTTATTACCACCGACCAAGACCTCGGTGTGGTAGCTGAAATCGCTTCGTGTCGGTAACGGTAGATTAATATGGCAATCCGTAACCTATACTGGGCACACCCGGAGGATTCTTTGGGGCGCCAAGTTAGGTGTAAAAGCAGTTACGTACAGCGCATTTCCTTGTTCAGAACGCTCCGCCCCCTCATTTCTAGGTACCTAAGGTGCCTACATGGGTACCTAGGTAGGTATGTACTGGCAGGTTGCTCTTAGTGTAGGATAATCCATCAGCCAATATCTTCACCTTATCTTCGTGCCACGTTGATGTTGAATTCCTGGGCTTATTCATAGACCTCGTAATACTAACCAACGTATGCTCTCGATGGTAGCAGAATCTTCCCGCCTTGCAGCAATATGGTTTTGCATTTGGGGACATCCGGGCGTATGGAAAAAGAGGTGACATCGCATTGTTGGAGAGCACTGTTCAGGAACGCGCGTTAGTGTACCAAAAGAACGGAATAATGGTTCGGCAAGGGTCAGGTTTGAGTGACCTATCCTGGCAATTTTCTTAGCTTCAGGAACACTGATGTTACATTAACCATTCGTGAGGCATCACGCTTAACTAAATACATTGTCTATTACGCCAAGGGATAAACCAATTTGGATCCCCGTACAAGACCTTTGCGAACATCATCAATTCCAACTTCGAGTGCCTCTAAACCTCCTCCCCTGACTGTCAACTCGGGTGGTTTGAGTAACCCCTCTTCTACCAAACGCTCTACCGTCGGGGCAAATTTTCTCGCTAGCTGGCGGTCCAGGGATGTGGCTGGCCTGCCAAATAAACCAGGAAATTTCACAGGATCGCCAAATAATGTGAAAGCCAATACCCAATCCGCGTACACGTCTCTCCGGGTGTATTTCACACGAATTGAAGGTGGATCTAGCGCTGTATACCTGCCTCCCGACGTTCTGATTGCCTCATAGCACATACTCATGGTCTCTGGGGTGGTGATACAATCGAGAGCGTATTCTAAAGAATTCTTGGTGTAATTCCGAATTTCCATCCCACAACTTGGAGAATGATAGTCAAAGGTTTTAATCGCACCTGCTGACTTCACTTTCTCCATGCTGCCTGGGGAACAAGTGGCGATTGGCTTTAGGCCTGATCTGCCCAAGAGCATTAGATGGCAGGCTTGATTGAAATGGGTTCTCTCACAATTTTAGTAGTTGAATAGCCATAAGTCCAGAGGCGGTCGCGCCACCCGACACTAAGACATAAAATGGCGCCTTTGCAGGATCATCAGGCATTGGTAATCCCATAATGCTGTACAACGAACAGCATCCCGTTCCGACAGCGGTAGGAAACGTTGATGCTTCCTCGAATGTCATCCATGCTGGCATATGATAAGTGAGATCTTCAGTTGCCAACGTATACTCGGAAAATGCTCCTGTATTCTTGTCATCCGGATTGAGGCCAAACGCGAGGCCGAAGACACGGTCCCCCGTCTTAAACCTCGTTATGTTCGTCCCAATCTCGACGACTTCCCCCGCAAAGTCGCAACCGCCTATCGAGCCGTGTGATGGGGAATAGTCGATCATTTTGGCGTCGGCCGGGTTTACCGCCACGGCAGCAACCCTACATAGCATCATACTCGGCTTCACCGCCGGAACTTCTGCGTTGTCAACTAGTGCATATTTTCCGACTGAAGAGCCAACCAAGGCCTTGCGTAGCTTCATGTCGACGTCGACGTGCTTTAGGGAGTAGAACAGAAAGGATATTCATGGTCAATTGCCAAGTCGACAAGACTCCAATCTTGTGTCTAGGCGAGTTGGGTACTCTTCATCATTTTCCTGTTGGGCTAAATTAGGTGATTCCGGCAATATGGGGTTATCGGTATATTTATTACGCCCCCTTGGCCTAGGAAATCCTGGAGTGGCTTCCCGGATCCAGGTAAGCTAGACTTGTCACATCCTAGTAAGGCAATCGGCATATTTTCTTAAGTTGCATGCATACGCGCCAACCTCACCTTACCGAAAGATTTATGCTTGACTGGCGAGTCACGGGACATTATGTGTTCAAGGCCATGGTATAGTGGTGAAGTCTCTGAGCCTAGTGTATGACAACAGATCAAGACTTGCAGCTCGGTTGACGCCATACGGTCTGCTAGGTAACTCACCGTTTGAGGCAGCTAGCCAGGTTTCGATTCCCTCCACGTAGATATACGTGGTTGTAGCTGCATGACGCAGATTAGGGGACCTCAGTCTCTGCCTCAATGAACGCGGGATCAGCATAATGTCTGAAGCCGGCCGGCTGCCTGAACCGCTTGCCGTCATCGGCAGCAGCTGTCGGTTACCCGGCGGTGCAAACTCTCCTTCTAAGCTATGGAGTCTCTTGAAAGAGCCGCGTGATGTTTCGGTTGAGATACCTCCTAGTCGTTTCAACCCTAAAGGATTCTACCACTCGAATGGAGAGCATCATGGGGTGAGTTGGCTCTGACTTAGCCTAACCCTATACCAATTTTATTGATAAAATGCCATAACTAATAATGTACTAGAGCACCAATGTCACTCGTGCCTATCTACTGGGAGAGGATCCTCGACTATTTGATAATGGCTTCTTTAACATCAACCCTAAAGAGGCTGAGGCTATGGACCCTCAGCAGCGTATCCTGCTGGAGACTGTCTACGAAGGTCTCGAGTCAGCGGGTTGCTCTATGAATGAGCTAAGGGGATCTTCAACATCAGTGTTCGTGGGTCAGATGACAGACGATTATTACGAGCTGCTGCTTCGAGACTTAGATACCGCCCCTCAATATGCGGCAACTGGTACCTCCCGAGCCATTATGGCTAACCGTATCTCATATTTCTTTGACTGGAAAGGACCATCTATAGCTATAGATACAGCGTGTTCTTCAAGTCTTGTTGCACTACATCAGGCAGTGCAGACACTCCGCAGCGGTGAATCCCAGATGGCCGTCGTTGCTGGAGTTAACTTAATTCTAGGTCCTGATAAATTCATCTTTGAATCCAAAGTTAGTTGCAGAGTTAAACCACCGGGATACTTTTGCTAACCTCTCTTTTTAGCTTCACATGCTTTCTCCGACGGGTCGGTCTCGTATGTGGGATTCGAAGGCAGATGGCTACGCGAGAGGAGAAGGGTTTGTGTCCGTAGTAATTAAGACTTTAAAACAGGCGCTTGCGGATCATGATCATATTGAATGTATCATTCGGGAAACAGGAGTGAATCAGGATGGTCGCACGTCTGGTCTGACTGTCCCAAGCGCTACTTCGCAGGCGTCGCTTATCCAATCAACCTATCAACGATCTGGATTAGATTCCCAGAAGATAGAAGATCGTTGCCAGTATTTTGAAGCCCACGGAACTGGAACCCTGGCTGGAGACCCACGAGAGGCTGAAGCTATACATAACACCTTTTTCAGCGCCGATGACACAGGCGTAGCGGACTCCGGTAGCTCCGCTCTGTATGTTGGCTCGGCCAAAACAGTAATCGGGCACCTTGAAGGAGCAGCAGGGCTGGTGGGACTTTTGAAGGCATCTCTGTTAGTACAACATGGTGAAATCCCACCGAATATGCACTTTGATGAACTCAACCCGGCGATTGAACCTTTCTACAAACATCTACGCATACCTACAACAATACAAGCCTGGCCGAAACTTTCTCCAGGAGTGCCTAGACGCGTTAGTGTCAATAGTTTTGGGTTTGGTGGTACTAATGCGCATGCGATAATTGAGAGTTGGGAAGACATACAGGTCAGGGAAACCTCCAACACAATATCTGATCAACCATCAACACCACTGCATGGACCGATAACCCTATCAGCCCATTCCGAATCATCGCTGGTTGGGTCCTTGACGTCGCTATCTAATACGCTTAGAAACTCCGACGATATTGACTTAGAAAACTTGGCGTGGACATTACAGACTCGTCGCACGGAATTTCCTTTTAAAGCAGCTTTCTCAGGAGACAGAGCCGAGCTGCGAGCGAAATTGGACGCCGCCCTTAAAATGGCGAAAGACGGTCCTCAATCAATGCTATCCACCAAACCAATTCATATATCAACAGCACATCCACTGCGTATTCTTGGTGTGTTCACGGGGCAAGGCGCGCAGTGGCCTTCAATGGGCGCGAACTTATATATACGATCATATGGCTTTAAACGCTCTTTCCAGGTTCTTCAGCAGTCTCTCAACGACTTACCGGATGCTCCAACATGGTCCTTAATTGATGAGCTACTAGCTCCGGTGGATTCGTCCAGAGTCCAAAATGCCGAAATATCCCAGCCATTGACCACTGCGATCCAAATCGCCCTAGTTGACCTTCTCAAGGCGTCGGGGGTTCTTTTTAATGTTGTTGTTGGCCACTCGTCGGGTGAAATCGCCGCCGCCTATGCTGCCGGGTTCATTGAACCTTCAGACGCCATTCGCATTGCGTATTATCGTGGTTTTCATTCGCGCCTAGTTGGTGAAAGACAAGGCAAGATGATGGCCGCCAAGATGACGTTCGAAGAAGCTGAGAAACTTTGCCAACGCGAGCAATTTCTAGGCCGGCTCAAGGTCGCTGCGAGTAACTCCAAATCGAATGTTACTCTTTCTGGGGATGGAGATGCCGTCGACGAAGCGAAGAGGATTCTCGACGAGACGGAAACTTTCGCAAGAGTCCTCAAAGTCGATACTGCTTACCATTCCCACCATATGGAAGCGTGTGCACCCATCTACTTGGAATCACTTCGCCAATGTAAAATACAAAATCAGCGTGTACATGCGAAGGGTAGTTGCAATTGGTATTCCAGCGTCTACGGTTCCAATGGGGGAAGTATCAGTGACTTCAGTGCTCTCAGAGACACATATTGGGTGGATAATCTGACGAAGCCTGTTCTTTTTTCTCAAGCACTCGAACGAGCGATAGGAGAAGAATATTGTCTTGATTTGGCACTCGAGATAGGGCCCCATCCCGCCCTTAAGGGGCCTGCGATGGATACTATAAAGGTATTAACGGGGGTTGACATACCATACCACGGCGTGCTGAAAAGAAACGAGGACGATGCGATCGCTTTCTCCGACGCACTCGGCTTTATCTGGAAGAATACGTATCCGTCGACCGCCATCCCAAACTTTAACGACTTTAGACAGATAAATCAAGAACATCCAAATCAGCCCCAGGTTCAGAAAAATCTCCCCGCGTATAGTTGGAACCACGACAAACCCCTTTTTAAAGAGTCTAGGACATCTAGGACTTTTCGCAGCCAAGATAGCCCCATTCATGAGCTTCTTGGACGAGCGACTCAGATCGGCGACGCGAATGAGGTGCAATGGCGTAACATACTAAAACTTGACGAAATCAGATGGCTCGAAGGCCATCGGTTTCAGGATCAGGTGGTTTTCCCAGCAGCGGGTTATATATCTATGGCAGTCGATGCGGCAGTCCGCTTAATCAAGGATGAGCCAATCAATTTGGTTGAGTTACAGGATCTAAATATTCTTCGGGCGATTACTCTTTCGAAAGAGTCGTCTGGGGTCGAAGTGAAGTTTCTCATCAGAACCACAAACCGGGATTCCAGTTATGTCTCGTTTGAGTTTTCATGTTACAGTACAGATGTCGACGGAAACTCGCGGCAAGCAGAACAGCTTCATTTCAATGGTCGCGGGGTCGCGACGCTCGGTAACCCAGATGAAAATGCGCTACCTCACAGGAGAGCCCCGGGGCTGCCCATGGAAGCTGTCAACAACAATAGATTTTACGAATGGATGAGCAAATGTGGGCTGGATTATTCGGGAGAATTTGTGGCTGATTCTATAAAGCGTCGTTTGGATTTGTCAACGGTAACAATGAAGCAGACAGCCCATATTAGCGTTCAGATACACCCACCAACATTGGATACAGCCTTCCACAGTCTCTTCGCGGCCTTTTCATTCCCCGGAGATGATAGGATGAGAACTCATTATCTCCCTACAAGTGTTCGACGGGTTCGAGTGAGCATGCCATGCCCTCAGAAAGACCTACACTATGAACGCAAATTCTTCGCGGATTGTCATCTGTTGGAAGGGTCGAGCAAGGAGATTCGTGGTGACATCGATGTTTCATGCGCTGAGGATGGCCATATGGAAATACAAATACAAGATATCGTATGCTCATCATTCACGAAGTCAACAGAAGAAAACGATCGAAAATTGTTCGCGCGCACGGTTTGGAAGAAAGATATTTCGTCAGGGGTCGAAGCGGGGCAATCAATTACAAACCCAAGCGATGTTAGGATATACGAAATATGCGAAAGAATGGCATTTTTCTATTTACGAAAGCTCCGCCAAGGAATTCTCCAGGAAGAGGTTCCATCTTTTCAATGGCATTTCCAATGCCTTTTCGAATGGACCGTTAACCATCTGCTCTCTACCGCCGAGTCAGGGGGTCATCCCCGCTTAGCCTCGGCCTGGGCGGAAGATACTTACGAAACGATCATGAGCTGGAAAGATGGATATCCGGGTAGAGTTGATATCCAATTGATACATGCGTTGGGTAGTAACATATCTCGCATAGTTCGAGGGGAATTGGCTCCCCTTCAGATCATGTTGGAAAATGATATGCTCAATAGATTTTACAAGGAAGGAAATGGCTTGCCTCAGGCCAACGCGAATCTGGGAACAATCCTTGGTCAGCTTTCCCATAGATACCCCAGGTTGCGGATTCTTGAAATCGGTGCCGGGACTGGCGCTTCTACTGCTGTGGCCTTGAAGCATGCGGGGTCGCATTTCGAGTCTTATACTTTTACGGACGTATCGCCGGGTTTCTTTGAACACGCACAAGCAACTTTCACGGAGTATGGAGAAAGGATTAAATACGAGGTGCTTGATATCGAGCGCTCACCAATGGACCAAGGGTTTCGGGAGCACTCTTACGATGTGATAGTCGCTTCCAATGTGCTTCACGCAACTGCGCGGCTATCAACGACTATCCAGAACTGCAGGAAGCTCCTACGCCCTGGAGGCCATATGATTTTACTCGAACTCACAAGCGAGACACTATGGACTCAATTCATCTTCTCCGTCTTACCAGGGTGGTGGCTTGGGCGCGAAGACGGTCGTATTCACCATCCATCAATCTCCGAAGCCCGCTGGCACTCTATCCTAGAAGGCAATGGCTTCTCTGGGGTAGATCATGTACTAAGGGATACTGAAGTAAACTCAAGCTACACATTTTCCACTATGATAAGCCAGGCGGTAGACCAGAGAGTGGAATTATTGAGAGAACCGCTTAATACCATCAATAATGAGCTAGGCGGGGCCCGGCGCCTTACGATAATAGGGGGTCAGAAATTATCGGTAGCCAAAGTCGCGTTAAAAATCCAGCGCATACTTCATCTATTCATGGAACAAATTAGCATTGTGGATTCCCTGGTTGCTATCCGACCCGGCAGTCTGCAGGCGGACTGTGCGGTAATTATTCTATCCGATCTCGACAAACCGATATTCAAACATCTGGATCACAAGAGTCTCCACGCTCTACAATTAATTTTTAATGAATCGAAATATGTATTATGGGCCACCCAGGGCTGTCGCAACGTCGACCCATACGCCAGCATGTCCGTCGGCGTGGGCCGGTCGATTATGACGGAATCCCCTCATGTCCGACTTCAGTTTGTAGATGTTGATTGCCTCCAAAAGAATCTTCCGGAGGCGACCGCATTCTCCGAAGCATTGCTTCGCATGATATACTTGGATCAGCCCGATTTTCAAAACCTCCTATGGTCTAAAGAGACCGAGCTTGCGATAGAAGACGGTAGCGTCTATATTCCTAGGGTTATCTCGGATAACATACTGAACGATCGCTTTAACTCTACGGAGAGAGTCATCGAGAAGGAAGTCTGCCCAACAAGCACACCTGTCTTAGTATCTCAACAAGATGGGAAACTTGTGTTTGAAGAGGCGTCTCATTCGCATCATAATGTCGGTAAAGACGATGGTATTGTGACGATAAAGGTTGATTTATCTACTTCGTTTGCATTATCTTGTTCGGATGCTACGCCGATTTACTTGTGCTTGGGCTCGGTTTTCGGATCTAACCGAAAAATATTGGCTATGTGTAACACCAATTGTTCGGTAACAACCGTGCCACTACACGCAACATTTGATTGGGATGGGATGCACGACGACGAGGAAGCACTAAAATACATTCTAAGGGTCCTATTTCTAGAAAACCTCGTAGCTGGGATTACTGGCACTCTCTGGGTTCATGTTTCGGATGTCTCCGATGTTACGGTCCTATTGAGAATATCAGAACGCCAGGGAGTTAAGCTTCTACTGAGCACCTCATCTCCATCTCCGCATAAAATTTCCGAGTTCATCCACCCACGTACCGCCGATCGCGAGCTTGAAAATATCGTGCCTCATGATACCCAGCGGTTCGCAAACTTAAGCGACGTCGACAGTAGCAATTTAGAACACTTCGCGGCCACGCGACTATCAAATAACGTGGAAATAGAGAATAGGGGCATTGGCGTTAACAAAGATGGAGGATTTATTTACGATCTTCGTGTAAGTTATGCCGCGATACACGAATTATTAGGCAGAAGCTTGGACCTAGATCCATTGCCGCCGTCCGAAGAGAGGCGCGCCGAGGCCTGGAACGTCAAGAACATTTATGCCGATCCGAGCTGGACGAGTTTGATCAATTGGCGCGATCTCGAATCTGTACCTGTGAGAGTAACGCCTCCTGACGTTCGAGGAATACTGTCCAGCGAGAAGACTTACTTCTTGGTGGGTTTGACAGGCAAAGTGGGCCTATCATTATGTGAATGGATGATCCAGCAAGGCGCCAGATACTTCGCGTTTGCCAGTCGAAACCCCAAGGTAGACTCCGAAACCGTAGAATATCTCCGGCTCAAAGGAGCTTCGATACGATACTACTCCCTTGACGTTACCGACAAGAAGGCCCTTCGTGATGTTCACCAAGAAATCTTGGCATCCATGCCGCCAATTGGGGGTGTCGCTAACGCTGCTATGGTATTACGAGATAAGCCATTTAGCAGCATGTCTGTTGAAGAATTCGAAATTGCAACAAAGCCGAAGGTTGAAGGCACTCGGAACCTCGACCAGCTATTCTACTCTACAGAATTAGATTTCTTCATACTATTCTCATCCATGGGATGTGTCATTGGAAATGCAGGTCAATCGAATTACGGAGCTGCGAATATGTTTATGTCAACCCTAGCGGCCCAAAGACGGAAAAGAGGGCTGGCGGCTTCCGTCATGGATATCGCGATGCTCCTAGGTTTCGGCTATTTGGGAACCCAGGATGAATGGCTCGAAAGTCACCTGCGGAAAACCGGTTATCTCCCTATATGTGAACCAGTATTTCACACGATCTTTACCGAGGCCATTATTTCCGGTCGACCAAACTCTGGTTTAGATCATGAACTCATTACCGGACTTGGCGATCATCCCGATGCGCCTTGGAGGGGTCTCGCTCGATTTTCGCATTGCTTCTCGCAAGAAGCAGCCGCCGTCCATGTTAAAGATTCAAACCAGGCAGCAAGAAATCTCCAGAGTCAGCTATCCGACGCTCAGGATCCAGCAGAAGCGCTTTCAATACTGCAAGCCTCATTTTCGGTGAAACTGGGACGTACGCTCCAAGTTCCAAGCGATGAAATTGATATGAGTACACCATTGATAGGACTAGGAATTGATTCCTTGGTAGCCGTTGAGATCCGAAGTTGGTTTCTTAAAGAAATAGGGGTTAACGTACCTATACTCAGCATATTGAGTGGTGCCACTGTAGACGACCTATGCCAGGAAGCAGTTGGAAAGCTTCTAGACTTGTCGAGAAAGCCACACGCCCAACCTCCGGTTGAATATGACAGTGAAGAAAGCAAGAATCCCCAGGATTCGTCTTCCAGCACAGCACAATCAACTGCACCCTCGCAAGATGGAGCGGACGAAGTATCCGTGTCAACTGGTTTATCTACACCAACTCTAAATTCGGCGACCTCGGCGGCTGTTGACTCTATACCCTCAGATTGCTCCAGCATCCCGCTTTTGCGAGATACGACTTATGAAAGGAGCGGAGAAATGTCGCATGCACAAGCACGCTTGTATTTCTTGCACGAGTATTTAGAGGATAAGTCGACCTATACAGTGGCCTATGTCGGGAAGTTCCACGGTCGTCTCGATGTCGTGAGATTACAAAAATCATTGCATTATATTGGCATGAAACATGAAAGCCTCCGCAGTTCGTACTTCGTCGACAAGGAATCTAATCAAGCCCTTCAGACCGTCAACGCCAAGCCTAATATTACTATTAAGCACAAACATATTACGAGCAAGGCTGAAGTTCGAGGCGAGATTGACACATTGAAAAAATTCGTCTTCGAAATTGAGCGTGGTCAGCTTATGCTAGTTGTCGTGTTGACAGAATCCCCTACCCTCCACCACGTCATCTTTCTCCATCATCATATCGCGCTTGACGGCCTCAGCTGGAACATTTTCTTGCGTGACTTGACCCGGGCATACTCGGGACGGCAGCTAGATAGTTGCCTCCAACAAGCTATCGATATGTCGGACAGGCAGAAGATATCACAGCAGCCCGCCAATTTGAAGGATGAGCTAGCGTACTGGAGTTGTATTCATCAAGACCACAAACATCCCTTGCCGCTATTTCCATTCGCCAAGACCAAGGCTCGGCGGATGTTGACGGTATATGATACAGAAACGTTTTCTATCGAATTAGACGCCAAGTTAGCTGGTATGGTGAAACAGCAAGCTTCCGCCCTCCGAGTCACATCTTTTCACTTCCATTTATCATCTTTAGCAATATTTCTCGCGCGATGCCTTAATACCAGCGACTTTAGCATCGGGATCGTGGATGCAAACAGAACTGAGCAGGAGGATCAGGATACAATAGGATATTTCCTAAATATGTTACCACTGCGATTTCAATTAGCACTTGACGAATCATTTCGCGAGCTCGCTCAACGGACGCGACAAGGCGTTTTCGAAGCTTTGACCAACTCTCGCGTGCCTTTCGACATGATACTTGACAATCTCGAAGGGGCACGTTCCGGTAACCATCATCCAATATTCCAGGTGGCAATGAACTATCGTATGGGATACGCAAGCCAAACGCCAATGGAAAACGGCAAATTTGAGTGGACTGGAGCAATATACGCAAGAAATCCCTACGACCTAGTCGTTGATGTCACGGAAAACTCCGATCGCACCTTATTATTCTTTACCACCCAAAAGTATTTATACAGAGCCTCCGATACCAAACTATTGATGAATTGGTATACTCGCGTCCTCGAAGGCCTCGTTGAAAACCCCTCTTCTCGGGTTTCTGATTGTCCGATTTCAAATGAGCTTGATACTAAGCACGCCGCAGCCCTCGGCAATGGGAAGTCAATGACGGTTGAATGGGATGGTACCCTCATCCATCGAGTTGAAAGAATGGCCGATGAAACTCCCGATTCAATCGCTGTGAAGGATGAATATGGCCACACATATACCTACAGCAAAATGATGGCACGGACCCATCATATTTCCAATCGACTTCAGCACAGCTCTGCCCCTCTTGGCTCTCGCGTCGCTATGCTATTAAACCCCACCGCAGATGCCGTTTGCTGTCTCATTTCAGTATTGCGCCTGGGTTTTGCCTGGATACCACTGGATCTTCGCAATCCTATTGATAGGCTTTCTGTCATTGTGTCGGAGTCCCGGCCCCAAATTCTCATATGTAACAACGAAACAGCGGCACAGGCACAACAGCTTGCTACAGAGATAGATATTGTCAATATTGACGATCCATCGCCTTCGGACCGGTCCGATAGTAAAAATATCAGCGTACCCGATCAGCCAGCGGTTGTACTCTATACGAGCGGTTCGACAGGTACTCCTAAGGGAGCTATCCTGACCCACTCAAATCTATTAAATCAAGTATTTTGCAACGCGGCACTCTTTTCCGTAAGGAAGGAAGTCGTTCTTCAGCAAAGTTCACTAGGATTTGATATGGCACTAGATCAAATATTCCAGGCACTAGCTAACGGAGGAACACTTATAATAGTGGGCAAGGAGGGCCGCGGCAATCCGACACATATCGCCGAACTCATGTTGTCGGAAAACATCACGTACACACACTTTGTGCCATCGGAATATCAATCGCTCCTACACTATGGTTCCCATATCCTCGAAAAATGTTGTTCGTGGCGTTTTGCATTCTCCGGCGGAGAGAAGGTCAACCAAGAGCTGCTTAGGGCATTCCGAAAGCTGAGCCTTTCAGACTTGCAGCTCATCAACGTCTACGGCCCAACTGAGTGCACCATTTCCATAGCGCGGGGCATCATTCCTTATCAAAACGAGGATGCATCGATTCACGGCGATAGCCTGTGGACGCTGCCAAATTATTCAATTCTGATTGTCGACGCTCAGATGAATCCACTTCCCGTTGGCTTTCCCGGAGAAATATGTGTCTCGGGAGCTGGAATCGGCCTTGGGTACCTGAATCGTGTCGAAGAGACCGAGCGTAAATTCATCGAAATGAGTCAAGTTTCTCAATCCTCTGACGCTAAATCTGGGACGAGGCTTTATCGCACCGGTGACTTGGGAAGAATATTAGAAGATGGCTCGCTCGAGTTGCTTGGGCGCCTGGAGGGCGACAGCCAAGTCAAAATCCATGGAATCCGGATTGAACTTGATGAAATATCTAGCACCATCATTAACGCAGCTGATGGGGCCATCGATAATGCCGCGGTATCATCGCGCCAAGACCAAATCTTAGCAGCCTTTGTCGTTTTTAGCCCTCAGTATTCAGGAGACAAGTTCGAGTTCGCGAACCAGTTGAAAGCAAACCTTCCACTACCTCCCTATATGTGTCCGTCATATATCATCCCAGTTGACTCAATTCCGACTAATGCCAACGGCAAGAAAGACAAGGGAGCTATCGACGAGATCCCTCTGCCTATTGAGGAAGAGGTCGTCATCTCAGATAATCTCAGCCCCCAAGAATTAAAAATGAAAGAAGTTTGGGAGGAAGTACTAGCCCATCGTATCCCGACCCCACGGCTTGACGTAGACTCGGACTTCTTCCATGCCGGCGGTAATTCTTTGCTGCTTATAAAGCTCCGATCGGTAATCCGGGGGGCACTCGGTGTGGCCGTTTCGCTGCCTGAATTATTTCGATCCAGCACACTTCGCAGCATGAGTGCGCTTGTCGAGATAGGTAGCCAAGATGCGCCCAATCTGACTATCGATTGGAATAACGAGGTCACGGGATTATGCCACGGACTCCCTCAACCAAATCGTAAAATCCCGCCAAAAACACAGTCAGGCAAAGTAATCCTCCTTACGGGGGCGACCGGGTTCCTTGGTACACGCATCCTAAAGCGCCTTGTGGTTGACGAGAACGTCCGTAAGATTCACTGCCTCGCAATCCGCCCTGACGAATTTGGTCGACCACGACACGTGGCTATTGGAAGCGAAAAGATCGTAGAGCATTCAGGGTCTTTGTCGGATCGCTTTCTGGGCCTATCCAAAGCACAATTTCGATCTCTAGGGAATGAGATCGACTTAATCATCCATAACGGCGCGGAAGTGTCACTTCTCAAAACATACCAATCGCTTCGACGCGTCAATGCCGTTTCAACCAAGGCGCTCTGCGAGTTAGCAATCCCACGGCAGATTCCGTTCCACTTCGTGTCAACAGCCACGGTCGCAAGATTTGCGGGCCAGCAGACGGTATCTGAGGTTTCAATGTCTAAGTTTGTGCCACCTTCTAATACCGCCGACGGGTACGGCGCATCAAAATGGGTCAGTGAGGCCGTGTTAGAAAGAGCAGCGGCTCATCATGCTCTCCCGGTGTGGATCCACCGGCCGACAGGTATTGTTGGTGATGGTGCTCCAGAGTTAGATTGGATTACTGCACTGTTCAAGTATTCGCAGATACTTCGCGCAGTACCAAGCCTGTCTGAAGAGTATATCATAGGTTCATTTGATTTCATTGGTGTTGAGGATGCCACAAGGGAATTGGTAGAGAGAGCGCTCAGCTCTAGGCAACCCAAAGAACAAAACCCGGCGGCCAGCTTTGTTCACCACTGCAGCGCTACCAAGGTCGCCCCGAGTGCCCTGGGAAGTTATATCGAGGAGTTGGCTGGAGAGAAATTCTCTACCTTTTCGCTGAAAGAGTGGCTCGACGCGGCGCGAGCAAAGGGTTTAGAGCAAGTCATGTATGACTTCCTATTAGATGCATTTGGGGAAGGAAAGAAAGTTATACTGCCGATGATAACGAAGTAGGCTTGGAGGCTATCTTTTCTAGGAGTTTTTAGTTCCTATTTTCTTTGGCGTTATTTTCGAATCTATGTCTGGATATGTTTTTTGATTTATTTATTTCCTAGATTCCTAGATATACCACCAACACTCATCTTTGATTTGAAACCCCGTTTACAGTTCTAATAAATACTACCATCGCGCACCTTCACAAGAATGGATAATAAGGAGTACAATTATCAACGTCACTTCTCAAATTAGATAAATGGGTTGCTTCCAGACTCTTCGGGGATTTCAATCTTTCCTCCTAGAAATTAAAGAGCCAGAGGGTGTGTAGTAGATTGGAGCTAGAAGTGAAACATGCACACCACCACCTCAGTGATCCCCTACAAACCCCGGCGTCACACAGGACTCTCAAGTCATCTGGTTAAACAAAATAAACCATAAGTCTATCCAGGTTTCCTCCATAAAACTACATACCTAGTAAACGTCTTCCTCCAATGCTAAATGAACTTAGTACGTATGTGGTGGACGTAGCTTAAGGTCTTCCAAAGTGACATTCTACATAAGCTTTAGGCTCGGTGTATTAATTAATAAGGACTACCTAACAGGCCTCTAGGTATAGCAACTAGGGTACTACCTCACCACTAAAACTCCCCTGTACTAGACAACTGGGGTAGAGCAGGTAGCCAACAGGCTTCACTACTAAATCTTCAGAACGTATAGGTTGTGGAGGCTATCTAGGTAGGTAATGCAAGGAAATCGAGCTTCGGATATCAGATTATTTCCCAACTAACAAATCAATCTGATTAAGACCAACATACCTACCCCTCTACTTGGCCCCTCCATGATTGTCCGTCGTAAGCCGCCGTTACACATAATAAATACCCCGACGTTACTTAGAGCGATGAAAAGAAAATGCTCCGATCTCTGCTTTTTTAGGCCAAAACACGCCGCCCCCCTCATTGCTAATAAAAAAGAGTCGTATAGCAGGGTTTATAAGCAAACCACGCAATTCTATTCCCCTAAACCGTCGCGAATATCACGATATATCGATACATAACAATTAATCAACATGGCAGACGAAGCATGGAAAGATTCTCACCAGTTTCTAAAGCTGTCGGTTATCCATTGGCGCGTACCAGGCGTGTCCGAGGAGGACTACCAGAACTGGATCCATAAGACCATCATTCCCCCAATGATGCGCCTTGTGGAAAAGCACAACATAGTCCACTATTCGGTGGTATGTAAAACTTGCTTTTTTTTCGACAGGCTACACCGGTCAAGCCATGTCTTAGCCAAGAGAGCCACTCCAATCTTACTTTTAGGAGACTAACTAATATCCGCCGTATAGACTAGCACTCCTTCTTCCCTGCACCCTGAGTGGAACGCTATGATAGCCGGACTTGGGAGGGGACCCGCCTGGAAAGTAGTTGACTGCGATATGATTGTCAACTACTGGCTACGCAGCAGCGACGACCTGAAAGCCCTAGCGACCGACCCGGACTATCCGAAAATAACAGCCACAGAAAAAGACTTCAGCGACAAAGACCATGCTGAGATCATTGTCGGGTACGAGACGCTATACTTGGTAAACGGCAAGGTCGTAAACACCGTAGCCACGGATATCTGAGGGAGGCGTTGAGTGATGTACGATCGTAGATGGTGGCGATGTTCCAGTACAGAGGATTGCATATGAAACTCCGAGCGGAATGCTGGCCGATGACACGGGATAAGCAATATTACTTCTTGTGAACCTTATAATACGGTCTTTATTTAACCATTTCCTGGGTATCCTAGGTAGTTACTATACGAATATGAATTTTTGCAGTATGATAGGGCGGTTCGACAATCGATGTTGCTGACAATTCTTTTGGCTCTCACGCGTATCCTGAAGGATGGCGTAAAATGTACCCGCTAGGTATGCTGGTATTGATTATCAACCATCCCTGAACATGTATTCTTACAGATTAATACTTTTCTATTACTCATTTTAACATTACTTGCGTGTGAATTTTGACACACTGCACTTGTTCGCATCGTTGTCTATCGCTGCCGGTGTCGCCGTGGTTGTGTAGACGTTTTGAGGTTTTACACGAGTCCAATGGCTAGCGCCAGCCATCGAAAATCAAATGTCGTTCTAAAAAGGGAAAATAATAAACAAAGAATCCTGCAGATAGATGAATAAATGCGCCCAGTCAACATGAAAAGATAGCTCAACCTATTCCCCTGGGAGAGATAAAAAAACATATTGATAAAATTCGACTACGTATGCGTCGGAACCTACCCATACGAGATGTACGAGATGATCTATTTTCAACTATCTCCACTGAGGGGTCTTACTCGACTTAGCTAGATATGATCTACTCAGGGGTCCGTTCGACCCCGGGAGGTACGCGGCATCCCCAACGAACTTTGTATCGGGAATTTATTATTTCCGCATTTGGAAATTTGGCTTCTCCGTTGCTTAGACTGGGACCTCTCTAAACGTTACCGTCGAGAGGGCTGACGCGTGAAACGAAGTGATAATAGAAATCAGCCTTATGGATTCACCGTCGGAACAACCCCACGTGCTATAAAAGCGTGGCTATCCCGAGATGTTTGTTGAACCATAAGCATTCAGTTCGTACGAGTTTGTAGCCACTTTAGATGCAATACGCCTTATTGTTTCCGGTCTAGGGGCTTTCGGAGATCTCTTTACGCCACATATATCGCCGATCTACCATTACCTAGGTGCTTAGAATAATTCTGATACCAGTTTTAGGTCTCGAGCTACACTAAAAGCCTAGTGTCCTTTCTCCCCTAATCGACTCGTTGTATCAAGGTTCCAACGGGTATATCTTAAAAGAAGGTGGTCCGGATCCTGCCCACTATCCCGGTCGTAAGAAGTGGGATCTCATTGCCGTCTTACAGTGGAGTCTCTAGGCAAAGGATCTCCCCGAAAACGAAGCATTTTAATCCAAGTCCCGTCTAAGCGTAAATATGAGATCTCTCGTCTCCAGGTTTTCCCCGCGTCGTTGGTCGCACAGACTTCCGCAGCTGTTGTGTTACCCATGCATCAAGCGATGTCCGGCCACCCACTTCATATTTCTACCTTACGGAAAACACAACTACACTCGTCAGCTGACCGGCTATAGGTATCTCTCTAGTAATAAATCTCGTCTGATTTAGTCATGAGCATTATTATGAATGAGTATGGTCGTAGTTGTGGAAAATGGCATCATCCGAGTTGATATCCACCGATACGACGATTCCCTTCCGGGAATTGAATCGTTACCGCTTGATAAGATGATGTTGTCATCAACAGTTTGAAAGATTACAATTACGTACCTAGGTAGATTAGATTTAGAAATTCATATGTATAGCATCTTTTCTGTTTTATTATCGAGATATCTTAGGATCAACGCCCTACTATGGGTTGGCGCATGCCCCTAGTCGTAGCGTCAGGGGAATGGGTCCCACGACAAACCCAATTATCAATCAACATTAGGAATCAAAAAATCGACTACTTTACCTCTAATATTAGACACCTTCACTAGGATTTCTTTATAGCCTATAGCTTCAAATTTCGAAAATTTCAACATCGTAATTACCTAAGTCAAACGGCGGTAATAGGACTATGATACTAATAATACCCCTATTCATGTTTAATTGTAGGCTATGCATATGATATCTTCGTTTGATGGGGTCGAGGATGCATGCGCTGGGATTGGAATATCAACTACATACATACCCAGTCCGGCCCACCTATAGCGATCATCTTAAGACAGGAACAACGGCTCGAAATATGGCTAACCGAGCGCTATAGGCTCATGATATGGTAAATTATGCTATAAAAGTAGTTCTATATTAGTATACCTGACTTTTGAGGAATAGGCTTCGTGTATGCCATCCAAATTGTGAAGAATTTAGGGTAGAAATGAGAAATCCTGAGGGTTTATCCCTGAGTAGCCATTGTTTCCGTTCCACTTTATTAGAAATCCGAAATAGAGACTTCCCATGACCTACGTTTAATCCTTGGAGTTTATGAGGATTAGATCGAAGCTACTAGATATAATTATGTGATATTAGTGTATAAGGATGTTTAGATGATGGTGGAGCAATTTGAGTAGCACGGTGTCAAACGACTCTCGACGCAACATTACCAATGCTCGGAGATAAAATCGAGTCAATTCAACTTGTGGATCATACCTAAGTAACTCTTATTAGTAAAGGATCTAATGAGTTCGTCATACTATGTGGCTCTTCAAAACTTGCTATCAGTAACTCAAGAACTCGTACGATTGCGATTGCGATTGCGATTCCGCTGGAGCGGAATTATTTGAGGATAATCTGAATGCTGCCTAGAAGGAGAGTAATAGTTGCACCGTTGAAGATATTAGGTAGCTGAGATGAAGTTGAGTGAGTCATCCTGTAAATGTATGTTTACTAAGAGCATACAACAGTTGATGGCAACGATATTGGTTCCATAATCCAGTGTGATCAGAACCTAGAGGATCGGTAACGCCGTCGAGAGGGGGCTCGAAGGAAGCATGTATACTAATCTAGGAAGGGTAGAGGATTATGTGTGGTGTCTATATAGCGGCAGCCACTGTATCCGCGCCATTGAAGGTGTGCCTGTTTTGGCCTCCCATATGTCAAACCACGTTGTCGTTTACACGTTTCAAGTGCACGATGTCTTCCTATTCAAGCTGCCCCACCCCCACTCTCACGACGGGAAGCGGAAGTATTGTTGGCGATACCGATTGTATCATCATATATCTTCAGGGCAAGCGGCGCGAGGCCTCGGGTAACTTACCTCAATGGGTAGTTATTTCGTTTTCGTTGGATGAGTCCACGCAAGCCGGCTTAGATTACTCCCTAATTCGGCAGCCTGCGTTGTCCATTGCTTCCTATTACCGCGCCTTCTACCCTGCCTTGCTGAACGCGCTGCAGGAGCTTCAGCTTAGTCGCCAAGTATCAAAAATGCCTGGGTCCAAGATGTCACCTGCTGGCTGGTACGTGAGACTAGCGGCTTCCTAGGTAATATAGTTAAGTCAGGTACCCCTCGTTTAAATGTGGCACAGATCATGTTGGCAGTTTTGACATTGTCCTAGCCGAACGTACGGTCGCGGCACGTACTGGGATTGGACCCATAGAGCGAAGAAAGACCCTCGCCATGGGGTGTCAATAGGCGATAGCGGACTTGGAGAATGTATAACTTCCATGCTGGTTACCAACTGCCGCCGAGTTTGCACGCACGGTGCCGCCGGTGTACTACAGTAAGACCAGCTGTCTCGTGACATCATTATGGACGTAAGATATGCAAATTAATCTGTACGCGGTGAGAGAGTGACACCTCGGTACGCGATGAAGAAGATGACGGCCAGGGGCAGCCAGGAACGTCTAGTCAGTCAAGTCAAGCTTTGGGAGGGATGGGAAAGAACATGGGGGACAAGGTGCACGGGTCCGCCTACGGTCAACAAGAATTAGCGCAGATGCGCTACTTTAGGTAGTGAGTGTATGTAGGTAATTATGTGGATCTGGGGCCGGAGGGTTTATGATGATGACAGCTCAGATTGCGATGGGGAGTAATTCCGATTGCTGCGGTCGTGGGTATGGTATGTCGCTCTTCTTTCCTAAGGCTGTAAATAGCAGCTGAGTAGTTCGTTGGCGTTTCAGATAAACATGTCTTTTTGTCGAGATCCACCACGAATGCTCAGAATAGGAAGACATACAAGACGGATAGTTGTTTTTTGAATTGAGTTGAATTAATCTCGTCTTCGTACGGTAGATGTCCTGACGATCATAGCTATACTGCGGGACCGAAGATGAAATATGTAGCAGCAGTAGCAAGAAAATCATGCGTTTGTCATGCTTTTCTGAGTTTCTCGCTATTTTAATTAGAAGAATAGGTATTGTAAACACTGACAAACGTGACGTGTTTTCACGTTTACTAATCCTTTTTTTTCTTCTTTTCTTCACACGTTCCTCCGCTGCCCGTTGCCGCTTCTAGTAAAATCGATCGAACACAGCATCAGAAGGAATGCAAGTTAGCGAATCGGGTACCTAACCATATAGGAAGATAGGGAAGTCGCAGTCAGACCCAGCTGAGCATAAATAATTGTCTCTCAGAGTCGCTGATTGGCTGATTTTATTCATTGTGGCTAAAAAGATCGACGGCCCCCATGCAGGCAGTACTAAATGAACGTCCCCCCAAAAGAAAAAGAATGTGAGCGTAACACCCGTTCTGACAATAGATATCCCCGATAACTTTCCATTTATACCTTCGCCGTCTATCCATGGAAGTTTGAAGCCCTGCCCAAAAAAACCTGCATGCGACCTGCGCAAACATACAGATCAAATCCCGTGAAAACGCCAAGAAAACCAAAATCAACCTGTAGAATCGCAAGAACACAGATAGGAGCGTAATCCATCGTACACTAGTAGTAACAATGTCCCTATTTTCCCCACTCTTCCTCCTTTTGTTGGTCCCCAATGAAAAATAGGGGGGTTCTTCCGTGAGGAAGGATGCTGCTCGATCTAGTAATTCTATTCTATTCTAATGTTAACCGATACCACATACCATAAATTGAGAACAGAACCAAAAAGAGAAGACGAAGAAGTAGAAAAGAGAAATAGGGAAGAAGCGAGAAATGAAAAAGAAGAAGAAAAGGTTGGGGTCCATTCCGCCAGTTTGGTGACGAACCCCAAAAGTCTATAGAAGAAAACGGCGCGGAATAAAAAGATGAGAGTAGCGGAACGAGATCGAGTGAAGTGAAGTGCAAAGAAGAGTTGGTCGAATGACAGCTCGCAATCGATATAGCGAGGCATGGCAGTGCGTATGCCGTGCAATATGCACGTCAGCGTCGTACTAACGCACGCCAATCGCATGGATCAGAAGCCATTCGGCCGTATAATTTGCTGGAACTCACTCAGTAAGCGGCAGCGAGCTAGCTTCTGATGTACTTTGAGAGCCGCTTACTTCCCGAGTGCGAATTGAGCATAATTCCTAAAAACACACGGCCCAACCGAGCTCACGAGAAGAGGCGGGCCGATCGATCAGGCCGACACCATCGAACGGCGTGGCGATACCTGCTGGGGCCGAGCTGCCGTGAGACGGATATGCGTGTTGTCGGCCGAGCACTGCAAGAACGGGAGCTGTTTTCGGTGTAGGGGGTGTCTGAGATGACAGACCTTGACGATCGGTCCTAGCAGGTACATCTGTGATGGCAGATGTGATAGCCATATTGGACAACCCCTGAAAAATATCGAACGAATCAGGACGCGTCTTTGCTAGTTGCCCTAATGATGGAGCCTGGAAATGGCCTGAGTCGTTCCTAAGAGTTCCAGTACCGATATAGAGGGTCTGGTTTGAAGAATATGACTCGTTCGCTGTGTAGGAATCGAGGTAAGACATGTGGGGATCTGATACTTGCTTGGGGGCTAGATTAAAGATGGCAGCACGCAATAATCTCGTTTCACTTGGATCATCCGGACAATCGGTAAGCTTATTATCGTATAGCTCTCCCTCGTTGTCCATGTTGGCTTCTTCGCGCGAATCATATGGCGACTGCGTCATCTTGAGAAGCGAAGTAAACATATAAGGCTGAAAGGCCAAGTGTTCGTAGAGCACCTGCCCCAACAGAGTCGTGCCAAGGTCACTAACTTTGATGTCGACATTACTGTAATTCGACTCGAGATTCTTGCCACTCGCTAGTCTCCGTCGTGGACTTGGCGGGGGCGTAGGTACGTCTGGTCGAGGGCCTATTGGTCCTGGTCTATCACATGGCAATGGATGCGTTAGTTAGGTACAGCCCACGTAGACTAGTAGCTTCCTAGCGGGGGAGCTCTAAAGAAGCTACGTAAGGGACCCAAGCCATGTTTCAAGGTAAGATGTACGGGTAGGAGGAGCAAAGGATGTCTGCTACTGACCTGGGACCTGGTGTAGGTGGGCGCGGGGGCTGAGGAAGTGAGACGGGCCCGCCTGGGGTGAACCAGACATCGAGAAGTCGCACAGCAATAATAGATAACTGCTTAGTCACAAGCTCCTCGAGCCACTCCATTTCCGTTGAAGAGTTTGGACTGGGTGGCGGTGTCGGTACCGGCGGACGGGGAGGGATTGGGGGTGGCCGTGGAGGTGGCCCTGGAGTTGGGGGACGTGGCGGATCTGGAAAGGATATTTTCTTCGGAATATTTATTTTGAATGATGTAGAAGTGAGCCTTGATGGCTCGTATTGTGTGGTCTCAATGAGGTCTTTATCAGAAAGAGAGAATGACCATGGGCGAGAATAAGAGATTTGTAGCATCTTGAAATTGGCGTGTCCGTGTGAAGGTTATTAAAGAAATCTAATCAGTCATCTATAGGATTTGAAAAGAGGAAGTGAGTAAGGTAGCGATGGTGGCCAAAGGAAGCTCATTCGGATGTATTCCCGGGCGAGACTGATTTATATTTTTTCAACGATTGCTGGTAGGCATTCCTAGAGGAGGAATAGGGGCACGGAAAGGAAGCAAAAGGATGTATGGTAGGGAAACCGGCTCGGCACGAACCGTACCAAACCTCGCTGCCTAGGAAATAGATCAATCATGATCCCCCTAACAAAGAAAGTATCTCCGAGAACCTCTCGATGACAGTCTCGTGAGAATAAAATAGCCTACCATTGTTTGCTATAGTAAGAAGCAGGTCCTACGATGTCAATACCTTCTCCACTAGAAGTCCCATAAGTAGGTACTTTTGATGATTGTATCTGTTACAGAAAGTTGGACCTGCGCCTCGAGGTGTGCGGCTAAGTTGTTACCTAGATAATTCTGTTTTAGAAGGAGATAGAGAATGGGACAAAATGAAGTCATCTCAGGACTCTCGTGGGGGTGCGGGTCTAGTACTCAAGGTACTTACTCTCGTTTTCGTTACTTCACGAACGGCAATCAATATTACAACACGCCGCAAAACCTGTCAATTTTATCTATAGTACGCCGTATCAGGAACTAGCTAGGCACACCGGTCGAGATAAACCCAATGAGATTCGAAACTTGCACACATATTGGGCCCCTCGTGCTTGTCGAGCACGCCTAGCTTCAAAGATGAATATGAGGCGCACAATATTACTCAATCCGATCTTCAAGGGAACATGTATTACTCTGACCTTATTCTTGAAGCACGCACTGCGACTCATTCGGTGTAATTCGGTGAGAGGTGTATGAACGAATATATAATCCCGAGGCTAACAATTCAGCCCTAAAACGTTTTCTCTATAAAATCTAAATTTCTAGGTAACCGTCTAACCAAATATGCGCAATCTGTGGTGATCATCCATGGTAATACGAGCCGCTAAGAATGCGGCTCATATTAACCAAAGAGGGAATGGCTCGACCTGTCGTTGGCTGCCTTACGCGCCTCGAACTTCATACAAGCGAGTTTGACGCGGAGGCCTGGTCGACCAGGGTGTCACAAGTATCCGGTAAGATGGATCAAGGGATAGGGTAGTGAGCCATTCAATATAATTTAATTATTGCCGTAGCCGCGCCGTTAACCTGCCGGCGCCGCTGAAACCGCGATTGGCTTACTGGAGCCATGCGTCATTTAGGACGGCATTTTCCACCTGAGCGGAGGCACTTGATCCCACGATCGGCACGCGATTGTCCTCCGACCCGACGACCATAGCGATCACGCGAACCCATTCATCAGTACGGTTCGATAGGCTATATATAATTCGTCAGTACTCGTGTTTATACGCACCCAAGATACCGGAAACAGTATGCTACCCTGGTCTGACTGTTTTGTTGTAGAAACTTACGCATGCATGATTCCACGTTGGTATACGACATCGCCAGGCTTGCAGGTCGTCTCGATAGTCTCACCGTAAGTACCTCGCCCGTCCACCACGTCGAAGGGTTTCGGTGGTGTTATGAGGCTCAAGGTTCCTTGTAGCACGACAAGATAATCTGTCGAGGTAGTGCGGTGCATGGCGCCCTCAGACTTTGGGGGAATATCCAAATAGTACATGTTGAGCCCTCCTGGTACTATATCAAACAATAAGGGTCAGCAATTGCTATTTGTGGGAAGTGTCAGATGTGGAGTACGAAGTGCTGAGGCCGATGACAAGCTCTATAAACAGGCCAAAATGGGTAACTTGGGGGTTGACAGCAGAGCAAGTGGGATAAAACCTCAAAAGGTCCACGTACACACTATTCCCGGTACATCGTCAAGTTCCAATTTACCACTACAAGGATTGTCAGCTCTTCCTTTCATTTACTTACGACACCACAGCCGCGGATGAACGGAGTGTGGATGATCATCGTAGAATCTCGGTAGGGGAAACTTATAGCGAGACTTACTGTCCATCATTGCTGGGTGGCAGCTTCTTGCTGCTGGATATCCGAGCTCTCCTGTATGCGCCTCCCATAATATCTTCCGGCTCGAGCTTGTCCACGAGGACCTCGACACCAGGCTCTGAATGTGGTACAGCAGCATTAGATGCCACAAGGGGTAGGTTCGAGACAGTGATGCGTGTAGGAGCTGACGGCTTAGATTGAGAAGACATTTTAATTAGCGATGTCGCTTAGGCTTGAGTCAAAGAAGTGAGTCAACGAATAGATGTGTGTATAGTGAGAGAGAAGATGGTAGTTTGTCCGATTCATTGTTTCACCGTCGAAGGTTTCACGGAAGCTCCTATATATACCTAAGTACCTTCGCGCTTGGTACTTTTGTATGTGGGTAACTAACAAGACTAGTACCATGCGCTATACCCTGTCCCTGTAGTTGATGACAAATATCGTGAATTATTCAGCAAGGAGTGGCTTCGAGTACCTAATGGGCACCTTATTAATTAAGGGAGATAAAACACCCGTAGTTAGCAATCATGTATTGAGAATTCACTACTGAGAATTAAGTCGAGAATGCCGATGATACTCAGTCGATTATTTCCAGCCTTGTAGGACAGAGCTTGACGGTGATTACGAGGCACACTAACACCGAGACCAGGGGTGTGTGTGGGGGGATGATCAGCTTGTCATAAAACCACAGGAATTGGGGCGGCGTCTCGATAAATCAGGTAACCACTAGAACGAGGGCGACTCCTTCGATTTTAATGGACGATCGCATTTGCGTACGGATGTATAGCCTAGAAGGATTATAAGTAATCAATCCAAGGCAATTCAACCGAAGAAAAGTACCTAGACATATTACTGCCAAACTTCGCAGAAATCATTAAACGGCAGGCAGCATAAACTGTATTCGGCAAGCTTCTGCGCCATGACCTGGTATCCCTAACTATTCCCTTTCAAATGCCCATCCAAATGCAACAACTCTGCTTTTTCCTAACCTAGCGAAATCCTCTACCGCGGCTACGCGAACGACTTCGGCCTCGGAGACTGTCATAGCTGGGGCTACGTCGTCGATCACCGTCGTAGTCATTATAGCTATCTCTCTTTCCACCTCGTCGTCGCGGGGGAGAGCGAGATCTAGACGCGTAAGAGCCCGAGGGGCTACGGTTACGGCGGGGAGGGGATCGAGATCTCGAGTAGGAACGCGGTCGATAAGTGTCGAAGTTGTCACGACCAGATCGACCATAGCGCGGGGAGCGAGGTGGCCTTCCGCCAAATCCGGCACCCCTTCCGCCACTAAGAGGACCACTGCCTCCTCCCGCTCGACCGCTGCCTCTTAGACTAGGAGCGGGGAGGCGGGGATCGATGTTGGCGCCTCGGCTTGCGGTGGGAGGAGAAAGTGAGAACTTGCGTCGGGGTAGCACAATGGAAACGTTGATGACTGTGCCATCAATTATAGCTTCGTGCATGTGGGCAATAGCGGCTTCGGCATCAGCTTCATGAACGTATAGGATATACGCCGTACCACGGTTCGTATTAACTGTAAAAAGGTAAAGTTGGTTAGTCCGCTCATCTATGGGCGTGTTATACAATACGAGAGTCCGGCTCCGAAAATTTGCTTACATTGTCGGTTCATGGGCATGTCTAGGTCTCGAATGGGTCCGTACTGCCCAAAGATCTCGTGCAAATGATCCTCGTTGATGGTCTTAGTCAATTTCTCAACTACGATCTAGAAGTAAAACGGAGCTAAAGTTAGCATCTATGTTTAGATAAAAGGATCGCCGCGGAGGTGCGACAATAGAAACATGCAAAAATATATTTAGAGGAAATTGGCTGACCTTGGTACTGCCTCTTAGAGGGCTCTCGCTTCTGCCACGGTCGTCACGGTCACGACTCAAACTTCTGCTGTCACTACGAAGTCTCCCGTTGCGACGGGGTGCGGGAGAGGCGGATCGAGTAGGGGATCGACGTCGGCGGACAGGCGAGGCTGATCGCGAATAGCGCGACTTGGGCGTTGGGGAACGCGAATCGTAACGGTCACGCGAAGGCGATCGATCATCCATGATTGAAAAATAATACCTTTTCTTATTTCTTAAGGAGGGTAGGAGTTCATTCCTAGCTCAAGTTGAATAAAAACAACTTAAGCGGCTTTGTAGAATACCAATCCCGGTCCCGAAGAAGGAAAGGTGAGAAAGTGGGATGCGTAGGAAATTTGGTGGTGGCTTAGGTGAATGAATGATGATAATAATGGAATGAGAAATGTTAAAATGAATCTCATAGCTTTCAGAGCTTCCCGTCCCAAAGTTACCTAAATTTGGTAATCTCGGTACGTACCTGCGCTTATCTAACGGTGACATAGCCCGTGCAGTTTGAACTTTGATTTAGGTACGTACACGCGACCCCCACCTAGTAACAAATATCATCCATCCATGGGAAGTTACGAGCTACGGGAGCTCCAGCTACTAGATAGGTACATCTCCAATCTCTGTATTCTACCCCACATCCATTATACCTTAACTTTACAACTCACTTCCATTTAACAACTCTCACAAAAAGCTTGGAACATTTCCACATTCTTGGAATAAAAATAATAACAAGAAGAGCACATGAATTTAATACTCAAATATGATATATATGCTACTCACACCGCTACCTACTAAATTCCAAACAACATAAACTCATACCCTCAAATACTCTCTAATACACATATCTAAAGTTGGGGTTCTCCCTATCCGTCAAATCTTCAAAGGCGTGGGCTAGTCTCTCATCGTGAGCCTCACTAACACCAGCCGCAGCCAATTGATCTCTCTTCTTATTCTGTCTACAAAGATAGAAGCGGAAGAACAGCAGGATAAGCACGAGAGCCGCGTAGCACCCAAGGTGGGTTGCAAATGCAGTAAAGTACTTCGGAGCCTCACGAGAAAGGAAAACCCTAATATTCCAATTAGTGAAGATACTTTGAACTTGATATATGAGAGGTTGCACGCACATTGGCCCTATGGAATTTCCTGCTGCCCAAAACAGAAATGATGTAGCAACAACAACAGTCTTCTTCGTCTGGCCGCCGACGTTTCGGGACATCATAGAAAGACCAAGGGTCTGCGCCGCCCAAAAAGAGAGCGTGATATAATAGCTGATGAGCAAACCGACGTGCTGAGAGAAGGTATTGTTAGGGACAGTCATTAATAGGATGGTGCCAATAAATGACCTAAAACGGGGTAAAAGTCAGCCACAATCGCACTATATCAATTGAGATACCAAGACAGGTTCTACTTACGGAATTACGAAACCCAACATAGTCAGGATGTTCTGGTTAAACTTCTTCACCAGCCAGACCGATCCCAACAACACAATTATGATGTAAAAACCAAGGACCATGGCAAGGAGCTGTGTTTGGAGGTTGGTGAACCCCAAACTACCCGAGATAATGAGATTAGCAAATGCGCCAAGGCCGCTGGTTGGTAGGGTCGTCGTGAACTGGATTCCAGCATAGCACCAGGTTTGGGGATCGGTCAATGCATCCCAAACTTGCTCCTTCTTGAAGACACGGTTTTGCAAGCCGGTTTGGTTTCCTCGGACACGCTCAACCATCAAGTGTTTATCCTCTTCGGTGAAACATTTCGCACGCATAGGAGAATCAGGCATCCACCAGAAGACGAAGACACCAAAAATAACGGAGATGATACCGTAAGCCATGAATAGCCACTGCCACGACTTGAGAGGGCCATCTGTGATCAATGTAAAGCAGTAGGCAAGAAGACCGCCAACAATTTGCTGCGCACCGTTCATCATGTACCAGTAAGTGACTCTCGACGCCTGCTCCTCGCGCTTGTACCACATAGCCGAGAGTATAACGAACGCAGGCTGGCAAGCTGATTCAAAGAGTCCCAACAGTATACGAGCAATCACCAGCCCGGTGAAATTCTTGCAAGCAGCATGGCATGCCAAGACAACCCCCCAAGCAATGATGGAAAAACTGAGGTATTTGGCAACAGGAACACGGGCAATGATATAATTCTGTTATTTTCCAATCGTCAGTATACTATTCGACTAGCTCAAGTTTTTTTTTTTTTTTTTTTTTTTTTTTTTAAAAAAAAAAAAGGAAAAGAGCAGGTCTCACTTGCGGGTACTCGACAACGAGAATGGTGATGTAAATACAGGTTGTCAACCACGAAAAGTCCTGGCTTACTTTACCCTGGGGGGTAAGCATGCCAGTGTCTTTTGGAAGGCCCATAATCGAAGAGAAGGACAATGTGCCCTTGTCAATTGCCTGGAGGAAATACGTCGTAATCATAACAACCAAGACACGCTTGTCAATCAATTTTCGAAGCCTGATATTCTCTTCGGGTGATATTTCAATTCGGGCGGCCGATGAGTATTTCGCGACTTCGCTATCAACCTTCCCGTAATCTGCGCGTTCACCCTTCTCCTCGATATCTTCGGGTGCCGAGCGAGCCCGTTCGACCTCCGCCATCGAGTATCTCTTCGCCGCATCGTCCTGGTGAGGAGCCATTGGCTGAACCATGTCAGGATCGGGAACTTCCGTGGATGACATGACGAGAATGACAACCTAGACTGCTTTGACTACTTTCAGGGGTTAAAGATCTCTTTGTAGTTTTTGGTTGCTCAGCAGGTCTAATGGCGACGGACGTGCACCTCACAGAAAAATCTGCACCGGAGGATAGAAAAAGGGGAAAGGATGAGATCAAGAATTGGGAAGGAGTTGATATTTTTATTCACATCTCGCATCATTAAACCCCCGACACTATCGCGTACATAAATCTGTCTTGTTTTGGCATCGTAACACCGCAAGCGAGCTATTCGACAAGGGGCCAAAGGGCCGTCCATACTGGAAGCGCTCATTCGCTCGTATTAGCCTGGACTAGGAAGCACCTCATCGGATTAGCACTAAGGTGGGGTATAGTGCAGGAATTATCATACAGCAAATCATCTCAGAAATCATTACTCGATTATATTCAGCGAGGTAATAGTGACTTTTTAGCGCCAGACTAGAGTCTGGGCATTGTGGGCAGTCCGGGGCTTTCTGGGGGGGGACCTAATGGAGTCTTTCTCCAAAATCTGGGGGATGGGGAACAACCCCAAGAGCCCATAATCTGGAGTACGGAGGGCTTCTGATCTGACCCGAAGCGAAACCCTTGCTGCTACCACGGGGCTCCAGCTCTGTCGGGTCAGACAAAGCCTGCTTCCGCCGGGGTCTTCTCCCTGGGGAAGTTAGACTCGGTATCAACTGCACCGAAGTCTTCCCCATGTCTAGAAGGATCGGGTCCAGATTTTCCATCCAAGATCAGCAGCAACCGTGTAGCCTAGGCGTACTCCTTCTTCGGTTTAAAAGGTTCCAGTGCTCATACTCGATCTACTATATTCGACATACAATACAACTTTTCGAAATAGGTAAACAAAATCCCTATCACGTGGCATATGGCATGATGTCTTTCAAACCTGGAGGATTGAGAAAGAGTGGGTGGGTATCACGAAGAGATGATAACCCGACGACTGGAGACACTCAAGACGCTACCATACACGTGTGGAGTACATTGAAGGCGCACCACTCTTGACTCCTCACGAAAGCAATTCTTAGCAACTACAACTCCTTACCCCTTAAAAGGCCCTTAAAAGGGCTTTGGTACAGTTCAGGAACAATAGAAAAAAAAATATTCATTTTAAATTGAAATTTGAAACATCTCGAAGAAATACCCATTTCATACTCGAAAAAGGAGTGCCATATACCTATTTGAACATCAATCCAGCTAGAATACCCCCGCTTCATCATAGTACACGGACCTTAGCACGCATACCTAGGTAGCTAAAGAATCGCGGAATTTATTTCGCCCAAGATGCCGGCAGAGGTCCACGGGATTAAATCTAGCGACATACACGCTAAGATCCAGCTTCTGATTGACGGGCTTGTGAATATCAAAGACAACACTGGCGAGTTCCTCCTAACATTAGAAGATGGTCGCGTCATAGACACCAAAGGATGGAACGATTGGGAATGGACACACGGCATCGGCCTCAATGGAATTTGGGCCTACTATTCTTTGACTGGAGATGAAAAGTATCTCAAAATTATCGAAGACTGGTTTGCGAACCGCTTCGCGGCTGGTGGCACCACTAAGAACATCAACACTATGGCCGTATTCTTAACACTGGCCTACGTTTACGAGAAGACTGGCAACCAGACCTACCTCCCGTGGTTAGATAGCTGGGCCGAGTGGGCATATCACGACTTGGAGAGAACCAAATACGGCGGCATGCAACACATCACATACCTGGAAGTGAACGACCAACAATTATGGGACGACACACTCATGATGACGGTCATGCCTTTGGCCAAGATCGGAAAGCTACTCAACAGGTCGCATTACGTCGAGGAAGCGAAGCGACAATTCCTAATCCACATTAAATACCTCTTCGACACAAAATCGGGGTTATTCTTCCACGGTTGGACCTTCCATGATGGAGGACATAACTTCGCAAATGCCTTGTGGGCGAGAGGCAACGCGTGGCTAACGATTGTAATTCCCGAGTTCTTGGAGCTACTGGACTTACCAGCCAACGACCCGATTCGAAACCACCTTTTAGACACGCTTAATGCGCAATGCGAGGCTCTCAAGCCCTTACAGACCTCCTCAGGTCTATGGCGCACGCTTCTCGACCAGCCCGAGGAGGAGGGTTCATATGTGGAATCGAGTGCGACGGCAGGATTCGCCTTTGGTATCCTCAAGGCGCAGAGAAAGAAGTATATCAGCAAGGAATACGAAGATGTGGCGCTCAAGGCGATACGAGCGGTGCTGGACAATGTCGATGCTAGCGGTGAACTACTGAACACATCTTTCGGCACGGGGATGGGACACACATTGCAGCACTACAAGGATATCCCGATTACGAGTATGCCGTATGGACAGGCGATGGCTATCATCGCTCTAGTTGAATTTCTAAGGGTGTTTATCTAGATCTAGCCTCTAAGCTAATTCAATCATCTATCCCGAAGTCTCGTAGTAGTCTCTTTTTCTAGTTTAGAAGAGCATTCTTGACGAAATCAACATCCTCGGCCGTGCCACACACCAACCCCGCCGTCTCATTCAGATCTTCCAACTGTCTATCTAAAATATTCGTCCCATCCGCCGGGTCAACTGCCTTTCCGCCCGCGCACTCGACGACCAGGGCTAAGGGGAATAATTCAAACAAACGTCTTAGCTTCGCTTTACTTGCCGCCGTTACCGGCGATATGTAAACACCATGGCCCTTGACCAGCGCGTGGACGACATCCGGAACAAGACCACCGCTGTATCGGAGGGCGTATTTGTTCTGGATGAAATGCGTGACTAGACTCATATATTTCGCGTCATCAGCCGCGGCGCGCAAGTTCGCGGGCGCAAAATAGCGCGTCTTGAATGGTGCCTCGGCAAGACGAACAGATGGTCGAATAATCTCGGTACCGTTATCGCCGACTCCGAGCTCAAGACAAGCTGGTGCAGATCCGGGTACGCGCAGTGCGACGATAACAGTGGTACGCGGGCCATAGACGCCAAGAATCGAGGCGACCTGTTTGCTTGCCGGTGGTTGATTGAGGGCTGTCTTGCCTTGCCAGACACCGATGATAGTTCCCACAGTCCAGTTCGATGCAATAATAGAGCTACCATCTAGAGGATCAAAGGCGAGTGTATAATGCTCTTCGGGGATATCGCCGGCTGCAGTATCTTGTGTGTTTTTTTCCACCGGGTCTTCTTCACTGCTCGCAGTGACGATGAAAGGACATTTCGAGCTCGCTTTTCGGATGAGATCCTCAGCTATGACGTCCACGTTTAGTTGATCGTCACCAAACGCATTGGCGCTTCCTGCCCGCGCCACATGATGTGATTTCCTAAGGGCCTGTGCGATGTCCGAGACGCAAGTGATGAGACTCGGTATTACTGATTCAACTAAGCCCTTATGCGCATTCGACGGAACGGCATTTCGGAGAAGTTGTGCTAGGTCGGAATCAGCCATATTGATTTAACAGATTGATGATGCGGTGAAGATCAATATACCGCATCTTCTGGGTCTTGTTTTCTCACCAAAGTCAGATAAAAGCCTCAATTTTTATGCAATTATCGGGTCACTAACCAAGACTATCAAGACTATCTCCTCACCTGAAGAACTGACCTAATATCTTTCTAAATTTTAATTAAGCTAGCCACGACTCTGATCTCGTTCGAGGTTATCCCGAACCCCATGGGACACTAGTAATGGGCTATTCTAGACTGAAGTTGGAGAAATGGAGACTAATTAAAGACTCCTCGCCACGACGCCACGAACTAACTCAAGCGAAGAGACTATCGCTTGATGTGAAATAACAAAGGTGATGACAATTTCGGAATAGAGCCGGCAGAGTATACTGCTATTAGAATGTCATGCTCATACATTCATCAAATAATAAATTGGCGAATAGACCGGTGTGAGAAAGCCAATTTCGTAGCGCAGTAATCATTGTCTTCCCACTTACGTAGATGGCTGCTTCCAAAAGTACAGTCTAGATTAAGTGTATTAGAACACGGCTATACTCGCCCTATCGCTTGCCTCGTGCCCTTTTTTGACATGCCACTAAGATTTTCACCGCCTAGACCCCCCGTCCTCCCTGATTAAGCCTGATTAAGGCCTCTGGATGGCTATAAGGAGGAATACGGACTAGGCTACGTCGATGGCGTTAAGTAGGGGCATAAATAATATTTAAATGTATCTAGGTATGTAATAGAATTTACATATGCCAGACGTATCAAGAATGGTGGGTTGTAGTAATAATTACGTTTTTCAGACATCTACTCCGTGGGACGCCAGTGAGATCTGTGTACCTCGATTAGTACTGCGAATGCACCTAGGAGCAGCTGATGCTCTAGAGGATCAGTGAAGATCAAACCCACAGTAATCTGCCTCCACTGACGTTATCATGGTCGGAAAGACGAATATGACGGCCGACGATACCCACGTCTCAAGGAGCGGAAATTGATGAGGCAGTCACGATACTTCCGTGTTCCGCGATCCGAGTTCCGATGATAACATTTGGTCCCTAGCCAAGTTTCCTTAAATACGTGATCTTTTCGTAAACATTTCTATGAAGCAATTGAGTTTTCGTTGTTCTAGCTATTAGTATTGCTGTTTAGCGTGTTTCTTGTTTTGCAATGCCTAGTCGTACTCAGCCTCCACTAGAAAGTAACGAGGATACGAGTCAATATAACTTACTCCGGGACTATTCCGTATCGAAGAATGGGTTCCTTCCTGAGCAAGAACCTTTGAGGCGCCTACCGAGTTCTTATTATAATCCGTGGGAGACCGTGTTAGACGATTTACCATCTTTAATAAGGGGAAAGACCATCCGAAAGGCCATAGACGGAATACAACTGCTTTCGACGGGTAAACTCCACACAGAAGAAGAATGGCGCCGAGCCTACGTGGTCCTATCCTTCCTAGCCCATGCATATATCTGGGGAGGTGACAATGCATCAGAGGTATGACCCAACCTTACTACCAGATCCCGATACTTAACTCCTAACCGAAAATCAGGTACTCCCTCCAGCGATATCAATCCCCTTTCTCCAAGTCTCTGAGCATCTTAAAATTCCGCCGGTTGCTACATACGCTGCACTCAACCTCTGGAACTTCTCTTGCAGCGGGAGCGACTTCGAAGACCTCGATAAACTAAAAGCCCTGCACACGTTTAGCGGCACGGATGATGAGTCCTGGTTTTTCATGGTGTCGGTAGCGATGGAGGCTCAGGGAGCCTACATAATCCCGGTTATGTTCCAGGCACTTGAAGCTGTCCAACATCGGAACTATCCGATGATAGTAAGGGCTCTAGACGAGTTTGTCGTGTGCATTGGAAAACTTGCTAAACTTCTCGACCGAATGGATGAGAAATGCGATCCAATGATATTTTACTACCACATCCGCCCATTTCTTGCTGGAAGCAAAAATATGGGTGCGGCAGGCCTTCCGACCGGGGTCCTCTATCAAGACGGAGATGGGGCGCTCAGCTGGAAGCAGTTGAGGGGTGGCAGCAATGGCCAAAGTTCTTTGATCCAATTTTTCGATATCGTTCTCGGAGTAGAACATACCTCATCTGGCGGAAATGCGACGTCTCCAAAAAAGGCAACTGGTTTCCACGAAGAGATTCGATCATATATGCCAATTGCGCATAAGGAGTTCCTCGAATATCTGTCACGTATGGGTAGCCTTAAGGATTTTGTAAATGAGCCTGGTGAATCAGAGGGACAAAGACAGCTTCGGCAATCTTTCCGAAACGCCACCAATGCCCTCGGAGACTTCCGAAACAGACACATGCAGATTGTGACAAGATACATTATTATACCATCGAGAAATCGGAGTCAAATCCCGATGGTCAATCTCGCTAGTGCATCGTCGCAACCTAACCAAGGACAGCAAAAAGAACTGACTGGGACGGGAGGGACGGCTCTCATACCATTTCTAAAGCAGACGCGCGACGAGACATATTTAGCGGGAATACAGACACAACAGAGTGTAGTGCAATAATATAATAATAATTCACATTAATTGCCCCTTTAAGAATCAATTCAAATGGTGTTGTCAATTGGTACTTCGGAACGTAGCGATATAATCGGAGCTGAACACCTATGTAGGTATTGTAAGATGCATCGAAGCTTATATCAGACGAATCTTCGGAAAAAATCCGATGGAAGGTAGAAACCAGATCGGATGCATCCGATGTAGAAGTTGAGAAGGTGCATCGTGTGCAAGTGAGACGGAAGTTCGGATGTTAACCGATGGAAGGAACTAGCTAGCATTTTGGTAGCGCACGCCCACGCTTAGATCCGTTCTTTCCTCATCTTCTTCCGAAGTTCCGACATCCGCTTATTCCATTATTCTCGATTTCTTGCTTTCTATGATGTTTGTAAAAGTAACAAAAAACAATCACGAGTCTCTTATGCCTAGAGAAGAGGAAATTAGCCCCATGGATTCCATAATAAAAAATCGAATGAGTAAGAAGACAATATGCCTTCTCCGATGATCCGTACGCGAGTTGCCAATGCCTGCGACGCGTGTAAGCAGCGTAAAGGTAGGTCATTACCTGGGTAGATATTCACATTAAGAACTATTTATGTTTCTTAGGTAATCTACAATCGCGATAAACTGACTTATATATAGTCAAATGCGATGGGAATCTGCCTTGTAGCTATTGTAAAAGCCGCCGAGGGAACTTGATTTGTCATTTCTCTCCTGTAACTCGCCGACGGGCGAAAAGGCCACATCTACCTTCACCCGAATCTTCTACGGCCCATTCATCTATTCCATCATCTACCAGGGCGGACGCATCGCCCGGTATTTCCGCTGCTCCAATTCCTACGGCTGTACCACCTCGCATATCGGATGATTTCACCCGCCGTAGTGATGTCTCCGCGGAGGAAGAAGCAGATGTACCTCGGGAAGCACGGTTGTTATGTGATGCTCAGGGAAAGTTAAGTATGAATGAATATATCCTGCGTTTCACATCAACAATGTGGCTGATTAATGTGTTGTCTTAGTTTTTGTCGGGGACTGTGCGCCGCTCTCACTTTTTCAGACCGTCCGTCAAATTGTGACATCTCGGATAGATCCGAACGCCTTCACCCCTCAGACAGGCCGAGTCTCGATGTTAGAGAATGCCTCTTCTCATCCATTAATTCCGGTCAATAATAGGGAGCCGCCTGTGAATATCGCCAATTCAGAGCGGATAGTATCAGTTTTTATTTCAGTGGTAACTTAGTTGGGTCATGCAATATGCTAAATAGTGCACGCCGTCTTCTAACCGTTGCTGCAGACCTGTGGGTTGGTTGACCTATTCGACAATGCTCACCTCACGGATAACATATCGACGTGGATCGCCGAGCAAACAACATCAAAAGATGCGGCGTCCTCTATCAACTATCTAATCTTAGCTATTGGATCACAGTCTATTGATGAAGAATCTTCCACCGCATACTTTCAATACGCCAAGACATTGGCATTATCATTGCTCGGAGGCGACTTAGGGATTGAGACAGTTCAAGCTTTCGCTCTCATAACTCTATATATGCTCCGAGCATGTCAAATCAATGGCGCATTCCTTTTCTTTGGTAAGAAACGCGAAAACTGATGATTGATTCCCGTTGCTAAATTCAAAAAGGAATTGCGGCTAGGGCAGCATATTCTATTGGCCTACATAGAACTGAAGTTAATTCTCGATTCGGACCGAAAGTACACGCTCACAGGTATGGCAATTGCTATAGTTTATTATAGCTAGTGCTAATACTGCCCAGGGACAATCTTTGGAAGAGTTTGCGAGTCTTGGATCTGTTTCTCAGCATATCAATGGGCCGACCACCATCAATGTCGGATGTAGACTGCACTGTACCCTGTCGAACCTTAGATTCCGACGGCCAAGAGCAATTTGACCTCTTAAATTCGACGGTACAGATACTTTCTATCACCGAAGAGATAGTACTCCAAGTGTACTCTAGAAGGAAGATTTCGCTTCAACTGACCGAAGGAATTTCACGCCAACTTCGAGATTGGTCAAATAAGTGGCTTCCTCGGTTGAAAGTAGTCGTCGCCGAACCATCGCGGGAAAATGGAGCAAATATCACGGGTGCGTGTCAAGCCATGTCTTCTTACTATTATGCCGTGATGCTAGTCACGAGGCCCTTCCTCATGTATGAGTTGTGTAAACGCCTGCCAGAGAGCACTGCTACAATCAATACGCCCAGTAGCAGTAGTGACAACTCAGGTAGGGCAAGACTGGCGAATGCGTGCATTGACGCAGCAAGCTTAATGGCCGAGTCGGTTTTGGATCTCATAAATCAACAACTTTTAGACAGACGCATGCCTCTAATAGTGTAAGTTGATGATCGTAAACCTTGGGGGGTTTTTTTTAAACTAATCGTCTCGAAAGTTCTTGGCTGTTCGCATCGTCCTTGGTACTCGGCGTGGGCCTTCTTGGAGGTTTCGGACGCATCCTAGAGAAATATGCCGAAATGTCAATTTCGGCGCTCGAGTATTTCGCAGAAAACGACGCGCACGCCATGCAGTATTCACTTATCGCCAAGTCTCTCCTTTCTAGCGCACTGAAATACTTGGAAAGAAGGGATATCAACGAACGTCTTCGGATTACTGAGAGTTCATCACAATTATTCGGACTAATGCCGAAGGAACGTCCACCTCGCGAAGATCGCATCCCAACAGAAACTACTCAGCCAGGCGCACCTGTCGCGGATTCCGGTATGCCGCAAAATTTATCATCCCACGAGCTACTTTCTTCTCCTTTTCACGACATCGACCCAGCACTTTTGTCCTTAGGTTGTTCCTTTGATTCCACACCGGGCGCTCCTTTTCCAGGTAGAGAGCAGCAGGATCAAACCGACCAGGTTTTCGGGGCACTCAATTTGTTCCCCTTACTAGATGGAAACGGCCACATTGACCTCGCTCATTATCTCTGAGCCAATCTTGTCTCTACCACGTTAACTACATGAATCTAGCGAATTTTTGTGTTATTAGCTGTGTGGGTATGTGACAGGTAGAGTTATATTTCGAAGGTATTACACACTAACCTCATACGTTCACTTAACCCTGTAATATAGTACTAACATCTTAGTTTCGGGTTCAACTTTTCAATTAGAGCCATGGAGAACACCAATCTCTTCGACTGGCTAGCATTCCAGGTGTACCTAAGTAACTTGAATTGCTAATTCGTTATATTATTGCCGGTGTCTAGTTGTTACACAATATTCTTGCTTACCAAGATATATGTCAAAAGACTGAGTTTGCTCCGAATATATTCATAAATAATAAATCACCTAGGCACTCATATGCCATGTTGCGTTTGTAGAACGAATGCCAATAATTGAATGGTGTGAAGCTTAGATGGTGTTGTTTGGTATATGGGTTGGACACTAATTTGAGGTTTGAAGTACCTGGATACAGCTACCTAATAAGACCATCACAGAATACCTAAGCATACAGTATTATTGTAGGATGTCGCATATACCTAGGTAACTCGACATAAACTATTCTAATTGGATATAAGGGAATGCAATGTCCATATCAATATTACGTAGCGGGTGAATAAGTCCACCATATTCGTTGACGTCATCGGGGCGAGGTCTAGGGATATACTTGTACAGCTTAGGTCTTCCCTTAACCATCTTGAGGTTTACTTAGCTTCGCAATAACACACATTCTACTGCCTACGTATACAGCTAGAATCAGCGTTCAAGTAAGATGCCAATCGACTACCAAGGCACACAAATCCCAACATGCTACGCAACCTGCAGCATCGGGCACAAGGAGTCTCACACACTCCCTTTAAAATTCAAAGCCATAGCAGACGCCGGCTTCGATGCCGTCGAGCTATCAATGCCCGACATCTTAGCGTACGGCAAGCTGCTCAATGGTCAGGAACCGGACCCGAAGAACTACGACACATTAGTCGAAATTGGGAAGGAGATCAAGACCCAAGCAGCAGAGCACAAGCTTAAGATCCTCATGTTACAGCCCTTCGCTAATTTCGAAGGGTGGCCGAAAGGCAGTAACGAGAGGAAAGACGCGTTTGACTGCGCAAAGGGCTGGATGCGTATCATGCAGGCTGTTGGGACGGATACGCTACAAGTCGGTTCATCGGATGCACCTAGTATATCGTCGTCATTTGACGATCTCGCCGGCGACTTAGCCGAACTAGCGGACCTGTGCGCGGAAAAGGGCCTGCGCATTGCGTACGAAAATTGGTGCTGGGCAACGCATGCGCCGAGCTGGAAGGACGTATGGCGCATCGTCGAAAAAGCCAACCGGCCTAATCTCGGATTGTGTCTTGATACATTCCAGAGCGGAGGTGGTGAATGGGCCGATCCGACGACTAAGTCTGGGTTAGTTGAGGGTGTGTCGCTGGATGAGCTTGAAGTTCGATGGAAGAAAAGTCTATCTGATCTGAGCAAGACGGTTCCACCGGAGAAGATCTATCTTCTGCAGATCTCAGATGCGTATAAGATGGAGCCGCCAATAGAAGCGAAGATAGATGAGGAGGGGCTGCGGCCGAGGGGTCAGTGGAGCCATGACTATCGGCCACTGCCCTATGACGGGGGCTATCTTCCTGTACAGGACTTCCTGAAGGCGGTGCTGGGGACTGGATTTAGGGGTTGGTTGTCCATTGAAGTATTTGATGGTAAGGGCCCGGAGAAATATTCCGATATGCTTGAATTTAGTAAGAAAGCGATGGCGTCGTTAGGGAAGCTCTTAGATCAAATTGTCTACTTGGTAAATTTGCAAAAAAGGGACACCCTAGCTGAATAATAACACTGCAACATTTATACAGATTGGTGCTCTTAGCTTGTATCTAGTAAACGGCGTCGATTCGCCGTTGAAGGGAGTAGTAGGTTTGCTGCAATAAGATAGGTCAAGTAGGTCTCTAATGGCACTGAAAACAGACTAGAAACATTCGGTGTGGACCTCGGGAGGTGGCATAGCGGTAAAGCCCGCTGTAGATGTCTCAACTTCAACAAGTTTAGCGTGCTTATATGCCGGCTGCCTACCTACCTAGGTACCTATCATATAGGCTGTTAGGCGTAGTTATAGGGATCTCGATCAGAATTAGAGGATCAAGACAAGGAAATTTGGTGGCTTCAACCCAATTAAAGTCTTACTGAGTTATTAGAGTTAATAGGGAGAGTCAAGATACCTAGGTAACTACAATAGCAAGGTAATTCCTACCAAGATACCTAATTTTGTAAGGTGAGCAAACCAGAGACATAAGCAAAATTCACCCGTCGCAGCGATCAATGCCTCTCCCAATTTCCGATCATGCCGAGGAGCCGTCAGGGTGTTTCTATTCGTTACTGCGTATGAGTATACAACACTAAATTAATCTGCTACTCGGGTATAATACACCTATTTGGAAGGAGTTAGGTAATTTTGATGTTGTTATTATTTACTAAGTCGCGTCATATTACTATACCTACGGGAGTACTTTAATGGTAACAAAAAAGGGCGCACTGCAGCACAACAGGATCGTTGTTTGTATTCTGTGCCACGAGGAAGAAAAGGGACTTGTCGCACATAGGAAATTACGAAGTCTATTAAGACTTCTGACTCAGCGGCCTTTTGATCATACCTAGGTAAGTGAAGAAACAGGGATTGGAAATTGAATCTGTAAGGCACATCACATCATTTTGTAGCGATCGACGTTAGGCATTAGTTTAATTGTATTGCCGTAGCACTGGACACTAAAGTGTGCTAAGTGCTGGCTGATCGGTTCGCCCTATCTGAAAGTAGCTGAATACCTAGGTAGGTACCGTGCCTAAGAGCTTGCATGTAGCTTTGTTGCCAGGTTAGGTTATGATCTTGGTTTTGTATGGAATCCGACCAATCATATATCAGTAAGCAATCAAAAGTTGCTTGAGATAGATAGGGGAGATTGCTCCAAGGGGCTTCATTCCACAACTGACCTGCCGACAAACAAGCATGAAAAGCTTGAACAGTGACGCCAGCAGGACCCGAGAAGACGTGCTGTTGTAATCTAGCTAGGATGCTGCAGCGATAGTCGTGTACAGCCTCATCCAATGGAACACAGCACCTTTGCAGCAAGGGGTAGGATTGGGGTCTGGTTATCGGCTTGTGTCAATCATGACTGAGCAGATTCTGCTGGACCTGGAACGGCATACGTATAGGTATCCAAGCGAGGAAAAAGAAAGCAAGATAGATGTAGAGATCTTGCTTGGCATGCAGTTATAATCTAAATAAACATTCATGCTTACACATCTCATATATATAATGTATATAATGCATAGCCCCAAACAGCTAAGCTCCATCCGCTGATCTCTTCATGCTGTGCTACCGACCCTGGACAGCTCCACGGGCCCCCAAATTGAGGAGAGAGATCTCTACCGGCAAAAGTGAGAGGCATTTCACCTACCTAAACAGGTAATCTCCAGGGTACCTACCAGACCAGGGGATTAGGTGCTCGCGCTCATTACGTGGGGATTATTACTTATAAACTCGTGCCTGTGCACACAGAGCACCGCTTTGTCACCTTTACTTTGTTCACCTTCATTTGCCCCCCTCGCCCGTCAAGCACCTAGGTGAACAAGTGAGTTGGTAGCAGTGAAAGCAATTGTTGACAGCCATGAAGTCCTCCGCTGTCAGCGCCGTGGCACTCGCCTCATTAGCCAATGGCTCCCGGATCGTCTACAGAGACACCAACACGACAACTTCAGCAACTCCGACTCCAACGGAACCTTGTGCGATTGTGAGCGCCTCGTGGTCTTCCCAGATTAGCGCGACCGCCACACCAATAGTCGAGGCGTCAATTGCTTACGAATGTCTCAATTCGGTCCCAATTAACAAGGATGCCGCTCTTAGATTCATCGACGAGCTAGCACCATACATTGAATGGCAATCCGACACCGTCTTTTTGAAAATTCCCCCGGCCGATTATTTCTACCCTCCCACAGACCTTTGGGCGACTTTGGACCGCATAAGAGCTGATCTCGAAGCCGATAAGTACTCCAACGAATATGAATGGCAAGAAGACCTATACAAGAACTTTTTCGGCCCCGCGCACGACGGCCACCTTGTGGTATACCCGGATGCCTTGTCCGCCGCCATTGAGTGGCAAAGGCCCTATGCTTTAGTCTCAATCAGTGAGGAAGGACCCGCCGGTTCCGCACCAGTGATTAAGGTGTATGACGATGTAGTTGCTGGCATCGAAAATGCATCTGTAGTAAAACTCATCAATGGTGTTGATGCCTCCACTTTCATCGGTGATTGGATTTACCAGGTGTCCAGCAACCAAGATGCCGATGCTGCCTACAACTCCGCGTTCTTCGAGAAGGCCTCCGTTCTGAACAAGAACACAGGCTACTTTCAGAATGGTGGGCGTCCAAGGTATGCGACCCAACTATTTTTCTGCTCAAGTTGGTATAATATTGACAATTGATCAGGTATGTCTTCCCCGGCAATGCTACCTCGTTCACATTTGAGAATGGAACGGAGGTGGTTCTGCCGAATCAAGCGAGAGTGAAGAGTTCCTGGAACGGTGTTGTCGATGGGCCATCATTTTTCAAGAAGTTCTGCTCTGGCGCGAACCTCAACCTCAGCAGTGTTGCGTCTACTCCGGCAACTACTACATCTGAGCCCACATCGTCTGCATCCGCGACGGCCGCGGCTACAAGTTCAGTCCCTGGATACCCTGAGCCGCTCGTTATCTCGAGGGATCAAGTCATTTCTGGTTACTATATTGATGAGCCGGGTTTCGAAGATGTAGCCGTCATCTCGATGCTCTCTTTCTCCAGCGACCCGGTCGATTTCCAGAATGTCGCTCAGACCTTCTACGCACAAGCCAAGAAGGACGGTAAGACTAAGCTCGTGGTCGATGTGCAGGCGAACGGAGGCGGTTTCATCTTCCTTGGTTACGATGGGTTCCGTCAATTGTTCCCGGATATTGTGCAAGAGGGTCTAGGACGATGGAGGAACCACGACGGATTTGACGCCATCTCTCGTGTATTCTCTGACATTTCCGCAGATTTCGACCCTGACACTGCCTCCTCCGATGTTATTCTGGCTGCTGAATCGGTCTTCAACTGGCGATATGACATCAACGAGACCGACGGCAACTTCGTATCCTACGAGGATAAGTTTGGGCCGCACGAGTTTGGTGGTGACAACTACACTTCTCTCATCCAGTGGAATTTTACCGACGCGTTGAGCACAAGCAACGAGACCTATGGACTCGGCACTGACATTACTGGTTATGGTAGTCGTAAAAACTTCACGCGTCCGTTCGGTGGCCCCGAGAACATAGTGCTCCTTTATGACGGCTATTGCGCATCGACTTGCACGTTATTCTCCGAGTTCTTGAGGTCTAATGCCGGCGTAAAGTCCATTGCTATGGGCGGTCGACCCACCAAGGAGGGCCTAATCCAGGGCGTAGGAGGCGTCAAAGGATCTCAGAGCTATGAATTCAGCGACATCACATCTCAAGCCCAGCAAGCGCGCAACTACACCACCGACCCTAGTATTCTTGCGACTTTGGACAAATATACGTCGTATGTGAGCGTTCGTAGCACAGCAGCGAGTCTAAACGTGAAGGATCAGATCCTTCCCGGAAACCTAGAGGATGGTATCCCTGCGCAGTTCGTAACCGAGGAATCAGACTGTCGACTTTGGTGGACTGCTCCCATGATCACGGACATCACTGAACTGTGGAAAGCAGCTGCTACCGCGGCCTTTAAGGGCGGCAAGTGCGCATACGGTGCGATCGATTACCCGACGAATGCTACGACTAAAGCGGCGACCGGGCCGAAACCCTTCGGGAAGTCTAGCAGCTCGACCAGCAGCACAAAGACCCCGACGAAGATAGGGACATTAACCCAGTCCAAGCAGCAGGCCACATTGCAGAAGAGCCAAGCTTTCATGGCTAGCCAGCATATGCACGTCGTTGACTAGAATAATCCGTCGCGACGCCTACTAGGATATTAATTTCGAGCCTATCGTTATTGGGTGTATACCTGCATCTAGACGTAATGTAGATTAATAACAGCTTTTCGAGTATAGGAAAACTACATAATGTCAATGTTATGAGATACGAGATACTATTGATGAACGCTTAGAATGACGATATCTGTACCAATTGATAGATAAAATCGGTACAAATCGCATCGTACTTTGCCAATCTATGGCTTATAACTAGGAACAATAAGTCCTCGAGCTAACCTACTTTGCGCTTCGGTCTATACTAAGACGCCCACCAAAGTCTTTTCCATTGGGCAATGCGCTCGAGCGGCGAAAGGGGGGTTCGCGTCCGAAAATCTTCCAATGATGGTAAAAATCGCTCAACCTGGTAACATGAGAGGGGAATAATCGGTGGTCGATATGCTGACTATCACCAACACTCATGCTTAGTTGATCACAACATCATGCTAGGATCTGCAGCTAATTTTTCTTCCAAGGAAATACTTGCAGCACGATGCGAGTAAGCGGGGGTTCCTCCCATTATACATAATACTCGCAGGTCTAACAATGTAACTTGACCGATGATGCCGACCCTCTCGTAGATCATTCTTTGCTCCTCGCTCTATAGTATAAGCGCGGAAGCATAGTGTCTGCCTCTTGTCATCGGCCCGGTCTGCATCGATCCGGCGCGGTAGGTCCACGATCCTATATATAATTGGAGGTGCGAATTTGGTTATTATAGGTGTAGGTACAACTATAATATCCATATCTTCGCGTTGCTAGTCGTAATCATGAGGTCTTCTGATGAGGGGGAAGAGAGGGACCAAAGGGGGGAAACGTGCGCAAGAGGATTCCATCACTAGCATGAGAAACCTACCTTACTTCTTGGAAATAGCCTTCTCCGCGGGCCTCCGCTCGAAGATTACTTGAAGGCTAGATTACATTAGCGAAACTTTTACTTCCACCTTCATAATACTTACAGAAAACCGAATACGTCAACCCTAACTTGGCAGATTCGGTAACTCGAAGCACGAGACTTAAGATCAGCCCTAAAGGATTAGGGCTAGCTTCCTGATACACACGCGCAGTCAATGTAATCCACGTGGCCAAGTTGTCACATGGTGTGAGCCTCCCGTTACCTATATGTACAGCAGCCAGTTGTACCCTAGGACGCCATGTTGAAGATTTTCCTAACTGCAGAGGATAATCCCTGCGGAGAAGCGGAACCTAGATCTTGGAGATTCAGCGTTTGCCATAAGATTCATATAAGGCAAGGTATTTATATTAATTTGAAGAGATCACGAACTCATCTTCAAACCAACGGAACTAAACAAAAGCCAAGCGGACGATCAACATAATCATTAACCAAAGATGCATGCTAGAAAATATTCGAGTACTTAAGCGCCAGGATCGGTACTTTAGACGAGTCAGTGTCAGAAAAAGTGATGCTAACCGCCGCTACCCACCTACAGGCATCATATAGTTACATTAGGGGTATTTTGGCCATGGTAAGCCACCTAACCCACGACGGCTACTGGCCCTTGGCTCTGCAGGGACAAGGGCAAAGAGCCACCACATATGCCATTCAGAAAGTCTAGAAGATGAGAAAGCCACCCTACGGTTACAATGCGTACGTACAGTCAATGTTCGCTGGACGAGTTAGAAATCTACGTGCACAACACCCCTATGTCATCTGGTGGCCCGTTGCATACGGGAAATGCCTTTTTTCGCAACGACATCATCGCTTCTACCCGTGTATCGCGGATAGCTAGGGGCCGAAACTGTCAGTACTACAGTATGCATATCTCGACTCGGCATGGTCGCGCTCTCTAGCCAGTAGGAATCGGACCGTTCTAGCCTATCCACATACCGTTTTTCCCCAGAGTGGCCCTCATTGACCCTCACTCTGCAAAGCACAGCGCGGCCAATGCGACTTTGACCGCAGCACCCGTTACACCTCTCATTATTATCCTGTCGCAGGTGGGATCCATCAGCTGCCTACCTACATGTGCATTCCGGGGATTCCCTGACGTGTTCGGGCTCTGGCCATGCAGCGACTTGCGGCTTTTCATATAGTGGAAGGGAAGATGGGGGTTGCACAGATCTGACCACCCGAATCGATTCCTTAGCCGACATGGATCGGCTCCCTAAGAAATCTTCGGCGTGAAAAGGTAGGATATGCCGAGGGGCGCCGGCGGTAATGTTGGTTCGACGAGCCAAAGATAGAGAAAATAAAATGTAAAAATTGTAATACCGGCATCGCTCGCCTGACTGTCCACCTTTACACGTTACTCAATGCCAACACGAACGGGGGAATGTCTTTGAATGGTATTCCGACTCTGGTAGAGTCCCAACAGAAGAGAGTGTAGTAGATTCGGTGGATCCTCCGGCATTTGCACCACATAGTCCACATAGGACGACATACCCGAAGTGCACAAAGCGGCGCACGCGATGAGACATCAATATATCAGACCTTCCTTAAAACACTGCCGACGGCATCTTTCTAACTTGCCGGGGGAGATCGAGCTAGTCGATATTGAGTCAATGAAATACAGCAAACATTAGCCATTCACCAAAAGAAGCAATCGGGATGGAAGGTCAACACGAGGTAAGTAAATTTAGTCCTCGAAGGTCATACTTTTACCCGATTTTTAATGATTCAAAAATTCAGGATAACCCAACTACAGCGGAAAATAGCGAGTCCAGCTCGGATGTCGATGCTGTTGACCCGAGGCTAGAAAGCATGCCATTCATCGAAGCCTTCGGTCACCGTTACCATGCCTCAGGCAAGATTTATCTACCCTTCGATCAACACGAACGGGAGAGATTAGAAATATTACATAAAGTCTTTCGACACTGCCTAGATGGTGCTTTGACCCACACACGGTTGCCGTTAGATACGGCGCAAATATTAGACCTAGGTACTGGGACCGGGGTATGGCCCGTGGAGATGGCAGTGCGTTACCCCCAGGCTCAAATAACCGGTATAGACGTATACCCAATACAGAGGAGGAATGGGGTACCGCCCAACGTCAAATTTGAGATTGGAAACGTTGAAGAACCGTTAGATTGCCCAGATAATTCGCTCGATTTCGTCCATGCACGAGGAATAGCTGGTGGCATACACGACTGGCCGGCATTGCTTCAACAAGTATACAACAAGCTTAAGCCAGGCGGACTTTTTGAGATGACAGAGGTCTCTCTCAACGTTCTCGACTTCGACGGCAAGTTCGCCGAAGCCGACCTATGTCCCGAGTTTCTACGAATATTTCGGGAATTGTCAACTGAGGTAGGCGTGGATTTCGACCCGTCGCGACGCGTAACCGACTGGCTACTGGACGCCGAATTCGAGAAGATAGTCCAACGGAGCGAGATACTTCCCATGGGAAATTGGGCACAAGACGAGAAATTAAAGACGCGACAGAATTTAATTAACCAGATGACGAATGAACGACTAGGTATGTGCCTTCTTTCCTCTTTCTAACTATTTTACGTACTAATTTTTAAGAAGAATCCTCCTGTAAGATAACCCCCTAAGAATACGATATATACATCCTTCTAACCATACTAGTTATGGACAATCATTGCGGCTTGCTATTCCAGAGTTGCGGCTGGACGAAAGAAAAATACGATGAGATAGTCCCCTCATTTTGGCAGGAAATCCGAGCAGCAACAGGAAGGCCCTACATAACAGCGTGAGAAGCCCCTTTTCGGACACCACTCAGCGCATACTGATATAACCTAGCGTTTTCACCACTGCGAGAAAACCTCGCGGGGAAACCAACGCTTGAAACACCTTAAGACCTTACAGAATCCATTTACACATTGCTATCACCTTCGGAGGCAACTCCGGCTAGGTATCTACTCAACGAAGTAAAAACAGCCTCCTTCAACAGGGAGTGCATTTAGTGCATAGATGGTCCCCCGATTAACGGAAGCAATCTGCAACCAGACCGAGATTTTCTCTGCTTACTACGGACACCTACCTACATTCGATTACCCAGTCCTAGTATACATAGGTAATTCGCCAAATCATAACAATGCACGGACTGGCAATAACTTGAATTACGCATGCGCCACTTAGTAGGAAGCTACTACGTTCCACAAAACCTCCTTATAGCGACTCCTCAGTAGGTTACCTTAGGAATGCAGCCCACATCACATCACATCACATAAAGATTGCAAGAAACGACCTATCTATGCATTCAAATTAGCACAAACGCTGGTCTCTCGGGACCGTAGCTTATATAATAGGGTAATAGTGAAGGAGGAAGAACAAGAGTAGAGACAATTACTCTAGTATCACGGTTTAAGGGGGGACGAATGGGGGTAGAGTGTTAGCGACGCGGCGTACACACAATGAGAAAAGAGAGACATACACCTGCCTATTCGATACTCGGGTCATGTGCCACCGCAGGATTCATTCACATCATGTATAATGTATGTACATACACATCCATCCATCCATTTCAACCGTCCGTACATACATACACGTACATACCATGCATACATTCTATCTACCTACCTTAGGTACCTACACTTTTCCCAAGAATCCCCACATCCACCAACGGCGCGTGGATATCCACGCTGAATGGTTATCATCAAACCCCGACTCGCATACCACGCGAATCGATGATCCGTAAGTCGACCCGCTGATTTGCCCACACTTTTTTTTCTCCCTTCCCGCACTTCTTGGCTTTGCTCGTGAAAGAAAAAACTCTGCCAACATCTCGCCAGTCTAACCGTGACACGCGTTTTACAGTGGCTTCTAGAGCTGTATGTCTCAGAACTTTAAAGCAGCGAAGTTCTTGGAAGGCGGCAATTGTGTGTCTCTATCGCCACGGGTTCTACCCACTGATATTGCTACTTGTCGCTGTTACGAATTTGGAAAGGGGGATGGGTCGTCCCAACAAGTCCTCGCTCGAGGAACGCCCCTCACGGCACAGTTAACGAGCGTAAGCGCGGGGGGTAGGGAGGGGAGGAGGGCTTAGCACAAGAAATGCCTAGGCAGCTAGACTACCTAGGTAGTTATGACGGTATAATGCGGGATTTAAGATGACGATATATCTCCAGAAAAGCCAGGTCCGGGTATCGAGTATGCGCGAGGCCCTATTGTCACTTTCGTGGCGGACGAATGAGTGGACGGGGAGGCGAGAACGGCGTCTTACGGTCTCAGACAGATCAGATTGTTTGTTAGAGGCCGAAAGAGGACCAATCGCTTCGCTTACCGGGACATCCACAGGGCGATTTTCGAAATCATCGGCGAATTTCACCAAAGAACCTTGTCTCAGAGTGGGTGAACTATTGTCCTGTTCTGTCCTGTCTTTTGCCTTACATACGGTGAGTTCTCAACAACGTGTTCACTACGCCACAACCTTCCGATCTCCTCGCAGATCTATTCCATCATGCAGCAACGTTTTGAACTTATATGTATAAAAGAGCCAGGGTAGTAAGAGGTTACTTTAAGATATAAGAAGGTTGCCATAGATGGTGGATACCACGGTTTGGTTTCATGTAGGACGTTGTATTAACCGCTCGTTCAACCTCTTATTACCGAAGCACCCGAAGTAGCAGAAGGATGAAACAACAGCAGAGGCCAAAAGTGTGGCCTCCATAAGTATTGAGGTCGGTAGTTAACGAGGAATAGTAGCCCTTGCTTTCCACGTGGTAGGGTAAACCCGAGATAAGCAGGACATGGTGAGAAATGCATATTAGCCCTGGAAAGTAACCCTACACCGAGAATTAGCGAATTCACCTAGATAATCGCGCGGTATTATATTGCGCATGCTTATGTAAAAGGGGGTGCCGTACCACACTCAGAGTAAAGAATATTTTACGATAGTATCGCTAGACCACCCACTACCTACCTAGGTAGGTAGCCTGCTACTTTAGGTAGTGGATACGGGCTAAAAAGGAGCAAAAAACAGTAAACATACAACACCGAGGATTCGCTGATCGTCACCGACCCAGCTACTGATTCGGCGGTATCTGGTTTGTCTAGGGGAGAGCGGACGGGATCCAGAATTTTCCAGATCCTATGGTCGTATGTGAAGATTTGTGCTCCAATTATAGTATATAAACTAGATGTCGGCGCTATCAGGCCTATTTGTAGGCGCTCATACAAGTCGGTTCGGCCGAGAAACCAGACTCGGCAATGCCTAACTTGTGGTCATTTTAGGACTTATCTAACGTATATCAGAGGTACATATAACAACTTGCTAGTTGGTGTCTCATATATACACCACAATTGTTGAGTTGGAGGATGCTACGAAGCGTAAGCAAGTATTTCGTAAGCCCAAACGTACCCTTATTTTAGGTATGTAACCAATTCCATCGAGAACCCAGATTACCCATAGTATTCATTCATTCTAGGTCGTATACCCTTCGTGATTATGTATTATACAGAGAACAGATTTCCCGTGCGAAATCACGATTCCTGCGCGATCTGACCTTGATCTATCTTGAGCGAGAAGTCTACGTGCGGCGTACCTTGGTGGATCGAACTCGTGGAGATGATATCGATATCTAGCAGAAGACCATTAGCAATACGAATTGAATGAGGGACAGGTGGCGATTTAAGAACATAGAAAGAGAAATCATGGGAAGAGGTGGAGGAGAAGGAAGAGGAGGCCACTTACCATTGTTGGCGTAATCAAAAACATTATCCTCCCTCAAACCACCCGAAACCTCAATCAAGAATTCTCGCTTGCCCCTCCACTTCTCTCTCAAATTCTTCGCCGCGATCTTGACGCCCTCGCCCGTGAAGTTATCCAACATGACGATATCCGCACCCGCAGCGATCGCCTCATTAGCCTCCTCCTCATTCTGAACCTCAACCTCGATCTTCAGCGCAAATCCACCAACCATCTTCGCCGCCTCAACAGCTTCCGTGATACTACCCCGACTCCAGACGTGGTTATCTTTTAGCATGATCATCGAACTCAAATCCATGCGATGCGTATCCGCGCCACCAACCAACATGCCGTACTTCTCAACCAGCCGAAACCCGGGCGTCGTCTTCCGCGTACCCGCCAGCACGCCCTCGTACCCCGCGCTGCGCAGACTGAGCAGCATATCCCGACTCACGGTCGCAACACCCGAGCAGCGAGCAAGTAAATTAAGACCAACGCGTTCACCTAGTAGCAGGCCTCGCGCTGGACCACTAACGGTTGCTACCTTAGTCTTCCCAGAGCCATCTTTCGGGCGGTTGATATAGCTACCCTCCTTAGCATGCCATTCGACCTCGCACCCGCATTGTTTGAAGATCTCAGTAAAGAACGGGATACCAGCAATAATACCTGCGCTCTTGCCCCAGAGTGTAGCGGTGCGCGGGTGTTCGCCGACGACAAAGCCGGCGTAATCGTAAGAGGGTATGTCTTCGGCAAGCCAGGACATGATTTGGGATTTCCAGCTTGGTGGTAGGAGGTGCTCGAGAGAGCCGTGGTGGATGGGTTGGTCCTTATGCATGGTCGGCATCGATTCCGAAATAGCTTGCGGATAGACGAGGAGGTATTCGGAGTAGTCGAAATGATAGATTGACGTCCTTGATGCAAACGAGCGATTATTTCGTTACGGTTACGTCGAATAGGAATGTTTCTGATTAAAGAAGGGTAGGGTTTGTATTGGTCAGGATGAAGTCAACGGGGAGCAGGAGCAAGGTAAGGTAACAAGTACCCGCGGCAAGCCGCAGCGGGTAGCATATCTTATCTCTCTAGCTACCTATCTACTTGAGCCGTTTCAACCCGCCCAGTAAAGAGCTACCGCGGGGCTCTCCTGAGAGCGGGGGCGGGGTAGCTTAGGTATAGAGATTACCTAATCATATCCGAAAACAACGAACAGCTGGCACCTCCAATCTATCATCTTTCCGTCTCCGTCTTCCTTTTTACTTTCCCCCTTTATCTTTGTCTCCGTTCTCCAACTTCCGACTTCTACGACCCCAACCCCGATCCCGACCACGATTATCGCGACCGCGACCGCGACCACCACCATCATGACTACCACCGCCACGAGAGCTAGGATCAACACGGCGTCCACTGTCATCGCGGTCATCGCAATCATCATCCCTAGCATTCCAACCCCCACGATTACCGGGGCTGCCAAAGCCAACGTCTTTGTAACCACCGCGATCACCACCACGATTCCCACGATTGCCACGGTCACCTCGACTGCCTCGGTTGCCCTGACCGGTATAGGTGTAATGATCACCCCAGCCACCGCGTCCTTGACCTCGACCACCTTGGCCGTCGCCTCTATGTCCTCCGCGTGGTGTGCGTTGATCCCTCTGGTTCGGCTGGGGAACCTGCTGGGGAGTCTGAGGATGCTGTCCTGGGCCATCTTCTAAACCACCACGGCCACCTGAACCAGTTCCTCGCTTGCTTCCACGTCTTCTTCCCTTTCCACTTCCACTTCCACGATCTCGACCATGTTCCTGTGCTTGATCCGGAGATGCTTGTTGATTCTGCGTGGTCTGTTGGTCGAAAAAATGCGTTGTGGTGTCTAGCGCCTTTTGATATGAGTAATCTCGGGTGTTGATCGTCTCCTCGTATCTTCGATACTTCTCCGGATCCAACTGCTCCGGGCTCGGTTGGGGAGAGCAAAGTTGTAGTTGATTGTTAAGTTGACCCTGCTGCTGACTTTGTTGGCGCGTGTAGTTATGCCATTCGTTGAGCAAGAGTACCTGCTGTTGTTGCGGTAGCTCATGGAGCGGAACCATTTGGTACGGGTTCGCCGAAGAAATCCACGGCCACGTAATGAGCAACTGCGGTGGAGGACGTAGCGGAGGAGCGAGTGCGCAAACTGGGAATAGTGTAACCCTTCGGTCACTTTGCTCGTAAGTGGATAGCTCATTCCAGTCTTGGGTGTCACGGTTCCATTCCTTAGCACAGTCGAAAATGACTTCGTTCGATGAGGCGGGATCCAGCGTGCGCAAACGTAGACGGCATATCTCCCCGGTCTGTCGGTATTTCTCCACCCATGCTTGCTTGACCCCCATAAGCAAATCGTAGGGATTCGGGTCCTGGAATAGTCGGATAACTAGTCTTCGAGACTGCTCGTAGACGACAATACCGTATTCACCGACAGCTCTGACTTGGATTGGAAGCGAAAGGCGACTTAGGCATATAGCCCGGAAGTAAACTCTGGACCATCTATCGGGATGTCGATGATCTCTTTGCTGCATCATGGCGTTGAAGTCGAGTCTGTCTAAGTTGAGCTCTCGATCCAAGTCGGGCAGCGAAGAACGGTGTCGGGCCATCGTGACTATGCCACATGTGAGTATCCCCAGAAATTAAATAGGTGCAGTACATACCTGAGTAGCCTGAGAGGTAATGTTAATTATCGATAGAGCAGGGGATGTAAATATTAAGGCTGAAAAAAATAATAGTGATAGAAACGATATGCCACCAGGGCTACGAAGAAAAGTAGGTATTTTAGGGATAGAGAGTCGAGAAGCGAAGATGGTGATGTAGGAATCAAGTAGGATTAGGAATACACGTTGAGAGGATTTTAGAAGAACCTGTAGCGGTCTGTGCCGAAATTGGCGACAGTGACCATACGGATACTAGACTAACTTATAATCCTCGACCTCGCGCATGTCACATGTAATGGCGGGGCGACGACTAAGCAACGACTAAGCTTCAAATCCAATTCCCCAGAAACGAGGATGGCCGTATAGTCGGCGATCGAACTTCATCTTTATTCCCCTAGAGGTTGCTCGTTCTTCTACAACACGTTATGCCCTTAGCAACATGTGCTAGAAAGCGACGATGAGGTTAGCAGGCCGTAAAGAGAACGGCGAACCCGACATCAAGTATACAAGCCAGCAACTTCACTTTAGAATATACACAAGTGTTTATTTGTGTGAATTTCATATCTCACACAAGCGCCTCAAAAGCTACTATCACTCTTATAGTAGTTTGCTACATAGGTAGTTACCAGGCATCTCTTGAGGCTTTACAAAAGGCATCTACACGGCGAAACCGTTGAGTCTTATGAGAACTGCTAATTCTAATACGGAACTGGGTTCATATCTATTCATAAGGTAAGGATCGTAATCTACGTAGGTAGGTAGTGATAACAACACATATACAGTTTATAGCAACTTCTCACGAAATACTCCAACATATATCTCTACTCGTCAGACTTCTCTTAACACACACCGTTCGAAACCAAATTACCGGCGGAGGTACGGGTCTTAGGACCTACTTTACTGTTAGTTGCAAGAACGGGTTCTCTTTGAGTCAACATGGTCAAACGAAAAGTCAGGCTCATAGAGAAATGTGAATTCCAACAGGGAAAGAACGTCAGACAAATTACCGAGCGGTAAATAAAAAGGGAAGTTAAAATGCCAAAGCGACTTTTTTTCCGTATAAACATAAAGCGAGAGGACTAAGTGAGAAAAACAAAAGAAAACGCCGATGTAAATGCTAAAGAAACGAAGGACTCCAAACCATATAATGATATCCCATGCTATGCCATGCGATACAAGAAGAGAGAGAAAAAAAAACACCTGTAAATGCTCATGAACCTCCAAGACCCCTTTTTGTGCAACGGATCCAACGCCTTGCCAATGAGAAGTTCATATAACGAACGATAGAATGCGACAAATCGAACGAGGGGCAGATAAAAGCAAACGAAAGGAAATGGCTTTTGGGCTTAGTACCATGTAGGTGCGACAGGCCAGTGTCGCAGCATATTCTCGACAGCCTGCGTCCACTCATACTCGAAGCATTGAGCGAGCTGGTCTGCCTCCTCCTGAGTGGGATCACGACCACCCCACATCTCTTTTCGCCAAGCATCTGCTTGCGCGTAACTTGGGATTAAACCGCTTTTAAGAAGTTAGTTTTAAAAGCGATACGGAATTTTATAAAAAAAAAAAAAACGGACGATGAGGGGGGTCTCAGAATACGAGGCTTCACGAGTTATACGTGGGGGATTGAAGGACCAACTCGGACTTACTCGTCGCGAATCTTAACAAGGCACAGCCACGCCAGATTCCAGCTACGGTTCGAGTTCGGGTCGTTACGGACTAACTGATGCGCCTGGTCGACTAGATCTCCCGAGATAGGGTAGTTCGGCGTTAGACCTCTCAGCTCCGTCAGGAATTGGTTACTATTCACGTAATAATCCCACGCGGACGTCATCGGCGCCTGAAAAGCTAAAGCGTCTTCCTCGTTTTCGCAGCTAGCGGCAACTCGTTCGATACGGCAAAGTTCAGTCAGCGTATTAACTCGGTGGGTTCGTAAAGACTCGATTAGTTGTTGAACAGAAGACTAGAAAACTTCGTGTTAGTTGTGACAAAGCACTGGTAATTGCGCGGATGAGAAGTCACAGGTAGAATACTCTACCGGGACTATTAAATCGCAGAGGGGATTTACGAATTGAAAGCCGTCACGCACTTGTCTGCTCTTGCCGCTGCGAGAGCTACCGTGGCCATGTCTGCTTGATCGTGATGAAGACATGATATTGGTATTTGTCGATTTTAACTTAGAAATATCTCTCCAATCGTCTTAAAACTAAATGTCGAGTTGAATACGAGGCGTGTAGTCTCCGCTGGTAAGAGTAACCCCGGAAGTAGGCTGGTGAAATTGTAGGTAAAACCGAAAGTCTTGATTGTTAGTCGTCCTCAGAATTAGTTCGCTCTGGATGTTTCGAAGATGCCTGGTATACGAGCTCATCTACCGGAGCGAGTACTCGCTGTTTATATTTTCAAAAACACCAAAAAAGCCCCCACGAACGTCGTTCTGTTTGTCAGATATCAATCGTGAGTTATTCTAATTAGGATATTATCACCGATAGAACCACTCAAGAACGTAATACTCAATGAAAGCCGAGGTCATCGTTCTCGATATCTAATCCTAGAGCGCGTGTAGACGGATAGAATGATGCCGAAAGCTATATTGAGAAAAGGTAAGAACTAGCATTCTCGACATATTCGTGGGATTTGGCCGGTGTTCGACCGCGAGGACGATGAGATCTCATGGTTAGAGATACACCCATCCGCGGCTGCGAGCCGGTCATGAAGCTATCAACATATGACTGTTAGCTTCTGCCAATCATACACGTCCCAAAGCTCACCCCAAAGGTGTATCGTGCTAGGGTATTGTTAAAGCGAGTGATAACTCCGGCAATGATTTGTGAATTAAAGCCAGATAGGCACTCTGTTTAACCACACCCAGGCCGATGCTGACGACAGTCAATGTCCATCGTACTGGGGGTTCGCATGGCCGTTCCGTTCATCTAGTTAAGTTGCCTAGAGTATAGAAATAGATTATTAACATTGGTAGCTATGGACTCTAGGACTTTCAACTACAGAAGACATTAACACTGTGCCGTGATTGGATAATCTAGATATAGAGTCGCTAAGGAAAAGGCAGCTATTTGTTAACCTAGATCTGTAAAGACGGCCTAACTGGCTAGAAAGGAAGCTGTCATAGTTAAGCAACCGTATGTTTAAAAAAGAATACTGTTACCAATGGCCAATAGTGTGTGAGAGTACCAGATTTCACGCTCGGCTTGTAGTTGACAAGTCAGGGATTGGAATGGTAGAGAAGTCGGTCATTCCGCGGTAGCGAGAATGAACCCTGTCGGTTGACGCATTTGCTGACATTTTAGTGTGATAAGGCTGGGGAACTGGGCTCGACTTGGCTGCTTGGGAAGTACCCATGACTCGACTCGACTCGCGGTTCGCGGCTGAGTTATCCATTGGATCCCCCTGCTTGACATCCAAGTATGCCCCCTTGTCATTTTTAAGGCCAACCCGGAGAGCCAGGTTAGCAAGTAGCTAAGGTTAGTAACGATTTGGATGGTTCCCCGCGAGATTCAAATTCCTACGAACGTGACCATGTCCGGCTGGGTCTGGAATCACACGATTCCGAATCGGTGGAAAGCACCCTGTATTGATGCAAGGCTCTACTCGAGCCGCAATTTGTCTACTTCGATAGACTATTCTAATACTAGACAATAGAATATTTGGTAATCTGTTCTTTTCCGGGTATTGACCCGTCTTTCTTCAAGGGATGGGTCCTTGGCGAAAGCATGCCATCGAGTTCGTGCTACCCGGAGATCGTCTCCAGACTGCATTAGACATGCACAAAGCATTGACCATCGAAGAGGCTCAAGAAAAAAGGGCCGCGAATGATGTCGCTGATCTCTACTTTCTAGGCGAATGCGATATAATTGGAAAGATTTGTCAGTGAACATAGATAGAAGATTCTTGGATGCTTGTCTGTGCTTCGCATATGCACAATGGGATGATCTTTACCCCCCGCTTACCTAGGAATCCAGAACGTCTACCTGGACATTGGGCAGCTAATGATCTTAGGAAAAGAAGAAAAAATGATTTCTGAGGGTGGTCATAGGCGGCCTCGTGGGCGGGGTGCCTAATCTGTACGTGAGAATCATAATATTATAATTATATTATATTGTTATTATAACTCCTAAATTATAAGGCTGCTGACGGAAGATTAGGAAATATTTGGTCAGTTACCACGGCGTTGGTTCGGGGTGATGACGGAAGACGAAGAATTGAGAAAAATGTTGAAGAGAGAGGAAATTCTTAGTACGTAAATCACTTAGTAAAAACGGGGGGTAGCGTCGATATCCCAAGAAGGGAAGAAGGGGGGTGCATTATGCACCTAACCTTGTTTGGTTTATGCTCTATGTTGAAGGTATAGGTACCGGACCTGCCGCAGCTATATTGAATTCAAGGGACTGTACTTTTTTAAGGTAAGGCGTGAATTCTACCAATTAGACTTTTGTATTTGATCTAGCTGAGAGGTCGCTTAGCGGGTAAGGCTGGTGGCAGTGCATATGCAAGATTAAACGTAACCTCCTATTGGATAAATAGGCGCATTCTTACTATTCTAGGAAAATAGACCGTGCTTGAATTCGTATTGGTACTTTCGAACTAGCTACATACATCCACAATCACCCGTGGTACAACCAAAAGTCCCAATAACTTGGGTGCGGAAGATGCGTATTCCGGCTTGTCGTCCGTCTTCACCGTGAATGAACCTAGCAAGAGGTTCTTCGATTATAACCTCCACCGAACCCAACGAAGGCAATTATAAAGTGCCATGTTCGGAATCGGCCCGTAGACTGCTTGAGAGACCTCGGTATATCGCATGGCCCGGAAATACACAATCGTCACCTACCACATCGGCTTTAGGGTATTAGTTATAGGTTAATGGCTATTAGCTCCTGCATGCGTTTGCAGATCCGGATGATTTATGTCAGCTACTTGTTATTTATTTCAACGGTTCCTCCCGTTATCTACACACCACCATTCTCTGTAAGAGTCGAAGAGCCTCATGAATGTCTTAAAACATGATCATCGGCCGCCCCCGACAATATAGATTCAGTAGACCCGGACCGCCTCCATAGCCACACGATCTGTACTGCCCTGGCGTATCTTACTTAGAGTTGGACATTTGGAAATAAGTTCGGATAGATGAGTGACCCCGAGGGGAAACCCCAAGCAGGAATAGACAGGAGCATTGCCAATCCTACTTGTTTAGGTTATTTGAAAATCATCGCAGATGATGATAAATCGGCTATTCATTCAACTCAACGCATGTGTTGGAAGTGGAAAAGATGAATGGCTTCATCATCTAAGCCCCAGTACGCGTCTCGCTCATACGATCGTCGAGCATCAACCCGTGAGTCTTGCGATTGTACCAGGAAGAGCATGGCATCTAAATATGGTGCCTCATGGTGTGGTACCCTCTATAGTTCTCTGGAGCCTTGCATCTCCATATGGGGAAAATCTCCGATTAGAAGCCGCTGCATCACCGTTGCTAACACAATAGTGGAAGGTATCACAGTCGGATTTATCAAGCGGATATACAATCAATCGCTAAGCAAGTCTAGGTAAGCTCTAAATTTGTTTTCTCATCGAAACCAGATTCGTTCCACTCCGGCTCGTTCTGGCTAAATGCCTAGGATATACATACCTAGGTACGCATGTACATTATCATTCATCGTTATCATTATGGCCGCTCATGCGTACAAGCAAGGTCGGAATCGACCGTCCAAACTTCGACGTGACAGTATGACCACCCAGTCCTACCACCAGACCCGGCAGGAGTCAACAGGCATGAATGCCATGAGAAACGCTTACGCGTATCATCTGCTCTCTCATGACTGCGTTTGAGATCTGCCTGTCTAATATAGTCGTGCAGAAATCCCAGCCCATTCCTTTGTTGTGTAACTCGAACGTCGACTAAACTGTCGTCTTTGTGGGTGTGGCTGCGCAGCGGCGGAGTCACTCGTTTGTCGTCATCCAATTACCGGTAAGCTGAATATAGGAGTTAGGATAAAACAGTCAGCTATCGCTACTCTTATAGGATAGTACTTTTGTCGGCAATTCCAAATATGTATTCACATGAGCGGACCTTTATATTAGTATTATACCCCTTGGGTATCTGACTGACATCCACGAAATCATGCGGGAGCATTGTCCGTGGGTTCCTCAGGGTTTACCTCCTCTTCATAGCCGTCATCGGTGCTCTCGAGTCCTTCGCCATGAATCGCGTAACTCCCCAGCCATCCTGCGAGGGCTATCCCCGCGAATAGCCCCCAGGCAAGAGCTTCGCCTTTGGGTTGGACGTGTGTCGAGACTGTGAAGAGTCCACCCGAGAGGAAAGGGCCTACGCTTCTTCCGGCGGCCGAGAGGGTTTGCGCGATGCCATTGAGCCTACCCAAACTCGCGTGAGTCGGCGCTGAGTTGGTTATCTAGCTGATTGTTAGCGAAGGAATGCGACGACTCATTGTTTCAAAAGAAAAACTTACTAATAGCATAACGCTAGATAGGCCACCAACGGCACATATATTCTTAATGATGAGTATCGCTCCGATTTCCACGTACAGCCATAATTTACTGTCTCCCACACCAAATGGTGGGCTAGAATCCACGTAACCGACGAACGGCATCAAGGCCATAGTGACTGCAAAACCAAGCAAAGAGCCTCGATACGACCGAACATTGCCCAAATGGGATTTCAACGGCCCGAAGAGGAATAATTGGAACAGGATAGTAAACGCCCCAGCAACAGATAACGAGACTCCGATAACATCTGCATGTAGGTCTCGCCCCGTGGGTGTTTCCCCTGATGCAAATATAGGATACAGACTGTTGAAGGAGCTGTTGGATAACTGGAAGACCAGATGCGTAATGAGTAGAACTATGGTCGTCCGATTTAAGAGTTGGCGCCACGTAGTAACTTCGTGTGTTGATTTCGGGTCGCCTTCATCTTGTTCGTCCTCGTTAGGCTCAAGAAGAGTACTCTCCTCTCCTGCTTCATCCTCGTTTGCTTCCCTTTGCTCATTATCAGCATCTCTACCTCCGGGCCAAGTCCATGAGCGCTTAGATCCGGGTTGTGTTTGCTTTGAAGAACCAAATAGCCACGGAAGTTGCTCGCGCCAATTAGGAATGTCCCCCTGATCTTCTAGGGTCTCCTCGAACCAAATACCCAATACAACCACACTTAGGGCGAGAAGTGAAGCTCCGAGAACATTCGGCGCAAGGAAAGGATATTTATCCTTTGCGATCGTGCCCACTAACAAGCCCCCAAGGGCGGGACCTGTAATGCTGCCTAGGCTATACACGACGGGTAACCACGTGAAAGCCTTGCTTTGATTGCTTCGATCAGTCAATTCGCCGAGGCAGGTAGGGACAACAGCAGCGTTTCCATTGAACAATCCCATAGCCACATGTGCTAAAACAATATGGAAATATCTCGTGCAAAACCCAAAGCCCGCGAAGCAGAAGCACAGTAGTAAAGTGCCTAATAACATGACAGGTTTACGCCCGATCACGTCGGATAAGTATCCCCATAAGAGATTGGTTGCGAGTTGGGCCAAAGCAAATGCGGAGGCCAATAGACCAACGTATAAACCGACTTCATCGTGGCTAACACCGGGGAAGGACTCGATCATTTCGGGTAGATAGGGCGATATAGAGTTGAGAGCCGTCTGTTCGGATAAAGATAGGAGGGCCAAGAGGGCAAGCTGCTTAACAGGTAACGGTGTTTTTGCGCCATGGTGATCGTGGGCTTGGGATTCGGAGGAACTAGAACCTGTATCCGGTCTTCTGCCAGCGTTCCTCGGTGGCGGCGTCGGAAAGGTTTGGTAATGATGTTGAGTGGATACACGACGTAAAGTTGAGGATAAGGCTCGATTAGATGGAAGGGTAGGTAGAGGAGAGCCGGCGCGAAAACTTCCTATAGAACCTGATCTTGTTTGTGTTCTGCCTGGACGAGTAGCGGGCGAGACAGCCGGCACGATGGTGGCGGCGCGTACCATCTTACCCGATGGTAGAATAAATCCGAGCTCACGCGGGTTTAATCGTTAATCGACTGAGGGGCGCTTTGAGGCGTCTTTCATGACATGCGGAGTGACGTGAACTAGCCTAATTGATCACCGATCGACGATTGCGAAAGTCAAAAAGTTGAGATCGACCATGTATAGAGTAGACAATGGTAGAATTATACACTATTTGTTTTTTTTTTGTAAGCTTTGAGTAATAAGTTTTGAAGGATGAAGAAAATAAGTAAACGGGCGAATTAATCTGAACCTACGGCCGAGAAAGTTTAAAGCGATTCTCCAATCGGAGATACGATACGATGATGTAGTTAGGTAAAAAAAAAAGAGTTCCAACCATGGATTTAATCACCCCATTTTCTTTCCGTTTCCAGGGGCCAAGCACTATCGATAGCCTGTCCCTGGTACTTATAGCACCTGCACCTACCTAAATGATTGCCAGGGGTCCCTAAAGATGCAGCTACGAGGTTGGTGACTGGTTGATTTGACTAACCTGACCTTCGTCACACCGAAGATTAGGTACATTAATTACCCCACATCCAGTACCTAGGTGTACAATATACAGAGCCATGTGCTTCTAGATTTAATTATCATGACTTGTGATGTCCACGTTTTGACTCATGACGTATACTCCAATCAACAAAGACTAGACACTCACAAACAAATACGAAAACGTCTACAAGTGTAATTCGTACAGGCATAGATTCCATGCTATTATGTATTTTCTTTTTCCTTCTTCATGCGGTTTCACAAAATACGAAGGTAGGATTTTGTCACGTTTACCTAACAATTATATGCACATGCTAAACCCCAACCACCGTAGGGAAGTACCTGGAAGTAGCGTACCTTAGTGCGGGGGTACAATATTTTTAGTCCTGAACAGGCAATCCGCTGAATTGAAGCTAGGGATCTTCCGCGGGGTCAATTAAGCACCTAACTTTGTTTTTCTTATTCTCTAAGTTAAAGACTCTTGAAGCCATTATAAACTGAATCAATTATAACTCAGTTATCAACTTCAAATGAAGCATCGTAACTATGCTCTATTGGTTAGGATTGTTTCTGTTATATGAAAACAAAATGTTGGGATTTGAGAAGAAAAAGCAGAATCACAGAACAACCGAAGACAACTCATGTAAAGGTTTTTCAACCTAGCTCAACTCCTGCAATCGGTGATTCAGTATAACGTCTTCTGTATAACGCAAACATTTCCATCGCTTAAGTACCTACCTAGCTAGACAATAGGTACTGTTCAACCTGCAACTTAAGGAATAATAGTTCAGTTCCTTAGGTGCTGATCCGATGAAGAGAAAGTTATAAACGTGTAGATGTAAGTCATTCATTCAAAATACCTATCTCCTATCTACCCTATGCATGACCAGTCTAGATCCTGTACTATAGTAAAAGTCTCGTATCTTGAATTATATGAATATGGATTAAATGAATGCGATTTTGTTTCGTGTCGTGCCGTTTCGTTTCTCATTGAAAAGGGGATAAGGCGATGCTTGACTAAAGAGACCTCTCTCATAGGCCTCTTACTATAGGTCTAGTAACCCAGCTGTAGTAAATAGATCTCTTAGACGGGCGATCCGATCATGGGCATTCCCGAAAGTATTAGCGGCATCAATAGCTTATAGCTAGAAGAACGCCACCAACCAGTTGGAACAACTCATCAATCCTTCTTCCAATTGAAAAGGTTTGATAACGTCGCTGACAATCTCCTCTTCTCCCTAACCGGGATTTGCTTCGGATCTACGTCCGGGCCAGTGCCCTGTAGATGGGATACGGGATTTCGCTGCACCGTGGTGCTGTCGGTGCGTAGGCTTGTACTACTGCAGCATCCACTTGCCTGGTGTGTACCATTCGGCCCCTCACCGTTGTAGCACGGCACCAACACACTGCTCTCGTTTCTTGTACTCGGCACGTCTAGCGCCGGGTTGCTAGCGAAAAAGTCTGCTGGTCGTAGATGGAACTGATGGATCTCCACGGGCCTATGTTGAAGTTCATGAGTTAGCTACGCGGGATGAGAAGCAAGGGAAGGAAGAGAGAACGAAAAGAAAAAGAAAAGAAAAAAAAAGAAAAAAAAAAAGCAAAACGGGGCGGGGTTTATGCTCACATCACAGGCCAATCCTCAACGCGCGGATTATGTGTCAGACCAAACACACTCCAAACTACAGGGCTACTCTTCCTCCCCTTGTCCTTCCCGCCAACACCATTGGTGTGCGTCTCTCCATTTGTCGTCCCGTTTGCCTCTCCCTCCTCATCACCAAACCAGTCTCCCCTCTCCACCATCGCTTTAACACCGCCCTCCTCATAATGCGCCTGATTCGTAAACTCACCCGCAGCCCATAGCTCACCATCACGGTACCCAGTGAACCAAAGATGATGCTTTGCAAACGGAGCCCTAGCCGCCTGCACGCTACGATCATCCGCAAGCATCAACTGTGTCGCACTCGGGACAAGCTTATACCCAACATTCTTCCCACTGACCTTATTCCTCTTTGACTTACTCTCAAGCCGAACCACACGATTCAGCCTCGGTTCCGCGTCCTCGAACCCAGCGCGCGAGACCCGTCTCCGACGAATCTCATACCCATTGCCATGGGGATTCGTCTCAGGGTTCATAGGCACAGGATGGCTTTCCTCAATAATAACATTCGTATCATCCGCATCATACGAATCAACGGCCGGATCAATGCGCACCGCGAAAATATGCTGATGGTTCTGCGCAAGTACACCAGGGTTGACGATATTCCCGTATCCCGACGTCTTACCCTCATCGATCGGCACCACACTCACGATCCCCGTAGCGCGGGTCTCGACCGATATACCACCGGCCGTATCTAATTTAAACGCGAAGACGTACTCGTAATTCGCAAGCGTAGCCACAAACTGAATAACCAATTCACGCAAGCGCGTGACGACCGCACGGCCAGTCCGGAAGTTCGTATGTTTCCAACCGATACCGTTGTCCTGCTCATGCAGGCATATGACGTTCTTAGCCAAATCCGGGTTACCCTGCGGATCCGCGAGTAGAGCGTCGAAGTAGTAGATTGCGCCTAGACAATCACATCCCAACTTCAGGTTATTGGCCGCGCGACCGACACCACCGTCGCCAAAGTCGAAGGCTTGCTTTCGCTGGAATGGTGGACGCGGGTCACCGTACGGCACCGTCATTTCCGAGAAGGAGAGACGGTAGAGGATAGGCCGGTTCTCGTAGCATAGATCGTGCAATACGGCACCTTCGCGGAGCGTGAAGCTGAGGCGGAAACGCCATTTTTGCCATTCGACTAAGTTATCAGGGTGCACCTTGAATGAAGCACCCTCGGGTTGAACAACATTGATTGGTTTTTGGTCGGTTCGGACAGGCTGTTCTAGTAACTCCGGGACATACTCCGCAGGGCCACAGTTTTCGAAAAGTTTCTTAGGTTTGTCACCTCGGGGTTGCGGGTATAAGCCGTCGCCAGATCCTCCAGTGGCGAGGCGGTCAATCCTAATTAACTTTTTGGTGGCGAAGTCCATCACCGGAATTATAGGTAGAGGGTAAGAGTAGTGATTGGAGTCGATGTTATTCTTAGATGCATCACGGGCATATACCAAACCCTGCATATACCGAGGGATGTTCTCATCCGGATCTGGGCCTCCATATGGCCACGGATCTATCGTGACGACGAAGTTTTCTGGTAGGACAAACTCCTCTAGAGCATCCTTAAACATCTCTGAGGAGACGCACGCGTCTTGAAAAGTGGCAAACTCTGGTGCTGTGTAGCTTGTCTGGTATCGTTGCTCAAACGTCCTAGTGCTTCGAATGACACCGGCATCGATATCGACGATGCTCTCGGTGAGTTGAGCCTTGCCGCCCGTGATCACATCATATAGCAATTCGACTTGTCTCGGCGGAATAGCCTCGGGTATAAGACCCTCATGCTCGGCGGCAAGAAAGCTTGCTAATTCAGCTCTCTTCGGTTCATCGGCGTGGGCCGAACGAAACCATACAAGAGAACCATCAGCATTCTCCGCTCCGACAACAATTTCCCGAGCTTTTGAAAGCTCATCGGCGGAGAGTGGTCGTAAAGGATGAGGTATAGTTGAAACTTTATCGACAGTCATGTTTATTGGTAAGTTAATCTTATTTTATTCTATGACTCTGATTCTTCTCGTTTGGAATGAGTAGATGTATCGAGCACTTATACTAGAGAAACAAAGACTAGTGACGACAAGATAAGGACTGGTTGAAATATGACAAATAGTATACTAGATATAACACTACCTCAACTTAGGTACCTAGATAACTAGCAGGACCCTAGCCCGAACTTATACCCAATTCATATATGGTACCCTGAAGATCCGGGAGGCCTCGGGCACGAACAGGTGAAATAACTGATTGGGTAACGTGGGACGCTGTTGATATACATTTTTAGTTAGCTTCTAAGGACAATATGCACGTATGTGATCTTTGTCGGGTTCGGTACCAAGACGAACAGGCATTGTCTTAGATCAGAAGACCGCCACCCGGACCGGGTACGGCGCAGCGGTGCGGGCTGGAGTGGGGTATATTCTACCCATCGTAGGGGTTCTTAGGTGTTTGTAGGGGTAGATATCTACTTATATCTACATGCTTGTTGGTATACTACCTATACGTATCGTGGTATCTTGATTCGGCTTCAAACACGCAGATCATCCATGTCCAATCCATACGCAGTCGTACGTCCCCATGTGGGGTCAAAGGCGCTCTTCCTCACCTCTTTTTCCTTTTCCTTTTCGATGTCTCGCCCTGTTGTTTTTTACGGGACGCCATGCGATAGCTTATAGATAGCTTATCATCCGTGGCATGGTTGGCAGCTGTAATGTAATGTACCTAAAACTCACCTACATATATAAGCGTAATAAGCTATATCGGGCAAGTCCTTGCGAGCGCTCTTTATTTCCTCTCTCTGCCCTCTCGACTGCCGGCATCCGCTTAGGTCGGTAGACGGCGTTACTGAAAACCAGCTTGTATTCGCCAAGCGCCTTGGCTTTTTAATTAAAGATTTCCCAGCAGACGGGCGAGTCGCACATGGCGATATTATGCATTGGAGATCAAGTACGGAACGCAACCTAGCTACCGGTAGTTTGCAAAGACTACTTAATTAGGAATCCATACGCTACTATTACTACCCGACCGCTGGTCGGCCTACGTAGGCCTCCCACGCCAACGCCCACATTCCCATCGCCGAGGCACCAGGGGGGTTCTTGATGGAGGGGTAAGAAATCCATAGATTTCGACAACCGAGTCCGCCCGATTCAGGCTTGCGACGCTGGGAATTCCCGGGTTGACGTACCAATGATCGACCCCTAATGCATTCCACCCCCCAGCTTATCACAACGTATTCAGCCGCATGTGCGTGCGTGTGTGCGACCCTCCTACCATCTAGGAACATATATTGACGGGCGGTACGGATGGGTATATGTATGCAAGTCTTTACTGCGGACCGGCCATATCAGTTGCATGATATATCACGCATTCCCAATCCTCCTCAGTTGTCGGGCGTCGTTGGTGAGTCGATTGCCAGGACACCACCATACCTATCATGAACGCCAGGCTGTGTCAAAGTGAGGTTATACCACCTGCAAACGTTAGGTGACAAGCACTGCCGAAATCCGATCAAACTGAGGGAATATTTAGTCGTCGTCACAGCAATTAAATAGGATTTTATTTGACTGCCGAACGCGTCGGGAATCATCCCGGTGGGAGGACATGCCTACATAGGTATCATAGGAATCGAAGATGAGCAGAATAACTCTCTGGCTATTGATGGACAATATTGTACTCCAATCCCGCTACTATACAAGGCGATCGCTGGTTACTACGACTTCAGCTTCAAAACACGGGCCAGTTATGTGCCGTGGCAGTGCGAACCGACGAACGGAATCAACTGCTGACATCCAAATATATCGCGCTTAAGCATAGTTTGTACACCGTCTATTCATGTCTCGGTGTGAGACTGTCCTCCTGCCAACGCATCAGCACGAGTCTAGATTTACCGCTGAGAATGAACACATGTTTATGTAGTAATTGAGATGTTCAAAGTTCAAACAATATCTAGGTACCTACCTAGCTAATCCTATTTTCAAGACGTATACGGGGTATCTTTTCCAATCCACAGTCAATCATACCAAATCCTTCCATCCTAATTGGCAACCCCTTATTCCCAGAGTCTCATGCTCATTCACCCTTTTCGCCTGTCTCTGTAGTAGCGGGCTCCTTCGAAACAGGTGGGGTCTCAACGCCCGACGCCGCCTTTCCATCAATCGCGGCAGTATTGTTTTCCGCGCGAATTGTGGTAACATGTCTCTTCCCCGACAAGTCAAGCACGATAGCTTTGAATGTTCTCGCCAACGTCTTTCTTCCCTCGAAGACAGGGAAAATTCCAACAGCGCCGAGCGAACAGAAGATCCAAATGATGCCCACGGTGACCCAACCCGTGAAGAACGGCTTGGAGAACACGTAGTTGCTACCATACATGGGGAACGGCCATAGAACTAAGAAGGCAAGTGTGAGTCCCACCGTCGTCCACTTAGAAATCTTGCTAGCCCGTGCCAGCTTCGATTGCTCTACCACGAACTCGTTGTCTGTCTCGACGTGTCCTCCTACTGTCTGCTCCAGATCCACACCCGCTGTCGCAGCAAGGTCGTGGTCATCACCTCTACGAATGTTCATCATCGACTTCCAGTCGTAGTTATCCATTCCGAAGATAAGAGTGAAGATCGGGATGAGGACAAGAGGGGACAGAAGCGCAACAACATTTCCAGCAAGCATGGGGTTGTTAGACCCCGTGCATGCGACATCCAAGGAACCACATTCATTTCGAGCGGTCACGAGCCATGCGACCAAAGCGAACGCAAGCCCGAAGATGGGAGATAGTGCTGCGGCCCACTTGTTCTGTCCCTTCCACACAAGCGTCAAAGTGGCGGGTATCACAGCAGAAGAGATGATGCAGCCCATCATGAGGTATAGATAACCCATTGAAATCCCCGCGTAGTAAAGACCAACAGAAAACGTGGAAATGAACAATGCATAAGTCACGACGATAACGTGCGACATGTAAATAAGACGTCTACCACTAGCGTCGGGCTTGAAGTAAGTGCGGTAAAAGTCGTAAGTGAAGATAGACGAGACAGCGATCAACTCGGATGAAGTCGCGGACGTGACAGCCATAAATATGATCAATAGTGTCGCAGCTGCGCCTCCTTTTCCTAGAAGAGCGACAGCAGCATACGGGAGCACGAGACCAGCCGATACATCGGCCTCGGACATGCGGTTAGGGTACGTTGGGAAAGCTGGTGTGTTCTCTAGAGCCAGAGCAGAGAGACCCATGGTCGTCGCAGTCAGCCAAGGGATAGCAAACCAGCTAAGGCCACCAAGGATGTAGCCGGGGAGCGCATGAACAGGCGATGCTGCAATAGCCTTATTATAGTATCCATTATCAAGGAATACGGTGCCGAAGTTACCAACGATATTGATAACGAAGAAAATAGCTCCCTCTTTTGAGCGCATAGTTAGGTAGCTACCCTGTGCATTACCTTCGACGGGGTGATTGAACGCTGCCTCCACCAATAGATCATATACAGCTGACGGAGATCCAAGTCTGTCGGACGAAGCATAAGCCGTCAAAGAGAATATGATTATAATGATGAGTAGAATGAAGGTGTGGATCCAATCCGTTAGGATCGTTGCCTTTAGACCACCGACCAAAGTATATGCGATAACACCAATGGGTAGTAGGTATATAGCCGCGATAGTGTTCATTCCAGTAAGGGCGCTCACTGTCGCAGAACCGCCGACTACTAGCATAAGACTAACGAGGATGTTTGTCGCAAGACCGAACATCATGAAGACGATGTGGGCGACAGTTCCGTATCGAGCTTTTATTCTACTCAAATTATAAGTATTAGGTCCGCAACCGCACAGCGAGTGCTAGGAACCCACATTTCGAGATAAGTATGCGCATTTGGAGCGCGTCGCTTCAATTCAATGGCTAAGGTTGCGAAGAGTAGAATCTGAACGGTCGCTCCCGAAGCATACCAAAATGGGCCAGAAACACCATATCTATAGCAAACACCCGAGCTCTGTAGAAGTGTAGCCGCCCAAGTCCACGAAGAAACAACGGCAGAACCAACTAATCCACTCTTAACTGTTCGGCCGGCGGTGTTGAACATTTCGGACGTTTGGAGTTCTGAGTTATATCGCTTGAGGACGAATGTAACTAGTATCTAGAAATCACAACCAGTCAGTACACTCAATTGGTGTCACACAGCTAATAAGGTTGTAGCCATCGTCATACTTCGTTGGTCCAACAAGCTGTTGGACGTGTATAACGAATTACTCAGGCAACTAGACAATTGGGAACTAAAAATATGAGTAAATGAGCTTTTACTTACCATTCCGAGAGCAAATCCAAACCCCAGACCAAGGACAACACCATATCCGACGCCCTGGTCTAATGGCGCCGCCACTGTTGCGGTCGCCATTCTGTCTTTCTGCTATACTTAAGACTGGAGACAAGAATGCAATGTCAGTGTATAGGACTCGCTAAACAGACCGCGAATTAGACGACTAAGTGACTAAAATGCGCAAAATTTGGGAATGGCGGTATTATATAGTTTCTAAACTCGTTGGACCGCGACTGCGGAACGCTATCAAGTGTATATGTAATATATATTTTGCTTATCAGTAGGTAGCTTAGGCCCCGAGGCTCTCCCCATGCATGCCCCAGATTGGCGTACTGATATCGCGGTCTTTGTGATGGACTACCCCCCCGCATGCAGGGTCTCACCTAGAAAAGGTACATGGGGGATAGATAATAAGCCGGCTGTCTCATCAAATATGAAAATTATTAATAACTGAGCCTATCATATCCCAAGCCATATAGTTGGTAGAGCCCGGGATCTATCGAGATGGGATCCATTGCAGCTCTGGCGAATGTAACTTCTTTACCAAGTCGATGACTGGAAGATTTTTGTGTATATCTATGCTAGCAATAGACTTCGGACTTCGGCTCTTCCTAAATCAATCAATAGGCTTACCAATAAACTTAGAAACTACATGACGAGAGTTACACAATAACCACTTGCGTAATCTAAAGAGTATTGTAGCACGAACCGTAGGTAGGCTCCGTAGATCATGTTGGTATACACTAGTCTTTGAGCTATGTTCTCTCCGTTAAGCATTTCCTAATCCGTGGGATATTGATAAGGACTGCAAATAGAATCGCATTGTCAGATCCAAAACAAAACGAAACTAGGATAAAGGGGATAAAAGATCGATGAGGTCGGAAATCCGTGACCCCCATGAACGTGTAAGCGGAAACTTATCTAAAGGCATTGACCAATCACAGAGTCCGTGCAGAAAACGAAACTGATAAGACAAATATGGGGCAAACCTTGGAACTCTAGATACATCCCGGAGCGATTACGTCACGGGTATGGTGGTCCGTGCTCTAATGTATGTACTATATAAATACAATTTTTGCAAAATTTGACATCAGTCGCGTAGTGTAGTTGGTTATCACGTCAGTCTAACACACTGAAGGTCTCCAGTTCGAACCTGGACGCGATCATCTTTTTGGCAATTATTGCACATCATTCTCACATATTGAAAATTTTGCCCCAGTCGGTTCAGTCGAAGTTGTCAGGTTGGCATCACTCCATTTCAATAATTTTCAGCCGCTGGAGGTTTGCGCATTGATATAGGTGAGGCACCTAGGTAGATATATATTAAGCTGCCTTGGGTCAGAATTGTAATACCCCTACTATATCCTTTTTCTTCTCTAAATGCACCCCACACCTGATATATTACCAAAAAACTCCATTATCACTTTGCCATATTGATCACCAATGGCTAGTGCTACTTCATCCTCTCGAGATATCGTCTTCTCTTAAGTTGACTTCTTACCTCTTTTTCTTCTTATGTCGACTTTTCCTCGCCCCATCGCTCTTCGCTGTATCTTTCATACCATTGTCTTGCTTGGGGTTTTCTTGCCTCGGACTATCCTTCCCAGACTTGCTAGTCTTTGAGTCGGTCGAACCATCATCGCTTGATTGTCGTAGAGATTTTCTACTGAACCATTTAAAACCCGCCAAGAAGTCACTATAGCCCATCGTCGACGAGGAACTTGCAGATGTATTCTCAGTAGTTGAAGTGCTCAAGATCTTGCGTTTGGGATCTGCCTAGAATTTGATAAGTCGATAATATCATTTGTTTCCCTACTGTCTACCTACATTGTGTTTTCGGGCGTTTGGATCGACCATTGCAGTATACCTGGGTTGTTCTCGGTCAGAACGCTAGAATATCATAAGTTAGTTACTGGGCGTAGTCTTTCACAAGTAGGGGAGCCGGGCACCAGCATACATCCTCTCTCGAATCAAAAGAGTACATATTAGGCTATTATCTCAGTTGCAAAGCGGACCTAGGGGTCTCATTTAAGGGTTCAATAGACAAGATGCTGGTAGTCCCAGTGAGAATGTTGATAAGGTTTCCATCTTGGACATCATTTACATTAAATAGAAATGCAGGAGGCGTGATAGTCACAATTCTCCAGTCATGTCTACTGGATCCCATGTCTAGATGCATGACTCGATTCTTACGATGAATATGATAGGGATGTGTCGGAAAGACATGACAATGGCCTACCATGACGTTTACCAAAACAAATACGGAAAGATCTTATATTTTGCTAGAATCAGATTAAAATACTCGTCGAGGATGACAAGCTTACGGACTCCCTTCAAATCAATACTATGCAAGCTTGGCTCAGGCTCTACTCATAAAGGGGTTCAGCACTAGGTAAGGTGTAACCATAAAATAGCATGACTTTTCGCTATACAAACGGCTAGTATAACTCCTAGGTGAAGACTGCAAAGCTTATCCCCGTATTTTAGAGTAATATCAAACTGTCGTCGTTCGCCCCCTTTCTGGCAATATGCGATCCGACCTAGGTGGTGGCTAATCTGTCTCTTATATATGGGTACCAGGTATCTATAGTTTCATATAAACTACCTAGGTAGGCTTCATTTACGATATTTGGATAGCTTTCTTGACAAATGAACCAACTTGCTACTTTCCTAGTCTCAAACTACACTAGTTTATCAATTGGGGTGCGAGAAGTCTCCTAGCAATAGTCTGAGCATGTATCGAGGGTACTAACTTCATTACGCTATGAGGAGCTCGCAATTAACTACTACAAGGATTCAATTTAATATACAGTAAGAGTCTCTTTATTCCCATTTATTATAGTAGGCCCATATGACGGCTGTGGATGGGATTGACATCCCGATATCCCCTATGACACACCACTTCTACAAGGCCAGACTACTAAGACTAAATAAATTTCCAACGGCTGCCAGCGTAAAGTATATTAACTTTAAGGTACCTAGAGAACCGGGAGAGCTCTATAGTCCAGTGGCCCTCTTCTCCCTAGTGTGATTTCTGTATCGTTTGACTCATGAATACAAGAAGCACCCCCATGTACCTATAGCGTAATTAGCCAGACGAATACACAGAGTATTGGTTTGATTACTAACGCTACAGTGCAAGCAAATAATTCATGCCTCCTTGGTCGCGTCAGATATTTGAGACAACAGGCAAACAAACATGTAAATGCGAGCTGAATAAACATAATACCAATCAGGGTGCCTTCAGTCATATCGCCTTGACTTAGGGTGTATAAAGGGTAAATCGGGCCTACGAGTAGCACGATTAATGGAATTCCTAGAAGAATACCCCTCGCGATCATGATTTTGCGAGCGTTAAGGACTATCGTATATTCGTGTCGACCACTATGCTCCTAGGATCAAGTTAGAAACGGATCCCTAGCCCCTCATTACACGTCTAGGTAAAGACTGGGACATACTCTATCGTTAAAAATCCTCTATACATATAGGCGTCAGTTCATCTAATGGCATTATCATCTATGGGGTACCTACACGGGTGAACCTGTTAGGTGCGTCCAACAGAAATTTCATCAGGCGTACATCGAAACCCGACGTGTCTTCTCGCGGCTTAATTGCCATCAAGTCTTCCTTGTAGAGATAATACTTGTCCTTTTCCGGAAGAGGGTCATGTATATCATAAAAATGTTTTAGACTCTTGAAGTGCGTTTCTAGGGGTTCTGCTCGAAGAGAGAAGTACGACACGTGCTGCAGAATTGAGACTAGAGAACGTCAATTAGAATTTAGATATAGCTCTAATGGCCTCATCCTCGAAAAAGGGTCTCGGAGTAGTGAATTTACCATATGTTTTGAATTTATCTTCGATCTTCTGCAATAGCCCAGTACGAATTCGTGATGCCTCGTCACTCGCCTGGCTCGAATGTAGAGTATCGCTATACCTGTCAAGTGACTCAAGCTCCTCTTCATATGCTCGGAGCTGGTCTTGAAGATTAAGCAATACTCTTGCTTGTAGATAATTGAATCGGCGGAATATCAAGTTATTCTTATCTGTTGCGATGTATGCTCCAAGCCGTGGGTATCCATTCGGATAATCGTCCACTAAGCGGCGTTCAGTTGATTCCCCCCGTAATATCTCGTGGAGATAAATATATCATTACCACTCACTACTCTTAAATATATCTTCAGGAGAGTCACATGTAGATTCTGCTCGGCTACTCCTGAATCTGGTTATAATCCTCCTAATAAAGCGACAGGCCCCAAATTCCGATCTAGAACGGGAAGAGGAGGTTTCTCCACTGTCTTCAGTCACTCAGCATGCGATTGCTTTCCCATTCTTCTATACCGATAAACATACCATTATCCAGTATTCCTTCATGCGTAGGGTTGTTCAAAACCACACCGGTTTCAATGTCGATATTATCCGCCATTTGTCGTGTTAGAAGTGGGTTTACCTTGGGGAGGGAGCGTGGTAGTTAATGCGCGTTCTGCTGAATATACTTTGATTTGGGATGTAGTTAGGTCTATAAAGGTCTTTAAGTACTCGAGGCTCCACGGGCACGACGGGGGAGGGTTTACTTTGTTATACCACTATACTCGGGGGGGGATGACTAGTATCAGTTCATCTCACGAAATGCAGCCGCCCCAGGGTTCCACACCGCAAATTCTACGAGTCCGTATTACGCATTGCAACCCTTTTATGTTTATTTGAGGGTAAATTTAGATCATTAAAGAGTTCTAGAACGGCACTTTCAAGTGCTGTGTATATAGTTGTATGTGATAACATACCTAGAAAGGGCGTTCTGAATTGGGGTGTTTTCCTTTCTTCCCTTTAGTCTCAACTTCGGTGTCTCACGGTTTATGTTGGCCCATTCTATCATTAATAGGAGGCAGCCCCCAAGAACCATCGAGATAAATACCTTCCCCATTTCCCGCTTGACAAGTCGACATGCAACTAACTATACTCTGTGAATATGTTTTTATGTCGGGACCGGGCCAAATCTGTACTGCGCCCACGCCACACTACCCTCATGCAATGTCCATGTCCTCTTACCGACATCAACTCCCGCTGCGCCAGCTGTGACGTAGACGGGCATCAGATGGTCAAAGCGCTAGAAGGGTTAGCAATGTCTAGCATTAGACATGTATGAAACTCACTGGATGAGCTTGTCTAGCATCTGGCCGCTCAACAACTTCATTCATACGAGCCTGGCGCTCACTCGGTGGCGACTCAGTAGCGTCTTTCAGAGCCTCGTCAAACGAAACGGCGTAAGGCAACGGTCTAGGATCACCTCGGGTAGCGAACATGTCTCTCAGATTATGCACGGACATTCCCGCGCCAATAATAACGATACCTTCGTCCCGAAGGGAAGCGACGGCCTGGCCGAGCCGATAATGCATGTCGGCATCCTGATTGGAGTACAGGCTTACTTGCACCAGCGGAACGTTGAGAGGGTTCTCCTTTGGATGAAAGGCTTAGGTTATGTGAGTGAGACGTCCATAGGTGGTACAAGAATCGGGAGCCTACCGACGTGGAATCCGGACCATACGCCGTGGTCGAGACCTCTAGTTACACCCTTCGCCTTGATACCGGCGTTCGCCAAGAGACTTAGTATCTTGGACGCTAGTTCAGGGCTTCCCCTATTCGGGTACTGAGCCTTGTAGAACTCTGGTGGAAACCCGTAGAAGCTGGGAACTTGTTAATATGGATCATGGTGGATTGCTGGGTTTGGTGGGATACACACTCGTATATCAGATCCGTGTGTTCCGCGGTATTGACCTCGATGACACGAGGATCTGATTCCCAATGACCTGAGAATACGACAACAGCTTTAGGCTTTACCTTCTCAGTGATTTCTTTTCCGATCTTCTGGAGGACGGAATAGGCGGGATGTTCCGTCCTGTATTGCACATCTGGCTATCCCATTATGTTAGGTTACTAGTAATACGGGAAAAGGTACCACTAGGGTTGAGATAGAGAAGACAGGAACGTACCCCTCCATGGCTAAAAAAGTAAACTGGGGGTTTAGTGGATGTCATTGTGTGCGACGAAGAGAATGTAGATATCTGATTGTGTGATAAAAATGAGGATATAGGTGCCCAGGTTGAAAGAGGCAAGAAAATACGAGACAACGGGGTTGAAAATAGGAAAGCCACAATTGCGACAATCAGCGACACTATGAGAAACGATTTTGTAATTAATTTAACGGAATCCATAGGGGAATTTTATAACTTTTTATTTAAAGTACACCGGAATAATTAACGAGAAAGAGGAAAGAGGAATAGGCGATAATGAAACCCATTTGTAATTCGTTCCTAACCATTTTGAAATGTTTGATGCACTTAAGTTACTGAAAGAAGCCCACGATGAAGCAAGCACCTGAAGCCCCGGTGCCCCTTACCATTATCGATTTTTCAGCGATTACCAAGATCAGTCAGCATCACTGTAAGCAGCTGTACTAGTACCTGTAGCTGTCAACTAATAGGGAGTAGGTACCTAGCTAGGGTACCTAAAGGTAGGTTGTGTTACCATCTTCGTGCTAAGTATTACGCTATGGCGGTGAAGAATTAGGTAACCACACCTCTAACTAAACCGCCCTGTTCCGGGTAGTCGCAGTTACCCTAACCAATTGAATTCCGGTCACACACACATAACGGAACACCCCCACCATTCCGCCTAGAAACTGTAGAAACCTGCAGTCGGAGTTAGTGAGTTAGTGCCCCTCCATCTCCTTCTCATCAATATCATGTACTCAACCTAGAGTACACCAACACAACTTGAAACAAAAGCCCGAGCATTGATTGACCGAGGTGGATGCTCGTGTTCCCCTCTTTACACAGATTCATTCTTTCATTTGCCACATTTTCTCTCACCACAGCCGCGTTCGCTAACGCACGATCCGATCCGACCATGGCAACGCGAATAGCCCCACCACTGCTATTCCCGGCTGCGGCTAAGCATACAGCTACCGTTATTTTCATCCACGGATTGGGAGATACGGGATACGGATGGGCTTCTGCCGTAGAGAACTGGAGGAGGCGTCAAAGATTGGACGAAGTCAAATTCGTTCTGCCTCACGCCCCGCGTGTACCTGTCACCGCTGTAAGTAGGGTTCTTACCGAAGGTTAATTATCGATACATATATGTATCTGAAAGCTCACTTGTTGAGGACAGGCTGATGGAATGCCTATTCCCGCTTGGTTCGATCTCGTAAGTGGCCACCCCCCCTCCTTACCTTCCACGAGACCCTAATACCTTTCCCTAGTTTGCATTGAACGGGAAGACAGACGATCTCAGAAAGGAGCAAGATGAGAGAGGAATACTAAAGAGCAGAGACTACTTCCACGAGCTGATCCAAGCCGAAGTCAACGCCGGAATACCTGCTAACCGCATCGTTCTCGGTGGCTTCTCGCAGGGTGGTGCCATGGCCCTATTCGCAGGACTAACAGCAAAGGCCAAGCTCGCTGGCATAGTTGGATTGTCATGCTGGTTGCCGTTGGACTCCAAGTTCGCCGATTTCGTCAAGGAGAACGATTACAACCGTCAGACACCGATATTGATGTGCCATGGCGATGAAGACCAAGTCGTACCTACGAGCTTCGGCAAGCTCTCGTCGGAGTTACTAAAGGAGCAAGGTTACGATGCTACCATGAAAATCTACCCGTGAGTTTTGTTCTATTTAAATCCTACTAGGTGGTTGAATTGACTGTTATGATGTAGTGGTATGCCCCATTCGGCTTGCATTGAAGAACTCGACGAGGTTGAAGCTTTCTTAAGAGCGCATCTGCCGCCCCAAGATGACGGGAAGTCGGAACTATGAGACGCTTTGAGGGGATGGCGAAGGCTTCATAAAGCATAAAAATACAGAAGGGGAAAAATTAGAGATATAACTAGATTATCAAGTTTGCGATGAACTGAGAATCTTTTTATCGCAGACGGCGGGTGATAAGACAATTGGAGACGCGAATGAGAATCACAGGACGAGAGCATCGCATGTTTCAGGTAACAGCGGTAAGGCCTGGGATTTTACTGGTTGCATGTGCTAAAGTAGCATGCAATGGGTGTCTCAGCTGCCTGAGTCCATCTGACATCGCAGAAATTCATATGAATTCTAAGCCAATTTGCTTCCTTTTATCTTATCATCAGTATATTTTTTCTGCTCTTATGAGTTTTTGTTGACTTTATACGGAATTGAGTATAACTGAGCACATTGGAATTAGCACCTGTTCCTACCGAGGCACATAGCGATGGTAGCTCTAGGACTTAAAAAATAGGGGAGTGATCGCCTAAGAAATAGCTTATCTTATCGTGGGTAGAGTTGGAGACGGTGGAGTCGGATCACAAGATAGCTGCATAAATCGTAAGCTAACCACCTAACCAACCTACCTAAGATACCTACCTAACCCAAGCCTTATTATTCGCTACCTAGGAGCCTAGTATTTTAACCTTTGCTTCCGAAACAAGATTTCCAAGGGTTTTTATATCATTTTCTCTTATCAGCTGCTCAACATTTTCTATCTCTGATTCTCTAAATTATTCAACTTTTTGTCCCGTCGTGCCCGGCTGTCAAAACACTCTGCTCTCGCTTCATACGCTCTGTCCGATTTGTGTTATCCTCTATTTTGAACATGATGATCCAACCTATACTATTGCTATTAGCCTACTAAGCAACAGCCGACTCTACTACTCGAGCGGCTAGGTATCATCACCAACCTATCCATAATCTATACTACCCTAGACTATTAAAAGATAGACCCAACGAACCCCGTTGCTACGCCATCGGATCTCCTCAGCCCTCAGGATATTACCAACGTAAACAAACCCCACCGACCAGTAGCATCCCTCCGATAATTTACCCTACGAAAATCCTCACACGAAAAGCAAGGCAAAAAGCAAAAAAATGGCAACGGCACGACCGGCATCGGGCCGGCCGCCGTCTCCCTCCCCCTCTCAAGTTCCTCTTCCAGCATCTCCAACATACTCCTACGCCTCAACAGCCAATCCGCTCTCATCCTACAACCTACCTCTCCCACCACCACCTCGGCCCGCACACGCAGTCCTTACCAAAGCCGACCTCGACCAATCCCAACTCGCATACTCCGACCTCCTAGCCACAGCCAAATCATACCGAATCGCTCTCTCATCCCTCTCCACCGCAGCCTCAGCCTTCGGGTCCGCACTCGAAGCCTGCGCACGACTAAAAGAATCGCGCGCGGACGCCCTAGGACCACCCGGCGGCGCTAGTCTAACGAATAGCTTCACGACCAAGAACTCATGCACAGCGGACCTCCTCCTCAGCGCTAGCGGCGTGCACCACCTAATCGCAAACCACCAACAAATCCTCTCCGAAACTGTATACCGGTCCTTCGAAGTTCCCCTACTCCACGAGCTCGATCGATGGCGGCGCGCAATCGAAGATGAGGACGAGACCTATAAACGAGAAGTCGCTACGCGAAGTAGGGAAATCCGTCGACTAGAGAAGGAAGGGTTGAAATTGCATAGACAGAGTCGAAGACGCGATGTCGCTAAATTTCGCGAGCATTTGGTTACGCTGACGAGTAAATTGGATGGGCTGACTTCGTTGCATGCCGGGCATGCGCGGACTTTGCTGCGCGATTCCCAGGAAACGTCGACGAGGATCTTGGATGCGAGTTGCTCGTTGGTGCGGGCTGAGGTTGATATTTTTGAGGGTTTGGCGAGGAAAGGTTGGACTGGAGGTGGGCTTGACGATTTATTGGAGAAAGGTCAGGATCTATTCGCCAGTGAAGAGGATGTGCCTGCTGCGGTAGCGACGGCGGGTGGTGCGGTGGCGGTTGTAGCGGCTGGGACTGGGAATGCGATTGATGGGGGGGCGAAGCTGTTTAGTATACTACCGCCTAAAAGCATTCTCGCGAACGACGCTGCTTCGGACTCTGGACGTACAGCACGAGGCCATGGGCGTGCGGATAGCCTATTGGTTGATTCCGAGGACCAGTATCAAAGCCTAACAGGGGCTATAGATCACCAAGATCGCGGGAGAGAAGAGGGTGCTGGGAAGAAGGGAGGTGACACAGAAAGCATATTCTCCGAATCAAACACGAGCCGCGGTCTACGGCCGTTTAGTCCACAGCCTATACGGCGGCGGCCCACGGATGTCATAATGGACCCGGAATTTCTATTATCAGGTGATGACGAACCTGGAAACGGTACCCCTGAAGATGATGGCGATGATGATTCATATGATGCTGCGACTGTTAAGGGCGCTAGGGACGCATCAGCTCAGGGGCTAGGTATAGCGCCAGGAGCACGAGGGTCCGTACAACGTATATCATCAGATGATGACAATCGAAACGGAGAATCTGAATCACCATGGAGGGATGAAAGGACACGGCAGAGGTCAAGCAGTAGTGTCAATCGCGTCCAAGGTTTCCCTCCACTGCCAGCAAGTGAAGATGGGATGGATGATAGATGATAGATTAGGGTGTTTGTCTAGTTTGGTTACATTGGAAGTATACTCCTAGTATTGATACACAAGACGGGTTTAAATATCATTGTTACACGAGTATGATTAAAGATGATGTGGGTAGGGAGGTCGACAATGCGATAGCGCCGTTATGAGTTACGGTACACGCATACAGATACAGATGGGATGGATGAGTTGGTTATTACTCTCATCATGACTATAAAGGTAGATCAATAGATGAAAGACACTTCATCAGTTCAAACAAGTTTAATACTGACATTTCATCTTGAGTGTTTATGTTTGTACGCTTGATGACATCCATCTCTTTGATGATTAAGTCACGCAGTACACATATATCGCTAATTGACTAGGTACATCTCAAATCCTAGCATAGTTCTATTACACTCATTCGTTAAGGGTGGATAGATTATATCTTGATTATAGCATGCCTATTATGCTGGTGCAAGTACCTAGCGAAGCTCCTTTCCACGTCTAGCTTGTCTGTCTGTCTATAGTAGTAGGATTAACAAATGTCAAGCATAGCACCGCTCTTATACTTTGCTGTCGATGCAGGACGCTAGACTGATTCTAACGCGCATGTGCGTCTCGCATGCTTTTGTCCCCTTAGAAGGTAATGATCTTGTTCCCCAACTCCGATTCCAAAATGCGTGATTACCGTGCCTCACTCTTTTCGTCTCCCTCTCCCTTTGTGTCGCCGTCGTGTTTAAAGCCGCCTGAATGTCGGCAAAGTAAATAGTTCAGGTCAAATCAGTTGGCTTGTCGCGTCAAATTAAAGCGCCTAAGTAGCCGGTCCGTTCGTCGAGGTAGAGTAGTAAGATCTCTCAATCGTCTTTGTCGCCGCTAACGAGTTCGCGACTGAAAAGACCAAACCACAAGTCCAGAAAGAACATGAGCTTCCAGTACAAACTAGCGCGGTTAAAATCGAATTCACCGATTTCGTTTCGAGGGACCTCATTCCCAATCATGGAACCGCCGAACCAGCCGATTAGAGGAATCCATGATAGCAGCCATTGCTGTAAAGTTGGCTGCGGTGCCAGAGCCTGCTCTGCCGGCAAGAGCCTAACCCGCCGGGCCTCTGGAATACGTCGGCAGTACGCGCCGTCCGCCCCCTGCTCCTGGTTTTGGGGTTGCTGGTCTGCACCTTCTGGAAAATTGCCCAAACCTGCGGGGATTCCCGTCACGGTCGCAGTTGAAGCGGTGGCCGTATCCATCGTTTGAGTTGAACCTTGGGATCCTGTTGGAGACTCATTTTGCTTGCCAGCCCGCTCAACATTAGGTGTTGAGAGAGATCTAGGAAATGATGGAGCCTTCTCCATGCGAGGTTGTGATGGCCGTCTAGCTCTGCCCCGTGATCGGAAGGGGTCAAGCATGCCGGTATCTCCCGCTATATCTAACACTGCAGCATCTTCCTTAGGAGGCAGGCCAATATAGGGTTCGGCGTAGACGAGATGGCCCAATATTTTTTGCGGGGAGGCGTACAGCGCAGCCTCGGCAGCTTCTGCTGACTCGAATGTGATTTTAACCCAGTGTTCCCCACTAGCTACTCTGCTGACCTTTACTCGTTCAGTAGATGATAAAGGCTGTCGTCGAGTCAGCGCAGGGTCTCGTAGGTCCGATTTATATCGTCGCGATTCGATCGGTGGTTCCCTAGAGTAGTCTTCACATATCCTTCCCGCCAGTTGCTCGTAGTGGTTGATAGCCGCGTACTGTTGCGATGGGGAAGAGTAGCCTCGAAGAATGATTTCCGTAGGCTCTTTTCGATACGTAGAGGCTTGCGTGGTAGAAGCAGAGTCTTCTTGTGATTGTGTCGCGGTTTGTCCTAGAAAACTAGACTTACGCTGCGTAGGGGCAGCATTTGAGGACGCTGTGGCTGTTGTTGTCGCGTTGGAGGCTTGCTGGCGACTCGATACGTAGTTGGAGAAGAGTTTATCGGCATTTTGCATAGTGGCATCTTCGCGTTTCGGCGGCGCACTGCCCGTTCTCGATCTGGATCGTCTTGTCGATTTACCGAAAGAACCGGATTCGGTCACCTCTCGTGCGCGCGTGCGCGGTAAGTTTCGCTGACGATCGCCCCCTCTATCCTCCATAGTGGTAAGCGGGTGTGATTCAGAGGCATTGTTTTCTTCAAGGGAAGAAGGGTCAGGATGGTGTACGTACTCGGGCCAATACATAGCATAAGGGCGTTGAACTCCATCATCGCCAGTGTAGAGTTCCTCGTCCGGGACGTTATGCAGTATCAATGGCCTCATTGTCCTCGTCGTCCGTTCCGGCGAAATGTGGATGGAATTCCAGAGAATTAAGATACAAACAATGGCCAAGACGCACGAGGCAGGAAGACAATCGATAGGTACCTTATCAAGGAATTAATGTTTGAATAATAAAGGTGCAAGCGCGCGTCGGGTGGTTGCGAGCAGTGACTTGAAAAATGATTGGGATGAATTTATTGAGAAGATGTTACTAAGGAAGAAAAAAAAATAAAGTATGTAGGTCAATAGCTGCAACGCGATTCCACATCCACTAGATTATGTACAAACGCCTGTACCTGCCTACCCCAGCAACGGCGAAGGAAAGTGCCTCCTCTAACCTAGCATGGTGTTTTAGTGGGCTAGGTACCTAAATATGTACCTAGTAGGTCTGGGTTGAACTTGGACCGTGCTCCTTCTCGACGGATCCACTAGAATTTAGCGGTAGCTGGTAGCTGGAGGTACAAGGTACACACCTAAGTGAATTTAGGTAACCCTGGAAAAGTACCTAGATATGTACCCACTTAATTCCCCGAGCTGCATGTGGCTGATTGAGCTCGACGTCACTTAATTTTCGGGAAGCTTGATTGTAGCTTCTAACTTCAACTATAAAACTATCCCGAATTGGCAATTTAACTACCTTTCTAGCCATAAAGTTCCGGCGTCACCTCCGACTTCATACCTCTTCTCCGCTACTTCCCCGATATTGAACCGATTCAGTCATAGTCAAGATGTTCCGTTTTGTAGGTTCTCATCGCCAAGCCACGCACACTTATAATAGACTCAGTAGATACTAACATGAGAGCCAATAGCACAAAACCCTTGACATTGTCACCCTCTTCCATAAGTCCGGATCTCCGGCCTCACTAAGAGCAGCCAATATCTTAAAGCAAGTTTCTGCCAATGCTACCGAGACAGCAACCGAGGACCAAGCTAGTGATCACTCTCATCAGACTCACCCCAAGCGCTCACGCCAAGAGTTTGAATTGAACATCACTGAGGACCCTCCCACATCAGATCAACTTAGGACCATCTTGGAATACGTCGGCAAGAATAACATCAGCGCTGTCGTTCAAGGTGCTTCGACAGAGAATGAGGCACTAAAGAAGTTCAGAGAGAATGCGGAGAACTTCAAGAGACCAGTGGTACGTCTGCATTCATATGATCAATTGCGCTATTACGGCAAACTAACTGAGGAACAGATTGTGGACTGGAATAATGGAAAGGCTGTTGCTACCGACAAGGAGTCCGAAATACTCAAAATGCTAGAACAGGTGAATGGGAAGGAATGATCCTAGGGATATATATTTCATCCCCGCGCTATCTACGCATTACCAGGGCTGTATATTAATTGAGATGGAATGCCCAACTTGTGTTTGCCTTGGCTTCTTCAACCTTAATGTTAAAGATAACATATCCAACTCAGGATATTACAAGCAAACTCAATCTTGCTCTATTAGGTAACTCATCTGTGTCCAGTCAGTCCTACAGTTTGCGTAGGATGCTAAGGGTACATAATTGGCAACTGTATGTATAGGTAGTTTACTCATTATACAAATCTCTACTCTAGATCCCGGAGGTAGTAATGCCATACTATATAAATAGCTATACCCTCAATACCTTCTAAGTGACACCACCAGAAAAAAAAATTAGGGGTAGGTAACCAGAAAGATATCATCCGATTCTACGAGCCCCATGCGATCTCCCTAAGCATCATCAGTGAAGTCGGGAAGGAAGTCGCCTTAATACTTGACCGGGAACACCTTGCTTGTTCCTAGATCAGTCTGTCAGTTGAGGCACCCACTCTACAAATTCGCTAGGTAGAGTAGCTGGAGACAACTCCCATCTCAGGGCGCCACGGGTACCTTCCTCCTTTAACTCATACTACCTAAATTCCACAATACAGAAAAGCAGTTGCTTATACTGTTTGTACATGGGGCTACACATCTATACACCCTACCTAGGTACCGAAAGTCACCGGGGCGGTCACCACCTGCCTCCATTCATATTCTTGCCGGGGTAAATACACAATCACCCACGACAATTGTTTTTTTTTTCCTATTTATTCCAGTTTCCTTCTTCCTCCACGAACTCCCATAACTCTCCCACTTTCATCTTCTTTTCATTATTGAACTCTACCCTTCTTCACCCCACCACCATCACCTACACCTACACCCAGACCAGACCCTCGATCCCTTCTTAATACATCCCACATCAATCAACCTCATCTACCCAATCACATTATTATTTTTTTCGCCGTAGTCTACGCTGTCGTCAATTGCCAAGCCAAAATGCCTCCCCAGTATCCTGGTTTCACCATTGTGGATGCCATTAAGGCAGCTGGTCCTGCTCCTGACCTCGGCGCCTATGGATTTGATCCCGAGCACACAATTGAGCCGCCTGTTAACTTCTACTGCGATGTTCAACCTTGTCGCGCTGTCTTCTCAACACACCATGGCACCAAACCGTTTCAGACTCCTGAGAACCCGCAGCACACTGGCGCGCGAAGATTCCGCAAGTGGAATGCCGGCGAAATCCAGGCCTGTTGCGATAACATTCGCAGCAGTTTTCCCGTCGATGTGATGCACATCACACCTTTGGAGAATTACGCCGGCCTTTACGAGTATTTCGACGCCCACGACTTGTACCATCTCGGCACTCACAACCTCTGGAACGTCATTCACCACCTTCATTTCGAGAACCAGTACTACATACTGAATGAGGCCTGGATGTCTTCGCAGGTCGAGCGCATCATTGCGACCAACGAGGTAGTCCGAGAGAAGCTTCGCAACTTCGACCCCAGAGTCACCAACGACATCTTGTCGATGTTCAAGCCCGAAGAGCTAGGGGATCTTGCGCGCGTTAGCGTAGAGCAGCAGGGTGCCCTTCGTGCTATCTTTGTAACGCAGTACATGCGTCTTAGTCGGGGAGGATCTGTTCGACGTGAGTAATGTCATCGTTCTCTAGAGTATTCTTTCTTATTCATCTCCTGCATTTACTAACATGCTAAAAGGATCCCCCGATACAATGCCAGCACACGGAGGTGCTTAGAGTGTGCCTCCAATCGTAGTCGATGGCCGGTCCATGTTGGGGAAGACGACACCACCTATAACGGATAATCCTCGACCTTCTGATGATCTGGCATTTTCTGAACCTTCGCTGCAACCATTATCCGAAAAAGAAAAGTCGCCGAAAGAATCTAGTATCGGATGGCAGGCGAATGGTTTGGATTTCATACATGGTCCCACATCTGTATATACAAAGAATAATGGCCACAATAACAGTGGTCAATGGACACACAGGCAACGGGGGTCAGTCTCCCGTAAGGAACATAATCATCGTTTCATTCGGTGATGGATTTCTAAGATGAGTATTGCTGAGCAGGGCAATTACCTTTCCTCCCAAGAAAGTTCTGATATCGACGTGCAAGCCGTCAACTGGAGAGAGCGACGACCTTCTCGTGTCAACAAGGAGTACGTACCAGCAGCATAGCTCTCGTTGACTGGCATGGGAAGTCGATTTGGACGGATGAGGAATGGAAGAATGGTAGCTTTAGGGACAAGCCTTATATAGATAGGTAGATATGAAGAGTTAGTGAAGTCGCAATGGATTCTCTTCACCTTTTTATTAGCATACACATACCATTAAATGTGTTAGTAGTTGAACCATACGAAGCGATCCATCCTGGGAAGTATCGGAAGAACCCCTTATCGCTGATGTGGAGGCAAGGGAGCCCTTAGAACAAAGCCGCTATTTATGTATGTATACGATAGCTCCCGTAGCAGTTACTTGCAATCTCCTCGCGCAACAACAGAGCTATTAACCCCCTCGTATGGTTGGTCTCATGACGAAGTAAACCTGATTTAAGTATTTTCGTCCCCCACTATAGTAAGACCACAAGGACCGTTTAATAATGACACATTCGATACTTTGTATTCACAAGGTTGGTTTAATTCTCATTATAGTGACATGACGGCGTTTCTTTATGCCTAATTCTCGCTCTCGGCGGGTCTAGTCGTTGATATTCATGCGGTAGATTCGCTCTTGACTAATTGCGTAACGGCCTCTTCGATTTGCTTGTCCGTGAGTCCTATATCACATCATCAGCGTCATATTCCACGTGTCTTGTCTTGTTTTTATCATGTGTCATACCTTCTAGTGACTTGCTGCTCTCCTTTCCAAAATCTGCCAGTAATTCGTCAGCATCATTCGTGTTGCTCCAGGTGTATATGGTGGGACGGACCATATCTCGCATAGACCTTAGGTAAAGTACCGGCTGCTTCGCGCAATAGGATGGGGGTATATGGGTTGTTCTTCTTCATCGTAGGGTACGCTCTCGTAAGGAATGTCCTATTTATTTAACAGCGCATAATCAGCCTCATTTTGCTCCTTCATACGAATGTGTGTAATAGGTATCATAGGATTGGTCGGATCGAATTCCCTCACCTTGTAGCAGCACTTCCCTCCCCACTGTGGCAGAATAGGAAGCGAACCTCCTTTAAGGCCTTCGCGAAGGCATATTTGCCCGACATCTTCGCAATTGGTATGTTGCGGCGGGATATGGCGGGTCTTTCGATATTAGTTGTTGTAGATTGAATGATTTAGAGCTTGAAGCTTTGCGGGTTGATGAATTGACGTCGCCATGCATAAAATTATCAACCAATGAGAATGGTTGCATAAATATGTGCCATCGATTTATACACGTATCATTATGTAATGTTTCCCAACGCCCCTGCATTGTTTTCCCAAAATAATCTTATCAGCCTTATCTCCGGAGCCCCAACTAAACTGGGATCCAACTAAATTTATCCTATTTCCCCAAATACATCGGACCTTTCTAATCTGACTACAACAACCACCTATTCATTATACCCAATACCATCACCAAAGTCGAAAGGGAAAAGAAAGCAGCAAAGAAGGTCATAGGTGTTTCGCCTCTACGCTCATCGGGTTGATTTCCTACCAGCTTCATTCCTAATTAGACTCCGACCATCTCCGCTCAGACAAAATGCCCGCCACTACAACTCTCTTCCGCACCGCCCGGCCGGTTTTCCAACAGTCCGTATCACGGACCGTTTTCCGCGCCAACTTCTCTCAGACCGGTCGACGCTTCGCTAGCACAACGACACAAGCAGGCGAAGCCGCCCAGCAGAGCTTTTTCCAGCGCATGTGGAACAGTCCGGTTGGCCTCAAGACGGTGCATTTCTGGTGAGTCCGCTTAGTCACATCCCACCCTCTCTATATCCCTTACATAGGTCACGAGCGCATTTGTATCTAACGCTATGTGACTATAGGGCCCCAGTAATGAAGTGGGCGATCGTCATCGCCGGTATCACAGACTTCGCGCGACCCGCTGAGAAGCTCTCGTTAACCCAAAACGGCGCTCTAACGGCTACCGGTCTGATCTGGACTCGGTGGTGCTTTGTCATTACTCCTAAGAACTACCTTCTCGCTGCTGTCAACTTTTTCCTCGGTATCGTCGGTATCACTCAGGTTGCCCGTATTGCTATCTACCGCTCCTCTCAGAAGAACCTACCCGCCGCTGTTGAGTCCGAAGCCACTCAGGTCAAAGAGGCTGTCAAGTCATAAGGCAGTTGGATTGGATTGGGGTACCGTGAGTTGGCATGTACGAGGGGGGATGAAATAAACGCATTAGGGTCAACGAAAAGGTCCGGTTGCATACGGAGATGCTGACCAAGAGACTCGAAAGTCAAGGTCACGTCCCGATGTTCTATCAAATAACTATAGACTATGGGGTACGAATATTCTACAAGATGTCTTACCTCGAGACGAGAGGATTATAGACGATGGCACGGGTAGGGGGTTCCCTCATTGACCCTCCCGGCTGGATGAGTTTGGAAAAAAGAAAAAGAGGGGGTTTGCTTGTACCATCACAATTACTACACGGTGCATTATTCAAATTCAACATGCAAGTTATCTGTTTTGTTCACATTCCGATTGGTACCCTATTATCTTTTTCTCTTTTTTTTTCGTGGCCGATTTCACTGGTGTAGGCCATCCAATAAACCCTCCGTTGAAAGACGGACCCTCTTTGGGTGTCTAACGTAATCCTACATCCTCTTCAGCCCGTCTTATCTGATCCTTAACTCCAATCTTAGATCGGCTTGTCTTCCTTGTTATGTAAAAAGTTGTATTTGTTTTTACATCATGAACAACGACTGTACCACCCTTGAAGATCTCAGTTTGAGCGATTGGGGGCTACACGTATCCAATAGTCTGCTGCATCCGGACATTTATTGCTGGATCTACCAATCACGACGAATGTAGCTGTCGCATCAGGGGTCCCTGCGGGGTTCCCGTCGGTTCCGGAGTCCAAGAACACAGAAGAATACATCCGGGTAGTTCATCCCGAGCAGGGCATCCCAGACGATTCCAACCAACGGGTTTTGATGGGGGTCAATCAGGAATCGATCTCAGGCGAAGACATCATATTCCAAAGACTAAACGGCAACCTGCATATAGGTTACAAGGAATCAAAGATTTGTAGGAATTTCTTTCTCCGGTAGCTACCCCCTATCCTTGCCTTATCTAGGTACATACCCGAAATACACTACGTTCCGGTAATGCAAAGTCGATATTCCGCCCGTGATTCGGCGAGTTCCGCCTACAGCTAGGCTCTCATTTTAAGCCTCACATAGACGTCAAGGTTCGCGAACCACGCAGTGATCTTCGGTTGCCTACATGCTGCCTACATGTCGCCTACATAGCGAAGCTTCGTTTTGTCTAAATGAGAGGGCGTAAAGCCACGCGTTTCAGGTATAGGTTATATGCATAGTCCCTACCTAGGTATCCAACGCACCTACTCGGCGTGAGACTCTACGATCAAATTTGGGACGCCGCCATCGATTCAATTTTGGCGGTCAATTTCGAGGCTGCTGAAGTTGCAAATATCTAAGACCGGTGGAAAGGAATGTGAAAATGAGGCGAACTTCGGTTCGCATCCAGACCGAACCGATCCACAAGGCATTCGCTCCATCCTGGTTTTCCAGGTTAAAAATTTTTTTGAGTTGGATGGATTAATTGACAGCTCGGATATGTCATATGCAAGCGATGCTCATACCGTCACCGGCTCGTAAGTTTTGTTCTCGAAGAAAATGGAAAAGGGGGAATGAACTCCGCTTAATTAGATACCTAGGTACTAACTACTTCTTAGTAAAATATCAGTCTAAAGAAGAATATAGCGATACAACTTGTTAATACAGCGCTAATGTAGGAACCCGTAGGGGGTGCCCGCGCGCTAGGAATGTCCCGAAAACTCAAAGCTCTGTTGAAGGTAACTTTATATCGAACTCTATCTGAGGGCTATGTAGGTATTGCCTAAGGAATAAAATGAACTATTCCGGTTAGGTATCCCTTAAGTACTAAGAACATTGAAACAGTGAAATGGGAAATGTTGAATTTTGGAAATACTGAGGGCTCTGGTAAGTCAATCTGTGAACCCCCATCTCGCACTGTTTCGCGATGTTACTGTCGTCTGTGCCTATGTGCTGTAGCATGGCGTATGGTGTATATGGTACACGCTTTTTAATGTCATGAATCATGAATAAACCGATGTGACTTGTGTCTGTTGAGCCAGACACTGGCACATACACATAACTCCATTCCCACCAAATGCCGCTTTCTGCCGGCTTGTTACCTTCGTCGAGAATGCCTTTGAGCTACAAAGTAGAGAAGAACTCTGGTGAGGGCCGGGGAGCGGGGAAACGGCGCCGCCAGCCCACCACGACGGTGGCGTAAAATGTCTCGGAGTTTCGTCGATGATCCTATGTCCGTTGAAGTCATTACCCCGAGCCTCGTAGAGTCGCCTCACACCGTCGCCATCAGACTCCTGTATCTGCATCATCCTTGGGTGGTCGTGATAGTTCATGATCGATAGCCTATTACGTTCCCCCAACAGTAGCGACGGTTCTTGTTTCTCCTCAGGGGATGCTTGAGCGAATTCATGTCGTAGACCAAGAACGTGACCAAGTTCGTGGCAGAAAACATTCGCCAAGTAGTCATAGTTCCCCTCTTCCTTGTTGAAAGACGGCGAGTATACCTTCAAAAACTGTTCTTCAGGCACGTCTCCTGGAAAGAATGCTCTCGCTAGCTCTGATTGTTTGCCTGGGCTCCAGCGTTCGAACATGACTTGGAACACAGCTGGCTTATCGTCCGGAACCCTCTGAAACTGTACAGCCTTTGGCTTAAGTCTTTCATTCCATAACTTGGCTGCTTCCTCGATGCACTTGATAGCATGCGTTGCGTCGGAAGGAGTGAAGAAACTCCGATAATTCACATTGTATGTGATTATGGACCCCGGTGCCCACCGGTGGATGCAGCCCTGATCCCTGACGTTGACGAACACACTGCTGATAGATCTCGACTGTGTCGCACAGCGGTAAGAGGGTGTTCTTGGCTCCCTCGTAGAGGCAGGGGCACGTCCAGGTATTACTTCTACTTTAGCAATTGCCAATCCAGACTTAGCGTTAGCCTTCATGAGATCCGACGAATCTTCCTTGGCCTGGGGCCCAATCTTCAACCCGTCAATATCCTGCCCCGACGAGATTCCGTTATTTAATATAGATTCAAATAGCTGATTTTGGTTTTGAAGCTCCCTTGCGGCATCTTTTTCCAAAAAAGCTTGGCCGTCTGATACAAGGACTCTGTCGTACACAGGGGCCTGTGTTGTCAAAAGACCTCCACCTTTGCCTCTAGGTTTGTCATAGCCAGGCGACGGCGGTCCACTATCGTAGCTTTCGGCAGCGATTGAGGTTGATACATCGTCTACCGCGGGCTTTCGAGAAGAGGTATTGCTTTTGGACGGCGTGGGTATACACTAACGGGCAGGAAAGGAAGTCAGTCTCGAGACTAGGGATAGGTGGGCTAGTAGCATTCTCGTAAACTTACAAACTGCGAGTTATCTCCAGAGTGAAACCCCCACGGCGGAGTTAATGTGGATATGTTCCTATATTCAAGCCTACCCTTGCAAGGCTTGGAATTTAGGTAGCGCTCCGGAACCCCTGTGAGAATCCTTCGTCCCCCATCATCGTCAACATCCGCGAGGCATCTGTACATAGACCGATGTGAAGCCGTGGGGGAATCTCCCGAACCCGAAAAATCATCATAAAAATCGATTTCCCAATCAACCGTATTTTTCTTATGGTAGGAATTATCCCCATCCTTCCCCCTAAATAGGTCGTCTGCCAGATCCGGTAATTCACCCTGCTTACACCATCCCGATCCGATGCTAGATCCTTCATCATAGTTAAAAGCCCCCAAAGTCGTCTTGAAATTGTAAAAAGTTTCATTTTGCAGATTAGTGACGGTGGCTGTCATGGGATTAAATGGTTAGTTTCGTAAGATTTCGTGGCAAATGAGGGATAGGGCTTATGGAGGAGTGAAACAGGGCTATAACATGATATTTTTTTGGCCTTATGCACGATCCTAATACTATAGGGGGCCATAGGTATGTAGAGGCTCACTTACAAGTCATCATTGACCCACACACACTCCCTCCCTATCTAGTTAAGAAAAGTACCAAGCAGTGATCAAATTATAGTGGCTAAGTACGGCTGATTTGAGCAATAGGGAAGAAGTTAGCGATCATGAGGTCAGGTGACGTACTGACGGTGCCTAGGTAGGGCTAAGTGGATGTATCAATGTAGCGGGCGGTTATCAGGCTACAGTGTTGTTCAGATGATGTCTCGGCAGGGCGAAATTCCTAACCATACCAGGGCCATATTCGAAAGCCTCTTTGTAATATGTGCGACATGTCGACGATTTAAATATTCAGAAGAATATCCCAGGATATTCCATATCATGATACCTAGCTGGTTTCCAAGCTGTGAACCTATTAGACAAGTGGAGGTGAAAGGAAACAAAGCAAGTCAGCCCAGGACCAGAAGGCAAAGATATCTGCCTATTATTTCCCAGCCAGCCTCATCCGCGCAAAATAGTCCTAGCTGTTACCACCAGTAGGAACCGGACTAGGATACGAGTTGACATGTGCTTCTGAGTTGGGTAGTGAAATATTGAGGACCTTTCAAATCCTTTACTAATCGTTTCACCTCGCTCTCCGAACTGTCTCCTCAGTGTCGGCCACGATCTCATCGATGTATACCGTACACCTCAGGGATTGACCCACTCGGTGAAGGCCTTCCTGCGTTTATCTGATAATCTGTGTAACAATTTGACGTGGTATCGTCCCCGAGGGATGAAGAACCTGGTTTGACACTACTACCTCACTAGCAAAATAGTTATTGTTGCCAACAGTTACCGCAGGTGAAAGCAGGATCGGGCAACAGCATAGTTACATCAGCTACCTAGGTAGGTATTATGTGTACGTCGCGCCGATCCAGGTCCTATCAAGTGTCGGAGCCGAACTCTGAAGGCAACAGCCTTAGAGGCGCCATACGAGCAGTTGGAGTACACCCGTTTCAGCGAAGGGGGCGACAGGCTGCTTTTGCTAAATGGACCGCTAGCCTTTGTTATACAATGCTTACTTAGGTAGCGAGAAGGAAATGCACCTGGGGATCGTTGTTGTCTAACCCTCTACGTGGATAACCACTTCGCTGGAGTTTCTAAGCAACTGCCGATGCTTACGTAGCTCGCACATTTTTCTCGCCCCGTCTTCAAACAACGCAACCCTCATATGAAGAGCTACATAAGAATGGTCAGCACGACTGCGTAGGTGGTGACGATCTGCTACCTTGTGGTTTCTAGTGCGTTATTATATGAGCTCGGCCGCCCATCGTGGAAAGATATAGGTGATGAACTGTTATATCTTGTAAATCGAAACGTAGTTCCTGGAACAACGTGGCTGTTGATAAAACATAAACAATATTACGTACCTAGATATCATGATGCAGACGGAATGTCTATCTAAAAATGATGCGCTACATATGTAGGGCTGCTTTGTAGCTCAGGGGTATATACCTAGGTACTCATCCTGCTAGCTTGGATAGCTGGCCGTCTCGCCTGCGGCATGTACGTGGGCACATCCGTCAAGATAGCTTGGATTCCCATTGGCCGCATGCTACTCACCGTTCCCATGGTTCTCATACAAGCCCGCTGACCTGGTAAACACCATACAAAAAAAGCCCACGGAAATTGTACCAAGATGTAATAAAATACCTATCATGTTAATCTACGTGTCTTCCAGGAGTCGTTATACTTATAGAACTTGCTTTCTTAACCGGCAAGTCACCTTTGTTCCGTAGAATATCGCGAAACGGAACCCATTCGGGGTCTGAAGAAGCTCTCGTGGGCCAATTGACCTAAAACCAGGTAATAGGTATGATTAATTTAATTTCTCGACAACACCTCGGCAAATATTTAAAATCAGCTATTTTCAATGTACCTATGCATTTTCTTAAGAGGTCAGCAACGATAGAAACTAGTACTAGTAAGAGGTAAGAGGCACACGAACAAACTGCTTATGTAAAATCGCTTTTTATTCATGGTATTATATAGCCCCAAATTGGTGTACGGGTTTGGGACCAGTTACATGTCCAACTAGCGGGCATGGATCCTTCTCTATTTGCTCGACTTTGGTATCTTGAAAACGCTGAACCCCTGACATTTCCCCCCCGTTAACTAAAGTTACGAGACCGCTAAATGCTATTAAATACATGCGACAATGGCATTATGCAAAGCAGATCAAGCCATGCTGGATTGGCGACCGCTCTGTCCGGAAGTTGAGAGAAAATATGGTCATGCCTGTATCTATACCACAACTAGTGCAGTGAAATTCGATGTGACTCCAGGGCGCCAAGCAAACCGTAGTCGCTTAAATCGGTATTCTAATAATTGGATTTAAGGCTTCTTGGTGGATTGTTGATTACCAATAGCTCCCAGGGCTACCGATCAACGTGCCATTACCACGGCCGGCCGAGTTCGTTTTGAGCCTGCAAGATGACTTGCTTGATTCCGTGCCGAAAAATTATAGGTTGTGTGGGTATAGTCCGAGCACTCTACATCACGGAACATTCGCCCTCTTGTTGTTTACCAATCTTGCTCCGTGAAATGCGTTCACGCTGGCGGGGACCACTTCTGCCTGACCGCTTGAGGTCTTCTAACCGTTCTCGGGCCTTAGGGAAATCTTGGCCTAAATATTTGTTAGCTTCAATCGCACAAGGCTGGACTGATGCCGAAAGTGACTCACTTGCTGCTCTCCAATACCATCGTTTTGCATCTTCTAGGTTGGCAGGCACGCCAATACCAACCTCGGTAAAGTAACCCATGGCGTACTCTGCCTTCGCTAGACCAGCTTGAGCTGCTTTTCGGGCCCACAGATATGCCTCGGTGTCACTTTGTTGCAAAACGCCCTCGCTTCCTGTTAAATACCACCCACTAAGTGCCAGCTCAGACTGATGTTCCTCTTGCGTGGCAGCACGGCTATACCACATAATGGATAATCGTGGATCGACAGGGCATCCCATCAGACCATATTCAAAGGCACACCCCATTCTAAATTGACTGAATTTGTATCCAAGTTGGGCCGCTTGCTCAAAAAGCTGCAGAGCATATGCCTCGTCACGTACAATCGCATCGTTTGGTTGTGCTGACTCGTATAGCAGCCCCAATTCGTGTAGCGCGTGGGGGTTTTCAGCATCCGCCCGCTCCGCCGCTCTCTTAAGCCAACCGACAGCCTCCCGCGGATTTTTGGGTTGACCAAGCAACCCCTTCAACAAAATCATTCCGACTTTGTACATTGCGGGAGTATCGCCGAGAGTCGCGGCGCGTTTATACCACTGAATTGCTTTCATCGGGTCCTTCCGTGTGCCGCCTCCCTCATCGTTGCCAAGTTCGCAACAAACAGCCGTCCGATAAGCTGCCGCGGGATGTCCTAATTTTGCAGCGGATTGATATAGAGTGAAGGCTTCCTTGCTATCCGTTTCGCCTAATACACCACGGCCATTGCAATCGGCCAAGAAGAACATGGCGTCCGGGTTCTGGGCGCTAACCAGCTTCTTTAAAATCTTATGCGCATCCATGACATATCGTTCACGAGATCTAGCTCTTGCTTTAGGATCGGGCAGCCTTGGAACTAGTACATCTGCTGCTTCAACTAACTTTTTAGCAAGCGTGAGAGCGGACTGTTGGTCGTTTGGATCATTCTTCACGATGGTGCGCAATCGCTCTAACTCGTCAGGTGTGACAGGAGCTTGCTCGACAGTGGAAGAGGGCCTTCCATTTTGTGGGCCTGGCGGCGGTCGTCCTTGCGCCCCAGCAGCTGCAGGCGGCGTACCACCATTATAATTTCGGATCGGCGCGGGTTTCTCGTTCAGGTTTACCATCGAATTTGGCATCAATCCAGGTCTGATAGGTGCGGGATGTCCAGAGCCTGGTCCGTTTTGGGGGGTCCCTTGAGAACTACGCCTTGCAGGACCAGGATTGCTGGGCAGACCTGGACCAGCGCTAGGTGGTTTGTATGCTTGGAAACCACCCGGCGGTACCGGCGGCATATCACCAACCATTTCGAAAACGGCAGCTTGCGGTTCGCGCAGGTTGGGTTGCGACTTAGCTCGTGACATCTCAGGTTGGCGTGCAGGTCCGGGTTGGGGCATTCCAGGCTGGCCAGAATGCATATGTTGATCGAACGACTCTCGCGGGCCTTGAGAGGGCACCGCATCGAAATCTGGTATATCTTCACGGAATTGGTTTCCTGGAGGATATTGTTCACCGCTCACTCTCTGGTCGTAATAGGAATCATAGAAATCACCAAAGGACCCTCGGTCTGGTTCTTCATTCCATCCCGGAGGCTGTAATGAGCCATTATATTGTCCTGGGGGTCCCTGAGGGCCGGGAGGGCCCTGGTTAGGATACATTCGTTGTGGAGGTGGTCGATTGCCCGAAGCCGTAGAAGGACGCGGTGGAGGTAAATTGCGTCCGTGAGGTCCGGGGGGTCCATTGTATGGCGCGCTATCCATGCGCTGCGGTGGTGGCATCGGCGGTTGCATACCATCTCTCATGTATTCGTTGTTTGCAGGCATCGTCATGCTTCTGCCCGGCGGTCCAAATCCATCCCTTGCAGGAGACATTGGGGCTCCATACCCATCATCATGATAACCATAGCCTTGATCGGGCGGTGGTCCTCGTCTTGGGTCTGGATATCCTTGCGGAGGGCCTCTTCCACCTCTTTGACTGTCCATGGACGGGCGTCCGTAATCCTCCATTGTGGGTGCTCGCCTAGGTGGTTGTCCCGGTCCTGGCCCTCTTGGTGGCGCGGAGCCGTTCTTAGGAGGCATACCCGGTCTTCCTCCTCCCCCTCCTCCATTAAGATCCATTCCACCCATACGATTCAAAATATCATTCTCTTCGTCCAGGTCCGATCTTCTGTTATGACCAGGGAAAACGGGAAATGGACTACCAAAATCTTGTTCGTTCGGGCTCACTACCGGAGGTACATGGCGGCTCACTACAAGAATTAGCTCTAGTCTTCAATTCCAACACTATTTTCTTACTATTGGGATCTGATGAGACGGTCCGATCTGGAAGACCGGGTCGACCACCTCGACCAGAAGGTGGGTAACCTCTACCAGGACCTGGGGGAGGACCGCCACCGCGTGGAAACGGAGGGCCACGCATCGGTCCGCCTCTCCCTCCTGCGCCGGGTGGTGGACGACCTCTACCAGGACCACCCGGTCCGGGAGGGCCGTACATATCTTGAGGAGGATAGCCTTGATTAGGAGGGGGTGGCCGTCTGCCATAATTCATATCTTGCGGGGGCGGACCATAGTCCTGTTGGTAACCATTATCATATTCATCGTAACCGTAATCGTAATCATTTTGGTATTGGTTATATTGTTGCTGTTGGGGATATGGTTCTCGGGGAGGTCCACGAGGGGCTCGTGCTGCTGGTCCTGCGTAAGGCCGTTGGTCGTATCCGCCATTGTACGCCATTTTCGCAATTTGAGACTCGAGGATCGTTCGACTTTACAACTTGAAGCGCCGTAAGCTATGATACCCAGCAATATCACCACTCAGCTGTGGGCTTTGCCAAGCCTTCCCTTAACACCGGATTTTCTTTGTTTTTCTGAGCGACAATGCAGATTCGTGTTTACACAACAAATAATGCTCAATCGTCGAAATTATTCGTAGTGCTGTTGAATATTTAGGCAAGACGAGCTGAAAGTTGTCGCAAGGATTTCGAGTTATGGATTTCTTGTAGGTACCCGAGTGTTTCGGCTCAGTAATGATCGTCGGTTTCGGCAGGCCAGCGTATGCAGAAACACAGCGAAACCAGGTTCTGGATTGGCTGATGGACTTTGTCCGAGACGCGCTGCAAGCCTAAACTTTTAAGGACAGTACGGTTTAGGCCAGCAACGCACTTCGAAAATAAAGAGTGTATACACTCAGAGTTTAATATATCGACACCGCCGGTGGATGAAAGACGCCTTGAAGAAAGTTGTAGTGTTAGAGAAATGCGACTCTAGAGCATTGTATGAAAGAACGAATGCGATATTGCTATATTTTCGCAAAGCGTTACTACGGTTATGGGCAGCAGGCCTTACGCTCGTAGTGTTTCATGCGCAACGAGGTAACGTCGGGCTGGGCGACAATATCTGTCGAACGAGGCTTGAGAAGGAATGGAACGGCGAATGTTCGCCGATTACCCGACAATGAGGTGGAAATAATAAATAGGTAGTTGGAAATAGGCCGTGATGAAAGGAATGCACTAAAGTTGGCGCACAGGTTATTAAAAAATGAACATGACCTTATCCAGTGCCTATTATTATGATTATGTCTGCTCTGCAGAAAGAGAAAGAGAAAAAAAGAAGAGTTGTGGTGGTAGGACAAGTATGGAAGGACGATCTTAGTGGGAATTGGTAAGAAAAAGTGAAGTTGAGATGAATCGGCAAGCCGGGCGGGAGGGATTAGGTACAATGGACCTTGAGGATCCTAATAATAAAATGTAAGTAACTTGCGTCGTGACTGCCCCTCCTAAGCAATCCTCCTAAGAAAATAGACAGAACAAATGGGCAAAAAAAGGGCAAATGGCAGGTGCGCCGGTTAAGATATCCGAGTCCGGTCGGGATGCACCACGCGCTAAAATAACTTATGTACCTGCATGTACATTTAAAATACCTAATGAGGTATGTATCTGGCGCATTCTTTCAGTCAAGGAAAGTTACTTTTCAAAGTGACCTATATTCGTATCTAATATATACGCCAATACGATAATACAGGTACGTGACTATGATTAGGAGGAGTTAGGTTAGTCGACTTGGTGCAGTGCCAAGAGACCGACAAGGAGGCCTGAGAATGGGTTGTTTTACAATTTTAAATAACTGCATCTCATATTGGTCGAATCTTCAAACCCCCATCATCCCTCTTTTTAACACCCTGAGTACCTAACATAATTTACACAGCTGACTGAAAAAGGTATTATTAGCATTATTTGGCTACTATTGTGTGCAAAGAAGGGCCTTATTTGACGAGGAGCATCTAAAGTTCAACCGGCTTTAATAATATCAGCCACCTGCACTTAATCCTAAGATCGTCTAAAGATAAAACACAAGGATGGCTACACCACATGATCCAAGCTACCTTTGAAAGGGAAATAGCACCTACAGCACCTACATTGTACTATGCGAGAACAGACTCAATTTTAAACCTTAAAAGAGATACGTTCATGATAGGCTTTTCCAACTCATGCATATGCACGATATGTATGTAATATTATATGTATGCGAAAACTCTCAACTGTTACAGAGGCGGAAATGAATTCGTGGCATCCTAAGACATGCTACATTACCTACGACGGCCAGGGCGGGAGAGTCATAGCGAAGTAGAGGCTTGGGTATCAAAACTAACAAGGGCTAAGGTCCTCGCGGCAACTGATTGACGTACCAACCCCTTCGGGTACCTCGCAGAGATGAGGCCAGCCTCATCCGCCCCCTGTCAGCATGAATCGACACGTCCACTTACAATGCCGGAAGCCAGGTGACGTTATCAAAAATGGCCCCTGAGTGCTGTACCGTTCAGCATGCCCTAGGTATGTACCTACTATAACTGCCCAGATGAAGATGCGAATACGCGAATACGGAAAACCGTTTATATTATTTGAAAAAAAAAAAAAAATAAAATAAAATAAAAATAAAAATAAATCGGAGACATTTCGAAACTTTCTACACATTTTGTTAATACCTACAAATGTAGGACTTGTAAAATTATCTATTTCTTTAAATTGTGCTTGCCCCTCGTCCGACTTTTTGGTTTCATGTTTGCTGCTGTGTCTCTTTCGACGCACAGTTCTAAATGAATATGTTCAACACTGCGGGAGGACCCGACCCGGTGAACAGATTGGAAATAGATGGGCGACAACGTGCCTTAGCCGCGGTTGGATGATTTAGAAACGCAAAAGACTGGAAGAATACTATACAATGCGGTTGGCTATTCGCTAGCCACACGTTTCTGTACAACACCAATTTCAGCTCTTCTGCCACTAGATAGTTTCACCTATTCACTTATTTAAAGCGAATGTGGTGTGACTAGCACATAAGTACGGACGAGAAGGGATAGATTAGGTGCATTGACTAAAGCACAACTAACAGCACTAATGTTAGTTAACCCAAGGTCCTGGGATTGCGAGAAACCTGGGGTCCGCTATTTCTTATATCGTGGGGTTCGATTGCTTGAAGTGATTTAACCGAACAAACATATGTGGTCCTCTTCGGTTTGAGAATTGAAATATCCAAGATACTTTTACGCCTTCCGATACCGCAAGAAAATATACTTCGCGATACTATACAAGTGGGTGGGTTGACGAGGGTATTAGACTCTACACATACATGTACCGATGCAGTACCATGCAAAAAGTGTGGAAGTCGCAGAGAAACGGAACAAAACCCACAGCCCAATAACATAAGATGGATTTGCGATGTTTTACATCAGCCACAAAACACTAGCCACACTAAATTACGTAATAGAGACCCTGAACAATGGAATTTCGTCATTGACCATTCAATTGACTGGTTCGTATCGAATGCAAGAAACATAGATCTGCACGCCTCCTCGACAACCCCACGAGCGTCGACCAACCGACGCAACAAAACTTGTCGCGATATCTACAAACATGGCGGCTAGGTCAGGCAGACTAGGAACATGGCTTAAAATGTTGGCTGTGTAAGTAAGCGCGCTCTAATACGTCCCGCCCTTCTGATCTACCCCAAAATGTGTGCTTGAGGCCGCCCAACAGCATCATTAAGCGCCGCCACATGACTACAAGCTAACGCCCACATCTCGACATATAGTGGCGGTGTGGTATGCGTAGGAGGCCCTGCATTCGTCATGTGGGTGCAACCGACTGACGAGGAACTTTTCAAACGATACAACCCCGAACTTCAGAAGAAAAGTCTGGAGCGCCGATACGAGAAACAGAAGGACTTTGACGATTTCGTGACTCAGCTCAAGGAATATTCAAAATCAGATAAACCGAGTACGTGCGACCATTCCCCCTATCCTGGATTCGATCCGAATCCAGTATCCAGTCAAGCACCCAATTTTGTCATGCGAGGGAGGAAGGGAGGACTCTGAATATATTGGGTTGGTGTTATAAATATATGCATACTAACGTGGCAATAGTATGGATAGTCCAGGAAGAGGCCGCACGGAAACGGAAAGAAGAAATGCTGCGACAAGATTTCCTCAATGCTGAAGAAGCAAAGGCGAGAAAGGAAGCTTTAAGAAAAGAATCTGGTCTATCGCCAGATGCCAAAAGCTAGGTGCGCTGGCGACATATTTTTCGACCCGCCGTTGTATTATGAGATACCTCTAAAACGGGATTTGGAAAAGTAGGGCATTCAGGGTCTGGGAGCATAAAAAGGCGTTTGGGCAAAAATTGGGTGCAGGTCAATTTGGTGACTTGCTATGTACCTGTATATGACATGAACGCCAATCAACACTCAATAATTCACCCTGTTTAACTAGATTGATTCTATCCTTCTATCAAATAAGCTGATCTAGATATATTTCGTTTCTTTTATAAGACGTGTAATATTCGCATCAAGCAAATCCTGGATCTGTTTCCACCTCTTAACCAGCATCTCCCTTTGTTCCGGCTCACCAACACTCAAAGCTTCAACCTCAGAAATGGTCTTTTCAGCTTTCTGCTTCTGTTCCCTTAAAAGCTCCAATATCAAGTGATCTGCTGCTTTCTGACTGCACTCCCCATCATCAACCCCGTCTACGAACCTCTTCCACTCCCTAAACCCACAGCAGAGCAACCTTGCGGCGATTTGCGTCCTATAACAAACCGTCTCCTTATCAAGGACATATTTCCCGAGGAAACCAACTTCCTCTAGCTTATCCTTTTGTCGATCGCTTAGTCGTGGAAGTAACACATCATCAAGCAGTGCCTCGTCCCATCGGTTATCGTCCATCACGAATCCATATTCAACAAGCAAGAAGTCGCTACTATGCCTACCATAACAGATCTTAACCTCTTCCCCTTTAGCATAGGGACGTAAACTCTTAATTGTGAAACCTTCGTGGTCAAAGGCCACATTACAACCCCCTTCATCGGTATGGTTGAATAGATCTGCTACGGGCTGTAGGCACATGTGGTCATCCTTGGATTTTCTCTTGCTCAGTTTTGTGTTGATATAGTAGAAAGTTCTCGTATTCACAAGCATCCAAGCGTATCGGTACTGGGTCTTTTCGAGCTGATCCTGTTGCGGAAACGCCGCCGATACTGCGGCCCAATCACGGGCTAGCTTGATTTCTTGCTTGGAAAGCATTTCCCGTGCTGCTAAGGGAAGTAGAGCGCACAGTTCTCGCGGCCAGACCAGGGGCATGCCGAAGAAGTCATCGGGCGTCGGACACACTGCGTTCCAGAGAGCATACTTGGAGGATGCATCTAGAGCTAGGTCGGCAGCTAGTAAGCCGTGGACAGACATGGTTTTTGGAAGATGACGGATCACCGGCTTGCGAATCGTGTCTATGCATCGTAAACAAGCAGTAGATACTTCAAGCACGGCCTCATCGGGCTACGAAGTTCGTTAGCTAGCGCTACTTTCCAGGGGCGATCCAAGAGGTATAGAGTTTTGCGCACCTTAATCGCCCGAGTTGCAATGAGACCAATACCCCTTCCGGGGATTCGTTTTGGTGTGATTCCATTAAGTCTAACACCTTGGTCGGTCGCCCAGGTAAGAAGTTCTTCGTGATGTTCCATAGTTCTAGTCGCGATTACTGGATGGGTTTCTATATCAAAACTTAAAGCGCCGACTTTATAGGATCAAATAAACGATGTGAAATACTACCAAGGCAATTATATCTTCCTATGGCAGCCATGATGAAATCCCAGGACTGTCATCGTTGTTTATAGCAAACAATAGGGTTTGGGTTGAACGAGTGTGAGTGTGACATGAGGGAAGAAGAAAAAGTTGGCAGAAATTTGTATTTCCCTGGGTCCGGAACACGCCACTGATTAAAAAGGGAAGCCACGAGCATCACCAACAGAAAGAGCCGGATCAGGATCAGAATAATGAGTTGTATACTACCGGAGTACCCACCAAGCTTCTTTGATTATGGAATATGACTATGAGTTATAATGTGGCCTTTCACCTATTTTATTCCGACGTTGCCCTGTTGTAATCTTCATCATTGATGTACCTATGTACTTATTCAGAATGTACCGATAGCTCAGGTACTTTATTTCCCCTATGTCGGTTCCAATGTTGTTTGGCATATATTCCTTGTTTTCCAGTTCCACATATCGATCTATATTATTTTCATCACTCTACAAATCACTGGAGCTTTAAGATTCTAACAAACCTCAAACAATTAACGATTAATATTTGCCGTAATATAAAGGAGTTGTCGAAGGTAAATCTGTACTTAACGGGAAAGAAAGTTCATATTCTTAAGTCCAGGCCTAAAAGCCGACGCTAGCTCTTTATTCCTTACCAATCACAACATCGGATTTATTATCTTGGCATTGACCTATTCCACTGATAAAGCTATTAGACACCCCGCCAATGCGCTACGAGGAGCAAGTACTGTAGGTACCCGCCAACACTGAACTTCGGGAATACCGGTGTCGTCATGGTAAACCATAAACCTCACAACTTCGATTGTCGATATCCCGAATAAATAAACGAACATCAGAGTCTTACTCATATCCTTCTCTTGTAATTAATCATTTTTGGACAATCTATATCCTTTTGTTATAATACCTTGGCTTCTCCGTTCCGAATAACCTGCGGGACTTGTCCGCCGATTGGAGATCCGCTTCTAGTATCTATAATCTATCGATATCATTAAGCATCTACCTATCTATATCTAGCTCTACCAGAGCTTACGCCCTAGTCACGATGGATCACTCAGAGAGTATGTTTCCTCAAGACTATTTCGAGATCGAGGACGAGGACGATTACCGGAATCCCGTCTATTACGAGAACGAGGAGATCGACGAAGAGGATGAGGATGAGGACGACGACGAATTTATGGAACCCGACGAAGACGATGAATTTCACGGTATGTTTGGAGCGCAGCTGAGTTAGCTTGCTACCTAGCTAACCTTTGCCTTTTTGTATACAGACGCCGAAGAAGGCCGTGTCGAGTTCCTAATCCAGTTTCAGCACGACGACGACGACGATGATGAAGATGAAGACGAAGACGACGATAACGACGGGGAAGGCGATGAAGAAGGCGATGAAGAGGAAAGCGATGGGGAGAATGCGCAGCCCCGCAGGGCTGATGACCCGGGCGTACAGCAGCGCTTAATTAACCTAATAAGTAGTGCGTCCCTACCCTTTTTAGATGGAGCTGTCTTATACTGACTATTACTGTATGATTAGGTCGTCGTACCGGTCTACTGTCGCGGCGTCAAGTCTTGGATTTTCTTAGGAGGTCGAACCTTGGACACCTAGTATTTAGTGATGGCGACGACGATGAAGACGTTAACTTGCACTTCTATAGAAGACAGCGCCATGGATTAAATCCAGAGAGGTTTCCGAAGGTCCCAAGCGAGAAAGGAAGAGAGTTGATGCAGTCTGGCACTTTTGGTTCGAACGATGCTCCTTCCAGTATAACCACCAAGAAGCGGCTGGCCCGGAGAATACTTGATCGCGAACTCGGCGTAGGGAATCGAAGGGTTCGTCAGGTTAACCAAGGCTTAATGGCGCAATCAACGATCCCCAGCTCGAACGCTGAGATGATCATTAACTATGGCGACAATGTATATTCCGGCCAATTCTCGGATGACGGCAATTTCTTCTTCGCATGTGTCAAGGATATGAAAGTCCGGATGTACGATACCTCAAATCCGTATAATTGGCGACATTACAAGACGGTTCCCTTCACCTTTGGCTCTTGGACGTTGACGGATGCTTCCCTTAGCCCGGATAACAAATGGCTAGCATATACTTCTATACAGAGCAATGTTTGTTTGGCGCCAACTGATCCAAATGATACGGGCGACCCATACATGATGAATTTGTCCGAGAGCGGGAGGGTAGGCTGGCGTGGTGGCTTCGGTATATTCTCGATCCGCTTCTCCGGAGATGGACGGGAACTGGTGGCTGGAACCAACGCAAATTCCATCGTGGTATACGACATCGAATCGCGACGAGTTCTACACACGATTGAGGGACACGACGATGACGTAAACGCCGTGTGTTTCGCGGACAAGTCGTCGCCACACATCCTGTACTCCGGTAGCGATGATGCTACGATCAAGGTCTGGGACCGACGCAGCATGGGCGATGGACGTGAGGCTGGTGCGTTCGTGGGTCACATAGAGGGTCTCACGTACCTCGACAGCAAGAATGATGGACGCTATCTACTTAGCAACGGCAAGGACCAGAGTATGAAGTTGTGGGACCTCAAGATGATGTATACAACTGCGAAGTACGAAGAGCTAAATCCTCGACAACACACCCGCTATAGCGAGTTCGACTACCGTTGGGGTCGATTTGACGACAACGACTGGTTCCCCCATCCCAATGACAACTCAGTCGTTACCTTCCGTGGCCACCAGGTCTTGCGTACCTTAATTCGTTGTCATTTCTCGCCTCCTGGCAGCACCGACTCGCGGTACGTGTACTCTGGTAGCCACGACGGCAAGGTATACGTGTGGAACATGGACGCCACTATTGCGAAGGTCATCGATGTTAAGAAGACGTCTTCGCAAGCCTGGGGAGCGTCACATAACCAAAGTGTGAGTGGTTGGTCCACAGTTGTTCGAGACGCGAGTTGGCATCCTACTGCTCCTTTCATTGCTGGTAAGATTCCCTGTCAAATCCTCATCCCAAACACATATAATTGACAAGCATACTAACTTTGACAAATAGCCTCGTCATTGAACGGGTGGAACAGCTCCAGGGGAACAGTCACAGTACATTCGTACAATGAGTCGTCGGATGATGAAGGAGAGCCCCGTATGGGCACCGAGTACGACGAGAAGCTTAGGCCTTTAGGTAGCGAGACAACTCCCCGTGGGGATTATTGGGAAGAAGAGGACGAGATGGATGATGAGCGTGATGATTTTTGGTAGTAAGGGAATTTGGGGTGATACGGCTTTTTGGTTATTCCCCGCAACAGCGACAACGGGTCCCCCTTTTCAGGCTTGATGCTTGTTTGCTACGATATGACGACTTATTGGACACTAACCTACGACTTTACGGACATATTGGCATTGAAGTATTGGGGCGTAAAGGCATTCATTTTGGGTGAAGCGTATCATCATGGCGTTTTTTTGAATTGGGTTTTTGGATCATCATTCGCTTTTTGGGGCTCAAAATCAAAATGTAAATTTGTACAGTGAACTAGCGAGATCCCAAACTTGACAAGACAGAGGAAATACAGAAGCGTATTTTTGGTGAACTCCTTCCTGATCAAGCGAAATGGGATACTAGTAACTTTTTCCTTAACCATGGGTGGGTGGCAACTGTAAATCGTGTACCACATATGATCGCACAACTGTCGATATCTCTTGGTATGACATTAGAGGTGTTTGTATTTTTCGCCTTCCTCTTTCGTGTTTCCCACGATGCATATCCTCTTGTTTTCATCCCCCATAGTTGCTCCATTCTCGTCTGGTGTCTCGTGACAACTCCTTTTCCTTGGCATCTCATTACGCGGCACCGACTAGAATGTTGTTGACGGGGATATGAACTGCAACGCAAAACATTAGTATGTGATTCTCCCTGCGAATATGTAGAGGGCGAGGAAGATCATACTTAATTTTATTAGATAGCCGATGGCACCCATGACCAAGAAACCAACACCGACGGCCTTGGAGATTTGTATGAATTCGCGCTTGTCCGCTATAATGACCGAATAATGTTAGTAATCGTGTACTCCTTGCGTCCTCATGTCGTTAACTCTTGGCTCCTCCCCTTTTTCACTTATTCTTATTTTTCCTTATTCGATTCGCGAGAATCAAGTACCGCGACGGGCCCCCAAACCCAGAGCATTCAGGTACGGACGAGTATATAGAAATAGGATACACGTACGCTTAGTACACCGCGTCATGAACTGGGTGCCATCCTTAATGAAGTCCTTGGGGATCTCGAGAAGGTCCTGAACGTCCGACATTGTGAAGAGAAGAATCGGGTAGCGAAATCGCGATTGGTGGGTAAGAAGGCAAGAGAGGTTATTTTGGTCGTCGGGTATTGAGATAGAAGGAATATCCCAAGTGTCGTTTCGCGATTAAAGATAAAAAAAAAAACCGAAGCAATAGAGGTGATGGAAGTAACGATGGATGCGGCCAGATTTCCTGGTAAATGTAAATGTCAGGGACCACAGAGCTTATCTCCAAAAAGTGCTAGCGCCAAAATTGTGCCAGGTGCAATCTGGCCTGCCCGGTGAGAGCTCCAGAATGTAAATTTAGGTAAGCAGCATCTGACTGCCCGAACGAATAATGCGTGGATGTACCTCAGGCGCTATAGGTACTTTCATTCGTCGAATTTACAGAGGCGCAATACTAATGTGACCCACTTATGCTATGTACTCGTCCGTAGCCTCAGTGCATATATGCAGTTTATTACAGGGTAGAGCCTTGAACAGTGGGCCAACGGCTCCCCAAACTCAGCCCATTTTGGCGCTAATTCTTTAGGCTCTCTTCAACTATTAACTCGCCCTTGAACTTTCTTGTCGGGACTTCAAACTGTCGAGTCCTAAACCACATCCACTTTCCATTAACACATCATATTCGCATCGGCTGAGACTTCCTCACACAATTTTACTCATCCGATACGAAACAGCCTCTAAAATTTCGACAAACTAGCAGTAGTGTGTTTACTGACTGCTGCTTCCCCGACTATGCGTATCTCTAGGTAATATTCTACTCTTGGACCCGCTTACGACGCGTTGTCACAACTCCTTTCTCCATCCCACCTGCTTGACTCCTAGGTTCGACTTGATTTCTTTCTAGTCATCAGGTCCGGTGGTCGATCTTGCTACAGGAATTGATACTCTTCTAAGTCATTCTCTTCGGAAGGAACTTGCCGATTTGAAACCTTTTTACGTTCTACTAATACACCCATAATTTCGAGAAGAGAGTCACAAGGAATTGGGGATCAATCCGTTTCGCGTCTTTCTACTTCAGACATCAGGTCAACTGTACACTACTATACTACATTACTATCTTCATCGTCGCAGTCGCATGACGGTTTCACTTAGTTTGGAAGAAGACCTGCATACACGATTCTTTCGAGAGGACAGTGCAAAAAAAAGACTGCAAGCATAGAGCTTCGTCTTTGATATCTCCATTTGTTCAAGACAGAGACACAAACATCGTTCGGAAGGACACTGGGAATATCTGACATCAAAGACTGCTGAGTGTACGTATTCGATATTTGTGAGAATTTCTTTTCCTCGTTCGTTTTGAATATTTCTACTTTTTTTTTCTTGGTTGAGGATTCCTTATTATGTATTTCTTGTTGACTGATGATATGGAATGGAAGACAATAGGCACCTCTTGTATTTACTCTAAATACACCCTCACTTGACAGACCGTCAACCCAAACACCTATATTTATTCCTTCTTAGTCCCTCCTTGACATTGTATTGTTGTTCACCACCGGTTATTCCAAGATGGCGGACGAGGATTTCGAGATTGACGTCTATGGCGACGCAAACGAGGCAAACGATACCAATGTCGAAGGTGATGATTCCAAAGTCGACGACTCCAACAACCATGCCTATGAAAGCAACGCCGCCATAACTATTGCCAATGGTTCTAATCCCGATTCTACCGCCCACGCGCATAACGAAGACTACAATGCCGACGATCGTCATGAGATGGATACACGTAGTACTAGCGCAACTCCTGCGCAAGGCGTAAAGCGCAAGGAAGGTTCAGATGACAGACCTATTGATCCCGGCGCAACTAGTGCACTATTGCTTTCTGAATTGCAGTGGTGGACTACAGATAACGATATCCGCAATTGGATTCGAGGAGCATCTTGTGAGGATGAGATGAAGGACATCACTTTCAGCGAGCACAAGGTCAATGGTAAGAGTAAGGGGTAAGTGCTTTAACATTATATTGGCCTCTCCGTCGCAAAAAAACACCTTGCTAATAATTTCAATATAGCCAAGCTTATGTCGAGTTTTTGTCCCAACAAGCTGCTACCGCCGTTAAGCGACAAGTTGAGACCATGGATTCCAACCAGCCGGGCGGCAAGAAGATCACCGTAATCTACACATCACATACTACCAACCCGTTCAAAACTCTACCGAAGGATGCACCGGCGAGGGCCAATAAGGATGGAGGTTCCCGTGGAGGTTCTAACATGGGTGGCTACAATGATCGTGGTAACTTCAGAGGTCGCGGTAACTTTAATGGACCCCGTGGAGGATTTAACCGCAACTTTGCTGGTAACAATATGGGTGGCGGTGGATTCCATGGAAACGTACCCGGTGGATTTAACAACAACATGGGAGGCGGAAACTTCGGTTTTAATAACGGTGGCGGTGGTGGAAATTTTGGCTTCCGTGGCGGTATGATGCCGGGTGGTGGCATGGGCGGTGGCATGCGTGGAGGTGGAATGCGCGGCGGCCGTGGAGGTGGTATGAATCCTGGTATGAACGCGGGCATGAGCAATGGAATGATGCCCGGTATGGGAGGTATGGGTATGCCTATGATGGGCTTCCAACAACCTCCGCACTTCAATCCGGCCTTCTTTGGTGGTAACCAATCATCGGATTGGCAGAACCCTCACGGAGCCAAGCGCCCTCGGGAGAACTAGTCGGAACCCGATCGCCGCCTCGCGCGCGGATACCACCAAAACCATTAAGGTTTCATGAAGATGGGATGTTCTATTAGGCAGGGTATGCATGGCTTTTGCGGTTAATGGTTTTCTTACTGGCATTCAGAAATTAGGGGGGGAAAGGTTCACGAATGAGCAATTAGGTTGTAGTTGCATGCAGACGTGCCTCGTCTTTACGAGAATGAATTCCCCGATCTATTTATGTACTGGTTTTTCTACATGATCTGACCTTGAAACCCGTACCAGCATCTCCTATGATTGGCTAGATACAGGCAATTCTATGGTAAGATTTGATCCGATAAATCGGAGAACCTTTTACGCCTTCTTCTTGGAACCGGCAACGGCCTTGCGGTCCTGGCCAAAGAGCCCGAGAAAGTAAAGCGTTCGGCTCAACCAGAGGAAGGACTTTACGGATCATTCTTGTTAGTATCATATTTCTGTACTCGGAGAAACATTGAAATCGGGTAGAATCGCAACTTACAGTGAAACCGACGTTGCCCCACGTCACGGCGTTCCACGAACCCACATCAAGGGTCCTGTCATACCCAAGTAGCCAGACAGTCACTCCGACGTGGCTTATGTCCGCGATCCTGTTTAAGTAGGACATTGTTAGAAAGTTATTATTTATTTGGCTTGAAACGAGCACGAACCATAGAGCAACTAGATAGTTTCGGACGACCTTGAGCTCGGTGGTAGTGTATAGCACCGCAACACCGAGTAGAAATAATAAGAAGTAGGCATTGCCCAGCTGAAGCGCAATTAAACGCGCATTGTCGTCTCTTGGTACGATATCGCTAGCAGGAATATCGAGCTGCGAATCAATGAACCATGATGGGTTCAGGAATGGGCTTATAAAGCCAGCAATGCTAAAGCGCACGTTTGGTTAGTAAAGTGAAGATAGCATGTTAATTAATATGCAATTACGGCTTACAGCGACAGAGGCTCAACAATGGTAAAGATAGTGCGAGGGAATGCTGGGAGCTGAGAGGCCATCGTTTCCTTTTTCTTCTTTCAGATAAATTGACTTATATGAAGTTGCTATATCAAGCTATGTAATCAATAAGATGAGGTAAGAAGGTAGGTGTGGAATAGGAAATGTAAGTAAGCGAGCTGGATAAAATGGGCGTATGAGAAAAGCGACCTTTGGGTAGTCGTCAGTCGTCAGTCGGAGCACGGCACAGCAGGATCAACAAAAAACTTGAAGTTGGTTGAAGAATTTTTTTCCAAATTTCACCCATACGGATGCTACGCTTGACAAATATATACTCTGGAATCTCACGATTATGGCCTCTTATTTCGAAAGAAGTAAGCTTGGGGGCTGAGTAAGATGTTTGAAGGATTTAACATGGAGTTGTCTAGCCTTGATCAAGTTTCTATGTCGTGCTAGGTGGTGTACCTGTGGATTGTTAGAGGGATGTTAGGGAGGGTAGAAGAAAAAAAAAGTAGCTGCTTAGGTACATACAGTGGTATCAAAATAGGGGAAAGGGGCACGTACTTTAGCGGCGGCACGGTCCCGATTGGGTAATAAATACAGGTACAAGATTGCAGAAGGATCGAACGGTAGCAAAAGACAATTAAAAAAGAATAGGAAATACATCAGACTGTTCCATCGCGACTGCAGATTTAAGAAAATGCTTGGCACTTTACCCAGCCGAGAAAGGGAAAGGTAAGGAAGGTATGATGATTAATTGAGTTTTCCACTTGATGATCCCACCGTTAAGAAAGCGTTATCTCTAGTGTAACCAGACATCCTCCTCTTTTCTCCCCCCTTCCACTATTTTTTATTTTCTTCAATGATTTCTCAATTTTTCTTTGCAGCCAGGCAGGCCAACCAACCCCCCTAGTCCGACACCCCGAAAGCAATTACCAATATAACCTAATCGGTTCATTTTATTATTACTCTTGTTAGTCAGGTACCTAACCTACATATCTCCATGTATATACATATACATATGTATCTAGGTATGTAGGTAAGGTGTCGACACGCATCCAATACTCTATCCTATACACCCACGCTAAGTACCTAGGTAATAGGTTAGCAGCAGCGGAAGAGGTAGGGAACGTCCTAGGAGGGATGGCATATTCACGTGAAGCAGTGAGCGGTTTGAGAAGGGAAATGCAAACGCGGCCAACCCGCACTAATAACTAATACCCTTTCCCATTTTCCTAGCACCTGCATAGTAGTATGTAGGTAGTAGGTACGGTTGTAGGTATCAATGAGAGGAAAGAAGTCTCGACTTATTCTCCCTACCATCCTTCCTACCTATTCTTCGTACCCTTTTCTTTCTTCCTCACTTTGTTTTATTTTATTCATTTATTTAATTCCCTCCCCTGAACCTGAAACAAAGCGGGAGAGGAGAGAGAATACCGCGAAGACAGTCGAGGCTCTGGTGGTTTATCGGCGCTGATTGCCTATCTAAGTAGATTGTTCCATCTTCAAACTATTTTTCCTCTTTCTTCCACTTCTTTTTTCGCGCCATTATTCAAATATTTTCCTCTCTCGTCTCTTGTTGTCTGTCACGGATATTCAGACACGGCCGACGAGACAGCATTATACCGTGTTCATTTATCGCGGCATTTCTCAATCTAACAGTAGTGCTCTCACTACTTGTTACTCGTCTGCCTTGCCTATCTACTTCTTTCCCGGATCTAGATTCGACCATTCGTTCCTCTTATCGCCAATCCCGCCCTCCGCTTCTACTCCTCCCCCCAGTCCGTCCTCGCCCCTCGGTCCAAAAACAAAGAGTCCGTCCGGACCCTTTTTCTCTCCCAATGCCCTTCACTTGTTCGCTTCCATCGACTCACGATGGCTACCATCGAACCACGACTAATTCATCTGCTGAACGAGTCGACTACTACGCCACGGCCTCGCCATGCTGAACTTCCACCAATGAAAATTCTCCCACCTCCCAAGTCCTCTGGCCGCTTCCATCCTGTCGAGTCCGATGCTAATCAGAGGTCCGAAACTTCGGACACCACCGTGAGCCAATTGGCCTCGCAATCAATGCCATCCTTATATTCCATGGTTGACGAGAGTTCTACCTCAAATTCTTCCGGACTGAGAAACGATGTCGGTTACCCCTCGGACCGCGCTCTATTAAGTCACATTTCGTCCCAGGACCTACGCATGATACTTGACGACGTACCAGATAATGCCGAAGATCTAGGGAAGAAGAGGCGGCCAGTAAAAGAGGATTTCGTGCAGCTACCACAGCCGCTCAAGAAGCAGAAAGCAACTACGCAACAACATAGATTCCCTCCAATTATAGTGGGTTTACTTGAACCACCATCTGATGCTTCACTATTCCCACCAATCTCCTCCGGATCTTTTGACAATCGTCCACACTCCGAACCTCCGCAAGCTCTTAGTATCACAAAACCACCCGAGCCATCAAATCCGGTTGAAGAAAGGGCAAACCCGAGTCCTCCACCCGAACCCGAACGAACCCCAACAGGGAAGGTTAAGCGACGGGCTGCCAAGCCGCGACGTAAATGGTCGGAAGAGGAAACGAACCACTTGTTGCTCGGTGTGAGTAAGCATGGAGTAGGAAGATGGACGGACATCTTGGAGGACCCCGATTACCAATTCAACGACAGGACAGCGGGAGACTTAAAAGACAGGTTTCGGACTTGTTGCCCCGAGGAACTCCGTGCAAGCCCAGCAGTCCGGGGTGATATTTCCAAGGAAAAGCAGCCAGTGGGCCGACCTAAGGAAAAACCTACGAAAGGGCTGATGTCCGAAAATATACTCAACGAGACAGAAGAGGAAGCCGAAGCTGAGCAGGCCCAGTCAGTCCAGAACGACTCTGATCCTGCGCCTACGAGACAGCGGAAGAGCCGAGCTCATCGCAAGAAGATGGAAGACCTAGTTGAACTGGGCATCAAAGGACCATTTAAGAAATCGCATCGAAGGGAGCGACGGCCATTTTCCGACCAAGATGACAGGGAAATACTTGAAGGATTTGAACTTTATGGCCCTCAATGGACCAAAATCCAAAGAGATCCTAGATTCAACCTTTCCACTAGACAACCGACAGATCTACGAGATAGATTACGAAATAAATATCCCGAAAAGTTTGCGGGTACAGAGAAGACTGCCATGCAAGTCAGAGAGCCAGGAAGAGGCAACAACTTATTGGAGCCCTCTGTTAATATGGCTATCGAGAATTCGTTGCATGTTTCTAAATCGACTTTACTTGAACCACACCTAAATCGGGCTAACTCAAGAGAAGATATGCCAAAGTGGCCTCTACCTTCCAGTCTCATGGAGAATGGCGAACCGGCCCATCCAGGTCTTTACTGGACTGATGGTTCTGGGGCAGCGTTTACCTCTGGCGCTATAGGAGAAATGGATATATCCCGTCTTCTCCTTGACGATTCACAAGGTACAAATGACCCCTCTCCGGAGAGACGCGGTCTAGGTTGAAATAATATCTATACGTTAAAAGAGGTTAAAGATTGAAAATACGGCTTAGTTACAGGTTTATTTTTGACGGAACGCTCTCAGGAAAGCCAGCGTCGTCGATGGATACGGCCAGAACACAACGTTCTACACGTTAGTTGAAAGGACAGTACAGGATAACCCACCGCGTGGATGAATTCAAGTCAGTATCTGCCATAAACCGACCCAAGTGTGTCGAGGCCTTTCGGGAGAAATTTTATAGCCGATGATATATTACATCAGACATGGAGCCCCTAGTATTACAGGACATGTATGTGTATAAGGGTGGATCATGAACCAAGGTTATGAGTAAAATAGGTATGATACATGCAAGGAGATGAAAAGAGGAATTGAAACTGTACGAAAGCAATTCAAGGCTTAATAGCTACGCCTGAGTAATACCAAAATTCATTTTGACACCTTCTATGAAGCTCTTGAATGTGATGTGATGTGATGTGATATAATAGATAGTGTCTGGCTCGGAATTCAAGATTATATAGCCTAAGACCAGCTTCGGGATTCTAGGGATGCCTTCTAATATTCATTCGCCGTGAAATAAAGTGCATATCGAAGTACATCAACGGATGTACCTTCTGAATTTGGCTAATGGTGGGACCCTGCAGAAAGTCTAGAATACCCACGTGTACATCGATGTAGGTACCGGAAGTATCTTGATAATTTCTGGGGAACACCTGCCAGCAATTCTTACAGCCGTCAGGTGCACAGACCACACAACTCTCACCGCCCGGGTAGGACCCACTAGGGCACAAACCCACACCTTTTCGCTTCCAAGGAAATTCTAAACTAGGCGGAATCAATTCATTCAACTTTTTTTTCCTAACAAGTCCCAATTGAGAGGAAGCCTTCCCATACTCAACCTGCCACTTCACGATATTCTTCCCGATACCTATCGTTGAGCAGTCAAAATGGCACGCGGACCGTAAGTAATTCTATTTATACCCAGTCTTGATAATTAAACAGATGTACAATGCGAAACAACAGCATCCGAAGAATTATTATAATTCCTACGATGCGCGCGCATTCGCGTCGAAATTTCCGATCGTTGAAATATTTACGACCTATACTAATTAAATTTCGATATATAGTAAGAAGCACCAGAAGCGCTTGAGCGCCCCCTCCCACTGGCTTCTCGACAAGCTGTCCGGTGTCTACGCCCCCAAGCCCTCCGCCGGTCCTCACAAGCAGCGTGATTGCATGCCCCTCATCATCTTCATCCGTAACCGCCTAAAGTATGCTCTCAACTACCGCGAGACCAAGGCCATCCTCATGCAGCGCCTTATCAAGGTTGACGGCAAGGTCCGAACCGACATGACCTACCCTGCTGGTTTCATGGACGTCATCACCATCGAGAAGACTGGCGAGCACTTCCGACTCATCTACGACACCAAGGGTCGCTACACCATCCACCGCATCCAATCCGAGGAGGCCGAGTACAAGCTCGGCAAGGTCAAGCGAGTACAACTTGGCAAGGGCGGCATCCCATTCTTGGTCACGCACGATGCGAGAACGTAAGTTCTGTCAGACATCATTCAGCCGTTGGATCAAGCTTTGGTTGAACCACCTTTTCCACTTTGTGATAAGATCGAGCTTCGAACTGATGGCTGGTATGTCCCCTACTCCTTCACAAATGCTAACATTGTTTTCTACTACAGCATCCGATACCCTGACCCTTCGATCAAGGTCAATGACACCGTCAAGATCAACCTAGCCACCGGCAAGATTGACGACTTCATCAAGTTCGACACTGGTGCCATTGCCATGGCCACTGGTGGTCGTAACATGGGTCGTGTTGGTGTCATCACTCACCGTGAGCGTCACGATGGAGGTTTCAACATCGTCCACATCAAGGACGCCATTGACAACACCTTCGCCACCCGTGAGAACAACGTTTTCGTCATCGGTTCCGAGAAGCCCTGGATCTCCCTACCCAAGGGTAAGGGTGTCAAGCTTACTATTGCGGAGGAGCGTGACCGTCGCCGAGCCCACGCTCTTGCTGGTCACTAAAGGGGTTAATCGGTAAAAATAACAAAAACGGGATCAGGCAGAGGGTTGTCTTTCACAAAGCATGGGAACTGGAGTCTATGGCATATCCATTTTCGTTCTTACCAAATGAGTAGGATTCGTAGCTAAGGGTCAATGATAATGAGGATTAATTGACCAATGATCCCGCCCTCTTGTGGCAACTGATCTTTCTTGATTTTCTACTTCCGCATATTCGAGTTGTCATGTGCTTTTTCTTGATCTGTCGTATTCCTAAATATCGTTTACATGCTTCCCGTTCATCCACACCGATGAGGCCCAACTAACTGAGAAGTTCGATACTACCCTTCCTACACCGCATTGACCAACCAGTATCAAAGCAAGCTATCTCGGGCTCAACCTGCAGAGCTAATGACCTACTTACACGAAGCATGGATATAAGAACGCCACCAAATGAGTTATACTGTGCTAGCCTGCCTATCACGTCTTCGGCCCTTCGCTGACCTTTAAGTGAGCCGAGCTCGAACTTCCGTTTTCCCTCACCGACTCTCTTGAGGGTCTTGCCCCCTTCCCCCATCTTAGCTACGCGTACTTCCAATAGAACACGAGAAACACGAGGTGGCGTCTGTCTTCTTTCCGTCCCGTCTGCACCCCCTTGTTGACCGTTTTTTGTCTAGCTTGTGAGGAGGGGAAGAGGTTGGGGGTCGACGGGGGTTCTCTATGATGGCTTGGGAAAGTTGTCTGTATGGATGGCTATAGACTTTTGTGTAGCCAATGACTATATTATACATGAGTTTACAGGGTCCCTACTGGTATCTTGAGCTACGTGAAGGTATTAGAGAGCCCTAGGAACTACGTTAGAGAGCGATCAGGCACGTGGGAGTATAATACGTGTTCATCGATCAAGAGACTTAGGGAAGTTTTGCTTCATTTGATTTATTTGGTATGACAGACCACCACATGGCAAACACGAGTAGGTAATTTTCGGCGAGATAGTGTCCTTGGTGTTCGTAGTTTTGATACCCTGGGCCATGCTTGGGCGTCTACTAGCCGGCTTGGGGGCGGCGGTTTGCTAATGAAGCACTGCATCGTGGATCTGGTACCCGGGAAAGAGATTGGTCTATGGTAAAAGTGGCAATTTCACATATCGGGAGTATATGTGGGAAGTGAAAATCCCTAACATTTTTTAAAAGTGTCTTGTCCTGTATAGTCATGAGAGCCTTGCCGGGCTAATAGGCACTCTCCAAAGTCATGGATATTCTACTTATGGATACGAGAAAAAATTATCTTCACATATCACAGCAGAGTGTGATACATGTGGTGCCACCCATGGAGCTATATTTGCGTAGAGATATTGGTTACTCACCGGTGAGGATGTGTAGCTTAAAGACCCGTTCTAATCAGACCAGGGAACGCCTTTGCCGGGTGATTGGCATATGTCATTAATGTGTGATGAACTAGGAGGCTTCACGGAAGGGTATGATAATGCGAGATAAGGTGGAATCTACTGTAACGATCAGTCCTTTTCGGCATCAGTCAAGCCATATCTTAGGGTCGCAAAGTTAGTTAGTATTACATCTTGGGTCTTCAACCGGGCTGGACGTATGTTGGCGGGTATGGTTTTCTTTTCTTCTTTTCCTTTCCCAAAAAGTTACGTCGTAGACTCCATCGCGCCAAGTAATAGTGAGATTCAATATTGCTCTAGGTCCTTCATTTTAGAACATAAAGTAATTCTAGTTTCCGTATTCCCCGAGGATGGCCACCCACTAGACCTCGACGAATAAGGAATGCTTCCGGTGTGTAATTCAGTGTCCCATATCCCTGGATTCTGGGAATATCCGCCGAGTCGACCCATAAAAAGAGGCTCTGTTGAGACTACTGGTGCTCTAGTAAATGACCTATCGAATATGATTCCGGATAATCTGCTCGTATCGTTGCACACCGTAGACTCCGTATCCCACACCCGTATCTCTACTCACCTACCACAGATCTGCCATGTAGATGATATCCTTTTACGAACAAGTTTCAAAAAAAATGGTCAGGAGATAATGACGTACATGAGGCGAAAGCTAGGTCGGTGGCTCCCACCTCTCTATCTCTAATCTAGAAAGCCTATTGGCCGTGTAAATATATACGAACGTTTTTAACGTATCATAGGTATCTCATTAAATTTCTAGAAAGTGAAGATTAGTTTTCTATTTCCCCGGAAGCCTGGTGATTTGTGCGGGGCAATAATATGTAAGATCTAGAATGTGACAGGGTATATAGATAGAGAAGGTCCTAGACATACAGGCTGACTTGTCGTAAATTCCATAAAGAGAAAGAATAAGAATATACTTGGTAGACATTCTCGTAGCCCCGTATGATAGTCAGTGGAGAAACAGCCATAGCCCAAGAGTCTGGTGCCGTTGAAACTTCTAGGACGAAGGCGGTGTTGCGGAGCAAGACATGGTGTGGGCCGATCCGCTGTGCTATGTTCGTCAGGACAAGACATTGCTTTCTGCGGGGAAACCTTCTGGCCTAAGAGTAGAATCGTTAGTAGCAGGAATCGGTCGGCAGAGCTAGCCATGCCTTTTCTATTCTAGAGATTCGATCTAGGCTGGTCTGGCCAGTCTTGTCTCATGTAATACAAGTGGTATTTGGGTATTGAGTTTGTGGATATAATCTAATATATTGCTACCTAAGTATAACAGCAGTCGCGGGAACTATGCGCCTGCTAGACCGCCGAAGAATGTTACTTGGCATCCTTTATCGAAAAAAATCTTCGGGCGCAGCTCTGATCGGAGGAACTTAGTTGTCTCGGGTTCTTCGGACACAAGCAGCTTCTAATTATCAGCTGATTATTGTGGCTTGCAAATAGTGGGATTTTCCTCTAGAGGTTAATTATTTGTTACCTAATTTGTTGCGTCAAGGCACGATATCGTAGGCCTAGGATATCTAAGTCCAAAGTGTTGTGGTATTCAGGGGCCTTCCCATTACCAGGGGGCGTCCGTATATCATCCCTTAGCGCTAACGGAAGACTACTTCCTCACACAGAGGTCGGTGCGGATAATCCACTTCTCGCCTGCTGTTACTTCACGACCTTCATGCTAGAGACATAGATTAGTAACTCCGTAGCGGCCTAGGTAGTTATTAATGGAGGGGAGTTCCTATTCTTACCAACAAGCAATCATCCCCATGTTTGTGGAGCAGGAGTAAACCTGTCTCAGGGGCAATGGCAATTTCTTCTTTTGGTGATTTACGGTCGTGAGGGTAGAATACGGTTTCTCCGCCGATGCAACCCTCGGCGGCTGAGGTCAAATATAATAATAGCGTCCAGGTTGTTTTAGTGCTGATGGTAGTACAAGACCCGTTCGTCTCCGATAAAGCAACTATATTTGAGTCGTCATCTATAGCTACGGATTAGTGAACCATGTTCTTGTACGAGGAAAATATCCTGAGGCGTTGGGGATGCTGTGACATCAATTGTCTCTCCAAGATATGGCAGGGTACCGCGTTCCGCTATAGGTTCGCTATCGAAGCCAGCTTTGATGTGATGAGTGTTGATAAGGCATGTCAACGTTATACAACGATCCCTGGGGCTTGAAGAATGCAATGTGAGGAAGTTTGCTGCAGAAACATCATCCACACCATGTAAGCTTGCCCTGCATAACCTATTATCACTAGATGGATGCAATTTTGCGCGAAAGGTTTCGAAGTATACTCGGAGATCTACTCACAGTGACAATCAAAGTATTGACCTTTGGAGTAACGATAAACTCGGATATTAGGATTTAATGCTACCACATCACCGCCCCTATGCATTGCTGGTCATTAGTATCGTTTATGTCCCACCAATGATGTAAGACCCTTGCTAACCATAGGTTCATCACGGACTCTTCTGCTAGGGCCTCCTTGAGTCCTGTTCCATGCCACAGTCTCTGAGCGAACTGTACGTCGTCAACTTGGAATCTATCGTTAACCCTTAACGCTTCGCCACGTTTTGGTCGACCAGGTGTGGTGGTCAAAGATAGTGTTTTTAGAAAGTTAACATAGTCTCGGCAAAGATTCTTAGGCCAGAAATTCCGTATTAGGATTATCTTGTCCTCTAAGTCCGGGACGGGAGCCTCGGGGTTGAATTGCACGACGGGTAGGGTTGGTTTGAATGGTGGCCAGTTTGGCGGTTGAGTTGCAGCCGCCACCGTAGCATTTTTTGAAGATTGATTTTTCTTAGCTGATTTATCCTTGCCCATAACAATGGCTTTCACAGTGTCTATGCCCTTTCAGTTAATCGCGATGAGAGAATTATCTTATTTATCAACGAGTCTTTAAATCTCAGGGGTCAAAGTAGGCTCGATAAAGTTCCAACTATGATATAGAGTTGAATCCGGTGGGATGGAACCTTTAGACTCCCGCGTTTTGGATAGATCATAGATTTCGTTAGATTGGTTCCACTTTATAAGTACATACCGCAAGCTTAGTATGCACATAGACGAAATAACCCGGGACAAAATCTCCATGTAACTTTCTTCGATACGCGGCATCTACTCTTACAACTATTAGTATTCATCTTGACTCAGATCTACGACATGAAAAGGCTTATATGTTTCTCAATCCATGCGGCTAGCTGGGGTAGTTGAATGTGCTGGGTAGATGGTATATCATACGACACCCCATGTCCATCATATTTCCCTCAATATGCTGATATATACCATCCGAAGTGACTTGAAATCCGGTAAATACCTCTTAAGAAGAATACAATATAGTAGAATAGTAGAGTCTCACCGCTCTATCTATCATCGTCTTCCCCTAGCAAAAGAAAGACAAATTCGTCAGGGTGCAGACACTAGTACAGATAGTCCTTACCGGAGGCTTGCTTGTTAGAACATTATGGATGACGTTAGCTCAAGCTTCTAAAGCCAATCAATACTACCCTTCTATCCCTAGACCCTGTTTCCATTCTTGTCTATATTGCTTTTTCTTTTGTGCTTCTATGCAAGCTGAAAATAGAACTGTAGCATTTTTTGTTGACGATTCGCCGAGCCCTGGATTACTCGGAAGAATGTACTTGAACGCTACCTATGCGCCCATTACATTTTCGTATCTATCTCCAAGTAGAAGAACGATGGAGCCTCATAGCGCATCAATACAAAACCATGTCGTGCATAATTCAACTCTCACTGCTTTACCATCGTTCACCCCTAGCTGAAAAATGAGTAGATTCGCGACATATTGCGAATGGATTGTCACTGTTCGCAAGTGCCTGGATGGCGAACCGCCTCCAAGTCATCTCCGCCCACAACGCCGTTGAAGAAATACGGGAATGGATCGGTTCGATTTCGAGGCTTCGGAAACCACTGGCCCATGTTCATCGAGCTCTGGATTTGACGACAGAATTAAAGGAGTACGACGATAAGCATCCCGTTCATTGGTATGAAGTATTCCCAACCGAAAACACACCCAGTCAACTATCACCGAACGACCTCTGGCTCCATTTTAAGCTGGAGAGCCTACGCCCGTGCTTATGTCTTTTAGTGCGGCTGTTTGGGTTCGTACTTCCGGATTGTAAACATATGTGGGATGAATGCGAGAGCAGTCTGGTTAGGAAGCAGTGGATACGTCAGTTTATTCTGGATTTCCTGAATCCACCAAAGGTCCCGCCAAAAGTGCCAGCCGCCTTTTTACATCTTCTAAGGACTCGTCAACCCATCAAATCAAACTTGGGATTCTGGCAGGAATGACGTTACGACCGGAATATAATGTTAAGCTGATGGTCAGGATGGATCGAAGTTAGTTCCTTGTCATTATCTTGGCGGTTGATATTTGATGCTAACCCGAACAGATGGGTGGGTGTACCTGGAGAGGAGGGGATAAAATCGATCGAGACGTTAGGGTGTCATTATTGACGATACTTGGCAATTCATAGTTCGCCTTTGGAATGTATCTCGGGCGTATCAACTCGACAAGCATAGTATCGCATTCTTTAGTTATGAACAGACTTGGTTTGGAAGCAGGAGGTAATGTGTGAAGGGTAAAGGCTTGGCTCATAATAACCATAGATATTGGGATAGCGATGTTCTTTTTTATTGAATTATGCAATTAAGTGCTTGTTACGAAAAAAAACTTTTCTCCACTTTGTTCGCTTGGTTACCCCAGATTTTGGAGGCAACTAACATCGAATTTTGGAAGGGAAAGACTTATCAAAGAAATTCCGAATTCAAATTGCGGCACGCGACATCGAAAAGTCTAAAAGTTATTTATCCTTCTTCTTTTCAATTTTCTCGCCTTCTAACTTGTTTCTGTTCTACGGAGCCGTTGTAACTTCAATAACAAAATAATCTGTCGCGATTTGAATTTGATGGCATTGATTCTTATATAGCTCGTCGTTCCCTCGAATAAAATCTGAGCGTTCGTTCCGTTCGTCCCCTCTTCGTCGCAATTATCGATATAGACCGGCCAATGTGGTCATTCGGAACGACTATGACCATGGCGAAGGACAGAGAGCCTTCACATGCTTCCGCACAAGATCAGCCTCTTCAATCCTCTCGACCCTCCCAACCTCTTCAGAATACAATAACACCACCCGAACCTCGACCGTCGATATTCTCGCAACGTTCACTGAAACAATTGGGCTTGTTCTTTGCTGGAGCTGGCTTTCTTACTCTCTCGACCCTAATCACAAGACGAGCAGTAGTTAGGAAACGTATAGCGACGATACCTAAATTTTACAATCAGAGCAATCGAACCGTCGACAAAATGCAATCCGATAGTTCTTTAATCGCTCTCGAGGCACTAAATCTTGCGACACTTAATGTTATGGGATTTGGTATCATGGTTACTGGTGGTCTATCATGGGCGTTTGACGTCTCGAACATTGACGACCTAAGGCGGATGGCCCGGGGACATATTGGCCCTGACGGTGGCCGAACCGACGAGGAGGCAGAGCGGGAGGTCGAGGAATGGGTAGCTAAAGTTTTGTTGAGAAAAGAACCAAAAGAACAAGAGGCCAAACCGCCACCCAAAAAGGACGGTTAACTGTCCTGAGCAATTCAAGCTGTTAAGAGAATAATTCCAGTGCCTAGAGCATCCGTGCTACTCGATATCGGCAGTCGATGACATGCGTATTCGCTGGCATCACAATTCGAAGCTCCTTCACCGGTGTATTATTAACCCTTCGGTGATGGGTGACGCACTTAAGAGTGCCCGTATTAGCCAAGCGAAATCCTGGTCTAAGCAAGCCACACGGGCATCGGGCTGTCTTGCATATCGCCATTTGGCGTAGGAGCCCACACTGTGTCGTCGGCAGATGACTAGGGACTTTTACAACAAGGTGGCGTTTATGACCTTAGTAGCATGCACGATCTTCAGATGCGAATTCCGACCTATCATTCCTTTCCATGATTGGGTTCTATTGGGGTTCTGCCTCCCTCCCTTCGCATCCGGGCATTGTTCTGGATGGTCTTCCGCTGATACTAACCCATGGAATCTCATTAGTCAACCCTTCTCATCATGGAGGTGTTAGCTATCAATCATTTATTTTCCCAATTTAGCTCAACTTCACCGCTGAGCCTCTTGCAGCAAGCCAGTTTTTCGCAAAACTATTCATCACATTCGGTTCAAACGATATACCACGAGTACATCCTCGATGGCATGTTGAAAATATCCAATCGCCTATTACAAACCCTTGGAATCGGCCCTACATATTTGCTTCTTTAGGGGTTTGCGCATATTTCTAGCTTGACTGAGAAGAGGCACATTTGCACGCTTAATAAGGATTTTACAAAAATCATTCGAGCCCCTTGGGATGACAGCAACACCATCACCAACAAGGGGAAAATTCGTCGACTTGGAGTTGATTTGCCTGCTTACTTATTAGCACGTGTTATATGGTTCATACTGTGGACTGACGTGACAATTATGGCCAACTATCACGTATACGTCAAGAATTATCACTGGTCCCACCAAAATACCATTGTTCAGTCTCCAGTTCTCGATTTGGGCGCTCCCGTCTCTTCATTAATTGTTCGACCGCTGGAAGGCACCAACAAAAATGAGCCTCGGATAATCTGTAACGTTACTGATTTAAAAGACGATATTCAAGAAAATGAGTATCAAACCGAGGCACACGGTTTATTTGTTTCGACAGGTTCACAAAGACAAGACTTCTTCCCAATCTGGGTACCTATCCATAATTACAAATGCAGAGATGGCGAGATTTACGGTGTCAATCTGATAGCGTCCGAAGCCTGCAAGGCTTCTATAGCAGATGTATGCTGGGTTCCTGGCTATGAAGCACCCAGTGGCGATCTGTATACGGTAATAGGCGCCCCACGGATGACAATCAGAGAGACTCGCGTTCTAGTCCTCGCTCAGCAATTCGGGTCTCCACGGAAGGCCAAACTTGCTCTCTTCGACCCTTCTCTACTCGCAGGCTTCGAGGAAATTGACGATGCTCGAAAGAAAAAGGTGTTTGAAATACAGCTAAGAGCTCTTCGAGTTGGGCGTCATTCAACTTCAAGCCCTCTTCTAAACACATATCGCCTCTATATGTCTTCATATAGAAATGAGAATGGGAGACGTCCCCTGGAAGAAGTACTACGCGATGAATTTGAGCCTTATCGACCTTCCGATTCTGATGGTTCGAGAAGAACAAAGTTGGACAACTCTAGAGATGATGATTCACTATATGCTAGACCTTCGTATGTTTCTCTAGCGAAAGTTCCGAATGTAAGTAGTCCATGCTACATACAATTGCGTTAGAATGGGAGATGGAGGTCTTACTGAACGCCAACGTCCCTTGCAGCATCTATGCGACTGCGATTGTAAATATGTAGAACTTCTACCTACGTATTTCAACCCACGCTCGAGCCACACACACGGTACGGACGATAAATGTTCTCTCGGTTCTGCCCATAAGCATTGTATATTCGCCGACCACGACCCAGGCGCATGCATCATTCCTACGGCAAGGGAACCGCATAAATGTTGTGTTCACCCTTCAGACGATCTAATGTCCGATTTTACGGGGTATTTTGGGCCAAATTGCCTAGATGAGGCGACTGACATACACGACCGCGCGAATAGGGAGCCGACTGTTTTCGATCCCGCTTATCTTGAATTGGCCTTCGTCAACTCCCCCTTGCCTTTACCTCCGCCTTCGCTTTCATCCTCGTTCTCATCTTTGGAGGCATCCTCATTTACTATGGGAAGTTAAAAGTCAACTTGCGATTATTATTCATGTCGGCCGATATAGCCTTAGGAACGAGATACTTCAATTAAATCCCTATGCTCGCTACAAGGGCCACAAGCAGACGGACGATAGGGCGAATGGGTATACATGGTGTTTTGGGATATTTTAAGAGGGTTTGCATCGGGAGGCTAGCGCTATATACATGAATATTAGGAGAGCATTCACTCTTTAAAGCATGATCTATGTCTATGAACAGATGTATGATCTTATTAGAACTTTTCTTCTTACTAACCCTACTTATGTGTTCCTTTAAACATTTTCATTATTGACAATCATGCTCCGTTCTAACTACCTCTTTTTACATCAGTAGAATCGAAAAAGTATTCAAAGCGATGGTATTAATCTGTGATACCATGGTATAGCTTGCGCTACGTACCTATAAACGCTACCACTTACCCCCACTTAGGCCCGCTTGTGTAGCAAATAGGGCTCTAGTTAGATCCGATTATACTATAGCGCTCCCCACGGAGGAAAAGCAAAGGCTATAGCGGTATATTACGGACCAAATTCCCAGTCAAGCATCAAGTTGGTATTCTCCTCCTCCTTGCACAGGGTCGGATGGTGTAGTTGGTTATCACGTCAGTCTAACACACTGAAGGTCCCCAGTTCGAGCCTGGGTTCGATCATATCTTTTGCATTTTTGCTATATTTATTACTCAACTACCTTGAGGTTATAGGTTTTTATTTTTTTGGATTGTGTGTATTCAAACGTAAATCTCGGATCACCTAGCCGAACTAACCCTAGCATTTTCTATTATTTCCAGGCTCTACTATTGGATACATTGGCACGTATGGAGTCACACTGCCTCGCAAATGATGTCCTATGCTTTATGATTACTGAAATATTGACATAATTACTTTTTGAAATCACAGTGGAATGTATAGTTCATAATAATATTGGTATCTGTCCTGAATTCCCGCATCGGCGTGTCTTCACGGCTGCGATGTATATATCCTATCCAGTAATTTAATACAAAGAAATGCCTCAATATTCCATAACCGTGACATTTTGACATAGATATAAGAACAAATATGTTGGCAGCCAAGTGGTAAGGAGTTGTGGTTCGGCATAATACATACGGCACTGATATCACATCAGCGTCGCGTGTAGTTACTCCGTGAGGGACTTTTTAAGAACCCGCCCAGGATGTGCCTCGTCCCACTCCCATGGCTTCGCGATTACATTATTCATCATAATCAACAATCCAACCATGTTGGTAGGCAGTGCCCGTGTAGGGACTATCACGAAGCATTTGGCTCTGATCGGTCCCTTATCCTTTCTTCAAGCCCATCAGTCGTCTCTAAGCTACCTCGGCGGCCCCAGTTTCGGGGCTGGTGCTTGAGGAATGCACCTACAGCACCTAGATATCCTTCGTGTCGCAAAAAGTAGGCCTGTTTCTGACCTTTACTCCAAAACTTGATGGCGTAGCTAAGCGTGTTCATGGTTTGTGGGTGCCCGCGAATAAAGGACCCGCCAAAATAGATGCGCGACAGCCCATGCACTTGCGACTGTAGGAATGCAATCTGGCCAATGTTGTTACTGATAGCGTATAGTAAGGAACGTGAGATATCAGCGCTAGAGAAGCGCGATCGTGCCAATTCACTTGCCCTGGAGGATGTAGGACGCTGTGGTTGTGGTTGCGAAGGGGTAGAGGAAGAGGATTGATCTGAGTTTTGCTGCTGTCGACGGTTTTGGTCATCGCCATTTGCAAGACCACCCATATCTTCAGCTTCGTTCTCTGCTTCCCGCTTCATGCGGAAGACTTTACCGAAGGAACTGGCGATCGTTGTGCTCTTCAAACCGATCTTACCATAGTCGGTACCATAAATGTCGCCGACCAACATGTCCACTTTGGCATTGTCGCCATGCGCGGCCATGTCTAGCATCTCATCGAATGACTCGGCAGGTGTAAGAAGCGAAAGTATACCCCAGAGGGTACCCCCTCCGAGTGATGTACCGCCCACACGTTCGTATGTTCGGGGGCCGGACACTTTGAGGATACTGACGCCGGATCCTATGTTTACAAGCATATAAGGGTAGATATTAGCATGAGGTGTCGCAAAATGCATGGGATCTGTCTCTGAATATGTGAAAACTTCGCGGGGTATCTCGGTGATGAAGAAATCAAGACCTGTCACGCGACAACCACGTATTAGCCTCTAATACTTTGAGTGAGGATATGGTAGGATATGGTTAGGAATTACCAATAATTAAACATTCCATCTCGTCTTCTCGCAAAACATCGACGCCCAAACGCTCTCGTATTCTTTCGTAGAACTTGTAAGCACCACCCCCGGTCGCCATGACGCACAACTCGCCCGGTCTAGATCCATTGAGGGCGAGCTGCTTGTCTTTCAGGTGTCGCATAAATTCAATACAATCGTCAATGCGATCGGTCTCGAAAGACTGGAAATTGAGTCGGCCGCCGGGTTCGGTCGAATGCGCTTCGCGGGAGAAATATACAAGCTTGGCTAAAGAGCCACCAATCTAGTAAAATTGCATGTTTAGCATTGCTGGCTCGGAATCGCGGTTTCAATGGCGCACTAAGGGAGCTTACATCAACAGCGATATGACTGATAACGGCTGTGTGGTTGGGTAAGCGAATGTCTTTTGTCTCATGATAACTATTTCCGCCAGAGCCGGGCAAGTTTGCTGGAGTGCTTGGTTGCGAAGGGGTATCGACAATGAATGCGCCTTTGACGTTTATACGGACAGATCCGGGATGTGTGATAGTATCTTCGATCTCGGCGGTGCTAGTCATAGTTCGCGGTCTTCCGGCCGCGTGTTGCGCCGCAATCGCCTTCCCGTCGTCTTCACCATCTTCAATCGCAACTTCGGCTTGGTAGGTATCTCCAGGCATTTTGACCTATTCATCCAGGGCCAAACTATTTGCGCCAATATAAACGAACGAACAGGAGGGGTAAAACTATAGTAGGATAGTCCTAAGAGACCAAAAAGAACTGGAAAATATTGGAAAAGCTTCTGCTGGCTCAGAAGCCTAAAAGTGAAGAAGAATTCAAGGAGGCATGAATTCCACTTGATCTAACGTCAGATCCAGCTTGAGCTTGGGGAGGACGGAGAAAGTATTAGAAGATGCAATTGAAGCATGGGGGAATATTATTAAGATATAGCGGGACAACGGATAACGGATAGAAAGAATAGTGGATAGGAGACAGAGAAATCGAAGAAAGGAGTCAAGTGTAATTGCAATTCAAAAGGTGGTGGGACAAATCGAATGGATCCATTCCTTAGGTATGTGTTTTTTTTTTTTTGGGCTTATCCTTTTGGCTTAGGTGCTTAGGTGCTTCGGGTCAAGCTGATGCAGCCAACAAATTCTATTTGGCTGGATTGAATTTCCCAAGATTATTATTACTCCGCAGGCTTATTTTTTTATCGATAAGCTATATGACCCCCAACCATTCCCCATTGGTCTCCACTTACCATGCTTTAGAACCCCTCCTACGTAACCCGTGTAACGTGCCAATATGCGGCGGCCCTAGCCGCTACTGCGACTATCCGAGGTCCCTCTCTTTTTTACCTTTTTCACGTTAAACCTTGCCGACAGCCGCAGAAAGCCGAAATACCAACCACCCCTGAGCCCCTATTCCTTTTTTTACACTCAACAAAAAAATACATTTAGAAATAATTCCCAGCAGGAACAGCCACAAAAATAGCTGTCAACACGCCCGCGCCTAGTAGCGCCATCAACATGGACTGCACAAAAATAACATCCTGAATCTGCCTTAAAGCCGGCTCCTGGATCCAGACCTCGCGATCAAATACCTTGCGTATAATGTTGCGCTTCTCGTATCGTGCCACCCACGGCTCGTCTTCGTAGCTGTTACTCGAGCCAAACGAGTCAAAACTATTTCCCTTCCCTTCTTTGCCTTGTTCTTCGAGTTCCGACTCGTCGGGTGTCGATGGCTTGGAGGATGGAGTGTCGAAGAGTTCCCAGGGCCGCACGTGCCGATGGTGTAGCCCATGAAGAACTACGCACATACCCTTCGCGCCCGCGATAAGTGTGGCGATGCCGAGTGTCCAAATGATTGCGAAGAGTGCGCGGTAGCCTCGTGGGGCGCTGCTGAGAGTCAGGATGAGCGCACCGATAGTAGCGCATACAATTAGCCCAGCACCGAGGCTCACGGCGAAGCACACACGCGCCGGGTTGCCGTTGCAAATAGTCCAGCGGATGAAATTCGGGTGGGCCTGACGCCGGAGCGTGTCCTCTATGCTGCGTGCGATGGAGCGTAAGGCCGATGGGTGTGTTGTGTATGCGAGAGCTAAGACGGCGCTCTTGGTTTCTTTGTCTGAGAGGTTGAGTTGTCGCGGGGCGTCTTCAGTGATATAAGTTGCAATTACTCGATTTATTTCGGCCCGGAAGGGTTGAATTGTGACTAGGTAGGTTTCAGGTGTTAGTGATGGCCCGAACAATCATTTTTCCCCGGAGACGTACATGGCTGTGCTGCACCGGCTGCACCGAAGGCATCACGAGCTGGTGTCCTGCGACCAGGTATACCAAAGTTCGAAATAAATGAAGGGGCATCCTTTTTCCCGGGGGTAGAAGGTGGTGTCGAAAAGGGGTCTCTGTCTTCTATCACGGCATCCGATGCTCCTTTCTCAAAGATGGTGCCTTTGAAGATCTCAGCGGCTTTCGGTTCCCTTCTCATTTTATCGACGGCATCTTTTTGGATCCTGGTAATCGTTTCGTCTTCCATCTCCTGTGTCCACTCCGGGGAGAGCCAAGTATCCGAGGTGTCCGCTTCGTTGAACCGCTTGACATAGTCCCGATACCAGAGGTAAAACTGTAAGTTCTCGGCTGCATGTTCGATGTATAACAGGTAGTTCATGAAGTCACGGATGGTACATGGCTGTGAGGTATGGACGTATCAGTATGCAAATCGGGCTTCGTTTAAGACGAAGTAACTTACTGGGCATGTTCCACCGTTTATGATTCGATCAAAGGTAAGAGCATCGGGTATACCGGATAAAGTGCCTGATCGGCCTGATTTAAGCGATTCATCGCTCTCATCGTTTTCAGAGAGGGAGGTATCGCTCCGCTGGAACTTTTCTCTATCAATGTACTTCGGCCGCCGATACTTGGGTGAAAGAAGGCCCATTTAAAAACACTATATTCTAATGATAATCGAAGATCCTATCTAGACCGCGAAACAAAGTCTAGTATGGTTAAGGAACGAAAGTCAGAAAGGATCGGCAGTCGTATGAGATTAGTGAATAAGTTAAGAGCTATTGGGTATTATATACCCCAGAACAGTGAAAATCGAGCTGAGTAGGCTAGAGGGTATAACTTGAATAGGACCAACTATTTTAGAGGCGAAGAGATGTCTTACAGTCAAGAACAAGTGTATCCGAGAGGGCGAAGCTAGCATGCAGATAGCTAGCTGGGACTAGACGATAGCTTCATCTCTAGTCCCAAGAACCCCGAACCAAAATGCGGCTTTGGGTACCCAGGTGGCTAATATCATTTGGCAGTATATCAACATACGATGACCCTGATATACTCCGGTGTCCTATCTCACGAACAGATTCAAGGCAATAAGTTTTAGGGGCGCGACCACCAACGCTTGAATTTACATAGAATGGCAACATATTGAAAGGTCATATAGGGTCATAACAAGGACTGATGCCACCTTGCCACCTTGCCACAGTTAAAATATGGAGGTCGAGCCTCCGTAGTTAGTGCCTCTGCTTATCACGTAATAAGGCGGAGATGATGCGGAAGCTAGTTCAGCTAGGATCCCTCACAATCCAGCTAGCTAACTAAGCTCAATAGTAGCCAGGAGATGAGCATTACTACTATAATGATTGATTGGTTAAGGGATTTTGGTACTGACTCAATCTCGCCGAGGCTAGAATCCGCTAAGAAGCAAGTTAGAAATAGACCAGTTAGCCTAATGAAAAGCTGAGATAAGCCTCTTAAGATGTTCATAAAAGACGAATAGCCTCCAAGATAGTACCATATAAGCAGATTTTTAGGGTCGGATTGGAATTGCGGGAGTTAGGGCTACAGTCCATAGATATGTTCCTACTTAGAACTCGTCAAAGAATGTTCAGAGTATAGTGATAAATAATCGTAGCCATGACAAAATAATTCATATGGATAAACCTTACTAGACAATGTTAATAGTATTTGCAAGATTAAACGAAGCTGAAAAGCTAAGAGTATGAACATAGAATGAGACTTCTCCTGGCCCAGACCCAGCGATCTGGAAGCTACCCTTGTAGGGTTCCACAATAGGGATCGGGGATAGAAAATCTACGAAGATCGCTACAAGGGTCTTGATGTCATGCATCGGGACTTGATCTTGTACCTTTACCGGTTCCATACCCGCGGACATGGCATACGTCGTACGGCAGGGTAACAGCCGTCATGTAGTAAGTTAATATCTCTAGGTATAATGGTCCCATCGAATGTTACATGGTAGACGCTGCAGTTTGAAGCTATCGCCGTCGGCGTATGAAGGAATAGAAGGTCGAGCGGGATTTGAACAACTACTCCCCTTTTCAGCTCGCAAACTCCTTTATGTCCTCGATGATTTCAGTATGCCAGAAGACTTGGATTAAACCCCGAAGTGCTGCAATCTAGCTTCCTAATTAGTAACTCGACCCGAACTAGATTAGTAGCTCCCTTACCGAAAAGCTCGGCCTAGTGTAAGTGAAAGTGAGATGTGATAACGAACAAACCTGAATTAATACCTATCTTTTATAGGGCCTTTTCGAGCCCATTGGCTGTGTGAATTATGCACTTTAGGTGGCCATTGTACGGCTTATAGATTCGGTAAATAACCGAGTAGCCTCTCCTAAACTAGGCTCAGTTGGTCCTGTAATCCATGTTAATGACTTAGATATGGGAAGGGTATGTTCAATGGGAGCGGGCTCTAGCAGTTCTAACTTCTTGATTAAGTATCTTGCCGTCCCGACCACTTCCGACCTTGGCTTAATGTAGGAGTTCAAGTTCAGCTTGTGCTCATACGTGTCATCCGTCGTACGACAGGTAAGCCACTCTCAGCCATCGGGTAACACTAACTTGTTACGGATGACCGGCTGCAAGACATGCATTTCGTCCCCTCGGATTAATATATGATGTGGAGGCCCATCCTGCTTATCCCGGTTTTGGGTATCTCCCATGGCCCTATGGGTAAATGCCATGTGGTCGAGACTAGACCATGTGGCTGGTACCTGAAAATGTCAGTCTGCAATGCCAACACTTCACGGGAATAGGAATTTCATTACAAGGATGAACCTGCGGCTCTATTCCCATGGTTAAACACTGTATGGGCGCGACTAATGAATCATATCATACGAAAGCTGAGGGGAGATGCTGTTTCAGTATTTCCTCCTTAATCTGATTCTCTGGCATTTCTCCTTGGGATAGTGTTGGTTATATGAGGCTAGAATTCTAAGAAAAGACTTTTATTGGAATTGCAATGACTGTATACTATTCCAAAGACTCGTTTTCGGAAGCTCGTCCCCTTTTACCAATGCTTCTCTGAAATGGGGACCGTGTTCACATCCACGCCATCCTTATACCATCTCTCCTCGTGGGTGATTTTAACGTCATTTCCGCTCACTAATGATATAGAGATTAACAGACACATCCCAAGCTATTGAAGTTATTGAAGGCACTTACTCTGACGCTTTCTCATCAAGCCGTCCTCGGCGAAAGTCCAATCCTCAAGTCCATAGGTACGCCACCATTGCCCCTCAGCATCATACCACTCGTACCAAAATTGGACAGCAATTTTGTTGTCAGTGAAGGCGAACAACTCCTTGCGAAGTCTGTATCCCTGCTCGCGCTCCCACTTCTTGGTCAGGAAGACTTCAATCTCGTCCCGTCCCTGAACGAAGATGCCTCTGTTACGCCAGACTGAGTCCGGCGTATAGGCCAACTTCACCTTTGCCGGGTTCCTAAGTTTTATTAGTTACATACCACATCTATATTTTCGGAAGACGTACTTGGTATTCCAAGCATCTTGAGCGGCTTTCACTTTGATCTGTGCAGTTTCGGCCGTGAAAGGCGGGTACGGGGGTCTCCCCTTGTTGTCGCTTGCCATTTTGTTGAATTTGTGTTTGTTTATCTATTTGCTGTTACTATTGCAGTGTCACTATCAATTTCTATTCTTCTACAAGCCTCATCGATTGTATCATTTATATCCATCAATACCTAAATCATTTGTAATGGTCAAAGTGAAATTACTGATCGCGACGGCCGGGTTTTTCCCCGGAGCGTGGATGAAAGAGTCACGTCGGGCGCCGGAGAAGTCTATTCTGAAGCCAGCGGTGTTCGTTCGGCGGTTATCGGAGTTTTTAAAGACCTCAATTACTTCCAACATGCCTGGTGTCTAGCCTATTCTATCCTAGACGATCCTTTCGACTGGGTCGATTGACAATTCAGTTGAAAAAGTTCCATCTCGAAAGGCGCGCACGCGCACATAGTTTAGGTAATTCATATTACACTTTATTTTTCCTCGGGTTTCGAACGTATGGATTACGTAGGAGTTGCGGCGATCAACTCAGGTTATATGGCTGTTGGTTCAATCCCCGGCCGGCAAGGTCCGATATCGAAGCCAAGCAACCCTTGAATTGACATTGATAGCCTCGAGCAATCCCCTTAATTATTGGTAATGTTATGAACATTTGACCTTTAGAAAATTCTTAGTTTTTTTTGGATAATTCATCGTCAGATGGTTTTCACGAACATCACCGTTGCCCCCCTTGTTCGATATTTGGCCGAGGATTTCCACCCACCAAGAATCAAAATCAAAATATAACAGGTCATACACAATTCAAATACTACATTCTTGACTCACATACACTCGGACTATTGATATGTACGTAAGCTGCAGACTAAACCACCTAGGTAGAATTCCAAATTGTATGATCCTTCAGGGCGTATAGGTAACATCGTCTGTGTCACATTCCAAATACTGTTACCTTCTTAGCTAATACCTCTAAGTCTTTTATGTCATTTTACATATTTTATATGTTACTAGTTACACAATTTTCGAAACTAAAACAACTAAGACTGGTTTATCTATTATTATCTATATAATTCCAAATTTTCACATGTCCATTTTTAGCTTGGCAACTTAACATCAAACTCATTACCTTGCCTATTCCCACGTTTTTCGGTGCTTCTCCGGGTCGGTAACCTGGACCATACATGTAAAGTCTCCGAAGTTAGTAACTTGAGGGTTACCCCCTTTCCCAAATGTTGAATATATCGATAGGAATTATGTGTTAATAGGTTATTAATTTTATTCCGAGAGTAACAATTCAATAAGACATTCGCGTGTTTGAAAGATAAGTATTACTAAGGTATATATCGGAAGGTGATGCGGATACTCCGGAGCTATTATCGTAACAAGGTACATAAGGTACTTTACAAATGACGAAATACTCGTACAAGCTCACGAATGGCACGAATAGCACGAACGGCCGCACCTGCGTTTGGGAAGCACAGAGCATATCTAAGATTGGTAATATGGACCGAGCTAGTCTTTATCTGATCTTGCCTCGCTACTTCTTTGGTTGTAATTTCGAAAAAAAAAGAAGGGAAAGTCCGCAGTTGCTCTAAGAAATAAGCTAATAATACAATGCAAGATACCCCTCCTCTTCCTTGCCCATCAGGGTTCCTCCTTGCCCCACCAAAGCAAAGAAAGCATCTAAGACCCCACCACCACCTTGGCAACTTCTTCGGAACGATGATGAAGACAGTGGGATGATTTATTCCAGTGGGTTTATTCTACATGTACTAGATGTATCAGATGTATCGATACACACACAAGGTTTATGTATGTCGTGATCTAAGAAACACTAGAGTAAAAACGGTCCTGCGCCTGCATTTGCACCTCACAAACACTAAGGCTACATACCTATGTACATCGCATAATACCATAGGTACAAGGAGGTAGGATCGATCAATATAGCACGGGATCCTGGTTATCCGAATTCGCAGCGTCGTTCGCTCGTTCGCTCAGTGCTACCATCTTACTGTAACAACCCGCAAGAAGAAAAAATAAAGCTGTTTCCTAATCCAAGAATCTGGAATTGCGTTTGATAACCTGGCTATATTAAACAACGAACTTCCGCAATTTATTTCTCTCTCCTTCCTTTGTCTACAATCTCTAATTTAAACAATAATCTACGAGTCACTTCTTAAACCCTCGAGTTGCCGTGTCTCAAGCTTCGTCCGAGACATAAAAGCAAGAACAATTATCGTACATCTAGAACCTACCAATCAACTACCTCCAACATGTCTGCTCTCAAGCCTGGCGATTCTTTCCCCGAGGGTGTGACCTTCACCTACGTCCCCTACAACCCAGACCAAGGCGCTGTAACAGCATGCGGTATTCCCGTCAAGTACGATGCCAGCAAGGGTACGTACTCCTCTATATCCAATTAGCTACTAGAAGGGAAAGAATATGTGGAATTAACAAACCCGCAGAATTCAAGGAGAAGAAGGTCGTCCTAGTCTCCGTCCCCGGTGCCTTCACACCAACCTGCCAAAACACACACATCCAGGGCTACATCGAGAAGCTCCCCCAACTAAAAGCCGCCGGCGTTGACCAAGTCATCGTGATCGCCTTCAACGACGCATGGGTCCAAGCCGCCTGGGCCAAGGCTAATGGCATTAAAGACGAGATTGTGAGTTGCATTTCCTCCCGCCGTTTCACGACATACATATCCAATGATATAATTGGGTGCCACAATGCGCGATATACCTTTTACACGGAAGACTTGCATCCCTAGAACCCGTACACAGTGCTATCCGTAAATTTCCCACTAACCAATCCCCCCCAAACCACAGATCTTCGCCTCCGACGACGGCGCCCCCTTCAGCAACAGCATCGGCTGGACCCTCGGCGCCCGCACCGCGCGCTACGCCATCGTCGTCGACCACGGCAAGGTCGTCTACGCCGAGAAGGAGCCCGCCAAGGAAGTCTCCGTCTCCGGCGTCGACGCCGTCCTAGCTAAGCTATAAATATTCCCCACCAATCCCAAAACCAAATTTCCAAATACCACATATAGATAGAATGCCGGAGGAAAAACCGTTGCTAGCAATAGAAATGGGGTGGCTACTACTGCTCGGGAGGGGGGGGGGCAATGAGGGGTATGTTTACTACGCGCGCGAATATCACCCTGAGATATGGGTGTGGATCTAGCTGGGATTGAACAAATTTATATGCGGGATGGCTAGCTAGGTGGCGATCTTAGAAAAATCTCCCCTCAATGTTACCTCTCGGTGGTGCTGATTTCGCAGCATTGGAGGATGGAAGCTGGTAGACTACAGTTAATAGACTCGGCTCAATTCATTCTACTAATTATATCAACCTTCAATTGAGATGCCGAATGTGAATTATCCTGTAAATATCGAATGACCTACGTAGAAATATGCAGAAATACCCCTTCGGAGGGCTTTAGGATTAGTGAGGTAAAAAGGCAACGACCTAGCACAGTAATATTCACACAGAAGGACCGTAGGAGCAAGAACACAAATTCAGACCGTAGAACGAGCTGGTATTAAGAAGCTACCAGGATAGAATTCCCATGGCCATGAGAGATTCCATGCATGCATTCCTTTCCCTCTCCCTTAACCGAATGGATGTTCGCATTTTACACACAAATGCGCGCGCGCGAGTGAGTATTTGTGTGTCAGGTTCGTTTTTTTATTCAGCAATCGAGGTTAAATAAATTCCCACCGAAGACGCCGCCGGACGCAAGAGGTTACCAACTAGAGATGTATGTATGCGTATGGGCATGAATCACATATCATTATCATCTCGTTCCCCCTTTCTATCCTCATGAATTCCTCCCTACCCCCTTAAACGCAAAAGTCGGGAATCTTAACGGGTCTTGGCCTGGACCTTCTGCTGAGCACCTCGGGCTCCTTGCTTGCCGACGATACGTTGGGTCTGGCCCTTGGAGGCTTGAGCGGCGCTCTTGGCCTTCTCGGACTTCTTGGCGGCAGCAGCCTCGGCCTTCTTCTCCTTGGACTCCTTGATGGCTTGGGCGCGGGCGGCGGAACGGGCTTCCGGTCGCATAGATCGCTTCTCCTTGATTACATCGAGAGAGGCACCAACGATGGCTCGCTGGGACTTGACGGTACGGCGCGTGCGCTTCTTAGCGACTTCCTGTATATTCTATCAGTGTCCACCTATTCTCTGCTTTTCCTTCCCAGCGTCCAAAGGATAGATAGTAATATCCGTAGCATTGGGATAGGATATATAGGGAATCGTACCTCGGAGATACCCTTGCGGTGTTGTCGTCGGAAAAGAACAGTCCATGAGATTCGGCGGGGGTTCTTTCGCTGAAGGAAGAGGGACTCGGATTTACCGTTCTGGAATCGGAAGATCTTGCTGTCGCCTCGGACGTAGAGCTTACCCTGTTATTTCATATTTCAATTAGCCTTCATATCCATCAAAATAATATCGCATTGACCGAGAATAATTGAGACGGGGAGGAGGTATCGTAGCCGAGAGTCACGGGTCATCAATGTGTCGCGTCCATCTTTCCCATCTCTTTCGTTCCTTTGTTCAAAATGTATGGTCGGATTCATTCGTGTATGGTGGTCGCAGCGATGGGAATGTTGAAAGTGATAAAAAACCAATAGCATACCTTGCCAGGGTAGATTCTCTGGCCAGAGAAGGTGTCTTCGTAAGTTCTCATGGTTGCGGTTGATTTGCGCAGAGAACTTCGGTGGACTGCTGTGTTGAGGTTAGTAGTTTGATGGTTGGTGTTTTCGGTTGGATTAAATCGAGAGTGGCCGAATTTCGTAAATGTCAAAGTTGCGCACTTGTGTGGGCAGAATGACTAAGCCCATCAAATCTTTTTTTTTTGTTCTTAGGGTCTCGCTAGATGTGGCTCGTTTGCGAGAAGAAATGTGGCTTAGCCGACCAAGCGGAAGCACTGGCCAACTTAAATTGAATTGAGTTTGGTCTCTGCCCCTTTACTAAAAATAACTCAATTGTTGCATACCCTACCGTCACTCGCTTGGAAATCTTCAAGATCACCGCAGATTATTTTATGATTTTTAGTGAATAATTGGCCCTTTCATATTGGTGTATTTTCAATGAGTCTCTTTGTTGAGTAGGGTCCACTCGAAATCATTAATCAAACAACGAGCACCTCGTCTAAGAGCTCAATTATGATCCAATGACTGTTACGGCGGACGATATCGCTGCGCTGGTATTAAAACATTATGACGCGCTGCCTGCGAAAAGGAAACCCGTTGTTAGAGGAAATGGGCTTAGAGAATGGGTTCCGTTGGCGGGTATAGTGGCGCAAGGTACATATTGACTTTTGCTAGCATTGCTATTGGGTTCCTCGATGTATATAGAATAGAGCGATAGCTGATGCGTTGCAATAGGAAAAGATGATGAATTATGGTGTTTATCCCTCACGTAGGTTAGCTTCTCGTGATTCTTCGATGCTGGGCGTAGATCTGATGGTTGATAGGACTGGCATGAAATGCCTTCCTACATTAAAAATATCACAGGCACAAGGAAATATCCTACATGATTGGCATGCTGAAGTACTAGCCATTCGAGCGTTCAATCGGTTTGTGCTAGACGAGTGTAAAGTCTTAGCTGAAGGAGGCTTTTCCGAGTACTTACGATGGCGAACTCCTCTGGGCCAACAACAAGATGAGGCATGGCACGCCCAACCTTTCACCTGGAAACAAGACATCACTTTACATATGTATTGTTCTGAAGCGCCATGCGGCGACGCAAGCATGGAATTAATAATGGCCTCACAAGAGGACGCTACACCATGGGATCTACCGCCAGCAACTCTCCCTAACACCGATCCTAATACAGCCTCCACCCTTTCTACCCTTCCAGGCAGAGCCTACTTCTCCCACCTTGGCATCGTCCGGCGCAAGCCCTCACGCCCCGACGCCCCCGCTACCCTCTCCAAATCCTGTTCCGACAAACTAGCTCAGAAGCAATGCACATCTCTACTCGCTTCAACGACTAGTTTGCTCGTTGACCCTTCCCATGTATACATACACACCCTTATCCTCCCAAAATCCCGATATAGCGAGTCCGCCTGTCGGCGCGCATTCTCTTCCGAAGGGCGTATGAGAAGCTTGACTCATCCAAGCCACAACGACGAGAAACGAGGAGGCTATACCTTCCGCCCATTCACCGTCGAAACTACTACCCTTGAGTTCGAATTTTCGCAAAGGAGTGTGGCCGGACCTGCCGACTCTAGTAGCGATGACAAAAGCATCGATGAACAGGAGAATCGAACACAAACATTAGTGAAGATAGCACCTAGCAACATATCCGCAGCATGGACACGCACACAACCCTCAGAAGCGACACTAGGTGGGGTGCTACAAGGACGGAAGCAATCAGCCGCGGACGATAAGGGGGCGAGTTTCGCATCACGACGACGGATGTGGGAAATTGCTGTTGAGGTAGCTGATGTACTTCCATTTTTGCCGAAAGGAAAATTGGAAGACGAAGGCGTAAAGGGCATCCGCAGGGCACTTAGATCGGAAACATATGGTGGGATAAAAGACTCAGTGCTACTGGAGCCCCGAAGGAAAGCTAAGGAAGAGGCTAGAGTAGAGGCGCTGAAAGGATGGGTGAGGAATCTGGGAGATGAATCCTTTACGTTAAAGTCAACGTGACTAGTAGCCGCTACTTAGCTACTACTCCTCGATAGAATGGAATCCGAGATGAAATATACGGAATAGTCACTCAAAAAGACCACGGGTTTGAAACAGATTTCTTCTTTTTGGTACAGGCTGCAGCGTCGGATTCCTCACTACCACGCTGCTCACGAAAATAGGTGTACCTAGATAACCTCGCTAGCATAACTTGACGAAAATCAACGTAAGTTGCTGTTATAGTTAGGAAATGGGGGCGAAGGCATGATTTGTGTCGCGCGAGGAGGAAGAAAAGGGGGAGCAACACAACAAACATGCCAGACTACCTAAGGTGACGACGTTGGGAATACCCCCCTTTTCATTCATAAACGCAAAGGACCAGCGGCTACCGAGAAACTCCCTTCCCAACCCTTTTTCTCTTGCGGGAGATGTGCGAGAGACAAGATAAAAAAACAGAACCACCATCAACCGGTTCAACCAAATGCCATACCGTTTCCGTCGTATCTTTCCTTTTTTTTTTTCTTTCTCGCATTATTCATTCCGAATCGTTCAAATAAAAGGAGGGGAAGAGGAAGTAAGTGTGGTGTCTGGTCCGTTTGTAAAGGTGTATTGTCGGGTTGTTTATTCGACCTTGCTCTCGAAGTTCTCGCCAGCGACTAGGTCAGGGATATCATCGTCATCAGCTTCCTTGTTCTCCTTCGACATGCTCTGGTAGCTCTCAGCCAATTTTCGAAGAGAGGCGAGCGAGTCGGGGCCCAGCTGGTTCAGGATGCCAGGTACGAGCTCCGTAAGCTCCTTATCTTCACCGGCGCCGTAGATGGCAAAGGTGTTAGCCGGAACGGCAGCGTGGACTAGGATAAAAATGTTAGTAGGTGCATATAGCCTTGTGGTTGTTGACAATCGAGTGGCGAGCATGCATAGCATCGTGTTCTCGATATCAAAGCTCGGAAGAATTGGGAGGTCAGGTGTTTATGCGGCGTAACCCACCCTTGGGAGCAGAGAAGTGGATGACGTTTCCGTCGCTCTTGAACATGTTGACTTCCTCAATTGCCTGGATAGGCTGGGTGTTCAGCTTCTTAAGGGTAGCTTGTAGCTTCTTGTCGTCGTTGGCGCTTCGGGCGACGTTTCGCTTTTGCTTGTGTCTCGGGGTACCCTTTCCACCTACACACATTTTTCAAATTATTATTAATAATCATTTCCCCTCGGCAGAAAAAATGGTAATCTTCTTTCTATAATAAAAAAACATACCAGTTCGCGCCGGGGCCGCACCACCGAACTTCTTCTTGAGAATCTCCTGTACGTCCGCCATAGTTGTGAAGATGAGAGCTATCTCTTTCGGTCGATGTTGGGGGTGGTGGGTGGTAGGTTATTCGGCGACAAAGCTGGTGGGATGGTGAGTTAGCTAGGTATTTTACTTATTTGTCTGTGCCTGTGTCTTTGGTTTATTGCGGGACAACGCCGAATGTATTCGGGTGGGAGGAAGTAGAGGGGTAATTGGTCTAAGGGTCTATTCTTTTGGTAATAAAACCAATAATCTTGGTCTTAAACTCACCTAAAGGAAAAAATTACTGCGAGATTTTACCGTCGTCAAGAGAAATAAGTTGTAGCTCTAAGATCTTAAATCTCGAATTGGGGCGATGAGGCCTGAGGTTGGGGGGAAGAGAGGCACATGGAAATTGTGCGTTGCCAAGACTTTTACGCACTTTTTTCGCTTGAGGATCAACCCTCTTCCGTAATACCCCGCCGTACGTACCTGCCGTACTTTACTTGTGTTACCACCTTTTATCCTTATCGTAGGCCCCTAAGCAGCCCGCCAGCGTGATTTCCTTCCGCTATATCACATCATAGCGCTCTACTATTATGAAAACCAATGCGAATGTCACTTAGATAAATCCCTATAAGCTAAATTTGCAAAGAGCATATCGCATTCGTTACTCACTTTCCCCTATCTGACAATCCCTTTCTCCTTTTCTGTTTCTTTTTAAGTTTTAAAATGTGCAAAGTGTTGCCGTAATAGCAATCCTCAAACCTGATATAGTGTCAACCCCCTTCGTCCAGTAACTAGCTAACGCATTTTCAAGGAAAATGATCACTAGTCTGCCTCAACCAATAATTTCGCCAATTCATCCATGCTTGTCTCCCCATCATCATTCAGCTCAACGAGCTCTTCTCCGTGTGTTTCCGATGTTTTCTGTGCTGTTTGCTGTTGGGCACCCTTGATCATATTTGCGACGTTCACGAGGAACATAGGGTTGTCATCCATCTTGTTTTCATCCTCGATTACGCCAGCACCGACAAGCCTCTCGAATTCATCCTCGTCATTGCTATTATCGTCATCTAGCAATGCCATTGTCGGCTCTGGTACATTCTCTAGAGCAAATTCCTCCTTTGAAGTGGCGATTCTCCCGAGCTCCGGCCCGAAAATCCACGGAAAACTGATCAGCGGCATCTCATCGGTTGCTAACGCCTCGCTGCCTGATGTTTTCTTCTGTATCGCTTGAACCTCTTCCCATGTGACGAAATAGGTAGCAGCTATGATGGGGTATAGAACGCTCATCTCTCGGGACCCCGCCAACTTAACACATGCTTCTCTGAACCGCTCTCTGTGGTTGACCATCACAGGTTCCATTGATTCCTGTCGTTTGTAGTCACTTCCGACTAGAGGTTTAGAGAGTACGAAGGTCGACCAGACTTCGAACTCAGTTCTAACGTCGTGTTGGTTCATGATCTGTTTCATAGCCTTGTCATGCTGTCTCTTGACCATCCTAACCGTCTTCAGTTTTTCCTCATTCATGACGTACCGACGAAGAATCCTCTCATCAAAGGTGCCGTCTAACTTCGGTCTGAAGTCTACCTTTGCTACCTGATCATAGAGCCGACCGAGGATTCTTTGCGATCGATAAGTTTTATGTGCTGGCTTTTCCATAAAATGTGGAAATCTCCTCGGTCGCAGTGATGCGTCTAGCAACGCCTCTCGGCCGGTCTTGGGGTAATCGACGGCGTTGGAATGTAGGCGTGCCAGCTCAATGCACTGTGGATCCTTAGGTCCATCTTCTAGCATATCGGACTTCGCTACGTGTGCATGGGCAATTGTACTTAGTGCATCGTTCTTCATATATCGTACGAAAAACGAAATAAGATCCGAAACCCTTACGTCCCGGTCGAGTTGTTCCTCCTTTGGCTTCAAAGCGTCATGCTCCATGGGAGGATGATTCCACTCATGTGGTATAAGCTGAGGATCCCATACAACAAAGTAATCGTCGCCGTCGAGATCCCCTCCCGAGCACATAGAGGGGATATCACGGTCTCCAGTAGTGGGAAACACAACGACGTCGCGAATATGTCTCAACGCTGGAACGTCTACTGCTTGTACAACTCGGATATCGCCGGGGTGCAGGGATGGGTTTCGGCCTAGCATGCATATGCCAGTAATTACTGTATATTCCCCTTGCTCTCCCGGGTTGGCACCTACCCTGGGTACCTGCAGGAAGATTTGTGGTAAGGTGTTGGGATCTTGCTTATCGCTAGATTTTACATTGTCGAAATGTCCTCGGAGAGTGCGCGTCTCATCCGCGCAGCCGAAGACGAACGCACCTTGGTCCACTACTATTCGAGCTTTCTCTCGGAGTAATCTCATAGACCAAGCGCGCCAGACTTGTAAAACAGTCACGAAGAATGGCTCTTGAGTCAACATAAACCCATCTGCTATCATCTGCGCCATAGTGGTAGTGATGCCATTCTGGTCAACGTACTTGCTGAGTAACTGCATGGCGGTTCGGGGATCTTCCATCGCAAGTTCGTAATCCGCCACCTGTTTCTTCATCATGTCCTCAAAAACTTTATCCGGCACACCCAAACAGCTTAGAATGTTAATGGTCTGCCTATTCAACGTCGCAATAGAAAATCTGGATGACTTGATAATCTCGAGGCCTTTGGAAGTAGAATTGAACTTATTTTGTGAAGGTCGAAGGTGGACTTCATTGAAAGGCACGTCTGGCCACTGTACCAAAATTCCTTTACTACCTCCGAGTCTAAACTGAAAAACAGACGGGATTGCCTTGCTCTTATTTGCTGAGAGATTCTGTACGAGGAACCTAGCACGGCTAGGTGCAATTTTCCCAACTCCATCGGTAAAGCACCGACCATTCCGCTCAATATCTTGAATATGGACTATGGTTTGACCGATTGGTGATGTTTTCGGAATGCTTGTCGTTGAAAAGCATTGTCCGAGCCTGGCGGCGTACTTGGCTACGTTACGGATGTGGTTGACATCACCCATCCAAGCCCGAATATTATCGCAAGTCAGAAAGTCAGTAGGGCAGAAGAAGTACGCGCCGTTCTCTCGAAATTGGGAGTTTCCAGTAGCAAGATATTGGAAATGACGACCGCCAATGCGAATACCGTTCCGTAATGTTCGATGTACTCTATTGAATAGAGCATTGTCCTTCGTATTGTCCGGAGCAGGGAAAATACGGCCCTTCGTAATTTCGTCGGTGAATTGAACACGTATAAAGTGGTCTTCATGGTTGGCATAATGGCGAAGGACACGGTTCGATGGTTCCGGTGCCGGATTACTAAGATACATAGTCGTAGGGGTGACCACGACTTTCCTCACCCATTGACAATGCTCAGGTAGTGAAATCTCCGGGTAATGTCGCATAGCTTTCTTATCCTCGAAGAGCGACATCGGGTCGTAAATTCTCTTTCCGTCTAACCTCGCGCTGTCCTCCGGGCGATTACCGATGCGAGGTTGCGAAACATATGATAGGAGATCCCTAGCCCTATTACGACGCTTAGTATGGCTCTTGGAGAGGTCGGCCAGTCTTTGCAAAAATTCAGTTGTGATGTTAGCTTCATTGAAGAAACCCTGAGAAATGCAGGTTTCAAGCTGATATCGAACATCATAGGGGAGACGGATATCTTCGGTGTCAGCTAGCAGGGCTAGATTCGATCCGGACTTGGTATCATTAGATCTCCGAGGCTCGAGCTGATCCCAGAAATTCAATGCCCGCGCAGGGACTATCGAGAATTCCTTCGAGGTCGTTCGATCGATACCAATGTTGAAACTTTGCAAGGCTTCTCTCATCATTTTCCAATTTGGAAGAGCGGACTTTGCGAAGGTCAGTCGATATGTAGTCCATCTGCCAATATCGATGAACTGATTGACTCCGCGCAAAGAGACAGGGTCGTCCTTGAACCATGCTGTGTCATAAGTAATATCGACCGTTCGGTTCCAAACATCTCGCATAGACCAGGAATTTTTGTTCTCCGAATGAGAATTAGTACTGTCGTGCTTGATGTAAAAAAGTGGTGGGCTTGGTAGGGGAATTATCAGGGCCCAGGTATCCTCATCGACATCAATTTCGACTAGATTTTTGAGGTGTATAAATGGGATATGAGTTTTGTACTCTTGAGTGTACTCAAACTTTCCAATGGGTTCAGGATGTCGCATACTAGGGTTCTCACGACGTGGATCCTTGATATTGCACGCAAATAAGATCTCAAGTTTCTTGCTTTGTAAGTTAGTTGCGAGGAAAAATTGTCCTCTCTTGTCGTTCCGGACCGTTTGCAGCGGCATCATTTCGTTCTCGCGGGTCAGCATGCCGAATTGCAAGGCCTCCATCGTTATGCGCATTAATGATGGATAAACACGGCCATTCGATGCACGGATTTGACGATTACGCCGGTCTTCCATGAGCTCAATCCTTACTCTAACATTTTGGTTCGAGACCGTAAGGTTCATAGTATCATTCCAGAACTGCTTGGAGGGAGGCGGGGTGTAACAGATACGTGCGGCTCCATCTCGTTCTCCGCGTCTTCCCTTAAAAAGTTCCACGTAGTCGAGTTCGCCATAAACCTTAAAGATTGTCCGTATTTCCAGAGGTGTCGCTTGAGGTGGGAGACCTCTTATACGAAGGCTGATGCTGTCCCAGTCTGTCCATTGTGGTTTGAAACTGGTATCCAAAGCTGATAAGTGTGGACCTTGCCCAGATTTACCATTCATACTGGTAGGATTTCTTCTACTTCCTGCTGCAGAATAAGTTCTGGCACTAATAGGGTGTGATAGTTGGCCTGGAATCGACTTAGGCCTTTGGGGCACTGTTTGAGAAGCTCCGCTAGACGCAAGATCGTATTGCGTTTCACTGTTTTGTGAGGATTTCTGGTTGGTTGACTCCCGTCGATAGGGTAGGACAAAGCGAGGTTGTTTTTGAGGGGGTAAAGTGTGCATAGAATCGCTAATGCTAGATGATTGATCGGTATCTTTTGTAGTAGATGCTTTGCTTTCCTCTGCGTTTCTGATGCTGACACTAGGGAATTCTGAAATGGGGAGCTCAACCGGAGGTGAGCCCCCTTGGGCAGGATGCGAGGAGTGATTCATCAGGCCTTGGTGAGTTAGGCGTGACACTGACTGGGAAGCTAGTGGTATGTCAGTGTCTTATTTTAGAGTTTCTAAGATTAAGTAGTAACCTTCGATAGAGCAGTTGCGTGGTGATATTATATACACACGAAGGGAATAATATTGACCCCCACATATGTAGGTAGGTAACTAGGACGCTATGGATTGAATGTTGAAGGGTAAGGCGCAAGCGATACGTGAGCCAAGATATTGTCGGCAGGACGAGCCTTACATATAATACCTCTGTAAAACGGCAGACGGGAAAGGAAGGGAATTAATTACCTGTTAACACTATGTGCCAATTGAAGCGTAGATAGCAGTGGCGGCGTGGTGAGTGAGTTGCGCGTGCTGGCCCGGCACCGACTCACAAAGCTAGAGACGTGAATATAATAAGATTAGTATCTTGAATGTCGAAATGACGGCGTAGAATGCCCCCTCAAGGTAAATAAGAGCGAATGGATAATTGACGGCTTAAAGAAAGCGGGCTGCACTAGAAAGATTGTCGGCGATGTATGCTATTGATGGCGAAGTTATTGGAGGATGGGTTTGGAGAGGCGTATGTTTGGGGGATATATGGGATGTAGGTCAGGCAGGCAGCACCTCCGGGGTAAAACAAACTCCGGAAAAGAAATCAACAGCAGTTAGTGCCTGCATCATAGGCGGCTATAATGAATATTTTAACCCATATGATAGCGTGCTTGCTGTATATGGCTTCTACAGGTAGGTACGTGCTAGAGGTAATACTGGACCTCAAAATATAGACTAGAAGTAACGATCATGAAAGAAATTAGAGTTATATTAGTTTATGAAACCTGCTCATGCTGCTCTTTCATGTTTTCACCAATCCTGCCAGGTCTCATGCACCTAGCCGAGAAGGCCCAGTGAAGTGCGTTTGTACTTTAAACCATGATTGACGGCGTGAACTTGCCGTGTCCTTCGCAGATACTACTTTCCTAGATACCTGAAGTGGGTTTGCTACGAACTTTATATCAGAATTCATCTGAAAAGGGGGATCCTCTTTCTCAATTGATAGTGAACCCAGTTCATGCCGAATTGATGGCACGAAGCAACTCCGATCTCGACGCCGGTCCCGGACTCAGACCCACCACAGCTGTTGGCAACTACCTAGGTACGGATGAGACTCGTTCGTTTGGCCATTTATTCCTAATTTCTGTCGAATCCTTGAGCACTTGGTAATGATATCCCATTGATCAAGACGACCGCACGATTGAGAATAGTCCGCAGGCATAAATCGGGTCATTTGGATATACTACCTATGGCCATTCAACGTGGTTTGGTTGTTTTGTTGAGTAAAAGAAAGACTGCTTATGTTCACAGTCAGCTAATCGTTGTATTTAGGTCGAGGGGTGACGTGCATAACATACTTTAGATATGACGGGTATCCAAACCACGTCGCAGCGGAATGGCGACTAGCTCAATCCTATACCAACTGAGCTATTCTCCAAGGTTGAGGAGAACTGCTATGAATCGATAGAAGCCTAACTAGCACCGCTAGATATGCCATTCAAGAGTATCAGGTCAACCATGGTATGTAATCCGTTGTAGGATAAAACCCGTGAACCACCATAAAAGCGAACTGGTCGGTATAAAATTTACTTGGGCCAAAGAGGAGGTATAAGAAAGTGAGGTCCAAAATCTAGGAGACCAAGACCAGTATCACCATCGAAGTGCATAGATTCGTAGAGCCCATGTGTGATTTCATAGCGCACCAGGCACTTCCAAATCCCAGCCTCCTAAAAGCCATACCACCATACACAACACGCGAGACCATCAAAATCCACAACATCTCCTTTCCACCCCTCGCGGTACCCAGAAACCACCAAAATTGCCCAATGCACCAAACTCAAATTCCCCCTGCATCCAACCAGGCAACAGCACCAGCCGACCAATCCCCGGCCACCTGCCAACCAAATAGCAAGCCTTATATTAAAATAAAACTATACTTTTCCAACGCAGCAGGACTCGGAGAGCCCTGTAACAGCCTGTTTGGGCGGGACTGGCTAATCCCGCTAGCTGACAGCATGCTTGACAAAACTCCCCCTTGGGGTCCCGAGGGGATTTTGGGGAGGTGGCACGCCAAGAGGGTGGGCTAGGGTACGTGCGGCATCTCCTTTTTTGCCAATTTTTTATTTTTCTTGGTCGTACCAGGGCATCGTGGTGCAGAATCGGGAGGGAGAGAAAACGAGGCAGCATCGAGCGTGATGCCGTGGTGATGGAACGCGGTGTTATGGCCTTTTGGCGCAGTGGGCAGGACAGCGAAACCACCCCCAGAAATTCGTCGCCCACCATAGTACAGCACAGGTTCTCTGTTCAACTCAGCTATATGCTGCTTCTTTTTTTCCATTTCTTCCCTTTTTATCTTTCCATCCTCCTTATCCTCCTTGCACATCGACTTCCCACCACCCTTACCCCTTCCCACCTTCCCGACTCCCACCAGCAACGCGCTGCACACCACGTATGCAATTTTTTTTCTTCCACCCATTTTCTCACAAGCAAAAAAGTCATTCGCGTCAAAGTTCCGTGGATTGCATCGTCCAAACTCGTAATTCTTATCGTATTTGCCCCTTAACAAATTTCTTCCCCCTACCAAATACCCTCGCCACGACGGAACCCCGAATGCATCCCACGGCAACAACCACATATAACCTTGCTTTGAAGAGTTGATGCCACTTAGCCACAAAAAATATCTTAGAGTATAGTGATAGGTTGAATTATGAATGACAACAATAGGACTACCTAAAGAAATATTTTTATGCGTCGCCACAAATTATCTGGGAAGGGAAGACGTCACAGAGCCCATGTGATAAGTCCACCAAGAAAAATACCAAAGGTGCTTAAACACGATGAAATGATTCCCAAATGAGGCCCCTTAAAGAGCCTCATTGGTACTGCATTGAGGTATACAAATCCCTCTTTACCCATCATCTAAACTGAAGGAGATTTTTTTCATTCAGTAAACCATATGCAAAACCCAATGTCAATGAATTCCTACCGTCTTCTGTTCTTTTCGTACGCCATAAGTGCATGTATGTTTCCCATTCGCCACAGAGTTCCTTGCTCTGTCGTGGAGGGTTATATGTAATGTCTTCGACGACTGAGAGTAGACCTTCACTGACTGGACCACATCCAAGCTAAGGAAAGGGTAGAAGAAAGGGTCTAGAGAGAGAAAAAACAATGACGGGTGTAGGTATGAGGGAGGACCTAAATGTAGGCGATATAAGAAGGAAAATAGGAAAGGCATTAAGGTAGATCCATGATCTTCCCTGGGTTCATGATCCACTGGGGATCAAGTGCAGACTTGATCTGCTTCATGACAGCTAGAGTGTCTGGACCTACCTCCAATAGGAGTGACTCCTTTTTACCCCAGCCAATAGAATGCTCGCCCGTGCACGTCCCTTCCATATCCAGCGCCCGCTTGACCATGTTCTTGACACACGTCTCGACTTTTTCAAGTTCGTCTTTCTTATGTCGATTATATATGATGCTCTCGTGGAAATTGCCGTCCCCGATGTGGCCAAGGATACTGGCAAATAGACCTAAGTCATCCATTTCCTTTTTGCTGATTTCAATGATGTCCGCTAGTCTGCTGAAAGGGACAGCGACATCAGTCGACCCTAAAAAAACAACACGTTAGACTCTATAGTATTTCGTCAAAGTTATCGGATAATTAAATGATCAAATGCAGCCTAAGGAATCGATTTTTTTTCAACATATTCGGGTTTGACTTACAGACTTCTTCGCCTTCTTTTCTCAGCGCGAGCATCGACCATAGAGATTCCTTCCTTGCTGACCACAAGAGTTTCTGTTCTCGGAGGTCTTTAGCGAATTCGAAGTTGCTTCCCTTATTTTGCTTGGTTATTGCCTGAACGCGGGAAACATTCTCTTTAACACTCGCTTTTGTCCCTGAGAATTTGAAGAAGAGCGTGGGCATTTCTTTCCATACGCGTGGCGCAGTTGCCCCACCAATGTTGACGACTTTCATTTGAACTTCGTCCATGATCTCCATAGCCGCGATTGGTATCCCGGTCTGCATGACTTCGGCAGCAGCCGAGGCCGCATCGCGTATCGTAGGGAATGTTACCACAGCTACGGAGAACTCTTCCGGAACAACTGCGAGTTTGAGAGTGGCTTTCATTTTCATTAGTACCCATTTTACTTCCGATGAGAACAATATTTGAGAAGCTTACCCTCAGTAACTAAGCCTAATGTTCCCTCAGAACCCACGAATAAACCGTTGAGATTATAGCCAGCTGAACTCTTCCTAGGTCGTCTTCGCGTCTTGATGACGGTCCCGTCTGCTAAGACTACAGTTAAATTGATGACCCAATCTTTCATGGTACCATATTTAACTGCGTTTGTGCCAGAGCAATTGGTGCCAATCATGCCGCCAATTTTAGCGCTCGGGCCTATAGTTTGCAGTCTGTAAGTCAGCTTAGTTCTCTGGAAAAGATTCGTCCTGACACGGTGAAGGGATGCAATATGTGGAATTGATTCCTATACTACATACGTATGGCACCTCGGAATTACGTAGGAAGGGGGTAACGACTTCTAATGGAAAAATTCACTCACCAGGATCAATAGGGAAGAAAAGACCACTACCCATTCTATTGAGTTGGTCATTGAGGTCCTGCCATCCAATACTTGGCTGGACTACAATATCCATGTCTTCCTTGTTGAACTGGACAATTTGGTCCATGTACGCGAAATCGACGCTGATACCACCGTAAGGTGCTGAGAAGTTTCCTTCCAGACTCGATCCCCCTGAATAGGGGATAATCGGTACGCGATATTTATGACAGACGCGCGCAATGGTTGATACCTGTTCTGTAGAACGTGGGTATACAACAGCAACTGGCAATCCATCGGGGTTCGTTGTTGACCATTCAGAGTAGCCATGGGCGAGAAGGTCGTCGGGATCTGTACTAATGATATCCTCCTTCTCGCCTGAAGCTGCAATCTCACGGCGGATTTGCTTAATTGCCTAGCAATTTATTTAGTAAAAGGCAGTGCACTGTTTAAACCCCGCAAGTAAAAGCTCGGAGTTTCAATGACATCGAAAGCATTGGCTTACATCTTCCATATCATCTAGTGATGCATATTGAGGGGTCGGCATCTTGCTATCGAATAGTGTAACAGCACGTTTTGGGGGGCCCTGGAGCGACGCTATAGCAAGACCAAATCCCAGTACACCAGCAGTAGCTGTCAAGGCAAACATAGAGCGGCCAGACCATTTTTGGTGATTATGGGCCTGACCCGACCACTCTCGTTCGGAGCCTTGTCCATTTCCAGGAACCGGCTTCCTTAACCGCGAGGAAGTAGAAATTGTGCGTCTCCAAGCGCAAGGGAGACGCCCAGCAAAGTGTTTGGCCGACATTTATTCCGACGTTATAATACTAAAGCCTAAACGTGCATGGGCCAGGACAAAATATATTAGATATGGTAGTATCGACGGTTAGACTGGGGATGGCTAATGGAGGTCCGAAGTAGGCCTAGGATTCCCGAACTACAGCAACAGGCCCCTTATCGACCGGGCTTGAATCCACATAAACGGCCTGTCCGATTTCCTTCGGGAACTAGAGGGCTGAATTGACTGTCTGTTCGGTTCCATACAACGCCGTAATCCAGGCCTAAGCTAAAGCAGTCCCGTCAAACAAGCAGTCTCTCAGGAGCCAAACCGAACAAACGAGTACGGACAACTGGAAACCCTTAGGAAAACCGAAAGAGGAAAGCCGAAAGCGAGCTTAGCGGGCGGGGGAATAAGCTTTCTATATATATATTTATAGTAGTTATGACTATGCGTATAAAGAATAGACAAGACTGGCCGGACGTGTAATCTCGCTTCGACCCGGTAAGAAAACGGCAGAAAGGAAGGAGAAGACCCAGAAAGCTCGTAAGAGCGGCCGGGTTTATTAATAAACCTGCGGTGCTCGGTTGAAACGAGGCCCGAAAGCAGCTGAGGCAACGTGGGCTGGGTGTAAAAGGATTCGTGGAAGGAAAACCAACTAGTTCTATTCGTCCTTATGGGAGGCACTTGTGCCCGTTTCCAGGCTCGGTGAACCTACCAAAACATGTCGAAGCATGAAGCGTGTGACTCGTCGAGTGGATCGAGACGCCAGAGCCGATCAAGGGCCCAATCAGTCACGCGGGAAGAGCATCGGTAGCGAACTACCTCTGAAGACCCTGACCAGGTATAGAGAAGGGGAAAGGCGGAGGAGGCAACAAGTTAACAGTGGAGAGAGACAATACTAGCGGACACTAGTAAAGAAGCTCGGGATAGGGAAGATATCCGTAATTGACAAGAAGCGTACACCGTGTACGCCCCCAGATGACTTTTTTATAATAGAGGCATAAAGAACCTACCTAGGTACGTAAGTGTAATACAAGGACGGCTTGCCATGTGGGAGGCAATCCCACGATTGGAAGCTGGTTGAAGGACCATGCCACGCCATGTCCTATTATCCCTAGATCTAGGTGAGGTTGGCGGTTGCTAATGACAGCAATGGGTAAGAACAAGGTCCACAAGTACCTAGCTAGGTATGTTGACGTTAGAACCAAACCGTCATCTGCACTACTGTACGGCAACGAATGAGGATTAAGGCCGAGTTATAGACCAGGGACAAGGGTGGGCACCGAGGGTGTGGGAGTGGGAAGATATGCCAATGTAGCTATTTAGTATGAACAAGGAGAATTGAGGGGCAAGAAAGGCAGAAGAGTCGTATGGCCTATTGCTATGATGGGAAGTTGACAGGGCTAGTTGAAGGAGATGTTGGGAGGTGCCGGAAAAACGATAAAGAAAAAAAAAAAAAAATAAAAGGAAAAAAGGAAAAAAATAAAATTATAAAAAACAAGGCGGAATCGAAAATTCTGGTCTTGGTACCACATCCGATCCGTGTACCGTGGGGTTCGTGCCGCTACATACCTCTGCAAGCCTCTTATGTAGTGGGCGTTTTGCCCAGGGCAGTGCAGTTCCATCGCTATGAACTACATGTAGGTACAAGAACAGCTGCATCTATACGTACTTCAGGTGCCGTGAACGAATTGAATTGGTCGTCCTGTCAGTCTGATAAAGAAATGATTTTCCTACCATGTTTGGTCCAGTACCCAAAAATGAGTATCATAGGAGACGGTGCGATTCGAGATAATAAATACTGTTATCTCGTTGGAACTCTGACTTACATACGCCCCAGCACGCGACACAACGATTCTTGTATGCATGATAGACGGCCTTTTTGCAGAGATAGGATGCCGAACTAGAAAGCTGGGAGGCTACCGGTTGGAGGGTTCGAGACCGATCTGCCGCTATAAGACCAGGTAGTAGATGGTAGCACACAAATTATGTTGTGTGTATGTGTGTGCGTATAGGGTGTACCTGGGGTTAGAGACACCCTGAATGGTCGGCAACGTGCAAGCATTCGAGACCCTTAAAGGAATATACATGCGTGATATTCCACACCACCATCGCGAAAGACGATATGTGTATGGTTAGTCAAGAGGGAAGAGAGGTATCGACTTCGTATAGACTCATGAAGAGGAACGGGAGAAGAGGGTGAATTGAAGAGGAGGTGGAGGGGCAAGTCACAAAGTCAAGACCGCTAGTTAGGTATTTAGAGTGAGGGGTAAAAAAAGAGAAAAAGACGGCGAAAAAAGACAAAGTATTTTATTAGTGATACAATTATCAATCGAATCGTCGAAGCTTTTAGTGGATACATAGTACAGAAAACGGCGTGATACCCCTGTATTTTACAACATTGGGAAAGTATACCTAGGTAGACATCATTGCACTTTCCTAACCATCTGTCCTAGTCTTGCTAATTGTCTACGACGTTAAGAGCGATCACTGAAGGCCGAACCTTTTTCCTATTCGAGTTAGTAAACCGTTTTGCGGCTAACACCAAAATAAGTACGATGTAGCAGCCAGCTTCACTTTATGTAGGTATGGCTATATTTGTGCTACCTAAGCTAAATATCTGCGGAAAAAAAAAGTTGAGTCAAGATCGTCTAATGTATTTGCGCGTTTATTGTATAATCCTCGAATTCTAGTCATCTACTCGACTCTAGGTACGATCTACTGTGTCCCAATTGATAGCGTGTACATTGTTATAAGTTCAATGGGTGGCCTCAGAAGGTCAACTTCATCTTGGCTTACTAAGCACAGTATATGGAAACTGCTGCATATCGGCCGGTATATGCATTCATGATGCGTAGATCCTGCATTCTAGAGCCCAAGGATCCGCGATGCACTTCAAGGACAAGGATAGTGTCATTTATGTCGTCTCATCGATGCATAATCCAGTCCGAATGCGGCCGCCCCAAAGCCTCGGATGCCAAAGGCTGAACTCAAGCCATTAATATATGTAAGATGATTGGTGCTGTGTCCTCGCTGGATCTAGTATAGCTTGCGATAGAATGGCAGGCTTACATGTCGAACTCCTGGCAAGAAGGGTCATGTGGAAGCATTTGAAGAGAATGTGCTACCTGACAATCGGGAAATGGCTCAAAAGTCGGCAGTCTCTGCTCAGATTACCCACATTATTATATTGTGTACAAAGTCTTGATTTAAAACTCCGGTCGTTGTCTCGTTGCTGTTCCCGCCGACTGGACTGAGGACAACCTATCCAAAAGGGCATATCCTACCCAATAAAGGGGAAAATAAAGGGAAACGCAGCTTTCACTTACTGCATGTCAGAGCTACATATTGCCAGCCACGACAATCGAGGGAAGTAAATGGCCTATGACAAGAAGACAACACTTTCGAGCTAGAATAAGCCGGTCCGGAGGGGATAGAAATAATGGCGACTGTCAACCAACCACCAATTTTAAACTTTTAATCGAAGCAAACGCCGTTCTAGTTCCCGTTGTGTCATGAAGTCGTCAGTCATCGCTGCGGTGTAACAGCCATGCTAAACGACACCAGACGTGTAATATATCAAAGGTGAGTCTGATTCAGGCTGATTCTAGCTGCGGTGCAAATGTTGCCCTGAAGTAACGTGAACTGCACGCAGCCGTCCCGGGACTTGGGAGCCTACCCCAGACTTTTACATATTTAACAGCCCCATGAGCAATTCTGCAGGGGTTGATGATAGCCTTGAGAGCTTCCCAAAACAGGGAGCTCCTAGGCCCACAAGATTCTAGTGTAGTAGTAGCTGTTAGTAATGTGTCTAGAGCGAAGCCTAACGAGTCCTGCAAGAGTAATATTGAACAACTACTCTTTCGAATCTAGAATGTTTTTATGGGGATCAGCTTATCCGTCAGTAATTTATGGGAGTGGTGGGGTGTTACCCGAAAAATCTCACGGCATCTGTTCAATATAGTACGCACAGATTCGCAATGAATAAAAGAAGGACGTCTATTTGCTGTAATGTCCTTCAAGATTTTTTTCCCAGTGACGACCAATGCCAAGGATAGGTGGAAATTTTCTTGTCGTGATCGGAAGTAACTCGACCTTGGTGGGATCCTCGAATTATTTCTCTCATGCAACAAACAGCCTGCTATTCTGCCAAGATTGTCCAAGGGCCGAAGACTTTTTCAAGGACGCAAATTGAGAGATACTTACTATAAGAAAATAAAGATAAAACAGCAAAAAAGAGACCTGTAATTTCCTAATACGCATGAGTACCTGGGACTTGACCCAAATCGTGTTAAGATCTTCATGCGCGACTGCTGGTAAAGGGGTGGTCTCACTTTCGCTATTGTTGGAAATCTTGCCCGCAGCTCACCAGTTGCAACCCATTGCGTAGCTCATCACAACGCTTATCGCCGGCTGAGAAGCCCAAGGAGTGGTCCGGAGATACATGAACAGCCTGCTACAACCCGCACTGTATTGAGCTGGCTAACTTAGACCACTCACTCTCTTTAGATACAGTAGTATTGTAGGCGGAGATTGACATCACTATACGTAGAGACCATTGTACGACCTCCGATACCCAAGACTTGCAATGGCTGTTTTGCTAAGTTGTCGTACACGGATGACCCGGACAAAAAATGAATGAAAGTCGGTCAGAAGTCAGGTAACAATCGGGCCGCAGGCCAAGAAGACAAGGAGAGAGGAACGAGCCTACACACCTGCAGCTCGCGTGCTTGCCGTAAGTTCTAGAGGGGTTTTCCCTCACCTGATATCCAAGAAAGCAGAACTGTGACTCTGCGGGAAACGGAGCGGCTGCGGACTTTTTTTCTTCTTCTTCTTTTTCCCCTTCTCTCATCCGTGTTAAAGGAATGGGCTTGCAGAAAGAGGACGCAGAACGCGTAACGAGTACTGGCTACCATAAAAACTTGTACGTCGGTACGGAACATGCAATTGTGCTTCTGAAGCACAGATCTTGACTGGATTCGATAGTGTGCTGCAAGGTCGGACAGAGCTTGAACGGGAAGCAGTAGGCGATGCTTGACCGGATCAGTGTAACCCTCATACCAAGCTACAGCCGTGCCAGGTCCAAAACTTCGGGTACATTGGTGGAAAGTAATTGGGTATATAAGAGAGATAAGTCGATGCAAGAGGAGTTGATAATGAGAATTATGGATGATTAATATCCATCGATGACCGGTGTTCTAGGGAAAGTGAACCGCGATTTCGGGCGCAGATTATCCACTTTTGAGATGGGAATGGAAATGTCGACATGCCCAAAAATCCATCCGATGCTTGGGCTAAAAAGGTGTGCTCCGGCGAACAAGGCCCCTGGTCGCTCGGTGTGGATATGTGCGCGTCATGATTGGATTCTCGGCCTTCCCGGTCGATCAACTAACTACTTACGTATAAAAGATCCTACAAATTGTGATGAAGAATATGAGGCTGACGGGAGATCTCCCGGGCCCTGACAAAAGGAAGAAAAAAAAAGTAAAGAAATAAGGTAAGATTCAGCGGGTATGCTTCTGTAAAAGTGCAGTAAAATTCAGGGGCACAGCGGGAGCGGCGGGAGAAACCCGGTCGGAATTCGGATATCCCCCATGTGATTATATAATAAAAGTACATCTTCTTAAGTACCTACAGGACCGTCACCTGCAACTTAATCTAAAGAAATCAACCACAAAATGCCATCCGATTTAATATCAAAAAAATTTCTTGCTTCGAGAAAAATCTAATCAACTCTTCCCCGCAACCTAACAATGGATGAGGTCACGAGAAGACCGTTTCAGCTGTACACTTCACCAACATTAAACATTACAAAAGCGGCTCGTATCGATATTGCTTACCATACCAAGCAGAACCTAGTATGCCTATACATTCCACACATCCCATACGATAATATCCGTTTGATTAAAACAGACCGCCATTTGACTTCTATTAGACCGCATTACATCCACCTGCCATCCCATCGATACCCAATCTTGTTTACCTATCTGGGTTATTTTTCGATCACACGACTTGAACGAAAACATCATATCTTGCTAGAATACCAAGACACGGGAAACAAGGTAACAGTAAAAATAATAACCCTAATACCTCGCTGTGACATGCATGTCGCCCTACCACCTCGACATGATGCTACTCTCCCATATGCCAAATGGTTAATTGATGTGCTACCCCCAGACTACCGTCGTATCTAAGCCTACAAAGTTTTAAGCCATCGCATTATTGATTGGTTGGAGGCGTCTCCATACACATCGTGTGGGCATCAGTGGCGAATGTACGATCGACTGTGCTCATGAGGTCGCAAATTAGATTCACTCCGCCCGAGCCTTATTATGACTTACATTACTAGCATAATTACACCGGTCGAAATGACCAAGGATCGCATTTAGCTAAATGGTTTTTGTCTGGTCAATTCTACTATGACAGAGCCTACCGCGGCTAGCTATATGGGCACTTTGTGCGAATGGGCAGCGTTAGCTGTCAATGCATGTTGAAAAGTCTTAGCCGGAGCTAAACCAAGTGCAAGATAAGGGGAAACACAAATGCCAGCTTATTGTCGAAGGCTACATCATAATCATGCGATTCCCTTCCCTGAAAGTGGATACGGATATCCGGACATAGGAAAGGGGTCGTTGTCGTGGTGCAAATTCTAGAGGCTCTATACATCGTCAAGACGTAGACCTCGATTCAATCGTAGATTCTCTACCAGCCCAAGATTCAAACGAAATACGCATATTATAAGTGCCTTTTGTTGTGGGACATAAGGCTGCATTACTATGGTGGAATATACACACCAATCTCTAGTCTTGCTTGATCTTCGTCATCAATCGCAGCAGTCCTAGGATATGTATTTACTCGTCTTATGAAGTAAAACCAACTAGGATGAAACGAATCTCGATTCACTACTTCCGATAAATGTGTCGTCGCATCCGCCTATCCACCTAGGTACTTATCATATGGTAGCCATAATACTGAAGCCTAAATCCACAAAGATAAAACGCCAGCTAGATACCCACGTCCACACAAGTTGTGCGATGTAGCAGTCTCAAAATGACAACTCGCCGATGCATAATAAGCTCAAATGTGACTACCAAATTCTACGGATCGATCCGAATTGTCTCAGTCACTATTGAGGTTGTGGTTAGGTGACGTGAAACAGGTATGGATAGTATAGGCCGATAGGGGATGAGGGTGAGGCTGTTGGTGAATCACTGGGGTGCGATCCGGCGAATAAACTCTCCCGAATGGTATAATAAAAGGGGTCTTTGATATTAACGCAAATTTGGTAGTGAGACGGTCCTTGGTGCTGTGCTTCTTGTTATTGCCACCTGGCCTAGATATAAGCACTGGACTTGAGTTTGTTTCCGGCCTTAAATGATATCTTGGGTATAGTATGAGATCTCACGAAAGCCATATCTTTTAATGTTCTTGATTATTTTTTATTTTATCGAAAGGTGCGCTCCTAGCTTTATAACCTAGAGCTTCTATATATATAAACTAAAGGTGAGGATCCCGGCTCGAATTATATACTGTTGAGCTAGGCACTTAACCCTTAATTGGTCGACCAGCGCCGACGAGCAACAGTATGCCTAGCTGAATGCCCGGCTTCTGTTGGTGTCGCATAATATGATCCGGTGCTCATGCCGGTAACGTTGCGTCTGCTTGAGCCCACAAGTATTGAGGGACATGCCTTCCGTCCCCAAACCGGCACATCTGGTATGCTGTATTAGCTCCAGCTTGGCCTATCCTCAAGGAATTATGCGGCACTTACTCGACTCATAATAACTCTTCTAGTTTCGTGCTGCGGAAACAGAAGACATCCACTGCTATTACTTCGGTAATAATCAACTAGGGATGGTGAATGATAAGTGCTACGATTCTCAATCGTCACTTGGAAGTTTTCTTGTTCTTTCTATCCCTCTGCCTCTTCCCATCCTTTTTCTCTTTCTTCTTTTTCTTCCGCGGCGCTTCTGATTCGGCATCAGATTCAGCGCTAGGTTCGGCAGAGGGGTTGTTGGAACCTTCGGCTTTACGCTTGTCACCAAGCTTCGCAGCCTTCAGGGCAGCTTTAGCACGCTCTTTGGCGATCATCTCGGTCAACTTAGTATTGACAACCTTGTTATTGTTCTCCGCTAGGTCGGCTCGGATGAATCGAATGGCGGCTTCCTTATTCAGGCTTTGTTCGGGCTTTTGCGGGGGGTTCTCGGCATTCTTGATTTTGTCGAAGTATTGTCGTACGCGGCTAAGTTCTTTAAATACGGGATGTTCTTTCGCGTTGACACCATTGAGTCGGAGGGAAGCTAGATAAATAGTTAGAATGATAAGGGTGAGGGAAGGCAGTAATATGCGCCTACAAAATAGCATCGACTCGAGGGAATAGGTCGCAAGAACATATAGCTTGGCCTTGTCGAGTAAGGGCAGCTTGTTAGCTACATCTGAAATGTTGCCGAGAATAGGCTGTAGAGCTTCTTCGAGATTATCAATTTCATCATCTAATTGCTCTAATTGCGGCAAGATATTTGTAGGATCCATCTTGAAAGGATCTCAAGCTGTACGCCGGAGATGCGCGATTGCTTGAGGATTGGATGAGTAGGTCTAAGATTATCGCATTCTCGGCACTGGCAGGTGTCGCGAGTGAAAGAATTATGGCGGTGACGTATGGCAGAATATTTAAATCGGATAAAGATAAGAGCGAATCTCAGATAAGGTTCCGAATAAATGGGTCCCAACCGTACCAATCACAGGCCTTCTAATTCTTGACCATGTTAGTGCAATGGGTCCTTTCATGCCGAATCAGGTCTCCCTCTAAGAAAAAAAAAATAATATCGCCGTCATGAACGTCAAGACGTCGAAGGAACGGATTCCACCAACCTACGATTCAACCCATTGAATCCGTTCTATGAATGGTCTGACGGCGACTTCCTGGGTATCGCCACTCTGAAGTTGTAGTATATTCTTTCTACTTCATCTTCTCTTACAATAGTTTATTTTTTATTCTTTTTTTATCTCCCTCAAATGGTTCAGGTTCAACCACAACCATCCTGACATCGATCTCGTTGTCTCGAGATTCCTCGCCTCCGCCATACCAATGACATGACACCATACAGATAACCACCACAGTCTTCCATCCTGTATTCCCATATTTTTCGCCGGCCGCTTTCGCGGGCACCAGCGCGAATACCCAACAGATCTACAGTATGGAATCGCGATAGCCTCTTTGTGGGCCGGGGGGCCTTCAAGCGCCTGTCTGCTGTTGCCAGCATGGCATTGAGCCTACAGCCGCGGACCGATGGTTTTCGTCTCGATCCTCCTCCATATTTTCCACCTACTTTCCCGGCCCAAACACCACCGAGTCAAAGTCCGAATGAGAATTCTCCAAAATATCCCTTCTATAGGCCGCCGCCACTTGTCAGGCCGGTATACCCACGATTATCCTCGCAAGCAACGGCTACGGTAGAAGAAGTCGAACCAGATGTGGAACCGGAAGTTGTTCAGGAACTACCAACGGTCAAACTGTCAAAAAAGATTCATGTCCTTGGTTTCGATCCTAACGCCAAGTTTGTCGTTCATGCTCTCGCCGCCGTACCAGGGCTTCCTCCAGTTCAACTGCTTACCCACCGTACTCAAACCATGACATGTTGGGGACAAGAGGGCAGGGCCATCACTGTCTACAATAGTGGGAAGATGGGAAAGGGAAACATAACCTCGCGCGAGATTCCCTGTCCAGAGCATATCGGTCTTGGGCACAGCATAGCCCAGCTCGAGCGTGGTGGCTTCTTCCTGCATAATATCGTCGTCAGCACTATAAACACAGCTATCTGCAACAGTCTTTTTGCCCTTCGTCATCGTATCGATCGTCGAACGACTATTTGCTTGTTGAATACGGGACTTGGAATGATGGAACAATTAAATGAACGTGTCTTTGATGATCCGGGTACGAGACCTAATTACGTATTAGGCCATAGCAGACATATACTTCGAAGACACTCTCATCACAACAAGTATTCTCTTGACCACAAATCCGGCAATTTACTGCTTTACGCTGTCCCTAGAGACTACGAAGACCCAGACCTAGATTTAGAGACGGCACAACATCTCAGCAAGCAACATGTCCACAACTTGATCGCCCTGCTCTCCTCGGCCGAGGATCTTAAAGCAACTGAGGTATCATGGGAAGCGTTCCTACATGCAAAGTTGCCCGGGATGATTTTCCAATCCCTCGCCAACACGATATCGGTGATTATGGGTTGTAGTTTTGACCAACTCCGGAAAAACAAGCACGCGATGGATTTTTGGGAGAGGTTGTCTCGTGAAACGCTGCATATCGTCACGTCACTTCCGGAATTCCAGAACAATGCGGACCAAACAATGCTTAAAGCCTTCACGAAGGAGTCATTTGCAAAGAGACTCAAGCAAAGCTTACGTCAATGCGACAAATATAGTACATGGATCTCGATGATCCGGAGGGGTTGGCTTCCCCCTGTGGATCTTATCAATGGGTACTTCGTAAAGCGGGCTAAGGAACTCGAGCTTAGCTACTCAATGAATAGCTTGGCGATATATATTGTTAAAGCAAGATATGCGAGCAGACGTAACGAGCTCGAAGCTGATATTCCTCTTAGCTTGATGGCAAAAATGGACGATCAAGATAAGATCAGTAGTAGTCAGGACGGGTACGATCCGAACGTGGACATAGAGCTAGATTAAGCGAGCCAAGTCCCCCCTATTGTATATATTGTACACTTGAACGCACATCATCTGTATAATGAATTATAGATAACGTTAGAACATGTTAATTGCATGAAGATTCGCTCCCTTCCCATCGATGAGATCTTCGAAGGCTACGGCTCACAACCTATAGCAATTGACTGAAAGATTAAGAGACGAGCTATTCCAATATTACCAATCATGTTAGACTAGATATCATAGCCCAGTTACTCCCGCAAGAAACGCAAGAAATTACTGGAAAAGTTGTACACATAAGCATGTGGGACTTTTGACAACCTGTATGCAACCTACTTCGACAGGTATCTAGTCGTTCTGGCTAAGTTGAGAGAACTACCTAGCAAGGCATTGTCCTACGCAATTTTCTCAGGCATATATACCAACTAAATCTACGCACCCACCTAATCTGATTGATCACCGAAAGGGCACACACAAGATTAGAGGGGAAAGTAAAGTATTTACTTGAGTGGATCGTTGGGCAATACTATACAAAGCCACACGCCCCTCATCATCGTAGCCCATGCTATGCACAAATAGGTACGTAATTCTTGAATACATCATAAATGAGGTCTACACGCTCGCTTCTCTAGGTACCTAGCGACGAACGAACGTAGTAGCAAAAGAACCGATGTGTGTTCCTTTTTTTTTTTTTTTTTTTTTTTTTTTAATTTCCTTCCTTCCATCCTTCTCCCCAAATCCACTCCTTCCTATTCTAGATCAATGATCTAGTACTGGCTAGCAGCAGTCTGGCAAGCCTTCAGCTGCTCGAGGTACCAACCGCAGATCTGCATGTTACCTGAGTGGTCATCCATGCACTTGGTAAAGTTCTGCGTGGCGCCCTGGCAGTTGTTGCCCCACTGGTTCTGCTGCTGGTCCTGGGTGTTGACTTGCTGGGGAGCAGCCTCGGCCGGGGCGGAGGAGCCGCCGCCGAAGAAACCACCGATGGCGTGGCCGATGGAGGAACCTACTGCGACACCGCTGTTGATATGTTAGTTAAAGTCTCATCTCTAGAGCTTTGTATGAGGGGAGAGGGGAAAGGAATGAAGACGTACGCAGCAGTGCTGGCCATCTGACCGAATAGACCGGGACCTTGCGAGGCCTGGGGAGCGGCCTGCGCGGGAGGATGTTGCTGTGCGCCTTGAGTTGGGGCATACGTCGCCGCTGGTCTCGACTGCTGAGCGGCAGGAGCTCTGGCGGGAACGGAAGGACGAGCGGGAGCGGGTCTGGCGGCGGAACGGTTGCGAGGCATCTTGATTTATGGTTTGTGGTTGTTCGTAGAGATAGTAGGTGTAGTTCGGGCGAGTATTGAAAAGGTTGAAAAAGTTGTTGAGGCGATTCGGCTTATTTTTTGGAAGGAAGATGCTAGACTAAGAAGAGTCCGGGATTTCGGATTTAAAGAAAATGCAAAGTCGAGGCCAATGGAAGCTTTAGTGGAAGGAACGCCCCGGATTACCGGGAGTTACAGCTAGGTGGCGGTGGCCAATGAAGAAGCGTCAATTGACCATCCATCGTTCTTAGTCAGAATCGATCCAAGTATCTTTACAACGGTGCATTACGTAAACAAAAAGCAACTCGATTTATGAATACATGCACAAATTGAAAGACAACCATCAAGCTTCTGTAAGCTCACTCCAGCTTCAAACATACGATACACAGACACAACAACTTCTCAATTTTAATTTTTGGAAAACTTCCTTACTTGAAGTCTATGATAGGGACCTTAAAGAGGGATTGGTTCGAAATTCAGAAGGTAAAAAGGGTGGAAAGCCTTCTAAACCGCAAGGAAAATGAAGGCCCTCACACCCGGTCTACGCTCTGTATCGAGCAAACAGGGTTTCATACAACATCGCATACAATCACTCCCTATAGGGTCGGCAGCAACAATGATATCACCCGCTACACACGACTGTAGTAGCAAAAATAGAAGCAACAGAAGACAATTCTCAGTCCTCAACCGGCCACTACCAAACTACCCCGGCCACGTGCCACTCACGGGCATAGAGCGTGCAGCCCTAGCCGTCGGGTCCGGGGTAATGTCCCTAATCGACCCATACCGGCACGACATGATCGCAGCCTTAGGCGAAGCCACCGCATCACCATACTTCATCCAGCGTCTGCGTCGGGCCATGCTCTCATCCCCCATAGGCCGACGTATCCTACGCGACCGTCCGCGCATAACCTCCACTTCTTTGAACCTACCCCATCTGCGTTCCTTACCCAAGAACACAGTCGGCGCTGCATATGTAGCGTGGTTGGATAGAGAGGGCGTGTCCCCGGATACGCGCGACGGGGTGCGGTATATCGACGACGAGGAGTGCGCGTACGTAATGCAGCGGTACCGTGAATCGCACGATTTCTACCACGCCCTAACCGGGCTACCCATTGTGCGCGAGGGCGAGGTTGCACTTAAGGCGTTCGAATTTGCAAATACGTTACTCCCTATGACGGGGTTATCGATGCTAGCCGTAGCAACACTAAAACCGGCGGAGCGACAACGGTTTTGGAGTATTTACGGGCCCTGGGCGGTGCGCAATGGGTTGAAGAGCGATGAGGTCATTAATGTCTACTGGGAGGAGGAGATGGAGACCGATGTAGATGCGCTTAGGGCGAGGCTGGGGATCGAGAGACCGCCTGATCTTAGGGATATACGGAAAAGAGAGCGCGAAGAGAGGAAGAGATTGAAGGAGACTGCTGCTGCGCAAGCGGTCGCGAGTTAACTGCATTTTAAAGGAAGGAAATAAAGGGTTCGTGTTATTAGAATCTGTATACTATTGTACCAGAAACCGTATAGAACATCCATCAAAAGGTAATTTTGTGTCCATAACGCCATGCCATGCTAGTCGCACCGCTACCTATCGTATTGTGCCATCCTCTCTCTTCCTATCCTGGATATATTTTATTGTCTCGGTACGCCTTCACCCCGGGAACCATTGCTGCCGTAATCATAGGTCCAGCAAATCATCATCCTCATCATCCCAGTTCTTGCGCCTGTTAACAACAATCTTCTCTTCCTCTTTATTATCGGCGACGGCGTTTAGGAGCTCTTTGAGCTGGGCTTCGGTGACTTTCTGTCGCAGTTGACCGGTTCGCGCCAGCATGATGAGTCGGTTTTCGACGTCGGTGGCGCGCTCCTCTTTGACAAGTCGGATTCGGCCTAGGCGGTCGGCTGCCTCTGGGTGTAGGATCTGGTTCAAGATGGACTGGCGGGCTTCGGTATCTTGTCTATCATAAGGGTCGTTAGCTGGTGTTTCATATTATTCTAATAGAATATTTGGCGACGCTGGCTTACTGCTTCTGCTGTTCCGCTTGATTCCCTTGACCTGCACCTCCAGGGCTGCCTGCCCCGCCGCCTTGCGCTTTCAGCTGCTCCAGGCGCGCTTTGCGAATCTGAATATCGAAGGCATCAGTTAGCTCTAGATGAAACAAGCATTATATTCAAATGTGCCCGTATTAGGCGTACCTGTTCTAGTTCTGCGTCAGCCATGTTTGATTCAGTTTTGTGATTTTCTAGTATAAGTCAAGGTATAAGGGTTGGTAAGTTAGCAGGTTAGGCACGAGATGGCGTATAGATACCCCACTAAGTGGGATGGTTTTAGGGAATGTTTTAGCGGGGCAATCCGATAAGATCCCGATACTGTATCAATCCCTATGCCGAAAACACACCCTTATAAGATATTCCATCTATTTGAATGTCTAAACTCACGATCTTCATAACTTTTACTCAACTCAAAGTGTCATAGAAACGTCACTCGTTACTGAAATGGATTGTAATTTCTATTTCCAGTCGAAAAGCAATTCATACTCATGTCCTATTGGGTGGTGGTGTTAATATCTTGGTTCGTGGCGTTGACCACCCCTGCTAGCGATGCTTCATACCATGACTATACATGATTCTACATGGTATGAACTGCATTTTTCAGAGATATCACATTTGAGTCCTATTTTAAGGCAAATGCAGACCACACCGTTAGCAATGGAGCGGTGTCTAGGTGTTGTTGCCTGGCCAATGATTTATCTGACATATACTCCCTGAAGCGCCTGACCTCGCTTCGTATTGACGTCCCCATCTTTCTCTAGAATTATGACTCTATACTCCTACTTGGGCTCACCTGTGCTGTTAGTCTTAGCATATTCATATAGGAAGTTCCTGAATTGAGTTAATTCTACTTGAAACTATGGCAAGTCCAACGACTCCTAGGACGCCTACCGAAACCAAAGGAAAGAAGCGCCGCGCAACCGACGATGAGGACGAATCTCCTCGTAAGCCTCATGTTTCCCCCCGACGTGGGTATCCCAAGAATTTCCAGCCATTCTATAAATGTAACAAAGCAGCGTAGGTCCTCAAACAGTTCGGAAGGAGATTACGTCTCTGTATCCATCAATAAAAGCTCCCGGTCGTCCATTTAAAAAGAAGTCGATCGAAGCATTATTAGACTTGCCTCAACGGTTTTTCATGGCAGAAAATCCAGACCGGCCAAAGAATAAAATGTTCACGGTTTTCAGTCCTAATAGGGACTGTTAGTTAGGTTCCTACCGAAACGACTATAGGGGAACACTGACTAGAGATTAGTGAATATCATCGCCGCGTGCGTACAGGTCTGCGGCGAATCACGGCTTAATGAGAAGCGATGTACGACATGCGCTGCTGGTCAGGGTATCTGGACTCAGTGCATGGTCGAGCGAGATATTCCCGATCATCCTACCAGGGTGTTAGGCGGTGCATGTGCCTGCTGCTACTTTGACGGAAAGGGGAAAACTTGCTCGTTCATTCTCCGTACGTAAATAATAGAACTCGCCGACAACAAAAACTAATGAGTGTTATTTTGGGGTATAGGCGACTCTTCTTCACCTCTCAGCTTTACTTCGACACCCAGCGTATCCATTGCTAGTTCCCCTCTACCTCTCTTAGGGTCATCAGCCCCTTCGGAATTCATTACATTTCCAACCGACCCATGCCAAGTTGCTTACTACCAATGCATGTCCCGAATAGAGCGGTCCGAATCTCGAACCGAATTAACGAATACGAAAAATTCTCTCGAAAACCACCTCGACGTACTGAGAAGTGTCGAAGCGAAGGCCGACGACGACGATTCACCCCTAATACTATCCGATAGGAACGCTCTTTTGATTGCTTCTCGCCGTATGAGTTGGCCGAAGACTAAGCGGGCAGAGGCCCAAGCTCATATAAAGGGGGTCTTGGCTGCTTTAAATACTGCAGAAACGAAGCTCGGAGATAACAAGGGAAGAGACGGACACGCATATTAATTGGGAAGAAGGGATATAAAGAACAATTGCCTTATGTTACTTTAGCGACCCGAGGAGGTTAAATAAGAAATTTCCGCATTATTTGCTTTCGTTTACGGCTTCTGGTCTCAAGGAGGAGATCAATCTTGGTACACGTACAGGGTTTGGTGGGCACTTAAATCCCGATAATAAAAACAAATTAGCAAGCCGCCATTCAAGCCATAAAAACCTCTTGACTATTGATTCCCACTATGTTCGTCGTCATCGTCTCTTCGTGGTTCAAAGTTCAGCTATAGAATATTAGCATCTTTGTAATAGATTTCGGCATAGGAGACAGAAGAGAAGCTCACCGAATTTCCGTTATACAACTGCGCGTCTCGACGTTGATCATCCTCATTCTGAAATCCTCTGATCCGCGATGCTGTTCTCGCACCCGCCAAATTTTGTAGCTGAATCCCTTCTTGTTCATCGTCTCGTCTGCGACCGAAAGCCCCCGTGAACCCACCTAGCACACTAGCCAAGAGGCCATAGCCCGCGCCGAACAAACCCAGGATATATGCGAAGGTGCGCCAGACAAACCCATTGGAGTTCGCATAGGCAGAGCTATATTTGGCAGGGACGAGGACGAGGGTTGCGGATGGGGCTAGTCCGAGCGATAGTAAAGACCTGATTTCCTCGGTGGGTTCGATGACCTTATTGGGAAGAGGAGTCAGAACCACTCGGAAGGTGTACGGGGCGTCGCCATCGGTTCGATCTTCGTCGATCCATTTTCGGACTTCGGTGTTCAAGGTAGCGTCGCTCTTAAAGCGAGAGCGTATCGTTGAACCATTAAATAGTCGGACCTGGAGATTGCAATGATCTCCTCCCGATGCGGCGCGTGGTATTCGATTTAGTTGGATAGGTGCCGCCTGAGTGGTAGCTCCTTCACCTTCTTGCGCACCGCTTAGAAGAAGTCTCGCCTTTTTCTCCTCTGCTTCACGTTCCCTTCGTTCCCGCTTATCGTCCTCGATACGTTTCAGAATTCGTTTTCGTTCTTCAGCTGCATGTACCTTTCGTTGTCTGACTTCCTCTGCGTAACTTCGCTCTGCAGGAGTGTGAGTAGAGGATTGACTCTCAATACTTTCATTTGTATTCCGTCGTTCCTTTCCTTTGCCTTCTCGCTCCACCTTTGATTGGGCCTCCTTTTCCGCCTTTGCTTTGGCTTCCTTGGCTTTTTTCTCGGCCTCTTTACGCTTTGCTTCCTGTAAACTTTGACCCTGCGCCGAACTTTCCGGAGGAGGGGCAGAGCTTCTAGCTGGGATTTCGTAGTTGTCATATAGATCGTCTAGACTATTATTCCTGGCTAGAGCTGGAGCCTGGGGAGCAGGTGCTAGTTGACTCGCTTGTGTTGCCGGAGTTGTTGCTGACCGACTTTGGGCGGCTGTTGCTGTGCTCAAAATTGCCGCGACTCTGCGAATCAAATCTTGCTTCGCCGTGCCACCTTGTATGTACTCTTTCAACGTGCCATTCCTGCAAGACGAGTAAGCTATGGATTTTGTATGAAGATAACCAATAGTTGTGATATAACGTACTGAATCATTACTATTGTGGGCTTCTTTGGTATGGGAAATAGTGCCTCGAGAAAGCCCGCCTCTTGTGATCCTGCTTGTAACCTCAAGGAAATGGCTTGATTTGCGAGGGGTGCTTTGAGCTGCCGACGGTCAATATTAACAACTTTATTGTAAATAGATATTTACTCACTGTATCATTTGTTTGGAGCTCCTCTTCCCAGGACTGGCCCTCGTTGCTAACATCTATAGTTATATTAGTTTAACGATCATATTAAATTCACGTTACCCATACTCACCAGTCACAAAAGCGAGTACCATCTTTGACTCTTGGATAGCAAGGGCAATGCCACCTTGCAAGGTTCCTTGAAAGAATATGGTATCACCCATGGTCGCTCGATTGAATATGAATTCAGAAGCGCGAAGGTGGGTAAGAGACTTCGAGTGAGGCTGGCAGGTGAAGTATGTGAACAGGCCCTGTGAAGTGTCCTGTTTTCTAGCCGCCGAGATATTGAACTCGAATACTTAATCCGGACCCTTTTGTATTATCGAGCTCAAATGCTCTTCAACTAAAAGATAATCAAAGTTTCGAGGTAAATTCCCGGGAATTATCTGGATGTGTGATTTAATCTCTAGCGTTGTTAAATTCACGATGTAGCTTGTAAGTTGCGCGGGATGAAGTATGAGTTAACTGCCACGATGATGTAAATAGGCAGCCAGCTCTATGCTGTTTTAAGCTATCATAGGTACTAAGGTACCTAGAGCTAGTGCTGTAGCGGGACCCTATCCGAGCTCCGATCCCCCGGCCCCCACTAGAAGACCCTGGTATCTCGCCAATGCAATTCAGAAGCTTCATCAACTTTTGAAGAAAACGAACGTCATCATGGTTCTCACGACCACAGCGAGCATATTCTCATAATTAACTCGCTCATAGACACTATGAAGTCTGGCGGGCGGATAACACCCCAATTACTCGCCAGGCAAGTTGAAAAAGCCCTCGAAGCCCAAGCCCGCGCCTCCCATATCCACAGCTATAGCTATAGCACACAAACCTGGACATCACGATGCTGTAATAAACCCACCAACACCATTCTCCGACAAACCACCCCTTCCCTCCGCCGCCCCTTCACCAACACAACCCACCGCGCCGCGCGTCCTCCCGCCGAAGACCCCTCCTTCACCTCCATCCTCGACAACCCACCCGAACTAGTCCGCACCGGCCGACGCCACGGTCCTGGTCTAATAATCCTCGCCATCATCCCAGTAACCGCATTCTTACTCGGGACATGGCAAGTACAACGTCTAGGTTGGAAAACTGAACTCATCGCTAAATTCGAAGACCGAATCGTGCGCGAGCCCCTTCCTTTACCACCCCGCATCGATCCTTCCGCAATCCATGATTTCGATTTCAGGCGTGTACTTGCGACGGGAAGGTATAGACATGATAAAGAAATGCTGGTAGGCCCGCGGATGCGTGATGGTGAGCAGGGGTTCATGGTTATTACGCCGCTGGAGCGGGGCGGGGATGAGAGGGCGACGGTGTTGGTGAATCGTGGGTGGATTGCGAAGAAGTTCCGACGGCAGCAGGATCGGCCGGTGGAGGCATTGCCGCACGGGGAGGTAGAGGTTGAGGGTTTGTTAAGGGAGCCGTGGAAGAAGAATATGTTTACACCAGAGAATAGGCCGGATATTAATGAGTTCTATTTCCCGGATGTCAAGCAGATGGCTGCGCTGACGGGGAGTCAACCCGTGTGGATTGAACAGACTATGGGTATGCATAAACATCACTTCAATATTGGACATGGGCTTGGTTATTATGTTTATTCATGCTAACGTCATTCATTCGTGTAGAGCCGGATTTACTCCAGACTCTGGACATGGAAAATAAGGGCATTCCTATCGGAAGACCAGCAGAGGTCAATCTGAGGAATAACCATGCCCAATACATTTTCACATGGTATGTTTCCCTATTTCGATCTCGTCCCTTTTCATCGACTTGCTACCATGCTGACAATATCCTAGGTATGGACTCGCGGTAGCGACGTCGATAATGTTCTATATGGTAGTCAAGAAACCCCCTACAGATATCTCGCGAAGGGTACGGATGAATAAGGAATGGTCATAGACCTCCTCGTGAATACACGCTTTGTATTCCTTTATCAAAAGCCGTAATATGTTCCGGGCTCATGTTACTTCATCCTCCTCCACGTCCGCATGACGTGGCTGTTTCTTTCGAGGAACTTTTGTCGGCGGAGGGACCGACATGCGCAACTCCTGAAGGAGTTCTCTCGGTAGATGTCGTTGCGCCAGGGAAAATGGTGTTGTCGATGTGTTAGTCTGCCGTTGTCTGCGCCGCTCACATGGTTAATATGTATCACTACGAAAATAGATATGTAGATATGAACATACCTTCGCATAAGCATCATCATATCACTCTCGTCTATCGTCTTTCGGCCGGCGTGTTGTGCATAGGCCGATAAGTCGTCTCCTAGTTGCTCAAAGAACCAGTCTGTCGCTTGCATAATCGCATCCAGTGTATCTGCACTGATCTTCGCCTTGCTCACTCCAGCTGTCTTTGCAAGGGTCATTGCTAATCGTTTTACCACGCCTTGTGGTAAAGAAGGATACTCGATACCATGCCGCGATACCTTCTTGCCAACTTTCCTCCTCGCTGAACTCCTCTGTGGGAGATCGGCGGTCTGGGTTTGAGAGATGAATGTCTCAAGTAACTCGCCATTATTACTATCGCCGTCGCCATCCTCAAGCCCGGGAAAATCAAACGGCTCTCCTATATTATCATCGTCGTCGAAGTCCTCAACCTGCGGCTGTTCCTCGGCTTCAATGCCTTCTGTCATTGTTGGTTCTCGCGTAGGTGACTCTACTGGAGCCATAACGAAAGTGCTCTCGTTACCAAGTTCGGGTATCTGGATCGGACCGAAATCGTCCTGTCCGCCCATAGTTTGACGTCTCGTCTCTTCGTCCACACTAGTAACCATTAGCATCCCTTAATTCTTTATATATGAATTGTAGGAAGATAATACCGTTCAAAGATAGCATTTTCATCCAAGCCTACATCTCCGGTATCGTCGTCCAATGCCGGCGGTGGAAAGAAGCCAGAATCGATGCCCACGTCATTATTAACAGTACCATCCTCTATTTCCGGCCCAATGAAATCACTCATTCGTACGCTCCCAAGACTACCTCTATCCAAGCGACTCAACGGTGCTTCGGTCCATGCTCGACGAGGTAATTCGATAGACTGGACAGTGTAGTTTTCATCATCCAATATACTCGATCGGGGCGGCTTCAATTCACTATCGTCATCATCATCATCGCGGTCCAAGGGAAGCGAAAAACGAGGCCTCTCAATAGGGAAGTCATCGTCATCATCGCCTTCCTCTAGGAGAGTCTGTAGCGTCGAATCATTATTAGGTGGGGGAGATGACGAGGACGAGGAGACTGCTGTTGATGTTGGAGCTAGGACCCGACTAAGGTTCCGGAGCAGATCTCGTGGTGTTTCGCGTTCGCGCTCACGGGCGAGACTGCGCCGACGTCCAACGCGGCCTGGTGTGAAGACAGCTGCGCGCCGCTGGTCAAAAGCTCGAATAGCAGCGCGGGCATGTGGTGTATGGGGATTATTTCGACGGGCTGAGGCGGATAGCCGTAGATTCGAAGAGGGTTCAGCGCTGATGCCGCGGCGGTTCGGGGTTGCGATGTTTCGCGGTGTGCTTAAAGGTGGGAGACGGCTATTATTTGCGCCCGGGTCCGCCATCGTGAATATGCCGATTTATTTCCTTTGCTCGAATATCAATCCACGACACGCCGCCGTATTGACCAACAGCTGGAAATGTTTGCAGGTGCTGCCCTGTGGTTCATGGCAGTGCAAATTCCAATGTTTGTCTAATTGTTATTCAATTAGCCCCTTATCAAAGATGGCCCCGAAAAATTGGAAGTATTCCAGAAGAATGACGTGAGTGTTGGTGATTGTCCGACGCGGTTAGTACTTGAGCTTAGACGCGTCTGGGTTTGTTAGGTACGCCCCAGAATTGCATGTGGGATTGGAATTGGTAGGTCATCACAATGGAGAACAGGGACCGCACGTGGCACTTCAGCACTGTTCAGTGCGGGTGGGGCCACTATAAGTTAAATGTACTGAGGGGTTCCCTGCTCCAGGTGCTTGCCTGCCCAGACAGCTCTGACGCCGAAACTCTCTAGAGCAACTTCCAAACGCAAAGATGCAGTCTAACCTTCTGAAACACTTTCGGTTCATATTGCTTGCCTTTTCTTCCTACTTGCACCCCGAGATCTCTCCTTCCTTGTTTCCGTCACACTCGGAAACTTTCCAGTCAGACCATCGAATGACGACATAGTCTCACTTACCACATTATCATACATACGTGAAGTAAGAAGCTTCTTAGTTGCTAGAAGTATATAAGGATATGGCCTATAACTTATACTTATAATGGTAGGATCTCCCGCCTATCCAGCATTCTAAGCTTGATTGGCGGGGGATCTTTGGCATACTAGGTATCTCATCCACTAATCTACTCTTGTCAGATGGTTCTAATGGGACACCTACCTTATCAAGCAAACTAATTAGTTTGTCCATTTCCAGTCTTCGAATCCGGGGAATACAAGGCGACATTTTGAGACGATTTTTCGGATTGCTAGAACTGGGTAGAATACCTATTGGTCTACCAAGCATAAGCTAAAACGTCGCCAGTAGGGCAACGACTGGTCTGGAGAGCTTCTTGGAGCTAGCATTGATCAATAGTTCGATGTAATGGTTTTCTAACATTCGTCAAATACCAAGTTATAATCGCCACTGGCCCTCAAGAGCCTAGCGAATCATTCGAGTTCGTTCTCTAGCTTGATGCAAGAAAGCTTCGGGACCAAATCCCTGACGCCCAACAACATGCAACCAAGTCTTCGGATGTTCCAAACAGGTCGGGGATGTTACAGGTGACGCTTCAAGTGACGCCTCGGCCTATCGCATAGTATCGAGCCACCTTTCTACAGCTATCTTCTCCAAAGTATAAGCTCTTTAGGTCTATTGGTCTAGAAGACTATAGCTTCCAGCTTGTGCTTCATTAGGCTAGAGTAATATATAAGTGCTTACAGGATATACCTACGTAATGTAAGTGATCTCGCCTACTTGCCTACATATAATCATGTACCTACTGTGTTCACTGCATACGCACATGCACATGCAAAGCGGGAAGACCTACGGCAGTCAGATAGCTCTATGCGAAGATCGATCTAGGCGTGTAGGTGCTATAAATGATCGATTCATTGAAGGTAATGAACTGTCAGTTACCTAATTTTATAAGCACTCGTAACAGTATTTTATGACATTTAATATAACATTTAGTATGACATTGCCGTCGCAATCTTTTTTTATTTCTTTACGCACTTGATACGTACACACCTTATTTGATATTATTTAGTATTTAGTGTCTGTTGCTTTTGACATACATCATAATAAGAGACAAGTTGATACGTTAGGCACTTAGGCAGGTACATAATCAAATTGAATATGCTCGTTTACCAATCTTGGTTGAATACATGTAGGAACGAAAAGGTAAGGTAGGTACAACTCAGTACCTACCTCCCTAAGGTGTTGATTTATTCCACGGCAGAATATCGTTGAGCCAATCAGAACGATTAAACCACTAAATTCTATACCCCCTTGCCTTAGTAGTACGTGAGTACATAAGTACCCGGTATCCAATCCGATGCTGAAGAGCGCCGTCTCCCTATCCCAGTTAGGTCCCCCATTTCTTCCTCCACCTTCAACTTTTTCCGACTGGGTTAATAAATTCCGACTTATAGGGGCTCAAATGCGACGGTGTCTCTTGAATCACATTTCAATTGGTTTCTAAAATTCTAATATCGAATGATATCAAGACTTTTCACTTAATACTCGTCGTTCCGATTCGGTATCCGCCGTTCGTAGTTGTTAACCTCTTTAGCAAAAGAGAACCATCCTCAGCCAACCCAACCCAGCCTCTCTCATTGTAAGTTGTCATATCTCTCTTCTCTTCTTTGTACTGTACTGTTGTATGGCCCTAAGACGCGCCCCCAGCCGCCGCCATTGCCGTTTCTTATTCTACCCTGCCTGTCTGTCCATTATCAATTCGATCTACCCATACCTTATCCTTCTTCGTCCGCCGTGCACCCCGTTTTATCTATCCAACTATTCCTTTTTTTTCACCTCCCTTCACGCTTAGGGTGATAGCCCTTTTCAGATATACATACGTAAGAAGAAAAGTACATACGAAAAGGGGGACAGGATAGATACTTAGGTGTACATACGTATATCAAGTCAAGTTAGTTCCTTGTTCCATCGCCGCCACACCTTTTTTCCCTTTCCCCTACAAGTTCCATCCGCAAAGACCTGGGAGTCAAGACGCTCGCGCCACCACATCCACTCAGATCCCCTAAATCTTCGAATCAACCGCCGTTGTGTCCGTTGGAGGTCCCACACCCCCCTAGCACCAAAGAAGCTCCAGTATCCCTATCGGGACACCCTACCTACCCTATCAGGACTACCTGACCAGCTATCGTTCCAGCTTGCGAACCGTGCTGCACACTTTCAGTTACGGTACAAGCCAGCAGGCCCAGGTCCTGTTCCCAGTCCTTTCCCAGTCCCCTAACCTGTCTTGTCCCAGTCCCATCCCCCCCATGATAAGTACTAGAAGGTAGCGCCGTGTGCTTCAGTGCTCCATCCTGCCAGCTTGCCCACCTCCTGCGATCTGCGGCACCACACCCTTCCGACCCTGTGTCAAAACATTTCTAACCCTTATGCAACGCAAGCTCCTTCTACAACACTTCTATTCCCCTAATTGTATTGTATCGCCGATAGCTCTTGTCTTCCTCTATCCCTATCTCTAATCTTTTTTTTTTTTTTACAATCCACAGAATTTACAATTACCATAACCAAGACAAGGATACCTACTCTTTCCGTTTAAACTACCCGACTTTCGGTGGAATTGCCATAGTCGCCGAATAATTCGAAATCTACCAAACTTAGAAATTTGCCAACAATGGCAGCCCCTGGAGTTCAGTCATTGAAGGTATGATAACTATGATGTCGCTTTTAGCAATAGACAAACGCCGCATCACTAAAGTCAATATACTAATGCGAGATTCTACTGCAGTGCGTCGTTACCGGTGACGGTGCTGTCGGAAAGGTCCGTCGATACCAATTTAATACCACCCTCGAGTCATGTTCCCAAGTCTAACATTAGTGTCAGACATGTCTCCTTATCTCCTACACGACGAATGCCTTCCCAGGCGAATACATACCTACTGTGTTAGTATATCGGCGCTCTTGTCTTTTTCTACCCCTCTTTTAGTACCTATGCTGACGACGACCCTCTAGCTTCGATAACTACTCGGCGAGTGTGATGGTTGATGGCAAGCCCATTAGCTTAGGACTCTGGGATACTGCTGGTCAGGAAGATTACGACCGATTGCGACCGCTCTCGTACCCTCAAACCGATGTATTTCTTATCTGCTTCTCCATCGTGAGCCCGCCTTCGTTCGATAACGTAAAAGCCAAGGTATGTGAACCATCTAAGAGATAAAGCAAATTTCTTCAGATGAAAGTTGGCTAATTTGCTTTAGTGGTACCCCGAGATCGATCATCACGCGCCGAACATTCCTATCATCCTAGTCGGTACTAAGCTGGATTTGCGGGAGGACCCAGCCACTCTAGAAAGTCTCCGATCTAAGCGAATGGAGCCCGTTTCCTACGATCAGGCCTTGGTTTGCGCAAAGGAAATCCGTGCTCACAAGTACTTGGAGTGCTCTGCCCTCACACAGCGAAATCTTAAGAGCGTCTTTGATGAGGCTATTCGGTATGACCACCCCCTGATGCCACCTTGACGCCGGTCGCGTGCTAATAGGTATCATAGAGCTGTTCTCAACCCGAGGCCCGTCCCAATGAAGGGCGGTAGCAAGAAATCGAAGTGCACAATTCTATAAACAGCATAGAAGACATTTTTCAGTCACGTTTTGCAGTTGGGTCAAGCAAGCCATAAAGATTTTTTTTGCGAAACGATGAAGGCGTTTTTGGTGGACATATAGGAAAGATCACTATCCTCCATGAGGAACCGACGTATTCAGGCATCTTCGAGTTGGCCGACTACCTATATTTCGCGTCCCCTCATTTGAACCTACATACCCACAGACGTTTTTGGTGGCCATTTTTGTTGTTGGAGTGGAGGCCTATGGATTCGACCTTGACAGAGTAAGGGGAGGAGGGAGAGAAACAAAGTTGCAGGATCGGAAGCCATCGAATAGGAAGCATATGGTGGATCATGAATATCGTATTTCAGAGTTTCGGCACTCTTACTAGTTTGTGTCCTACTCGTACGATTTTGGTCCGGTCCGACTGGATATGCAATCATTGGTTTAGTTCCGTTGTGTGGGGGAGTCGCCCTGAACTAGACGGCAGCAAGAGTCGCGATCCCTCGAAGATTATTCAAACTCGCCTTTTCACAATTCTGTAGATAGCATATTTGCGAGAGGAATCCAAATTTTACAACATGCCCCCAAAACTTGAGTCAAATTCGTATTTAATACGTGAACACTTGAATTTAGTACGTGTATGAAAATCATGAAATCATATTAGGCCGGGTATCACTACGTTATAGGTGTAGAATAAGTAGCAAAGCATCTATGGATCAATCAACTAAAACCCAGCTCCAGGCACCCGTTGTCTACGGCTCGGATGAACACTATCCTCGATCCCAGCTTTCTCCTTGCCATTTTCACCACCCTTCTCCTTCTCCTTCAACTCCTTAGCCTTTTGCTCCTCAGCCGCTCTTCGCGCGCGCTCCTCATTCAACTTCTCATTCTTGGCGCGGATCTTGTCCTTACGGAAAGATGTGTTACCGCCGCCACCAGCCGTGAGCTCGACGTTTATCTTTCGCTCTTCGGTTCGCGTTTTTCCGGTGCGGGAGTCGGCGGTGGGACAGGTGAATGTGCTGTGGTGGAGGGTTTTTAGGCAGGTTTTCATGTAGTCGTATCGCGCGAACTCGACGAAGGCGATTCCGCGGGAGCGTTTGGTGCGTGGGTCATGCAGGAGGCGGACGGAGGTTGGGTGTACGCCGCTGAAGTGCGATTCAATTTGTTCAGTTGTCGCGGCGTAGGGGAGGTTTCCGACGAAGACTATGAAGCGCGGGGCTTTTTTGTTGGTGCCGGAGGTCTCATCGTCTTGTTGGCCTTCTTCGGCGGCGGGCTCGTCAGCTTCTGTGGTGTTGGGATTTGCGGGTGCTTCGTTGGTGGAGGCTTGCACAGAGGACTTCTTGTCCTTTTTGGCCTTTTTCTCTTTCTTATCCTTCTTGGACTTTTTGTCCTTCTTGCTCTCCTTGGAAGGCTTCTCATCCTCTACGGCAGCATCGCCGTTAACGGGAGTGTCCTCGGTTGTGCCATTGGTGTCGGGCGCAATGTCTTCTGCGCCGGCTATCTCGATATCGGCAGGAGTTTCTTCCTCGGCGGAGGTCTCGTGCTTGCGATGCTTCTTCTCTTTCTTGGATTTTTTATCCTTCTTTTCTTTCTTCTCCTTTTTGTCCTTCTTGGACTTCTTTTCGGCTCTAGGAGGTTCTTCATCTGCGACCGCTTCGCTCACGCGTCTGCGCTTCTTGCTCTTGCTAGCATCGTCGGCACCAGTCGCAGCGACGCTGGTCGTGGGGTCTTCTTCCGACTTGCGCTTCTTGGAAGTCATTGCGTTTGATTCTTCTTCTTCTTAGAAGTGTAAAATTAGAAAATGCGGTGTCTATGGAAGAAAAAAGGATTCAAGAAATCTTGATCCAAGAATCGTATGAAAGAGATGTATTGGGATTGAGAACGAGATCGCAGGGATGCGTTCTAGAGTCTGTAGATAAAAAAACACCGACAGAAATTTTAGTGGATCCTTTCACTGCGACCGGTTCTAGAGACCGTGCTACTAGGTACGTCGGTACTTGCACAGTATCGATAACATATTAGCGTCTGAGCTGATGAGTAATCTCTTATCTAAGCTGCACATCTTATATATCTTAGGTAATGAAATCCTCCTTCATCCAGACTTCCTTCAACATCTACAACACCCATGAATTCTAAAATTTGTGTACTCGACGGGCTTAGTTTGGTGTTGCCCATAATCTGGATTTCATAAGCAAACTCGCGCCGAGGGGTTAAGATTGCTTCGCAAACAGTGTCACATCCTCGAGCAACATAATGAGCCTCCTTTCATCCCCCCAGAAGTTTGCTTCCTGGTATGACGACATACCCGTTCATTGCAGGATCTCTGTTCCATATGATTAACTTAGATCCCCGGCACCAGGGTTTGTAATGTGACAGAAGACGAGAAATACCCACGGAACCATGTTGCTTCGCCGACATACCTTAGCAATGCTACCCAGAGTGTATATAGCGTTTCCTTGGTCGACTTGTTTGCCCTTGTATCCTGATATTCGGCTCCGAGGTACTACCGTAGTCTCAGAAGATACAACAGCACTCTCTACATAAAGTACTATACGAAAATGGGGTAATTCTAGTAGAACGAACTTCCATGCAAATATTGTCCTGGTACTAATTGGGTATATTAATTAGGATGTCCAAGTACCTGGTTACCTTCTGCTGAGAATGAGTACTGGTAGCTAAGATCTCGTTGGTGGGTGAAGAGAAAGGCGAAACGATACAATGTAAGGGAGGAATCTAGTGGCGTCATAACACCACGATCTTTTTATAATCGTGATCATATAGGCAAAGGCCACCGTAGATAATTATAGATATTTAGGAGTATAATATAAATGCTGTTCTGATCTCCGTTGCGAAAAAATCAAATATGATGGTTCTTGAAGTGACACGGCACCATATCCTCACTATGCGCTACAAAACGTAATGCGAAGTCTAATATCACTATAGAAATCTACGGAAATCCACCGCATACATCTAGATTGCTCTAAGTGTTGGGAAGACACGATCCCCGTTTGATGGTATGGGAAGCGACGATGAACTCGGGTACCATCCTACCTTCCAGTACGTGGTGGAAGGAGGCACTTTCTCTTAACCCAGGAAACTCTATGTATCCAAGCACCACAGAAGGGATAGAGGCGCTCTTGCCTTTAATAGACGACTACAATCAACGACATCCCATCGACAGTCGGCGGTCTTCCAGCTTCCCTCCGTCTCCTTTTCATAGCACACTACTAACAACAACATCTGATCCCTCTCACCGTATCCCTCGTTTTTTGGATTGCCAAACATCGACATTCGTTTTCTTTTCGGATTGGTCTTTTTGGTGATCATCCTTAACCGTCTACAATCTTTCGCTTTGTACGATTTATGGAGTCTAGAAAAGCAGAAAACCATAAAAATTCAGACGAGGAAATACTCGATAAACCTCATTCTCTTCTCGATATCATAGAGGAAATTGGTGTGTAATAGGATGGCAATGTTCATTAAGATCCTCCTTGTGCGGTTACTCTTCGCAAACCTGTGGCAATTCGCCCTCGGCATGGGTAATAGAACAAATGGCACGATCACCGAACCACCTCCCGAACCACCAAGTGAGTCCAGTGCAGTCTTGGTAGTCTATAAAGATCGATATGACTTTTATTAACAACTAGTTGAGGCTGCGCTTCTCGTTGTATGGTTGATAGCATGTTCGCAACGCAATGCCTCGATACGAGATGTCTCTGCAACGAAAAAGACTACCAGCGGGTCTGCATTCCCCCTCTAATGAGTAGTCATACTCAGCTAACCCTATCCCGTATCCAGTCTCTCTTTCAGTGCCTCTACTCTCAATGCGATACCAACAATTACGGACCCGCACTTAGCCACTCCATATCGCTATGCATGAATCTCGGCGCCGTGATTTACATGGTAGCGCCAGGCGTAGTCGACAATGACATACTCCGGTCCCGCGAGGATGACTACCTTGCCGGGCGCGAAGTAGCAGACGTCCCAGGCTTGCAACTACGACAGGAGAGCATCGCCGGGCACGGACAGACAACTACTGTAACAACCACGGTCACAGATTTTATCACGGTGTCCTATGCCCCGGTCACGTACTTTTCGACAGCTAGTAGCGAGCTCCTCGAGACCACGCAAGCAGCAGAAGAGGTTCCTCATACCACCTCTACCTCGGCGAACCGGCCTTGGGTGGTTCCTATATCAAAGGCTGCGAGCGAAAGACCCTCATTTTTCGGGTTGGTGTTGTGGATCGCGTTGGTAGTTGCGTTGGATTACTGGATGAACAGCTAGTAGAGCTAGATGGGTGCCGTCGCTAAATCACCAAGATTATTGCTGAATTCAACAAGTTTCACTATCAAAGGATAAGGGGTGGGAATTAATGTTAATGAAGACGGCTGATGATCGATTTTATAGGGTTAATCATGCTGGCAATTGGCCGTCTGTAGGTAATTTTAGTTGACTCGCCCATAAGCTTTTTTATATCTGCCGGGCCGACCTATGTTGATATATTAGGGTCGGTTATTTCTGCCTAATTCTGTCTTCTTATCTCACTCGTGCTCGTATCTTGAATATAAAAAGGGATGAAACGCGCACGAAATCGATTACCGCTCGCGAGACATTTTCGGCGAGATGAGTCAGGATCGCAGTTATCGTTGTCCATTCCGATCCCGGCCCCTGACAAGAGTCTACTTCGTATTCAATATTCATGAAAAGGGTGTCATCTTATTCCGATGGAAATGCTTAGGTGAAACGCCAATAGATATAATAAATGAATCATCAATTTTTCTGGGTATCATATGCAATTGCCTTTATACGTCCTCGGGAAGGCAAGCCGGCCTTGATAACTCTGCTAGCCCCCTCTACCTCGGGGTATCATCTAAAAAACCGGACTCCCTTATTGGCCTGCTTAATAAAATAGGAGCTGAAGGCCTTTCTCGGGATCCGCGTATCGCTCCTTGAACTCAGTGCGAGCTAACCAGCGGGCTAGAGGTAACATGGTCTCCTTCATGTCCATGACACCGCGCTTCTTCTGGTCGATGTGAGAGGCATCAACAACTAGGCGTTCCAGCTTGTCTAATTTAAGAGAGGCTGTCCATCTGTTAGAATTTGTGAAGAGATAGATGAGAGGAAAAGGGCTTACACTTCTCGACTAGATCAGATAGCCGCACGGGCGTGCCCACAGCGATGCCCGTGCGGTGCTTCTCGAGGAATTGCACGCTTTCCTCTATCTTGATGTGCTTTGCGAACTGAAGAATCTATCAGTTAGGGCCGCATACAATTCGATTCGGAGGAACATACCAATTTCGCGACTGTGCTGTGTTTAGTCTGGTATTTACGAACGGCCCTATACAGTGTTAGAATTCTCGCGATTGGGACAAGATGAGAATAGTCGAAGCCGTACCTGGTGATTTCAGCAGCTCTTAAACCCGCGCCCGTGACGATGATTGTGTGAGGCGAACCATTCTGCTTCGGCGCCTCGCTGAGCTTCTTTGGGTCTGCGAATTGCTCTAGAAAGTCTGGTAGATTGTCTAGGCTTCGCGTTTTATCGAAGGATGTGGTATCTTTGATGTAGCTTGCTAGTTTATATGTTAGCCGATTTACTCATATCTTCATCAGTGATAGGGTGAAGCATACGTGATATGTCTAGCTGGCTGAGCTCGACGGGTTTCAGATCAGTACCGAATCTCCGTATTTTGTTGGCTAGATAGTCTGCGAGTAGCAAATTGTCAATCTGAGCGACCTTCTTGTTTACCCCGGCGTCTAGATCGAGAAATTCTTCATCTTCCTCGTAAGTTGTCGGCTTTCTTCGTTTTCGCGAACGACTCTCATCGTCCTGACGGCGCTTCTTAGGTTTTGCCTTTGGGGCTGCAGGTTTATGTCTTATTACTTGTGTCTCGGACATTTTCGGTCACTTATCTCAGCATTCAATTTTGTGAAAACTTGAGATATGTTGCGGTGGCGTGAGGTTAGATGTGATGGGGATGATAATAGTATGAGAAAAAGGTGAATGAGAAGAAAATTCAGTTAGCCGTTAGAGTTGAAAATCCTTATATGAAGAATTCTCTTATCGGCGGATGATGTAAGTAAATTCAACTAATGAAAATGGTACCCCACCATATAGAAAATTGCCCCGCGTCACACGTTGACCGGAAGAGTCAGAACTCGCATTATCCGTCGTACGTTCCTTCTATTATTCATTGCGATTATAAGGAAGAAGGAGCGTCTGCCATTATTATTTGAGTTCCTCCCTCTTTCAACACCAATTGACTCAATCCTACCAGAAACATCTTCAGAGAGTCGCATCATGTCTGAAGCTCCCGTCGACCCAGCCCAAGCTTCGGGTGCTGCCCCTCCGGCCGAAGGTGAAGGTTTTGCCCAGTCCAAGAAGGGAGCGAAGAAGGCCGAAGCCAAGGCGAAAAAGGAGGCCGAAAAGGCACGAAAGGCTGCTGAGAGAGAAGCTGCTGCCGCCGCCCAGAAAGCTGCTTCAGGTGGTAACGAGGATCTCGCCAAGGACAATTATGGCGACATCCTACCCTCTACGAAAGTCGCTGCCGACAAGGTACAACTTAAAAACTTAGGAGACGAACATATTGGAAAGACAGTGAAGCTACGAGCTTGGATTCAAAATGCCCGTATGCAAGGAGCCAAGATGGCCTTCGTCGAATTACGAGAAGAGCGAAATTGGACTATACAAGGTGTTGTGTCTGCAAGTGCCGAGGGAACTCCGGTTAGTAAACAAATGGTTAAATGGATTGGTGCGCTACGACTCGAAAGTTTTGTGCTCGTTGAAGCCACCGTCCAGAAGCCCCTAGAACCTGTTAAGAGTTGTCGCGTGAGCAACTACGAATTCCACTTAACCAAGACTTACCTGATTTCCCCTGGTCCTGAGGTGTTACCTCTGGGCCTCAACGCCGCCAACCGAGCTATTGCAAGTTTCGAAGATGAGGACCCCTCCCAGGCTGCGGCGGCACCCACTGAGGCTGTCGAGAATCTTTCCTTAGCTGAATCTGCTGCTGCGCCATCTGCAAGCTTATCTACGCATCTAAATAACCCCGCTATGCACAAGCGAGCCCCTGTACAGCAAGCTATCGCCGATGTCCGAATGACTGTACGCAAGCTTTTCAGTGAATACCTCGAGTCCAAGAATTTCGTCCAATTTGAGGCGCCTTGCCTTATCGGTGCCGCATCCGAAGGTGGCGCAAACGTATTCTCACTACCTTATTTCGAAAAGCAAGCCTTCCTTGCGCAATCGCCCCAATTCTACAAGCAAATTGAAATTGCCGGTGGACGGAAGCGTGTCTACTGCATAGGACCCGTATTCCGAGCCGAGAACAGCAACACCCCGAGACACATGACTGAGGTAGGTTATTAATGTTAAACTTATTCTGTAGCTAGTATTAAAATACTAACCATAATTATTAGTTCACTGGTCTCGATTTAGAAATGGAAATTGAAGAAAACTACCACGAGGTTATTGACATGATCGAAGGCGTCATGCTGTACATCTTCCGAGGCCTCGAGCAACGATGCAAGGAACAAATCGAGCTGATCCGCGCAATCTACCCATCCGACGATTTCTTACTACCTGAGCCTGGAAAGGAAGTACGACTCACTTTTGCCGAGGGTCAGAAACTATTGCGTGAGGAGGGACCGGAGGAGTTCCGCAACGTGTCCGATGACGAGGACATGAGCACGCCCCAAGAAAAGGCACTCGGTGCTCTTGTACGCAAGAAGTATAATACTGACTTCTACGTACTGGACAAGTTCCCCGAGGGAGCGCGTCCCTTTTATACTATCGAGGATCCCGAGAATCCTAAGGTCACTAATGCCTACGATTTCTTTATGCGTGGCCAAGAAATCTTGTCTGGTGGTCAGCGTATCCACCGTCCTGACTTGCTAGAGGCGCGTATACGCAAGAAGGGCATTGACCCTGCCAGCCCTGGTATCCGCGAATATGTCGATGTGTTCCGATCTGCGGGTGTGCCACCTCACGGTGGTGGTGGTATCGGTTTGGACCGTGTGGTTGCGTGGTACCTGAACTTGCCTAGTGTACACTTGACAAGTTACTACCCCAGAACGCCGAAGAGGCTGTCACCTTAGAGTGTGGAAAATGATTGGTGTGATTTGTAGATGGGATATACCGATGTGGTAGTTGATACGATAGATACTAAGGGGACTATAGAAGTCGATGAAGAATAAAAAAAGTCATAGTATTGGCACTTCCCATTAACTGTGAACTACAATACTGGAAGGACTATATTTCTAGGCTATACCACGAAGCGATCGCCATGCATGCTCTAAAAGCATCAGGTCTCAGCTTTAAGTCACAAAATACGTAGGCAAGTAAACGTGAGAATCTATTCGTCGGCCTTAAAAAACCGCTCCTCTAACCTGGGCTCGGTTCCTCCGGCTCATTTAATCGTAATATCGCCTGCTATACTGTACATTTACCATCATCGTTACCTTTTTCCTTTTTATCCCTGTCGCTTCTCATCTAGAGCTATTTAGACAATATGGAAAGTAAGGTAAAGATACAATCTCATTCCACAAATTCCCCCGCGTTTTCGTACGTTTATGACTTCCATCGGGCATCGATCTGCTTCTTGCGAACCTGTAGTTGAATCATTAGCATACTATCCTCTGCTTCTCCTCATATAAGAAAGAGGACTTACCATCGGCCTTAAAGCGCCTACACCAAACACAAGCGCTGCCACTGTACCGAGCAAAGCTAACTTATTAAATCCCTTGCCTAATACATCAAACGCCAAACTCGGCGCAACCCTCGTTCCGAAAACATCAATTCCGTACGCAAATACCAAACTTGTGCTTTCAAGTGCCGCGGGTGTGGCTATGATATCCTTGACTCCGAAAATTTCGCGCTGGTGCGTGATCTGCATACGCGGATCAAGTTCGATGGCGGGGATGTATTTTGAAAGCCCTTCCTCGAGCTCGGCAGGGGTAGGATCACGACCTGCAGGACGACGCGGCTCGAGAGCAAGTTTGGGGATGCCAACAATGGAGTGGGATTCGGGTAGGTATGCTAAGAGCTGTCTGGATGTGATGCCTTGGCGAGTCTTGGTTACTTCTAGCGCGGCGATAGGCTCCGATAGAACAAATGTCTTCGATACAACGGAAGGTAGGTACGGGCTGGTAGGTAAATCAACTGGGTCCAAGGACGAGAGGTTAGCCGCGTCTCCTAGCGGGCCGCGGTCGTTAGCGTTGTCGGATTCGTAGAGGTCAGATACGACGACTTGGTAGCCTTTTAGTTTTTGCGCCGGGGAGTCCCGTAGGCTATAGTCGCCGAAGAACGAGCATAGAAACCAGTTCTCAGCAATAGCGCAGGAGGTTTCCTTGGTTGGATCGATGCCTTCGTATGTTGCCGAGGTTAAAACTTCGCCAGAAATAGTATCTAGTAGATAAACAGAGAGAGAGTTTGCTTTTTCGTCGGTCGCCGCAACAACTAGAGTGTTAGGATTGAGGTACTTGTACTTGACTGTTCGGTCTCCTAGTACTCGCCCTATCGATGCGATCGGGTCATACTGGGATCGGCTCGCTACCTCAACAATCTTCTGTCCCGCGGGAGGTGTAAAGATCCAGGTTGGGACTTCAACAGCTTGCTCGCCCTTAGACACAAATTTGACACCCTTGAGTCCGCCATCGCTCGTTCGTGTAACGATGGTCTGCTTGGGAGTGTGCGAACTTTGCACTTCGGCAATCTTTCCGTCCTTGCCGATGGGGAGTAGCCAAGGTCCGGCCTCACTATCAACCACAACAGCACTCTCAACTGGTGGGAATAGGCCAACCGGTATCGACTCAACAGTCTTGCCAGTGTCCGATTTAATGATAATGAATTCACCGTTGGCTCCGCGGACGGTGACAAATCCATTTACGTCATCAGCATGGATAGCCTTTACATCCCAAGGCTTTTCTCCGGGAGTTTCGCTAGCGGGTTTCGACCAGACGATTCTTCCGTGGTTGCCGGCATCAAGACCGTAAAGCTTCCCACGCTTCGTCGCTAGAACGACAAGTTTGTGGAACCCAAAGCTATCCCGTGTAAGTTTAGTGCTTGGTCCTGAAGTCTCGGCGCCAATAACACTAGCCACAAGACGCTGAGGAATGGTTTGCAAAAAGGCGGGTAAGTATTGTAGCTCATCAATGTGGCGAGTAACCCGGTGGACGAAAGCAGACCAAGGATCAGTGTGGGCTTCGGCCTCTAGTGTCTTCGCCAAATCTTCTGACTCGGGAATCTCCGCCCAGGTAGCAGCCACAACACCGCTCAAGCCTTCAGTTCGAGTCCAAGCCAGGTCACCATTGATAATCTGAGTCCAGTCATCATCATCGGTTACAATGGCGGATCGTACTGCGTAGTTATCTTCGGCCTTCTTGATCACTTCGGAAACACCGTGCACAGCAGATAGCTTCTGCGTTCCGGACTTAAGAGGCCAGCGACCTAGGATGCCATGGGAAACTGAAGAAGTGACAATGACCTCGTCGGCCGTAACTCGAGTAAAGTAGACGTTGGCAGCAGATGAACTTGTTGAGAAAGCACTTGCACCTTCAAGTAGAGGTAGATCGTATGCTTTGCTGATCGCATTGCTCTTGAGGTCGATATGGAACACATCCGCTTTGCTTCCCGTCTTAGTTCGGGTATGTACGAGGAAATGGGGCGAAGACTGGACCGTATGTGGAGCATGGACTTCCACATCAACTGTGCCCGCCACAAGGGGGAATTCCTGTCTGCTCTTAGAGCCAAGAACATTGACCTTCAGCTTTGTCAAGGTGTTATCCGTCCAAGCCACAACCGGAGCAGCTGAGTTTGCGCCCACGAATTGAACATCCTCTGGTTTTTGTACTTCGCCTTTCGTGCCGATAATAATCTCGTCAAGCTTCTTTCCTGTTAGGGTATCCAGGACAATAACCTTGAGGTTGTAGGACAGTAGGGAACCATGGAGCGTAACGACAAACACCTTTTCCAGGTTGGTGCTGACCTGCAGCGGCAGGTCCTTCGTGACCTCCCTGAACTCCCAGACCACGCGTCCCTCCGCGCCGTTTATTCTCCGCGCGGCAGTTGTACCGTCCTCCTCATGTAAAGCTAGAACATCCTTCCTCTCACCCTCCGTCAACGCCATAACCTCAAGGTCCTTCACACTCCCATCGAAATCCAGAGTCCAGACATTCCGTCCACTAATCGCATCCCAAGCATGTACCTTACTCCCCAGGGCACTAGCAAGCCAAGTCTCGTCCTCGGCCGCTCGTAAATGCCCCCCTTCTGTGATATTATTATTCAACAACTGTCTCCAGACCACTGCTCCATTGCCCGGATTCACAGCACCCAACACACCTAAATCGCTAAGTGTGTATAATAAGCTAGCTTTTTCGGAAGGTCTAGGTCGGTGGAAGAATGTAGTTTCGCGTTGGGGCACGCCGAGGAGTTCGTGGTGGTAATCGATGTGGCCGACCTCGTCCTTGAAGACGGCGCGCACGGCTGCTGGTAAGGCTAACAGCAGCGCGATGGATAGCGTGCGTGCCGGTAGATGCATCTTTGCAAGATGCGGCTCTTACGCGGCGGGATGCTATGGGAGTCGGGAATTGTCGAGTTAAATGACTTCGAGCATTGGTTAATCGTGTTCGTTACCTTGGATAGGTAGTTGTAGTTGTATAGCTTAGGTATTAAACACGTACGTAAGTAAGTTGTCTTAGAAGGATCCATCAATTGTTGATAGCACGCTAGGGGATCCACTATGAGACAATGCTTACCGTAAGCCCGCCTACTGACATGTTTATGTCAGTATCAGGTACATATTACGTAACTCATAATGCATGTATTAAGTGTATGCATATAGAAGGTATTTATAAAGCTTTGTTATGGAACAAAGCTACCCCTTTATTTGGCACTTTAAAAATAAATGTGTATAATACGTCAGAAGTGCACTATTGGCAACTTTCAATTTCCATATGAATAGTAGCTAGTATGGAGTTGTGAATAGTCTCGAAGAAGCGGCAACAATCTATGGTGTCATTAATTGGTATCTTTCCGAAGCATAGCACCTATCCGTGAGCTCTTCCTGCTAGTATTACACAAGGTGCCACGGAAATACTCCCATCGACATTTCCTGGCACGAATCGTATGAACCCGCCCAATATGAAAAGAAAAGCTCATGACTCCGGATAGTGCGAAAATTTCCTCCAACAGATCAAGCGAAGAGCAAGTGGATGATGGGCCAACGGAGATCTCCGAAAGCCAGCGACTCTGCGTGCTATATATGGCGTTGGTCTCAATGCTGACCCATCAATCCCTCAAGTTCCTCGACACCACCTACCGTGTTAGATAGAACGAGAAACTTAAGCCTTCTTAGCACGACCTCGGCCGCGTTTTGCTTTGGGAGCAGCAACCTCTTCCTCTTCCTCGTTCTCCTCAGGTTCTTCCTCCGGTTCCGCAACCTGAGCCTTGGGCTTTCGACCAGCTCGAGACTTGGGTTTGGCCTTCGACCCGGCCGTAGCCTTGGCCGGAGCTTTGGGTGCAGCCTTAGCCTTGGTCTTCTTGACGGGGGCGGGTTCGGGTTCGGGTTCCTCGTCTTGCTCTTCCTCGTCCTCCTCAGGCTCAGGGGTCGGAGCCTTGGCAGCTTTCTTACCTCGAGCCTTCTTAGCGGGAGCCTTAGTAGGGGCGGGCTCCTCTTGCTCCTCTTCATCGTCCTCGACAACCTTCTTAGCTCGACCTTTCTTGGCCGGAGCTTTGGCGGGGGCTTTAACAGGAGCCGGCTCCTCTACTTCGTCTTCATCTTCGTCGGCAGTTTTCTTGGGTTTACGACCTCTGGCCTTCTTCTTAGCAGGCTGGGCCTCCTCTTCCTCGTCTTCCTCCTCAGCCTTCTTGCGGCCTCGTTTAGCGGGCTTTTTAGCAGCCTTCTTAGAAGACTCGCCTTCGTCGGACTGCAATGATATGTAAATAACAATAGGACTAGAATAAAGGTGAGTAACTAACCTCGTCTTCGTCCTTTTTTGCCTTAGCCTTCTTGGCACGGCCACGGATAGCTGCCTGGCCAGGCTTGTTGAACTCCGGATCCTACCCGATATTAGTTAGAGCCTGGGAAGTCATGCTCGGTAATAACTTACACCCTTGAAATCCTCAGGATCGATGTGGCCTTGGGTTATAACACGCTTGATCTTCTCCTGGAGCTCAGGATGATCGCTATGACCAATGTTAGCAAAGTTTCAAAATAGTGGTATATTTTCATGGTAGAACTTACTCTAACTCGTCAAAGCCATCGAGCATGTCCCACTGGTAGCCATCGTCTTTGGCGATAGACTCCTGCATGTTGGCGACAATCTTACCAGAGGTACAACCCCTAAGAAATGGTTAGCCAAATAATTCGGAATATTTGAAAATTTTGATATAGTGAGGGAGTACTTACCAGTGTCGCCATCGCCAAGTTCCGTGTTCCTGGATCTCGACCCAGGTGCCTAGGCGCAGCTCACCCTTGTCGATCTTTATTTGCTGCTTCTTGCATTCCGTGTCTTGACATAGAGCACGGTTGCTCTTAGAGAGCTCTGAGAAATAAATCAGTTATGCTGCTTGAAAGGTGAAATGGAAAAAAAATATTGGCGTGCGAATCATGACGATGCATCGTACGACATAAATACCTAAGGTAACATTTATCTTAGGCGGCTACCTAGGGAAAATGATTAAAAGCTGACTTACCAATACGATAAGGCATGATTATTTCAGTCTCTTCAATTCTTCGGTAGATTTCTGATAGAAGAGATGTCCGTAAAATATTTCAGTCGCTACGAGATGAAATATGAAAGGGGATTTTGTGTATTGGATGGTGTCGATGTTACGCCTTTGTGTGCGAACGGCAGATCAGAAAGGACGGGCGGAATTGGTTTGTTTGCTGATTAGATTTCCTGGATTCCTCGAAAAACAAGGAATTTTTAATTAATTCCTACTAGGATTGAGAGAATGAAAAGGAAATCAAATCAAAAACGAAATAATGTAAAATGGAAAAGGGAAGAAACAAGAATAATGAGGAAGTCGAGGGGAATGCGAAGTGGGAAGAGAGAAAAAGAATTGGTTGGAGACGACCCAAGCTTTGAAACGCGTGTGGCGGGCGCGTCAGGTACGGAGAAAGCTCCAGAGATACCCCAACCTGTCAACCTAGCAACTATAATTCAGTAGTCTTAGCGGTCCTTATAGCGGACGAACGCTGTCGAACGGCTGATTTAGGTGGTTGTTAGGTACCTGTTAGGTGCCAACTGAAGGGTGCCTAGTGCATATCGCAGGTACCTAATTATTTCCTTGATAAGCACTAGGGATACCCTATCCGCCTAATCCAACCAGCTAATCCGATCCCTAATGGTCCTACCAACGCGATAGGCACTTCCCTTGCTTGATCGTCAATGTTGGATCCGTATGATTTGCGCATATTTCCAGAGGAAACGATCGTCTTTTAGATGAAAAATCTTCAGATTTTTACGAATATCCATGTTTTATTCTTTTTATCTAGGTTTTCATCCGATTTAGACAGTTTAGGTATGTAGATGCGCCTCTTTCATCCCAAATGCATTTTTCGTGCCTCATACCAAGCTCCAAATTTCCGTCCTAGCCTTAAATATTCTATCGCGTCCTCGGCCTTTGGTCTTATAGAAAAGGACACCAGCCGATGTACATAGAAGTGAGGTTCTTTGGATCGACAGCCTGTTTGATTAGTTCTTCCACCTGTCCTTCAACTCCTAGGGGGATGCTCTCATCCGGTAGTAAACCCCTAACTTTCCTCTTAATACTGTCCACAACGCTTTGGGGGTTGAGTTTGACTGCCTCATTCTTCCTACGTTTGTCTCGCTGCAAATCCAAGGTCGGGTCGTAAATAAATGCCTCTAAAATTGTCATCAATGTTTCCTCCTGCTGCCTTAGGATACTCAATGTCAACTCCGAACACTTCCTAAAAGGGCCCTCGTATCCGTAGATTCCCATTGCTGCCACCATGTTGTGGGTTAGGCGGAACGGTACTCGCTCGGGTTGTGCGAACGTAAGCCCCTTATCAAAGAGACAGTTGAAATCGACGTGGAACACTCCGCCATTGCCTTCTTCAAGGAGTACGTTCTCACCATGCCTATCACCAAGCCCCAGGATCGTCCCCACCATGGACATGACAGCGCATGATCTTGTATATCTCAACCGAGCCGTGAACCAAGTTGAAGGGTTCGGGAATTGCGAGATGAACCAGTTCGGAAGCACCGGAGGGAACATCTTCAGTATCTTTGCCGTAAATATAGAAATATTATTTCCACCTAATGCGGCGTCTTTCATCATCGACTGGAGTTGTTGATAATTAGGAACAATCCCACGAGATCGATAGATGTTAAGGAGGATATCTCGAAGTGTTTTGAGCCCGTCGACCCATTCGATGATACCGCACTCCTCATTCAGGGGTGTCACTGCATATGTCTTTATGTAGAGTTGTCTCTTACTAGACTCAGCATCTCGCTTCAGTGATCGGTTGATCATACTGTTGAACTCCATAAGACGTTGGTCCGTCCGAAGATCATCCTTTGGTTTAATCAGGAGACCGTAATTTACCCCGTTTGACCCACGGGCTGTGAGTTTCCGAGGTTTTGCTAGAGAGCCCAATACCAAAACTTCGTCCAAAAATGCTTGGACCTGAATAACGTCTCGCGAAAACGCCTTGTGCTTTCTGACGTTATCAGTGAGAGTAGGGAGTGTAGCCGTGAGACATGCCTCGATCGGGACGACCAAGGGACACGGCGTACACTTATGGTTGAAATGTAAGTCGCGTGTGATGCTTGCAATTGTTGACCTGTTGCTCTGGAAATCTCCATTATTACAGGCCATGAGTAATTGCTCAGCCAATTTCTCTCCCATACGTAGCAAGGTCTTCATGTCATATGTGCCCTTCTCCGCCTTCTCTGCTTTTGTGCTCCTGCTTCTAAGCTTCTGCAAGAGTTGTTGGCCGCGAGCCCTTCGCTCCGGATTCCTTTGCTGGGAGGTCATGATAGCAAATAAACTCCACAGTGCTTGTCTCGGGTGAGCTTCGACAACTCTCAAAATGATATCTTCTAGTAATAGATAGACTTCAGTATTCGGATGAGCAACGCGAGCTACGATTTGAGGCAAATTCGTGTAGAAAATGTATGCGGGCAACCGTTGGATACTTTTGGAGAGGTATTTGTGTAACGAGTCGAGCTGCGTTTTACGCCGATAGTGGAGTTCTTTGGAAATCGACATTTTCCCTTCGGGTGCTTTATTGACCTGCGCGCCTAGTTCAAGCCACAATGTGAGGATTCGAGGGAGGGTCTGATAGAGGTATTTAGTCCCATAATTTAATGATCTGATGTAATTTTCGATTACGAGTTTGGCTGTTTCACCGGTCAAATATTCATCACTCTGGTCGTCGGGCTTTAGCGCTCTTTCAGACTCAAGTACTTTCTTGTAATGTCGGCCGAGATAATAATGACCCTTTTCCCAAGTGCCGTAGTTTTTAGGGACATTCCGGTAATGCTCTCGCAGTGCACTAGCATGTGTTTGACCTGCACTATCTAGCCATTTTGCTAGAAGCAACTGAGCGCGTGCGGCCAATAGGTTTTGTTGCGATTCGAGGTTCTTCTCCGAGGAATCTTGTTCAACAAAACTCCGGTGAGTAAATTTCCCAGTGTCAATAGCACCTTGGAGAGCTTGAATTGCCTTCCTATTGTGGCCTTCTTTCCACAAAAGCCTTGCGTTCTCGATCGTCGCCGAATGATCACCAAGCTGGGAAGCGTGGAGTACTGCGTTAAAAGACTGGTGCATCAAATTGCTTTTTCTCGCAAGTCGGGCACTCGATAACCAGAGCGCTGAGATATCCATGTTACCAAATCTTGGTCTAGTTGAGTTAGCCCTGGCACATACGAAATGAGATTCATTAAAATTTCTGTACCTTTTCAGCTCCATTGCCGCCCGTCGGATACTTAACACGTATTGCTTGTCGTTTACGTATGACCCAAGTACTTCGAGACGTCGATCAAGAGTCTTCAGTATTTCTTGAGGATGTTGATTCCCGTCGTTGTTGATGCCAGCAATTAATTCTAGGTCAGTCAGCACATGGCATTTCAGCATCGACTCGTGGCAGGCATGTAACGATGACGTGACTGATAAATTCATCGAAACATTAACCCTATCCCTCAGTACCCTCATTTCGTCGATGAATTCCTTAGTCCATCCTTTTCGCAGGTAAAGGAGGGTTTGGGCAATAGACACGTTGAAGTTTTCCGTGCGATCCCCCTGATACTTCGCGATGAATTTTTCCATTGTTTGCCATCTTCCGGTTGCCCAAGAGGCTTCTACGGCAAATGGCACTATCCGGTTGATTGTTGTGTTAGCTGTATGCTTCTCGATACCTTCAACATAATTCAATAGAACATCTGTCATAATGATTAGTTGTTGCCCTATAGAGGACGTGTCGGTCTAAACTTACCGTGTTGTCCCGATTCCTTAAGACAAGTTAATAAGTCAATTTGGATCTCGGCATTGTCAGGGTCTTCAGCCAGCTTGATTTCATACCAAGTCTGTGCTGCCGCCCATCGCCCGGCTTTCCGGTGGCCCAGAACCTGCTGGTTAACATCGAGTATGCGTTGATGCGCAGATATACCCTCGAGCCCATCGGGTTCATCAATTTGCGGATATATATCTTGAAGTCTTTGGAATAATCTCTCCCGCAGCAGTCTCGCCTGCTTGCGAGGATTTTCCTCTTCGGTGTATATTGCTTTCGGATCTGGCACCACACCAAACTCATCCACGTGACGGATATGCTGTTCGAGATGAAATAGAGCACGCGCGTAGGCCTTACAGTCCACGGCACGTTGGGATATTAGCTCAGAAGGGATTGAGCCAAGCACGGCTTGTATTTTATCCATAGCGAGGATATCTCGGGGATTTAGATTAGTTTGTCCCCTTTTTAAGTGTAGCCACCGCATCGCATAATCAATGAAGCGGAATATAGCCTATTGCGATCAGCCTGGGTACCCTATATCGAACGTATAATTCAATATCTTACCTCACAGTACAGTTTTTGGTTTTCCTTCTCTTCATATGTCGCATCAACAGGAACCTCATGCTTGAGCACGTTAAGTAACTCATTTAGCACATTAGTGCGTAATTCCTCTGTTGCGTCCTCGCCAACGACAATATGAAGAACTACGTATGGGAATAGGAATTCGGCTATTGAGAGATCTTTGATCCGGATCACTCGGCATAGAGGATCGAATATGAGTCCTGCAAAGGGAGTTTGGGGTTTGCGCATAAGATCGAGAGTAAAACTCCGCATCCAATTGGCGTACTTAGTCCTACCGGGTCGGAATAGCGGATATTCTATCTGTTGCGGAGCCATCGGTTGGACGACGTACCTCGAGGTTAGGAACGGTGTTAGGACCTCCCGGGCAGTCACCGACATCGACAGCCATTTTCGATATACTGGTCCGGCTTCTCTTAAACCTTCCCGCTCGACAGCAACTTTAATATCAGACCTGTCTAGAAGCTCTTGCATGGCAAACGAGAGGAAGCCCTGCGGTTTTGTATCTGTTGCAGAAAGGAACGATTTGACCAATACCTCCTCTAGCAAGTGGATGACAAAGTCCGTAGTTTCGCCGGAATGCTCAAAGTTGCTTCGCACAACAATCTGTTTCTCGGCACGAACCGTTTCTACGCGATTAGGGTCTAGACAACCCATTAAACCTAAGCACCGAGTACAGAGGTCGCTAATTTCGTTATGGATACCATTGAATCGTGATGCGCAATCGAGAAGCGAGCGAGCGAGAGTAGGTACAACCGAGTCAGGTTGTTCGCTGACGGCCGATGCTTGTAAATAACCTTGCTGTCTCTGCAAATAAGATGAAAGCTCCCTTAAAGCTAATAGGACAACCCCGTCATTTTCATGCCGGATTCTCTCTGCTAGCAGAGAAAAGGCTGTTCTGCTGTCAACGGGTTGACGAAGTTCACTGAGCCTTGCTTCAAGGTCAGACAAACTGTTGATATGGCTGAATGATGGCAGTTTGCTTATAGTCGATTCTAGAATGTGGTCGTCACTCGTTAAAAGAGACTCAATCAAATCCCTGGCTTGCTGTTGAGTTGCTTCGTCAAATGAAAACCAGTAATTACTAATGAGGAAAAATGTTGTTTCAACAAGGGCTTCGACATCTCCCATATGAAGAAACATAGCAGCCCAACATGAAAACGCGGCGGATCGGAGTTCGTCGTATTGTATTGCGCCTTGAAGGCATGCGGAAATCTAACTCGGAAATCAGCCGGTATCAGATATAGTAGCAAGATCATGACTATACCTGAGGACGAGCAATTCGGATATAATACTTGCCAGTCCGAATCATTTCCTCCATCGCGCGGATGTAGCGTTCCCGTATTTGTGTTGGGGTTTTGTTTGATATGTCGTTTATGACCTGGGTTAGCCCTGCCATAATGGCTAGAGCGTATCTCTGTAAGAAAGGACCAGAAGCATGTACTTTCTTCTGCTTCACATTCGCACTCCCTGCTAACATCATACTAGCCACCTTATTTAGCACATTTCGGATCTCCAGCGACGGTTAGCGTAGCTCATATAAGTTTATTGAAGTATTCAATGCTTACATGAGGTTTACGATCTTCCTCAGCATCACCAGCCGTAATTAGAAGTTCCAAAGTTGTCCCAATTGGCTCTATTCGAAGTAGCTCAAGAAGGCCTTCTGACTTGTTAAGATGGGGTGATACGTGCCGCAGCAACTCCATAGAATGTTGTTGGACATCAGGTACCTCCTGGATTAATAAGAGAGCCAATATCGGACCTAGATTAGCCTCATCAAGACATGGTTGCCAGATTTCTTTCTCGTTTCGCGCCTCGGCAATTTTCTGGATAACACCTCGCTTCTTCGTGAGTACTAGCCAAGGCAAGGCGGATTTCTCTATATGTACAAGAAACTCCGCTATGGTCATGTCCAATAACTCTGCCAATAATCGTGTCAGCTTTGGCTGGGACAAGAGATCCTTAGTGGCAGAAAACGCGAGATATCTCCAGAATGGCTCAAAGAATTGCCTCGTAGTCATGCCTCGGGAACGAGCGAGTCTTAATATCTATATACAGTAAGACATATGACGCAAAGTAGAAAAATAACTAGGATTCATACCTCAGCGAAAGCTGCTGCAGACGTGATCATACTCTCAGAGCCCAGGTATTCAACCAGCTTGATAAGTACGAGGTTCAGTTGTCCTTCGGGTATGACACTAATATGTTCGCTCAGTATTTATGTACCTAGGGAATGGTTTGTCGGTACCTACCTTCCTACTTGAGACCAAGCCATGATACAGGTCTCTGTGAGTTGAGGCGTGCTCTGCTCGGAAAGTGATCGGAGAATGTTAAGAATATTCCCACAGTTTTTTTGCATAACCTTCGAAAATTGAGGTCGATTGGATGCGCAGAGAAATGCAGCGATAGTCCGTCTATAGCCGTTAGATATATCTTAAAATAGGATCCTGGAGTCAACTCACCCAGCCGCAATGCGAAGCTCTCTAACAGAACTTTGAAGGGACTTTAAGCACCATTGGGCAATTACAGAAACCTCTATGTCTAGGAGTGAAGGATCCCTGCAGTGCTTTGCGATGCGTCTCACAGCTACCATCGCAGTTACACGTGGCTTTTGTGCTTCGAGGAATCCAGGGGACTTGACTAGTGAAGTAAAGATTTTCACAACAGATTTCTTTATTCCATCATCGAAGGCTCTCGGTGGTTCAAGCGAAGAATGAGGAACCCGGCAAATCCGACAATCGAACCCGTACACTTTATCCTTTCCTTCGTGGATTGATATTGTGTTATCGTCCGCAGCACAATAGGTATAACCTAAGAGCTCGATGAGCCGGCAAAGATCGGCTTCGGACAGTTGTTGGTATTTCTCCCTGCTTCAGTAAGCAACTCGTATGCAATTGACGGCAACTGGTCAACATACTCCATAAATTTTACCACGCTCACGAATACAAAATCCGGATTTTCTATTGGAAACCGCTCATATATATGATCTAGTATGATCTCGATCGGGTACACTTTCGAAACCCTCCTGCGCTTTCGTTCTCGATCATACCGTTCCATTATGTCAGAAGGTGTGGGGTCTATGTCTAACTTATTAACTTGTTGGCGAACGATTTCGTCAGAAAATTTGTCGGCCCGCATCCTAACTTTCGGTTCTACGGACATAGACTCAGCGACTACTTTCCGAACCAACTCCACGGATCTCTGAGCTAAGATTAGTAGCCGCCTCTTGAACTTGATCATAATACGTACCCATAGGTCAGTTTCAGAGGTAGCATCATCTTCGACCCATGTCAGTTTCTCTAATACCGGAATTAGCAGTGACTTGACAAGCCGCAATATTGGCTCAAATTCCATGCTAAGTGTGGACACCTTAACAAGCGAAATGCAAAATAATTGATAGTTTGGGTTTTCTTGGCCGTCAACCATAAGTTCCGGTACAAATTGAGTCGACATTTCCACACAAAGTAGAATGAAGGTGGTATACATTTTTCGTTGGATGGATATGTCGGCGCCATCAGTGGTCTCATGCACCTTAATAAGTTGCACGAGGTCCCGTAACAAATCAGGGAGCACGCTAGGGGATATGTGTTGCCACCGTGTCTGAGTCTTGTGAAAAGAAAGGTAGGCATCAAGTAGCCATGGTATATTCTCCTGGAAAGTGGATATGGTGTCAAATTCGGGACGTTGGTGTGTTAGAGGAATTGCCATGATCGACAAGAGTCCAGAGGCATGTTGCAAAGCCTGTGACGCCGACGGTACAGCATGAGTACACTGTTGCTGAAATAGCTTCAAGTCACCACAAGCTATCGATGTGAAAAACGAATCCGGAGGTAGTTGTAGGCGAAAAGAGACGTCCCTTTTATCAGAGGCCGCCAATTCTCTGAAGTGATTGATAATGGCTGAGCAACACGTCAGCCGACTCTTCCCATTGGCGAACCCAAGTCAAAACCATGCTTACCATTAAAGCTTGACATGATATATTCGAGAAACCGCGGTAGGGCGAGCCACAAAAGGCCCGTAGTTGACGCTGTCAGGAAAATTTCGCGAAAGAATGAGTTTATCTCGTCCCTTAAATCAGCGCAATAACTATTCCCAAGCATTTTCACGATCTTAGGGAAAATCCATAACCAGAGAGGCTCGCTCCCACGAAATAGGAAGGAAGATGAGTCGGATTCAATGAGGACTTCAGGGGTCTCTCTAATGGCGATCTTCAGAAAGTTCACAGCCCTTGATGCCTCGGCCCGTAACTGGCCCTTATCAGCAAAAGGATCATCCCACTTAAGGCCTTCTAAAACGACTCGAGTATAGACATAAATCAGCATGTGATTATGGTCCATTCGCTGCTTTGGCGTTTTTAGCAGATCTGGCTGGTTTTTTACTTCTTCGATAGTGCCGAAGAATCTCTTCAATTCTGCCGTCTCGTCGGGTCGAGAAGAGCGCGTCGAAGCTGATATGTTTTCCACCAACTGGGCGGCTAAAGTTGACGGTGGCGGTCCATAGTTATTATTATTGTTCAGCGATACATTTGCCAAACCTTCGCGACCCATCGGCCCAGCTCTTCCGTTTGAGGTAAGAGCCATGGCGTCATGCTCGCCATCTAAGATGGAAATGATTTCCAGATGAAGGAGAACAGCGAGAGTTCTTGTCCTAGAAGTGAAAGTTGAAGGCGCGTTTCACGCGAATTGATTTATCGCGGAAGCACGTGATTCAATTTGAACAATGCATTGAACCTTATCGTCCGGAGTATTTGAAAGTCCGGCTGTATGAAAGTGGGGTTTTCAAGCGAAGATGCAGCGCTAAGATAGAGTACCTAGGTACATAGCCACTGTAGTTTTCAATGCTACAGCGCATTTTATTCGCTATTTGATGTCATACGATTCACTATCTACATCAAACACACGACCTACAATAAGCTCGATAATTAGAACATCCTTCACCCCCCTCGCCCTGCCACCAAGTGTTCGTAATTTATAAAACCACACCAACTCAATCTATACGACCCAACCCATCCCTTTTTTCGAGATGACAGTATTCCAGGCCAAAAAGTATCGAAGTGCCGCAGATGCCAATACATTCGCAGTACGATACCGCGCATTGATGGCGAAGCATCCCTTCTTACTGTTCGGCTTGCCATTTATGTCCATCATCGTGGCAGGTTCCTTCGTCCTTACTCCAGCTACCGCCGTAAGGTATGAAAAGCATGACCGACGAGTCAGGCAAATGACTCGAGAGGAAGAACTGGGTGTTACCAAAGGAGGGCGCAGAGTTAATATCAAGGACGAATATTATGTTGGTTGCTCTTCCAATAAACCTAGACACTCGTGCTATATGAAATTTGAAGGGCTTTTCCTAACATGGCTACACAGAGGCTGGCTGCGAAAGACCTCGACAACTGGGAGCAAAAGCGTGTCAAGAGACTTCCCGGAGAACACGACGGCGTATTATAGATGAACTTGACCAGCGGCCGAGACCACGTTGCCCCAATCGGGTTCCAGCAAGATTGTGCCGTATATGGGAATACCTTCATACATACAACGACTACAGTGCGAATGATCAAGGAACAAGGCAGTTTAAAACGAAACTCGAATTCAAATGCCTCATCAACCGTGGTAGCGAAATACAACAAGATATACCTATAGAAGAAGCGTCTGGCCACATAGCCTCGGTCGTTTGAAGGCTTAGGTTGTTGGTTTCAGTTCCATCGCGGTATTCTAATACTGTACCCGATACCATGATTCGGTCGAAGGAGCTAATATTCTAAAGAGGGGGTTTAATCTAATACTCGGTGCTTAGATTGATACGTCTTCAAACAAGCTCAACAGGACCCCCTGGCTACTAGCTAAGCACATATTAAGGTTCGGCAACTTTGCTCCTCCTTGCTGTCCTCCACAACGGCCAAGGGGAGGGGTAAACTTGGACTGCTGACGTGTTGGTGTGGTACGGAGTCAGAATCATACGCAATACAATTAACAATCTCACCAAATTCACTTGCAGGCTACATATGAAATCAAGATAACACTGCTCCGACACTGCTCCACAATGCGGTAGGCCTAGACTCTGAACATCAACGGCGCACCAATCAGGTTGATTATCCCTGAGAGCTTCTCGACGACAGGGAGGTCGGTAAGATTGACTCTGACTTTGGCTAGAAAGTCGGGCCCGATTTAAACCCCAGACGACGAGAGACGGGGCGCCATAAGCGTCTTAAATCATGAAGATAATCAGTTCGTTGATACCTCCTATTCGACAACGTTTCTCTCCACCTAAATAAGCATATATTCCCACTATTCTTAGTTCACAAGTTTTATCGCAAGGAAAGCTTTATAAATATTCACCACTTACGACGCTGGCTTTGCGAGCGGGCCTGACTCGTTCCCTGACGGCTAGAAATAGGTTCATATAACATAGAATTCAGGGCTACCAGTTCAAAGTCAACAACCAATTATATCCTTCAGAGCATTAGCTCCACACATTTATAGTCCGAACTAAGTGGACGAGCGAACTCTCCGTTGGGACCGGACGTTAGGCCATCTAGAACCTGCGAACCTGTACCTTGGAACGCCAAAGATTCTCCACCTCGATAGAAAACCCTAATCTAGGTGATCGATCTAATTTATTATTCAGAAGAGAAAAAGGAGGGGGGAAGGAGGGAACCATAGCAAGTTACGAATAAAAGCCCTGACTAGCGACGAACTAAGAATCATAATACTCGACATTGAGCAGCAACGAACTATTGAGATGAAAGAAAACATCTTAAAGGTAATCATCGACAGTCGGGTGACATCAGCGTAAATATATTCGTATTCAGCCGCACGCATAAAGCTCCCCCTTGGAAGCATCGTCCAGCAAGTAACAGGCTTGACGTAACAATTGTCCTGCATTTCTAGATATGAATCAGCTAAGAGCCTTACTATCAAGATCATTATACATTTTCATTTTCATTTCCCCACCCTCCTATATTGAGCTTGGCGGGAAACATCTAGCGAGCATGTAGCGAAAAAGGTTAATTAATTCCCAATCGCCAATGAAGATGGAGATTTTAGCTTATTTAGCTGAAGTCCGAAATAACACTAAGGATAGTTCGGATGAGATGGGAAAAGTTGTTTGCTAAGGCCGAACAAGAGTTGCGAGATGCGAGTTGTGATTGAGTTGGGTATTAAGCCGGACTTGGGTTACTCCCCCACACGGACCAACCAGCGTAGCAATTTGATGATCCGCCTATCGAGGATCTACAAGATCATCCAAACTGATGGGATCATAGGTATGACATGGGGGGTAGGTTAAAAAGGTAAATAGCCTTGCGAAAACCCTCGTCACTTTTGACTGACAATACGAATTATAGTAACGGTAAACGGAGAATAAATTCAATTATATACCTTCGTCTCGAGGGACAAAGAATACAATAACTTGTACAAATAACCTGTTTGAAACATTTCGAAAGTCTATAACACGAGAGGGAAAGAAGGAATTATTTCGTGTTCATACAGCATTCCATTCTAAGCTGGGCAATGCTCACAAATGTACATCCCATACATCACTTATTACGTGCATTACGTGCATAAGGTCTCCCTCGTCCACCCTTACCCCCCCCCCTTCCCACCACACAATATGCACAATATGCCAAGGTTCAGCCGGACTTCTGAGACACGCGACCCGATGATTGGCGGGGCCTATGACGGGATGCAATAGAGTTGCGGCCACATGCCGCTATTGATCAATGACGCATTCGGTCCACACACACCATCACAAGCTTAGATTAGCGCACTAGCGTAATAGTGTAGTAGTTCTTGGTAGCTTGGTTTCGAGGTACCTAGTCAAGGCAAGTAGGTACTTTTTTTCTACACTATAATCATTCTATAGTCAGATTTCCCTGCTGACCCGGGGGTCATCGTCCGCTTTGCTTCTTGCAAGCTGCAAGAAAAAAAGAAAGAAAAAATCAAGCTACTCGAACTAGCTGCAAGGCACCCGAGTCTCCTCTTTTCTCTTCACCAACCGATCTACAGGGACGATCTAGATGGATCGTTAAAGTCGGTATTAAAAGACATATTCCTTCCTCCTCCCCTCTCACCCCCCAAGTCCCCGGGACTGAAGAAGAAGTGAAGAAGCTCTACCTTCCATAACCAGCTCCTCTCCTCGGCACATTCCAACTACCAGCTTTAGTAGCTGGTTCTCTACCTTGCACGACCTTACTTAAGCGAAGCCTTCGCTGCTTCTCAATGATCCTCTACTACGATACACAGTAGCATCTATTTCCTCTTTTCCTTCTTACATTCATTAACATCTTCCTCGACCAAGAGGATCATACATTTACCTACCTATCTATATCTCTACTACATTTACACGTCACACTACCGCAACCATGCGAGGCCTAACCCGATCAACACTCTTTCACAAGAAATCCAAGAGCAGTCTACGAGGCGGAAATTACAGCTTCGAGGACCACGCTTCTGCCCATGCTCGGAAATGGAGCACTTCCAGCACTGCCTCTCACGCATCATCTACCGCAAGCGGTCACGATAGGATGTACGACCCGTTATCCCTACATCCACCACTAAGCCTCAACACGTCACCTCACATTATTCCTGAGTACGATGAGGTACGATATCAAGAAGACGAAGAACGCGAGCACCGTTTCTTCAACCAAACTCGACATGTCGAGGATCACATCCAGGACTCGGCCGCATATTCGCCTGTCAAGGGCCAAAATTGCTACTTCCAACGGCCGGCGGGTGGACGCCCGTACATTTACGACCAGACTGTCCAATGGCCCCTCAAGGACTGGCAAGCTATCCCTCCGGGGCTAGCCGAGCTGGACTCTTCAGCCTCATCAGCTTCATCGTCGTCTGCAGGCTCACCGACCAGGCCTACCAATCACCGTCGGCGACCCACTGAGTGGATGAATGACAGGGACGCCCTGCTAAAGAGGGGTGACTGGAAGCGTCGGGGTATCGTATTCCACCTCGACTCCGAGGAGGAACAGGAGCAGGAGCAGCACTTTGAACTGCCGCTTTCTGAATGAATGAAGGATTCATAATTGTACTACCACAATGCTTACCTTCGAATCTTGTCTTACTACATATTATATCTTCTATTACTACCAGCACTAAGAGTTTGACAGCTGTGCTTGATGACGACGGGAAGAGATTGGGAATGAAGGGAAAGATTATTACGAAACCGGGGGACAGAACGGCGAATTTGATGAAAAATGCACAACGCATATGCACGGAAGATTGATGGATCATCTTGGGTACTTTGTGCCTTACTTTCTTGTATATCACACTACACATATTAGGGCTGCATATATTCGGGGTGCTAGGGACTAAGATACCACTTGATATTGATAATTTCCTTATACTACATCCACTACTTTACTATTACCTACGTATCTATCTAGATAGCTTGACCTAATTCGACCAAAAAATTCTTTTTTACACATTTACCATGCCTCGGCATCCCGATTCAATTGTTTCTCAACCGTTCGTATTCTGATTCGTAACGTAATTACTAACGTAACCAAAAACACAGCTGAACCGTTCGCCGCTTACTGACCTTCCGTTCTCGTTTTTATGACACCTTGGAGCCAGCCATAGTGACAGTTAAACCGACTTCCTGGGCCCGTAACGGAGAATCTATCGTGCGCAACAGAGTGTCGGCTGACGTTTGCGTCACGCGGGCGTTGCGTTGTCTCACTTTCCCACCATGTCTCAGACCGAAAGTTCCTAAAATGTAAAGTTAAGTGCGTACATAACCAGCCGTGGCAGGTAGAACTGTCTTCAGCCCAAGACAATTCGGGCGAAACTCGCAGAGTTTTTTTTGTGTGTGCTCGGCCCCTGCGTTGAGGTTACGGCTCCGAGGTGATTCATAGGTAGGTACGCAGGTACGAACACATGACTGGTGATCGATGTCGTGTTCACCCTCGTCTTGACTGAGACCAGAACTGAGACATATGATTTGGGGAGTCTGGGCTTCAATGTGTTCTCTCGCGTGTGACGGAGACTAGCGGTGCCTGGTGTGGTAGTTAGTCAGTCAGGCACAGGTACGGAATAGAGAGTAAGTACAAAGAAGTTTCAGCATCTCCGAGGCATGAACGGAAGCAATGGAAGCTAGCTAAGGAGGTAGGGGTAGCTTGAGTTGGGAGCACACTTAGGTAAGGTAGGGTAGAGCTCTAGAGATATGCCCGCTTAATCGCGATTCGAGCTTCGAGTCAGAGAAACGCCACCGTTATCATAAGCGACGCCGTTTTCTTCATATGTAACGTGCATTATCAGATTCTATATCTCTTCGGTCGTGTCCTTGTCTTCACTTAGGCAATATTGATTGATCGAGATTGCGGACGTAAGGGGCCGAAGAAACGTGAGAAGAGGGGATTAATTGATCCGCCTCGTCCCTTAAAGTTGTTCTAGAATTGTCGTGGCAGACGTCGTCGTGGGGGTTCGAAGGTTCGATTTGTTCACCTGATCTCTGATCGCGGGATCGTCTTGGCTCCCACCATCTATTCCGCATTCGTTAAATAGGTTTCATACCGTAGGGTCCAATATTTTAATGACTGACTTCTTTACCATCGGGACCGACTTGACCCACGATATGAGACCCTTGGTTTCTACGAATTCTTATCTCAACTTAGTCAGGGGCCGCCCGACATTGTCTTTCATTCTGCTCCGATGTGGAAATCCACAAGCACATGTCCGGCTCGGCTCGAACTCATTGACACTATTTCACCTGTCGATCAGGACCAAAACGCACCAATTGATCACTTATACTGGAACAGAAATCGAGATGACCATATAAGTTTGAAGGGAGTAAAGATTGACGTAACGAATAAAACAAATGATTTTGAGCAAAAAAATCGCTCAATCACCTCCGAATTGGGCCAATTCATCATAACGAACAGACACGTATTCCCTCCTGAAAAGAATCGAATGAATAGCACTTCTATTCTAACGACGAACACCCATCACCACCAGATCAACGCCAATTAACTAAATCCATACCAACTAATGTGTCTAGGTTAGGAGTAGATATTCGTAAGATCATTATCGTACATTCTGAAGTCCGAATTGATATCTCGGATCTATGCTATTCAGGATACTCATTCCCAAACGGATCTACCGTAACATAGTCCTCCCCATCATCAACTGTCCACTCAGGCATAATACTGTAAGCTAGCTTTGACACATCAGCGCTTAGCTTCCTACCTTGAATCATCTCCGCCATAACCTTTCCGGTTCCTAAACTCATACTAATTCCCCACGGCCCATGCCCAGCCGCGAGATACACACCGCCCGCAGGGGCTGGTCTTACATCGTAATAAAGACCAAGGCATATATCCGGTATGCGGCTCAAGAATGGCGTGCCTTTCTCCGTTACAGGCCGAAAGCATAGTCCCTCTCTCACCACTTCTACATCGTCCTCCCCGACAACTTCTTTGACGGTATCTCTTAATCTGTCAATAGCGTCCTTGCGTATCTTCCCCTTAGCGTCCGTAGGTAAGTCCGGCAGCGGTTCAGTCGCTGAATTTAGACCCGCAATGTATATCTGCCCACCCACACGGGAAAATATCTCTGGTGAGTATCCCGGTTCACTCGTCATGAACACAGCATGGCATCCATCTTTCTCATGTTCCTGTGTCCAGCGCGGTGATTTAACAACCAAAGAATGTCCGGCGAGGCTCGAAACAGGGATCTCGAATTCAGCGGACGGGAACAGAGTTTTGAAGACCTGCGACGACCATGCCCCTGCTGCGATGACAATATTGGTACACGGGATGTCGGTCTCGGTACTAGATGTCGTACTTGCAATACAAATACTCGAAATCTCGTCGCGCATGTCGGTTTGGACGGATAGGGCTTTCGCGGGGTGGTGCAGGTGGACGCCGGCCTCGATGCATTTCTGGAGGAGGAATTGGGATAATTGGAGCGGATCTCTTGATTTTTATTGTTAGATATATTTATATGATATCGAAAACATTAGTTATTACATACAAGAAGACGTCTAACTCACACTTGCGCGACAGTATCATCATCACTAATAATCTCCACAGCATCACCCTTCTTCCGTCTCAACCAAGCCGGCGCAATACCAACTGACGACTCACCACTCGCAGCCTCAGCACGACTAGCGCCTTCACGACACCAGACGTCTACTCGCTTCCCAGACTTAGCAGCCTGCGACAGGCTAATCGACGTGCTACGCGAGTATCCCCATTTCCTCGCACCGTCTTCTTGCTCGGCAAATTTGCGATGTTCTTCGAAGCTTAAAGCGCCGAGCTCCGCGACAGCAGGGGAAAACCAGTCTTTCGCTAAGAAACCCCCTGCATAGCCAGAGGCCGAAGCGAAGAGCTCTGGTGAAGGTTCAACTAGGTGGATGCTTGATCCTGGCTGGTGTTTAGAAAGGTAGTAAGCTGTTGAGGTGCCAATGATGCCGGCACCGAGAATTACGGTTGTAGCCATGTCGTGGGCATCTCTATCCTAAAAATTATCGTCGACATTCCCTAAGCAGGCAAACACGGCGTATATATACGAGTTAAGAAGCTATCTTTATTAGTGATGTCAGCCCCTCTTGACCCCCACCTCGCCGTAAAGCTCCGATAAGATGAAGAAATTACCTAAGTACCTGCTACATTTACCTCATTGTGCGACTTCATACTTCCACACAATCACATCTGTTTAACCTTAACTCTGATACTTACGGTCATCCTGCTCATTGTTTGAGAAACACCCTTGCGCGGCATAGCTACAAGCGCAATAACAACTTATTTTGAGCTATTGTGTCCGGTTGTTGGATCTATTGCTATGGCATCCAAGGTATTCATAGTGACCGGTGCTAGCCGAGGCCTAGGACTGGCTGTAGCAGAAAAGTTGCTTCAAACCTCACATAAAGTGTTCCTTGTAGCAAGAACGGAAAAAGATTTGCAGGCGGTCAAGACAAAACACCCATCATCGGTTGACTTCCTAACCGCAGATCTATCAGACGTAAAGGTGTGTAGGAACTACATGAAAGAGCTGCACCGCAGGCTGTGAATGACCGAAACAGAACACGTTAACTTACATCACGACTAGGTTACACCGAGCATCATTAGCTCAACTTTGAAGTCATTTGGCAGGATTGACGGTATCGTTGTAAACCACGGTGTCCTAACACCAATCACAAAGATATTTGAATCCAGTGTTGAGGAATGGAAACATGCCTACGATATCAATTTCTTTAGTGCCTTGGCACTGGTGAGCCTGCTTGAGCAGTGAATCACCGCTGATTTGTCATACTGACTCAATCGCAGATCAAAGAAGCTATTCCTGAACTTCGAAAATCCCAGGGCCGCGTCGTCTTTATCTCTTCTGGCGCAGCATTTGGCGCTTACGCAGGATGGGGATCTTATGGCACTTCTAAAGCCGCACTCACTCACCTATGTACCCACTTGGCCGTTGAAGAACCATCCATTACTACAGTCGCAATCTCGCCCGGTAAGATGGATACGGAGATGCAGAGGGAAATAAGAGACAATGGTAAAGCTGGAATGGCGCCGGAGGTTCACGCCAGCTTTGTGGAAGAGCACACGAGTGGTCGACTGGTAAACCCTAAAGATTCTGGCAATGTTATAGCCAAGCTAGTCATTGGAGCTACCAGTGATCTAAACGGGAAACACTTCCGGTATGAAAAAAACGAATGCCCCGAATATGAATTGAGCATGCTAACAAATACAAAGCTGGAACACGGCCGAGCTAGCCAATTTTCAAGGACAATAGGGAGAGATAAATCGCAAGTTACTAGTATCGCCCACCAAGTCAGTGGAAGTAGACAATTTAGACGATAGACGGGGCAGAAGGGATGTTGCTTCAGGCGAAAGATGAAAAGACTAAGTGATTTTCAACATAGAAATTCAGTTCGAATGGATGTCATCATAAGCAATTATTGCTAGGGCAACGTATTTACCATACCTTACGAAAAAACCGCTTCTAGAGTCTAAGATCGAAGCTCACAAATATCAGGCTTGCAGTAGGGAAAAAAACCAAAGCTATACCATATGTATTAGCCTTCCAATCCTTGTGTAATAGAGGCAATATTGTGTGGGTAATGGTAATCGGTCAGGGAGTTTTAGGGTCCATCACGTAAAATCGGTATTTGATAGTACTAAAAATTTTCGGCATCATGTTCGAAGGTAATGTAGGGGACGATGGGCGCGAGTATGTATACCTTTATCGCAAAAACAACCTATGTTTCCATTATCAGCAAATGAAAGAAGTGTCGCATCAAATGTAAAAATAGGTAACAAATTAACTCAGAAATGTCGTTTGGCTTGACGTGTCGATCACCATGTTGCCATTTGGCTATAGTAAGACTGGGGCGACAACATGTTCATCATAGTGAAAGCAATGTGGTTGCTGGACGGAATAGAAAAAACAAATATACCTTGAGAGGTTGTAGAAAACTTGACATATTGTTGTTGCGAGCTATAGATTTGCCGGCAGGGGACGCCAGTAACCACTAATGGAAGACCGAATCTTTCATAATTCAGTACTGTAAGTAGAGATACGGATACTCTGTCATTAAAAATCCGGGAGAGTGCAAGAGAAAAAGAGGTCGCTGTTGTAATGTTGAATGAATAAACCGATGTAGAATGAAAAGTTGCTTGGAAAAAAAGGATTTAAAGATTTGCTAGGAGAAAAAAAAAAATAGAACTAATCTTATCGAGCCGTATGATTACATAACAATGCACTGACCATTATATGTACCTATGTATATAGCTACTGCAGTGTGTTACTAGCCACAATTCCCCCACTAACATGCCGGCGACTTAAGGCTACAGTGTGCTACTACACTGAATATAAAACAACGCCGATCCCAGTCTCTCTCTCACCTTCAAAGAAAACGGCTGCCTCGTCGACTTGTTTTCATTTTATCCCCTTCGTCACGATTTTTAACGCTCGCCGATACGACCTACTCATCGCCGCGATTATTTTGAATAAACTTGCAAAAAGAAACCCAGTTACAAGAACTTTGATCCGATTATTACTTTAACGCCGATTTAATTGTTCAATATGTCGGACCACGAATATGGTGGTAAGTCATGATCATATCTCCTTCAATTTTACACCCCTCAACTTTGCCCAAATCTACCCAAACACGCATACAAAGGAGGAAAATGAAAGATCATATCGTTCCCTATGAGTAGCCGTCATGTCAGTTACGATGGATGAAGCAAAGGCATTCCGTGTGTCACAGCCTTGAACGCGCAATTATTCGAATTTCCATCCCATTACTTGGTACACCAAACACACGAATATGACCATAGCAATGGCCAGAGTCAGTCGCACAATGACTCCTTTCATCGTTATGAAGGGACGTGTTCAGGGAATGGCCCGAGAGTCAAAGTTATTGTCATCATCGCACTCTATATGATCGCTTTTCTTTCGTAGAAGATGGAGCATATTCGCTCGCTAGCACTTTTTCGCATCGCACAAGCACATCTATTATCATATGAAACCATTTCCAGATTCACAACATGGCGCGACTCGACAAGCACGAGAGACATTTACGCTTTGGTCACACTGGCTACAGTACTAACATATCTTTTTTTCTTTTCCTTTAGCGTAGAGATTTAAGGATTGCTAACTTATCGCTGTTTAGGTAGTGACGATCTTTCGCTCCCAAAGGGTATGTGATTAACTCAATTTCTATGTATAGAGACATATTAACGAGATATAGCAACTGTCCAGAAGATCGTTAGCGAGATCTTACCTGCTTCGAGCGGTGTTTCTTTCTCAAAGGAAGCTCGAGACCTGCTCATTGAATGCTGTGTCGAGTTTATTACCCTTGTCTCATCTGAAGCAAACGAGATCTCCGAGAAGGATGCGAAGAAGACTATTGCCTGCGACCACATCACCAAGGCTTTGACCACGTTGGGATTTGGCGACTACGTCCCTGCTGTTCTTGATGCCGCAGCTCAACATAAGGAGACTCAAAAGGTTAGTCGAGCTCTTTGATATCTCGTGATGAAGATTCTAACGAGAATAGGTCCGTGAGAAGCGTGGTAACAAGTTCGAGGAAAGCGGCATGACGCTCGAGGAGTTGGAGGAACTTCAAAAGCAGCAATTCGAGGCAGCCCGTGTGCGACACGCTTAGGTTTTGCTTCCTTATGAAGGTTACTGTTTACACCTTGCGTTATGAGATACGGAGTTCTAGGGGCTGGGCTGTTACCTGCTTGGGTGTGATGTGCCGCCACATCCGATGGCGATACTACGACAGGGTTAATGCATTTGGAGGCGTTGGGTGTTGAAATATGGAATATTTGCTGGCTTCAGTAATGCACGTTTGCACCCCCATAGGAAAATTAATGAGAACCTCTATTTCTAAATTCCCCAACTCCTACTGACTATTCTTAACTTGCGATATCTAGGCTCGCTCGATATTTTATACCTCATTACTGGTAGCTTAGTATACGCCTGTATTATAGATCCACGTATGGAGGAGGCCCCTAAAACATTGCTGAGTTTCTCAACCCCTGCCACGCTAATAGGCGATGCTACCACGTAGCTGTCTATAGAGGGTCTAAGCCACCTAAACTGCCCAATCCTTCCTAAGCAGAAAGGCATACAGGACAATTGCTGCGCCCAGATTCGAGCGTCGAGCTGCCTCCATGTCGTGTATCACTATTGGCTAGCATTTGGTGCCCATGTACGCCATAAATTATTCATCAACATTTGGCCCCCTACGAATTGTCTTTCTCTTTTTCATCTTGACTTATGTTTAGAGGCACCCAAAATGGAGGTCATTTCGGCGGTCGCCAGCTTCATCGCGATTGGCCAAGTGCTTGCCGCTACTCCCAAAGCCATCGATGTAGTGAGGTCTGTGGTCGAGGTTAAGCAGGAAATGCTTCAGCGGCTAAATGAGGTTGGTTTCGGTTTTAATGTTATTGAAATGGACCAACCAACTAACTGAGTCTTCCAGGTGGAATTATTAGGTGCTATGGGAGCAGTTGTTAGAGAGATAATTCAACATTTATCGAATGACAATGATCTAACAGCCGGATTCTCAATACACTTACTCAATGTGCTGCGAAGCACTGAGGCTGACCTGGCGTCGGTTACGTCGCAGCTGAAAACGCTCATACTTGGCTGCCAGGCAGGAAGAAAACCGAATGGCGAGATCAAAGTAGACAGATTGAAATGGTTCCGATATAGAACGAGAATCGCTTCTCTTAGCGAAAGAGCGAGGAGATACCTTGAGGCTCTACACCAAGTTATCAGCTGCACATCATTCTTCGCCATAGCGTATGATAAAGCATCCACCGCTACGAATTTTTGGTAATATTCTTACTAACTTTATAATAAAGGTCTAATAGAATGATACTCGCGGGTATTCACAGGAATCAGACACATTTAGCTGTTCCCCCTCCGCTCCAAATAAAGTCTATCGACCAGAATCATGTTATGGATGAAGCTGTATCTCATCTTTCTGAGGTTGATAGCGAAGGAACGACACAGGGCGATGCTATAATTGAAATCGACTCTGATACCGAATCAATACCCGACGATACCTACAAACCGAGCACATCGGTTGTAGTGGGACATTCATCAGTTGTGTCTCGCAATGGAGGGGTTATGGAGAGCCAGGAATCTTTACTACAAATTACAGCTGCGATGCGAGGAGTTTGCGCTCGGAATTGTCCGTGTCGATGTCACTTATCTTCCAACAGAAGTCGAGCGGATCCTGCTACATCGTCTGTATACGGTTGGTTGAAGCAAGCTTATAACAGCATTTCGCAGTTCAACGCGCCGAGTTGCAACGTATTCACATGCCGCCGAACGAATGACCCAGTTTATTTCAACCTTCGGTTTCCGCTTCTATTCTGCTCTCGGTCGATTGAGGCGACTATTTCTTTCAGCAATGTGGTGGGCGCCGGCGCTTCACTTCATTTGCGCGTCGCGCGCGCTCTGTCGGTAAAAAGCTATATCTGGGCAGAAATAGAAGAGGGAAGGATTGAAAGGGTGCAACAGGCGATAGCTCGAAGAACGATCTCTCCTTTCGATGCTGATGAAGACTGCAGTGTCATAGAGGTAAGGTTGCCTACATTCTAACAGGACTTAAGACTCATAGTGACATGATATTCTAGCACGCCCTAGACAAACACCAAGTCGATATCGTTATGATGCTCATAAGAGAGTCAATGGCAATTCTTCGAAACACCGATCTTGCAAAGTATGTAACGAAATAGTCCAACAGCTATGATCAAGGCAATCATTCTTACCCTTTTTAGATACTTGGCGACATGCGCCAGAGTTGCCTTAGAAGATCATTATCCCGTTGAACACGAGGTAGCTATGTTACGGAACGTAATTGAACTCGACGAAGACAGCGAGGATTATTGGCCGATCCACCAGGCAGTACGAGCTGGAGGTGCCGATCTCGCTGAAGTTCTAGAGGAGCATAGCTCTGAAGACATCAACGCACTTGACAACTTCGGCCGAACACCATTGCACTGGGCCGCAGGATACGCATACGATAACTGCGTACGACTTTTACTTCGTCATGGCGCAAATCCAAATATTCTTGACCTAACTTCCAAGAGGACGCCGTTGATGGACGCCGCAATAAATGGGTCTGTTGGTTCTGTCAAGGCTCTGATTGCCGGAGGATGTGATGTCAACATCGCCCGAGCGGATGGCGAGGCTGCTCTTAACTATGCGATAATGTCGTACGTTCAGGGCTCGGCGGAAATTACGAGAATTCTTCTGGAAAATGGAGCTCGACTTACCAGTCCGGATATGGGAAATTTAGTTCACATACTCGCGCGCACTCTGACGGCAGCGGAGGTACATGAAAAGTTCGACTTGATCGTCGGTGCTGGGGCGGGGCTCGAAGAGAAGGACCCTGTTTACAAGTCTACGCCGTTGACGCGCGCACTGGCATTCAACAACATGGTTATGCTCCGACTACTATACGATGCTGGTTGCAAGTTCGAAGAAGCTCCGAATACACATAACGACTTATTCTGGCTAGCAAGCTTTAGTGAGGCTGAAGCCATAGAATTCTTCAATGAATCCGGGTTTACAATAGACGTACGTGTACGTGATAACGGAGGAGATACAGCATTGGACGTAATGGAATGGAGGTTACATACAAATCCTTTATGGTTACCCGGTTCGTTTCGACCGCCAAGTTATAACGACTACCACGCTTTTAAAAAATTACTCTGCGATATAAGAGATCGCTATCTGACCGCCGAGATCGAGAACTTGGAAATAGTTGTCGGCCACTTAAAGTCAGGTAACAGCACTCTAGCGCGAGAAGCCCTTAAACCCGTCATCCAAGAAAAGATCCACTGGGATATCCCAGCCGAGCGTAGAACGTTTCGGGCTATCGATGTTCAAATTAAAGAAGAGATGATTGAGGCTGCTATCGAGTCAATTGAGGAATTCATCGAAGTATCAGAGTCGCGGATAAGAACTGACCCTTTCGTCGGTAATTACTTCCGCAGCTGTGGTCTTCAGGACGATGGTGTGGTTGTTGAAGATATTTGCTATAGGCCGAGGGACTGTGAGGAGGGAGAATGATAGACCAGGCAAGAAGTCCTAGTTTGAGGGCGTATTGACGTTTCCGATACGGAAGCAACATTTATATAGTTACGACTTCAGGAATAATGGAGATATTGAAGAAATAGAGGGAACTAGGGAGGTTCAGCGCACATAACTACTCGCAGCATATCTTGAACGGTCGTCTTGGAAAGGAAGTTAGAACGATCTGGAAATAGACCATGGGATATACTCACACATACCAATGCTTCAAATATATTTGAAACAGCCGGATGCGCGAGAGTGATAGAGCACTACATACCTGGCTCTATACGTGCGTACCTAGGTACATATGTAGATACACGGCACACAATGTCAGTTAAATGCTATAGTCATAACTCGTGATCAATTTCCATACCGCTAACTCACAGCAGTCTAGATACAACACTTGACAGGAATAGTAACATTAAAATGGTGCCATTCATTCATCATCTCCCCGAAAAAGAAACACAATAAAATTACCCCCTCTGCTCACTCACGACATGGCTTAACATGATTTGATCATTGCATTGTCTTCGTAACCCCGTGGCGTCATTCATGATATGAAAAAATAATAAATAAAAAAGAAATAAATCTGATATATTCCATCCTCCTTAAAATAACCACTTCGAGAATAGCTTCGGTGTGTTGTCAGATACATAGATCGACCAAGTAGGTGGTGGTCGAGGGGGTCTCGGTTATCTGCTTCGCTTTGTCTCCGTTTGTTTGAGTTGAGTGGCGTATAGTGGCATCATCCCCACAAGCGGACTCTTCATAGTTCATCGCTGCTACTCACCGCCACCATAGCTCAAAGGTCTCCCGCATCTTCTGTGGTCAAGTTTAACGGTATCCGCGGTAAGTTGGGCGGTCGTAGACAACCTCGCGCTCAACAACACGTTCATCGTCAATCTTATCCCATCCGGCAGAGCGGCGATGGCGATGTCTTCGGTCCCAATCACGCTCCCACTCAGCCTCCTGGGCACGACGTCTACGTGCGCGACGGATGTCATCCGACTGGTTGACGAGCTCAAGAACATCCTCCTGTAACACATCTCGTTAGCACACTACCTTCGGAAAATAAAAATAAAAGGCAGCAAACAGGAAAACAGTGCGACGTGCTGCGACGTCGTAGGTATCGTACCACGACACCTACATACACTAGCAAACAGGACTGAGACTTACATAACGTAGGTACTGCATAACATAGAAGAACCACTCTGTCTCCTCATACTCATACCCCATCTTCTCAATAGCCTCGCGGACGACGAGATCCTTGGTGATCTCAGTCCACATATCATTACGCCTGCGCGGCGCACGATCGTCGTTACGAATCGTGATGCGGCGGTCTTGGATCTCATCGACTTCGACTTCACGGTCTCGCGACCTCTCACGCTTGTCGAAGACTTGGATACTAAGACGATCCCGTTCCCGCTCACGCGGGGGGTCGGGTTCACGAACAGGTTCGCGAACAGGCTCGCTGACGGGCGTGCCTTCACGCTCAGGGATAAATTTCGAGCGTCGTACGCCGCTGTACCGCGACCAGTTGACTTCGGCGCTGGCGCCGCCCACGCCGTCCATCCTGACACGCTCGGTGCCGGGCGGCACGTCGACGATGGCCCAGTCTTTAGTAGCGCCGTGCCAGGCCTCGCCCATACGGCCTCGTGCATCGATCTTATCAGTGATGTACTCGGCTTCCTCGTCGTAGTCAATCTTGGGAGGCGGGGCTGCGGAGTGTGCACGTCGGCGGTTGCCGTCGGATACGCGGACGATGTCGTGGTCCCGCTCGATTAGCAGGTCGTCTTCTTCATAGTATGATTGAGGACGCGGACGAGGACGCTCGCGTGGGCGGGATCGGGAGCGGGTGCGTTCGCGGATGTCTACGTCTGTTTCATTTCGGCGGATGTCGATGTCGATGTCCAGATCTCGTTCTCTGGTTTGAGGAGGGGCAGTGCGTGGGGGAGGCGGTGGGGTTGGTGGTTTCGCGCGAACAACACCTATCCAAATATTAGTGGTTTTATTTTAGACCTATTTTATGGAATTGAGACTTACCATGGTCGATGTCACGATAATGCGTGATCACTTGACGTTCGATCGTCGGGCCTTGGATGACTGGTGGAGCGGGCGGAGGAGGCGGAGGTGATGGACTAGGAGACGGAACCCTCTCCTTTTCTCTTTCGCGTTCAATCCGTAGACGAATGAGATCAATATCTCTATCGGGAGTGGGTGATCGTTCCCGTCGTCTTTCGATTTGTCGAGTCTCCACTCGTACGGCTGCTGGGGATGGCGAAGGAGATCGTTCAATATATCTGGGTCGACGCTCCGGAGGCATGGATGGGGCGCGGTCTCGCTCGACATAGCGTTCTCGGTATCTAACAGGGCTGGGACTGCGACGTCGGCGGTCGACAGTTTCAACATCACGCTGGCGTAGTACTAAAGGTCCGGCTTCCGTTCTTCTTGCATCTTCCTTTAGAAAAGCGGGAGTCCGGTCTACTCGGTCTCGTTCCCGGTCCCTGACTTGTATGTCTATATCTTCAAATTCTCTCACAGGTGCCCGACGGGGTGGGCTGCGACGTTCTCGTCGCTCATAGAGCTCAAAGTCGTCGACTTCCCGAGCCGGCGCTCTCCGTGCGGGGCCTGGAGTATAGTCCCTGTCCCCCAAATCACTCCGACTAGTTCTGTACGACATCTCCTCAAGTCTTGAGCTTGACTATTCTTTCTGTGCTCAAGGAGGGCCGACTGAAAGATAGACGGAAGGTTGAGCCTATCAATTGAAGGTGGTGAAAGATTCACCGCTGGAGTGCGTCACTCTTGCAGCTGTAGCGGGGTAGATGAGGAACTTCAATAGTTGTAAGCCGATGGGGAAAGGATCAACACTTGGAATATCTATGTAGCTTGCTGCGGCTCGCCAGCCTGAAATCTTTTGAAGCGCGGTAATCTCTAATAATGAATATTTGATGTTTGATCTAAAGTTAAACGAAGATCGAAGAAGTGTAAAACGTTGTTTTGTTTAAGAATTGTTGGAGCTGAAGATGTCAGAAGGACCACGATGATGGAGGGTCACACGATTTAGAACCCGGGTTTGTGCCGTTGCAGGTAAGCTAATAGCAAGGCCTAATCGGATTGGGTGCCAAAGCAGTCCTACAATATTAAGAGATTCGTAGACGAGAATGGAAAATGATAGATTTCGTCGGGAGGAGTTTGAGATGTAATGTAATTCTGTACTTGAGGGAAGTTAGGTAGGGGGAAAAACAAACGTCGTCATATTACAGCAAGCAGTAAACTGGGAGGCCCGAGACTAATAAAGCATACGAAAAAAAATGGCAGGGGGGCTGGCTTGGAGCGGTGGGTGGGAATCAAGGCAGGTTCTAGGGCTGTTCAAGCTAAGCTAGGATCCTCTCTTCCAGGCGATACTACACTACCTATAGTACGAGAGGTGGCCGGGGTTTGGCGGATGGTGCAGTGACGAGAAGAATGTCACGGAATCAAGCGACAAGGCCACGAACGAGCATCGATACATAGCAAGATGCCGATGCTAGTAAAATATGTGTAAGTACTGGATGTATTCAAAGTGTGGCTTCGCCCAGAGAACGAAAATAGAGAGGACCCGTCACGGCGACTAGTAGAAGCGCTAAAGTGTCTGTCTTGAGATTCTGCGTGCACTTGTCTTTCTTGCCGCTCACTCAGCAGGTTGCTGCAGGCCGAGCGTGACGGGTCGCCCTCGTGAGACAACAGGACCGTGTGTAGTATGAAGTGAGACAAAACAGCCAGGCAGGACATATTCGGGCGGCCCAATGAGCAAGACTGCGCCTCCGAGATCAGTCAATATTAGGCCAATATGTATGTACATATGTATCGTATCCATATTTTATTATGATACAAATTCGACCATGCGATAGATCTGGACATGCCACGCGCCACTCGTGCTCACGATACCGCTTTTGCTGCGTCAGAAATGCCGAACGCTGTTTTCGCCGAATTTACGCCAGACACTTCTCTTCTTTCGACGTCGAAAGGAATCGAATGCATCATACACAACACTTGTTGCATATTCCAGATGCCAAGTCTGATGGGTTCTGACAGATTGCCGAGGGGTTTGCTGGTGAGTGGCTGGCGGGGGGCTGCGAGGGTTGGTAGACTGCAACGGATGACGGATAGACGCAGAGAGACCTGAAAGAAGGAAGAGATTTGATGGTGGGGTCAGAAAACCACTGCGGAGGGGCGCTGACGCAATGATGCAGTCCAATCCCAGTCTTGTTTTCCGTCAGGCCTCCGTAGCCGCGAACGAGCTCGGGCCAGCTCGTGATGGTTTAGCAATGTAACTTCGTACTGACTTCGCTGTTGATCAATACATCTGCACGATTAGGTAATTGTGTACTTGGGTACGAATACGTGAGTCCTTGTTGTTCATCTTGAAAATATGGAAATCATCAAGTTTGCTTAGCCGGAATCACGGGATTATAATTCGACAATTGAAGATAACACGAAGATGGCCATTCCAAAATTTGGAAGGATTTTCGGTTTATTGGGTATTCCTTGGACTCCCCATATATATCCAGGAACTCCCTTACGAACCTAGTCGCGATAACTTGGTCATTGGGCATCAAATTAACCATTAATCATCGTCAATTATTGAAATGGGCTGTTCCTCACACGAACCCCTGGATCGTTCGAAGGCCTTTCTCGACTCTAGATCTCATAGGATATAAGATGAGTTCGCGTTGTCCTCCCGTCGTTTGTATAATATCGGGTAACCAATTATATCTCGGCGCCGAATCGTCCAGACGGGATCCACAGATCAGAGTTCACGGGCCGTGCCGAATGCCGTTATGATATCGGATGGAAACTACACTTAGCCATTCAAACTTTATGATTATTAGCCTACAACTCTAAATACTTCATTCAAGCCAGTCGAGTCCCTGGGCAGGAGGCGAGCCATGATCGTTTGAGTGAAGAGTAGGCGCCTCTATCACGTAATGCTCATAATCTTAATATATAGGAAAAATTACTGGACAGTACTGTCTTAATTCCTTGTAAATTTGAAAGCTATTATCATATAAAGTCCTCTATATGCAATACCATGGGTATATACCTATACACATATATACAATCCATCCTTTCAGTCATCCCCCTATTTTCCCCCATAATTGTGCACCGTAATAAATAATCCTTCAAATCATGGTGCCTCCTTATAATGTCCCTCCCCCATCATCTCGACCGGTCTTCTTTGATCCGGCATCTCATGTGCATGTTCCGGGTAGTAATACGGTTGTTGTGGTGGTTGCTGATGTTGCTGTTGTTGCAACTGCTGCTGGTGCCGTAATTGCTGTTGCTGTTGCTGTTGCTGTTGCTGTTGCTGTTGCTGTTGCTGTTGCTGTTGCTGGTGTTGTAATTGTAATTGCTGGTAATATTGCTGCTGCTGGTGCTGATTCATCCCCTCCGTCGTCGGCGCAGCGTATGCCCACCCACCATCCTGGGCCACGAATCCCGTTTGCGGGGGGTACGGTGTGAGTCCTATCTCCGTGCCCATTGCCGGACTTCCTCCGTATTTATATGCTTGGCCATATGGATCCGTCGCTACCGCGTAACCATGTTGCGCATATAGTTCTTGTTGATGTTGTGGCACATACACTCCTTGTGGTGCCGCAATCGCGTATCCCGCGTATTGTTGATGTAGTTCCGGTGAATATACTTCCGGCAAATCGTGTCCGTGTCCAATACCCACGTTTCCATTCATATTATGTGCGCCATATGCATTCATTGTCTCCGCCGCACTAAACGCCGTTGCGGCCACCGCCGGGTCCGCCCACCCGCTATTCGGACTACCCGCCATTGCTCTAGCTCTTTGCCTGGCAAGTTCTTGTGCTCTTGCCGCCTCATGAATACCCAGTTGGCGCCTTCTTATTAACCATAGTATGAAAAACGTGCCTCCCACTGCAATAACGCCGAGTGTGACACCCACACTAATACCGGCCTTCGCTCCGTCGCTGAGTTTGCTGTCATCCTGGGCTGAAGGCGGTGTGCCGGTGACATACGGAATCTGCGCGGAGCCTGTAGCCGACTCGCTTCGGCTCTGGCTCTGACTTTGGCTCTCGTTGAACGTAGATATCGTACTTGTGGCTCCCCAAGATCCTCTATCGCCGACAACTTCGATCATGTGCCCGCCACTAACATAGTATAGCCGTAACGCACCGGTGCTGCTGGGGTCGCTCGCGACACCAATTGGGGCGCCGGGTGTATCGGCCAGGGGCCATGCGTTGTCGTTGGAGGGGCGAGGCGACACATTCCACGCAGTACCCGAGCTCGTGCTGTTGACCTGGTACAACTTTCGATCCGTGCCGATATAGAAAATGCTGCGCGAGGAACTGCTGTCAAGCGCTATGGCGATCGATGATGCGCTACCGTCCCAGGCTGGGAGACTGAAAGATGAGGCAGCTGAGTTCACTTGTAGGTCGAAGGCCGCAGTCGCGTTGGTTGATTTGTTGCCTGTTAGTGTTAATGGTTGTGGGAGCGATGCTAGAAAGAATGGTGAGCATTTTGGTTGAATAATGAGATTAAATATATTTAGGGGTGAACCCACATATGTGCCACAAGTTATCGCTATTCCATTGCGACACACCAATATTCTTGTTGTCTCTAGGTCTTACAACCGAGATATTGTTATGAGAGAACGTAGAAGCGATAGCCTGAGTCGAACTATAATCGTGAGAGACGACGCCATAATGCGACCATGAGGACGAGCTAGTGTATCCGAGTTGGTGTAGAGTACCGTCGAGGTCGTTGTAAAATACGCGATATCCATCCGTCGCTCCTAATAGAACGACCGATAAGCTCGAGTTGGATGCCACCTTCGGAGAGCCTCCGGATATGATGTATTCGCCCGTATTTTGCCAATGACCCGTATCCCAGTCGCACTTCAACACCGCATTGACAATGTTTTCGTTATTATCCATGTAGAATATTGACGCCTACTCGCTGGCGTCAGCTATAATTTCATACACCATGTCCTACTCCACCTCAACCGTATAACAATAATGAGAATCTTTTTTTAGTTTTACTCACCCAGGCGGTCTCGCTGTCCGTCCATCCTGCTGCCGTCAAACTCGTTTGATTCTTCGGTGGGTGATTCGTGAATGGTGTCGTGAGCGTTTTGTCGTCTGGAAATACCGGCGTGTGATTCCCATTACACAAACTATATCGTATGCCACCAGTATCATCGTCTTGTACTATGAAGCTGGGCCCCCTTGTGTTCCACCACGCCGCAATGGAGCCGCACGACACTTGCCCGGCGAGCAGCCATACCGACAAATGAAATAGCGACGTAAACCTCGTAGTCATTGTCATACCGAAGCGCCCGGGGCTCTTCGGCGATCTTCGCAACTTATAGGGACTAACAAAGGATAACGCCAGACATCGTCGTATCTCGCGAGATTCGACAAATGGCGCAGACAGGTAAGGAAAACCGAGAAGAAAAATCAGCAGTATGAAAAAAAAGCAAAAGATAAAAATTCAAATCGGAAGAGACAAAATCAAGAGACTAGGGAAATAAGAGATACACGAGGAGTGGAACTGCAGAGAGATCTAATTGAATGTTACCTTCTGGGCAGGCCAATGGATATCTACCTAGGTAGGCTACAAGAGTTACAATATACCCCAATTGATCGATTTGGGATCGGTCTCGAACGGCAGCCTTCGCCCTTTAACAAGCAGACATGCTTTTTTACTTGCCTAGCTTGTTTCTGGCATCGCCATATGTGTACCTGGTGTGTGTGGTGAAGCTCGTATATACATACGTTGGACCCACAAAGGGAACCCAGGATCCCACTCCTGGGCCCCGGGAACTGCAAGTCGACGTTACAACGGGAAGGGGTTCGGGCTACTCCCGATCGACACCGAGTTCATACATGTGTGCGCCCATCCTATGGAAATTGTCATATGCAGGTGAGATATTCTGCGTACCCAATAGAAGGCATAAACGAGGCCTTTACCAGTAGGTAATCGATTACTACCCTCAGGAAATTAGGAGCACTTATTCGTAGGGTATTCGTTGAATAGAGTCGTTAGTTATAGCCGGATTAGGGAGTTGGTTTATGCTGTGCCGGGCAGGCGAGTTACATCGAGTTATCTTAAATGCCCGGCTGATCGTCGAGGCCTGCTGGGGACCCCGAACCATGACGTTAGGTACCTAGGTAGCCGGCGGCGTTATTTGACGGTGCGAGGTACATTATGTACTCTACTAAGGTGTTTGCTTATTAGAAAGGGGAGAGAGAGTAGTACCGAACAGGCGTTGAATGTCCGAATTGTCTGAACTAAAAACACGCTAAACCATTAAATACCGGAATTTAGAGCGGACCGTAGCTATCACTACCTAGATTGAGAGATCAGATCTGTGTTAAGCTGCTTTCGTACGGGTATCCAGTATCTTAGCTGGAAGTGTTAGTTTGCTAGAAAATAGATATTCTATTAGCGGTCAAGATATTCATGCGAATGTAACTTATTTTACCTGATACGTTTGAAACGCGATTAATAACCAACAGAAAAGGGTCTGACTGTGCATTTTTCTCTCTCCTGATTTCTTTCCCTCTTGGGGTTGTTCTGGAAGAAAAGAGGATTGATTGGCTTCCAAGAATAGATAAAAGGTAAATTCGAGCGAATTAGCACGTGCTGTCGGTCGGGTGTGCCGAGGAGTGTACCTCTCCTTCCTATTGTGGTTGTTTGTGGCTTGTCAGCGCGGTATATTCTGAAGGTTGTGGCGAAACTAAATCTTAAATCTCCCGTCTCATCTCTTTCTATCCGGTAGCCCCTGAAAAAAATATAACTAAACTTTCACTTTCTTTTTCTTCTTTACCTTCAATAAACCATATAATTTAATCGCAATACAAAATATGAACAGACATTTAAAGGGAGTGGAACTAGTTACGGAGAAGACAATCCAGAGTCCACAACTTGACGTCAACTTGGCTTTTAGGATGATGAATCCTCACTAACATTAGTACCTAGGTAGCGCCGGCCTTTCCCCGCTATATGGCGCTATTAGGGAGCTGTTAGGACCGGTTTTGATGGCGCAGCGCATTCCCCCCTCGCATTTTGTAATTCAATTGGGATTACGAAACACCTACAACAAAAGTGCGAACAATAACGGACCCGAAGCTTTGGGTTTCATGGTATAACCATTTTACTGATATAAGATTCTAAATCGTCTTAAAGTCTATTGAAACATAAGTATGCACATGTATTTATCTTATTATGTCCAATCACTATCCATCTCTACCCTTGTATGTGCGTATCTTGACGTACATACCGATATGGTTAGGATTTGTGGACATGGAACTGGGTTAAGCTTCCTGGCTATCCCATCCAGTATAGCTCATGCTTCATATGCAAGGGAAGCTTGTGTGTAACAATCGAGAACGGATAACGGTCTTGCTTTAGAGCTTCGGTTCGAGGAGTACGGAGGTTAAATTAAACAACTAATTGTTACAAGTGTCAAAATTCCGCTCCTACCTTGATCCTCATACCATCCACGTGCCAATGGTGCATTTTTCTAATGCTAGGTAGGATCATCTAGTCGATCTGGAACCGTCAGCAATTGCCCCTGAGGGGGAATGCAGTGTTACAATTGACTTCCCGGTATTGAGGTTCGACGATGACGGGATATACTAGCCGAACTCCTGGTAGGACTTTACATAACATATTAGATAAAAACGCACATTACTATTCTATACCATTCTACGATCAGTCCTACATTATGTTGCCGATAATAGCTCGATACGAGTATCGTTTGGAAGAAAGGAGACGCTGAGGCACTTTAGACGATATGATCACGATGGTCCTACCTTGGCATGCACCCGACATCTTGTTGTAAAGCAGCCGGCTCATCGACTGCGGCTATTCGGATAACTAGGTGGGTTGAATGCTAAACTGACATGTCGGTCCGTGAAGGGTACCTAGGTAGGTTTCTGGGACTGGCGAGACATTTTCAAGCCACGTAGATCATCTACCTAGTACGGAGAACAAAGCCGATAAGAAGCGGCACGTAACAGAAAGCTGGATATTCGGAGTAATGAATTTATTTTGATAAGTCAAAGCTCAACCTTATTCCCGAACGAATGCTCATAATCATGCACGCATAACCGTTCCAATCTATCTACCTGAGGTAATGCGCCAATGTTCTATCCCTTAAACCCCGACCCAGCCCGCCGCCCATCCGTCCCCTTAAGTAGCCATTTTATTCCTTAATCAGCCCGCGTTTCGCGTCCTTGGCCGTTAGACCGACCAGGCTTTTTTCTGGTAACGGGTACGTCGGACGCCCACCAAGGATATCTACGACCTCCTTGTTATCCAGCCACTGAGCCGCCGTCGGACGGCGGTTCTTCCAGTCGGTTTCGTTCACCTCTAGTTGTTCCATGGGCGAGAATGCCACGTCCGCGCCCTTAATACCGATAACAGATGCACTTAGAGGATCCTTGGTGATGTTCTCGGGTGTCTTCTGAGGCTTAGGCCCGTACTTCTCGAGATGTTGTATGCACTTGATGGCTAGCCTGACAGCACGACACCTGTCCATTGCTGACGGAACACCACCCTGTTGAACATGGCCCGGAATGCTGTCTCGAGACTCGAACCGATCGTGAGCTTCTTCGCGGATAATGTCCGCGATGAGCTTAGCGGAGAAGACTTTGCTTGCCTTCTCATTAACAAGGATCAATCGACCTGCTCGTGATTGACCCCTATCCTTTCTGAAAACCTCTTTTAGATGCCCGACATCTGCGTTTAGCATCTCCAAACTGATACCCTCCTCTGGGATGTAAACCGCACTGGCACCTACACCTAGCCCTCCTAGGACCGCCACATATCCACATCGGCCACCCTGAGTTTCGATGACGAAAACTCGTCTTCGGGTGGCTGAAGCGGATTGCTTGATCTTGTCACAGTATGCAACAAGCTCGTTCAAACAAGTATCAGAGCCTAGAGAGTATTCTGTTCCCGGGACATTGTTCGAAATAGTCGCTGGCAACAAGGTCATGGGAATGCAAAGCGAGGGGAACCTGGACCTAGCCTTGCGTAGTTGTGAAATCGCATGGAAGGCTTCAAAGCCGCCGATCAGGAACAAGGCATCGAATTCATACTTCTCAATTAACTTGGCGATCAGCTCCATCCCGGATTCTTCGGGGAGTTCACGGTTCGTTCCGATTTCCGAACCTCCTTTGCTCGCCCAGCCGTCAACCTCAAGCCAGTCGAAGTGTCGTACGGCACCGAGAGGCTCATCGCCGTGATGCCTTGCAAAGCCAGCGAAACCATTATGGATAGCGAGAGGCTCGTGTCCACCTGTAACATTACTGTTAGTACTCTGGAACTCTGGCCCCTTTTCTACTCTATAAGTTAAGGGACGTGGGATCTACTTACGAGATCGACAGTAAGCCACACCTGCACGAATAGCAGCGTTCATACCGCCGGCGGGTGCTCCAACATTTATAAACCCAATCTTCATTCTCTATAAAGGTGTTAGTTCCGGTTACTAGCAGTTGTAATATTGATATTCCACCTACTTTATTGACTTCTAGATGTATGTCTTGATCAAGGCCCATAGTAGTAGTCATCATATAGGACTTATATTGGTCGGAGAATTCGGTGTCGCGCAGAGACATGGCCTTGTCGAAATCTTGGGCCTCGATAGCTTTAGCTACCGATTTGGTCTCTTGTACGGCTGCCATTAGAGGCTTGCGAACGATCTTGTTCTCGGTGATAGCGATGAAGCAAGTTTCGGTCTCAGGGGTTGCCTCTAGTACAGCTTTGACAGCCTCAACTCCTTGTAATGTAGCGAGCATCCTGTCATACGCCACCGCTGTTCCTCCTCTTTGGACGTGGCCGAGGGTTGTAATGCGGGTGTCGAGAGCTAGACCCTGTTTATCCGCAAGAAGATCCTTTACCATTGATGGCGTAATCTTGTTTCCGTGTCTATCGAGGGCACCTTCTGCGATGATGACGATGGTTTTACGTTTTCCCCAGTCACGGTGCTGGTGACATTAGCACGAGCTTCATTTCGAGGCGCCGCAAACTTGGAATGCTTACCTTTCTGATGACCTGTCGCATCTCCTCCTGCCAGTTATCCTCCCTAGGTTTCTCCGGAATAAAGATGAAATCTGCACCAGTAGCCACACCTGCCATTAGGGCGAGCCAACCACAATGTCTTCCCATGACCTCTATAACGAAAGCGCGCGAATGCGAAGAGGCGGTTGCCTCAATATAATCTACCATTTCACAAATACGCGCCAAAGCCGAATATGCACCAATTGTTGCGTCGGTTCCGGAAAGGTCATTGTCGATGGAGCCAACGAGCCCTACAATGTTGAGATGTTTATACGGTTCGACCTGTTTCGCTTCTAGCTGACCGGTCGATACGAGCTCGTCGATTAGGGAAGGCCATTCGGCTCGGAATTTGTCTGCACCAGTAAGAGAACCATCACCACCGCAGATGATAAGAGCGTCAATTCCGTTCAGGATCATGTTCTTAGCGGCGGTTAGACGACCTGGGCGTTCGTAGAAAGCCATACATCGGGCGGTGCCTATGAGGGTACCACCTTCGGAGAGGTAGCCTCGGACATCATTCCATGCCATCTGTCGGATGAAATTTCCGCCTTGAACTAAACCTTCGTAACCTTCGTAGACGCAAAAGGGATCGCACCCCATGTGAATGGCCATTCGTACGACTGCTCGTACGACTGCGTTCATGCCCGGCGAGTCACCACCGGAGGTCATGACGGCGATCTTCTTCTTCGGCGTAGCCATGTTGATAGATATGAGGAAGCGTATAAAGGTATAATATTTTAAAGGATATGGAAGTTGGATATGTAGAAGAGAGGGATATATGTAGAGATAGGAGCTTTCTAGCTTTACTGGATAACTATGGGTGGTAGTCCAGTCAATGTATCTTAGGTTGAGATCGGAGGTTGAGCTACATGTGAGGACGAGTAAGGGGGTAATATACTAGCGAAGCCGTCCGATGCGTTCTTTTCGAGCTCGAATCAGCCCACGGGGATGGCCTCGAGCAAAAAGGGTGTCAGGAGATACCTATAGATATGTAGTTCGATAGGGAACGAACCGTCTTTGGTTCGTGTTTCGTAGGTTGTAGTACAGAGAATGTGATGTGACGAGGGAAAAAACAGAAAAAAAGGAGGAAGGACGGCTTACCTTCCTTCTCTCACCTGCATTAAAATTGTGAGGTATAAGGTATGTCATTCCTTTAGAAGGAAAAAATAACCTATAGGTACGTAATTTTTGGTGAAGAAAGCTCTTATCAATTATCGGTGCGGGGGAGCTAAAAGGATCCCACCACTCGCTCTTTTTCTTATAGACCCCTCTTACGTAGGAGGTACCATTAAACCCCTCACTAGTCCGGATTTCGTACCTATCAGGTACTCTCAATTCCTATTATATCACAATGCAGCTGAGCATGATGAGGCTAGACCCAGAGTGCCCAGTGCTGAGTTATTTTTACCCCATTAAGCCTTTTGCTATTTGCAAGCAGAAATAGTATTTTAGTAGGAGTTAAATCTTTTTATGATATAGTATCTAAGTTGAAGTGCGGTGACTGAGCATACGAAGTTATGTAGACAATTGGGTGGATTTAGAATGAGAGGCGTTCCGATACTTTGGTTTTGAGGTACATCCTTGTACCTAGAAGGTGAAGAGAGGTACATAACTTACCACGACACGACACGACACGACACGGCAGTCAAATTAGCGTCAACGATGACAATCCCAAAAGGGTAGTAAACATTGAAGCTGTTGACCAGCCATATAAAACTTACTAGTTAAAAAAAGACACCGGACTTTCAATACGTATATTGAAATTCCCGCAGAATAGACATGTACCTTCGACAGATGTGCGCGAGGATAGATTGGTTGGTAGTTATTGCTTCCGTCCTCCATGCGACCTGTAGTTGTATCAAGCACTATCCGATAGGCTCGGCTCTATATTGAAGCCTGTTGCTGTTACAGTGCTTCTCGAGACGAGCTCCGACAACCTGACCTGGTAGTAACACAGACTCGAATAACACAATGCTGGATTCTGATAATAGTATGAGATAGCATGATAGAACGCTCAGGCCGCATATTCTCGAATGACTCGTAAAAATTCCACTGGCGACGGGTGTTGTGCTCAACGACAACGTTAGCTGTTGTGATGTAAATTAGAGGTGCGCTTGAGTAACGTGGATCGTCCGACGAGGCTCTCGAGATTCAAAATTAGTAAGGATTCAACTTTGGAAAGCGACAGTATCTGATAGTCCGTTGAAGATTGGGCACATCGAAAAGCGGCGCTTTGCGCAAGTGCTGGATGTTATTCGGAGCTGCCCTCTCGGAGACGAATAGGACTTATAACGGGCTGGCTCTTGCATAGGAAGACGTTTTTTTAATATCGCATGGTCCATATATCTGCCTTTAAACAATATCATTGTCTGGCGTTGATTTTTATTTATAAGATAGGGAGATGTAGGCGTTCTTTAAGATTTTGAGATGAAGAGAAAGGAATGCGAGTGAATTGGATATTCGCGGCAAGAAGTGAGAAGCTTAATCAGTTACAGGGTGTTGGGTACGTACCCAGGTACCAGCGGGGCAACTTTAAAAATCTGAGTGCTAATTGGGCGGCCCCATCGCCGATCCAGTGGGTGCGACCTAAGCGTAAAGCTTAAGGCTGGAGCTGGGGTACTTTATACTTTGTACTCATTTCAATTCAACAACTTTGTTTCCCATTTAATATGCGAATGGCTTCGCCCTTTGTTTCCCGATGCTATATCACGGCAAGAATACGTACGGATTTTGATAATTCTGAAGAAATAATATCAAAATGACGTCCCCGGGTACGCCGTTCTCCCTGCGACCTTGGCCCATCGGCGACAAGAAACCGAAAAACCTTGGCGAATTCATCGCGCGTGTCAACGCAGAGTGTGGTGGTTTTCGCAACGTAACCGAAGCTAAGCTACGCGAGGAGATCGCCGCTGGGGAAATTGGTACCATCGACACACAAGAGCCCGAGGAAGAGGACGAGGAGGACGAGGAAGAGGTAGATACCGACAAGACCAAATATGCTGTAGGCGCGCGAGAGGAATTCTTGAAGAACATCGAGTAAGTCTACTTTGTCGATAGGAGGTGGTTACCGATGGTAGCTTATGCTAACGGCACTCATCCAGATTCGCGCATCAATCCGCCATGTTAGCCCTCGATTGCGTTTCCCTCTTATGCTCTAAACATAAGCCACAAGATGCGGTTAGCACCCTCTCGACGGCGCTGCGAGAACGAGTAGGCCTTGGTACGCTAGGAGCTTCCAGGGTGAGCGAGACGAATATTACAGAAACGCGCCAACAGGATGATCTTGTTGTGTCCACAGGATGGCGACTCATGGGTGTCAACAATATGGTGGACTCCGTCGTGGCTGCTGCCGAGAAGCTAGAGAAGGAAATCGAGCTGGAAACGAAATATTGGGACGCTATCCTCTCAGTTAGCGAGAGAGGCTGGGCTGTCTGTTCTATGCCGCAGGAACCGCATACACTCGGTGTCATGTTCGGCTTTGCAGAATCCAACCCCGAATTCAGGAAATGGAGTCTTGCCCCACTAAGGCGCAACGACGATGGAACCGTTCGTATGGACCTTGGCCGTGTTGGTAAAGGCTCACAAAGAGTTCGTGTTACTACAAAGAAGAATGGTATTATTGTAGACCAGTCGCCTCTACCTGGACGAATATCGGACGATGCGCCACTACCAGACCGAGTGCTCGAAGCCAGGAATACCGCTTTTCACCAGGAGCTCTGGTATGAGATCAACAGAGAAGCACGCACCCTACTCTCTTCAAGTGTATACTCCAACTCCTCGAATGTTACTTGGCAACAGGATGAAGAGACAGACGTCATTTTCACCCTTGAAGACCTTTCCGAGCCAGATAACTTGAACGAGAGAATATCCGTTGTTGATTGTGCGTGTACCACGCATTACGTTTACATGCAATTCCTTCTATACCAAGGACATAGACAAAACTACCATAGACGCCGGACTATGGCTCAGATCCCCTCTAGCCGCGTAGCGATGCACCAACCCTACGCTATTCTCCGCGCGGTGATCGCACACTCTGAATACACGAAAAACTGCAAGACTATGGCCGACTTCCTGGAAAACTTAGTATCCTTACTTCAGCGCGTTGGTATATCTACAGCTACCTGCAGATCAGCCTCCCAACCACTTCCCCCAGCATTACTTCATAATACCTCAACCCGGCGCAATCAAAAGATGGAACTCAACTTCATTAATCACCTTGTCGGTCGCCTCGAGTCCACCTTTGAATTGACCATCACGCCGGAGACGCGGCTTTTCGTACGAAGCCGCATAGTAATTGTTCCGTACATAGGCACTGTCTTCGGCGTCTCCTTGACGCCATTCACCTTCCAGATTAATGGAAACGAGAATAAGAATCTTAATAATACATACCAAGGAACAAACGGAGCAAACAACGGGGTATCGAATCCCCTCGAGACCTCGTATCCACCATCCGACCCTACTAGAGACCCCTATCCTAACGCGAAGGAAGCTGCATACTATATCCGACAGGCTGCCGCTCGCGCTGTAGTGACAAAGGTTATAGAGGAGATATCAGAGCAACTAGATCGCGATGACATCTCATGGGCTGAAACGGTTAATGGCCCCGGTATTTCGGACCGCGATGATAAGGAAGCGCGAATCGAGATTACGGAGGACCAGGATGGACGGTTAATGCTGAGCCTACACGCCCAGTGGCTAGCCGGCAAAGATATCGTCAGTCGTACCTGGACATGGCGAGCGGACAGACAGGGCAGTGGTGATGCCAGCGGCGAGAGTCTTTCGGCACTCGTATTGAAGGTTATGCAGAAGAGTTCCACCATAGAGGGCATCAACGTGGTGGCGACCTAGAAAGCCGTTACTGACGATGACGATCTTGGGGACCGACAGTGGCCTCCGGTTTCTGTGCTTTCTTGGTTGCACGATCTGGAGGAGCCGGCCCAAGACAAAGGTAACGAAAAGGATAAGGATAGTGAAAAGAGTGGACATGATGGTGTGTCTAGGTTTAACCCTGGCTGCTCATGGGCTTAGGACCCCAATGTAGCTTGCCCACCGTAGTAGGTGCTCGACTTATCGAGAACCTACAATGTGCTCTTTGGATGGATCGAAATCATCAACGCTTTTATATAGCTGTCCAATCGAGGGTATTGGAGTAGCTAATTACTCGATTGTCTGGCTAGCTGAATAGCATAGGTTTAGTTAGGCAAATAAGAATCAGAATTAATGAACCCCCTTCTATTGTGATAAAAAAACGTGTTTGCTAATTAGCGCACAATCAGGGCTATTCCTCGATACTTCGCGCAGCTTCTGTCTACAGCACTTGGGAATCCACGATAGTTACGCAACGGCCTTAAGTTATACGCAAACGGTGCGAGCAATTCGGCAAAGATCTACCGACCTAATCATCTTATTCTTTCGAATGAACCTTAACGTAACATATCAGAACTTTGAGCAACTCAAAAAAAAAGCTGTCCGAACGCGTAAGGGATTTTTTAGAAATTTTTTAATCATTATATCTATTTAACAGACTGGCGATACGATATGATCCTAGGGTCGTGAAATCAAGCCAATTCTGTAGTACTCAAACAATGAAGCAACTCTCAACGAGTGCTCTGGGAAAAAACACTTTTACACACCGAACGCCCAAGCTGCGTCGATTCGTAACTCATCCGCCCCGTCTAACCTCAATCCGTCTCACCGCCACCATCAGTAGAAACCTCACACTCGGACGAAGATCGAAGAAGTTAGGAGAATCAGAGAGAGGGAGCAACCATGAGGAGTCCAAGCAGCTCAGTTGCGGTAAGGGTGCTCGCATTGCGGATAGCACCGGACTTTTCGCCTTCCCTTACACTCTCGATAACGTCTCGCTTCTCTTGCTGACGCGCGGTGATCTGGTCCTCAACTGTACCCTTGACTAGGATACGATGTACAGTGACCTTACGCGTCTGCCCAATTCGATAGGCGCGGCCGATTGCTTGGTCCTCGACGTAAGGATTCCAGAAGGGATCCATGATGATAACTTGGGAAGCAACTGTGAGGTTCAGACCCGCGTTACCCGCTCGAAGGGACATCAAAATAATCTTGGCTTCCGGATCGTTATTGAATTCGTGAATGCGCTTATCGCGCACCCTACCCGAGAGACTGCCATCGTACCGGGTAACCTTAACCTTCAGTCGGTTAATGATGTAAACTTCGATGAGATCGAGGAAAAAGGTCCAGGAAGAGAAGACAATGACTTTCTCCTGCGTGGTCTTTAGAACCTCCTCGATGATGTCCGCACATTTGGACACCTTTGCCGAGGGTTTCCAGTTTTCATGGAGATATTGCATGTAGTGCTCACGGGCCTGCTGGTTGCCTCTGGACTTTTCACGAAGCTTCTGGACGACGTTCATACCTGTATCGTCATCGACCTCGTCTTCCCAATCACCTCCATCGTCGGTGTCACTATCACCGTCTTCCTCATCCTCGTCATGATGTTCGGCTTTGCCTTTGCCGTGCTTTGCTTCCTTTTTGGCTCCATCTCCTAACGGCAACGCATCTAAGAGCGCATTATCGGCCTTTCGGGAGTCGTACAGAGCCTGGATAGCATCAAAGGAGGTCATCTCGGAACCTTTGGGACCTGCATGGCTAGTGCCGTTGACACATCTGACACAACGGAACATATTCTTCTTTTTGTCCGCACGGCGACCCTCCTCTAACTCTTCCTCAATGAATTCGTCAATGCACTTGTCACAAAGTGAGTGTCCGCAAGGAGACATGATATGCGGTGACTTGATCTTGATGGACTTGTCACAGAAGGAACACTTGAAGGCATCACTACCTTCAATGATACGCTTGGTTCTGTCCTCTTTTATGCGCTTTGCTGCTCCGGCTGTTCGAGAATCAAAATTTTCCTCGCCGGCGAATCCATCGGTAGGAATCAGCTGAGGATGGCAGCATGCCTGTCGGAGTCGAAGAAAAAGCGTCTTCATCTTTTGGTAACGCAGTCCCACTGTACCATCATCCATATAGGTACTGATCTCGATTTGTGAGTTCTGCTGGAGGTCGATGTAGAACTTTCGCTGGACTTCGTCAAACACGGCGTGATCAACTACCTCGACCTTCTGAACCATGTCCAAGATTGGCTTTCCGTCGATCTTCGTACGCATATTACGCTGAAGCGTAATATCGTTCAGGATGGCGGATAACTGCATCTCTGCGGCACGACATTGAGTCTCAGAGCCACGGTTTCTGGGCTCTAGGACCTTGAAGTTCTATTTTCCATGGTTAGCTATGAAATCCCATGTGTTTTATGGTTAACTTACCTCAGAGAACAAATCGAAGCTAGACCAGGGTGCGATCTTCAAGAAGTGAATCAAGGACGCGAGATCCTTGGGGCCATTTTGCATAGGCGTACCTGTCAGGCACCATCGATAGGTGGCCTTCAGAAGGTAGGCGGCGCTCGCACACTTAGCCTTACGGTTCTTGATGTTTTGGGCTTCATCAAGAATCACGCGCAGGAAGACACAGTGTGGGCCAAGCAAAGGACAGCAGCGGGTGAGCTCGTCGTCGCTGATGTCCGGATCCTTGCCATCGGTCTTCTTCGTCAGCTGTTCTAGTGTCTTGAGCTCAGACATCAGACTTCCGTAGGTTGTAAGCACGACATCGTGCTTGCGGAGGACTTCCCATGATCCCTTTCGTGTGTGGTGTTCAAAGACACTCATGCTGTGCCGCGGCAAGATCTTTTTCTTGATCTCTTCGGCCCATTGCTTGAGGAGTGCATTGGGCGCAACGATCAAGTTTGTCTACGATACTTAGCAATAATCACAATATACGGATTCGAAGCACTCACCTTCACACCGGGCGAAGAGGGATCAGCCTTGTGGCTGAGCATCAGGGATATGGTCGTAACTGTTTTACCAAGACCCATCTCATCCGCGAGAATTCCTCCCTTATTCTTCCTGTTGAGCTCTTTCTCCTTCATCCACTGGAGAGCAGCCTCCTGGTGACGGTACAAGGTGCATGAGAGCACTCCGTCGGGTAGCCCTTTGTCTGCGGACTTGTTAGCCGACTCGGCGGAAGTCGAACCAGCACTAGCCATACCGCCGGTCGGCTTAGGCTTGGCGGGTCCAAGAGCGTTCACCATGCTCGTTAGGTCCGATGGCTTAGTGCCACCAAAGCTGTGGCGGGCCTTCTTAACCGAAGAGGAGGAGTCCGTGGACGATCCGGCGTGGTCACTGTGTGATCGCTTTTTGATGTCATACAGGATGTTAGAAGAGGTTCCAGGCGCGCTGCCCTTTCCAGGCAGTCTGCTGCCAGTCGAACCAGTTAGATTGGGCCGATACTTGCCGGGCAGTCTGTTGGCCATGCTCGAATTCAAGCCTTGGGCGCTAGTATGAAGACCTAGGTGATAGGGAAAAAATTAGCCGAGTTGTTGTGCGGAACATATCATTAGATCAGTCAATGATTTAGAGGAAAATCAACAGTACGGCGACGTTAGACTAGAGCGCCGATGCATGGCAATGGTGACACTTGCCACTCAGTACGTTCGCCATCGCCGAATTGAGTCCGGGTCGGGTTTATGGAGGGAGGTACGAAGCTAGGGGGATAAGGAGGGAAAGTTGCGACGGCGTGCGATTACCATCGTGTAACAAATTGACTATTGGTCGCGACTGCAAAAGAAACACGTAATTAAGGAAGGGGAAGAGAAAAAAGAGAAGAGAAGAGAGAAGACCACCAGTTATGTATGGCACATACCTTTCTTGGCCTCTTTAGCCTCATTTTTGGCTTGTTCGAGCTTGTCTCGACAATCGTCCATAAGGCTGGTAAGTTGTTGAACTTTCTCACGGGTAGCCTCTGGCGTACCCTTAATTCTCTCAAGGGTATCCTTCGCCGACTGGAATTCTTCCCTCAGCGTGTCAGTGAGCGAGGGCGCCATGACTGCTTCGGGTGCGGTCGCCGTAGCGGTGAATGAGGTCTGGTTTCGTTTGAGAATCGCCGTCAGGTCTAGGTGACGCGACACCGACAAGAAAAAAAATAGATCAAAACACCATAAGGTGTAAACGCCGGTAGAAAAGAGGATAGACAAAAGCCAATGCGTGAATAGAAGTGAAAGAAGCGTCGCCGATTGAAGGCAGCTTTTGTAGGACCAACCTCCAGACACAATGGTGAGTAGGAGTGAAAAAATGGTAAGGTGGGAAGAGAAAGAAGGGAAGAGGAACGCCGGTGGAAGGAGGGAATTAAATATTGACTCGGGCCCGGCGTTGTTACTTAGGTGATTCCACGCTCTACAGTGCTCTTGCCATTGTTGACATTTATCTGTGGTCTGTTCTAACTGTGGGGCGCCGTAGATTTCTCACTGTTCGGCGGGCGGTTGCAAGCTCCTGCTTAATTATGGAAGGTACGATACCTAAACTACAGTGTATAAGGGGTCGGCGTGCAAAAGTTCACAACCAATTCCTACCTAGGCAGGCACATCCCATCAACCAAAGGCACGCACCACCCAATTACCTAGGTAGGTATAATCAGGTGTATGAAATAAGTTCTTAAGCATTGAATTACATAATATATAGAATTTACTACATATTGATTCTTCTATTCTATGGCACCTTCATGGCACCTTCTTTAGTATAGACTATTGCTACTCGTATTGATGTTTGTCATATATCGATTTGACTGGTCACACAGTACTAAAGAACCTACTGCATAGAATAGTATGTGACTGCTGCCTATAGTACATTCACGCCGTGCCTTCCAACCTTCGTTTCTAGAAAAAAATAAATAAAAAGCCCCGCCATAAGATAACACCATGTATCTATCGTGGCTTCCTATTTCAACCGCATGGCCGAAAAGTTTTTTCTTGTCAGTACGCACTAACAGTAAAGATTGTAACAGCTATTTACAATTCAACCCTATTCGTGCCCACACCGTATCTCATTGCTCTTTCCTCGCCCCAAGAAGATTCCCATATTCCCGTGCCTCCAAGTCCCACATCCCACAATGTTTTCTACTCCTTAGCACCTACCAAGTTTTGTTGTTGAGTAGAACGACAGGAACATACACTACGAGATAAACGCATGAACTACACTATTAGGATTGAGCGTGTAAAATTTTTTGTTGCTAGCAGGGTCAAAATTGTTACAGGAAGTAATTTCTTGATAGAAGCCGCACTTAAGTCTTTTATCAACATTTGCTCTGCCTGATCCTGTAATGGGTTCGGCTAAAATAATGACGACGATACTTAGGCAATTGTAGTTGCCCGCTGTGAGCGGCGTCCTACTATCTACTTCAAAAGAACCGCATTTATAAGTGGTATGGGCGTGATATAATATATCGCAGCACGAATCTGAAACGTAGTTCATACACAATTATCAATTAATGAAGAGAGGTGATTCATCACCCGTCCATGACATAGCCATGTAATAAAAAAAGGCAAGAACTCTCAATACCAATTGGAGAAAAAAAGTTATAGCTCCTCTTCCTCTTCTTCTTTCTCTTCCGCGATCTTCAGCTTCTTGACGCGAAGGACCTCGTCCTCCACCCAGGCATCACCCATTGACACCTCTCCGGGCTCGTCGTCTCCCGCCTCTCCTCCTACCGGGCCAGAGGGTCCAGCAACGCCCTCGTCGCCGCCGTTATCGCCATCAGCAGCCGGGTCTCGGTAATCGCGGAAGGCGTCGTACTCACGTACAGCGCCTACCTTGACAGGTTCCTTGCCCTTTCTGGCTACGGAAGCCTTAGATGGGCCCGCACCCAGGAACGCATCACTGCGCTTCGACTTGCACTTGGTGTCGTAAAAAAATAGCTCTTCGTCCGGCAAGGCGGAGAAGTCTACTTCCTCCTCGGGCATTTGGTCGGCTTGCTTCCAGGGGATGAGCTTGTCTTGACCGTCTCCCAATGCGTCCGGCTAGAGTAATAGGTTAGCAAACAGTATTCTACTATTATATGGGAATATGGCAAAGGAATACTTACGTGAGTGAGGTCCCATGGGAAGTATTTCTCGTGTACTTCCAGGTTGGCAGAGACTTCGTCGTTAACTTGCTCGATAGTCTCGGGGGAGACCTTCACTCCCTCGAGTAGGACTTTGCTGTGCTCGATTAGGTACGCTTCTAGAAACAGGTCCTTGAAATGATCGAAGGCGTCGGTCAAGGGCTGTTTAGGAGTCTTGATCCCTGCAAAGACCACGGCAGTGTCGAGGAAGAGGGCTCTAGCGTAGAAAGCCTCGTCGGAGAATTTTCGCGACCAATCGAAACAATTCTTGGTTCTCGTGAAAAATTCTCGGGGCTCAAGTTCTCGGCAGAGGTGAATTCTCTCGGTGACGAAATCGTAAATATCCGCCAGAGCGATGCTAACGATACTATGACATTAGGAATTAGCAATTGTCATACTAGATAACCATTTTCAACATCTCGGGGGTGTTAAGAAGAGGCTCTGGAAATTACATACGGTGGTCTGGCCGTCCTCAAGCCCTTGAATAAGACCTTAGCCACGTGAAAAGCGTAGGGATTCTGGAGGAGAACTATAGAACTGAGTGTTAGTAATTGTCATAATTGGTAGTTCCACCCTCGAAGTTAATCGGAGGTAATAAATAGTTCTGAAAATTACATACAGTGACACTTCTTCACCGTACCGCCATCATCAAGAGCGACATCCTTGGGCTTTGTCTCCCATCGGAGACCGTAATTAAACCCCTCGAAGAAGAGGAGGTGCAGACGTGGAATGTTCTTAGACATGATGAATTTTTCGGTTTGGGGGAATACAATAATGTAAGGGAACTAACAAGCTAGATATTGTCAATCGCGTAGTAAAAATAACGAGGTAATATAATATGTGGTTGGGTGACGAGGATAGCGACACGGAAATCCTAGGCCAGAAAATGGTGTTGTGGTGAAGAAAGAAAGAAAATGAGAAAGTGGTAGAACTTTTTGTATGCTTGAGGCGAGAGTGTAGTAGGAACTAGTTCACGGTATTATTTCAGCAGGTGGCAAGGTAGAAATGTTCTTTCCTTGATCTTTCCCCGTAGAATGTACAGTGCAGTATGTAGATGCGTTAGATGCTAATTGGGCAACGCGTACTCGACGCGTTTAGTACTGGACGCGGACTGCTTTAATCATATAAATCATAATTAATGTTCCTACTCCCAACAATTGGCTGTTAGCTGAATGGTCATAGGCTGACACTCTAAATTCAATTCCCGGGAAACTGGCTGTTGAAATGGTCGGGGGTTCGATTCCCCTAGAGGTCATCTGAATTCTTCTAGTCGGACGGATCCAAGACTCCCTTGTACAACTAGGGCCCATATACAGCTTGGAGACAAATACATACCGACACTTGGGTTGAGAACATATAGACAACTTTGCGTTTATCATTGACCTCCTTGTCTAGGATTGGTATCCCATGATCAGTTGGACTCAGAGGACATAGGCTGGCACCAGGGGGTATATCATAGAAATAGCCAATGACCAAATTTTTTTTTTTGCTTCCGTCCTACTTTTCTTCCTACCATTTTGTAATCAAATAAATTTCTACTTTTTTCTTGTATATCCCACCCTACCTATGTACTTGTCCCGTACTAAATCGTTTCCTCAATTTTTCCACCACAATATTTAGCCAACTTTATTTATTTTTTTCCCGCGCCTGAGAATATTAAATCAACCAACCGCCTTCATATTAATTCGTACCTACCATCCTAGGCAACACGATCATTAGAAATCATAATTCATCCCATACCATACCCACGCATTCTAATGGAAGTCGATCGGGCATAATTTCGGTTACCCACCCGGACCGAGTCGGCGACGGAAGTAGTTATCAAACCCGACCGCCCCACATTCTAACACCTCCGGTTCTATTTTTAACCCTCGTACATGAGGTAGTCACCAAACATCCACCTTAAATCAACGTTTAAATGGATTATACTATACGTATTTGGTACCCCGCGATTTTAAGCCTTAGCGCTAAAGATAGCATTTGCATTGCAATTGATACCTACGTAGATGGGTACATATGGTGTTCATAGGATGTTCATAGGATGGAACCAACCGCTAGAGCCGCATCACCAAGTTTAGTGTAGGTGTACAACCTGGAAAGTAGCAAAGGTAGGGATTTGTTGTCGATTGATTTCAATTAATTATTCTATTTATTGTAGAATGAGAAATTTTCTATCATTACTCTTGTAGAATGTCCCCTATTAAGCGCAATCTATGAGACGGGGTATTTGGAAGTCTATGTGGGGTATACAATGGAAGGGGTGCCGGGAATGGCCACCAATCCATCTGAGGCCGTAAGAGCGCATGGGTCGCGATGAATCTAGAGACCCGGTAGTTGCGAAACTTATAGCTTGAATCGCTTGGCACATTCGATGCCTTCGGCGAACGTGCCTACCCGAGCGTCGATTGCGCAACCCTCTGATTCGAGCCTCTTGCATTCGTCATAGAGGTTTGTGAGCGGAACAAGGAAAACCTCAATGAACTCGTCTTCTTCTAATTCGGGTTGGAGATTCTGGTTTTCAGGCAAGCTCATATCAACAGTAACATGAACCATTCGCAAGTTGGTGTTACAGAATCCCGGGTCTAGCCTCAGCGTTAGCACATCATTAGAATCTTCTCCGAAGTAATGAAGGTCCCGTTAAGACGTTGACCACCCGTAGATATGAGAGAGTAGCTTACCGTTAAACATCATCGGCGAAGTTATAGCGGCCTTGGCCACATAACCTGTCTCTTCCTTCAATTCCCGGATGGCTGCTTCTTCGACTGTTTCACCCTCGTCGATAAGGCCCGCTGGAACTTCGATCGTAATTCTATCGATCGGTGCTCGATACTATTGCGAATAAGTATTGACTATGTCTCCTTATATGTAGATCATTTCCACAAGCGGTGACCATACCCCTTAAGGTAGTACAACGGCTCGCGCATGTCCGACACGAAGCCTTATAGGTTGGTGAAGTGTATAGAAGGAAGTTAGCTACATACCTGTTTTTGGAGGATAATCTCGGGGCCTGTTGGCTTCTCGAGGATGGCTACAATTCCTACACCATCAATATCGCTGTTTTTAGGCCTTGTTGTTCGCTCAGCCGATTCCCATGTTCGCTTCTGATTCTTCGGATCAGTATAAGTCAGCCTAGAGGAAGTGTGATATTAGTAAAGCGAGACAAGTCGAAGCTCACTAAGAGATGCTTCACCGCTGCTTACTTCACCATTTTGGTCCACACAGCATCGCGATTGGCCTAAGAGTACGGTATTAGAAAATCGACATAATCAGATGGATAAGGGTTATACATACGAGCAGTTCTGTAGACAGAACCTTAGCATTTTCGAATGACATAGCTGGTTGTAAATTTCTGTTTTCAATTCGTGGGTATGAGTTGTCTTAGGAGAAAATTGTGATGCAGCTCGGGCTGGAAAACCAATTGGCGTCACCGATAGTTCGGCAGCTGTGCGACAGCTGGCGTTGAAATTGTCAGGTGGAACATCTGGAGGGATAACACATATTACGGTACTGAAGTAAATACTTTTTTATTCTCTCATCACTAGTTTTCCTATTTATTATCCTATTTGCGTCCCCATTGTCATCATTCGTATAATGAAAGTGTAGTGTGGTATTTAGACTCGTCCTAGTAAAATGGCTGCGTTTCTGAAGATGTGCGGGGACCTTTTAAGGGGCTTGGTGTGGGGCAGGCAAAAAGGGGTCGCCTATTAAATAGGTACCTGGGCATAGGTATCCTAGAATGCGAAAACGACATAATATGTTACCATCGTAAGATAGAGTCTAGGTTTTTCAGTCAATTTTGATTAGGTATTTAATATGAACCTTAGAAGTATATGGAAGGAACCTGGCATAACCTCCGTACGCACCAACGTCATTATGACCGTCTAGATGCGATGTATATATGGGATAATAGGTACCTATAAATTTACATATGCAGGTAGGTTGGTTGTTCAATCGCCGAAGTACATTCGCCTCTAGGATAAGGGTAGGGGATCTTAATAGGTAATAGGCGGGCAGCTATGCGAAAAATTCGAGAACTTCTAGGATAAGGTTGTATAAAAAGGGGCATGACGGTTGGGTTTAGATTATTAAACTTTGGTTAACATCCCTATATTAATATTTTCATGTTTAGTATAGTTTACTATGCACGTAATTTATGTTTACTGATCTAAATTACTCCATGGCGTCATGGTTGCTTCTTGGGTATAGATGAGTAATCAATATGATGGATAGGATTGTGTATCATCCAAGTCTGTCTGGGCGACAACGAAAGATTCTAGTTTAAATTTCTGAGCAAAAGCATCTAGAGTGCTCTATGTTAAAGATTATTGATTAATATTCCTACTCCTATTGATTAGTTGTGTATCTTGATAAATTAGGAGTGTCGGAAATTTTGTGTACCAATGGCTGATGATGGTGGCTTGTCGATAGAATAATCGTAAAATACTACATGTGTAGCAATTGAGGGACTCGTTTTTCAAGCTATGTTATTGTATGGCCAAAGAGTAAAAGGTAGGTCGACGGCGAGGACTTCAGAAGGAATATAAGAAGCTTGAAAGGTCGGGATGAAGAGACGAGATTCAAAATCAGAAACATCAAACACCCAAATCAATTACACTGCCTTGTTTAATAGAAACCAATTAACTACCTATTCTCCCGAAAAATGTCAGCACCTCGCCTCATCGCAGTTATCGGCGGCACGGGCGCCCAGGGCATCCCCATAGTGAGAGACCTAGTCAAATCAGGCGACTACACGGTCCGGGCACTCACCCGCACCCCCTCCAGCGCCCGTTTCCGCAAGCTGCAATCCTTCGGGCCTGTGGAACCTGTCATCGGTACCTTTGCCTCAGAACAGGACCTGCGCGCTACCTTCCATGGTGCTTGGGGCGCCTTTGTCAACCTCGATGGCTTCAACTCAGGAGAGAAAACTGAGATGTTTTGGACTATTCGCGCGTATGAACTTGCTATCGAAGAAGGCGTACAGTTTTTCGTCCTTGGGAACCTGGACTATGGGTACAAGAAGGGTGGCTATAGGCCTGAGTTCAGGTGAGTTGTCATGTTTAATATAGCTGATCCCTGTCACCTGCGCCCCCTATATTTAGCGGTTGTCCCCCTCTACCCGCTGTCCCCACCTCCCTAAAAGCAACAATCCTGCATCGGAAGAAGCACCGAAGTTTTATTACCCTTCCCACTAAGCAATACACCACGGCCATGCTAACCACCAATCACGCAGAGGTGGCCACTACGACGGCAAGGGGCGCATCGGGCAATGGATTCTATCACAAAACAAGGACAACCAATCGCGCATGAAAGCCGCGCTCTTCACCACAGGACCCTACCTCGAAATGGTGATCTCGCAGAACACGCCCATGAGCCCATCCGTCGAGGACGGTGTAGTAACCTGGCGGTTCCCAGTCGGCGACGGCGCAATGACATACGTGGCGCTCGACGACTGCGGGCCTTACGTCAAGTGGCTGTTCGACCACCCGGAACTATCCAATGGTCTCGATCTCGAGGTCGCTATCGACCATATCCGCGGCGCGGAGCTAGCGCGTGCTTTTGAAAAGGTTACTGGACATCCGGTGCGCTTTGTTGATGTCTCGCTTGATGAGTACTTCGGTAAGGGGTTTGGACTTGACCCGTCGGGCCCCGCGGGTTATAACGCGGATCTTAATGATCCGGCGACTTTGACGATTCGGGAGAATTTCTCTGGGTTTTGGAATTTGTTCCGGCACTCAGGTGGTAATAAAGGTGTTCTGCAGAGGAATTATAAGCTCATGGATGAAATTCATCCTAATCGCATTAGGTCCGCTGAGGAGTTCTTCAGACTCGAGGAGCAGAAGGGTCTGCGAAAGGGGCTGGGGACTCTGTGGGAGAGAGTGCAGCCGGAGAATATTAAGGACATCTTGAAGATTACGGAGGATAACCGAAGCGGTAGGCTGTAAGTGAGGTTGTATTGAAGATGCGCGAAGGGTGATTGGGCCTGTTAGAGTTGCACAATGGTTCGTGGGTTGGCCGAGTTGCTACCAACTAGCTTCTCAGAGAGGATATTGTAGGCGTTTCGCGATTGGCGAATGGGATAGCTTATGAGGTTCCATCCCTCTTTATCTGGATCTACAGCGATTACTCTCTTTAAATTTATACTACATTATTTCTTTAGTATTGGAGATCCTCTGGCCGGAGTTTATTCTGACGATAGTCAAGGGCTAGGATGCTTGCTGTCGGGACTAGATCATCTAGTGGTGTAGTAGAATGGCCGCTAGAAAGTGACCGGCTGTGGAGATATTCAATCTGACGATGCCATTTCGCTATTCTGTAGTCGTGCGTGTCATCATTACGACTTCACGACGACGGATTGATACTAAAACCCCCACTTGCTTGAAGGCTGTTTTAAGATATTTAGGAAAGAATTATGAATCATGACAGGCAAAAGTCTTGCGCGACTCCCTATGAAGGGGTGGCTAGCTTACCGGAGATGGATTTAAATTATTGGAGGGGCGCTGCGTTTAATTGTACACTCAGGCTCCCATCAACTTCGTACTTCCTGAATTGAGAGGAACCTTTAATCACAATGAGTGCGATGTACTCCCATGCAGGCAGAAAATCATTGGATGAACATGTAGAGCATCCTCAGCATCCTCAGAGTCGTAGGCTAAGCGCACACCAACAAGATGAATCGACAAATCGTCCGCCGAGTCATACTCCTGTCGAAGTCGCAGCGGCCCAGCATGCGAATCTAGGTCCGGCGCGAAGGCGGTCGTCTGCGCCCGGAGCAAGTGGGGCCGCTACGATTGATCCTGCTGCAGCACGAACTCATCGGAAGCCTCTACCGGAAAGACCGGGTGGGAAGGGTATAATGCATATTAGCAGCGCAGCTGGAGCGAATAAGGCGCCTATACCAAAGAAATCACCGTTGAGGGCTCAATTCCGCAATGGCATCAACGCCAGCGCCAATACGAGGCAAGTGGCTCCGGAGCAGGAAGCGCCTATACAGGAGGTAGTGCATGTGGGAGGCGTCTCGAATGCCGCCTATGAACCTGGACGCATGTTACGGCAAAATGCTGAATATTTCGACACCGATCGCGATGGAATCATTTGGCCTAGAGATACGTACAGAGGATGTAGGAAACTAGGCATGTTTCAAGCTAGCTCTGAAGGTGAAATAATCTACTAATAGGGATTCTAGGATGGGGAATCCGATCATCTTGCTTCGCTATGGCCGTATCTCACGCCATATTCTCGTATCCGACCTGTCAGGGATATATACCCGATCCATCTCTTCGAATTCGGTACGACCATACCCTCGTTGATAGCCACACATCGCATAGCGAAAAGAGTTACCCGGGGCCTAATAGCCCTTGCGAAAATATCCTTTCCACATACGACAGCAGTGGTAAAGGCGGCATGTTCTTTCGTGACATGCTAAGTTTCTTGGGTTATCAGAAGCCTGTATTCAATCTCTATTATTTCAGCGTTGCCATCATCGAATGTAAGTTGAGCCATCTTCGTGCTGGGTGAGTCTCAATCGCTGAATCAACGTATAGGGTCAACCCTGTACTTTACTTTGTGGCCCCACAGCGGCGTGATGAGTAGCGACGATATTCGCGCGGCATTCCATGGTAGCCTCCTTTATCAGAAAGCCGAGGAATACCAACATGAAATGGAGGTCGACAGTAAACGAATAGGATACGTGCACGGAAACGAGAAACGATTTAGACCAGTCACATTTGTGGTTGCTGTTATTGCTATATTTGCTATCTTGATCTTGGCTGTGCAAAACTTCGCGAATACTTCATTGGACAGGCCGTCGCACTGGTGGAAGAAGAGCGGTTATTAAAAGACAAAGAATCAGCTATATCTGGATATATAAAACGGTCGATGGATTAAATTGGTAATTAATCGCAAGGTGTAGAGAATGGATTAGAATGGAGGTATTTGATCACAATCAATATAATGGGCGGGCGAGACGTTCGTAATAAGTGACCGCGAGTTTCATTCGGTTTGGCAAGCCTCCTCGCCATCCTGACAACCATGCTATCTAAATGATATTTCGTGTCTATCTGGATACTGCGACGTATGACGGCAAATCATACAAGGCGAAGACTATCAAACAAAGTGCTTTGGGCATTGGCTCATTCCTAATTGAACCAGAACACGAGGTGTGCTCAATGAAGTTGTTGATAGATATGTTTGTCCACATCAGCTCTTCTGAATTTTACTCGGCGCGTCAGGCTCGCGAATAGTGGTTAATGGAACCTTGAGCTCTAGCCAAGATGGCCCTTAACGTTCTTCTTACCCTTGCTAGTTGTCAACCCTCGTCGATTCTCGATGGAAAACAACGGGGCTAGGGTCGCATCATCTGATTGAAGGTGAGTGTCGACTACTCGGAAGCCATCCCCGTCCTTAAATAGAGTAGCATAGAGCCCAGCCAACGCACCGGCCAAGTTATCAATGGCATGAACCCGCCCGGCATCAGCATCCGACTCAATCTCTAGGACTCCCGTTTGCTGGTCAATCTTACCCTTGATCTTGCCATCTATGATCAAGAAGCCTAATATATCTTGAACTTCCGTCTCGGATATCTTGAGCTGACGCGCAACCCATGATAGCTTCATACGCGTATATGGTGCAATTAACTTGACGATTGCCTTGGTACGCATGTTACGAGTAACTTCGTCTATGTTTTCTGCAATGAAGGGGTCGGCCAAGATATCTTGGTTCTTCTGCAGTACGCTGACATAGGTGTGCATGTCGTCTCGCTGGTATGCGTCTACAAGTTCCGTCATAGCCGCTATGCGGGGATCATTGCGATAAGGCTTCGTCTCTTGCGAATCGAAGGGGTTGATGTCAGATTTCATGAGCATGGTGGTAAGCAGTAGGTATTTGAGGACCTGAATTCGCTGTAGCGATCCTGCCTCATCGTAGTTACGGAAAGATTCGAAGAAGTCACTTTGCGCGTCCTTCCAGTTCTCTTCACTCATATGCATCTTGCCTCCACACTCGCGGATGATACCCATGATTTTTGGGTGAGGTACAGCAGAGCGCACCTTAAGAGCTCTTTGATAAAGTACCTTCAACTGCTTGTTGTTGCGTGTCTCGGCGTACATCTGAATCTCTAAGGCGTAGATCTCCAGGGAATAGGTACCCTTGCTAGGGTCATCTGTACCGTCTTCCCGCTGGCAAGCCTTTTGAAGCTCTCGTAGCTTCTTCGTAACCGAAAGGTATTCCTTGCGGTCAAGGAGGAGTTTGGCTAACTTTATGTTGGTCTTGAGCCATAGTCGTTCGTTATTCGTATTCTGGAAGCAGTTCAAAGTCAGGGAATAGAACCGCTCCATGGCCTGGCGAGCTTCATCATTCTCTGACTCTTTCTCGATGTAGTCTAGCATGTTGTTTATTGACTTCTCTGAGTAGTTACGGGTGACGGCGGATTTGACGTATGTGAGGAGCTCGGTGTAATGGTCGACGGCCTATATTGCTGATCAGTCGAGGAACAGGAAGGGGAATTTCTTGATCAATGAACCACTTACCTCTGCATATTTTCCAAGTCGGAACTCCAGCTTGATGGCTTGTTTCAGACCTTTGAATCCCCAATCGCCCTTCTCGGGTTCGAGCTCCGGGATTCCTAAGAACTCTGTGATCGCCTCTTCCGCATCAGTAGCCTTTACTTGCTTGGCGTTGTAGTATTTGTTTTCGATATCGACATCTCCGGAATCGTCGGCGTCATCATCTTCGTAATCGAAGTCGTACCTGCAAGTAATTAGCTGCGGGCAAGTCTTGTCTAGACATGGGATATAGCATACTGCTCCTCGTCGGATTCTTGCATGAAATCGTCGTCGGACATCTTGGCGGTATTTTGGAAAACAATACAAGATGTCGTGAAGGAGGGGTGATACTATTTGGATGAGATAGACAAAATGAACTGCTTCAGAAGGCTCGTAAACTCCGCGTACACTAGCAATAATCGGGTGGTATATTTGGCAACTATTAAAAATTCGTTAGAGGGGCGAATAATTTCGTTATTGTAGTTGTAACGTTGATCGTTTGCACTTGTAGGCTGCGATTGAGTGTTCAGGGAGGTACGCCGATATTCTTATCTTATCGGAGCTCTTCATCGGATACGTGAATTGAACGACGTGGGGCTAATGACTGCTCAGCGGTACGTACCTTTTATACTCCCCGCATTCTAATTCGCCTTATCCCTGACCCCTGTAGGAACCTAAATACCTAGTGCACTTTCCTTGTGAAATAAATGTGGCTGGGCCACTTGGTGTGGCAACTAATTATTTGGGGACAAACAGCCCAAAGCCGTCATTTTTAATTGTTTCAACACCCATCTTATTTATCCATCAACAACATTCCTTCTCCATCGCATTACCTCCGGTTATTTGCGCATCATTTTCTTCTAGCCAGATAGCCCAGGATGTTGCAACTGAAGAAATCCTATCACCCCGCGCTTCTGCGCAATCAGCGCCGCGTCTATGAGGAGGAGCAGAAGGCGTTAGAAGAGCGCAAGAAGACCGAAGCCCGTATCCAAGAAATCAAAGAAGAGCGCGCCAAGGAAGAACTACAACGACAACTCGCCATATCTGGAGGTCGTAAAGTAGTTGATCGCGTGGATTGGATGTACCAGGGACCTAGCGATGGTCAAAGTGGTACGACTGAAGAACTCGAAGGCTACCTACTAGGAAAGCGACGAATCGACAATATCCTTACAAAGGGCTCCGACCATGACAACCTCAAGAAGTCTGCCGGATCGGAGAGTTTTATGGCTCTACAAAATGCGAATACAGAAAGAGATACTGCGATGAAGATCCGAGAAGACCCTCTCCTAGCTATTAAGAGACAAGAACAAGCAGCATACGAAACAATGATGAACGATCCCATAAAGAGACGGCAACTCCTAGCATCGATGGGCCAAGGGGAAGAGGAAAAGTCATCACGCAAGAAGGAAGATAAGCATTCGAGGCGACACAGACACAGATCACATTCAAGAGAGCACCGCCGTCACCGACACCGTCGATCCGACACAAGAGACAGAGACGAATCACGAGAGCACCGACACAGACGTAGACGAACGGATTCAAGAGATAGATCAGCAAGCAGAGACCGCTACAGCTCAAGGAAAGAACGCTACCCTGAACGCTCCGACCGAAGGCGATCAACATCTCGAGGGGATCCCAAAGACGATGATAGACAGCGAAGAGGTCGATCGCGTAGTCCACGTCGCAGTGATGATAGAGATACCACATATCGACGCCGTCAAGAATATCCCGACGAAACATTACGAGGAAGGCGACGGTACTCTAATGATCAAGATGATCGAAGAGATAACCGACGAGACGACAGGCGGGATTATCGCGACCGGCGGTCATTTAAGGATAGACCTAATAATGGCCGCTACAATAAACCCAATGAAGCCGACGGCTCTGCCGAAGCAGCTGCAGAGGAGCGCGCCCGTAAACTCGCAGCTATGCAAGAAGCCGCCTCCGATCTCGATCAGGATAGAGAGAAGCGATTAGCGTCAATCGCGGAGAAGGAGCGCTTGGACAGAGAGGCGGATGATAAGGCTCGGGAGCGTTCTGGCAAATACGGTGATAGGGAATTTGTGAACGGCTTAAGAAGGAAGCTTATCGAGTAAGGGGTGATGGTACTAGTGGTGACAATGAAAAGTCGAGACAATGTCTCCTCGATTCTCATTTAGAGGACTAGGACGGACTTGTGGAGGTGAAGATTTGGGTATTGCTATTGCGAATCGATCCCAAATCAAGCACGAAAACGTTTTTGGCAAGTTCGATGCAATCGGTATCGACTACCGCATTATTTTATGGTTACAGGGAATAGAAAAGACGCTTGTACAAGATGAATCAGACGCGAGTTCGCGAGGTTGCTTGCGATGCTTTTAAACACGGCACGGATAATCCTGACGAATTCATACGAAATAGCTAGCAATAGAAATTACGACTTCAAATTACGAAGGGCTCGTATCCGACTTTTAAATTTGAAATAAGTTATTATATTAGGCACGTAATCGTAGTTGAATTTGATTACTCGAATAGCGAGGTAATACCGCGATGAGGATCTAATACCCAACGTCGTTAAGATTGCGTCTAGAAGATAACGAAAACAAATCTAGCCGACCAGGATTCCCTATTATGCTGTAAAAAACTCCGCGCCAAAATGCAGACCTCATTTCTCGGTATTATTTCCTGAACGCCTCACCAAATGTCTTCCGCGGCCTAGCAAACACGCAACTGATTAACGTCGTCCATTCGAGGGAGACTTCGCATTTCGTTCGATCGACCTCGAGTCCCAAGGCATGCACCATATTCCGGTTTCTCTTCACCTTTTTCTCATCCTCTTCACTATCGCCTTGACTTGTACCGTCATCTTTAAATGTAACTCCCCTAGACTCGACGACGAACCCATCACTCCCTATCACCGGGTGCTTCCAATGCGTCCAAGCACAATCCGGACCAACCGTCATCTTCAACCTGCCCTCCGTAGGCCGCACACCCGGCGGCGGGATCCCACGCGCTGAGCGCAACCACTCAGCCACGACAGTATTATCAGTACACTCCGGCAACCCACGCGCTATCGCTTCCCGCAGCTCCCTTTCCCCACCATCCCCATCTCCATCCCGGCGGTACCGCCAACTCCTCATCCCACCGCCCAGCACAAAATACGCACGTCTACGATCCGGCGAAAAATGCGAAAGCATCAATTTCAAAGGCGTAGGCGCATTACTCCTAGTCCAATTCCCGCGACGCCACGGATGCAAGCCCTCGGGAATTGGCAGATTCGGGTTGCTGACGTATAGCCACATGCAAGATAAATGCTCGTCGGCGAATGCAGTTTCGAGGGCTGCTTTTAGGGTATGCGATAAGAGGCGTATATCGGCCCATAATTCTGGGAGATCCTCGACGGCGTGTAGGATGAGTGCGCGCACTATCTGTGTCCATATTTCTAGCGGGAGGGGCGGGCACCGGGAGGGTGTTGTGGTGGTAGGTGAGGTGGGAGATAAGGGTGCCGAGGGTAAGGTGGTGGCGGCCCTCGATTTTCGGGGCAAGTTCATGCGCCTTAGCATTGCGCCTATTCGGACCCTATTCCGGTATCAAGGGATGGTATGTATGTAGGTTGGTTGGTGGTTGCGTAAGAAAATTGCTTGTGCCTTGCGTTTTGCACTTTGGTGTAGCACACGCGATACAGCTGAGTTCAATGTTGTTGAGATAACGACGTCACTTGTCGGCTTTCGGGATTAGTTCACTCTTACGACAGGATGCTGAAAATTGATAGTTGGTGAAGGCTGAATGTAGTCACAAACCTCATCCTCGAAGTAAAAATTATTACAAATTGACAGTTAGTAAACTGGCAGAAATGTGAGTTACTTTCCCGGGTTTATCGCGCAATCAGACCATTCTATGGTATCTATCAATCAGATGCGCATATGTTGTACTATGCAGCCAGCACTTCTAATGGGTGGGGAGGTTCCGTCCCGACCTACTGTAATAATGGGCGTTTTGTATGTCCGAAATTTGGTGCTACGCGGAGAATCTGAAGGGTCGATCAATATGTTGGGGGGAACATGGAACTGCATCGGGCGTGGCGTGGCTTGACGTTTGCATTATATACAGCCGTAGAATTGTGTCGCATAACGTCTAGAACAATGGAACGATCTGGCTTACTTTTGAGCCTTTGTATTTGTTCAGCTGTTATGAATTGAATGCCCGTATTCTCAGCCATGGTGCCTAGAAATCAAAACTTGCTGCTCAAGAATGAGTAGCAGGCAATAGATTTGTGTTCATGGGTTGAGAACAGATGATCGACTTTGCAGATAGTCTAGCGGCTGCATGCATATGTCTAATATATCCAAGGTTCGACAGGTCCTTTGAAGAGGGGGTTCTTAGAAAAGAAAATTCTTGATGGTTCATCCGATGGTTTTAAACCAGACTGAAACTATTCAAGCCAGAGTTTTCATTAAACACCTGATAAAGGAGTTAGGCGAAGCGGTAATTTATCGAGCCTTAGAAAATGTAACTATAAGACCCAGTTAGCCGCGAGCTTCTGTTGCATTGCAGGGCGGAATTGTAACCAATAAGCAGAAGTGCCGGGTGGCTTATGAAGATCCTCATGATAGTTGACTCGTCAGCCCGCGCCGCTCCTCGAACCGTGTCCTCGGGGCTGCATTGTTAAGGAGTCTAATTTGTGACAAAGGGGATTAGTTATCTAGGGTCATTTAGCGATATCTTCATTTGGCGAAGTTCGTATGAGAGGAACCAACTTCATGTTGAGGGTTAGCAAGTAATTTAGTTGGCCATGGAGCTCTCGTGTAAGTGTGGCGTCCTAGCTGATGTTACCACCAATTATAAGGAGGTACCTACATCAGTAAAATTCACATGATTAGTTCTTTTTCCTTCTCGTCTCGGTTACTATTCTCAGCCCCAAAACCTAGGTAATCCGAGTAAATATATCGAGATATATCGAGAGTATTGAGAAAAGGAACGGATGATGAATAAAAAAGTATTAAGGAGAGAAAATGGTTACACTTTTATTATGCACGTAATTGCCTCTTGCATATAACTGGATACTTTGTAGCACGCTTCAAGCAGGAAAGTTTATAGAGCACACAGAACGCAAGGCAAGCGAGACGGAGAAGCACGTACCTAAGATATTTTGGAGAACATCACTAAATATAGCGCTTATGCAGGCATAACAGAGCCTTTGAAAATGGCCCGTGACCTCAACTAAATCCACTAAAGTCCACTCGCGCCACAGAGTACGTATACCCCCATATTACTTAAGTTCTCTAGGTATCCGCCCGCTAAACCCCTTTGCGACATGCTGAGGCTTATGATTACCCTGTCTGACTTCATTTCCGCCAACTTGAAAAAGGCGATGATTACCTTGCGATTTAGTTAAAGTTAGGTTAGTCTAGCCCAGTCTAGCCCTTCGAAGCTGGGATTAGTTTACTGTTAGTTACTTCATCGTAAACTCCTCACGATTTCCTCTTCCCTACCTTACCTATCTACCTTCTTAGTACATTCCATCTCCCATAGTCGTTGGTCGATCTCCCTTGTACCCTTTGGGTTATTCTTCAACAACACGCGAGACAACCTATTTGGTGGTTTTTTTTTTTTTCCTTCGACTCCTCACGACCAAATTTCTGTCACCAATTCAATCACATCACGTTCGATCGGGATTGCGCCGGCCCTCCTCCAATCGACCGACACGACCCCCAACTCTTCACTGCACTGCAACGTTTCTAGTCGTATCGCCGAGCCCATTTAATTCGATCTCCAATTCCAGACCCTCCCCTTTTACTATCTACTTCGACGTCTATTACGCTTATCCCATCTCGTCAGCATACCCTTTTTGACGGTTTTGCGACAACCTCAAAATGCCGTCGCTCTGTGGTTTAGGAGGGTCCAAGACCGTCCAGCGCAAGCTAGTTCTTTTGTAAGTCTAGTCGCCGTCGCGAGAAATTGTCGCGTCCCAACCCGCGCCAGAAATTCACATTTAATCTACTAACACCTCAACTTCACCAGGGGAGATGGTGCGTGCGGCAAGACATCACTATTGAACGTCTTCACAAGAGGTTATTTCCCGACAGTCTATGAGCCTACGGTCTTTGAGAACTACGTTCATGGTACGTGCAACATTCCTACAAGCTACCCCCACATTTAAGGAGCATGTTCCGGCGCGTTATACTTGAAATATGACAATGAAATTTCAAATAGTTCAGGGTTAGGATCATTCGCTCACTAGATAATAGATATCTTTGTCGACAACGTGCACATCGAGCTTTCACTATGGGATACGGCCGGACAAGAAGAATTCGACCGCTTACGAAGTCTTTCCTACGACAACACCGACGTGGTAGTCCTCTGCTTCAGCGTAGATAGCAAGGACTCGCTAGAAAACGTGGAGAGCAAGTGGGTTGGTGAGATTCAGGAGAACTGCCCCGGCGTCAAGTTAGTCTTGGTGGCATTGAAGTGTGATCTACGAGAGAACCACGACGAGGATGACGATGCGGCGGCTAGCGGAACAGACGGTCCCCAACGGGAGAAGAAGCCTATGATCGATTACAACCAAGGTCTAGATGTTGCGCGACGAATCAAGGCTATGCGATATCTCGAGTGCTCGGCCATGAGGAATCGGGGCGTAAACGAAGCATTCACTGAAGCTGCTCGGGTAGCTTTAAGTGTCAAGCCTAGCGGCGAGAACGAATCGAAGTGCGTCGTTATGTAAGATCAGGATGGAATTGATACCAAACAAACCCGACACGAATTTCCTTCTACCGGCCGAGCACGAGCGCAGGAGTCTGGGACTATGAAAACATTAATTCCCCTTCCTTTTTCTTCTACGAACGCTGGCATACATCGGCCACCTCTATATCCAAGTGCGCAAGCACAGTACAACACTTGGAACATACCATGCTTGACGAGATCCACTTTGTACCATCTGATGATCACCCCCTTCCCTGTACATATATTTATTTGTTGGACTCCTGCGCACATACACCGGCTTCTTACTAGGACTTGTTTTTATCTGTTTTGTAATCACAAGGGACGGAATTCTGTTGATGAGGGAGTTCTATTTTCGGAGAAGTGGCTGCTGTTATTTGTGTTTCTAGTATGGTTAGATGAGGTCACCACGAGAATCACCTCGTCTTTCTTTTGTCCTGTTAGGTAACCGGGGATGACCGGCTGAGTCAGCACGGAACTGAGGAGTCAGATATAGTAAAAAGCTAATTGTCCATTTCTGGTCCTTATTTTTCCTTTTGCTTTCCCTTGAATTTGCGCATATCCTTACGGTCTAGCCGAAGGAATCGACTACTAGTCAATCAGCTCAAAGGGATGAGTACCTATGTAGGCTCGAATGTCCATACCATTATAAAACTCACTTTTCAGTGAACTTCAATGGTCTGCTATCTCATTCCGTTCACTACAATACTCTGACCAGTCAGCAAAGAATTGATAAATGTTCAATCGTATACCTCGGCACAGGTCCTATTCGAGAGTTAGTGGCGCCCGAGAGCTTTTCAAGAAATATCGGTGCTTTGAACGTACGCCGCTCTCACCGCCCCTTAGTTCATTACTATACACCTTTTGACGAGCTTCTTCTAGCGCTCCCAGAAGCGTTTCAAATTTTGACAAGTCTTGGGACCATCCGTATTCAACAGTTTCCCAGTCCTGGCCCCAGGGACTAATACCAGAAAGTTTGCACAGAAGTATTGACTGCATAGACGCCGCGCGATAATTTTCTGTCTTAACATAATGACATATCAATTCGATCAACGTGAGCGCCGGGTGAGGAAGCGAGACCTCGGTATCGGGGTAGGATCTGCTGATATATTTTAACGTCGTTACCAATGGACTAACATAGATTTTCCCTAACGGATTCGAGCCAATGACATGTCCGTATATAGCAGATGTGTTTGTATCGACAACTGGAGACCCCGAGTCCCCACGGGTTAAGTCTGGAAGTATAAGATTGTAGATTCAACTCCAGAAAGGGGACGACCACTCACCTTCCCCGTCATTTAAGATGATACACCACACTTCGGAGGGACGGTCACCGTTGATACCACCTAGAAGGGCAGTCGACGGTTGAAGAACGCCGCGTTTGACTACATATCGCGATACCACAATAAAGACATTCCTTTTTTGCCGAGGGAATTCCGCAGCTTTTGTTAACATGAATTTCTCACGCCCAGGGTAGTCCGGGTCCACGAATGAGTTTGGTCTATGGTTAATGTTGCCTTTATGGTTAATTGCGACGAGAGAGACTATTACCCAGAAAGCTTTCCTACAGAAGACTTGAGAGCAAAATGGGAATCCACTCAGACTTTCGCTGACTTTCTCAGGAATGTATTCCAGCAGCAGACAGGTTCCAAGATAACCTTATATGCAGATGAGAACAAATCTCTCAAGGCATGGAAGCTTTCCAAGAGATATGGTATTAAGATCAGGGACACAAATAACTTGCTGGAACACCTGTTGTATAACCCGAGGGAACGGTCTCTCCTATTCTTTCACCAAGTTGAGTATTTACGTTCTCAATTGCGACGTTCAAGGAGTATGGACTTGGATTCGGAATTTCCAGAGAGTTTGACACTGCAAGCGGATTTATATACACACTTGAACTGATGCCAACCTACATCCCCACTACAGGAAGACCCTCCCACCACAACTTCTTCTCGAGACTCTGCTATCGGTGCATTCAATCCTTTTCCCGATAGCCAATTACGGAAGCAAGCGATCCATCTCCCTTCTCAAGAAATACCTCCGAGACCAGAACCTTGATAGCGAGCTTCTCTAGGTTGAGTCTATACGGCCTATCCCCCCTAATTTCGTGTTTAAGTACTGGGGGAGGCGGCTAGAGAAGCTTCAACAACTCACAAAACGACCACTACCAGGGAATAGTCTGGTATCTTGGATAGAGAGACACACATCAGAAAGAAATGCATTGACGGTTGCTGTCGTCAGATTGTTTCTGGCTATTTTATTTGGTTTTCTTGGGGTTGTTGTAGGGGTACTCTAGCTCGTTGTAGAATGATTGGCTTATAAGAATCATTAATGAATGCAAGGCAGTAATATGAGAGCTTCTGTATAACTCATTGTCTGGTAAGCTATCGCATATCTACTCATATTAAGAGTATAATCGGAGCAGTTTACTTCCAGCCGTGTCCCCCTTTAGACCTTAGGCTTCCTTCCAATGACAGTGCGGCGCGTAATAGCAAAGCAAGCGCCGGCCACAGTCTCCTTATGCACCTCCGGCAGCAACCGCTCTACTTCGTTCCTCACGCTTTCATTACGAGTCTGCCGCGGGATAATCTCATGGATGATCAATTGACACTGATGCATCGCAAAAGCGAGGTGGGGCTCAGGCTTGCGGAAGTCCATCTCAACATCCTCGAATCCAGCTTCTGAGAAGAGTTGGGTCATTTCGCCCACCCAGGTGGCCTGTAGCCTTAAGTCCTGTCCCAGCGTCATTTCCATTAGTCGTTTATGGGCGTCCGTTTTGTTGTCGGGATGAATTTTATCAATGCGCCAGTCGTGAATATCTGACTCCCCCCACTGCAGATAACCACCTGGCTCTAATGGATTATCGCCGTTAGCGTGCACGAAAGTAATGAACTTATAATTTTGCTTACTGAGTATTTTCAACAAGTTGGCTAATACGTGCTTTATCTCGTCGTTCTTGATGACGAAAACAAAGTTTCGCATATTGACAACGTCATAAACTCCCACAAGGTCATCTAGTACGTCTCCCTTGACATCCCAGTGTCGGACGGTTACGTTCTGAGGGAGCCATTCTTTAGGCGGCAAGGCATGGAACGAAACATCTAGTGCGTCCAACTGTACGGAGGATGGGAGACGGGCGCCGAGATCTGTAAGCCATACTCTGTTGCCGAAACCGTTAGATCAACACGCTATGAAATACACGGTACTTACCCCGTGCCTGTTCCAACATCCGCTATTCTCAAGTCCGAACCATCGATCGGGATCTTGGGATGCGTGCGGTAGCCAAATACATCGATCCAATGGTAGTGATAGAGATTAAGACTAGCAACGAGAAAATGTATAGGTCAGTTGGTTATATTTTCATTGCTGGTCTCATAGCATGGTGGACTAACCGACTATTGTCAAGGTAGTCGCGTGCTAGGACATAGTCGTTTTCGGAAGGCATGATTTGGTTGTAAAGGACCTGAATCGATAAACTGCTAAAATTTATTTTATTCTATTGAAGTGCTACGTTGAATCAATGAGTATCTCGATATTGGCGAGCTATTTTATCGTTGAGCCAGAGCGGAGCGCCGGATAGCAGGATGTTATTCTATCTACATACGACAAAGGAGAACGCAAGGGTTACTGCGGTTCAAAACAAACAGCATTATTCGATGTCCTTCCAACACCTGCCTAGGTACCTATGTACCGCCTATCCCAACTTGCCCACATCCCTGGATACAATACATAGAGGCTTTGTACTACACTTCTTTTAATAGACACATTTATGTAAGGAGAATGCCATGTCTCGCCAACCGCCACAATGGTACGCATACCTACATACGTACGCCTTTTCGAACAAAGTGCTACATGATTTTATAAATTAAACCCTTAATAGAAGAATACCTAATCAAGTCATTATCCCTTTGGTGGTAGAAGATCGTAAACCTCACGTCACGTACACCGTATCCGATATAAAGGTAAATAAGCATCATTCTCACGCCAGGGGGGGGATGATTACGTAACAGTGCCAGCTTCATTAGAAATCCCTAACATTAATAGTGTAATGAGGGCCAAGCGAAATATGATGTTCTAATACGATAGGTGTAGGCCAGACAACCCCATTTTCTTCGAGTTTTATCCAGAACGTTCCTTTATGATAGCGATTCAGAACATGGGTGGAACCATAAGGATTGGTATTGGCAATATATTATATGCCCCAATTCTAGACAACAGCATTTAAAGTGCTACTATTAGGTGTGCGCCTGTAGCTCATGAAGGTATCCCATGACTTGGGCACCTAACGGTCGAGGGAAGAGTGTGGAAGGCCATCTTGAGATTTATATATCTGTGTTATTATCACAATATAGAAGAATATAAGACGCTTTATTTAACTGTAGTGGGCGTAAGCCCAATTACGTATATGGTTCTCGTACCTAGGTAGGAATGAATCGTTGGATCGGCCCGAACCGATATGTGTACGAACTCTCTTCGCCACGTCGACTCTCGAAGTTATCTCGGCCGCATCGATTTGAGGAACCACAACACAAATAGCACTTATGTAGAAAGGGATAAAGTTCTAGGGACGGGCCAATGACATAATGGAGTCGTCTTTTAAGATCTTCTGTTATACCATCATCAAAATTCATTCCAGGGTGCCAAACGCAATTCCATTAACCTTTTGATTGAGAAATTTTCGGCTTCGCACGATCATCGTAAAATATCGTCTTTCATAATGTGATCCACTCGTTACTACTGATATCTATGTCGAGCCCCGCCACCCAAGTCTCAAAGTCGAGGTTATCAAAGTTATCCATGTTCATAATTTCAGTATCACCTGACCTTTCGGCAGAAGAACTGGCTTGGGTCTGTTGCAGGATTGACGCGGGACTTCCTAGGCCTATCGCGGTGTTTGAAGGCGTTGTAGTAGCCGATGTAGTTAAGTTATCCAGGATCTGATCTAGTTTGTGCGAGATAATTCTTGCAGCCTGTGTACAGAACATATGGTTCGTTTCTCCAGGACTAGATACACTCTCTAGCTGATGAACAAGTACCGAAAGGTTTCGTATTAAAAGCGACCGGTTTATGTTAGGTGGGAAGGTTTTTGTCATGTCCTGTAGTACTGTAGTAAGGATCGCAGACGATGGTAGACCATAGGATAGGATCTTACGCTAGTTAACAAAACAAGAATCGACTGAGGCAGGATCAAAGGAGACGCGTACAATTGTAGGGAGGTCGCGGGGGAGAAAGAACGCTCTGCTCCGAGCGTTTGCTATTTGCACGACCGCTTCGAGCATACGTGCCGACACTTCAATTATTTCCGGTCGGGGGCTTAAGCGATCCTTTTCGAGTAGCCGATAAAGTTGAAAATTAATGTGGAGGTATGCGAGATATACCTTTGCCAGCATAACGCAGATTCCAGTTGATAGATCCGATGTCCAACAGTCCGGGTTATATTGAAAATGGCTGGGTAGGGATTTCCAGGTAAGTTGAAATTGACTCAGTAGGTTCCTAAAACATATGATTATCTACACATTGATATCAACGGGAGTATTTCTACCTTATCTCAGCATCGTTGTTGGATTGTTCCGACCTAAATTGGAGCTCAACAGTTTCTTCGCGGAACCCTGCTAGAATGTAGCGTATTCGAGCCCATGTAGTTGGCCTGTGACCTCCCTGTATGTTCCACCCATCTGGTGAGAGGTTCTTTCGTGCCTGCTCCAGTATCTCTGGGACGGTGGCGAAGAGTTCGTCCTCTGATAAGTCGAGAGGTGCCTTACAATCCGCATACCGCGCAGGTATTCGGGGTGGTCGATAGAAAACTGCCGCAAATATTTTATCGATATGATATACGGTGGCAAAAGTCTTCCTTCGGGACTCGGCAAGAAAGAATGGCACTTTTTCAGGGGAATATGCTGCTTCGCGATGTAGACTCAAGGCAAAGATATCGGTAGCTAGGTCGCCTGCTCGTCTCCAAACTCCAAGACCTCGCTTATTGTAAGTATCTGAGAATTTTTGTTGTAAGGGAATAGACAACGTAACTCACTTGCGTCTCCTTCAATAAGGGTTGTAAGTTGTAGGTTCTCGTGAGCGAGCCATATTATAAGATCGTTCGATTGCGATGAAAGTTCGCGGGCAAGCCGTAAGCATAAGCTACCGCACCTAATTATCTCCTCAATGAAGCCGTCACATCCCTTCCCATCACGGTCCATACCACAAAAGTAAGAGCGCGCTGCGGTTGTATATAGAAGACCCAGCGTCTCTATTCGTAGATTCGCTCCGCAGAACAATTCGCAAAAGCCATTAACGTCTAAGGATCCTGTGACATTGACTTCAGTCGACGATGAACGTAGTAGGTCTTTAGCAAGCTTTAAAATATCAGGGGTGGAACCCGTCGGACTATCTCCGATGTAGTCCGAGGTTGCCGAACTATCTCGGATAGATTTGACGAGTTGGGAGATAATTGGCCTTGGTAAGAGTGCGACTTGGTTAAAGGAAAGATATTGATTGACAAGCCTTTCTATGTGTGTTAGGAATTTCAATTGAGACACAATATCCTTTGCGGCAGCCAAGTGTTCTTGGTAAGCCTTCTGATGGTAAGTCTCATGTATAAGAGCTCTTGATGTGCCGTGTGGGTCATTCAACATGAAGGGCCAAGTATGAAATTTCGGCAGTCGCTCAGTTGAAGAATTCTCTACAGCACTAGCCGTAACTTCATTTCGTTCAATAGAGCTCGGTTGGACAAGGATTGGTGAATCGGATCGTTGCGGCCTTCGTTGTTTTGTAAGTGGCGCGGGATGGTACCAGCATTGCAACTCAAGCCCACGACGTTGGCAGGGGCCACAGATGGGTCTCTGATGGTCACAACGAATTTTGGCCTTCCGACAGCGCTCACAGGAAGCCTGCGAGCCATTACGCCGACGACTCGCCGTCGACATGATAGGTTCTATGAGTGAATGTATGGAGGATATAACAAAGCGAAAAAGCAATCAGTAAGCGCGGATATAATCGGACATGATGAAATGTCGCCATAACATCGGAATAGTTCCGTCGGACTAACCGGCATAATCGGACTAGTCATACCAACTATGGATTAGCTACAAACCCATGTCATCATGTCATCTAGGGAGTGGAGATTATGAAGCGAATTACATCTAAGCCGAATCAACGGACTAGTATGGCTCGAAATATATGCAGAAGTTTATCGATCGATGTATTTTGTTGGGAGTACTGCCAATGCCTACCAAAATAAACATATACACATACAGATATTCGGAACGATCCGACGGTTAGAGGCCGACGCCACGATCGGACCGTCGCCGATGTGTATCTACGTACTTAAGGTAGGATAGCGTTGACGAATCAGAGGGCAGCGACATCCCCAAAGAGGAAATCCCATCGGAACATCTCCGATAGCATCGAAGAAGGTTCAACCTAACCTGTCCAAAATTGCGGTGTATTCTCACATTTTTGCAATTTTAATGGTTAGCAATTAAAACTGTTTTCGTTATATCTCGTTTCATTTTATGGATATAGAATTTCGTGGGTGATACGAAGATTGAAGTGATTCCCGAGATTTCCTCAGCTAGCTAAAATATTCATCATCGGAAATAAGTCCGAAAAATCTCTTGACTAACTCTTCTGACCCCCGATACTCTTTTTCTATGCCCCACCCTATTTCAAGCTGAAAACAATACCTAACACGAAAGGATCGATCTCTGGGCTCGTGTTACTCGTCGGTCGCCTTCTATTCGCCGAGGCATTGGGTGCGGTTTTCCCTGGGCGGTAGTTTTGGCCACCACATGGTGGCATTTTATAGTCCTTGGCACCGGCGGTAATGTTAATTTCTGTGCTCAACGGGATCTATTCCAGCTATTTGGAAGTCTTACCTCGCTATTGATGTTGGATAGAGCTTGATGTAGATATGCATGCTTCTGGTGCAAGATGGGCGCTGATTGAGGACTTGTTGAACTCGGCGACATCTTCGAGTTCGATCCAAAAGTTTGTAACATAAAAAGGCCAATATTTTTATCAAAGCTAGGTGAGAGACATAGGTTCTATATCACAGCAATATTTTAGACTGGAGTTGGAAGATCGAAGATGCGAGATTACAGCATATTATATATGCATAATCCATTGTAAAGATTCGCGCCATAACCGGCCTAGAAACAGGTTTTAGGGACGTATATCGGGGTTGATTTCCTATATGCTCTCGGAATAGTTGGCATTCAGCACGGTTTATATGTTATATGTTCTAAGTAGGCCGGACTAACCTCAGACGAGGCCAGACTCCACTACACGGAATAGGCAAAACGAGGATTCCTATTAGCAGAATAGCTACTTGTTAGGGTTCGTACTCATAGCGACGTATGCCTCTAATCTGCCATCCATAAGGACTGCAGCTAGTCACTTATTTACTTGTAACAGCCCAAGGATCCCTTCGCCATAACACATGGCAGCCAATAACGACAAAATTCAGATATACCATTTAGACTCTCCAATAAAGGGTTATTATTATAATAACTGATTATCCAAGACATAATAGCACCCTAGAAAATGCTATCTACGGGAGACATACGGGTCTTTGTTCCGTTGACTCTTCACATATCAACAAAGAGCATGGAACATCTTGTTCGAAATCAAACACATTGTTTCGCATCAATAAGTCTGTCCTGAAAGAGTATTTACTGTCTGGTGGATGATATTAACCCCTCTATATCTAGATTATGGCTAACTTCACTCTCCACATATCTCCACCATGTCAACCTTCAACTGTGGTCACACGCTTCCAAAATCCCGCGTCGGCGCGAAACTTTCTCAGATTCCTGGCAAGCGCTGCCCAGAATGTCAAACCAGGGCTGTCAATGGCGTTCTTGGATTGCTGACAAACATGCAGAAGCCCGAAAACGTACGCGATCCCGATGTAGACGAATATCTCCTGACGTACATCTTTGATCGGTTTGTGTCCCAGCGAAAGTCTACTGCGGCGGGCTTCAGGCAAAGATTCAAGGAGGTTCTTGGTGCTTGGAGTCAGGCGACTTATTGTCTCCTGGACCGAAAGCGGATTTCGAATTGCCTAGATACCGCAAGAAGCCGATGGGGCAGCGACGTTGCAACCCAAGCACTACGAGCTCTAGGAGCAACAGCACTCAAGATGTGTGGCATCTACTCTCCTATTGAACCAGTTGCAGTAGACTTCGTAATTCCTCTTAACGGGATGATTGACCTGTTAAGGACACGAGCTACCACCGTAGAGTCTTTCGATCAACTAGAAGTTATCTTTGATAACGCCGCGACTCTCCGGGAGGCTGCTGACGATGTTATTCGTGCATTCGCACGAATTAATGACGATTTCGATAGGTGGAATACCACGGTTAAGAGGTAAGTAGTCGATAGGAGTGAAGTCTATGCTACTTACCCCGGCAGGGTTCTTAGTTTACTAAATGAGATATAACGTTGCATCTTCAATTTCAATAACAGTTGCTATATGGTTGTATTTAATGCATCTATTTTTAGTTACTGTTTTTTAATTGATTTGCTGTTTCCTGGGAAAATCTTCATAGTTAGCGGGCATGATATATGAATGAATATAGCAATATAATTAAATTTAAACCCATTCTCTTAATAAATGATAAACAAGGCTATCTAAACAAGTTGTTTTTTATGTGAAATCCTAAGTGAAATTGTTAGAAAAAAGGGAAAAAGTAGCTTACCTAATCCAGACTTGGCTCAGGGGTAAGGTAACCAGCGCCAGGCCTAGGTGACTAGGGACAACGAAAAAAGAGAAGACCTCATAAATCAAAATTGTCCACCCCCCCTTGGCTTACTGCTAAAATTAGATATGATCTCGATTAAAGTTATCAGATCGTTGAGGATCATATTCGGTTACGTAAGATTAACCAAAATCCGATCCAAGGAGATAATTATCTCCTTTTGGAAATATCCCTAGAGGAATCTCCCATTAAAACCGACTCCTTTCCTATCTCGTGCCAATAACAAGGCCTCTCGCCCGAGCCCGTCGGCCGCTGACATAATGGCGATGTTTCGCGACGACCGCGAACGCGAAAGGATCTCGTAGGTCAGCAGAACGGTGCATATTCGCGTAGACTTTGGTGAGGAACGATACGATCTTAGCGTAAGATGGACCAAGGATAACGTCCGTTTCAGCACAACATAGCCTCATATTATTACCAATAATGTGAGCTGTCCTTCAGCTCCTCCAGCAACTCGCACTAATATTCAACACTACTAGTTCCGAGCATTAGTTACTATAGTCTATGGACTAGGTGCTTCATGCGGTTACTTGCCATACCGCAGTATGCTTGGGCAAGAAACGCGGCATTAGGAGTTTGCTGGTTGAGAGGCCGAGAGCAGTTGAGATGAAGAGCTCGAAGGTGACGTAACAAGATGTAGATAAATACAGCTAAGAAACTCCTCACTTACTCTCTTGAAATCACACATTATCACCATTGGTTACATCAGTCCAAGAATCTCCATATCCGAATTTACAAATCATGTCTCCTACCATAGTCCTCATCAGCGGCGCCGGCAGGGGTCTAGGTAAAGGCCTTCTCGAGCGGTTCCTCGCCAAGGAGAATCACATCGTCATCGCCGCCAACCGTGACCCCGAAAGCCCAACCTTCAAGGCTCTTAAGGAACTCCCCGCGGGCCCAGGCAGTCGCGTAATCGTTGTTAAAGTTGATGCCTCTGTCGAGTCGGATGCATCCGCAGCGATCGACGAGCTCACCTCCACCCATGGCATCGATCATTTAGACATTGTAATTGCGAACGCTGGGATAGCTTACACGTTCCCCACGGTATCGCAGCTTAAGGGCGAGGATTTGATCAATCATATCACTCCCAATGTGCTCGGGTTTGTGTGGCTATTCCAAGCTGCGATACCGCTCTTAAAGAGGTCGGCGAACCCGAAGTTCGTGACTATGGGCTCTGCGACAGGATGGCTTGGGGTAAGTCTTTTCGTTAATTAATAACTTCACGTTCGATTAGCTGACATACTCCATAGTAAGTCTATTAGCAGGCTTCGGACCTACTCCGAAATCTTGTGTTACTCGAGCTAAAGCTGATATTCTCATAGGCAACAGATTCCTGTAGCGAACGCCGCGTACGCACCTACTAAGACTCTAACGCATTGGATGACTAAGAAAATCAGTGGGGAGGAGGACTGGCTTCTTGCTATGATTGCTGATCCGGGGTGAGTAACATTCTTCTAGTATTCCGAGTATCATTCTAACCGATGGGGTAGCTGGGTGCAAACAGACATGGGTAACAGCAGCGCGCGCATGCTCGGTCTTCAAGAAGCCCCCGATAGGCTCGATGAATCCTGCGATGGTATCGTGAAAGTGATCGATGAAGCCAAGAAGGAAATTCACGGCGGGAAAATGTGGAGCTACCATGGAAACGAGCAGCCATGGTAAAAACACTCAATTTTCATGCGAGCTTAGATAGACTTGCTGCTTGCAAGCCAACTCCTCTCAATCATGTTGTTATTATGTAGAAGTATATATAACGAAGATTAGTCCGCATGCTGTTGTTACCTGCCCAGGTGGATAAAAAATGGTAGCCCACCTGAGGCCCAGTACAATATGTAAATGAAGTAAAGACCCAGGTATATCCTCCCTCAACCATATATAAGCGTATAATATTCATTATTCCAAACAGACTTTCTTCAGTGATGCAATGACAAGTTAAGAAAATTCCAGGGTTGTCAGTGATTCCAGCTCTTTACCCCATCATCCCAGCCCTCATTCATAACCCACTGTCAATCTGATTCGGCACGGCCTTCTTCGTGAAATCATTCCAATCGTGGCAAGTCTGCCGAGCGTCATGCGGTATATGGTAATTCAGCGTGGCTAGTTTGTCGGGTTGGAAGAGCAGCTGTGAAAAGAAACCGGCGGACGAATGCCATGCGGTGTGGCAATGGAAGGGCCAAGCCCCTGGGTTTTGCGTCGCGTCGAGTTGTACGACGATATAACCGTTCGCACCGACCATTTGAACATCACGACGCGTCGGGCTTCGTGTATTAAGTGGCGACGTCTCGGTGTAATTGCCTGTCCCGGCGGCTAGGATGTACATGTTAAGGCCGTGAGCGTGCATTGGATGGGCACTGGAATAAGAAGTTAGAGAAATGATTATTCCTGAGGCAAATTAGAGGGTAAGTACATACGCCGGCGTGGGGTTATTTATTATAAGACGTATAGATGTGTTGGTGCCGTAGTTGATTATATTATACTCAGGATCGAACTCGAAGCCCGTGTCGGCGGCTCGTAATAGAACTGGATCGTTGTAGTCTACCCTCGCGGCGACTCCCTATATTTCACAGCGTAAGATGAAGGGCCAATTCCCACAACTAAGAATGAAATCTTACACCGAACTCCCAGAGAAAATTGCCGCTTGAATTGCGATAGGCGCTGATGTCCATGTGCTGTGTCCATGATGGCTCGGGCAATTTCATGGGGTAGAGGGGTTCTGCAAGGTCTGTGTCGTCGGTCTCGCAATTGTCTGGGCTCGCAATAGGCCAAGGTGTGCTAGTCGGCATAGTATTGTTATCGGCACCCTCATAATAAATTGCAGCAAGGGCCAACGGCTGTTTACTCTTATTACACTTCAATTGAGTCAGCAATTGTTTCTTGAAGAGGCAAGGGGTCTAAAACCCTTGGTATGTCTTAAAGCAATTATCTTCAATCAACTTAATTGGGACGTTTAAATAAAGCAAAAAAAGGGAGAAAGGCAAGACTTCTCGGTGTAACATACAGACGTGATGTTTGAGCGCAGCCAAAATGCAGAACCCGGTTCGGCATGGGCATGGACAACGACATCGACTCGTTGACCCACGCCAAGGACGACCATTTGCGTCTCGTAAGGTTCGACAGAGACGAAGTCATTTGCTATAACCGTCATATTATGTCCGTCAATAGTAATCCGTTGGGTGCCTTCCGCGCCGGCATTAATGAAGCGGAGACGGTGGTTCATGGATGGCGTAAACACAAACTTGGATAGACCAGCATCATCAGTACAGGGAGTCGTATCGTCAGCATCGACAGTCGAGCAGTCAAAGTTCATTTTTCCGTTAATCAAATTAGTATCTGAAGTAGTTTGGCCGTTAAAATTAGGCGACATGACTTGTTCGACGACGGCAAAGTAGTCTTCATGCCACCAATCTGATGAAGTCAGTTAGTAACTCTTTGGCGTCTTGTATGCATACCCAGTTACATACCGTTGATCATAACTGGTCCGAGATCGATATCGTATCCCACATTCCTGGGGCCATATATGACGATAGGACCATATAGACCGCCCGCGTATTGCGCCGAGTAATGAGAATGATACCACGACGAGCCATACAACTCTGCTCGAAACTTGTACGTGAAGCTCTTTCCGGGCGCGATAGGGCATTGGGAAACGCCAGGCACGCCGTCCATCCAAGGTGTTCCAGTCTGAAGGAAGCCATGCCAATGAATCGCAGTACCTTCAGGTCTTTCGTCCCCGATGGAATTAGTGACCTCGACCTCGATTTCGTCGCCCCAATTGGCTTCGATTAACGGCCCTGGGAATTGATCGTTGACGAGTAGTACGGGCTTCTTGTACCCATCCGGCGCGATTACTCCTCGACTGATATTAAACTCATATCTGCGCGTTATTCCGGTGTGTGGCGCGTCGGTATAAGGATTGCTTGACCCGGCCGACCTGTCGCCCCATGGGATGCTACCCGATCCTTCGATCCATAACGGAAGGGTTGGGACCATAAGCGTGCCCCAAAGCGACACTCTAGAGAGTATTTGGTTAGATGTCTTGAACTTCTAGGATGTCCGGATAGTTGTTATTGTCTTACCCATTCTGAGCGGTCAACGAAAGTTGTCCGATTAAGCTACAACAGGAGTTGAAGAAACCCATTACAAAATCATTAACGATCGGACGGCTTCATAGAAGCCAAGGAATTAGGGGGTTAAATTCAAAGTTGAACGGAACAATTACGTGGAAGCCATGTGGATTTACATGAACAGATTAATCTGTAGCAGAAGAGGAGGATGTCGAGTCCATTATAAGATTCCGATTGTTGTTGCATCGGCAAGCTTTTCCGCAAGCGCTCACCCGGGAATTGTGAGACATCAGATATCGTGGTATGTGCCCTCACTAATGTCTATGATGCTTGTTATCTTGGAAACCGGGAAAGGGGCCATTCTCGTTATAGCCCGAGTAGGCAGAATCTATGTGTTGTAAGTGGATTGTATCCTGGTTTTTGTCAATCAAAGCTGCATGCAACATGCTATTAGTTGTCAGACCTAACCGAAGGAATAAGTATCACCAACGCTGAAGCGACGATTTATGCCCGAAAGAGTAATGTCGCGTCTGGAAAGCCACCTAGTTGACATGAGTATGCGCCGACTGTCTTAGAATATGGCTGATTCTCCCATAGCTACGGCTAAGGGGCTTGAGACATGGCCGCCACTATCGATAAAAATCCCAATAAATCTCGGACCGCGACGTTGACATCGGGATTACCTGTATTCTCCCCTTTAGGTACCTGCCCAGGTAGGTAATTCCATAGTGGCTATTGGTAGCTTTCAACACCGGCTAGTGATAGAAAAAAAGTCCGATCTTCGTATTTTTTTTTTCTCTCAACAAGGATATGCTGAGCTGTTATCGTGAGAATTTTCCGAGCAGACGATATATCAGCTCGAGTAGCACACCCTCGGATAACTGATCGTACGACACCGAATATTTCGAGTAATATCGGAATTCTAATATTGGCTGACTAACCAGTGATATACAATATGAACAAGAGTATTTAGGGGTGGAAATAAGGGGGAAGAGCCGGAGAAACTCTGTATGCATATTGTTTTGAAAGTTTAAGGACGAAAAGCCTTGGTTGATTGCCTTTTCGAGAAATCCCTTCGGTCGATTCAACTTCACCGTCTTCCCCTGAAGGAATGGTTCGATGTGGCTGTTTTCGGAGATTTGATGGGGTAGGTCATATATACCTATGCGTGGTACTTATGTCGCGCTAGGTAAAAAACAAAATTGAAGATGAATATTTAAAAGGAAGCATATATGACAAGCTCTCTTCATCGGAAGCTTTTACGAGTTGTTGAGCAAACTTTGATGCTGAGCTGATTACCTTGCCGAATCAATAATCTTACTAGGTTAATATGGTCTCCTGGTTTCTTAATACACGATTTTGGAGAATAATATATCGCAAAATGCTGTTCAGGACTTATTCCCGTTTGTGGGTGCATCGTATGCTAAAGTGGTGGAGATATAGTTGCTTTTTATTGTCGTAGCCGCAGCAGAGAGCACTGCTTGACAGCATTCGTCTCACCGGGTCCATAGTATTAGCTTATATACAAGTAGTCAATATAGTACAACTTGCTGATTCGTGCAATGTGCATTGGCGGTCCTGGCTGTGCGATGTACGGCGAAATCGTAGCTTTTATCCAGTTGATCGTTGGTGCATGATGACGAACATTCCTAAACGACCTGTGTTCGTTTAAATAGTATACCCATCCCCTCCGGACTTATAAACTTGGTGGGAGTGGAGTCAGCGAGGCCTGGCCATTATTATGCTTTTGTATGTATTCTGGCATGATCGTATAGTAGGAGCGGAGAGCTATTGGCTTCGTGGTCGGTATGCGCCGGATTTCGAATCCATGATGAATGGCCGCCGTTGGGCTCGGGCAAATGCTTCGACCGCAATGGGGGACGCATCGGTTCTGATAACACTACCAATCGACATGAAAAAGCTACCCGTGATATATTAGTTTGTCATATGCGCTGGCGCCGATGGTATCATAGACCAGCCTTACCCAAACGTAGCACCAGATCCTAACATGTATTGTCCCAATGTTCGCATTATACCGTTCGTGCCGGCGCCGTATCTAAAGATGTTGACAGTTCCTACCATCACCGCATGTTAGCCGCACAGGATCGATTCGATAAGGCCAGGTCTGGACGAGAATGAGGAATAAAGCGCACCAAAGATGAAACCTATAATAACACCGACGGCTACGCAACAGTTAGTTAAGAAGACTATTAGGTTAAGGTCTTATCGTTTCACATACTACCACCCATCATAGCACCCATCTTCACTATAATATACAACAATATTAGCGACGACAAACCCCGCGCATCCAAAGCTGTTGGGAGAACGAACGTTTGTCCACTGTGGAGGGGCCTTGAGGGCCTCGGTTCGCTGGCATTGGCGGCATCTTGAATTATTTTATTGAGCCACTCAATCTTAGAGCCACAGCTTTGGGACTATGCAGCAGCTTCAGATAAATATCTTACAGATATTATCGTAAAGGTTTAGGCGAAAGATGTTTCTAATTTGCCGGCCGGGGGTGGAACCACTTTGATGCTGATTCCGGCTCTGGCATTCGAATCTCTGGGACCTTTTTGGAGCTTTGGGAAAAATGATTTCATAAGTTCAAATTCAGTCAACCGTTGTAAAGCCGAACGAACGAACGACCATCTCCAGATTCTTAATAAGTGGGGTATTCTCTATCGATAAGAAAAAGGATTTAACTGAATGCTACCTTACCTTACCTTATGTAAGCGGAAACTTGGTCGCTCTAGCCGTTTGCTGGAATTTAAGGTCACGTGATATGGGGTAGCGATCCCCTTTTTAGTTAGGAGTACTTGGTACAAATATCATACACGTATTGCGTTGCATGTGTTTTCCTTTAGTTACGTCGATCTACTTGGGTATTTGGGAATCAATCCTTTTCAATGTCACGAATAATTTTCTATTATTCAAAGAAATATGTGATTTATGTCCATATACAATCACTTTCACTATAAAACGTCATTCAAATACATATTTAAAAGTTCGTTATCCCTACACGTATATATACATTAGGTACATAATACTAGGTTCGCAATGAGGAAGGAGAGAAAGAAGAAAAAAAAAAAGGTTAACTGCAAGTTGCGGCTCACATCGGATCTTCCATTCGTTGGATTGGCCCCGTAATCATTGCCACACTAAAAAAGTACTAAGGACGCAAAGCGCTTAGTGAAGTAAACCGGGTACCGGACAAGACACCTGTAACAAGGTCAGCCAACCGTAATAGGCCAAATTAGTTAGTAGGTACAGTAGTACAGTTAGGTACAAACAGTAGGTTCTGGGTAGTGGCTACTGGCCCTGGAGCAAACCCGACCTCGACCGGGGGCCTGGGAAAGAGAGACTGACAGAGAGAGACTCTCCAAACTATCCAAACTAAATCTTTGAACGACCACAATCCTCAAAGTTGCTCCTCTCAAATCGCCTAAAAAGTAATCCACTACATATTTTCCAAGCCATACGAAGCCATACGAACCACACGGTCGCCCTCTACACTAGATACCCCCCCTTTATCAAATCGCATGGTATGTCTCCCTAACTTCTTTTTTACTTTATTTTATTTTTTTCCCCTTTACAGCGCACAAATTATATTGGCGATGCGCCCGTCACCCCGGCGTACCCGCAGATATTAGCAGCAATCTGTTGCTTGTTGCGTTGCTTTGCTTGTCCTCCTCCACGCAACGCAACTCGACGAAACCCCTTAAACTAATTAATTTTTCATCTTAACCACAGACCACAACATCAGCAAACACTTCGCTCCTGCGTATGCCGTTATTTCTCGATCGCTTTCTTTCGACCGTAGCAATATTTTCATACTTGAGCTCCTTCCGGTCGCGTGCATGATCAACAGAAAGGACCCGCTCAACCCTCCGAATCAACTTCCTCGCCCTCCGCGTCTCCATCCCCATCCACACGCTCCTTTTCCATCACGAAAATCATTGCGCCAGTCTTCCTCATGACGGCTGTCGCGAGCCCGCCGACTTTTAATCAGCATAACCGGCCGGCATGGAGTATTAACGGCGGCCACGCCGGTCAGATCAATCCCACGAGTTCCGACGAGCTGACCCGTATGTTTTTGCCTAGAAAGAATTTGCAACGAAACAACTCGTCATCTTCTATCTCCTCCCAATCATCCGTATCTTCTACCTCGACCATCGCCACCACTGGTTCCCAAACGAATGGAAATTCTATGCCAAATCCTGCTGATATGGGCGCGTGGAATAATGGTGCTGGAACGCGAAAACGACCTCAACAGAAGAACCCCTGGCCTTCTCCGAAACCAGACGCCCAGTCCGATTTTGCTAGAATGTCCGCAGGACGTCCACAGTTGGTTGCTGGCTTGAACGGATCTACACCTATGCATACACCATCTTCGATTCTCCCTTCACAAGGTCTCGTCGGGGCGCAACAGGCTATGTCTCGCCCTATGTCTGATTTACCTGCCGGAAACCAACCTGTCCTGTATCTATTATCGCTAAATGGAACCTTCGAGCGCAAGACGATTTCTGTACCATTCTCCCCTGATACCCTTAGGATTGGTCGTCAGACGAATGCTAAGACAGTTCCTACTCCGATAAATGGCTTCTTCGATTCTAAGGTCCTGTCTCGTCAACATGCTGAGATCTGGGCAGACCGTCAAGGAAAAATATGGATCCGCGATGTGAAGTCTTCCAACGGCACTTTCGTCAACGGGACGCGTCTATCCCAGGAGAACCGAGAATCCGAACCACACGAATTGCAGACTGGAGACCATCTCGAGTTAGGTATCGATATTGTAAGCGAGGATCAAAAGACGGTTGTCCATCACAAAGTGGCGGCAAAGGTTGAACACGCAGGCTTCTTGAATCCTTCGAGCAATTTGCTCGATATGAATTTTGGCGATCTCGACCCCGCGAACGGGTCTATGATGATGATGGGGCCGCAGGGTGCTGTTCCTGTTCGACCACGCACTGGAAGCCAAGCTTCTATGGCAAGCAACGGAAGGGTTCTAGCGGGTAACGGCATGGTTGGTCCGCAGGCCAACGCCATGAACCAGCGGGGGCTATTCTTCTCGCCTATCAGCACAGAGCAGATTGTAAAACGACTCCAGGTAAGTCTAATTCGTACTGTTCCATATGGGCATGTCTAATCCAAGATACAGCATGAAATGCGAACTCAGCGTCTCCAATCGCATGATTTGGGCCGAACAAATCAATTTGTTCAGGGACTGCTAACCAAAGAGGATATTAAAGATAGTGAGAAGGTGGAGGCTGCCGAGCAACCGAAGTCGCAAATAATTAATGGGAATGGGATCTCCTTCAGGTCCGACAACAAAACTAGATTTTCTGATCCTCCAGCACCTCCTCCACAGCAACCCTTACCCGAGAAGCCGGATGTTCCATCTCTTAAGCGAGGCATCACAGAGCGCCCTAAACAGCCCAATGGCCAAAGTATGTCGCCAATTCGTCAGGACGGCAATACGAGCCAAATCCTACAGTTGACGGAGGCACTCAACAACGCGAAGCGAGAAATAGAATCCCAAACTTCGCGCATGAAAGATCTTGAAGAAACTCTCCAAAAGGAGAGACAGGCTCGAGAGCTTGCCGAGGAATTGAACAGGCGACTAGAGGAGGCAGCAGCAGCAAAGACGAATGGTGCCCCCGTAAAACCAGAAACCCAAGAGACTGCCTTACAGGAAGCCTTCGAACCCCCCGTCGACGAAATTTCCTCGCCCGCAACCATTACGATACCCAACGACATTAGCAAGACGGCTCCTCAACCTCAGGCAGAGGCTATCGAAGCTTCTGCCACACATTTACACGCTCAGATCGAATCGATGGTGCTCGAAATGAAAGACTTGCGACAACAGCTAGAAGCCTTCAAGCAGCGGGCGGAGACTGCCGAATCAGAAAGAGACGCAGACCGCAAGAGTCTGGCTGAGATGGCGTTGCAAATCCGAAGAGATATCGAGGCTAAAGAAGCCGCTGCACGAGAAAAGGCTCGTTCAGACGCCCGCGTCGAGACTTCTGATAGTTCAACTACCACGAAGGAGCCTCCCACTTCGACGAGGTCGACGTCGCCAGATTTGAAAGAAGGCCAGTCAACCCCCAGCGATCTTAATGGGCAACCAACGCTATCAAGAACCAATACTATAACGCCTCAGTCGGCAGCATCTGGCATTATCCAGCGCGACCAGGTGTTGGCAAACAGCATACCTTACGCGTCGATGATAGGTGTAGTACTCATTGGCATGGGTCTAATGGCCTATATAAACGGATGGCAAACCCAACCAAAACTCGAGCGATGAACCACCCATAGACACAGCCGAGTATAGTTCATGCGCCCGGGCACCGCCGAAACCAACCAGATATCGATTTCATCCATTCATCACATACTACGACTCTTCCCTTTGTACCTATTCTATAATAAGCTCGTTCGACTACTGTATCTCGAGATACTAGTCTTTTTGTAACAAGGCATCGCTTTGGAACCGGCGTTAGGGTAGCGGCAAGCGGTTTACGTCAGGAAGGCTAAGGGTTCAGGGACTTTTTCTTCTATTCATCTTTTATACTGTTTACGGTGCGCAGCGCCTATCAGTGCCAATGATCACGCGGTCAGCCCCTTGGCCTTCATGGGGATTCATTTGTGTTAGGATACAGGGGAACCAAAATCAAAACGAAGCAAAGCTCTATGGCTGTATTGAGATCGCCCTGTTAAGGCATAGTGGCTAGCAGAAACAGAATGCAATGTTATGCATTTCAGAACCTAGAGTCTGCATATTTCTATGTAGTAGGGATAGTTTAGTCGCAGAGCTCGGTAGGAGATAGTACAGCATCATCATCACCTGCTGACCGACTACATGGTCGTTAGTGGTAGTATTTGTTGCTGTTTGCTGAGTTGGTATGGACAATGAAATACTTTTACTCCTATCTCTTACTTTTGCATTAGTAGTGACTGCAATAGAAATGTATGATTATGTATAATACGTCAGCTGACGGTCATAAACATGACAAAGCTCACATACAATTATTATAGACTACCTTTTTCAGATGAGGTTAATTTGACTATACATGACCAACTCATTTGAATGAACTTTTCAACCCTTAAACAATCCTCGGAATTGAGGTTACTACCCGTTACCTAGACAGTATTAGCCCTATCATCATAGATATGAAGGATTCATAATACACCGCTGATAGCCCCCGCCACTATGCGGAACATAAAAATGGGAGCCTTCCTGTCCAAAATGCCCATTTTCTTATTCCTCACCTCCGTCGCATTACTCCACGGAGCTGGATAACCCAAATTATAAGTCGTATTCCGCCCACAAGGATATTATCTAGGCTTGGAGGGATCAGATTCACCAATATTGGTCTTTATCAGCTGAGGCATTTCAACTACATTCGGTCGTCGCCAGCGCAGCCTTGAGATTTCTTAGAGCTTTATCCTTTCTAGATGTTTTTCTCAGCTCAAATGAAGTCATTGACGCTGCTGGCGTGTCTGGCCGCATTTTCAGGCACGGCCTTGGCTGACAAGAAACGGCTCATAATTGATACCGATATGCTCAATTTTGATGACGATCCATTAGCTATTGGCTTGGCAAATATCTTCCAAAATTGGGGGGAAGTGGAATTAATCGGCGTCTTCTCAAGTACAATCCCTTTCTAAATTTCGTCGCTAAATCTTGAAGTCGTTGCAGTTAATAACAAGATGAGCAGGTATCAATAGTCGATATGCACCACCGGGCATCGATGCTATCAACACGTATTTTGGACACCCGGATATACCCGTGGCAATTCAGAAGCCCGTTGATAATCTGGTTAGTTCTCGCAGCGGCAACTTTCCAACTTAAGTATAGAGGGTGGGATTAAGCTCATCGCACGTCGTTGCAGACACAATGGCCGGACTTCCCTGAATACGGCGATTACCTCACGGGACTAACCTATAACTTCACGGAGGATATCCGCGACGGCACAAATACCCCCGATCCAGGTACGTACGCTCAACCACCCCCCTAAAAATAAATCTAATCTCGTTAGTATCCTCATACCGCTACCTCCTCTCCATCTCGAGCAACTCCTCCATCATCCTCGCCGTAATCGGATTCTTCGACAACCTCTACCACCTCCTACACTCAGGCCCAGACTCTATATCCCCATTAACCGGCGCCGAGCTTCTAACCTCCAAAGTGGCTGAACTAGTAGTCCAAGCCAACGATGTGGGATACTCATACAACACGGACTACCACAACGCTACCTTCGCACAGTACGTCCTAAACTGGTGGCCCGGAAACCTAACCTTTGCATCGGATGATGTAGGCGAGAATACGCTTATCGGAAGCCGTATCACGACGGAGTTAAACGTAACGACGAACCCGGTGGGCTATGCGCTGAGGAAGAATATTGGGTATGGAGAGACGCATTATGTGTGGGATGCTGTGGCGGTGTATTATGCGGTTTGTGGGCTTGATGATGTGTTTAGTTGGAAGTATCCCGCTGGGGGGCATGTGAGGTTGAATGGCTCGGCTTATGCTACTTGGGAGAATGGGACAGGGAAGGGGACGGGATTGCAGAATTCGATTGAGTTCAGGGTTCCTAATACGACGTTCGCAGAGAGGTTGGAGGATACGCTTCTCTGGGAGCCAGGACAGCGTGTGCCGGAGAGGAGTTGGTGTAAGAATTGAGTTGGAAAAGGGGGTGAGGTTGATGCGTGAGGACTGTGATATCATGTGGGATGGGCTCATTAACTTCAATTCTTTACCTAAATAATCATAATACTATTAATTTGAAGACGGCGTTTTCTATATTCGCAATACATGCTAATGATGCTATGATTCAAGACAGGATGTGGTTGATTTCCGTATAGTCAAGTTGCTGATCTCAGCCGACATAATTGGGGGCTATATCTAATCCTAGATACTCATTAAAACCCAACTTTCCCCTTGCTCCTTCGGCTTGTTTCCTTCTCTCTTTTTTAAAAGAGTCAATTGTTTAGCTATTCTCGATTAACATACTATTCTGATGAGTACATCAAGTGATTGGGCGGCTTGGGAGCAATCGCTCAAAGTGAAAGGATGTCCAGCTTCTTGTTGGGTTCGGAACCTTCCGATGCCCAATATCCAAGATAATTCGGAGTCGAATAACCAGACAAAGCCACCTTCAGTTGACGAGAAAATAAGAGAGGCTGCTGCTAAAAAGTTGTACCAAACAATAAAACCATGGCAGACCCGAATCCTTCGCGTTGACCCCGCCACCAAATTCGAAAATCCTCTTATATGCACGCTTCTAGTTGCCGACGTTATAGTTCATGAGGGTCTCGGGGTTGTCGAGGAAGACGGTCCTCGAGAAATTCACTATGAAGCACTGTCGTATACATGGGGTGCACCGATCTTCTCACGGCCGATTCAAATAAATAGGATCCAATTTTTCATTACGGATAACCTTGACTCCGCCCTGCGTCATCTTCGTCTGGGTGATGCGAAAAGGTATTTATGGGTGGATGCACTCTGTATCAACCAATTTGACGTCAAAGAAAAGTCGGTTCAAGTAGGTCGGATGTTTCCGATATACCAGAAAGCCCGCAGAGTCGTTGCGTGGAATTCGGGATGGACAAGAGAGAAATGCGACATTCTATCTACAGTCCTCGAAAACATGTCGAGCAACCAGAAGCATAGTGATGACTGTCTTGTACGTCTGAAGGACCTACGTCAATTTCTCTCAAGTGCCTGCGAGCCCCCTTTATTTAAGCGGACTTGGGTTAGACAAGAGACATTCGCAGCGAGGGAATTAGTGATGCAGTTCAGTGATCTCACGATCTCCTGGAGAGACTACGAGCGCATTAAGGACTATATCGACTCAATACGGGGACGTGTGGATGCGGGTCCCGAGTCCGGCATCCCAGATTTTACAGATTTTACAGACGCGCTCTACCTCAAGTCCCCCTTTAACGCGATCATGACATTGGTGCAACCCGACTACAAACACGACCATAAATCACGTAACGAACGACACAAGGCGGCGAGGCATGCTCCAGTATCGCTCCTTGATGCACTTATATTTTCATCGTCATTTGGAGTCACGGACCCCCGAGACTTGGTTTACGGGATACTAGGATTTACGACGGTTCCCATTTCACAAGGGGTTACAAATACGCATCGGGCAACATTGAAAGTTGACTATAGTCGCTCCGTTTCTGAAGTATACCAGGATGTTGTCAAGTACGAGATTAGTCGGTCAGGATCGTTAGCCATTCTTGACTTTGCTGGATCTCGTCCGACACCGGATCTTCCGTCATGGACCCCTGACTGGAAGACCTATGACCCAAAGCTTGCGCAGCATCGTGTTTTGAACAGAACTAACTCGTGGAAATACGGGTTCATCGATGTTCAGAAGATCGGAGCGTCCTGGAAACCGGCCCCACAACCGTCAGATACATACGGAGTCCTATACACCCGGGGCGTCGTTCTCGGCACCATACAAGATGACATAGACGAAAATACGGGTTGGAAGCCGTTCGTTTCTCCATATTTCGAGGCCGGTTTTAAGGAGAGATTCGGAGGAAGGGGCTTTGACGACGAGAAACTTTTCCCGGGCGTGAAGCGCGACTACAAATCGACATTCCACAATCTTTACGATGACGTGGGTCTACCGCTCTATGGCGGGAAAGTTTCAGGAGTGAGACCGAGCAAGGCTTGCGAGAGGTTGTTGACCTTGGCACAGGTTGAAATGCTCGATAAAATTAAATCGACGGTTCGAAACCGAATCATTGTACCACCGGAACCTATCCGATGGAACCATATCATCGGATTAGCATCGCCGAGCATATCATTAGCACCCAAGACATCTTTAACTAATGATATCATCGTGTTGTTCCAAGGAGCACGCTGTCCATTCGTCATTAGACGCATTGGTCAGGAAAAACATATTTTGGTAGGGAGGGCCGTATTTCCTCTTTGGTATGAACATAAGTCGGCGTCTTTTGATGATTTGAGCGTGTATGAGAGAACATGGTCCAGCAATAACGCTGTTTATACGGAGACTTCCGACGTATTGGAAAGTAGATTTTTATGGCCCGAAACAATGGCATCAGTCTGGAGACCCGTTCTTGAGGATGCCGAGTTTCTGGGTGCGTTGGAGGATTTCACCCTTACATAAAGGTGAAATCCTTACATAAACCAAGGGATTCTTAAAATGAATTGGTAGAAATTATTGGTTAAGGGAGAGACAATTAAGTTGAAGCTAACATACTGAGTCAATTGCGTTAGTGCCAAAGATGAATGACTTTTGCTAATCCGATGTCGGTTAAGTTCCGAAAAGATTCGGTATAGATCCGAAAATCTTGCTGCACGATTGCATAAACTGGGACAATAAGGAAGCTGCAACTGCAATCCACCTCCGCATCGGCAAATTAGCCGATTCCAAATCATTATCAGAGTCCATCCCGACTGCCTGACCTGACCGTATCTTTTGACTCTATCGGGTAGCTCCAAAGATTCTTTGTTCTTTCATGTACCATTCAACCTATCTGACTTCGATTTGGGTTCTCCAACACTCGAAGCCGTACTTATCGTTGACATATACAGACGTGGAGGTCGTGTAAGTTACTATAACCTCCTCTCTCACAGCACTATTGGGAAATAGCAGTTCCTCTTTTTCACCATATTTCTAATTGATCATTCACGATGGGCGCGTTTTTTGAAACCATCTCGGATTCCCTTATTGAATGGACTCTTCAACAAAAAGTCTTCTGGGTCTCTACGGCACCATTGTCGGGAAAGGGCCATGTCAACGTCTCCCCGAAAGGAGGTAAGGCCTTCGGTATTCCCAATAACAAAACATTCTGGTATGTGGATATGACGGGTTCCGGCAACGAAACCATTTCACATCTTTTAGAACCGGGCAATGGCCGAATCACCATCCTCTTCAACGCCTTCGAAGGCCCACCGCGCATCTTGAGATTCTGGGGTAAGGGTCGTGTGCTAGAACATGGATCACCCGAGTTCAACGAAATTGTCGAACGCGAGAACATCGAAGTCATTCCGGGTACCCGTTCGATTATCGTGGTAGATATTCATCAAGTCGGCACTTCGTGTGGTTATTCGGTACCATTCTTTGACTTTAAAGAATTCCGAACTACCCTTAACGATTTCTTCAAGCGCAAGGAGGAAAAATATCTAGCGGGGAATGAAAAGGAGAGCATGGATCGCTATTGGGCGCTAAAGAACGCCTGGAGTATGGACGGCTTGCCCGGCATGCAGAGGGGTCTTAAGGCTGGACGCCTCTACGCTATCAACCCTGTAAAGAAGATGGTTGGACCGTTCGCTCCCAAAAATGGCGTCAACTTACGAGTCTTCAATAACTTCCAAGTCGAACACTTGATCATCATAGTATTATCTCTCTTACTCGCCATCTCGCTTGCGACGCATCCTGCTTTACAGCTCCAGGCTCAGACACGGATCCGAGAAGCTATGCAAGCTGTGCCGGATGCACTACCGAGTTCTGTCAGATTCCGAGACTGATTTTGAACGCTAAATGGTTTTCATGACACATCGTTTTCGCTTCACGAATGAGAAGCACGATACAAACAAAAATATTCGGCGAGGGTAATGTGGGATACTCTCGGGGGATACGAATGATTAACAATGTCTTAAGGGAAATGCATCAATATCCTTTCCTTGAACTGGTCTTAACGGCGAGCAGCACTCGTTTAAGATATGGGGAATGTCTTGAGGAGTCAGCATTGCCAGCTGCTGAAAATGTTAACGACAACGAAACGACAATCAAATACTGACTCCTTATATATCAGCATCGGTCTGAAATGGAATGACTTTTGAATATAGGCTAGCAATTGAGGATTACCATTAACAAGTTCCCTTGCATGGTGCTGACTGGAGGGTAGGTATTCTGTGCCGCTCGCGCAAGTACGGATTTCGTTTAGGTAGGCCCGTCAGGTACGGGTTTCGTATTTGTACGCCCTTTGTCACTCTCGACGCATACCTAGAGTCATTGAATTGGTAAAGTTGGGACAGAAGAATAAAAGTAAATAACTAAAGGATAATAGGCATTTCTCATCCAACTAAGAGATAGCATCATGTCCACGTCCATCTTCGAGCTAATCCCCCAGTCTTCTCAAGTCTACCGGCGTAGTGGATCTCATTTTAAGTAGATGGTGGGATCTGCAGTGTATGTCAACTATAGCTACGGGGTTCCATTTTAGGGGTTGTCCACTAGGGCTGGTGTCGCGAGAACAATGCGATTGGCGGAAGGAGACGCTATAATATCAATATGCACCTCGTACAACCGCTAATTTTCCTTCCCCAGTCGACCAAGTTTAGGTACGGTCCGCTTCTAATTATTTCAAGGTTAGCCTTCAGCGCTTTCCCTGAAAACCTACAGCGTCGCATTCAGCCTCGGTAGAGCCTAGGAAGGGATGAGGGGAAAGCTACAGTGATCTGTTGTTAGTGCGGATTTATTCTTGCATTGATACCGAAATCCGGCTGCGTTATGGCCCCCTATGATGTTATAACATTAGCAGGAGACCCCTGGCCACTAAACTGCAACCTAGTTCCTTTCATATATCACCAACTATGTTGTGTAACTTCACACATTGTTTATGATCCGGCGGTGAGCACTTATTACTTGGCGTTATTAGACGACCTCTGTTTGTAGCCGAGTATACACTTCGAATCATTATCATCGTCGCGCGTAGTTTAGCAAGTTTTTGGTTCGATATTCGAAGCATCGCAAGGCTGGCTGGTGTGGATAGTGTCGTTTGTCATATAATTATTACTTCCACCTACAATACAATGGCTTGTAAGTTTTAATTTTTATAACTCTACGTGTTAATGGTAAGTACTAATTAAATCAATAGTGACCATAGCAGGAGCCGCTGCAGGCAGCGCTGCTCTTGCGGCATACTTGGATGCGAAGTTTCACATCCGCAATGATATCAGAGGGGGTAGCACGAAGATGCGAGCCCTGGGATCTGCGAAACTCATCATGGAGAAGCACCGACAGGGAAAAACACACATCTACCATACATTTGAGAGTCATGCGAATAGCTCCAAAGGTGATCTCACTTTCTTGGTCTTCGAAGGTCGCGAGTGGACATACAAAGACATTTTCAAGGCCATCCAACCCGTCGGCAACTGGCTGATGAAAGACCTGGGAATTGAAAAGGGCGAGATGGTCGCGCTGGACGGCGGAAACAGCCCCGAATTCATCTTAGTCTGGCTTGCTTTGGAAGCCATTGGCGCTCCCGTTGCCTTCATAAATTGCAACCTCACAGGCCAACCATTGGTCCACAGCGTTAAAGTCGCTAAAGCCCGATACTTGCTCTCGGACTCAGATGTTCGTCCCCTCATCTCTCCAGTCGAAGAAGAGCTCGCTTCCTCCGGAACGAAGACCATCTACTACAGTCCTGAGTTTATAAGCACACTCAAAGACACAGAAATGCTCCCCGCATCACGTCGCGCTAATGTTACCCCTAACGACGTGGGGGCCCTGATATACACTTCCGGCACCACGGGGAAGCCCAAAGGCACAGTTATCACCCGTGCGCGGTGGATGCTCCTCGAGAATTCCGGCTTGATGATGGGTCTGAAGCCTGGCGAAAGGATGTACACCTGTCTCCCACTCTACCACGCCGCTGCGCAAGGTCTGTGTTGCCTACCTTGTGCAGGTGTCGGAGCTACTATGGTTCTATCGCGGAGGTTTTCGCATAAGACTTTCTGGCCCGAGGTTCATGCTTCGAAGGCGACGAGGATACAATATGTCGGCGAACTAACGAGATACCTCCTGAACGCTGAGCCAAGCCCGTTGGATAAGGGTCACGTATGTAACATCTAGGACTCAAATTTGTAGTTACTATGGTTGCTAACATCTAACGTAGCATGTCTACCTGGCGTCCGGTAACGGTATGAGACCAGATATCTGGGAGGCCTTTCGAGAAAGGTTCGGTATTGAAACAATTTTTGAATACTATGCTGCAACAGACGGAGTTGGAATGCTGGTATGTAAAACATTCACTATTCCTTAAAGCAGACCCCTAACTAACGCCTGTGTAGTACGTAAAACGCTCCCAAACTCCACCCACTGCCCACCCCAGGCGATCCTCTAGCGCGCTAAAATGCGCCGAAAAATAGAGCATACCTCCTAAATTGCAGCGTCTCAGTTCACTAACAAACTTCACCAGGATCAACATAAACCGCGGCGACTTCGGTATTGGCGCCATCGCAATCCGCGGACCAATCTTCCACCTCCTCAACGGGTCCAACGAAGTACGCGTGCACATCGACCCAGACACACAAGAAATAATCCGCGGTAAAAACGGCTTCGCCATAAAATGCAAGACAAACGAACCCGGCGAAATGATCGCACGCGTGGATCCAGCGAGCATATCGAATCCAGGCGGTACGCCGAAATACTACGGCAACGCGGAAGCGGGTGAGAAGAGGTTAGTCAGAGATGTCTTCGCGAAAGGTGATATATGGTTCCGATCCGGCGACGCCATGCGTTTGGACCCCGAAGGAAGATTGTTTTTCGTGGATCGCTTGGGTGATACCTTTCGCTGGCACTCGGAAAACGTATCCACGACTGAAGTCGAAAACGCGGCGAGTTCGTTTCCGCAGGTTGCCGAGGTCAATGTGTATGGAGTAGCCGTGCCGAATACGGAGGGAAGGGCTGGGTGTATGGCTATTGTTGCCGCGGAGGGCGTTTCGACGACGTTGGAGGATATAGAAAGTGGACGGGGTTTGGATTTGAAGGGGTTGGCGGAGCATTGTCTTGCGGAGTTGCCGCGGTATGCGGTGCCTATTTTTGTTAGGGTGGTTAAGGAGTTAGAGTACACTGGGACGATGAAGATCCAGAAAGGACGTTTAAGAGCAGAAGGTATAGAGTTAGAAGCTATTGAGAAAGCAGCAAAGGAAAAGGGAGCGGAAGTGGATGCGATATATTGGTTACCGCCCGGCGGGAAAGCATACGTTCCGTTCCGGAACAGAGAGTTACAGGAGCTTAAGAGCGGTACAGTTCGATTATGATTACCTGGGTATCGAAGAGGTACGTGTATAAGTATTTAGTCAATTGTGGGTATAAAATTCAAGAATGCAAATGCCTCGTGAGATTGGCATGTCTTTGCTGTACTATGCGTGGCCTACGCGTGGCTTACGTGCTAATATTGAAGTCTTGAAGATCTTCGAAGAACGGTAAATTATTGACCTGAAACCTCGGATCTAGGGCCGAATATTGAGTTGTCGAAGTTGCCTCTATAGGCTTGGTTACCATTCAAGAATTCGATATTCTAGACAGCCAGCATTTCACTTTGTTCCTTGTACCACTCGAAAGCTTCGGATCTAACAAGCCGATCCGACGTTTGTCGGATCATCTCCGAAATATTTTAAAGCTTATGTAACGTTCGGAAAGGGAGACAACTTGCTTGCCATGCCTAAAACGACCAATTTGCCAGACTCAAATCGATTTTTCATTGCCTAGCATCCACAACATTTCGTGAAGGTACGTCGTTTATTATTACTAGGTCATCATAAATCATTGCAATTTCCGGGGCTAAGCAAGTAACCAGCCTCACTACCTAGCATAGAAAGTTATAAGAAAGTCGATAATCCAGCGCCTGTTCACTTTAAGCTATACCAGCTCATAATCCCTAATTCTGCCTGAGTTCCATCCTGATTTCAGTTTTCCCATAACCTCAACGTAATCCCTCGCTGTAAACCCTCCGCGAGCGCCTAATCCGTAATCCCGAAAAACGCCAATGAAAAAAATGAAAAAAAGATTCAAGCATCAAGCCCGAAGCGTGAAGAGCTCATTTCCAAAAGCTGGTGCTTCCATCGCAACTCCTCCGGGGAGAAATTAAGAAACTTCTCCTGTGCACATATATGGAAATAGTTGCAATCGGGGATAATACGCTCCGACTCGTACACGACGCGATACCACTCCGCTCCCGCAGACAAAGGGACGTCCTTCATCTCACGCCAACCCGCTGCGAGGGTTGATTCCGGAGGAAAACCCTGATATCCTTCAAAAACAAATAGTGAGCCACTAGGATCCTTAATTCATATCCCAAACAAACATACCAGATGAACCACTCCGGCCCGAGGACGAACTGGACGAAGGTGTCAAATCGATACCATCCGACGCTAACAACTCCAATCAGCCATTTGTGAATGAACTAAAGCCGCCGGCTCACTTTTGGCGCTCCCCAAAATGACCATGAGTCTCCGAATTCATTAGAGGGGGGCTCACAAGGCGAAGTATCCTCCGGGATGCTGACAGTTTCAAAATCCGGACTCTCGATCAAATCACGTCTCGATTCTTCCCCTTCTCTTATTGCTTGTTCTTCAATTTCTTGTTCTTGCGCTTCTCTCACTGCTGCTTCTTCCTCCGCCAGTCTTGTTGATTCCTCCTCCTGTGCCTTCATTCTTGCCTCTTCCCTTGCTTGCTTCCTCGCTGCCTTTCGCTCTTTTGTCCATTTTGCCTTCTTTTTGGGTTTCACTGCCACCACTGCACCGTCTTGGGAGTCGGAATAGGTTGCAACTGTAGATAGACGGTCTACTGAGTCTGGCTGGGGCTCGCAGGCTGCTTCCGTCGCGGGTTGAGGGTCCGGTACCATTTCAGGAATAGTCGCGACTGTAGTTGGCTGAGGGTCCGGGTAAGTCTCCATTGTAGTTGGCTCAGCTTGGGCTGCTTTCTCACGACACATATCGATCATGAGTTGGAAGAGAGCCGTCGTGATTGAGTAAGGCGCGCTAGAATTATCCGGTTGCAGAGTAGGGGTAGCTTGACCGTTGACAACGGGTTCAACTACGGATTTCAGGAGGAAGTCATGGAACCATTTATCGTCAGCTTCGACACGGCGTGCATATCCCACGGCGTTAAGAACGTGCCGCAGCGATAATTGACCCCCAAACCGTTCCATTTCAACCTTTGCGAGATCTTCGAGGATAGGCATTTCACATTCGCGCGCAAGCGTGTATACTTGAAAGCTCGTCGCAAATTCGGTAGCTACCTTCTCTTCTGGAGAAGATCCCGTCGGTTCTAGGCCCTGATAGGTGCCAGTGTAGAGGAAATGAATTAAAACGTGACCAGCGCCGATACTACCAACGAACCATGCACTCTTCCTGTAACGAGACTCTAGCTTAGGGTACTTGAAAAGGGCGGTGTCGGTTACATGTAGGCAACCCTCTTTAAATCCAAGGCGGAGTGAGATGTCACCTCCATATGGGCTAAGATGAGGTTGCTATTGTTAGTAATGCACAAAAGAGTAGGTTGATGGCACCTTACGATTTTGTAGGCCGTTCATTCGACACGTCCGGCCGGGTTTCTTGAGCAGTCTTCGCTTCCATTGTATCTCTTCGAAGAGTTCCACAACTTAGCTAGTTGGTCTAGTTAGGAAGCTTGTTAGTTGGTGATAGTATCCCCCAAATCGAATATGGAAAATGAAGTATGGAGGATGAAGTATGGGGTTTTAAGTACGGGAGCTGAATGCTAGCCCTGGGTGGTGAGGGGTCTTGTTTTGTACTAGAGCTCATGCCTGTGCATGCTGGGGTGTGCGTTATAAGTATAAGAAGGTTCCCCTCTTTTATTCTTACAACTAGGCAACTGCTAGGCAGCTACCCGCTAGGCCGCGCAAACGCCATTAGCTAGAGGTACATGCACCTAAAATACCCACTATTCCCTCCTGTAAGAATCAACTTAAATCGTGGTTATCTTGTAAAGCGGCCAACAAGGTTGCACAGCAGCTAACCACGGACCAGCTAGATATATTATGTGGCACTAGCTGTTCCATGTGTTCCTTAAGCATTGAGCACGGTATCTTAGATGCTAGACGTTAACCAATTCACATGCTGGAGGATAGACATGCGATCATAGTACCAAGGCAATTCGCACAGATTTCGCACATTACCTAGGTATCAGTCATCATTATCAATACTAGTTTCGAAATAGCAAGTGCTTCATAAGGATATCAACTTGAGGATGCGCGCCGTTGTTTTAGAATGCCCAGTACAGCTTAACTTTAACGCTCTGGACGTTATTGCTCCACCCTCCAAATCTTGCACGACCCCAAACAGTAATCATGTCCCCGAATTTCAAGTTCCTGATAAATTCGCCATTGCCAGTACTTCTACCTCGGCCAATCTCTTCCAATTCGTTTGCTGCTGGAAGTTCTGGGTTGATATTGTCGTCCCAAGACCATTCAATATGATGGTGTTGCATATTCTTTTCGGCGTGTTTGTTCCGTTGTATACAATGATCCTCAGTGGGAAGTAATTCATGTTTGTACTTCATAGCGGAATCGTTGCTTGTGTCATTTATAACAGGAGGCCAAACGGAACGGATTGCACAAGTTGGGATGTTTGCGGTCTTGCTTGAGCTATCCGAGTTTTGTCGATCAGAGCACGTGGGGGGACCTAAGGGATAATCAGCGTTTTGAGTGTATAAACCATGATCCACGCTCTGTTTCTCACATTCATTATTCATATCGAAACGCTCCAATCCCACATCAAACCAGGTAAAAGAATTGCGATAGGTACCGTAATCGTCATGGTGACTACTCCAACCCTGGTCGCAACTCACAATATCAAAGACCACTTTTCGGAATGGATGCTCCAATGTGGAAACGGGTCCTTCTATGAACTCGTGTAAATTGGACTCAGGATACTCCTTTTCAAGAGATTTTGGGGCAGACTGAGTTTTCCAAAGATCATGGCTGAGCGGTGACCATTTGTTAAGGCCCAGAGGTTCGGTGCGAAGCTATTAACCAGTATAAGCTAAAGCTAACGAGAGATATAAGGGCTACCGATATAGATGTAGTATTGTACTAACCAAGAATTGATTCTCGCCTTGGCCTCCACCACGAATCGAGATGCGACCGTCCGGGCGATCAGCACAATCAAGCACGGCGACGGAACAAGCCCAATATTCAGCATATTCGAGTATCATATCAACTAGCTCAGGAGGTAGGTTCCTATCCTCGGACAATATGTCCCTCACCTCCAAAGCATCTTCAGGTGTGATCTCATATGAGGTAGTGAAATTTGGTGGCGATACGTCTCTGCGACGGAATAAAGGGTTCCTTCGCCTAGGAATCCTACCAAGCATACCTCCTCTTCCGCGGTCCATGATGCTAGGTGCGCCTAAGAAATCAAGAGTAATATCAACGAGATGTAGAAGTTGAGAAGTGAACAGTATAGATATTAAGAGGAGAAATAGGGTAATCTCGACGAACTCGAACATGTTTAAAGTAGAAATGCCTGGATAGGCAGCAAGCTAGGATATGTATAATAAAGTGGCCGGGTGGGGACAAGACAAGCTGGAGAATGAACTACCTAGGTACTACTTCCCAAATAAGGATATGTCATAGGCAGCTACAATCAAGCACTACCTCTTGGCGCAAGTTAAGTCCTACGTCAGTGAATACTAGTTACGTCAGCGATTTCATTTTTGCCTCATTAACAGCAAATATCACCTAAATATCACGATATAGAATCACGATGCCTTCTTACTCAGTAAATAATCGTATTATCAAGCTAAGCTAGATATTTTATTTTCGAAATTAGTCAAGTGCAACTTGATACAGCACGTAGCTCGTAGGTAGTATGTACCTGGGTTCATAGCACCTATAGCTTAAAATATGGAGATAATAAGGCGGGGTTCTAGAAGTCGGAGCCCGCCAGCCCTGAAGCTGAATAAAATACAGGGGTGACTTAAACTTCCTAGGATCCATGTTCTTTTGCCTCCATACGCTAAAGCTGCCCCGCCAAGAAAAGAAGCATTAGGTATTCCCTCTTCAAAATTTCAATCATGAAAATAAACCTCATTCTAGCACCCCCTTCGCTGTGGGTTTGTATACCTTCCTTTCGGGCTAGGGTCTTCTATGGCGGCCCGGACATATAGCGCTGTTGCGCTGCGACGCGTATCTACTTATTTACAACCATCTCCCAATGCACGATCACACACATCACTATTCCGAGTTCGGCCTTCAATAGCGTCTCCCAAATCTTCCAGTTCGCAACATGGCATACGATCATTGCACTCGCACCCCGCTAGGCGAGGTAGCGCAAGCCAAGGCGAAGCGTCGAATCCTGCTATGGCATTTCCATGTCTTGATGCGATAGAAACCCGATCAGCGAAACTAGAAGCGAAGTCGCTATCGACAGGACCCGAACCCGCCTATACCACCGGTGCCACCGAAATCTTTCATTGCAAGGACCCTCTTTCTCTAGATTGGGGTGGCCTCTTACCCGAATTCGATATCGCATACGAAACATGGGGTAAGATGAACTCGGACAAGTCCAACGTGATACTTCTTCACACGGGTCTTTCCGCCTCATCGCATGCTCACTCGACCGAAAGCAACCCGCAGCCGGGATGGTGGGAAAAGTTCATTGGACCTGGCGCATGTCTCGATACCGATAAATACTTTATAATATGTACAAATGTTGTCGGGGGTTGCTTCGGATCAACCGGACCTAGTAGTATCGACCCTGCCGACGGTCAAAGATACGCTACACGGTTTCCAATCCTTACAATGGAGGATATGGTAAGGGCCCAGTTCCGGCTCCTCGACCATCTCGGTGTGCAAAATCTACATGCAAGTGTCGGATCTAGTATGGGAGGAATGCAATCTCTAGCAGCTGGCGTTCTATTTCCTTCAAGGGTTGGTCGCATAGTATCTATTAGCGGCTGCGCAAGAAGTCACCCTTATAGCATCGCGATGCGTCATACACAGCGGCAAGTGCTCATGATGGACCCTAATTGGAACCGTGGGTTCTACTATGGTAAAGTACCACCGCACGCCGGGATGAAGCTTGCGAGAGAAATCGCTACTGTAACATATCGATCTGGGCCCGAGTGGGAGCAACGGTTCGGTCGCAGGAGAGCAGACCCAACAAAACCACCGGCGTTATGCCCAGACTTCTTGATCGAGACCTACTTAGACCATGCAGGCGAGAAATTTTGTCTAACATATGATCCAAACAGCCTCTTATATGTTAGCAAAGCTATGGACCTCTTTGACTTAGGCCTCGAAAGCCAACAAGCAGCCACGCAACGACGAGCGGAGCGCGAGGAATTACTTCAATCCGGGTCTTCCCCGAGATCGAATGATCCATCCTGCAGCCTCACGCTGCCGGAGTCACCGTATTCCGAACAACCAGGAGTCGTCCCGGATGATTCTAACCCTCCCGTACCTGGAGACTTCCGTCCGCCTGAGGACCTTATTGCGGGGCTGGCATCATTAAGAGATATCCCTATACTTGTAATGGGTGTCGCTAGTGATATACTATTTCCTGCTTGGCAACAGCGGGAGGTGGCCAACGCAGTACGTCTTACGGGTAACAGAAACGTGACGCACGTCGAATTGAGCGAGGAGCAAAGTTTGTTCGGTCACGATACATTCTTATTGGATCTGAAAAATGTTGGGGGCAATGTCAAAAACTTTTTGGGATAGGCGTGGAGTCATTATCAATATACCTGAGTTCTTCGCATCCAGTTCGCGCCCAGCAAGACAGAAGCCTAATAAGACTCAATTTCGGAGTGGCATATGAGGGTGTAGAGGTTACTAAAAACGTCAAACTAACTATGATAAGTAGCACCAGAGCATCGCATAGCATGGTGAATATACACGAGGCACGCGTTGCTTATACAGACACGACTATTACATACTTATAAGTGTCGACACCAGATGCCGCGGAAATGACTCACCTTCACCGTACTTAAGATAATAAAATTCACCAATGAGCGACCGGCGGCCTTACTTAAAGGAGGACGAGGCGTTTCGACTACCAGGGTAAGTCGTGTGTTTGCTTAGTCTTTATGACAGGTCAAGTCAACTAAAATGGCTATTATACCTACACAATAGGGGAATACGTGTAGCTGCCTAGTTGCAACTCGAAAAATCCGAGACGCGGTAGACGTAAACATTGTCCTTGTCTTTTTCCAAAAGCTAGAGAGCTTCAAGACAAAGGAGTTTTCTTTTCTAGATTTTATCGATCACCATTTAGATATTCATTTTCGGCATCTATTGTTCTATTGCTCTTTGCAGCCTATAATTGGAACTAAGCTTTACCTATTCCTATATACCAAAATTACCTAGGTAGGTAGCTCTAGGACTAAGCAGGAGGTATCTTGATTTCCTATTGCGACCGAAACCGCAACACCTTCCTCGTAGCATATTGTTCGAACCCAAATTACCATCTAACTCATCCGAGTAGTTGTACCTAGGCGCTGTGTTGTATGGGCAGGTGGAATCAGGTAATAAATCTATTTCTGTTGCGAACTTATTATGCGATTTATTACCATTTTTCTAAACAATTCTCTAGGGCGCCTGTAACGTACGTGTTCTAATACCTAACCAACGACATGGCGACAACTAAAAACCCGACACTTCAACACATGACAGTCGAGACACGAAAACTTATACGCTTTGGACTAAAAAGTAGAAACTACGGGCGACCTCAAAGACCAGGAGATGGTAAATACGAAGAAAAGTCTCTGGCGAGAGCAAAGGTATACCTTAAATGGTTGGAAACCGTCGAAATGACACCCGAGATTCGGGATGAAATCAAATTCGACAAAACCTTCGACTTCATAATTAAAAATATCACTGTCTTCTACTCCGACGAGATAAAAAATGCTGCTCGGGCTCTATATGAGAAATGGATCTCGCAAAATTGGGGCGCTAAAATAGGTAGTGAAGACGAGGATATATCGCCTGACCAGGAATCCCGAAGTACAAGCCTAGACTCGGTGGCTTCAACGGAGGGCTCAATCTACCAGGACCAACCGTCGGATACCACACCCGATGCGCCGACATCTCCTGAGTGTAATCGCCCGAGTTTACCCCCGGAGTCGGAAACCAGAGATGAGACGCCTACAGATGGAGTTATCGTCCTCCAAACTGAGCTTCCGCCGATAGATAACCCCATGTTTAGGGAACGGAGTATCATGTACGGAATCATGATTCTTCGAACTGCAACAGGTCGACGAACTTACCGTTTAGACCCCACAGTACCTAAGCGGACTGCCAAAGTCTTCGGTCACAACGGCATACCAGTAGGCGCGTGGTTCGCGAACCAACTTGTCGCGCTCCAACGCGGAGCACATGGATCGCGTGGTGGTGGGATTCGGGGTACGGCGGACTCTGGCGCATACTCCATTGTAGTATCTGGTATGTACGAGGACTTGGATAACGATCGAGGTGAAACGCTTCACTACTCTGGTTCTGGAAGCCATGAGAATGGCGACCGCATGAAACCTGCACCATCGACTATCGGGATGAAGGCTCTGAAGACTTCGCTTAGAACAAGAAAACCGGTGCGTGTACTCCGCGCGGGTGGCTCGTCGAGGGCGAACCGCTGGTTGCCGAGGTGTGGGTTGAGGTATGATGGGTTGTACCAAGTTACTGCGTTGCGGGAATGTAAGAATCGAAAGGGTAGGTTCTATCTATCACGTCCCCGAAGGGGTTTTTGGACTCATCTTGCATATCGGAGTGCTAATCCTCGTATAGGAGGGCTTTATGAGCAATTCACCCTTGTTAGAGAGCCCGGTCAGGAACCACTCGAAAAATTGGTCGACGTTTCGCCCACAATGCAGCAAATACATGAACTACAACATATTCAGAAAGGAGATTGATGTGATGATGGAGAACTTTCGCCTTCCGGCGCATCGCGAAGCTGCCGAGGCGGATGTCCGAGGTGGATTGTGTTGAGCGAGTATCTAAATGTCCAGCGAGCGAGTTGCATCTGAATTCGAAATCCGGCAGTCGGAATATTTCCTATATGGTCGTCGGGTGTCAATACACGAGTAGAAGAATGAGAGGAAGATATATGGATTGTCGTTGATTTGCAGCTCAAGTTATTACGTTGGTGTATGGCATATACTCTTACTGTTATTTGCGGTGGTATTCCCGTTTGAAGGGTGGCATTATCTCCATTCGCAAGGATATTCCCAGCGGATATATAGCTTATTCTCGTTCATGATGGTATTCCCGATCAATGTATAGTATGTAGCCTTGCTTTTATTCGCGAATGTTATTCCCAGTTAGCATACAACACATTTATGGTCTTTTTCTGCATTCCTGATGATCCTCATGATTGATTTTATACTGCATACCTAATACGGAGCTTATTTGCGAGAGTATTCCCGAGTTTGGCGCAGTCGGTTGGTTACAGCAACACCACCAGGGGGCCTTGATTCGTGATTACAAACCCCTGTTACTGATTCCTATTGAACCTTGATTCGTTGAGGGTATCCGATCGGCGATAAAATATTTCATGACAGCCTCAACTATATAGCGTGTATTAGCTTAGACGAACTCCAAAAAGAGTAAGTCCTTAATCCGTCCCGACACTACCACATTCACAATTCACATCAACATCCGTTAACTCCGCCCCCACCTTGTTAGAGAAAAATTAGACCTACTATCTAGTAGAGACCGGCTAGAACACGGGTAGAACAAGAAAAAGGAATGGCTAAATGAGGTTGGGTATACCCGGGTATTTCGTGTTTTGGAGTCGAGGACGTCAAAGGCGCGTGTCTTGCATGGGGGCGCTATGCATTAGACTTGGAGAGTACATACATAGATCCTCTCATGCAGGGTCGCGGACATAATATCACCATACCCAACACCCCGAGTCGGATAGTTACTATAGATGGGATTATCACCAGAATATGATCAATAATCACTCGTAGTTTAGGGACTTAATATTTCCTTCTTCGCGTTAGCTTTGTTCTTGGGGTTGTTAAATATCGAGGTTGATTCCTCAGCAGTTGTTTTTAATCAGTAGCTCGACAGCATCAATATTCTCCTCTCTACAGTTGAAAACAGAAGTATTACAAGATTACATCTTCTTTAGTGAAAGAAACTACTAAAACTTAGTCACAATGGCGGCCAAATTCTCCAGCAAACTCACGGGCAAGCACGTCCTTGTCATCGGCGGTACTAAGGGTATCGGACGTGGTGTCGTGGAGGGTTCCATCGAAGCTGGTGCCCGTGTTACCATCTCAGGGTCTTCTCAGAAGTCCGTCGATGTTACTCTTAGCGAGGTCAAGGCCGAATACCCCGATGCTCCTGTCACCGGCGTCCCTTGTGACTTATCCAAGGAGACTGTCGAGCAGGACCTCGAGGCCCTCTTCACTGAAGTCGAGAAGCAACAGCCTATCGACCATGTCGTTCTTACCGCGGCGGATGTCTGTACGTACTCCTTCACAACGCCACACATACCTTGACACATACCTCGACACTCACCTATCTCATACTTACGAAACAAGTAATCGCTAACCTCTACTTAACACCACAGTACCCGTCATGAAAGTTGAAGACTTCTCCTACGACAAAATCCGCAAAGGCTCACACATGCGCTTCATCCTGCCCATCCTCCTAGGAAAAATCACCAAACGCCACGTCGCAGCCAGCGTCAACAACAGTCTCACAATCTCCACCGGCGGTATTGCTGAGAAGCCGAACGCCGGTTGGAGTGTAGCGGCCTACATGGGCGCCGGACTAACCGGTCTCGCGCGCAATCTAGCCCTCGATCTAGCACCTTTGCGTGTCAACGCTGTAGAACCTGGGTTCGTTGATACACCGCTATGGGAAGTGATGGGTCTCGATGCGGCGGCGCGCGAGAGGGAGTTTACGAAGTGGGGGAAGTTGTTGCCGACGGGGAAGGTTGGGCAGGTTGTTGATGTTGCGGAGGCGTATTTGTATCTTATGAGGGATCAGAATGCGACGGGGGAGATTGTTAAGACGCGTGGTGGGCATAATTTGATCTGAGCTAGTGCGTTATCATGAGATTGAGGGTTGAGGGATTGCTAGACTTTGGCCTGTGGAGGGTATAGGGAAATGGTCATGGAGGATTGATATGCATGGGAATATTCGCTAGTTCCTTTGAGGATAGTAGATAGATATTTTGCTTGAAAAATGAGACACTCGTTTAAAGTCGTTCCTTTGACGTCATCGCCAGCTTTCGTACGAGAACATCTGAATTAAGAAAAAATAATTCCACACATTGTTCAAATGGGGAGAATCATAGTGTAGACCAAAGACCCGAGTAGAGTGTCTTCTATGAATGAACATAATACAGAATATTTGAAAGGATTAGACCAAAAAACTGTCTTGTCTCGCGAGAGAGAGAAAAGCAGAGAGCGAAAAAGTAAAAAGTTTATTCTCCGGTACGGGGAATCGAACCCCGAGCTCCTCGGTGAAAACGAGGTATGTTAGCCGTTACACTATACCGGATGAGATCTTCATGTCAATGGTTAAGTTATAATGTCCTATATCGATTAAAACTTCGGTAGAATATCGGGGTTCGTACAAGATAATCGGTGTTTACGTAATTTGGCTTTGTTTTCGTAAAATGCATCATGATGAGTTTGGGTATTTTATCAGATGGAAGATGGTCAGTGTGTAACAAATTTTGTTATTAGGTACTCGTGAATATAATTGAGGGGCTTTATACGAATCTAGTTGTCTAGAAGAGACGCAAACTTTCCAACTTCAGAAAGAAAGTGAATCCCAGGATCTTTGGAAGTGGGGAGACGTCATTGTACATTTAAAGAAAACCAGCTATCTTCTATGTGCTACCTCATACTATAGATATTTAATGCTGTGAACGAAAACAAAAACTCTACAACATTGAGATGCGCATTTCTTTACTAAGACAGTTCCCTCAGAAAATCAATCGCAGAAAAATCTTGAGTAGAGAAATCAGACGCGCAATGACAACAATCACCCTTAAACAACCTAACATTCCGGTGAAGCTACCAGAGGGGCTTTCAGAAGAGAAGCTCTTAGCATTCTCTCCTTTCAACGTAAGACGCCTTTATCTCATTCGACTTCATATAATTAATTACTAACAAAACTAAGAATTGGGTCAAAACACTCACCAACTCCCTCTCTCTTCAACGCACCAATACTTCGCATCCTTTTCACACGGATCCATATGCGCTGCGCTCCGTCACAATCCAGAGCTTCGACCTTTTCGGCCGGGCTCCGAACCAGCGTCTCGGATTCCTCAAACTCACCGCCGAGGTATCCAACGATGCCGGTGAGACCCTTCCCGGTAGCATCTTTCTACGCGGGCCTAGCGTCGCCATGCTCGTAATCCTCGTGCCAGATGACGTACAGAACGAAAGCAATTCAGATTACGGCGAGCGCTACGTCGTACTCACCGTACAACCCCGCATCCCAGCCGGTAGTCTAGAATTCGTGGAACTACCTGCAGGCATGGTCGACGAAGGCGGTACATTTGCTGGTACAGCCGCGCAGGAGATTCGCGAAGAACTCGGGTTAGAAATCCCGGCTTCGGAGCTACGTTGTTTGAGCGATATGGCTATTACGGAAGAAAGTGGAGTGAAAGGAGAGGAGGGTTTGCCGTTTGCGATGTATCCCTCGGCTGGTGGATGCGATGAACATATCCCGATTTACATGCACGAGCGAAGAGTACCGCGAGATACCTTGAAGGAGTGGACGGGCAAATTGACGGGGCTAAGGGATCATGGTGAGAAAATTACGTTGAAGTTGGTGCCGATGAAGGATTTATGGAGGGAAGGGGCGCGGGATGCGAAGTGCCTAGCTGCACTAGCGTTATGGGAGGGATTACGGCGGGAGAGTAAATTGTAAGGGACGTTTTAGCGGATTTACGGCAATTTATAGGCGGGCGAGCGCTGGCGATTAGGGCAATGCGCCACTAAATACCCGGAGATTGGTACTCACGGCGCCCTAGAGAATAGGGGATGATTAAGTACGATTGGATCGGCCTCGGAAATGCGCAGCGAAATCCACGATCATCTATATTTTTCGTACTTCGCGGTATCTCTAAGCAGCGCCTCGACCTTCTCTACCGTGACTGGGTCATATACTTCCTCGGGCGTCTTGTCTCCTCGCAAAATCTGTTTGTCATGCCGTATTCCCTCTTCCTTGGTCATGCAAACAAGATCCTCAAGTTTAACGTTCGAAGACTTTTGCTCATCGGGACACTCCCCTATTCTTACCAGAATGGAATCCTTCGGCTTCCGCCATCTCATTAAGGTCAATCGAGTCGTGAGTCCAGTGATAGCACTACGCCCCTTGAAGATCTCTTCAACAAGGAATGCCATATCCGCCGTCGTAATTGGTACTTTTAGACCTAAGGTAATGCTGGGGTCGCCGCCCGTCATATGTCGGAGGACTTTCTCTTCACCTCCTTGAACCGCTGCAAGAAGACCCTCGTACATCTTCTCTCGACCCTTTGCCGGTACGTAATCATGGGGGTATCCTAAGTAATATTTAGCTTTGAATGCAAGAATTGAAGGCCGAATGAAAACATACCAGTAACAGAGAGTATGACGTGGTTCGCTGCCGTGTATCCAAACACAGCTGGCATTGTCCCCAGTACCGGCAATATTCGCACTCGGAAATCTGGCAAGACTCCTAAATCACCAACTTGGCCCTTTTGGAATTCATCGTCGGGAAGAGGGAGCAGCTCTGCTTTCCCCTCCCCGGTTTTCTCTGTCGAATATACAGTCGGGATTCCTTTGGTAACTCCTAGTAACTTTAATCGGCGTCTGGTAGATCTCGATAGCCCGTCGTCGGTACTAGTTCCGATATCCCCTACGATGATCCGGGTAGGATCGCTCTTACATCCCGCGCCCATAGATGATATGACCGGTAGTTCGTGGTCGTGGCAATATTTCAGCAGCGCGACTTTTGTATCGATATTGTCGATAGCGTCCACGATATAATCCGGCTTCTGCCCATTCTTCCACGGTTCTAACAGTTTATCTGCAGCCTTATCCCAGAACTTCTCTTGTCGCAAGTCGAAATGCACCCATGGAGCAATAGCTAGAAGTCGCCGCTGAAGACAGTGCACCTTCGGACTTCCCACATCAGCTAGCGTGGCGACCGCGTGTCGATTTAATGAGCTTAGCGAAACCTGGTCAAAATCGATCAATCGAATCTTGGAGACGCCCGACCGCGCCAGTGCCGCTGTGCAATGCGATCCCACACCTCCGCACCCAACTATTATCACGAACGAGTTGCGTAGCTTGTCCAGTCCCTCCGGCGTGAGGAAGACACGGTTTCGCGCGAGTTGTTCGAGGATTAATTCGTCGTCGTAGTCGCCCGCTTGTGCACGTCGCGCGAGGATTTCGTTTCGTAGGTCTTCTTTATCGGCTTTCGAAGCGCCGCCATAACTATTAAGCTACCTTGCGCTGGTCAGCGAATTGTTCCTCAGACAGGCCAGTGCAGATGAGGGGCTATCCACCCTTCGTAAAGCTTCGCCTTCGTCGAGTATAGATGGTATCGAGTCTTTGAGTTGGTGAACGCGCTCTTCTCGCTGAAGACGTTGGTATCCTAATATCGCGCCCACGACGACGGCGCCGGATGCAATGGCTGTTGCGGCGAATTGGACCTTGGAGCTTGCGGAAGCTCGTTCTATGAATGACGCCATATTGGGTCTTGCGACACTCGATATTCCGTTCGGCTGCTTTCCGATGAACCTAATCACGTAGGTTCGGGTATATGATATATGAATTAGTATAATATGGATTAAATACTCTAGGCCGTACTACATTTCTAAAGAATTTCGGAAGGATTGGTTGTGAGTGTGCTTCAGGCAATCTCAAAAAATATTTTTACAATTTGAGAAAAAAGGCGGGATGACGAAATCTGTAGGTAACCCTTGTAGGCAGGAACAAACCTAATAGTTCTAATAGTGGCGTTATTTAGGGCGTACACGCCACACCAAGTCACCCCTCGCAGCCCTAGCTCCCCCTAAAGCATGGCCCTATAGATACGGTTAGTCGGCACCTTCGAGATCTTGCCAAGAACATCTAAGGTTTCTAAGAATATGAACTTAAAACACCTTGTTGGCCAAAGTTTAAGATATTTAACTTCACTCATTCTCCTTCACTCCTGTCTCTACATGAGGGTATCTTCTTGAACTTGTACGAAAATATGCTGATTATTCTAAAAGTTACACATATCTACATCAAGCCTCCTCTCCAATTATAGGTGATTAATATGCTTCATCTCTCCTCTCGTCCCCATTGTTCTCTACGCGGTGGCATTAGCTACTGCTTCCGCTCCACCTGATGCAAGCGCGAGAAGGTTCTGTTCTCCGAGGCTGTTTTGAGGGTATCGAGCGTTAAATCCAACAACGTCACGCACTGTCTGGTATGTTGTCTTGGAGAGTAGGAGCTTTTCCGTTGCGACGGACCAAGCTACACCCTCAGAGCATGGCGGGGTAGTAAGAGAGCCGGTGTATCGCTGGAAGCTTCCCGTATTTAAAAACTGGACTAATTCAGACATAATCAGAGGTTTAGTCGTCGTTTTCGCACCAGGAGATGCAATTTCTCCAATCGAAGAGAAGATGGTCTCGAGCAAGTTGGACGGCGAGTTTCGGGGAATGATATGAAGTTGAACAGTTGTGGGAACATCCACAAGATCGACATAGACACCAATCACGGCGATTTCTTCCTCCTCCGAGGTAAACACCATGTGCATTTCCACTATCGCGCTTATTAGCCAGGCAACCTACACCGCACAAGATGATATCCACTTACTTGGCAGGCTGACACCATTGTCCACGTGCTCGCTAGGGTGGTGAAAATGGAATTGTTCGAACGAGTAGACTTTGTCCTCAAGAATAAGCGACGCTCCCACCCCCTTCATAACAACCTCTATCGTGGATCCGAGGTTCTCGAATTCGGCGCCCTCAGGAACGTCGGGGATATAAACGTCAAGTTCGGAAGCCGGGACGAGCGTGAATTGCCCCTCAACCATGTTAATGGGCGACTGATTTCTGCCCGTTGAGCACAGCCCGTTGGCGGTGGAGTTCAATTGGGTCCATAGAACCGGTCCATCTGTTCCAGTGTACCCAAAGGTGGAAACTGGTACATCCTCTTCTCCTTCTGCTCTTCGATCAAGATGCGTATGGGCGCCGCAAAAGGCCAGGGCCGGCGTCACAGACGCGGCTAGGAGAAGTAGACGAGAGAATAGCGAACACATATTATCCAAATAAGAGAAAATGAAATCTAGGGAAAAGAGGCAAACAAATTATCCTGATAAAAAAGGAAATGGAAATGACGACAAGGAAAGAAATATCAAATGCGATCTGAAGTGACACGAACCACCAACAACACGGCGAGGAAATATCGTTAATAAATGGAAAACCCGAAGGCTCGGAAAGAATGGGTCCCGTCTGGTTTGTACCCGTGCCACATGGACGAATAACAAGCTCCGCCAGTATGATTTGCTATTTATGCTGCAAGACGCAGTTTGGGTTAGGACCTCAACTATTCTTGGCCGAAACTTTGGCCTCGAAGGAGAAACGGTGTTGGCATTGCTACCTCATTAAGCGACAGCCGTAAGATAACGCATTTACGGTCAAGGCTACGGTAAGCACCTTGTTTCTAGGGTTGGGAAGGCTTCAGAGCAATCTACTCCAAGTTCAGGGTTCTCCAAGCCCAGAACATCGTCACGATCCTAGATGGATAAGATGAAGGTCCCACGTGCAATTCCGACTCCAAAATTGACTACTTACTAGAGCGACGGTATCTAATAAGCAGGTCAAGGCGCCAGCATGGAATAGGATGCTTGTATTACAGCATATCTCACACAGATGAGTATGCAAAAGCTGCCAAGTGAAGTTTCCTTACATTGCCAACTCTTGGGAGAAGAAATAACAATACTGGTTGGTGCCCGTTTCTCTTGGCCGACGTTTCGATCCCAAAAAATCGACTCATTTCTTCAGTGCAGAAAAAATATGCAGCCAGGTAAGGGCTCGCGGGTTCTTGGAGAACCCCTGCACGATCCTCAGGCCCCAATCTCCGTATATCAAAATCAAACTAGACCCATATAGTAAGATGCTTCCAACGGAAAAATCTGAAGGAATTACTCTGCACTAGTGTACTGTTAAAAATACATAGGCAGCCTGCCAGGTAAGCTTGCGCCGCACTAGAATCGGTTCTAACCATTCTGAAAAAGCTGACCAGTCAGTCGATTAGGAAACATTCAGTGAATTGATCCAGTAGGCACAATAACATTATCTGAAGGGAAGCGATCTCTAGATCATTCTCATCGCCCTAATTGAAAAAGGAGTTGGATCTATTTGGTAGCTAGTAGATTGTTATTTCAAGGCAAGTTTGGTTCACCATACCTCTTTAGCAAAAACATCAGCCCATTCTGCCCCTTTTGAAGGCTTGGTGTTCTTGGCTTATGAGCACCTTGGTTGAGAGGAACATGGTGCTTAGCGAATTACTTCCATTAAGTGCTGACAATAATGAGATTGACCCCCAAAGAAGCGCAATACATCGTCTATCTTTGCGCTCAAGCATTGCGTGCATTATCGATTTAAGCTATTATCCCAGATTGCACTTGTATCGACGACACTTTTGAGGATCCAGCAGTCATTATTAATATGGTAGTGCTTTTATAAGCCAATCACAATACGGCGTTTTCTCCAGACTTGCCCGAGTAATAGCGGCTGGACCCGCTAAGTTCTAGACCTCCTAAGGATCTCAGGGACCGCTTAGCTACCATTTACAGGGCTGAGGTAGGTACCTATAGTCTATTCTTTCTGTTACCGCCCGTCCCTTTTTTTTCATCCCATCTCGGTGTTTGATGTCCCAGCAAACATCAAACAATACTATATCGCATCGAGCCAATCGGTGATCGCAGAGCTACAAGATCTACGTTGATAAGACCCAGAACGTTCATCTGATATGGTGATAATTGCGTACCCCAGACCGATCAACAATCCGCTTAACCAACGGTCTAACCACCACTCATCAACACCCACGATACTAACAAGATTTGGTAACTACACTTATTAATATAAACTTATCATGTAAATATGCCTCCATTATTAGGTATCACGAGCAAAACCGAGAGCCGTTATATTATATAACCAAACTCCGTCTCCGCAATTTATATTCTCCTTCGTTTCTCGGAGGGGACAAAGGTGAATCCGCCTTATCGCAGACACACTCTGTTCTCGCGGACACTACTAGTCTATCTGACATCATTTAGACTAGCCTAGACTTTCACCATAATAGAAAGGAAGTAGTCAGGAACAGGAATTAGCCAATATCCATTCCTCGTCCCCGGCGCTTGTTCACGCCTATACGCCAAGAGGATGAGGTGAGTCCTCAGTCAGCATCGTGACTTGCCCATAGGTTAGCCTCGCTATCGCCGGGCCAAGATGTCTGAATCCACTTGGCGCCAGGGGCCCAGGGAATAACTCATTGTAGAGACTGCCATCCACGTGCTCTCATCGCAGGAGTAGGTCACGGGTGGTTTTTACGCCTACCTGAGTGGGTTGGTATACTCATCCACGAAGTCTTTAGTCTTCCAGTCACCGAATATCTTTTTCTCCAGTTCGAAATACAATATCCAAGCTCCAAGCAAACAGCCATGTGGAAGGGGTATGGTTTGAATCGAATACTAACGACAAAGCTACACATGATCAACTACAGTGATGAACAACTGATAATGCGCTACTGTCTCGCCGTGCCGAGACTGGTCGATATGACAAAACATAATAACGTAACAATTTAGCACACTTATCAACGTCACTAATACCCTATAACAAGGAACCTGCGGGTTAGGGGGTATGGTTGGATGTCTTAATTTAGGATATCTTCGTCAAGATGACCAAGCCCTTTCACCTGCGTCACCCTTCATGGCGCTATTCATGGGATACACTGTCCAAGGTCTTAATTCGAACGCGACGAAGTTTCTCTGAACTATTCCCGCAGGTTTTCCGGGCGAACTCGTCCACTCTAGGTGCAGGTCCAAAACTAGACACCAGGCTAGTTGATTGCATATCAGGAAACTCGGCCAAGCTGGATGGTCTCCGTCCCGAGCAATGAAACCCCTTAGCGCTAGGCGCCATACGCGTCGCGGCCTCCGAGAGATACACTGCCACAAGAAACCTAGGTGACAAGACCAAGAGAGCATCGCATAAACTACGAATTTTCAAAATTTGGATACTCATGCGCATCCCCTTACCTAGGTGCACATTTCAACGCTGTTTCACACCCCGAAAAGACTGACCAAGTATCACAGCAAACATAACGCAGACGATAGCCTCTCATGGATGTTTTTCTTAGTATATTTCACACTCCTATCTAACATGTCACTCTCACCGAAGTAACACAACCTATCCTCACGCGACCGGATGGTTCTTCGCGAAAGTAATCATAGACCCATTCGACGACGCCGCGATATCCCGATCGCCGAGGAACACGCAGTACTTAGCGACATCCTTGAGCTGTATAGCCTGCTCCGGCTTGAAATTGGCCGATACGCTCATCGCGTACGCCTCCGCGTTGAACCCGCCCAAAGCCGCGAAACCGTCTTGGATGTTGGTGTCGGGCATACCACCGACTTGTAACCCGATGCTGTAGATTCCTTTCGGTCCATAGTACCCTGCTGTGCTTTTTACGAGCGCGGCTACGCCGTGTTTGCTTGCCTGGTGTGGGGTTAGTGAGGGTTTACCGATGGAATATGGAAATAGAGGGTTGGTTTGCCTGTTTTTTCGTACGCATAATGCGGGAAACACGAATATAGAAATCGGCAAAGAAAGAGGATAAAAGAAAGGACAGAAAAGGGCGGGGGAAGGGGGGTTCACTAACCGTATAAGCAGCACCAGCAGACAGACCATGCCAACTCGAGGTCGACGCAATCTGGATAATAGTACCACTGGGCGGTGATTGCTTCTCCATCGTATTAACAGCAGTCTTGAACGCCAAAAATGAACCCGTCAAGTTGAGGTTGATAATACGATCCCAGTGCTCCTTGCTCAATGACCCGACCGGGTCAAACTTATCCGTCATACCGGCATTGCTAACCAATATATCTAGACGGCCGAATTTGGCAACAACATTCTCCACAAGCTTTGTGATGGCCGCCTCGTCTGTGATATCCGTCTTTTCGGCAAGAAATCGGCTTGTAGGCCCGAATTCGCTTCGGACTTGCTCCAATCGCTCATCGTTAATGTCGCAGACCGCTACATTGGCGCCCGCGTCGAGATATCCCTTCGCTATGGCTTTTCCTAGACCACCGGCAGCGCCAGTTACCACAACAGTCTTTCCTTCTAGTGATGTTGCCATTTTATTTGTTTTCCGTCGTTTCGGGAAATATTGCGGGGTTGATTCTGATTTATCACTGCCCACGGGTATAACTGATCACTTCAAATTTCAATGTTAACAGATGGAATGCTGAGATACTATACTCTTAGATGGAATTGAGATGGTATTATATACTCAGATAGGTTTCGAGTAAAGAGGTGTACGGAGTATACGCCACCAACCCGCGTATTCGGATTGGGCTGGATCTGCCACTTACGTATGTTAGCTGCCGGTTTAGCTCCTCGCGGAGTTAGCGGTGTTGAGGGGTGGATGGGGATGGTGGTTCGGCAGCGATACGCCGCAAGTTCTAATGTCCTGTCGTATTCGTATATGGCTCGGATCCGGGATTCTTAGGCTTTAGCCGCTCCACCACCTCCATCTCCATACGATCCCTACATGAAATTTCTAAACCAATTCTATAAGAATATCTTGATTCGCAGTAGTGAACCTTGCGCGACATAGAGACCCTGACTTCTCAAACAAGTTATAAGTCCTTGAGTGAGGATGGATTGCAGATGCTATACCGGCCCCGCCGACAGCATCGTGGGCCGCGCTTTACTGCCCACTTAGGTAGTAAGATTGTCACGGATTCGGGTCCTTTTCATAGGGGCATATGAATTTCTAGCTAAAAATACTACCAATGTCCCTTCGGAAACCCAACCTTTACCCCTTCTCGAGCCTAAGTGATTCGATATCACTTGCCCAGGACTTGGCCGTGTTAACTATCAAAGTGACCGGACACCGAGCAAGCTCCCCGAGGCGGTCCATGTTCCTCCGAGTCACGATGATCGAATATTCCGATGACGAGAAGAAAGGATAGGAGCCGAGATGGAATTCCTCACTTAAGTGGTAAAGTGTACCAGCTTAGTAATCAGGCGACTCGAGGACAGAGTAACGAACGAAAAACCGCCGTTCATCTCAAGAACACACATAGGCTTTAAAGTGACGTGTGTCTAGTCGCAACTAGTGAAACGCGGGTGGCCAAGCTTCAATCTCATCAGGATGCTAAATGATCGAGCCATAGAACGCGAGTCACTATGGAATCAGTGTAGGGGAACAAAAGCATCGCAGAGACCGCGTTCTAGGCCATGCATGATGATATTCACCGATAGAATATATGGACAGGACATGCATGATAAAGGGTTGGACTTCTTTCACTTCATCTTCTGGGAACTGTCGATTCGGAAAGCCCAGAATCACAGCGTCATGTTCAACTAACCGTGTGATACACACGTCAGGGAAAGGCACGGTAGAATGTAGAAATACACACCTGAAGGTAAAAAGCTTCGAACCCCAAACTTCAATTTCCGTAGACCTCTTGATCCTTCTCATCAGCATGGCGCAAAACTTCGCGATAATTCATCTTGACCAAAAGGCTATATCAGTATTGCCAAAAGAACTTTACATTGCCTGTCTTCCTGTTGGAGATTAGTTACATCAAAATGTTACTCGGATTACTCTTTTCGCTACTGGCGGCCGCCGTTGTTGCCGACGATCCGCCATCAACTGGAAGTCCCAACACACTACCGGTGATCTTACCACCATTTGACTACGGTGGCGCAATCGAAAAGGGGCTTATGGAACATCTTCCGCAAACCCCGGTCCAGGTAGAAATTATAGCAGGCCAGATACCCCAAGACTGCAAGGATCGAGCCCAACAGCAGAATATATCTATTTCTGATATCGAGGTCTTTGCGGCGTCCTACAACGATTGTGATCATCCTTGGACCATGTGCCGTGTCAAGTCGGCAAAGACCAACGCAACTACTATGGCATCTGTAAGTATCCTCTATCCATACAGCTTGGTAGAGCTATAAAACTAACGGTGGCTCAATTATAGATGTTCGGCAAGATGCCGTTGGGTATGCGCGAGTACATCAGACATGTGATGGTAGTCGAACCGGAATCTATTCCCGGTGCTGCCGCTGTATCATCTGGGGACACTATTTTATTTTCTGATACCTCCTACCGGCTTTATATCTTCGCGCATGAGATGTCTCATTCTCTAGACTCCCACGTCCCTGTCCCGGGCGTTACGCTCGAGGGACATGGCGGTCTAAGTATCAGTCAGAGGTGGGCCGATCAGTTTAGGATGGATACAGCGACTGTCAGCGACTATGCTCGTAGTGCATGGCAGGAGAACCTAGCTGAGAATGGCCCCATTGCACTCTATAATATCGTGGTGCCTGGTGGTATATTTAGCCTCGAGAGCAATGCTACTCAAGTAAGTTGTTTCCTAGTCTTTCATTAGAAAACGCACTTGGATCTTTGTACCAATTCTGATGAACTTAGGTATTCCATCAATTCGCTACCTATACGACATACTACCGTGATATTATCACCCCGGGCGGCAAGAAGAATTGCACTGGCCGGCTGCCGGATTCCCCGCTGGTTAAATCGGGGCTTGGGTCGCCAGGTTTCATACGACCAGAGGGTGAGGACGTGTTCAAGGCAAACATCACGAGGATCCCGCCTGGACTTTTCCACAACGATACGTTCATCTTTCCTCTCGATCATACTCATAGCCACTAACCCGGCGCTTGAAACGGTCGGATTAGACATAGGTTATGATGGCAGGGAGTTCCAGGCACAGGGGGGTTAAAGTCACTAGAAAGTATGTGACACTTGAAGATGCCCAGGGTTTAACAATTTGGTATTTGATGGATTCATCTTGAGATGGTACCTACAGATGATACTACCCCAATGAGCGCTATTTTGGTGATAAGAAAATGATACCAACACAAGCGGATTAGGTTGTCTTCAGATTTATATAACTTAGATACCACCTAGGTAAAATTCAGAAGTCAATAGAATGGTACTTTTCTCAATTGAACAGGAGGTATTAATGGATTGCTTGTCAACTTCGACGTAGTACAGAGGCGGTCTAGTCTCTTACCCCTTTCCGGTGCCGCAGTATTTACGGCATGGGAACTCACCATTCGCGGGAACAAAGTGTATGTCCTGACAAATATCCTGGTAATTAATCCTTATGTTAATTGTCAACTAAGTGCGTTTTCGTGTTGCTAGAGAAAAGCAATGCAGCGACAGTTTCCCTGGTAAGCTTGCACAGTATAACGACACCCCGTCGCTGAGCGAGGTCGAGTAATATATAATTAATGTAAGGCAGCTCACCTACAAACTTGTCTTCGCTTATTATAATCTAGTATGGGTTTCAAGGTGATTGGAGCTTGAGGTAAAGTTGGTCTATTCCAATTTATCTATCACAGGATGTCCTTACCTACTTTATTTCAGCGAGGTAGCGTTCCCTTAAGTCAAATTCCCAAACATGAACTTAATAAATACATCTTAAATATGAAACGGGGGAACTTTAAATCTACGAAGGGAGATAGAAAGGTTGTTTTACAATTATATATTCTTCAGCAAGCACCTGAGATCGAGTTACACAAGCTCGTACCCCTTACTTCCCACAAGGGGACGGACACTACGGTAGATGTATGAGATAAATCACGGGATAGCGATAACGACCTAATTTGAGAAAACAACCCATGCATAGGCATTCATTGACAAGGTTGTAAGTCTAAGTTGTATATACATTAGAAAGCATAATCACCAATCTACCTAGCGCGCGCATCCATCTTTCCCCCTTATTTGAAGCGGCAGCGTGTTAACGAAATGGTTCCCGTCTCCTTCCCTGAGACACGGGTGTTCGACCAATCGAGTCGTAAATTGCGAAGCGAATTAGAAGCGAAGTCGTGATAATATGTGGAAGTCTCTGACTCGCGAATTCATAGCGTGCTGTGCGTGCGTAGTCTCGTTGTCAAACTTTGGCAGTTTCTCGTATCGGAAGCTCCAGGTTTAGAACTTAAGCTCCCCAGAAAGCAGAAGGGGCCGGGAGAGGAGTGGTGCGGGTGAAGCTAACTGGTCCCGAGTACCCGCCCGTGGGGTCATGGTGGTGGTGGTGCGGCGGGAGACCACTGGATGGCTGGGTAGGGGGAGCGGTACCACCTGGGAAGGTAGGGAAAGGGTGAGGAGCGTCAACTTGCTTAGCATTGACGGGAGGCGTAGGGACCGAGTCGAAGATCGAACTGGTCTCTGGGAGACGAGTCGCCTGGAAAGTGGAGAAGGTGTTCGGCGCAGGCGTGAAACCCCCTTGGCTGGACGAAGCCGTAGTAGTAGCGTAGGTGATCGAAGGGTGGTACACCGATGTTGGGTCGGCTAGGGCTGGGAACGCCGTAGGGCCACCAGTCGGTGCGGTGCCAGGAACCGTAGGGAAGGACGGGATCGAACCTGTGCCTACTGGCTTCTTGAAAGGCTGGAATGGCACCGCAAGAGCCGCGGAAGCGAGAGTGATAACTGTGAGGAAGTGCATTTTGAAAGCTGGTTTCGTGATTTTATTGTATCGAGCGAATGTTTATCGTGGCAACCCCAATATCTATTAAGAAACTTGCAACCGGACGACCGACTGGATGATTGAGTGACTGAGCGACCGAAGATTTTTGGTAACGACTGAATTGGTGACTCTACAAGGAAATCCTCGACGGAGGGCGTGAGATGGTGGTTTCTATATACCTACGAAATTGCCCCCTTCCCGGCTCCGTGCCAAGTTATGAGGTGCATCCTTAATACATCCGCCCTTGGACGTCATCCCTATGGTGTACCCTCTCAAGGCGCCCCAACTATCACAAAACACTTCCACCACTGAAAAAAATTGATATGTTTCTATTCTGAGCAATTTCGCGTGCATGTTGATCGACTACTAGAAAGTATTAGTTGAGAGGGGGCCCCGGTCCAACCCTAGCCGCACTCCCCTGCGCGAAAAAATGTAGATCGACGTCAGTCCTTGTACCATGTTCCTTGTGGGTTGGCAGGATATGGTTGCTTGGTGTTGAGGCTGACCCAAGCTTTAATGAATAACTGATGGTGAAGTGACGCTGTCGTCCCCTAATTTGATAGGCTCGGTAAATAAACAACTGGCAATGAGTGGCGCCAAGTCTATGTAATGGCTCTCTCAAACGTCCGCCACCATGATGGCATAGTACCTAAGTAGCGAACGAACAATGGCAAAAATATTCAAGATCGACACACGATATACCATAGGAGTAGAGGCTCCCGGCAGAATCTTCAGGAATAGGCAGGTATACTCACGAAGGCTCCCGAACTAATTGCGGATTCCTACTGGATTGGACTCCACGGACCAGGGACGAACCAAATTCGAACATGTGAATTTCCTGTTTAATGCTTGTCTATTTACCAGCGAACGTCGATCTGATTAACTAATCCCTTCTCGAAAAAGGCGGCTCCGTTTGCCAGCATCTGCAGGGCCAATCTACATATCCCGGCAGCTAAAGTAGGGGCAGACAACGCCGGCGTTTTGACTCGCGCACTCCCCTGGATCCCACGGTACCTTTACAGCGCTCTTGGCAAAGCTTGGAGGGCTCCCACCCTTGCTAAAGTCGAAGGGAAAAAAAGGGTCCAATCTACTTGTTTAAATGGAAAGGAGTCTAATCCCTTACTTTGTGATGACCGACAGCTCGATTAAACTCTGACAAACATCTGTAGTGTAAGTGTCGTCGAGATATCTAGTCTCGAATAAACTTGAATATAGATATAAAACGCACATTTAGTTAGTAACTATCTGTGCACTTACGCAGGTACATGAATCAGAATCGGAGCGACTTGAGTAGCTTCTTACTGCTCGGTTTAATCCAGGATCACCTCTGATACATGACTCGCCGGCTCCGAATTGATAGCTATAATCAGGTATTCAACTCGCTATGTTTTCGGTTCTGATCTCAGGAACCCTCTTTTTTGACATCGCAGTCAGCAAATAAGATCCGAAAGCCCTCACAAAACTGATCAGTGCTGTAGGCAAGAACCATAAGGTCCTGAATTCCCATCGTTCCAACATTCCAGTAGGTACCTATATCCCACCGGCTCCGCAATCAAAGGCTCCACGTAGTATTAATTGCACCCAACCGACAGTAGGGTGGGAGCCGGAGCGGGCTAGCCAAGCAAATTAAGGATTTATGCCCAAATGCTTGGAGATCGCAATGGAGTCAGAGCTACCACATGTCGGTGTAAAGGGCAAGATCGTCGACGTCAACATGCGCAAGGATTTAAGACAAGATTATTTCATGAACCCTACCTCGCCAATTTTCCTCGCAGCATTGTACGTAAAAAGCTAGCCGTCTGTGCCTGCATCGCGGATGCCGGGACTTCGCCCTATGAGAAGCGATACACGATGCCGTTTGAGTATAGTCACGGTCCGAACTTCACCAATGAATAAGGTCCGCGCGCTAATTCGTGCTTCCCGGCTGTGGCTTCTAACCTTAGTGGCTTTCCATGAACCGTTCGAGTGGGAAGCTTAGGGTGCATGTTGCAATAACTACCTAGTTGTAGGTGAGCTGATGTGCTTTCAGCGAAGTTGGAAGAGAGATATACTGCATATTCCACTCAAGGACCACCTACCTTGACACTAAGGCAGTGTGATAATGGTCCTGTTTACATCCAGGGGTATGCACGGTAATACAACATTACTCTAGATATAGGACACCTTAATCCCTTCCTAGAGAATGGAAAGCAAAATAGTCGCTTCGAGTAAGAACAACACTATGCCTTACCTCAAGGCCCACCGGCAAATAGCATGGCACTAATCACGTAGTGCCGGCTTTGACCAACTTTTATCAGGGAAAAAGCCCTCTACTTCACATTCTGTACGGGTGGTTCTGAAACTATCACTGATATCTTACAAGTCGGATCTGGAATTGTTTCGCAGGTCCTCACGGCCGGATTAGGTACTCCGCACAGAAAACATCTACGGGTCTGATGCTATTCGGTCCTCCACCTAGATACACTTTAGGGATAAGGTAGCGATGCGCTACTTGCCTTGCTCGCTTGACTTCTTAATAAACTTGTAAGTCTTCGGGTTCATGACGCACAAGATTTCTCCTTCATCAACCAGAATCAAGCGACACAGGCCGGTAGTACGTTCGCTCATCGTCAAGAGTAGTTGAACTTCGATGGGCGGCACATAATCCGATGCGCACTACAAGTAGGCCTTCCCCGCGAGACCATGGGAAATGTAGAACCCTTTGACTGAGAATGATAAAATTCCTCTGTGTTTTGTTCCATAGGGGAAATAGGCGGTAAACTTCGTGATTGTTGAAAACCGACCCCTTATTAACTCACCTCTATTTCCGTGTTTCACCGCTCCCACCAGCTATCCGATTTCTCTGGGTATAAGTGAATATAATCCCTCATCCTAGACCTAACTATCCTCTGATATACAACCCCTCAGTTCCTAAATACCTACTCCCCTCACATCCAAAAAAGAACTCGAGTGCCCCCAAGAATACGCCTTATACAACCTTTATTCGTAGCCGTTTGTATCATATTTCAACACTTTTCGGTCCCGAACCCAAGACTTCAACCTCTAGCTGAAGCCATTAGGTGATCAAGCTTCGAGTCGAACTTCAAATAAACTCGAAAGCACCGATGGAAGTGGCCTCTAATATTTAGATACAATTTTCTAGATATTGTCATGACAAGGGCTCACCACCGTCCATCGGATACTTCCGATGTAGACCACGACCATCACTCGAAAGCAACAATCACATTATCACATCCACATATGCAAAGAAGTTTGGTTTTAGTGTTTTACTTTTTATCTTTATTTATTCCGTAATTTTTTTCTTTTCATGCCTACTCCTGTGACCGTCTATCTGAGGGTATACCTTATCATCGTTGAGTCTTGAGTACCCCGGGGACATAAAGAAAAAAGTGTATCCCCTATCTTTTCCCATCCCGAATCACTTGATTGGGTTAGGTATCGCCCGTAAAGGGGGGTGGCCATCACCCCATTGCCATTTCATGCCTTGACTGGATATCGATCGAGCCGCCCCACCGCCTTGCAATGCTCTATATATGCCATAGACTCCTTGTGTCCCTTAGGTGCAAACCCCTTCCTAAACAATGTACAACCTTAAGAAATCAGCTTTAGACCTCAACCTAGCCGGAACGACCTTTCATATCGGAAACGGTGCTCGTATGCATATGCTGGGTAGGTTAGCCAACATCGCCCCACCAATCCAGCGTTGCACATATAATTATCGTATCCACCCTTCCATCTATACCTGTCTGATCTGATTCCCGAAATCACTTGAGAATGCTGAGCTCAAGGATACGTCTGTCCTATCTGTAACTCTGTGGCCATATAAAGTTGCGTATAGACAATATCGTTCCTCCTGATGAGCAGAATGATAGAAGGCAAAGACGTTGTATGACCTGGCGGAAAATATTATCCACATGTGGAGATAAACCAGGCCTTCAATCATGTCCAATATAGCACCAGGCGTCTCGGATTAGAGATTCATATTGAGACGATGTATATCCGCCAACTCGCCATTTGGGTGTATATCCAAAGTCCGTCAGGATTTATGGTTCAGCCCCCCTTTCTCTCCGAGTCGTTTTTCGGTAATTGCTCGCTCTGCGGATAAGCATCGCCTCGTGGCTTTGAATCATCGGCCTTCTTTTTACCTCGACTCATTTTTTGCCATCTATTTCCGGTGTTATCGCTCTCGCTCTTAGCACCGCGAGTGTGCCCGTTCTCTCGAGCTAAACCATTAACCCTTGGATTCGAGGGCGCGAAGCCTTCATGTCTAGATGAAGACGCCTCAATCGATGATTTTTGTTTTCCTTTCGTCGACTCGGCCTTAAGTCCGGGGTGATTGTATGGCGGGACTGAAAACGCTGGCGCTGGCTGCTCAAAGGGTATGTCCGGCCTTCGAGTGAGATTCGGAGATGGGCTGTTGGCCTCGTATACGGGCGAAAGCGAAAGATGGGGGAACTCAGACGACTGAACATGATTTCCTGTTTCGAGATCGAGGGCAACCAGTTGGCCCGGCAGCGGACGATACCGTTGGAAAGAATTTGGGTAAGCCCCCGCTAGATTGCCGTTGACATCATGGCCAACTGCAACTTGTTGGTAACCTGAGGGGGCCATACCCACATCGTGAGAAAATTGGGATCCATGCAATTGGTTATTGATAAAAGTGCCAGCGTTCGAAGAACCATTAACAACCACTGGTCTATCTGATGTTGGCGAATTTCCTTTTCCGGGTGTTGAATGATTAGTGAATGGCGTCTCAGTGACGATAGAGCTACTGGCATCGAGTCGTTGATTGATATGGAGCGGGTTGTCATAGCCAGCGTACTGGCCTACTGGGATCTCACCCTGGGTAGGTTGACGTGGCGAATTACCGTTCGATAACTTGGACATAGAACCATTGACGACTAACGGTGTGGTATCACGAGCCTGCGATCCATTACCCGCTGGGAAAGGCGCAGAAGCGAGAGGGGCTGAACCTCGACCCATAGAGTAACCTCTATTGTGGCCCATTGGTGAAGGAGAACGGGAGTTCTGCTTGATCCTATCCAGTATTGACTGGGGGAGTTGATCAGAAGACAGTCGCCCTCTGCTCTGGTTAGGGGCTTGGGTATTGATATCACCGAAAGCCGGTATGTTACTAGTCGGAACGCTTGTCCGCCGAGGTGGACTTGAAGGGTCGGCGTAGTAGCTATAACTCCTCTCTTCCTCAGGTGGAGTGGTTGCCGTAGAACCATTCTGTTCATTATCATGTGCCTCGTCTGGAATAAAGCTAGGCATGGGGGCTCCATTAACGTGTCTCGCAGGAATACTAGTCATTCCGGTGGGTATCTGATTAGCCCCAGTTATGCCCTGAGCAGTTGGCACGCCGGGAGCGGTTCGTGATGCTGGCTGCGACTGGGATCTCATAGTGCTTCCGGACAAACTGTGACCTGAATCGCTACCATTTGTGGTTCGATGAGAGCTGCGTCGGAAATCGCCGGTATGATTGGTTGATGGCGAGGGTGGGTACATGTAGCCCTGTTGTTGCAGATAGAAGGTCTGAAGATTGTGAAGGTAAGCTTGATGGTAATTATTATACATTTCCGTTCGTACGTCTGGACGCAACGGAGCGCTTAATGGCGGAGTGTCGAACGAGTTGGTACGGGAACGCTCCGCCGATGATGGTTGTGTTTGTGAAGCATTGCCCTGCATCATCTGAGTAGGCGGTACGTTAAATCCTGCATTCTGGGCATACTGGAGAAAGTTAATATTATTCTGCTGCATGGCCAAAGCGCTAAACGCTTGCATTATATTCGGGTCTTGCACGTATATAAACTGCCCCTGGGGCGTCATAGCCACCTGATATTCGGGGAAAACCATTGCGTTCCCGTTATTGTCGTATTGTATGCTGGATGAAGCCCTTCGACTGTTGTTGTTGCTGTTGTTATTACCATTATTCCTGTGCTGTCCTTGGCGGTTACCATTGCGATATGAGCCGCCTCGACTCCCCCGGTTCGACTGTTGGTGCGAGGCTGATCGCAAGAGCACCGCCGGGCGGGATGTTTGCGCTGGTTTTTGATAGATTCTCTCCTCCTCTTTAGGAAATACGTATTGATCACAGCATTCATCGAGTTTTCCCTGTACAATTAGGTCAAATGCACGACGGAGCTCCAGGTGGATACCTCGAAATGCGTAACTATCAGCAGTATTGCCGAGATTGCGGCCGACATTAAATGGCTCTTCGACACAAAGCTGATTGGTCATGTTCATATGCCAATTCTTGTTTTCCTTCGGTATGATCTTACCCAAGCGAACGGACAACACGTCTTTACGATAATCAACTTCGTGGGCGTAAAATAGGAAGAATTGAAACAACAACTCTCCTAAAGAGGACTTGTTTTCGTCTCCAAATCCTCGTAGTTGATTTATGTCGTCGGCAAATGAAGCCATCTCGCCGTCCTCCCTGGGGAGCTTCTGGTGGGGCCTCTGGTGTAACGCAGGCAATATGGGGGGTTGGCGTAGTTGTAAAAACGCGATGATCATGCATATCCAGGTGTAAGAACTCAATGTTCCGCCATACGCTGTACCTTATTAGCATAGAGATTTCAAAACATATAATATGTAGGATCTTACCAGCATCGTTGATCTTTCTCCGTCTCGTCCAATACTTAATGATCATAGCCAGCGGCCGTACTCGTTCATCAATTTGGACGTATGTCTTAATCATACGCGTATTTTCAAGGGCCAACGTATTATTAACGTTCATATCGCAAGATAACTTCAACTCGGGATCCCAAATCTTGACGATCGGAACCTTAGCCGAAGACACGCAGACGACTTTCTCCATTCCACCTAGAGGGTATTAGCAGGTATATAAGTAGTTAAAAAGGGCGCCATCTCTTACGCTTAGCGAGTAACTCCGCAAGCATGCAAACACCCTCGAGCTCTTTCCACGGTGTCACGATGCATATATCCACTAAGAGACCGAGGTTAGCCAAGTAATAAACGTTTTCTAGATGCATATACAAACCATCAGAGTCATCCGAGCATAACAAGTTCCCTGAGGACCCAAAAAGATGTACACGGATATCATGCCCAGGCCAAGCATCATTAAGCAACTTCTCTAACTTCTGCACTAGCTTTTGTCTTTTTTCCTCTACTTCCCCTGTCGGTTGTAACCGGTCGTAAAGTTCGCGCATGTCTGTAGATAGCTTTCGCTCATCCTCTTCAGAAAGTTTGCTCTTGATAGTCTGTAAGTCTACCTTCTCCAACATCTCGTCTGAGCTATAAGGCATTCTTCGACGGGAATGCTTAAGACCTGTCTCGAATTTGCAAACACCTTGTCGCGGGGGTAGAGGTCGTAAAGAAGGAACCGCACCGTTGGCCTCGGAATATGCGGATCTCGGGGAATGGGACGTGTTGGCATTAGGGGAATGATCTCTCGACTCGAAGGAAAATTTGCGCGCATGTTGTTGGGGGGTTGACGGAACAGAATTCGGGTGAGGGGGTAAATTTGAAGGCGAACCAGACTGCTTCGGCTTCGGGGGAAGCTGCTGGCGGAAGTCGGGCTTCCTATTTTGCATTTTGGACGGCGTATTCTTGCCTGTTATAAGCTCGCGATCGGCTTCTCTGGTCTTGTTGTGGTTGCCTCCAGAAGCATGGCAGCTCGGGGAGGCCTGCCTAGCACCACCTTTCTTGTTCGACACTTTGGATGCTGAGCGAGTTCTAGGTCCGCCCTGGACGTTCTGAGCCGGAAGTGCGGACTTCGGAGACGTGGTCTGACCACCTCGACGCGGCACGATGTTCGTATCGTAATGAAGAAGATGCTGTGTCTTAAGGTGCCACTCTCTGACGAGTTCTTCTCTGATGCGCTGTTCTTCGGCGAGCTGCTTGTAGTAGCGGCGGGAATCAATGTAGATTGGTGCCTGGCGCGGTAAGAAGGTCGAAACCTGCTCTAAATTGGTGTGTGTGAAAGAATTAGGTCCAAGATTTGTTGGATTTGACCGAGTCCCAAGAGCTGGAGATGAATAATTATGTTCTGAGTCTCCCGTCATAGGCTGGTCTTCCATTAAAGATGGGCCCCGCACAACAACCGAAGCGGCCTTGACTGGGGATGGGCAAACGAATGGCTACCTAGGCAGGTAGTGACGCGGGTTACCGACAATAAAGGGTACCGGGTACTCCTACGTGCGCACTTCCTTGTAGGTTACGATCGTCGGTAGTAACTAATCGGCGCTCGTGAAAGAGGGATAAATACAGAGTGAAGTGAACGTATCGTCGACTCGCGGGCCTGGGCCGTCGATAGAGCCGGCGGTAGGAGTTTTGGGCGATGGGGGGAAGTCGGAGGATCGGCGAGACGAGGCCAAAAAAAAGGAGCGAGTCGGAGAGCTTGAGATGACAGCTCACTAAGGTAACGCTCAGTTCGGAACAAGCCCGAGCCAGTTATCAATACAAAAGATTATGGAATGTCTTTACCGCTGGAAGATATAAGATCTCATGAGGCAATTCGTTCTGTTCTCAGCAGAGGTCGAAGAGCATCAATGGACCGCTTTTTTTTCCCGCGTACAACTCGCATAGACTAAGAGCATTTACGGTTGGTTGGAGACAGAGGCCAGCCACACTAAAAGGAAGAAAGAAACAAAAGATTCAATTGAGGAAACGATTGAGAATAAGCAACACACGCACACGAGTCGACGTGTGGGTATAAAAGGGGGTATCGCCAGAAAATAAAAACGAAGTCTGAATCCGTAAAAGACAAAAAGAGTGTCGTCGTAATAGTAGTAACAACAGTAGTAGCAACAATCGTATGAGTCGTTATTGCTCTGTCGCCGAAACCTTTTATTTTTCCACTTCCACTGCCACTTTCGCTTCCACTTCTAAGAGGAGAGGATGGGGGGGATTAAAGGTGAGGGAGGAGAGAGGGAGGTCGGTTGGTAAGGAGGAAATATAGAAGTCGTAACACAACGTAGACTATAGCATACAGAAAAAAGAAGTAGTAGTAATGGAGATAATAGTGGTTAGTGGTAAGTGGTAAGTGGTGGTGGTAGAGGAAAGCGATAATAGTAAAAAAGGTAGTAAAGGCAATCCCGATGGCCGAGCCAAAAACAGAGTTGTTTCTAAGTTGGTGTATGGGGTGTATGTAATCTGCAGAGGAGGTGGTAATGGCAGGCGTAGTCTAGATTACAGAATACGTTAGTTACCCTAGGTGTAGTGGAGGCAAGGCAGGAAATCGGCAAGGTACCTAGGTATGTACGTACAATGTAGGGGTAGTGGCAGCAGGCACATACAGGTAGGTTAGGTAATTTGAGTGAGGGCTGTCAGTGTGTCTCCCCACTCGCTTTCTATGCATTTACTACCTAGCAAAGTGTCTAGGTTATGGGCAGGTGCCTCGCCTGCCTGCTTAACTAAAGCCAAAAAAAAACAACGCGACGCAAAGGAAAGGGTTGTTGTGCGTAATACGGCAACAGAAGTAGGTACAATCAGCGTAGCGCGATTCTGTTTGACCAGGTGGGTAAAAAGCGCGAAGTTCTAGGTAGTTTATAGGTACATATGTAACTAGGTGTGTGCCCTAAATCAATTTCATAGGGGTTATCGTGTGGAGGGTGGCTCGTGCGCCGTCTCTAAAAAAACCCCCAGTTCATACGCTCATACACTGGCAAATGACAATAAACATGTACCTCTATAAGTAGCACCTAGCACATATAGACAGACGTATTTTGTTCAAAGAGCATGTGGCAATATCCGACATGCAAAGGTGCACCGACATCCCTATAGAGAAAAGGGGGCCAACAGGGTTCGCTTATAAAAAAGACATTAGATAGAATGCATACATGACCACATGTGTAATTTCAAGCAGATTCTATGGCAGGGCAGATTAATCAGTCCTTATAAAGTACCCAAGTACTTAGCTACTCTGAGTATGGAGCATGTACCTAAATTACCCATACCAAATAGGCATAACCCGCGGAGGTAAGTTATTACCGTATGTACCGTTATCCTTGCATCCCTCTTAGTTGTAAGTAACTACCCATAGTACTAGATGAAACGTATAAGCGTAAATTTAAGTCAGGTAGCCTATTAGTATTTAGTGCTATAATTGGTGGCATTGGAATTGTTATACGAAACATCAATGAAATACGACAACGTAAAAGTATTCCATACGAGGTAATCTCTACAGAACACGACAAACGTAGTGAAAGAGTTACGATCAGCATCGGAGACTTCGAAAGATTATTATCTTCTCTTTCTTCATTTCTTGCATTTTCCAATTCTGCATGTATCAATTTGGTGTCGCATGGGGATCGAACGACTCCCATCCATTTCAGCTGCGCTGCTCCCCCAGATCACGGATACATAACAAACGCCCCAATCCTTCACCGGCTATGTCCATGATAAGCCAACATCATTAACATCAAACCTTACAAAGAATCGCTTTAGGTATACAAGCGAAGGGCTGAATCTCTCATAATTGGTCGAGCCAGACGCGGATTGCCTGACTCGATCACAACAAGCAATTCCTTAAATTTGTCTTTGCCACCCGCATCTTTAAGAAGAAAGTAGCATTGCTCTCGCCGGTCCCTTATCCGTAAGGCTGCATTTCTCTCGCTCATGACGCCCATTCGCTGGTTGATGATATTAGAATCAACCCTAACATGCGATGAAATATCCAACCTGACTGACCGATGACCTTTGTCAAACCGCGAACCATTCATACGGGACAGCCCATGTCCCTGTCGATCAACTCCTAAAACTGCATTAGGTTGGTTCCTCTTCAATTACATAAAAAGCTAACTTGTCATGAGGCTCTTTAAATCTTATTATTCATTTCGTGGTCATGTATAGTTGACTGGTTAAAATTTTCATTTATACAATCGTCATAGAACCGACTAAGGAGAAAGGGGAAGAACCAAAAATGAAGAGGTTTTCAACACCAACCCTCCTTAGGGTTCTTCAGAGATCCACCAACCTACCAACGCGGACAGTTGTACAAATGGATATATGTGATGTAACCGACCTCGTCAGCCTCTCGCCTGTCATCTGCAATAGGTCGAACTGTGCAACCCTATCTTTGCCCTTTTGGGGCTATCTTGGGAAAATACGAAGCAAGGCACCTGAGAATTTCGCTACTTATGGAAAGACGAGCCTACCTAGGCATTCTGCCCTCTCTAGATTGGCTGGATCTTGGGGTCCTTATTTCCACGCTACGACACCCTACCTACGTAGTACGTACGGTCAGTTTCTTTGACGTCATACGCCGGTTCCTATGGATGGGGGCCGTTGGCTTAGTGTGATGGGGATCCTTTTTACTTGGGTTGTAGCCCGCATTCCCGGTATCATTCAGCACATCGGTGTTCGATGCTTCAACCGACTAGGTGGGCTTAGCTAGGTCACGTCCCCAGCAATGTCCGTCAGCGAATCTGACGTAATTCTATCAAGGTAATTTTCTACGACTACCATTTACTCAACATACCACATATCACATAACCATAGTTGTTGTAGGCTGATGCTGAAGGCCGAGGCGAGTAGCTAATTACGTTGCATTTTGTGGCCATACGTCCCTCGATTTTGTCTTTCAGTTCAGGGTCGTTGCTAGGAACCGACGGCATCCAAATTAGCCCAAGCATGTTTTATACCTTCGCCTTGAAAACGGCACACGCCATCAGCATGACCTAAGCCGATAATTAGGAGCACTGCTGATGTGAAGCCACAAAATATCTAGTGTGATCAGGACTCTCGTTACACAAAAGTCGGCTACACCGTCTACTTTCCTATTAGGACATCAAAGGTGCATCATCAAGTTGTCCACCACCTCAATCCACCGGGCTAGCCAAGATATCTCCCTCTTTTGGAAATCACCTAGGCGTGGAAGAATTCAGGTACAATATCTCTGATACTACCGGCCTCTACCTGGAGGATAACTAAGCGTTCTAGATCATGACATCTCACATTTCCGCGCTAGGGCTGCCAAGTATCACGATGAATAATTTACTCCTTACTCCTTAAAAACTAGTCCTATCTAAATTTATCGTCAGACAATCTAGACATGAGATTCGACTGCTCGGGATAATGAGATGCGAGCCGTCAGACTCAAACCACTCACTCATATCAACTGTCAAAATCAAGATTGCTGCGGAATGGAAGTTCCGTAGATTCATCGCAACTCCTCTTCCGTCGTCAAGGTTAGCTCACGTGGTAATAACGTTGTCGCCGGACAACCCCCCGATTCCTAGCAAAGGATCTCCATGTTCCCTATATGACACTTTCAGCCGGTATTCCAAATCCATGGTGTGGGGGCTTGGTAGCCACAGCCATTATACAGGGCACTGGGGACACCGAAGCGCTGGCTGCAACACGAAGATTTACCCGTAATCTTCGTATGCGCACAACGAGGCAATTCAATAACACGAGCTTAGCAAACCGTCTATTGACAGAAGCCCAGGCTTGGCAACGAAGACCCCGCGTATTCGCTACCACAGTTGGGTATGCAGCTATTCCCGATTGGTCCCAATTTCAACTGATTGGAACGGCGCGTGTTCTTCGAGGCGCGCTTGGCATCAGCCTCGCGAAATTCAAGGGGTCCAGCCAGGGATTCAATCTTTAGACCAGGATCGGATCTCCAGACGGGCAAGGGTTGAGACGGTCCCTGTATCAAGGAGCTCCGTCAGCCTTGTGCTCTGGCGTAAGGGACGTTTCTTTTCGTTTTATGATCTCCTTTTCCTCTTTTGACATTTGGAAGATCTTTGTTCGAAAATTTTCTGTCAATTTTTTTTCTTAAGATTAGCACGCTGTGACGATTGTGGTCTGATCCGCGCAATTTCTAAATTCAGTTGACGTTTTTCCTGACGTTAGTGTTGACGTGGACGCCGACACTATCATTTTTTTAATATCAATCCTGGTCCTTGGGTGAAAGAAAAGTCAAGATGTTCTCAAGTTTGACAACGAAGCTGGCGATGAGGAAGGTTGGGTTGTCGAGCGACAGTCTCGACTTCAATTCCTCATCAAAATCCAGCAAGCCAAATGACGGGTCTGTACCGGGTCTTGATGAATTGGAAGACTCAAATGGAGGATGGCCAGCGTGGATGAGCACTAAAAAACTCCCACTTACAGCGCAAGCCTGGTTATCACCGGTACCACCACCAGTTCCAGTCGCTGAATGCCCCAAGCCAGGCGACCTGGCCCCGCTAGACCGCGACAGACAGCTCATATTCGGTGGTGGAAAGCCGGTCATCGTTCTCTTTATGCGATGTGTCGGGTGCGCCTGTATGTGTTCTTAACTTACTATCACATCTCACTCTATGGCATAATATTAACTGATTAAATTCGTAGTTGCGCAAAAGTCCTTCCTAGCCCTCCGCGACCTCGCCATCAAGAACCAAGGCAAACTCACATGTATAGCCGTATCGCATTCATCGCGCGAGGCGACAAAGAAATGGGTCGATATATTAGGTGGCGCGTGGAACGTCGAAATAGTCATCGATGAAGATCGCGCGATCTACGCGGCATGGGGCGTTGGTCTAGGGACGGTATGGTCTATGTTCAACCCCACTACACAAATGCAAGGTTGGAAGGAGAAGGGTTGGTTGGGAATCAAAGTCGCCAATTCCCTCCAACGGACGGGCAGTCTTAAGCCTGATGGCACCGCGCCAGCCGTGGGAGGGGATATGAGTGATGGACCGGCAACAGTCATGGGGAATAAGTGGCAACAGGCTGGCCTGTTTGCCGTCGATGGACGAGGGACTGTAGTATGGGGAGCAAAAGCACTGCGCGGCGATGATGTAATGGATCTCGATGCGGCAGCTGCGGTGCTCGGATTCTAGTTGTCGTTTTGAAGTAGCATACAGCGTGATGAGTTAATGTATGATGATCTATGAATACCTGGATCTATGGGGTAGGAAAGCGGTTGAATTTGGTCCTATGTTACACAACTGTGCTTTATAGATGCCCAACAAGGGGATGTATTAAAGAGTAGGGGAGAAGGGAAAAAAAGCAAAAAATAAAAAAATAAAAATATGTTGGCCATCTAGGGAATCGAACCCCAGGACCTAGCGATACTAGTAGAGATATTTTTTAGGTATAGGGCGCTGGGTAAAAGTACCACGTCGCTAAATCGCTAGACCGTACCAACCCGGCCTTTTCGCCTATTCTTAGGACTCCTAGAGTTATTCTAATTTATATGTCTATGTTCTCTTGGGTTTCAAAAGATTTAAACTCGTACGCTCGAGTTGAGGGTGAAGCTAAACTTAGACAAGGTTGTGATACAGGCCTCTTGGGAAACTCAATTCTACGACGATGCTAAACAAACTACCAACGGCGCCAACGGCCATAGCGATACTTAAAGTTACCGCAATACTATAAACGTTTCCTTATGTACATAGGTAGGTCAAGGTGAAAACATTTTTATACGTCGTATTGATACAAAAGGTTTAAAGCCAAGTTAATATGTCCTCTCAACAACTTAAAACTCACTAACTGGAGTGTATGAAAGGAATATCTTCACTCGCTCAGCCACCATCCCCATCCTCATCCTCCCAAGTTACAAGGAAGTACGTATATACAACAAAGCCAGCCACATGAATAAGTAAGATACCGCGACCTATATATAGATAAACCTGATGTCTTAGACCGGAGCAACGTCCACAAATAGCGGGACTCAAAGGGAAACGACGAGACAAAGGAAAGCGAGTCTCACCTATATGCCAAGACCAATTCCAAGAGAGGGACTACATGAAGAGATGTTAGTAGAGAATGTATGGATAGACTAGGTACGATAATATCAGTTCAGACAGAACTTCCATAGATCCAACGTGATAGCATATGGCGAAAATGTTGCCTCACTACCTTCATAGGTTAGATATGAAGGGTAAAATCTAACTACATACCTACCTAGGGTAGGTACCTAGACAAAATCCGAAGTACCTGCTGTTTCAGTCTACCACATTGCCATCGATGACCACTATATGCAATGAATACATATGGCAGGTCTTCTATCGACACCAACCTTCACGCCTTGCATTACTAACCCTTCATTTATCACATAACTAGAAACAATGTCTCAGCACAAATATCACATCACGAAAGAACGCAAAAAGAGACATAATGCCGAGTATGTGCCTGTCCATTTTACCAGTGATGATGCCGAATCAATCGATGTGCCAAACTCCCTCATGCGGAAACACAACGCGACTGATGAAAATTGAGAAAATCCCTCTCCCTAAATGCTTACAAGCACCACGCACCGTTGAAATGAAAAGCCATCTCTACACACAACCTTCTCCCATTACCAGCCCTTTTGTTTTTTGTAGAAAATAAATTGCAAAGAAAAAAGACCCCACCATGCCGCCAGCTGAAAACCACCCTTCCCCTTTCTGTTTAATAAATCCCCCTCCTTATCATACGCCGTCGGTTGTTGAGATTAATACAACGTTTGAGGAGGGAAAGCAACCAGGGCCCATCAAGAGTAACTTCGAGTAGACCTCGAGAATTGCTCTGCATGAACCATCGAGTGCCAATCTGTAGATGTTTCTCATTTCATGCGAGGTCCGAGGTATTCGCAATCGTGATCGAGGGGAATAAGAAAAATCGCAACTTCATCCCGTAAACACAACCGCCACTATGCCCTGAGCCATATCCCTTTGCCATACCTTTACCAAACCTTCTTTTCCATTCTTTCGGATACCTCCATCCAGCCGGACCTTTCCAGGTACCAACGAGAAAAACAAGACGTCTTATATATCGTTCTTGCGTGGGTTTGGGACGTGTCAAGATGTCTGAGAATCGAGAAATGTGAGGTATCGTAGGTCGAAAAATCAGAAACGCAGATAACTCCGAACAGAAAAAGAAAAACGATTTTCCACCCCGGTTTTGCCAAAATCTTTGTTTCCGTGTCGTCAAAGGCCTAAACACCCATGCTGATGCTGGATATACGTTATCCCTCGTCCGTACCCAACCAACCTGAACACCGATCTTTGTGCTGCTCCAATGACCGTCATCACCCGCGAGAGGAAACACTCCTTCTAAGCACTAGCCCCCTTGCCAATGCCGAACTGATACTTGTCGCATTACCAGATCAACGTTTACCGCTGCTCGAGCTTTCGTTACGCTGATTTGAGATCTAGCCCCAGACGCTTGCCTGAACGCCCAAGCTTGATTTATTTCCCCACACGCCAGAGCGGTTGCCCCATCCGTTATACCCTTCTGCCGCAGCGCTAGGTGGGTTAGAGGGAGCGCCCGTGGTCGAGACGCCCTGGCTATTAGAATCATCGCCGTTTCCCGAGGCGGAAAAACCATGACTTAATGGTGACGGTAGGGGAGTTGTAGATCGCTTGTTCAATGCCGGGTTCTGCGCTTGGGAAGCCGCTGAAGGACGTGTGCCAATAGGGGCTACGGTACTGCCACTTTGCGTTGGCTTAGTAACCCCTCCGGCTCGAGGGGGGGATCCACCAGTGGGAGATGAGTTACTGGTGCGGTTAGCCTGCTGTCCAATAGCAGAATCGAAGATGCCAATATTGGCTGGCGGGTTGGACTGAGGGCTAGCATTGCTGTTTGCACGAGACAGGCCCTGGAGGTCAGAGGGCTGCGAAGCCCCCTCAGGGCCATTAGGCGCATTCGGCCGTCCATAATCATATGCTAGGGGCGAGGGACCACGGTGGCCCGACGTTCCAGTTGGCAAGCTAGGAACCCCCTGTCGATTCGTGGCAGATTCGTCGGGATAACCAGCTTCGCCAAATAATGCAGTACGCTGGCGATTAATCAAGTCACGGCGTTGGTCGTCCTCGGACATACTGCCAGGGCTCAAAGCACGGTCGGATTTGCCATTGTAGGACATATCAGCGAGGACATCTGTAGTGGATGAAGAGTTAGCATCTCTTCGCCAAGATATAACAGATTTGCAGTGACTTGGGGATTCATCGCAACATGCCGAAACAAAATTTACGGGAATTCAAGACATTGTAGAAACATCGCGTATGGAAATCAGGGTAGATAATAGAACATGTTGACTCCGCCGAGCGAATTTTCTTTTTTTGATTTGCGAGGAAAGTCTTGTGCTATACAGAAGAGGGTGGCCTACTTCGGTGTAATTGCTGCTCTTGATGATAGTTGCGAAGCTCTCGCTCCCGCTGAGCCGCCATCCTCCGCTTGGCCTGCATCATCTGTTCCGCCTCGTTGGAACCACGCGAAGGTTGGTGTCGTTGCGCAGCATAGAAATTCTGCAAGTTAGGGCCAGGGTGGCCAGCACGCGGGTCGCCAAACTCCAGGGAATGTGGTCGCGGCCCATGTCCAGATGCAACTCGACCATCTACATAACTAATTAGTACTACTCAAGCGAAAGTCCCCCCACGTCCCGAAGCGTTTTCAGCGCGCCTTGACTCCTTGCTGAACCATAGTCGGGGTGAACTCACGTCGTCCCGGCGGACCATACATCTTGCCGCTCTTCACCAGATTATCAACGGCTCGGTCGACCTCTATCAAACGCGTCAGCTTGTCAAATATCTTCACTGTCGCACCTTGGGGATATATCGTGACGCGCAACCTTCACCAAAACCAATGTTTGCGGTACAGACTTTGGGCTGAAGCCCTCGATCGCGCGACACCATATTCAACATGCGCCGTTTGGGTGTAGTCCCTATTCCAAATGTACGTACCCTCAAATTGGTAAGAGAAAGCGACCGACTCGACTTCGCGCAGGCTGGAAGAGCTACCACCTATCATAACATTGTTAATTGGCCTGATCTAAATAGTCCTAACCGCCAATGACTATCTTACCGGTTCGCGCAGGGGGCGGCGGTGGGGTCTGATGATCCCACGTCGGTTGAGAAGGACCCGCGCCAGCCCATTGCGATTCAGTGTAATATTGCTGTGACATATTGTTTCGTCTCGGCGAATATCACTCGTCCGCTCACGCAATCGCTCGCCTATGATATCGATATCACGATTAAGAAAATAGGTAGTCGAGTAGGGCCGATCAACTGGGAATCTAAGGTCAGTCCTGTCATATCGAAACCCAGTACACAATGGGATAAATAGTAACAACGAGAATGTTGGCACAACTATGCGATGGTTGACGCCTTGCGTAGAACTAGTAATGGAAATATTAAGACGTTCTATCCGTGAAGGTAGGATGTATAGATGGTATTCTCTTAGTAGACCTGTGCCCAACAATAGATGCAACTATAAGAATGGGGTCGGCGTTGTCATCGACCGACCAAGGACAAAAAACAGTTAAGTTTCCGCCTCGGCTGCTGTTGTCACTGTCCACATTCATACTCCGAGCGCGCGTGCATGTAGACGCAGACACTCCCTTTGGTTGCCGCGCGAGAGAGGGGGCGGGAAAAAAAGAAAAAAAAATTAAGTAAGATGAAAATGTCTCTCATTCCGCAACTTACCAGAAATCTTCAGCCCAAAAAATTTCTAGGCGACACCTGTTTGATTTTTGGCGACGAAATATTCGCCTAGTTCTATGGAGAAGATAGGAAAATTAGAAAAGTGAAAAAAAAGAAAAAAAGAACTGCACTACACAACTGCGCAGCACACACACGCGACGGGGGGACGAGACGTGGGTAGGAAAAGGGAGGCGGCAACGGTAACGGGAGATGGGCTACCTTCAAGTAATTTAATAGGAGTAATAAGAGAAATTATCGGAGGGGACAAGTTGTAGTTGATCAACCAGAACTGGGTCTGAATGGGGGAATGGGGGGGTTAGGTACATACCTGGTGTATGTATCAGGGCGTACTCCGTGTACGAATAGCTTCCTAATACGGAGCCGGTACTTGGCTTCTCACCGTTAGTTCCTATACCCAAGAAGTACCTTGTAAGGCACTGAGTTGGGAAAGGTATCGTACCTAGACACTTAGGTACATACGAAGGTGTTTCCTATAGATCGGTACTTTTCGTGCGACTCCTGTAAGAGAGACAGACAGAGAAAAATAATCACTTATTTGTAAGAGCTCCTCTGCCCCAGTCTCTGTCTACAATGTATGTATCCCGTTGGTGTGGTCCTCCGTCTGGTGGGTGTGATGGCGGTGGTAGTGGTAGTACTAGTACTTGGTGTGGACTGATGAATGATGGCGGTTTTTTAATGGGGAATAGATTAGGTGGTATTTTCTACTGGTCAAATAAAAGAAAAACGTTTGGCTGCTGATGAATTTTTCTCGACTCTTTCCTTCCTCTACCTAGGTACACTAGGGTATTGTTCTGTTCCTTCTAAGGAAACTGCCTAGCAGAGACCAGTACTGAACAAGTAAGGTTTATACCTGGTAAGATGGTACATGTAGGACAAGATGCATGTGGAGAAGAAGGAGAAGGGGACTGCACGGGCTTATAGTTTCAAGGTTCCTACATCCAGTCTGCTGTTCTCTAGGGCTGTAGGCAGGTACTTTCGACGCTGCATACTTTAATGTCCAGGTACATTTAGAAAGAGCCCTCGTACTTCCTTCCTCATCCCTCTTCCATTTATTCGACAAGGTAACACCTATTAATGGCAGCCGCCACAACGATTGGATTTAGAATGCTGACTTCCTCTTCCTAGGAGATACAGCGTCTAGCGAGGTAGGTAGGTAGGTACCTAGGTAGTTGTCCAGGTGTAAATGGTGTGGGTAATTGCATGTAGGACTAATTTGTGATGATTATATAACAATAGCCATTAGCGTTAGTCACTGCATAATGATTTCTTTATTACAAATATTTTAAGAAATCGCCGCGAGCGTTTAGAAACTGAGTTGATTTATTTCCCTTTTTTTTTTTTTGTGACAAGGGATGTAGTCATTGTTCATTTTAATACCTATCTGCCCCGATATTTCGCTGATAGAATATGGATTCTAAATTCAAAATGATGGAACGGTCAAAGCTGAAGAAGTAGTCCCCCTACCACTACCTTAAAACTCTACTATAGTGTAAAATTACAGGGACATGCCTGCTAGTAATCAACGGGAACCAGTATTTGGCAACTACCACAATACATAAAATTTTGTGCCTATCTAGGGGACTTACGTTACCAGTTACATATCTCATGTAACTACACTCGTCACCATGCAGATATCTTACATCAATTGAATCCACCATCATCATTTCCTTCATTTACCCAAGGCAGGTACACTCATAAGTATATGTAAGGTACCCAACTCATATACTTATAGTAAGCTAGGTACTTTAGTAATTACCATCTCAACCTCTATGTTGTAACACAACGTTTAGCATTTATAGATACTTCTAAGTATTGCGCTTGTATATGTAAGAGTAAAAGTACGATCATATCGTTTCATGTAATAAAACCAAACATCCCAAATGCCTTTTGTCAACTCGGCAAAAATAGATCAATGATGAGAGATGGGATGAAGGGTAGAGCCTTAAAAGGCTGAGCACAGAACCAACACCGGAGTTCGTTGCCGTCTGGACCGCTACGCAAGTTGAAGTGGACAAGAGGATTTCCCTCTGTGTTTGATTATCACGACCCCCACATAACCCACCCGTTCTCTCCACAGGAGTACAAGATATATACATGTAATAATACACCTTGCCTAGGGCAATTACCTAGGTCATAATCCCCACATTTCTAGATAGGTGCTAAATCTTGTTCAATTTCTTTTTTATGATGGGAAAGTTTCCTGAGGTTATTGTCTCGGGTCGCATCTTGGACCCTGCAGGACCCGTTGAAACTTGCGGCTCCAGTAACGTTTCAAGCTTCAAATCGCTTCAAATCCTTACACTTTTCCTTCTTCTTTCCCTTCCATTCCTTCTAACAGCACGAGCCTCATCTTGATTCAACTCAACAGGTATGACCTTCACCCCATAAATACTTAGGTAACCGAAAGGGACGAATGAGTCGAATCAACCCTTATTCACGCCAATATGCATACGATTATTATTGATAAAGGAGTCGAAGTCGGTTAAATCAAGCACAGACCGTCGCAAGTTCTTTTGTCATTAGTATGTTGTCGAAGTTGTCATGGTTCGTATGTCGTGGCATGTCAAATTCCATATTTCCTTACTTTTCCTTACTACATTATTGTATAACTTGATGAAAAGGGGCTCAGGGGCCACTTTGATACAAAAAATATTCGACTCGGATCTCCTTACGATCCGCTTATCGTCACATGTGTTAGAGGGGTTATAAAGCGTTATTCAACCTGTGATAGGCATTCCCTATGTACGGTGTAACAATATCCAAAAATACCCCTTTAACGGCGCAGATACCGCCAATTCAGACCGCCACAGAGCTGCTGTACAACCATGAAAACGCTGCAAGTCCGCACACGCACACATACAGATACAATTTAACACGTAAGAACCAATAGTCATGAGGACGGCTTTATTGGGATCGGTACATAGGGCGTCAACAAACTCCGATTCCCCAACAGGTTCTCTCGGATTCCCGATGATCTTCAAATAATGAAAAACTGCATATTCTTATGGGAAACCGAGCTGGCCGAATTTTGATATTCGTTCGGTTTAGCACTCCCGAGGCGATATGGATATTTCCGGGTTCAAATCTAGCCTAACGGCGCGCCAAATCTTGCACATGCATACCCATACATTACATGGAACTACGCCCCCTTGCCCATAGCCTCACGGATGAGATCAAGATCCCGGTCTTAAATAGTAAGCGACACTTCAATCGAACTACCGTAAGTACATAATATTGATATAACATACTTGGAGCAGGGCTTCCCGAAACTACGGAGTAGACCCTATCAACAATCTACCATCACGATCTTGCATCGCGGCCTACCTACCTACCTACATACAGTACCATGTAGGTACGAGGCAACACACCGCAGATATCTAGATGTATGTGGGAAACATAATTGCTAATCGTAAATAAGCCAACGGTCAGTCTAACATAGGGCTTGGCATCTCCCATCTCCCAAACAGGGATTTTTATGCATACTTGACAATCCCAAGACGCCTACATACAAGGGAATACATACACTAGTAGTTTTCTATACAACCTCGCGTGGCGACCAACTCCCAAGATTCTACCCAGCGGTGCGGTTCACCAGTGAAGAAACTACTCGGGCGTGATACATCTGTTCAATATGGGGACCAATTCAAATGGTATGGTATACCAACCGATCGTTGTAATCCAATCCCGAGAGACTGGATACTTGGCTCAGGTGAAATACTGCCATCCGCATCTCCGGAAGCTCACAAGATGCTACTCTTACAGCACGTTTTTCCCCTCTTATGTTTCCAGCATTCTGCACTCATGGCCCCTCGATAGTTAGGGGACCCGGTTGTTCTAGGATTGGAGACAGGGCACACACGCGAAGTCTTGCCGATAAATAATACCTCTTTTTAATACTTCTGGCTCCCGTTCGTCGTCCTTTTCCCAAAATTCCCTAATTTTCCGTTTAGCGCCCTTAGCGATGATTAAATTCGGGGTGCTGCGAAGAGCTAGCCTGGCTCAGTGGTTCTAAATACCCGAGGCTACCAATTTGTGGGATGGTCCGTCAATTCCACCACTTGGATGGCTTTCACATTGTCATCAATTAACGAGTGGCCTGATTACATTACAAGGTTCTTACACAGTATACTTCATGATTCGGGGTGACAAGCAAAAAGAGGAACCCTTCGGCGAGCCGATCGAAGTTGCGAAGAGGGCCTAACCGTTATATGTACCCATGAGCTTCCCGAATTGGAAGTCTGCTCCTTTCGGTTCAATGGCGCTCGCAATTCTTGAACCCACGGCCCACGACCCCATACCGCCCCTTAGTGCAGCCCAACACCCTAGCGATCCTAGCACCCTTGACGGAGGTGTTGAGGGTTGAGGTATTACGATTCTGAATACCACCTTACAACTGACGAGAATCTGATATTCAGCACATCTCTGGTGCTAATGTCTATCACATTCAAGAATGTACTTTACAGATCCAACACATTGCTTCCCATGGACTCGGTCTGACGCGCAGATCCGGAGCGGGAATATTTCATCACCATCGCTGGCCCGTTAGATTAAACCAACAGATCTGTCTACGGTGGCTGCGGGTGAAAGTACATACTTATGGCCGACCTAACAGTTCGGGTATTTATTTTCCTCCTTCGGATTCAGCCGAGTTCTCTATTTTCACCACTCGAAAATTGGCTTCGTATTACGCCTAATATTTAATTAACATTCGGTGGTTGCTCTACTCAATTTCGACCAATGTCGGTTCTCATGATGAAGTCGACTTTAATGCTTATGTACCTAGGGTATAGGTACATAACGACCTCTAGTACCCATTTTCAGTCGTTATGTTTTTCGATGTTCCAGCTCGTCATCTGTATTCCATTGGTCGGATGTTAATGCCCTCTAATGTAGCCCGACCAGATAATTTCGTTGGTCAAGGCCAGGGATACCCGGAGTCACAAGCCTTCGTGGCTGTACAGTATTCCTACTCCTCAAATTAGCAATAACTTCGCTCTCCTATGGATGACTCGAAAAAGAAAACTCGCGAACGTGGCCAATACTCTCGTCGCCTTCGAGCACTAAGAGAAAGTAGGTAATCAGACCTAAACGAGGCGAACCCGTGAATCATTACTATAAGTAGATTGAACAAATATTATCGTTTTAACCTAGGTAGATGTTATCCACGATTCTATCAAGATCTCAGTCTATTCGAAACCCTAGATGCGTCTCCCTGCAAGGCGGATGCAAACGCTTCTTACGTACGTTCATATCGGGAACGACTAGCATACCAGTCTAACCGCACCTGACGTTTGCGTGATATTATGTTCTCCAGTAATGACCATTGGGAGAGTTCCTTTGCAAGTAATGATGAGCCCCCCACGACCAACCGATCTTTAAAGATTTCCTCCTCGCTTCCTCGGTCACCAATCTAGCAAAGGATGCTTCCCCGCGTTCCAGCTTTTCTTGCTTAGGATGCGAATCATTTCAGTTATTCGTTCAACGATGACATACACGATCTTCACTAGACAAATTTCAGGTTCGGCAGATGCACCAATAAATCGTATAGGCTTCTTGGAGATGGCGACGTATTCCTACCTATCATCGCTTCATCAAAGGGAAAAGAAAAAAAATCCCTCCAAAAGTAGTCGATACTGTGACTTGTTAGCGTTATATCGCTCTTGCCCCTTGCCCCCTCTTACTTTACCAAGGCCAAGGTACTGGCTCTGGGGAGTACCCGCCTGGTTCTTCAAAGCCCAAGTTGCAATGAAATCTTGGATAAGGTAGGCGAAACCCCCTACATCACCAACGCATCAGATATCGGAGTCGTGAATACCATTGGTAAGGCATCAGGCACGTGCTTTGACTTGCACCCAACGACGTATGCAGGACTAGCCGCCAAGATTATGTGAATGTGCTCTAGCGCCCATCTGTAATGTCTAAATCGGTCGCTGATGGCATACGTTCCAGTCGATCCGACAGGTTCCAGCTTTCCCGTCCGGAGGGCATACTTCTTAGCTTGCTTGCTATTCCCCGATTGATCCCGCTGCTGGATGTGAGAGTAACTTACTCATCAAAGCCTCAACGGTATTCGTTGATTCTTCATTCCATAATACAGCTGCATTCTTGACGACAAATCAACTGCCGTGGCTAGGACGAAACAAGCTCGAAGCCAAATTCCTGGCTCATGGTGAAGCTCGCCAAGTTCACGCCCGTGATACCTAATTCCTCAGGAAATTATCGGTAGATTGATCCAATGCGTAAATCTATCGGTGCGTAGTAGCGGTGATGGTGACGCTCGGATACTGGTTCCTTAAGACTTTAACCCTATTTACATGCCAGTATGGGTTGTTTAATGGAAGCAGCATATCAAAACTCAATATATACAGCTCCAAGTAGATTGAGTAGCAACAAGGGGTTGCTTCAATTCCAGTCTGTCTGTTGATAATTCTAGAACCTGCGATACATTTCGCTCCGGTACCACCACTTTCGGCGTTATCTATGATATGAATACCCATATACGTTTCATCTTGGTAGAACCCACCTCAGCATTACATTCAGAATCTACCCATTATCAAATCATTCCGTGCGGTTGTGACAAGTAGCTGGGCGGTAGCCGTTGTTTTCCTAGTCCTCATAGGGACTATCTGGATTTAAGGGTTTAGGTTAAGTTTAGTCTCATGAACACGGGATATTGATGTAATATACTCGCCTATTCATATAGATTATTCTCTCTCGTTGTCTCGACTAGATAAGTAACAGCAGAGATGGATCCGACATCAAGCCACAAGGACGAAAACATGGCCACTTAAAGACTCTGAACGGAGTGTCACCATTAGCATCGTTCAGTATCTTCTAAAATTAGCTTCCATGGAACTCTTTTCTCTAGAGGCCTTCCCGATAAAGCAGTCATATTATCAACGTCATACCACAGAGTGTACGGAAGATAGGGAACACCGATCCGTAAGAACTGAACGGTGCGATTTGTCCGGACTTTCACGTACGAATTATCCAGCACTCACTTTGAAACACACTGAGCCATATAATGAGCCCCGAGACGCTTGAATCTCCCGCGTGCTTATAGCGGACTGCTTTCCACCTCGCGAAGAGCCCCGGCCGCCCTAACACTGCTCACCTTAATCCACCACATGGTTACGGCGATCCTTCAAAACGTCGATAATGTCAAGTTCATGGAAAGATCGCAGTCCTCTCTACCCACCCACCTTGACCCCCACCTGCGCCACTGGGAGCTAATGCAGCTTGCCAAAGTGCTCGTGCTACCAATTTCGTATGTGGCGTTTTCGTAGTTTCAGCTCAGACGATGCTGTTGGTGATACCCTAATTCGCTGATGTCTCGGAAGACCACCTTCGTCGCTAGATCTCATATCTTTACGTGATTAAAATATCCAATTGCTGTCCCCCCCCCATGGCTAAAGTTGTTGTTGCTCAACTGATTTTCACTTATTAATCGACCTTGATATGAATTCATTTCGTAAGTAGACTGTCTTTTTCCGCCCCACGCCGGAGTCGCCAGGACACTATAGAAACCGTAAACAGCAATATAATTACACAATATCTTGATTTCTAAATCATCTTAAGAGATAGTGCGTAAGGAGAAAGAGAGAACTGATTACGTGTATAGTAGAAGCTATGTAAAGTAAAAGAGAGAGATGATAAAAAGATGTAAAAGTTAAGAGGTTGGTTGGGCGCTAAGAGTTCACTAAAGAGCTAAAATCCAATGGGAGCTCCTGCTGGCGAGGCCTGGAAACATGTGCTATTCGGTGGAGACCGGCGATAATCACGGCCTGGCCCTGGGCTAGCCCTGCTAGTTAGCTGAAGATGAACTGGGGCAAGATAATACTGACCAATGAGATGTCTTCTTTTGACGATTTTACGAAAGGAAAGCGCATTCCTAGCACCCCACCCTCCACGGAGGTTGCTTCCCAGATCTCTCTAACCTCCCACGCCGACCGACCGACTTACATCGATCGACCCAGCAGACCAAGAGCGACGGACCGGACCCTTCTTTTTTTCCTTTCACTTTTTTTTTTCTTTGGTCAAGTTTTCGCCTCAATCTTCAGCTAACTATCAGACTATGTGTGCATATACTGGGCTACACATGTACTAGTATATATTCAAGTCTTTACGTTTCACGAATACAACTCTGTTAATGTTCTTCGGTTCATTCCTCTCAACCCCGCCGTCCGTTGTCCCACATAGACTGCGCGCATCTTCACATGTGCATTCTGGTCTTGCGGTAACATTATTTGCAAGCGACTTGAAGTCTTTGCGCTTGCATTAGGAGGAGGAAGAAAGACTTATACGAAGGATTGCCCGTGGCTTCGATTTTTTAATTGCTATTAATTGAGAAGCCCATTTTTACTGTTGTTCTTGCATGAAATTCCGGGAGATTTCTACCAACCCCCTTCAGGTATTTCGAGAGACGTTTGGACAAGATCGCCAACATCGAGGTTATAGCGAGATTCAACAATTTGAAATGGCGTACTATACTAAACCGGGCCAATTCCAAGGTCCTACTACCACCGTTGAGGTGACGGCCGGTAGCAGCAATGAGAGCCGATTCGGCGACGACAATGCTACCAACGAAGCTGTTGGTCACGGTTTACAGCAAATAGAAGCCACGAAGGTCCATTGGTACTCCTATTTGGCCACCGCCGACTTTTGGATCGTCCTTTTGCTCGGTCAAACGCTGGCACTCTGCATCACTGCTACCAACACCTTCTCAACCTTTCTAGCGAATTACGGTACCTCTATCCCAGCCTTTCAGTCCGTCTTTACGTACATCCTGTTGTCGCTCATCTACTTGACATATACCTTGTACACATACGGACCTAAAAAGTACGGCAAAATCTTGCTGGTGGACGGCTGGAGGTATTTTATCCTCAGCTTCCTCGACGTACAGGGCAACTACTTCACCGTCCTGGCTTACCGCTACACGAATATTCTTTCCGCTCAGCTGATTAACTTCTGGGCGATCGTCTGTGTCGTCATCATCTCGTTCCTCCTGCTGCGTGTGCGATACAAGATCTTCCAGATTTTGGGTATCTTGATTTGCTGCGGTGGCATGGGCCTCCTACTGGCTAGTGACCACATCCAAGGAACCAACGGCGGTCCTGCAGAGAACATGTTGAAGGGTGATCTCTTCGCCTTGCTCGGAGCCACCTGCTACGGCCTTACCAACGTTTTCGAGGAGTGGTACGTCAGCAAGCGGCCAACGTACGAGGTGCTGTCGTTCATGGGCCTTTTCGGTATGCTTATCAACGGTGTGCAAGCGGCCATCTTTGACCGGGAGAGTTTCCAACAGGCGACGTGGAATGGAAACGTGATAGGATATCTAGTAGGGTACACGTTGGTGCTAGCCTTCTTTTACTCCGTGGTCCCGTTCCTATTGCGCATCGCTTCAGCAGCCTTCTACAACATCTCGCTCCTGACCGCCAATTTCTGGGGCACTATTATTGGCATTCACGTCTTCGGTTACGCCATCCACTACTTGTATCCCATCGCCTTCGTTCTTATTATTATTGGCCTGGCCGTTTACTTCCTTGCTGGTAGTATCCTTGGCGAGTCCAAGAAGCCATGGCTAGGCGACAATCAAGAGGAGGGTGTCGCAGGCTTCGGCACAGCCAAGCTGAAGGCGCTGAACATGGCTCGAAAACAGGGGATTGCAGCTTCGACTAGTGCGGCTGAGGTGTAGATTTTTTGGGGAACAAATACCTTTTTGGGTAATCAGGGTAGGATTGGTGTTGATAGGATTATATATAGGGATTCAGGATACCAATGACTTATCAGCGATACGTTTTAATTTGAACATATCATCACTTCTAAGCTTAGCGGTGTCCTTAGTCAGCCTATACGTGTGTAATACAAGGTGAGGCCAATGGTCTTACCTCGTCACCTTTAAAAACAGGAGGCCTGATTTGTGAATAGACTCCATGGCTACTATAAATATTGATGCCTGCTGCATCGCCGTCGCAGTTAAAAGAAGCAAATCAACTCAAGAACCAAAGACGAGCGTTTATCACATATCAGCCTTCATCAAACGACATTTGTTATTCTTAAATACAATAATTTTTCATCACTAGAATCTTAACAACGCGAAATCAAATAAACCTACTCTTGGCGCCTCCCCTATTCACATCGACCCTCAAACATCCATCTTACACCAGACGGACTACGAACGCAGCTATGTGTTACCGGACTCCAAAGCAAGCCTGGTGTCCGCTGGGTTCGCACTTCTACGGCGATGTAACAGTCGTCGAAGAGGAGTGCGAAACGGCAACAGATATAGGAGCCGGTTTTGGTTGTTGTGGGAATATCTCCGAATTGTTGGAAATGGATCCGGATCCGACGCAGGACTGTGATGAGTGCCTCGCTAAACAAAATGCATAATGATCAATTGGGGGAACCTTGGGGACCTGTGGCACAGATGATATAATGCCTAATTCCGGTATGAGTGGGTAGGGGCAAATAGGGGACCCGGGGAGTGAAAGGACGTTGTTTTGGTATGTGGAAGAGGACTTGTGTCGGATTCGTTTTCCGTCTAGGTTTAATAGGGATGCTTTAGACTTAGACTCAGGCCTCGCGCAAGCATAATTCTACAAGTCTTGGTACTGACTAATTTACTTTATATGATATAATGAAGGAGTGTTGAATAGTTTATGATAGTACGCGATGAGTTTCGTCCCTTCTGATGTGCCTGTTGAACATGACTACTGTTCCAGCTCACCAGTGCGATCATACCCGGGCCATAGGTGTTCATGAACAACTGTACTTGCCTCGACGGAGATCCGACAAGAGAATTATAATAGATGAGTGATATATCCATTCACTCATGATGCAGGACGGCCGATCGGGTCGGGGCTGGGTAGAACAACATATTGTTATAAATACTGCTACCAACTCACCCAGATACTGTATTACCTATCTTCTTTTTAAGCAGAAAATCATCGATAGGTTCCACTGATCACACCTTAATATTCTTCAAGCGACTACTCTCTTTCGAAAACCACAGCGATAAATCACTATCAGTAGGTAAGGAAGCCGAGGAAAACACTTTTTACACATCATCATATATTCTACACGGCCCCAAAGAGACTGGTGCGAAAAACACGAGGGCTACGTTGGCGAGACGACCTATATTGAAGATATTTGCTCTGAAGCGGAAAAGATTGGGAAAGGAGTTGGTTGTTGTGGCTTCGTGAAGGTCGAGCCGCAAAGCAAACGCAGTACAGTTGTGTGCTCTTCCTGTAGCCAAAAGAAATGAATGGGGTCGTCTTCGGGAGAAATGGTTCCCATGAGGAACACACATCGCGGGCATGCATGGTGCCTAGGTACCTAGGTAGTGTTGCGGATAGGGGGCTGGGGTGGGAGGGGATGGATATGCTAGATATGATAATCTACGTCACACACTAGAGGCTCGCGCAGGCATAGTTCTACAGGTCTTGATATTAGCTAACTCTGAATAAAAATTGATATAATAAAATTTACGAGTGTTAAGTAGATTATAATTATGGTTGAAGTTTAGAGATTTCACTATCTGTGGGGGTGAATCATGATGGGGATTAACGAGGTATTATCTAAAGGTCTTATACAACAGGTGGATCAGTAGCAACACCATGTCAGTCTGGAAAGATTTCCACTTCTACGGCCAGGAGCACATGATGAGTTTCGTCCCTTCTAGAGTGCCTTTCAACGCTATCCTTCCGGATCATGACTGCTATTCTAAGTCACTAGTGTGCCTATTCCTAGGTGTTCATGAACAACAGAAGATGTTTAACATAGTCATGGTCGACTACTTGTATAGTGACGTGCGAATAAAACAAAACAATACTATAAATGCGTAGGTACCATCCTCGTTCCTAGTAGATAGAAGATAGCCCGAAAACCAACGATACATTCTGAGCACGCTCCAGCATTCTTCGAGCAGACAACTCCTTCCCAAACAAACAGCAATCCATCATCAACAGCAGCCAGCTAGGCTGAGAGAACATTCTTCACGTAATTTATTGCAATCTTTATCTGCTCCGACGCCCACACTGCCCCGCGATTACCACTACCACCTCACATTACACGAGATACAGTCCACTTCAGCATAACATTTCACCATGTGTTATAAGTGGCCCCAAAAGGACTGGTGCCGGAAGCATCAAGACTACGTTGGCGACGAGACTTGGAATCAGAGTATGTGTGACCAAGCGAGGAGAAAGAATGGAATACTCGGGTCTTGCGGTTTTTTGTGGATCCAGGACCTCAAAAAACGCAATATAATTCTATGCTCTGCGTGCAGCTAGAAGTAGCGAAGGGAGAAACACGTTGCGGACACGATGTCTAGTATTGCCGATCGAGAGCCGGAATGAGAGGGGATGGATATGACAATAATAATAATCGACGTCGCAGACTTGAGGCTCGCGCAAGTATAGATAATTTATAAACTTTGATATCGAATAATTTAGACCACGATGACAGTAAGGATGCTGATTGAAGCGTCGGTTGCCACGTTGATACCTCGCTAAGGTAACCCGATGATGTGTCAAGGTAGGCCATAGAATATATATCCATGAGACACGAGGGTTGAGAAACACGAAGACAATTCACCATGACCATCTAAATTTATCAGCTGGAAAAATTAGGAGTCTATCATAGATTGTCTATCGTACGAATCTTCTAAGTCCATCCCTGTGTAACATGTTATTTCTTCGCTGCCCGCCTGTTGGCAATTTTGTAAAATATGCTACCGTCATAGATACCCCGGATATCCTCCTTCGTCATCTTTCCATCCGCCGGCCAGAGCATTAGGTATGTCGCGAGCCCTGTTAGTTCTCGGGTCAACAAATCTTTTTACACTAGAGCATACTCGGGTTTCTCCTTAATGGGCCACTCACATTCGAAGAAAGCTCCAAACCAACCTATCGGGTCCGCGATAACCCGCTGACCTTTGAGCAAATCGAAGACGTCCCAGATAGTCAGATAATCACGACCCTCTCCATACTTGGCGAACATATCCTCGAAGTGCTGAGGTGAGAAGCGGCCCTCGGTGTCGTATGTGCCTGAATCACTGCCGTGTATCCTTATGCACGTTGGCTATGCATACCCGGAAGAACGGGTCTGGCAGCCAGCCCGATAGTGTCGGGTAGGAGAAATTGGCGTGGATGATAAAGACGGCGACGAGTGAGAGAATAATACCGAAGCCAACGCTGTGGAAGCCCCAGAATGTGTCTTGTGGCCATATCACACCATCGTGGTCCTGGTAATGTTGGGGTTAGTTACCTAGGTAGTGATTAAGGGATAGGGTGTTGGACGAGGGGTAATCTGCTCACAAAGTCGAAGAACTCGCAGTGCTGTTGGAGCACCGTCTTATCTTGGTGGCGCTTGGCCCATTCGTCTTCCGTCGTTCCATAGGGCTTTTCGTAAGTAGCTGCGACGTTGACTCGGGAAGTTCCTGTATGCTTGTTAGTACGAGATAGCTTAAAGTGGGTGGGGGGATATGAGCAGTCGCATACCGGTATGAGGTAACCTCTGGTGGTCGTCTGGCTGGAGGAAGGGTCTCCTCTCAACCGTCACCTTTACATTCGGTATCGAAGCCTTGACTGGCGGAGTAGGACTCGCATCCACGCCATTGATGTCGTCTAAACTCTTTGTCTCGATAGGCATTATTAATTAATACGACTGAGTCTATTGGATCTCTGGTTCTAAGTCTAACCACCATCGACGAAAATCATTCATTGGCATTATGTCCAATCGACCTTTTTGTATTTATGAGCATCTAGCCCTATGTTAACCTAGCTGTTTGGGATATAGGTGATACGTGAATATGACGTCATTGAAGTCCAGGTCCGGAGCAAACCTACCATCATGATCGCCCATCGGAGGGCTACGCGGGTTAGATCCAGTTTAAAACTGGAGAGGAAGGCAGGCCCGCTGTCTGGTAAAGGTCGACCGGAACATCCGCGGCATGTGAATATGTATGACGATTCACGCCGGGTATGAAATTTCTACTTCCTTCGTTTCTAATGAGACTAATTTGATTGGTCGTCGTATCAATGCATGGAATGTCGTATATCTCTAGCATCGTCGTGCGAGTTATGAGCAAGCAATTACATATTGCCTATGTGGTTTGTGCTGTTATCGAGATGATATAATACATCATTGATGTTGACTACCAACACTGGCGGAATTGGGTGATATTCGATATATCACGATTGGCGTCCAGAGTGTTGATGTTATAATGTAACGGGAGTTCTGCAGGATATACAATTTATGATATCAACCCTCTGAATATCGCCGGCTGGAAGCGTTGGGCAACACATTGATCTGGATGTGGATTGTTAAGTGTGTAACCTGTACCTAACCTGCCTGTGCTATAGAGGGGACCTAGCGTCGCATTAGTAACTGTAAGGTACTTGCCTAGGTAAACGGATAACTGTCTTGATCTCGAAAGATCTAAAATGTAACTTGATTTGCTTCCACTTTATGAAATTAGAGAGACCTTGATAACGTGTAATTCTTGGGTCTGCTAAGAAAATAGCCTTAATGTTAGCTAAGAGCATTCAATGTGTTTGTAGAAGAGTTTGGCTGCTTGGAGCCAGGTTAATGATAGTACTAACTAATTACATTAGAATATATGGTACCTATCAGGTAGGTTAGCTGAGTCAAGTATATATCCACTAGGTACCTGGTAGGCTATAAAGGGAATTCGAAGCAGCATGAAAGAGGATGAATGATCACTGCGGCTTGAATCTATGCAGTGGAGATTAGTTGCTGAGATTCAGTGCAGATATCAGTTAGGTAGGTGTCTCGCTGAGTGCTGCAATTTAATCACAAGCCCCCTTCGTCATAACCAACCTAAATGCGTTGTATTGGAGATACCATGTGGGCATATTGGTTGTACTGATTGGCCATGAGCACCTAGATGTGTGAATGAGGGCTGTTTTTGCTTTTGATGTCTTAGACCGGAACGCGGGACAATATCTCACGATCGCGGGGTGTATGCCTACAGAGTGGCTGGTGGCTGGTTTCGCTTAAAATACGCCGGAAGAGTAACGAGCTAGTGAGTCAAAGTAGGGAATATAAGGCTACTCGTGAGCCTATAGTCTCACTATCGCAGGCCTCGAACATTTAGCGACTTGACGAAGGGGTCTAAAATTGCACGAACTACTCGTAAGCCGCAGACACTAGAACATTCAAGATTCGAAGTTCCGAATAGCTGGCACCGGTTGAGCAGTTTGGTCAGGGTCTTTTTAGCGCAATGGTTCGGAAGACTCCGAGCTACGCAGCTTCATCCCTGTTCTGCTGTTTGCTCTTCAGACTCAGTAAACAAAATTACCTCGGCTTATGATAAATAGGTATCTACACATATTGACGACCGCAACAGAGATGAAGCTTTCTCAATTGGCCCCGAAATACCTAGTCTTTGTTATTTGTTCTGTCATGGAAGCTTTCCTCCCTTGGGTAGTACGAGAGCTGACAGGGTCTTCATATATGAATTCAATTTAATTGAGAACGGCCATACCGATAGATTTAAGAGCGTATGTATGATAAAATTTGATACGAGAATGGTGTTTGATTTGGTTATACGCAGGAGACTATATCATCTCATACATATTATTCATGCGCTTCAAAGACTTCGCTTCCACTTTTTCAGTTTGAAATATCTTCATATCCACTATAGCAGCACGGACAAAACAAACCGAATCTAATGACACAACCTAGTTTCCCCTGCCAAGAACATACAGGGGTTAACCGTCCCCAGTTCAGCTACATATATCCCCTGAATTTTATGGAGCTCTGTCCCCTTTCCTTTTTGGGTCTTAGATATTCTGTGATATGGTTGTCAACTCTCATCATTTGAATGATCGATCGTCATGAAATATCTATTCTATTCATCCTTTATCGACTTTGCATAATATCTAATACCCATCGCTGTGGTCTTATTAATGCTGTTATACACACTTTTCTAGTATTCACAACAGACTTTATTCATGCCCCAACTACGTCGTTAGAAACGAGAGTAGAGTTCTCTTGGGTTTCATCAGAAGTAGAGCCCTCCTTGGCTTGGCACTTTTAATACCACATAACACACACACACACACACACACACACGCGAGAAGAAATATCTAGACGAGGCCAAGGGATTTACCAAAATCTCTCTCGTGGACTCCTTCCTAGGTTTGCACCTTGGGAGCTTACTATGATTTCTGCAAATAGAAACCATTTGCTTCCAGATTTATCAAGATTCGAAGGATCGCACATGGCATCCTGTCAGACAACTTTCCCATTGTGACGCTGTACCTTTTGGTCGCTATTACGATCGACATGGACTCCTAGCATCCTCGTTTCAACCCCGCTGTTCAACACGTCCCTGTCGCGGTCCTTGGTTCCGAATCTGCGGTCCGAGCATATCCTTCCTGAATCTGCGAATAGCTAATTTTTTCTTAACTCTTGTTATTCTACTCCGCTGCCGTTTTGATTGTTCAAGCGAAAGTACGGTAATTCTGCCGGGTGGTGGAAAAGCAGATGCTGGCTTCTGAGGAGGAACAATGGTCTCATTTTTCGGGTTCAAGATTGGTGGTGAGAAAAAGAAGTAAGTTCTAAGCGATGAAAAAGAAAAAGGGCGAAAAAAAAGAAACCTCATGGTGCCTGAACTAACACAGAGCAGGAAGCCGGCAAATGACATAGATACCTCACCAACCCAACTACGCAGAAAACATGACCGAGAGCCCATAGAGGATGGTCAAGTTCCCAGTAGGGAAATTGGGAAAAATATGCCTTCGGGTGGAAATGCCCTTTCGGCCTCGCGCCCCGATACGTCGCATTCATATAAAGTCACGACTTCGAGGCCGAAACTTTCTCCCTATAGCTCACATACTAACAACCTTGGGGCTATGAGCATGTCCGAATTGTCTCAATCAAATCATCCTGGCCTCAAGCAATATGCGTCGAATCCTAACTTAGGCACAAATCGGTTCAATGCCTCAACTTCGGACTTAGTACCACCCGTTCCCGTGCGAAATCCTTCCCGGCCGGCCACACCCGTGAAGCAGCAAACAATCTGGATGAATCCTCTTGAGATGCATTCCACCAAGGTTTGTTCGCCAGCCCTGATGTCTGCGCCAAAATCACCTATGGGACAGTCTGCACTCAGAGTAGATACCACTACCGATTCGCCTCCACGCTTTGCCAGCGATGGCGACGACAATGACGACGAACCGAAATACCCAGTACCCTTACGGATAAGGAAACCGAGTCCAGCCCCACATTCCACCGAGTCTTCTAATAGGAATCCTTCACCAAGGAAACCCCCATCTCCGCCGCAATCTATTAAGGATACAGAAAGCCCGGTTCTCGGACGTCCGGCATTTCCCAAGGATGATTTCCGGCCATCGAGTAGAGGCAGCCACAGGAACGTGACAACTAATCTCAAGGAAGTTCAGAACGCCAGGGACATGCCAAACTTTGGACCAACGTCGATCCCGTCTCCTGTATCGACACCACGTGGTAGCGAGGATAAACCTACAGATAGCATGATGACGAACCTATGGGGTGAACCGGTGATTCAGATGGTTAGGGCTAGGCGCGATACTCTGACATCGATTGCGCCGAGGAGGCGTAGCTTGGAGATGAAGGTGGAGGAGCTTGAAAGGATGCAAGCTGAAGAGGCAGCGGCAGCGGCTCAAAGGCCGAAGACGTCTAATGAACCCCAAACGCGGAAGCTCATGCGGCCTCCGCCCTTGAATCTGAATCCCCGTCTGAGGACACCTGATCGTGCCGGAACGTATCCGCCTGCCGCTCCATATATGTCGGATCGACCGCATACTCCCACTGGCCAGGGTACACGTAGCAAATCCACGAGGGAAAGGACAGGACCACCCCCAGCCGCTGTAGGAGCGCATGGAAGACCTGGCCGACCGAATACCAGGAACGTACGGCGGCCCGCTGCCGATGAATATGTGATCCAATCTCATCACCACCACCATCATCCCCAAACTCAACCACATCCGCAGCCTCAATATCAAAGCCAAAGTCAAACCCATTCTCGCGGAGCATCTCAAGACAGTTCTAGTCGGCCGCCTTCTCCTGACAGTCCTTTGATGCCACTTTCTGGTCCACTCGCTAGTCTAGTCTTCTCGCCAATCGAATCACAATTAGCCCCACCGCCCCTCAAGAATGCTCGGTCACTCCTACAGCTGCAGCAACAACAGCAAGAGATCGAAGCCTTGGAAGAGCCCCTCGCTATGCCGCGCTTAGGTCACCGAAATGTACCTACACCCGATTCCTCAGATTGGCCCCTGCCATCTCCCACAGCATCTTCATTCGACGCAGCCTCCATCTCCCAGTCCTACCGAGCAGAGTCGCCATTCCTCATCAACGGCGCCAGCACAGGAGCAGGTATGGGGGGTAACTACTACCGCTCCGAATCACCCATCCCAGGCTGCGAATCCCCACTACCAACGCCTCCCCGTGTCCTTCCCCAAGGTGTCGTAGCCCCACGCTCAGATTCTCCTTTCGGTATCCGGTCATTTAATTTCAGTCGACCTATGACGCCGACGTTGGACCAGCCACCTTTACGACGGGATTTCAATGGAAGCTCTTCGAATCTTAGCCAGACTTATGTGAATCACGGCTATAATAGTAGTAACTACGGCGGTAATAGCGCGGGCCCGGCATCACCGTTTGCGCCAAAACGCTCTGAAACCGTACCCTCGCCTGGATACCGGGAGCCGAGTACACCGTCACGCACAACACGCGCAAATACTGTGGGTTCGAGCAGTAGCGGTCGCGGACTCCGGAGCCCGGCGATTGTGGGTGATGATTTCGGAGGCGGGTTTATTTAGTCCTATGTCCTTTCATTTCCAATCATTTACCTTCCCTTCTACTTGCTCCTGGGTTAGCAAGAAAAATGTAGGGCATGGCAGGGTAGGACAGGACAGGAACGCGGGCGGCATCGGAATCGGGTTTCTGAAAGCATTTGCTGGGCAGCATTAGCATTCGTTTTGTCATTTCTCATCATCTGCGTCTCCTTTGTCTACCAAGCTTTCATCGCATCGCGTCGCCTATTCGCCATTGCATTTTTATTGCATTTGCAGCCGAGATACCCCCTTCCTTACGTACATACTTCCTTCGTACGTTACGTTCTTGGGAACATACCCTCCATTTTTGCTCACATATGTATATTCGAGTTGGGCGTTTTTCGGATTAGGGCTCGGGGGTTTTATTAGCATTATTGTGCATCATCATTTGTCATCACCAGCAAGCATCTTCAGCGGCATTTTCAAAAATATTGGAACCTTTTAGGCAACTTAGTTTAGCATGTACTTGGAGGAATTAGGGAAAAAGAGAAACCAACCTCCAGTTTAAGGATGGTTCGTTATCGGATGGGGTGGACGGATGGAAAAGTGACATTCTTGTCGACTAGGGTTAGTGTATATTGATAATGGATTTATTACATAGTATATACATCGTGTATATGCGTATCTAATGCTGCTCATTTGTGGTTGTGTTGGCTTTTTAAGTGAGATATTATGTTCCAGAACTTGTCAAAATAGTAACATTTAACACGGAAGATACAAAATAATCTTGTCTGACAGATGTTGCCATACCGTAAAGCTAAATCTAGAGATATTTTAAATCAAAATCAATTTCTGTTACTCCTTACAAATGCCTAATGCATACCTTGCGGCTAATCTTCTCAATGTTCGCAGAACAACATGAATACATCCTTCAGAAATACTCAACAATAATGGGTATATCATCCGCGCCGAGACATCTATACTATATGCTTCTCCAAATATAGATGATGTATAGCCACACCGGAAAAGACAAGCCGCCTCACCACCAATCTACTCGCCCTCTAATAGACCAAGTCTATAGCGCCAACTCGTCACCTCGATTCTAGTTTTCCTCTGTGACCGGCCTCTCCGCAGTAGGTCCCACAGGTTCGTAGCTCAGCGGCGGTCTAGAATCTCCAACCTCCTCTGTCTTGTCCTCCTGGCCTTCCTCCTGAGCCGAAGCTCCCTGTTCCTGCTTCTCAGTATCCTGCGCTCGAGATTCCACACTCTCATCCACGAGCTTCGATGCATCAGCATTCGCAGTATCCGTCTGAGTTGCACGTGCCGTAGAATCCGATCCGCCTGGTGCGCCATCCTCCGCGAGACCCTTTTCCTGCTTGCCGACGTTAGCATCGGGTTCGTCGTCGGAGCCTTCGGATATGTCCAACTTATCCTCCACATCCTCAATCAACTCCTCCACCTCATCTCTTATAGCGCCCTCCATCTGCGGGTTTGATACTTGTCGATCCGCTTCTTTCTCACCGACCATACCTCGCCACATACTCTCCAACTCCCCCCGCCAACCTAATTCATCCGCCAGCTTGCGAACGCCAGAATCACAGCTTCCTAGAACCAAAACATCATCCGCGCGCGTGCCAAGATCACCCACACGTTCAAGGTTAAACAACACCCGAGGCACGCCCTCTGCCGCGCGTTGCGGAAGACTAGCAAAAGGGTGAACCTGCAAGCTCGTGCCCATAACAAGGACTAAGTCGGCGAGTCCAGCGACCGGGATGTTCTGATAAAACGACTCGGGGAGCTGTTCGCCGAAAAATACAATATCGGGCTTAACGAGTCCGTTACACCCTGAACGGATACAATGCGGGGGCTCGCCGCGTGTGACGTACTCACGCATCTTGCCGTCGGGGAACGACGTCCGGCACTCGATGCATCGCTGCGTTGCGAAGCTGCCGTGCGCCTCGATGATCTTGTCTCCTGGTACGCCCGCGGCGCGCTCGAGACAGTCGATATTCTGGGTGAAGAGCATGCGCAAGAGGTTTTTCTGGGCTAGTAGTGCGATGAAGGCGTGCGATATCGTCGGGCTGAAGTTGCCTGGATACAATTCCTTGGCAAGGAGGTAGAAAGGTTCCGGGTGATTACGGAAGAAGTCAATCTCGAAAACAGCCTCCGGGTGTGGGAGATTGAAGCGAGAGAGGTTGTTGTAGAGCCCCGTCTTGGGGGATCGGAAGTCCGGTACTGTGTGCAGTGATAAGTAACATGATTTATAAAATGAAAATTATATGGAAACCATCAAGAAATCATATGTAATGATAAATCGCGAAGAGATACTCACTTCCGGCTGCGGTAGAAATGCCGGCACCGGTCATAACAACTACGCGCTTTGCCTTGCCATCATTGATGTAGTCGGCGACAGCTCGTAGACTGCGGCCAGAGAGTGTGTCCGGTGGTGTATCGGGGTCGACGAGGCGAGATTCCTCTTGACCCATTTTCCTGGAAGACCACGGGCGTGGGTGTCGCCCTTTTTGGTGACGAGGTTTTTTCTTGCGACCTATGTTGGATATTATTTTGGGGGGAGGGGGAGAAATATAGTCTGCACAAAGAAAAGATGAGCTTAAGTAGATTCGTCTCAATTATAGGAGAAAGTTACTTTTGACGAGGCTTCAATTAGTTGAATCTTAAATAAATTGATCGGACGAACTGAAAAGTTACATCACTTTTTAGAAAGCGCGGCGTAACCCGACCGCCGCACTAAAATAGTCCTAGGCAGTCTAGGCAGCTATCCTAGCAGTCAGTGGGTAGGTACTTGTACCTGGAGATATCGAATGGCGGGGTGGGGTACATGTTATCGTATGACGCCGCGGGGCACCTAAGCAGATAACCTGGAAGTATCCCAATACATAAAAATACATGTATATTCGTATTAAGATCTATCACTTCACCAGCAAGTCATGATATACAACATATAATAATGTCAAATCATTTGTCACGTTATACGAAGTTCCTTTTGAAGATAAGTAAAAATATAATTGCTCATGTTGTATTCTAAACTGTAGCTCATACTACAGGTTTCCTGATATTGACCGCACTGAAGTTTGACCGAAACCATCTATTCCGAGGTCCCTTGCCAAATAATGTACACAACGATACCAACTGTCGATAGAGCCCGAACTCTGTATGCAGGGCGGATGTAGCAACGCCCGGGCCTTGGGTCCGGCGCATTAGCTTAGCCCTATCTAAACATATTCAGCCAACAAGTGGCGACGAGATCAGATCCCAACCGGGGCAACGCTAACGCCTTTCGAATTGAATTCATATCGCTCGTCGCTCTAACAATTTCCTTTTTCCTTTGTTTCCTTTTTACATTTATGGTTTTTCTTTTTCTTTGCCGGACGTCACACATAATATAGTACAGGTAATAAAAGTAGTCGAATGACAAGTTTGCTCATAACTTGGCCCATTCAAGGGTTTCTAGGGCCATCATGACAAGTATCAATGTTGAGGGGAGGATCCTAAATATCGTTAGCATTCAATTTAATTCTGTAAGACTTTCGTTCGATAACTTACCAGATAACGTAACTCTGGAACAGGATCTTTGACATGACCCCTTCGTACACCTCGTTGATCTGGCAGATCTGTGCTAGTTGTAGAGCGCTTGGTGCTCCCGTAAGGAGGAAGCAGACAATAATGAAGATGGGATCGTCAAGTATGCTGACCGGGATGTACTTGGCGCAAAGAGCCAAAATCGGAGCCATGATTAGGGTGGGAAGAAGCATCCGGCTGATGAGCGAAGCTACAAGTAGCTTCGTTCCAATCTGCCCCTCTTCCGGATCTCTGGTCTCCTGGTTTTGCGTATTTCTAGCCAAGTTTGCACCCAATACAACAAGGATAAGGGGGACAGCAACACCGCCACTTTGTGATACCGCCCTTGTTACACTGTTGTTGATGAACGTTCCCTCCTGGAAGAATAGTCGTTGTAGGTCAGGCACCGAAGCGACAACGATGGCGATAAGCATTGCCCATAGAGGCGGGTTCATGAATTCCCATATGAAGTTGTATATCCGAAGCCATCCTCTCCATAGCATGGACAAAGCCTTCTGAACCGGACTGGGGAAGCGCTCGTATATACGTTTCGAGAGACTGACAAAGCATTGCTTGGTAGATGCGGCGATTCTCATGACACCGAATTTTGCACGAACATAGTAGCCCATAATTCCTTCCGGGATTTCCGGTTCGTTCAAATCGTGCATTCGAGGGAACAGCATAATCTCGCCGGGTCCAGGAATGATATTGCGACCATCGGAACCGTTAACACTACCTCCATATTTCCTTGCTGAACGCTTCCTTGGCGAGATAGCTTCATCATCCGAATCAGCGGGCGATGCTACCGAAGTCCCAGCAACTGGAGTACGACCGGCTGGTTCGTAAACATCCGTATCGTCCGAACCATCCGAGACGTCGTCGTCAGTTACATTTCCGTCGAGACCCGGGATTAAGGCTTCATCTTGAGGCGTGATGTCTCGATATCTGCCCTCTTCCACGGTCTCATCTTGGTATTCGGCGTATCGACTCTTCGGCGCCAGCAGAACGTGGTATCCCCAACTCCATCTTACTAGTTGACCAAGTTGCTGGAATATGAGTAGGTACAAAATACCTCGCGCGCCTACTTCATCATCGTTGTCGCCTGGTATTCTGTCCCAGTGGAGCCCCTTCAATGTTTGCGATAGCGAGATGACTAGCGATATCGGTAGGGAGTTGGAATTGCCAAATACACCCATGGCAGTTAAGAAATTTGATGGGCGCTTCTTGAATCGAAATGCTTTCGATACACCAATGGATACCAGATACGAGACAAGAGTTTGTACGATAAAGATGAAGGGTATGACTGCGAGATCGAGGAGCTTGTCGGCGTTCAATTGCGATGCCAATTTCGTGAAGACTGTTTGTATGTTAGTAGATGAATCATGGTAGGTGCTGTTAATGTGTTTGCATACTTAGGCATGGCGTGAATAGCATGACGTTGAGATTTGCTAGGAACTTTTGCTTTTCGGCATCAAAATGCCCTAACCTGGCGATAACATATCCAGGCAAACTAACACATACAACTTCCAATACAGCCTCAAAGACTAATAATATTAAGTGGTCAATAGAGGGATGAGAGTTGTGGGTTTGCTGTATTACCGCCATGGATGGTGCGTTGGACGTCCAGTCCATAGTGGGATTATTAGCCCGGAATGAAGCCGGGTTGGCGGTTGGCCAATCTATCATCTTGTCTAACATGAGGCGATAATGTTGATTAGGAAAGAGAACCAAGTGTTACAATGGTTGTTGTTGGGCCTTGATTGCTGGTTGAGGAATGCTCGGGCGCAATCGTATGATGGAAGCAAACAGGATTTGCCGGGATTGAACTTCGCCCGGCGGATCCGTTGAAGGACGGGTCGAGAGGTAGAAAGGTTGGGCTTGCGTCGTCCAACAATAATGTTGATCGGCTTCTTGATCGTCAACCTCTAACAAAGTTAAGTCGATCTGTCAGTTCCGTCAAGGAAACAAAAAACCAGCGCAACTCAGGCCAGCTGTATGAGCCCGTCGAGATAAGATCCAAAAAGAGGGCCCCCGTCGGATCTACCTGGGGAAAGACGGGTTGCGGAATTCTAAGGGAAGAATAAGATCGGGAGAGAGAACAAAGAAAGGGAATAAAAAGGTAGAGAAAGAAGAAATAGTAGCTACTTGATTGAGACTACTACTACTTATTATTGTTACACTTGGGACTCTGCCCAGAAAAAATAAATATTAATCGAATAAGTGGATGGGAAGGAATAGAAGGGATAAGATGATGGATGAAATGAATAAAAAGCATCAAAGTCAGAGCTTAGGAAGGACATGGAGCTCCGGGAGATACTGCATTTGGTTTCTGCCCTGGAGATCACTAGAGATCCCTAGGCGAATGATGTACCGCGATGTACGAGGATGTACCAATGAGAGACGAATTTACGAGCTTCAGGGAGGCTAGTACTGCGTTTAGAGGCTGGCTGGAAGCTACCAGGCATGGTTGGGACATTGGTCGGGTTGCAGCTGTGCGGCAAGACCTGCAGGTCCACTATGAAACAATTTGGGTGGAATATTTCGGAGGATTTAATTGGCTTGTCAGGGTATCCAAACGTTTTCTCAGGGCCTTCTCGTCGCAAACGTGGTCTGTGTGTGGGGGTAAAAAGCCCCATACTCCGATACATTATACTTGAACGATACGTACCTACGTACCTACGTACTTTACAAGCCTGTCGGAGTCCTCAATTGAATAACCGCCACTCTATGACGCGCTCGCTGTCTCGGTACCTAATCTACTAAATCTACCTTACAATACGGTGTGCAAGTCTTAAAGCAAGATGATCACGATCATGATCTGAGAAAAAAAAAAAAAAGAAAGGCTAGACACGACCGAATATTGTCGCCGGTGGAAGATTATTTTGTTACGATGATGCGAATAAGTCGTAACTTATGCGAACGGAGATACCCAACCTATACAACTACTACAATCGACCGGCTTTTCTATGAGTTAATAGCGCAAAATCTCACGATACCTACCGCTTAAGCCGCCAGTGTGCAACGGCGACAACCTTGGCTAATTACGCTTATTCAGTACACACCTTGCTAAGGTATCATCCGCTCCACCACCAAGCCTTGTTCGCGCAATTTCGAACTAAGAACAATTACGATTTTGTTTCTACATTGATAAACGTTCGGCTCCCATTGCCTGTCTTAATTGATAGTATTTGACTTACATATAGCATGTATACAATGTATACAAGATGTGTTTGTCTATAAGTAGATGGCCATGGTCGAGGAATTCCCATCAGATCATCTAATCATCTCCTCTAGGCCAAGTTTTAGGTACTATGCGCATATTAACTAGATCTTATTAGTTCCCGTCCTCTTATCTGTGTTTCCTGTTAAGGATGTCTCTAGGCAAACACGCCGTGAGTAGGTAGTTATCCCACAGCCAATAACTTGCCCGAATGCCCAGGTGGTGTAATAAACCCGCCGTCTTACGTTGTAGTCCTTGTTTTGAGTCGCTGGCGTCGGTGTTGGCGACGTAAGGTGTACGACTCAGCCACGAACAAACGACGTCGAGTAATAGCCAACTCACTGAACGGAGACAAGCTCCGACACGATTTTACCAATTAGCAAGTCATAACCACGATTAATTATTAGCATACGTGTGTTCTGCAACAGAATCGCCGATAGCCCAAGCTGAACACAAATAAAATGTAGCATCCATCTTTACTTGGCTTGCCTACTAACCAGAGAGGCATCTGGGCATCTGGAGCTAAGGCAATTTGACTATTTTGGTCGAAGGTGATGACGATGGTTGGCGATGACGTTATTTGATCTTATCGGTTTTATCATACTTAGGTAGGTGGTGGTCTACACACGTAATCCATCTAAATTCCTTGTGGGTAGGTTAGGTAGGTATGTAAATCTCCAATTAACTAGAAGTTTCTATGTATGTATTTGTTTAGAGAACAAAAAAAACAATGTTACTACATTTCCCTATACTTGTTTCCATATTAAGGATTGGCGGGTTTTATTTGTGTATCTCGTATGGTAGCTGTCAAAATTGGCCGACAGACATCATGATGCCTTGGAATGCCATGCAGCTTATCTACAATTGCTACTTTGACAGCATCACTTGCGGGGTGGTCAATTATCATAAAAGGGAAAGGATCGTCGTTAACTCGTTGGTATTGGACTTGTCTGTGATGTGATGTATTGCAGCATACCCCCAATCACTCCCTGACTGCATCTCCAAATCGGCTCGTGATAATTGCGATCCTCTCTAGCCACAAGGTCGACCTCATTTGAGAACTTCGCATTTCCTTCATCTTCTTTTTCTAGCTAGTTCGGGGGGACACTATTATCGCCAACCAAGTTACTTGGCTAACTGGCCCCATATATGTGACGCAAGGGTTTCTTCTTTTATTCTTCATCGCTTGGAACCGGTCAAGCAACCATCAATTTTTTGACATGATTTAGTAGAACGTAGGTTGTCGACATATGAATTGGATTTATTACAAATTTACAAAAAGAGAGAGATTGACATTGAGAGATCGCGGTGACAAGAAAACCGATCTCTGATGATCTGCAATCATTGTTTCGTCCTTATTATCAAACCTATCCTTGTTTTCTGATTGGTCAAATCGTCCAAGTACTTACCGAAAAAGAGTTGGAAGAAAAGCTAGAACCACGTGAGTTTCGTCAGGACTTGTCAGGACCTTCCCAGCGGCTCAGGTCTAACTCTACTTAGGTAGTTTACTCAGTCTACTCAGTTGTCTCAGACAGGTAGAAACGCGGGGCATCGACCCAAGCCATCCACTAAAATCTACGGACCACCAACCCATTGACGTTTTCCCCATCATTAAATCATTCTTTTCTCCAACCAAGCACAAGCATACAACAAGCATACCAAGGGTTGATCGACCATATTCCCATACCATACCATATTTCCATACTTCGTTGCTATACCAAACTTCTCAAAAAAAAAAAAAACCATTCCCTCTTCTTTTCTCCAGCTTATCCATCCTTCTTTTCTCGAGGGGTCCAAGGACGAGGAGCCACGTCTGAAAAGGTTCCACAATCTGACAAACTTGCTTTGTCAACATGCGCATTTTCTAACACAATCCCCATTTCATAGTCCTTGTATTCTATCTCTTTAGTGTAAGTAAATCTTATCCCATGGTTGGATGTCAGTTATTGTGGGAAAGGAAAAATATACCCCATCAATGTTGACCTCGGCCGCTTACACCCGCTCACTCGCTCGATCACCTACCTTACTTCTCTACTACCTGACCTACCTACCTTACATTACATACATATTATCACACTGCTACCCTACTACTACCCTTACCGTCCCTATTACATCCCTCGGAAAGAACCTCACAGCTGATGAATATCACAATTGGACAGCTCAAGCTAGTGTCTCGGATTTGACAAGGTTCGTGCAGCCCTACAACGAAGGGTGTATGGTGGTCTGGTGGTTTTTTTATTCTTTTTGTCCATGACAGATGGAACCCAAGGGACCTAAGGGACCCAAGAAACCCAATCATCAGACACCCTACCTACCTGAAGAGTCAAGCAAGCTCGGGCTCCGACTCCTCCGTGAAGGGACTATAAACCGCTAATAAACATTACCATTACTTGTAGAACGACTCAAGATCCTTGCGCCGACGAATCGGGATCGCGCCTTTGCCACTTAACTTCCCGTGTAGAATTTTTTTCGATCCTCACAAAAGTCAACCACCTATTATACCTATCTATTTCCCGTCGCCGCCGTCGAATTAACCCCATCGTTTATAACTTTTACTCGCTTGCTGTATTATTCCCCGCCAAAACGGCCCACCCGAATTTCGTCCTGTTCAGCTATTCAGCTAGCAACAAAGAAAGCCCTCACTACTACTAGTACCCACTGCTCGGTGATGATAGTAAAACCGAATCGTTAGACGTCCTTTTTCTTTCCTTTTTTAAAACTCAAGATTTCACCATGGCCGGCGTTCATGACGATTCGGATTCGGTGCCAGCTACACCTGACGAGCTGAGCGATAAGGAACTTCTAGGCAGCCCCGCGTCTCCCGGTTCCGTCGACTCCTCCTCAGAAGCCAGCACACCGCTCGAGACACCCAGCGAACCAAACGCCGAACCGCCAAAGAGAATGCCGTCCTTACGCTCCGTGTCCGATCCTCAGAACCCGGGACATCCAATGTCCGCCTCGTCTACCCATCTAGGTGTTTTATCCAATGCGAGACGCCCCGCCGCAGCTGGCGCGCACATGTCGAGCGGCCGCCTGCCGGAGGATATCAATGCCAAGATGCGGGCTTTTCACTTATCACGACAGGGTAGCTCGCCTTTGACTTCTCAACAAGGTACCCCGCCATCTGTCCCTTCCCCAGCTGGTCCTGTCATTGGTGGTTTACCTCGGAATCTCCAAATGCCTGGAGGCCCTCAAAGGCCCGGCGCCCCGTCGTTTCCCAAATCGGCTCCTACTGTGCCTTCGATGGCACCGGGAGGTGGGGGTTTAGCAGGAAAAAGGCGGTTTGGACTCAAACTTGGGGACATGGGCGGAGGAGCCCCACCTCCCTCTCCTGGGTCTGGTGGTCCCGGCGGTGTTCCCCAAGTGATGCCCACACAAAACGGTGGTGCTCATTTGTCGCAGATGAAGCAATTCGAAGAATACATCGACTCCGAAAAGGGCTATTTGACTTTCAAAGGCAAAGCGATTATTACCAACAAGGGAGTCGACTTTTCAGATGGGTCGGTCTTCAGAATATCACTCGACGAAGTTGAAAAACTAGACGAGTTGGGGAAAGGAAACTACGGTACTGTCTATAAGGTGAGACATACTAAGCCACGAGTACCGCGCTTCGGCCCGGGCCTCGCTGGATTTAAGTCTGCCTCTTTACCAGGTCTACCGACTGGCGCACAAGATAAGACAGATGGTGAAACCAAGACTGGGTCTAGTGGGATGGTTATGGCTATGAAGGAGATACGCCTAGAGTTGGATGAGGCAAAATTGACGACTATTTTGAAGGAATTGGTAATTTTGCACGAATGCGCATCCCCTTATATCATTGAGTTCTACGGGGCTTTCTTCCAGGAGAGCGCTGTGTATATGTGTCTCGAATATATGGATGGTGGTTCTATCGACAAACTCTACTTGGGCGGCATCCCAGAGAATGTGCTTCGAAAGATCACGTACTGCACTGTGATGGGCCTGAAAGAGTTGAAGGATAAGCACAACATCATTCATCGCGATGTGAAACCTACAAACATACTCATAAATACTCGAGGACAGGTCAAAATCTGCGACTTCGGTGTGAGTGGTAATCTGGTCGCAAGTATCGCCAAGACCAACATTGGATGCCAAAGTTATATGGCCCCGGAGCGAATCTCTGGCGGAGCCTACATGCAGGCTGGTGCTGGAGACGGCACGTATAGTGTACAAAGTGATATATGGAGCTTAGGTCTGACGATTATCGAATGCGGCATGGGGAAGTACCCCTATCCCCCGGAAGTGTCTTCCACTATATTTAGTCAACTTAGCGTAAGTGAATTCATGTCGCTCAACCTCATTTGAAATTTTGGCCATCTAACATAAAAATTGTAGGCTATTGTTGAAGGAGACCCGCCTGACTTACCAGATCGATATTCTGAAGCAGCACGGACGTTCGTACACGGATGTCTTAATAAAGTACCAAAACTGAGGCCCACGTATCAAGCGCTGTTAGCATCGGAGTGGCTTAAAGACCTGACGAAGCCAGAGACCATCACTGAAGAGGACGAAGAGGCAGACGAAAACGACGCCAGCGACGAGGCACTCGCCGGCGCGGCTGGGAAGTTAGACCTCAGTCATTCAAGCACGGAAGATGAAGAAGTTGCCAAATGGGTTAATGAAGTACTAGAGAAAAAGCAGAATGAGCAATACGGTGAAACGGAAGGGCAACCCGCACTTCATCACGCCCCTCTGGATGCTGTGAGCCCATTGGCTAGTCCACAGATCGGTTAATGGTAGCGACAAAGAACCCCACGACGGAATTAATTAGATCGGGACGGGAAAAGTACAAGGTAACTAAGGACAATTCTGCGGCACAGTGGAGCAGGTTCTCCGCGATCCTCTTTTACACGATTACTTCGAGAACATAGCATTATTCCGGCGTACACATTTTTCTTTCGATACATAGCAGGCCGGGCGGGGCGGCAGCATTCGTCTCGACGTTTCGCAATTTTATTTTCATATCCGCAAAGGTGGTTTTAATGGTTTTAAAAAATGGCATTCGGGCGAAAAAAGAGGCTTCCCTGTATACGTATTCGGGATAAGGATGGGTTTTTGAGATACGGACTGGAGCAACGAAAACGGAGAAAGTAATCCGTGTGACATTATAAAATGCTCGATTGGAAGGAATCTCATCGAGATGATTAGATGGAAAGAGAGCGCCCCCTTCGTTCAAAGCAACGATTGTACATTTTTATTTTGCCTTTTTTTTTCTCTTCTCTCCTAGCATTACCAGGGAGAAAGATGGAAAGAAAGTCGGGATCTTGATTTGTTCTTGTTCTTGAGTATCCTGCGTCGTATCTCCAAGCAAAGTTTTTAATAGGGAGGATGATTTCCACAGAAGCAGAAGCAGATGAAGATGAAACAAAGAGAAATAAGATGGGAATTCGCATTCCGCATGAAGTTTATATGGGCAGATGGGAAATACATATATGAATGATATGGAAACATGGTTGACAATTTGCTTGCTTACGCGCTTGATTGATCGATACTGTTTTGTTGGCCAGATTGATGAAGTACTATTAGGTACTACTATTTGTTCTTTATGGATATTTAACACCTGGGAGATGAAGTGGTGGGTGAACAGGGTGAAGTAGGGAGATGAACGAAGAGACAACTGATGGATGATGAGATAGAAGTAAATGAAATCCTATCTAGTTGTCCACCTATCACATTGATATTGAAGCGTGCTGTGGTGAGATGTGAAATGTAAAATGTGCCTATGTGATGGTTATGAGTCATTATAAGCAATGTGGACGCCGTAATGTCGATCTGGAGACACATCATCTATATATCAAGTGAGGCCAAATGGACAAGGGATAATGTGAGGTGGGATCCTTTTTGAGTCCAGGTCATATCACTCTAAATAGAGGTATTCATTCATTAATACTTAGACTACAAAATAGGATGGCGCTTTTACATCACTCAGTCTTGCGAAGAAATTTATGCAGTCAGATTTTTTTTATCTAACGTAACGATCGAGCATAAGCGTAGATAGCTTGAGCTGTGGTATCTCAGATTTATTACATTTCCTCTTCCTCATTACCATCTATTGCACGCCTCTCCGCAACTCAATTCCTAGCAGAAGAAAATGATTCCGGTAAATCACGACCGCCGTTATCCATTACGCCGAGCCTGCCGCAAACTCCGTAAAAACGTAGGGTTGAATAGCCTCATTAGTATAGATTTCGTTTGTCAGATCACGTCCTCTCCTCATTATCTTGGCTAGTCGGTCGCAAAATCATTATTTACGCCGTCCTGCTCTCCCGTTCTTCTGTCTCCACCTTTCAAGCATAGTCCTCCTTGACCCTTCGACCGTTCAGATCGTAGCTTCGTCGGCTTCGTACGCTCCTCTGACGGCGGCCCCATCGTCGACCACCGCCACCGTATGTGTCGCTGCTTCCACCACGGATGCCGAGGCAGAATAGTAGCGTAGCGATCAATAGAGCAGCCCAACTTCCCCAGCTGAAACCAAATGCATATTTTCCTAGGCTTGCAGTTCGTCCATTCGCGATGAAAGCGTTGCGCATCTTAACGAATACGGCAGTCATCAAGGACACGGCGATAGTGTGGAAAAATAGCGCAACGAGGGCACCGAAACCCGCGATTGCAGAACCCAAGCGTCCACAGCATGCCACGAAGCCGGCGAAGAAGGCCAATACGGAGAAGACGAGGGCGATCAGGTAGAAAACCCATCCGAAGCGCCACATGTAGAAGTAGTACGAGCTAGTCGTATCGCCGCCATGCGAGCCGACTAACTCCGAGGGCGCATTGGACGGGTTCCCGGACCAGGCCCATCCTAGCGGGGGCGCGGGCCATGTGCGGCTACAATCCGAATTGCCTTCGCCGCAGATGTAGAAGTACGCCCATTGCGTTACGGAGCGGGCGCCTGTGATGCCGGATGTGTCGGCGGAGAGGAAGTAGGTTTGTCGCAGAGGCGAAGTGTTGGTAACGGCGGAAAGGATAACGAAGAAGAGCATCACAATGGAGCCCGCGAGGAAGATGAGGGAGAGGGGCGCGAGGTAGGTGTCTGTACAAAGAGATAAGATATTAGCGACGTCTCATGTGATGTGGTGTAGTAGATGGGGGGACTTACTGGATCGCGCCATGATGAATGATGGTGTCCGGTCAAACCGGAATGGATGTTGAGACGAGCCGGCTTGCTGCTAGATTTATTGAGGAGCTGAGCTGATTTATCTAGATCTAGTGCTAGCTGTCAAAAAAGTTAGAGTTTTGGTCGCAAACCTTGAAAGGGATTAAGTTCAGGTCGACATGGGAGGGAACAGGGCAACAATAAATTAAAATTGAAAAATCGGATTGAGGGAAAAAGTAACCGAGCAACATACATCTTTTTTTTTTTCGTCTCTAATGAGACTGTGTTTGTGTTTTGTTCCAGCTTACACTAAAACTAAGACACGCTTCCTCAGATTGAAATGTCTTAGATACGAATCCGGAATATGGGAAGGGATCAAAGCCGATCGGGGTAGATACTAGATTGTAGGGGTATCTTATTTGTCGGAGGGGTTATTTGATTGATTGATCGATTGATTATTTGCCAGCCCTACGAACTCCAAATTGAAAATTAGGAATCAGGTATGCAGGCAAGATGGAATGTGGTATTATCGCAAGGTATGTTATGCGCCCAAGGACAAAAGAAAATTGAGAAATATCAGAATTATAGGTGCTAGAGAAAGACGAAGAAGAAAAAAAATTAGGTGAAGTCGACTTTTGATCATGGAAGAACAACGTCGTCAAAGGTGGCACGAGCCAACGCCTGGTGGGGCAGCATGACGACACTGACGAAGCTATTGGAAGAGCTTGTTACTAAAACGGGACTAGTCTTGTCGATTAGCCTGAAATAGTACCATCCCAACTCCTTCCGACGCGGGCTTTCCCACGGTACCTAAGTAAGAACCTTCTACTTTTTCAACAGTATTAATTCCCAACCAGTATCAACTAATAAAGGGCTAAATTTCCACGTAGGATTAGCGCATCGCTGGTTCATTAACCTACTCATTTTTCTTTCATTTCGATTGCTACCTACAGCAGGTACACACTACACTATGACACCACACTACGAAATACATGTACGTAGCGTAGTGCTGTACCCGCATTCATTACTTGACGCATACAATCATGACAAACAATACCTAACATACACTAGATGAGCCACTGTTATTCATACGTCATCCCTATGGCGCGCATTCAAAGAAAAGGAACGGTACAGGAAATGGGACAAAACGAAGCTAAATCATTTACGTCGTGATGGCAGTCGATTATCACCATGATGCTGAGTCGTCGTCACCTCCGCGGGGCTTAGTGATAGCGATAACGTGGTTACCCACGAACACTCCTCAACAATCCTGACAATCCAGTCCCGTCCCGAGTTTTCCGCGATACCCGAGTTCCGGTTTCGACATTCATATGATGAATGATTAGGTACGCATTTACTACCTACATATGTAGGTAAGCACTTACGTAAGTATACAGTTGTGTTCATATCATAGTACCAAGATACGTACCGGATTTTAATTGGTTTGAGACATTGAGTGAGGATAATGAAACAGACAGAACTCTATCAACGCACCACTTCGTCCGAGGATTCAATTTATACAGCCCAATTCAATAGTAGCACCACACGATGGAAGTCCTGCATATGCAAGGCACACCCACCATGGAACCTGTCCCCCCTGAGCTGATGTGCCGAATCTTGTCGGATCAATGCATCGAGTTACACCGGACGATGTGTGTGAGTCGGGGAGGAATTCGTCTTATTCCCCCCCATATTACTAGACCAAAGGCTATTAGTTAGGCCTTAGGATTATACCTTAGATTAATGTTTCTATCGTGTGTAGCTGAATCGTTGATAGTATCATAGCTGAATCCCACCAATGCCTAATGTATGTTCCGAGGGTTTCATAACATGATGTTCTGGGGCATTACATATTCCTTGGCCAGATAAGGCGACCATCTCAATGTTGAGCTAATAGCCTTGTTGATGTTATGTTAGGTCTAGTTTGGGCCATGCTGAGCGAGTGAAGTGGGTGAAGAACCTTAGCACAACCATCAATACCGCCGTTGTCTCTTGAAAATGGTTAATCGTTGTTAGGTGTAATAACGTTTATGGCTTGAAACAGAGTTTCTATTGGAGGTGCCAGATAAGTAATAACGATTCGATGATTTGCTTCCTCGTCAGATATTATGTCAAGGCGCAATTACACTACAAGACCGTCGAAACAGAACATGGGATTTTTCCATCATTCCAACCCTCAACAAAGTCCGTGACACCGTAATGTCAGCCAAAACTCCCATAGACTTTTTTATTTCAGATCTGTCGTCTCATCAAAGTACACCCTCTTAAAGTTTGGTGTCCGTGGCATCGAGAAACCGCCAGGTTATTCTATTCAGGCTCCAACATAAGGAGATGCCTAGGTTACGATGCTATGAACATGATTTCGTCCGTATTATGAAGTATAATTCCTCAACAACTCCATGCCTTAGGCTCTCGAGCCTCCCATTTGCCGTCTATAAGATGAGAACTTATCCCAGATAGCATTCGACGGTAAGAATGGTTTCCGGATCATAACCCAACCCCCCTTAGACATACATCCATCTATCAAAAAACCCGTCAAGCATTTTATAGATCATGATATGCGTTAGAGCATCCCATTGCATATTTCTATTTCTCTTCAACAGAGATCTTCGATAGAACCTCCGCGAGTTTCATTCGTTTACTTCAAATACACACCCCTATTTTCTATCCTACACATCTTATACCCAAGCAAACCAATATGATGCAACAGAACATCTCCAAAGGGCATACTTTCGTATGGGAAGTCGAATTTGCGATCGCCTGCTGGGTGCTTTTCGCTACCGCCAGTGGCCTCATGCTCATCTCCGTTGTGCGCTGCTGTGCAAGCGGCGTAGTTTTTGAAGAAGATACGCGGCACAGACGACGACATGAAGATAACACAGTTCCCGACGAGCGGACCAGACTTACGGAAGAGAACCTTGAGTATCTCGCTGATGATGAACTGAGCCCCGATGAAGAATATCCTCAGGGGTATGGGTCGACGTTCGCGTCGGAGAGCCCACCGCTATTGAATCCTAATGCATGGGATATGGTGTGATGGGTTGGCTTCATGGTAAGTGATGATATGTATTCGGGGATTATCTTTTACTGATTTGTGTCGGGCAGATGTGCCTAGAAAACCATCAGCTCGAATGCTTGGAGCTGGTTTCAACCCAGATCTGTTCGCAGATGGGATTGACTATGGGTTTAGATGGGCATCAAAAAAAGGGTACATTTTCAGCCTTTTTCTTCAAAATCACCTCAGAAATATGATACGGCCAAAAAAGGTGCAGGAGTTTAATGGTCTAGAATAGTTCCCGGGGTACTGCTTTCAGAGTTGATGGGAGTTGAGGAGTTCGCCTCGATCCTACCTTTCAATGACCACATTATCTTTACTAAACAGCTTATGAATAGCCGATCTGTCGGGGTGGAAGTGATTCATGTTTTTTTTAAGGTAACGGCTGGAAAATTGCCGGAGTATTTGAGCGTTGTGAGAGATCGTGTATTCGATGATCTCGGCGATGTTCAATGGTGGAAGTCACGACATGAACGGGGATCGCGATCTAAGAGGATTTAGGACGCAATTTCATTTGGAAGCTACCTTTAAGTTATGAAATATATTTTATTGCCGTGGGAATGGCATTGCATGGCAATTGTGTCTCCAGCATTTTACACGATGGTTTTCCATCGTCCTGGATGCTTCGATGATGAGTGACAACCAACCCCTACGTATCTCAACTAGGTAATATATAATGATTATTTCACGCTATCGGCAACCTGAACATGCCTAATATCGAGATAGAAGGTATTTAATGGGCTCTAAAATATACTATTGCCCTTATACAGGCGCAATATGGGAGTACTTTGGTTACAGAACTGAATAGTAAACGGCTCTAAATACTCAGTAGCGGTATGAACACCCTTGACACGATGCCTTCAAGCCCCATTTACTCTGGTTTAATACTCTGACTACACGTCTTACTGTCTGTGTGGCTCCTCTTTGTTATTATTGCCTAGTATTACAAGTAAATATGGATAACACCCCACGAGTCTCTGAGCGAAGCATCGTTCCCATATAGTGGAAGAGAGGGCTCAGTATGAGTGCAACTTGGAATAGGTTATGCAAACAATCACTTCAACAATATTAATGTGAATGAGAAACACATTCGAGAGAGCTAAGGCAACTATATTCTAGTTGGGATCAATGTCGTTGCTGTGCGGTACTGATAAGCTCAAGTTGCAACGGCATCTGTACAATTCTCGGGCCTCTTGGTTATCCGCGTGCGAGCGCAAAACCCAGGCGAATTATATCTACTCCTTAATATTATGCTAATTATTTAGAACATAATTAGTAAATATTTCTCTTAAGGTTACCATTTATTTGCTTTTCATCCGAGCCCATCTCATTTCGATCTCATTTCGACCGTGCCATCGCATAGCGACGAGACCGTCCAAGAAGTGTGGCTCACTAAAGTAGGCTAGGATTGAATTTACACAAATCATTGGGTATATAAAAGGTGAATCGTTCGCTACTTAGGACAACATGTTTAGGTATCGATCATGGATTAGACCAAGGGCCTTATACTACAACAAGTCAATATGGGCATCCATTGCTAGCTTCTCATCAGGCATTTACACCTAAGTACTCTGCAAGTGTAGGTTCCAAATCGCGAATAATCATATGCGGGCCAATGGGAAGAAATGTTGGAATTGCAGGCTGGATATTTGGAGAGTAAGCTACCATTGCCAGAATCGATCAGGGCGAGGCATTCTGCCTTGGAATCCAGGCCTTGAGTCTGGGTAAAAGAGCACAAGTAGGATGTCCTTGGATATTCAATGCCTCGGGCCGACAAGAACTGCACTATGCAGCTTCTATTGAAAGCCTACAGCAGTCGAATACGATAGCCTTACTTTCAAGTAAGGGCTGTGACGGTAATGGGATGTTAGTTGGAGACTACGTACTCGTATTTAGTAAGGCAGCAAATGACGATGGAGGATAATTTCGATTTCCCGAGGCTAGGCACTATTTTTTGAGGTTGCCTCTACCTAGGCTTGGTTATATCTGGGCCTGTGATAAAGTCGAAATTGTCCTTCTCGTAACTAGTTCGACACCTTAGGTAACGTGTGGTTACCCAAAAACATTCGCCCATTCATGGTTGGTTCCGCCTGCTTATTCCCGGGGGTGCTATTGGTGGAACATGGTCCCTTGTTACCTGGGATCGTCGAGGCAGGCTGTCGAGAGCCGTTGGACGGAAAGAATTCGGTAATGGGGCGATAATGCCCGATAGGAGCCGGGAATAAATAGTGGCCTCGAGACCTTGAAAGTTCTCCTCGTCCGATCCATCAGGAACCATCTGATTCGTAAGCTAACAGCAATCTCGGGCCGTCCGGCCGACTTTTCTTAAGGCGCACACTCTTTCCCATGTTCTGGTCGGCCGGGCGTTGGCGTGTAATTATTAGACAAGTGTATGGTACGCTGTTACACGTATGCTCGGCTCCGCCTTCTCTGGTCCATGGTTTTGCAGTTTTTGGTCCCTAACGGAGCCGCACGAGAGATTACTGTACCGTAGCGTACTTTCTTTCTTGCTGCACGTATGGTATGTACACATACGAAGAAATGGAGAAATGACAGACCGTACTTTTGCATTAGATTCACTCCCCCCCTTTTTTCTATCCCGCCCACCGAGAGATGCGGATCATAGCCACCAATCAGTCCTTGGCGCCAAATCTACGCAAATCCGGATTCGGCAATGAGAGGTCGGGAGTTGCGGGCTCTGACAGGTTTGTACCACCGAGGTAGCCATGGCTCTCCATGACCCTCGCGGAGACAACGTACTACCTATCTAACCCGGGAATGAGTCACTCAACTCTGGGTAATTTGGATAAGGGGATGTAGTTTGCGGCTGATGTGAGCAAGAAGGAGGTGACCCTTCGGTGATCATGTGCTCAACATATCCTGCGGTGAGCGAGGTGGGATAGGTTGCAACGCACAAGTGCTTACATGTATTTCGGGATTATTCGTAAAAAAAAAAGAAGAGAGATGGACGTTATTTCATGTCGCCAAGGGGAAATTATTGAACATTTGGATCGGTAGATGGTACTTGGCAGCGGCACAGTCCCTCGCAATATTTCCATCGTGGGACCATGTGTTGTTGTATTAGTGACGAAAGTGACGAAGATCTTGAATTATTCGAATTTCTAGAAATGTACGTACCTATACCTACATATGCAAGCACGTGTCCATGAACCCAATTGCAAGAGAAAGATATAAAAAGAAGAAGAGGAAAAGGAACTAAAGGGACCAAAGGGAGATTGGGTATGAGCACTAATCTTAGATAGGAAGTACATAGACAAATAAACTTTTGATATACATTTGCTAAATCGTTGAAATATGACAGCTCACAAAAAGAAGTTTGTGATGGAACCAGGATCATCCCAGGCCCCCCTGCTGGATCGTCCCGTGCCATCTTGAACGTTGGGAAGCTTCCAGGCCCTGGTCCCAACCAACGTGGTCAGAGCTTAAGCTTAGGTTAGCTTAGTGTTAGCTTAGGTACCTAACCCACTTACGAAAGCCCTGGGAGCCCTGGAGCTTGGAGAAGCTTGGGCCAGCACATCGACCGGGGCCTAGAACCTGGTCCCTTGGCGCGCAATTGACTTCTTAAATTCGACCAAAACGGGTTAAGATCATATACACCATTACCTAATTAAGTAAGATTTTCCGTTGATTTTCGATTGACTACCGTCATATTTTCGCCTCTGACACCTTTCTGAACGGGACTCGCTCCGTGGCCAATTCGATTCGATTTGATTTGATTTTGTAGAGACAGTTAACCAGGCCCTAAAGTAAAATTTTCTTTTCGCAACTTGCTTTCTGCAAGCCGAGGAAAAAAAAAATTGGTGTATCGAAACCCAATGCCCCTCCGCCACATCGCTATCCCCTCATCGCCGGGGCGTATTCCTCCTAGGTGCCCGACCTACGCCCTTGCAAACCGCATCCAGTCGAAACTGCAGCAGGAATTACTTGCTTGGAAAGCTTCGCCGGTTGCCCCGCCTCCCGTTCCCGCCTTGATCTCCTTTACACCCGCGCCTACGTATACCCTCGGTCGACGGCAGACCGAGCCTCTATCCACCGAGGAGCTTGCGCGCCTACGTGCCCCACTGCGCGTTCTCCAGTCTCGTAGCGGCGACGCCGATGATAAGGTCAATGGCAACGACAAGGCATTCGCTTTCACACCCGAAGTCCTCCACGCGCCCCGCGGCGGTCTTGCGACGTACCATGGTCCAGGACAAGTTGTTTTGTGGCCGGTAATCGACTTGCGATCACCATTACATACACATTTCGGCGTTCGCGAATATACGTGTTTGCTGGAGAAAACGACGATCGCGACACTACGGCGGCTGTACGGCATTGAGGGATTCACGACGTCAAATCCGGGGGTGTGGGTGCGGCATTCGGGGACTGAAGAGAGAAAGGTATCGGCTCTAGGTGTACATCTTCGGCGACATGTCACGGGTCTCGGTGTTGCTATCAACTTTGGTATGCCAGTTGCTGGACCCGAAGATGTTAATCCATGGGCCCGTATCATAGCATGTGGGCTAGGCGATAAAGGTGTTACGAGTGTAGCAGCACAACTTAAATCGCCTAGCACACCTCGCGGTGAAGATATTGCTACGGCATGGGTCGCTGAATTTGCTACTCGTCTGGAGATACATGACAATACGGATGGCGGCCTTGCTGTTGAGCAACATAACTGGGATCGCCTCGAGACGGAACTCCAGATTGGTCGAGAAAGCCAAGACTATATCGAAGCTCGAGAATTGCTGACGTAATTGGTACCACCACGTTCTCGAACCTCTATCGTCTACACAAAACCTCACTTCCTCCAATGCCATTACGTGAGTTCATCACGTGCCTCGGAGCTGGAGCAATGGATTACGGACATCTCTTTGGGAATGATTATTCTATAATGAAAAGAATCTCCTTAGAAATCCCGTCCCACGACTTAAGACCGGGCCTAGCTGTTTCATCATCTGCAGATTACCACGGCCTACTCTACACTGGTCGTGACGTGAGAGGCTGCGCTCCACCCACGCGTCGGCGTATACGCAACACCCCAACGTACCTATCCAGCCACCCCAAAAGCCAAGAGAGTCAAAAGTCCGCAGAGAACTCGGCATCCTACGAGCGAGCGGTTCCAGCCATCATCCGCCCGCAATATTGTTGTCCGGCTGACCGGTTCGCGGCTTTGCGATTCGAAAAGGCAATGGTGATGTATCAGATTCAGGGGGCTATGTAATATGCAGCGTTCCGCTGCCGAGATCGGCGTGACCGTGACCAGCTAGGCAGGTAGAAGAAGTACGCACTCACTTCGTAACATAACATACATAAAACGTACCGGTATATGTATTATGTATGTATATACATACAGTATACATTGAGATAGCGGAGCGGCAAAGTGCAGCTTGGAAATCAGAAAAGACAACGTGGCTTGCCGTCCTAAGGTATCCACCTAAATTTCTTGCTTGCCTACATGTACTTCATGAAAGTACCTAGGTATTTACTTACCTAGCAGCGGATTTGATGAAAATGAGTTGGTGGTCTTCTATACCATAATCAAGTCATTGCCGGCTAATAAATGTCACATATAGAACTTAATACACCAAAGAAAAGATATTTTGAATGAAGATATCGTATTAATTTTAGCTGGATTTATATCAACTTAATCCGCGTCCAGCCTCGTCGATTCGTTTCAGGGCAGCGGGAATAAACGTGACCTAATTCTTGCTGCTCTTGTGTCCATATTAAGTACCAAACTCATTTGTGGATCCCGTTTCTTATATTAGGATGCCGCGGGGGACCACGCCTCATTATTTCGTCTCAGTGGTATAAATACGTACCAGGTCGTAGTAGTAGGAATGACCTCGTATCTCGCAGTCTTTCATTACCAAGTAACGCCATGGGGGTGAAGTAAATGGGAAGTGCTGCCGACCCTAAACGGAAGAATGCTCATCGAACCAGGAGGAAAACACCCTCTCTAACCCCTGTTCTCTTTTTTGATGACCGCGCAATGCTCGCTACTCCGTTTCCGGCCACCACCTTTTCCATGTGGTATTTCTTCATCCGCATCGGGCCTGTACATCTCAGGCTGAAAATTCATATTGTTATAGTGCGCGACATTGAAATGACTATTCTTGAAAGTATTAGTTGTGAAAGAAGGTTCATGGAAGCTACTCGTCTCTACTAGGTCGGGAAAGTTGTATTTGCTGAAGCGCAAAGGGTGAACTGTCATAGGCGTCGTGGGTTGCTGATGCGGTGGGCTTGGCTGTTGAGGCGGAGGTGCAGCCGGCAGCCCTTCTGTATAACCTTGCGGCATCCATGGCGATTGCGGAGAAGGGGCGTAAGGATCTGTCATAGGAGATGGCGCAGTTGGAGAACCCAAAGGAGACATCTCGGGAGCAGCAAAACCAGGTATCAAGGCCAATGCGCTCATATCTACCGAGTAATCTTGAAGCGGAGGCATTGTGCTCTCGATCTCGTGGTGGTGCGTAAAGGAGGTTGCCCGGTTGATTGACAAAGTAGTAGGTGCGGGCGGAATAGGTGCAGCTTGAATCACTGAATCGCGATACAAGATATCGTAGTGACCTGGGCGATATAAAAGGTAGATGATAGGTCCTAATAAGGATGGATCTTGACCGTTGGCCTCCTCTGGCATCCGATGTACATTAACTTCCACACCTTCACTCCGGTCTAGGTAGGCGATCTCGAGCACGATGTTCGCTGGCTTCAGTAGGACGTCGTGGAGTAGCACTACACCAATGTGGTCAATCTCCCTGTCGATCGGCATGATAGTATCTTGGACGTAGCCCTCGACACCACCGGTTATCCAAGGTTCATATTGAGCATAGTTGCCCTTCAACCATGAAGACGCAAGCAAGCGCTGGTGGTAAACGATGGACTGCGACAACTCGGGGTTGTTGAACTTTTCTATTACGAACGGCATAGCATCTTGTCCAGCGGACATAGCATTGGCGATCGCATTAAATAGGTCGAATGTTACGGAAACCATATCCTCGAACAGCCAAGCACTGTGGCCACCGATATTCTCGATAAATTCGTTTAGGCTAGTCACTCGGGCAAGCTCGCCTTGGACTTGATTTATATCGCCGCATCGTACGAGAGTCTCGAAATAAGCGAACGCGATTGCTACAAAGACATCATAAATGTTAACTCAGTTCTTCTACGTGATAGTAATAATGTGGGCGAAAAGAAATCGGAGAAGACCTAAGGGTTAGGCTTGATACTTGGGTTCGTCTTCATGATGGTGGATCGTCGATCGATCAATCAATCAATCAATCTGATCGAAGAGCATCGTAGATAAGGCAATAGACCCAGATCCTAGTTTGGCATGGCTACCTACGCATGAACTGCGGGGTATGGCGTATATGATGCAGGAGGATCATCAAGATGAATAAAATGATAAATGTGTTTAGAAACTTAGAAACTCACCTCGCCAGCCGCAATTACCGTCACCCTGAACGGGGCGGTAATGGGAGTAAGTCTGGGGTAACGCCTACGATATCATCAAGAGTCAATTGGCGGGGTTCGATTTCTAAGGCTTGGATTGGGATCGATTGACTAACCATAGTTTTGGCGACATATATCGGATCTGATTTAGCATACTCCTCGGTAATTACGGTGCTTGGTCTTCTGTCGCCGACCAAAGGACCCTAAATGCGCAGTTGGTATGTGAGCATATACATCATCATTTTTCGGTGAAGACAAAATTGCGATGGGAATAGAATCTGCGTGTGTAACATAGCTGTGCATATGGCGAATGAGAGCGAAGGCAAAGAAGAACATGACGCAAAAAATGCAACGGAATTTTACTAACCTCGAGCTGAGGCTTGAAGTCGCGGGCTGCAGCCTCCTGCTGAGCAAGATCGTTGGGATGTTGTGGCTCCATCTTGATATTGCGACGGTTTTGGTGATGGTGACTATTGTGGTGGGGTATCGAAGAATTGATGTCGGTATTGCTGTATGGAAGATGGCCGGGGTTGTTGTTGGCGGGAGAAATTAGAGAATTGTGGTTATGAAAGATTGGAGATGTGAATAGTTCGGCCGCTGTTGGTCTGCCCGCGATTGCGCCTGCACCGCTAGCACCAGCACCAGCATGCCCTGATCCGAATTGTCCCAGCGGAGTGGGCTGGAAGGCGTATTCGGGGACCTCTGCGTTGGCTATGTGGATTCCATAGGAAGCGTAGGAAGAATACGGGGTGGGTTGAGGCTGGAACATGCCTGTGCCTGGGTTTGACGAGCCAGAGCTTGACCCTGAGCTTGAGAGCTTCGGGTCATGAAAGCTCTAAGCCTTAAGTGTCTTTAGTTTGAGGTAACGGGGGATTGCGTTGTGGTTTTTTCTTTGTCTTTGTCCTTCTTAAAAAGATTATGCGTTTAAGTGCTTCTCTTAGCTTCGGCTTAGAGCTGATAGATTATAGGCTGTTGTGTTGCTCTCGTGCGTGAATTATTAAAGGTTCCCTCTCCGGGCTGTAACCAGCAGCAACAGATGAAGAGAAAAACCTGCGAGGTACGAGAGACCGGGCGGGAAGAAAGAAGGAATCGGCGGAAAAATAGAGAATTATTCTTTAAGTTAAGAGAGAAAAAAGAGGAAGAGCGAAAGGGGGAGGAGAGAGGAAGGAGAGAGAAGAGTAGAAACAGGAGGGGATCCAGAGAGTTGGTAACGGGCGGGCTTTAGTCTAAAAGGAAGATGAGGAACCGAAAATCGATTGATTGATGAAAATGGTTGCCGTTACACCAAGCCAGCGGCAGTAGTACACCTAGTACACAACCCCCTGTCGGATTGCTTATGCGGTACGGTTAGTACATGTGAGTACTACACCATGCAAGTGCGTGTAGGGAAGCTACTTACGACATTGATGTATAGAATATATTTCGTCAGGTACCTATCTCGGTATACATGTAGGGGTAGATATAGTTTACGTGTACATACGTAGTTTGTCTGCCTTCTTTTTCTTGACCTATTACAATCAATGCTAGGTAGTTGTATTATAACCTATATGCCTACCAGCATAGCATACTACATACATTATACATATGATACCTAGGTGAAAGACGGAACAAGACAGGAATAAAGAGGGGAAATTAGCTCTTGTAATATGAAATAACAACGTTACCAACCATATGTATGGATGGATAATTTGTTTTGTAACACCCGCAGCCCCAAAACGGGTTCTTTTTTGATCTACCTAAGGTGAAATCGTGACTGACTTGCGTTGACTAGTAGTATTGGACATACATATATGTATATAGTTGGTTAGGTATGTAGCTCTAGAACATATTTTACCTTACTTATGACAATTGAAATATTCTTCAATTTAACTCTGAGGGATACGTTTTCGAATTGTCAATAGGAACTTCCCGTTTACTTCTCGTCTACCTACCATCCAAAGATATGGTACTTACCCCACCTATACGACATGTACCTACCTAACCTACGTGTAAGTGCCTTAAAAGGATTGTCGGTACATTGCCTATTGCATGGTACTTTGATTTTTACTCCGTACCTAGCTCGCATAACAGAGCTTGCAGGTAGAAACTCCTTACGAAGCTTGTCCCTATAGGACGCGAAGAGGCCGCTAGAGATAGAGAGCATATGTAATATGTAATTGCTGGCCTATCCAATCTATCTGCAATATGTAAGAAGACAAAGTCCACGACTTACATGTGCAGGAAGAACCTAGACCCCTGAGAGCCTAAGCAAGCCAGTAACCAGCAGCCCTGGCCCCCGGGGGGTGGGTTGGCGGGTTGGTTCTAGGGGAGGGGTCTGGGGGGAGGTTACCTAGAAAGTCCCCTGTAAATTAAAATAAAGGTCTGTGCACCCGCACTAGTCAGGCCTGACGTCGGTTAGCGATCACAAGTAACGGTACCAAGTAGCACCACATGTCGGACTTGTCATAATAACGAATGAAGCTAGGATCGAAGCTTGAACCTTTTGACTTTCAACTATCTTTTTTACCTTTCTTCCTGCATGTATGGATAGCTGGGGGTTAACTTTTCTATGTAATTGTACATATTCCTAGGTAATGCAATGTACATTACATCCTGATATCCCATCCCACATCGAATGGAGATCCCTCTCGACTTGTTATCCCAAGAAATCCCAATCTCCATCCACTTCTCTGCCGTCAGCCAGCCCTAACTTCGGGAACCTAGCAACTTACATACATGCTTTCTATCTTGGTATTATTATTTGATTATTTTTATTATTCATAGTAGCATTCCTGGTATTTCGTAGTATTCCCATCCTTCTTTACCCCCCTCCTCTACGGTATTTGAGAGGCGAAAGATCGACGGACAAGATTCCCATGTTGAATCATATTCCTCGACTTTATACATACACTATTGAAATTTCTTCATGACCTTACGTTCTATCCGCATACATATACCATGTCTACTCATGTAGGTATCGTCAAGACTTGCCCAGCTGGATGCCTGATACCTGGGTGGACGAGTAACTACCTAACGTACGTAAGGCCTCGCTTCGTGTTGTATACGACCAACAACCTGGATACCTAGGGACTTACCTAGCTATTCAGCATTACTAGGTACTATACTCAATACAGGCTAAAGAGCGACGACCAGCCAAGGAATATGAACCCTACGCTACTACTAACTACCTAGACTAACAGAGGTGAGGTGAGGAATTGTTGGGCGCTGACTCTTATCCTTCTACTGTTTAGATATCGTGACTAGGTATTATCATGATCCTCAGTCAGCGCATCATTTGCATCATATGAGCTGCAAAAAGTTGCTAGTTATCAGCTAACACCAACTCATCGACACCACGACTCCACGATAATAATGATTATTATGTCCGGCTGACAAGTTGAGCTGGGCCAAAATAGTAATCCCGAATTCGGAATCTCAACAATTGGTTGTTAAAATTCGACTTATCAAAACCAAGAAGCATCGTCTCCTTACATACCTAGGTACACTAACACCGGACGCTCTAAAAACGATATGATACGATACCAATATAGGATGAGGATGAGGATGTACCGCGGCCGTACTCCGGTTCACCTTTGTTATGTATGACCGTGGGCTGAGGCAGAATCCTTCACACCTTAAAACCCGAGGGTTCATCCAGATCTTTCCTTACCCCAGACTGGTGCTTACGATGGATGCGGCACCAGACTGCGATGGGTAAGGTATACTAAATAAGCCAAGACTACTACGTACCTAAATATTATGCTATTGTCATGCTCATGGGAAACAGGGATGAGATGAGTGAGCAGCACCACTATTGCACGACATCGTGAACTTCATATGGCCTCAAAAGAGAGCGTGGGCTTAGTAGCGGCATCGTAGCGCTTTGTCTAATCCTCATCCGACCCTAGGCTTTCCAACGGATCATTCGATTCAATTTGGCCACAAAACCGGCACCACGGCACAGGCGATAAACTAGCTCTGGCCTCGGCGCTGATTCAAGAATCAAGTTTCTCCGGCGCAAAAAGGAAATCTCCAGCGGCTGATGCGTTACAGATTTTCCCATCCGGATAGAAGCGCAAAATTGAACAAACAAGCTGGCAAACTACGGCAGTAAGGCACGTCATTTGGCCGCAACTATACCCGCGGAATACTTAAGCAATAGAGTGCTACAGTGGGCGATACACCACGTCTATGCGTATGCTATCGGTCCATCAACCCACCTGGAGTAATACCTATGTGCTAGAGATGCATGGGTCGGGGTATGTGTTGGTAACACGGTGCACACCAACGCAGCGCAGAGCACAAGAAAAAAAAAAACACCCACTGTAGCACAGCATCACAAGCAAAGAGACCCTAAGTATTATTGATGTCGTCCTCTACAACACTTGAGTATGAAAGATCTACCTACCAATTCGCGCAATATTCTGCGCCGTAGGCTTTTTGAAGGTAAACATAATTCATGCTCAGGTCAGCCTCATCTAAGTGCGTGAGAAGAGCTTGCCAAATACCCAGGTAGCTAGGTAACTAACGGATTACCTAGGTAGGTAGTGATTCGTACAGCAAAGCTGGTAAGCAAGGGTACTGGTTTCTAGTGGACAATTAACCGAGATACAAAAATGATAGAAAATATCAAAGGCGATCAGGTAGGATTCTGAGTTGTTATATCTTGCTCTTAAGAGGATTCAACTAATACCCTTAGGGCTGAAAAGACGGTGTGAGATGAAGTCATCTACATACGTCTTCATACATACGTTGTCCCTCAACGAGAATACTCCGGTGATCGCCCAAAACTGGACAAAGGAAGGTTGAGATTGACGATGAGCGTAGATATATCAACCTAACATGGTGGCCTCCTGCCCGCCATTGTGTCTTATATATGTATGTATGTAGGTCGTAACGAAATTCTCACTCTCGTATCTCATTTCCACCTGTCGAAGGATCGTGGATGAACTCCAACTTGCGCCAAGCTCTATTACTACTATGTTCTGGTTTTGACCCCGCCTTTCCTCCGCCACCACGATATGGTACTGGATCAATCTAAGACTTACATGGGAATGGACAGGCACCAATATGTACGCCAAGGACTAACAGGGCGAAAAGGGGGTTGAAATGTTTGGTAGAATATGTCGCTACCATCAAGTAAAAGTCCCTTCATACATCTGTCAGTTTTTAATGTTCCATCATCGTTTAGTATTACTGATTGCTTTCCAGGTATCGTCAATCCTTTTTTCTGAGCTAGTGGGAAGACACCGGCAATAATTACTCCTGCAAGGGCTGTTCGTGAACCACCCAAAGGGTCCGGGATTCCTTCCAGAATACCTACCTAGCTGGGTAGTCTTACTTGCATATACGTCTACAACTTATTTACTTCCACTTATTACTTATTGTTCATACCAATCCTAGCTAGCGTCGAGATTTCAAGGGTTATTGACAGCGCACGAGACGCCCGCAATATCGATTGAGCTCGAGTTTCACGTCTCCCTGTTAAACCCGACGGCGGTGGGAAAAAGAGATCCTTCACTGGTTAGCCCGGAATGGACCTGTGATTCTATGCTGGAATGACAGTCCCTCACTTGCGCCAAAGTCACCCACCCTCAGGCAATAGTAACACATTTCGAAGTACCGCGATATGTGGCTCCTATACATTGAGATTACGGCTACCGTTATTGTGATTCGTCGGATTTCATTCAATCTAATACTACGGCTACCACGCTTCGGCTTCCACTCAAAGTCCTCGGGGACTATTCCGCAGTCGGCAGTGTCCTAGTGTATCCGGAACTCTCGGATGAGAAGCACCTATTTCATTACCACATGTGTTAAGTGTTAAGGATACCAGGACCTGACAAATGAGCTACGGAGTTAAGGAGAATGATGGCGGTTTCCTCCTATCTTTGTTCTCCTGTCGCCTTTCTGCCGAATGTATTTGCTATACGGAACTAATGTAAATCTTCTGACAACATCACCCGTGCCGCCACGCCTGGACTGGGAGCCGGAACTAGTTGTGGGGGACCATGGAAGTCCCCAGATTTGCCGTGAAATCTGCACATAATCAATGAGATCGACATCCGTTCTTCAACACAGAATTAGGATGGTTTAATTAGGGCCCTCATTGGTTATGGCTAGCACTATGAGCTCGTCGTACAATTCCCCATAACTGGGTAATTGAAGCACAATGAGCTTTTTTGCTCCTATTTTGCAAATCTGTGTACGCGCATAGCTACGCGGCCTCCCACAATCCCTCGTGCGTGAGATTTAGATCGCACAACCCCAACGACGTCTGTCAGTTTTTTTTTTCTCTGCTGTGCGCTCTTGTCACGTACGACTTGCTTAGGCACTTAGTGTTACTACATGTGCTCGCGCCATCCGACCATACAGCTATCTAGTAATGTGTATTATCTGTACACAAGTGTTTTCGGATGGAGCTTACATGTTCAGCTGAAGCTGGATATGATTACATACATGGCGCTGAAATTTGTTGGTTCCAAAAGGAATGATGCATTCCCTTTTCGAACGAGCTAAGTCCAGATCTAGGGGAACGCCTCGAAAACGAAGACTTTTCAAACTACGTTTACTCGCCACGATCTAAGCTCCAGTAACCCTTATTACTCCGTAAAATATTTATTATTCTATGTCATTAATATTATTTTTCTATTTCGAACTCCAGTTATATTTCGACAAGGAATATGGACAATTCAGCACAGGAACAACAATATGCGGACAGGGCCAGGCTGGCCCACGGGAACTTGCAGAAAATCGCGATATGTGTTACGCCAAGCCGGTGAAAATACATACTCTCAAGACAAACCAACGGCCGCAAATGAAGCAACATCCACCTGGTTGTCTTACCTCCTGCAAATAGACACGAAAGTGACGAGCTTCATACAAACCAGAACATCTTCCTAGTCTCACTACATCACGACGAGGACGCGGCGATGCCCGTTGCGACCTGTCACGTAGGTCAAGATGAGTTAGGAGATGGATCTCCCGATAGTTCCCTTTCATCTACAATTCACATTATACTGGTTCCCACTCGGCATACCTCATTCGTCAGTCTCGACTTTCCCTGCAGCCATCCCGCAGCGAGGAGTCGACGCCCTGGGAAAAAAACTGTCCATCCATATCCCATTTCCCAACCAATCTCCTACCCCCCCCAGTAAGTTACTTTCCAGTAATTAGGAAGCAGTAATTCTTCGCCCTGGCCCTCCATTACACCCACCTATTACTTTACAAAAAGGAAAAGATCTTTTAGCGTCTGTGGCCCAGCAAAACACGGCACACAACTCAGGACCAAAGCACGCCCATTTCATCCAAGAAAATTCCCGAAACAACTACATACCCTTGAGGTTGCTAGCGCGAGACACGTTGCACTCGCTTCCGGGCCGCTCTACCCACCGCAGCCGTTTCGACAGCCGCGTTCGCTGATCTTCTGGGTCGCCGACCGGGGATAGATCGCGGTTCCAAACGAAGCCCCGAAACTTTTCTCATCTCGCCCCCTTGTAAACTACCAAGCCCTTTCTTCCACATGCCTCTGCGGCTTCCGCGCATGGCCCTCTTTCTTACGTTTTTTTCCCTCCCCTCTTTCACCCCCTTGGCCAGTCTGAAATATATATATGTAATATGCAACGAAGCAGAGATTAGAACCAATCACGTCAAAAGATGGACCGCCGATCGGGAAGACAATAGGAAAGATGGGTCGTAAGCCATTCCAAGACACGCATCGCGTGCATCTAGCCACAGCTGGGGTTGAAGAAGGGTGGGCAAGGGGGGAGGAAGAGGGGGCATTGGGGGGAAAAAAGCTGCTCGCCCAGTCGCAAATCCGCTTCCTACTCCTCAATAAAAAATTGTGATTCCATCTATTCAGATCATACCTTTCTACGTCCTGTTCGCCAACCAGAGCGAGGCGGGTAAGGAGGCAGTTCATATATTTCTGCCGCGGGTGTTACTTACCAAGTCTTCATCGACCCCGATCCCGCCCGCGGGGGCGTACCTTGGGATGCGACGGTGACTCCGTTTTGACCCCGCTATCACCAAGCTCGTGCTTGTAGCTATGATATGCCATTCTTTGATATGCTCTGACTTCTGTCATGGGATTCTACCTCCTGCTCACTAATTACTGCACTCCGGGGACCACTTGACGGTAAGTAGCGTGGAATGAGAGGTTCCCTGCAGTCGTTAGGGCCGGTGCTATTTCCTATTTGCTGGATACTTTCTCTTTATTGCGTTACACGGCACACTGCCTAAGGAAGCAAGCAAGCAAGGAAAGCAAGCTACCTGACCTGCCTACCTACCTACTACCTTGCTACATAGCAAGCCAACAGGCATACCGGCAGGCAGGCAAGCAGGCATAAGGGTGGCCTAACTAGCCTAGCGCAGAATGCTGTCAGCCGCAGCCGCGGACACTAGCAGCTAGGTATGCCATGCCACAGGCTTGTTTTGTACGATGCTCTTTTACAGCTTGCTGCCAAGGGATTCAATATCACATTCGAGAGGGGTGAAAAGCCATGTTTTGATTCATCTCCCACAAGAAAAAAGGCGTCGTCAGCAATACTAACTACTAAACGAATCTCGTAATCGATGCGGCGTAGTTTGGAATAGAAACCCCGGGGAGATTGGAGACGAAGGAAAGGTGCGGGTAGAAATGGTTCACGCAACATTTCTCATTGCACATTCTAGGCTATTGCGCGACTACGTGTTCCGTCAACCTCCGTAACCCCCATTCCGACGGTACTTGCCTATCAACCTACCTCCCCGACAAGCCCAGTTCAACTCGGGCTGAGACATTTTCCTGCGCGTGGAATTGTTTAATCCTTTCGACCGTTGCTTGATAATAATAAAAAGGGGGGGTAGATACGGAGCACGGGCGACTAGTAAACCGCCGTGGCGCGGGATTGGCTTGGACGCCCGCTGCAGACAAATAACGGATTTCTCCTTGAGTATTGTATTCCCAAGAAAGGCAGTCCGAAGCATTAGGTGGCTGGGAGAAGATAGATGATGAGTTTTTTTCTGTTCTTTTCACAGTTCTCCGCGTAGGCCGATTATGACGTGTAGTAGGGCCGTTTATCTGCGTTGGACGAACTTGTTACATACGCCACTTCACTGTGATACTTGCCCAGGTACAGGTAGGTATTCTGCAAAGTATGTGTACCTCCATAGGAAACTTGTATAGAGGTTCGCGACGAACGCCGGGCCTCCTATTCGCAATCACCTCCCTCCGGCGCCAAAAGGATTCCGGGACTTCAGCTGAGAAGCAATTAATCCTTTTAATATATTCATTTTAATGATATCTGATATACTATATGCACTAGTAGATATGTATTATGTTTAGTTCTCACTTTCGCAACTGTTACCCTAATGAGACTTAGTCTCTCTCGGAGGAATTAGTGTTCCAGCTTCAATGTTGGATAGTGAATTTCCGTCTATTTTTGCTTCAAAATCTATGTGCTTACTGTGTACATATAGTATGCCAGGATTAATTCGTGAAACACTGGTATTCGGTAGTCGCTTGCTGACAACTCGGCCGCTAGAGAATCAACGACAATAAGCCTCATAGCAGTAAAAATAACAGTTGCACTTAGTATCGTGGGATTGTTGGGCAATGACGGCCTATTTGGGATTTTTCCGTAGAGTTGTAGATGTGATTTCTCCGGATACGAAGTTCTCCATGATTGACACTATGTTACTTCCATGTTAAATTCGGCCCGTTTACCTTTCTCAACTGCTTTCTAGCTTATTAAGCTATAACTTGATTCAACGATGGTGATTTTGTTTTGGTTGAGTCGAACTGGATTGTCCGTAGTCTGCTTGTGGTGGGTTGTTGGGTCTCTGGACGTACCCGGGCACAATCAACATGTCCTTGCGACTACAAACAAGCTACCTGATCGACATCCACTATTGTAATTTACTAAGAAAAGGGGCTTTAAAATTATGGTTAGACGATCGTTCATCGAGTTTAATGCTAATATATACGGGGTGTAGGTGTTTGAATAGGAGTACCCTGAAGAATAGCCCAGATTTCTTGGGTACATAGAGAAATCTGAGACATGCATAGGTACCTTCTTGCCAAGTATAGTTATTGTCTAGGCCTGAGTCTAGGTGCTCTAATAAAACTCAGAGACTCTACCTTATGCTTAAGTCCATTTGCCTATCTGTTAAAAATCATTGTAGAGTCGCATGATCCGACGCCAGCACCTCTCCTGTCCTAAATTACACCAATAGGCCTACATTTGGTATTGTAAATTTTTCATCGTTTAGGTTCTATTCCGCAGCAGGTTCTTCTTCGAAAACTACCAGAACTGTACCTGCTTTGCATTTGTCCTATTGTATATGTTAGCGATCACGTAGTTTTAATTGTGGTTGAGCATGACAGCTTACCCCTTCTTTATGTGCAAGCTTCTTTATAACACCATCTTGTGGTGATCGTATTACCGTTTCCATCTTCATGGATTCAATTCTAGACTTCAGATTAGCGCATCGGTTAGCTTCAAAGTTGGCGCACAGAGCACCCACACTACTAGAGGAGCTCCTTTGGTGACCCTATCACCCTCCTTAACTTCATTTTTGAGTATCTTACAAGGCATCGGAGCCGCCACCGAAGCCGCAACTTCCTTGAGCCCTAGGGCCTTCTCGTACCAAATCGGAGACAGTAGCGACAATTCTGTCTTTCTACCATGTTGGAATACGGTGATCTTGTTGTCATTATTGGGGTCTTGAACAACTGTCGTTTCTATCCGTGTATGTGGGAAGAATGTGATAAGTCCTGTTTTCTCCGAGGCTGGGATGGGCGACGACACAAGGTCCTCGAAGACTTGAGCATCTTCACCATTTCGAGTGACCTGAGCGTTGAATAAGTTGTTACCCTTCTGGGTTATGCTAACGTCCACAACTTCCCCTTCCTTTTGATCTAAGACGTCTAAGGACTTGAATGAAAAGTTTCGTGAACTGCTATTTGAACCGAAGCCTAGGCTTTCTCCATGGGGTTCCACGACTTCCGTGGGCTGGGAGGCGAATATGCCCAGAGCCGCTTGCACATATACTTCGGGCTTAATCACTGCAGGATCAAACAGCTCCTCTTTCCACTTTTCAATGAAACCAGTTTCAACATCTCCTTCTATGAACGCCGGTGATCTGCATAAGCGCTTCAGGAATTCAATGTTGGTGCTTAACCCTACAACTTCGTAGTCGCGTAGCGCAAGCTCCATCTTCCTAATAGCCGTCTCACGATCCCTTCCTCTGACGATAAGTTTCGCAATCATCCCGTCGTATGCTTCGGTGACCGTATCGCCCTCAACGAAGCCAGCGTCAATTCGGATATCCTCATCCACCTTGGGGGTCTTTAGGTGAACCAACTTTCCGGAGTCGGGAATGAAACCCCTTTCTGGATTTTCGGCGTATATCCTTGCTTCGATAGCTGCTCCTCGCTCATGTATCCTCTCGATTATCTCCTTTTGTGTTAATGGTAACTTTTCTCCTGCGGCGACTCGAAATTGCCATTCAACTAGATCAGTTCCAGTGACCATCTCACTAACAGGATGCTCGACTTGAAGTCGGGTGTTCATCTCCATGAAGTAAAAGTCGCCTGTGTCCTTATCGAGAATAAACTCCACCGTCCCCGCGCCGACGTAGCCCACTGCTAACGCCGCCGTCCTGGCCTTTTCCCATAGGTCCAACCTTGTCACGTCATCCAATTCGGGTGCCGGTGATTCCTCAAGGATCTTCTGATGTCGTCGCTGTATGCTGCAGTCTCTTTCGCCTAGAGCAACACAGTTTCCATGCTTATCGGCGAACACTTGCACCTCGACGTGCCTAGGACGTACGATGTATTTTTCAACTAACATGACCTCACCGCCCTCCCCGAATGAAGCTCTCGCCTCTGCGCGGGCACTCTTTAATTGCTGTAAGAACTCACTTTCCTCCATCACGATACGCATACCCTTCCCACCACCTCCTTTCACACTCTTCAGCAACACAGGGAATTGAATCGCTTTCGCGTGCTCTAGCAACTCCGTCTCACCCTGTTCACTTCCATGATACCCAGGCACACATGGAACTCCAGCTTTAGTCATAATCTCCTTGCTTCGAGCTTTGTCGCCCATGTCTGCCATAGCTTGCGCTGGTGGTCCGACAAATACGATTCCTTCCTGCTCACACCTTTTGGCAAAGGCTGAGTTCTCCGAGAGAAAGCCATATCCAGGATGTAAAGCTTGGATGCCATGCTGTTTAGCCAATTTCACTATCCTCTCGCCGTCTAAGTATCCGTTGGCGGTACCTAGACCAATGGACTGCGGTGAGCAGGATGCATGCTGAGAAGAGGCGTCCGGGTTAGTATATAAGGTAGTAGTTCTGATTCCGAGGCGTTCGGCGGTCTTGTTTATCCTCAATGCGATTTCACCACGGTTTGCAATGAGTAAAGATGTAATAGGAGTGATTTGAGACTGTAGAGATGAGCCGGTTGTAAGATAGCGGGGGAATGGATGGCGGCGGAGGTGTCTAGGCTTAACTGAACGCATTTTGAATGGTATTTAAGGGGTAAATTATCTAATTGACTTGCTATATCAAGTATTGTGACTTTTCTACATCATGGAAATATAATAATCATGAGATAAAGAGAAAGGGAAGGTTAACTCCAAAGAGTTGTCAGCGAGAAGTTACGGTATTCGCAGCTGAGTTAGGTGAAAGCCGTAACTAAGCGGTCCCTCCCCCGCGAGAAGCCGCGGTTAGGGACCTAGAAACAGCGGCATTGTTGGCCCAAGTTCCAGCCTCAGTGGGGTATAGTGGGCATTTTATCAGGGGGTCGGGGCTTTTAGCTTTGCCAACGTCATCATAGATCCAATACGATCAGCAACTTTCAGAACCCCTCCAAACAAACACCTTGGAACGAATCCGAACCACTTTAACGCGACCAATTCGCATCCCACGTATGTGAAACATAAAAAGACACGATGGATCAGATATCGCTTAATCATGAGGCTTCTGCTGGCGATACCCATAAGCAATTAGTCTCGTCGCTACCTCCTGAGGTTGTACAATGTCTTGAGAACGCCCGTTTCGTAAGTGCTTATCCCGAATGTCTGGGTAGATACCTACCTAGGTAGATAATCTGAATGATGAATGTGGCTGCTGAATGGGTTCGATTTAGCTTCACCTGGCGACATGTATCGATAACCAGCCGCACGTATCCCTCATGAATTATACATATATCCCGTCGTCGCAGTACTCCTCCGCGCCCGTCATCGTCATGACCACGAACCCCTCATCCAAGAAGACCAACAACTTAGTCGTTAACCCGAATGTCTCGCTACTGGTGCACGACTGTGAGAACCCAATTACTTCCTCTAGATGGTAAAACTGCTGGCCTTATGTATGCTAATGGCATAACAGGGGTATCGCACAGACCGCCGACCCAAGGCCGCCGGATGTCAGGCGGATCGCCCGGCCCGGAACACCGATCGAGTCTAGCCTCGCTCCTCCTCAACCTGAATACCAGCGCTATATCCAGTATCAGCGCGACTATAAACGGTACTGCACAGCTAGTTGCCCGTGGATCCGACGAGGAACGATTCTATCGCAGCCAACATCTCGAGAATAATACGTTTGACTCTGAGGGCGGTACTGTGCCGTTTGATGGCGGGTTTGGTGCGAATGGTGGGGCTGGTGGGCAACAACAGGATGGTGGAAGGGAGTGCTTTGTTGCGGGGGAAGAGGTAAGGGTTATTCTGGTGCATATCAAGGATATACGGACGAGTGATTGGAAGGGTAGTGTGAAGGATTGGGTTTTGGTGCCGGAAGGTGGCCCTGCTGCTGTGAACGGCATCAGGTGAGAATGTGTGTTTACTGCTATGTCAGTATAGGCTGCTGTTCACTTGTGTCCTTATAGTGTACGATAACGCGCTATGCTGAATGGTTTGGTCAAAATGGGGTATCTGTGTCACGCGTGGGATAGGAAGGGAAACGGCTCTGATAGATCTATTGTATTATTACCAATTGAAATGACCCGTTCATGTGTTTTTTATTGTAATGGACGTAGATATGAATTTGAGCAGTGTCTCTAAAGTCTAGCTGAGAAAATGGCCGATTCTCCATGGGACCGTGGTGTGGGCGTTTGAACCATTTGGTGGAGGTAACGGCCTAGGGTGCAAGACGGCCTAGCGACTCAGCAAGGCTACTATGACGATGCTCTTGGTTCGGGGTTTTTGGTGATGTTTACAACTTGAAGCCCTCTTACGGATAAAGTTTCAAGTCTCAACGACCAACTATTTGTGAGCTGTTGGTTCGTATAGATGAGATGCATAAGTTCAGTCAAGACCTCGGTTGTGGGCCTTTAAGCCTTACCCCATTCATATTTTGCGCATTTCAAGGAATAATACGTAATACATCGAAAGGACGTAGTTTTACTTGATCTTTTAATTTTATCATATAGGCGAGCCCGACCGCCCCGGCGGGCTGAGTATCCGAACCGGTAATCATGCATTCTTCGGTGATTTATCGAAGAGCATTCGCTGTCCCATATGTACACCATAGCTAGGTGCCTATATCGATTCGTTAGGGCTTTGAGGGGGTCATATATCCTCTATCTAGGGGTAAATCCGTGCAAGGCGCTACTAAATTTGCGCATCCCCTTTCGTCTACTACAGTCCATCTAGGGGACTATATAGAGTCGTACAACTTTGTCGTTGATGCATCTATTTCAAGGCTATCATTGCCCTTTTTGTTGCTTAAATTCGTCTCGTACGTCTCGCGGCATCGGAGGCGGAGTTCGTGGTTCGGTATTTCGGTACTTGGGTTCCATAATGCCCAACTGAAGAGAAGTTTTGTTAGCTCCAATGAGGTGAGTGAGTTGGATCGATGCGATCCGTACCATTGATAATAATCTCCATACAGTATCTGTCGGTTGCGCACCAACACCAATCCAGTATTTTGCTCTGAATGTGTCTAATTTGATATCTTTATGCAATCTTCCTGAGTTGTCATATGGGTCGGGTTTCGGAATAGGATCGTATGTGCCAATAACCTCGAGAGGTCTGCTGTTTCTCGCCGTTCTGTAGTAAAAGAATTGGTCAGTACATTTCGCACTTAGAAAATTTGATTGATTGGGATTCGTCTCGAGAGACTAACCTTGCCTGCGCGACGACTATATTGTAAAAAGGGGAGTTTCGGCGTCCGAAGCGCGCGAGGCGAATCTTGACGACCATTGTGACTGTGAAATTGTTTTTGCTCGGGGAAAGTTAAAGCGACAGCTTCGAATTCAATTCAGCATTTGCGATTGCCCGATTCAATAATTTTTGGCGGATATGGAGACTGTTTTCTCCGCCTGCACCAATCGGAGAAGTGGATTTGCTTAGTTAAGCATCGAATGGACTTACACCAATCGAAGCCAATTAAGATCGCAGCTTCCCTGGTGATGTCAGTCGACCAACTAAACTATTCCCCCCAAATAACTTCCCAAATCGTTTTCTTTTTTTCTTTTCTTTTCATCAATCTCCCCATTCGAAGGAATTGCTTCATTTACTTGGCCAAGTTCAATACAGTTTAATACACAATCGCCATGGCTATCAAGGTAAGTTATCTCGTATGCAATTATGCCGAAACTACAGATTGGCTTACACCAGCTTGCTTAGACCTTGTCGGCGAAGGCCGCTGCAGCTCTAGATAAAGAGCTTATGAGCACTGGAGCTTTCTCAATTGACCAACTTATGGAACTCGCTGGATTATCAGTTTCACAAGTTGGTAAGGACTTTAACTCAACTATTTCGTCGCTAATGGCTATCTAACCATTGCTATTGTGTAGTTTACCGAGTTCACCCTCCTAATAGGGGCAATCGTGTGTTAGTGGCTTGTGGTCCTGGTAATAACGGTAAGCCACATTCCCTACCGGGTTATACCCACGCAATTGTTTCTAATGAGTTATTAAAGGTGGTGACGGACTTGTTGCAGCTCGTCATCTTCGCCATTATGGGTATCAACCGACCATCTACTATCCAAAGCGGAGTAAGAATGACCTCTATCAGGTATGCTAACCATCGAATGCTATTTAAACACCTTTTATCCATGTGCCAGGGTATCATTTCGCGATCGTATCATATGTATCCTTTAGTCTTCTAGTCTCGATATGTTATTTGAAGCAAATTGTTCATGATCATAATCCATGTCGTCCCGCATCACTTCTACCCCCCCTCCCTTGTGGACCCATCTGTTTTCACCTAGTTCATGGATTATCTTTCGTATATACCGTGTTTAATTTATTTGGACGACTCATTCTAGTAGTCGAGATACTGATTTTTTATCCGTATAGCGGCTTGCCAAGCAGCTAGAAGACCTGGAGGTGCCGTTTGTTGAGGATTTCCCCGTGGCTATGAAATCGACGGATCACATCGTGGATGCTGTTTTCGGTGCGTTCTATTGTCGTGCTTCGAAGGTGTCAAACTCATCAACAGCTAGGGTTCAGCTTTTCGGGTGAGGTTCGCGAGCCTTTCCCAGCCGTGATTCGAGCATTAGAGGAGACCAAGCTCCCCGTCACCTCCGTTGATGCTCCATCTTCTTGGAATATTGAAACAGGGCCGCCCGAGTCCGGCTTGGGCAGCAAATTCAACCCTGATTTCTTGATCAGCCTCACTGCACCTAAGCCTTTGGTCAAGCATTTCAAAGGTCGTCATTTTGTAGGCGGCCGGTGAGTAGCTGGTAACTAACTGGAAAAGAGTACGCCTGTGGCTGACATACCGGCAGCTTTGTCTCTCCAGCAATCGCTGAGAAATACGACTTCGAAATTCCGGAGTACCAAGGAATTGACCAGATTGTCGAAGTCGGCACTGGAGGAGGGAAGCTATGAAAGCCGGCGATCGGTCGAATGAAATTCTTCCGAATTGGAAACTTGGAATTGTTGCGGTAACTTCCCCCCTGAATCAACTGACGCTGCAGCCCCCTGTACGACTGTAAGGACACACTGGGCTGGGGCATCTTCCTTCTTGCATGTCCTCATTGGCCTCGACTATTCCCCTAGGGCACCGTAAGAGCGGAGGATGGTAATCTTTGCAAAACTCGACATAGATAAGATATTGCTTCCCGCAAACAGGGCATTCAGCGGTGTGCTCAGTACACATTAAAGTCGCAGGATGGCTCTTTGCTCTAAATTGCAAAGAACACTGGATAATGGATTGTCCCTGGAAGGACGAAAGTCTCGACGACAACTGTTGATTTGGCATACCATCCGTATAAACGTGGCTTATTGTGGTGGTGTGGCTTTCAAGTATGATATAGGACGGGGAACCGCTCATAAGAGCACTGTAACACGACCGCTGGAATCGCCACCACCGAACCAAAAAAAGCACATTTGACCACTGATGTTCTGCTGATGAAACTCCTGTGGCGATTGCAGGGCACGGGATACGTAAGAGACAGCCCCGCGAGAAATTGTACAAGAAAGAGGATTTCTCATTTTCTGTTTGCTCTTAGAGCAGTCAACATTAACTGCCTACCTTTCAATTTTTTTGTGCTGTCTAATCCATCAGACAGCTTTAGGTAGATGGGGACACTGGCCTACTACTTGCTCTGTAGTGAGCCGGAGCAAATGCTCCTAATTAACGATGATAGGCTAGAATGGATCTGCGGCGCTTACCTTGTTAGTGGTCCCAGCGAACAACCACCCTCTACTAGGTACCTAGGTAGGCCGCACTTTTTTTTCTTCGGTCTTCGGCTGCCGTCAGGTGATTCCCGTTCATTCTAGATCATTTCAACCGATCTTCCACCCTACATGAACGAGTCTGAATCGGAGCGAGCTCGTAACCACGGAATTTATCGAGCGAACGTTCCAGCGCTGCCCTGTCAATTCTTAGAATTACTGATGCCTGCTGCTAGCGGGCAGCGCGCTACTATGTGAGAAGTATCAACAAGAAAAAATATACATGACGCCTTAGGTATTTTGGTGTCGCTGGTACACTAGCGATGTGAAGCGAAAGGATGCGAGTACAGTACGGTACAGCCCTACAGGCCTATCGACATTCACTACTTAGGTAGAGGGGCCTTCTGTAAGCCTGGTAGCCTGGTAGCCTGGTAGCCTGGTCGCCCTGGAACTTACTTCGCAGTGTACACAGGTGGCTTGCGGATGCGCAAGACTATCAACCTCCTGCATCTGTTACACGACATCTTATTTGACCACTAGTACCGGCACTGTGGCGCCTCTGGTACAAATGAGTTCGATACATTGCTGATGATCAAGGTCAATGTACTTCCTCCGAGACCCTCCCGCCTGCCCGCGTGGGAAATAATGAGGAATAAAAGGGGGTGGACCAATGTTTCGAGAACGATCAAAAATCCCCCACTTCTCTCGCGTCAACACTATCCATTTGGCCCCTCGGGACGTTCCCACACACTCCCCACGATCCGCATTAGAAAGACATGCATACTCCTACCCAGCTATGTACATGTATGTGCGTAATTCCTTATTACCCACACCGGACGCTTTATCCTTTATTCATTATTCCTTTGACCTGAAACTTGGGAAATAAGCTTCGTGCCCAACCATCCCGCCGAGTGCTACTGTAGGGCTTGTCGCGTCCCGCAGTCCACCGCACCCAAACGGCCGGGGCTACTACTGCTAAGAGAACAGCGGCTCGAACCGGCTGGTTAGATGCCAAGGTAGGAGCATTTCACCCGCTTAGATAAATCCCTTACAGATGGCACACAATTATTATTATTATTATTATTATTATTATTTAAAAAGGATATCATATCATAATATTATTAATATGTATAATATAGTTAGGTTGCTACTATTTTCTCTTCTACAAACTCCGGAAATAAGACTTATAAGCGCACGGCTAGCACTGAGTTCACCCAGAATATCCATCATTTATTAACGCCAAATCTATCATCGCGGAGTCGCCGCCAAGGTCATCGAGATTCATACTATTGCGATGCTACATTGTTCGTATTGTGACCTGGGTTTTCTGACCCCATATTAGCTACGTTTTCCGTCATTATATCTAATCCATCGCATCTGTCTTCTTTAGTGGCCTCGGTTAATAATTATTCTATAAGATCGCGCCTAGATGACGGTCCGGCCTCTTAGACCCCGTGTCGGCGTGTACACTAACATAGATGTGGAGGGTCCCACCATTCCCAGCTAGGTACTCAAAACGTCTTTACATAGTAATATAGCAAAGTCCGGATGAAGCTCCTGGGTATACCATTGGTGATCGACGGCACGCGATCCAGGATCATCCACTATAATGGTAGGGATTTAGGAATTTTAGGAGGTCGCTAAGTTACTTGGCTACGAACTTGGACGATCCAACCTACTTTACACCAACATCGCGCTGGATATCCCTAGGTACTTAACGAGCCTAATCGCGGAGAGCTCTGGGTCTAATGAAAGGGCCGACCTCTTTTCTTTCTTAATGTCACTAGGTCGATATTGGCTTTTCCCATTTGCCACAATGGGCTTAAATGCGAAAGCCATATTATACAGCCTTCTGATAGCGACATGTCAATAAGTACAATGGGTACAATGTGTGCAACAGGGAAATCAATTGGTGGCTATGATTATCCTTCTAAGCTCCGTTCCGGTTTGCCGGTCAAAATACACAATACAATTCGAGGGACGGCGTCACACACATCGTGTTCCGCCCGTAAATTGCACGACAAACTGATTATCAACGGCGATCATAGCTCTTTGCGGAGATGTCTAGACGTCGAGCAACGCCAGACGAACCCTGAGCTGACAGCAGCCTCAAATTGGCATGTCAATCTAGCCAATGTCTGTTCGGCAGAGACTACGCCTCGCCCGCCAATATTGACCCGCTAAGGTACCGTCATTATGGATGCGTAGTATAGTTAGGTAGGGGGTAGGGAAGACAATTCGGGAAGATTCGCCACCTTTCTCTTGCATCAATGATTTCTAACCAATGCCCACCTGGTAGGGCTAAGCCATATAAACCATAATGTGATATAATGTGGCTGAAGCTACCCCTGTCGGCTCACCCCGTCATACCCCCCTGTCACATGACCCCACACCCGGGTTGGCTCAATTCCGACTTCATATCTCGCTGCGAATCCGACTTCTTTACTTTTTGCCACTCCAACATCAACATAACTCATACGCCCAGACACGAGCATTCCGGGATTCCCATGAACATATGGGCATATCCCGAGCACACGCTATGCAATATTCGTCACCGAGACCCCCGGATACGAGATGCCGTCTTACAATTTGGCCACCTCAGCGAGCTGTACTTGTTCCTAAATAATAAAATCCACATAACCCACCTGGACACCTACACCTACATACACCTACGTACAAACATAGGTTACACCCCTGACAACTGTTCGTCATGGAGATCCGGACTCCGGAGTATTTATGGCATGTCCGTCGATCATTTATCAACCACACGACAAGCCTCGTCATCACACTACCTGTTTCAGATAGTGACGCCTCTCCTGCTGGAGACAGCCCCATATGGGTTTCTTGATGCCTTGCTCGATGTCCAACGCTAAGGTGTAAGCAGGGCTTCTCGGTATCATACCTGGTTACTCTCCACACGTGGTATGTTTGCCCCTATCACGAGTGAGGCCGCCAACGCCACTGCTCTCCTTGTTGTTGTCTGGATTCCAAGTTGTGATGCGTACATGTCACTGTGATATGCTAGTGTTGTTGTGCTGTCAGCTTACTACGTGGAACTTAGTGGTTTTGCCAAAGAATTGAGACTTTGATTGCCTCTATCAAAAAAAATGTTGCTGCCTGGTCGTACGCCGACATGCCCCCCTTGCTACCCATCAGTGATGGTGAATGTGTGTGAAGTGTGCCACGGGTCCAAAGGGCGCCAAAACTCCAAAAATGCCGAAAGCAACAAACTCCAGCCTGCCTGTATCACCAAAAAGAACCTTCTCTCTCCTTCCTTCTTTCCATCTAACCGCCCATTCCCTCTTTCCTCTCTTCGACTCCCCGCTTTCGTTCCTTCCGTTTTCTTAGCGGGCGCCTGCCGGCTTCTTGAGAGCGTCGCGGAAGGTGAGGCCCGCGCGAGGGAGGGAAGGTGCTGCCTGTGTTGTCACGGGGGCAGGTCCCTTCTTGCCAGCTTCCTTGCCCTTCTTGTTGCCTTTCTTGGTCAAGCTTCCTCCCGCAGCGCCAGATGCGCTAGTTGCGGTGTATGTGGCAGCTGCGACTGAGGCGTATGATGTGGGAACAGCCGTGGCTGCGGAGGATGCGGCAAGTGCCGGGAGGTGGAGGGAGGAAGGTGCAGGTCGCCCGGTGCCGATCGGGGCAAGCACGCGGTCAGTCGGAGCGTAATCCGGCACTGAATCGTCAGGACCAAGGGACAGCTTGTTAAGGCCGAACTTCTGGCAAATGTATGGATCGAGTTGATCCAAGTTATCGATGTTTGGCACTTGAACCACTCCATCAGGTCCTAGTAGCATGCCCTGGTGGGTAACTGTGGCTGAGATGGTTTCAAAGGTAGGACTAGCAGGTATTATGAGGGCTGAAATGCCATCAGCGAAGAGGGCAGGGTATTCTTTGACTACGACAGGACCAAGGAGGAATAGTTTGATGCGGATTTGGTCGATTAGACGCCTCTGGTCTATGGCACGTGCGATAAGGGGGCCTGGGAGTGCGCATTTAGCGCAGAATCCTACCATTACGGGTACTTCGTGGGAGATAGGGGTGCATGGCTCTGTCGCTGAGAGATACTGTGGACAGTGGAAGGTGATGGTTACGTGGGAGATGCGACATATTTCGCAGAACCAGATCTCGGACCAGCACATTGTTGCTGCCGTTAACTTAGTACTGGGCCTAGGTCTGAATGGACAAGTAGGTATTTCGAATAGGATGGTGATTAAGGGCTTCAAGTAAATCTACGTGAGGGCTATGGGAAGGGATGTTTTCTACGAAAAGGGGACATCTCATGGTCTGGCACTGGATGTCTACTAAATAGAAAGTGAAAGAGCTAACTGACGATATTCCAGGTCTTGCCATGTCAACATTTAAGCAGCTTAGCTGGGCGAGAGCTAAGGACTCAGAGAGCAGGCGCGCATTCCTCGTCACAATGAGTGTAGTATATGGGAAGTCATCGTTAGTACTGTCAGTTTCTTGGCTTCAAGATAGGAATATTGCCAAGGGACAGGTATGTTCTTTATGGCATAGACTCAACCATGACGCCGACAGGCCCATTACAAAGGTTTAGAAGGCATGAATGGGGTGTACTACATGATGTAATATACCACTGGCTATAGTGGCAATAGGTGAGTAGGTATGAATCAGTTTCACGTGGTAAGTTCGCCTTACGGTAGGTAATTGTTACCAAAGAAGACGATGTTGATCAACTCATTACGAGCACATCGACCCCTCGGACATGTGAAGTATGCCGGACAAGAGACTCTTCACACCTAACCTCCTTAATACTTAGGTAGGCAAATACCGAAGAAACATTTGACTAAAGGTGGGTATCCAGATTTAGGTTACACTGACTTCTTCCCCTAACAAATGTCTGTCTTACGCTAAAGGGATTCTCTGTAATAAAGCTAACTATTATATTAATAATACGGCGGCGTGATAAAAAGAGAACTTAGTTTTTTAAATAATAATAAAAATAAAAAAGGCAAGATAATCACGTTTTTAGGAAGTAATTTTTTTTTTTTTTCGTTGGGCAAAAAATAGATTTAGAAAAAGAACTCCGAATCGGGGAATCGAACCCCGGGCTTGGCGGGTCACTCTAGGGTATGAGATGAGAGCACCAAATGTTAGCCACTACACCAATTCGGACTATGGGAAATAGAGGAAGACCTTTGACGAAAAATATCTTTAGTAAATGTGTTTCATATTCCTTAGCTTAGTTAGCGTAGGGCCTTCGCTGGAGGTGGAGAAGATTGTTTGCTGAACGGAAGGCAGGTAGACTAGGACCTCACCCATGATATATTATCAGCGGAGAGATGCATATTAATGTAAATAGCTTATTCAAGGATAGTAGTCCTTCCTTGTTTAGAATTTACATAATAATTCACTGTTGAAGTGACCGCGCTGTAAATAGAAAAGGAGATATTAATTTTATTGAGACTGTAAACCTCTTACCTACCACATGTTTTCGTAAAATTTGAATTGCCTTTTTTTCCTCAAATCTTTCTTATAGCAAAGCCAAATGTGCATATTCCGTTTTTCTATAGGCATTCTATAATGCGCAGGCTGTGGCAATGCGCGATTGCTGGCGAATCGTTATTCGTGGGAACTCGGGGCGGTGAAAATAATGACACGACACAGCCTGAAATCGTAGGTCGAAAATCGCTGCCCAAGCTTCCTAGAATTTCCTTTGCACTTATTGCTACAAAGGGTCATCGTCTTCAAGTCGGAGTTTATCCAACGGAATAAACTGTCTCAATATTCATTAACCATGGACCGGGTGACGATTTTGGGGATTGCAGCTAATGTATCTCAGTTTATAAATTACGGCCTTAAACTCATCTCAGCCTCAAAAGAAATACGTACTTCTGTAGCAGGGTGTACTGACCGCATTGCGTTTCTTGATGAGGTTTATGGACAACTTCGGGATCTAAGTTCTAAACTTCAGTCACGCTTTCAATTAGGGGCTACGAGTGATTTAAACCTCGTAGGGGTTAATGGATCGATTTGCTCTTTAGCACACAGCTGCGAATCCTATTGCGACGAGCTCCTAAATATAACGTCTAAAATCAAGGGCAAAGTTGGGCGCCCTAAAGTCGGTATTGAAAGATTACGAGATTCTCGAGCTAGAGCAAAAGTTAAATGGTATTCAATCGAACCTGACACTTCATATTTGTACATTGATTAGGTATGTAAGGTGGTCCCATAGAAATTGCTTCCAATTGAGTCTCGCTCATTTTTTTCTTCTTAAAACAGTGCTCGGCAAGAACTATATCAAAATGACCTCAAGCAGTTGTATATCGATGAGCAAAAGTCGAGAATACTGCAGTCCAATAAACTCACCGTGATTACGGATACCCTTCAAAATTTAAGCGAGCACTTTCCCGTTCAAGAGTTAAGAAGTCGGTCTACTCCGTTCTCGCTGGTTGATATATATACTGTTGAAAGACAGATGTCTCTTCTCTCACTAGCGAAGTGTGATGTTGTAAAGGAACATGTTATACTCGAGAGCTTGAACTTTGACCGCCGGCCAGTTAGATATAGTTCTATTGAGGTTGCTCATGAAAGAACCTTTAATTGGGTATTCCAACCCTCCGACAAGCCAGACTTAGATTCAACGGCGGGGAGCGTTCATCGATGGCTCGAATGTGGCGATGGCGTCTTCTGGATTTCTGGGAAGCCAGGGTCGGGCAAGTCGACCCTGATGAAGTTTATTTCGAGCCATCCCCAAACCCGACGGGCGTTATCTACCTGGTCTGACCCTCGACCCTTGGTAGTTGCCAGCCATTTCTTTTGGACTGTCGGGACGTCGATGCAGAAATCAAGGCGAGGTCTCTTGCAATCACTTCTCTTCGAAATTTTCCGTTAGCAGCCAGACCTAATCAAAATTTCTTGCATTGAACGATGGAACCAAAACGCCGAAAACATAAAATTCGAGTCATGGGATACACCAGAGCTCTCTCGAGTCCTGGAACGAATTGCTCTTTGTGATGGTATCCGCGTCAGATTTTGCTTCTTCATCGACGGCCTAGACGAATATGAAGGCGACCAAGTTGAATTTTGCCAGGCTTTGCGGAAGCTTTCAATTTCACCTCATATGAAACTCTGTGTTTCAAGTCGTCCCTGGAACGTTTTCGAAGATTCCTTTGGCACTGATATTGCGTCTAAGCTCTATATTCATGAGTTGACTAAAAATGATATCCACAACTTTGTGCGTAGCTCCCTTGAGGCCCACCCTAGATGGGCCAATGCTGGCGTTAAAGCCAAGGATGCGCAGTCAATCATGGATGAAGTCACACATAGGGCGGCGGGGGTATTTCTCTGGGTTTATTTGGTGGTCAAACAGCTACGCTCTGGACTAACTGGGTACGATAATTATTCGGACTTGCAGCGTCGACTTCAGACTATTCCAGATGATTTGGGGGAATTCTTCAAGCAAATACTAGGCTCGGTCGAGCCATTCTACCACCAAAGGATGGCTCGCTTATTGAAAATCTCCCTAGTGCTGAAGGGGCCCGTATGCACTTGCATTTACGGTTTTCATGACATGGAATATGAAAATGAAGATTACGCTCTCAGCTTGCCTGTTATACCACCAGGAGAAGACGATATAATCCTTTCATATAGCAGGATTAGCCGGCGTCTCAACGCGTGTTGCCGTGGTCTTCTTGAGGTCCATCCAGAACTCGGCTATGTTGAGTTTCTTCACCGCACTGTAGTGGACTACTTGAACACGAAAGAGATGTCTGAATATCTGGAACGGAAGGCTGGAACTACCTGGAACACACAGCTATCAATCCTTAGGGCTTGGACAGCTTTCATCAAGGACGCAAGGATCTATGACTGCTGTTATCATGCGTCATGCAAAACAGAGAGTATTTTGTCGGAGCTTCTCGTATACGCGAGACATCTTGATGGTGGTTCTAGAGCTCATCAATTGTTGGAGGGAGTAGATGGCTTTCACCCAAAAGTGCTTAAAGATCGTAAAACTTCGTTACGCTCTAGCCATATCCAGAAAGCTTCAGATTCTCCATTCCTCAGAGAAATGGTAATCAAGTACTCCCTTTCCGGGTACGCCAAATATATTTCAGATAAAAAGCCCGAGTATTTCTCGGGATTTAAGCTCTCGGCAATAAATGATATTATTACTTCGCTTAATCCTGATGATCTAGCGGATGGCCGGCATTGTAGCCGCCTAGCTATTCTCCAGTGTGTACTGGAAAAGAGCTGCAATACCAATGAAAGATTTTGCTTCGAGAATACCACCTGGACTCCAATGAAGTCTTTCCTCATTAGGGCATTCAGAGATAATTCATGGAACTTCGAACAGCTTCTGAAAAGCAAAACAATTTCACTGATGCTTAGACATGGAGGAGACCCAAACGCAAAATATAATACCGACGAACCCATCGCTTGGATTGGCTTCTCTTACGAGATTATCAGGAGACCACTAACGCCAATAGGCAAAGCCTTGTCGTTAGAAGTTCTAGACGACTTTAATACAGCATGTACTGCTGTGCGACACCCTTCAGAATTAGGAGTGAAGCCTATGGAACTAAAGGTGCCTGAAGCATCAGAATTAAACAAAGACCTGTGTGCATTTTTCGACTGGTCATCTCGTTTTGAACCTCTGGACCAAGAATTCTTTCTTCATATTACGGAAAGGATTCTTTCGATAGCGAAAATTTACGAACTTGATCTTGAGTGTCACCTGTCGACATTGAAGGAGATATTTCCACCACAAGTGATTTCAACGTTGAAAGATAAGATTTCTGGTAGTTGCTTAGATGTTGTTGAGCAGCCATGTACGAGCAGCAACAATCTCGCACTAAAACGAAAACAGGAATATCCTTTAGGCGACGAGGGGACATATAAGAAAGGGAAAAGCGCATAACAAATGTGTCGACTTTTCATTTATGTTCCTCTTCCCCGGAATCGCTTTTCTGGGCGGGCCCCGCCCCTGCGAGCGAAACCCGCGAGCGAGTTTAGCGCTCGGAACGATCCAACGGCAATGGCACCTTCAAGCTCTGCGGCTGTGTAATTCTGCTATAACTCTTCGGATGCAAAGAGACGTCACCACGTGAGGGGAAATCATTGGTGAAGAGGAGATAACAGAAGGATTGGCGTCTGTACGTTGGTGGCGTGATCTTATGTTACTCCGCTGCTAGGATTATTGGCCTGTTAGGACTATTACCACCTTTACTGAGGTACACACAACTTGCTTTATTAAAGTCACGACCAGTCAATACATCACATGTATCCTTTTCCTGTACACTTTACCACTTATATACGTCGAGAAAGAAATATGTCTAGCGATCAGCAATTTCCATCGAGAAAGGAGTTGCGGCCTAAACCTGGCGACCCTGAAGAGTCGGCATGGATATGGGGGGAAAATGATGAGGTTGGTTACCCCTACTTAACAGTTGTGCTTCGATTTGTGGCCGTTCGCTAACGATGTTGAAAGTTGGGTAGATTAAATCTGCAGACACCGGAGAGAGTTAAGGAAGCGCTGAAAGCCGTATCGACTGGAGAGACAATTGCTCTTGGGTGAGTGTGATACTCCCCAGATAGTGTCCAACCTAGTTACGCTTGACTAACCGCGGGCAATTAGTCTCCCGTTCGATCAAGTATCGCCGCCGTGTTATGGACGAGCTGTCTTTAAGCACCATATTCACGAATTATTCCCGGGCTATGCACATGATGATACTTACGAAATGAACCCTCAGAGCACTTCGCAATGGGATGGTTTCCGTCATGTGAGCTAGAGTTACGTAGCTAGACACGGTCAGATATTAACAATTTGTAGTTTGCTCACTTCCCCTCGGGATACTTCTATAATAAAGTGAGTTGATTAATCGGCCTCTTCGAAAAGTCTGAACGGTAGTCGGCTAATATTTTTCCAAGACTACCGGTGCTGATGTTGTGGGTGACAAGGCCACGACAAAGTGTGGAATACAGGCATGGGCAGCTCGTGGCATTGCGGGCAGGGGTCTTCTCTTGGATTTCGCTCGTTATGCCGAAGCCAACAATATCAAGCCGGATTACTATGATAACTTTAAGATTAGTTACGGCGACCTTGTCAAGGTAGCACAGGCACAAGAAATCGACTTGAGACCTGCAAGGCAGGGAGGTGATATTCAGATCGGGGACATCTTAGTGATCAGATCTGGTTTCACAAAGAACGCCAATTCACTCACGGAAGAGCAGAGAGCGAAACATCATCTCCAAGCGCATAAATTCGGGCCTGATGATGGACAACGCTACATCGGTGTGGAACAGAGTGAGGAGATGGCTGATTTCTTGCATGACTCCTACTTCTCCGCGGTGGCGGGGGATCAGCCCGCATTCGAAGCGTGGCCATCCACTGAAGGTATGTTGGAGTTACAGACCGGAGATTTAGAAACTGGAGCTAATGTGTCTCTGGCAACTAGACTATTACCTCCATGAGAAACTTTTGGCGCTTTGGGGTTGTCCCATTGGCGAACTTTGGGATCTTGAGACACTTGCGGATAAGTGCGCCGAGAGAAAGAATTGGACATTCTTCTTAGCGAGTGCTCCTAACAACGTGAAAGGTACATCGCCCGAAATTTTTATAGCACATGTTGAAGTAACTGGACTAACACGAAGCTACAGGAGGAATAGCAACCACGGCGAACGTCCTAGCCATTATCTGATGTATGCTTGGGGCGAGCGATTGATGCAACTGAATGACGTGATCTGACATAGAAGAATGATTCTTAGCGTTGTGAAAACGAGATTTTGGTTCATTACGATCATGAATGAGGATATTATTTTCAAATAATGAATTTTCGAGTAGAGTAGAATATAGTCACTATTAAGACGATATTTATTTCCCTTCGTGAAAAATAACGTGATTACGCTAAGAATTGGAAAAGAGGAAGAAAATAAAAATAAGGTAGCGAGGATAAGCTAGAGGATTAGGTAATACTATACAACAGATGAGGTTTATCTACATGTGACTTGATGTTATCTGGATGACCAAGCTTGACGCTCGGACCAATCAGCTTGACGCTGTAAGGCAGTCGCGAGCTTTCGTTGCCTCGCATCAACGTATCTAATAATTAGGTTCGGTGGTTTTAAGCTTTCTTCCATCATCATAATCTTCATTCGCCTACAACTCCATACCCAATACAACCGCCCGAGAACCCGTAATTCCACTTTGCGTCCTGGATATTCTGTACCTCTTTTATTTCACATATAATAAATATCGAAACATCCAGGAACCATGGCGGACGCAGCTCTGAAGCCCGAGAAGGACTTCAGCAAGGAAGCTGATACACAGATTAACGAAGCAGAGAAGCTTGCTAAGGTGCGCTTCTTCTAGAAAACCACGTCGGATCACCAATGGCTAATGTGTTACTATAGAACGACATCCCAGCAGCCATCGAGAAGCTTACCATATTCGAAAAGCAAACCCGACAGGTAAACTCTCACTCCAGCCTTGAATTAATAGAAACAATCATTGGCTAATTATTTCGATTTTTTAGGCGTCCGATCTTGCCTCGACATCACGAACCCTAATTGCGATATGTACGATTTGCAAAAATGCTGGGAACTGGAGTTTACTCAATGACCAGGTCTTGGTACTCTCCAAGAAGCATGGCCAGCTCAAACAGGCCATTACCAAGATGGTCCAAACCGTCATGGCTTTCCTCGATGAGACCCCGAATCTAGATACCAAGCTTACCGTCATCGAGACTCTGCGCACCGTGACCGAGGGCAAGATATTCGTTGAAGTTGAGCGGGCTCGCGTGACCAAGATCTTGTCGGACATCAAAAAGCAACAGGGAGACCATAAAGCCGCCATGGAAATTCTATGCGAACTGCAGGTAGAGACGTTCGGATCTATGGAGAGGCGCGAGAAGACAGAGTTCATACTGGCCCAAGTTGCTCTGTGCATTGAGAACAGTGACTTTACGCAGGCCGGTATTCTCAGTCGCAAGATCAGCACCAGATATCTATCACGAAAGCCTAAGAAGACCCCGGAACAAATAGAGAAAGAGAAGAAGGTCCGGGAAGAGAAGTTGAAGCGTGGCGAGGAAGTGCCCCCGGAGGTAGAAGACGACACCACCGACTTGAAGTTGGCCTACTACGAACAGCAGATTACATTGGCAAAGCATGATGACAAATATCTCGATGCTTGCAAGCACTACAGACAAGTGCTAGACACCGAAGCTGTCGAAGAGGACCCTTCAAAACTTCAGCCCGTACGTTTGTGCCTACCATTAAGCCATTAGAATTTACTAACGTATACCAGGTCTTGCAACGTATCATTTACTTCGTTATACTCGCTCCCCACGACAACGAACAACACGACCTTCTCCAGCGCATTTTCCGCGATACAAGAAACTCACAAATCCCCGTTGATGCGTCGTTACTCAAGCTGTTCACCGTACACGAACTCATGCGATGGCCCGAAGTTGCTAAGCAATATGGACCCCATCTATGCGGAACTGACATTTTTGATGAGCGCCCGAATCAATCTAAGGACGAAAAGGCTCACCAGCGATGGCAGGACCTGCGTAAGCGAGTCATTGAGCACAACGTCAGAGTTGTTGCGAAGTACTATACTCGTATTGGCATGAAGCGCCTCACTCAACTACTTGACTTAACAGAGGATGAGACGGAGAAGTATATCAGCGAGCTGGTATGCTCCAAGACAGTCTTTGCTCGCATTGACCGACCGGCCCGCATAGTTAGTTTTGCCAAGCCTAGGGATGTTGATGATATCCTTAATGAATGGAGCCACAACATGAAGAGTCTGCTCGGTTTGTTAGAGCGTGTTGATCATCTCATCACCAAGGAAGAGATGATGGCTAGGATTCAACCTGGCGCAAAGGAGGGTAAAGAGAAGAAGGGCAAGAAGAAGGCATGAGCTTGAATTATTACATGCGGGCTCTTATTAAGGGGAGTTAATTCTTTCGGAGCCGGATATGGCTTGGTTTTCGAGAGGCACAGCACAGGTTTGCATCAAAAGGCATGCGAATGTACAATACCTAGTTAGATTAGGAGGTGGGCAATGCCCGTATAAAACTGGTTTGCCTTCTATGTTTCGATTCTGGACCCTTCTGTGATTATATACTCATGTGAATGAAATGCTCTCGGGTCTAGCTCTGTCTTGCTCTCCACTCTATCTCTCGAATCCACCGCCGTCTCCTGTAACTCCAATGTCTATGGATCAGCAGACATCTTACAAAGATTCCCTAGCCGAAGTGTTACCAGCGTCCTGATACCGCTGTCTCAACCAACCCACCAACACCATAACCCAATCTTTAGCCACCGGCACATAGTGACCACCCGGGTGCACAATCACCGTCGGATCCCGACATCGCTCCACTAACCCCTTACTCCGCGCCTCCTCCACAACCGTATCTAAGCTACCCAGAAAATGCAACGTCGGCGTCGATATCGCCGGCTCATATAACCACTGCAGACTTTTCGGCGGGGCGTAGAAACCAGAGTATATAACGCAGAATTTCAACGGACGGTTTTGATTCGCCTCGCGTAGCGCTGGTAACCAATTCCAATCCGCGGACGTTATGGCCTCCGGGTCCTCAGGCGAAGGGACGGGTGGGGGATCCCGATATGGTAATTCCAAAGCTGAGGCCACGAGCGCGGCTGTAGCACCGCCTTGACTGAACCCAAGGATCCCGTCGATACCCGCGGCTTCGCGTATCGCGGTTGCGATGGATGACATTCCGATATCGAAGCCCCGGTATGCGTTCGTGGCTTCGTCTTTGCGGAACCAGGCCCAGTTGTCGCCTTCGTCTTCTTCTTCTGCTTCGGCGGAGCCGGGGTCTGGGGGAGTGTAGCCCGGGATGTCGGAGGGGCGGAGACGGTGCGGGGCGGTTGGGTAGATGAGGGTTGGGTGTAGGTTGAAGGGGGACGGGGATAGGGCTTTCAGGAGGAGTTTGGAGAGGGCTTTGGTTTTGGAGGAGAATAGGGGCCCGGATTGGGTGTACCCGTGTAACATGAGGATTTTGAGCTCCGTTTTGCCTTTGGGGATGGCGCTCTTTTTGGGGGCGTCTTGGTCGTTGGACGACATGGTGAGATGATAAGCCCGGGATAGGGACGTTGGTACTATGATACGGTTGATGATACGCCTGGGAGTTATCGGGGTGAAGAATTTCATCAAAATTTTATAATCGCTCTCTTTTTATATCCCAGAGTCTCGCGTTGTGTAATCGATTTTTTGTTTGTTTCACTGTTGAGGATGAGTAAGTTGTAGCGAAAGTGAATGTCTCATGAGTCGGGATTTTGGCGTCGGCGGCTAAGAATTGAACCGATATTCGGCTCTTAGATCTTACGACTTCGATATTTCTCAGCGCTGATCTAGCCCAACTGTTGACTGAAAAAAATCTAGATGAAAAGTGTATTTTATGAAGAATCCTTTTGAATTCAGTATTTGGTCTAAATTTAATTATTTTCATTGGTTGTATTTGTCATCATGGCCCTGTAGAAGTCCTATGGCTCGATACTGAGGCGTATATCCTCACGAATGGTTCATAAAGCCCGGCACCTCTACTTCTTCATTGCGACTCCGTCTGAATAGCTTATCTACTATTTTTGGAGCTTGGTATACCATACGTTAAATTTTCAGCGGTTATTAATATGGCCTTATTGTTGTATGGATTCAACGAACGCTGCTGGGTCAGAATTAGGAGCAGATCTTCGGCTTAAAGGGCTAGGGGTAATATTGTATCGCGCTCGCACTTTCAACCATGATATCAACATGCCATTTCGGATAACGAGCCCATTCATTGGCGTATTTAATACTGCCATCATCTGACACATGCTGATGCACTTCCTAGGATTGAGGATTTAATAGAGACTGGTACACAAGTGGGTAGGTATTTGATGTTGGACACAGCTCTCAATTGACAAGAGCTCGTAATCTATGGTACAGTCCAGTCCAGCCTTGCTCGTCTAACGGAACGATTTCACCGTCTATAATGCTTCTCGCTCGGGATAGTCGGGATAATCGACATTTTTGCCTCGGTCTATCGTTATCGCTTAATGTCCTCCTGATTTCGCATTGGGGTTGCGCGGGTCGTTCTTCCATTCATCGGCTATCAATATTATGTTAACGTCCGTTTTCTTCTCTTGCCTTCGCCTATGAGGGGTATGATTAAACACATACACTTCATCATGGAACTTTGCGCTGAGCTAACACCGTAGGCAATGATTAAACCTGTATGTCTGTTAGGAACCTATTCGCGTGTATTGGTGTCATTTCGGGAATCGTTGTGTATCATACCGGCGGCGAAGAAAGGAGCGAGCGGCTTAACTGTTGATTGGGTTAGCAGCTGTCGCGAATTGTTATTCGGGTTACGGGAGATTCAATTGACGTACGGACGGGTGTGGGGAACTTCTTGAGAGGAGTGACACCGAGCCAAGACATCTTGAATGCGTTTTTGGAGGGATCGGGAGGTATAGATGATGTCGATGTCGGTAGTTAATGGGGTTGGTGATAATAGAGCGAGTGGTTTTCTAAGGTTAAATGTCTTCGATTATTACTAGCCGGAACGGAACTTGGTGCCCACATTACCGTATTATGTAATAATCGTCAAGGGAATTTCATGGGTATTAGATAATCACTACTAAGTCCCACTTTTCTGTCACGGAAAATAAATTGATCCTACCGAGCAGCTATGTAACGAGTTAGGTGACATCATCGTAACATGCACCTACCTGAAGCTCTCAAGTGTTCCCCACATCTACATTCTTAGCAAACATCCAAAAGCTGGGGAAATCGCGCGTTGTAGATACAGGAGGAACTTACAACCCTTCATAGCTTCCGTTGAATGCGGGGGAATAGAGTAACCAATTAATCGTAAACCTTGCCCTCCATCACCGAGGAAGCTGCTTCTCTTCTCCTCATCTCGTTGTGCCATTCTACCTTCCCTGGTAACTCAACTGCCAGCTGCTTCGCGGAAAGTCCGTCAGTGCCCTTGTTGCCTGTCGCCTGCTTGTTGACCAAGGATTGGAACTTCCCCGCGAAAAACTACCGCATATCCATCCAAATCTGCAGATTAAACCCTTCAGACCCTTGTACATACATATCACCGCCCATACACAACCACAGAAGAAGAAAGAGCACAGGCTGCATTTAGCATCATTTAACGGTACGCGGTACATACACATCTTATGTACCGCACCTTATAATCCCATCCACCATTCATCGTCCATCCACCCAATACACCCAATACACCATCTCGTCCAATCCCAACTCTAGCATTCCTCAGCACACCCTTCACCGTCCGTCCCCTGTCTACTGTCCCTTGTTCATTTATCAGCTTGCGTCAAATTCGACGCTGTCTATCACGCAGTTACATTCATACCTACCCTTCCCGTCGACACCCAGCTTCTTCTACCTAAATATCCTCAATCAAAAACACTCGTCTTTGTTTCCTTGTTCCCTTTTCGCCATACTCCAAGACCCGCTACCACTACATACATCCCCACAATGTTGACCCGACGTATCGCAAGAGCGACGGCGGTGGCTGTTCCACGCTCGGTGAGAGCTTTTAGCGCCACCGCTGTTAGCCAGCGTACGCCGATAATGGCCGACATTACACCCGAAGGTGTAGATTCGTTCAACTCCAAGCAAAAAGACTTTCGCGAGCAGTTGGTGAAGGCACAGCAGGAGAGGGAAGCAAGTAGGTTCAAAAACAATTCCTCTTCTTCTTCTAATGATTCTTTGTCTCCCGCCCACGATTCCTCCCTGGGCCTGGGCTCATTAGGCACTCACGCAGGACAACGGGCGGAGGCCTCGACTAAGGAGTCTGATCAACCGGAAGGCCTTCTTTCTAGGGTGATCTATGGTACAAAGGAAGGGCGCGAGTTAGACGCCCAACTCGAGGCCAGCTTCTCGGCAGTCTTAGCTCGCGGTAAATATGTCCATTCGATTGTATTCCACGAGGTGCTTCCCGATAAGGTGGACGAATACGTGGAATTGGTCGGCAACTGGTATCCTCGCATGGCTTCCTTGGAGGAGAATAAGGTTCACCTCGTAGGAAGCTGGCGAACCGAGGTGGGAGATTGCGATACTTTTGGTAAGTCATATTTCGGCGAGCTCCATTATCCGTCATGCGACATTAAGCTAATTGAGGGGTCATAGTTCACATTTGGGAATACCAACGCTACCAAGGATACCATCAATCCATACACTCCATCTCCAGACACCCCGACTTCCCCGAGTTCGATAAGAAGCTCAAGACGCTCATCAAGTCTAAGAACACATCAATCATGCAGGAATTCTCATTCTGGCCGACTACGTCACCCCGCCAACTAGGCGGCCTTTTCGAGCTCCGTTCATACACCCTCCATCCTGGTAATTTGCTAGAGTGGGAAACCCACTGGCGACGAGGACTGAAGGCACGAAGAGAAGTCATGGAAGGTGTAGGAGCTTGGTTCGTGCAGATCGGCGATCTCAACACAGTTCACCACCTTTGGCAATTTGCGAATTTGGAGGAACGAAAGGTTCGACGAGAGGAAAGCTGGAAGCAAGAGGGTTGGGCCGAAACAGTACACAAGACCGTTCCTCTCATCCAAAGCATGAAGTCGAGAATCCTCATTCCACTACCGTGGTCACCTGTAGCTTAAGGGTCCTCCTGGATGTAGCAAAGGATTTACGTGAGCCGCTAGTTGATTTTGGGCCAATCTGAGCATTTTGACATGGAACCGGAGTTCGGAAGGGTAGTCATTTCTTTTGTAGCCGTGCTATTATGAATCTCGGCGCGAGATGACTTCGAAGGTGCCTGTGCTTGTACTTTTACTGTTGAGATCAGGAATTGAGTTCACGGGAATGAAAGCTTGGGGATGAAAATTTCAGGCATGACGACGGTCATATCTGACTACGACTAAGCAATATGAAGCAATTCGCCCAATTTAAAAGCCAGAACTATTCGTGACAAGTATTTAACAGTTTAATACCTAAGTATGGATGATATTCGCTGCTCTTTGTCATGAAGCCCATGAATACATCTTATCAATGTCGCTTTGCTCCAGTTAACCACCAGAGCTAAAGAACGCACGTACCATTTGCATCAACGCAATTCGATTGCGGATAGCAACCCAATTACAGTTTCCCCATCAATATCCCAAATTCAACGTCTAGCACTAGTCCTCGATCTCCTCGCCCATAACAGCGGCTAAATTCCGCCGCGCCAATCCCAAAGCATAACCCAACGCACTTAACTTCGCCGACAGGGACAACAAACTCGGGTCCGCGCTCTCAACACGGACTTTTTCTCGTACATAAACTTCTGCACCCCCTTCTCTCCTATCATCCCCATGACCATGGCCCCCCTCACTTAACTCCCCATCTTCATCACACCGATAATTAAACACTTTATCAGCCTCATCATGCTCAAGCCGCCTCGTCGTACCGATGGCAAGTGCGAGCTTAGTACCGAAATTCACGGGTGCGTCGGCGGGTTCCAAAGCGCGGAGGTAGAGTACTAAGCATGCGTCTTGGATCGTGAGATAGATGGATAAGTTACGGCTTAACGGCGGTGTGAAATGGTGGAGGGAGATTGAGCCTGTGGTCCAGGATGTGTCGGGTGGGGTTTGTGGTTGTTGATCTAATCGTGGTTCTTGGGTCCGTGTTGAGGATACTGAAGCTGCGGTCCCCGGGCGCGAGGATGAGGGGGGAGGGGTGCGTTTGGATGGGTTGGGGGGCCCTTTTACTAGGGAGCCTGCTTCGGATATGTATTGGGAGAGGAGGCGCAGCTGGGCTGCTAGATACGGGGCGGAGGGTGGGTCGGTGTGGTGTCGGGTTTGGTCGTGTTCTTCTAGGTCGAGACATAGGGCTACAGAACGTGCGAGAAGGGCGTCGAGGCGTGTGAGTGCGGCTACGCGGACGGGGCGAGAGGGGTCGAGGGATAGGGTTTGTGGGGGGAGGGTCCGGAGACGGAGGTGGACAATGCCTCGGACTAGACGGGTGCCGATGCGGGTCGCATGCCCTTTCACAGTCTCGTTTCGGGGAGTGGTAAGGGCGAGTGTGCTCCCGGCTGGCGCGGAGGAGATGTCGGTCGGAGAGAGGAGTGCACAGCAGTCTTCGAGACCTTGTTTTACTTGCGCTAGGGTGGAGCGCAGAGAGGTGAGGAGCCAGGCTAGCTCTCGGTCCTGTGTGGTGTCATGCTGTAAGTAAGGGGGTGTTTCGTATGGGAATAGTTGGACTAATTTGGGTGGTGGGATAAGGACGTAGTCGTCGTCGGCGAGCATCATGATGTCGGTTGAATTGTGTTCGTATTTAACTATGCGATGGGGAACTGCGACGGGAAAAGAAAAAAGAATCATAACGTACCTGAGTGGCATCTTCCTGGATTTTAAGCTCATCTGGCGAGATAGGAGGCCAGATCTCAACAGACATGGTGGGCAGTTGGCTGGCATAGGCAGCCGCATTTCAAGACATGTCAACGGTCCATTTATATACTAGGTAGGTTGCAGGTTGCTGATGATTATGATGTCGTGAGGTGTTCGCTTTTAAGAGTTGCGACGGTTGGAGAATTAGTGGGGAGCTCCCGCTAACTAGCGTTATATCCGGTAGGCGGTGACTGCGGTAAGGGGGGTTTAGCGCCATGGGCCCGCTGTAACTGGAGCTTATCTTTTCTGCCAGCGGCCCCACGTCATTTTCAATTTTCAATCCTACATGTTACCTAGTACAACACCTGGACAATTCACCAATGTGAGTACCTAGGTATAGTACCCAGGTTTATTCATGAGAGATGGGGTGAGTTTCGAGTGGCATTTTTAATCACTCATTTTCTTTGTGACCTCATTCAATCTTGCAACGGACTATGGCTTCCGAGAAGGAGACGGAGACTCCTTCGCAGGTTTCCAAAGACGCGACTAAGCCAACCAAACTCCCGCCCATACCAAAAGGTTAGATCAAATATTACAATCCATATTCTCCCTCAGCTAGACTAACAATTACATAGGAGCAAAAATCCGAAGACGTCCCATCCCCGCGCGACAACCTTCCACACGCGCATCGAAGCGTATCTACTTGACACCGAAAACACCCTTCCGATCCGTAACTACGCGTGTGCGCAAACAACTCGATAAGAATATACGTGAAGCATCGTCCTCAAATAAAGCATTTACAAACAAGCTAGCTAGCAACAAGAACGCCTCTCTAGATGAGAGGATCCGCGCCATCCAGCGAGGCTCTTCCTCGAAGGGCAATACTAGTGGAAATGGCATAGGACTTGAAAATGCGGGCGAGGTCGTAGTCCTGGGCACTGGGCGCGCGATCCCGAAGGTACTTGAGGTTGCCATGTTCTTCCAGAAACAGGCGGATTGCATAGTTCAGATGAAGACGGGTAGTGTGGGCGCGGTGGACGATGTTATACAGGAAGGAGAGGAAGAGTGGGGTGGTGAAGGCGAAGAGAGAGTGAGGATGATGAGTTCTCTGGAGGCGTCAATCAAGTTAAAATGATACCCGGCGATTCGGCCAAGACACAGGACTCATAAGGACACTTCGATTTACTACCCGCGCTCCGCTAATCTGGACCGATGCTATAGTGTCACGGCCGCACTTGTGTCAGGATACCAATAACGACACTTAATAAGTAATGCGATCCTCAACTATCACGCGAAAATGTGCCGGCTAGTGGAATTGCGTTCTACTTATTAGCGGGGATGCAGTAAGGTGTTAAATACGATCGCAGGAATATGGCAGCATCGCAATAGTACGGAAGGGTTCGTGACAACGAGAGCCGACGGGAATAAGGGAGGCAAGCCATATCAACACTTATCTCACCCGTTGTGGGACTCCGCAGGTGATGCACAAGGCTCCCAATAATGTCTGCCTAGTTTTATTCCTACTTGCCACGTATAAGCTTAGGTTGGTGGGTAGGAATAGCTTCTTACGCCGACTCATCTATTATCGCCCTATATAATCCTCATCCGCAAAGATGTTGTCATCGTGCGATGATGAAGCTCTTATTTGAGAAGCTTAAAGGGAGGAAAATGATCAAGCTCCCATGCTATAGGAAAATCAGGTAAATAAATAAAAATTGAATAAATAAGAATCGCTTCCGCCCAACTGAAATCAGTCCTTCAGCTTAAATGATATGTCTTCTCATGCCATGGCACTTTCTATCTATCACTTAGCGGATCGAGATCTCGGGCCTATAATCGGAGGTTGAACTGAGGGGCATAAAGGGCGCCAATGATGTGATTGCGTAGCGTATTCAAACGAAGATACTAACACTATTTCAATACTCTTCGAAGAATAAGTTTTTTGTTTTAAACCTGTAGAATTAGGTATGTTCCCAAATGGCATCTAACAGCTACATAATCGTCGGTGCCGGCGTCTTCGGCACATCCACAGCACTACACCTCATCACCAAATTCCCCCACTCCTCCGTCACACTAATCGACCGTGACGCCCCGGATGCGCAAACCCGGGTCGCGGCATCATGGGATTGGAATAAAGTCGTGCGCGCTGATTACCGGGATCCATTATACTGCAAGCTTGCACTCGAGGCCCGCGATGTATGGCGCGAGGACCCGCTGTGGAGCCCGTTTTATCATGAGACGGGTGTGTATTGGATTAGTCGCACCGGCTTTGCGAAGGAGGTTATAGATAATTATGAGAGGTTGGGGAGGAAGACCGAGGGTGCGCTGTATGCGCTGCCCGTTGAGGAGGCGAGGAAGAGGTATGGGGGGATTTTTGAGGATGCGGATTATACGGGCGTGGAAAATGTACTGGTTAATACGACGAGTGGGTGGGCGGATGCTAAGGGTGCTTTGAGAGCGGTCACGGAGAGGGCGGTGCAGTTGGGTGTGAAGTTTGTGAAAGCCGAGATTGATGGGCTGGAGTTCGGAACGGAGGGGGAGTGTGTTGGGGCGAGGACTAAGGATGGGGAGAGGTATACAGCTACGCATACGATTCTGTCAACTGGGTCTTTTACGCCCAAGTTGCTTGAAGGAGTGGCCAATAGTACGGGGCGGGATACGTTCCTTGCTGGAGGCAGGATTATCTCGGCAGGAGTAACAACGGGTTTGGCGCAGCTTGATGATGAGACGGCGAAAGAATATGCGCAAATGCCGGTTTGCATTCAGGAGAACCCTCCGGAGAGAGGTAAGAAGGTAGACTAGTTCATTAATCACAGTGCTAACCTCGTATATATAGGTGCTGATAACGGCAGTCTGCCGCTTACCGAAGACAAGAAGCTCAAATGGTGGGGACAATGCATTTTCAAAAACACTCAGGCGATGCCCTCAGGCCGTCATATCTCGGCACCTCCCGCGGGCGCAGATTACTCGCAATGGAAAATCCCTGAATTTCTTGTCGAGGACGTAGACCTCTCGAACAAAGCCATATTCGGGAAACGTGGAGAGGTGTGGAAGACAACATCGCATCGTGTATGCTGGTGCGTGCTGACTTTTATTATCACCTGTACATGCTCAGTAGCTAACGCTTCCCAGGGAGGCCCTCACTCCAAGCAAAGACTTCATTATCTCGCCACATTCAGCTTCCAGGGGATTATATGTCGCCACTTGTGGTTCCTTCCACGGTTGGAAGTTCTTTCCCGCCATCGGTAGCTATGTAGTGCGCATGCTTGAAGGGACACTGGAGCCGGATCTGATTAAGAGATGGGCTTGGGATCGAGAGTTACCCGATGTATCCGGGAACAAAGTCTGGCCATTGAAAGAATTGAGAGAACTATAAAGGTCTATTTTTCGATGTAGTATGTTAATGCTGTGTTGGTGTCTACCTTTTTCTATGTTTTGATATTTTAGTACACTGAGTGTCATCATCGCTCAAGGCATCATAAACTCATTGTTTCCTAGTCCTATCCAGTTGGATTTGGCTATCTGGATGAAATAATCATTACGGATCTGGGCGACATATCTGATGAAGAAGAGTTATGCAACAATTCCGATATCACCTTGAGAAGGATAATTGAATCCAATTGAGGTAGTCAATCATTGCCACTTTATACCGAGTCCGGAGGCTGACAGAGCCGGATTCCGGACGATTATGAATATCACCCTAATCAATACTCGGCATACCAAGCAGATAGGTAGTTGAATCAGCAGTGAAGAGCGAGGTTAGATAATCATGCATGTATCCCACCATAGATCAACCTTACGCCGCAATTTTGCACGCTTAGAGATCTACACTTTGCCATTTCGGCTAATTCGGCCACTCGTCTTGGCTACCTACACTCTTCTGCCTCATCCGTAGATGCGGTGTGATGATTTTCTCATGTAGCAAGCTGTTATCATCTGAGAGATATGGCTGCTTACAAAGAACGGTCGCTCGTGAAAATGATGTGCTGTTCGGTAATTCTTCCAGACCCGGTCGCTGGATCTCTTTCTTACCAGCGCTGTACTCTGAGAATTGGCCATGAGGTATTATATACTAACTCTAGCCCTATGGCTAGGCCAAGCCGTTGGCGAAGAAAAGCCAAGTGAAGTTCCTGATTGGCTCAAGGAATACAATTTTCATCCACCGGGGCATTGTAGCTCTGACCCAGCGGGCCCATTGAACCATAAATTGTCAGACGCAACCTGCGGGCTCATAGTTGATGACGAGACTGCATTCGAAAGACGTTCATGGCATCCATGGACGTTTCCGCCCGTATGTATGGAACCAGAAGAGGAAAGAAGCTCTAAGCTATGTGCTTTCACCTACGTCAACTTCCGGGGAGAAGGAGGAGTCAGTCTAGTGACCACCCCGGAGGTCGCCGCGTCCGGTGTCGGTATCCTTGGGGATCCGGATCCGAGATGGGAACAATGGGCACGCGGCTACCCGCTCGTAGTGTCCGACCCGCCACCGTACGAGGTCAGGGATTTAGGAGATCGGGGCATGGGCGTCATTGCGAACCGTACCATCCGCAAAGATGAGGTCGTTATGTTAAGATATCCCGTTGTCGTCCGGATTATGGATCCGAGGCCTTGGAAGCATCACGATGTTATGAAGATGCTCCATCGGGCTACTGTGCAACTGCCTGCTAAAGAGGGGTTGCAGATGTTGAAGTTGGCTCATTCGAAAGGAGGGTACATTATCGATGATATTATCAATACGAACGCGTTTGGCGTGCTGATAGATGGCGTGGATCATTCGGGGTTGTATCTTGACGTGGCGGTAAGTATATACCTATAAGATTGTAGGAAGAGCAGTGCTAACCAATTCGATGTACAGAGATTAAATCATGCGTGTAAACCCAAGTATGTCCGCAATTGAACATCCCAAAGTACGAAAGATGGCATAATTAATGTTTTCTTTCTATGCAGTATGTTCAGCCGGTTCTCATCTACGACGCTGGGCATGGAAGTTGTCGCGTATCGAGATATCAAAGTCGGCGAAGAGCTCACGTTTAGCTGTAAGTTGCTCACTTCTTAAACTCTTTAGTAGAAATAGTCTGATTCCGGATTTAGATTTACCATTAAATCTTCTATCCGAACAACGCCAATCTCTCATCAGCGAATGGGGGTTTAACTGTACGTGTTCATTGTGTACTTCTCCGAAAGACACTGCTATTTCAGATCGTCGCAGGGGTCGGATACAGGAGTTGTTAGCGGAGTTGGATCGTCCGGAGATACAGAAACACGCAGCAGTGGAGAAACGAGTAAAAGAGATATTAGATTTATGTGAAAAGGAGGCAATGGCAGCTCAGGTCGGAGACTTTTACAGCATTGTTGCGGAAGTCTACTCCAGCATGGGTGACTTTAGCTTGGCGAAGAAATACGGTGATTTGGCTGTGAAAGAGTTGATGCATTATGCTGGCTACGACCACGAGCGAACGAAGGGTGCCCTATTATTTTTGGAGAATTTGCCTGGAAAATAAAACGCCCAGCGCCACCTACCGCCACCTACGCTTATATCGGGCCATATTTTTCAGCGAAGGCTAGGGCGGATTATGAAGTAGAACCACCTGTAATTTGCGCTATAATCAACCCAAATCTTCAGTGTCCTAGGTCTGCAATGAGAGTGAGGTAGTATCAGGGGGATTAACTTGTGAGAAGTTTGTCATGGTTCATCTTCCATATTCTTGGCAGCCGGTCGCATCGAATATCATCACAAACAATGCCACATGTATTAATTATTAGGGGAAGCTTGGTCTAAAAACCATGCCCATTGAGAAGCAGTCCATGAGTAATCCGTTGCTTACGTTAATATCGCCTTTTCCCCATTTTCTGTCTGTTTTCCCAGGCTCTGGTACCCCCCTTTTTACTCCATTCCATCTAACCCCCCCCCCCCCCAAATTTCGCATAAGTAGCCTTGTTTCCACCCCAGTTTACTTGTTGCTTCTCCTAGCCCTGGGATCGAGCACTATGTCATCGATTTGGAAGATGAGTTCATCGTCTGAATCGGGGCTAAAGGTGATAGTGGTGCTGCTATTTTGACCACTACTGTTGCGTCCGCTGGGGTGTTGCTGACTGCGGCTTTGCTGCCCACTATTCCTCATAGTATGGTTGCCGCCGCCGTTATTTCCCCGATTCGTTGGGCTCGAACTGTTTCGCTCTCCGCCAGACATCTTTGACGGATCCAGGGTCTCTGAAAAAAGGATCAAACCGGCTTAAGAGACTAATTTCAAGGACGCGGGGAGATACCTTAAGCTGCGGCAGACCGCTTTATGGAGAGTAGGCAATTTTTTACTTCACGATGTCTCGGAAGGCTGTGGTGGTTTTGGGATATCTTGTGGGAAGATGCGGGGAGAGAATACCTAGTATGGCAACATCCTAGGGAAGTTTTTATGATTATCTAAAGACATATTGTAATGTTTGCCCATGGTACTTACCTACATCACGACATATTATTAGTCAGGGATTTGCGCCATATGTTCTACTCCTCGTCCCAAGGTTCTATGAGGTCGTATGCTCCAATTACTGAGCGCACTTTGAGTTTCTTAACGTATGATTGTGAGCCAGAGGTGCCTACTGGCGGTTTCCCTCCCCCATGTTCACTTAATTGGATATTAACAACGGAAGCGGTCCGTTGCATAAAAACACATCATCGTACGTCAAGCTCAATTGCAGATTTGGGACTGCTTTTTGCTTGGCACATATTGTCTCCTTCGACTTCCCTACCCGAGAACCGACGGACCATTCAGAATTGCCTGCCCCAAGACTAATAGCTGCTTGATATAAACCCCGCCTTGCTGCAATATTCAAATTTTTAAATGGGGTTACCTAGGTATTTGTATTGGAATTACGTTCTGGTTTCGGTGAGGTATGTACCTCGGTATCCAGTTAAAATAACCAGTTGCCTTCTTAGAGGCAAAGGGATACACCATCGCCAATACTTCCTGTATTGGGCCTTAAGTTGCGGATAGTTTTCATCGGACATCGACTCAATAAAGATACCTACTTCGGAAGAGTTATCCAAGTTACAATATTAGTGGCAAAGTTACAGAGACGTTCATACCCCTGTTGCAAATCGCAACTCTGGGTCTAATGAGCCCAGCATTCAGTATGGAGATGATAGGCAACTTATCCTTGACAGCTTAGCTTCCGCTGCAAAACAACCCGGTGAGGTGCCCCTGAGCTTGTAGCTCGTCTATGTCGATATCATTGAGGAACCAGAACAAGGACGCGTTTTGCCTAAACAATCTGCTTCTGCTACCATTGAAAACTCTTTTTCGCAACCACGGGTGCGCTCCTACGGGTCATGCGCATTCATGTCTTGTAATGTTTTACTAAATGGAATAGATATTTGGTTGTCCGTTTGTGGTGGGCGGACATTTTCAATGGTAGCTATCACGAGACAGGAACTTTGGCGAGTAGATCTTATGCGATTTCGTCTTTAGCGCCTTATTGATACCCTTGTATCTCTGGAGTAACTCTTGGGAATCCAATGACCCTTCTCAAATGGTAAACTGTTACCATGACGGTTAGCTCATAGTTTCTCGCATTAAACTTGACTTGGTTTTATTCACCAATACTGATTTTTATCAATAAGTAAAGGTAGGTTCGGGAGCTTCCTATCACAGATATAAAGAATGGTTTGCTTACCTAATTACTTTGATTAACGGTGTACCAGGGGCTCACCACCAAATTGCGGGGCAAGGTGTGCTTGCATGTGGGTTTGAATAGCCTCATAATCTCTGGTATCCACATTATAAGTGGAATTCTTGAATTTCCATTCACAGACATGTGTCTAAGTTGAGGATTCGTGTTGCAATAGGAAATGTTTCTGTAATTCTGAATCAGTATTACCCGTTTTCCTAGAATAGGAGGTTATATGTTTGTGTCTAGGTAGCTTATAAGCATTCGGCGGGTCACAATCAATAAGAAAACTACCGAAAATTAGGCACAGAACGATTAAGTATCAAGATGAAGGCATCGCATAATGAAATTCTCCGGAACTAGACTATGAAATTGCTTCCATGAGCCGAACCGGCCGTGTTAATGATCCCCAACATAGAATGATGACTAGCCTAAGGTGCATAATGATCTATTAGATCGTGATAAATCCTTCGCATCTGATGGTGTATGATAAGTGCCGCCTAGGTCGTAGTAAATGTGTAAAGGAGTGAAATCAAAGCAACTCTAACGTATGTGGGGATCTTCTCGTCTGTTTCCATAACCATAAACCGCATCCCCTTCCCGTGAAATCCTCCGCGAATAGTGAAGAATCCGATCTCATCCAATTGCCACCACAACCATGAAAGTGAAGCTAGCGTAAGGTAGTGGTTGACAAGGTTCTAGATGACTTAAGCCTCATCGAGAAGAGGAGTGAGGGCAACAAGGTCGGGATCCTCCTTGGCAGGTGCATCCTGGCTGTCACCACTGGTGTTCGACTCGTCGGACTCAGGCTTCGCTTCCTCTTCCTTCTTCTTGCCCTTAGGCGCTCGCTTGCGCTTCTTGGCGGGGGTAGGCTTGGTCTCGACATCATCAGCCTCATCAGCATCGCTACTGACGTTGTTGCTCGAGCGTTTCTTGCTCGGAGTGGTTGCCTTGGTGCCGTTCTTCTTCTTGGGGCTGGAAGAGGGGGAAGTAGAGCTAGCCTCGAACCAGCCGTACTTCTTGCACGCAACACGGAAGCGCTCCTTCACAGAATGGGCGCTCTTAGACTCGAGCTGAGTAGCGACATTGTCCCAGTTGGCTTGGGCACCAGGCTTCATGTCGGGGGTGCAATTCTTGAGAATCGCATCAATCAAGCTCACGTCGCCAGGAGAAATGGTGACACTACCGCCATTCTCGCCGTTGGTGGACTCTTCTGTCTTCTTGGGAGGCATCTAAATAGAGTATCTTATTAGAAACAACTGATTTTATAATGTGAGAGACGTTGAGGGCGGATATTCACGGACGTAGCTAGGGCACTGAACAATGCGCCGATGAATAGCGCCGATTAAAATTAAAAAAAAATTGAAAGGGAAAAAATGGCTTACCTTGTCGAGCTTGACTTGTTCAGATGTGGATCGATATGTAGGTAATATGAAAGTATGGGTAGAAGATGTTGTGCTTGTAAATTTCTTTGCTTTGGTGAAGCTATGGTTGGTGTGGTAAGGTAGAGGTGATGTATTGCTGTGAATAGTAGGTGAAGAATAAGGTCTCGTTTTTGTAAGAAGAATGGTCGTCGTGAAGATTTAAGGGTAGGCAGATTTAAATACAGGCTTAGGAATTTAGTTACCGTGCGGGAAGGAGGTTTAGAAGCATGTATTGGGTGGTTCTGGGAAACTGCTAGCTTGAGGGTATTGCCGGTTCACACGATGAGACCCGGCAAGGTGTCCGTGCAAATTGAAAATGGCAAGAACAACTCTTGCCTACTTAGAAATTTAATAGCCGGTGGAGGAAGCTGCCATCTCCTGCTACTAGGTTGGTAGCCTAGAATTTGTTACGGGGAGGGAATTTGCGGGTTGCTCTTGCTATTAATTTCTGTTGTTATGAAAACCTCCCGGGGGCAGGTGCACTTTAGTGTTTGAGCATAGCAAGTATCTGCCCTACCTACGTAGGTAGAAACAACACCAGATAGAATACTACCGAATAGTAATTGCAGCAGGCAAGTATTCTATGACTTTGTTATGACCAAATTCACGGGCAGCCCTACGGGGATATCGGATACTTCCAAGGGTCGACTAGTCCCCTTTTTCCTTTTCTCGTCATTTTTCACGCAATTGTGATCGATCACTTCTTGAAATTTTACACTGCAAGTAAACGGCATGTCTTAGAATTTTAGAAAAATACCTAAGTATACATACGAAGTATAATCCAGTTCTTACAGCCCGAATGCCTCTTCGTATTACCTTTGATATCTAGACAAGTAAGTTTTGGTGGAAAACTACTTGCTATCTCATTTGCTATAAGTTATACTAAGATAATATCCCACACATGCCTTCTGGTTTAATCAAGCTGTACAAAAAAAAACACTATAATACAACAACATACTAGGACAATTTAGTTGGCGCTATAATATTACGTATTAGGACAAAATTCCTACAGAGTTTAGGCACCAATGAAGACCTATACTTCTAATCTTCAAGACCTATCTTGGTATTAATATGTCGGTCTTTTACCAGAACATCGTGGTCGAACAAGAACGGCATTAGAATGCTGCTAGGGAACCTAATACCTCAAGAAACCCCTATAGTCGAGGCTTTTCTCTGTTGGTACCATTACACCGATATACCGGCAATTTCCTAAGAAGTTCGTCCCAAGCTTCCGTGCTTGTAATGGGTGCTGTGGTCCAGGAAGCAGCACCTGTCTCGCTCAATAACTCCCTTAAACGCGGTAAAAGCTTTTCCGCAACTTCTGCGTCGTAAGCAAGAAGTTCTTGCCTGCTACCATTTTCGTCAATGCAATACCAACCCAAGTCAGACATGACACACGTTGACTCAAACAAAGCAAGAACCTCCCGAGAGAAGCCTTCCTTATCAAGTGCAGCTTCATAAGCCATCCGGTGGCCACTTGCCTCAACTAATGCTCGGGATCGAGGTAATATGTACGTGTTGTATGCTTTTCCTCGATGACTACTCATAGCTACTGATGCTAGTGTGTCCCGTGCCTCTTGCCAGACACCAGCCTCATGTCTTGCCAAACGACAATCCTTTATCTTTGCGGGTGGTAGCTCATAACGTCCAAGTAATACCTCAGATACTAGACCTATTAAAACACAATGCATTAGCAAGACATTTAAATAGGGGTAACACCACCAATTAACTTACGTATGCAAAGGACCGTATAGTCGCCTTCTGCGATTCCGTTGCCCTTTAAAGTCGATGCCATTTCGATGATTCGATTATAATTGAAAAGGCCTTGCCATCCACAGCGATCAGCCAACTGTACGAGTGTGATTTGTGTTGCTGGGCCGACAGTTGCTTTAAAACACGTAGCTACGCTATGGTTGACGGCGGAACTCAACCCCCCTTGACAAAACATCTTAATTGCATCTTCTGCAAACGCATCAAAGACTAAAGCTTGAGATAGAGCATTAAGAATTGGCCTATATTGCGTTGAAAATCGAATTATCGGTACTCTCTGGCTAGGGCTGTTGCCGGCTACGTGCCTTCTTAGACTGTAGGTACCGGCGATGTAGGCGGCTTGTCGAAGGGCAGGGATATTCCCCATGGAAAAGGATAGTGTCCCGACTGAGACTCTCGAGATCAGGTCGAGAAAATCGGACCGTTCGTTTGATGATACGTTTAACGAACCTAGGAGCGAGTCCGAACCAAGACGGACTCGGTTGAAAGTTGTGATGGCGTGATCAAGTGCTTTTGAACCGCTTTTCTTCGGGAGAGGTTGTGATATGACGCCGGGTGACATCTCGTTGGCGTCGTTTAACCTCACGACGAAGGGTCTCACGCCACGGCCAACGTCGCCCACGAGGAGCCTCGCAGATACTACTCCCACACGAGGCATGCCAGCCCAGGGGGTGGTGGGCGGCATAGCTTTAGCAGCTCCTGAGTTAGATGTGTGTAGCTCAAAAGATCCATCTGGAAGAAGTGTTGCTGTCGTTTCAAGATTATAGGCGTCTAGTCCGTGGCTAACCTCAGTTAGAAGGAACTCGCCGCAGATGTCAAATCTTTCAAGGTCTTCTAGTAACTTAACGAGATGTGGTTGATCGTGAGAAAATCTCGCGATAGTCCCCATACATAAGTTCCAGTGGATACCTAGAATAGTCGATACGGCCGGGTCTCTCATTGCAACCACTATATGTTGATTAGGGATTTGGGCTAGGATCTCATGAACACAAAAATCAGTTACAGTGACGGTTGAATCCCCAGAATTTCGGCCGCATCCGAACAATATCGTCAATGGTTATACCTATTTCACATCTTAGTATGCTGTTAGAGGTACTACATGGCCAACACAACACATACCAGCTTTTTGGCATATAGTATGGGCCCTCCGATAACATTGCTTAATGTAGGCAGGATTCGGGAATTCCAAGTAATCGCAACTAGTGTCATAGTCGCCGTCTTTTAAAACGTAGTCATAAGAAGTCATGATCGCGCTGTTATACTAAAATATTCATGCCTTAATGATTAATATAATTGAGTTATACTGCCCCCGCCTATTTATGACATACCCTTTGGTCCGTGGATAATACTACCTTTTACCAGAGCGATCGAAGATAGCCATATCGATCAGCGTCCATCTATAATCCCACTATATCGTCCAATTAAGTCTATCTATTCGACCGGAGTATGCAGCACGGGAAGCTAGTTCGGCCACTAGATCTGGTGGCGTTTATATTGAACAATATCGGTGTAGGCTGAGGGAATGAGGACCGTCAGCTGAGACGTTCTTAGACAAAACGCCTTCTAGAAATACTGATGGCACCTATTACGGTTTGTCTGAAGTTCAGTATGTAGAAAGAGGGCTAATTCGTCTTTGGCCGAGCCGTGTCTTAGAGCATGAATTTCGTCATAAGTCTTTTTAGATCGGGCCGTGAATTCGTTTCTTTAGTGACTGGGTCATTAACAATTATATAAATTTGGGACATCGATCCGGAAGTGTCCATTTAGTCCTTCTCCCCGCCCCAAGAGTCTCATGTAAAAAGTGTTTAAAGCTGGTGTGTGACCAATAGATGCGCATTGTACCCTTATTACACCGGCCATCCTAATAAACATTATACTATTAGCCGTTGTCTGCTTGTTGATAGATACGAAATCCCTTATATGTCGTTCTGAGGAGGAAGCAAGTTCCCCAGGGACTGGCCTCCGTCAATTGGTAAAGTTATACCCGTTATAAAGCTTGATCTTGGGCTACAGAGGAATAGAACCGCATCAGACACTTCCTCGGGCCGAGCGAGGCGACCCATTGGTATACTCATCGGAGCAGCCTCGTCGATTCCGGGAATTGCCTGCCCTACTTGCTTTAGCATAGGCGTGTCTGTGAATGTGGGGCAGACACAGTTGGCTCGAATGCCAAGGGAAAGATTTTCGAGAGCTAAGAGATAGTTTAATAATCCATAATTAGATAACATAGATCAGAATCGACTGCTTCACTTACCAGCAGACTTTATGATACCTAGCACGGCGTGCTTTGCTGTGGTATACTGCATAATGTTTGGAACAGTGAGGAATGAGCAGACAGAGCCTAGGCTGACGATCACACCTCGGCTGACGCCCCTATCGGGACTGGAGGCAGAGACTGGCTTAGGTTCTTGAGATTTCATCACTGATAAAATCATGCTGGTGACCAAGAATGTCCCGTGGACATGAATCTCAAGAAGGCGTTTGAATTCATCGAATTTGGCATTAGAAGTTGGATGGTATGATAACATGGCAATCTGAAATGTACTACTTATTAGTGTCGAAAAATTATTGATTCTCGAAATATTTAAGGAGAAACCGAAGAACAAGATCCTCGCAGTGCTTTTCTGTAATTTTACTTACACCAGCGCAATGTACACTGTAGTCAATACGCCCGAAGTATTGAACCGCGTACTTGATGGCGTTCCTGACTGATTCCTCTAAGGTAACATCAACATGAACTGCCACTGCACGGAAGTCGGGGTTCGAAGCCAAAGCAGTGATGTCGGCGGCTGTCTTCTGGGCGGCATCTAAGTTTATGTCCGCCACTAGGACACCAAGTGCGCCCTCTTTGGCAAATGCAATACAGCAAGCCTTGCCGATTCCACTTGCTAGACAAGTTTAGTCTAAAGAACTTCGAAGGAAACATTCCATAAGATAGGGTTCACTTGCCTCCACCAGTAACGAAAGCATTCCCAGTGATGTCCATCTTGGTTTGAATCTAGAGTTAAAAGCCTTATGTGTTCTGGGTAGAAACAATTTAGAAAAATCCGAGCTATATCTTCAAGACTTGTCGATTGATATAAACAGCGGAGCCAATCCCGATTTAACTCCCCTCTTACCCCTCTTGATCGCATTTTGCGACATGGCTGTCATATCATGTATGCGTACGGTGTGGCTTCCGACGACTTTGTCATACGCAAGACTAGTATCTTATACCCACGATCTCCAATGAGAATAAGAAGGAGCAAGCCTCACTGCAACTATCGATGTTAGCAAGTTTTTTTTCACCAGAGAAAACGGAATAGTGTCCACTACTATGTGTTGCGCTTCAGCCAGCCCACTACTACGCCCTCTTTTTCTTCTTTTCGGATACACACGGACTGCAACGAACGAGTAATCGAGTTGCGATATGCCCCTACCTGGTAACGCCGGAAACCGGTGAGACCAACTACCAGGTTGCATGATAGGATGCTGTCCTTGGATTTGCTCGCCTAATATTTCTGACTTGGATTTCCAATGTTTGGTGTAGGGATCATGGGATCTCGTCGGATAATGATTTTTTATCTGCGTGCAGAGTCTGTTCCTTAATCATTAGTGCATACTATATTTTCTATGCCAAGGATTAGGTATATATAAGGATCTTACACGATTTTGTTAGCATCTGGGAGATGTTAGTATTTAGAATGCTGATGACATATTCCAGGTCTCAACGGCTCCGGGTCCATTATAAAACGGCGTCGGAAGTGGGGCCGTGCCGTCTCGACCGTGCTGCACGTTGGATATCGCATTCGCGGCTTCCTGAAAAAGATGTTAATCAATGGGAGCAGCATATAATGAAAGAATACCTATGTATGAAGTGAATTGTGATATTTTCTACGAATACCAAAATTTATATCGCATGAAGTATAATCTGATTGACGACTGTTGCTTGTATTAGTTACCTGTCCTAAATCAAATATTGTCTTTCGCTGTAGCACTATGAATAGTTCTCGTAACAGCGTAAGTTGCTGCATTGGATAGGTGCTTTGTATGTGTAAGTAGTTAAGGCGTATTTGGGTTTATCACGTCCCCTAGCAACCCCCCTAACAGCCCTCCTAATGGGCATTTAGTGCACCTAGGCCAATTGAAATGCAATTTTAGAAACATATACATAGTGATTGCCGTTAGCTATCGGAGCTCCCCTATTGTCGTAGGGAGAGGTACATAATGTCATAGCTATTCTGTAATTTCGTTTAGGGAATACTTACATAACGTAATCATTTACACGGTTTTGAGCCGATTTTGTCAGGTACTTTGTGTAATTATTGGCTGGCTCGCGTTCGCGCTCCAAGGGTGTTACTATCCCAGTAACATACGTAAAATTGGATGCGTACATATGTTCAATGAGGTGACCGACAATTTGATCTTTCATTCCAAGAATGGGTTTTCACTAACTAGCGGGTCGAGTTTCTGATGTCTTGATCTGGGACAAATATTCATTCTCCTACTGATGGAGAAGGAGAGAAAAACGTCATAAAGTTGGGACAAGGAGTATCGAGATTGCGGGTCTGTTTTATTAGTCCCTTACAATGTGGATAAGAAATGACGTATAATCGTTTCTAGGGCTATTTGTCATTCTAGAATATGGAGGGTCGGAGTGTCTGGGCTCGCTAGTTTACTTGTCAATCGAAATCTTATGGTGTTTCGTGCAACTTTTCCGGTTTACTGATGGATGGATAATTTTATGAATATTTTGTGAATTGGAATGATGCTTCGCCACAGGTTTGGTAGCACTTATGTGCCTTCAATCAAATCTCCATTGCTTCAGAACGTGGAATTTGATAAGGATGGACAAGAGAGGTATTATGTATTTTTTACAACTGCGAATCTGTCCAACTTTTCGCACATCTTTAATCTCTTTTCTCGTGTAGATCACCGAAAGTACCTTCGGACCGAACGCTACAAGAATCCGCAATGGGCGCTAAAGGGCATCTCAGGGATGGGGCAGTGCATGACGGAAGAAAAAGCTTGTTCACTGATCCCCCCCCCTGATAATCACTGCAGCCAAGCCTACCGTTCCCGTGCTGCCGGGGCCTTTCCAGGGCCCCCTAAGCTCCCTAAGCCTGAACAGAAAAGCTTGCTTGAACGGCGTGGGAGCATCGCGCGGCCCCAGTAGAGGGGCACGATACCTTGGGAATGGTTACGCGTACCAGGTGGCGTCAGTAGTGGAGTACCTACGCAAAAAGTGTGCCGCTTGAGACCTACTATATGGAAATAGTAGGCTCTCATTCGATATCGCTGCTCATGCGATCTAAGAGGATACGTAAGCAGTCCTCGATACTTCTAGACCTCCCAAAATAATCTCGCGACGAATATGAAGTCGTGTACTAGCTCAAAGGCACAGGAGATACTGAAAGAGTACTCTAATGAATACCATTGTCCGGCTGGTCCACCAAACTTATATCTCACAGTCTGGATTAGTTTCAGGTGAATGCAAGCCACACCTACGATGTGGAGTTTTCCGCGGTACGATCATTACTTTGCTTGCTAGAATCGGCCCTGCTAGGTCCACAAGTTAGTTGACAGATACACTTAGTGTGTACCTAGATGGGTACATACGGGATAAAGTGTATAGGTATAATATAGTGGGTAGAGTAGATCACTTACCGTGTATTTTTTCGATGTATCGGTTTTTAAGAAACAGCCGCATACACAAACCTTTCTCTTCTGTTTACTCTTCTTTAGGTTCGGTCAAATTCGAACTCACATTCGTTTAACCTATAGACACAGACTATAGAGAGCCAAACGGCATCATGTATTCCCTACCAATTTTATTCGCTGCTTCCAGCTTTCTCTTTAATCCGGTAATTTCCATCGATGTTGACTGGACACAAGATTGTAAGATATTATTGCCATATTATATGCAGCCACAACTTAACTGACATTGCCAAGCATCCATTAAGTCCGCTGCCAGTACGATCGCCTATGGCTTGGTCAAATATTACACAGGTACACCTCGAATCATAGTACTAAACATGAAAGAAATTGTCCATATTAATTCCAATAACAGGAAACAACACGGGTGATACCCCGGGGAACTTACCTGACCCCTATTACTGTGCGTTCAGTATCAATATCCAAATAACTCGGCTTTCAGCTGACACAATCAACAGGGTGGGAAGCTGGCGCGATGTTCGGGACCTTAATAGATTACTGGGCCTTCACAGGCGACGAGACTTATAACGATATCACCTTACAGGCTATGATGCACCAAGTGGGAGACGACAAGGACTACATGCCCAACAACCAGACAAAATCCGAAGGAAACGATGACCAGGGATTTTGGGCGATGGCCGCGATGACCGCTGCTGAAACGAACTTCACCAACCCGAATACCGACGATTTATCCTGGTTGGCATTGGCGAAGGCCGTGTATAATGAATACGTCAACCGATGGGAGCCGGATACTTGTGGTGGTGGTATGCGCTGGCAAATTTACACGTTCAACAACGGATACAATTATAAGAACTCGGTCTCGAACGGATGTTTCTTCAATGTGGCTGCACGCCTAGCTCGGTATACCGCCAATGAGACATACGGAGATTGGGCGAACAAGATCTTCGAGTGGGAGCAGTCTGTCAATTTCATCAATTCGAACTACAGCGTACTAGACGGCGCCGGAAACGCGGGTAGTGATAATTGTTCGCATGTCAACAGCGCCCAGTTCACATACAACGCGGGTCTTTTCATGTATGGCGCTGCAGTTATGTTTAATCACACCGACGGCTCCGATATGTGGAAGGAACGCGTCGATGGACTCGTCAAGTCCGCCGTGTCGGTGTTTTTCCAGAACGGCGTTATGTGGGAACCGAGTTGTGAGAAGAGTCCTAGTGTCGACCAACAGTCCTTCAAAGGCCATCTTGCGCGATGGATGTCGCTGACTGCGATCCTTGCCCCCTTCACCCACGACACGATCATGCCGTTGCTCAAGACGACAGCTGATGCAGCAGCCAAGCAATGCTCCGGACCCTCATCGGATGATTATAAGGGCCCGTCCGGCACAGCGTGTGGATATAGTTGGCTGCAGGAGGGTACCTTTGATGGCACTACGGGTGTAGGTGAGCAGATGAACGCTCTGCAAGCCGTTATCGCAACACTAGGCGACACCGCGCCAGCTCCTTACACTTCAGAGAACGGAGGTTCGTCCGAAGGTGACGCCGCCCCGAGTGCCAACGATGCTAGCAAGATTCCCCAGATGAAGCCCATCACTGCGGGCGACAGGGCCGGTGCCGGTATCCTGACGACGCTTGTCCTTGGTGGTTTAGTGGGTGGTATGTATTTCGTATGGGCTGATGAGAAGTGAGGGCCTGTCATTATGATTTCTCTTGTGTCCGCCGAGGCGGTGCGAATAGAACGGCGTTTGGGGTCATGGGCCATAACATTGGTAGAATTCTTCGGATCGTTATACCTGGCAGCTGTTAGCTTGTCGCAAGGCGTTACGGGGTATCATTTGGAAAAGAGACCCGATGGGTTTCTCTGTCGATATATGTAACATGTAAATATGTTCAGTACCTTTGGTAGATAATTGAATTATGGTACTAACGTATGGAAATGGTGATGTTTTCGGTACGCCTGTGCCAGTCGATTTATTTTCTAGTACGGCGACAGCATACACTAGAATATAGGGGACATGATGCGTAACAGTGGTTGCTGTTTAGGTGCGTTATGGCCTTGCTCTAGCGTATTTAGGGCACATGGTTCGTGCGACGGGCGATGCGCCACACGGAATTGATAGGGGAAACAGACCTAAGGGATGTTAGATTACAGGGCTGTACAGCGGTCTCTACATCCTTTGTACTGTGCGCCAAGGCCAACATATTACCATGAGAGGGGGATCAATTGTGTACTATCTAGTGCTTCTTTCGCACCTATCTAGGGACCTATCAAATGCCTATAGAGCAGTGAGTATGCAAAGCATGAGACGCATGGCAAGATGACATCAAAGGACAAGCGACAAGTCGAGCATTTTTGAGAAAAGCCGTGACCAAATTCGCGTCATTAAAAAGTACCATCGTCGAGCTCGTCAAATATGAAAACGAGCAGAAATATCCCCTTTCCCCGTCAAAACACAGAATTGATCCATTTACTTCTTCGCGTCGTTAGCCTTGGAAACCTTCGATTCGCTGTTGATGATGGCCTCAGCTTCCCTAATTAGATCAGACATGAGGGGAAACGTCCGGCCACTTCGGGGGTATTTGGGGCGGTCGTTAAAGCTGAGGCGCTTCATGTTCAGGTTTCCGAACCAAGGTTTGAAGTATACCAATTTACCGTCAATCAGCTCGTGGTGCTCGTCGAGACCGACATCAAATGTCTCCCCCCATCCAACTTTCAACGCATGCAGCGGAGAAAAAGGTCGCAGCTTGTCGTAGAGGTAAGCCCAGAGGTACAAGTCACGGGGACCGTCGTGGCCGTTTCCATAACCCATTGCGAGTTCGAAAACTTCACGCACACTAAAGCCGCGTTCCAAAGGGAGCCATAAATATTTGGTCTTCTGAACCCACCCAGAGATTGAATTCTTCATAACCAGTGAGTCGCTGCCTTGAGCGATCAATCTATCCTCCTTGCCTCGGTGGTCGGGATACGACAAGGTCTCATTCTTGTTAAGCTTGTTGACGGAACTGTAATGCTTCACACTCCGGGGCAAATGGCAGACACACTTCGGGGCGCAGTAGTCGGATGTGTAGTAGATCGGTCGCGACCATATGAACTTATGTGTCTCCCTTTCTGAGATGACCGTTAGCAAGCCCTGAATGGAGAAACGGTCTTGGGCGACCCGGATTATCAAATTAGACTCCATACCTAGATAACTGTAGTTCATAGCTTGTTCGAAGCTCTTCATACCAGCTGCCTCCCACGGAGCGAACGAATACCAGAAGGCATACTAAGCCGTCTCGTCCGGTTTACCGTCCTTCACTACCTTCCAGGATGCGACGAGTCTAGCCAACTCGTAGATGTAGACACATTTCTGGATTCGGAAATATTCCATCTCGGATCGGCATGCTACTATGTGCTTGCCGACATACCCGGCAACTTCTTGAGCAATCGGCTCAGCATGTTCATGGAATCGCACCATCTTGATTCCCATCTCGAGAGTGAAATGCATGGCGTTGGGAAGGGGGCCCACCTGGTGACCGGCCAGATACTTGGTGCAGAAAGCGATAACTTTAGCAGTGTAGGCCTCGCCAGCAGCCTCCTCGCCGAGAGACATGTCGGGTACCCAATCTTCCTTCTGGGCATAGAAGAGGGTAATGACCATAGGGAAGAGCATCGGGTTCATCACCCCGCGCAACAAGTTTCTGGCAACTAGGCCCTGAGCTTTAATCATGGTGCGATAGACAACGGGGGAGGCATGAACGAGTCTGAGGAGGTCATCTCTGTGAGTATTATAAAGAATCTCCAGATGAACGTCCGCGGGGAGGGTCTCCAAAGTAGGGGGCACCATCGCGAAGTATGTCTAACACGTCTTGGTGAGCTAATGATGGCCGACCGTATTAAAAATATTGAACATACGAAAATAAAATAAAAAAGAAAATGGAGAAATAACAAATTGAGAAAATGTGTACTTACCGATCAGTCTCGGAATGAGACTGAGGGCAACCAGAAGAACTGAATAGGGCTTCACGGTGAAGGTAGCTGCCAAAAAGGCAGAAGTCGAGATAGAATAAGATGTAGAAATATGCTGTGCCAACTGAAGCAGCTAGACTAGAATACCTAGGTAATCAGAAAGCAATTGACTCCCAACAAAAGGTAGAAGTCAAGAAGAAGTCGAAAGGATGTCGAGTAGACAATTGAATGCTTAGGACAAGCTCAACCTTAAGTAGGTATCTGAGTGGTAGACTCGAGAAAGCACAGGATAAAATTTGCAGTAAGAGTGCAAATTTATCCAGGGCTCAGAAGGATGTGTGGGAGAGGAGAAGAAAAGAGAAAAAGCGTGGGAGAAACAGTAAAGGTCAAACAAAAAAAGAAAGGACCTTCTAGAGGGCTTGTAAACAATAATAATACGGAACCAGACTGAATTAGGGTTGGCCGACACGCGTGTCGACTGTCACCAGCCAGCCTGGCGCTCCGCATCCAGCGTTTTCAACCGTAAAACAGCACTATCTAAGCGGGTACTCGAGGGTGACCCTCGCAATCTACAGGAGATAAGTAGAAAGAGAGCATGCGCCCCTCGCTTGCACACTTCCTTTTCATACAAGGCACTAGGACTTGAAGCGGGCACCCTTTAGGGAGGTCAAACCAAAGGCAAGACCAAAGGACCCAAGCCCTAATTCAACGAGTTAACACGCCGGGACACTTCAGGTAGGTTGACCTCTCAACCAGAGAGGATGTGTCGTCCTCAGCTGTTAATAATTTCCTTTACGTAGGCAAGGTACCTTTAATCGCTTTTATATACACAATAGCAAAGGCCACGACAAGGCCCAGTCGCCGCATTTCACGCCGTTTGGCCATCTTATATATATAAACAAGGTTCAGCTAGGTATATTTCTATCATTAGCTAATATGAACTTGAAAAGGGCGTCTTTACGGAATATTGTGATTATTTAAATGGAATTCGGCTAGGACTATGGAACTGTAGAGTGAATCGAGAAATGAAAGTTGGTATTGACAGCACGTTTTCCTATACATTCATTACGACAACTATACTACATATTTTCCATACCACCTCGTAGTAGATATATCTATCGAGTAGGCGTTGGGCAATAATTTTCCAGTTGATAGTAGGCACTATGCGAAATTACCCCTATTCCATCAAACCATAAGGTCAATCAAGAGGAGGGTCAGCAAGACAATGACTACCGTAAACTAGAATTAAGCGCCGATTGCGCATCTATGACATTTAAAAAGTAAGGAAGATATAATGCGGGTTTTTTTCTTCTTGTACGTTGTATGCCGTCAAAGGGGTATCCAAGCAAGTTACTTGAAAATTGATGTGTTTAATGGACCGTGATAAGTATTTGTGGCAACCCGTATACTTTAATATTTTTACTTTTTTATTCAATTATTTCCAGAAGCTTCTCGGCCCTGGCTATTTCGGTAGCTGGTTGTTAAACTAAGAGATAGATAGCAGTAACTGCTACTCTTCCTGAAACCCATCGAGACAAACTTGGCGTCCTGCGATATGTAGGTTATGGGATAGCACTGAGGTGTGTGGTTTTGCTTGCGAACAAATATTTTTAATCAACGAGTCTCAGCATAAAAAAAAGCACGCGAGGAAAATCGGCGAGATTTCATTTAGTTGAATAGAGCCGAATTGCTCCAAAACTAGTTTTGTTATTTTTCTCCTATCATTAAGTATCCTCGGATCACTAAGCCTCAAATACTAGCACAACGCCATCATCACCCGCCGTAATAATCCGCTCGCCCGTACTTCCCTGGACAAATCCCAAAACACCACCTCCTTCTCCGTCTCCTCTATGGCCTCTCCACTCCTTTACCAAACTGCTTTCCGTCGAGGAAGCTGCGCCTCGGACGTCCCACCTTCGGACTACACCGTCCATCCCACAACTCGTCAGCAACCAGCCATCGCCGAGGCCAGCTACAAACTCGGTCCTCACGACACTGAACTCCTCATGCGCTTCGCGAATATGCCGGCGAACGGCGAATTTGCGGGCTGTGTCGTATACCGCTATACTACCATCCACACTACCTGCCGCGAGAAGTGTCTGCTTCGGCGAAAAGCTAAGCGTCTCAATTCCATCTGACTGTGTCTGTAAATCCGCAAGGATATTACCACCTTGTGCGCTTCCAGCCTCAGCGCCCTTGGCTTTAGTTTTGCTCTGTTTGCTGTTCACGGGTTGCGTGTCTGTGCCTAATCGCGGTAGACCCACTATCTTGATTGCACCACCTGCACCACCGACAGCGACGAACGCGGATTTCGGGTCAATGGCAACTGAGTACAGACCCCCTTCAACGCCGAAACGTTGGTCCTGGCCCGTGAGAGAAACTACCGTCTGGCCATTATCATTGACCAGGTTTTTCGCCGCCGCCTCACCCCACACATCCCAGACATACAACGAACTATCCTCCGACACCGTAGCCAGGAACGTTCCATCAGGCGACCAAGCACCCGCCGTGCAAGATGCAGTATGTAAGAAGTAGCTCTGCACAATCTGCATCGGGTTCGACGAATCCGAAGCATCGATCGTGTACACCCACACGGAACCATCTGAAGCACCTAGCGCAATCGTATTCGGGTATTTCGACGACGGACACGGCGACAACCAATTCACCTCCGGCACCTCCTGGGACTCAGCCAAGAAAGCGAATGTGGGTTTATTGCGTGCGTCGACGGATAGTTGGTATGTGCGTAATCTACCATCCATGCCTCCTGAGACCAAGAACTCTCCATTCGGCAACGTGAACGCCAGCGCGTTGATCGAGTCGCTGTGCCCCTCAATCGTAAATAGCGATTTTAACTCAAAACTCTTCTGTTGTTGCGAGGGATCGGCGTTATAGCTAGGAGGTAGAACTGGGCGGCCGACTACGGGGCTTGTGTCGAATACATAGCCCTTCCCTGGCGCATCGTCGCCATCGCCTTCGCTGCCTCCTGTTGCGATAAGTGAGGGTTGGGTGGGGTGTTGGGCGATCGCGAACACGGAGTCTTTGTGTGCGTCGAAGTAGGCTATGCTGTCGTTATGTAGGGTGATTTCTTCTGGCTCCTCGTCTGAGTCCATCGCTATGTCACCTTCTGCGTCTACAACTTCTTCAAGCGCATCTTCGGCGTCGAGCATCTCTGGCGCATCGTCCAGATCGTCTTGGTGCGGGGCAGACATGGTGGGAGGTTCGCTGTGGGTATCTGAAGAATTTCTAAAAGGGGGTATATGGTAGTAGTAAGGTTGAAATGAAAAGCAGAAATGGGAGATCTTGTTTTATAAGTTTCCTTCTTTTAGATATTTCTTTGTTTATTTATTGTATTGAGTTGTAACGGAAAGAAAGTTGTCGATGTGCTTGATAATCAGTCCAACTTTTTACTTTCTATGGTGGGGCAACATCTCGCCGAGCCCCGCCACGCCCGCCTTATTAGTGGGGATTTACCTTCTGCTTAAAATACCTCCAGCTATAAGGGATCGCCATTCAGGGGTTTTATGCGTAATGACGCGGATCTTCAAGGAACAGCTTCAATCCCTTAACTTTGGTAACTATATCTGGATTTTGTAAGTAAATAAGAAGGCGAATTTAAAGAAGCATAAACGTCACCAAGAGTGTTGAACGAACATATAAAATATATAATGTCGCTTATACATACTAATGTTGAATCAATCCTAACGCTAGGCCATGGTGAAAAACCAACTATATACAAAATAAGTCATGGCCATAAACTCCTGATGATGCGGGAAACCGAACGAGTGAAATGCTAACCCCTTCCGTGAGAATGTGGGAATTCTAGTCGAAAATTGTTTTCCTTTCTTCCGGTCCATCTAACCTTGACCGGGGAAAACCAGAAGAACTTAATGCGCCGTTACGGTGCCGACCAAGTTCATAATCAAACATACAGCCATAACGCACATACCATATATGGCTAGGAATAAAGCCGAACCTCTAAGGAACTCCGGACTAAGGTGTTCCATATCCAACCTCCACGTCTTACGCCAGCGCCACAGAGGCCTTGAGTTCTTATTCCTATTGCTCGAACCGCTCGCTGCGCTATGGATGCTGTCTACGCTTCTCCCTAAAAGACCCTCTTCCCCGTCGGTATTTTCCGTATCGGATGCGGAGACTGACAAAGCGTCGTCGTCTTCCTTGGACAAGCGCTGCTGATGGATCGAGTTTGGATCTGAGATCTTGTAGTAGAATAGACCAGGAAGAATGAAGCTAATGCTTGTGCTTCCTGTAGAGCCAACATAGGCTAGTACACGTTCTAAGGAGACGACGGTTAGAGCCGTAATATATGCTAAAATCAATATGATTGTGGTTAGAATGGCGAAACGTAGGTCGGAGATAGTTGCGGTGGACCCATGGTCTGATCGGGACTGCGCGGGATTTGGAAGAAGTGGTCGACCACCTGGGGAGCTTGTTCGCGTCTGTGGATTGGACGCATCCTTTGGCCGCCACTTTAGAACTGCGTCTACGGATGCTCGGCACGGGTGTATCTGCAGTGGGATCGAAAACGTGACAAGAACAACTATGGCTGCTTTTGCGATTGTCGAAGCGATCGATGCGGGATCTAGCACAAAATATTAACATTTTCTAGTAGAGAAACATGTGGATATTGGGTGCTTACACATGGATACAATGTTGCCTATGACATCGTTGCCGAAAGTGAGATATCCGGTAATAGCGACTAGCACATATATACCGGCAGCGGAACCGATGCTAGTAGATATCACACCCATTATACTAAGAATATGATCAGTACGAGACCTAAATGTATTAGTACTTGGGGAACATACTTCTTTGGCGAATTGTTCGATATTTCGTTGAGAATTGAAAACATGTTTTGGTGACAGGTGTACGCGAAGATAACCACAGGTAAAGTAGCCAGGGCTTCCACAGGACCTCCCCAAGTAATGATACGAACTTTATCCCTAGGGGCGAGCACATCCGAAGCGAAGTGATAGACAACTAGCACGATCAAATATCCAATGGCGACGAGAGCTACAATGCTGGTGTACTTGAGGGAGTCTAATCGTCTCAAGAAGCTTAGCGGGATGATGGCGAGCATGAACGCCGTGATCCAGAAATTGCGGTCCATCAGAAAGGGTATATCAGCAGCCATGCCATTAAAACCTTCCATCACACCTGGCATCAAGTCGCCGATAATTATCATATAGGATACACCAACTCCGAAACACTTGATCGCGATCGCGGCATCGAATATAACGGCGGCGTTGGGGTATGTCAATTGAGATAGGGCGAAGAAAGATGAGGAGCCTCGATCGAGATATCGCGCGCATCGAGATTGGAGGTATAAACCGAAGGCAGACATAAATCCTGACCATAGGATCACAATAACTCCGAGCACAATTCCGAAGTGTGACATGGCCGAGGGCATCGCCAATGTACCAGCACCAATGACTGCGAATCAATTCATGTTAACTTCTTGCGCACACTATTATTGTTGGTATAGAGTCTGGAATGACATACTGGTATTGAGCAGATTGATGACGCTGCTGATCATAGTGGCCTGCCCTCCCCCGGTCTCCTTTGGGCGACCACGAGCCCTTTTATGCCTACATAATGGCGTAAATGTTAGTTCTCAACGCTATCAAGCTAAGTCGCACAAGATTTGAATCTGGACTTAAATAAGGGCACATACCTTGACATGTCGCCTGCGGAGGCGGAACCCTCTCCAGATATAGTGGAATAGTTCGGCATCGCCTAGACGGCGGTCTATGTATGCATCCAATAGTTATCTTCCTCGGCAGCAGTCGGGTATGCTGGAGATTTGCTTTTATCTTTTATTCTGTATTCGAAGCTGTATTCGAAGATGAAATGACCCCCTCAACGACAAACCGCTCTCGTGCACGCGTGGCTCGTTTCGCTATCTTCGCTTTTCCTCCCTAACCGCCGCGACACGCCTCGGATGTAATCGATAGAGGATATAACGTAGAAGGGCTATCGGAGCGAATCGACGGCGGTGGTGCCTCTTACATTTGACCGTGTATTAGAAAAAGCGATGAAGAAGATTAGAATTTGAAATCGAACGGTTTGCGGTGTGACGCCAGAATTGAATTTAGGTTCAGCTGACAGTTGTCGTCAAAGCCACCTCAATCTCCCCCAAATCTGGAGACTGCGATGCATTTGGTTACCCGCTACTGGGTGCTACGGGGCGCTCCTGTCCAATCAATATTGTTTGCTTTTCTCGTTAGGCTATTAACGGCTAGCTTTCCAGGGCTTCCGACAGGGGCCTTGAAGCTTCCAAAAAACCGGGGGAATCAGCTCAGCCTTATCTTATCGTTTAATGATCGATCTTCCTTTCTTTCCTACATGAACCTACTAACATACATGAATGCATGACGAGAGACAATTAGATTGGAGGAGTTTATGTCTATTGCAACCCTCTTTGAACATTGAAATTACCTTTAAATCCACATTGCAACCATAATCTATCCATTGGTTTCTCTGCCCTTTCCCCATAACTCGGTGAACACCCATCCACCATGGACACAACAGAATCAACATTAGACAACACGACATTGTCCACCATATCCCTCCTTGAAGCGCGCCTGCTACGCTTAGAACACTTACTTTACGGCCATACAGTCCAACAACCCCAAACATCAGCAGTCCGCAGCCTGCAAGAGCTAGAGCACCGATTCGGAATACTTCTCCAACGGGTGCGCGTCTACGCTGAGCTTCTTAAACTCTGTACGCTCTATTCCCTTACAAACGCCATTTATCTTTACGACGCACTAACATATTGTGTCTAGACAAATCCCAACCAACCCTCTTCCAACCCCAACCGCCCTCTTCCCCACCATCGTCCCTCTCCCCCGACGCTCTCCGCTCCGTCGTGCTAGCCGCCGCATCTTCATACCCAGCGACCGCGTCTGCGTTGACCGCTATATCTGACACACCTGTTCCCGATCCAGCGCACACGGCGGCGCTCGTCGCGCTTCTACCGCGTATGAAAGGTGTTGAAGCTACCCAGATCGCGCAGGTAGCTGAAGTCGCGGAGCTGAGAACACGGAGTGAAGCGGTGGTGCGGAAGTGGTATGAGAGAGATGTGCTAGGTTATTCAGATTTCGTGGCGGGTGTCGAGAGTAGAGTTGAAAGGGCGGAAAGGGTTGTGAGGAGGGTTGAGAAGGTGAGGAATGAAGTTTGAAGAGGGTAGGATACCTATGACAAGGATTGCTACACGAGTTACCTCTGAACGCGTGTGGTCTATTGCGACATTTACAATGTTATTGATGCCGTGAAGCATGGGTAACCTTTGCGAATACGACGAAACTAGAGGGACTTGAGAGCATATCTCTTGAAGTCTTCAGTTCTAGTGGGTACTACTTGGAGATATCTTCTAGGCCAGGAGGGATTATGATTGCGTTTTGCTGCAAGCACAATTTTATACCCAAAGCTGAAGCAACTTAGTTGAGAGATAGTTGATTGAGGCTAGTGTTTGTTGGTTACATATTACAGAGGGTAGACCAACGTACATTCTCACATATCAAGTATTTCTTCATGTCAGCGAATAAAAACAATAGTCTATAACCAATACGAGATTATATATCAGGCACAGGCTCTATTGCTCTGCCGCGATTCAGCTCATACCAATTCTTTGTGGGGGATCGGATGCCATCCAATTTGGAAGTAGATTCGGTGAAGCTAAGTATGCTGACTATCGCTAATAAAGGCAAGAGGATTCTATATTGGGGTACCTCATTTACCATCCAGTGGCTTAGCGCTCGAGATCATTTCGTAAAATTCCATGGCGTTTAAAGGTAATTCCAATCTCGGTTCGTTAACGCGGCAGCGCGGCACAGATGGCATTTACAGAAGTACCAATGTACCTTTGAATCTACAATTCGTAAGTACTCTTCCAAGCCACTTGTGGCGACACATTCACTAGCTTTCCTGACGGCGGCGGCAGCCAGCGGTCTGATACAAGCCGGTCTTGAAACTAAAGCGGTCCTTTTTCCGACTATATTTTAATTACTCTTTGTAAATACGCGTATTAAAGGACTCGTACTAGATTCAAAATAATATATCATAAGAACTAAAAGAAAATGGCAGAATTCCCAATGCGCAGTTTATCCCCTTAATGTTAATTTACGGGATATTACGAGAGGGAGAGCATAATGCCTTGCCGGACAACTTTTCCTCCGAGAGCGATTGGTGCTTTGGGTTTGTGAATCAATCGGAAAAGGCCTCAGGTGAAGAGACCAGGTTGGTGGATGCAAAGAATCCGATTGCTCATTAGGGATTTAGATAGGAATGGCATGCATGAAAGATCGTAATAAGTTCAGACACCCGAATTACCGTTCGTCTTTTTGAAGGATGGAGAAGTGTACTTAGCTAAACTTCTTGGTGTGCTAGATGCGAAAGGTCTGTGCTACTTGGTATAATTACCAAAGCGGGAGTTGCAGAATGGGTTTAGGTACTAACTTCTTTTTGACTTGTTTGAGAAAATGTAAGAGATCGTTGATGAAGCGAACTGAATCTCGATCATAGCATTAAGTAGAGGTGGAAACTCGTTGATACCATGTGGCGGACGCCGCCATTCTCCCGTATCATAGACAGGAAATTATGACTTCAAACCGGGTTACGAGATTCTTACTGTAATCCGTCGTCCTTTGTGCATTTGTTTCTAACATTGAACATATCGATGTTTTAATCATGGCGATCCTAGCTACGTTCCCACTTTGAAACGTGCCACCATAACATCAGCTGCTAAAAACCGCGATATGTGGTTCAGACGACTACCTTACGGAATGTGAAGAATCAATCTGCGTCACAGTAAAGTAATATCTGTAGTAAGAACACAATCAGACTAGCCAAAAAATAGCCCTATCTTACATCATTGCAACCCTCTATAGCGGAAAGCCCTGCAACAGCGGGAGTCTGACGAACAACGTGAAACTTCAATCGATCTTTACCCCTAGATAGCGTCACCTTGCCCGCCTATCGGAAGAGGGCGTATCTTCTTAATTAACTGCGCTGACGACTCGACAGGAAAAAAAGCAAAGATGCATTTGGAACGGACCTACCCAATCGTTCGATGCAAGTATGTATATAGAGTAACTGTGCTACAGCTTTAGTGTCGGGTGGAACAATGGCTTGGTTGTAAAGTGTTAAGAACGCGTGATGTAGATCCGAGCAAAGAATGTATTCGTTATCTACCCACGTACCGACGTAGCCAGGTACCTAGGATAGATAGTTAGATCGCACAGAAGGATCAATAATAGGCAGGAGAAGCTTGAGACTTCTTTTTCATTTTCTCGTTGGTCAGGCCAGCTAACTGTTCGTTCTATAGATTTTAGCCTGTCAGTACGCACCAAATCATCCAAGCTGCTTGAGGTCCCGAGACCTTGCATCCTTGGCAAGACCTTGGAATCCCAGGCGAATCTCAAACAACTACACAGCCAGCATGCAACTCCGTCTTCCCCATACAGGGCCAAATCACAGGCCACCCAACCATCGTCAATTCGGCCACTGCATTCCACTCCATTGCCGCCACCTTATGTAGTCTCGGACCGTCGATTCGTTGTGTTCCTGCTTTAGCGCCATAGGCACGAAAACAAGCTAGCGATCGAGGATACTCTTGGGACACCCCTCGCCAGTAAATATTTCAGATACCGTAGGATTGTAACAGACAAACTTAAGTCCCCTACTTTTGTGACGCTTGACCGATACTAACTACCTAGGTACCTAGATAGACTAAAAAGCGAATAAATAGGATCCAATGAAAAAAGATGTGTTTGTGTTTCCAAAGTTGGAAAATGCTAAGAACCTAAAAATCTAATCGTTGTAGCATCGAAGGTCTAGTTCATTGAACTTCCTAGTCAAATCAAAGTCGGAGGACAAGGGTGAAAGAGGGCGAAAAGACAGTGGAAGTAGAAGATAACCAGGCCCAATTGGGTCCACCGAGGAAAACTGACTAGCCTTATTAAGTATCGGCTAGGAACGCGTGCAAGGTGCAAGGGGAATTTCGTAAGCCCCCCGATTACTCTATTCCAAGGGCCTCCCGTAATTAATGTTAATGGTGGTACAAAGTTTTAATCTCGTCAAGTACATTAGATTATGAGTGCATGTTTAAGCGAAGTCTTGTACCTTTTTCTCAACTCTGCAGGCGCCCCTGATGTACCCCTCGGTTCCTTTTCTACCGTTCATTACAGCTGATTCGTCAGAAATCGGAGACTTCTATTACGCTACGTTCTAGTAACTTGGATGTACCTAACCTTGGTACCTGCCATAGTGGTTTATTCCACCCTTTTCCACTCTTTATGTTGTACCACCGCCGGGACGCACGCTCCACTTAGCCCATCCTCCCATCCCCCTTCCCCGTTTGGTTTGATTGCCCAGTTGCTTGATTTGATTCCTTTCACCTTTCCCACCCATCCCTTCCTATTCCTTTCTAACGCCTCTTTTTTTTGTCCCTTCTTTTCAACAACCCCCCATTCCCTCTATCCCCCCCCGTCATCGCGAAGACGAGCCTACTCTGTCAATCATTTTATTCGATTCTCAGCCAGGCTTTGCAACCGTGGAACGATCCAACTTCGCTTCTCACGACCGTACATATTTGCAATTGGTAGTTTTCCAGTTAAGGGTTTTTGGCGCCGTCAGGAACTGCGAGGAGAAAAAGGAGCCTTAGTAGTATAGAGTGTTATATACTTGCTACTCCTTAGAAAAAAAGACAAGATTAAAGAGAAGGACACATAAGAGAATAGGAGAAAGAAAGAGAAGAACACTACAGAAACCAGGCCGATTACCTTCCCCACGTTTCTCGCCTCCGTATAATTCGATTCGTGACTATATTCGATATCGATATTGAAATCATTCCCACCTCATCCCTCGCCGAATCAAGCGGAACGCATCTAATTCAACCGGGTCGGCCCAGGTCTTAACTCGAATAACCAAGGAGTTAAACGACAATATAGACTTCTCCACGCTCCTGCTATAGGCTTTCTCCACCACCCATCCGACACCCATTATTTTCTTTGCCGACTGGACTGGTTTGCATCTATCTTACACAATTGACTTTCGATTCTTGATTTTTTTCTTGAATTTGCGGGAGACGACTTTTTTTTTTGACAAATTGCTGCGAAGATACCCGACGAATATTTAATGCGAATTCTCGAAAGCACGCGGTCGCATCAGCCACTTATCCATCCGATTACCAACGGCGCGGCACGGCACCAATTTTACTAAGACCTTGCCCTGACTGGACCTGGCCTAGCCCTTCCCAAGGTTCTTATTTAGCGGCCTAGTACCCAAAAGAAGCTCGCCAACGTTTCTTCAGCGGCGCATCTCAATTGCTCGTCCTTTCCCAAGATACTTTCTACTTTCTCATCCCACTCAACGCTCCAACTTTAGTCACTCCTTTTAGGGAATTAAATCCGACCAATATCTTGTGTTCCAAGCTTAGAGTCGTAACCATAAAACCATTCAACCAAACTCAATCCACCGACTATTCATCTATTGGGTTCCCACTCCTGCAACCATCAACGAGCACAGCCACATTTTGCCTGACTGACGAGAGTGATCAACAAAGCACCACGAACTTGCTCTCGCCCACATATCGCTCCAAGTCGCATGTCCGAGTGGCCAATTGTCGTTTTACAGGTTTCATTAATCGACAGCATTGCTAAAGCGTAAAGCTTTTCCTCTTTCCTTATGCCCTCTTACGGCTCTCTTCATTCCCCTTCGCTACGCAAAATGGAACATTCGAGGGCGAGTTATGGCCGGAAAGGCATCAATATGTCCAATATCATCGGTGATCCATTCGCCTTGGCTACGACCTCTATCGCATTGGTATGCTCAGCCCAAATTCTCTATTCATAACCTCATTCTTCACTCCGTATTACGTATTCAGGGGTATCTTGCTAACTATCGGTCTATCTAGCTCGCATGGGTAATTTCCTTTATCAGTTCTATCATCGCACAAATACAATCGACGCCCAAGAATCAATTCCCTCCCTATTCGTGGTTCGCCGTTGTTTTCCAGCTTCCCTTAATAGCTGGAATATTCGTTGCAGTTGCATCCGATTCTATCCAGACTTATCATGTCGCGATTGTCGGTTACCTGGCTTGCGGTCTTGTTGCTACCACTTCATCTGTGAATGCGCTAGTCTACTCTCCGGAAGGGGCTAGAGAGGCTGCTGCGGCTGGCTTTATCTTGCTCTCCATGGTCAACGTAAGTACAATCATATCCGCCACGAACGCATGTCTCTTAACCTACATGCTGTGGCTTTTTATTAAACGGAATTTGCCGATTAACCATGTATCTAGATTGTATGGATCTTCTATTTCGGGTCTGCGCCATCTGCCGTTCCGCGCGCGTACCTAGATTCTTTTGCTCTAGCCAAAGAATCAACCAACCGACAAACGATGAATGGAGGATATGGCGGTCGTCCCGAGACGTCTACGTCTGTCCAACCTCCTCAGATGTACACCTCAGCTCAACTCAATGGTTTCGAGAACCCATCGCCTGTCGGTGGTTTCAATGGCAATGCTCCGCGTAACTCGGGCGGTGCATCCGGCTTCCCTGGCCCTATTAACAAGGCTCCATCGCCTGCTGCTCAAAATGAGGCCGAAATTGCTGCCCCTACTGAATACCCGTACCGTGCGAAGGCTATCTACAGCTACGAAGCGAATCCCGATGATGCGAATGAAATTTCGTTCTCCAAGCACGAGATACTCGAAGTCAGTGATGTAAGCGGACGATGGTGGCAAGCAAGGAAAGAAAGCGGCGACACAGGTATAGCACCCAGCAATTATCTCATATTATTATGAGGTGGTGGTTAAGCTCGGGAGTATTTTGCTTTGCATTCATTCGAATTGGGATGATACCGTTTCTATGGGATCTTTGAGTCGCCCGCGAAGGCGACCATGAGAGAGTGGATTGTATTTGACCAGGTTTAGAAGATGTGCTCAAAACACTGGGGCCATGGACACGCGTTGGAGTAAAATCGGGTATCAACATTGCCGGATGTAGTCTTTTTCTCGCTTTTTCCAAGGCTTTATTTTCTATTATTATTCCACGATGGCCGGCTTATTGTTTATTGTTTTTTTTTCTCTTCCCTTCCAACTTCTCTACTACACCCGCGTCATATTACCCCCCAACGGCGTGAGGTACACAGAGTCCCCCCTTCGATGCCCTGCGCCATGATCATGCAGCTCGCGCCGCTTGTATCGCCCGCCTTTTCAGAGTACATATATATAGTTTTTAGTTGAACTGGCGTGCAGGGCGGAGAGGGACGGAGCCTTTCGAAACGAACGGGGGTTATTTAACGAACGTCACGCCATTGGTTCATACGGATTCCAGGAGATATAGATGCTCTGGTACCAATCAATGAAAAAAAAGACCATTAAAAAAGGCAGTTCTTGATGTGTTGATAAGTGATATCAATATGTGGGCGTGTATTCAGCAAGGTGTTTTGGGGGCGTTTTCTGTACGATTAACATTGTGTTTGAACACCTTTCAAGCTGATAGGAGCATAGCCGAGGCTATTGTATAGTAGGCACTTTAAAAATGGCTATACCTAGGTTTCATTGCATTTTACTGTTTTTTTCTCGGTGAGCTACCTTGTTAGGGGTGACATGAACACTGCTGGGGCCTGAACTATGAATGACTCGCCAGCCATCAGACTGATGGGACCCTCGCAGCCGCGTCAATATCAATATCAGAATCGTGCCATGAAGACAACCTAAGGACATGGCCCCCATTAAACCCCTCCCTATGCGGATTCTTACGCTCGCCACCATCTTCTCTCATGCAGAATCAATATAAATATTGACACTCTAGTTCGCGACCCGACCTCAAAAGGGTGCACATTGTCTCAGCCGCATACTCCCTTAGGGTATCACATAACCACCTAATTGTCCTGCTTACTAGCCTGTTGGCCCCCTTACTAATTGCCACCTCGAATTCATCATGGCTGGATAAATGTGTATGCAGCACAGGACCCCGTGTCTTAGAACCAGCGGAGCGGTGTAAAGGCCGCAGGGTCCAAGACGAACCTACCCCTCGTTCCGCTAACATAACACCAGACAAAATGGCGCCTCGGATGTGTCCATCGCAGGGTTTCCGGGTTCAGATCCGGCCATGTCTCGTCGGGCCACCCTCTTTTTAGTAATAGTAGATACCTCCGTAAATAGTATCTCCGGTCCTATCCTACTACTCAAGCCACCGCACTCGTACTATCCAACCTCTTCCTCAACTCCCTCTCCTTCTGCAGGACCTCAAGCTCTAATCTCTCCACACTATACTGCAACGCCTCCTTCTGCCGGGCCTTGATCTTGGCTTCGATGGCCATTTTTCGCTGTTTTTCTTTTTCTTCTTCGCGTAGGTCGCTTAGTTTTTTCTTGCCTTTACCGGCGGTAGGGGATGAAGATGGAGAGGAGGGGGAGGAGTGTAGGAGTCGGCCTTGTTGTAGCTCGGAGCGCGCTTTTAGGGCGTCGATGCGTCGCTCTATGCGTGCTACGTGCGACTCGGCGCGGTCGAGGAGGAGCGTTGTTGCGGGTCCGATTTCGTCGCGGAGAGAGGCTTCGGCTGCTACTAGGGTTGGTTGGGGAATTAGTTCGTAGTGCTGTTTTTTGTGTTAGTGATTTGTATGTGTTTATGTGTGTAGGTAAGATAGGTAGAGGAGGTAGGGGTGGATGGGGAACGTACGCGCACGCTCTTGAGAACGTTTACAAGGCGTGGGTAGTCTGCTACGCCGGTGCCGAGAGTAGCGACGGAGGACTCGAGGAACGAGAGTGAGGTGCGCAATGCAGCCACGCAGTCTCCGTATGAGGCAGAGCCCGTAGAAGTTGTCGTGGTTTCCATTGGGGGTAGTTGTTAGAGCAGCCGGGTGAATTGGAGGTATAGAGGTTTGAAAGTGGGAAGTGAAGATGAAATACTGCTGTAAGTTTATGATGTAAATTGTTTACAATGCGACCGGGTGATTGATAGCGGCCGATGCGGGGCTTAGGCGGGAAAGTCTAGTGGGGGTTTTGACCTAGCGTTAGGGAGCTACAGCTGAGCCAATACAGCCCTGATCAATTAATTATCTCCCTAAATAAACACAGCAATTAATTCTATCATGGCCGTTGCCCATCATTTGTACAATTATACATATTCTTCCGTCAAAACCCTCCGGATCTTTGATTACTATGCAGAATAAATCGCTTTTCAGTGTATTAGCGGGAGACCGGTGATGAACGGGTCGATGCCCTCTTCTCCATCGCTAACACTTCATGTAATCTGAGTCCTTTATACCGTCGTAAGAACTCATGAATAGCAGCAAAGGAATCGAGACCAAAATTTGTCATATAATGACACGATAGATCACCCGATTGTTCGGCTTTGATGAGGGCTATACAAAACCACCAGAAATCCATAGCATGTTTTACGAATCCTGTCAATGTTCTTTGATCCTGGCTGTCCTTTTTCATCAGTGTCTCCCAGAGTGATTTCCATCGCATGCAAGCACGGAGATATTGCTGAGAGACCATGGAGAATGGACCATTTCCTCTTGCTACGATGATGGATGTACCGAGACCTACACATTATTAGCATTTCTATTCTATTAATTGTTAGCATACTACTCACTATTAATGATTATCGCTAGAATCTCCGGCGTAAAACGTTTATATACTTCATGATCCGGCCCAGGCCATGAGTCCTGAAGAAGAAAAGAGATAGCGTTTGCTAACGATTGGGGTTGTGGTCCTCCTGATGGCTCTAGCGACAACAATCGGGCGAACTCTTCCACTGTTTCTGCCTCGTATATTTCTCTTCGACAAGGCATATCACCAACCATCTCAGCTGTATAAACCTGAGCATGGCCATTGAAACAACATACCAAGAAGCAATTGCTAAATTGAATCCAATGCGCAATTCTGTTGTTCCCGTTAGCCTTCAACCATATTGAGTGTGAAGTTAGACCGACTTACCGAATACCTGTCTCCTCTTTGATAAATTGGTCCCAATCCGAGGCCGTATACCCGGATAGGTCCAATTGGTGTTTGGCCTGCAGTACACCTGTCATTTTTGTCGCAGCAACTAAATAAGGATGCCTTTGGACTCGTATCCTACGGCGAGTGATTTCGTCGTTCCTACTATTTTGGATGACTGTTATTGAAAATGCTGCTTGAAGGATCTCTAGACTATCGCCCATATTGCTCGAATTGTTGTTTGGCTCGGCCAGTCGCTTCATATCGGGATGGTTAAAGATATACTCTTCTGCGACACGGAAGAACGAATGTGCTGAAATAGCATCGTCCAGTGGCACCGAGAACAACGCCCCATAGAGGAAAACCGCAAGTAGGAGGGGTAACGAAACTTTCTCGCAATTAAATGTCGGAGGGTGTATGATGGGATGATAAGGATGTATGTGTTGGAAGCATACCGCGAGGAAATATTCGGCATTTTGCGCAGTGAAAACGGACCGAGCAAGGTCAATGTTGAAATCCAGCTCGCTCGTAACACCGTTGAACCTCATAACATGATGGGCATCAGCTAATTGTTTAATCAATTCTTCCAGCCGGGCACTTAACATAGTTGGCTCGAATACAGGATTCTCGACGTCTACCGAGTACCCGTCGCCTAGGTCCAAGGAAGGGTCCAAATAGAAACTAGACATCCAAGCGCCCGAATCCTGGGGAAAAGGTTCGTCTTCAAATGCTGCCATCGAAACTGGCATGGTTTCTCCATCGATAACACTATCGGCATTTATATCCTGGACTACGGCTTCCGCTGTTCCGCCAGCTAGGGGATCGGTCATCCTCAGGAGCCATTGGTCCGTGTTTGTAACTGGTGAGTCCGTCGACGTCGGCGCAGTCAAATCATCCACTCGTAGGTACGAGCAGGTGAGACCACGAGACCGACACCGCGAACATGGTGTTTCTAAATTGCATGTAACCTTGCTTTGCGAGCATCTATCGCACGCTTTCGGCTTTTTACCGCGTTTTGCAGTGGGAAGATCGATATCGGTGTCATCTTTCACACAGCTCCGTAGGTGCCGGCGGGCCACGTCACTAACAAAGAATGAGTATTTTATTCATCACCATGTAACTAGCAGTTATATAGAATACTTACATTCTTACGAAGCTTTTCGAACAGGAAGGGCAGACAATTACACGCTGACTATTATCTATCAGATGTTAGCAGAGCTATCTGATAGGTGGAATGGGATATTATGTACGTGTCGCCTCATGCCGACGCAAATGACTAATACTGGAATAGGTCTTATGACACGCAGTGCATTTCAATCGAGATACGGCTTCCTTCTTTGACGAACCGGGCATATTAATTGGTATAATGTCGAGAAGAAAAGAGAAATAGGATGTCTTATGTGGGTTTTTCCCCGCGAGTGGGTTTATCTCCGAATCCACCCACGATCATGTGGGCTTTATCCCGATAGATGGGTCTTCTTCCGAGGCGCCCCTTAGAAGTTTTACTGACTAGAGGAGCTTATGACATACGTCTAATAGTAATTATTTCTAAGAAAATGCGCAAATTAGGATTCATCATTAATCCAGCCCAGGCCTGTTTCATGTTTGGGGCTGAGTAGTCGAGTTGTCCAGTTGTTGATTGTATACCCGTGATCTGACTCTGCCTCTTTCCGCTTCACACCTCATATATTCTTTTCCACCGATGTCTTCGGCAATAAATATGAATAGCAGCAGAGCCATATGCAGATTAACGAGAGGTAAATCCCACAGGTAAATGCTTCCAACAATACTCTCTAACGCCCACATAGTCTCGGCTTTTTCATCACTCCCTACTCGGCTACTCTATCCATCGCTACAGACGTCTTCTTATGGCATCCGAAAGTATAGCCCCTCTCAACCGAGGTGCTCAAAGAGTAAAGCACTCTCAACAGACAGGGAAAAGACAGGTTTATTAGAATATACCACGTACGAAACCACATGACACTAAACGAATTAGTATCTCGCTAATCATTCGACAGTGCTAAACTCGACCAAATCGCCGCCTGGGCACGTAATGGATCATTCTGGCCCTTGAGTTTCGGGTTAGCATGCTGTAGTATAGAAATGATGCACGCCTCAATGCCACGATACGACCAAGACCGACTCGGAATCATCTTTCGCGCCTCACCCCGACAAGCAGATGTTATGATCGTCGCGGGGACCGTTACGAATAAGATGGCATCCGCCGTTCGCCAGTGCTATGATCAGATGCCCGAGCCGCGGTGGGTGATCAGTATGGGGAGTTGTGCGAATGGAGGTGGATATTATCACTATAGTTATAGTGTCGTGCGTGGAGTTGATAGGATTCTTCCTGTCGATGTGTATGTCCCTGGGTGCCCGCCGACTGCTGAGGCGTTGTTACAGGGGGTATTTTTGTTGCAGAGTAAGATTAGAAGGACGAAGGTGTCTAGAATGTGGTATCGTCGGTAGGCCTTTGGTGGCTTGATGCTTGCGCTTGCCTGAGATGTTTTTTATCATACAGTCATATGTATTAGAATGGGAAAAGAGTTATCGATAGAAATTATGTGTAAATAAAGCGGCATTGGTGAATGGATCGCCCTTCGATGCTGGTATTTAATTCTCTAGCGCATTGTTAACTATGCTTCCACAGAATATCATGAAAGCTAAGAGAAAACCCCCTATTCCAAAACCACCTTGAACATCTTGCTTGGCAACCGTCCAACTCACTGCAACGATCAAGCAGACAAGGAAGCTTACACATCCACATATAAAAAACACGAAGTTATCTATTCCTTCGGCGAATTGAATGCCCCATCCTACCGACATTCCCGTTATTTGGCATGGAGTTAGCTTCGTTCGTAATTTCTTCGGTATCCTCTTGTACAAATCTGGAAGAACGCTGGCATGAGTTGGATTCTCGAAGAAATGGACGAGCATGTTCGGTCCAATTGGCGGAACTAGCTGTGCTGGCATGGGGTCGTATTGGTATTGGTCCTTTAAATCTTCAGGAGGCAGCGCGGGTTTGGATCGTACGGAGGCTATTTCCGTACGATGGACGTCAAACTAAAGGTGTTGTATTAGTTTTTGATGTATATTTAAAAGTCCATGAAACTTACCTGAATGAAATGAATGCCATTCACTTTTCGTAGCCACAAGAGGGGAAGCCGGCGCCGCTTAGTATGATACAACATCCGTAACAGAGAGAAGAAATCCTGATCTGAAAGTATTGTACAGATTTCTTGTTGATAAAGCTTGGAGACCCAGCGTCCAAATGGAAGGCAAGCTAGCAAGTAGTTGTGCTTCTGCTCGAGATTCGTTCCAGATTTTTGACGACACTTTCCAGGTTCCCAGTAGTCTTTCCTTAGCCAATATCGAGGAAGCCTTGTGTCAAGAGCAATTGAACGTTTATCAAGCGGAGGCGAGATGTCATTGTTTGAGCCGTTGCCTGGGTTTGAATTGTTTGACTTAATATCTCCCTGTTCTCTTGATTGCATTCCATATTTGGATAATAATTTTTCAAGATCATCTAGGGCACCGGGTTGATACTCGGTATAGTCATCGTAAAGCTTAAGACCACAATTCTGTTTTTTGTTGGTATTTTATAAGAACTCAGTAGGGGGGTTTCTTACGCATGTCCAAAAGAGTCGCTTCGTCTTTTTATGTTGGCTTTTTCTACTGATAGAAGTAACTAAATTTTTGAATAGCATCCGTATGGAATCGATCCGTGTAACTCGCAATGGATCAGAGTAATTGCGCTCAACAAAAAATCGGACATTCTCCCTGAAACAGTAAAATGGTTCTGCCTCAAACAGGAATCCCTTTATTGCAATGAACCGGTCCACGTCTGGTGGTTGGTCGTCATCTGAATCGGATTCATCGCGTGGCTCTTTCTCGGGGGCGTTGTTCTCTCCAGTCGACTGCCCTACCGCAGACAATGGAAGCCAGAATTGCTTATATATCTCTTCTGCTAGGTGTCGGCGCTTTTGCTTCACGAACTTGCTTACTCGGATCTCGGAGTCCACCGAATCTCCATTAGCGTGCTTGTTACGAGCCAGATGGAGAAGATCTAAGCTATATCGTAGAATTAAAAGGGATATCTGCTCCTTCGCCTCCGCCGGAGACGCTGATCTGAGAACCACCTGGGGCCATAAATCTTGCAGATATCCATCGTGTAAAAGGCCGTCAGTAAGATGCTCGAGAGCTGTTGACGATTCGACCGTAGTGGCGGAAGTTGCGCTAAAAGTATCCGTGTCATCAAATAGGAAAGCTTCTACGGAAGAGGCTTCGTCGCTAGAGTCATCTTTGTTGATATGTTTGCTGCCCACTTCACTACCGATAGGTTTTTTCAAAATGGTGGGCGCGGCAGCGCCTCGTGGCCTGCGGGCATGAGCGCCCTTCCCAATGGCTGTTTTATAACCGCTATCAACATAGATAGGAATTTCTGGGTTGACGTATGCTTGTCCTGCGTGATTCTGGCAGGCAACGCCAACTGAAAGGGTTCGTGTTGTTACCTGATGTCCGGGCTGGCCATATGCGGTGCATTTGTCCACTGAATGCTTGTAATACAAACAACGGCAAGCGCTGTAAATTTCCACGAGTTGATAGCACATGGCCATCAGTTAAACTGCTGATGTGTCATCGGGTATCTCTCTATGCCTATCTTCAAGCGGCTACTGAGAAAACCGAGGACTTTAAGATTATATAAATATTCGCCTAACTCTACCGTGCGACGCTGTTTTGACTTCTATTTGTTGTCATGGCTGAGCTGAGTGAGGGCGAGGCTTAGTGGAGCACAGCCCCTGAATGACGGAATAGAGACATTTTTCACAATATCCCGGATCCGCTAGAAGGCTGTGCAACTATGCATATGCAAGGACCGTAGAAATCTTTCCATACCGAGAATCGCCATTCTCCCAAGCCTACATGCCAACTGATTTGGCATAGGAAAAGTATATGCCGATAGACGACGGTCCTGGAGATCCAATAGGCACAGACTTATAAAGTTTCTTGTTCGGCCCTATGCCCAGATCCCATCGAACACCATGTTATGCACAGCGCTTTCATGCTAGCAAACTAACTATCTACGTAGGTAGCGACATGCAAATGGGTTACTAAGTTCCTGTATTCGTTGGATGTGGTAATATTTTCCATATTCTGCTAATTGCCAATTACAGTATCCCAGAATTCCAACCCGCGTCGAACGACAACAATATGCTGCCTACTCGCGAAAAAGAACTTCGTACCTTCGGCGTGTTGAGCCGCTATACATCGCAGCTCTCCACTATCTGTGCACCATTCACTTAGAGCGAAGAAATGTCTCCTTATGAAAATCGGTAGTACTTGTTGCGTAGGCGGCTTGGATCCATCCTGTACTACCGGCTTTTCACCAAAAAGGCTGGCGCGGGCGTATGGTTCTGATTGTTCTAGACGAAGTTCCATGCTGTATACCCAGAGATTGGCGTCCATAAAGAGAACTGTGGACTTCCCTACGACGCCGAGTACTGTCATTATGTCGGTGCCGATGGCAGCAAGGTCTACTTCCGTAGGAGACGCTTGGGATGCCGATAGCGGCGTTGTTGGGTCGAATGTTTGCGCCGGCCAGGCGTACACTTGTGGGGGTGTAAAACGTGATACCTTACGCAGCTCGAGGACGAAATCCTGTCCGACGGAATACGATGAGCCCCGCATTGATGGTGTTTTAGTCGCTGGAAGAGGTTGAGAGAGGGGGGACTCAACGAACGTCGAGGGCTCCTCAAGGATGTCGTTCGTGGTAGCCAATTCCTGAAAGTCAGACCAACAAAAGATTCTACGAGCGTTGGCGGACATCAGGACAAACCAAGACTCGTTGGTGGGGTGCTGGAGAGCTGTTGCTGCTGCCAGACTATCACTAAGAACTATAGGACTAAAAACTCGACCAGATGGCAAGTCGCATAGTTCGTCCGTGTGGCGCCCACATATTAAAAGGCGGTCCGCCGAAGGGTTGACGAGTAGATTAATGATCGAAGCACCGAACTTGCGATCCAGAACGACATGGGCGGATGGTAAACCCTGTGTCACCGAGGAGGTAGCGATGGACAACTCTGCCACAAGCACCCTACCGGCATCATCTGCTGAAATTACCAAATTGCGGGCTTCACCTAAGGCGACGTTGACGATTGAAACGCCGCGCCCGTGGTCATAAAGCACACCTAACTCTTCCCCGTCGATAGCTGAAAACGCCACTACCTCGCCGTTACTCTTGCCTGCGATGACACAACTGGTGCTTGAGGAAACAACTAGAGCGCTCGTGATTTCTGGAATTTCGGGTCCCAGGGTTGTGCGAGCGATTTTGGGAGAAAGCGGTACGGCGTCTACGCTCCCTAGCTCATTGTCCTTCCGTATTAGAGCCGTAGGCGCCCACACGCGACACTGCTCGTCGTGAATGTCGAGGCAGCGTAGACCATCAGCACTAAAGGCTACGCTACGGATCGACTCGTCGGGTGATTGGATGCTGTAAATAGGGATTAATATAGTGTTTCCGATGTGGTCCTGACTGAATTTAAATATCTTAAGACCCTTGGTGCTGCCGGCTATGAGATTGCGACCGTCGGGGGAACAGGCGATGCTATGCGCGAACACATTTGACTGATTGAACGTGGGTGTTAAAGTATGGTAATTGAAGAGACATAGTCTGCCGTCGTTGTATGAAACTATCAGCTCGGGGGTATCTGGGTTGGGATTGAATATCATGTCATCTATCCCATTGTTTTCGGCGTCTCCACATTGTCCTAATAATCGCAGCTCGAATGCATTCCAGATGAATATTGGGTACCTTCGATAACCCACCGCGAGTAGTACCGCATCGCCCGCCGTAGAGAATGCTGCACGGCCTGGGGGCTGTTTAGGGATCCCCAGATTATCGGCGATATCTTCGGCGTACCCTCCTCTCCAAGAAATTGTTTCATGCTGATCGTCATGCTGATCGGAGTCGAGACGCCTAGTGAGTAAAGGCTTAGTATTATGTCCATATAAATGCCAAGCTTTGAAAAGTAGCTAACATCTTGATTCGTAAGGTCCAGGTAGGTGGGTGGTCTTACCATTTAGTTAGCTCACCAGACGCAAAGGCACAAAGAAACTCATCACCACCCAGGAAAGTAAAAGCAATAAGTTGCGACTCCAGTGGGAAAGAAATTTTCTGAGTCCTAGATTTCAGCTGCCAAACAACCAGAGTTTTGGTTCCAGAAGAAGCAAGAAATTCGCCGTCAGTGCTAAACCTTAGCATTCTGACTCTTTCAGGATGAGCGATACTCGCGACATGCTGAATAGAGTGAGCGTTAAAGAGGGAAATCTGGCCGGTTGATAAACCAACAGCAAATAGATGGGCGTCACAGCTCACTGCAGTGGCCCGACCCCGCTCAAAATCGATATGGGTTAGGCAGTCGTCCCATGAAGCTGGAGGGATACCTTTGATAGTTATTTTTGAGGATTTGGCATCATTGACAAAAGTTCTCGAAATGATTGAATCAGATGGACAAAATAACGGAATAATGTAGTGGATAGATGAGGGACAAACTAATAACTGAGACCTGAACTTAGCAGCAACTCGTATTAGATCAGTCACCCAGCAGCCAACAAGATAAGCTGAGGGGTCCATGAGAGGGAGGTACCTCGCTTTCTCTTCGAGATATTCACGCAGATTTATTGCCGTCCTAGTAATATCCCCAAGACTCCCATATCTAGCGACATATTCAATCCATGAGAGGATGGCCCCACCCTTCACGAAAGTACACAGTTTCGCCATCAGGATATCGTCTCTTGAGATGCCTCGGTATACATGCTCAGAGAAGAAAGAGGTCGCATAGTCCAACATGGACGGCTCAGAGGCAACGATATCAGTTGGTTTTGCGAAACCACGAAATCCCGAGTTCTGCTGCTGCAGTGGTACATGTAGCTTGGAGGCATTGCTGAGGAGGTATTGAAGTAGCAGTGATCCAATATAGGCATGCTTCTCAATACTGTGGACAATAAATTCTGGATGAAGATCATTATTGAGAAGAAATTCCCGCGCAGTTGCATGTAAGATGTACACCCTGTCATTACTATCGACAGATACTAATTGATGACACAAGCTAGGAACTGCCTTGCTAATGTTTTGCAGCGTCTCGTTGATGTCGAGCTTCACAGCAACGCGTAGCTCGGTAGCCGTAAGCGGTCGGCATGCCGAGATAGCCCACGATAGGATAGATTTAGCAAGCTTGGCTGTCCGCTTATTCTTCTCTATGGACTGTAACATTCGACAGTACATATCTTGAAGGTCTATAGGTATTTCATCGAGGATAGCATCCATGGCTTCGCTAGTCCAAACATTTCCAAACTCTTGAAGAACGAGTCGGACCCATAAAAAGGAACCAGAAGATTTTTCTATGATCTTTTCGCACATCGTATGGACACTTTCGTCATTTTCTAGGCGATCCAACTCTCTAAGCTTTGAATGTACAAGGAGTCGCATATCGCTAAGCGTGTCAGTTTCGGATATGGACTGCAGGCACACAAGCGACCCGATGGATGCCAAACCGCGCCTGATTTCGTCTAGATGACGACTGGTAGCAAAAAAGTGAAGGCCTTCGGGGACCGTAGCGAGGATCCTCTTAGTGAAGAGGGAATTGAAATTAACACACTCATCGACACCGTCGATTATCCAGAAATGCCGAGAGATGGATGGCAGTTTGAAGATTCCGTTGACAAAAAGTTTCCTCCAAAGGCTCAATTCATCAGTCAAATCCCAGGTTACATACTCGGCTTCTATTTCGAAGAGTTTGTCCGCCATCTGACTATCTTGTATGGCCATCTGAAAGAGGAGCGAGCGCAAACAATCGCTTAGCGTGGACTTGCTAGCCTCCCTTTGCTTGAAGAAGAAGTAGCTGCAAAAAGAGTCCGCTGATTCTACCTGTTCCACAACGTGGCTTGATAGTACCGATTTACCAAACCCTGGTCTTCCAGTGAGCCAGAGTATTCCAGGGGACCTATTTGTCTTCCATGAGATGAAACATTCAGCTTCTGTGAACCATCGGCAAGAACCTGGGTGTTGAAGCAATTGAAGAGTCTGGAGCTCATCCTCCGGCGCATCGGTGACGCCCAAGAACGAGCTCAGGCGCTGACGAGCACTCTTCTGATTCAAATTCTGCTGCGCGGAAGTCAATTGGACATAAGTTTGTGAACAGGTCAAATCCAAAGATGGCAATGACCTTAGCATGTCAGTAACCGTGTGAAGAGCATTTCGCAAGATTCTGTAGTTAGGATCAGCGGGACTGCTGAACTTGCACAACTGACGGTGGTCGGCGTTCATAGCGATAATCTCTTCATTAGGGTAACCAAGGGTCGCCGAATGCCTCTCGACCACGATCTTGTTTAATATTCTAGGCCTAGCAGGAAGTGTCTCATAGAAAGACCAAAGGCGCAAATTCGAAGCATAATGACGAAATGTGTCATTAATGTCCCTCAGTGTAGATGAGTTAGGAATGAGGTCGGATACGAACGGTTTGGAGCCCCAGGCGAGAATAGACAGTCTTTTGAGGATTGCTGCGAGATCACTACCCCTGTGTGGAGTACCTAGAAAGAAGATGGAATGAATTCTGTCGGCTAGGTCCTTACAACTAGGATCCTGGCGTGTCATAATATAGGCCTTTTTAGCGACACATCCACCCATACTATGGCAAACGAATATAATACGTGTACTACTACGCCGTATACCGGGATTGTTCTTCAGTCCTCCAACTAACGATTCAGCGAAGTCGCGGATGTCGAGGATACTTCGCTGTCGTTCAGCCCATTCGGATTTATAGCCGAAGGAGTGGATGCGTATATCTACGAAGTCCGGGTCGTTGGCTAGCCATGCTTGTGGCCAGTAGTGATGTTTACTAGGGGAATAAGACCATGTTTTGCGGCTGCCTCCGCCTAATCCATGGACGAAGACAATATCGGCCAGGGTCTTGTTAGGAGGCGGTGGTTCGTGGAGCGTCGTTAGACCAAGAACGCCATGAGTTTCGTCATCAGGCATAATCGTCTCGGAAGTAGAGATAGAGAGTACACTGCTCAGCGTCTTGTGAAGCTCTAGTGAAGGGATATGACGTTAATTCTCAATTACCGCTCTACACGGAATTAGCGAGACCTGCTGAAACTCTCAACATACCTGGTCCACGACCCATTTTGATGGTAGGTCAAGGCATCGAGATCGTATAATCGGTAAATCTCGCATACAGATCTCGGTTGTATAATCAAAAAGTTGAGAGAGGGGTGCTTCATTTGGGGGCTGGGTCAGCCCATCCAGTACCCTGGTACATACGAAAGCGGCTATGCAGCGCCAATCTTCTCGTTGGTACGGTGGTCCAATCAGCTATAAACTGCCAATGCGTCAAAACGCCGTACGAATATACAGTACCTAGGTAAATATAATGCATTCCAAGGTTTATAATGCATTTCAAATAAGCGCTATAACGCCCTATGATTGTAAGGTCTTACGGAGCCTTAAGCCCTATAAATATGGCGCACTTACGGTACCTATCTAGGTACACTTATAGCACCCCACTAAAGACCACCATAATTACGGCGCTTAGAGCCCTATAAATTTAACCACGACAGTGCGAGTCACCACCATACTGTAAAATACACTGTATTATTGGCACATTGGCAGTTTATTGAAAACGGCACACGATAGTCGGCGGCGGTGGAGTTCCATTGCCCTAATCACCGGGCCGCCATGTTGGTACAATGAGGTTTTGCGTGAGTAGAAATATGTTAGGATCCAGCCTTGATTTACCTAGGTATTTTCCATCCTACTCTATCCAAATATCATAGCAGCTATCATATAGTCAAATCTCAGTAGACGCAACTTGCGCGCAACCTTCTTAAATATGGATCACCCAGTCTCAGTAGACCAAAACGTCGTTGATGGTAGAGTTGATGCAATTCATTTCCCCTGATCATTCGTTCCCGACTAAGAGATCGCAGCCCTTCCCGATGTTGCGGAGATCCTCGAGACAAAACATCATGGAGAGTCCGAGTGGGCAAAAGCAACCCGGGTCAAAGTGTTACACAAGGACGGGAAAAAGGAAGATTATTTCATGAAAGTCTCTATCGGAAAGCATGGCCGCGCAGCACTCAAAGGCGAATTTGAGTCCACATCAGCCATTTATAGCATCACTCCCGATTTCTGCACCAAGCCCATCGCCTGGGGAACTTTTGCCAGCGACTCAAACTCGCACTTTTATATCTGCAAATTCTACAACTTCATTGAAGGTGTCCCCGAGCCCGAGAAATTCTGCGAGAAGTTAGCGCGACTGCATTCCAGCCATACCTCGCCCAATGGAAAATTTGGATTCCACTGCGCGACATACAACGGCAACCTGCCTCAGGACAACTCTTGGTCCGACAGTTGGGAAGCTTTCTTCGCAAACGGCCTTCGACACATACTAAATATCCGCGAGGAACGGGCTGGACCTAACGCTGAATTAAATGAACTTCTCACCCCTCTGTTTGGTAGAATTATACCCCGGCTTTTACGGCCACTGGAGAGCGACGGGCGTAAAATACAGCCGTCATTGGTGCATGGAGACCTTTGGTATGGGAATGCCGGGGTTACCGACAAGAATACCAAGGAGGGTATCGTCTATGATCCTGCTAGCTTCTGGGCGCACAACGAATGCACGTCAAGCCCCTCTTACTAACATAATTGGCATCTAGCTGGCTAACTATCGCCATAGATGAACTCGGTAACTGGCGCCCCAAGCGAAATAAGTTCGCTCGTCCATACTTCGAGGAATATCACTCTCACATACCTCAGTCGGAGCCTCGAGAAGATTATGATGACCGGAATGCACTCTACTCCTTGTACGTAGCACTTATAATAATTAGTCTTGTAGTCGTGAAGACCCTGTAACTGAGTATTTGCACAGGAGGTTCAACCTACACGCTTCAGCCATGTTCCCGCACCAGGAATCATACCTACAGATGTAAGGGATCATTTCTTCTAGCAACCCCTAGGATCTAACCTAAAACAGGGTGATTGATGGAATTCAGGAGCTTACAGAACGATTCCCGGAAGAGGAGTGTGATTCCGTCTGATATACCAAGGAGTCGTTTTGTTATTTGATAAGGTATGATGTTGATTTCGTCAGCTCAATTCATTGATTGCCTCTCATAACTTACCTAGGTATATAAGAGATTTTTTTTTATCAATCGAATCAAACGTGCCAAGTGTGTTTGTAGCTATGTACTGTACACCACACTGTATACATTCTTATCATCTGCAGTTCCCCTCACAATACGTGTGACAGAGTGGCGTGCTTCTCCCCTCCTTGATCATCCCAGATCCCAGGTTCTCATAGTTAAGAAAGTTGCCCTAAAGCAACCCCAAGCCATCCTGCTATTGTCCTCTTTCTACCATGGCTCTGCCAGACACCTTCGTGCTGAATAATGGCCGCAAGGTTCCAGCTGTTGGGCTCGGAACATTTCAAGGAGAGGATGGCAATTCCCAGGTTAAATATGCCGTGAAGCTTGCTTTGATACTGGGCTACCGACATATTGATGGGGCTCACGCTTACGGAAATGAGAAGGAAATTGGTGAAGCTATCAAGGAGAGTGGTATTGCTCGACAGGAAATTTTCGTCACGTCAAAGCTGTGAGTCGACATTTGGATCGCGCAATGCTCCGGGCTGACTGACTGTCTCCAGCGCACAGACATGGCATGAGCCTGCCGATGTTGAAAGAGCTCTGGATGAATCTTTACAGAATCTCCAACTTGACTATGGTATTCAAGCACCCCGGCCTCTTAATTAATAAAGGAAACTGAAAATTCTATTATATGTAGTTGATCTGTATTTGATGCACTGTACGTAACTGAATTCCGTCACTACCATAGGTTCAGGTCACCTCCAAACACTGACGTTGCCAACACAAAAGTCCCTTATGCTTACAAGGCTGGCGAGAACCACAAGACCATAAGACATCCAAGCGGTAACGGCAAGGTGATGTACAATCTTAATAATACATACTTAGTTTTCATCTGCTCATGCCATGGAATAGCCTCTAATGGATTATGGTCTCTCTAAACGTTATCCAGAAACATGGCAAGCGATGGAAAAGCTTGTGGCTTCGGGCAAAGTACACTCAATCGGTACCTACGCATGTCGCTAATTACGTACTATTTCATCTCGTAATAGAATGCTAAGCTGAGGCCACAGGATTATCGAATTTCAACATCCTGAAGACCAAAAGAATTCTTGAAGTCGCTACGATTATCCCAGCCGTCAATCAAGTCGAAATCCATCCGTAAGACAGAAAGAACCCGACCGCTTTGCATTCTTACCCACTAATAGCGCCTAATCTACAGGTACCTCCCACAGCACGAGCTCTGCCAATTCTCAGCACAGCATGGTATCTTGATCATGGCTCATCAGCCCCTCGGTGGACGGCCGGTACCCCTCGTTCGAGGGCACCCGGACGAACCATTTCCAACGGAAAATCCAAAAGTATGTGAACAAAATAAACCGGATTATCGAATGCTTCTTACTGACTGCTCATTAGATTCTAGATATCGCATCTAAATGTGACATGACCCCCGCACAGGTAATTCCTCTCAACACCGCCTAAGATACTAAATAACTAAATCCATTTTGCTGTAGGTTTGTCTATCTTGGGCTGTACAGAGAGGCATCGCAGTCGTTCCCAAGTCCGTCAGCGAAACACACATGAAGCAGAATTTGCAGGTGAAAAGATTGCCTGACGGTCTCTTCACCATCGTCGATCAACTTTCCTTGGAACGGGGCCCTCTTCGGTTTCTTGATCCTAGCGGGCACGTAGGATTTAACATTTTCGATGAAAATAATGATCAGCCGGTGGGAAACAGCGCGTCCTGGGGTTAGCGCGACATATTGTATCGAAGCACCAGTCGCCACAGACCCAAGGATAGATTTCGAAATGCGTTGTAGTTGGTTTAGTCTTGAGTTAAAAGACGCTAGAATCTACGATTATATAATGTCGTAATTTGTCGCGTTCTATATTACCCGCACCACTAATTTATTCTATACTAGTGCGGACAACTAGTAAGGTGTAGATTTCCAAGGGGGCTAATAATACGCAAGAGCCAACACGTCGCCCGATCCTTACTCCTAGGCAAACTTAAGAAGTTAAAAAGAATGGTAACATATATAAAAGGTGAAATAACAGCCTGTGCTATTTCCGCTTGTTATGGATCCTTAATAGCTACGATAAAACCAAGTCGGGCGTAGCTTGCGGCGCGCCGACCGACCGAGTGGTCTGCCATGTAACAGTCTCAATAATTGAGTTATTTCCAGCACTCTAGTTCTCACTCTTCAAGGTCGAGAATTCAAACCGGATTTAAATGCCTTCAGGATCGTGTGGCCTTCGCCCGGACATAACGTGGTTATTGTCGAAGCAACATGAATGCAGAGCGCTATGATGGGCTGAATAACGCTATAATCTGACTCACTCAGAAATTACGATATGTTGGTCCAGCTGCGATCCGCGCCGCAAAGCTTGATGCCTTAGGCACTTCGCCTTGTGGTCAATTCTTAACACTACGCCGCAACGCTTTGCGATTCCCCTGTCGGAACAAGAGTCTTACTCCTTTCCTCCTAAAATCTATCAATTTCGGACGAAATACTCCTCTGAGTTATGGCGCAAACCACCACGGCAGATTTGCCGATCTTGATCATCGGCGCCGGTATCGCCGGGCTCACATTAGCGCAAGGACTCCGCCTTCGCTCAATCCCATTCCGCGTCTTCGAGCGCCATCCTCAGACACATGGGTTACAAGGTCATCGCTTTCGCATATCATCAGATGGCCTAGCCGCTCTCAATGGGGTTCTATCCCCTTCTTTGCAAGACCTAGTTAAACGTACTGCGGCCGACACAGTTCGCATTGACCCGCGATATGTGGATGTTAGGAAGCTTGAATACTCAAAGCCCGTACCCGAGAATGGGGTGACAATGGCCGTGGATAGGAGGTGGGTACGCATGGTGACTACGGTGGACATCAAAGATGCTATTGATTACGAAAAAGAATTTGAATCTTACGAGGTTGTTGACGGAAAGGTCCAAGTCAAGTTCACAGACGGTTCGGTAACACGCGGGCAGCTACTTGTTGGTGCGGACGGCCTCAGAAGTCGTGTGCGTAGACAGCTTCAGCCCGGTCGCAAATTGCTTGATCTCGAGCGCTGGATTTTGTGGGGCCGAGCTCCCTTGACCGAAGAATTGAAGGAAAAGATACCGCAGGACATGCTAACCTGGTGCATGTACGTTGATAAGGAAGCTAATGTCCAGGCTATTGTCGAGCCTATGATGTGGTCGAAAAGCACGCGACAGGAATCAAATAACAGACTGCCGGGTTTTTCCAACTACCTCTACTTCGCCGTCTGTACGGGCGTTTCTCAGTTTTCGGAGGTCTTGCCGAAGACAGCCGAGGAAAAGAGGCTGTATCTGAGTGCAGTGACAAAAACTTGGCATCCCGCGCTGAAGCTACTATTCGATTCGGCTATGCTTGATGCGACCGCTTGTGTACCGGTCTTATCTAGCAAACCTGACATTGGGGCTTCTTCGACGGGCCAGACTGGGCGAGTTACACTTATTGGTGATGCAGCGCATGCGATGAGTCCTATGGGTGGTTCCGGTGGTGATACGGCAGTCCGAAATGCAGCAGACCTAGCACAAACCATTGCTGACGAAGGCGTTACGAAAGATAGTATCGCGGGATTCGAGGCCCGAATGGAAGCGAGAGCAAAGGAGAAAATTGAGCATTCTTTTAGGGGTGGGCAGAAATTCTGGCGCGGAAAAGAGTGGACGGAATACCACGAGACTGATATTTAAAATCGCCTTTCTGCGCAATAGGGGCACCTCTAGAACGAGACTACCGCCTATTTATAGGCGAGTAAGTGGCAGGTTTTAGGTACTGTTCAGGGACTTTACTAGTTCTAGCTATAGGTCATCCATCGATTAACTGAGCCATAGTTGGTCCATGTCCACAACCATCCCCCGCTATTCATCCTCGTTGACGATTAACCCATAATCTTAAGGGAAAATAAACAATTAATAACAAAAAGATTGCCACTGAATATAGTCCTGGGACAATTTGAAGGCCGTCACCCACAATCCCGAACTGACTTCTCTTAAGCTCAATATCCTGCCCAAGGGGATGATACTCGTCTTGACCATATGTCGCATTTAATGTTACATTCGCAGAGACTGACCCGTCTTCCAATCGAATCCATGTAATTGCTTCCTTGGATAGAGTTTCTTGTTTTAGTAGGATTTGTCTTCCGCCACGAGGTAGATTTCCATAGCTCCCATATCCTGTATGACGACCGTAGCACACGCTAACACCATTCTTAGCTACGGCCTGATTGGCACCAGGACGCCACTTGTAGCACCTATGAAAACTAACATTAGCGGTGAGCCCTTCTAGGAATTAATAAATGTTACCCCTACCAGTCATTGTCGTGGTCATGGCCGCTAAATGTTGCCAATAGTCCATCCGTGTTCGATAGCGCGGTCATGAACGCTTCGTCATGGCCAGTCTTATCATCAAACATTCGACCCTGCCACCAGACTTTTTCTCCATCCACGCCTGGTTCTTTACTAGGATTAACACCTGGAGATGTCTGGAAATTGTATGTTGCAGTGATAGGTATATGAAAAAAAGCAAGCGACGGAATAGTCTTTTTATATCGTTCAGTAAGAGATGCACTAGTTTCCTTGAACCAGTCGACGACCTAATAAGTGTTAGATGGCTCAATTAAGATAAGTAACAAAAGCAATATTTACCGAATTATCGACCCAATCATGCGGTTGATCACCTCCTCTACTGTCGAAGAACCATAAAATGACTTCTGGCACTTCTTGATTTCCAGACGCTGAATACACCTGCAAAAAATAATTCGAGACACCAGCTTGCGGATGGTCGGGTAACATATTTTGGGTTAAACTATTGCTGTAATCCTGCTCTCGTCTTAGAAGATCTTTAGATCTTGAATAACGTTCATTGTCGTGATTTCCGTATGTCGTCGCCCATGGCAAGCCCGATTCCACAATTGGTGCGACGATTTGATCTAAATAGATCGTCGCATTATCGGCCACTGTGCCGTAGCCTGATATAAGATCTCCATTGAGAACAACTAACTGCGAATTCTCGTATTCTAATACCTTCTTTAAAACTTCGCTGGTCTTGGCATCCTTTATTGGACCCTTTTCATTATCCTCGTCTAGGATGGTGTTTTTATATTAGAAGCCGTACTATTCAGTCTTGAATTAGTTGACTTACCCTCAGCCAAGTGGAGATCCGAGAATACAGTAATTTGAAAGGTGCCATCTTCAAGGAATTGTAGCGTGCGACCGTTGCTCCGCTGGGATAAAGTATGTGACCGGTGATGCTTCCGCTCGTGAGGTTCAAACCCCATCTTCTATATGCCAGGTAGTATCTATCGGATATAGAATAGGGGATTTTGCAGTTAGAAGAAGGTTGAAATGAAGAAAAATTAAAGTTAGAAAAGGCGCTCCGGGGGATGGAGAGGGGAAGCGGTGGGGTGTAAAATGGGCGACCGCACTTGAATTTGCACGTGCGGCATCTGCTAAACATCTGTGGTCTACTGTCTCGTATCCTATTGTATGTCTGATGCGTAACAGACTGTACAAATTGTCAACTTAGAGCTATTACTGAACAAGGAAGGCGAGAATAGCACCGGGCTAAGATTCCATCGTACGGGCACAACTTAGTGGTAAGTAACAGGAAACTGTTCATAGAAGGCCGCGTCTAGATAAACCCCTAAGCATGCTGGGGTGCTTGAATATAGTGCACTTATTGAAAATTCAAGCCCTAGATATACTAAAGCTGCGGGGACCAAGCCCACCAATAAGCCCCCAAAACTAGAGCATACCTAGCCGCTAATCTTGAATTATCCTAATGGTTCATACAGCAGGTAGGACGGCGCCCCACGAAGTCTACAACGTAGCACGGTTAATCGAAAATCATAGGCTATCTAAGACTTATCAGGGCGTAAACTAACATCTTAAAATGCCTGTATTGTATTTTCACACAAATGCTATTCATTGGCGACTTTCGAATAATTTAACAAGGAAACAATTCAATGACCTTAACTAATACAATAACCTAATTGACCCCTAAAGATAATATATAATAAATAGACGCATATATGTGAAGCCGTCGCAATAGATCTACTTAAGACCTTGATCGCCAATATGCTAAACCGATCAAATTCACTGCGATTTGTAGCGGAGAGTTTGGCGTGTGCTGTGAACACTATTCGGGGGCTACCTTCTGAAATGATACATACTACCACGATTAATCCGGGAAAAACACCAAAGAACCCTAAGTGACTAAAAGAAAAGCGAACAAAGAAAGCTGTATTACAAAGTGGCCCTTGTCCCATAAATTCAGACCAAGTTCCTAGTAGTAAGAGCCTCTGAGCGGAGATAAAGATAAATATAACACTCCATTCAATTTTCGGATAACCTAAGAGGTTTTGGTTATAGTTAATCCGACTTCCTAAACAGGTAGAGTGCTCAGCCCTGATTGGCCACTTCACAAAGTTAGCTTATGGGTTACCCGAAAGTTAATCAATATACAGCATTAATCATGATATTAACAAAAGTCCAAGGCGTTGATAAGATTTTCTTAGTTAAGGATGCCTAATGACGACAATATATACATTTGATCGGAGTTCAAATTGAGCATTGTAAGTTCTCTACCTACCTAAGATACCTAGGTAGGTACTAGAACACATGACTCAAAGTTGTATTGTGACGAGTTGAACTGTGTTCAGCTTAGTGCCATACAACACCTTGAGGACAACAAAGAATCCCTCTAAATTTACCTACCTAGGCACGCTGAAGTTCTCGCACGGCCATCATAGTTCACCAACCCTTGATATACAGGGCAGTATGTCAACTTGAAAATATTTACATCCCTTACAATCGAACTACGCCCCACCAAAAGCTAATCAAGAGATAAACGAGTTGGAGAATTTCATACCTAAACACCCTAGTTTAGTTCTTAGTATAGATTAAAGGGTAGCTCCAGAATGGATAATATCTCCGCATGGGAATCTATATAGAAACAAGGCACCCTGAAATTATTGGCTATGAATATGAATTACCGTATGGACAGGGTCCGGATCGCGGGGTAAATGCAACACGGCACTCCCCAGTACCATAGAATTAGCAGGGTCCTACAGTAGGCTATGGGGATCATCTTGGCATAGCTACCCCAGAATGCGTAAATCAAGGCCTCTCCCATTTAACATCACTATTACCTGATAAGGGTTATGCTGGTATTTGAGATCTGCCGAATGATAGTCACAAGTTTGATATATCCTCGTAATTATAATGGAAGGCTATCCAAAATGGACGTTATCGTCGTGGAACTATATGATATATTCCATTGGGACCCCGTTGTCTTTTTATTTGACCCTTCTAGCTTGATGCTCTGTCGCAAATTTAGCCATCAAGCTCCATCCTTATTCCAAGATGGCATGCAAAGTCGCCGACGATTCACAGAACCAAAGGTCGCATCTAGTGCGTAGCCACGCACATGAAGAAGATATTCCCGGGACTGTAAATGTCCAAGCCGCCGGTGAGTAATGTTGAATATTCTATTGGGGCCGTTATTGTATACCTAGACATTGACAACTTTTCGAATAGAGGGGGATGATTCCTACTATGGGCAAGCGCTTTTCCCTGTTCCAGCCGACGACCCCAACGACCCCTTACAGGTAGGTCTACGCTATCCAGACACCATTTCAGCGTGCTAGAGAGCTAAGGAAGCATAGTGGTCAAGAGCAAAAAAGATTATGATATTGATCATCATATGCATCTATTCGTGCTTAGGAAACTCTGCGCTCTTGGGAACAGGTCCTTACTTGACACTCTGGTCAGAAATATTTAATATCTCCCCAGGAGATGCATCGACACTTATATCCTATCCAAACCTCGCCTATGGTTTCAGTTCCTTCGTCCTTATTCCTCTGTATCTGAAGTTTGGAAGACGACCCGTAATGCTGGGCTCCTTGTTAGCGGTTAGTACACCTAAATTAACGGTGTTAGCGAGTACTGTACCCCGCTAACGTACGCGAATGCAGTTCATCGCTGGTCTTGCTGGGTCCTCACAATCCAACAGTTTTGCTGAATTGATGGTAAATGCTGGAATATTCGGATGCTTATCACTTGTAAAGCTAATAGCTAATTAATTTGCACAGGCCTGGAGAATTGTCCACTGCTTTGGAGCTGGCATATGCGAAGCTCTTCCCGTCCAACTCGTAGCAGACATATTCTTCCTGCATGAGCGTGGAAAATACATCGGATACTACACCTGTATGGCTGTTCAGCTCCCCTATCCGCACTCCACTGGCACTAATTTATTCCCTAGTCGGTATGTGTTTTGCGGCAGCGGCAACGATTCCAGCGGCGTACATGTTACCAACCAAATATTCATGGAGACTCTTCTTCTACGTCGTACTCGCATTAGCCTGCGCACTATTCATCCTTGCCTTCTTTTTCGTCGAAGAATCGTCCTATGACAGAGAAGAACATATGAATCGCGCCATATCGCCCGAGCGATCGGACAGGACGATATCGAACACCGAAAAGCCCGACGAAGCCATCGTCGAACAAGCGGCGAGCATCCCGACCCGGAAATCGTTCTTGACAACACTTCGCCCGTGGGGCCGGATCGATCCCGAAGTCAAAATTTTTACGTTAATGTGGCGGTCCTTCACTTATTTCCTCGTCCCGCAGGTTCTATGGGTTATTACTTCCTTTGGAATTATCATAGGCCTAGGTGCACTCGCTTTCAACTATGTCTTCCCAATTAAGATTATGGCGCCTCCATACAACTGGCCAGAGTCTAGTTCTGGTATTCAGTCGCTTGGTGGTGTTCTTGGATTTCTCTTTGCGGTCCCATTTACTTCCTCGTCAGATCGACTTGCGGGGTACTTAACCAGGAAGAATAATGGAATCCGCGAAGCCGAAAGTATGTGATGCTCAATTCAACGATGGTGAAGTTATTACTGACTCTTGTTATAGTGAGGTTAGGGGTAATGCTACCCGCCATGATTCTAGGGCCTGTCGGATTAGTGATCTATGGGCTTGCTGCCCAGCTGAACCTCCACTGGATCGCTTATTTCTTCGGGTCCGGTTTAGCGTCATTCGGTGGCTATTTCTACTACAGCTTCACGCTAGCATATGCTGTTGATTCTTATAACAGCAATACGTCTGAGATGCTTATTGCCATCAACGTCGGGAAGCAAGCAGTGAGCTTTGGACTAGGCTTCGGAGTTTTGGATTGGGTCATGGAAAGTGGTTATGCTGCAATTATCGCTGGCGCCTTCGGTGGAGTGTTCTTCGTGAACAATCTAGCACTTATCCTGTTCATGTTACGGGGGAAGCAGATTCGGCGCTTTATGTCGACATCATGGCTGGCCAAGCTGCATGGCAGAAGGTAGAGTCGGCTATCAGAAGCACGTGCTGACGGGCAAGCGCTATTTAGGTAGGCCTATATATAAGACGGTCTGTCATATTGAAAAAAAAAAAAAATCCTAATATTAACGTCAACATCAAGTTTATCCCCTTTTCCTCATCGCAGCCAATTTATGTGGCCTGGTATCCATATCCTTTCTTATTTCACTTGAATGTTAACTCTTCTAACTCTTACATATAAACAAACTGAATGCGGTAGGATACTGTGCCATGTCAAAACTGCTTTGATCATACTCGATAAAGCCTAGATGATTATCTTTTAGGTACCATCACGGCTGTGTACAAGGAGTATATATTTCTCTTGAAGGTTGATGTTCACATAGTCTCTTGGAGACGTCTTTATTATTTTGGAAGTAATAGCAGCGTTTTGGATATAGAACGTACATTTATAGTTAGAGTAGAGCTTCCTTCTGACAGTCACAGCTTTTCCATGTGGACGGTTATATCATCAATGAAATTACCACCACTTCCGCGCTGCCTTGTAATAATTGATGCGGATCCCCTAAACTAGACCGATAACAGTCCACTATGGCCCCTAAGAAGCGCGTGCCACTCCCCACCTCTCCGAGAAAACATAAACCTATACATCACACCAACTCATCACCATCCACAGAGGAACCCGTCAAGCAAAAGCCACCGAAACGGAAAGGAGGCAAATCGAAAGCCATCACGAGTTGCGAAAGATGCCGACGTGCTCACATCAAATGCGTCTCCAGGGGTTTGAGAGAGCCTTGCGAAAACTGCGCCAAAAGGTCGATACAAACTTGTAGCTTTACAACATCCCCGAGCGGGACAGATATCACCAATCCAAGGGATACTCAACTACTTTCTCCCCAGATCGAGCAATTACGTATACTTGCAACTTCTGCCATAGTCCACATGGAGAAGCATGTTCTCCAGGTTTGAACATCGACATTAGTATCCACGATCGGAATGCTTTACCAATTTTTACGTGAAGTGCATTTTTCGTTGAGGGGTTCAAGCGCGGGAGCAGCCGAATCAATTATTTTAAGGCTGTTAGTGCCCTCAATTTTGGGCTAGAATTTAGCGGTCAACCCCTATAATTTCAATTCCATTGGACCGCGTAAGTACCTACCTATTTCAACGTTACTGGTGATATTCGAAGGCCTATTCCCGGTATACTCTTAAGGTAATTAAGCCTTACGGTACCAGGGGAAATGCCCTCAGAAAGCCCAATTAATGTAGGCTACAAGTTCCTATCCAATCCCCTTCCTCGTAGTGGAAGCATGGTGATGCGACAAGTGTCTAAGCCTACATATGGCGGCGGTGTCAGCCATAGCCATGGGTAATCTCAAGCAGAGCCTCGCCCTTCTCCCTCCTCAATCTAATGACATATAGTGAGAGTTCCTCCAAATCATGGTTCCGCAATTTGGTACTGCTCTCTCATACCAAATTCTATAATGTTCTCTCAATACTAACTCTGGTCATTCGAAGCTATGGAAGTTGTGGGAGTGGCCGCGAGCAGCATTACACTACTTGAAGTAGTTACCAAGGTTGCGACCGGAGCACTAAAGTTGAAAAAGCTTTGGGACGAAGTCCATGATGTTCCAGATATGGTCTTGGATCTTATGCGCGAGCCTGATGCCATCTATTCCGTCCTTAATGAAATTGCGACCGGACTCGAAAATGATTGCATCGCTCACCAAATCCCACAGCACTGCCAGGGCGCTGTAGATGACTTAGATGACGTGGTTCGCGACTTATCTGCTCATCTCAATTCATCAAAGCGGCACACAAGGACCCAAGTAAGAATAAAAGTCGTCATTAAGAAAGACATGCTGGGTAAATCCCAAGAACGTCTCCAGAGAGCAATCAGCCTTCTGAACTTGGCGCAGCAAAGTTATATGCTGTAAGTTACACTTGGCATACACATCGCAATGCTAATAGATTTTACCAGAGCCTTTGTGAAGCATCAACCAGTAGTAATTGTGGAGAGTATGATGAAAGCGATGACAAGCAATTCCCAACCTCTCCGCCTACCTTCGAGCCAAACAGCCCTTCAAGGAAAACAAGTGCGATTCAAAACAGGAAGTGGGCAATGTATCGCCCCTCATCCCTCTACAGTGACTGCATCCGATATAGTCGAGAGACAAACTAACAGGCGATTGAACGCACCTTGGACATATGCCACAATGGGTCTTCTCGCCTGGAGGTATGCCAAGGAACAACCTGAAGACAATTCAAACCTCAAGACTGGAAATAGCCCAGGTATGTAACTTGGTATAAGCCATTGAGCTACCAAAGCTGGAGTTCTATCCCTAATATTATATCTCAGGTTACGATTTCCGAATCCAGTTTCCAAGGTGGTTCATCAATCGTGCATGGGACTTCCATGCTTCAAAAGCGATGCAGGGCTGGACATATTTGTTGAAACCCTGGCGAATCAGGCCTCATGAGGACCCGGTATTTGAGGCAGCAATAGAGGGAGAAATAGATGTTATTGAGGCATTGATTCGTACAAACAAGGCGTCTTTATGGGACAGGCCACGGAGTGGCCTGACACTACTACATGTGAATACTTATAGTCTGGTTGCTTGATGTTGATTTACTGACCTTCGCGCAGTTAGCATCTATCCACTACAAAACGACAAATCGCCTCGTACATTGGGGTCTCGATATAAATGAACCTGGTGCGGTCTATTTACCGCTGCAGTTGGCTGTCACTAATTTTGATCCGACTGAACTGAGCGAGAAAGAGTTACACGACCATCTCTTGCAACACAACGCATACGAAGAAGACGGGCCGCTATTGCCCTTCATGAGGGAGCAATCCGCATTCTATAGAAGGTTCTTGTTGAGTAGTACTTGGAGCTCTAAACTTTTCAAGGCACTCCAACCCAGATTACTGCCAGATCATTACGAATTGCCCCTAGTGGACCGACTAATGCGCATCCAATTCCCGGACTCCGATGCGGATCCCATTTCTATCTGCTTGTTTCTGCGTAAGGATGGGACTCTGCACCAGGAGGACGTGTCTGAACTACAACGGAAAGGTATCTGTCTGCTCAACGTGATTGCCATTTGTTATGGTAGAAACTCAATACACAATCAGAACGACTGGTTTTATATAACAGCTAGATCTCGAGAGTTGGTGCGCGAGGTTGTCCCCATGACAGACAGCCTTTCTTTCACCTGCATGCCTATGTGTGTTGAAAGAGAAGAATTTGAGCCGGCCTTTCTACCTTGCACCGCCCTATTTCACCTACTCTATGGATTCACGAAGCATAATTGGCCCTTTAATAGGCGAACAGGAATTATTCGCAAAATGAAGACAATGTTCAGGTACTGGTTAGAGGACTTGAGTAGTTGCGGTGTAGACTTACAATCATATGGAAGAATGGAAAAAGCCATATTTAAAGAGAACAACTTGAAGGCAATATTTTGGAGATGTAGTTGGTACAGTGATATGGTTAATTTTAGGTTAGACAGTTTCCAGTACGGTTCAACTCCTGGGGATTGGAAGTCTTTTTGGGATTTCGATATCGAACGATTTGCAGGCGATTTTTGGGCACTGGTCGAGATGCCAAGATATCCCATGCCTGGTTCTTGGGTGGACGACGATGAATAGGCAAATGGTATTCAATAATACCAAAATATGATATAACATATATTTATTATATTAAGTAGATTCAAAACGAGGCTCCCATTGTAGAAAGTTTCATGTCATCTATCTGAAGAAGGGGCGGGTTCGATAAGGCGGACCACCGGCGATTAGTGAAGGGATAACCCGTGATTCATACACGTTTAGTCATCATAGCGCTACATGGTAATTTATTCTGTACTGCGAGATTGAGGGGTTCTTACCTAGGTAAACACCTAAATTTTATAATAAGCTACACAACCGAAAATTATCTAGCTAGACATCAACTTTTATCACACCTCATATTACGTTAGTTACCTATCCGGGCAATTACGTAGTTCCCCATACTGAGATAATAAGGCGCAATTTGCCGGTTCCACGGAAGAGCTCGCTCGCTCAGTGGTTATCATTTAGCATGGGTGGCGCAAGGTGTAGGGGATATGGCGTGCGAGAACATCAACTGGGCTGAGTGGTAAAAAAAGTGAAACAGCAGGATTGCGCAACATCCAAATTGAGTGATCAAGAGAGCGCTTTTGTCAGCAGCTCTCGGGCAGTTAGATCAGATGGCGTTCGGATGTGCGCGGATTCCTAAACGACGCCGTCAAAATAATAATTATAACGATGGATTCGCATTCCCCGTGTTGAAGCTCCGATACATTAGGCTCTACCGAGAGTGATTCAGATTAGCGACGCCACGGCTGTTATGGTCGGCTTTAATAATCCCTTAACTTAGATAGATCACGCGCGTCCACACGATAGTCCTTCGAATCATAGAAAATGTCTACTTCCAATAGTGAAAATAGCCCCCTTCTAGGTCCGGACAAACCTACGGAGGATAGCGCCTCGATACGATCCGCTTCGATCCGAAAACCTCCGACCGAAGATGGCGAAGAAGACGGACCATCGTCTCCACCTGAATTCGGAAACATCGAGGACGACGTTCTACCCGAAGAATCCGTCTTAGGTCGGAATATTGATTGGAAGAGTGCATATATCATTGCGATTTCTCGTGTCATCGGAAGGTACGCATTTTATATCAAGATCCTACATACACGGAGTAGCACCATTCAGTGCTTAACATAATCCAGCGGCATCTTTGCGGTCCCCGGTGTCATCTTGACATCCGTCGGAAGCATCGGACTTTCGCTTTCGCTATGGATTCTCGGCGCTATCGTCGTGGCATGCGGACTAACCGTCTCTCTTGAGTATGGTTGCATGCTACCACGATCCGGAGGCGACAAGGTGTACCTCGAGTTTACATATCCTCGACCGCGATTTTTCGCATCGACTATGGTCGCAGTTCAAGCGGTACTCCTGGGTTTCACGGCGAGCAACTGTATCATCTTCAGCCAATACGTCCACTTCGTTTTCGACATCGAGACCCGAGACTTTTCGAAGAAAGCCCTAGCGACCGTGCTCCTCACCGTTATCACTATCATCCACGGCGTCTGGTATAAGGCTGGTATTCGCATCCAGAATTTTCTAGGATGGGTCAAGGTCGGACTAGTCATATTCATGGTATTTGCAGCTCTCTACGTGGTAATATTTAGACCTGAAAAGCAGGATGCGGAGATTAGGCCGAATACAGTGAAGTCTTGGGAAGGACTATGGGAGGGAAGTGATTGGAATCTGGGAACTATCGCGACATCGCTGTTCAAGGTCTTCTACTCCTACGCTGGCCTGTCAAACCTGAACAACGTCATGAATGAGGTTAAGGACCCTGTCAGGACGCTAAGATCAGTTTCGCTCACGGCTCTCGTCACTGCTTGCTTCCTTTACTTGCTAGCCAACCTGGCTTATCTTGCAGTGGTACCAATCGAGGAGATCAAACAGAGCGGCCAACTAGTCTCGGCTCTGTTTTTCGAACGCACCTTTGGCCCAAATATCGGCAAGAGGCTTCTTCCTCTGGCTGTTGCACTATCGGCAGCAGGCAACGTCATGGTAGTTACATTTTCAGTTGTGAGTACGCCCTCGTAAAAGTCAAACGAATACAATTGAATCTAATGGAATTCAGTCACGTCTAAACCAGGAAGTTGCTCGCGCTGGCTTTCTCCCGTTCTCGAAATATCTATCCTCGTCGAAACCTTTCAACGCACCAATGGGCGGACTTATCGTACATTATATCCCTTCTATCCTTGTCATAATTCTCCCACCGTCGAGCGAAGTCTATTCCTTCATACTGGAGGTGGAGGGATACCCTGGTCAAGTGTTCGCACTCGCTACCTCAATCGGACTTGTTTGGTTGCGATATAAACGACCGGACCTTAAGAGACCATTCAAAGCATGGTTGCCAGCAGTCTTCTTCAGAATTCTGTTGTGTTTCGCTTTACTCGCGGCGCCATTCTTTCCGCCGTCGCATCCGAAGCCCGGCGGCCTTTTCTACGCAACTTATGCCATTGTTGGCGTCGGCATGTAAGTTATACCTTTTTCCGTACGATGGCATCAGCAATCGTACCTTTCACATTTCTAATCCGAGGCTTACAAATTTGTAGACTTGCATTCGGGGTGCTATATTGGTTAGTATGGACAGTTCTATTACCCCGACTCGGACGATATAGATTAGAAGAGAAGCAAGACGTCCTAGATGATGGGACAGCTATCACTGTGCTGACCAAGGTACCGTATGTTGAGTAATCTTACCGAGCATTTAACGACAGGATGTAATGGGACACAATGGGACGCAATACGCAACAAGTATTGTGCAATATTTGTATAGGCCAATGGATATGACGGTATACTGGATCGGAGCTACACAGCAAACAGCAGATAATAGAATCATAGGATTGGGATTACAAATAGACTAGCATTTCTAATCAGAGCCCACCTAAAATGCAGCGTGTCGGTACTCGTGTCAGTGGCTGGGCGCATGACGCCGTGCCGCGGAGTTTCCAGACCATTGGCGTAAGGCCTTAGTGACGATTGCGTGATTTGCGGGGAAGCCTCTCATAAGGGAGGATTGTCGTAGGATTAGTATACTGGGATCACTGATAAGTATATATGAGGTAGCATCCCGAAAGTCTCGTACAGTAGCTTCGGGCAAAGAGACCTACCTAATAGAGATCTATATAAGTAACTATCTCGCCCCCGTCCTCCAACTCCATAGTGTCAGCACCACGATCATCGTGAAGACAACAACACAATGGCATCCCCAGACGTACAACTCCCCACCAGCGTTCCGAACCTAGCGGCCACTGGCCTCTCGGCGGCGCCCTCGGTCTCTCTTCCCCATGATGTAGACACCGTCCTTAATTACTTTAAGCCTAACGAGGATGGCTCCCCACCGGAGCCTACATACACGGACAAGCCGGAAACATATGAGAGGCCAACAAGCCCCCACCCAATTCACATCACCGACGTCTCGGGCCGAGAGAACGAGTACACTCTCGACAAGAACGGTTTCCAGTACCACAAGCACGTAGCCCAGGAGAAGGATTTCGCGGACGATGAGCATATCAAGGCCGTCTATTACCCCGAGACTGAGCAGCTGCTCAAGGATGTGTAAGTCCTTCTCGTAATAAATTAATAGGGGATGCTGCTGACCATAAATACAGCACTGGCGCGTCTAAGATCTTCATTTTCGACCACACCATCCGCCGCCAACCTAAGGACGCTCGCGCCGCCGCTAACCCCGACGCACGCCGTGCTCTACGGGGTCCCGTAAACCGTGTGCACATCGACCAGACGTACTCCGCAGCTCTATCCCGCGTGCCGCACCACCTACCCGCCGAGGAAGCCTCCGAGCTTCTCAAGGGGCGCGTGCAGATTATCAACGTGTGGCGACCCATCAGCGTAAGCCGCCCGCCTCCCCCCTCCACTCTGAAGTAGTACCTAACCCCCGCACAAAGACCGTCCTCCGCGACCCCTTAGCAATCGCAGAAGCGCACTCCGTCTCCGAGGCCGAACTCGTGCCCATCCCGCTCATCTACCCCAACCGCAAGGGCGAGACCTTCGCCGTCCGGCACGCAGACAGCCACCGCTGGTACTACAAATACGGTCTCACTCCGCAAGAAGTGTTATTCATCAAGTGTTTCGACTCCAAGACCGACGGACGCGCTCGCCGAGTCCCGCATACCGCTTTCTCGGACCCGACTACACCTGCCGATGCCCCGTCGCGTGAGAGTATTGAAGTACGTGCTTTGGTTTTCCACCCGGATGATCGAGATTAAGTGTGCGATCGCTGAAAGTGGATATGTTGAAATGAGATATATGAACACGGAAGTGTACGCTATGGCAATGATATTATGTACTTATGTACACTTAGGTAGTGAAGATGGAGGAATATAGAGGGTAGATTGTCACATTATAAGAATGTATACGACCCTATTATTGGAATCATGAGAACCATTGAATTGTGAGATTTATAGTGTCCCACGTATCTAAATAGGGGCGAATCGACACGTCAAAGTCAATTGCTCGTTCAATCGCGACCCGAAGTTCAATAAGTATGTTCATATTTGACAGAATATTTACTTAGATCAGTAATGAGGATATCTCTAACGCCATCTAAATGCAACCAGATTATGCTTGCCCTTACCCATTTTTATACCACCCCTTATTTAACTGAGTTCTCCACCTATCTCACGCACCCCCTAAATCCACACCCTCAAGCCCAAAATTCAGTCCCCTAAACCCTTCCTCAACACTCCACACACGACCCTTCTCTAACTTATTCAAGAATTCACACGCGCGGCCGGCAACAAGCAGGCCAGGCGGTCGGCTTCCTTCCTGCTCAATTGCCTCGACCACTTTATCCAGTGTGGTCCGAATAACCCTCTGATCTGGACAACTAGCGCGCTCAATAACCGCACACGGAGTATCCCTCGGCCACAGAACCCTTCGAGGCGCCTGGGTTTCCGTCTCTAAATGCGTCGTCAACTCCCCAACGAGCCCCTCAATCCGATGTAGCGCCATAAGGAACACAACCGTGCGACTAGCCACATACTCCGGCGGAGCAGGCGCTTTGCCCTTCTTCCCGGTACCCGTGCATATTAAGACTTGGTCCGCGACATCGCGCTGTGTGGGCGGTATGGCAGCAAACAGCGGGGCTGAAAGCGCGGATGTAACACCTGGTAGAACAATGACCTTGTCATGATCTAGCCCTTGACGGCGGAAATACTCGACTTCCTCGCCGCCGCGGCCGTAGACGTATGGGTCACCTTGTTTGAGTCGGAGCACTGTCTTTCCTTCGCGGACACCGGTGACAGCCATTTCTTGTAATTCGTTTTGCGCTGCATCGGCATTTCCCGGAAATTTTCGCGCAATGTGTACGGGTGTACGACGGGGAATTAAGTCTAGTACGCCTGCAGGTACCAGCTTGTCTGCGAGAATAAGGTCGGCGTTCTGAATAGCTTTGTACGTCGCGCGCGTAAGCATGTCTGGATGCCCTGGACCGGACCCAGCGAGGATGATACGGCCGCGACTAGAAGCACCATCCGCAGAGGCGGATCTCCCAATTGAACTCGAGCCACCAAGATCTTCGTACGATCTTAGGATGTTGGATACGTCCTCATCAGTAATGGCCGCTAGACGTTTTAGGGGCCAATATTCGCATATCTGACTCAACCAACGCATGCGCCTGTTTTTCGCGGCATCTATATCCGCTTCTGTCACCAACTTATTGAAACTAGCCGATTGGTCAATCGAATCATCGACATCCTCTCCATCCGCCAAAGCTATGTGAAGTAAATGATCCTCTTCTTGTATTTTCCTCCGCACATCACCCAATCGCAAGCAGGCGGATCCCAAGTTCGGAGGTAATGAAGCGGCTACTTCGCGGCGTATCCTAGACGCTAACTTGCATCCGCGACCATTCGTTGTTATACCGATTTGTAGCGGGCCGTCGACGTGTGTAGATAAGAGGGAGAAAGTACATAATTGAGGGGCATCGACGACGTTAACAGGTATACGGTTTCGCTTGCAAAGGACTGATATATGCGCGCCTGTATTGCCTAATTAGTTTTACTATTGAGAGCGGCGGGTTCAACGTAGAGCCTTACTCAATTCGTCCCTCGGTCCAGATGTTACAAACACAGCATCAACTACATGATCAATCTCCTCCCTTCCCAGAGTAAAGAGGTGCTCGTCTTGGAAATTCTCCTTTATCCATTTTACTTCACCATCATCAACACGTTTTTGTAGGGCATAATGTAAGTCTGCCGTCCCCGGCGCAATAAGGATCGGCGATGCGCCGGAGCTTAGCGATTGTCCACATCGTGCCGCCGCAAGAGGATTCGTGCCGATAATTAAATGAACGTGCGATCGGGCGTCCGTTGCCGTTAGCAAGGATACGTAGCTCGTCATCGTCGCCGACCAATTCCCCCTTTTCGGAAGGAATTGAAACACAATTCTGTTGTTCTATATGAGGCTTGATCGCATAAGATAGGAGTAGACAAGTGGCAGGCTCGCTATTTAAGTAGGAAGAATTATATAACAAGGAAAAGAGAAAATATCATCACGAGGCAAATCCGACATTATTCACATAATAATCTCCCCATGAAATAATTATTTATAAAAAAGTTATCTTAGCTATCAAACTAAAGAAAACGAGGCGATGTCGCCATATCGAGCCGCGGGCGGGAAAGTTCTTTGTAGAAAGAGTTCTAGACTTTGGACCGATTCCCGGGCATTTAGTGCATCTCCAGGAAATTTTAGCGGGTCAGAGGGGTCTTGGAGGGGCAGTTATTCTGACGCAATCGTGCTTGATAATCTTATCGGACCAATCAGGATAAAGCTTTTAGTGTTGCAATTCTATCGCCGTTGACCGAGTTCCGCGGGCTTTGATCGGAGATCTTTAAGTCGATTTTATATTTCCTGAATTTGAAGGTATTCGGAGAAGCATTACTTAATATGACAGCAAATAGTTAGAATGGAAGTATTTCGTGTATATCTCGGTATTTGAGTCTTAGTCATATATTCGTAGATTGTAGATTTTCTTCGTGTGTACATTTCCAGGCAGTTCATACGACCATTCATCGTAGAGCACATTACTATACAAATCTCGATGAATCCTATACAATATTTCCCATTATAGACCAACGTGATCACATAAATCCCTCGTCCCTAAGTTCCTGCAGAATATCCTCCGCCTGCTGTCTCTTCTTGCCCTTCGGTCTCCTACCAGTAGGTCCGCCACGCTTACTAACCTTCTCTTGCGCGCTGTAAATACCACTTGAATCAGCATTGAGGCTAATAACCTTCGGCTTATTCCCTTGCTGAGCAGCACGAGCTCGTACACCACCATCGTTAGGTGTTGCACCTCCTCGTCCCAGTCGAATAGATCTCGAAACTCTCGTCTTAGCACCTAAAGCCCATAGATCTCCCCACTGTGTCTTGCGCGCGTCATGGTATGCAAGTTTACTGAAACTCTTGGGAACTGTCCATCTCTCAATCTTTCCAGTAGGTGTACACAAATCGAGCGTCACATGGCCGCGTCGCTTGAGAGGGGGGAGGATATTCCTAGGAAGTGACAACGGATTTGGTTGCTCGGGAGCGTTTTCGTAGCCCTTGAAAGCGCTATCAGCCGCCTGTTTGCCTTGGTCCGGAACGACGATTGGTTCCATATCTGGTAGGTTACCGCGCTGGATAGCAACGAAACTAAAGTCGATATCTTCATGGTTGCGATGTATAGCCCCGAGCACCTTTTGAAGAAAGGGTGGGCGGATGAAGCGCTGACTGAAGTGGCAGAAATCTTTTCGTCCACTACTAAGTCCAGGCGTTAAGTACATAGGACATTCCTTATGATTAGTGCAGGGGGCGATGATCATGCCGGGCTCACGAACTCGCTGCGTCTCGGGCTCAATCGCCTCGGGTTGAGGGTCAGAAGAGGCCGAAACGATGAACTCATTTAGTAATCGGGAACGGACATCTGCCACTGCTTCGAAGCCACGGGGATGGCCTTTTTCCATAACAATGAGAACACCGCCCTCAGGCGATAGCATTTCCCATAGGTTATCTAGCAGAGCTTTGCGTTTAAATCCTTCTTTGAGAGGCATCAGCAAATGTGAGGCGATGATGATGTCGAACGTCTTTCTTGGTAAAGCCTGGTCACCTGCATCTAACAAGTCGGGGTTGCCACCGGAATGTAAATAATTAGGTAATCGTGGGAGAAATGTTGTGTTGTGAAGAAATCGTGATATTCGTTGACGTAATCTATCAGATCCGACCACGACCGTTTTCTTCCCTGGTGCATCGTGTTTAGGCTTTTTACCACCGTTTGACATGAGCTCCCATTCGACCTGTAAAACTTGTTGCCAAGCTGCCAAACCAGCACCACCAGCGCCCACATCGAGCACGCGGGGACCTTCACCATTGCCTCTAGAAATGAGTTTTGAAACCCAATCCGAGCCCAGCCGTTTTCGAACTTCGACTAATATGCTCATGACGGACGCATACATTCCCGGTAGGTTCGTCGCGATGTAAGCATCAGCATCGATATCACTCATCTTGTGACGGCCCGCCTCAATAGCCACCGGTTTTTGTGGCATGTTTTTCTTCCCTTCGGGAGTAGCAACCGAATATGGCAGCCCAGAGCCGCCGAAAGCTTTCTCCGCCGCATCTTTAACATGCTTGATGTCTGTTCGGTCGAGTAATTTACTAATAGGATTGACGAAATCCGCTTTCGGAAGCTGAAGTGTCGAGGGATAAGTCCTCCATTGGCCCATTTTTGTGTAATCGTGAGTTCGGTGAGCCACGGGCTCGAAGCTAGCATCTGGTTCGCGCTCCTCTTCCCATTCTTCTTCCTCTATGGGCTCTTCCTCATCAATTTCATCTTCCTCAGTTGGGCGTAACATAGCATTTTCAAAATCTTTCTGTAGCTTTAGGAGAGCGTTATATTCTCTTTCACTTTTAGCCACAGCGTTTATGTGGCTTATCCCAGCGCCGGATGGCAAACCCTCTGAAGTCTCCGGGACTTCTAGAGGTAAATCCGACACCTCTTGTGAGTCTTCAGGTGGGGGGGCAGGGACATTGGTCTCGTAGACTATTTCCTCTAATTGCCCCTCATCTGATTCTCGTAGTAGTACCCTCTGAGATGGGTCGCGTGACAAGTCCTCAGGAGTAAATTCAGAAGTTGGTATTCCGACATCCTCAGGCCGTGTCTCTCGCAGAGGTGCGCCATACAGACGCTCATATAGCTTGTATTCCTCCTCATTCAAGTACCCTTTCGGTAACGTATCGCCAAATGTATGCCTCGCCTGCCGTACGGTAATCTCTATTTCGGTTAGGTTTGCCACTGGTTTGGAGGGCTTTGCTTCTTGGCTTTTGCGGTTGGTTGTCGTGAAGAAGCGCGCATTGCTTCTTCTATTTGACGGTAGAGCTCGAACGTTGGAGGATGTCGATCGACGCAAACTTCGCGAGGGGTCGGGACGCAAACTAACGAGGTCGCTTTCAAATATGCTTAAAAGTCGAAGTCTACATTGGAGACAGGGTCCTTGGACCCTCGTCGCAGACAACATTGCGTGTCTTTTCACACTTTGAAAATTTCGAAATGAGGAAGAGAAAAAATGATGGCGAATAGTTAACTTTTTTTTTTCTTCGTAGGGGAATTTTAGACGCTAGCTATGCATCCTTAAGTGCCCCCCGTCCACTAAAAATTCAGATATTGTAATGCTACCCCACACTGGAGGGTCCTAATGCTACAGGGCTATCGTAGGTACCTGCGTAGCTAGGTTTCTCAATACAAGAGCAATAAACCTAAGTAATATCAACGCCTTTTCGTCTCAGTCGTACATGGCTACCTAATTTATCTCCCAGTGGCCACCCAAATGGATCGATAGGTAGCGAATATCTGGTTTAAATCCCTCAAATCTTCATATCGCCTAACTTCCCAGATCCGCCAACGTCCTAACACCGCCGGGTCGAGCAGAAGCGCCCTGTCCACTAACTTTCTGGCCATTAACCTGGATCGGTCGCGGGGGGTCTCTCGGGTTGTTAACATTGAAGTGGGATTTCTCGGCGGCTTTGTAGGGATCAAACTGTTTTGATTAGCATCATGCAAACCATTATTGAGGGTAGGGCTGGAGGGTAGCTTACTGAAAATAGTGACACGAAATAGAGCCCGAAGAAAGTTATAATAACGTTGAAGAAGTGGAACGGGCTAAACTTCCACGGCTGGCCACCAAATGCTTGACCGCTCCGTCTTGTAGATGCTCCAGAAGAACTGCCTCCTAACGTTCGTCCGGGTGTTTTGAATGATGCGCCAGGTGCACTCGTACCAGCTAGCTTAACCGCCTTTTCGACAGCGGCGATAAGAGCAGGGGGATTCGCGCCTTGTATAGTTTCGGCGACAGCACCGTTCTTGAAAATGAGGAAAGTCGGCATCGCGCGCACGCCGTGGGTTTGAGCGATGGATTGTTGATTATCGACGTTGACCTTACAGAAGGTTATCTTACCGGGTTTGGAATATTTCGTCGATAGCGACTCGAAGGTGGGCGCGATCATCTTGCAGGGACCGCACCAGTCGGCGTAGACTAGATAGAAGCACATTTGTAAGCGGCTGCGCGCGATCGGATATCAACGCGACAAGGAGTAAAGGAACTTACAGTCGGTGACCACGACGGTCGAAGACCCCAAGATGCGCTGCCATTCATTTGACGAGCTAATATTGACCGTCATTTTGGCTTATTTACTTTATGTACTGTGCTATAGTTGAATTGATTCTTCAGTTAGAGCACTTAAATAAAGATGAGAGTTCACTGGTTGAGAATGGTTGATGGAAAGATGTGGATCTTCGCCGATTGATAATGACGAAAAGATTCCAGAGAGATAAAGCTGTCCAGATCGACGGAATATCGGTACTTATCTAATCGATACGAATAAGCCACGTTACTTGTTTCTATCAGCCACATATCAGCTACCTCCTTTAACTCACACCTCTACCCCTATTCTAAATTGAACAGATGAGTTGAACTTTGAAACTTTAGCAATAATCTTTTTCAAATCACATATAATCATTGTACTTCACGAATCCGCGTGGTTATCTCGTGTTTTCTTTGACCATCTACTTATTAGATCATTTCCTATAGCATGCGCAATCTATTCCATAGGTATCTAACTACCTACCGAAATCAGATTCATCCAGCAGCTTTAGCGGCTGCCACCTAGAATCATACTTAAACCCCAATATTCTTCTAAGCCTCAAATTATAAGATACCTTTACGAGAGGAATGTCGTGTTGAAGAGGCGATTTCCCGTATCAGTACCACCACTTCCAGTGTACTTGTTGTCTGATATTCGTAAAGCTATGAGCTCAAATCCGGATTGGGACCCGTATGCATACACAAGACCGCTCTGGGAAACAGCCTTGCTTTGCACAACGCCTGCAACCACCATAACACGAATCGCGGAACCTAGTTCCCGAAGGCGTCGCACGAATAGAACTATCGTTTCGCCGCTGTTCACCACAGAATCCACCAGAATCACAGTGCGTATTCCTAACAAATGATTGGGTTGAATATCCTCTGGGCGATTCGCGTGTAAGAATCGAGCAAGGGGGAAGGCCTTGCTGACACCGAAAGCCACTGCAATATTGACCATCAGTATTTATTTCACTAAGCAGTTCTTAAAACATATTGAAATGGGTGATAAACGACTCTGGAAACACTTACTGGCTTCGCCACCACGCATCAACGGCACTATCAAGGTCTTTTGTTCGTAATACAGCCGATAGCCATTAGTGATATTGCCCTGTACATGTTCGATGGGGTACTCCTCGACGCCAAGGGCCTCCGTCACAAATCCTGTCGCTAGATACCACCCGACCCTTTCATGAAATTCTCTGAGGTCATGTCCGGCGATCGAGGCATCGCGCATCGGCGTCATCAATAATTTCGATGACGCCTTGTCTGTGGCGTGAATTAACTGGAGTCCGCAACTTGAAGTCTTAAGTGGATCATAAAAAACAGTCTGGACAAAATTCGGTGTCGATATGTCGACGAGAGGGAGTCGACTTGTGTTGAGAAGTGCGGCCACATTGCTAGGGTGCAAAGTTTGACGAGCTTTAAGACCGCCGCTGATAGACTCCGATAAAGCGGCTTCCATCGACTTACTTCTCAGCCGCTCCTCGCCAACCACCACAATTGCCTCGTCTGCTTGAACTAGCATCGGCAAGTCTAATGGGCTGTCCCCAAAGGCCCAGACATACTTCTTACAATGCTTTCGTAAGCGTCTCACCACGACACCCTTGATTTCTGGCGTGACAACCAAATCGCGCATGCAATTCCCCCCGCCCATAACTTGCACTGCTCCCGTTAGGCCGGCCTTTTCGAGGATCTTATCCCAAATCAGATGTAACCCACAAGTCAAGATAATGGCCCCGAAGCGATAGTTCTTTCTTATGAGCCATAAAAGCGAAGCGAACTCGGGGCGCAGGGTCACGGATGACGCGACTTCCTCACAGATTCGATCGATCTCTTCGTCTAAGAACGTTTCTCCATAAAGCAGAGTAGCCTGTCCAAACCCAACATATGAGTATCCGAGGGGGCTACTGAATAGCTTCTTCAGTGCTACTGTGTCTACGGTGTCCGGATGACGTTTTGAGGCTATCTTCCAGAACAAATCCCCGGTGTCTTCGGACACTAGCGTTTTGTCGCCGTCCAGAACTAGTACCGTGTGTTGCTGAGGCTCTATTTTCCTGGTCAATATCTCCTCCGCAAGTTTGGCGTTAGATTCCTCGCTAAATAGGGAGAAGTCGAGGAGTATCTGCATGACTGTTTCGGCAACTGATGGCTCCCCGGTAGGCGGTAGTAGCGAAAACAAGATGCCATTAAGGCGGCATAGCTCGCGTAAATGAGTCTTTTCAGCTTCTTGCCATTTGCGCAAATGGTCAGCAGAAGCCAATGGACGACTCCTTGCGTTATCGCGAGATCGATATCCCGAAACAATCTCTGGGGCAATGTTTAGATAGAGGATATGCGTATATCTCTCTAAATCACTCTGTGTGTATACCGGATCTCCACACAACTCGCCTTCATTCCAGAACATGAAATGACCAGCAACAACACCGGTTCTTTTCGTTGATGCGCAGTTCTCCGCAATGGTGTCGATGGCTCGCTGACGCCACTGCGACTTTTCATCTTCGTCTAATTTTTGGAAAGCGTCGAGCCCACCCGGAACAAGAGAGTCGATCATCTCCGAGCCTTCGTAGAAATCGAATTCGTCATGGATGAGTTGTTCCTTGCAGTGAGCTAACAAATACGATTTTCCGCATCCCGGAATTCCGTATAGACCGATTATGACCGGTCGGTCTGGGGCAGAGGGTGACGATGGCTGAGACTTCGCTTGAAGATTAGCTTCGTCAAGGGCCATTGGATAAGATATGATGTATGATGGTTTTGCGTTGTCTGCAAATATTCGGATACTCCAGGTATTAGAGAAGATAATCGAAGAAAGCAGAATCAGATCAGAGCATAGCACGAGACGGCATTTTATCTGAGTTTGCAAAGTAGGGCGTCCCTGCTAAGTGGTCATAGTGTATCATATCTCGTTAGCACAAGAAAAATTGCACCGTGTATAGACATTGATTGCACCAGACTATATCCACGCACTGGGCCGCAAGCACAAGCATGGACCCGTAATTTGATTCACTACCCAGATACCAATGCGTTAATCAGTAAATCATACTTCGACTCGTCACAAGTGATCTCGAAAACGACCAATCGAACCGGCTCATCATTCCGTCAAGCCAGTCCTACAAGAAAGCACTCCTAGAATACTCGTCAATATACTCAGTATCACACTACCAGCTCCGCGGTTGGTCCAAGCCGAAAACCCTCAAACGGGCAACGACCTCAAGCATCCAGCCGGTGACTCACCGCCGGAAATAAACAATGCTTAATCTAACCAGCACCGCAATTCTCCGCCCGTGGCACAAACTCCTCAACCTCCCGCGCCAATCGCCACCGTCATGGTACCACGACAGACTCCGTGAAGAGCTCATCGAGCGGGAAGAAGCAGGTACGCCGCTAGAGAAGCTGAGCGAGACAGCGGATGTATTCTTCGCCATTAGCCGCGCTACGTACGACGGCTATCCGGTGCGCGAGATGCCTCGTTTCAGATATAGCCATGTTCCTGTGTACGCGTACATGCTGGCTAAGTACACGTCCCGCTGGGCGTTTTACCGTGCCTTTGCTTTCCTGTGCGACGCCCCGGATTGCCGCGCTGTTCGCGAGGTTGTGAATCCGACTAAAGATCATAAGCTTGATCAAGTTAGCGAGCGTGATAACATCAATTCGGATAAGTTTAGACGCCTTGGTCGTTGGTTGCGTCGCGTCTGGCCGTTATTCCCGTAGCTGCGGGGAGGAAGGTATGTTGCAGATTGTTGATGAATGATGAGATGCAAGCGGCTAACGACATTCCCAGGTCACCCCGGCTAACCCCAGAAGCATGGGACGGAATACTTGCATTGCAGGTAAACAGGGTCATGAGTTATACGAGATCGCGAAGCCGGGAAATATCGGATGGTGAGACGTTGAAGGCTGAGACATGAGGAAAAGAAAACATCCTGGACAATAGCCATCAGACAAACAAGATACTCGTCATCCCTCGGAGTTCCGAGAACGCCGCTGTTACCTTGCGTAAATTTTCCAATATGAGTCAAGTTGATACTTGATGCACGAAGCCGCCTACCTAGGTACATCAGCATCGCCAATGCGGCGTTTACTTAATATCTAGGTTGTATAAGGTCTGCTTCTCTGGTTATATACCTAAATAAGGTATAAGCACCATCTAAGCCTTGCTTAACCTGTTTGGTTTATATTGGACAAAGCTGAGCATGATACGTGGACAGACTAAGATGAATATCTATGCCGAAGTAGGTGTATGAGTTGTAATATTGAAAAGGTACCAGAGCATTGATTGGTCCGGTCCTAGGAAATAACCAGTACTAGGGTCCTCTGGGCTTCTATAGGTGCAAAATACCTAGGCAGCATAGCCTGCAAGCCTGACGAACAGGTGCTGTGTTAACGACCTGAGCTGAAGGTTTGGGTACCTAATGGACTCAAGCAATATCTAGAAAATTTATTAAAACTACATGTACTTTCAGATTGATTTCTGTTACACTTGGTAATAGCTTATGTTGTACGACAGTGTTTTTCTTTTTTTGATATATCATAACGAGTCTACGCAACCATGCCGTTCCTAGATACATACATCGCCCATGAATTATTCACAAGGCTTGATTCTCTTTACAGGGCGTTTACACATGCTGCAGGCGCCGAGGTTAACGGAGGCCCAGCCCCACCAGGTTCCGAAATAACCCAGAAGGAGCGCGAGCTTCACTGTATTATACCACGCGTACTAAATATTGTCAGCCAAGCCGAAGCTCTTGTAAAGGATGGTTACACATTAAAACAAATGCATCCGCTCATTCGGTCTGATCTCAAGGAAGTTTTACGAGCTTCAAAACAAGATATCGGCGGCCCGTTCTACGATGAGTTACGCCGAGTACAGCCTGTCCCTTTACAGGTCAATGGCTATGAAAAATATCCAGAGTTGATGAAGACCATCGAAGAAGCCGAAAGATTTTTACCAGAATGTCGCATCCCAGAGCCATTCGACCTGCCTACACTGCCCTGTGGATCCGGTCCAATGTATGTAGGACGGCGTCGAAAAAAGTCCGATGACTCACGAAGTATACAGAACTTCCTAGCCAATAGTATATTCAGTTTGGCGCAGTTTAAGGCCATGTTGATAGCACGGTGTGCACATTCCTGGACGTCCCTCTGGCGTGCAAATTACAATTATGATGATGTGCCGCTGCCCACAAGATCCTCAATCCGCTTGGTTAGGATCAACCCAACACCGGACGGGAAGATTAATCTGTCCCTACGCGCCGTGGATTTGAGCGACGACCCGATTTACGCAACTCTTTCATACACATGGGGCCCTCCCCTAACCATATTCCGAACGGATAGAGAGCGGCGCAAAGTTCAGTCACAAGTCGAGGATCCTCGGTCGCAAGTAACGGTGCCGATTATCTGCAACGGAAAGTCTCTGCGTATAACAGAGAATCTCTATAGATTTCTCCGTCGTTGGCGAGAAGGATCAATAAAAGGCCCAGTTGAGGAAAATGCCCCAGGAAAAAGTGAGATCTGGATTGATGCAATATGCATAAACCAAAATGACTTCGACGAGAAGAGCATACAGGTAGCAAAAATGGGGGAGATCTACAGAAAGTGCCAGGGGGCATACGTCTGGCTTGGAGAAGAGGATTGTTTCTCTCGGATTGCCATCCCACTTCTCTACCGAATAGCCATGTTCCCAGGAGACTGGAACTCTCTCCGAGTGCTAGGCGTAAAAGAAGCTCAGCTCGAACTTCGGAGCCGCGGGGTACCGTCCGTCCAGTCGTGGGATTTTATGTGCCTTTTCGCATTTTTTAATCGTTCATGGTTTCATCGCGCGTGGGTTTGTCAAGAGGTTGCTTTTGCGCCGGAACTCTGGATCTACTGCGGTGACGTCAAAATCGCTGACTGGCTAGTCTTGGCTTTCGCGGTCTTATATATATTCTTGACTCCATTGAATCGCCTCATAGCCACGACAGCCTTCTGGGAGATCTCTGGGTTCGACCCCGCAGATCACATCGATCTAAGTGGTCAAGGTCCGCTTGGCTTCAACCGTAAAGGACGGGGTTCACCCCATCTCAAGCTATTCCATTCAGATGCCGATGGTTCTTTCCAAAACTGGGGAGCGTCCATTATGCACATGGAAAACATCAGGAGAACAGGTAATCCAGTGAATCAAGGCGACGTCCCCTTGATTACCATCGAGCCGGTAGTTCCATACAATTCCATATTCGAATTATTCATGACGTCCCGAATAATGAAAGCCACAAACCCACGAGACAGGGTATACGCGTTTTTAAACTTAGCAAAGCGTCCTTGCTACGTCCACCCTATACCCCACTCGAGCAGACGAGAAATAGAGCCGAACTACTATTTGAGAGTTGAAGAAGTATATTTAGAAGCCAGCTGGTATTTACTTCTGACGGAACAGAACTTGAGCCTCCTATCACGTTCAGAGCAGCGCAGCGGAGTGGCTAAGGATATGCCGTCGTGGGTGTTGGACTGGGAGGCGCCGATAATGACTCAAAACTTCACTGAACCATTGCATGAGCCAGACTGGAGAGCTTCCGGTGACTCGACTTGGGAGATCCCAGAGTCGCAACTCTATCAGCCATCGCTCAGAGTGTCAGGTTGGAAGACATCCGCCATATCTGCTGTGGTAGAAGGTGAATTCTGCCTGGGGAAGGCAGCTTTGGTCGCTGCCGATCTCCCAGAGATCTGTCGGTTGGTTTCTGGTAACCAATCTAGAGTTGAGGTGTTGTGGCGCACACTAACTGGCGATCATGTTGATCGACAAAGCCCGGCCCCTCAGCACTGTGAGCAGATCTTCCGGCATCTGTGGAAGCGGGTACTAGAGGAACCTCAGACTGACAAGGGAATTCCGGAACGTATGCGACAAGCCGAAGACCAACTCCACATTTGCCCCGAAGCATTTACGGACGTGCCGCCGGAGGCTCCGACTAGTGACTTTGACTTCATTTCTCGGTGCAACAGGACCAGTGGTATGAGAACAATATTCCGAACAGACGCGAACTATCTCGGAAATGGCCCTAGACCACTCAAAGTTGGTGATCAAGTGTGGGTATTAGCTGGCGCCGATATTCCGTTCATTCTTCGCCCCCAATCCTACGGTAAATACCAGCTCGTAGGTGAGGCGTACGTGCATGGAATTATGAGAGGAGAGGCCATTCACGAGCCAGGCGCAATATTAGAAGAAATAGAGCTTGTCTAGTAAAAGTACAGACACCGAGTCGGGAAAAAAAGTAAATACACCATTATGAGGATGAGGGATACCAGGAGCCGTCGAAGATGAATATTTGTGGCAGAATGTTGTATTGGAGTAGGTGGACGTCGCAGGGTCGAAATTCTTAACTAATTTAAATAACAGTGGTCGTACCTACCGTCTCTGGGGGTGTCAGTTGCCCTCTATTTTACACTTTGTCTAGCGGATGATTAAGATGCAACCAAGATCAGTGTGGGGTTCTGATCACTTACCTAAAATTACCTAGCCGAAATGGTAGGCGGTGAATTTCTGCTGGCAAAACTTCCTCCCAAATCGATTTGCAACCCGAATTTTATTTTGTCTTAAAGCTACAATACCTACAACTATCGCAATGGCAAGCTTCGAACAAGACCGGCAAAAGGTAAGTCAATTCCTCAATTACAGCAAGCAGGTATTGATATAAGATCTAACTCATAAACAGAAACGCCGCCTCACAAAAGAAGGCGATTACGTGGATACGTCGAAACCGACTGCCTTCTTCAAACCCACCGGAGGTCGAGAATGGACAATATCCGTAGCAATTCCGGGGAGTGTACTTTCAACGTAAGATAAACCGAATCTCATTCTAGCCAAGTCGCAAATCGCTAATTCGTTTATTAGGTGTCGCCGCGATGACCAACGCACTGGCATCGTTTCACACTTGGCGCGCGCACTTGCCGTCTTCAACATAGATGAAGTTGTGATCTTTGATGACTCTCATCCAGACACCCGTACTAGGAATGTCGATCCCGCAAGTTACACGGGTGACATTGACCCATGTGGATATCTTGATCATCTTCTACAGTATCTAGAGATGCCACCTTTCATGCGCAGGACACTGCTGCCGATACATCCAAACTTGAAAGGCGCTGGTCTTATGGCTAGTCTAGATATACCATCACATCCACACCAGACCGATTGGCTTCCGTACTGCGAGGGCGTGACGGTAACGGGGACATCTAAAGGTGGAAAGGGTACACGTGTCGACGTTGGTAGAAAGGAACCGGTGACTATTAGCCACGAGGTTCCGCCGAAGACTCGCATTACTGTTCAAATTAACGAGAACGACTCATCCTTAGCGGAGCCGGTAGACCCTAGTGCACCGCGTGCCGAAGGTGGTTACTACTGGGGCTTCTCCGTGAGGCGCTGCGATTCGTTGGCGACCGTTTTTGAAGAGTGCGCTTACGAAGGTGGATATGATATGAGTATTGGCACTTCGGAGCGTGGCTTAACTATATCCGAGGCCTTCCCGGATAAGAAGAAGAAGGACGCCGTAACCTTCAACCATCTACTCATTGTTTTCGGTGGTCCCAAGGGTCTCGAATATGCGGCCGGAAATGACCCGCAATTGAATGGTATGGGGATTGTTAAAGGGAGAACGAAAGAATTATTTGACCATTGGATCAATATTTTGCCAGGGCAAGGAAGCAGGACAATAAGGACGGATGAAGCGCTCTTCATTGGACTGGCGGGTTTGAGAAAAATATGGGAAGGAAGATAGTACAGGCCAGCAACCGATACCCTATTTTATTTAGTTTTCCGACGTTCATATATACGATATTACATCTCAGAGACGCGGTCCGATCGACCTCAGATCAACATCCTTCTCAGTCAATTCCCATCCTTTCCCTCTAAACCGCTTGGGCCAAATACCGTTTCGACCCGGCGCTAGAATACCCTTAGGATCCAACGCATCCTTGATCGTCTCATTAAACCGCATAAAGGCCGAGTTATTCCAATTATACGTTCCAGCAACCTGGTCTGCGAACAGCAGATGGGTACGGTACTCGCCAAATCCCTTCGCTGCGCATTTCTGAATAAGTTCTCGCATCATGCGTACAGCCCTATCCTTCATATCCGGGTCGGCCCTATCATATATAACGTTGACGATATAATGAATTTCACGTCCCGCCACACACAGTGTTGGGAAGAGATCAAAACGGTAGCGCTTGTGCGCCTCGACGATCATCTCATGAATTATGCGTGCGTCTTTGCCACGCGTCGGTGCAATCGGCGAGAAAAACAAATGCGCGCCATTAGGAAGCCAATTAAGCCACTCAAGCTCACGCAAGACCGGTACACCGCTGCAGACTAAAGCTCGGTCGTGCAGGTAGTGACCCTTGGGGAGGTCCTTGGGTAGGAAAAATCGCGATCCTGGAATCTTTGCGAACTCGGCCTTGATGATTTCGAGTTGTTCGGCGATTGAGTTGGTTGATCCATATTGGGTGCCATAGAAGACCCAGGAGCATTCGCCAAGTGGTAATTTCTTGGCTGCTACTCGGATTTCTTCGCGTGTCAACGGTCCAGATCCGGTATGGCAATCTGCTTGTCGCAGACCTGTGACGTTAAGCTCTTGGATTACATGACGCAACTGGGGGATGTTCCCAAGAATGCGCTTTTGGGCTAACGGTCGAATGAGGTCCACGATGTGTTCGAAATCTTCGTCTCGCAGGAATGTGAAGCAGTATGACTGATGTTGTGCTTCCGGCATCAGGTGAAATCCCATTTTAGTTACGATGCCAAAATTACTCTGCGAGAAAATTCCGTCGACGGATGGACCAAAAGCGTGTTGGAATGATTGCCATGTGGGATTGTCTGTTCCGTCTGGGCCTGGCATAGCACCCATACCCGTGCGTAATAACTCGCCGTTAGGAAGTACGAGTTCCATACCGCAATGGTTCGCAAAGTGGTCACCATATGGCGTATAACCAACCCCACGGTCAATCGCGTTACCTAGAACGCTACCACCGCCCAAATCAGGAGTATCAATCCATAACGGAAGATTCCGCTTCTGTATTTCCTCATAGAGCTTGAAGTATGTGACGCCGGGCTCGACGACGCAACTGGCGTTCTCAGCGTCTATATTTAGGATTTGATGCATCCGTTTACCCAGATCAAGAACGACGCCTCCGGGCACTCGTGGTGCTGCACCACCATAACCAAGATTTCGGCCAATAGAGATAGGGTAGATTGGGATGCCAAATTTATTGGCCCACCGCACTGTCGTCTGGACTTCTTCTGTGGACCCCGGGTAGACTGTCGCACTGCTCACAAGCTCTTCTTGCTCGGCGATGTGAAATGCATCATGAGTATTCGGGTGTTCTAGATACCATCCATCTACCAATGCCTTGTCATTAACTTCGACATTTTCAACACCTATTGCTTGCCGCAATTCTTTGATCGCTGTTTCGAACTCCGCGGATGAGACGTCTGGTGGGAGACGCACAGCACCTTTTCTCGGTCGACTAGTCGGGAGTGTGCGGTTTGAAGATAGACGAGCCCGAACATCGTTTGCTTCTTTACTCAATCGCTCCGGTGCACCGTTATACTTTTCCTGAATTAACGGGACCGGACTTTGTGAAGTGTTCGTCGTCATAGTGTGTAATTATCTAATCCATTAAAAAACCAACCCCTTCAGGATCGAACGATTTAGTCAACACTCACATGTCCAATTACCTGCGAACCCCATATTCTTATTTGTGTAGAGTCACCCATTCTATTTCCCCAACCTCACTAGTAGATGCTAGCAACTCCGCGTTCCAGCTTCTCCAACAGCAATTGGCACGATGCGATGCTGCAGGCGGGGTTGTAATTGGGGAACATTCGGCAGATGACCTCCGCCTCCTGCGTAAGTACGGCCGTGTCACATACACACTTAGGTTATACCAGATTCTTCTTTTACGATCGACTTGATTAGTGTTACCCAAAAATCGAGATTCTAGGATACGCCTTGAAAAGCTGATGTTATACCATCCTCTCATACGTAGGATAAGCCCTATGTTTCAAGTATCGGGACACAAAGTCTCATATCTGATATCCGAGGTGCTACCTATTGTCAGAGATGTATAGCGGTTTGTTAAACCTCCCCACGAGGATCGGCAGGTGTAGGGTGACATTACTCCAGGGGACACTTGTACCCTAGATAGTGCGGGGGGTTATTGGGTGAGGCTGACTAACAACGCTAGACTTGATTTCTTCAGTTCGGCTCTCGAGAAGGCAATGTTAGAACGCATAAAGGAGTCGTAATCAGAACATTTAGACCCGGTCAATTATGCCGAGGCGGAATCCACTGCGGAGGTCGTGCCGGCAACGTGGGAAACATGGAAAATCGCCATGTTGAACACTTGCTAGGGAACACCGAAGGTACGAGGAAATCCCGGGGATGTGGGTCGAGCATCATGTACCGTGACACTAGCATCGTTTACATGATGGAAGAGGCGTAGCTTAGACGAGGTCTGGATTTATTATTCTATCTTGGCTTAGACATCCGCTGAACGGTAGGTCTCGGCACCAACAAGTTGCAGATTACCCGGCTCTAAATATGCATGTTCAGCTCTCTGAAGACCCCAGTGTTTCCTCTGAACGTACCGATCCTCGAATTCTACCATTTTTGGATAACCTGGTGCTTACCTTACGTTAGAATTTACTCAATATGACAGTCGATAGTATAAAACAGGAACCCATTAAGAGTGAGTAAAATAACGTGGTCTGGCTAAACCCCTTCACTATCCTGCTTGTATGTCTGAATTGCGAAATAAGGCTAGCTAACCGTTGAATTTGATAAGCCATCGTCATTGGTGCTGGTCTTGGCGGATGCGCCTGCGCACTTGCTCTAAAACACCATGGACATTCCGTAGTCATCTATGAGAGACTAAGAGCTTTCCGACGTCTTGGTGATTCATTGGGTTTCGGCGAAAATGCACTCAAGTTACTCAAGCGATGGGGCGGCGAGTCGCTTTATCATAAGTTAACCAGCATCGGAAATCAGGCTCCGGACATGCAAATCCGCCGGTGGCACGATGGCAAGATCTTGGCGCAACAACCGCTCATGGATATGGCGGGCTATATCGGACACCGTGGCGACTACCACGAGGCGCTCATCCAGGCCGTAAAGGATGCGGGTATTGAGATTCGTATGGGTCGTGAGGTTATCTCATATGACGAGACGAAACCTAGTGTTACTTTTGCCGACGGCACTGAGGAGACGGCGGATATTATCATCGGCGTTGATGGAATCAAGTCGCGCGCGAGAGAACTCGTCCTAGGATTCGATGATGCGCCAAAGAGTAGTGGATATTCGTGTTACAGGGCTTACTTCCCCGGAAGGCATCTACGGGAAGACCCCCTGTGTCGCGAATTTGTGGATCACGACTGCGTTAATATCTGGTATGTCGAATATTTAGATATAAAAGTTGGCAAATGAGTTAACTGAAGATCATTAGGATTGGTGAAGACACGCACTTGATCCAGAATACACTGCGCAACGGCGACGAATTCAACTGGATCGTGACACGCAAGTTGTCGCATGAGGCGGATATGGTAATTAAGGAATCGTGGTTCCAGGAAGGCGATATGAATGAAGTCAAAAGGTCTCTGGAAGGCTTAGATCCTCGCATACGGGCCGCTGTCGATAAAACCGAGTCCTGTCTAGACTGGAAGATCTGTTATAGAGATCCGCTGCCTACATGGGTGTCTAAAAGCCACAAGATCGCACTGCTCGGAGACAGCTGCCATCCGCATTTGCCAACAAGCGCACAGGGCGCGAGCCAGGCTACAGAGAGTGCGGCCGTGTTGGCTGTATGCTTGAAATTAGCTGGGAAGGACAATATTCCGTTAGCTGTAAAAGACCTTCTCGTTTTTCATCTTCCCCTTTTCCTTAATGCAAAAGTGAAACATTTGATCTAATCATAATACAGACGAGGTGCTACGAGAAACTGCGGTTCAAGCGAACAAGAGCTAGCCAGACAAACGGCGAGGATCTAAGGGATCGCTGGCACAATGCATTGAAAAACGTCAATAATGACGTCGAAATTGACCCCGAATCCATAAAGATGCGAAATCGGTGGTTATATGCGTTTGATGCTGAGGCCGACACGATTGAAAGGTGGGATGAAATGTTGAAACTTGTGGCAGAAGAGCTAAGGACCGGGAATATAACGCCGTTATGTTAGTGGAGGTGGCCTAGATTTAGCGTAGTTCATCCGCTGAAGATTACCTAGGTAGGAATGTGAGTGCTCTTCATCGCAACAATTGGGAACCCCGCACTGAATGTGAATAGCGCAAACGCCCTTCTATTTCGCTACCTAGGTAGTTTTTAATAGCTCTAAAGTGCTGGATTAGGGAATAATAGAGGTCCTCAGTTTAGCGCTTTCCCCCCTACTACGGTACCTAGACGGTTTGCCCCAGATAACTATCAAATTCCCCTAAATGCCATTATCCCAAACACCATCATAGCTTAATTGTTATTAGTTCCAATGAACACGACGAGCACGGCGCTAAACCTATACACCTATCAGCTTTTATTTCGATATTCATTGAAACTTCAACTTACGTGGCTGTAGCAGCAAAAAGCTCTAGTCTTTTGGAGTTCGTAGTAATCAAAGACAGTATGATCGAAAATGCGGACGTGAAAGCAGCCAAGATAAGCAGTCGTCGCCACATCGAGTGAACAGCGTAGAGAACCGATATTGCTGCGATAGGAAGTAACGAGGACAGCGTAACGCTAAGAACCTTGGTAGGATATAGTAGTGAACTGTCCTCAAGATGAACTATATCGTCCTTTGCTTGCGAGAATCTTCCAAGGATTTTATAGGTAAGGACCAGATAAAATTTCACCAGAATTAGAGATATTCTATCCAGCTTTTCCACAGGCCCAACGGTAACCAAGTCTTTAGACGTTTCCTCGTCTGTCCATGTTTTACTATCTTTTCCTAGAAGATACTCATTCTTCGAGTTGTCATCTAGGATGTGGTTCAAAGCCCTTAAGCTACGCCTCGATGGTTTCTCGAAATGTGAAATAGCGTGTTGCTGAATTAAGGCCTCATCTATCGTACTATTACAAAGCCATACTGCAAAATAAGTCGTATTTACTCACTATATTCTTTTAATTTATGTCTCAGCTTCTTGAATTGATCCCATGTCTCGGTATCCTTCTGAAGCTCTGCCCAGTCATGTGGATGTAATGACCTCTTATTCTCATCAGTGCTTTGCAGGGTGTCATTTTCTGTATTCCGCCAAGCTTCCTCTAAATGGGTTAGTTCGGCTTGGAGGTAGAGTATGTTCTGGTAGTTGAGGGCAGAGAAACTACGGAAAGAAGTGAGGTCAGAGGAAATCGAGATACGCTTGGCGATTGCTGCGTAGCCCGACATATCAGTGTTGAGAAAACTTAAATCGAGGTTTTATCGTCCACAACTTGTAACATGAACTGAATGAGCTCGAATCTGCCGAAGGGTATCGATTAACTACCCTCTGTGCAGATACTCGCGTCTGATAGCTGATAGTACGCAAGGCTGCGAAGGCTCTGTGTTGGCCTGAACAACGTGGTCGCTTTATGGATTCCCCCGTAGCCAACTTTTTCATGAGTCGTCTCGTCGAATTTTCTTTACATGTGTTCAAAGAATGGCTACCACGCCCCCACTGACTCCCAGAAAAACAAGCCTCGACGAGGTAGAATCAAATAGACCAACGTCCAGTCTACCTCCTCCTGAGAACGGGGGCACTAGTCGGAGGGCATCTATCCAGCAAATAGAGATAATTTATGAGCCCGGTACCGATATTATTTCACTCGTTGACATAATTTCGAGGCTCAATGTGTCTGGTGATGTGAGCGTTAGACCGTAGGACGTAAACATCAGGTCTGATTAATCTCAATACAGCTCTTTTATTCTATTATGATTACCCATACCAATTAATCCTGGATGTGTAGCAATTGGAGACGTCCACCCTCAGGTCCAGAACTAGTATCACCGCCAATGAGTGTACATAGCGCGGAGATAGGGACGGCTGCCTTCACGGACGATAGAAATCGAGAAACTCTTGTCCCAGGATCACACTTAAGGGTCAGAATAGATCGACCCGATAAGCAAGGCTACTATGAAACCGTGGCGTTACTTGATTCGGGCTCATCTGGGCATTGCCCGAATTGCGTTTCGAAGCGATTTCTACACGAAGACCTTGGAATTATCAATTCTGATATTCTGAAAGATACTGCAACTGTTGGAGTACTACGCGGAAATACTTCCACCTGTGGTAGAATCACACTCAAAATTTGGCCGATCACTGTTGACCGTTACACGCGTCTTTCTCAACAAGAACGACCCGTTAGATTAGATTTCCATGTAATCGATGACAGCGAGACAGAAGCAAACTTCGGCGACATCCTCTTCGGGCAGAATTTTATCGACTACATGAACCAACAAGGAATATTTTTTAACGCAGCAACCTACTCTTTCGTTGCTAGGGAACAGACAGGAGGTATGTGGTCGCCACTCGCTAAGGGAAGTACTAAAACTCGCCAGCACAACGAATGTCATTTGAGGCAGTACGCGCACGTAGGGAACAAATGAGACGAGAGGCAGCAAATCGAAGTAGCGTATTTCAAAACGGACCTCATAACGATATACTGACGGCGAGTGTCGTATACCAAACTCAACCACCAACCGTGGCAGAACTACCTTCAACCCCTGTTCGACAGAGGAATGATACTATAAGTAGTAAAGTATCGCGGTGGCTGTTATCATTAGAAGGGGCGCGAAAGAAGCCATAATATCTTTGCTTAATAGGTACCTTACCAGTGTTACGCGAAATAGGGCTGGCTTTTTGAGGGGAGTCGGGAGGGGATGGGGTAATGTTCCTGTGTTCTGGAATCTTGTGGTATATAGATATGTTTAATAATGTTTGAGGGGTATCGGGCGGCGTCAAATTTTATGCATATGAACGTGAACGAACAAATTACACCCAGCTTTGGTACCGATGCCAAAATTGTCCCTCTCGAACTCGAAGCCGCCGGCCGTAGCACCTTTGACCGTTATGTCGAAGCCTTGGACGAGAGCAGCAAGGAGCAAATACATCTCAGCCCACGCTAGACTGGGTAGTGTGCCGTTGTGTTAGCACGTAAGGTCTGGCGGCGGTAGGGGAAATATTTTTATTGACTATTAGATGTGGAATTGGACTCACTGCATGCCGAGGCATATCCTTGTCCCTCGAGAGAAAGGGGCAAACTTATTATCAGCTACTTCTCGGGTAGCTGGGTCCATCCAGCGATCAGGATTGAAATGCATTGGGTTGGGATATAGCTTCTCGTCAGTGTGCATCAATAGGGTAGTCATCCCCACCGGTGTTCTAGCGGGGATACGCCAATGGCCGTAGAAAAGGTCCTTATCAGTAATACGTGCCGCCCGTGTGCCAATCCCAGGGCTTAGGCGTAAGCCCTCCATTAATATAGCTGTGAGATACGGCAGTTGCTCGAGTTCTCTGAAAGTAATTGGATCAGATAACAAAGCGTGGTTAGTTGCGAGTTCTTCCCTAACGCGCCGAAGAATATCTTCGTTAGTATAGACGTGATAAATGATTAGTCTCAAGACATTGGCGGTGGTCTCGTATGCTGCACCGGTCACAGTAGCTACCTCTTCAAGGATGCGATCCAGAGTTTTGTCAGAGGATGGGAGAGTAGAGTGAACGACAGCGTGGATCATAGTATTTTGGACCTTATCATCGGAAGACGAGGACTTTGTAGCGGCTAGGGTGTCACGTGTATCTTGTTCAGATTGCTAGCCAAGTTAGTGGTCATCAATATAGCGCAGCAGCGCCAATCCAAGCCTCTGATTACATGTCTAGGCGGTTAATGGTAGCTTACCTGTAGGTAGCGGAGGAAGGCTTTCGTACCTTCGTCCGCCACTTTCATAGCCCAATCAATAGGTACCGCCTTTAATGAGGGACCAAACCAGCGTACATGCTTGGTCAAGCGCCAGAATGGCCCTGCGCCCGAAGACGCCAGAGACAACCCAATACCAAAGTCTTCCAAGCCAAGTTCATTATAGGTTTTTCCGATAATAAATTCGTTGGCGTTATCTCGTGTGAAGGCGCTGATAGCCGCGCCTAGGTTAAAGGCAGTTCCATCAAGTTCAGAAATGCGCTGACAGAGCTTCTGAACATTTTGATCGAGTGAATTCTGGCGAGCAACAACGTTTGGCCTCGAAAAGAAGGAGGCAATCGCACGGCGGCGGGCCTTATGGGCGTCATGATCTGAGACATGCCCTGTAAGTTACCTATCTCTAGGTGGTTTGATAGGTACCGGGACAGGGTTTAAGGTGGCGTCTACAGCGTGATAGAAGGGTACAGAATCTTACCTGAACCAAAGATGGTAGATCTCTTAGCCCCGAAGGCATCGTAAGTCCAGGCATACTTATCCCAACGCCCATCCATACGATAGAGCGTCTCAAAGAATTCCGGGTCGATGACATGCAGTTCATATGGGCTGATCCGGATGATGGGGCCTATTAAACGTCAAAAGACGTGCTGTAAGGAAACGCCATGCCCTACCTACCGTATATTTTATGTAGTTCTGCAATCTTTGCAGTGTACTTCCCCCCTAGAACCACGTCATAATAGGCCTCGTACCAGCGAGAAACGGCTGCTAATTTAGGGCCTGGAAAGCCAGCTAGAGGATGAAAAAGCAAGCGGTACAGCGCCAACGACCCATAGTAGACGACAACCGCTGTAATAAGCACGTCCCAAGTGATGCCGAACTCCATGACAACTCCCTCCAAGGAACTCAAATGAATAGCAAAAACACCTTGAAACTAACACTAAGAAATGTTATGTAGAAAACCTCGGGAATTGACTAAATGAAATAAAAAAAAAAAAAAAAAATTTTTGATGAAAAGTCGAGTAGGCTGTCTTCTATAGCACGTTAGGTGTAGGAGCTTACCCTAATGCTGCAAGGTAAGCACTTGATGCACGCCGCAGGGTAAGCAATCTCCTGCAAGACGCTTAATCATAGGTGCATTATAGGCGCGTTATAGGTGTGGTAGACCAAGTTATTTAGGTAGTCCTATTCTGTCAGCCTTGTCAGGCCTTGACTATTTCAAAACGAGATGTTCATTCGGTGCCCAAGAGCCAGAGTAAGTCTATCATATACCTAAAGTCGTATATTCAGGCAGACGAAGTGACTCAGAGACGATAGCTGTTCAAGATTGCAACAACTTCATCGACTATCCAACGCTACTTCACGATATCAACCCTACCTATAATCATGAATCCAGACGTTAAGCGCATTATGACCTTCTGGTTCGACCGCAACCCAATAGAATGGATAATCGCACCCGAAGGACTCGACACGCAGTTAAAATTTGAGTTTAGTCATCTCGTCGTGAAAGCGCGCCAAAACGAATTAGACGATTGGGCTTCCGAGCCTGAAGGCAGTCTCGCTCTTGTCGTCCTACTAGATCAATTCTCACGCAACATCTACCGTGGCACTACCGAGGCTTTCAGCGGTGATGCGAAAGCATGGGAAATCGCTACAAAAGCAGTCACCCGGGATTTCGACAAGCAGGTTACCGTCATTCAGGCATCGGCGTTCTACATGTCGCTGATGCAACAGGAAAGCCTGATCTCCGTTGTAGCGGCACGCTGCTTGTTTGAGGCGCTAAAATCGAGGTGCGCAAGCGCTGAAGAACATAAGTGGGTTGATATGGGAATCGCGGCATCGAAGAGACATGCAAAACAGTTGGACCAGTTTGGGCGATACCCCACTAGAAACGCACTCTTGGGGCGAAATAATACTGAGGAGGAGGATGCGTATCTGAAGGATCACAAGCCTAGCCTTGAATGAACTAGGCGAGTGAAACTATCGTATAGGTTGCAGCTTGGACTTGGCGACTTTTTGGAAGATGTTTAGTTAGAAAGGATGATACGCAGTGGACCTCGGGAGATTTAGTGAAAGTCGCTATATGAGTTAAACGGTATAAAATCCTAGATATATGCGTATCATCTTTATTACGATTCACATCTCAATAATGCACTTAACAAAACGATCTACTCGATAACAAAATAATCGACTTCCCAACTAAAAGAGACCCGGTTCATCTTCCTATCATACATAAATACCACCATCATCTTAATTTATTAAGAGTTGCAATATGTCCAAGCGAATAGCCAAAGTGATATCGACAGAACTGCTCGTATGTTCTTGCCAAGCCATGGCCAAATAATGAGTTATTAAATGTTTTTCTAGGATAATAAAGATGCAAAGTGGATCAATCTTGTGAAGTCAGTGGCAGCTCGTAAGCCTTCGCTATCGTGGCATATATGACGCATTCTATGCGGTTCGCCCTCACGACCCTAAATCTAACTATAGAATAATACAGAATCACCTACGAAGATGAGAATGGTCAAGTCCGCACATGGGAGGCTATGAGACGCCCCACCCGACCTAAAGCCAGTGCCGTTGACGCCGTACAAATGATGGTAGTTCTCCACAGACCCGAAACGGGTCCCGAACTCCTCCTCGAGAAACAGTTCCGGGCACCAGCCGGTAAAATCGTCATTGAATTCCCGGCTGGCCTTGTTGATGAGGGCGAGACTCCCGAGCAAGCGGCCTTACGCGAACTGAAGGAAGAGACCGGTTACATCGGCGAGGTGGTACCAGATCGTGGGGGTACACGGCCAATTCTTTTCAGCTGTAAGTTTAATCAAGCAGCATTCAGCTAGGGAACCATCTGCTAACCGTATAACCAGCTCCCGCATCATCAAGGTAAATATTTATATGCAGTTTAACATTATACCCAACTATTTACCACTCGTCTCTAGCTCTAGCACCTTCCTTATCCACCTCAAAGTCGACCCCGACAAGGAAGAAAACCGTGACCCGAAACCGCAGCTAGAAGATGGCGAGTTCATCGAGTGTTTCTGGGTGCCATTAAACAACCTGTACGCTGAATGCAGGAAGCTAGAGGCCCAGGGCTTCGCTATTGATGGCAAGGTCGGCGTGTTTGCGGAAGGGCTTGAGATGTCGAAAATTTGGTCCGCTTGATTACTTTCAGGGAGCCTTGGTCATAATACGATAATTCCAACTAGCTTCATCCGCCACCCTCGCATCAGCCATTTCTAAGCCATTGAATCTACATCAGCAATCAACGTATTTTGCAAGGCAAATTAGCAATTACAGCGCTCATAGCGCCTGGCATCTTTCTAGATACCTAGGTATATAATCCACGTCCTTACTACATTACTATATCACTACCAACACCTAGAGGAGCCACAACACCATTTCCGCAGCTCGCGATCAAGACATACAGCTTGGATTCCTTGTTGTAATTTACGGGGAAACTAAACAACGACCACGCGCAAAGATGGCAAACATGACGAAGTTTACCACGTGTGCAAAAGACTTGACTGGATGATCGAGTAAGTAGATTCGCGATTCATCTTCCGTCCAAACAATCGTAAAAGGCACTACCAGCCTTGGATATAGATGATAGTTTGCCCGTCTAAGAGGTAAATTGGCTTTATAGTATCGAGGGTAGTCGCTCTCACCCGTAATAAAATCTGTATAAAACTACGACTCACATCAGATGGAAGTAATGTCTATTGTCAAGAATTCATGCGCAGGGAATGAACAAGTTTCCCAGCCCTGACACGACCCCATCACTTGAAAACTCAGCAATAACCTCGTTCATCAATCCAGCTCACCTCTCAAAATGTTTTTCTATATATGCACACAAATCTTCTCCCTCCGCATCTCTCGAACGTACCAATACATGCATACGCAAGCACACTCAAACCTCTACTTCGGAACCTTCACTAAACTTCGAAAATCACATCGCGATACTCGCAAATCTACCTAGCTCCACAACAAACTGCAAACCAAACCACCACAAATCCACAACAAAAAACACCATAAAGATGTCGGGGAACCACAGTTGGCAGTGCACCACCTGCAAACGTTGGGTTGAACTGACCAAATACACATGTCCCTGCGGTAAACCCAAACCCATCACTATCCTGCCTCCGCATCCGCCCCCACCTCCGCCCGCTCCTGTCGATAAAAAGTAAAGTCCTACCACCAGGCACATAGAAGGATACAGCGCATAGAATATCGATTTCCTGAAAAAGAGGGGTTGATTTCGTTTTGGAGAGAGCAACGCGGCTCTCATATGTTGACCGGTAGACCTACAGTAATGGGAATATCAATATGCTTGATTTTATTACTTCAAGAGGTTATTGATTGTATTAATATATATTTTTGGTACCCGAAGCATGCGAGACATAGTGCAATTTGTATAAATAGTGAAGCTTGATATACGATCGTGGTGAGGGTAGGTATACCTAGACTAATATCACGTTACTCATTCGATTTCTAAGGCAATCAACACCCACTATTCATTACTCTAGCATCACATACACTAAATAAAAAACCATCGAATGGAAAAAAGACGTCTTCGCCTCGTCTGTCTTGAAAAAGGTACCAATTCTGGCCGATTATATGTGTCTACTTCCGATGCTCTACTCGTCGCATTCGTCTCCTTGACTGACTTATATACACAGGCAATGGCAACCAAGCAAAAAAAATTCCACCAAGGCCTTAAAGGAATCAACTCAAAGGTGTCTCCCCCTCTGTTTCTCTCCGTGCATGCTGCGCGCGCGGTATGCTTATCACATCCAGGTTGTCAAAATCCTGCCCTAATCTTTTTAATAGAACGCCTCGTCGCCCACCTGAAAGCACCCTTAACATATATATCAGACAGAGGAAAACAAAAGGAACCGGAAAAAAAAGGCAATATGAGGGACCCCGCCAACCCTCCTTCGTATTGATGATGATGATGATGATGATGACGACAATTCTCGACGTGAAAGGGGATGATTGACCCTTGAGAGCGATTGTAATGACATGTGCGTAGCGCAATCTCGACTTGGGAAATAAGTCTATGATGCAAGTAAAAGTAGTATCTTGGACCTTCTGGCCAGCATCGTCATCTCATCATACAAATCCCTTCTGACTCCATGCACCTATGAAACACCAACGCCGTCGCAAATGGAAAAGAGGAAAAAGTGTAGACAGTTCGTTCGAAAGAAGTTCGGTTTGTTCTTTTAGCTGAGAAGATTACAGCAGTGTCGTAAATAATTCGTTCGAGATCGTATTTGGGCATCTAGTGCCCCGGATATCATACTGAACGGAGTAAACGAAGTCAAGGATTGCGCAGCACACTATTTTACAAGATTTGCGGTTATTAACCGAGGGTTATTTACTCGTGTTCGCGGATGTTGTTGTCTTTGTGATGGGCGAATGCTGTCTTGAAGGATTTGCCTCGGGTTCGTCTCCTTATTCGGCTGACAATTCCGTTGCCCTCAGGTGGTCGCGAGACAGAGTGGGTCGATTCAAATCTGCTTAACATAGCGGCCGAAGTAAACTCGTTGGACATTTCGTAACTATATCTAACACGATCCATAGAGGCACGCATACGGTCGTATGATGGTCGGACGCGATCGTAGGATGGTCGTACTGGAGGCTCCGCTGGTGGATCCACAGGTTGGGCAACTCTTGGTACATCAAGTGAAGGTTCGTGTCTGGTGTAATTGGTACCGTCACTGCCGTTCTGGCTGTGAGCATTATGTCCAATAACAGACTGCGTCGCGACAGAAGGCGGATAAATCGGTCTTAAATCTTCGTCGACACTCTCGAACTGCTTGTGTCGTCGATTCCGAGATGATCGCGATGAATCCGATGAAGCAGACTTAACCAAGTCCTCTTCTACGGTTTCCTTCTCTACCTCGTCAAATTTACCAATGGTAACCTGCTCCCGAATGATGTCGACATCACGGGGCCAGAAGACTTTGCGTAGAGCTTTGATAGCGTATCGGGGTGCCAATGCGATGATTGGAGTAGCAACCAAAACTGCCCAGAATGAAGCCTCACCGTAAATCTGCGGGGCTGCTCCATAGAGTGTGGCGGCATATGTCGACGAGGTATATACACCGGTCCAGAAAAAGATTAGAAGGTCACTAACAACGATGATCAATACCGTGAGCCAATCCCATCGGTAGGTGTTGATGAGAATGTAAAGATTGATTGTTATCACGGCTGGGTGAGTAACATAGATTCCAAGACGGTATCGATCGCCAACATCTAATCCATTTGGGGTCACGGCCGAGGTCGGAGAGAAAGCCAAGTAGGTGATAAAGAAGCATATCACGCTCTGATAGAGGCCGTCAAACATGTACAGCCTAAAGCAAGTTAGCATATTGGTTTGCGTAAGACCGATTAGCAAGGGTTAGATACCAAAATTTGTGTTGAGTCCATTCAAGACGCTCAATGCCACGCCGATATAATTGAGGGACGGCCAGGGAAACCTTGTCAGAGACATCTTGGTCGAGAACACCAATGACGATGGGGGGGACAGAGGTGAAGATGAGGTTAAAAAGAAGGATATAAGTGTACTCGAAGAGGTAGGTGATATCGAAATTGCAGAAGCACTGGAACCATAAGATGCTCAAGGTCCAAACCATGTTCTTGTAGAAGAAGTTAGCGATGGCTTCAGCCATTCTTCGGTAGGACCAACGGCCATGAACCAGGACTAGCCGCTGAAGGAAGCGGAATTGACCAATAGCGTAATCAGCGGACATAACAGCTTGTCTACCTTCAACACCCGCAATACCCACACCGACGTCGGCCTCCTGGATCATGGCGACGTCATTGGCGCCGTCTCCGATAGACAATGTCATGACGTCGAGACCGTTCTTGACCATAGAGACGACAGAGGCTTTCTGAGCGGGACTGACACGGCAGCAGAGAACAGATGCACATTGCTTGCAAAGAAGCAAGAATTTCTGCTTCAAGCTATCATTGAGCACCCATCTCAGAGTGAACCCGTCAATAACCAGAGCATGAGTTGGTGCTGGCGGCTCATGGTTCTTTCTAGCTTCAGCCAAGTCTTCGTTACCACCGGTAATACCGAATGTCTTTAGGTTCTTGTCGAGTTCTTGTTCAACTAAGCTCATGAATGCTTCATCGGACGTGCCGCCAGATTCATCTTCCAACACTTTAAGATGGATAAGTTCCATGTCATTGTTAAGCAGGTTGCACGAGAAACCGATGTTGATAGCGGTCTCAACTTTGTCTCCGGTGAGCACCCACAGCTTGATTCCTGCGCGACCAAGTAATTCGATTGTGTCCGGAACACCATCTTGTAGTCGATCCTCGATGGCGGTTCCTCCAAGTAAACTTAGCTCCTGCTCAATCTTGTCGGCGACTTCTTCTAGTTTTTCTTCTCTGTCCTGCATGGCAGTAGCGGCCTTATCGTGCTCCTTACGCCATTCGAGATATTCCTGTTCAGAGAGTACACGCTGAGCAATGCACAGGGTTCGTAGACCTTCACGGGCAAACATTTCAAGGTGTTCGGCAGTAGTCTTGCGAAGCCCCGCTTGCTCTCCACGCTTAAGACGCGAGTAGATAATACTATCCGCACCCTTGCAGAAAAGAACGATTCGACCGTCGGGCATCTTGATGATGGCACTCATACGCTTTCGACTGGAGTTGAATTCAATTATGTTGAGGATCGGATAGTGGATTTCCTCGCCCATGACGTTCAACCTGATACCATCCGATGTCTGACCAAGTACGGTGAATCCCATATCGCGGGCAGTTGATACAAGAGCTGCTTCATCCGGGGACTGAGCTTTAAACTCGATCTTTGGAGGGTCGCCTGGAATATGTTCTGCGATAACGGTGTGGCAAAGAGCCAGGGCAAGCATGAAGTTTGCGTTTGCTTGCTTCTGTTCCTCTCCAGACTGTCCTTGGAGATCATCAACGAAATCGGGAGCTATGAAGGTCATATCCTCGTCATGTAGATACGGGTTGTTATGTAGCGTTCTCAGTCCTTCTAGTGCGTGAGTTTTCCCAGCGGCAATCTGTTCTCTGGCTCTAGCAGCTTCTTTTACCACATCGACACCTAAGCGTTTCTGCATACCAGCCATTGCTTCGGTGTAGGCTTCTCCGTACGGTTGACCATTGATAGTAGCTTTCTTGAATTCCATGACGTTCTGGGTGAGTGTTCCTGTCTTGTCCGAGAAAATGTATTCAATCTGTCCGACATCGTCTGAAATGTTCCACGACTTCGGTACACAGGGATAGTCAATCTTGTCGTAATACATCTCGACATCGCTGTAAATGAAAATAGCCTGTAATGTTCGCACGATTTCGAGGGAGATGTAAAGCGAGATAGGGACGAAATTCTGGAAGTTGATAAGTGCCGCCCAGAAAGTAATGAAACCAGTCATAGCAGGGCTGCCGCCAATTGAACCGTAGTCAAACCAAGCAGTAGAGGCGTCGCTCTTGGACCACGATACTCCGTTGACAATAGCACAGAGAAGGCACAATGCTCCAAGGATACCGAAGTTGCAAACGACGTTGAAGTTTAACTCGCGAGCGATCCGAGCACGCTTGCTTGGCGTGACACCCGCGTTCTGCATGATCTTGGTGTCCTGACCGGTGAATATAACAACGCCCAGTACCCATTCAGTGTTCCTTAGATTGCAACCTCGGAGGAGTAAGTTGTCTATGGTAATCGGTTCGGACATTTCGGTAGGTCCAAGAGCCGTCACTTGATCCCATTTGATAGCACCGTTATATTTGTAGAGATTAGGCTGCGGAGGTTCACTCTCAATGATGAATTGAGCGCGTTCACAATCCCTGGCATGCTTCAACGTTCGTCCACATCGGAGTGCTTGGCGAACCTTTAAGTTGGTCTCTCCATCCAAATTCTTCGTCTCGACGTAGCAGGCACCATCCGAATCAGAGGTCGCAAGAACAATAACATCCGCGGGTAGTTCATCGTCGTTATAAAGTCGCACAAAATCTCCGACCTGTAGATTCTTCCAGTGATCCTTCTGAAACTTAGCTCGACCAGTTGAAGGTGCATCGTGATTAATCAAGTCGCCCTTTACCCTAGCCAACTTCGACTCTTCGGGATTGAAAGACTGCCCCGAGGTTGGACGCTCGTTGACTTCAAGCATATCTTTCTGGTTAGTCTGCGGAGGGAGGGGTGAAGTGACTGGAGTCATCTGAATGTCTTCATAGGCAGACATATATGAAGCCCTGTTATCGCGGGGAGACAGCATAGATTCGCGGCGCGTTGCCTTGGTTTCAATAGAGACACGCGGATTCATGGCATTTTCTGGCGTGCCCTTTTGCTCCTTCTTTTTCCATAGACTCTGCGTCGTGCGCCAAAACAAAGCAAGGTTTCGCGAAGTGGCCTTCTTAATCTTTCGCCAAAGAGAGACGTTATCTTCAGTAACATTGACATTATTCCAGCCGACTAGACGATGTACGGGTGCGTTGTTCAATTCGATATCGAGAATCGTCCTGCGATAATCTTCAATGGCGTCTTTGATAGAGGTCACAGCAAGAATGAATATCAAAGGTAACGCGTTGAGTCCTGGGTTAACTCCTCCAAAAATGGGAAAGATCTAAAAATAAAAAGGTTGGTGAGGCTATTTTAATGTGTGTAGGAATTAGGTCTTTCACTTACCACAAGGACGACCATGAATAAGAAAAAAATGTTGGCGATGTTGTGGAATTGAAACCACAAGTTCTTCGGGATAAAAGACAACGGCGTGTATTTGGCAGTCCGAATCTTGTTTCGAGCATAGATGCGAGACGGGTTGCCCTCTTCATCCTTCATATCGTCAGGTAAAGGTAGATTGAAGAACACCATCCTGTCCTCCCCTTCCTCGGAAGATGTTGTGCTGTTCGCGTCGGTCTGATCATTACGATCGGTCGCGGTGGTGCTGTCGTAAGGATCATTGTCGCTTGTCGTGGACTGACTACCGCCCGAAGTACGTTTCTTCTCCGCCGAGGAACCTGTTCTCTTGTGTATACGACCTTTGAGAGAAAGCCTCTTAAGACTACTACTCTTGACAGTAAGTTTTCGAGTTGCCCATCTCGATCTCTTCATTGTCTTGTCATCCGGGCTATTTACTCCATCGTCTTTCGCCATCATGGGAGAGTTGCGGGCCGAGCCCGTTCAACCCGACGTGTCCGCCAGACTAGGCTCTCGTGGCCACGATTCTTTTCTCTCTCGGGTCTCGATATTCGAGGTACTAACTGGTATTAAATCCGTCGACTTGGGCAATTGGGTAAAATCGCGTAGTAATCGCCGAATTTAGAAAAATGAGAGCGTCGATGAATGTCGTCGTTACGAATGGATTATCGGCGCAATTTTGCATTGAGGGAGAGTGGATGGTGACCGCTTGTCGATTGACTTTCCCTTGCTTAATACGGGGTGCGGCGATCGTGTTGTTGATGACATTAAGGACAGAATTGGGAAGGGGAACAATGGAAGTTTTTGATTGATCGCTACGCCGGAAGGACCGGGGGGTCTAACGTACCAACGTACCAACGTACCAAACGTACCTACTAAATGTATACCGACTACTGTGCTGATACTGTGGGGCGACGGGCTGGAAGGTGCGCAGGCGGTACATGATTCTTATGTGCATACGTACGCACTTACCTGAGTACCTACCCACCTGTTACTTGAACGCAAACCGCACTAATACTCACTATCAAGTACCTAGACCTACCGTACGTTCTCGGCGGTGACAGGGGAAACGCTCCAAGACATTGGCACAATTCTATGCATTTCCAACTAACAACTTTACAATTGCACGTCAATTATTGTCTCCATGCTCTTTGTAAAGTATACCGACTTAAGTCCTTTTTAAACCCAATGTATAGTAAAGTGCAAATAATCATTGGTTATGAAGGGATCGTCGCTCTATTCACGAATCAACGGTTTAAAACGTGTTTGCTGACTTAAGATGGCTTAGATACATCCCGAGATACTTTTATTAGAACTGGATTTAGGTAGAAGCCACCATAAATGCAATACAGTATTGGAGATTGCTAGTAAAAACGTATCCGAACCCCGGTGGTACCAGTCGGCAACGTATTTCCTCCAAATCATCCGTACATGTATTAGCTTTGCAATTTGCTTTGTAATACGGAATTGCACTGTGACGCTAACCCATATTGGGTAAGTGCCATTGCTAGTGATCCCCTTGTACTACCCAAAAATGCCTCTTGCTGATGATCTCGGCCTGAGATTATTTTATTATGCAACCCACAAATCCTCACAATACGACAGCATATGCATGGTGCATTTCATAAATGAATGAAGCCTACGAAAGGTCAGCAACGAAATTAGATATACTATTCCCATCTGAATTTCTTATAGATGGACCCGACCCGAATTGAGAATTTAACTAAAACATATACTCTACAACTATCGATTTGTTATATCTACTCATGCCTCATCTCTTTAAATGATACCCCACGCACGCGTCTATGGCATACCTAAGAACTACGAGACCTATGAGACCTACAAAAGCATTCCATTCCATTCCTTCCAGGCTACTCTAACTGCGGCTGATTGTTGCAACTAACCCCTTCGGCAACACTCCGAACACTTTTAACCCCTGGGTCTTGCGGTCACCGTTACAGTGCAGTATCATAGGTTCCTACGTATAAGATCTTCCGTGATCAAAATGACCCACGAATAATTGAGTATCTTCCTACCTATCTAACCTATACGTAGGTGTATATTCCCATCTCGGATCAGATCGTCAGGAATTCCGCTACCGGTCGCTGAAGAGCCCCCGAAATAGTTCGGATCTATACAAAGAAAGAAGGGTTTTTAGAAGAGGAATCGCGGGACCGTAAGCCACTCACTAATCGTTGCTCGGGGTCTATTAGTTTCCGACAATGCGCAATAGGTGTGCACTACACTAGGTCATGTTCGAATTGCCGTACAGCCGTATCTATCTAGGCTGGATTTGTCAATTCCCACGTAACACGGCTCCTAACGGCAGCATGATGTCAAAAAACAACACAACAAAACTGCGCCTTCGTGGGAAGAGCCATGTGTAACCCAGGTTATCTACCCGGTCTCATCGTCTCATATGCCAGATACTTAAGAACATGTGCGCGTGTGGTTATCTGTGACACCGATCGCCGTGGCGAAGTCCTGACTCCGAGTGGCCGAACAAGTTTGTAGGTAAATAAGTAGTGAATATTCTAAGCTTTTAGGCTACTTTGCTCGGATTTGCCCCCTTACCCTTTTTTTATCTCCCCTTTTCTTATCCACGATACTTCTCAGTAATATAAAATGGAGAGAGATGGCATCTTCTGTTTCTCCGATGGGTGGTTTTTTACCCTTTCGTCTGACGAGGCCGGGGGTTTGACGCACATCATCTATTTATCTAGTAAGTGGTATCGGAACGGGGGGCACAGATGGGGATGCGAGGGATCCTTCAGGAGCGGCTGGCTAGGTACTCGGGGCCCCAAACCAACCATTATATGTCGCTTACTGCAGTGTAGAAAGATTGAAAAACTAACAGGATAGAATGCGACTATATTAATTATCTTGTGTAATACTCGAGTCAAGTAAAAAGCACTCCGTATACAGTACTGTATTACTCGTAAGTACATATTGGAGGTATTCATTGTTTTCAGCGAGTCGCCCCCAAGTCAGTAGATTTTTAGTGCATATGTTGTGCTTGTACTCGTTATAGTTAAACCCGAACAGGCCCGAGCTTGCGGATCCAATCGAGCCTAATCTCCCAACCCCCGTTCTACATTCGCCTTACGCAGATACAGTTTAGACTTTACTGTATCGAGTAGATCGACTAATAAAAAAAACCTCCTGAATTAACAGGGCCAGTGGATACATTTACAACCATCTGGGCAGCTGCTATGTTGGTGCACCGTTGCATATCCGTCATTTACGCCGAGGTGCACAATCTGACAATCTGAATAAGATATAGGGTACATGATGAGACCATCAAAAGGTTGTGGTAAGGCAGAATAAATAATGTTTATTAGCGATTAGCTCAGCCCTTTTCCTCGAGTAGAGAGGATGCACGACAGAAACCGTGGAGCACATACATAAGCGCGCGATGACGATTTTCCCAATGCCCCGTCTCCATATATCCAAAATTTCTTAAATTAGATTGTTATCCAGCAGGTTTGTGGTAACTTGTGTCAACTTAAAACATGATCACATACTCAGCCTCGCAACTTTGTGTAAATCAATAATTCCCTCCACCTATTCTGCAGATCGAGGAATAAGATAATTATTAGTCCTACTTCCATTGCGATTTTTATTTCCTAGTTTTCTAGTGAGTTAATATAAGTTAGTTTAGTTAGAACTACACGAGGGAATAGCGAGGTTATGGATTCGGTCTTAATAGCCTAACTCCCTTAGTACTGTTTAGCAGTCTAGGTACACTATTTAGGCCAAGTGTAGCACCCTTATTTCCCACTGAATAGGCACTAATGACGGAAATGCGTACAACCCGCACTAACAATTATCTCCCCCAAGCCTTGGCAGATTTAAGAGCCTTGGACTTGTTCGTGCGTGTTCGTTGGTTCGTCAATTGTGTCGACATGAGATTGCGAGATACATAGAAGGATTGGCATTTCTTTACCCCTGATGTTCGCTAAAGACATACACAAAAGGATAAGAGGTTGGTTTATCTTGGAGTTGCAACGAATGGAAGTCAACCGAACCCCGCCAAGGGGCACATCTTGTTCCCTTGATCTCTCTTAAGCTCCCTGGCATTTTCTGGGCTACTAGGTTTATGTATTGTGCTTTGTGTGTTACTTCCAGGCTACCACAAATACTATTCCCGAACGGGTTTCCACTTCGAGTTCTGGCACATTAAGACTTACAAGCCAAGCTACCCGATTAGGCTAGCCGCAAAGTTCCCGCTGCAAGTCAATAGGGTTGAACGTTGTTCCGGGAAGTAACCGACACGTCTGAGAAAAAAAGACCCCACATCTATGCGACGCGTCGATTAAGTCGCCGTTTCCCTGGCAAATTGAAAGTTTACCGGGTAGTTTAGGTGATTTTACAGTGCTGTACCTGCTGTACTTACCTGAAAATGGATTTGGAATAAGTCAACTTGCGTAATAACTAAAGCGGACTTGGAGGGTCCAAGTTATTACTACACTAGCCTCATCGACGCTGAAATTCGTCACGAATCTGTGCAAATCAATCAACCAAACCAACAATCAACCAACCACATATAAGCACCCAGACACCTATAAGTATATACCAAATGTGTACCAATGTCCCGAAACAGGGATATTAGAGGGTTCTTCGCAAACCCTGGCGGCCGTAGCAGCTCCCAATCGCTACCGGTATTCTCGTCACAGCCGGCACGGGATCCGCATTCCTCAATTTCAACCCCTAGTACACCTCCGAAACCCACAACGAAACCTCGCGATCGGACCGAAGAGATTAAGGGTTCCGATGATGACGGCGATTCTGACGACTCACTTGAGTCCATATCCGCCTTTATTGAACGGAAAGCCGGACCCGCACCCTACCAAAGAGATCCGAATCTAGCTACTCCCACAGCTAAGAGGATAGCTTCTAGTTCTACTTCACACCTTAAATCCCCTTTGACCATACAGCCCAAACAGAAATTTAGTCTGAGGGATTTGATAAAACATGCTCAACAGTCTGATCGAGTAGATGAAAGTGCCAGGCGAGCTGATGAACTTATCAACCAAAGTGAAGACGATAGCGACAATAGCCAAATCCTGACGGATGTGCAAAATGACCCAACTCTCTTACAAAAGACAGCAAAGGAACTCCTAAACAATGACGATAGTGAAGATACGAAAGGCGACAAGCTCGTAAGGGCTATGAATCGCACCAAAGTCGATGGTATTCGCAAGCAATGTTACTTCTTCAACTTAGAACAGCCTTTGATCAAGCCGCCAAGAGCACTATTCCCACAGAAGGGGGCGAAAGGATGTTGGAGCTGCCTAGCTAATTCAAGTACACGAAACCAAGCCATCATATTAGGTTTACCTCACACTATCGCCTCTAAAGGCAGAACACTGCCAGATGAGCTATTGCTCTGGATCCTCAACGAAGTTTGCGTGGAGAAAAATGCTCAGCTGCGCATGCAGTACTGCAACCTAGTGACTTTGTGTCCTAGTAGTATCACTCGCCTTGTCACAGATGTCCAGTTATACTCCATGCTCGAGAAGTTGGGTGGCCCTAAGTACCCCCGAAAGCAAGATGCTGTCAAGTTTCAGAGTGTGCAGAAAGTAGAAGATCTATATCGTCGGAGGGATTGGACGGGTCTTGTAGCTTTCCTGGAACTCCTAGAGCAGATGGCTCCAAGATTGAAAACACAAAATGTAATAGGGGCAATTCTACTCTTACTACGCATGGGTCTCGATCCCCTTGTTAGTACAACAGTCCGTTCTGAGCATGCCGCGGCAATGGAAGCTCTCGTCGAGGCTATATCGAGGTTAAATACACATCGATGGAACGAAGCCGTAAGTTCAATCTCCTTCCCATGATATGTCATATGAGCTAATACTTGTTAAGTGCAACACGATATCCTCATACATATACAAAAGCGTAGACGAACCTCTACACCAAGTCATTCCCATCAGCCATACGCCCACAACCACAGCTAAGCTCTTGGACTTACGACGGCGTATGGCAGCCGTAACTCTCTTCCGAGACCCAGAACTGGGTAGTAAACCAGTCGACGAAACTCTAACATTAAACGATATTATGGAACGCTTGGACTCAGACGATTTCCGTGTCGGAGCAACCAACGACTTCGACAACCTGCGAGCGCTCGTTACACTCCTCGACATCGTCATTAGTGGTGCGGGTTTCCTCAAACGACAGCACTCAACCAACGAAGATGCAGATCGCAAGTTCGACGCAGACATCGATAGGTTGACATTCAGATTAAAACTGATCCATGACAAGATCCACGATAGTACTGTCTTATCCCGCAAGATGGCGAAAGCCTGTATCGACTTATTGTCCAAGAGGTTAACCTACTCGGTTCGCACGCGGCCTCCGCCGAAGACCAGTATATTCGATCCGGAGCCAAAGGAGGATACGAATATCCCGAAGCAGCGGGCCTTTATGAAGAACTGGGCTCAGAAGAAGGCAGAACGAAATGCTGCTGCGTTAGCTAGTAAAAGTGGTGATGTAAACGGTAGCAAGAAATGAATTGTGTTGATTAGATATAATAGGAATATATGGATATGAGCATGTGAAATGGATTTGGTTGTTTTATTGATGTGGATTGGACGTTCTTACAAACGCCTCATGTTATGATATACAGCAGCCTTTCTAATGAGTACCACAACCAAGAGCATGGTATACATATTCCTATGCTGGATGCAACCCCACTGAGTGACCCTCGAGCGGGAAGCTTCTCTCCAACGTAATTTCTGTCCTGCCTGCTGACGTCCTGCGTTGATCTGATATGTTTGTATTTCCGCACACTGAAGTATAACCCGCGAAGCAAAATCTCTTAATCATAGAACTTTCGGTTGGGGTTCTTTCCGAATAGCGTCTCTCGCACGGCGGGTAGACCGCTCGATTGTAGGAGTAGTAGTCTTTCGTCGAAGGTGTTGTTGATATCGATCTTGCCTTGGCCGCCTACAATTATAACACCGCCGGAGCTATTTGTACGATCCATTGTCAGCTTATCACGTCCCTGTCTGCCTAGAAATAGAAGAAAATATCATAAACTTACCTGCCATCCGGTAACGGATGCTCCTCGTCAATCGTAACCTTAGTCTCCTTGCCTGTACTACTCTTATACTCGGCCTCCGCATCCTTAATAGCATCCTTCAAAACCGCATAATCGGCCTTTCGTCCACGGACCTGGATATCCTTCTCAGTAAGAGCATACAAACCCTCCAGCAACAAATTCTTAAGCGTAACACGGTACTTCGCGGTATCCTTCGCACCGTCCGCGAGACGCTTAGCAGCGGCATCGAAGATATCATCGAGTAGGTGCTGGCGGGCGGCGAGAACCTTAAGTCGGGTCTTGTTGGCAACGGTCGATCGCGTGATTTGCTGCGACATGGCGGCTTGCTTCAGCTTCTTGGCGTGGGCGGCGTCGATGGCGTCGGTGTCCTGACGCACGAGTTTGGATTTTTCGATGCTGAATTCTTCGTTCGCTTTGATTTCGATCTCGCGCGCTTTTTCGAGGGCTTCCTGCTTGATGAAGGCGGTCATCTTGCGGAGCTCTTGTCCGACCTGTTATCCCATGGTGCTTCGTTAGCATGGATGTTACTAGTCATTGCGGTGTGCTTCCGGCTTCTTTTGAGTTTCGATATCGTTTCTAGTGTTTGTGCTCATGGGTGGTTCTTATTGAGATTGCTTGTGTGAACGAAGAGATTATTTACCTGGTCGTCGGACAAGGCGTGGACTTGCGACATCTTGAGAGCAGTATGAGGTTGCTCGTTGGTGGGAAGTAGCTAGGTTGTGGAGGTCTCTCGATCTCAGCAAGGCATATAAGCAATCCACACGATGGATGTTTGCTCCGAGCTCGATAGGTAGCACGGGAAGTGATTGTAGGTTGATAGAAGGTAGTGGGTCACACAAGAGCTCTTCAGCTGTAATGTGATGTGATGGGCGATGTTGAGTTAATTGATAGAACCTTGGTCTGGTGACATATGAACGTTATGTACAAATACGGAGCCTTCCCGTGGAGCTTAAATCTTTAGCTGCTGAGAGGCTACACCCTTTGTAGACGATGTACGTAAAATAACACCAGCCACTCAACGTCAAATAGGGCCTCAACCTTCTAAAGCTCCCCCTGTAGATACCTGTGGGTACCTGTGGCTAGTGAAACTAAACCCGCTGTAACCCCACTAAGTCAGGTATGGTAGTAACTGCAGGCGGTAAACTGCAAGAGCCGAAGTCTGGTGGCTCCTGCAGAATGACTTCGTGTCTAGTCAGCCAGCATTAACACTTGATGTCCATCAATTGGGGTGATTTATTGCTTCACTGCAACGCTACTATAATGGCACAGGTATAATAATAAGGCTAGAACAGCTGTCAGCGTGGTATAGAGATCTTCAAGGTTTGTGTTGTCAAGTCTTTAATTCCTTAGTTCCTATTCCTAAAACAGCCGTCGGGTTCAAATCGACCCCATTACCTCATAACCCTTAAATAGAGTTTGGTGATACCGTTTTTAACCTTTTTTTTACATGCATTAGGTACCTTATTCATACATGTACATCTATGTATGTGTTTCCTTCCACTTTCTACATCTTCAGATCTAATCCACCAGTCTTTTAACAACCTTCCATTTTTTTCTTTCGCCAAACCAAAACTAAATCATTATCATATTATAATCATCCATACGCCCAATACAATCAATTACCCCGGCCATAATTGATGGATTGATTCCCCTTTCGTTCAAATAGTCATACCAGAAAAAGAGTGCGAACGGAATCGCTCAACTCAACAGATTGACGCCCATCCACTTCTTCTAGCCACACCCCCCTGTCCTGACCTGGTCTCGAAACGGCGTCATTGAGCTCACCGTATTATCACCTTCATCTATCGAACCCTGCGCATAACTAGATCGTGTCGAATTCTACTTCCATTGTGACTCAATCTCTTCTTTGTTTTATTTGTATTATATCGAATACGACCCAAATATATCCCATCGTACCGTCGTTTGTCGCATCCAGAACTTAAGAGGAGGACATAATAGATTGAGGTGCTCCCGAGACATAGGCCCATGGGCAACCGAGGTAGTCTTTCATCTAGCGACTGTCGCGGATGAACTGACGAAAACTCTGTCAGAATGGGAGTACTCGGCGATGTCTCCCCAGGAGGCACCATAGCGGTAGGTTCTACCACTTGAAGATCGCATTATTCCCCTCCGTCGCTAACATAGTGTCTCGTCGCAGATCGGTATTATCGTCGGTCTCATATCCACGAGCGTCCAGTCCCTCGGCCTCACCTTACAGCGAAAATCGCATATGCTCGAAGACGAAAAATATCCACTCGAATTCCAAAGACCTGCGTATCGAAGGCGAAGATGGCAGTTGGGGATGGGCATGTTTATTATATCCAACATATTCGGAAGTACCATTCAGATCTCTACCCTTCCGTTACCAGTCCTTTCAGCCCTCCAAGCCGCCGGGCTAGTATTCAACTCTGTATGCGCGACATTAATATTAGGCGAACCTTTTACGCAATGGTCCTTCTACGGAACCGCGCTGGTTACTACCGGGGCGGCACTAATTGCGACATTCGGCGCGATACCTTCTCCGGCACATAGTTTACAAGAGTTATTGGATTTGCTTGGTAGATGGCCTTTCATCCTATGGATGTCACTCCAGGGCGTCCTCGTTATCTCAATGGCGGTTGTCATCGACCTTGTCAACCATTTTAGCAGTCTTTCGCAGAATTCGAGATTCCGACTAGCACGCGGCCTCGTATTCGGTTGTATCAGCGGCATTCTGTCGGCTCATTCTCTATTATTCGCAAAATCCGCCGTCGAGTTGGTTATTAGGACGATTGCTGATGGCGACAACCAATTCCTGCATTGGGAATCTTGGATGATTGTCTTTGGACTCGTTGCCTTGGCCTTGAGCCAACTGTATTACCTTCACCGTGGATTGAAGCTAGTATCCACATCTGTATTATATCCCCTTGTGTTTTGCATTTACAACATCATCGCTATTTTGGATGGTTTGATATACTTCCGACAAACGGACCTCATTACACCCTTACACGGCGGACTCATCGCATTAGGTACCGTCATCCTATTATCTGGAGTTTTAGCCTTATCATGGCGCCTCAGCGACGAGCAGCACCCTCCTGCTGTAGGACAGTCATCCCTAGCTCCAGGATTAGGACTTGTGGAGGATACAGAAGGAGAAGAGTCATCCCCTGCAGACACTGACTCCGTTGGTGCGGCTGAAGAGGCCGTGCCAGCAACATATAACACATTCGCGCCGGTTGGAGAGACCACGCCTCTCACGCCAGGCCGCAAGCCGTCGACTCGTTGGTATGAACGCGCACAAATATGGGACGAACTAGAAGATCAAGATACACCAAGACCATCATTTAGTAGATACAGGTCTAGCACTATACCAGATAGCGCAATTGGCGAAAGTACACCATTAATGGGGGATCGAAGGGTCATCTCGGGAGAATCCACGTTATCGCTTAGTGCGGCTGAGCAAGGTGGAGATTCACCGAGAAAAATATTCAGACGACGGAGAAAGTCAACAGGTTTCCCAGGTTTTACAGCGCGCAAACACGTCCGACGGAAGAGTTCAGCCAGCGCAGGAGTTCAGGATACCCTGGGTGGATTTCTGAGGCTGAGGTGGTGGCGTGGGAAACACAGTAATCACTCAGACGTAGCGGTAGCGAGCTCGCCGGGGAGTGGGAGTCAAAGAAGACAGTCCTGGGTCTGGAGTCCATCGAGGCAGCAACACCCCGATGATCAACCCGAGGACAACGGTGAGAGGAGGGACTATAATCAGAGGTCGCGACCAGAAAGCCCCAGAGGCGATGACGCTGTTTAATAAGACGTTGAAAATGCCAGATTATACATGCATATAGGATGGGATGCACAATGATACACGTGGGCTGGATAGCCTGGCGATTTCTTTCAAGACAATAAGACTTATTCAGCGAACTTGGCCAATTTTCGGATTTGACAGACTTTGAATACTACAGGTGACTTGACTATGATTCCTTTTTAGTGTCTGGATAGCTAGGTATAGCAGTAAGTTGCGAAGGGGCGGCGTTTGGGGGTCACAGTGGCAGTCCTGTTGCGCCGTACAGTACGTACGGCGAATGTCCCACATGATCTATATCCCGAGGCGCAACGCACGATCCGCTAATGATAAATTGACCAGTCAGAACACCTGAGTGACTTCACAGTTTAAGACATGAAAGCGCTGTTTAGAGGGCCGAGCCGGCGCATTCATATGAGCGAAATTTCATCTGATCTGAGACATCTCGTTGATCAGCTGCGATATCATTCGTGAACATCAATTAACTAAGCCACTATCCCTACATCAAAATAGACATAAATTCAAGGGGATTAGGTTACATCCGAACAGTCCGTTATAGTCAAGATACCACACGTGGAAAGCTGGGCCTATATGTTGGCCTACACTAGATCCCATCCCGCCTCGTCCACTGATATGTGACTAGATCAGTCCCCGAAATGTCGGTAATTGATATTCGACAAATCCAGATCTGCTGTCAGGTCAAATCTATAATGCAACTCCATACATCAGATTTTGGTCTGGTTTTTCTGCTTTGGGGCGTGAGCTGAGCCTAGCTTGGTATAGAATAAGGCACATAGGTATGTAAGCAGACTATCTAGCCTCAATTGATTACTCAATTTTGACGACTACAGTCCTAATTCGGGTATCGACTAAGCGTAAGAACACCGTGCTCAATATACTCGTTGCACAGCAGATGGCATACATGTTTGTGGGACGACTCATAGATTCTCCGGCCTGCTCTTCTTGGGGTTTGGAAACTTGACTCGTTTTATGTAGGCTGTTAACGTACGTTAATATGTATGCGAAACTGACCTCAAATAAAAAAGATTCTTGTTTAATCGAGACTACTAGGAGCGCGGGTGTAGCACTATGGTTTAGCTTCCGCAACTGCTTCGATCCGCCTAATAGATTTATTCTTCGTTGACCACCTAATCGACCAATAATGACAAGGGAACCTTACCGAGTATTGATTCTCTCTGATTCACTAGCGCTTAGGCGCCCCTGTGTCGGCTTACTTGTCAGGGGCAATAGTTCCAAGATGGTGACCTTGCTTGAAGGCGGCGTATTATGCAAGTCATGTGCATTGTCATGGTACTATACCTGAGGTGAGTCTCTAGAAATACCTAGGTAAGGTATGTAAATTTGGACATACTCCTTTTGATAGACTCGCCCCGAATAGTCAACATACCAGCTTCTAGTAACGTAAGCATGTTCGCTTTATTGAAGTGTAAGCTCTAGATGGAGACATACAGACAGACCTCTGTGAGACCTTCCTCAAAGCTCACTACAGGAAATAGTCGGTGATGAGATTCTCCGCGGCCCCATAGCCGAGGAAAAAGGCGGGATAAGATCGATATTGTCGTTGACGCCGTCTACCCCTTTCATCTCGGGTGATAGCGTTAGTCAGTCCAATAAGCAAATCGGTGTAGCGCCATCAGGTTCGTGGAGGAATTTTGAGGGTCTTACAAGCCGGACATCATGAGAACAACGAGGGCAATACTTCGCGGCCGTAGAGCAAGTAGAAGATGAAAGTTGTAGGACCTCAAGCAGTATATATAGACCATCAAGACGACCTCTCCTTGATATTCAGTCTTTATCTTCAGCAGCTCAAATAAGAACTTCACAGCTTCACTCTTCAGCAATCACCACTACCATTACCACCACCACAACTCAAAACACAAAAAACCTCCCAGCCCCCCTTTAAAAACCGCAAAAATGGTCTCCCTAACCACCACCCTCCTCACCTTAGCCCTAGGCGCAAGCCAAGCCCTGGCCTACGCCGGCGACATGACATACTACACGCCCGGGCTCGGGGCCTGCGGAAAATGGAACTCAGAATCCGACCACATCGTCGCATTAGCACCCGCGCAATACGGCTACGACGCCAACCCCAACAAGGCCAAAGTCTGCGGACGGAAGATAAACATCCACTACGGGGACAAGACCGCAACCGCTACTGTGACTGATAAGTGCCCTGAGTGCGCTTCTGGATCTATCGATGTTAGTCCCGCTGTTTTCAAGGAGCTCGCTTCGCTTGATGCGGGACGTGTTCAGGTTACTTGGAACTACGCTTAAAGTAGCGTGTTGAATACGGAGAAGATGGTGTGGTTGTGGGGTGTTTAGATAGTTAGAATGGGGTATGGGTGGTTGGACTTGGCTATAGATGGGGGCAACGGGAACGGGGTCGGATGGGGGCGAAGGAGTAGACGGGATTTAGAAACGTTCGTTACACTTCAGTTCTTTGTACTGTTTATAGATCCACTGAATATACATATCGGCTAGCCACTTCGCTGTTTTCCTATACATAATAATATCGGGTAGTTCGTGAGGACGAGTCCAATATAGTAAAGGCAGGACGACAGGCTGTTGTCTATGATGGGTATAGATCTATGAGAGATGAGAAAACCTGCAGGTCGGAGAGTCTAGTACATAAATTACCAACTCCGAACCACTTTGCTGCATCCGAAAAATTCGGACCTGCCAAAACGCCAAATAATGCTACCAAGCCAAGTTACGAGCATAATCTCGTAGGCATAAACCTGTAGTGCTTCTGGGTAGCACGTATATCATTAAATCCCCCATCGTCGTCTCTTTTCGGCCATGGCCATATCCGCCTTCTTCATGTTGAGGCGTCTCAACATTTCGCGATTTCTAGGATCTAAGAGTCCCACATTTCCTTCGTCATGGAACCAGTGGTACTCGTTGTCTAGACCCTTTCTATCTTCGCCTTGCATCTTTACGCGCTGGACCTTTTTCAGCTTCGCGAGCCCATATTTGCATACTATGAGCGAGAATATGATAGAAGCGCCGGTTACGGCACCGAATCCCCAGTGCGTTTCTTCGATGAAATTTTCTAGATTCATTCCGTAAAGACCAGCAATGAATGTGCCCATGGCTAAACCAAGCGTCCCTACGCTGAATTTCAGGTCCAAGAGCATGAGGGAGTTGCGGTTTGCGTCAAGAATTGCACGAATACTATAGATAGTAATTAGCTTGATACCATAGTTAGGTCCCGACTGAGCAACCTGAGCCGACTTACATCTCTTCAGTGTTCCGAATGCTTGACACTAAATTCTGTGCTTCCTGGACGATTTCATCGCAGAGTTTATGATAAGATTCCAGTAGCATCTCAACCTCGGTGTGGTCATCGAGGTTGCGATGGAGGTCATGTGTTTTTTCCGTTAGGTACATGCTCGCTAAGTCATCGTCGGCTTCAAGGAGCTCCTCAATGGCGTCACGGACAAGCTTTGCCTTTTGTTCAAAGGTGCTGACTCGCTTGGACAGGACCAAGAGAATGCGCAACTTGTGCCGATCGATATCATCCTCAAGCTCGCTCAATATACGGATTACCGGTTCGCGAACTGCCTCAAAATCTGCTTCCAATTCTTGGGTTACGGATTGAAGGACCGCTTCCAAAGCACGGAATTCGTATGGTAAATTGGTATTCCCAGGAGTTGCTTTTTGTTGTAGTTTCCCCTGTAAATCATACATAAATGCAGACTGGGGATAGGAGGCTTTGGACCCGTATACATCGAATAAGAGGACGCGATTGTATTTGATTAACACTTTGAGGTGAAGTAAGTTCAATAGGATAGCTGTCGGTCGAACGAGGATATGCGGTAGGTTGGAAGAATCGATCTTTCGCAAATCGCGGGGCAGCAGGCCAAACTATGTCGAATCAGCTACCATTTTTCTCGTAGGACTTATACTAGACAAACCCTTGCGATAAGTTCGCTCTTTTTAAATTCTCCGTCCACCAATATAACATTTCCGTTCTCGTCAACTTCGGTGCATCGTAGTCGTGGTTCTAAAGCCGCTTTTTGACTGAGCTGGCGTCGCATGTTAAACATGGAATTGTTATCGGCTCTATCTGCATCCGGCAGGTCATCAGGCTCTAAAGGTTTGGCGTTTTTGCCTGTCCCAAATCCCCAGAGCCTCTCTCGCCAAGTCGGTGGACACGGGGTTGACGGTCGATTCGACGAATTGTATCGTACGGTTATATTCGGAGAGAAATACGGTAGACTCTTCTTGCGAACATTCTTTGGAGCTTGGCCTTGTTGTAGGAGCGAATCCAAGTCCAATATTCCAGCTTGTAATGGGGCGTCTTGAGAAACTTCCGACGTATCTGCTCGTGAAGCCCTTGAATATCTTTTAGCAGCGCATAACACCTTGCGCGGAACTTGGCCTAAGCGAGCAGTACTGTCATGGTTTGGATTGAAGAAGCTTAGATTTTCTGATTGCAATCGGAGAAACCTAAGAAGCCGGATAGAGGGTACTGGTGGGTGTAACGACGCCATTTTCCGTGAGGTCTTAGTTAACAGACGGGGTGATGATCATCAAGGGCGGGGCGAATTCATTGTCATTGTCTATACAGGTGAAAAGACATAAACGAAAAAAAAGAAAAAGAAAAAAGAAAACGTATCGATATACTAAAAAATATTTAGAATTTAGAAATATTTAGGTAGTCGATTGAAGCTTCAAACTAGCAGCTAGACCACTGCAAGGTAAACTTTTAGATCATCGGACCCATACTTTCGGTCCGCTCTGAATCCCGGCTGATTGGACCATGCGGGCAGGTGGGGGAATTATTACAGTGCCCGAAGTTTTTCCTTCCCTGTACAGTACCTAGGTACCTAGGTACATAGAGTTTCCTTTTTCATATTTCATATTCCCAAATGTACCTAGGTACCTTTCTACTCTTCACTCTTCACAACTCGACCCTTATCACCAACAACATTCTCCGCGTTGTTCATTTCTTACATCATAATTGATGGAATTGACACCTCTGAAAGTCCGCGGTAAAGGACGCCGTCTTGATGCGCCCACCGCAGCGCCTCGACGCAAAAGACGTAAAATCAAGCCAAAAAACCTACTAGAATCTCGTATGGAGAAGGCGTCGTGGCTCGAGAAAGTCCCCTTGGAAATAATGGAACAAATATTTTGGCTGTCCGGAAACGTCAACTTGCCCCGTTCTAGCCCTCTCATCGGAAAACTACTTTCTGGAAAGTCTACTCTACGTGAGACTCTCATCAGTGCCTTCGACCCTTCCTGGGATTGGTATTTTGGAGTTACTGGGATAATGGATTACAACGACATCCTCCTTGATATTGGTGACCCCGAGTTTCAGGTATGAGCAATACTTGAAATCTGCCCCTAGATCATTAGCTAATTGTAAATAGTCTAGTCTTCTGGAATGCCCATGGGCTGATATCTCTTTCATTCTTGAATGCTGGGATCTTTGGGTCCGACGACGTGCGAAAAAGCCTTTCCGCCTCAAACATATTAGGCCGTGGGGTGATCCAGATAATATCTGGAACGTCATGGGAGAAGATGAGCATTTGCTCGTCGACCCACAAAAAGCGAGCCATTGTTTTTATCATGATTATGCTGCATTCCGGCAAATCGAAGAACTCAACAAGGAGACTCTTTCCCATTTTGGAGATGAGCCGAGGGGTGAGAGATTCAGACAATTGCACTCGGATACCCGAATACCGGATTCCTTATTTATGTCGCCTTTAGATGGCGATGCGCTCCAGAAATTCTTCTGGTTGGTTCGAGCTGGGGTTCATTTGTCCTCTGAACAGACTTGGGAAGTCACTCTGCAGGCCTTCCGTCATGCCGTGCCGCAGGAATCCCCTCGCCCCGGTCAGCTCAATTTGACAGTAGTTAGGCTACTCGATGCTCTAATGGCCTTCGTTAAGTGGCCAGAGCACATTCTTGATGCCGAAATTGAAAGAATCGACTCCCTTAGGTCTCTCACAGAGGATGCTAAGGAAGCCAACCCTCCGTCGGCATTGACACGTGAAGCGTTCGGTTACAATTACATCCACAAGAGGTTAATTAGAGCACGCCAATCTGACGGAAACGAATACTTTTAACGCCCAAGAGGAAAAAAGGCAAGAGTAGGATCCAGCAATGTATTCAACAATTCCTTACACTCAAGGAATCCCGGATTGCGCATTGGGTAAGTTCATTCAAGCACTCCGACCTCCAGAACTCCGGGGTTCCTGAACTGCGGGTCTCCTCAACTCCGGCTCTCCTTTCCAGGACATAGTCGGATCCAATAGGTCGACTAAAATATTTTCTTGTCAGAATATTAATATTGACTACAGGTCTGGCTTCGCAGGATGATTCCAAGGGTTGAACAATGTTATACCAAGACCTTTAAATATGCACGATGCGGTTCAGCGGCTAATGGTTTCGGCCGAAATTCCCACCTTGGTGAAATCTACCACGTAAGTGGCTCACGCTACCGTCATCTTTTCATTTTTTCCCTCTATATTAGGAGTTGAATTCTGATTGGAAAATTGCCTGATAGGTATACTACCCAGATATCACAATGTGATAAGCTTACTGGCTGGATCACGGGCAAAGATCTCCAGCGTAGCATGCGGTGTCCGGGGATCGCAAGAAGGAGCCTAGTCCCCGCTATACGTCCACTCCATTAGCCCCGCTACATACGTGTGTTGCGAAATCATGCCAACTTGCGATTGAATTTGTTTTACGACAAGAATTGATGATGCTTAGACTAGTCGCCCGAAATGTCGCACTATATATTGGCCCCCTCGTCGAAGAGACGAGCTCAGTCTCATCGCACAGTGTATACTTATTTCCGGCACGTTCTCTACCCTCGAATAAATAGAGTCATTACTAGGATGGTCGGCCTGCTCAACTCCGATTACGCTGAGATTTTTAGCTATACGGATAGGAATGATATCACGGACGTAGTAGCTCTTCGAAAGTCAGTCAATGAACTGCTCGTAGCGGCTACTGCTGGTATTCCATGGCCCGAAGGCATGGAGGAAAGCACATATTCTACCAATTCATTGGACGGAACTCCTTTCAAGATACATCGCTTTTTACCGCATTCATTGCAAAAGGGAATTGAAGCAGGCCCTCAGAGAGCCGTTGTATTTGCGTTTGGTGGCGGTCTAATTGCCGGTGGTGTGGAAGTCTCAAGACCGGTTATCGCTAAGCTTGCGGACTTAAGTCAATCGCAAGTCTTTGCGCCTCAATACCGTCTCGGACCAGAGCATCCAACTCGGGGTGTTGAGGATGTGTACTCGACCATTCAATGGTTACACGTTAACGCTAAACGCCTCAATATCGACCCCGAGCGTATTGTCCTATATGGCCAGAGCGCAGGGGGAGGCATTGCAGCCGGCGCTGCCCTGATGGCACGAGATAAGGAATTAAGCCCACCGATCGCAGGTCAATGCCTTAGATACCCGATGTTGGACGATCGGACGACCATGGATGAGAGCGATCCAAGATGGAAGTTCTTGACGCATTCCGTAGCTTCCAACGACATAGGGTGGAAGTGTTACCTCGGTGGAAAGGAGCGATGTAAGCTTGCCATACATACATCCCTTTGATATATGCCGGCTCACTTAATTCAATAGTGGAGAGAATCGCCGACGATATATCGTGTTACGCTGCACCCGCTCGTGCAACCAACCTACACGGCTTACCGCCGGCTCACATCGGCGTCGGTAGTCTTGATCTCTTCAGAGATGAGGACTTGGCATACGCGGCTGGGCTTGTGATGGCTGACGTTGGCGTCGATTTCATCCTGTACCCCGGTGTTCCTCACGGCTTTGACTTAAACCCTGCCATTGACTTGGGTAACACAATGTGGGATAAAGAGGTCAGATGGATTACGAATTTTTGATGGTATCCATGATTTATGATTTTACGTCGTGGATGAGACTGCGTTCGCTCACTAGCAAGGCATTTCCTCTCCGGCGCTCGGTGGAGCGGTACAACTGTCACAGGCGTATTGATCTTCTTCGCTCTACTAAGGAGTTTTGATAGTAAAGCTAAACGAAGTGTGTAACCACAATAACAAGTTAAACATAATATTGATGGTGTTGAATGTGAGAATATGATGTTACACTACATGCTTAGAATTAAGACATATAGTAGAGTAGTACTGGCTTCGAAGTGGTCGACAGATGTCGTCGCAGAAGTAAGCCTCAATATCAAAAGATGTTGGAGATAACTTCTGAGCCATTGACCTATCATCTTAGGAGTTGGCACAAAATATATCTGTAAAATGCATCTTGTGCTTATAATATGTCATGAGGGTCCATTTATGAAGTCTTATTGGTGAAACCCCATATATTGATGTAAGGGCGGGTAAGCACAGAATATTGCCAATGGCGATGGCGAAAATAATTTCATTGGGCAGGTAGTTAACCGACGGTATCCCTTTCAGATAGTGGCTATTGGATTCGAATAGTTCTTATTCTGTTCGTGTAACCTCGAATAGGAGAACTCCCATAGTTGGTTCAGCCCACACCTGGTCCATATTCATTTGGGATGCGCCAGTAGCCTTGAATATTGTTTTCAGAGTCCATCGCGTCCCCGTTTTCTCGCTTACCTCGAGCCAAAACTTTTGGAATGTCTCTTCGCTCTGCCGGAAGTTTGTCCCGGTGCCCTCGAGATTTGGGAATTCCCCGCCGACTCCACTCCCCAGAGAGCTTCCCACTAGAATGCTTCCTGGTTTCGTGAATGATACAATTCGAAGAGCAACTTTGATTTGGCCTTCCCAGTTCCATATGTGGAGGAAGCTAGTTAGGTGTAAGACATCGAAGCGACCTTCAAGGGGACTAAAGTCTGCGTTATCGTCGAGAATGTCCAGCGCATGGAACTCGAACTTTAGCTTCGTCGCATCGCGGAATAGCTCGTAACTCAGCGTGTTGAAATCTGGGATTAGATCTACCCCGACTAATTGGTCCTCTTTGACGCCGTCAACGAAGAGCTTCCGAATATCTTGTCCAAAGCAGCAACCAAGATCAAGATATCTAGCCTCAGGGTCGGTTCGAAGTCGCTCTAAGATTCGACTATATGAAGGGTATGAAGCGAGCGTCAATCGAATAAATCGCATCTGACCGATGCACTACGCGAATAGGAATCAGCCCTTGTCCTCTCCATGGCTTCAAGCGCATTTCGGCAGCGCAGATGCAAGTAGCCCAATTAGGAGATTCCCTCCACACCCTCTTCTTCCAAGACGGCCCAAAGTGGGGAATAAGAATATCGCTCATTGCTACCTACCGGCCACGGATACAGGGCAAATGCCTTATTTCTCTATTATAATGAGTGTGGTTATAAGTATTCAAGCATATTTTCTCGGGTTGGATTTCTTGGCGACGTACGATGGCTAATACGTGTGGTACAACTTCTTCTGGCGATAGGCCGGAGTAGGTCTCTAGCAATTGGCGCGATGAAGGGTCAATATCTTTGACGTCTTCCTGCAGCCATCGGGATGCGTCAAACGCCATTTTCTTGATTGTTACCTGGGTGACGGTGACACAAAAAAGCAAAGTTAGGTTGAAAAATTTAGTTGGTTGGATTGTATCTATATTTTTAATGCCGTGGAACAAAGTCATGCGTCAGCGGCACAGGACTTTCAGCTTTTAGTGTTAAGCCATGGCGATAGAATTAGCTAGTGCGGAAGCCCCCACGAGGAGGATTGGGATTGTTGGTGATGTTTTACACGTGGTCGGGGATAGCCCCCGAAGGATTTGCATAGCAGTGGTGGATTAGCACTGTCCGAGAGCGTGGCTTGCTATTAATCCGAAAAGGACAGTGGCGTCGAGGGTCCGTGAAGAGCCCGCTGATCTGCTCACGAATTTAATTATGCCCAAAAGAGTAAACTGCCAACACGAATCCAAGTGTCGAGTTTGACAGTAGTTGTGATCCTCATCACGAACGTTCTAACCCTCGCAGCCCTCGGTGGGTGATCATTGTAATCCCCCACAGTTCGAGAGCTGGCTCTATACTGTATGGATAACGCGACGACGAAATATTATCAAAAGGATCACCAACAGTCGCAACAAGTATGGGGCTTGCCTACCTAGGTAATTAATAACTATCAGGTCCGATATATCTTCTCAAGAAATGGTATATTCATATGCGCTACCAAGTATGATATATCGGGACTACGACAGAAGTTCTTGCGCAGAAATCCATTCATTAACCCATTTACGCATCCACTGGACCCCGACAGGCGGCATGTCACGAAGCGTAGAACTAGCCGCTGAAGCACGCTCGACCGCCATCGGTTTCGCCGTAACCGCGTCTTCCGCCCACAATCCATCTGTGTAGAACTCCAGAAGTTTGATGGCCGGATTAGATGCTGCGATTTTCGCCATATTATCTTTACCGCCCTTCTCTGTATCTGCTGTAGCCTTTTGTAGATGGGCCAACCAAGTTGACGGCGGTACTATCTCAAGGCTCTTCTTTAGGTTCTCTTGGGCAGCTTCTGTAACCGCTGGTATTAATGTCTCCCAAGCAATCGTTTTTGGGTTACGCAAATTGAACACACTGGCGCTAGAAGTATCTAGTGCTTTAGAGCCGAGATAGTCTGCGACATCGACAATTATATCGGCTAGCAAATCTGACGGCAGCCAATCCACCTCGGAGAATTGGGGGCCCAGGTTGTCTGGCAAGAAGCCAAGGTTGAGGGAGCTTATGATGAGGCTTGGCAACCACTCAGAGCGGTTCCACACACCGGGCTTGCGAGCGGCGCCGGCTACTTGGCCGACTCGCGCGACTGCTACGGGGATTCCTAGGTGTTGCGCGGCGGTTTCGCAGAGAATCTCGGATAGGAACTTGCTTCGCGAGTATCCGTTGGCGAGTGTCGGGTCGCGCGATTCAAGCACTGCCTCGGGCGCTGGCCCAGCGTTCACCGGCCACCCACCAACGGCACCGACCGATGAGACGAAGACAACATGCATCGTCCTCGGCGAAGCGACGGCTGAAAGATTGAAAAGGTTTACTAGACCAGCTAGTTGCGGTCGGAACGCTTCCAGTCCCAAATTGAAGTTCACTGGCCAAGCATTGTGAATAACAAGCCCGACACGGGCGCGCAACGTCTGGTATGTTTCCTCGTCGAGTCCTAACTTGGGATGAGCTAGGTCTGCCTGGAAGAAGGAAACTCGATCTTTAAGACCATCTGTCGGTAGCCCCGTTGCCGCAAAGCGAAAGCTTTGGACATGACGTCCACCACCTTGACTTCGATTGAGACAGAAGATGTGTCCAATTCCGGGCCTATTAAGCAATGAGCTCAGGAGATAAGTTCCTAATGTACCGGTAGAGCCTGTAAGGATAACGTCGGTCTTTTCCTCTTTGTTCGGCTCTGGTGGAGTGGGTACTGGGATCTCCCGGATTAGTCCGCAGTATGTGGACAGTAAAGACTCCATGAGGCCGTGGTCGGCGACCTTACTGCTTTCCTCCAGAAGCGCTGAAGTCAGCCGGGAAATTGTGGGATTCTGATATACCGTGGACAAGGCAACATTGGGCCGACGAAGAGCGCGTCGTAAGCCACGTGTGAGGCGAAGTGCCTGCAGTGAGTCCATGCCGTGACTGAGGAAGTCAGTAGAGTCATCTATATCCGACCATCCTATAGCTTTAGAAATGGTGTCTCTTATGAGGGACTTGACCGCATCATGGCTTTCTGCATTCAACGGCGCATCCGTGTCATCGTCCTCCAGGGTTAGGTCTACATCTGCGTACAGCTTGTCTATTTCGGCAGCGTACTGAACAAGACTGGCTGCTCGCTGTATAGTACCCTTTCCAGCACGAATCAGCGGTCGACCGGCTTCTGTGACCAGGATCAAAGTCTTCTCAACGCGCGCGTGGGCAGGGGCTACCCTATTAGCTTCTTCAACGCTAGGCCAAATTTGCTCGATCAAGGCAGCCTGTTCAGCCGTGCTTAAGGGGGTAGTCTGAACAGCTGGCTCGATTAGGAGAGCCGCTTGAAACCTCTGGGATCCAAGTACAAGAGCGCCGCTCAGCTCAGGGTTGCTATCCACAACATGCTGCTCCATGGAGACAGGGTTTGTCTTCTCGCCATTTAGGAATACAACAATATCGTCTGCGCGGGCGCGCCAGCGCCATAAGTCGGGAAGTGTGGGGTGACGCTCAAATAGGTCGCGAGTGCGATATTCTTTCTCAAGTTGATCCAAACCCCGGATGCTGAAGCATGGCTGCGTTTCGGCGAGTGCCTTGTCACGCCGGATGACCAATTCATAAGTGTTGTCTGCAACCTGATCAAACACAGCACCGGTACATGAGTGGAAGCGTGTGTAATGCCAGTCCGATGGCCCCAACTCGGCTGGCATTAGCTGCTGTGGGATACCGACCTCGGAAGCTCCCCATTGGCAGCGGAGCTTCACTTTTGCCGCAACGCGGTCGCCAAGAGCCTGCGGTAAGTCACCTCCGATATAGATGATTAATTCGAGGTGTTTCGCACAGTAATCCAGAAGTTCCGGATCCTGTCCCAACTCAGCTACTACCGATGGCACCAATATCGCTACGTCGGCTGGTGTTTGTTTTAAAGCATCTACAAACCCCTGGCCAGTTACAATGCCCGCAGCTGCTGGAGCAATCGCAACAATACCAAAAGGTATGGCATTGAAAAAATATTGTCCCAGACCGGCTCCCTGGGATAGTTAACTTAATTGCAAACCGGTGCGCGTGCGAGTTAACGCAACTTACATGAAACGGTGGCAACGTCGCTATTACTCTTTTGCCATAGTAGAGACGCTCGAGCGAGACCACCCCTTCGGGAGGGTCGCGACTAGTGAAATTGTAATGCCGTATCGCTGTCGAATGTGTCCAAATAAGAGGCTTCGGTAAGCCAGTGCTCCCCGACGTGTGTCTTAGAGGAATTGTAAATAGGATGTTTGCATATCGCTACGGATTTCCCTACGGGGTGGCTTACATGATTAAGAATGGGTCCCATCGGGCTTCTTCAAAGGTCTTTTCGAAAGGGAAGTGTGCGTAAGACTTCTCCAAAAGCTCCTCGACACTTGGGACGGCAAGCACACGGGGCTTAACAGCTTCGATGGCTGGGAGCGCCGGTGGAGGTGTCGGATCCGGTGTAATTAGGACCTGACACTTGAGAGAATCAAACAGCTTGCGATGTGCCGCCGGGGAGTTTCTTGGCGATGTAAGGAATAACTATGCGCTTGTCAATAGGCAGATCTTCGATGTGACATCATAGGAAGGATTTTACCGCATAGCCTGCCTTAATGGCACCCAACGCGAGAGCGGAAACTCGCACATCATTGGGTCCAATGTAGGTCAGGACCTCGTGATTCTGCCCGGGTCCGAGTTGCTCAGTAAGCCACCACGCCAAGCCATTGACCACATTTGCTAGTTGTTTGTAGGTGACAGTACGAAGACCGGCCTCATAGGAGGCCGGCACTATTGGCCACACGCCATACGAGGCGTCAGGGCTCTCACGAGCTAGCCGATCGACGATGTGCGGCACTAAGTCGTTCTATAGCCAACGCTGATGTCAGCAAGGACCGTCATAAGTCTCCGAGAATCAAGGTGGACTAAAGAATGTCTGGAAAAGCCTAGAAGTAATGAAACTTATTACACAATGTACGTCGTTCTCTCATCCTCCGAAGGAAAGTGAAGGACGTTGTGGACTTACCTGCCATTTGGCGATACGTGCGTGATCGTTGATCATTGAGACCAAATCGGGTAACGACGAGGCTAGGCGGGGATCTTGAAAGAGAGAAACGTGGAGAAATCCGGGGGAGAAATAAAGCGTGAAAAGAGTAAAACGCACTCTTATATCGTCGCGCCTACACGCTTATCTCAGCACCATGGGAGGTTACTGAGAGCATGCATTTCTTACTACAATGCGAGTTGTCCTTTGTTGTTGAGATTTATTACACCAGTTGGATCATGGGTCAAAACCCGATATCCCTTTAGGACTCCCTTCCCGGCAAACACTCAGTCGGAGTTAATAATTTCTGAAGGCGGTAATTAAGACTGAACAGTCCCACTCCAATACGTCGTATCCTGAACGAGGGGGCTTCGGGCGTGTGGTCCCGAAAGAGGACCCACCAAAGCTAGCAAGCGGCACAGCGAGAATACCAGCATGTTCATCCCTTGATTAAACTTACGTACACATCTCAGAATGATAAAGGGAATATACATACAACGCCCTTACTTCGAAGATCGCCCCTATAAGTTACACCAATAAAGGGACTTGATCATGTAAGGCCATGTTATACGATAAGCGAGCGACCCTATCATCATTCTAGAATTCCCTACGATAGAATAACAAGCTTATCTAAGTATACACTTACATCTTTATTGTCTGATACCTTAATATCTTATAGACGGACGTTGATATCTAATTATGTTATATCATAGATTTTTATTATTATTATGATTAGAGAGAGATGACAACCCGTATCGTCTCCTTTACAGTAGTAAGTAGTAACGTATTTACCTAGCGATATCTATAGTACAGCCCACCTGGATAACTTCACTTAACTACTATAGTACGCATTCAAATAGCGTCTAAAGGGCCTCTTTTAGATTAACACGTGAAGTATTAGTCGCTATTCAATAAGCTTACAAGGAGTTTAGGGGGGTTGTAAAGAGAGCCGAGAATTTGAAGGCTTAGTAGACTTGCCAGAAGTGAGGTAGCTCATAAGTTAGAATAGCCAGCTAAACAAGAAGTAAGAAAAGCGCAAGACATATGAGCTAGATCTACCAGCATGAAAAAAATATCATGAGCGAAAGTTCGCATCCTACTTCATACAAGGAACCAACAATCCCAACGACACCCCCGGAGACTAACGATAAGATATAAGCGTGTTATTCCCGGTAAGGCAGCGAATGATATAGTCTGCGCTAGGTTTAATGAATTAGGATTAAAAACGTCACTTTGGTTGGTGCAGACAGCTACAGGTTACTTTTATCACTCGATCCGATATTCCTTGTTTTGATATTGGTGATGCTTGAATCCATCTTTTTTCTTCTACCAAATAAATGTTAAATTTTTACAACATAGCGTAAGAGCGAAAACCCCTAGAAACCGCCTTTGATCTGCTTGTCCTCGCCATTGGCGTTTAAATTACTTTCGTGTCGATGGCGCCACGCCCAAATGTGAAAATAGGGGGCTTGTCCGGCGCCGGGATATTCGGATGTGGGGCACCGTCTTCGGTGTCTTATAAAGTTTCGGATCTTCGGTTTTCGCTTTCGTAATTCGTCATACAAGTCGGAGCTCCGAAGTGGCGCTCGGCCGAACTAGCGATATACCTCTTGGCCTTATATATAGGCCTCACACTGCCATGGTTATCCATGAACACCTAATGTTCTTTATGCCACTATCTGGATATCTCCTCACCAAAAACGATGCCATTTTATCACATAGGTAAGACCTAATCATCCCGAAAGTTAGCTATAACACTAAAAGTATCAGTTCTATTTCGGCTTAAGCCGTCGGCCCCCGAGGAAGTGATAGACGAGTTCATCAAGAGGGCGAAAGCCATGGAAACGGTTCCTGGTAGGTTATAGCCATCAAATTTACTTTAGACTTGTATGTTTAGCTGACGTACATATGCGCAAGGGGTATTGAAAGTCGACGTCAACAGCCCCTTGGCTGCCACTGCTAATCGAGCCAACGGTTACGGCTTAGGTATCGTGGCCGTTTTAGGGAGTCTAGAAGACCTTGATGTCTGGGCTGCTCATCCGGCCCATCTAAAGTACGCCGCATCCCGGCCATAAAGCGGCTATCTACCAAGACTAACATGAATTATGTAGAGCTGGTGAGCTTCGTGATCAGCTATTCGAAGGATCCATGTCATACGATTTGGAATTTCCCGCTTGATGCTAGATTTAAGTTCTGTTTATACGGGAAAACTTGTTTGCGACCTCACTTTAGATGGACTTTCAATGAAGCTATAGATAGATACAGCTAGAATCTCCCGTCCAAGCACTTGCTGGGTTAGACATGCAGAAGATGGAACGTTTTAGTTCGTTATAACTAGGCATAAGCATAGGCAAACTTTCATTAGACACATGGCATACTAAAGCCCGCATTACCCAGAATAGCAACGTTCCGTCTTCTATTGACATCTCCGGCTAATTCCCGATATAAGGGAAAAGAGACCCTCCCGTAACACCTCTCTTGGATAGACACGTAGTGGCCCTCGGCATGTTAATACACGAGACGTAAGTCATGAAAGAAACTTACATTCGCTGCGGAAGTTTTAATTTCTTTTGTTTTGAAGCTAGCTGGCGGATTCCTATACCAGGATTGCGTATAAGGGCCGATGATCTCGATCCAAGTGTTAACCTACCTACGTATTTCTAATAAACCTCCTACCATGCAGTCATTAAGGCGTCTAGCAATACCCATAACTCTAATTAAGATGTTATACGGGTTGCTATGCCAATAATTGACAGGTTTGGCGCAATTATTCAATAGATTAGGTACCTCCTTAAGGACTACTATGTTCTTATTTAAGGCAGTCGGCTAAAACCAACACCAGTTGTTCAGAAGGATGTTGGATGTAGTAAGCGTATATCTTTGTCATTGTATATCTATTCATCTCCATCCCCAAAGCAACCATTGCTATATGGTACTTTTAGGTGGCTCCCCGACGTATTCCATTGATCCTTTTATTTACCTGCAATAACCGCAATGTGGACAGTAGAGCTCTAATATAATCAACTCTCAACAGTCGCCATAAAACTAAGGTACTAAACTATTCCTAGATACAACGGCGAGAGGAATCCACAATGAACCACGAATACGCGGGAACTAATGACCCAATCCTGGATGCAAGAAGTTAATATCGATGGCAAGAGCCTAATGCAATCTACTTCGCCCTGTTCAACCTAAAAGACGAGTTAAGGCGAGAGTCATCAAGTAGTAATGGCACTTCTACACAGGATGATGGAATATTCCATATCTAAAAAACAGGATTTTTGACGTTTGATTTATACAACCTACGATGAGGTATGACTCCTAGTCTAACTGATCTTACGATAGCCGGACACCCGATGAATTACTTCTGCAACTATTAGCTGTTTATATATCTATACTACATTGAATAATATAAAATGCCTATGGCCAACCCCTTATTGTGGCTATTGGAATGGTCATCCAGACTCAAAAGATAACATAAATTACCTACAATATTTATCTAAATACTCTATCTAAATCCTCAACTATGTGTTTCGGAAGCTGTTTCGGAAGCCGCGATCAAGAAGATTCTAGGCCAACAACTCCAATGGTGCCACCTAATCCAGAGGCGACTTCATTCAATATACCTCCTTCCGTGATTAGGGCTGGCAATTCCGCTCGAGAGAAAAGAGGGTATTATTAACCCAAGTAAGCCAAACCACTTACACGCCTAGGCTTCTAATATGACCTTATTAACAAGCACATGTATCTGCTAGACATTGTCGCCGGCAGAGTTGACAATCGAAGTTTGAGACAACGTTGTCTTAAAGCCAGTCTGCGGGGATGTGTATCTGTGATACAAAGGGGAAGGATGGAACATTGAGCTGCCTGCTCGGGGAAGGTGTCATAACCTATGCACGATACTTGTTATGTATCGAAGTCGCTCTTTAGAACTTAGTACTGTATCTTATTATCTTCAAGGATGCTATATAAATACACCGCTCGCATTTCAATTACTCTTTTTTATTTTATTTTAAATCCCACTGTGTTATCACTGAGTATGTTGATTAACATGTTTGCGCTTCGCTATTAAGTAAGTTTAAACCCATCACTTTCCATCTGGGCGTATAGAACATTTAGATCGATTAGCGACCTAATACTTGGGACGAGCTTGGCAAGCTGCTGGCGGGAAACAGAACAGGCTGAATGATAGAACCTTCAACTAGTTGGCTGCATGAAAAATAAATAGATCACGATCAGGTCGCAAGAAATAGTAATTACCAAGGTAAACAAGATCCAAAGTGTTAAACTCCTTTTTTATTATTAGCGTGGGGAGCTGGGTATCTCGCAAGATGTACAAAAAGAAGCGACGGCAACCATTATATACACAACCCCTCATGCCCATCTCATGTCGTAAACCGTTTCCGAACAGTGGGTTGATTTTCCCTGCAATGCTGCAATTTTTCATAATCCATTTCATTCGTGACTTTAATACCGTACCAATACCTCTGCATTATTATGATTAATACTTCTCTCGCCGTTTTCCACATTCCTTATTTCAAGGTGCCTACTCGACGCGGACGATGACTTTCCATCCCAGAGCTCCAGCCTCTCGGATAGCGCACGCAAGACAACCCCTCCTACGACGACTAATAATCGCATTCCATCCCTTCTCGGCGCATAATGCGCGCACGAGAATCTCAAGGTCGGATCCGAATTGTCTCCTTCGAGTTCCGAGGCGCATCCTAGACGAGGGGCTCGGACTCGGGGGGTCAATTCGCTCAACCCTACTGCGGGTCGAGGCGGCCGTACTTGGTCGGCGCTCTAAGTCTAGAGAACCGGGCATCCGGATAGGGGGTACGCTAGTAGGCTCCATGCCGAAGGATGATGAGAGCGAGGACATGCGAGAAAGAGAGGGCATATCCGGAGATGAAGGTGGGGCAAATCCTGTTACACAATCGATGACCAGAAAGCGGGGAAGCCTGCTGGCGGCAGAGGGTGACGAGTGATTGGAGCGGCCATTGGGCGCGCTTTTGCTTAATAATTCATCTAGAGTTGCGGTAGGATGTCTGATAAGGTCTGTGAGGTGGATCGCGGCGTAGTTGTAGAATCGATGTAGGGGATGACCTGCTGTGTGTCAATCAAGTATTAAGTGTAGCGTGGGGGAAGGATGCTTACCTGTAATGTGCGCTGGACTAGAAGACTTCCCATTAAGGTCGTGGCCACCGACGTCGATTTGTTGGATGGTAGGGCTTGTAGGCGATTTAAAGTATTTAACATAACTAGAGGCAACACAAGGATGTGCTGTAACAAAATAAACGTCATTAGACAGGGCAAAATTGTGGTATTCTTCCTGGTCAAGTGCATCGTGTGACATTGTAAATGTTACAGAAGCGGGATAGGTATGGATTTCTGGGGCCTTTTCCTTGGTGGAATCGGAGAAGGGATGGAATCCCTTATCAGCTGTAGGTGTCGTGCTTACGCTGTCTATTGGGGCGTAGAGATTCAAGGACTTGAGTTCTATTCTGACGTTTGAAGGTGGTGGATTGGCATATGAATTTTCGTATGGGATGATAAAGTCGGCGGGGAGCACATTGGAAGGGTCAGCATCCCCGAGTACATCGGACTCTCTTTCGATGGTAGTCTTGCCATATATTCGGGCTTTTCTTCCCGTGCGAGCAATATCGGCTACAAATATAAGCAACATGAAATACACTGAACTGGACTTTCCTAAACTTACCAGGTATTGTGTCTACTGCAACATTAACCCAGCCCTCATCAAGTCCTCGGGGGATCACGTCGCTTGATATCCAGCCCATACACTCTGCGGCACCACGTCCAGCGGCTAGAACACGACCTACAATACATGCCGTGCTCCAAAAGCTCTTCCCGCTATAGACAAAGCCACCGCTTAGATTAGCCATTGGGCCAAGTCTTCCCAGTACATTTTCGTCAACTTCAAGTAAAGCTGACATTAGATAATGGGATAATACTTCACCCGGCAAGATCAAACCGGACACGTATGATTTAGAGAACCAGCCTGATGAGTGCAAAGCCGCTTCGATGTTCCGCCTTCTGGATGGCTGTCTCCTGTCATGCACTGATGATCTATCGCCAGAAAAGTATGAAGAGCGGCGCGACTCAAATGAATGAGCCGTAGTGATAGGCGTGGCCCTACCTAACCCCAACGCCTTCTCGAATACCTTTGCACTGGACATTTGTATGTCCGGCCAGCGTAGCTTTCGCGCAAAATGCACCAAACCATAAACTTGTCTCTCGCTATATCTCCCTTGAATCGCATATACATGCTCGGATTGGCCATTGTGACGGTATTGACTATGATCAACATGATGCGCTCCGTACATGTGTTCATGTTTGAGATTCATCTTGCTTGTCAACGAAGAGAGCCAACTCTTAGGTGTAGATGGCTCGGAATGATTCGTATGTGACTTTGTGACCATGATATTCTCTAGCCACGACCGGGCGAGGATCAACGACCATCTGACTGAGACATTTGCCTCCTTCTCAAACTTGTGTACTTCAGACGACTTAAGACTCTGACCCAAGCCACATTCATCACCTTCGGTGATAGCATCTAATCGAATAAGAAGTTCACAGGCAAGAAGAATTTGAAGCAGGAACCAATAGCGCTCTTCACTTCGATCCTGGGCATCATTGCCTTCATTGATCGCCGCCCCGTCGAAGATCTCATCGTCCAAGGGGAAGGCCCACAAAATCTGGCCAAGACGGATCCTCCATTCGAGACGGGAGAAATCAGTCCAGGCATTAGGGGCCCCTAGTACCTTCACTAGGGCATGGATTTGTACGGCTAAACTGTAAGGTTCCTTAGGGTCAATGACCCTCGTCGGTGGGTGGAGAATTTTAGTGAACAACTCGCTGTAAAGGTCCTGGGATTTCATTCGAACACCACTTCGCTCCGCGCGGTACCTTTCTTCGGATTTGATCAGCTGTTCCATTATAGTCGAGTCATCTAGATGCCGCAAGCCGTCTTTGGAAGTTATGAGCCTTTGACGCTGCTCTACGATGACGTGGCCTTTTGAACCTAAGCTGTCAAACCCATACTGTTCCTCCTGGAGAGCATCGGCGACAGAAATCTCCAAAGCTGCTTGGTACCCAATGGTGCCCTTTTCAAGACCTTGCATGCTAAGCATGTTTGGCCGTTCCTGGCACTTCGCATTGAAATGAGGGCGCTTCCTCCCAGACGGCGATGCTACGGACATGGGATCCCGGAGAATGATCCGGGGACCAGCGGTAACACAACCCCAGGCATCATCTCCGATCTGGACGTGATCTGTCAAATCTCTAATGCCTAACTCATCATTCCAAGGAAAAGCCACGGATGGATGCGGGGCACCGGTTCCGTGACCTTGAGACCTAGCGAAGAATTGCGGAGCCCCGGAGAACAATTTCTCTATCTCCGCGTCGGTTAGTGCTGCCATGATGCGGTTTAGCTTCAGCACGGGCTTGCGAGGTCTGCCATCGACTTTGTCGATTGTGCCCGGAGGAGGCGGAGATGGTAACGGCTTGTTAGAATTGACGGGCGAGCGCGGAGATAACGACGGCCTCTCAGAAGAAGGCCGCGTACTAGAGATCTTTAGGCGGTGTCAGTCAATCAGTCCTAGATAGTTCAATGTGAAAACAGCCACTTGAAGCCTCTTTAGGAAATGTTGAGCACGTGCAGGGCTCAGAGAATCAAGCAGGACAAGAATATTCAGCTGGGCTATCTCTTGGCTTCAGCTTAGGTATCAGTGTATCTCGAATAATTGGAATAGAAAATAGGAATTTAGAAAAAGGAAAAAAAGCAAGAAAAAACAACGCATGCAGGGTCTAGGAAGAGACATCAGCTGAGGTCATAAGACAGAATATGGATAGTTTAGGGGTCGCGTCCTATTCCACAGTTGTCCGTTGTTCTCCCCCCCCTCACTGAACTGAAAATGGAAGTGTATGGTATGGGTTGTATGGGTGTATGGATTGGATGGATGGGATTGTAAAGTACCTGACTAGGTACCTGGGCTAGGGGATCTGGCAACTGCCAAAGTGTTACGATAAACCCCAGAAATGATTAAAATGACTGACAGGTCCCAATAATCATCAGGTGTCAAGGTACCTAAAAGGGAATAGGGGAAAATGGAGATAAACTTTGAAGGGTAGGAGCGGTAAAGATTGCCCGAAAAGGAAATTTATTATAGGGTACTATACCGTGGTTGTTGTGGTTGCGGTGGTCGCTGCTGTGCTGGCTTTGACTTTCTCCGCACGATTCGAGCGATTCGAGGTACTTGTGCGTGTACCTGCACCTACACCTGCAGCATCCGTAGCTGCAGCTGTAGCGTATTCCGCACTTGTACCTCTAACTGTAACACCTCCAGCAGGTACTAGACCGGGTGCGCCGGAGCCCAAAGCTGCCGCTGCTGCTTCCACATATTTTTTATGCCCATCCCGTCCGTCCCGTCCACGATCCCAACGCCGCCATACTCTTTCACTCTTTACCTTTCCTTTTTGCAATCGGCTTCGTGTTCGTGTCGGTGGATGAGAAGAAGAAGAAGACTTACGAATCAAATCTCTTGGCCGACGTATGCATTCTCGAATGCGAGTGCAATTAGATGACTGTTCTTGCTGCTCATGCTGCTCGTTATTTCTTGGTTCCTTGGCGTCGGTAATGAACAAGACCAGTGCTGAACGCTTAAACCCCTCCAATAGCGGCATCTTGATGAACACCTCTGAAGTCTTGGAGGTTTTGGTGGTCTTTTCCGCCGGTTTGGGGCGTCGAACGTGACGTTCAACGGCTCGCTGCGCAAAAGTTGCATCGAGGTCGCAGAACAAGCTTGTCGTACTCGTTAGAATTGTGCCATGAGAAACTACCGCCAAGCCATCTGGGTGGAAGTTAAAATTGAGATTGAAATAAGTATTTCGAGCTCGAGTGGTGCTAACAGCTAAGATAGCTTGCTCATCTGTGAAACATACATCCCGTTATTTCACAGCCGGTAATAGGACACACCCAGCACCTTGTGTAAACTTCAGCTCGCACAATCGTGGGAGAAGAGGCTGGGCAACGCAGTCTATTATTAAAAACTCAGATATAAGGTCCCCCGTTTATCGAGCATGCGGACCTCTTTACCTATCTGTCTATGTACGTGGCCGGTCTGCAAGCAAAGTCCTTCCGACTCGTCTTATTAGTGATACCATCAACCCGCCAGCCCGCCAAGCTAGTGTGGAAAAGTGCCGGTCATCTCAATCCATAATAGACGGATTCGGATCATGGGTGTAAAACACCCATGCAAGCAGGCGGTGATAAACCATGGATGAGCAAGTAAATCAGCCGGTAAGCTAACTATCCTGCACGTCTTGGATCGTTTCAAGTCATTTTCGCAGATTATAGGTCTCGGAATTCGACCGCGCAGGGGGTGTTTATTTTCTCTACGAATTTGGCAACTTGGTTCTCGTTCAGCTCTGATAACGCCAATGAGAACGTGCGTCTCGCTCTCTGATAGTCTTGGTATTGCAATATGGAACAGCCACACCGACAATTAACTTACGCCATATACCCTTCCACGTTCTCGTTAGGGCTCACTAACAGTTTCAGCCGTCATGCTTGACGTGGCTCGCGGGGGTTGATCATCTACATAGATCCACTGGATCGGATTTTCGAAGCTCTCCCGCCTTTCTACGACCCCGTGCGGGCCGCGAGTCCATCTCTCAGAGGGATACGTAGTACTCAATCGCTAACTTTAGTATAGGCTAGATCGTTTTCTAGGAATATGGACATACAATTCGAAGAGTTTATATCATGAATTCAAACGAATTCTGGTTATCGTCGTTTCAAAAATACCCCTACCCTTAGAAAAAAAAATTGACAACGCCCACAACCCTGCTAAATCACTTCTCACTTCAGTCTCCGAATCGTCAATTGACGGGCCTATTCCCTACATCCCGAACCATACATCACGGCTTTTATACCATTTTAAGCTGAATGTAGGTACTTTTGAGACTTCAACCCAATAAAATTGTACACTTCTCTGCAATTTACATGGGACGCGCTGACAAGACTCAGCCGAAACACAATATTTCTACCCATGTTCCCGTAAAAGTTCCGAGAGAAATTGTTCGCGTTCATTCAAAGTAACGTTGAATCCCGAGCCGCTATATTCGATACAACCCATGAGCCTCTGAAGTTAATGGCTCGCGATATTAGTGAGACTTCATATCAACACCAACCAACTCAAATTGTCTAGCCATGCCTCCAACGATAGCTGCTGGATGACTATCCTTGCCGTGATGGATTTCACACAGCAGTTCTAGCGCTTCTATCGTAATCCTATGCATCCTGCAGTACGTTCGGCACCGTATGTGATATTCTAGAATTGCTCAAAGGGTGACGAACGTGGCGATCTGCAGTGCCTAACGACGATCATAGACCATCCTACTCGATCTGAAACACACGTAGAGCTGGCCCCGAACCTCACAGCTGAGCTTAGCTCGAACACCGTGATTGGTCTTATTGATTGTCAGACTTACCCTCCACTCACTAGACTGCCCACCTTGTTAATGCTATCGCAGATCAATCGGCATCAAACCAGGTTGCTATTGACTGGTCTTTTACAATTCCCATATGCAAATTACTAAATCGATATGGACTGGAACATATTCGTGCAAGGTTAAAAGCTCTTTAGTGTATCTCCGCCACACTCTTACTTCCGCTATCGCAAGGCCGATAGACCTCGAGAAATGGGGGTTGCTCCAAAGTAGACCTCGTGACACATTTACCTACGCGTTCGAGACGTTATACCCTCCAAGGTCGTATGTCTACCCAGTGGTCCATCACCTTCTCGCCTTCTCAAGTGCGAGGCTGTACAGGAGCAGCGCATCGGGATGGATACGACCCGACGAATAAGTTCTGATATGTATCCTGCAGACGGCATCTGGTTCCGGCGACTATTTAGGATCAAGGTGACATCAGATAAACTGTTGGGAAGGTTAATGGAATCAAGGCCCAGTGTGCTTACCAAAACTACCTGCTTATGCAGGTGTTGGAATTTTGCCTGGAATGCACATTGCTAACTCCCATCAACGTTAGGTAGATACGTTGGAGCAGAAACGTGTTTCATCCATTACAGCCACGCAATCCCATGGAGTTATGTTACTAGTCCGAAATGCGGATTATACGATGAATCCCCATAACTAGAAATCGTATTTTCGATGACACCGATAATCTAAGATGGGCTACTCATCGTGGATGCGCAACTTGACAACATGAATTTACTGACTCTATCAATACTAGGGGTTGAACGCCAAAAGCCGATCTACTACCGGTGTTTCCACAATGCTATCCTTTTGTCCACTCTGACCCAGCTGTCTATTTATTCTCGACGCCAGGAGCATGGGAGCCACATACATAATGTTTCATAGCTCTTAAGCTCGAAATACTGCCCCATTTGGTGGCATATTTTCTAGTTATATATCTGCGGGGTTTCTAATGCTCCGGTGGCGCGGTACACTGCCGTTCCGTCCAGCAGAGAATCTCCGATACTAGTAGAGGCCTCCCGTTGACGGCTTTTACAAGTTACACGGCTTGAATTGAGTAACCGGCCAAAGTACGTGCTCATACATCACCGTCTCTTTTCCCCATTCCCAAGTTGGCCTACTAGTACGGGTGGTTCGTACCCACTACGGTTAACTACATTGATTCAAAAACACACCTACTCCACACGCTATGTGGACTACGACCGGTGTGGGATCAACGGAAACGAGCACCACATAGTTTTCGAAACACTAATGACTTGTATCCCTCGGTCGAAATTGCGGGCGACCCGGTGGTCTAAATTGAACATGTGGCCTAATGAGACATGCCGATAATTGTGGTGTCTCTTGTGGTTCTACAGAATGGGACCTGGAATGTGAGGAAAGGATGTATTACATCCTACCTCGGTAAGATCAAGTTAATATATATATATCTCCTAATAGCGCAAAGCGTACAAGATATATGGATTATCTTGCTATGTTAAACTATCAATTGCTATCAGATACAACCAATGATTGAATCAGCGTCAGCATGGAATTACTTGGTATTGGCAGCTACCACATCACGCAGATATTTATAACTATTAAGGTACTTATCATGACTTTCCTTGTAAGAAGCTAGTTCTTCAAACACCATATGATTGCATTATACGGGAAATGGTTATCAAAATACCAATAACATTGTCAAATCATTATGGAAGCTGGGAAACATATACACGTATCGACTTCATTGATCCTGCTTATTACTTCTACGCCCTTGTCAGGTCCTCGTGGATGTCATATCATGTCATCTAGGATAAGCGTCATCGCTTCTCTAATACCTAATGAGAAAGGTAGGTAGATAGGAATAGAAGTTGCGGTATTCTGGGCTAGTAAGTTAGCAGGCAATGTTGACAGGTATATCTTTAAAGAGAACGGAGTCAAGGTAGAATGAGATAATCGGGTTCTATTGTATGAGCCTGTTTGTTGCGATCTGATGTCAGCACCAACAGCTCGCTGCTTGGTTTTATGAGCTATTGCGTGTACGATATGGGCTTCTATAAATCCAATACTTGGTGCTGTCATGATCATGTAATAACACCACTTCCAACAGCCGACGGCTAGATGTAGTAGCAAATATTCCAAATTTAGAATCATTACTACATGTTATAGCTTATTTTTGTGACAAATCAATCCCCGCCCTGGCAATCTTGGGTATAATGCCTTCCTGAACGCCGTTAACTCCGCATATGCAATGACCGTTGACTTGGACGGCCAGCTAAAACCAGAGGCCCTCGAACTCGATGGATTAAGGTACCATAATATGATTACACAGGGGGTGTATCGTGGACAACGACGAGTAGGTATTTGGGTTCGGGTACAATAACGAGTTCTTGTTTCTTCGTTCGCAGCCTTAGTAGCTTTAGTTCATCCTGCACCAGCAAGTTAGCCCCCGATTCACCAAGTCGCAAAGCAACAAGTATCAATTATACATACCTCAGAGTCAATCTCGTCAACCAAGCTTCCCGCGGTGCTCAAGAAACTCCAAACCATGCTAGCCAGCTCCTGAGCGGCTTGTGTCTCATTGTTGGTGTTCACGTTGACGTCGGTCGAAAAGGAACCGCCTGTGGGACTTGGGAGCGAGTTTCGACTGTTCGAGGATCGCGCCGGTCGGATGGCGGATATTTGGCCATTTGTCTTGAGTACAGTGCCGTTGGTTCGGTCCAGCATCAACCAGGCCTTGACACCGGGCTTCTTGGATAGCCGATGTAGCGCTTCCTCAATAGATTCCGTGTTGACAGAGGGCTGCATTTTTAGCGAGTTATACATAAATTTACTGATAAAAATTAACTTACCAATGACTTTTCTGCCATTCTCGCTGATTGCGCTTTGAATTTATATCTATTAGATATCAATTGTTTTCAAGGTAGACTAGGAACTTAAAGAACTGGAACAAGTTCTTTGAAGCTTTCTTTGTTAGGATATTAAGGTACACATGGAGCTCAAGCCACCAAAGCATGTGCAGTACAGCCGATAAGATAAGAGCGCCATACCCTCGGGAGCCGGCATTTCAATCTAGTCCAATTCAAGGGACTCTACTGTATGAAAAGAATTTAGATTTACCGTGCTACACCAATGACGCCATACGTAAATAGCAGTATATACATGTACATAAGTATCAGCTTCTTCCTGTCCGCACGGTCTAGACTAGACTTATCCTAGCGCGAATTAAAATAATGCCATTAGTTACCGCCAAAAAGTCGGATCAGCATGTCCATTGCTTTTGGAATCGCGATTTATTGAAATGTACCTATCTATAACAACTAATTGACCAAGGTCATCCTATCGAGTGTCACTCGTACCAATGATCGAGTCGCGATGGGTTCCAGCGCTAAGAAGAAGAAGGAAAAGAAGAAGGACTTCCAGAAGCCCAAGTTGAAAGTAGGAAAAGCCAAGCCGAAGCCATCCAACTTCACAGATACGAGTTTTAGATCCAAAGGTATTAATATACTCCTCATATGTCCTCAGATTGTGTAATTGGTGGCTGACTTCGTGATGATTTGTAGCTCTTGTTCTACAACAACAGCTAGCGGAAGATGCGCCGAACCCGATCGAGCGATTTAAACACAATCTCTCTCTCACGAGCTCTCGTTCAGACACCCAACGCCGAGATGCGTTGTCGTACCTTGCGGGTCAATTGTCGACGAATCCACCGACAAACCCGGTAGGCACATCTACATTACTACACAAACTTCTGCCGATGATGTCCGATTCCTCGGGGCCTGTGCGCGGCCAGTTGTTAAAGCTATTGCGAAACCTCCCCGCAGACGAAGTACGGCCTCACGTAGAAAAAATCATGCTCTACATCCGGGGGACCATGACCAATATTTCACAAGAGGTCAAGGATGACGGCCTCAACTACATGGAATGGCTTCTCGACGTCGCCGGAGAAGATGTCGTCTCGAGTGCGGGATGTTGGGTCAAACCACTCCGAGATTTCATGTCGGTACTAGGCTGGACGGTCAAGTCCACCCCAGCTACTACAACTAAGAGCGGATGGACTTCTGCGCCTAGGACAACATTTGGCTCCAAGAAATACGGCCAGTCCTTTCCGCGACAGATGTTAATCCTGTCTAAATTCCTGGAAACAGGTTTCAAGTCAGGGTCGCCCACACCTTGGACCAACGATTGGTCTAACAACATAGGGTGCGTACCGCGGACGCCGGATCCATTTGGATATATCGGATTATTTAAACCTCCTCGAGACGAGGAAGGCGAGATATACCGTAACCGAGAGGATAGACAAGATATCTTCCAGAAAAGGTTCAGAGCCGCCATTGAGGTAGGCGCGGATATGGCTAAGAAAGAAGGGGGTATGGCTGGTAGGGCCGCGGCAACCTTAGATCAGGTGCTGAAAGATGGCATGGGCGACTACGAACAGATATCACGACTCGATAATGATGAGCATTTATGGGCGGGCTATATCATGTGAGCCTCCGAGTACTATTAGGCGTGTTCCGCTAATACAAACCGTCACAAACAAAAATTCGTCTTCCCTGACCGTTACCGGCATGCATTGAATTTCGCGCCCGTGCAATATCGCATTGGTGCTGGACCCCACAACAGCATATGTCGCATTTCCTTCCCGTGCCTCGTTGTCCCTATTTTATACGCAGTCGGTATTTTGGTGCATACTACAGTGAAGTGCTCTTCTGCGAAATATATAAATGTGGCCCGAGTCAAGTCGATAATTCACCTCGCATATCAAGTCCAGGTAAATTATGGTCGATCAATATCATGCAACCTAAACGATGCATCCCGCCTTAGGGAAATGTCTCCCCTTCGACTCGCCGAGACCGGCTCCGTACGCCATATAAAATTATCTCATCTCCGTGTTTGCTTCGCCTTAGATACCGATCAATAGAACTTCGCTAACACCATGACCAGTGTTTTGCCCCATTATCATCTCATATATACCTAGGTATATATCTACGAAACGGTCAAGAAGTTAGGCATAGGCAAGCCGCCAGACAACTGTCTGCTTGGCTATATCGCTACCTATTTACCTATATGTATACCTAGCTGTATTCAAATGATACTTGCTACAATGGTCTCTTCTGCTTCTGTCGCAGTAAAGGTAGTCGAGGCGGTTTGCGACAAACACCTCTAAGACAGGCATAAAGGAAGCCTTGAGTGTTTCTTAAAGGAGATCAGGCAAGTGATATTTCACTATAAGATAGATCCAATCCTATTGATATTCTATTAATGGCTTGCCGTCTTGCTTTCACGTCTAATGTTATTCTTAAGTACTTTTGATGTCCCAATTAAACCTACCGCCGTCTCATTGCTGCCGTCGCCCAGCCTACCTTGGTATTGGTACCTATCTACCTAGGTAAATACCTAGGCATCTCGTCGTCGCCATTAGTAGCCAGTAACATAGAAGATATCTGCCCAAGTAATAGATGTTTGGTCTGGATTAACCACTCCCGTATTCTCCAGGTAATTCTGCAAACCCTGGCAGTCACATTGCTGATATCTCGGAGGTGTAAGGTCGACTCATTCCTATTCTGTTTAGTGTTAAGTGTATATGGCAGACTGGCAGCTACCCCAAGGCCTCTACGAGTAGGTACCTACGTCCTGTCGCCCCCCGAAAGCTTAGCATACCTTCCTTCTCTCCAACCAGACAAACACTTTAAACTTTAAATCTCTAGGAGCCTCCACGTACTATCTGTTAAGGGACGCGTATATATAGCAGGTACTGTCCTAGCTTAGGTATTTGGGTTGCTATCACCTTCCCCTAGCAACAGGTTAATAGCAGGGTCGACAGCAAGGTCAGCACCAATAGTAGACGCGAGCACCCTATTTTGTTTACCTTTTGCCTGCTGCTTCCCCAGGCGTAGAACGGCCAGTGCACTTCCCAGACTTCTCTATTTAACATTGACTTGTTCACCTCCCACCACATCTCTCCCTTCATCATCCTTTCACCTTCTTTCTTCTACATCACAACATCCTCTGGTCAGACTCGATCTGCTCTGAGGAATACATCCCTTTCGTCTATTGTTGTCCTTCTAAGAGGTAAGTACTTTACTATTTTTTTCACTGCCATCACCATCATCACTACCCTTATTGTTTTTACACCCTTTACTACCTACCTAGGTACGTTCATTACCACATTCGACCCTTCACACTACACGAGAGAAACCTTCTACGTTAACCTCGTGAAAAAAATCACGCCCTAGTTTTGTTCCCTAAACCTTTTCGTAAGATCCCTCCCTCCCCTCGACTCTGGATTCTATTTGTTCTACTTCACCTTCCATTGTTTTGATTTTTCCTTCCCCTCTACAACCCACACTCTTCCATACAGGTATGGAATACCTTCCATAGACATTCCAATCACCATTACACTACTTCACACACGCTGTTTTCATACAGCCTTCGTCTTTTTACACCCAAATACTGGATAGCACAGCCTCTTGCTGTTTGCCTAAGTAGGTAACATCTACAAGCAAGTAGGCCGAGTCTTCAAGTTTACACTCTATCGTTATTCCTACTAGATATTCTGAAAGCCTCCGCCAACGACTCCCCACTTCGTCATTTATCTTGTTTCTTTTCTTCGCCCTCTTCTCCAAGACTCAGCTTGATTTCTTCCAGCCACCCCATTACACCTAGCTAACATTCGGTCCTAGGATTTCGACTCTTCCTCTCAGCAATCGCACACTCAATATTTTGTTGACCAAACGCGACTTCCAGGTAAGATTCTCGACCTCGTTTATTTCCGATCCCGCCTACTTCTCATCCGACTTGTATCAGAGATATATCTTACATATCTTGATGCTGAACAATCTTCCAACGCCATCCCCTATTCGGTCAACTCTCGTTCATACTACATATCGCGCGGAAACTACACATTTTTATTTACTTCCCAATTTCCATTGTTGTTCATGTTCCATTTTCTAGAAAAGAATAGTCCTAGTTATAATACCACTAGGCCTTGTGTTTATACTGATATATCGCTTTTAGTCTTCACGACACGATTTTCCTGGTTCCTCAGCGAAGATGTCTGACTGGGGTGTTGCCGACATGAAGGCCGCGCTCCCCGAGCAGGCCGCCGAGGCACCCAAGCGCCCGGACAAGCCGGTCGGCGACTGGGGCGAGCCTGTCGCCAACGACTACACCGAGACCGATACCGATCGCGTTTGGGGTAGCAACACCGCCGTCTACGAGTGGAACCGCAGTGATGAGGATGAGGGCGACGTCGGCCCCGAGTCACCCGAACTTGAGCTCCAGCTTTTTGGTCCGCCTGAGACACGAGCCACTGCGGGTATCGATTTCTCAAAGTGTGTTACCTTTCATTCGCTTGCACACCAATATTTCTTACTAACTACTCTAGGATCGCGGGAATCGAAGTCATTCAGGAGGGTATTGAGCGTATTAGCCCCATCTTCAGCTTCAAGGAGGCTGGTCTTCATCCAGTCATGTTGAAGAATGTTGAGATGGCCGGCTATGCGATTCCCACCCCGATCCAACGATACTGTGTTCCAGCTATCAAGATGGGATATGACATCATCGCCGTCGCTCAGACTGGTAAGTAGCCCAATCGCTTTTCTATGCCATATTCATGGTTCATTAACCACGTTTATTTAGGATCTGGCAAGACTGCGGCCTATCTCGTCCCCATCTTGAACCACTTGATGGGAAAGGTCAAGCAGCTAGCTGCTTGGCGCCCCAGCCCCCTAGCGTTGAACGCAGGAGAAGCCCAGCCGGTGCGAGCTGAACCTTTGGTTCTGGTGATGTGCCCTACTCGCGAGCTGGCAGTTCAGATTTTCGATGAAGCGCGCAAGTTCTGCTACCGCACTATGCTTCGCCCTTGTGTCGTCTACGGTGGTGGTCCCTTGAGAGACCAGATTCAGCAGATCGGTCGAGGCTGTGATCTTCTCATCGCCACTCCTGGTCGCTTGATCGACATCATGGGACGTCCCGGTTTGTTGACTCTTCGTCGTCTTAAGTTCATGGTTATGGATGAAGCTGATGAACTACTCGACACGGATTGGTCCGATGATTTTGAGAGGATTTTCTCTGGTGGAGGTAAGCATACGCGAAATTTATTATTACATGAATATTTATCTAATTCTCGTAATAGAACAGGAGTCAGGCGACGTGAACTACATGCTTTTCTCGGCTACGTTTCCCGCACCCGTTCGTCGAGTCGCCAAGGAGCACCTCGCTATCAACCACATTCGTATCCGTGTTGGTCGAATTGGAAGTACTCATGCCAACATCAAGCAAGATGTTGTCTATGTAAAGCAGGAGCTCAAGCGCGAGGCTCTCCTCGACCTTCTGTATTCCATGAAGCCCGGTAGAACTATCATTTTCGTCAACAGCAAGCGCATCGCCGACGAGATCGATGACTTCCTGTTCAACAAGAACTTCCCCTGTACATCCATGCATGCGGACCGCACGCAGCGCGAGAGAGAGGATGCCATGCGTGCATTCCGCGCGGGAAAGTCGCCCCTTCTTGTTACTACTGGAGTATCGGCCCGTGGAATCGACGTGCGCAACGTGTTGCATGTCATCAATTACGATCTACCGAGTACAAGTCATGGTGGCATCCAGGAGTATATCCATCGTATTGGTAAGTGGCCCTTTACTGAAGTAGATTACCTATAGACATCACTAATTAAAATTTCTTAGGTCGCACCGCTCGAATTGGTTACAGAGGCACGGCCACCTCATTTTACACCGAGCGAGATGAGCCCTTGGCTGAGTCACTCACCAAGATCCTGATGGAAACCCAACAACCGGTTCCCGATTTTCTTCAGCAGTACGTCCCCGAAGGTGTCGACCCGAACGACTTTAAGATCGAGGACGACCACAGCGACGAAGAAGGTGATGATGGATGGGACGACGCACCGAAAGTAGGCGTCAAACAGAGCACGCTCCTATGGGTCGATGGAAAGGCCACTGTTCTTGATGATCCTGAGACTACTGAGGCTGTTACGCCCAAGGATGGTCCTGGTAGCCCCGACAAGGCTGAGACTTGGGGTTCTGCTCCGAAGGCGCCTTTGGAGCAAACCAAGCCTGCTGCTGATTCTTTTGGTTCTGGAGGCAACGCTGGTGGCATGGACTGGGGTTCCCAAGCTCCTTCCAATGCCTATAACCCCGACGATTTCGCGTGGTAATGATTTTTCTCATTTGCCTGCTCTACTCGCTGAGTTTAGATGAATTCGTTAAGATTTTCCATCGCGGGTTATCTGACAACCACATTTGCATTGTTTTCTTCGCCTATATTCTGATGGACGCCAATGGGAGGTGCCAAAATTAATCGTTAATCTTGATTCACCGAGTTCTATGGCATGGTGGGAAGATGCGTTTTTCTAGACAGATAGTTATCCTAGGTAGTTAGTCCTGAGTAGGATCTCTGGCTAATACAGGTTGATCAATGATATTTCCCTGGCTTTTGAACTGTGACGTTGCTAGGTTTTGCATCTTCTCGGGTGGTGCCGTTGATAATCATAGTAAGGCCAATATTCTTTTCCATTTCCAAAGGGCGAACAATCCGCTCTAACATAGATAAATTCGTAAATAACCCCTAGGTAGTAAACTAGAACTTATCTCTTAACCAGTATGGTTCTATATAGTCATTTCCCTCTGGTGACCGATTTATCGAGGCGTCTACACAAGCATGATGGCCTTCGGCTCGTCGCACCAGGTAGACATATCTCTATATTATTCGACTTTCAGAGGACATATTCTAGGCAGCCAAAAGGAGGAACAAGATGTAGGTCCTAGAAGAATTGCCTGACCCTCGACCATTGATACTTACGCTTTAGTTATGAGTTCTTATGTTCTCGTAGTAGGGGTCAGAGAAGCCGAGGGACATACACGCGGCGGAATGTATATGTCGATTGATAGCTCTTGTTTTGGTTTGTGGTGGCTGGATGGATTGGGGGTCGCGGACTTAACGGAAATACTGGATGGTGAGTGGTTGTGGGTAGGTAGAGAGATGTGCCTATCACGGTACTGAAAAGGGGGTTGGATTTGCATACAGGGAGATGAGATGACAAATCAAGTCAACGGGGTCCTGGTCACACACTAAGCCATAGGTAGACCCGTACACCGTCAAGAAAACCTGGGCGTATTGTGATATCTGTGATTTCTACGAGATATTCTCGCTATGTGCTCGGTATGGAGGCATCGGTAGGGCTTTTCCCATCACCCCGGGTTATCTACCTAGGTACCTAGCTATTAATCACCAACCATGCCAACCGATCGAGATCGATGTGAATTAAGCGGCGCAGGGGCCATAGACATCCCGAGGGCGATAATAGAACCGGACCAAACCAAGTCGCGAAGCATTAGTTAGTCACCCCGCGGATGAGTTGGCATGAACTCAGTATGAGTAAGACGGCGACGAGGCGAGGGCACGCGGAGATAACATGAATAGGTTCCACTCACACTCACACTTACACTTACCTGGATACCTGCCTACTTTCCCGCTTTATCCCACCGCTGGTGGCTGGTGCGTGATGAGGAATCATGTTCGGAGTTAAGCGTTGAGTTGGTGGATCATTGCACTGTTGAGCGAGAGGGGGAGGAGTGGAAGTTTTCTCTAACTACACTGTCCTACGGGCGCGAGTTATGAATATCTAGGTTATGTTCTTCAACGTTAATCATGAAGTGCGTGGGATGTTGGGAGAAGTCACAATACACATAACACAAATTGCTCGTCTCGTCCAACGTGTGTTGGATGTACAGCGTAGAACGTCTGTTTCGAGCATCTTGCATCTTGTTCTCCAACCTAATCTACACACTTACATGTAAGAGCTATTACACACCTCAAATCCCGGTGTACACTAGTTTGACTCATCACCGAGGGTGTAGCCTAGAGGATTCGAGTTATTATCCAAACTTGTGCCGACAAGCCCGCCTGTGTGCTTTGTAATACACACGCCTACTCCTGTGTGCGCGATGTACTCTATTGGAAACATATCCCCAACGATATCCCCTCGACTCTGAAACGTTACAGCGACATCAATAATTTACACGAATAAACCGCAATGATCTGCTGCCTAGTAGCGATATATTGATCCCATATGTGCAAGGGAATCCGTACGTATGGATGTGTCGTGTATGACCAAGCTTAATAATCGCGGCTTATCTATTCCCTTCCGCGTCGCGAAGCGCAGGCCCGCTACGCAGTGGCCCGCCCTTACGCCTATGTATAAATACTGATTAATACTTACAATATAATATAATTCATAATAAGGGAACATAAATCACCCCAGTAGCATCCACTCACGCGCGGCGGGAGGGCGTGCGTAGGCAGCGTAATTGCCCACGCCTCTCTACCTACCTCGCATCCGCATCCGCGTTCCCGCAGGAGCCGGGTGGTAAATTTCGAAGGTATTCGTTTCGTTCCTAACCTCGGGTAACCCACCCCAGCAGTGAAACCAAAACCCCCTCTCATGTCAAACATCAGAATCTAAATTAAAACCATTAAAAAAAAAAAAAAGATTGTCTAGGATACTTAGGCAGCATGTAGTTTATCTGAACAACACCAACATATATCGTATCGTAGGGTATTGTATTGACCGCCCCTTCATTCTCAGCTCAGCCCGTCACGTAGGCCAAGTAACCGCCATGAACTAGACAGCGCATAATCGGCGCGTGGCATTCACATTAGGGAGCAAGCACCCGTTCGTTTGTGAGCGGCGGGGCGGACTTTCGAAAACCTACATATTGGCGCGACTTACCTGCGATTGGGTGGGTAGCCGGGAATATGATTGGCTAGTATTAAATCTTGCCGCTAGGGGGGTTGCCTGAACAGGTAATTAGCTGTGTCTGGTTAGAACGATGATTGGGAGGGGACAAGGGGGGGAATGATTTAATGGTTGGTCGCCCAGTTTTAGTTCTGGTTGGTTGATTCGGCAACCTAAAATACTTAGTTAACAACACACACAACTGGTTCGCCCATTAATTTTTTAGGGTCCCCTTTTTGCATGGCAACGACGATGACTCACCGGCCGATCCACACATCGACCTTTCAAAACTCATCAACTAGCCAGCCTGACTGACCACCTTTGGTTACTTAGCTAGCCTGCTTGTCGTGCCTCACATCAGCAAACAAGGGGAAAGCAAAAAAAGGAAAAATCTTGATTTGTTACCCTATAGCCAACGTAAAACGTATGGCTATCGTGTGACGGATGAACGGATGGACATCTTGTGTTTGTATGCATTATTCTTGTTGGCCCACACTTGAAGCTCTTTCTTGGTCAGTACACGATGTTCCAGTGTTGCCTCACAAGACGAATGAAAAAGCAAACTTGCACTCAACAAAAAGGTCATTCAGTTGGAAACCACTTCCCAGCTCGAAGCTTATATCAGGAATTTCATACTATCTGCGTGGTTGTCTCTTCTTTCTCAAGAGCTTTCTCTAGTAGACTGGCTTTTTCTTCTGTAGTAGTACTCGGGGGAAGCTTGGTTTTGATATTCGATCGCGCAACACCTTTTCAGGCCAGATAGGTAAAATTTATAAATGTCTTTGTGTGCTTCTTTCGTAGCTACTTAGTCGAAGGACAGAAGGCGACTGTAATTTCGTACTAGTTGCCATATATCGTTCGGCGTATTCGTGGGTACGAATTGTCGTTTTGGCCCGTTGAGACCAAATAAAGACAGAAACCTCTTAACATGAAATTGCGTGGTCGGCTCGAGGTGGCACGTACGTAGTGCTAGCTTGCCTTACTCGAGTCGCCTCGTTTTTGCAGCTTCTTGCTGCTGCTGCTGCTGCTGGTATGCCACTGCCTAAGCCATTATTCTTCTCTTCCACATAGCTATGATTATCTCCGGAACACCATTACAAATAAAGAATAAACTCAGCTCCCTTATTCACTCGTACACAAGCAACTACCCACCTCCGAGCCTCCGAAATGCTGTGATCCTGGAAAATGCATGCATCGAGAAAAATAAGCTTTTGCGCCCATACCTTTGACCTTTCGTTTGGCGTTCTCTATAAACTATTGTGACTTCCAAATGTGGTATCAACCGTCAAACCCCAGCCATTGCAGAACAAAGGAAATAGTTGAATATTGTCACAAGGGTTGTATGTCGTCGGTTCCGTAGTGTATCGAAGCCCGCTAAGTGGCTCCTAATTCAGAATGCCTTCCCACATGCCCGGCCCACCAGGACCGCCCACAGCGGGGTGTATTGCTGGAATGATATACGAGCGAGCGTCGGTCGAGCAGCAATAACGCTTCCTGCCTCCGTTCGACTGGACGGGTGTCCTCTGGCTCCCCAAATCCATGGAATTCTGGCCTTGAACTATTGCATCAGCTCGTTCTTTCTCAGCGATACTGCAGTATTGACTGCTTAACATCTCACGGACGTTCTCCTGAAGGGAGTTATCGATTGACAAGGGCCGGCTGCGCTTTGCCCCAAGCCTGGAAGACGAACGAGGCTGTGGGTTTAATCGGTGATGATAGCTGTAAAGCTCTTGTAGCGCACGTGCTGCGTTCGTATCATCGTCAATTTCACATCCTCGTGCCAATGGTGTCTCCAGCGACATCTGTACCAAATCTTTGCCCACCGTGCCGGTGAAAGATTCGGGTGAAGACGTGATGCAATTATCTTCGTAATCTTCGGGTACTGAAGCGATCATGGGCCTCAAGCCATACCTTTCACTACAAAGCTTCGCATACCGGCATCGCGCCTGAACATCCAATTTGGTGGACGGCGCGCTGGCTAGTGACGAGGCTGAGGAGATTGAGGATGAACGAGAAGTACGTGACGAATCAGAAATCATAGATTCCGGCGAAGAAGCCGTTGAAATAGAATTAGCAAGTGAAGAACGGCGCGTTGAAACGTAACTCAACGGTGATGAGCTGATAGATCCAGGCCATCTGTCCAAGTTTTGCGAAGCAGATACGTTTGCGGCTTGAGCCATCGCGAAACCCATTGATCCCTTACCGCTAAGAAGGCATGTAGCTGCACTCGCGGCAGGAGTACTAAATCCAATCGGTTGCGGTGTAAGACGAGGAGTAGGAAGTAGACCTAAAGCTGGTGCAAGACGGCCCGGAGTGTGTGCAGAAGCGGGCGCGGGTTCCATGACGAAAGGTATGTTGTAGGTCTTTGGTGTGGAGGGATCGCTTGACGTATAACTCGATAAATCCGACTGAGGAAGGGCCGATATAGGTGAAATCGGCGTTGAATCCCGAATCTTTGCCATGGACGGACTCAGCGGAATAAGGTCCTCGATATTCCCAAGTTCAGGTTCGAGCTTTAGAATTAAATTCCTCCAATCTTGGGTTTGCTGTTCCGAGATTTGAGAGCAGGCGGATCCAGAGGTAGGTGGTTGTGATGGTGTGTGCTTCAGCACAATTTCCGTCCATCGTTTAAAAACGTCATCGGTGATGTGCAACTTCCAGTTCACTGCGACCAGGAATGACATCTCGTTTTGATTGATTTCTTGTGTTGCCAGCCCGGATATCTTGCTCCAGGCTCTTGCCGAGTAATTTCGGTCTTGTAAATACTTCGAGGCTAAAATTAAGGCCGCTAGAAACATTCTACGACCACATTGGAGAACCCGGCTTGCGTGGACATCATCCGGTTGCTCCATGGTAAAATCGTGGTTAGGGACATGAGGCTTGATTAATATCAGGTAATACAAAGCGACCTGCAAAGTGGAATAGCTCGTACGAGACCTGCGCAACGTTTCCTGGATGAAAGTGCGCAGAGGTAACACGGCCTTGTGACCCAGTTCTTGACGGTGGAAGACGGAGGACAGCGGCCATATCGCTTCTACTATCTGGGTGGACGAATCTAGATGGTGGGTTGAGCGCGCGTCTTGGGGGTTAGGGGTTCATATCGTTAATTGCTTACCGACGAGGCTATCGACAAAATTGACCTTGCGATCGCTTTGACGAACCAGAGGTGGAGGGCATCCAGTCCTAGTGGTTGCACCGCTATTGGTGCGGCGCGGATTCTGCCGGAGTTCTTGTGGAACTTCGGGTGCTTGGGTTTGTACCTGTGCTGACCAACAAACGCTCGTTATTACCGGGTGGCACGTAACATCGGATTGGGTCGGCAAAGGCCTTCGAAAGTTAGGATAAGACTCGCATTGTTCTGACGAATCAGAATTGCTGCATAAGGAAACGGAGGTATCATCGGAGGATTGAGAAGATACTTCAGACCAAACCGAGGTCGAAGATGATGAGGCGGAAGAAGCTATTGAGGAGTTGTAGGGGCCATTTCGAGAGGTGATGAAATCCAGCGAATCAGATTCGCTGCACATCATCTTGAGTGGAGCGGGAGGTAAATGATGTCTATAAGACTAAAACCTCCAGTCGCCCGACGAGCAGAGTCAACCGATTAGATCGCTAAAAACCGAGAAACAGATTTGTGAGATCTGTTCGTGTAAGACTTTTCAACTTCACAACAGCATATATCTGCTGTTATAAAGTCACAGAGGAAATATGAATAGAAGGTGAGTTCTAAACACGAATACCTCTAGTCAAGGTTTTAAGATCGATCAAACCGGAGGACAGAGCAAGACGGACGACTGGAGTAGAGAAGATAGATGATATCGCAAACTGCATTGTGTGATGTATTTGTTTCAACTAAGGAAACAAAGAGTTGAGAATTTGTGGTAGTAGTTGCACCAGCTAGATATGCATCGAGCTGGGCTCCTACCTGACCACGATTATGTTATAAAACGAGAAGGCGTAGAGTGCGTGATGCGTGAAACGTTAAAAAGATGGAAGGTACGGCGCGCGTTTGGCGGGTTAGAGCGGTTCGTCGCGGATAGGAATATTTAGTAAGAAATCGAGGGTTGAGGTCGGGCGCGACTCGAAAACGCCGAGGTGGTATCGGATTGGTCGAATTGAGAAAAATCAATAGTTCGGCGGAAATTGATAAAGTCGTATGTATGGACGGTTTTTGAGGTTAAGGTAAGGTACGAGATCGATTATGCAAGGTACGCAACTGCAACCACTATTTACTACCGATGACCGATGGGGGACGCATATATGCGGTTGGTACTGCAAGACCGAATGGTGGGAGTAGATAGTCTTTTTAAATTGAGGTTATAATTATACCTGAGGCGAATAGGCGACGACTTTTGTGAACTAGAATAGAGACAGAGACAGGATGAGTCGCGTGTTCGAAGACCAAGGGATAGAAGAGGCCTAAAACGGAGGCGAAGGCGAAGTGGTGACAGCGACAGGGTATGAATGCGTTAAGTCTAAAAGTGGCCTCTAAGGTTAGGTACCTATTCGATGACTCTTTTGCTGGTATGATGTGGCGAAGAAAGTCCGATCATTACCGCTAAGTGGGCTGTTTGTACAGGTGGTCTTTGCTGAGTCTTTTAGGGGGTGGTAGGTGCTGAAAGAAGAGTCCGGCGTACCTAGGTATAGTGATAGCGTATAATATAGCGCGTAGCGTGTAAGTATTATACGATGGATAGGCTTAGGTGGCTAAACACCGTGCTTGCTCACGCTGGAACCCGAATAATCTTAGACCGTATACCGTATAAATTGGGGACCCGAGTGACTCCCCAACCTTGTACTAGCACGTTGCAGGGAAAAATGACGGTCACACGCGTGGAAGCCTAGGAATGGGTCCAGATCCAAACGGAAGTGGCGATTGAACCAAAAGAACAAAGGATTGAGAGGAGAGCTTCTCGTCTTTTTTTAGTAAGCCGAAATTGAAGAAAAGAGTATTTTTTAAAAAGAAAAATATTGAAAAGTACAATTAGGTTGGGTGGCCAAAAGAGTAATATGAATGAGTCGAATAGAGGTGAACACCGTTCCCTTTTTTTAATGAGCAATCCGGGGAGAGATAGAGGGCGTAATATTGGGTATTTGTTAAAAAGAGAAGGGAATAATTGTAATAATAATAATTGTTGTAATGGCAATTGTTGAAGGACTTTTAGATGTCATTAGGACATGAAGAATTTTGATTTGTATATTTGTATCGTCGGGTATAAGTCGTTCGTTCGGGAATCCTTTTTGTTTGAATATTTGATATTTTCTTTCGGGTCGGGAGAGTGCAAGTCAATGCCACTGCGGACCGAAGAAGTGATCAAGAGAGTACACACGGAAGAGAGGAGAGTGGTTTTTGCACAAGATGCGAGAATGGGAAAAGGGACCAAAAGGAGAAAGAATGAGTATAATGGAAAGCTATGCGCTGGGTATCGATCTTCTACAATACTCGAGCAGACTTTCAAGAAGTCGCCTAGTCGTCGGTCTAAATCTTGGAATCGAACATTGCGACGGCTTTGTTCGATAAAGGAAAGGGAAACAAGAGAGTCCACTGACGCTTGGGGCACCGATGAGTTTTGAATATACAGAGAACAGCAAGTGTTTCTGGGGGGTAGGAGAATAACGGTCAGTGAGAATGGAGAATACATCTCAAAGTACCTACGTACACATACGTATTGTCAAATCCACCCTGTATACATAAACCCTGCATGGAAAGTACCATGAGTAACTCGGACCAATCACGATACCTAGTAATTAAATGCCAGTTCACACAGCTCCACCTATGGTCCTTTTCGGCTAGTGTAGATGAATGAGCTCTTCCTTTCAATTGGTTCAAATATATATAACTATGGAGAACCAATGGTATTCACGTTATAGCCACTCAGTAACAAGGCTAGAGTGATGCATTGCATATCTAGTGCAACTACATACTCTATCAACCACGCTACCTAAATCGGGAATAGTATATTTCTGCTTATTGGTGCATACCCCTTGTCGGATAGCATTTTATCCTAATCACAATCGGGTTAGCGTCGCTGGAAAGAATAAATGATGTACATGGGTACCTACCTAGGTACTTAGTGGTTGTAGGTTTTAGATCAAGCAAAGCCAAGGACTACCTAGGTAGTAAAACTGAAGGAACTTTAGACTAAGAACTTTGTTGACGGAAATGATGGCAGAGTGTTCCAAGTATTCAAGGTTTTGAAGAGTCATCATTCCTGCCACCCCACCCATCCAACCATCTGTTCGTCTAAGTCCTCTCGTCAATAATCCTCGTTATTCCCCCCTCCTCCAATTTTCCTCTCTTTTACACTACTACCTATCTGATGTACTTCTCATTTCTCAATCTACCCCGATATGCAGCTTGTAATCAAAATTCCTACCACCAACAAATCAGCCAAACCAAAGTATCTGTGTAATGTCGGTTATCAGATGGGCATCTGCATGAAAAACTTAGCAACAGCATAAATTGTCGGCAGGCTGCCTAGCTGCCTTCTAGTAAGAATAACTACGCCCGTTTAACAGTAGAGAATACAGACAAACGGCTACCAACTAATGGATTGCCTACATGAAGTACTTGATGAAAACGAGAATAAAAATACCCAGGAATACAATACTAGTTTGCTTCAAAAACAGCCTTGGAGGCATCGCCACTGGAAGGGCGACAGCAGTAGGGTTATGTAGCAATGCGCACGCAAACAAGCAAGGATTACCAGTGTAACACACCTCCGGGCCGCACCTAGATTCTTTTCGGGGTCGAACTGATACTTATCTACAATTCAAAAATACGATATTCTTCTAATCTAGACAGTTCCTTTCACTCGGACGGCAAGAGGCTGGTCCAACGATATCTACGATATGCAGCGTCTTGCAGAAATTTCACAGATGAATATATCCGTCACGAGGTTTCGTATCAAGAATTCATCCCCAGTGGCACTTCTAGAACCGCGTGCATACATGCCTACATACTCATGCGATTCGTACGGATATTGGGTCTCTTCCCCTCTTCACATTGCCTTAAGGGAAAAGCAGTGATACACATCATCAACAAGTGACTCCTGATCAGCCTAGTGTCAATCGTCTTTAACTCCAGCTATTTTTCAAAACCCCTTTGCTATTTTCAGCTCGGCCTCGCAGCCTTGCTTTCGATCAGGTTGAAAAGGATCTGGGTATCTGACAGAATCTTGGAAATGCCATGAAATTTCCATAGGGTGGGTTAACCGCCACCTGTTTGCCAGTTGTGGAAGTTTCATCATTTTCTGACTCCCTAGCTGAGTCGAAAGGACTGCCGCAAATCGGACCTAGGAATCCCATTCGAGGCTACATTCGCGCAACGACCTTCAGGCCTTTAGGTCGGTTGACTAACATTACCAGTTTCGGATAGGAGTCATCCGTCATCCGCCACCTGTGCTTTCGTAGCAGGCCAATATTCCCCCACCGACAGGCCAGAATCCTGCGTCGGGCGCAGCGTTAGGCAAGCCTCGCGTCGCCCTGGACGATTGTTATTGATCGAAGTTGGGACACTTTCGTCAATAACAACAGCAAATTTAGATCAAACTTGCCCCTAGCCTGCTGCCCAACTATCTGATTGGCTCCCTCAATAGTAAATCTACGATATATCTCCCCTCTTTCGGGTGAGGGTTTCCAGGTTTCAAGAAGTGATACACATCGGTAAGGTGATCAAACGGGTATGATGAGGGGGATGCAGACGCCCCCGGGCTCACATAACTCCGACGCAAGCTTCGCCTCGCCTCTAATTTAGAACTGCCTCTTGTTAGAAGGCAATGCTTATAAAGAGACCCAACAACTTAATACGATTAAGTCTTCAAAAAAAAAAAAAAAATACGTGTATCTTGACTGAGCTATGATAAATTGTGGCTTTGATTACACGTCTGTTTCGGATGAAGTTATTGCTTCATTTTTGGTTGAGAATGACTCAGCGAATGAAATCTACGCTAATGTCAGCAAATCCTTTTCGTCCTTCAACACTACACTAATCCTTTAATTCTGACGGTTAAATTATTCATATAGCTGGCATAGATTTATACCGTACAGGTGCACAAATCCTGATGATTTGCGCTCTGTGGTATATTGGCTCATTGATAGAAGGATAAGCTTTTATAATATCCTCTTATGCGTATATAAAGCCCTATTACTAGTATAGTCTACTTTAATATACCGATACATCAATAGTCGAATACAGCCAGATTGAAATGGCATAATTCCTGAGATACAAGATACAACAACTTTAAATTTCGAATGTTCAACAGAGGCTACCATTTTCTATCTTCGCCGTCCTACCAGCCATGTTGAGACCAGACGGTTACAACATAATAGCTCGATGTATTTCTCCCCATCCCTTTATCATTGCCACCACAGCAATGCAGGGTAACCTCCTTAGCCATTTGGGCTATCCTTAGGCATACGCTTAGGCTCTGAAGGGGCGCATGAACATTGATAGCCATCGATATCAACAGCATCAAGGCATCAGTCATTCATTATCGGAAGGCTGGCAATATCATCGTCAATGACGACAGCCTCTTAAGGACAATAAATCTGCCATGGAGGCCTTTTGACCTCAAATTGGAAGGGTAAACATGAAGGGTAGTCATTGTCACCGCCCACGACGCACAATTAATTATACAGCAGGGATTATGAACCATCCAGCCATCCGAAACCAATTTCTTTCCCGATACTTTAGAACTGGTACACACACCTTTCGCCACTCTAACCAATAAGGGACAATTGCTACCAGTCACAGCCCAAAATCGAGATGACTCAACTCTGCAAAATGCTCACTTGGATAAACGGAGGCTACGAAATTCCGCGATTGTGGTGTCACGAACCAGGCTAGATTGTTGGATTTCAATCTACTTAGGTAGTGATTCACCGCGAAGCCGGAGTAAGACAGCCGTATACTTAGCTGACTGTGCCTCGCTTGACGTTGAAAAATGATGAAAATTTTCTCCTAGGTCGTGCTGAAAAACCCCAGATTCTACGAAATAATCTGGGAACACGATACCAACACCAGCTGACGACGATGACTGGACGGGTGGCATGGAACCTCACGATCCTCGGGATTTCTTTGAGCTCCCAATTATGAGACCACATCCGAGACGCCTTCACGCGGCCCCTATGTAGCCCTCGGTCACTGCAGCAGCAATTTCTTTTTATCCCTTCTTTACCTAGGTACTTCAAGTAAGGTACTTTGGCATATAAGTATCTCCAGTCTCATGATAATAATTCCGGCAGACCGACCTCTACCAATCCATTAATTACCGCGCGGGCTTTTAGTAATGCATCATTATAACTTTTCATTGGTAAAGATAATGCAACTGCAGACTCCGCATCTTCCCGATGATTCCATCCGGTAGGTACCCAGGTAGGAATATAGGTATTTTATTGACAGTTAGCCCTCATGGTGCGCGATACGTGTCGGCCACATGGGACGTCAATTTCTAGAACAAGTAGGTTGCAATACGTACATGCTGGCCACGACTAAGAAGATTTTTTTTTCTTTTCTTAATTCTTATTTAATTCCTATCCTCTTATCGCCAACACAGATATATGGAATTGCATCATCCCCACCCCGTGTTCACTCTTGAAGTTCAAATCTAGCGAAGGCGACTCGCCGTATGAACCTTGCAATTCCACCACACTACAATATGGAGTCGTGATCTACTCCACTCTAAATCGCCGAGACTAAGACAAAATGTTTGCTTTCAGGATGACTTGAATCTTTTGGCACAAACATGACTATCTACCTACCGCCTGCCTATTCAACTTATTATACCCGATTTCAATACATCACATGCGAGGCGCTCACCTAAGTCTAGGCTTTTTTCAGCTACCACAAGACAATCGTACATTATATTACCCTCGACCCGCTTCGTGATGGTGTGTACAATTTTGGAGTGTACATACGGTAACGGGTATAGTATTGGACGTCACGATACATCGTGTTCTTATTGGGAATTCAAATTGAGAAATAGGGGGGGGCATTGTTTAGCCCCGCCTCATAAGACGACTTTTGGGAAAAGTTATGACCTTCGTCATCCAATTAAAATCAGTCAGCATGAGTAATTATATCGTGCACTGCCTACCACCATTGGCATCCACGGTTCCCCCAATCGTGCTTTATGGAGGGGTTGATCTCGTTTAGATAGATTATTAGATAAACTCTTATAATAAATATAATTCTACAATATTATTGCCTCATGTAATTTCTATATAGTAGAACGAGAATGGGAATAATCTCCGAGACATATCCTTCATATTCATCACGAACATGTGAAACCCTCGTGTGCTGGCTGGCAATATGTTTCTGTATCGCCTCCAAGAAAGACCGAGAGGCTCAGTCAATGAGTTATGACAGCGTCTCAACTTATGGGGTATTCCTGGTTTCGTAGTCGCCATCGTCGGTTTACCCCCATCGAAATTGCGCTTTGACCAGGAATCGCCTCGATCAATATTAGCACCGCCATCATCGCGGATCTAGTACTTGCGCGTCTTCGCTCATACATCCCAACTGCTATCGTCACCTATTTAGTAATTCAGAATTCGATAGAACTAGACGCGAAAGATAACTCTAATTTGATGCCTTCCTCGTCATTCTGCGAGGCTTGGACCCCAAAATGACCCTCAAAATTCACCTTACTCAGCCGGAAATTCGTAGTTCGTTCAGCCAACCAGGGCACGTAACCAGGCTTCGGGAGTCACGGGCAATTCGATCTTCACTATTCGGGCCACTAGACGCGTGCCGTATAGCAAATTAATGGATTTGGTAGATTACATTTTCATGATTATGGGGCCGATCTAGATGAGAAAATACGGGGATTGATTTTTCGCCCTCGAGAATCCGCTCACGGTAACCTCCGTCGCTGAGTACGTACGCCATGGACTGCTGCTTTACTACCTAAATTGTACCCAAGTATTGTCATCTATCGATACGAGCCAGTACCGAGATTTCCTCCCAATGCTCACCAACGTTCTATCAGAACCAAATCGTAAAATCAGACGGCCCAGCGCTTAATCGATACGGATAGTTCGGGCTTAGTGATATCTTCTATTGATATTGCAAACCCAGAATGCGGTGGAGAGGTAACAAATCAAAGCTGCAGCGACTATGCGTAAATGACCTCTCAACCGGCATTTATTCAGCTACTATCCGTTTCGATAGGCAGCTTCATGTACCCAATTTGGATAAGTACCTTCTCTACTTGAAGCATCTCGAAAATCCTTCTATGGGAATGTTGGGGTTGACTTCCGTATAGCACGAGACTTGACTTGGGTCTTTCTCTATTCTAGAAACATTCTGTTCGTAAAATACCATGCGTAGAAATAGCGAGAAAACTCCATCACTGCGAAGTTCTCATCATGATTGTTTCGAATCCCCCGCTTGTTAGTCGTCTGACCATGTGGACGATTATGGTAAAAGCCGTGTGCTCACTTGCATTAGGGATTGTAGACATGCATACGGTTGTAGATCCGATGATAGCTTCCTAGGTTGGAAAACGTCCTAGGCAGCAGTAAAATCTTACATTACGATCGGTTTTAGGGGTGTTAGGATTGGCTCACTAAAACATCTAAGAATCATGAAAATTCCTTCATAAGGATTCTACTAACAATTTTGAACCGTGAGACTACTTAGGTACCTACTGAGGTACGTAGATATTGTTGCGGGGATGGTGGGAATCGTGGCGGCGGCGGCATCTCATCACGACAAATGCCAAAAAGTACATACACATACCTAGCCTCGGCAATGTATGTAACACGACAGTGATCATGACTATATCATGATGTTGTTATGATATAGAGATTAAACTCGTTATCGTCTCCTATTGATTACCTAGCGCCTATCAACAAGCCACCAAATATGAAGCGTAAAGCACAAGTTTAATAGCAGTCATCTATTCAACAGTAGGGGATCGCGAGACAGTCGTAAGTTTGTTAGCGAAATCTCAGCGGATGTCCTAGTGGCGGGGAAAGGCTCGCCAGTCTTACATACTAGGCGCTAAACTCTTCCTACCAAGGTCAACCAGCAAGGTCCCTGAACAATTATTCATTGGCGTCATCCAAAAACAAGTAGGCTATTCCGCCCCCCCAAATCCACCATACAATTGACGAACCCCAACCCGGAATCGCCAAGGCGTTTAATGATTAATGAATAGAGCGCTAGTAAGCAGGAATCGGCGTTAAGGTGCGAGATGCGTCTCAGCCTGTCAGCCAGCGACGCCCGCCCAGCCTTGCATAATTAATCTACCCGTATTCCTCGGACTTCCGCTCGGTTCAATAGTCTGTTTTCTCAGCCCAGCAGTCGCAAGTCCGACAATCGGTGTATTTCTTTGACATATGTGGCGGTGACTAAGCAGGCAATTTTCCGCTGAGGCGCATATGAAGCCTGTAAGCTGATCTCGAATCCCCGCCAGACGAACCAACCGGGCGCGATGGCGATGAACAATATAGTTTCATACGCCGTCGGCGAGACCACATGATCTCGGTGATATGCGGGGAAAGATATTGTCCCGGTATACCGCAAGGCAGATCCAGATTCCGTTGTTCCGCGGCACTATTCTTCTGATGTTTTGGCCCCCAACATCGAGTTGGGTGCATACATACCTGTGGTGGACATACCTATCTGCCCAGCACGTGAGAGGAAGAAACTACCTCGCTCGGCTTGAGGTGGGTATTACAGCTTGCTCACGGTTAAGCTGACGCGCTTATGGCCAGGCGCTTCGCTAATTAGATTGTTTGATAGATCTATAGGATATGGTGTCTGCGGGGAAGATCTCTTGACTGTCAAATTTCAAGATATGGTGAGCCATCGTGATTGTCATAGCGTCACCCGGCGACTTAAAAATTTCATCCGCGGCGGAAAATGGACCGAGAAAGCAATTCTATGTCCATATAGCGGAATATGAGCGGAGTCTGCTGCCTGGGCGGGGCTCATATGCTTGAAGGGTTATTCTGTCAAGCAACTCATTTTCCCCTTGTGACGCAATTGACCATTCGAAAAGGACTTTTTTCCCCGCCACGATATTTGTGAATGAGTACTTTGCCGGGGTCTTTTTTTAGTATCAACGGTCAAGATGCCCGGGGTGTTGTAGTGTGAATGAGCAATGAGTCACCAACGACCCGACTCCGCCTAGAGCCATAGCGGATACCGGCAGGCTACACACGCACACGTCTGTCTCATACCTAGGTGAGTAATTAAGTAGGGCCACGCGGTTTGGAGGCACCCAGGGGTAGCGGGGACGAGGCGGTGTTTCGCGTTGGATGCTTCCATCGCGAAATCATGTTGGCGGGAACAAGGAATTCATGAAACTGCGGTGGCTGTTAGTTGAGTGTTCTTTCAACTTCGTTGCGATCTTGGCGGGCCTAGGCATCAGCTGCCTGTGTGACAACTCAACAGGCGCCAGCCCGCATACGCCGCCCATGAGTTGTCTTCCCGAGACACAGATTGAAATGCTGAAATCATTATTCATTATGAAAATCAATAATTTGCTGTGACTGCTGTGGAGGGTGTGTGTTGATTTTACTACAGGGAATCTAACGACACGCTTGATGTGGAAGTCCTGCAACTACCGCGCTTTTAAAAGGTACCTATCATTCTATTGACGCGAATCTACGACCTTATTAACGATCAATGTCAAACACACTCGAGTATTCTAAGAGAACATATTGCCCCTTTTTAGTATTAACTCCTAGGCAGCTTTGGATGTGCCTATTGCTTCCCATTAACCCCATAAGATATTTCAATCTCGTAGAATTGCCTATCATAGCTTCGTAGAATTGTTTCATGGTGGTTTGCTTATAACTTAAGCAGGTCGCCATTCGTAATGATGTGCGCCCTTCGCCGGTTTCCCCGGGTCCTCTCCTCTCACATTAGGCCTATCGTAAGCATGCGCGCCAAAGAAATCCATCTCTGCCTCCATGAACTGTGTCGCCAACATGCCTCCGCCGACATACTTGAGGTATTCCAAGCTGGCACTTATAGCCGGAATGTAGTTGTCCAATTCAACAGCTTTCAGCGTGATTTGCTTTAGTGCATCGAAGTTCTTGTGTAGATCGGCCGCGACCTCGTCAATGAGCTTAATGTTCATAATGGGCTCCTTCGTATTCAGTAGAATTGGCTCAAGCATGTCTGCGATGTAGTCTTCCTGGATGATGCATCCTGCTCTCCAGATCTGAATGCATTTACCTAGATTGACGCCCCATCCTTCGTCCTTCGAAGCTCGCGCGATGAGCTCAAGCCCCTGGCAAAATGAGCAGAGGAAGGATGCGTAAACTGCCCGACGTAGACTCTCGATTAAGCTGTCCTTATCTTTTACCTCTGCTAGTTGCGGTTTCGGGATGTTGAGGTTTTCCGCAACCTTCAACCTCTGTGCTCGGTTTCCGCTAGCAACACGGAAGAAGTGGCCGGTCGCGATCGTGGGTGCCGAAACGTGACGATTGGCTGCTTCCATTACCGTCCAGAATAGAGTACCCTCCGAACTATCATCATCCTGCACTACCTTATCCAGCACATCGTCTAAAACGTAGCCATTCTCGCCCTTCCCCTCTCCATGTTGGTCGCCTTGCGGTGTCTTTTTCTTCTGACATATCTCCGAACCGATCTGGATCAAGTAGGTGTTCCTCAACTCTCCTTCTGAATTCCACTTCTCGAAGATCTTGCCAATCTCATCATTGGATAGCCCAAGAGACTTGTGTAAGAAGTTCCATGCCTCACAGACAGCCGAGAGCATGCCGTTCTCGATCCCGTTATGAACCATTTTTACGTAGTGACCGGCTCCGCGAGGGCCTGTGAGTGTGATGCTTAGTTCCGAACAGAAAGACGTCTCGGCGGTAACATTCGCACTTACCCATATACTGAACACACGGTTTCCCATCCCTCGCAGATTTCGCCGAGAACTTCTCAAGCAGCGGGAGTACGAACTCAACCGCATCGCGATCTCCTCCCGGCGACATACTCGGACCACGTCTAGCCGACTGGTAACCACCACTAACCCCCATACCAATCCATTTAACACCCTTCGACTCCAACTCCTTCTGTCGCCTCTCGGTGTTGCGATAATTCTCATTCCCACCGTCAAGAATGATATCACCAGCCTTCAGATCATCCTTAATCTTCTCCAACACGGAGTCTGCGGGCCGGCCATGGGTGATGGAAAATATGAATACTTTCCGCGGTTGAGAGTTTAAGCTTTTGGTAAACTCGTGGATGTCCTTAAAATGATCAATCTTGCCTTTTAGAGTCTTGGTCTGCTCCGCCATTTCGCGCGCCTGGTTGACGTTCTTCTCTGATACGTCCCATATCGACACGTCGAGACCGTGCTCGGAGAAGCCGAAGGACATCATCGTGCCCATGTTTCCTGCTCCCACGATTCCAATTCGTGTGATTTGGCTGATATCTGGATTCGGTGCCATAGTGTACAGTTTAAATTCAGCTGAATGATTAATAGAGTAATTACTTGCAGATATCGCCAATAGGCCTTGGCACTTAGGAGGTTCTTTGTAAATTCGGAGTAGAATAGTTGCTAATGCCTTAACTTAGGTATATTACTATGGTTGATAGTTAACTTTATTTTTGGTAGTTGATGTTCTATTAACACTTGAGTTGACCTGCTCATAATGAATAGCTATTTGGCCGAAATTGGCTAACATTTAATAAGCTGGTCAAGAAGTTGGAATCTTGACGCAACTATGTTGTAATTGATTTAGTGGATGATGACATTACCTGGCGTGGTAGTGATGCAAGACAAACAACAAATTGAGCGTTAAAAGTCGCATGCCATTGAGTAGAAATTTGTACGGATTAGTCATTCTAAGGGGAGTGATGAGTTGAATTGAATTTGTTTTGTAACTTCATATCGGATCGTTCCGATGCTCACAGATTTTCGGACCAAACTCCGATGAGAATTGTCGGATCGGCCCCGCATCCGTCGGCAATTCCGATAATCTACAATATTTCGGAGCAACTCCGAAAATATGCCTTCAGATGTTTAACTTAGTTCATAGTTGGCCATCGTAAAAAAAATTCACTTGGTTAGAAGAATATAATTGGAATAATCTCAAGATTCTTTCTGGAGGATTTGCAAGTGTTAATTGGAGACGTTAGCTTGTTCGTTCTCAACGCCATTGACTTTGCGGTAGAAAAGCGTTGAGGCATTGGCTACTATAGAGATTTTTATACGTTAGAGATCCAAGTATATATATATTTGGTATTCTTTGGCACATGGTGGCGCGTGGAAAGCCTGCACACGAGGGAAGTCTTAGTAGGACGGCGTGATAGGAGAGCCAAGCTACAATGGTGGACGTTTTGGCTCATTGCAATATTCGGCGGCATTGGTATATTGCTCAGCCTGGTCCAGGTCGCGCTGCAGGTCGTACAGACCCGGATGTCGTTTCAGTAAGCAACCATACCGGCGCTGGCGTAGGTGATGAGAAATAAAAATCCAAAAGGCTATCGGCCTCGGCACAGGAGAAGTAGGTAGGGTTGGAAAGGTCATCTCGGCAGGAAATGATTATTAAATATTAAGTCCTGAATGCAGCAAAACAGTATCAGATATTCCATTAGATGAATAATCAAAATGCAACATCGAAACTTATTATTTTATCTGTTTATTTGCTGATAGAGAGAGGCGCATTGTCGCAGATTATAAAACCAACATGAATCTACCCGCTGCGTTCAAGATCCGTTCCCGAACCACCTTCATTATCTCTTCCGTTATATTCTTCTTCTTATTCCGATACTTGAACGTAGTTGCTTTATTCTTCTCTCCTTCTTCACTCGACAACATGACCGTGAAGCATTTAGTTCTGTTTCAATTCAAGGCTGACGTCAGCGCTGAAGCCGTGAAGGAGGTCTGTTAACCCCACTTCAATTCCGGAGGGGGACTCATACTAATCTCTTAAATTGAATAGTCTTCCCTGCGCTTCTTTGACTTGAAAGATAGCTGCGTACATCCTACGTCGCAGAAACCATACATCAAGACCCTTTCTGGCGGCAAAGACAACTCAAAGGAAGGATTACAGGTACAATTACTGCTAATGTGCGGGGTTGTCGGTTCACTAACCGATCTCACATATAGGGTGGCATCTCTCACGCCTTCGTCCTAGAGTTCGAATCACTGAAGGACCGCGATTATTACGTAGACACAGATCCATCTCACCAAAAATACAAGGCTTTCATCGGTCGTCATGTAGAAAAAATCATTGTTGTGGACTACGTCGAAGGACAATTCTAGAGCTTTAGCTAGTGCATTCCAACAATCCAGTCTTTTGAATCCCACATCGCTATCAACGTCTGCCTTGGCACCTTTGCTTCTTCTCTGGACTCAACACCTAGGTAGCTGAAGGGCTATCACTAATTGCCACCACAGCACTGCAAAGGAAAGTGCCTGCCGTAGGGCGCAATACAGCATTCGCAATGTCTCCCAGGAAAGGTTGATAGGCTACCCAGGGCGCTTTTAGCAGCCAACAACCACTAAAACAACCGCTACAACCATTGGTAAAGCAACCCAACGGCCAATTGATCAGCCCCAAAACCAGCACTGACACCTGCACTGGAGGTTCACTTCACAACAGCTAGATTATAGACTTATAGGTTCTCGACCTACGATTTTTCGTCTGATACTATACGTCGACTCAACTTAGCCTTCCCCGTCGACCGATCAATCAGCCTCATTATATATCTATTATCCACCCAGTGCAATAGAGCGCCTCTAGATCGGTTCAGCTCTTTATTAATTCATATCATTTCATTCGATCTACTATCTTCCCAGGTACTAGCCAGGGGGTACGTTGCTTGGTTGCGTTTAGCGGGGACAGTTGATAAACGACCTCCGCACCCTAGCTTCTTCAGCATCTAGATCAACTTACCAAGTTGGTCTAAACCGAGACTATTGAAGAAACTTATTATATTCTTATCTGTTACCGCGACCTATCATCGCGCGTTTCTAAGCTGGATTACTCATAAGATACCCTTTCACTATATACCAAGAGTAGTTAATTCAAGATGCGAATTGATTACACCGGTATATTAGAAACTAGCCTCAACATCCAGAACGGCGGAGATATCCGAACAGTTACCAACTGCGAGGGTCGGGGTGGTAGTTCGCCACGGCACCTTATCTCTTCCCACATGGGACCCCTGAAGGAGAGCCGACTAGGCCATAGTTGACTAAACTATACTACCTACCCAAGAGCATTATCCAAAACATGGCTTTCCTCTCTTTCAACTTGGATTCATATAGTTCTGACACGCACCTTTCAATTCTGTTGATCGGAGTTGTTGCCGAACATGTCTGTAACACAGCCTCCCGACGGAAAAATGGCTGAGAAAAGCGTGGTACAAGATGTTGCTCAAAATGGCGACGGGGAAAGCATCGAAGTGGAAGTTTCCGAAGCAACACGAGGTACAAAACGCGGTCTAAAATCCCGACATGCGCAACTCATCGCGCTGGGTGGTACTATCGGCACGGCTCTATTCGTCGGTAGCGGACGCACTCTCGCCAAAGGAGGACCGGGTTTCCTCCTATTAACTTATATACTTATGTCCGGCCTTGTCCTCCTCATCGTCGCTGCCATTACCCAGACAGCTTCGTACTTGTGAGTTTCTTGTAAACTCCGAGAACCTGGCCCCTCGCTAACCCCCTTTTAGGCCGGTGAAAGGAGCCACTCCCAGCTATTTCGCATCTCGCTATGTTTCCAACTCTCTTGGATGGTCAATGGGATGGTTCTATTGGTACTCATTCGTAAGTTGAATCTGTGACAATCTGGTGTCTTTCTCACCCACGGTGCGCTAACACTTCCCTAGGGAATATTCGTCCCTTACGAACTTACGGCATCATCTCTCGTGATCGAATTCTGGAATCCGCCGATTAATCCAGCGGTATGGATTACGATTATGCTTGTGGTTGTCGTAGGACTGAACCTACTTCCTGTTTCCGTCTACGGCGAAACGGAGTTCTGGTTCGCATCGCTTAAAGTCATCACGATTATCGGATTGCTCATGCTCTCTTTCATCCTGTTCTGGTGGGGCGGTCCGGGCAATCCCCGACTTGGATTTCATTATTGGAATGATCCCGGTGCGGTTAATCATTATATCCTCGAAGGTCCTAGCGGATTGGCGGTTAGCTTTTGGAGCACACTAATTTCGGCTTTGCTACCGGTAGGTTTATTCTATCTATTGTTGAGAAATATTTGAGCTAAATATAGAAACCAGTTCTCTTTTGCGCCGGAGATGCTTGTTTTCTGCAGTGGTGAAATGAAATCGCCGCGTCGTAATTTGCCGAGGGCCGCGAAAAGCTTCGTTATGCGTATCCTCATCTTTTACGTCGGCTCCGTCATCGCAATCGGCGTCATCTGCCCTTCGAACGACCCGGGTCTAAGCAGCGGTGGCCAAGGCGCTGGTTCATCTCCGTTCGTTCTCGGTATTAAGAGAGCCGGTATCCAGGGACTCGACAGCGTCGTCAACGCGGTGATTCTCACATCGGCCTGGTCCGCCGCCAACGCATTCATTTACCAATCGAGCCGATCACTTTACTCTATGTCCATTAATGGGGATGCGCCGAAGATTTTCTCTAGGTGCACTAAGAAAGGTGTTCCGTATGTGGCCGTAATAGGCTCCTCACTGTTTTCGTTACTGGCGTATCTCAACGTCAACTCGAAGTCAGGAGTGGTTTTCGATTGGCTAGTCAACCTAGTGAACACGGCAGCTTTCATCTCTTGGGTTTCTTGCGCAATTGTAAGTCAAGCGGACTTTTCCGATCGGAATTTTTAATTCAATATCTAACACAAGTATCTTAGACGAACGTACGATTCCAAAAAGCCTTTGCCGCGCAAGGTCTGGACGAGAAGGAGCTTCCTTTCAAGGCACTTTTCCAACCTTGGGCTTCATACTTCTGTATCATTGCTTTTACAGCACTTTGCCTGATCAATGGTTTTGACGTCTTTCTGCCAGGCTCGTGGTCGGTTTCTTCCTTCCTAAGTGCCTATATCGGCATTCCGATCTTCTTCTGTCTTTACCTTGGCCACAGATTTACTGTGGGAAGATCCGATCCTTGGTTTATTCCATTGAAGGAGGTTGATCTTTCGACCGGATTAGATGAGTTAAAGGCGGACGAGAAGCCGGAAGACGTGTCGCCTTCTTTGAGGACGCGACTGTGGGGTATGGTTAAGAAGTCTTGATTTTACATAGAGGATAAAGTGAAGGGAATAGTCTACAGAACACTCATAATAAGAGCTAACACAATAGATAAATTGCCATCCCACCCACAATTTATATTATCAACTTCCGTCCTACCGGTCTCTGAATTCTATATCCCGCTGGAGACTTGATTATTTACGCAAGTGTATCAGCGCCTAGCTCATTTAGATGCCGAGTTTTATATATATAAGTTTACCTATTTTACTATAATTTTAACTTTTGGTACCGCGAAATACAAGCATTTATGCTAACAAATATTCAGGAGATTTTAGGTCGACCCAACCCAGATTCGGCTCCGACTGCTTCCAACCCAGTCGGTTCTGTACAAGCTTCGAATAGGTCTTCACATCCTCTATCGGGTAACTTAGGTACGGAATTTCCTTTGCACGATAGTTAGTAAACGAAATCCATAAGCCGAAAGCCATGTGTAACGTACCTCCTGACGATGAACACCGGAACACATGAAAAAGATGTGCACGGTCCGACTTCCGGTGGGCATGGTATAGTGACCGGCGCCGTGGAATAGACTTCCGAGCATAACGAAGGCCTCCGTCTTCTTCAGCTCAGCATCAATTACGCCCTTATCACCATTGGGACCAAAATCGGGCTTGTCGTCGCCCCACAAATGCGATCCAGGCACGATTCTCGTCGCGCCGTTGGCTTTGAATGTGTCGCATGCCGGTACAAATAGACCTAGTAGCATATCCCGACCCTTTTCGTACTTGTCGGTCTTAGTATGCCACGCGTGATGGTTCTTGTCATCCCTGTGTAATCGCTGCGGCTTGCAACCCGGGCGAGAGTCCATGGTTATAGAAATAGAAAGTAAGGGGTGAGATTTGTTGATTTCAGCCTCTTCTCCGTACCATGTCTTCGACTCAATGCCAATAAAGTGTTCGGCGAGATCCTATTCCCAACAGCGTCAGTTCATATATCCATCGGAGAAGTCCGAAAAATTCTTGAGGAGTGAATAGACGCTTTATCGGCCATGATTTACCTGGTATAAAGGGTCCGAGAAGAATTTCTCACGAGCGGTCTTGCTTCTACCGACTAATCGTGTACAGGTCGCTGTTCCGCCATTGAGAGCTCCAACCTTGCTTCCACTCTCCGCAATCGAAGCATCTAGGTAGGGTTGGACCTCCTTTTGGGCGTCGGCCAGAGACTCCAAATCAGTAAAGTCCTTGATAATAACACATCCATCCTTTTCTACAGCATCAATGAAGGCCTGGAGTCCAGCCTCTCTTGAAATCCTCTGGACCATTTTTGGCGTGGTTCTTGTGAAACGTAAGGCTATTTTCAGGGGTTAATTGAGAATAGGGGTAACTTTGGCATTTACAAGAGATGAACGACAATCAGAGTTTTTTGGTATAAAAAACAAGAAGTTGGCTGATTTTCTTGAATATAACTTCAAATAGGTGAGAACTTACCTGATAAGGCCACTAATAGTATATTACATGCCATTTCGGACCAAGCCGACGACCCCTCTCTCGCAGGGTTCCTCCGCAAAAGGACAAGCGAGGAACTGCTGATCGCTTATCTTTAGACCAAATAAGTCCCAGTGGAGATACCAATTCGAGATATATCCCAAGAGACACTAAAACCGCGTCGGTTATTTAGGTCGGAGACTACCCGATAAGGCACAATACTAAGCTTGAAAGGGTCGTGTTAGTATATTGTAAGTCGATACAAAATTAAAAACTGACTTCTCAACCGACATTTTATTTACTATTATCTATTAAGTTGTCGTCGCGTCCCTGGCGGGCTAATTCCTGATATCGGGCTGGGTCCTGCTTGACCCTCTCGATGACAGCCCCTAATCTCCTTACACCCTCCAACAAATCTTCTTCGGACTCCCAGGAAAACGTAAGCCTAATCGCATAGTCAAAATTGAAGCTTTCCTCGTTACCAGGAACCTCAAAAATGTCTCCACTTGCAACAATCAAATTCTCCTCTCGTAGGGCGGCGTCTGCTACCACTCTAGCCGAGATACCTTCCTCAAGCGTCAGCCATATGAAGTATCCACCACACGCATCCGTGCCTAGTAACCCCGTTTCATGAAATCGTAAACCGTGAGGTGTTAGATACTTATGAATAGCATCTACCATAATCTTATGCCTCCTCTGCAACGCCGGTCGTACAAATTTCTCAAGATAGTCTTCCAGCTCCCCGCTTCGGACCAACTTTGACATCATCGCAGCGCAAAGTTGGCTTGGTGAACCACCGGATTTAGTCGATCCCGTCTGCGCCAGGCCGAAAGCAAAGGATGGTGAGCCTTCTACCCACCCGGTGCGAATTCCGGGACCGACCATCTTGCTGAATGTCCCATTACTGACAGCGTAACCAAAACCATGAGGATCATCCTTAGCTTGGCCCATGGCAAGGTCGACGTCACACAGGCGGGGAAGTTTCATCTCAGGGGGCCATTCAGAGGGAGGAGTGAGGTTTCCATCCAAGGGCCACTGTAAGAAATCGTAGACATCGTCGCAGATGATGAGTGCGTCGTATTTTCTTGCAAGTTCAACAAGACCACGGCGCCGTCGGAGAGACATTGTTTTACCTGAGGGATTGGCGCATGTAGGAACCACGTAGATGATATGCCGATAATGTTTTCGGTGCTTTCCGGGGTCTTTGTATGTCTGTGAAAGTGTCAGTTTAAATCCGCTCAACTGAACCATACTTCCATAGCTTTGAACTTACTCTCCCTGGCGGTTTATCTTTCTCTTCCTCTTCCTCATTCAATTTTCGAATCCCCTCTTCAAGCGCCTTCAGATCAACTCCTTCATCATCCTCCGGAAAGGCTCTCAGTCGCCCTGCGAACCCAGCATCTTTGAATATGTCAAAGGCAAGATGATAACATGGCGCTATCATCCATATAGCTCTCGTATACTCCGGATCGGTGAAACTCTGTAGAATACATGCGATATTTTGGCTCGCGCCTCCTGAGATGCAGATACGCTCTGGGTCAGGTTTCACATTGAAGTGTCGCCCAAGCCATTGTGCTAACGCCTCGCGCAATGGTTGGTAACCTGGATCGGGGCCATACTGTAGCGCGGGGATGAAAGTGGCCGGGTTGGAAAGAACACTTTGTGCGGCTGATGTTAATAGATTCGGCGCGAGGAGGGATGGGGCTGGCCATCCGCGCATAAGGTTGATGAGTTTCGGAGGTGAGCGAGAAAGCATGATGCCAATAGGGGCTAACCTCAAATCAGTGTTAAAAGAAAACCAGACGTGGCAAGCCCGATTTAATAGAGCCGATCGTAATGGTTGGTTCCTTTATGTCATATTCACTACTCATGAATTATAGATTTTACGTTATACTATAATCAATGGGGAAGGTTGCTCGGGTCTGGACGCAAACCCACTTCCCTAATAGTGGACCGGAGGTAAGCTGGGCAACTTGTATTTTTTATTTGAAATAATTATTAGTTTGAAGTTAGACTACCTACCTAGGTACACATGCATACAGCCTATATATATCGTTGGTGTCATCCATAACGTTTCGTGGAATTGATGATTCAACAAGTGAGTTCTAACCGGGCAGTGAGAAGTATAGGGGATATACCTGGTACAAATTAGATTTGTATTTCAACCTTCTCATTGGCTACGACGTAACTTAAGGTATATAAAAATGAAATAGATGTATCGGTAGATAGTATATATTAGTTTTGCAGATTAGATATTTGGTAATAAGGCAAACGTTACATGAATTCAATCCCCTAAGACATGATTTACATAAATGACGCGACGGTGGCTCAGCGCTGGCAGTGTAGCAAAGAACCAAGAAAACAATTTCCGTACCTCTATATCCAACTAAATAATCATGTTTGGATATACTTTTTATTCTAGCTCTAGCATCCTGGACATTTCTGATAACTCGTGTTGTTCCGCAGGGGTTTGTAACTGCTGTTGCTCCGGGCTCAAGACAGTCCCAACATTACCGTCCGTAGTTTCGGGCGCTGGCGTCTTCGGCTCGGACACAATCGATGCCCTGCTCTCTCTTTGTATCTCCCCGCGCTTACGCACCAGGAAAGCTGCAATGAAGACTAGGGCAGCAGCTGCTACACAGCCGATGACAATGCCGGCTATCGCTCCTCCCGACAGGCCACTTGAGCTTGTACCTACGTTGGTGGTTGGTTCGGGAGTCGTGGTGCTGGATGACGATGTGATTGACGCCATGCTAAGCGACAAATACCTGATCACGATCCCATACGCATTAAGAGCCCCTGACCCATCTCCGGTTGTCGTCGAGGTCTCGGGGCCTTTCCCAGGCGTCGAGGTTGTGTATACGTACTGCACAGATATTATCATGCTGTAGCAGAGGTCGGTTGTATACCATACAAGGTCGGAATTCGTTCGACACGTATAACCACTGTAAAATATTACCCATTAGCAGCGTTCTAGGATGTTATGGAGTTTTGCTTTCTCGTGGTAAGTGCAGGATGTACGGGTTGCTAACACAGGACAACATGTCGCCTTAGTCTCCGACAGGCCTCCAGAGGAACATGCTACCGCGTAGCCTTCAGGGCATGCATTGGAGGAGATAAAAGCTCCGGAGGAGGGACTCCAGCCTGTAGGAAAGCAATCCGAAGTACTCATCGTCGGGCCGAGGTGAAAATACCGGCATTGGGTGAAGCTGCCCTTCGGGTCTTGGCATGTCAAATTTGGGTAGGTAGCGTAATAGATATCTACGAGACAAGACGATGACGGCTTAAATTCTGTAGTCATATGGATCAGATCCATGGTGGTAGACATGTATTCAGAATGGGTGGCGTGGTTCAAAGTGGCAGCGCGTTGATGAAGTGAAGAAACGAAGAGGGGGAAAAATATCGTGATCGGCTCCCTCGGGGGTCGCAAGGCCTGACTGTGAAAAGACTTCCACGGAACGGAGACACAAGTCTACCTACTGAATACCTAGGTACATGTTACATAGGGAAGGTAGTCTGGAAGTGGCTTCATAATATATTGGCTCTTGGCTATTAGGAGGTCTAAGTCGTGTATGCAGTGTAATGTTGTGTCGATCTGAAACACTGATGAAAGCATTGGCTTGAATATTATAATTAGGTCTACATCACTTAGGCAAATGTTCACGAGCATGCTGGATATTTCTTCATATCAGTCTATTCATTAATTGCGCGAAATCGGAGTACGGACCATAACCGTTTACGAAGCCGTTGATGGCGAGAGCTCAAAATAAGCCACGACGAATCAGGGCATCCTCAGCAGATAATCTCTCTGGCCCCGTGAAACTGTGCCAGCCACCCGTTCCAAGCCGAAAGATTATAATGTACAGAAAGCCCCTGATGCCATATGAAACCTTGCTTTTCGGAAAACAAATCTTTTTCGTGAGATGAATGGGCGCACAAATATCAATCCCCTGGATTGCACGAAATTGCTTGATGCGCGCCAAGAACCGCGCAAGTCAGTCACGAAACAGACTTAAGAGGCCATGTAAGTGCTAGCATCGATACCATCCTTCGGGAATTCACTGATGAATGAATTAGTAAATGTGTCGATAACCCATGATAGAAATAAGTGAAAACTTACGGTAAAGCGACTTCGAATCGCTTCTCAATTTGCTTCAGGACATCTTGGTCCGCGTCGGTGCTCACGAAGGAAATTGCCAGACCTTTGGTACCGAATCGGCCGGCACGACCGACACGGTGAAGGTAAGAATCAGCATCGCCAGGTAGATCGTAGTTGATGGCCAAGTTGATACGCTCAATGTCGATACCACGACCGAACACATCAGTTGCGACACAGATGCGCTTGTTGAACTCCTTGAATTCCTTGTATCGTTTAATACTATAATGGATTAGTTAGTGGCCGATTTTAGGATACATCGATTTATACATACCGCTCTTCCTGGCTGACTCCCGAGTGAACCGAGATGGATGGGAAGTTGCATTCACGGAGCAACTTGTCAAGCTCGGTGGCACGGATGGTGCTCTTGACGAAGATAATTACCTGGTTGAATTGCAACTCGTCGAGAAGTTCGTTAAGTTTTCGGTTCTTCTCGCGCTCATCGAGTTTAATGTAGTATTGCTGCAATCCATGGAGGGTCAACTTGGTGTCTTCATCGACGTAATGCTCGGTAGGGTTCTGCATGAACTTCTTGCAGATCGGCTTCACTTCGTCGGAGAGAGTGGCGGAGAACATCATGACCTGCTTCTGTTGCGGAGTGGCTCGGAAAATATCCTGAACGTCTCGTCGCATGTCTTGTGGAAGTTAGTGGGAATTAATTTAAATCGAGGTCAGGTAAAGTCTTACCGATAGCGTCAAGCATCTTGTCACACTCATCGAGAACAAAGATTCGAACGCTGGTAAGGCGGAGGTATTTGTCTCGCACAAGAGCGTTGAGACGACCCGGAGTGCCGACGATGATGTGGGGATGCGTCTCCTTGTTCTTAAGAAGTTCGGCATCCTTCTGGATGGGAGTACCACCATAGAACACGCCGGTCTTGATATCGGGCATGTACTTGCTGAAACGGTTATACTCGTTTCGGATCTGGAAAGCAAGCTCACGAGTGTGGCACATGACCAGGACGGAGCATTCACCAGCAACGGGTTCTACTTGCTGGAGGGTAGTGAGGACGAAGACAGCTGTCTTCCCGAGACCGGATTTCGCTTGGCAGATGATATCACCTCCGAGAAGAGCCTGGGGAATACATGTTTGTTGAACTAGGAATCGATCGAATGTTAGATAGGTTTTCCAAGAGGTTGAGGGGCGCGAAAGTAGGAATTCGACAAGGTCCGTCCATCATCGCAGCATCGTTCTAATATCATAAGTCCTCCTCCACAACCTATTCGACAGTTCCATCTACAGATGGACAGAGATGGTATGCTCGCTCGCAATACCAACTATCAGGGACGTATACGTTGGCTCGAAGCCAAGACTAGCCGTCCCTCCGGCGAAATTACACTGTTAGGATACACCGCTTTACCAGGTATCCTCAGTCCTCGAAGCCGTGAATGAGCTATACTAGACCACCAAGACTAACGCGATAAAACACGAGTCTTCTTAGGGTCGTAAGACAGGCCGACACAGATTGATACTCTAAATATCCTTTGTCGCGAGGCGACCACGAGAAATATAGCCAAAATGCGTGATTTTACGCGTTGACATTCTTGCTTCTCCACGGCCTTTGCTTTTTATATTTGTTTTTCTTCTTATCATATGCTTGCGATTTACTTGCGAGATGGACGGACGCTTGAAGGAGGGATGGATTGTTTTGATAAGCTGGAACGTGTAAGATGTAGACTAACCCTCCGAAGGATGTTCGAATCCGCAGTCGGCGATGGCGCGAAGAAGCTCAGGCTTGAGCAAGAAATCACGGAAACCGGTGGCGTGAATACCGACGTATGATCCCTTCTTGTCAACAGAATTACCGCCGGCGGCAGCGTCGGTCTTCTTTCCGTTGGTGGTAGTGGTGGCCTCGTTGGTGGCCAGCTCCTCGTCGGAGTAGTCGATCAGATCTTCTTCCGCAGACATATTGATGGATTTGTTGATGGAAATAGTGGCGATGTTAGATGTCGCAAGATGGAGGTGAATTGAAAGAGATGACGAGAATTAAAAAAGAAATAAGGAGTTAGAAAAAGAATCTGCCTCAAGGCTAGAAGAGATGGCTCGAGCCTAATAAACGCAATGGCAGTTGTTGATGACAATGCGCAAGAGTTGGTGCGACAAGGCTCTGGTCGAGGTTGAATGGGAAAGGGAAAAAGAGAGTTGTTTTTGTTAAGAAAAAGGCTGGAAAGTGGAAAAGATGAGTAATGCTAAGGGAAAAAAAAAAAGTAAATTCGGCCTGCATGAGCTAGCTGATGGAATGCGCGACCTAGGTAAATCTGTACACATGTACGTGCGTACCTACCCAAAAACATTAGATGCACCGTGTACCTAGATACATATACATAAGTAGCGTGTTTTCAATCAGACTAACCTAAAAAGGTGATAGAGGACAGAATAATGGGGCCGTGTACTGCGTCATTGGATGGATGGCATTGTGCGGCTAAACAATGGAAGAATTTCCCCAGATTTTTTCTCTCATAGCGCCCTTACCCGCCTGCCCGCGCTGCCTGGCAGCCTGCGTCCCCTTTCCGTAGATGAACGGAGCTGGAAACGATTTTGCACCGAGAAACTTTCAACCATCAACACATTTACATCATAATACATTTATCGTTCACATACATCTACATGATTTCGTGCATATTCATGTGGATGCGGCTACTCTTAATAAGACATGGCCAAAGCAAAAGGATCCGGCACTATTCCGAACCGGCCTATCTATTCCCGAATATCCTATCTCTACCAGGCAGCCGCATACCTAGCCAATCACCCTAAAACGAATGAGTCTAGCGTTGTAGCACATAGTCCTAGCTGTCTAGAAGGTGCTGAAGATGAGACAATAGCAGCAGCAACAACTAAAACCGGAACAAAAACAGCAGTGACAGCGGAACAAGACAAGCAAACACCACCCATGACTCATGCTAATCGCGCACTGTCACGACGCTTCGTCACTGATCTTCGGGCAGCATCTTTGAAGAGTCAAATCCGTCTATCCCCTACCATGAAGCATACTATTTGCAAATTCTGCGATAGCTTACTCATCGAAGGAGAGACCAGCACTTCGACTGTTGAAAATAAAAGTAAGGATGGCAAGAAGCCATGGGCCGACGTGCTCATCGTTAAATGCCACACATGCGGAGGATTAAAACGATTCCCCGTTCAAGCTCCTCGACAGAAAAGACGGCCTGTACGCGAAAAAGAACAGCAAGAAAAACAAGCAAAGGAGAAACAGAAGACTGGTGTTGTAATGGGAGAGGGCTGAATATAGCCGCATAACATCCCTGGCCCTTCTCATAAACCTAGGACCGTCTAGGACCTCCGCAACTACCTAGCTGCCTAGGTAGCTTTGATTCACCTTTCCTAAATAACTATGGCGCCATCATACCCGGGGAAAAATTCGTGCTCTTTACACGCCCCATGCAAAAAACGGCATCACCCGATATACACATTCGCGCGATGATCGTTCCGCAGCTAGAGTAGAAAGGTATGTACAACTCACCCGATGATAGCTCTAGGTAACACATGTTAACACTACAATTGAACCCTTCGCTAACTTGTTTCGCATAGTCGCTGGAAATGCGACACTGAGTCCTAGGGTTTGAAAGACTCGTGAAAGCCAACAAGCCCATACAAAACCCCAGGTTATTAGTATCCCATGTTGGCCTGTTTCGAATCATGAGGCGTTACTAATAAAAATAACTGCGCCGCCAGCACGTGAAAAGCGATCACCATGAACAAATACCCAGCAATTGGGTCATGGAATATCTAATCAAGTAGATTTAATGAGGCTATATCTTGACTTATAGGTAGATTATATAATATGGGTCTACCCGGTGTCATATCAATCTCCATCAATCCATATTTAGCATCTTTTGCCACAGTATTGTTACTTAGCTAACTAATTAAGATAAGCTTACATCCTTCAGCCCCATCATCGTCGCAGTGACCCTTGTTCTTCATCGTAGAAACGGGTCCCTCCGATGCAATGCACGCTTTTGCCGGATCTACTCAACGGAACCTAAGTTCTCACCGCTTCGGGACAACCGATACTGCATAACCCGGCTCGTAACGCCTTAGCCTACCACGAGCATCTAGCATTATTTTTCTAGATGTCATAGATTAGTCCGCACCAGGGCTAAACCTCGTGGTTCAGAGTGAAACGGGTCTACACCCGTGGCCGTTGATTTCTATACTCTACCAGTGTACCTATCAATGAGTTTCAGGTGCCCTAGCTGAGTGTCCTAGCTGAGGAACTCCCAACCAGCGTCATGTTTGCCCGACAAGTGGATGGTATCAGACTTGGGTTTCTATTTTTTCCCATATGGTGTTCTACCGTCGGAGAGCGGGACACTTCCGTGTCTTCGACTTGGACGCAGCGTCGACGTGTTTACGTTCGTTGCGTATTAAAAATCGTCGCTCGCTCCTCGGAAAGTATTGAGTTGTTTGTCATCAGCTCATCATCTATGAGCGAAGTCACATCTTCTTTTTAAACAGATGGCTTTTCGTCGTCGGGAACCCTTCTAACATTTCGCAGACAGCTACTCACAAGCTCACAGGTTCTCCTTGCGAAGACTGACCCGATGTTCCACGATGTCATACTCACAAGACTGAAGCTTAAGAGCAGCGGCGCCCGAGGCTAACAGATTTGGAGGTCTATTGCCCGACTAACACCACAGTATAGGCGCTTAGGATAAATGTCACTATTTCTCTACTAGGTACAAGAAGGGTCATAGTCCTACTATCGAGGCTCATGAAGTACGAACTCTTCACCACACCTACATAGTCGGAACATCACTAATAAGTAAACTTTCTAGATTTTCCTAGACGCCGACGTACTTCCCAAGCAATGGCATAGGCCGCCCTAACATCTCGAGCTCGAAAGATTTCTTCAAGTTCATTTTAACATCCACTAACCACCAATACTAACACTAACTATCGCTTCATTGTCATTACTCGTGGCACGTTGCCTATCAGGCGACCGCGCGAAGGGAAACTCGATGCTCTAATCAATTATAACTCCACAGCGTTAGGACAATGTCGATATCTTGAACCGAGTCTTAAGGCATACTTCGCTACAAGACCTATAATAAGGTACGTCGTTATGTTGCTGCCGTGTCGTACTTAGCTAATCGTAGCCCCAAAGAAGTACAGCATAAACTACACAAGACTTAGGTGCTACACTCCGTCCAAACAAGTATACACTACTTACGACAAGCATCTAACCGTCATTGTCCTCCAGACCCGAGTTAATAGCTGTGGAGCTTTCCGTCGAGCACGAGCAAGATATTGGTGGATTCTAGGGCTAGTCTATGAGGCTGAGTGGGGGCAACTTGAGTATAGTATGCTTCGGATATTTATAGATATCGTGCAAAACGAACTTAAACTAACTGTTTGAAGATGTTTTTATTCAGGCAATCCTCTTTTTTGTTTGTTGGGGCTATCCTCCCCCTAGGCGGGCATGATGGCGTACTAACACACTCGGATGCGAATTGGCAGTCTGACAGGTTGACGTCGGGGGATAGGTACTAACATATTGGCAACATATTATAATACTGACAAAGCATACTAATCATATAAGCCCAGTTCATCAAGGACACATTAAACTAGCCTACCTAGATACCTTAGGTACTTCGGTAGTTAGTTAGCGGCGCGGGTCATCGAGCCGGGACTGGCTAATTAGGGGAAAACTAACGATATTGAGATACTGACATAACAGCATTTCAATATACTAATCTACTAACCTACTAACTAGAAAGCAAGTTTACGTGGTGGGAGATGGAATCAAATGGTTTTATGAAAGGGGGGAAAGGAGGGGAGGATAGCCCTGATAGGATTGCCTGAATAACAACACCTACCAAAACAAGCTCCATCACACGCCTGTGCACTTATCTCTAAGTCTCGTGAACAACCTAGAGTCGACTGTTGGTGTAGCTCAGTGATATTAGTAACATTGACTAAGTGCCTAGTATCCCCAAGGGAATAATATTGCGATATTTGATAAGCAACGGAATGGCGATATATGATAGCCTGGGTAGTCCCGTCGTCCATGTTCTGACTCCAAGTAGGTTAGCCCAGCAACACTGACTACCTACACAAGGCTGGGTAGTTCTCCGCGGGTACTTTGGCATTAAAGGTGCAAGGCGTCTTTAGAAGAGGCACTTTCGCACAGGGCAGGTGACGAAGATCTGTAGTACCAAGGTGCCTAGGTAATAAGATCTCTAATCGGCCGGTGGCATTAAACAACTGCTTGCCCTATAGCACGAGAAATGTGAGTTGTATAATCTGTGGGCGTCATTTTTTAAAGAGGCGCGCAGCACGCCGGTATTTCCACTCATTCTAAGCCAACGGCTGAAGTTACACGAGAGCAATGGATAGGGTGGCTATGCTACGCATCTAGCCCTTAAATGTGCATTTCCCGAATTTTTAGCGCTTTAAGTCTTGCTTAAGACTTCTAAAGGGGGGTTATGCTGCTTACTCCTAGCGAAAATTGATACCCCTTTATGTTGCCACACCATCATAATACAGCAAAGTATCCCCTAAATTCGGTGAAGGTGACTGCATATCACAACTCGCTTGGATTTGATAGGTTCGATCAATTAAATGATACAACGCAGGTGAACATGTGCGGTGGCTATGCCAGGGCTATTGCATGAGCAGAGATAGGTAATAGGTTGACTGCCAGTTCAGCTGGCCACTTGACCCTGGAGGCTTAACTTATAGCAGTCACACAACCAATTAATGCATGTGTTGACGGAGTTTCTGCCTATTCAGCCTAGGGTGCCCAAGGGTACCTAGGTAACCAAGAGGTAGCATTCAATAGGCATAAATTCAAGCCGCTGCCACGCTTCAGTTGCCAGCCTGGCGTAGCGTTGGACTCTTGTCCCCTTCGAATTTTCCCTATAATTTCCCCGCCCCAGCCAGGGAAATTTTCCTATAATTGTCTGGCCATACCTAGTTGTGAGATAGATTGTTGCTAGACGCGACCGAATTTCAGATGATACAAGTAAACGATTTACCTACTAGAAAAAAGTAATTTTACAAGGATTTGTAGATTATGAAAGACTTCAGTGAGCTTGGTATCTCAGAGGGGGCCGGCGGTCTAGACAACAGGAATATAAGCAAAGCCTCACCAAAGCCCGACTCAAAAATTGAGATAGAGAGCGAAGACAACATCTCGTTATCCGCGGTTCTTCGTGAGCTACAGGGGGTTACTGTTGCCACAAAAGCAGACCAAGGCGACCTCAATTATATTACCCGTATTCTCACAACAGAAGCTGGTGCTAATCGGCCCCTCGAGGACCCCCCAGCACTCACGCTCCGCAATTGGCATGCTCGTCTCAAAAACCTTGATTTCGGCGAAAGCCAATACCATCGCGCAAGTCTGGCCGTTTCTATAGCATTCTTGTGTGAGACAGGCCGCCGAAACATCACCGTGTATCCTGCAGACCTTGATTTTGTGTGGTCTACAATTTACGAGGCTTTGGCGGACACTTCAATACCTTATACAGTGTCTCGTAGCTCACAAGGCTTCCTCACGATTGCTTTGTCGAGCCTGATAAAAGATGGAAACATCGAAGAACTCTTTCGCCTTCATGTATGGGAAGCCGACGGCCGTCGGGGGACCCCTGAACTGGCTATTCATTCGCACCAACCTTTTATCCAAAGTTGGATTCTCGCAGGCGAGGGCAAAGATTATACGTACGAAGCTTGTCCAGAGGATACCAATGCAAGTATAACACTTTCCGAATATGCCCTCACATGGAGCACAAATACGGCTGGTGAAAGCGGGAAGAACTATAAGGTGCATCCGATGTCTTCCACGGTCACGAACCAAAACAAACCGGTTCACATCGTTCAAAAAAGTGCTGCAAGCCATACTCGTAACATGACATACACGGTTCCAACGCATGTCTTTCACAAGTCAGTAGTTGCTCCAGGCACATTTCATGCAACTCTGGCCCTATTTGATAGTTATCGCGGTTTCCATCGAGATGCTCCAGTTTTGGGGCCATCTGATGGAACTTCATATACGGCGAAGAGGGATACCGCGACTCTAACGGCGCCGGAGCTGGCAAGAGTTGTCGAAATTGCACGCGAGCGGGAGTTGTCGCATATAAATAATATGAATTCACCGAAGATTCGCGGGGCTATAGCGTGGGCTGGGAGGATTGTCGGGTGGCTAGCTCTTTTAGTTATTGCCGTGATGTATGTGAAAGGGGTCAGTCCATTTTCCAGCGGGGGGGCTTAGTACAGTTCTGGACAGCATTGGACGCTAGTGGGGTTATAATGCTTTTATAGCACATGTCCCCCCTAAGGAGAGGCTCGCCTTGCACCTTAGGAGGTACCTACCTGGGTATAGTGGGTTTCAGCGCTATGGTACCTATGAATATAGCGCACTCTTGCTAAAAACGAGTTAACTATCGTGAAAAATAAGGGAATCCCCACCCGCATCCCCAATTCTGGATTAAACGGCTAATTAAGAATGGTATTGCGTAGAAGAAAAACGTTCGCATTAAGATAAATTCTTATTCAAATAAAACATAAAGTTTGCTGACATACGTTTTTCCAGTTGAAGAGACGTTGAAATTGAAAGAGCCGCGTTTTCCCCTTTTCTCTAATTGAGAAGTTTGCATGGGAATATACCGTACTGCGATAGCGGATTAATCAGAACAATAAGATATTAGGAGTATCGTTTACATACGATAGCGCTGCTTTTTATAGAGTGATTCTGTCAGTATCAATGGATATTACCTAGGTATTCATATGAGGGTGGCAATAACTATACGAAAACGCCCGGGCGCATAAGTACCTAACCCTCTTCTCTTCTTTTTTTCTTGTTCTTCTTTAATCACTAGAGCCTTGAGTTCAACAATATCGTTTTTGAGGGATAGATTGATTGTGGCCATTAAACATCGTATATTATAAATTACTCGCCACAGAATCGTCCCCGTGCTTGTACAGTCAAAGATTTCATATGGATACCGAGTCTTTATTCCCATTGGGAATACGCCGTAGGATGGGTATACGCACTACCAAAAGAGCAGACCGTGGCAACGGCTATGTTTGACCGAAGGCATGCGGACTCGCAACTATCATATTTCGGAGCTCTTGCATGTCTATGCTAAAAAGAAGGGTATATCGGTTTCCGTGGTCAATGAGCCTCTGGAATCGCAGCGCTGTGATCGGTGTCATATGCACGTTCGATGGGAAGACTTGTCCCACCAATGGGAAACTTGATAAAGGCCTGAATTTTAAGATATGCATGCTTCGTTACGCCATCGAAGTTCGCGGTCTATTGACGGAAAGCAAAATTCAAATCTTCCATGGCACTGGCTGCTATGTGACTGACCCATTCGCTTTCTGGCGCATAATTATTCTTGCGCCATCTCGAAATGTCGGCTGATAGGATAGTCTAATACCTTAGAGATTACCATCCCGAATCCTTATAAGGTGCTCAGAAAGTATTTACCCTATGATTGCTCTTTCGAAGCTTTCTGAATAACTTGTCCAACAACATCCAATCCATTCAACTTCCTAATCGTTCCATCAAACAGGCCGAAGGGCACCACCGCGGCGATCCGGGCGGCTAGCGCTGTTGCGCCCCTCCAAATGACAGACGGTGGGCTCTTCTTCAACAAGTCCTGCACAACCTGCCCCGCCCACTCATGAGCTGGTGTCCCCTCATTCTCAAGTCCCTCCCTTCGCATTGCCTTTTCAATTAACTCTCTTGCGGGTTCGTAGATAGAGCCCGGCGGCAGTGGATGTGAGCGCGATTGCTGCATATTCCTTACCAAATCAGATTTAATCAAGCCGCCTCTCAGGTCGATGACCTTGATTCCGAACGGCTCCAGCTCAAATCGCATGTTGTACGCGAACATCGCTAGGGCGGCTTTCGAAGCGTTGTATGAGACTTGGAATGGGATGGGCACAACGCTGGCAGCGGACGTATTGAACACAATCATGGCGTCCGACGACTTCACCAATAACGGTAGGAAAGCCTGCGTTACGGCAATATGCGCCCATACGTTGATGTCGAAGGCTTTCTTAGCTTCTGCGATGTCGATATCCGCCGCTGTCATAGGGTAATATTGCCCCGCGTTGTTGACCAGGATATCAAGACTCGACAATTTCTTAACACAGGCGGCAATAGATGAATCGGATAGCACATCTAGAGCCATAGTTTCGATGCCTAAAGATTTTAGATTGGCCATCTTCGAGGTATCCCGAGCCGTTGCGTATACGTGAAGGCCGGCCTTCTGAAAGGCTATTGCGAGGGCAGCACCCAGCCCTCCATCTGAGCAACCGGTTATGAGGACTGTCCGCTTATTGTTTGACATGGCCACATTAGAATGACAAGAAGAAGAGGGATTAGTTCTAATTTGTAGAGAATAATTGTGAGGATAGTAATGAGTTGATGTTATAAGATTGCAATTTAAAATGTAACCAACACCCTTCCAAGATTATTAAAATCGTCGTGTTGTCGCCCCGCCGTATATAAGGCGGACCAGTAATCAGTCTCATCGCGCAATCGCGGCTATTTACCGACAGACCGAACCAAGATAGAGATCTGATTCTCTCTACCAACCTTGGTAGGTGCGTAGGTACCTAGTCAGGTATTGTGACGAGTTACAAATGCGGACGTGTGGCACAGTTGAACGGGATAAGGAAATTTATGTCGCGAGATCTACCTGTTTTTATATAAATGTGTTTACAGCGAGGAACGAATAGCCTAAGGAGCCCCGTTAAAGCCTACTGAAATTACAGCGAGGGTTAATGCTTATCTCTCGATAACTACAGCGGTCGACCCGAGCAGGCTCCGGGGTTAAGAATCACTGTAAATAAAGCGCCATATTTCAGCGAGCAATCCAGCATCTGTCGATGATTTTACAGCGCAACCACCCGCTATAATTTATAGGGGGGGAGGGGGGTTCAACCACTGGAGCTACTCACTAAAGCTCACTAAACCATAGCACTCAATGCCTTGTATTTATTTTAATATTATCACTTATTATCTTTTTCTCTTTTTTTCTCTTCTTTCTTTTCTTTCTTTTCTTCCTTTTTCTCTCCTTTGTAAAGTTATGAAGGTTTAATTGGTTATAATTGAAAATAAATTTCTACTATTTCTTAGTACCTAGCAGGTCGAGCATGTCTCATAGGTACGGTATTTTCGACGTGCCTAATTTATCTCTAGGTACAGTACTATAGCGCTGGTTTTACTGGGAGAATTGGCGTGTTAGGGATCAATTGATGTCATGGGCGGGTCCTAATTTGGCCCGTCTTAGCCGTATATCCCCTATAAAAAAACATTCCCCGCAGTCCCAGCACTTCCATAATAATCTTGAAGCCACAATGGAGGAGGTCTTGAAGTTATACAAAGCAAAGGCCACTGCTGCTGCTGCAATCAAGCAGACGGATACACCATCGACGACCCCGGCAAAGAGAAAAGCGGATGCACCTCCCGCTGATGCCGTCGCTAACTATGGCAACAAGGAAGATCAAAAGGCAGCCGATGCTGACATCGCTGCCGGCAAGGAACCTGAGGATAACCAACCGCAAAAACGTAGACGAGGGCGTCCTCCGAAAAGTCGTGGAGAACAGTACGGCAAGCACGCATAGATGTCTCCTTTCTTTTCTTTTATGAAAGGGGAAATGTGATGAGCTGGCGTCCGGTGGCGCCCGGTTATTATGTATCTCTCTACTCTTCATAGCTTAGCTCTCTCTCTCTTAATTCATCATCATTCAACTCTTACTTGACCGTCATATTGCTCTGTTCCTAGCACATAAATTCCAGTGGCTACCTATCACGAATAGAGACGCAAGCTGCGGGTTAAAAAACACAAACCCGACTAGCGAAAATGATCAATATATGTAGAAGTCGTAGGAATAATATTGCTTTCTAAATCCCAGCATGATACCGTCATCCTAAAGAGAGTTTATTTTCATAGGCTTCACCGTAGCCCACCACCATGAGTATAGCGGCATTAATCGTGTCTCGTCCTGGATGCGACGATTGAAGATCTCACCATCTCGTTTGGCCCACATCCGCCGCACCGCCTCCCATGTAAACTCATTTCCGTCGATCCCAACTTCCGAGAGAGAGGCATGTTGTAGCACGCTTTCGACCCAAGCATGGCAAGCTCTCTCGCGCTCCTCCGTTAGCTCGGCTGATTCCTGTCGCAAGCTTGGAATAGCAGCCTCTTCTCTAGCCTGTAGGTCGAACAGAAAGCGCATCGCCACCGCAACCTTTACCCGCACGACGTCGAACCCTTCAGCTAACTTTCCCTCTTCTAAACCTAATGGAAATGTTTTCCCTTCCCTAACTAACCCCTCAAATGAAACGGGCCGGCTAAGATGTACATCATTCCCAGTCCGCACCATCAGCACGCTACACTCAGGCATCAGCCGCTCCAGCCAGTGTTGTGTCCTTCGAATTGCGGAACCGGCTGTATTGGGCACACCTCGGGCAACACGTTCTCATCGGCCACAAGGATCACGGCGCGGAACAAATGGCCCAAAGACAAGCCGTGATCACGCCACGTCTTCGCCGTCCCATCCGGCGGCGGGAAAATTATGGTTAGCAGAATCCTCGCAATACAACCGCACAACATCATTCTCGAGACACGTCTCCGTTGCATCGCAGAGCCGGTGGTGATCAACCAAAAGTTGAGGAATAATCCAGTCCGCGGCTTCGCTCTTCGGTAGGCGCAACGCCTTCGCGAAGAAATGTTGTCGCTGTAGATTGGGTCGCCCGCCGTGCAGCGTATACCATAAACGGTAAATATAGCAGCCTAACCGGCTGTCACTGTAGCCATGACGGTGGCCAACGGATTCGGGATTGGGACCGCCGCCCACGAAATACACAGCAGTCTGCTTGTTGGCGTAGTCGAAAATATCGGGGGACCAACATATGGGGACATTGAATTGATACTGGGGCGCTGGCGCCATTAGCAGACTACGCGCCCAGCCCGATAGGAACGTTTGGCGGTAACGTAGCCTACCGCATACTTCCTCGTGGAATCGGTCTTCGAGATGGCCCCGGACTAATTCCAGCTCTTCGGGGGTTAGGAGGGTGGATGCGACGCAGGTAACATATTTCTGGTTCCAGTCTATGTGGTCCGTGTACCTCGGGCCTGAATACGAGTCTTTAGGCACCGTATAAGGTGAGAACGTGGAGTCTATGTCGATTAGTATGTCCTCCGGCCCAGATGGGCTTGGCACCCTAGGTGGGTTTAACAGCTCGATATGATACATAACGCTTTAGTGATGCGGTGGTAGCGATGAAATACGCGAGCTATTGTGTTGACCAGAGGAAAAGGAATGCAATTATTACAACACAATAACCCCCCGAAAATTCCAGCAAAGAAGACCGGAGCAGATAAAATATAGGCTCAATTTTGCATCGACCTACGCAATTACGGCTGCGAAAGTTTATGATATACTAATGAATCCTGAATTTCGTCGTCCTAGCGCGTCGCCCCAAGCGTAAGGTGTGGTGTAAATTATGGGTGAGTCATTGCTCTAGATCAGTAGAAAGCGAAGGGGTTATGCTTTACTAGAAAACAATATACCATCGCAAGCATACTCTTATACTCTCTAGTCCATCAGTTCCAAATTAGAGGACGACGGCATACGATTTCGTAACAACAATATAACCGTGACTATGTAAGCATCAGGGGATGTTGTCATAGTTATAATATACAATCGCCATACAATGAAATATTTCACTATGACTCATCCCATAAAACCTGGCCAGAGCCTCTTAATCAAAAGCTCGAAAGATATTTATGGAACCAGGTACATTCTAACCATGGAATCAACGGCATTCATTCGGATTTATACTTGTTGAGTAACCCCACGTGGAAGATAAGTCACAATATACAGATATATACTCCTTTTAGATAAATACAGTAGTTACGATAAGTTTATAATATGCTATTAAAAGCTTGATATGTAACAAACAGATATCAGCAGTCTTCAACAATAGGAGTCGCCGAAGGTGTTCACTCGATTACTAAACTTAGAGCATCCTGTTGTCAATATAGCAGATGGTATACTTTATGTGATGAAACCTAGGTATTCTTAGCCTAAGCATCAGTTACTATTATTATGTAGAAAGTTCAGCTTCGCTTTCAGACGATTCATAACATATCCAACTGTACATCGTATAAGATTAATCGACAACACGGTATAATATTCTAGCTAGCTACTTCAGGCTCCATCTTCTAAGGTATTGAAATTATACAAACGAATTACATATTAATTGAGACAAGTTGGCTATGCTAGGTTAGTCAGCCCTAACAGCATATCTTATAACGTAATATTTGGTTGTGAACCGTTGTTACCCTTTCCGTAAGACAGAGAGTCACACAAGTTAGGTTCTTATGAATGTCTTATGAGTGATACAGGAAATAATAATAGCAAGATCTTCAGGGACGCAATCGTACAAGACTGACGATGGAACCTCCACCTGTGGTGGCTAGGTATGACAGCCCCTTAGTGCTGAGTATGAAAAGGGCGACATACTGGTAAATAGTAACTAAAAAGAAAAATCGTCAAAGCATCGAGTAGACTGTAAAGGCAAGCGGTAGCGAGTCTTTTCTTTCCTGTGTAGGTAGACTTCATTTCACTATTACGTCTCTTGTGTTACCCTATTATAATATATGGAGACATCATCTCTTACTGCTGAGTGGCTGGATAACTAGTAAATGTATGAGGTCAAGTCAAATCCTTTGGCTCTCTAAGTCAGATTACTTAGATATTTTGATAGACATGAACTACTAGTTAATCTATCTTACGATAATTACGGCGTATTGTCCGACGGATACCGTTCGAAGCGAGGTTACACCAGCAAGAGTTAGCGAGGCATCAGTAGCTGCATATCTTTCTTGCGAATGAAGCAATGGTCTTCTCAGGAACCATGATCCTCGATATGGATTATTGGTAGACGCTTTGGATATATAAGGATAGCAGTCCATCCCCTTTAGAGTCCTGAACTCAAACCATCAAGTCACATCCACAAGAAAAACCACAACTTATTCAAACACACATTCATAACCAATCAAGCCAACTAAACCTCTATCTTTCTCTACAAGCCAACAAACCCCCCAGCATCAAAATGAAGACCAACTGCGCCATCCTCCTCCTCGCCGCTCAAATCCTCAACATATCTGCGTCCCCCTCCCCAGCAGTCCTAAACGAAGACTGCGGGCCCTCAGGCCTAATGAACACAACCAATGTCCCCGAAGGCGTGGACCCAAGCGCCGTGCGCAAGTGCAGCGAGCATCCCCTCGGCCGCGTCGACCTCACGGGGCGTAGCGTAGGCCTCGTGGAGCGAACCTGCGTGCATGGTAACCCTGGAGGTTGCGATAACGGTTACTGCTGGAAGTCGTGTGGTGATGGTCCTTGGTGCTGGACTGCGCGTAATGGCGGGTTTGGTGATTGGTATACTTGCAGCAAGGATTCGGATTGCCTGACTTCTTACGATTGCGGGCAGAAGTCGGGTGGAAACTGCGACAAGTGTGGTTGCAGCTGCTAGATTAGGGGATGGAAATAGGGCCTGAATTTCTTCCTTAGGAGGGGTGAGACCATTATGGAATGTGTTCAGGTTGTATGTTATATTGTACCAATATTCATCTTTTTTTTCTGTACACGGTTTATTAGATTAGGATTGGGGGGGCAGTATTCACGGAGCATTCACTCATTAATAAACCACTTCGACCATAAAAACCAAATAATTTTTTATTTACGTACTAATTTGAGCCCATCGTATAAGAGATCGAAAAAGGGCCAGGAGTAGCCAGGTATATTTACAGACAATGTACATCGACTGCCTGGGTCCGATTTTCGTTCCCCGAACCGGCGTGGGGTGGCGTAAAAGATACCCGGAATCGTTCCGACGAGCGTTTTCAGGCTTTTTCATCCCCTGGAACCCGCTCCATGTTTTCCTTATCAACGAGGAACAGCTGGACTTGAGTGACATGCTTTCGGAATTTGCGGGGTGCGACTTTATCCTGGAACATCTCATCAATCTCAGCGGGTGTTCGACGGGTGATCTCTGGAAGGACGAAGAATCCGACAACACACGAGATGGCACCGGCGGCTCCGAAGCTAGTGAATGGGGTCAGAAATGTACGATGTCTTACGAGTAGACAGAAATGTTTACTTACAAGTATCCTGTTTGCACACTCCAAACTTTGAGCATAAGTGGGACCGTGTAGTTGAAAATGAGGCCAAGACAGTAGGATCCCATAAGCGCGATCGAAGCCGTTCTTGATCGAAGTTGTTGGCTAGGGATATCGACAACGTAAGAGTATGCGACTCCAGCACCGCCAATGACCCCAAAATTCGATACACATGCGAAGAATACCTATAAAGCTTAGCATGGTTCAGTGTGACTGCAAGCGGGGGTTTACGTACCAGAACGCTACCCAACTTTTCGCTCTGGTAGTCGAAAGAGCCTAGGATACCAATGCCGAGAATTGCCACAGTTCCGGCTCCAAATAGACCTAGAGTAAGCCATCGACGACCGAATTTATCTGAAATGAGAGAGCTTGAGAGGACTCCAACGAGTTGACAGACGGCGAGAATAATTGTAACAGTGAATGGGGCAGCGTTTCCCGCCAATTGGACTAGATTCTATTAGCGACAACATACGGCATCCGACTATAAGTCAACTCACAAAAGTACGTGGCATAATTGTTGGTAACAGACTGTCCAGCGAGTTGCTGCATTGCTTTCGGCCAGAATGCGATGAAGAGTCGCCAAGCATTGACGCCTTTGAAGATTTGGGCTATTTGATTCTTGGTTTCCGTCGTGATGAATCGCTCGTGTTCGACTGTGGCGACAATAATTGACTGGATTCAGTTAGCTAGAGCCTAGAAATGGAATAGAGTCCTTTATAACTCACCAATTCACTTTTCACATCATAATCGGGTATATCCTTATGTGTGGAGGCCAACACTTTCTCTGCGTTATCATACCTACTCCTCTGGACGAGCCACCCTGATTTCGTGTTAGCCCTGACTAAGACGTAATATTGGTTCTTGAAAACTCACAAGGACTCTCCGGGATATAAATGTTGATGAGTAGCAAGGCGGCCAGCATACCCCACTGCGTGTAGATGGTAATCTTGAAGTCATATGGATCGGTGATAGCCAATTGTCGTAGAGCGAGAGGTGCGAATATCTGTGCGCCGACATACCAACTGTAACCTGTCAGGAGAAGGAACGTGGAAGCCTCTATTCAATTCACTCACAACATGTATGAAGCAGTTAGAAAACCTCTAATTTGAGTGGGCGACTGCTCAGAAATGTAAAGAGGATAAGTCGCTTGCATCATGCCCAGGCCTGCTCCTCCGATGAGTTTAGCGAAGAGCCAGTAAAGCCAGTTAGATGCCGCCGACTCCAGTGCTACCGCCTATTAAGACTTAGTAAATAATTGGTTCATGTGAATAAAGGATGCGCAGCTTACAATACAGAGTGTTAGCCAAGTTATGTGCATGGCTACCTTACGACCTAGTCTGTCGGTTGCTAACTGAAGAAAACCCACTCCGACGAGTTGACCTGTCGACAGCATGCCTCCCCAAACAGCCACATGACTAGGGTTGAGAGCAGTAGCACCACCAGACATTTGACGAATGAAGCCCTTGTTCGACACAATGGAACTTGCAATCGCAACCTCTTTATTTTAAATCTAAAGTTAGCGAAAGCTGACAATATTGGCAGAATATGAACGTACGGTAACCCTCTAGCGCACCACCAAACGCACACAGCATACAGATCAATGAGATACGCCAGTAAATGCGTATGGCTTTCCACGTTGGTAAATCATCCAACGACGATCTCATCTGTACTGCAGCGCCAGAGGCGAACGCCTTGTCGATAGCCTTCGAAAGGTCGGCATTGTTGAGATCTTCGACTTGGTCGATGTGGCCCGTCATATTGGCAGATTGGTCGGCGGCCTTCATTGTGAAGCGATCCTGCGAATAGGTGATTACTATTATCCGTCACAAACCAGAAGCAGGAACACCACGAAAAATCTGAGGCTGGTAAAAAGGTTGCCTCTACTATTAAGGCCTATCCATTATAAATACCTTGATATATACCCAACTTGCAGTACCTCCAAGCATCCTGGGGTCGGATCGCTGATTTCCTAGCGTTCGGCAAACTGCGATGTTACCAGTGGATTCAACATATACATTTGCCCGTTGACGCGTTAGACTACACTCCATGGGATAGAAATCGGACCCAACTTACAGGGCCAGCCTTGAGCTCATCCGGGGATATACATCCCCATGGGTTAGTCTTCCGGGTCTAGTGACATACCCCAGGGGGAAGTTAATCATACTCTGCTCCACTTGAAGGCCCCCATATTCGTCCAATTCAACTTGACTCTCTAGTAACTAACTGGGTTCCTGGTTACCTGGCACGTGGGATTAGTATAAAATCTCCCATCTATGACGCGGATCTTTCCATACCTGGGACTTCTCAGAGTCTACAAGTTAAACTGACCAAGCCATAACGCTCTATGCCAAGCCCGCTCAACCAGGGATTAAGGAATGGCGTCTCTACCCGCCCTAGAGAAACCGTTGAAAGACTTCGGGATAGCAGTCCCGATACTATTAACTAAAATTTTATTCCATCGACCTCTTCTATAGCTTGCTGCCATTTCATTGGCGGGAAAGCGGCCGTCGTAGCTCAGTAGTAGGATTTCCGAAAATTTGGGAGCTATCGTTAGCGGCCTGAGAGGGGACAATGGGGACAATATGAGGGGAAACCTGGTAGAATTGACCCGAAGCGTGGGGTCCCTTTTATAATTACAGCACACTAATTGCGCTACGCATAGCAGGGTATAGGCCTTAGGTAATGGGCTGCGCAGGGCATAGGTCTACTATCAGCGTACTTAGAATCACTAACTCAACCGATATCCCCCGAGGCGGATTCATGTCTCCGTCACAGACTGATGTGAGGCTTCCCCAAAGTTTCGTATTCTGTGTGGAATTTCATTTTCCAAACGAATTAAAAGTTTTTTATAAAGAGGCTCTTGAAATCCCAAGTAACTTAATCATCTAGGTATTCGAATAATTCGCGATATCGCGAGCTATCAAGATGAGAATGTCGGTACTGCGATGATTTTGTTAAGTCCCTCCTGGTGCTCACGAATTTCAGGGGCATTTCGCTAGTTAATGACTAGCTTCGTAGGCTGGGCTCAGTGTCTGCCCACCACCCCTCCCCCCGCACGGTAATGGGAGCCTGCTTGAGGCTAACGACGCCGTACTACACACCTACAGGGCAGAGATTGGAAAAAGCCGCCTGCGCCCGTTGTCGGAGAAGTGATATAGAGCGGGTTGGGGAAAAGTAAGGGACACATAAGGGACTAGAAATCTCCTACCTACTTGTCCAACCTAAGTAAGGCTGCACGAGCGAATAAATCAGATCGAACGATCAACGAGGAACTATTGGGAAACTATACCTCATCATACCGCAAAATGGCACCGACACGTATTATCCTCGATACCGACCTGTCTATGGGCGCCGGAGCGGATGTCGACGACGGCTTCGCTCTCGCCTTGGCACACGCGGACCCAGACATTCAGCTGGAATTAATCACTACGGTGAATGGCAACACGGATGTTGAGAGTGCTACAATCTTAACGGGTGTCCTGCTCAACCGACTCGGTATCAAGGACACACCCCTCGTCAAAGGATCAGCTACGCCCATCATCCACCCAGACCAAACACACAAAATCGCAGACCATGTCCTCGCCCTAAAAGACAGCGCGCGGCCTCCAAATCCGGGCTACGCCCCCGTAGCCATCGCCGAGCACATCCTCGCCAACCCCGGCCAAATAACCGTCGTCGCCATCGGCCCTCTAACCAACATCGCCCTCGCGCTGCTCCTCGAGCCCCGCATCAAGTCTGCAATCAAAGAACTCGTAATCATGGGCGGCATATTCTTCGGAACCATGTACTCACGCGCCAAACCCGGGGAATTCAACGTATTCTCCGACCCCGAAGCCGCGCGCACCGTCCTGCGATCCGGAATACCGCAGCGATGGGTCGGATTAGATTGTACTTATAAAGTCCGATTGACCATGGACGACGCCAAGGCGCTCCAGAAATCTTCTTCGGGTTTCGCGGTTTTCGCTGGGGATGCTACGATTAAGTATATAAACTACCAGGTAGACCGATTCCCGGGTAGGCCTAAGACGGATTCGATACCTATGCACGACCCCTTAGCTGTAGCTGTTGTGTCGAAGCCTGGTATCTGCGAATATAGGGATATGGCTGTGTCAGTTATCACGGGGGATGGTGAGGCGCGGGGTGTTTTGATTGCGGATCGATTGGAGACTAAATCGCCCCCGATTCCTAATTGCAAAGTCGCTGTCGATGTCAATGCGGAGGCGTTCCGAAGTCATTTCTTGACGTTGATACAGAAGTTGTAACCTTTCTCTTCGGGCAACCTTCTTTTTATTTTCATTTCTTTAATAGATAAGGATGGACAATGTTAGAGACAAAAGTTGGGTTTTATGGGTCGATTTATGAAATCTATTACATCTGTTGAAACGAGGCGCATCTAATACGCCGTTGAGAATTCTATATCATTTTAATTTGCCCCCGAGGCCTGTTCTTTTCCCTCCTTATCGGCTTCGTTTCCTGCGGTTTTCTTATCTTCTGTCGTGGTCTGTTTCTGCCACATCGCGTAGTATCTACCCTGAGCTTCCAGGAGCTCGGCGTGGGTACCTCTCTCGACGATCTTTCCGCGGTGGAGCACCAGGATCTGGTCTGAAGTCGTAATGGTAGAAAGACGGTGCCTGTGGATCAATCAAAATTAGCGACTGTACAATAAAAGCGGTTGCTTCTAAGCTTACGCTATGGTAACGGTTGTGCGACCGGCTGTTACCCGTTCAAGAGCTTCTTGGATTTGTTTCTCGGTGTGGGAATCGAGGGACGCCGTGGCCTCATCTAGAAGTAGGATGCGGGAATCTTTTAGAAGTGCGCGTGCGATAGAAATCTACAATGTAGTGATTAGTATATGATGTACAGCAGTATCAGCGGGTTGGTATTGTTCTTACTCGTTGACGTTCGCCTCCAGATAATTTGAGGCCTCTTTCGCCAACTTTTGTTTCGTAACCATCGGGGAAAGCCAAGATACGTTCGTGGATATTGGCTGCTCTAGCCGCAGCAAAAACATCGGCTTCGGTCGCATTGCGGTTTGCGTATTGAAGATTGTACATGATGGATGCATTGAATAATACCGTGTCCTGGGGGACGACACCGATGTGTTTCCGGACGCTATCGAGTTTCAAGTCACGAATATCCTGGCCATCAACCATGATAGCACCACTACCAACATCATAAAAACGGTACAGCAGCTTCAAGCAAGTTGACTTCCCGCTCCCGGATTCTCCGACGAGAGCAGTCTTGGTTCCAGGCGCGACAGTAAAGCTTACTTCATCTAACGCTGCCTCTTTTCCTTGGTAGGAAAACTTTACATCGCGGAACTCAATCTCACCCTCGCATGAGTCGAGGTTAGATGCATCGGGCTTTTCGACAACACCGGAGGTTTCTTTGAACTGGAGGCGCATTAGCTTAGGCGGCAATCGCCAAGGATATTACTTACCAAATCGAGCATACGTTCCGCCTCAATAAGATTATTCTGAAGCATCGTGTAGTAACTGGCAGTTTAGAAGGTCAATCATTGATCCCAATAGCTGAGAACATTCAGTGCGGGGTTTTGCTTACGTTCCGAAGAAACCCAGCGGGGCTTGAAGCTGCGCGAAATATGTGATCAGTGTGACGAAATCAGAGACTCGCTGTTGGCCATGAGATATTTTGTATGCGGAAATAGCCACTATCAAAGCCGTCCCTAAGGTGAAAACAGAGCTCTGGGTCACGTTGAGGAGATTCAATGATAGTTGGACAAGACGCTCGGCTCGCTGATATACAGTAACCTGGCTCCTAAAGTTGTCCGTTTCAGCTTTTACAGCACAGTTATGTTGCACAGTCTCGTATGCCATGATGGCATCCGTCCTATATTATATCAGCAGATCTTTTCAGAATAAGAGGACGCCGTGGACGTACCTGGTAGCATCGATCTCACGGGCTTTGGTTGCCATATCCCGTTTTTGAGTGCTTCTATACTTGGCCATATAAATGGTCAAGAAGATGTAAGACCACATAATTATGAATACGGTGAGAGTGTAGAACGCATCATACTGGAAAAAGAAATACACGCCCGCCACGAAGATGTCGAACAACATTGGGAATACCTGAAATAGGAAGTTTTCCAAGAATGTGTTCATCGCAGCACCGCGGCCAAGAGCGCTCGTCACCTCACCGATACGTTTGCTTAGATGAAAGTCCATAGAAAGGCCGAGGACATGCTCGAAAGCAGCACATGATAGTCGTCGGAATAAGCCTTGCGATACGGGTATCCACAAAACTGATCGAGCGGCGCCGATGAGACCTTGGTTACCTTGAAGACCCCGGAAGACGATGTAAAGTACAATTTCCCTATAAGGTATTTTGCCATAGCCAAGGGCATCGACAAGCCTGCCGAGGAGAACCGGGACAGCAACTTGGACCAATCCTTATCCCAAAAGTTAGTATGGCCCGCGAATGTGTGGAGGGGTGGGTCTCGTCCGGCATAACTCACTTTGGCAGACTAAAAGTAGAACACATACGATGACCGTAGCTTGATGGAGTGGAGAATCGGACGGCCTAAAGAAGGTTAAAACAAGGAATACTTGAATATCGTCCTAAGAAAACCATATATCACTTACCATAAGTACGGAAACAGGACTTTGAATCCTACAAAGTAATCGAACCAGCTGGTAGTCTGGCCAGACCTTTTCTTGGCCGTGCGGGCCGCAGAATTGCCATTGACCCCACCATAACCGTTCGTGGGTCCCTCTCCACTCTCAAGTAGGGACCGACCTTCAGCTGCAGAGCCTCTTTCGGGTCGTAGTAAGTACTGCCGCCGAATTAACACGATTACCATAAGCGCAAGCACCGCCACCCTGGCCATGCCCAAGCTAAACAGTGAGTTGATCACGGGATACGGGAGCGATATCAGCTCATGTTCGGAAAGGAAGACGGCGTTGATGACAAAGTCGAACAATATGCCAATGACCCAGGCGTAGCTATGAGACACAGTGGGTGACCATGGACCGTCTGGGTCGGGCAGTAGGCCAGCCAGAAAAAAGAGTAACACTCCTATGTAAGATGCCTAACCAGCGGATTAGCTCAAGGGCCAGTGTCTGGGTGTTCAAGGTATAATCAACGGACCAGGTAAGCACTATATGGGAAAGCCGCCTTATTCTCATCGGCTTCATCCGGACTAGATAAGGCATCGCGAAGCACTAATATCACACTAGCAAGCTATTGGAAGAAGTTAGCGGGGTTGAAGTATTCCACGATTGTAACAGTAGAAGCACTGACCAACAGAGGAGTTAAGAGGAGTTGCAAGCACCATAATATTCTGGCATAGAATCGGTTGATCTTTTCCGCGCCGGCGACATCGGTGGCGGGGGCTTTGGGGACATTTCGGTATCTATACGCGATGGCTTGGCCAGAATATAGCGCGACGAACAATCCAACTGGGTAGAGGTAGAAAACTACTTCTAACCCAAGCTGGAGATTCGCCATCGTTACCGTGACGGATGAAGCAAAATTCCAATGGCTAGACGCGCGACATCTATTCAATGGGATAAAGAACTCATAAAAATGCCTCAAATAAAGCCCAATTGGGGACTAGATATTAAGATGATATCAATTGACCTATTATCATTTGTAGGTAAGTAAAAAAGAGGTGAGATTATTGGGATTGAGCCTCCTCGTTGTTATCTGACGAGTCGAGTTCCATCGGGATTTCCTGCAGAGGTGGCTGGTAAGGCTTGCATTTGTGGCTTAAGCTACCCGGATTTCGGAATTTTCTTTCCTCCTTAGGTAATTGTGGCTGGTGTTATCTTTATCCCCCCGCGGTCGCACGCGTGAGCATCTTCCTCTTTTATTCTTCTTCAATGTCCAATCCCAATGCAACATGCCAAACTTAACATTACCAGAAAACTGTCCAATCTTAAATAATATGTCATATATTTTATATTGAATTATTCATTATCTCCTCTGGCCAATCCAGCCATTTGTGCCACTTTTCATCCAAGTGCATACGGACACTTTGAATCAGCAATTGACCTGCCTCTCCAATAACCCATATATCTCGACAGAGATGTAGTGGTATAGCATAATAAGCGAGCACAAGAAGAGCTTCCGGTACTCTCTCGGATATGAGCCGAAGGAAATCAGCATCAATCATCACCGGCCACGACATCATCGATACGAACATAGTTGATCGAGAAGGGTCTTGTTTCTTTCCGCCATCGGTTCGCTTTAGAAACCATTGGATCCTTTCCAGTCCACATTTACATACCGTTTTCTCGTCATCTTTCAGTGTCGTTGAGCCCAAGATGAAGTTTTTGAGTTCATCAGTGTGGATTCCCGAGTCCACGTAATCAAGCAATTTCGTGGCTTCGCGTAGCACATAACCCATGTCCGAATCAAGCATCATATGCCACGCCTCCGCGGTAACGGCCCGTACCCCGCGATGCAGCTGCATGGAATGGATTAACCGATCTAGAAAACCGTATATATCCTTGGACTCAGTAGTTTCGAAGATGGTATGCAAGGTCATAAACCAGGTAAATATCAGTATGGCCATGCAGTTTTCGCCAGTGACTTTGGTCATTTCACGATTGAAGATGCCCAGCGCATGAGTCTGTAAACCGACTGCGTGGTGTTTATAAAATTGGGCCTTTTCGGGCTTAATATGGGAAAGATGAAGCGCAGCGAAAGCTAGCACCTCATTCATAAGAAATGGGTAAGACATTGCTGTTTCGATGGCCACGCTGGGAGGTGCCATTCTTACGCTCTCCTCCGGCGCAGGAGGGAGATCGAAATCCCCTTTGATGACAGCATGGCGAAAAAGTTCAAGTTGTGTCATATTGGCTTCCTGGATTGTGCAGCTCGGGCTGGTTTCGGAAGATTGCTGTGATGCGGGCGATGCATCTGATTGAACTGCATCTCTCCCTATTGGAAGTTTCGGTTGCGATAATAAAAACGAACAGTTCCTCCAACTAATCGAGCAATTCCTACAGGCCGGCCGAGTCTCATCACACTAAAATATCAAATCGTTAGTAACGCGCTCTTATTTCGTACTCAACCTCATTTATTACCTTGATATGGCGACTTTTACATTCAGAACAGCCTGCACGAGATTTTCGGTGAGTTCGACGCGGCGGCATCCCGGATTCCTCTCGTCTACCCTTCCGTCAGGAAATTATCGTAACAAATCAATCACCCATTATTATTGTGACTGCAGGCAGCAATATAAGGAAATTTTATGGGATGGAAAAAATTGTGGCGGAGCAAGTTATCGCTTCATTAGACTCGCCGAGTCAGGGGTAACGGATCACGGAAACAAGCCCCACTTTGACACTGCCCTCCAGCTATGAGTTAAGTATATACTACCCCGGATATAGGTAAGTTATAATAGGTAATAACTCTGCTCTATACAAGGTCCTATCTAATTCTAAGTATTAGTTATACACAGTCCAAGTACATATTAGATGACCAGTTATTCCAATACGCCAAAATCTATCCAACATAAGACCCTTCTAGTTTGACAACAATAACCATATCGCTCGAAAAAGCAGGCTCAACTCAAACAAATCTAATATGTGCCACCGAACACACAACGAAGACTTGTTCACTTATAATTCGAATAATTCGAACCACCAAATTCTCCACCCGAGCTCTGGCCTCTCTCGGCAAGGTTAACTTCTGTTCCGTTCGCATTCAACAAATGAGCTTGTTGGCCAGGCTTGACGTTATCTGGGTACCACACGAAAAATAGCACCATGACAGTCAACATCAGAACTGAGTCGAAAACATAAACGGTCCATTCGTTCTTAAGGAGATATCCGTCCTGGCCGGCTGCGAATTCGATAACTCGGAAGATACTTCGGACCATGATAAGCGCGCTCACTCCGTATAACATGAGCATGGTAGCTCTCCACCCCGTGCCGTCGTAGACCGCAGCATCCATTTTATTCTTCTGGTATCGGGTTTGGAAGATCACAGCCGTGATGATGAAGAGGCCGAACATGACGATCTGGATGATTAGACCTCCGACAATGATTTTCTCGCCAGAGTCTACATTCCCGCCTTGCGACATGATTCCAGCACCTCCACCTTGCACGCAGAAGGATATTACATCGCCCAACACGAATATCTTAGTCAAGATGTTGACGCGGACGAATGAGTAGGCTTCTCCATTTACGACTCGAATGACGCGGCCCAATACCATGTAAATCGAAGCGGCGAATAGGACCGGTGGTAGGAGGATCAGGATGTTTTGGATGATATACGGCGTGAGTTCGCCTGTTCGGTCGTGTGCTGCTGCGCGGGCGCAATATCCTATTACCTCCACTTTAAGATTGTTAGCAAAACCGCACTCGGCTCGAGATCAACGATTCTAGGAACTCACTTATGCCTCCGATAACGAATGGTAAGCAGAACCATGATCGAGTTGTGAACAATCGGTAGGCGTGGGCTACAGTAAGGATCGCGAATAGGATGACGAAGATGATGGCTGCTGGTATCGAGGGGAGATATTGCCATAGGTAGTAATTACCTACGTACGGTTCGAGTTGGGCCATGGCGGGCGTACAAATGGAGATCCTCTCAATGACGCTTTCTCGGAATTAAGGAATAGAGAAAATCAATCGCTGTCGCTATGATATGAAGAGGGGAGAATAAGGAGCGCTCATCCCTCTCATGGTGAACAGCAAGGCGTCTAAGGTATTTATGATCATTTTTTCTAGTTTATCTTGATATGGAGAATCTAACATGTACGCGTATCTAGGCAGTAACATTTGGCGGACTAGTAATTCGATTCAAGAGAACCTGAATCGTGCTTTGATACTAAGCCTCTGCATCTATGAGTTACACCAAGGGCTAGATCTACCTCGATACGCATACAGACCGGTCATCTCGTATTCAAGTGCGAGCCAATAAAGAGGCGTTCTTTACGCGGAATCCCAAGGTGGATTAGTGTGGGTTTTGTGAGCCAATAAAACTACGCTTTTTACGCGGATATCTTTTCAGTGGGTCAAAAGCTCTACGGGGTACGAGGGTATGCGAGCAAATGTCCGAATGTTAATCTAAAGGAGATCGGCGCAGCTAATACACCACTGTAATCGATCTTCATTTTGCGTCAACGCCCGATCTATGATACGACTCGTGTCGGGGTCGCGAGCGATGCATCGCACTACACACCCAGCCCCCACCGTTACCAAGATAGTGCTGGCGATGGCCTTGTTCAAAGGCATTCTAAAGCTCGATGTCATGCCAACACGGGCCCCAATCTACTTGGAAACTAATAATCTTTGGCGGCGGGTAATCCCACGAGTATTACGGACGTGAATATCCGCGTATTGGTCTTTCCAACTCCAACCCACCCGTTATAAGCCTGGCTAGTTAGATCAGGGCGGCCGAACAATTGGGCAATGCCGATGCGGCTCCAAGCCGGCCGATGGTTGCAATTTCAACCCTATGATTAAAGACAGCATCAGCGAAATCGAAACTCCAACACAATCGTAATCGCAGTCAGTCAGGGACGACGAGGCGCTTTCGTCTATATCACGATTCGCGGTCAATTCCATGCGTTTTTGGCTTATTATATGCCAGAGGTTAAATATACGCATCAATTGCGCTCCTAGCAGAGGAAATATTCTCAGCAAATGCGACGCCTATGGGATGTCTTGCAGTTCTTTAGATCCCCAGATGTCAGCTACCGAGCACTATAGGCTATCTTGCTCCGGGTACCTGGATAGGCATGGAAATAGGGCTACTGCAGCTAACTTTATTCTAGCATCCAATCAGATTTGACCAGACTTCCATTAGCGGTCTCATCGAACGTGGTGTAGCATGCCTACCCCCTTCGAGTTACAGCAGGTATATTCACCAGTAAGATTCTCACAGCTTCAGCATTTCAATCCGCCCGAGTCTCTAACAATTATTTGTTAAGGTCTTCATTACACCAATTCGTGATTAGAAGGATAAAAATTGCAGACTCGCCTTCCCTTAGCCTCCAGCATTCACCCAGACATTTAAAGACATCTAATGAGGCACGGTTAGCCCATAATCATGGCTTCGATGATACCCTCAGCATCCTCCTCCACAGGAGGCCAAATATTTAAAATCGCAAACCCAGCCTTCTCAAGTAATTCTCGCCACTGGCTGTCAGTCCTTTCCATTCCTGCGGTAATGGTCATCATTACCACGTCAGAACGAGAGTGATCAGCTGGCGCGCCTTGCTCTGGTACGATCCTCTCATAGAGTAACAACTTCGAATAGCCAGGTTTCATAGCGGTCTTGACTCGATGCAGGATTTTCAAACATGGCTCATCAGACCAATTATGCAAAATATGATGGTAGAAGTAGCACCGTGCCCCTATTCATGATAAGTGTACGACTTCTATAGAAGGCATAGGGTGTCTTACCTTTCACAGGCTGTTCCGTGAAGAAGTCGTAGGCCATACGCTCTATAGATTCGTCAAGGCCCTTTATACCATCTATTACTGGAGGAAGGTCCTGGAGGATGAGGCGCCCTTGCTTATGTGGGAATCGTTGATAGAACTCTAGTAAGTCATGACCGTTTCCACCGGCAACATCCACGAGGAGTACTGACTGCTTATCAACGTCCACTCCCTTGAGTAGGTATTCCTTAACTGGGAACCAGTCAAGCCATCTACTTCGAACCCTCATTCTATTCTCCATGAACACGTTAAAATCCTTCACGGCATTCGGCATAGAGCTCATCAACTGGTACGTGTTCAGTTTCGTTTGGAATGCATATTGCACAGGGCCGTCGTGAGGGTCCACGGGGCAGCGGTAGCCATTTTCCCGCATATACTTCGGCGCCTGCTGTGCTCCCTCAACTACAACCCCTCCACTAAATGCAAATGAGAGTCGTCAGGATATCCGGATAATATGCCACTATGGTGGAGTTTTCTACTCACATCACTCTGTGCGTTGCGGTGATCCATTCTGTAGCCATGGCCTTCGTGATTGGGTTAGGTTTCCATGCTCTTTCTCCAGTCTCGTCGATAATACCTATGGACGATAAGAACCGCAGAATCCGAACTATTAAATGCGTCAGCCAAATCATTCAGATCGTACCTATAAGGTTTTGGAATAACTAAGATGTTGTACTAATCAATAGTTCCTCCCCACCCGAAAGCGAGGCTAATTCTTTAGAAGTAATACCATCATCGTGGCTTACGACGAGTTTGAAGAGATCAAGATCAACAGCAATTCTGGCCGCCATAGAGCGGAAAGGCTATTAATAATGTTAGGCAAGTTCATAATCTTGAGACTGCATTGGGGCCTTGGGGCCCCATGATAATTACCAAATAAGCCAGACCGAATGCCACATCTTCCGGTCGTTCGAGCGATGCTGCGAGCTTCTGGCTTAGTCGCAGGGCTTCTTTTCTTACGCCCTTGTCATTGCCTGATAGCTTCTCACGAAGATCGTTGAGTTGGGTAATAAGCACGGAAGGATCGTTGGAGTTCATGGTTAAAAGGGGGCGAAAAGGGGGTCGATATGTGAGTACTGGCACCCGACTATGATAACATACCTAAGAAAGCCAGATCAATATTGGTATCTGGATGAATTTATACAGCAGATAGGGCCTATAGGCTCCCTCGACGTAGTACAGCATTGTTATCTACCCCCACCCTTTGACCTGGAATAATGCATACCCACCTGTTACAAATCTCTGGTGAGTGCCTCGTGATAGCTGGTTGCCCTCTTCATGAATGCTTATGTCGTGCTTAGGAAGGCTTCCTGTTGGATCTTCTGAATGTTCAATGCACGCGTCGTCACAATAGGGGTTTGAGAAAATTTCAATGCATTTGCGCCTCGCAATACTATAATCCTATCAGGAGTTATTTCACTCCAGTGGCGTTTATTCCCCGCACGTACACTAGCAAAAGGTAACACCTTCAAGCCTATCGACAGCGCGGATTGTCCTAAGAGTCCACCTTACCAATCCCAAACTTGGCCGTCATACCACACCAGCTTGCCACCATGCTTTTCCTTGGTGGAATCCGCAAGCATCTTCATCACACCATCACAAGATTCATCAAGTCCAAGCGGTGCCTCCTTCAGCCCCAAACCTCGTGCACCCGCATCTCCCAGGTCCGTCTGTACCCAACCAGGGCAGAGAACGAACGCGTTCAGCCAATCATCCTCGGAGTTAATTCGAACAGTTATCCAACTTAACGCCGCCTTAGAAGGTCCATACGCTGCGTTCGGAATGGGGGGTTGTTGACGTCTGTACGACCTCCATTAGCAAAATATCCACATTTTCTAGAAAATCGAACTTCAATCATTTCGCCCCAACTCACCCTACCAACCCAGCCGTAGATCCCATCGGCGTGAATATCGGCTCCTTTTCCGATTTCTTCAACAGTGGTCGCGTCGCCTGGTACAACCTCACAACGCCATATACATTAGGTTCCATATGTCCGCGCATATCCTCGATCTTAGCATCGGCGACCGAAGGCCAGACGTAGGAGACGCCTGCATTGGCGATGACAATATTAAGATGTTCGATGCCATGTTTAGCGCGCAGCTCTTCGACGGCGTCGGCCGCACCACTTTCGGCCACTGCGTCAAGCTTAACCACGATCACGCAGCTTCCCGAGGCGGCGGGTAGGTCCGCAAGATCTTTTGAGGTTTGGTGTTCCGGGTCGCGATTCGCTGCGATGATGATGTGGTCTGGTTGTGCGAGGTACCGCTTTAAGAGCCCCTTACCGAGACCACGGTTCGCGCCGGAGATAAGAACGACAATTGGTGCCATATCGAATACTTCAAAATTAATAAGCGAATCAAATTGTTATTCCATAGCGCATTATGCAAAGATCAGCGACTAAACGGGCGTATTTGTAGGTATTTCGATGAGTGGTGATATTACTCGCAACCCTCCGAGTGGGTCCCGGGAACCGGCCGAACTCGAGTACCAATAAATGGTGCCATAGATCTACGGGAACTACATCTATCCGCGTCTATACAAGTTTAATATTTATAATAACCCGGAATTCCGAATTCCACGGCGTTGAATGGGGTGCTATTCTACAAGTAGATGTGGTTACGTGATGGTCGGCGTCACTTGAAAAGAATATTCTCTCCGGGTGAAGAATCGAGAGGGGGAGTTACTATTACTAAGTGGAATGCTAGCCTGATGTCATTAAGGTACTATGTCTCCTTTTTTTTCGTCGGGATAATTATTGACAATCACGAAAATGAGCAGTTGTGTTAAGGGGGTGGAGTAAGGGTGATGATGTATGAAATACTCAAAATTTGGTGGGCGACGCGTTTATTCTACGACGAGGATGAACGACAATTTTGAAAATAATGAAGGTGCAATTCCCGGGCAATTATCTCTTGATAAAGGGCTGTTGCCTGCAGGCAGGGAGTGGGTGAGACTGCCCAGGTGGTAGGTGCTATATGCGCGTCCTGATACGCGGTTGTTGCTGCGCGACCTTTAGATAGTGACATATATGGATAATTAACTCCTAAACCCCCAAGCCTGATCGGATACTTACTATACTAACGTGGTCGTGGTATAGTGGTTGAAGGTATGACGGATTAGAAAAACTAACGAGGAGGATCTCTGATCGCACCGAGGGTTTTTCGTAGGTCGAGGGTTCGAATCCAGCGGGGCGCGGCAGAAGGCCAGCTGTTCAGGGAGCTGTTCAGGCCAAGCTCGCTGGATTCGATCTCCTCGACTGAGCTTTTTTGCCATTTCGTTATACTTTTTTTTTCTTAGATATTCCTTTGCTTTCTTTTGCCTCCATTCCCATACGAATATTTACACTTCTCTCACCTTCCTGACGCCTTTCTACTTCCAATCCTCTCCCACTTTTTAGAAGCAATGATACTTAACATATTTCAGAGATAATTAGAAATCGTAAATAAAACCTTCCGGCAAATACCCCAAGTCTTTGGGTATTTGCCACTACAAGTGATAAATTTACTCTTAGCCAATGCAACGACCTTTTATTATGTGAGGCCTCAAAGCAAGACCCACGATCATCTAAAATCAAGAAACACACCAAATGCAAATGCTCTAAAAAAAGAAAGAAGAAATAAAATGTCCTTTTTATTGCCGCGTACTTCTTATTCCTGTGACATCTACGCGATGCCTTTAGAATGTAGTCCTAGAAGAATTCGACTTAGACGAGCGCAGATCATTGCATATCACGACAATTCCCCCAATGACAATCATCATGCTATCCATCATACCTGGCCAACTTTGCAATATAGAGCAATGCCTACGTGCAATATCGATAACAGCCACCATCGGATTTATTTTAGCAGCCGAGCTTCAGAACCCAGATTACCTCCGCTTTTGGTGCGTCGCTTGTAATTATCTACGACGCCCATAGTCATGGTGTACCTCGTCCCAAAGTGGCGCCGAGCAGTCACTCATCTAAACAAGAGATTTATTTTATTCATTCCCTAGCCACATCTGCCTATTTCGTAGGTTTTTGTTGCGATTGATCCTTCACTGACTCTTCGCCTAGTACCTTGCTTGCCGCCATAAACCTATCGTCATTAAACTGGTCAGCACCAATCGAAGTACGCCAATATCGAGGATTAGAGAGAACTCACAGCCCACCATGCCAACTTCCAAGTCCACGCATAGCCTCAGCTTGTACACTCGTCATGCGTAGAAGATTCTCCGTGTCAGCTAAGTTAGCTGAGAGTTGGGCCAATTGCGAGTGGAGATGTGTCTATTATTATTATATCCCGTTAGCACAAGACGAGGACGGCCATGAAGTTGATGGTGGGATAAGAGGTATAGCGCACCAATTGCCTCGCTTTGACCGCACCCCCAGAGGTTGAGCCCTGCGGTGCCATAGAAGGTCTTGCCGTAGCTCCCGAGCCCTGCATTGCGATTGTGCGGTCCATGATTCTTGTCACTATCTCCGCCTCTGTATGTGTGATGTATTGCTTATATCCTACGTGTTCGGTGGACGCTGAACTACGATATCGGGGCGGCGCTGGCTTCGAATGGTCAATCGAGATAGGTAGGCAGTGGTTGGGTTAAAATCGTCAAGATATGCAGTCGTCAGATTGGAGTATTGCGTTTTGTCATCGGTAGCTTCTCGTGCTACAATATAGATATGCTCGTGATCTTGTTTACTTCGTATCTCGTTTCGTCACTGATTGAAATTCGTTAGCACGAACAGTTGCCTTGTGCAATAGCATTCAACGAGTATCTGTAACACTCAATGCAGTCAATCATCAACAAAACCACCAATAAAATAAATCGACCCGTCAATACATACCATAAATCAATCGCACCTACTTAAGCAAACACTTTCCAATCCCGAACAACCTTCATAAACCCCCACGTCAAGAAACGCGATCAAGTGAAATTACGCGTAAATTTAAGCTCGACACAGCGCGGGGCAAGGCAAGAGTGGGGGACCAATTTCTATTTTCGGCTACCTAATTAGGCGGGCCTAAGCTCCCCTAACGTTACGCCTTCAGCGGGTCCCTCCCCTTCTACGTAGTAAGGAGCTCCCCGCCGCCTCGAACTGCACGATGCGCATCATACTACAGTAACATTGAGCTTGGCCCACTTGGCGTCATAGTTCATCGGCATACATAGGCTATGTCAAAATATCTAACTTCCATAGTACAGATGTACATAGGCAATTGGCCAAACCTAAAGGGAAGAGTTAGTAAAGCTCGTCATTACAAACATAGTGATAATATATTGAAGCTCTGGAATGATTAATCACCTCCTTTCTGCGTTACACCACTCGAATACGCAGCAAAACGTGACAATTCACACATAAATATCTTCATCGCGATTAAATCCTCATATTTGCATTGCCGCGAATAATCGGTCCCATGTTAATTAAGCCTAGCTCTAAAGAGTCGCCTTAATGGCCTGCTCTAATTCTTGACACGACCACACACACCTTGACCCTACACCTTTGCTTTCTCATGTTCACTGACAACACTCTACGGGCCATCTCCTACAGGCCCAAGCGTTGTATCAGTCTCTACAATATTAGAATCCAGACAGAAAGTGACAAATAAAACAAGAAAGGACGGGTCCTCCGTGTGATGTATGGTCATAATACCAATGATGCTCTCTTCCTCCCAGACTCACGCTGCGCAAAGACCCATCCTTCTATCAGGCAAATGGCTACCTGTGTCTGATGGTTTACGCACTTTAGATCCGCTTCACCGATGTCTTGCCCAATTAAACAGCGTAATTCTGATTCCGAATTGCTAATCGAGCCAACCGATTTACAATACGCAACACACAACTAGCCGTCAATCTGCACCGAGGAAGAAGAGGGGAACTTCGTACATATCCCACGTATATCTTCCCTAACTGGTTGATCATCTCGCCCCTTCGGATGGAATCCTAACAAGCAACCTGGAGTAATCGTCTCAGGGTCGCTATAAAGATTGGAATGGATCGAAGTGAAGTAGATTCGAAGCATGAATACCCGGATCGACATAGTGGACGAAGACTGAGAAGTCATGGGGGAGAGCGGAAAATAGATAAAAAATATATGCGTTCCGAGGAGAGGCAACAGCAGACCCCGCATCCCAATGCAATATTACCGAAAAATGAATAACCACTGCTTCAACCTTCCAAGATGCTTATGTACGTGATTTTCCCCTGCCGAGACGAATAGAATTATGTGTACGTCGTTATGTTGTAATCCAAGCCGATTCCATCTAACCGTATCGAATGCGCCGTGATCCGAATTAAGACGAATTCGACAACCTGATGCTGATTATGTCGCAGCATCCTACCTGCAAAGAGAAAAAGATTCGTCGGGTGAGAAAAACGTGAATTAACCCGACCAAAAAAAAACTATGTGCCACATCAGCGATGCACAAATCCTCCCCTATCTTTAGCTGCGCCCCGTAGCGCTCGAGGCTTCTAGCGGACCCCAATCGGAGGTCGAGGACCGAGACTACTTTGGCTGCTGTGAGCGGAGGGTTCGGAACCTAAGTGCGTTGATTCACCACTCCCCGCGCTAGCGCTCGCACTGCCGGTCAGACTTCTTGCTGTCTTCGCGTTTGGTGGTTGGAGATTGCTCACCCCGACACGTTGTTCTACTTGTTGTGGCGCGACCATGTTGCCTTGGCCGGGAGGATACCTAGGAACCGGCTGGCGTACACCCTCAGGGGGAGACGGGCGTCCATTAGGACCAGGTCCTCCGAAGCCGTTAGGTGGCGAAGGTCGGCCATTTGCACCCCGAACTGAGGGACTATATGGGTTTCCTGGTGACTGGCTGGCACGTCTTGGATACGGTCCACTCATCCCATTAGGACCATTTTGTAGCTCGTGTAGATGTGATGCTGTGAGAGAATTCGCCCTAGATCCTGCCTGCATCTGTCCTCGGTCGACATTACCGTACCGGTTAGACGTAAAGCTCATCAGTGGATCATCGAGAATGTTGTCGTGAAGGCCGGGCGCAGAACCCATGATTTGACTAGAACGATTTCTGCCGAAACCCGGTCGCCATCTGCTGCTACGAGGTGGCACTCCCCCGCCGGGTCCTTCGGGATTCATGCGCAACTCGCTTTGGTTTGCAGGAGCTTTGCTGCGGTTTTTCCTAGATGTGACGCTCATCATGTCAAAATTGTCGGGATCAACCATTGGAGTAATTGGGCCTGCATTTGGATCAAAATAGTCGTCCTCTTCATCCTCGTCGTCGTACATGCCACCTCCACTACGCACCGGAGGAGCGCGCCTTCTGCCGCCAGCTGGCGGTGGTGGACCTCCACGCCGCATACGCATTTCTTGCTCCTTCAACGCTAACTCTCGCTGTCGTAATTGAAGTTCTCTTTCGCGAAGTGCAATACCTGAAGTGTCAGCATTATATCCGCCTTCGCCAGCATCCGCCGAATCTTCATACACAACCAAGTGGCTGAATTCTCCCAGATCGGCTTCTTCGAAGGATCCGCGTCGCGACGGTTGTCGCGATGCATGTCCGTTTGGCCCGCCGTTCATAGGCCTATAACCATTCGGAGGACCGCCATTCATTGGTGGTGGGGGGCGGCGCATATTAGGGGGTGGACCACTAAAGTTAGATGAGTTCCTAGGCCGCGGTCGAGGCATCGGCAGGCCATTTCCATTCGGGTGGCCATTGGCCATTGGACGAGGTGGTGGGCCTGAGGACGACATGCGGGGCATTGGTGATGCCGCTGTTGGCGAACCAGAAACAGTTGGCAGCCCATTAATCTCCTTAGGTCTGGACTGGTTCACTATGTTCAGGTTGTGGAAGATGGCGTAGAGCGTTTCAATCCGAGGTAGCTTAACACCTGAGCTTTGAGCAAGTTTGATTGGCGAACCCAGAAACGTCTCGACTTCCATTGGTCGCCTCGCCACGTAATCCTGCCACATGATGCTCGGACTATCCGAGGGTTCACACTGTTCCTTAATTGTGTTCTCCTTGAACTTAGCATCGAGTGTACACCCTTGTGCGGTAGCAAGTTCGATAAGCTCGTCAATTACATCAGAAATCAGTTGTCTTACGCCGGTTTTTTCTAAGAGAGCTGTGTGAGATGGTGTATCGAAGATAACGCTGGCTGGGTGAAATGCGATAGGACTAAAAGATTAGTATGCGATCAGAATGTTTACTTAATAGAAAACGACCTACCCAATAACCCGTTCAAACTGTTGCTGTTTGATGTTGCTAGAAACTTTGCAGTCAACGCGCCCCGTGCTCAGAGTCATGGCGAGCGCCTGAGCCATATCCTCCTGTATCGCCAATGGAATGCTACTGTTTTTATTCGCTGGACCAACCCAGACCTCAGTTGAACCACTATGCTCAAATTCGCTCGATCCCAATTGAGTCAATTCAGCGTTCGAAACGAGCGACAGGACAACGTTTGTCGGAAACCTCTCCTCAAGAGCAGCCTCAACGCCTAATGTATGCGTCGTATTGACGAGAATGCAAGTATGTTGTGGGGTGACGACAGCGTCAATTACGGACGCAAGATCATATACGTCGGGGAGAGCTTTAATGCATAGGACAACATAATCAAATGCCCCCTCCTTATTCTGAGCCGCATCTTCCGGAGTTCGGACCACTGAACAAAGAACGCATTGGTGAGCTAGATACTTAGAGGGGGTTGGCGGTAACAATGGACTTACCACGCCGAGGCTTGAATCGCTCATTACCAAACGATCCAGATTTGAAGGAAATACCATATTGAAAGACGCTTTCGAATCCCGATTTCCAGACAAGGGTTACATCGCAAGCGTTCGTAGCCTGAAGCCTCCAGGACAAGAAAGCCGACACAGCATTTCCACCCACTGTACAAATTCTCATTAGCTCACTGTCAGCCATGGCAGCGAAAGGCTCGAGGCATATGCCAACGTGCCGATACTCTCAAAAGTAGAGTGGGGAAAACGAGCGTATAGTATAGTATAAGAGTATAAGAATGGAAGACAAGCGAAAACGAAACGAGCGAAAGGCTTGCCGTTCCTTCCGACAACGGGTAGTACCTAAAGGGAAAAACAGACGGCTGGCTCAAGAAGCAAAACTTGAGATGAATGTTGGGAATCTAGTTGACAGAATGGGAAATCAACGAACCTGAGAGGATCTTTAGACGCGGCGCTACTGGAGCCATTTTGGAGACGGGACTAGTGGGTTAGGGCCCCCTTCTGAAATTCCTGTCTCTGTGTGCCTGTGTATCGTGCAGACGTACTCACGACGGCGTCGGAATGAGTCCAAGTAGCCCTGTACCACGGCCACGAGCCCACTGACACGACGTGGGTACGACGGCTCGCAATGGCTGTCTCACGTCCCTGAAAACCGGCTTTTCTCCCTTTTCCTTTTCCAAATTCACGATACTGACACTCCGTGCAGCCTTTGCCTTTTCGGTACCCAGCTGAGGAATTGGCGGCGGGAAGGAAATGTATTGGCGCAGATCGGGCTTGTTGTTTGGCGACTCAGTGGCCCATTCGAGGCGGCCGCTAGAATGGCACGCACAGCGATTCGATAGCGTCTAATTTAACCCTTGTTTCTACTAGCAAAAAGAGGCTTGCAGGATTAACCCTACTGTACTGTATGTCTTTTCCCAGAGATGCCGATCCGCAACGATTGAGAGGAGCCCAAGAAAAGCCAAACGTTGGAAAGTGGTAACGAGCGTAACGGCCTGGAAACAGGTCGTGCGGAATAGGGAGGACAGGAACAGATCGAGGAGAGAGCGGGTCGGAATAATCAGTCACACGTAGGACCGGCGAGGAAAGATTATGGAGGTTTAATTCTCGAGACTATCAAAGGAAGAAAAATTAACGAGCGGACGCGACGACTCGAGCGGGCCCTGTGGAGAGAAGGATGGATTTGGTCAAACGATGGTTGGACGAACGGCGGATGGGCGGTACGAAGGCGTTGTCCCAGCGAGAATAAAGGGAAAAAAACGATAGCGTAGGCGGTAGATAGTTAGGTTAGGTAGGTTAGGCGGACGACTTGCGGCCTGCTTTGGTTACTAAGTTGCGTTGCTTGGTGGGAGAGCAAGAAAAAGCAGGGCAGAAGCGAGAAGGAAGAAACCGAGGGACCCAGTCAGCCACCAAAAGGCTGCCTAACTAGTGCAGACCGGTACTGCGTAGAACGGTTACGGGAGGGGCGTAGGCGTGGGTAGCGTCGAATTTTTGGAGGAGGCAACGTCAAAACTGGGCTAGACCAGCTATCTAAACTGCTGCTATGTTGTAAGTACCATCCATGACCAACCGGGATATTGTACGTCTATGTGTGGATATGAGTGGATGAATGGGATAGATAGTTGACAGTGGCGTTACGTAGTTGCGTACGCGGTACATGTAGTAGTAGTAGATAGCGTAAGGAGATGTACAGTACAGATGTAGACGGTAAAGTGAGTTGGTAAGCATGGATGAGAAGAGAAGAGAGAGAGCTGCTAAGGTCACGGAAACAGTCGGTCGGTGTTCGTGGAACAGGCTGGACTACCCTACCCTGGGCATTTCTGGGTACCTAGAAACTAGCAAGGGGGACGCTTTTCCAAGAAAAGACTTTTTTTTACCCACCTTGGAGGAAGTACAGAATAAAAAGAATTTCCAGATCTGACAGGTCGAATAAGCTTGAACCAATGTGCCAACGATGTCAAGTCAATTTTGATTGCGATTCCAAACAAAACGATAGAGGTAATTGTCGATGACTGGAGAAGTAGTAGAAAGTAGAAAAATGGAATTAAGTTGAACCGAACGAATACAATAATTCAGTCTCAGTCTCTTTTTGTTTTTTTATGATGGGGCCTTGAGGCCTGAAGAAAACATGTCGTCAGTTCAGAAATTCAAGGTTGGAGGAAAATAATAACATCGAAATTGAAAGGTGCGAGAAAAGCCAAAACTACTAGGTAGCTAGGCCGGCAGCGCGAAAAAATACAAGGGAAACATTAGATTGGAGCGGACTTTGTTTCGGCTTTCCGGTTGCTGCTGCTTGGTTAGGTGCGATACGATACAAGTACCTAAATGCACGTAATACAGTATAGTAGTACATCATCATATACCTGTATATTTCAAACCACTAATCACAGGTGTACCTTACTTTATGTACATGCACTGTACAAAGCCATTCCTTCTCACTATCCACAACTAATACAGGCGCTGGTTCCTGCCACCATTCCAACTCATGGCAAGTAACTTCTTTATATAATTCCTTTAAGCTATCCGATATGGAATACTTAAATATCTCTAAATGTTTTTAATGTTTAGCATAGCACACATATATGCATGCAGCATTGACTCTATCTTCAATTTCCACATCAAGTACACACGTGTAAGTGGGATAACCCAAAACAATATCCCGAACAACAAAGACAAAGATCTTCACCAACAAGCTTATCTACATACAAGTATGACATTATACATAAAATGGACTCTCTTTTTTTATTACCCGGATCGGAAATCCTAGGTACAATACTATCTAATCTCGATGGTTTAAGGTCTGCACATCATCGCATTGGTGGATAGTACAGTCCGCGAAAAGGGTAAGAGGCGCTACGATCAACTTGCGCGTTCCGTCATTCTAGAATGAGGATGTGCCGTCTCTACATAAATAACATGGATAGCACCACGCAAATCAGTCTATCGGGTAGAGGTATCGAATGTTGCTGGTATGTAAATGTGTGGGACAGGTCTATTACCTAAGTACCTAGGTACGCGGGATATCGAGGCTGTGCACTTATATTATAAGTACCTGGTATTAACGTCTTTAGGCAATGTAAGTTGCCATGTTAGGAGGTATTCATACTGTATGTTGTATACGAAGAAAAGACTCAGAAAAGGTTAAACATACATAAAAGGATTGTATCTAATATTACCATTACCATCATGTAAATACAACACATACATACCTACCCAGCCTTACAGATTTCCGGTAATATCGCATGCCCTTATTAACAGGTATTGTGTGATGTTCTCTTTCTCCTTTTGACTGCAGATGGATTGTGGGTTTAATCTTCGTATTTCGTCAAGATGACAAAACTAGGTACCTGGTTCTAGATGACATACCCAACGCACCGCCGCTTCGGTACGCACGGGTGCTTTTTTTTTTTTCCCCTCTTTCTCTTCAAAACTGGGCTGAGTTACCTACATACATATGTAATAGGGGATAGGTAACCTCGAGTATGCACTTCAGATGCAACTCTAATGGGTCCCAAAGAGACGACACGCGCATTAGGGGAGCGGCAAAGAAAATATATCAGATGTCAGATTGTAATTTTCCTTGCTTACCTATTCGAGGATTTGTTCGCTATCTAGTATACTCCTGGATCAATTAGGACCATGCATGTAAGAAAGGTATGAGCTATAAAAATCATAGCTTTTGAAGAAGTATCTGAGGAAGTATTTTAATAAAGCCTCATTCCCGATATCACCGAACCTACACGTACTACCTAGCACATATGTATGAATACGATCGCAAACAATAAGATAAGGTAAGGGCAATTTTCAACTTCTAGCCTTTATAGATATCTAGGTACCTGCCTTCTTACTCAAAAAGAACTTGATTGGTTACGATACGTACATAAAAAGAGATGATTACCATAAGGAGGTACACACACTCCTTCAGCGACGCGGGTTCATCCGAATTTTAATGTTTTGCGCATGCAGTCATCAACCCATGCGATCCGATCCATCCTACCATATCATAATCTTGATAAATTATTCCTTACCATGCGTAAATTCTCAGAGGAGGCATCATCCCAACAAACTTGGAATCACTTATGTCTTGGATTTATATGTTACTGTTTAGTAGTACAGAATTGGTGCTGAATCTCATCAATTGAAGTTTCTTTGGCTAAAGTACCCATACCTAGGTACTTGGAGAGATGTAACCAACTCCAATTGACAAGATTGATAGGTCGTACCCGAGAGGACCACCTATACGCGTAGAGACTTCATACGGCGAACAATACGCGTATGTACGTATTGGGTGCTGATAGGTAAATGCTAAGGTACAGTACCAGGGGGTAATTCCTTTAAGGAACCGAGAGGCGCAAGTTCTATATAAGCAGGGGTAGATAAGCATCGAAAACTTGAAAAGGGGAAATTAAAGAACTACACTAATTGTCAGCCTCGAACTTTTGTGGGCGACTCGGAGAATAAATATTTATCTTTTTTCGCCAACGGCGTTTTCGTCAACACAAGTTATGTTGTATCGGGCGCCGATGATATTGTCTTAATAAGAACCCTCTAAGATCACGAACACCTCTCATATCTAGTGTATTCGTACGTGGCGGTTAAATGTATGTAAAGGACTACTCACGTAAGTATATGTAAGTACACATCTAACACATGCATATCAGCAATTTTACAGTGACACCGCGATTTCTTTCCTTCAATTTACAAGCAGTACATCATTAGTCAATCCTAAAAGAGTCTAGATAAAGATATATATCTTGTGCTAGAATCAAAGAGGCTAAAGCTACCTACCTAAGGTAATTAAGGTTTCCCCTGGCGGTTGAGTCCCGCTTAAGCCCAGTATCTGTGCGGCGATGACGTATGCATTTGAATGTGCTCATTCTCAAGTACAACATTGGAATAGACGGATATCAATGATTTCTATAGATATTTTGTTGGTGTGTTGAGTGAAGAAAGAAAAATCGAGTGCCATATTTATTACTACTGCCTATGAAACAATATCATCATTCACTTTTTTATAATGCATATATGTTTCTCAATTAGGATCCTTTATGAAGTACGACGCTAGGGCAAACATTTATTATTAGACGTTCAGGCGGCCGGGACCCACCATAGCTTCGGGTCTCGCTCTGAAAAAAGAATCGCTGCAGTTAGGAACTCCACGTAAATCGCGATTCCCTTTGCACGGTCCACTCTTCTTTTTCCTTCCTCACTTTCTCCTTCAATCCTTATTCAATTGATATCAAACTCTCTCTTACGACATAGAAGCAATCAATCTTCTACTAATCGTTGAAATGGCCAAACAGTCAGAAGGCAGTCAACTTATCACGAAGTTTGTCCAGGATCCCCGTATTGAGCTACTATGGATGCTGCAGCAAGCTATAAGCAGAAGGCACCTAAATATCTCAGCCACGTCTTCAAGCAAGGGGGTCAACCCTTACATCTCATAGACCACAATGCGATTCTCAAAATTACCATATTTTCATATAGTCGTATGGTTTTCTAATACGCTACACAAGCAAGGTACTCCTATGAAGAATCGTAGGCATGTTCAATTTACCAATTCGACGTCATTCATCAAGACTCTTGATTAATCTATCTGGCTATACAAAATCTTGATAGAACAACCCAGATAATAATATGCACACCGCTGTCAATAATCGACAAATTTATCTACCCCAGAATAAACCAGCCAATGTAATATACGGGAGGAAACCTCCGGACCAATGGTTACACAAGAAATCCGACCCGACGATATACCTGGTATTTCGGCAACCTCAAATTTCGATTTCTCGTCACAAGGAAAGGAGACTATCATAGAAAATAAGAGAAAAAAAGCCTCCACAATGTTTTTTGTCTTCTACCGCGGTTCGGCCCCCAATCCCAAAAATGACACCGCTAATCGAAGCGACTTCTCAAAGAGGTTACCCCCGGATACCAGGCGAGACGCGGCTTGATTAACTCCTTGTCGACCGAACAAGGCGCCATCTCTTTTCCGGATGTAAGTACATCCGTTGTTGTTATCCAGCCTCTTAACAAATCATCGTAAGTGAAATATACCGCCATTCTAGTTCTAGTAGAATCTTGCATAGGATCTCTTGAGACAACAAAATCAGATTTAATGGCCAGCACATTTTTACTCGCCCCTCTTCCGGGCCTCCCGGGGTCATTCATTCAAGCCTCTAAAACGCCACCAGCCCACCGCAGATAGGGTAAGCACTTACCTACCTTCGGGAACATTAGACCGCCCATAGCTTTTCTGGCTTAGCTTGTATATCTGTAACTGGGTAGATAGATGTCTAGCTCGTCTAGTCGTGTTCAAAAGTTCAAGGGGAACCATCAACCCAACTTCTACCACCCAAATATGTAGAATGACATATCACGTGGGTGTCTGAGAACCAATCCATCGTCACTCATCTTCTTGATCCTTGACCTTTTGTTAATTACGGCCCGCGTTGCGGTCGGGGGCCGTAACGCTGGTTCAAGTCAAGATTCGGATTGCTTCCACGTGCCAAGACGAGCTATCGTGGCAATTGGCAGGACACCTCAAATCCGACTGCATCTACAGGGATCCCAAAACCTGCTTTTTCAACTGGGGGGTTTCCCAGCCTTATCCAAAAGGCCTGGGTTCCATTAGATCGACACTGTAAGTATAGCAACAAAAATCCAGGAACTTGTATCTATCTATCTAGCTATCTCAAAGCGACCCGACACACCAAAATAAGTTGCCCCTGGAAATCTTTCCAGATCTGACCCCACAGCCTCATTGGGTACAACCGTTAGATTATCACGATGGCGAAAATAAGATTCCCGCCCTCCTACCCTAGATGCCAACATTCTAGCAAACCAGGGAAGATATGCCCACGATTAATTTCGTGTTCGGATTCAAATCGGGTCCCGAGATCCGAGGCAGCCAACCCGGAATACCCCTGCGAGTGGCCGCCCGCAACCCAACAAGCACCGGATTGCTGACCAATAAGCTCGTCCAGCTTTGTTGATAACTAAAAGCCTCTTGATGCAGATGAACTCCGGGCAGGCAGCAAAGAAGCAACATACATACTTGAGGCGCCTGCAGGGGGTAATATTCGGACAGAGGATAGCGAATCTGACTCGTTAAATTTCATTACCTATCACCCTGCCCATTGCCTGCGGGCTGCCGCTGCTTTTTTAAAAGGGGACGGAATGCTGCTTATACCGCGCGCCAATCCAATGGGATAAGTTCGATCGCCCATCTTCAAGCATATTGACCTGACTTCTAGGCCATTTTTAATATGTCTGACACAAGCCAGGATGACCAGTTGCCGTTCAATGTGAATATCGTGGAAAGTTAATATGTGTATGATGGATGACAGGTAGCCCCCAGGAACTCCGGAGCACGGTTCGCCAGAGACGTTAAGAGATGTTTTCGGCACGCAGGCCCCCTATTCGGTCCGCGATGTGTCTTAACACAACATAATGCATGCGAATCTGGACACTGCCTCCCCGTGGTTTAGGTATTGTGGACCCAAACACGGTGTTTAATGTCTGACCCGGTACGCGGTGGTGGTCGCTGCATAGATGTTATTCGTGCTCTTCTTTTTTCCCACGGATTCTAATGCGTGAGGAACAGAGTAAAGAAGTGTAGTGCATCGACAAGGACAGAATACGAAAAGTACTGCTTCGCAATACCATATTTATGTTAGAGTAGCTTCAGTGCCGTCTAAAAGGAAATGTCTACAACATGATATGCAATAGAACAACTTGGAGCTGCCCCAAGACTGATCTAAAGGCTGCAACCACATACAATGAGTAAGTCTACCAGTCACAGCTGTTACCCGTGACCCTCACACTACCTACCTATCATTGTTGGAATGACAGTACAGAAAACAGATGGCTCCAGCACCCCGGCCCCTTCTCGTACAGTTGGAGGCGTACATGATAGGCCATATGAATAGTCTACCAACAGTTTGTACTTAGAAGCGCCCTGATATTGAGTTTATCTCTATCCACAGGAAATTCAATTGTAATTAAAAATGAATGATATCGATTAACTTCTATCGTGGTATCATACCGCCCCAACCCGATCTCTTCACCCTTTCACCCATCTATCTATTCTCCCTGACCTCGTGATTCTCAACACATCCAGACTTAAGAAACATTCTCCAAGTTTCACTTTTCAACAATCAAACATCGATGAATCAAGCCTTCTTCACGCCATTCGTCCCATCCCCAGCAAACGGATCCATATCCGGGTCTGTGTTACGCACATACTCAGACGCGAAAGCCAATTTACTCGCAGTATCAGCGCCATACTGGTCACCGACAAAGGCGTACATCATATCAATACCAGCCGAAATACCTGAAGATGTCCAGATATTACCGTCTGTTACCCAACGTGCGCGACGCACCCAGTTTACTTTAGGACCTTGAGCGATGACCTTTGCTCAGTTGTTAGTAAGAGGAGAGATAGGGGTAAGGGAGGCAACAAAGCAGCATACCCAGTCCCACGCCAATTTATTCGTAGTCGCACGGTGTCCATCCAAAATGCCCGACATAGCTGCGACAGCGCTTCCCGTGCATACCGTGAGGAGGTAGCGTAAACGGGGATACGCAGCGCGCACTAGGTCGACGACCTCCTCGATGTTGTCCGGGTCACGGGTGCCACCTCCACCAGGGATTAGGAGGACCTCGATGTCGTTATCTTTAGCGTTACCATTGCTGCCATTGGCACTAGCATTAATGTAATCCGCAAAGGTGCGTGTCGGCACGATAGTCTCAAAGGCGGTATGTCCCGACTTATCGGTCCGGGTGGATACCGGGTCGAGTGTCTTGGCTAGTACGTCGAGATGGATGGGTGTCTGCTTCGATAGCATGTTCAAGGTGTCAATAGGTCCGAAGACATCAAGGGCTTGGAACCCGGGGAATAGCGCCACGGCGAAGCGAGTCAGCGGACCGCGGGTATCCGAGGATTGGGATGCCATGATTGGTACTATGCGGAAGCGCGTGATAAAGGGGATGAATGTTGCAATCAGGTGAAGCAGATAGGCTGGCGAGTCATAGGTTATAACTTAAGGGTATCGATGATTCATGATGAAATTATATCGATTAATAATAATAGAGGTCCGAAAAGCATCGGTTTGGAAGATACCTCGTATACGGCAAAGGCGCGGATGACGCGAAGATCGCCAAGGGATCACAATCCGGCGTCGGACCGGGGAATCGGGGCTGAGTAATGCGGTCGACCTTACATGGACTAGTGTCAAGTAGCTGCATGGATTTACTATGAATGGGTTATTTGTTCAGTGCAGGGGTCACTCAGCTGCGTCTTTAGCTACATGGTAAAGGCAGTGGTAAACTCCGGTAGCCCTCGGGATTCCAATACTACACACAATATCGTGGAGGCTCAACATTTCTGACGAGAGAAATCATTGTCACCGTTTAGGCAACAATAAGAATGCCCCAATGTCTTTTCCATGTATAGATTCCGCTGTGAAGATAGAATATTTCAAAAAGATTGTGATTGGGAATGCATATCTTATTATGTGTGGTTGGTAGTTGAATAGGGGTTGGCCGAATTTTCTTCATATTAGACGGAAATGACGACACGTTGAAAATTGGCCACGTTTTAAACGCGGAAGTCTACATACTGAAAATTTAGATCACTAAAATGGTACGTATAAGTCGTGCAATATTCATTGTACCGTCGTCTAAAGTACCAAGTAGATAGGGAAAGTCCATCGTAGGCACTGGCCAATATGCATCAAGCTATTCTAGCTTACATGATTTTTAGTTTCCAAAATAACTCTGATCGAGGTCGTCCTTGCTGGTCCCAATCTGCACCTGATAAACGTAGCTGTCCACCTGCTCATCCTGGCCCCCATAGATGCCAAACTTCGGATCGCTCTGTCCAGGGTACATGTTGCCTGTCAAAACCTGTGACTTAGTAGTGTCAAACGTTACAGGCTTGCCATTGAACCAAAGCTTAGCATGTCCCCCTTTTGCCTGGGCAAAAATCTCCAGACCAATCTTGTATTCCTTATGAGGTTCGACATCGACTGTCCACTGTGTTCCATGACCTTTCTCTCCCCACTTCTCTGAATGTCCGAATTCCAACTTCTTGTTACGTAGAATTAAAACTAATGGGATATTGGCCCCTCCATCTTTCGCATTGTTGGCCTTGTACTCCTTCCACTGGAAGATGATGAGCCCATCGGCCAGTTGCTAAAATATGTCAGCGCGAAACATTAATTATTGTCGCCCCTCCATTAACATTGGATATGACGGGCCTTACCTCAAGCGCAAGTTTGTAGGCAATAAAATACGTGGTTCCCGCCTTAGTTTGACCCTTCAGCGCATGGTATTCCGCCCTACCAATGAATTGTCAATTTTGGCTGTACTGTGCACCCCCAAAAAGTGAGATGTCCTACCTGCGGTATCCGGCTTTATGGTGAAAGTGTGCAGCTTTCGTTCCTTGCCAGTCCTTGTCCGATTTAATATACAGGTCAGCCGTGTTGGCCTTGGGCCTATCACCCTTGGCCTTCTCTAGGTTAAGAGTCCCAAGTATTTTGGGGTCATCGCCCCGCGAAGCATCGAAGTCAACAAGGAGAGGTGCCTTGCGCGGGCTTTGTTTTCCTGGGATTGGCTCGCTCTGAACTGGAAGGAGGAAGAGGACGAAACTTAAGAATAATTGAATAAACAACATCTTGTCTAGATGATTTACCAGTGCTAGGCTTGAGCAGACCTACATTCTTAGGGTGGGACATGGGCTTCGCCTCATATTTATGTCGTGATAAATCATATGTAATAGTATTTAGTCATTCGACATATTGGATGTGATGAGGTCATGGCGACGGATCTTCAATACTAAGATCTCAAGGGATTCGATTTATTAGATGTTAGACGGCTCATTATTTCGTAAGATCTACCTATTTAATAGCCCTTCCAACCCAAAGTAGTATATAATCGCAGTATATATCTGTATAAGGGAGCGTGGGGAGAGGGCGGCCAACCTAACGTAAGCCATGAGGATGTAGTCAGCGCGAACACCCAGTTATTGATATTTACGCGGCCGCATTTAAGTACCAAACAGGAATGGAATATGATTTATTATTAGATTCCGAGAATTGTTGATGGTTTCGCCATTATTACGCGAAGGGGGGAGAGCGGATGCCGCGGTGTCATTGCCAGATTTTTCCACAAGACGCGACAAAACTCCAACACCCATTGTCGTGAATCGTGGTAGCGTAAGCTTGATTACATAGGCACTTACGAAACCCACGAATATATATATTGAGAAAAAAACAAGAAAGGTCGTAGCTTTCAAGCGCTACTCAGGCACATATAAGAAATTAGAGGGATGGCAACCCAACAGTTTGTCAACTAGATATATTATCTAACACGTATATGAATGGCAAATAAAAAATATTAGGAGCAAAAGAATGAATGCAACCTACACTGGGGATCGAACCCAGGTTTCCGGCTATCTGACTGTAGAGTGTCGGACACCGGCGAGTTACCACTACTCCATGCAGGTCTTGGATTACCATTACCATTGGAGCTTGTTGAAAAAACCAACCCTTAATTTGCCTTATATGGTATCCTGTAGCCACGTTTTGGGTGATACGATATGTATGGGAAAGCAGACCATACCGGCGAGTACCAGCTCCGGCAGAGGAAGGAGCTGACGCATATTCCGGAGGGCTCCGGAACGGAAGCGGGTCCGAAGCGGGTCCTCTGAGTTTAAATTGTGGCTCGGTACTTGCCCGAGTGTAGTCTTATGACCAATTAGGCCATATTTAGGAGTGCGTGTGACTTTTGGCACGTGTGAATGCAGGTACAAGAGCAAGTTTTGAAACTTAAAAGCTCACGGCAGGCTCTATTTATGTAATACACATTGAAGGTACCTACCTGTTCCTACAAGCACGCCATAGACAATACATATTTAAAGCTTCTAGTACATGGTTGGTATGAAGCTTAATTGACGGTCACTCCCTCGAGAAATCACGATGGGATGGTCCTTATCCATGGCGTACATGGTATATGTATCTATCACACATTCTTCTCTACTGTGTCCCTCATAACTCCCACCCCGCGTAACAATAACTTTTGATCGATATCTATACATTATTCATGCATTATACATTCCATTTCAAGTTTCAATAATTAACCGTAAGGAAATATGCACATATCTTTGTTCAGCATGCGTGACAAAAATAAGGGGTTCATGGCGCTTGGCTTCATCTGCCTTCAAGAGCCTGTCTAAATACCTAGTAGTTTAAATCGTTCATCTAGGCGAGGAAATGTTGTGTATCGAACGAATCATGAATAATAAATCCAAACAATACTGATATTTCGATATATTTTAATGCAAGAGTTTAAACTGGCCGTATTTATTTTCATCGCTGAAGTCCGTTCATACAGTTAGTTATGAACTACCGTTTTGGGAAATTTAGACCAACATGAGCCAATGAGAGAGCATATACGGCGTGGCTTCCGGAGTTATTGTGCATATAGAGCAACAAAATTATAGCATTGGAGCGCCTAATTCCGCCTAAGTGCTAGGGCATCGATGCAGGACTTATAGTGCATATATGTACCCACACCTTAAGGGGTTAGGGAGCTGTTCCTACCCCTTAAACTGCAAGAAGCCACTATGGAGGAAGCCTACCTAGGTACTAACGTAGTAGCAAGTGCACTATGAGGCAGTCGGTCTTCACGAATAACCCCTTGGATATCTACCCAGCTATGTTTCATCTCTTTTCTTTTTAACAGTCATGCGCGTGATCATTATTACTTTGCTTATTCGGGCGTAAAGGAATTGTCCCTATAGATATCAGATACCTTACATATTAATATACTACCTGTATGCCACTCTTTCACACACTATCAACCTAAGATACTCCGTCGCAAGCCACCCATCTCCCATCAAGAGTACGATTCAGATTGAAGCTAGTCGTCAGGCAGAAACAGGCCGAGAAAATACCTAGCAGCTCTAGGGGCAAAGCTCATCATGTCCGACAACACCCAAACCCAAGAATGCCCTATATGCGGCGCGAAATCGCCCTTAACACGACTCAGATGCGGGCATACCCCCTGTCGACCCTGTCTACGCCAGGTTGTTGACACTTCTCTGAGAGATCGAACAATGTGGCCGCCAAGATGCTGTGGGGCCCCTATGCATCGTGAAGACGTGATAATGTCGTTATACCCAGATCCGCTCTAGGAGAGGTATGTCGGAGTCTTTCGAGAGATGAGCGTCAGCGATCCTTTATACTGCGTCAACCATCGATGCAGTCATTTGCTCGGTAGCAGGGTCGGCTTCGAGGAGACGCAATTGGTGCCCTGCCCCAAATGTCGAGTTATTACTTGCAATCGATGTAAACAATCACACTCCTTCAAAGCAAGCTGTGTGAAAAAGCGATCTGATCCTGGCGTTGAAGAATTGATGCTGGAAAACGGCTGGCAGAAGTGTTCGAAATGTGGGCGAATTATTTCTAGGGAAGAAGGGTGCAATGAATCCAGGTGAGTCCATTGAATGTGCCTATCTAATAGGTCCCCTAAATGCTACCTACAAGTTCAACTGACAACTCGATTTTTGCTTTATGTAGGTGCGTCTGTGGCCACCGTTTTTGTTACGTATGTGGCAGCAAGTGGAAGACGTGCAATTGTCCATTCTTCCCTATTTTTGGGCCGGTGAATACTAATCTGGCTCGGCCACCAACCCGAACCCAACTCCCAACCGCGAATACCTTGCAACAATACAACCAGAGACTTGAGAATATGCGACCTGCGGATGGACTCCAAGTACCTATACCCCATGCACCGTATTTCCCACCAACCCAATATGCTAGACACTTTCATCAAAGATCAACGTCGATAATAATGCCGTATAACAACCCACCTACCATATCCCAGCACGCAGCGATGCAACCTTTTCCGCCAACCCAATACAACTACCTCCAACCCGCGGGGCTGGGACACACGAGCGGAGGATCGCTTTCTTCTCTGGGGTCACCATGGCCGAACACCGGCGCCGGGATAAATGGGCCAATGCCGCTGGAATATAACACAGGGCTCGGACAAACACTTTCAACAGGCCCTTCCTTCCAAGCTCCAAATACCACATTCCAGAGCTTCTTGTCACCAGCTCCAACAAGCCAACAGCTATTAGGGTTTAATCCTAATTCTTCTACCTACCCTCACAATCCTGGAAACCCTTTCGGATCCCCGGTACTTCTATGGTCACCTTCACCCCTCTCTTATGAAAACAGCCAGCCTCATCCCGCTCCTACTGGGATCCCATTTCCATATGGTGGATTCTCTAATACCATGCCTGAGACCCCCCAGGAACAATTTATCCCTCAACTGCCAAGCCAGAACTCTCCCCAAGAGCATGTTCAAGGTTCTGTTCAAGATTTATCCGAGGGCTTTTTCGAGGGCCTGGACCAGCAACCATTCGAGACCTTGTTTAACCCTGATGAAAACAAAGAAGGGAACGGCAACCCTAACCCCAATCCCAATTCCAGAGGGTCGCAATAGCCCCGAGGAGATACCAATCCTTTGAACTCGAAAAGTGTTATGCGGCATACCATAATATTTACATATTCACTTCCCTTCACCCTCAAAGATACATCGATGTACGTGTCTTAACGAATGATTAGGAGGAGGTAGCGTATTTAAATAGAAACCAGCGTTTGAAGTAGTTATTTCACAGCTTCAATAATAATTACAAACATTCAACTATAAAACATAATACCTGACGCTGTACAACAATTATAACAAAGATATAACACATAACACATAAAAAAAATACCCCAAAAATATTAATAGCTCCACTCCGTTTCGATCGGAGGACCTCCGAGTTATAAACCCGACGCGCTGCCACTGCGCTATAGAGCTCTGCGGAAGGCCAACAGACATGGTATGCCTGTGGCTGGTTATGGAAGTGTGTCCCGTTATCATGGCATATAGGCTATACTCAGGGTATTTTCAATGTTTGACTGCTTGTACGTGGATTGCCCCTTGTTGTGTTACATGTACTACGGGGGTCAGGTGTTTTTACTGACTGCCTGTGTATACTGGTATTTTCGTCTGAATAGTGGACAAACAGCATTTTCCACTTGTTTCACTGATTACTATACGTCATTTACTCATGCAGGAAGCCGAGCCCCCTGGTTGTGTCTTGCTTGATTTACAGGAATTCCGCATTTCGGTTGAGGGGTCATACGTAAATCTACAATATCACAAATACGAAAATGGCACCAGAAAATAATCAAGCATTCAAAACGCCGTAGCATGTCATTAAAATCAGGTATTCCAATAGAGATTTATTATCTAAGGACCTTCCTTTAACCCCCCTAAGATAATGAAGTAGTAGTAAACCAACCCATGCGAAGCCAGTTAGTTAGTTTCCCTCCTAAAATTCGATCCGACGCCGCCCTGAGAACACACATATTGTCTTATGCTTGCCTTGCCTTTGCCATTACCCATCTAACATCCACTCACTCACACACACACCAACACACAATTATGAGTAGGCACTCTAGTCGTAAATAAATAAAAGGGGCGTGGGATCATTAAAAAATTCCTTCGTTCGTCAATATTATTGAGAGCGATTCTCCATTCGAATTTGTAGCTCAGGGGGTTATGATTCATTAAAAGCGCTATGTCTTATATCGAATTTAGAAAAGCTTCGGGTTTTTCCTTGGCGCAAGTGAAGAGGTTGGTGTGCTGGTCGCCTCGTGCTGCGCAACCTAGAATCATACGGTGGGGGTGGAATGCAGTAGCGGAGATGGGTGCGCCACGGTTTTGCTGCAAGAAGCTGGAGTATGGTTCCATACGGGATAATTCGCGACCGTCGAAGTTAAAGACTTTTACTGTATGTGCGGATGTTCCACTAAAAAAATCGGTTAGTAGGTGAACAGTAGGCATGTTGTCTTTTTTTTTTTTTTTTACTTACACAGAGAATACTGGGAGATGTTCGTGAGTACTTGCTGTTCGGAGAGTATCACGTGTCGCTTGGATGACACGGAGAGGTTGGTCCGCCCGAATATCCCACAGCTTCACTTTTCCGTTTCGGCTTGCAGAGAGCAATTCGCGTTGGCCTCCGCGTTGCATGTGCACATCTCTAATCCATTGTCGATCAGAATCATCCTTCCACTTCTTGACCATGGATTCCTGTGGTCGAAGTCGAGTGTCAAACACTCTAACAGCACCGTCCCCAAATCCTGCCACGAAGATATTACCAGTCATTTGGTCCGACGTTAAAGATGTGACGCAAGATCCTGAACGCGCAGGTATATCCATAATGCACGTCTCGTATGCGGCAGCCCAGAGGCGAATAACTCGAACATCTCCTGCAACAAGCACATTGCCCGTTACCTGTTGCCAGTCAAAGACCATACCGGAGTTGACATTGCTAGGAACCATATGAGTGAGCGCTCTCCACGCCGTGGCTAACTCGGTCTTCTTAGGGGAATCATAGTTCCGATAGACTCGGAGTACACCATCCGATGAACCCGTCATTAAGAACGACGTATCATCTTCGTTAATGAACGTCATATCGCTGATTTTCGACCCTTCGGGATTTCCGTTCGAAAATCGATTTAATCTGCTTTGCCTCTTCCAATCCCAGATATAGACGGTATTTCCATCGTCTGCGACTGCTAGGTGGTCTTCAAATTGGTGGAAGGTCATCTTTGCCGGCTGAGCACCATTATTCATAATACATAGCTGGTTATTCCACCTGTTGCTGCCAGCATATTGCTTTTGTGGTTGGGTTTCGCGAAGAATATTCTCATTTCGCGATCTTCTCCATAGACGCTCGTTATACTCGGTACTTCCTGGTTCTTCGGCTTCGCTGGGATGCATTTGCGGTTCGCGGAAATACTCAATTGACCAGTCCAAAAATGTGCTGGGAATTGGTAGAGTAGGAGCCTGGTCAAGGGGGCGTGCTTTGAACTTTCCAGAGACGGGTTCATCGGCTACGTGATAATGTGCTGGTGCATTGGCCTGGTCAATTTGCTCAGGCGGAGCGCCCCAGTCTGCAGTAGATCGGGGTCGCTGGGAGTAACTTCTCATAAGCCCGGGAGAAGGCAATGGTGTGGAATTTGCCGATTTATCTTCTCCGCCCCACATGCTTGGCAACTGAAATAGCAAGCTTGCGGTTCGCTTGAGAAGACCGGGCGAAGGCTCTGGTGTGACGATATCGGAGGCGGATGGTCCTGTTACGCCGTTTCGTGCAATCGATGACTGTTTCTTGTGACCACGAGACCGTCGCGCGCGCTTTTGGATCTCGTCCATAAGGTTCTGAGCCTGGAAACCCGCGGGGGATGATAGAAGCGCGTTGTGAACGTAGTCAACGATGATCGTTGCGTCTCGCTGAACCTCGGGGTGGGGGTCCACGTTTAGAATTAGGATGTGTTTCCAACAGGCCGCGAAGACCGTATTGGAGGATAAACCCTGGGCTGTGGGTTTAATCGTTCCATCCGAGTTACGATTTTCGGGCCGGGCATAATGTAAGCCCATCTTGTGCTCGAGGCCATCATCCGATGGGGGGTAATGTAAATACTCTTTCTCCTCGACTAGCTGCTCATAAGCAGCGACAATGAATTTATTCTCGTAACGAAGGACGAAATGGGATATGAAAACGAGCAACTCTTTGCGAACTAGGGGGCTGCCGTCGTTGACCATGTCTAACAATGTCCACGCTATAGACTCTTCAATCCTGGCCACTTCATCCGTGAGATCTGGAATGCCTAAGAATGTCGTCATGGCGTGTACAACTGCTGCTCGTACTTCACAGGCCTGGTCCTTCGTTAGACTCGATAGCTTCATCGGCGCATTCTCCCTGATGCCTCGCCACTTTGCCTCAGGCAGATCCTGCCATAACTGACTGATACAGAGGCACGCCCACTGCCGTAACAGCACATTGTCCTCGTTCCTGAGGTGCAATAGACAGAACGTCATGGTGTGCGATTGATTACACACAGCCTGGCCAGGTCGATAACCTTTGCACAGCATGGCGAGTACGAAAGCACACATCGCCTTATGCTCGTCGGTGTTGGGAACGGGGAGAGTTTCGGTTGGGTTGAGTATGGAGGTGAAGTAGTTATAGCCACTATCCTTAATTAAGTCTGGCTGGCATGAGACATCCACGGCTAGAACTCGTGTCCAGATGAATACCATGACCGGTTTCAGCTCAGCAGCGGCGGACTGCAGTAGCTTCAATACGTACGGAAAGATACCGATGCTAAGAGCCAGATGAACGGCCCAGGGACCCAAATCCAAGAATTTACCAAGCAAGATAAGGGCGCGTACTCGATGCTGCTGGCTAAGCAAAACCTGGAGTACAACGGGAAGCTGCTCGGGAGGCTTCTTTTGCATGGCGTCTCCGCGGGTAAGGTAGATTTCGAAAGCGGTTAACTGCTCCGCGAAAAAGGTCGAACTCTGATACTCGTATTCAATTCCTTCTGTCTCTTTTCGCTCCATCATGGGTAATTGTGCCAATGCCAAATCAACAGCCAAGTCCCAGCTTTCCCAGAGTGGATGCTGATGAGTATCGGGTAATTCCGGGTATGATTGTGGATGACAACCATAGACCATCATAATTCTCTGCGCTAAGATAAAATTGCGGAAAAGCGCAGCAACCATGAGGTCTTGTCGGAAGAATTTACGGAATAACTGTCGGGGTAGAGAAGTCCATGCGATGGTGTCAGTGATTGCTGTGAATATCCAGTTTAGCTCCCCGAGAGGTGTCCTACGTTCCTGCAGACGACCGGGTAGTTTCTTGGCTCGTTCTGGTGAGATACTTGTCTTAAGGGGATTCTGTAAGACGAAAAACCATAGCGCCATCTCTATAGGGGTTGTCAAGCATGCAGTGAAGAGGTCGGCTGGAAGACGAGGGTTGGTAGGGAGATTCTCTTTAACAGCACAAGCTGCAAGGTGGAGATATGAGCGGTATTTGGTCTTTTCGTAGTTCGGGTCCTGCGCTGCAGTAGCTTCCTCTTCTTCTTCATGCTTTTCCACGAACCGATGATAGTTATTCAGGATGTTCCCAGCTTCAGAACAGTCCCAGACGAAGATAGTAGGCGCCTGCAGCCAATGTTGTAGATCGTATAAGGAGATAGGAATGTATTGGGTGAAGGTCTTATTAAACACCCAAATTTCACCGGATGCTGTTGGCTTTGGGACACCATGGCCATTGTAGTGAAGTAGAACACGCTCATCCTTAGCATTCCTCCGTAGGGACTGACAAAATCTTTTTGTCTCTTCTACCGAAGGGTCTAAGTATTGCTTGTACCTAGTTCGCAACGAGATATTTTCGTACTGGGCCTGTAGGGACTTCCCAATTGTTTCTAGTGCCTTCGCAGATGGAGGCACAAATGGATCTTGCCATGCTTCAAGTTTGGCTCCTGGGTTCGTCTTGAGTTGATCGGGGGGTTCAACACCAATATTAAGGCAGACAGCTAACGCAGCTGAAACGGTTTTTAACCTATCTCGCATACGCCAGTCCTCGATCGCATAGTTGGGGGATTCTGGTTGCCCGGTGGTCTCATGTCGCTTTTCAGTGAAGAAAAAGTACCAGTTCTATTTTCTGTAAGTTAGTCCTAGCCTCGCAATGTGAAGAATTTAACGGTATTTTCAACGTATGGACAAAGCGAATATAGTATAGTTAGAGTAGTATGAAGCGACGCAGTGAAGCTAGATGGAGAATAATCATGATCCTGTTCAAGGCAAATGTAGACTGGTGGCACGGCCGGAATATGCGCGCGTCGAACGAAATAGTAGGTTGTTATGCGAGGCAAGATTTCACTCACACTTGCTAGTTGGGAAATAATATCTTCAGACTGATAATGGTCCTCAAACCCATGCCGTGCGCCCCATTCGTATATCTCATCGTCCGCCTGATCTGCATCTTCCCGTCTAACAATATGCTCGCTCTTGGACCTTAACAACGGAGGCTTGGTAACTACTTTCTTAGGACGATCGTGGTCGGAGTCATCGTGGGAGGTCGCAATGACAACATGTTGCTTGTTCCCGGGGGCCGTCACGGGACGTCGATCGAGTTCGACGGATTCTCTTTCGTCAGTTGCCGTGCGCGGACGGCCTTTCGCTGGTTCGGGAGGTCGTACCGCGTAGGTCGGGCCGCTCGAGCCTAGTCGTGAAGGCATAGCGGAAGAGGTACCATTAGTAGTGGATGTGTTGGTCGTTGGGGTCTGGTAACCGTTTTGTGGAGTGGGAATATTCAAATCGGGTATCGAGGTATCGTGGCGGGGAGTCGGCGACGAGACAGACTTAGATGAGGAAGATGCGGTCGGGTACTGCCCAGAGGTGTACGCGCTATGAGAGAATGTGACGGCGGTCATACTGCTCGCGGTACATCTTTAAGGGCGGTAAATCAAGTTGGAACCATCCAAGTTGCGTTGCGCAAATCTAGAAAATAAAAGGAAGTATTCTAGATAATACAAAATAATAGTAAGAATTAAGTTGGTGGTGAGGCGAGGGTTTGTTCAACTTTGATTATTCAATTATTCGACGATTTAATGCGATGACCACGGCTGGGCTGGGCTGATGTTTGCGAATGGAGCTTTGCGGTCTAATCTGCATAATCTGCATACTCTGGTTGGTAGGTACAAGCGGAAAGGCGGTGGGGGGAGCGTGCTCACGTTCCTTACACTTCCCTACGTCCCTAACTTTTAGGTACGTACCGAGGTCCCACGGGTACTAACTTTGAATTTGAAGATACTAAAAACGGATTACCAATAAAAGACCAGTGACGAAATAGGCTTGCGACCGCCCCCAAACTTGCCAAACCTGCCAACTAGGACAACCAAATGGTAATAGGTAGGGAAAGAAAGGGGTAGCATTCTATCATCCGCCTCGTCGCTACCTAGGCACCTACCCGTTGCCTGCCAACCTACCTTAAAGTACCTACCTAACCTATCTAGGTGTTATTATGCCGCATCACTAGGGAATAACCTGATGCTTTTCCTCCAATTATTGAAAAGTCTCTAAGCTGAAATTAGGTATGTAGTAGTCTTTTTTCCCACCAACAATATCGAAGACACTGAACGATATTTTACAACGAAGTTTAAAACCACCTACCTAGGTACTCGTGATTGTGTATTCAACACCATATCCGCCTGCATATTTCTTGTCCTTGAAATGACCGGAATAATTTGATTTCTTTAAGCTGGATAGTAGTGAGTAGTGTTAGACAACGTCCAACAATAACCCAATGACCAATCAAATCGAGAAAGCTCTTCGCGCAAACGACAGGATTTCCGAAGTTACTGAAGGGATATAAGGACAACTTGATAATTGGATGCGCGGGATTTACTCCCAATATATGGAAGCTACCACAATTATCTCAGCCGCATATGATCTGTGATAAATTCAATTTCTTAGCTACCTTTCTCGGGTAGATTCGGAAACCGATAGGAAAAGCCGGAGGGTTCCATACGGATACCTGCAGTAAGTATGTATGCACTTATGTAACGATGTGGTGATGTTGAAGCCTGTGGGTATAAGATTCTCATCACATCCGCATCATCATGGCTTATTATGTGAGACTGTTAGACTTAGACAAGAAGGTGGGGTGTGATAAGTCTTTTATATGGCTGTGTGAGTTGTACCTTTATTCCAGTGGGTTGTATTATTCACGTGTTGAATAATTTATGGTGTTTCAGGTTACCCATTTCCCTACAGGATCGACGTATTCCCCAAATAATACTTTTACCCACTTAGTTCCCTCACCACTGGACGCTAAGGTACCCACCCAGCCTTGCCCAGGGCCGCCAGGGTCCATCCCAAGTCTGGAGTTAACGGTCATTTAATTAGGGGCGAGCAGGCCCTAATGTATGTACCTCATATAGCTGGGTTACAGTTCTGGGTACCTATAAATATCTACCTGTTTAATTAGGCAATGCACGTGTTCTTTTGCAGACGTAATAGAAAACGAAGCAACGAACGCGTATAAGAAATAAGAAATAGAGGATTTGATTAGCCTTCAAAGTTTTGTACTATTCCTTGTGGATGTCTAAGGTCCGCTTTGAAAGTTAAAGAGTTACCTGGCTACCTAGGTAGTTGCCAATTTATCGATTTACAGGTATTGTCACGCCATTATATAGTAAGATCGACCTGAAGAGATCGAAAGCATAAATTACCAGTAGCACAACTTCAAATGATAGATACCAAAGTTTTTTGAATCGTTTTTAAACTTACATGTAGAGTTGATAAGTTACAGTATTATTATTACCACGTCTATAATGTCCACGTAAGTAAACATTGGCTAATAACACGGCTTAGGGAAAATTAAGGCAAAGGTATCAGCCGGTATTGTCTTTACCCAGACTCATCGAGGCATGCGACTGTATCAATCTTGTCCTTTACAACATCCTGACTTTTTGCCATATCGGATGTTCATTCGCGTCACTTATATCCGAGACGACGTGAGAAAACACCTGTGTTTATCGTGGTGTAGATATCAAGGTATTCTTGAAGAAAAATGTTGGTGAAGAGGGAGTTGGTCAAGACTTACACGGGTACACACATTCATAACTAGAATTCCGGTTCCATATCTTATCTTGCATAAAGGATTTTCCAAGTGCATGTCTAATAAACCAAAACATATGACAGCAACTAGATACACACGTGTAGTACGAACCTTCAGGGCTGTGACTTGTCAGTATTCATTTCAGGACCTAACTCCCTGAAGTCCCTTGGTCTTTCCCATACCTCATGCATGAGTACTTACTTACAGGCGCTGCGTATTCATTTATCTTAGTACATTTATCTTAGTATGGTGTCGTTAACCCCCTTGGAGAAGTGGGTTTATCCCCCAAATTAGTCTATTCTATCCAATTGTAACTTAAAGTAAGGTGCTGCATGAGTACTGGCTAGTTCGAATAGGGGTTAGCTCATGCACGGCCCCCCGAAGCCGACCCTGCTTTAGTGACAGCCCTGGGGGGGAACCTTTAGAGATTTTTTTTTTTTTTCTGGAAATTTGTTGTATGGCTAAGGTTGTCCCTGAATCGACTTCGTCGCCAAATTCAGTCTCTTTCTCATCAACCCAATTTTCTCTTTCCCGACGTTCCTTCATTCATCAACTTTCCCTCCCGACGCGGGTTCGATCGCCGCACTTTCGTGGATGTGATAATACCTTTGGCAAGGCGATAATTACATAACTCATTAATGTTGTTCTCTTGTCCGCTTGATTGATTCGCATTTTGCAACACTTGTATCACCCGACGATCTTGAGGGGGGATATTCCACCAGTAGCACCGAACAAACGAACCCGTCGCAACACTCGATCTTGTCGCCCTTCTATTTATTTTATTAATGTTCTTGATTCACAAGTGTAGCATCGAGTCATAATACAAAGCTCTTTTTTTCGTGTTTCAATCAATTTTAGATTTTTTATTTTCCAATTACATTTTCGAAGTGGAAAAAAAAAAAGGAAGAGGGGGGCTTAGAAGGGGTTGCAATAAAAAAAAAAAAGTCGAGAGGCTGCGCAGGATACGAGTAATCGGCGCAATTTCGATTCAGGACCCATCTTCGATATCTCCAACCTCATGCTTCCACCCCCAGCCATCTCGAACGCCGAACCATACCACGACGAGCCCTTCATACCTTCGATTCCCGTTTAGTCGTTAATTCAATTTTTGTTTGCCTGTCGGATTGTCGCATGCGATCTAGAAGAAAGCTGCATCGAAATTTGCCCTGCATCGCCCTGTCGCTGCTGCGACAGCATACACTTTAAACACTCCTCACTAAGCTTTTTCTGAGGGTGTCTAGTCGTAGTTCACCATGGCCTTCTTATTCAAATCCAAGAAGAACCAGGATAGGAATCTTCAAAGTCGCGATGGTCCTCCTGGTTCGGTACCGCAAGTTCAAGGCGCTGCCGGGCGCATTGCTAGAGAAGAGAAGAACTCCCGATCAACACCAACTGGAAGTGTGAATTCTTTCGATGAAGCCACCCCGAGCCCAGATACCGAGAAGCATACCACTCGCCGTGGCCAACAGGAACCACCACCACAGATGCAGCAGCCGCCGCCGCAACAGCAGCAACCGCAACCGCAACCGCAACAAGTGAGCGACTTGCCAGTAAGTCTCTTAATTCCGCCCCTGTAAACTCGGGTCTTATCCTTCAGTTCTTGCTGACGACTCAACCTCTTGAAGTTTCGCAACACTCCCCCACAACAAAATGCAAACTCCTCGTTATATCCTTGGTCGCAGCGACGCTTAACATTTACTTCCTCTATACCTAGCCCCTTTCCTAGATATGGAGCGGCGGTCAACTCTATTTCATCCAAAGAAGGGGATATCTACGTCATGGGCGGTTTGGTTAATAGTTCGACTGTCAAAGGCGACCTATGGATGATTGAAGCTGGAGGAAACATGTCCTGCTACCCGCTTGCTACCACATCCGAAGGCCCCGGACCGAGAGTTGGACACGCATCTCTATTGGTCGGCAACGCATTCATCGTATATGGCGGCGACACCAAAATCGACGAAACCGATATTCTAGATGAGACTCTCTACCTCCTCAATACTTGTGAGACATTGCTACCCCACCAGTTTCCACCCTTTTATCACCATAGGCTAACAATATCTCTTTAGCTACGAGGCAATGGTCCAGAGCTCTCCCAGCCGGTCCGCGACCGTCAGGGCGCTATGGACATTCTCTGAACATCATCGGATCGAAAATCTATATCTTCGGTGGTCAAGTGGAAGGTTACTTCATGAATGATCTAGCCGCCTTCGATCTCAATCAATTACAGATGCCCAATAACCGATGGGAGATTCTTGGCGAGAACATCGAAACTGGAGGAGGAGCGCCAGGCAAGGTACCGCCAGCTAGAACGAACCACTCCATGATTACATACAACGACAAGATGTATCTGTAAGTTATATGTGCTCTCATCCCAAGTTATAACTTTTTGAAGCTTACCTACCATCACAGATTTGGCGGTACCAACGGCTTCCAATGGTTTAACGATGTATGGTGCTATGATCCAGCTGTCAATAAATGGTCTCAACTAGACTGTATTGGCTATATACCAGTACCTAGGGAAGGCCATGCAGCTTCATTAGTTGACGACGTCATGTATGTTTTCGGTGGTCGCACCGAGGAAGGTGCTGATTTAGGCGATCTGGCAGCCTTCCGGATATCATCTAAGCGCTGGTATACCTTCCAGAATATGGGTCCATCGCCATCACCTCGTTCCGGCCACAGTATGACCTCGGTGGGCAAATCCGTCGTGGTGGTTGGTGGTGAGCCTAGTTCAACCAACAACCCAGTTAACGACCTCTCAATTGTCTATGTTCTGGATACGTCCAAGATTCGGTACCCCAATGATGCGCA